AAATCAGACATCAAAAATTGTTTACCTATCTTATTCTATTCTACAGTACACCATTTCGACCTTACAAAAAAAACAAGTCTGAAAAAGTGAGTCAGATGTTCGTCTTTTTCTTTTTTCTCTATTTTATTCTTCGTTCGATTCTTCTTTATTTGTATATTTATACAAACACGATTTTTACGATTTGCGTTTCTCCACGGGTGGTTGGATTCGACTACCGTATTCGCTTCGCCTCTCTTTTTCGAATGCTAATTTTGAAGGACAAATGAGCGAATGAAAGAAACGAAGGGAATAAGAATAGGAATAAAATAAGAAACAGAAAAAAAGGACAGAGAGAGACAGGTGTGAGTATTCTAATTAAAATGATAAAATATGTATGCCGATGATTTTACTCTACAAATAGGGGTGGGATTTTGGAAACATCACGTTGAATTTTTGAGGATATTGAAAAACTTGAGAATGTTTTTTTTTGTAGAAAATTTCACACACACTGACTTTCAAAAATGACAAAAAATAATTATTGATTTTTGAAACCTATTTTTCACGGTTTTTTGTCGAGAAATTTCGAATTTGGTTTATTCAGAGATTTTAAAGAAAGTTCAAGAATTTCATTTGAAAAATACTGAAAAATAACTTTTCTGGACAAACTTTTGATAAGTCCGAGTTCAACCAAACAAGAAAAAAATCAAAAACTGTATTTTTCAAGAAAATTTCGAAATCAAACATTTTATCGATTTTTGTCACACTACCTTTTAAAAATTTCAAAATCCCGAATTCTCCCCATTTATTTCTAAAAAAAATCAATCAATAAAATTTCCTCGCAGATTTCCAGAGAAAAAGTAAGCAACATTGATTTTTCATCAGAAAAAACAGACACACACACCGACAAAAAACATGAAACTAATAAATAATTGTGTGAAAATCCAATAAAAATCAAAAGGCAAGAAAAAAGTTGACGGAAAATCAATAGGAAATTTTTAAATTCGAGACTTGAACTCAGCTTGAAACACGATTTGAAAAAAAATTTGGGGATAAAAAATAAGTGAGGGTGAATGAAGAAAAAAGGAACATCTGTAGAAATTTTGAATAAAAATGGAGAGAAAAAAAACGGAAAAGGAGGAGGAGAAGTACAGGTGGACCAGAAAATTGAAGTCGGAGAGATTTTTCTGAACTTTCGATATTTGAGTAGGGAAATATTGATTGATTTTCATAGCTAGAAACTTTTAAGGCGAAACAAAATTCTGAAAATTCCCATAAAAATATTAGATCAGAATTTGATTGTGGAGCCTGGATAGAAGAAATATCATAACTCTAGGCAAAAATGAGTTCAGGATTTCCAAAGAATCGGTTTCCCAAGAAAATAAAAATAATTGTTCAACAGAGCGCATTTGCAGCACAGAAACATTTTTCAAGGTCGCATGGATTTTTTTCGAATTCAGGAAAATCTAGAAACAAAACTTTAGTTTTTCAGTCCAAACAGATATGAAATTTTGAGAAGACAAGCAAATTTAAGGTTTAAAAATTTAATTTTTATATCAGGAAAATTTTTTAGTTGAAAAAATCAGGTTTCCAGATTTTTTTTTAGAAAATCCAAAATTCTCTATTCAAATTTTTAACAAAAATATGCATACAAAAAATGTCAAAAAAAAGTAACTCGAGAAAAAATCGTGGGTTTGTGGGAGGGATTGAAGAAGTTGGTTGGCCAGTCGGAAAGATGAAAGAAAATGTGTGAGGAAGACAAAAAAAAAGAAAAGAAAATGAAAAAAAAAAACAGAAGAGGAGGCAACAGAAGGGTTGAAGTTAGTTAATAAATCAGAAGGATAGACAATTTTTGTGTTTGAAATTCTTGGTGAAACCTTGGATTCTGAAACTGGAAATGTGGAGCTGGAATTAGGGTACTGTTGATTCACTGATTTTTGATAGAGTTAGAATAACTAGACCCTTTTTAATAGTCTTCAGGATTTTCTGGTTTCTCAAAATCCTGATTTCCAGGTTCTCCCAAAAAAATGAAAACTTCAAATTGTTGTTCAACAGAGCGAATTTGCTGCACAGAAATTTGGTCATGGTAAACATTGTGTTCATTTCAAATCTGAACTGAACAGAGAATTTTAACAAAAAAAATTATTTCCCAAGCGAAACAGTTTTTTTCTTTCAAAAGTTCCCAAAATCTACAGTAATCCATCTATAAGTCTATTCCGAAAGTGTCTCCAGATGTTTTTTTCGGCCGACTAGGTGGTCTCTGAAGCGCGGCTGTTTCGAATATTCGAATAAATAAAAAATAGAAAAAATATGGTTTTTTTTCTTTGCGCGGCGCCTTTTTGCTCATTTGGCACCCATTAAACTACCAATTGAGATTGCCTTAATTTATTTCGGGTTTTTTATTTTCGCACTTTTTTGTTTTATATCGGAAAGATGCACCTGTCAATTTGGGTTTTTCTTCGGTTGGGTTGAGAATTTTGGAACTGGGGGAGCTGATTGTGAGGGAATTATTCAACAAAAAATCCAGAGCTGTATTTCAGACAAAAAATTAAATAATTGGAATCTAGTTAAAAAAGTGGATTCTCAAAAATAAATTAAATTTTTCATATACATTTTCTAAAATATATTTTCTAGCCAAGATTATTGATATTTTTCAAGCTTCAAAACCCTAACAAAAATCATAAAACTTTCAGACGTACTGAAAAAAATCCTAAAAAATCTTCTACAAAAACAAAACGTTATGTCAAAACATTTCTCGCCAGGGTGGCCGGAAAAAGGCGGGAAACGAACAAAATGCAAAATGAAGAATTTACGATTGGTCAGTCGAGAACAAAACAACAAAAAGGACACCGCTTTTTAACATTTTGACATTTTGATGATATAATTTACAACCTATAACAACAAGTAGTATACACACTGACTGCAGCAGGTCATCCGGTCAAACAAAAAAAGATATCTGGCGGGTGAACGAGAAAAAGAAGAAGTGTGTCATAAAGGTGTGATTTTTTAGGTGATTCAGGGTGAAATCATTGTATGCATGTACTTTTAGAGTTTGAATTATTTGAAAATCAGGAGGAGAGAGAGAGAGGCGCAGAGAAGTCAGAAATTGTTAGTCAAAACTTCAATAGAGCCCTTATCTCTTTGAACGTAACCTTCGCCCCAAAAAATCCGGGCTCCCAAGAAAAAAAACGAAAAATTGTGACAATTCTGACGGAGTTTTATTGGCTTCGAAAAAATCCGACGGTTTCTTCACGTAAACTTTTCATGTCAAAACCATTCTTTCCCTTTTGAAATACCGTGTGCACACAAAACGGGTCAGCTTCAAAGCACAGCCGTGATTTTTTCATTTTGACTTTGGTCTCCTAAACTTCATTTCCCCCCCCCATGTGAATCATCGCTTTAAAAACGGCGTTCTCAAAATATAAATCAGTGATAAGGTCATTCGACCTACCTAGATGTTTTTTGTGAGAAATCAAAAAAAAGAAAGAGAGAAGGACACAATCATAATTCAAATATCAAAAGGAAGCGAACGATTTTATTATTTAATTAAACTGCGAGAAAAGTTCGCTTATCTTTTTCTTGAACAAGGTTCGTAGAGGAATTTTAAGGGACTTTTAAAAATTGATTGTCGTTGCAGAGTGAATTTCAAAAATTAAAGCCGATAACTTTCCGATAAAAATTCAAAAATGTACCAAATTTTACTAAAAAACCTATACCACGAACCGGAAAAACTCAAAAACTTCCCTAAGAACTTCAAATCTCCCGCACGCACTAAACAATGAGGAAACAATCTGAGTGTAGTTATTTTTTCCTTTTCAAACTGGTTTTTAGCTCAAAATAAGTCAAGAATTCAAAATTCAAATATCGCAATTAACCTTAACCTCTGGCCATATGTTGTTAACTAATCCACAAAATTTATGAGATCATAAAAATATGTATGTGGAGAATGGAAACAATGGCTAATAATCGTAAAATAATTAACAGGTTGTGATGAGCCGACTGTAAAAAGTCATAAAAACATGGAGGGATAAAAAAATAAATATGAAAATAATTGATATTCCAACAGGAAACAGATGGACGGCGGGATTATTTTTAACATAAGTGGAATTTTAGGGGAGCTGGCTTGCTAGATAAGACAAGATTGGACCAGGCTAAGCCTGGAAAATGTGGACCGAAAAAGTCTAGGAGTCCTAGCCTTAGAGCCCGGTTTTCGACCCGTCTCACAGCGGAAATTTTCTTTAAACCTGAGGTTTACAAATTATCTTTCTCAAAATAGAAATAAAAAAAAGAAATTTTCTCACAGCGGCCCATTATTACTAAATTTTTCAAGGTCTTTTTCTATTCAAAAATACACATTTTTTATTGAAAGGTCTTGTTTTCAGTAAATATTTTTGAAAAAAGCGGTGTTCTTTTTGATGAGGAAATTCGAAAAATCTGGAAAAATTAACCTACTTAAGTAAGGGGTGATTAGTGAAGTACTTATTATAAATCAAGGTGGCGGAAATGACATCAAAGGGAATTTGCCGCGCCGGTTGGAGGCGCGAAATTTGAAATTTTTGAATATTTGGGGATTTTCTGAAACGTGAAAAAACGTTTTTGAAAAAAGGAACACCGAGAAAAGTTGAAAAGAAGCCAACCAATTAACACGAAAATGAGAGATATTCTCACACCTTTCAAACGGTTATCGCAAGGTTCAATCTCTCTTCCCACAATCTACCGTATACTCACCTCAAGAAGCGGCGAAACATCAAAAGGCTCATTTTCACACCTTTTCTACTTCGTTCGATTCGTTCGTTTAACCTCAAAAACAGTTGTTTTTAAACAAAAATGTAAAATGCACAAAAAAAATAAACAATTGATTTTCTAATTCCCGCAAGTGGAGAAAGACTGACGCGTTTGTGTGCACTCGAAATGCGCCAACAGGTAAATTTGAATTTCTCTTTTTTTTCTTTTTTTTTCCACGTGGTTTTCCACGTTTTACGGGCGTTTCCGGGGTTTTCTGTTCATTTTTAGTTTTTGAAACGATGAAAAGCGATAAAATGTGTGAGTTTAAACCAATTTTCGTGTCTAGAAAACTCTTTCAATTCTATTTTCCTTCATAATAAACTAATCTCTTGATAAATAATCATGTTGCAAGATGTCAGACAATCTCTCAGCACGTTGGAATCGAATCCTAATGACAACCAACAAAGATACATCAGAAGAAGTGGTTATCGCCAGATCGAGTTATGATGATTTCTCGCAACCAACCGCTTGGCGATCATATGAAATTGTTTGCGGTGATCGAGTTTTGTAAGTTTTCCTGCTAGGATCACAAGGAAGTCTTATATAATTTGACGCGATGGATAATATGCTGCAGAAATTTGTTTCTGAGTCCAGTTCTGAACATGAGTTATGACGTGGTAAAGGTGGAAACATTGTGACCAGCTATGATTAAAAGTCGATTCTATTGAAATTTAACAAAGCGTTATCCGGATACTTATCCCAGATACTAGTATTACATAAGTAAAGCAGGATTTAAGGAAATCCGATATTTTTTGCAGAAAAGTACGTACTCTGTAGAATAATTGAACAAAGCTGGGCTAATTGATACTCATGAAAATGACCTTTGAACCTAGGAATCTTAGTAAAATCACAAATTGAAATTAGATGCTGAGCTGAACTCTGATTTTGATTTGCGATATTTCAAAGTTGGAAAATGTGCGATTTTACTAGGATAACTAGATTCAAGCGTCGTGAAAATTACATGACAATCTAATAACCTCTCTTTGTTTAGCGGACGGACTTCCTTTAAATCATTTGATATCTTTTAAAATCACATTTTCGAACTCATAACTTATATGCAGAGTCGAACTCATGAGCTAATTATTGCGTCAACACCACCGTTTTTCAAAACCTATAATCACCCCATGAAAGTCCTTTGTTATGTACTTTTTATCAATTAATCAAATATTTTTCAGTTATGTGAACGCTGGTTGGCTCGCCGAATTGTCGCCATATTTTGCCGACATCATATTCACACGGAAACCCACTCCAAAACGCTATCAATTGGAAGGATCCTCACCGGTCGAAGTGCTCGAATTCTTGCGATGCATCACTTTTTGCCCAATGAGAAAACCATTGTCGGTGAAGAATGTGTCGTTGGTTTTAACTTTTGCCAATCGTTTCGAAATGCGTCCAGTTCAAGCGAGATGTGAGCATTTTATTGCATGTAATGCGCAAACATTGAGTCGTGATAAAGCCAAATTGTTCCAGGTAACTCTAATTAGTTAATTACTTTCAAAAAAGTCATTTTCTTTTCAGGTAACATGTGCAATGTCTCAATGTGATCCAAATAGTTCAACAATGTCAGTGCTTGTTGATAGATTGGCTGCAATTAAGGTTGTTGTTTTTATGAGAAGGCTTATTCAAAAAAAATTAATTTAAATAAAATTTTTAGGATGATGATTTATCTCGTCTTCAATTTGCTGATATGCCAGGAGATGTTGTTGCAGAAGTTTTTGCTCAGAAGATTCAACGGAGCAAAGAGAAGAATAACAGACGTAATCAAAGCGATTCGGGTTGCTGCGTTTTGTAAGTTGTTTTTTTTTGAAAAATACTGGAAAAATATTGATTGTTTGGCAAAGTTGACAAATATTTGAAAGAATTAAAATGATACGTCACAGATACATTTTTTAGTGAAAATTTCGATCAATTCTCCTAGTTTTAATAAAATTTCATAATTTTCATGAAAATGTAGAGCTAGGAAATAAGTAGGACATATAAAGAGTATAATTCTTATTTTTCGAAATCAAGCTCAACGTAATTTTTGTAAAGAAACTAAAAATTCCAGGATGATCAGAACGATTTGTAAAAGTTAAAAAAATGAAATATTTAAAACAGACATATTTAAAATCAAAATGAGGAGTTTGAAAGTACCACGTTATAGGTCACGCTTTGTGAGAAAATGATCGAATATGTTTTTTTTTTTCAAAAAATACCGTTTTTTTCGTTCATGAATAAATATTTCCTGAAACATTTTGATATAATTTTTAGATAAATTTTTTAATATTGAGTCAATTGAATTAAAAATGATTCAAAAACGTCTGGATTTTAAATTGAGAAGCATTCCTTCAAACTCAACAATATTTCATCACTATATTTTTTTCCAGGTCAATGTTCCGTTCTTTGTTCCGTCGTCGTCATTCTCGCAATCGTACTCTATCAACACTTCCAATCGATCAACAATCAACAGTTCCAGCTCACTGATCTCTTCTATATCAACCAGAAAACACAGGTATCTGAAAAACAAACACATCTGAAAAATCTCCCGTTTTATTCTCTACGTTTCCGCTTTTTCTTCGTTAATTTTACCCATTCCCTTTTTTCGCGTGACTGCTAATAATGTTATTTCATATATAAGTCTGAAAATTTAGCATAAAACATCAACTTTTTATTCTCACAAAGGGTTAGCTGCAAAATGTGAAGAAAGATCGATTAAAAGGGGAAAACTTTGTAAGGTACAGTATTTTCTTCATGGGTGGCAAGATCTAATCGAAATAATTTATGGAATTTTTAAACTTTGGAAAGTATACGGTATTCGAGTTTTCATTTTAAAATTTTGAAAATGCTGAAAAATTGTGTATAAAGTAAGGTTGATTCAATACTGAAACCAATTTTCGAAATTAAAAAAAAAAGTAAAATAGGTCTGCCTCTAGAAATCATTAAATTTATTCAAGCCTGGTCCCAATCCCCAGAATCATCCGATTTTCTTGAGACCAAAAGTTCTTTCTCCTCCCATCCCTTCAGGCTTCACACAACAAAAAGTTGTCACAAAAGTTCCCTACAGTATTCTTGTTTATGACTCTTTCTTTCTTTGTCTTGTGGTCAGAGCCGGATAGTTGTAAATTATGTTGTTGTCTGCTCTTCTCTTTGTTTGTTTCGTATCTTCTTCTTCTTCTTCTTTTCCTCTTTTTTTCCATCCATATTTCATCGAACACGAAACACAAGAAACGAAGCCAGAAGTCTGACAACTAACAATATTTATTGACTTGAACGAAATGAAATGTGAATGAAAAAAAAAAGAAAGACAACACAAGAACATTGAAATATGTTTTTTTATATTTCAAGCTAGAATAAAATTGATAGAAAAAGCCTAGATTTTAGATGAAGTCTGAAATTAGGGTACTAACTAATCCCAGCTTGGCTAAGTTTAAGCTTCTGGATAAGCCCATGATATTTTATGAAGCCTAGTGGTGGTTTGGCTAAGTCTGAGCCGAAGTCAGGTGTTTAGTTTCAAAAGTTAACCTCGGTCTAAATTCGAGAGCTTTAAAAAATAGGCTTAGATTTTATGAAGCCTAAATTTCTGACTAATTCGCGCTAAAAATACGTTTCAAAATTGTTTAATGAAAACGATTTCTAATTTTTTTTCATTACATAGACAAATCATTTGGCAAAAAATATCCAGTTTTTTACTTGAAAGGCTGAAAATTAAGTTATCTTATTTTGGCGAAGTTTTTTTCAAGAAAAATTTTGGTTTAGTGCAATCTTAATTTTCGTTGAAGCTTGAAATTATGGCCAAGCTATAGTTAGCTTTAGGGACTTCTAATTTTTTCTGGGATCGACTAATTGTGCTGGGTAAGTCTAATTGTAAGCCCATTTTTTTCAGCTAGCCTAAGCCTAGATTTCAGTGAAACACAAGATGATGTCTAATAAGTGAAGCTAGAATATTGGGAAAGCCTTTTGGTGAAGCTTAAGTGTTCTCTAAGACTGAGATTTCAGCCAGCCTTCTGATAAAGCCTAACTTTTTTCTTCCAATCCTAAAATTTTGGCAAAGATTACGCTTGAGCCTAGATTTCTGAGACAAACTTCGAATTCAAAAAATTCCAACCAAAAAAATCGATAAGATAAAAATCTTCAATTTTCATTCCCTCTCTTCGTTTTCTCATTTTCCCTTCATTTCTCACCAATCAACCGCCGCGCCCTACAGTACTCCAAGCTCCGCCCCCATCTCCGAAAAATATTCGCCTCATCCCATTTTTTTCGGCGGCGGCCTTGTTTCGTTTTCACCTCATAAAATCAATCCTTCACTAAAATAATATTATTTTTATTTTATTCGAAAAAACGAAGAATTTTCGACATTTTTATGGGATTCTTTATTTTGTCGTCATACAGGTGTTTTTTCGGGGGCCGATGGGATTTAATTTGATTTGATTAATTTGTGGGACTTCTTAAACAAGATCATACTGTGCTAAAAACTCAATGAATGGGACCACTGAAAGCTGAAGATGGGATCGTTTTTGACAGTTTCCAATAATGAATACAGTATTTTTAATAGGGGAATAATTTTGTGATTTTCAACCGCTTAGAGCTTCTGAAAGTTTAGGATAGGTATAAAATTCAGTTTTGTGATATGTAGGTAAGAAAAACATGGTGTATTTTTGAAGCCTTGAAACTTTCAGCGGATTTTAAAATTGTTATTTCTAGATTGAGGAAATCCCATGCAAGCAAAACTTCTTGTGATTTTATTCCTATTCTTTTTTTGATTTCTAGTATTTTGGGATATTGGGGTAAATACTAAAAAATAATATTTTGAACACGTCAAAAAACACACCATTCAGTATTCTTGTTGAGTAAAATTTTGAACAAAAATGAAAATAAAAGAAAGAAGATTTTTATTTTTCAATGTAAGATCGTAAATTTCATTTTATGACCCCATTCAAAAATGTGGAAAAGACCCGACAAAATCGCAACTTTTTTTCTATTTTTTTGAGGAGCTTTGGAGAGAGAAGCTTATTTTTGTTATGATTTTTTAGACCAAGCTAGCCTAAATTTGAAAGTCTAGATTTTGGAAACTTTAAAAAGAAATCCCTCTGAAAAATTTACACTTATTCAATAACTTTAGAATAACGTGACAAAACCCGAAAATATACTTTCTTTGATTTTAATTTCAAAGGAACATGCATTTTTGAGCTCGAGGTCTTGCCACGATTTTCTGATTAACTTGAGCTTTCAGAAGTTTTGTGACCTGGCTTTTGATAATTTCTGAAGAAGTTCCTGATTTTAAAACTCTTTAATTGAAATTACCCTTTCACACAAAAATACGAATTTTTATGTCTAACATGAGCAATGCACAAAAATTCCAGATTCTCGGAATCCGTTAATCTTTGATAATAAGTTCTTACCTAGACGAATTTTCAGTTTTGAAATAACGATTTAGCCACATTTCCTAGAATGTTCCCGATGTTCAAATTCTACATTTTCTCAAATTTTGAACACAAGTAATGTAAGAGTTCAAAATTACGGAATTTTCGCAATTTCTATTTTCAATTCAAAAAATATCGAGCTCCAAACTTTTTAGTTGAATAATCAGAACTTTTCTTGTTTCTCAAATATCAAAACCCTTTCCCACTTTCCGTTTTTCTAATTTAGCCTAAATCTAAGCCTAAGCCATATGCTTCAGTTTGGTTTCCGAAGAGAAAAATGGTAAGTCCATAAATAATCTGGTAGTCAAGTGCTTGGTTTCGTTCGTTTTTTTTCCCTAATTCCACCTGTCATAACATTCATTTATCTTGTGACTCGTCTCCAATTAGACACATACTTACCGACCAAAAAAGGAGAGACTACTAAGCATACGAAAATTGGGTGGGATTTTGTAGAGAAAAACGGAAGTACGGTAGAGGATTTGTCGAATATTGTTTTTGAAATATCGAAAAAAATCGATTTTTGAAAACTTTAGATTTAAAAAGTGATGTACCAAGAAAATTAGTCATTAAAAAATCAAATTAGGCCTTAAAATGGTATTCGAAAAAATTTATCCTGAGTTAAGGTTCAGATAATTAGGCTCGAGAATTACTCTTTAAAAATCGTGCTCAGAAATTTAGGCCCAAAAAGTTTTGTTAAGCAGTTATTCCCTAAGTAAATTTTTAGCCAAAAATTAATAAAACACTGAAATCCTAAATTTGTACCTAAAGTAACAGCATAAACTCACGTTCATTTTATTTTAAAAAGTTCCCAACTCCCCTCTTCACATCCAAAAAAGTTTCAAATAAAGTACATCTATAATAATCTACCGTACTCTCTCCCCCTCTCCTCTTCTCCCCCAAATTTCCAAACTTCTTTCAAATTCATTGGAGACCTACCGTATTCTCTCTCTCTATTTCTCTAAATCTCTCTTATCTTTCATGTCTCTCTACATTTTTTGCCTAATTGATAATTTATGAGGTTTTAATGTTCTTTCCACCAAAAATATTTCTTTTTTCTTCTTTTCTTAACCCTACGATTATAGTTTTTTATCACCAATTATTAATTAATTAATTATTTATCATTAATTTGTTGATAAGTTAGGGGAAACCTGTGATATATCATTTTACAAAAAAAGTGTTCTTTTTTGAAATGATAATAAATCAGGTGAAACTGAACAGGGCAGAAATTGAGAAGAACGAAAAAGAAAAGGACAAAAAAAGAGCTGCGCGTGCTTTGATTGGGATACTGTAGATTTAACCTTCGTGTGTGGTCTTTGTCACTTTTTTTTCGAAAGTTTGAATTTTTGAGAATTAGACATTTCGATAGGGACTCTCATATAATTTTCGACCTAATATATTGAGATTAAGCCAGAGATTTTCTAAAATTCTATATTTTGAAGTCTCTGAATTTGGTTTTGAATAGGAACTTCCAGGCATGATTTAAAAATTGATGCATTTTTGGTCCAAAATCAGAAATTCCAATATTTTCCTCAATTTTCTAGTTTTTCAAAAATTTCAATTGAATCTTCCAAAAATGCCCGGAATTTTGAATGAAATTTCTAAATCAAAAAATAGTTTTTTTGAAATATTACGAGCCTTGTAAATTTTTAAAATCTAGATTCCTTCCATTTTTGGGTAGGACCTGATTCTCAAGATGTCTAAATCAAACCAGACATATCAATCACATTTTTACCCTCAAAAATCGGAATTCCGGTAACTCTCCTCCCAAAATCCCCTCTTATCCCCAATAAATCCATAATTAATGAAAAAAAAAATAATATTTGCATATCAAAAAATGTTTACAGCCTTTGGCCTCCCTTTTTTTGCGGGCGGGATATGTTTCCCGATCGAACCTATAAATCAGTTGCTCGCAAAAATATGTAGCCTTTGTTGTCTTTGTAAAATGCCGCCTGCCTGCCTTTTTCGGGATTACGGTACTCTCTTTATTTTCGCGCATTCAAGATTTACAACTATTATATTTGGTTTTGGAAGGAGGACGGACCCACCAGACAGAACCAGATTGTAGAAAAAGATGAGAGAAGATTTTTGTCAACATTTTTATCATCTTCTTTTTGCTCTGTTCTGTTTTGTTTTGAGCTGCTGAGCTCAGCTCGTAAATGTTGATTGATTTACGTGAGCTAATATACGACGCGATGATTTACAATTCGATTTTTCCGTGTTTTTCGCTTTTTCTATTGATATTTGAGTTAGGATTTTAGGATGGCCCTAAAAGTTGGGAATACTTTTTCATAGACATTTTTTGAGGGGCAGTGAATTCTGTGAATATTAAAAAAAGTCCAAAAATCTTTTTGTTTTAATTATATCTGAAATTGACCTCACGGGAAAATTAACCCTGATAGTTTGAATACAAAATTTCATCACCAAGGGATTTTAGGAGTTTAAAATGGTTCCTGAGATTCATTCAAACCTGGGATTAGGGATTCTAGGAAAGGTCTTTTCGATAATCCGAAAAATATGCGAAAAATTACAGCGCGATAAAATTATCCTGAAGTTTTAAAAACAAATTAGTTTACATTTAAGGACAAAAAGTCTGTACAGTGAAACTGTTAAACAAGATTTTGAAATCATGAAAAAAAAAACAAAAAAAATAATAACACGATTCCTCGAAAAAATGAGGAAAGAATCTTTTGACACTGTGTATTTTTATGATCTACCGCCCTTTTCCCGAATACTTCTTTATTATTTTATTAACCTTTTTATTACTTCTCGCACTCTTTTGTTTTTATGGTAATTTTTGTGACCTTCCTAAATTTGAAAAATATTATCTATTGAAAACTGTTCTGAAAATCAAAAAAAAACAGGAAATTTTGAATTTCGAAAATTTTATGTGCTTGATTTTAGGTTCAGAAACAAATCCAGAATTTTTTACCAGGTCAAATTTCTACACCTCACCAATAACAGTTGGCTGAACAGTTAACTTTTTTTCTGTCCTTTTTGAAAATTGTTTTTTTTCTCCCTCCTGAACCATTTTTTCCGCTGAAAAATATCAAATTTTCAATGTTTTTCTCATCCCAAATTTCAAACTTCCATGCGCTTCCCATCATAAAATCACACCTCAAAAGAAGCCGCCGCTCAAAATTTTATTGTCGAGAATTTTCTGTCCAATTTTTTGGCCCCCAATTTTCTCGCTCTCATTTTATTCATCTCAATCATTCATTCGGTGCTAATTTCAATGGAAATTGGAATCCCCGCTTTTCCGTTTTTTCTCGCTCGAAATTTAAATTTCGAAAAAAAAAGGTTTTCTTGGTTGAAGCTCAGATGTTCAAAACCCACCAATTTTCATTTCAAAAAAAAATTGCATGGAAAATGAAGAAAAATCAATAAGAAGAAGAGATATATCTATAAATCTTCTTACACAGCAGGTTTCCAAAATTGTATTGATTTATATTTGGGAGACTAGAAAAGACCAATTTTTGGGTGCTAGTTTCTGGAAACAGTTTCAGCGAAAACTACACTGTGATTTATTGATCGAGAAAAATTAGTATTTTTGTCGGAAAGTTATTAGAGAAACTTGGAGATTTTAGGCTGAAAAATTGAATCGGCAACATTTGAACGGACCATTTTTTTTAATGTGTTTTTCTGAATCGCAAAATCTTTGGAAGTGGAGTAATCTAGAATATTTCTTCAAAAAACGCACGAAGAATAATTCCTACACTACTTTGAACTCAGGAATCAGAAAAGCAATTCTCAAATATATGGCATATTTTTTCAGAAGGTCCTTACTTTTTGTACCAGAAAGATCAGGAATATCTGTGATGTTTTTTGGAATTTCTATAAATCAATGGGACTTTTACACCTTATTTTTTGAATTCACAACTTTTGTTAGAAAAGCTGAAAAGGTTCCATGATTTTCAGAGAAATAATTAGATTTTCTAAAGTTTTGAATCGTCTCTGGGTTTTGGACCAAAATATTGAAATTCAACGATTTTTTAAAACTTTGTTTCATTCCTAATTTCAGCAAAATTTTCTTCTTAACATTTGCAGAAACTTGAAAATTCGAAACAAAAATAGTTCTCAATTTTGACTGAACACTGACATTTTTTATTTTCAGAGGTAATATCTATTTTTGAGAGTTTCTGAATTCCAAAAACTGGGTATTATCAAAATAAAAAAATTTGGCAAAAAAACGGAGCCCAGAAATTCAAATGTCATTCTTCCCAAGTACGGTGTTTCTGCCAGTCGCTGCGAGACCCATATGTGCGTCTTTGACTTTGTTTCTCTGCCCAATGGTGTGGTCTCGAAACGGTGTTAGTGACGCAGAGGAATACCGTACTTGGGGAAATTGACATTTGAATTTCTGGCTTCTCTTTTTTTGCCAAATTTTTTTACTTTGATAATACCTGAATTCCCATACTCATGTCAGATTTCATCCTCTCCCTCCCCAGAAATTTCTATATATAAACAAATGTACATCCACAAACAGCCGAATGTAAATTTCAACAGCTGAATACAATAAATCTCACTTGACTCCAATAATATTATTCTTTCTTCTTCTTTCTCTTCCATTTTCGGATATTCTTCTATCGTATTCCTTTTCTCAAACTCCTCCCCGAAATTCCTGCGATTCGCTCATCAAACTCCGCCCCCAAAATATTTCTGCGTCTCTTCTAGACTTCTCTATATTTTCACCGACGAAGATAGCCGAGGCAATATTTCATCAGGCGCCTCTCTCTCTTTTTCTCCACTGTTCAATACATATTTCATTTTGCAATTCTCTCTTTTCTCTTCAGTTTTTCTTCTTCTTCTTCAGCCAAAAAGTCTTCTTCTTCGTGTGTTTATTTTCTTCGCCGAAAGACACCTCCCATACAATAACCATTTATTTGAAATATTATCATCTCATCTCATCCCATTCGACACTTAATTAACAATTTTAATTTTATTGAGCAATTTGGAAGTGGGAGATGGGGATAAACTGAAGGAAGGAGTACTGTAGAGATTCGGGCCACGTGGGGGCTTTTAGACTAGGATTACGCTTTTACTGGGCTAAGCGTAAGGGTTAGCTTAAGGGTTATGTTGGCTTAGTTTTAGAATTTGGTTCAGGCTTGCGGATTATAAAATTGGATAAGACTATGAAAAATAATGAGTCAATAAAGATAAAATGAGCTTGAAAAGCTGAGTTTCACTCCGATTTCCAGTTTTATGCATCAGAAGCCCTCTGGGCTCAAATTATTAGGTTTGAGCTTCCAGTATTCCAAAATTGAGCCTAAAATTGAGCCCCAAAAAAACCCCCTCTAAAATTGAGCCCCTCTCCGGCTTCTGGAAAAATAATCTAGGTCGACGTCTAACAGAGGATAATACAATACTTATGATTATATCCTGAGATTTCTAGGCTTAAACAGAATCAGTTCACGATAAAAGTCCAACTCAAACTAGTACAAGATTTTCAAATATACCGGAAAAATTGTGAACCTTGAAAAAAATATGAAAAATATTCTGGAAATCTTAAAACAAAAAACTCCTGATTTTCAGATCAATTTCTCTAAAATCGTATCATTTGAAAATCCGTGATTAAATTCAGAAATTCGGTAAATCATGAATGAAAAATTTCGAATTTCCAAACGTGACTTTTTTTCAGGGTTTAGAATATCATTATTATTATTATCGGTTCAAAATGTCAATTTCCAATTCAGGTTTTCTCTTTTACATTTTCACCACCTCCCACCAATTCTTCACCGCCCTCATATTTTCTCATGTTTCGCTTCCTTCTCAAAACACCCCAGAGACATTCCGATCAATACTTTTTTCAACAAAGTTTCTCCATTTTCAGCCCACCGGCCCCCAACCGGTTCTATCTTATCATAATCTACAGTATCCTAAACGTTTTTCTTTTTTTTCAGCCAAAGATTTTATCGGTTTCCATATTTTTTGCATTCTGGGTGGTCCTATTTCTTCTCTATTTTCTTTTTTTTCATTTTCATCATCATTCATTCATTAATTTTCTTTCAATTTATATTAGATACAGTATTTTTTTGCGAAAAAAATATCTTATCAATTCTTCCATTTCTATACCTACCTTTTCTACCTACCTATCTACAGTATCCTTTTTAATGTTGATAAGATTGTGGTCTTTTGCAGATCGAGACGTTTCAACAAGTAATTAATTTATTAGTTAAGTAATTAATTAATTAATTAATAGATTCTCGATGAGTATGTATCCCGGTTGGGCGAATGAGGAATCTTATTGGCCAGCGGCTGCCGCAAATCCGCAACAAATTGCGTCGAATTCTTCAACAACTTCATCGAATTCCAGCTCGACTGCAAATAACTTGAAGGTAATTATTTAAACAAGGGATTTCTATAAGGGAGATAACAGGTTTTAAAAACGACGAATGCTGCAAATGATGCTGAAAAACATGGCTGCAGAGCTACATGCATAATTAAACATAATTTATTTCCAAATTTTCAGCAATCCTACGAACTCTACAATCAATCGTATATGAACAACATGAAAAGTATGTTGGCTGCACAATGGATCGATAATTCGAATCCGTGAGTTTTTGGTTAATTTTTGAAATTAGTTTTCACATTTTTACTGAATTCTTGCATAAAAACAAGATATCACGTGGCAAATTTCCAGAATTTGTTTAGAAACATGTTGGCACTTTGAATAAAAAAAGTTTGCTAAAAATTAATTTTTGAAAATATAAAATTAAATTTACGATAAGCTCGAAAATCTGAAAAATTCCCAATTTTTTTTCGAAAAATATTTTTGAATACAAACAAATAATGTTTATTCATTCATCAACCCGAAATTCGAAAATTAATGCTGAAATTGTGTATAAAAATCCTAATCTTTTATTTGTATAGACATATTTTCCAACCTTATCATTTTTTACAGTTTCACCTACAATCCACTTCAAGCAACTTCAGCCAATTTTGGCGAAACACGTGGCGGATCCTCAATGCCAGCACCACAACCAGTATTTCCCTGGATGAAAATGGGAGGTTAGTTTAGTTTTACACAGTCTAAAAATCGATATTTCACATAATCTTCTTAATTCATTAATAAGAAAAATGTTGGGTAACCTCAATCCTGCCGCTTTTCATTTGAGATTAGATCTGAGAAGTGTGACCTTTTTTTCTTGTTTCACACCTTATGAAAAATATATTTCTCTTCACAAGTCAGTAGAAAAAACAATGAAAAATGTAGAAAATTTTGAGGTTTATGGGATGACAATTTAATGAGTGGGTTCCACGGCGAAAAACGAAGAATTTTGGATTTTCGGGATTTTTTTCGAGGGATGAGAAAAATGGAAAATTGAAAGCTCAGTCCACTTGTTGTTCCTAAAATCGTGGCAAGACCCAAAATTAGAAAAATCGATGTTCCTTTAAATTTGAAATACGAAAAAAATGGAGGCACAATCAGATTTGAGCTATTTTGGTTCTCACGGCGATTTTTTGATCTACAAAAATGCACCCATGTTTCTTTAAATATAATTTTTAAAAAAATTAAAAACGCAGCCATTTTTCATTTTCGTAAAGTATGATTCATTGAATGTCACAAAAAACACAAGAAAAATGAAAATGAGAATTGAAAATCAAAGACGGCTGGTGCACATTTTCGAGACAATCATTTATTTTCTTGTTGGTTTCTTTTCATCTTTACCGCATTTCCCTTCGTTTTGCCTCAATCTCGTCCTTTTTTTTCTTGTTGTTTTTTTTTTGAGGAAGAAGGAGGGAAAGCTGAAATTGTAGTGAAAGAAATTGAAAAAAGATATTTGTAATTAGGATATTCTTTAAATAATTTAAGTTTGTCAAACTCTCAAAATTTTGAGGATATTTTCAAGATCCGGGCCGATGTTTTAAAATACAATTTTTATTTTTTCCCGCTAAAACTCACCGAAAATCATAACTTTGGTCATTTTTGTCACGTGGAATGTTTAATCGATAATTTGTAATCTGAAAATGCTGAAATTTTTGAATATTCTGAATTTTAGAAACTAAAATATGTTTTTTTAGATTTCAAAAAGAAATCGATAATCAAAAAAACTTTCGAACAAATCACCAAAATGTTCCCAGTCCTACCATATTCTTTTTGTCCTTGAAAAATCAATGTTCGACACATTTTCATTCGTTTTTTTTGACAATACAGTTTTTTCTTTTTTTTATCATTGCGAGTTTTTTTCTAAAAAAGTTTGTAAAAAGCACGTGGCAGAAATTTCGCTAAAAATTTAATTTCAATTTTATCTTCAGTATCATTTCACGTAGCAAAAACAGCCTCAAGAGAATCCATAATTTTTAGAATCCCAATTAACTAGATGTTTTTTTGCACCAAACTGTCATCATGTTTATTTATGTTAACACTTGCCGCCTTAGTTTTTGTCTTGTTGTTATTGTTGTAAATAAGAATATGTCTACACAGCTGTTGGATATCTCGCTTGCGCGCAATGTTCCTTTAATCTTATGATTTACGGTAATCAGAATGTTGTGACAGATAGAGGGAATAGGCAGGAAAAAAGAAAGGATTAGAGGGTCAAGTTTTGTCTGTTGGGTGCGAGGATTATGTTGCACCTTTTTGTTAGAAGAAGGGGGAACATTTTTGGAGAAAGCTGATTTTTAATTTGAGATTTCAAAATTTTCATATCACTTTCTCAAGTTCAGTTTTGAATTTTTTAAATCTGAAAACGTGAAAAGTTTTTAGTTGTTTTAATTGAATATAAAATTAATGTATTCAAATTCTAATACTTGAAACTCTGTAACAGAAGTCAGAAATTATATTTTGAATTTTTGAAAATTTCAACTTTATGAAAAATTCAGAAATATATTTTTTAATTAGAAAAATTTTCAATTAAGGGTTCAACGCCATTCTTGTTATGTCACTTACAAATTTTTATCCATCCAATTCTCCCCCAACCTAAAAAATCAATAATTTTCCCCATCCTTGTTTCTCTCTCAGTTTCACTCACTCTATCATTCTACAGTAATCTTCTTTGTTTCCTGTTTCGCGTTTCTGTGGAAATCGATTCATTTTGTTTCAAAAATACATCTGCGCATTTTTGAAAATTGTAATTTTTCTACAGTAACCTCCTAGTTCACGGTTAGTTTTCCGAATTTGAAATTTTGAAATTAATTCAGTTTCTGTATGTTTTTCTAAAAATATAAAAGTTGAGTCTGCCTAGAATCGAAGATTACTGTACTTTTGAAATATGGAAGCTCTGGATTACTGTAGTTATTCCATAATCTAGAAGTATGGTTACTGTAGTACTTTAACATTGAACAATGATCCTAGAAAGATTCTAGATTACCAAAATTTCTTTCAGTTTTTTGCAAAAACATTATCAAATTAATAATAACAATAACAATAAAATCAAATAAAATATCAAAAAGTTGAGGCGAAGAAATCATAAATAAATCTTCGAATCGCGGTATGATGAAAGTAATCGTATTTCATTTCATATCGCAAAAAGGAGAACAGTTGTTCCCTTTTTCTCTCTACCGTAATCCTCTTCTTCTTATTCTTTTTCTCACAAAATATGTATCATGATGTACTCTACTAATTGGATGAGTGTGAAAATGAGGAGGGAAAAAGATAAATTGAAAAAATTGTGTTGGAAATGAATTGGGGGATAAAGATAATGATTTCGGGGAGGTCTGATTCGGTGCGAAATGTATCGAAACGAAATTAGAGACGCAGAGGTATACCGTACTTGAGAAAGCAGGTTTTGAATTTTTAAGTTCAAAAATTATAAATGCTTTGAAATTATATGAAGAACATTTTTGAAATTAGTTATGACGTGGAAAAATCGATATTTTCAAAATTTTAATCCGCCATTTTGACAAGTTTTCAAGTTTTCAAAATGTCACAAACTTATATACCTCCTAAAAATCTCAATATTTTATTGATCCACATTTTTTTCCTATTTTATTTCGAATTTGTGATTTATTATTTGTGTTTCTGTTTGGCAGAAACAGCAACCTGCCAAGTCATAAATCTACACAACATCCACATTTACATCTATGTATATGTCTCTTTTTATTCGAATTATATAGGGACCGCAATATAAAGGAACCCTTCATTTTCCACAATGAACTTTTTCAAGAATTTAATTTCAAATTTTCTAGGATCTGGAACAAAAGGCGGTGAATCGAAGCGAACTCGACAAACCTACTCGAGGAGTCAAACATTGGAACTCGAGAAAGAATTTCACTACCACAAATATTTGACAAGAAAACGAAGGCAGGAAATATCGGAAAGTCTTCATTTGACAGAAAGACAGGTAAATCATTTGGGAAATTTGAAAGCTCTGAAAATATGTTGAAACGCCGTGTAGTGGGCTACGCTTCAAATTTCTACGCAGTGCGCTCACAGGTTTGAGCTTGTAAAATTTGCAATTTGGAATTCAACACATTTTTAAACAAAAAATTGAAATATCAGAAATATTCAATAAATGAGTCATCCAATCCATAATTTTTATCTCATCCTAAAAATCTCCGCAAACTTTTTCTTCATCTAAAAAGTCATAATTCATTCTGTCTCTCTTTTTCTTAAAAATACCACCCATATTAGTTTTTTCTCCGTTTTTCTACGTCTTCCTTTTCTCTCGATGTTTTTTTGAGGACCTCAAAAGGCGCCGCGATTCTTTTGGCGGCTCCTTTCAAGTTCGATTCCGCCAAAAACTTGAAAAGGAGACCTCCCCAACATGTGTTTTTTCTCGTCTCTTCGCTTTTTGTTAAGACACACACACACAACATATTTTTGCAATTTTTTTGAATTTCGAGAAAAAAAACGAGATAATTTATTATTGTTTCGGTTTGAGGAGGAGAAACAATATGGATTTTTTGAGATGAAGTGGGGGTTTATTTTTTGAAATTTATCTTATTAGTTCTAGGTGCAGTATGTTCCTTATAGTTTTCCATTTTTTATGGACCAAAAGAAAAGTGACACGTGGTTAAAATTAACTCTTGAATCTTCAGAAGGGATTTCTAAAGCTAGAAAAAAATCTTGAAATTGAGATATCGAAAATTTCGTGAGAAAAACATTGAATAAAATAAATGAACTTTCCAGGTAAAAATCTGGTTTCAAAATCGACGAATGAAGCACAAAAAAGAGGCAAAAGGTGAAGGTGGAAATGATTCGGATGAGGAATCAACTCAAGACGATCACTCTTCATAAAATCTTTTTTTTTCGGTTTTTCTGTTAACATTTTCAGCTTTTATCTCTCTCTCTCTTTTAGTCGGTGATTTTCCAATTTTTCCCATTTTCAAAATGTTTTCATTTTCTCTTCCTTTTTAATTTCCTTTCTCACGGGTTTTCCGTTTTTTTCATTTTTTCCTGTTTTTTGCCTGTCAACTTTGATTTTATTGGAAATTCCAGAACTTTTGGGGTTTTTGATCTCTTATGTATTTTATTTTTCCTTTTGGAACATATCCAAAAATTTGTCGCTTTTTTCTATGTTTTTTTCGTTCTATGATGATTTTTGGATAAAGTTGAAACTTCTCTTGAACATTTGAATGAAACGTGATCTAGAGAAACGTGAAATTAAAAACATTGCAGATTTTTTTTAGAACTCCGTCATTTCCTGATTTAATTATTGTGATAAATAAAAGTGGCGTAAAATAAAATTCAAAAAATTATATCGTTGAAAAACATGGAGTGAGTTTTTATTTACGAAATTTGGAGTGAAAGAGGTTCTTTGAAGAAAAAAGGTCCCGATTCCAGTTTTTTCAAAAGTTTGAGAATTTTCATAATTATTTTTTTGATCAGATGTCTAAGCAACAGTTGAAATAATTTTTTCAAAATTTCAATTTAAGGGTAAACTTATTGAAAATTTTTTCTGAGACGTGGAATGGACGTGGAATATTTTTGACCAAAAAAATGAAATTCCACCTGACAAAATTCTGAATATAAAATTTTTAGCGGCCAAATGAAATTCCACGTGTCTAAAATTGTGACCCCAAGTTTACGTGTTAACCTAAAATTGGAAAGGCTGTGACCTTTTTGAGGCTGCTCCAAATCTTGGCATTCTTTAATTCAAATTCTGTCAGTCAATTGTATCGTTTCAAAAAAACATGAAGTGAGTTAGGATGGAGATTGCACTGTAACCCCTTAACCTTCCTCACCCTAATTACCTTTTTTCAAGAAACAAGAAATCTTCATCTGAACCACCAAATTTACAAAATCAAAGTGGTCCGCTTCCTGAATCACCTGCTCCAGCCTCAGCAGCAACTCAAGTCTCAACGCAAGCTTTAACTGAAGCTCCGACTCAAGCTTCAGTTTCTGCTCAGCCACCAACACCAACCTCAACCAAGGCTCCGACACCCGAAAATGCAAATCCCAAAGAACCACCATCTCCATGTCCTGGTGCAATTGTTGTAGTTGAACGAAAACAACAACGTCAGGTTGTTATGAGTATCGGGCCGAAAAATGCGCCAAGTTTTGGACCTTATGATGAATTTTGTCCGGTTTGTAGTGTGAGTTTGTGAAATTAAGAATCATTGAAGAAACAAAGAAAAAATCTAAGAATCAAAAAAATTTTGTGAATTTTCCGATTCGTAAAATTTCGAATTTTTAATTTTCTGACAAATTTTTACATTCATAAAACTTACACAAACCATTATTTTTTGTTTCAGAAAATTGTCCAAACTCATGTCGAATACAAAATGGGAGCGTGCGCAATTTTATGCCTAATTTTTTGTCTTTTCTTCTTTTGGTTAATTATTCCAATTATATTTTTGTGTTGTTGTTTTTGTATTCGTGATAGTTATCATTATTGTCCAAAATGTAGAACTCTCCTTTCTGTTAAAAAACAATGTTGATTGTGAGTTAATTTTGGAAATAAACTTGTTTTTCGCATTTTGTTGACAAATTCGAAACTAAAAACTACATTTTTAAGCGTGAAAAACTTCACGTGGATTTAATCATTTCGAAATTTCTCTCTAAAATTTCTCATCGAAAAATGACCGAAGCTTCGTAAGTTTTCCAGAATCCCAAAAAAGTATGACCAAGATTTTTAAGGGTTGAATTGGGAAAAATAAATGAGAAGCCAGAATCAAAATCAAAACCAAATGAAGAACCGCAAACTAGAAATATTGACAAATATTTGAGATTTTATTGTGAAAAATGTGAGGTTAGTTAGTTGAAATGCCACATGGCTAAATTTTTAATCCGAAAGTCTTTAACTAATCCACGTGGAACAATTTCATCACACAATGAATTTCCACTTGGTGAAGTCTTGAATAAAAAATTACATAGATCAATTTATAAAAATTTTCAGAAAATGTCGCCAATCAAAAAAATCTACATTTTTGGTCCGCTCTCAATAACTCTTCTCATCCTCGGACTTTTTCTAATTATCCCTTTTTTAATTGTTTTATTTGTTCCCCAAGTTCGAAAAATACAGTATTGTTGTTATAGATGTAATAATAAATCTGATCGCCGAATTTTGAAAAAACCATAATTTATATATTTACGTGATCTATTTATTTTTGTTAAATAAAATTGTCATTTTTAAATTTTTATTCATTTCTAAAATTTCTATAATTTGTTTCTTCAGTAATAAATTCATGAAAAATTCCTTACAAATATTGAAATTTCAATAAAATATGCAGTGAGTTTAGTAAACATTTAGAACACTCGGAAAAATTACAATTAATTTCAGGTCTTCAACTTCGGGATCATCAAAAATCACATCAAAACTTGAGAAAAGTAAAATAATTAAGATTGATAGAAGAAGTCGGATAAATGGTGTGAAAGTTGCAAAATATTCAAAATCATATGTGGAATATTGCCCGGATTGTGAGGTTTGTTCAGAAAAATGTGCCTTGAAATTGCAAAAAAAAAATGGGTGGGAGGTTAATGAATGGCGAAACTCACTGTATGGCTTGAAAATTCCATGTTGTTTTGAAATTTTGGGTCTCATCACCGCTTTTTTCTCAATATTCAATCAATTCAATATTTTTTAGTCCTATGTCGAAACCTTCGTCGAACATCAAATGGGAGCATGTGCAATTATAACTCTTCTAATTAGTTTATTATTAATTATCCCAATTTTCTTCTTTTGTTGTTGTATTTGTATTCGAGATAGCTATCATCATTGTCCCGAATGTCGAAAACTTTTAGCAGTTCGAAAAATGATATAATTTACAGAATTTGATAAAAATAAAATTGTCAAACGTGAACCTTTTTATTATTTATTAATTTTCAGGATAAATTCATTTCTTAAAATAAAAAAATGACCGAGTGGGTTTTTTTTTCGAAATTTTTGGAAAAAAATTAAAATATTACTGTAATTTATAGCGCTGAAAAACAGAAAGAACTCGAGAAACATTTGAAAGTTACGACAAATCGAGAATCTTATGAAGAATACTGTCCGGAATGTAAGGTGAGTTGAGTTTGAGCGTCTATGAATGAATTAGGTCAGAATCTTGATCTCATTTTGAATCGGGACAGGTCCCATCAATATTCTGGGTACATAGATCATTTCAGAAGAGGATTTGTTTCAGATTTTTCTAGAAAAAAATATCCTGCTTTGAAATTAATCTGGTCTAATTGAAATGATTTATTTTCAGAAAAAGTGTCAAACATGGGTTCAATATCAATTAGGAAATTGTGCGATCACAATTCTAATTCTAAGTCTCGTTTTTTGGTTTCCAATTTTTTGTTTTTGTTGCTGCTCGAAAATCAAAGATGTTGCTCATTATTGTCCGAATTGTCGAACATTTTTGACTATCAAACCCGGAAGCTTATTTTAATGAACATTTGTTTCGTTTCTAAATAACTGTAACTAAAAATTGAAAGAATTTTAGGGTCAATTTAAAAAAAAATAATTTTCTTAATTATTTTTGACGTGGCCTGACTTATGACCTAACGTTTTCTTTTATCTTGATCAAAAGTTGATATAAAATCTAGATTCCAGAGTATTTTCCCCTATATTTCCTATCTTTTCTGTATTTCTATTCATGCTGAATTCATTTCGATTATTCAAAATCCTTATCAAAAAAGAAGACAAGAAAAAGTACAGTATGATGATTTTTTGATATTTTCTTGGAATAAATTGTTTTCACTATTAGAAAACATGTTGACGTTTGATGTTTCCAAATATGATTCATCATATTTTTTGGCTATACAAAACTCGAATGATAAGATGGTTAAATAAAGAAACACATTAAAAAAGGGGCGAATAAATACATTTCAAAACTTTCATCACACCTTATTTTTCTTCACCTCAAAAGGAAATGCATAAAATTGGAGCTATTGGTATTTTGATAATTCTTGGATTTATTCTTGATACAATTGCTGTTTTTACAACTGGATGGATTGAAGTTAGCGTAGTTGCTATCAAGAATTATTATTATGGGATTAGTCCATTTCAAAGTGGTTCGAAACCGACTTGGTTCAATGTTGCTAGTTGGCTCATGTTTATTTCGTTTATCTTAGCTTTGGTTCAGATATTGGCATTTTTACATGCTTTGTGAGTTTTGGGCTTTATGATTATGGGTGAGACTAGTGAAAATAACTTGTTAGTTTAACAAGGAAAGGTTTTCAATGTTCCCCCAAGGGAAAAATCGAGAGTATGTGGAATGTTGAGGGTTCCCGTGGGTAGGAAAACCCCTAACGGGAATAAGGAGAAAAATGCCTTGTTTTAGAAAATTTTGGTGTTATTGATTTTTGCGATAAAATTTTTTAGAAAAATCGAAACTTTTTTCAAAATTGATGAAAAATGTCGGTCTAAAAATCCATTTGTAGCGCAAACGGCGTACTTTAGTATTACTTCGACTAAAATTAGGAATAAAATAATTTTGGTCCTAAAAGTCCACTAAATCAAAAATCCAGTTCGAAAAATTCATAGAAAATCAACGTTTTCGTTGTGAAGGAGAAGTTTGTGTGAATCGAGACTATGATTTTTGGATTCTACGGACCAAATTACGTCTGTTGACCGTCATAAATTTTTCAAGTTCCGTTCATTTGAAAATGGAAAAAATTATTTTTTGTGTTTTTTGGTGACCATTTGATCAGAAAAACCCCGACTAAAGAAACCAAATTTCAAGAAATGTCTAATTTTTTGATAAAAAGTTTCACAAACACGTAATCGACCATTCTGAACAACTTCCACGACTCAAAAGTTCATGAAATAGATTCAAAATCGAGTTACAGATGCTCTAAAAATCAAAAAATGGTGTAAAAATCGACCTAAAATACATTTTTTCTCGAGAATAAGGCATTTTTCTCCTTATTCCCGTTAGGTTTTTCTTACCCACGGGAACCCTAAACATTCCACATACTCTCGATTTTTTCCTTGGGGGAACATTGAAAACCATTCCTTGTAAGTTCAAAAGTTCACACCTTTTCCCGCCATGTTTCTATCAGGTTTGCATAAATTTTTTGCAGAAGTCGAATTCGTAATTGTGGATGTTCTCATTCAATTCGTCACTCGTTCAATTTGATAACTTCAATTTCTGCAATTATATCTATTTTTATATTCGTCGCATTTATTTTGACAGCGGCTAATTTGAAAAGTTTTTTAGGATATGCAGATGCAAGTGTAAGTTAGAGAGAGCTTAACACGACCTTTTAAAGCGCAGGGTACGATTTTAAAAGATATATCATTTCAGCTTGGATATTCCTCATTTATCGCGCTGGCAGCTGCTATACTTATTATAATTGCTGGTGGTTTGTCACAACATGTACGACATTTTGATTGTTGTTAGCAATTCTTCTTATTCTGTATATAAATTTCATCTAAATTGTTTTGCATAAATAAATAAATAAAATAAATCTGACCAGTTAGCCGGAAAAAACAACGGCGGGAGAAAATTATTTCGAAAAAATTTTAATTCGACTGGTTCTTTTCTTATTTCCTCACTCACTCACTCGCATTATTATATTGTTTATTTTTTTATTTTTTTAGTTCATACAAGATATTTTGTGTCCTTCAAAATGCATCGGTTTTGCTGACTGTTGCGATTATTCTTTTTTTGAAATTGGAAAGGTTTTTATTTTGAGTGCAAGAAACCTTTTAAAGTTTATAGCCAAAGGTTTCGAAATAGCTTTCAGAATTTTATTTTTTTTTTGAATCTTTATGATTTTTCCAAAATAAAAAAAGTTTTCACGAAATGTGGGATTTCTTTTTACGTTAATTAGAGTTTTGCAAGAGAAGAGTGGACTATTTTTTAAAATCAAGCCTCAATTTTTTAAACTAGATTCCGAATTCAAACTTGAATCATAAAAAAAATGAAACAAGTTCTATAAATTCACGGAACTCAGAATTTCGGCTTGAAAACTTTTTGAATTATTTTATTTCTGAACAAAAATCCACACCCTATTGAAAAGTACGTGGATTAATTTTTCCGGAATTTCAAAAACGACAAAAATCACCGCTATTTTTTTACTAAATATTTCATTTTCTCACATTTCATTCATTCCCATATAATGTGTTCTTTTCTAACGCAGACACAGCAAAGTCTGTCTGCGCACAAAAAAAAGAACAAAAAACTAGAATGTAAAATGAAACGATCAGCGGCAAATAAATACAAAATACCTGCCAATTTCCATAATTCGCGCTTCTCCTCAACTTTTCTCATTTTTCTTGTCAGGCAAAAAAAAATGTTTCAACGCATTTATTTTCACAGCGACAATAAAAAATCGCAAAAATCAACACAAGTTGTGCAAATAAATACAAATACTTTTTTCATGTGCATTTTTTGATGACGCAACATTTTTTTTTCTGAAATTTGAGAAATAATGAAATATGTTTTATTGGTTTTTTCAGGTCAGCTATTTTCAACCCAACCTCAACCTTAACACAAATTTCAAATGCAAAAGGAAAAAGATAAAAATGAAGGTTAGTTGTTATCATTTCTAAATAAATTTTTTCGCCTTATTTTTTGTAAACACATTTGTTGTGAGTCGTTAGTGAAATAAAAAAAATCAAATCGGGGCGTGGCCTAAGTTGCAACCGCCGCACACTTTTTTGTAACATAAATATTAGGGCTAATTCTCATTGGAGCGATTTATCCTTTTCAAAACATATTTCGAATTTGATCTCACTTTCAAAAATTTTCCAAGTTCAGAGGGCGTGGCTTAATTCAAACTTTTAAATAAAACTACTTTCTCGGCAAGTTCTCATTAGAGCAAATTCGCCACCTTCTAATTTATTTTCTTTCTCTAGATATGTTTTGTTTCAAAAAGTCAATCACGAAAACAAACTAATAATTATTATTTTATCCACCCGCAATTTAGTTCATTCTCTGCGTCTCTCTTAAATCCATACTCTCTCATTGTCCAAGGTCTCGTTTTTACTCGCCAGAAATTACCATGATCAGTTCTCAGGAAGAGAGAAAAAAAGAAGAAAAGTCAAATTTGTTTACTGAATTATTTTCTTTCCTATTTTTATTTATCTGTATTTATTATCAGCCAGATTTCAGAATATTCTAGATGAAAATATCGATTTTTAATTAATGGTTTTTGTGTCCCAAGAAATTTAATAATAGTAAAATTGAAAAAAAACAGAGGACATATTTAGGTCAAGACATTTTCCCCTTCAATCCATCCTTTTTAGTGGTTTTTTTTGGCTGGCGAATCGCCAGCAAAAAACTCTCATGCTGTTTTCGATTTGTATTTGTTTAATAGGATCAAAAATGATCAATTTAGTATGAATATTTCTATTTTGATCTTTAAAATTATATTTTTTCTAGTTCAGAAAAAAGTTATGCCGTGTAAAACTGGTCTAGATTTTCAATAATATTTTTCACAATTTAGAAATTTAATCAATCTTTGATTAAAAAATGTTTTATTCTGATTCCGTTAAAATTCAAACTCCAAGATCGGGAAATTTTTGTCAATTTGGTTTGAAAAATGTTCAAATTGAAATTATTCAAAAATCCCTACTCTAGGAAATTAAAGTTTTCAGTAAAAAAAATTAAATTTTGAAATAAAAAAATTTTTCACTATTTTACAGTGTGTGTTTTATGAAAATAACTCTGAATTTTTTCAAATAAAAAAAGTCAGAACTTTTGGGAAGTCAATTTGATTGGGAACGTTGAAACCAGCATTTTCCCGAAATTGAACAATTTCTTGAGTTCAATGTATCCAAAAATTAAATAAAAATCTTATGGGATCTTCAATTTTGTACTAAAAAAAATGTGAAAGAAATTTAAAAAGTTCCAAATTTTTGCGCAAATTTGAATTTCTAATTTTTCGTTAATTTTTTTTTTCGGAGATTGAGAAACCCATATTCATTACAAATCTCTTTTAATTATCCCTAAAATACTATATTCTTCTTCTTCATTTTCCTTATATTTTCCCCCGTCCATCAGGTAAAATGTAATCAAGAATTAATCAATCAGTCGTCTTCTTATTCTTTTCTTCTCTAATGGAGAATCAAAAAATAAAGGCAAAAAAAAAAGAAAACAGTTTGGGCGTATCTTCTTCTTCTTCTTCTCTTTATTTTTCTTGATTTTGTTGTCTTTTTTTGGAGACACGCCCTTATTGTATTTGGACGTGTCGCAAAACAACACAAAAATTACGAAACGAAAAAAGTTGGGCGAAAATGATGATGATTAGGTTGAGGGGGAAGAAGATGAGAGAATGGTATCAGGCCAATCATCAATTTCTATCTTTTCAAATATGTTTTCTTCTTTTTTTGTCTGGTTATTGTTTATTGCGGTTTTTCTGAAATTTTTTCTTGGAGGAACTTATGAGATCTTTAAAGTTATAAATACGTAGAGCGGAAATTTCACTCAAAATAATGTGTTCTAATATTTTTTGAATCTATTAATTCAGCCCAGTTGAATTCTAAACATGAGTATTGTCGTGGCAAAGTTAAACTTGTTTTCTTCTTTTTTTAGAAACTAGATTTTGATGAGTGAGCCTAACTTTTGCGCTTTTTCATAATTTTCATATATTTTTCAAATTTTACAGAATTTTTTATCGATTTTTTCAATTTTTCCGAAATCCCTCCCCAGAAAACTCACCAATCGCTTCTATTTCTCAAATTTCGTCAAATTCCCATCGCATATCGCTTCAAATTCAATCAATAATCATTCTCCTCACATTTAAAATAATTTTTGACCCTGAAAACTCAAAAATTTCAATCGAAACAGTGTTTCTCTAGAAAAAACCCACCTTTTTTCAATAATCCTCGGATTTTCCGTTGGAATCGATAATTCCAGCCTTGTACAACATCTAAATATTCAATTTTCGACTGAAATTCACAGATTTTTTCCGGAATCCTGAAAACCCAGCGAAATTTACGATAAATAGCGAGAAACGCGAAAAAAAAAGAAAAATGAAAATATTCTCGTGTTGCGCTAAACAGCGGGCAAGCGGAGTGTCGTTGTAAAAGTCAATAAATTCAAAAAATTTTCTATTTTTGTGTTGAAAATATGTATTCAAGTTTTCTTTTTTGATTTTTTCTCTAATTTTTTGATCTTTTTTTTCGATTCAACAAGTTTCAAGCTTAGATGAGTTATGACGTGGCCGAATATTTAAAAAAAAAACTCAAATTTTATTGGATCAAGTAATTTTAAAAATTGTAATTTTTTTAGTTTTGGAATTTTTTCAGAAAAAAAAATGCAAAGACAGCTTTCAACTTTCTAAAAGTTATTATTCAAATGATTAATTTTTAAAAATAAAACTATGAAACCCCAATTCTGAACAAGAATTCCACGCTTCTGTGTCTAGCCACAAATTCTATTGTTTTACTGAATAAACAGACAAGGTTACACACCGATCGAAAATCAAACTGTACTCAATAAATCGAGAGTTGTGATTTGTTGTGCAACCCTGGCAAAATTTTATGCTCTAGAAGAAGTGTGCCAGGGTTGCAAAAATTTCGCATTTTTATAAATACAGTAGCTCAGAGTTCGAAATTTTTACACACTGTGAGACGCCGATCAAAAATCAAACTTTACCCAAAAAAATAGGGTGTGTCAGTGTTTTCCCCATATTTTTCTTCATTTCATTTCAAAAAATAAGTTTGGTTTCCCATGCAATACATATTTTTCTGTTTTGTTTTGTATCTATCTCTTTTCCCTGTACTAATTGCGCAATTACACCACATTTTATAGGATTTTTCTTTTGCCCGCATTTTTCTAGTTGTTTTTTTCTCTCTTCCAATTTTCCATTTCCATTTCCATTTTCCCGATTCCTTTTGTTACTTTGTATGACTCATGTTAAAGAAATTGTATTCTTATTATACCATGTTTCTTAAAAGTTGCCATTTTCTTGAAACATTTCGTAACTTTTCTCCTTTTTTGCCGAGCTCCTAGGAAAAACCTGTACATTTTTTGGCATGGTTTTTGGAGGGAAAACTTTTGCCTGCCGCCCTTCACAATGCCTAAATACAAACACAAATATACGAAATTCTTGCATGTTGCGCTAAGTGAAATATCGTATGAAATTGAGAGAGTTCAAAGAAATAGGTATTCATGAAAAGTCACTTTTTGTGGAGGAAAAAAGAATGATTAACACTTTTGCCCTAACTTGTTTGCCAGGTTTTTGGCTAAACTTTTGAAATGAATTTTTTTTCCAAATATTTTGATTTTGGAAAAAAATCCGAGTTTCTATTTCTATTTTTGGTTAAATTTTGATAAGTTTTTTTTCGTAATGTATTTTTTCTCTTGAGAAATATTTGCTTCGGTTAAAAAAGTTGTCTGAAAAAATCTGAAATTTCTTCTAAAATATCATCTCCTACTCAAGTAGTTTACCAGCCCGAAAACTTTAGACCTCAAATTTTTTTTGAAACTATTTTTCTGGTAGATCAAATATTGTTTGCGGGAATTTTTGGACAATAAAAACACACGTTGTGATTTTCCAAGCCCCTTGAAAATGCCAATAATTTTTGAAAAAAAATCCAATTTTTTCCAATAAATAAAATGTATTGTTCGATTTTTTCTATGTAAAAATAAAAAAAAATGTTCCAGTCTTTTTGATGTAAACAAATATTTAATTAATTTTGTCGAGTTCATCCAACCGCCTCTTCAAAAAATCAACCTGTTCAAAAAGTTCTTGATATTAGTTTATATATTTTGTTTAGAAATTATCACTAATCACAATCAATTATAATTCAAATCGTTTTTTGATTGTCTTTCTTCCTCTCTCACTCACTCACTCTTCTTCCCGTCTCACTTTTTTCTTATGGGTTTTGATTTGATTGAAAACCAGAATTTATCACTTTTACACTAATTTATATAATATTTTGTCGTTTTTTACAGCCGTTGCCACCACAAGTGTCGAAGTTTTCATTCGCCCGCTTGAAGTTACTGTACCCGCTGATTTTATCTATACAACAACTTCAACAACACCCGCCGCGCCTGCTTCTGAGAATCCAGGTACGGTGTTTTTTTTGAGCGGGAAAGTTTGATGCTCGAATTTTGAAAATTATTTTTGTAGAATTTTTTGAGAACAAACTTTTTAAAGGATTTTTTCTGATGAAAAATATTTGATACTGTCTTTTTTTGTTTGTGAGGTAATTAAAAATGAAAATTTTTGAATTTTGAAAAATTAATTTTTGCGTGAAATTTTTCACACGTGTGAAATGTTCTTTCTTTCATTTTTTTTGAAAATTTCAGTTATTTATGATTTTGAATCTTTTGCAAAAACGTTTTTTCGTTGAAAAATTGTGAGTTGAAATAATTTTTGGGTGTGAATTTTGAATTTTAAAAAATTTTTGGGAAATTAATATTTTTTGAACAATTCGAAATTTCTCTTATTTTCCCAAGTTTTCCAAATCCCCCTCACAAATACCCATTTTTCTAGATCAACCGCGTACATTTTGGTCAACAATGACATCTCGAATTGAAACAGAAACATCAATCAAAAGATGGTCAATTCCGCCAGTGACAACTGTTGAAGGAAATCCACCAGGACCGGTTAGTAGCATTTTTTGACTTTTTTGGGGGAAAATAATACCTATTCAACTTATTTTCAAGTGATTTAAAAACATTGCCTAGAGTAGGTTGCTCTATTCTGACTAAATTTTAGACGAGCGTGATTCTGAAAGCCCACTCGGAAAAAATTCCCTGTCTGTCAAATAGAAAAATAGTTTTTATGGGTTGGGTTGGTTTTGGTTGCATAATATATTTTTATTTTATTTCATTTCAAAAAAATGGCCACACCTTTTGATATCAACCACACCCTTTTACCCTTTTTTCGAGATTTTTTAACTTTGAATAACTTTTTTTTGGTCAACCTGTTTTTTCCTGAATAGAGTAGAGTAACTACAATTTTCAGTCAGAAAATTTGAATTTCAGAAAATTCATTTCAGTGTTTTGAAAAATTCGTGAGTTAGCCTAACTCAATTTGCAAAAATTTTTTCTCAACCAGTTTTTTTTCCTGAATTTACTCCTCTACACCAATTTTCCTTTTTTTCCGTCCAAGTAAAAGTGAAAAAAATAGTATACTAGTGAAAACTGGTATCTTTTTTGTGTTTGTATTTTTTTTCAAAAAAAAAAACATTTTCATTTTTTGTTGAAAATGCAAAAAATTTACCGAAAATTTTCGCATAAAAAACCAGAACCAGAATTTCGCCAAATTTTTTGTCTGATTTTTTTACGAGATTAATTTTTTCGTTATTCAATTCTCATCTCTTCTCTATGACCTAATTCGTTTTTTTCTTCGTGATTTTTGAATTTTTGAAATTCTAGTGAGAACATAAAATGGTGGAAATTGGTGCGAAACCGGCAAAAAGGATATCATCACAACTGCTCGAAAAATTGCGAATTTTTGTAATACAAAAACCCAGCCTAATCTTAAATAATTAATTAATCCTAATTAATTTCAGGAAGATCATCCATCTACAAAACAAGGAAGTGAGCATGAAGGGCGAGTGATTGGAATTACTCCAAATTATAAAATTGGAGAAGGAGTTCCAGTAAGTCTTGGGAAGGGAGACCGGGTCCATTTTTGAAAAAAATTGAAATTAAAAATGTTATTTTCCAGAAACAAGAACTGAATTTGGGAAAATCTGGATTTTTGCCAAATGGAACTGGAGACTACAAAGTCAGCACACTTCAAGAAACCTATAAACAAACATTTATTGATCCAAAGGTAAGTATGAGCAATCTTTATTCAGTAAGGGGGAAAAAGTACATTTGAAAATAAGTGAAGAAAAGCAATTATGTATGTATGTTCATGTTTATGTTTGAAATCATCTAACTGAGTATACCCGAGGTATTGGAATTATATAATTAGAAGCTGACTGTGTTAGAATAATCATTATTATTATTATTGTTATTTGATGATCTCATTCCGTATCCGGATGATTGATCGAATCGAGTTGGGCTTTGACGGCCGCCGAAATATTGTGAGAAGTTATCTGAAAGTTTTTATTTTAATATTTTGTCTTGGTATTGAGATTTAGGAAGTTACCTTTGTTTGATACATTGTTGTTTGAGTCGAATTGGTTTCCTTGTGGTCCGAATGACGATTGTCCATCATCATTTTGTTGTCCTGGGAAACCTCTTTGTTGTGGGCCTTGTTGAGAACCTGGGAATCCTCCTCTTCCACCGCGACCTCCTTGTCCTTGTTGTTGTGGGCCTTGTTGTGGGCCTGGGAAACCTCCTTGACCTTGTTGTTGTGGGCCTTGTTGTGGGCCTGGGAAACCTCCTTGACCTTGTTGTTGTGGCCCTTGTTGTCCTGGGAATCCTCCTTGTTGTGGGCCTGGGAATCCGCCTTGTCGACCCTGTTGTTGTCCTGGGAAACCTCCTTGACCTTGTTGTTGTGGCCCTTGTTGTCCTGGGAATCCTCCTTGTTGTGGGCCTTGTCCACCACGTCCTCCTTGGCCTCCTTGTTGTGGGCCTGGGAATCCGCCTTGTCCACCCTGTTGTTGTCCTGGGAAACCTCCTTGTTGTTGTGGGCCTTGTTGCTGTCCTGGGAATCCACCTTGACCTCCTTGTCCACCTTGTTGTGGTCCAAATTGATCATCTCCGCTTGGGCCTTGTTGAGATCCTGGGAAGCCTCCTTGTTGTTGTGGGCCTTGTTGTGGGCCTGGGAAACCTCCTCTTCCACCTTGACCTCCTTGTCCACCTTGTTGTGGGCCTGGGAAACCTCCTTGTCCACCTTGTTGTGGGCCTGGGAAACCTCCTTGTCCACCTTGTTGTGGGCCTGGGAAACCTCCTCTTCCACCTCTGCCTCCTTGTTGTCCTGGGAATCCTCCTTGTTGTGGGCCTTGTCCACCACGTCCTCCGCGACCTCCTTGTTGTCCATCTTGTTGTGGTCCAAATCCTGGGAAATCGTTTTGAGGTCCGAATTGATCATCTCCGCTTGGTCCTTGTGGGCCTGGGAAGCCTCCTCTTCCACCTCTGCCTCCTTGTGGTCCTGGGAAACCTCCACGTCCACCTGGTCCTTGTTGGCCTTGATCATCTCCGCCTGGCCCTTGTGGTCCTGGGAAACCTCCACGTCCGCCTGGTCCTTGTGGGCCTGGGAAACCTCCACGTCCACCTGGTCCTCGTTGGCCTTGATCATCTCCGCTTGGCCCTTGTGGGCCTGGGAAGCCTTCTCGTCCGCCTGGTCCTTGTGGGCCTGGGTAACCTCCGCGTCCGCCTGGTCCTTGTTGGCCTTGATCATCTCCGCTTGGCCCTTGTTGGGATCCTGGGAATCCACCTCGGCCTCCTGGCCCTTGTTGTCCTGGGAAACCTCCTCTTCCACCTCTGCCTCCTTGTTGTCCATCTTGTTGTGGTCCAAATCCTGGGAAATCGTTTTGAGGTCCGAATTGATCATCTCCGCTTGGCCCTTGTGGGCCTGGGAAACCTCCACGTCCACCTGGTCCTTGTGGGCCTGGGAAACCTCCACGTCCGCCTGGTCCTTGTTGGCCTTGATCATCTCCGCTTGGTCCTTGTGGGCCTGGGAAGCCTCCTCTTCCACCTCTGCCTCCTTGTGGGCCTGGGAAACCTCCACGTCCACCTGGTCCTTGTTGGCCTTGATCATCTCCGCTTGGCCCTTGTGGGCCTGGGAAACCTCCACGTCCGCCTGGTCCTTGTGGGCCTGGGAAACCTCCACGTCCACCTGGTCCTCGTTGGCCTTGATCATCTCCGCTTGGCTCTTGTGGCCCTGGGAAACGTCCACGTCCGCCTGGTCCTTGTGGGCCTGGGAAACCTCCACGTCCACCTGGTCCTTGTTGGCCTTGATCATCTCCGCTTGGCCCTTGTGGGCCTGGGAAACCTCCACGTCCGCCTGGTCCTTGTGGGCCTGGGAAACCTCCACGTCCACCTGGTCCTTGTTGGCCTGGGAAATCTCCACGTCCACCTGGTCCTCGTTGGCCTTGATCATCTCCGCTTGGCCCTTGTGGGCCTGGGAAACGTCCACGTCCGCCTGGTCCTTGTGGGCCTGGGAAACCTCCACGTCCAACTGGTCCTTGTGGGCCTGGGAAATCTCCACGTCCACCTGGTCCTCGTTGGCCTTGATCATCTCCGCTTGGCCCTTGTGGCCCTGGGAAACCTCCACGTCCGCCTGGTCCTTGTGGGCCTGGGAAACCTCCACGTCCAACTGGTCCTTGTGGGCCTGGGAAACCTCCACGTCCACCTGGTCCTCGTTGGCCTTGATCATCTCCGCTTGGCCCTTGTGGCCCTGGGAAACCTCCACGTCCGCCTGGTCCTTGTGGGCCTGGGAAACCTCCACGTCCAACTGGTCCTTGTGGGCCTGGGAAACCTCCACGTCCACCTGGTCCTCGTTGGCCTTGATCATCTCCGCTTGGCCCTTGTGGCCCTGGGAAACCTCCACGTCCGCCTGGTCCTTGTGGGCCTGGGAAACCTCCACGTCCGCCTGGTCCTTGTGGGCCTGGGAAACCTCCACGTCCACCTGGTCCTTGTGGGCCGAATTGATCATCTCCGCTTGGCCCTTGTGGGCCTGGGAAACCTTGGTTTCCGCCTTGAGATTGTGGGCCGAAAGAATCTTGTCCTCTCGATGATTGCGAGTTTTGTTGTTGACTGTTTGAATCATCATAATAGTCATTATTTTGTTGAGCTTGACGAGTTTGACGTGGATAAGAACTCTTGGATGATTGCCATGCTGATCCATAATAATCATTTTGTTGTTGGTTCTGTGATTGAGATCCTAATTGTTGTTGATTGAATCCTTGTTGTCCGAAAGATTGTTGATTTCCTTGTTGACCTCCTTGTTGTGGTCCGAACGATCCTTGGCGCTGATTGTTTCCTGAGAATCCACCTTGGTTTCCACCTTGGGATTGTTGTCCGAAGTCTGGGAAATCGTTTTGTGGTCCGGATTGTTGTTGACCGTTTTGTCCTTGTTGTCCTGGGAATCCTCCTTGACCTCCTTGTTGTGGGCCTGGAAATCCACCTTGACCTCCTTGTTGTGGGCCTGGGAGTCCACCTTGACCTCCTCTTCCTCCTGGCCCTTGTGGTCCTGGGAATCCTCTTCTTCCTCCTGGTCCTTGTGGTCCTGGGAATCCACCTTGTCCACCTGGCCCTTGTGGCCCTGGGAAACCTCCACGTCCTCCTGGCCCTTGTGGTCCTGGGAATCCTCTTCTTCCGCCTGGTCCTTGTGGTCCTGGGAATCCACCTTGTCCACCTGGCCCTTGTGGCCCTGGGAAACCTCCACGTCCTCCTGGCCCCTGTGGGCCGAATTGATCATCTTCACTTGGCCCTTGTGGTCCTGGGAATCCCCCTCTTCCTTGTCCACCTGGGAATCCACCGCGCCGACGTCCACCACGTGGCGAAAATCCTCTTGGTGATCCGAGCATTGAACCCAATTGAGATCCAACTTGTTTGGTGTTATCTTGACGGTAGTTGCGAGCAATGAAGAAAAGAGCACGAACTTCCTGAAGTTAAGTAAGTATTTTTCAAAACTAGTGTGTGAATAGCACCAACCTTTGGATGAAGATCAGATAATTTGCGGATTTGTTCGCCTTGATCACGTCGAGTGATGTTAGTGTTGGAAAGAATAGTCTCAAGTTGACTATAAACATCAGTAATATTTCCAACAACATTTCCAACTCCTTGAGTGACTGCCGCCTTTTCGTCTTGGACTTGTTTTGTCCATTTGTTTAATGAATCCTAGACACGAATATCATTATAGTTGTATTCTATAATTAGAATAAAGAGTAAAAAACTCACTGTAACATTGAAAGCCTTTGCCCAAATAGCAAGTTGAGCATTTTGTTCATCAATAGATAATTGATCATTAGTAATAATATTGAAGAATTCTCTTTGCGCAAAACGTGGAAGTTTGAAGAGAAAATCTGGGACTGGTGGTCCATTACTTTGTTGTTGTTGAGATGGTTGCTCAACTTCTGTTGAAGTTGTGTCTTCAGAAGATTGATCATCTTGTGCAAAAGCACACAAGAAACTTGTGGATAATAGAAGAAGAAGCGAGATTTTAGCAAAATCTCGCATTTTATATGTGTGTGATCTATAAATATAAGAAGTAAAGTTGGGAAATGAAAAAAAAACAATTGAAACATTTTTAAAAATTAGAAAAATGGAAGTTTTAAAAATGTTATTGTGATGATATCAAAGTTCGAAGTGTTCTTATTTTTCCTCTCTCGAAATGGTTTATATACTCTTTGTGCTCATAGTTGATCGAGATGTGTGTGTGCGCGAGCAGAAAAAAAGTGGGCGTGACGGGTTACTTTGGTAAACTTTTGAGAGACAAAAAACAAAAAATACTCTCGCGCATTTTTTTCATTTCCGCGTTTTCTTAGATCGACATCAAATTAGGAAGTGTAAATAATATAGTGTTTGCGCGAGCAAAAAAAAGTTGAAAAAGGTCAGTGTTAAGATGGACTGGTACGACGTGGCAGACTGATAGAACAAGATGAACAATGATGTTAAGTGGTGAATTGATACTACAAACTATTGCTGGGTTGACTCATTGTGTAATTAATTTTATCGGAAGGTTTGATTCAGTAATATGAACGTAGATGTGAAAGTTCAGACTTGGGCAACCGGGTATGCAAGGTCCTGAATAAGGCTGATCAAATATAAACAGTGATTTCGCCTTCGTTCTCTAAGCGCTGTAGAATAAGTTTGTTATCATTAAGTCGAAACCTATAGACTAGGCATTTTCGAAATGTTCTCAACGTGACAGAAAGAGCACAAATTCTCATGTTATGGCCTTATCCGGGAAGCTTCAACAGCACTATCCGATAAATCTCCAGTAACATTTCCTCCCAGTAAGACTGAGTCTAGGACTCGAAGCCAAGACCTCAAAACACCTTAGGGAAGGTAGTCTAGTGGTAGGATCCAGTCGTAAGGGGTAGAAACGATATGTTCATCGGTCATATCCCATGTCCCAAACGTGGCTCCAATCACACTCAAGCAGAAAACATCACCTAGACGCAGAGTGAAATTTCAGATACAGTTTTTCTTTTTTCACAAAATTCCTTGAAATCTTCCTTCAAAATTGGTGAAAAATGCCCATGTTTGGTCCAGATATTTGTAGAGATCAACACCGTCTTTAAGTATATTTACAAAATGTTTTTTTCTTCTCAACACAGTGGTGTCCCTCCCGTCACTATAATAAAAGTCAACAAAAATATATAACCTAACCTATCCAAACTATGAAGAAAATGAAAAACATATGAGCGGCGGGCAAATAGAAACGGATGGGGATATTTGAAAAATAATCAAAAAAAATGTGACTTTTTCCAGGTGATCTCTAATGCGAATATGCCGCACTCTGCGCGAATTCCGGACGCGCGACCCAAAATCGCTGGCGATTTTCCGAGTGAAGCATAGCAAACGCAGTCAAATCAAATTGGAACCATTGGAGCAAAGAAGATTTAGAGTGAGGAGTAGTCTTTACAAACATGGGCAATAAAATCTGAAAATGTGTATATTTTCAGAGCACTGAATCGCGACCAATTTCAACAAGCAATTATTTGACAGAATCTGTTGAGAGACATCGTGATATGGAAGCTTCGAGATTAAAAGATTATTTGAAGGTGAGTCATTGATAACTGATTAGTTTTTTCTGTAACTGATTTAAATCAGTCATGAGCAAAAAATGATGCTGAAGTTTTGTCCTTTTTCTTTCCAAAAATCATTACTTAGCATTCCTAAGTGGTTTTGTTGACATTTCAACTTTTGTTTGGTTTGACCTGTTTAATGTTCATATTTTTTCGTTTCTGGGGGCCTTCGTGATTATCGAATTGCTAGTAGTCATGAAAAATCAGATTTGTTATTCTCACCTGATTGTTAGATTTGCATTTTTCATAGCACTTTATAAACGTTCTCATTGAACTAGAGAAAATCAAATCCCAAACCTAAAGAAAGAACGGAAAAAATAAGAGTGTATGTCAACACCGACTGCCCGCAAACACCAAATCCTACGCGCAACCTTGACGCGAAATACGCGCTGTGTGTTTTCGCGAAGAAATTTCTGGGGATTTTTAAAAATTGGGAACCCCCCCCCCCCCAGATTTTAGAAATGGACACGTTTGAAGTATAACATATGGGAACCCTGAGAATCTCTCCAATGTCGCTTTTCCCTTGGAGAATACTAGTAAATCACAAAATAAAACAAAAAACAATTAATCATTGTCCGAGAGAAGTACAAATAAAGAAACTTTGCTTCGAGACCAAGTAAGGTGTTCTTGTAAAAGTTTTATAAATTTTAAAAGTTGCATTTAAAAAAAGAGGAAAATAATAATTTCATATTTATTGTTCAACTTGAAAAGCTTTATAATTACCCTAACTTGATCATAGTCTTTCTTTATCCCAAAATCTGAATTTCAGGCAAAGGAAAGTGATGCAAATCAACCTTGGAATAAGCCAGGATGGCCAGGACCGAAAAAAGGAGCGAATGATGAAAGTCTCAGAGAGTTGGAAACTATCAAACAGGTAACGGCTTCTGGTTCGGGTTCTTATCTAGGATTTTTTCAGCCAATTTTTAAAATTAAATCCCATTTCATTTTTTTCAGAGAGTTGAAACATTGAAGAGGGTAAGTCGATGCATGTGTGTTTGTGTTGTGTTATTTGTCCCTCCCAATTTTGTCTCGGCTTGTATTGTTTTCATTAATCTTGTCGCATGTCCCTTTAAGGCACCCCCTGGCAGTCACTGACATGTTTTCCTTTCGATTCTTCAAAACCGCGGGTAGTTTTGTAAAGACCGCCTGGTTTTATAGTCAAAGAGTGTTTAGAGAGCGTCGCAATCGATGACTGATTTGAGAGTTCCGACACCGTCGCAATTTGAACAGAGTAATGTGGTGAGTTTGTGGAGAAGAGGGAGTTATGACGTGGAAAAGATGGGTTTTCACTGAATTTTGATTTTTCCCGAAGTTCATTTTGAAAATTTGAGGATTACGAGAGAAATTAGAATTTGAAAATTTTGTATTTTTTTTGCAAAAATTGAAACTGATCCCTAGATATGTTCTCAAAAGGTTTCAAATCATTGTTCAAAAAAAAAAACGATTCTTGGCATAAAAAATTAGGCTTTTGATAACGTAGGCCAATAAATTATTCAAATGTTTCTACAATCAATTCCAACCTTTAACTTCATTTTTTTCTGTTCAGAATGTGCCATCACCAATTTCACCAGGAGAATCAGGCTGGCTGATAAAAATGAGAAAAAATCGATATCTTAATGAAGCGTCAAAATTAACTGACGGACCAAAAAAATACAAATCGATGGATCAATTAAATGTGCCTCCGCCAAAACCCGAGGTAAGTGAGACGCAAAGAAACAAAAAGAAATCTCAACACTTGAACGAATCGTTTTTGTGTGTGTGTGTTGGTTGGTTGTATCTGAAACAGTTTTTCGATCCTCCTTCCAATTTTCACATTATCTCACACTCTCCACATATCACATGCTATTTCAATTAGTTGGCTCTTGACGCAAAGCCGCCGTACGCAAATAAATAGGGGGAGAATTTTTGCGCACGCGAGGGCGTAGAAAAAAAAAGAACAAAATGGATATGATGAGATGAAACTTTTTTCCTTGTGCTCTCTCTGTTTTGTTTTGTTTAGAAGCGATATTCAAATTATGTATCATCGATTTTTTTTTTCGAAATGAATATTAGTATATGATCTCTAAGGTTTCAAAATACCAATCTGCCCACACATTTTTTCTTACCAATACTCACAGGGTTTTCTAATTTCTTGTGCACACATTGTTTGTTTCACTTCGGGTATTTTTTTTTGAAATGAAAAAATTGAAAATCGAAATTCTTCTTTTTTGCAGAGAGAAGATCCAATCCATCGACAACTTCGCAAAGAGTTTCATCTAACTAAATATTCAGTGAGTTTTTGTTTTATGGGATGGTTATAGGGTAGGGTTGGAAAAAAAGTGTATTCGAAATACAAATGATATTTTCTGATTCTAGGTTATAAAAACATTGTTCTGCTACCATGTTTTTTTTCCAAAAATGAGAATGAGAATCTAAAAATCAGTTTTTCAAAAATCACGATAATTTCTAACCTTTTTCTCTCTCTCTCTTTCTCTCATTTTTCAACATGTAAATACATGAATACAAAAATTGAATAGTGATTTGTTGAGTGATAAGTGTGTGCATGCTTCTTCTTCTTCTTGCTCGACCGCCCGCGGTGTTCCTTGACTTATTCCAAATATTATTTATTATTATACATACATGATGTGTATTCACTTCATGTTCTTCTTCTTTTTCTTCATATTTTTAAAAACAAATATACGATTTTTGATTTGATTTGATTTTGAGTTGTTATTTTTCAAAATCTTATTCTTACATTTTACAAAAAAAACCCCAATTGTAACTTTCGAGTTCGAAAAGAGCTTCCTTGGTCCACATTCTTGACAATTCGATTCTCAAGACGTGGCTACTTGAGGGCTATCTAGAACAGGAACATATACTTGACAACTAGGTTTTGTAGGCTCGGCTGCTTTTTATAGGCTTTCAAGGCGCGGTTCTGATGATCTTCAAAAAATGTATTAAGAATTGGAAATTTAGAGCATAATTTATATTTTTAGAATACACAATCTTAGCCGAGATGAGGTCCCAAATTTCTTAATCTCCTTCTTGTCAAAAATAAGTTTCATTTTTTTTTGTTGTAAATCGTGTCAACTACATTCATTCAAAAGCATTTTTCGTATTTATTCAAAGTATTTACGAGTTTTTTGTCCACTGCGAAACACCCCCAATTGTTTCCCTCTGCTTGCTCGCGCGAGAGAAAAATAACTGAGCACAAGAAGAATGTTCAACACATTTTCAAACACTATTTGTTTTCTACTCATTTACTCTGTACTTTCTTTATTATTTTCTTATTTTTTTCTGCTCATTGACCAGATTTATTTTGAATTTTGAATTTTTTTCATACTTTCGCATAGATCAAAATTAAGATATCTTCTGTTGAGAAGCATATTTTTCAAAGCCGAGGAACGGATTTTCAAATTTTCTTTATCTTTGCTGAAAACTATTCTGTCAAAAAATACCAATTAGATAAAATCTAAAAGCTCATTAATGTTTCATGAGTTCATAAGCCCTCAAAATCTGCGCCTCTCTCATTTTCAACTATTTATTTTTTTGTCTCTCCCGCGGTTAGCAGTTCGAGAGTGTGCTGCCTCTTCTGTGCGCACTTTTTTCTCGTTCTTTCGTTCGCCTAACCCGATTTTTTTTGTTGCTTCCCAAATTTATTGACTTTTTCCCAATCCTCACTTTTTCTTGTCTGGCTAATTGTAAGTAATTTCCAATTTGTTAGGACCAAACAAGGGTAGACTGTTAAATGTCCGAGGAAGATCTGATAGAAAGTCTACCCTATTCTTCGGTTCGTCAACTTCGCGCCGAATATTTGGCGAAAGTCGCGTCGACATCCACTCCACCCCAGCAGCCGCCGCGTTTTCGACGTGGAACTGTGTTTGGCACCCGTCCAACTATTTCACTACCATATATTCCAGAAGTTGATGAGGTTTAAAAATATTTTTGTGTAAAAAAATTGGGAGGCGGGGTCAGGCTATGCGCAAGCTTAGCGATTTTAAGTTTAAAAAAAAAGAAACTCCTGTCATACACCTCAAAAATCCATTAATTTCAGGAAAGGCGTGCGTCTTACCACGTGGAGTCTACATCCTCATACACTGCAACATCTTCAATCCAACCGCCAACTCATCCGGCTACAACAATTCCGCCACCGCCGTCCGAGCCACCAATTCCACAAACTCAGCCTCCCCTGCCACCCCCACCTTTGAATGTTCAGATAAAACGTGTAGCTGCTAACCCTCAGCAACCGGAAGATTATCCGGAAAGACTGATGAGCCCGCCGCCAACACATCAACCACGTTCGATTTTGAAAGGCCAACAACAACAACAACAATATTATAGTAGCTCACAACATACCACATCGATAACTGAACAATTAAATCCACAACAAATGCATCCGAGACCTTCAGATCGGCGGACGCCAACACATTTTGAAGATTTATCGGAAGATGAGAAGACTCGGATTATGCAGGAGAATTTGCAAAGACATCGGAATATGCGAAGTGGACCAAATGGGCCACGACCAGCTGTTAGTAATTTCAACGGTCCGTTCTTCCGATTAGAACAAGTTAGCCCAGGACAACAACCTCCGAGGTAAGATCCTATCGAAATAAAACGCTTCTCTCAATCAAAATATTTTAGATCTCAATCAGTAGACCCAACAGTTCAATTCGAACGCCATCAACATTATCAACATCATCATCATCAAGAAGAGAATCTTACAAGGATGCGAGAAATTTCAGCATCAGAGATTGAATTAAATCAGCATAACTTCCAAGATCCATCAGTTGTTGTATGGCCTCCAATTTCGGAAAAAGAGCGGAAACGACCGAATTCTGTATTAGCAAAAAATATTCAAGATCCAGAAAGGATTGCAGAATACCAAAGACAGAAAAGGTTGGAAGCTGAAGCGATGGAAAGAAGAGAACAACAACAAATAATTAGTATGACTAAACAAATTCGGGCTATGGAAATTCAACAACAAAGAATTTATGAGCAAACTCAAGGAGTTGTATCGCCAATTCCAATTATTGATACACATCAATATCCACTCTCACCACCTCAAATTTATGAACCAATTCCTCCTCCGCCTCCTCCACCAATTCATCCACCAATTCATCAACATCAATCATTTGATCCACCAGCCCCTCCCCCGCAAAATGTGCAAATTTTCGAGACTCGTCCAATCTCAGCAATGAGTGATGAACTTGCTCCAATTCCACATTCAAATGGACCATCTTGGAAGAGAACTTATGTTATTGAAAAACCCAAAGATTTGCAGAAAAATGAGATTTTGACATCTGAAGAATTGTTGGAGAAAGATCAATATGATGTGGATTTGTTGAAACGAAGAGAAACATTTGTTGAAAAACCAGATTCACCGCCACAAATTCAAAGAATCGGAAGACGATGGCAACCACCACCAGAGAAACCATATGTTTGGCCAACAAATATGAGAAGAGCAATGTCAGTTGAGCCAAGAGATTTTATCAGTCCTGAAGATGATAGAGATGAATATAAATGGGCGCCAATTGTAGTTGATCCAGGATATAAAAGAGAAGAGAAGAATTTCACCCCAGTCAATAGTCCACCAGCTTCGCCAAGAAGAGGACATGGAACTGGACCATTAGATGAACCAGCAAAACGACAAACACGTCATGTTATTCAACCATCATCTGATGGAAGTCATCGACCGAAAACTGTATTTAAAAAAGAGAGACAAACACCATCTGGTGGATTCTATCCTCATGCACCAAATGCCATAAAAATTGTCAAAAAACGTGCGCAATCAGTTCAAGGTCTTTTGTCGCCTTCTGATCAACAACCACATGTCGAAATTATTCAACAAAGAAATTATCATCGATTGGATTATGAGAATGGCAATCATCAACAACATAAATTACGGCGAACAAATCATGGAGGATCGGAACAAGATTTGAGAGCTGTTCAAGATTTACCAGATTGGGAGAAGATTTATGAACTTCCACCGCATAGTTCACAAATCGTTCATAAGGTAATAAAGTTTTTTAAAAGGTTTTTTTTCAAAAAATACATTTTCATTGTTCAGGAAATGCCACGAAATGTTGATGTTCAACGACGACTTTCGAAATTCGAAGGATCAATACAGAATCTTCGAGCCGCTTCTTCACAACAACAATTAGATGTGAGTTTTGTATAAGGGTCCCCTAGTAAAAAAAAATACCACCATCGCCCCTTTTATCTATCTATGTAGTCGACGAGGTGAGTTTGAATTCTGAGTTTTTTTTTGCTTGACCCTCTCAAAAACCAATCACCTACTCTTTGCTTTTTCGTTTGCTGTGTGATGGTTGAAATTGGTTTAGGTGAATTATCCAACTCCCGACTATGAACATCAACAACGACAGCAAAGACGAAGAACTGATAGTTCGGCTTCATATCGACAACAACAGCCATTGCCCCCACCGCCGCCCCCACTTCCCCCACAACAGGTACGAATCTAGTGTTTGAAAAAAAACTCAATTGAAAATTATATTTTTGCAGATGTCTCGTCGGAATTCTGTAGCTTCAACTCGTATCGAGTCACCAATCCAGCCACACCATCAACATCACAATCATCATCATCACCGTCAATCTCGATCGGATTCTCGAGGAATGTCTCGTGCTGCCTCATCGATTCCGCTATCACCTCAGCCAACACTGACACCTTTTCAACCACATAATCACAATCAACGACCGAGAACACCAGGAGCATCGCGAGCACGGAATTATATTAATCGAGCCACGGCGCCAAGCCCAACACCGTATTCGTATGATCGAGCGAGAGCGTATGTACCGCCTGCATTGCCGCCAGGTTATCGGGTTAGTTTTTTCGCTATCACAATAGATACGAACTGAATTTTTAAATTTCTCTCCAGTTCACGTAAATATTCAAATCGTCTTCCAAATCCTCTTTTTCATTCAAAAAATACATTCAATTTGTTACAGTTAGCTGATCCTCTTCCCGATATGCGTGCAACTTCTCCATCACCTGGACATACTCGAAAAATGATAAGAAATGTGTCAGAATCAGCTCAACGACTTCATCCCTCGTCACCTTCTTCTTCTCATCCACATTCTCATCATAATCCACATCATCAAACTCCCCAATCATCTCGAGCCCCATCTCGACATAGCCCAAATCCAACCAATAGATTTTTGTAGTTCTCGTTAAACTATATATAATATCCTAGGGACCGTTATTATTTAATTTATGTATACTTCTTTTAACTTCCCATATATTTTATTGAAAATGCAATTTGGACAAGAATTATTGGAACATTTTCGAAAGGTTAGTTTGATTATTTAATTTTTAAATCAAAATCAGATTTATCTTCTTCTCCCATTTCAGAAAAAGCCAGGGGGTCCTTTAAGTGTTGCATGTTATTTTTGTGTGGCTTTATGTGTCCGAAATTCCAAATTTTCCTATTCAAATTGTTTTATTTTTCAGGATGCCAACAAACCACCAGCGGTAAGTTTTTTTCAATTTGTAGTACGGTAGTTCGGAGGAGAGGTACTGTAGAAATTCCCAGTTTCTTGTCAGCTTCTCAACTAACCAAAAAATAAAAACCTTTATTTTCTAAAGAATGCTGAATTGGATGAATTATCAAGAAGAGCTGAAGAGTTGCGCCGAAGAGATGGGCGATCGAAATATCGACTTATTGAATCGGATATTGTAAAATCTGGTCCTGAACCATTACCAGCTGGTTTAAAGGTGCATTTGTATAGATTTTTGACAACATTTTTACCCAAAACCTAAATTTTCCCTGTCAAAAATCCCGCTTACTCACCATCAATAACTAACGTTCTAAAATGTTTGAAGGATCAAGTGCGCGATTTGCTCGAATCTCGAAATTCCGTCGAAACGACAACAACAACAAATCGAGGCGATCATGATAAATCGGGATATGTTACGGTAGGAAAAATTTCAAACCGAAAGAAAAAATACAAATTTTTATTAATAATATAGTGTGCAGTGACTAAATCGATAATCCCCACTTTTTTAGAGATTAAAAATATTTCCAAATACTATTTAGTTTCTTTTGAATGTATCGAAAAAACGTAAGAACTTTTTTCTTTGGCTTTTAACTTTTTCCCGCTAATTTGCAGGATGTTTCAACTGCCACGTGGAATTTTTCAACTCTCGATTATTCGCCACGATCAATTGTCAGTATGAATGGTGCGAGAGATGATATTCTCAAGGTTTTTATTTTTCATTTATTTTTTTTTTGTCACTTGAGTTCAGTGTTTACTAACATTGCTTGTTGTTTTTCATTTTTATTTCTGTTTCTAACATGTCAGTAAGTACCTCTTCAATCCGTTCGGCCATCGTACTCATTCAATGAGTTAGCCAATCTGATTTGCCTCCAAATTCGCAGAAGGTCCCACCACTTCGCACAAAGACACCTCCACCAACACCAGCTCCTCCGCCACCAAAACAACCACTCTACTACACATCGACACCAAATTTGCGACGCTCCGAATCCGCGGCGGCTATTATAAAGATTCAGGTTTTTTTATTTGTCGTCCCAGGGGGCGGTGGTGGTAGTAGTTCTTTAGAAAAGCATCGTGTAAATGTGTTTTACATATTTGATGTCCTTGGGAATGGGTCACGGTTGATTTGTTTTTAGGATGATAAACCACGTAGTATCATGAAGCGTCGAGAATTGGAGAGCAGAGAACAATTATTGTATCCAACTATGGATACGCAAGTTGTCAAATCATATGTTCGAAATGCTAGCAAACCAACTGTCACTGAAACTGTTCAACGATTTGAGGAAACTCGGCGAACCGAAGAGGTTTGTAGAGCTTCTCATTTATAATAAAATTTGTATTCGTTAAGGTCGAGCGTCGTGTTCAACGCCGTGAGAAGAAAGAACGTCGCAGTCGTCATCACTCATCCTCTCGTCATCATTCTGGATGGGAAGGTCAAACTGGTGGATATATTGGTAAGTATCATATCACAACTTCTGTCCTGATTCTCACAATTTATGTTTTCGTTATGTCTGGGTTTGGTGATTGGTATTTCAGAACATCGCGGAGGTTCACTTCCACGTCGAACAGTTGTTCGTGAAGCTGATCGTGCAATGACTGAAAGAGAGATGGATCAAGTTGTTCGAGATGCTTACAAAGCGGCGGATGAAGCTCGACGTGACAGTCGTATGTGTTATTTTTGTTGATTTGATTAACTTTGTTCATTGCACTAACACTAAACATGCCTTTCCCCACACAGTTTCCATTTACAAATAATCTTATTCTAGGCAACCGTAGCAGTTCGCTGAGCCGTGGCGGAAACAGCTATTTGCCGGGTGGTCAAGAGACCTACTATCGCCAAGAAACCACACGCCGTCAGCAACACAATAACTACGATGACAACTTCAACCGCGGAATAGCGCATGCGCGTTACGGTTCGTTGTCCGATTCGTTGCGACGTGGCGAATTGAAATATGTGCCAAATGGCGAGTTCCGCGAGAGTTATTATCGTGATGGAACTGGGTCGCGTCAACAAAATCATCATCATCAACAACAACAACAGCAACAACAACAACAAATGCATAAGAGTTATTCGACTCGCGATGTTTTCAACGGTGGACACGAAGCTGATCGTCGTTCAGTTTCTTCATCATACAGACGAGGAAGTCAACAACAAGTTTCACCATTTGTTGAATTTCCACCAACTTTGACAAGGTTTGATTTTTTCGGGAAGAAAAGAGGGATAGCGTTTAGCCGGGGATTAGGCGGGATTCAAACATTTTGGTTCGTAATCTGTTTGAAATAACCTTTCCCTTACTATTTTCTTTGCAATTTTTCAAACCTTTTCATTTTAAGAGGTGGTGATTATCGCGAAGATTCTTACTTCCGTCCAGTCAGCAAATCTCGCAGTTATGCTGATTGGGATGATGCTGGACGTGCTGGTTTCGGACGCGAAGTTCGCAAATATGACGATGATATTAGCCGTTTGGAGGCCGAGTTCCGTGACTCGCTTTTGATGCCAATGCCAAATGGAAATATGTTAGTTTTTTCTCATTTTTTTTCAAATCAAATACCCTGTTATTTTTCAGGAATGAACGTGATCATCGTACCGAACAACTTCCAGGTGGTTATGAAACATATAACAAAGATAGACACGCTAATAGCGGTCGTCGAATTGGTCGTGATGGAAAACCAGTTGATTTCAACGAAGCTAGCCAGGAGTACAACTACAAGCGCGAACAAACATTCGACGATAGACGCAGACGTTAGAAGCAAAGCCTTCCCAAAAACACTACACTTCGTGTCAAAAATCCCTATAAAAATATCCGGTGTAAAAATTCCCTTCGAAAAATTCCACATTTCTTTTACTTCCAAATTTGCATTTTCATTTTTTTCTAAATTACAAATTGTTTTCCCAATTTCAGTTCTAACTAGATTTAGCCTTTTTGTTCCAGTGCCAATCTATCCCAAATTTCTTTTTCGTCTTTTCTAAACATCCTTGACTTTTGCTCAGAAACTGCCTTTTTTCCCAAATAACTAAGAAAAACATGAATATATATATTGCTTGTCTAATGTTTTGTCATTTCCGTTTAGTAATCAATCAATAAATACAATTTTCTTATTAAAATGGGTTTTCACAATTTGCAGTGTTTACAAATACTGATTTGATTTGGGTGTAGTGTTCGAGGACAGCTACGCCATTTTCTCGACCAAATCCAGATTCACCAAATCCGCCAAATGGTACTAGAGGGGCTGCAAATTAACCTTGGCAGTCAATTGGATTATTTAATTACACATTCAGCTCATTGCGATTTTCGTCAGATTTTGACTCATTGATCTTTGAGTTATTTAGAAAACTTCAAAAAGGGTGACCCATTGTCGAATTCAAAAAATTCGAAAAAAAAACTTACAAACATCATTATAGGTATTCACATAAACATTTCCAGCATTCAATCGCTCCACAATTCTATGAGATCTATTCAAATTCTTCGTCACGATTCCAGCAGCTAATCCCATTTTCGTATCATTTGCAATTCTTATAGCTTCTGCTTCATCCGAAAATGGTATAATCAATAAAACACTTCCAAATATTTCCTCATGATAAACTCTCATTTTCGAATTTATATTCGATAAAATACATGGCGAAAGATAAAATCCACCTTCGAATCCATTTACAGTAACCCGTTCTCCTCCATAAATTCTATTAGCACCTTCACATATCGCACCATTTATATATTCTTCAACTTTATTTCGATGTTCTTCACTAATATGAGCACCGACTTTTGTATTATTTTCATCTAAAGGATCGCCAATTTTCATATTTTTCGTTTTTTCAACAAGTTTTTTGGTGAATTCTTCGATCAAACTTGTATGAACTAATACTTTACTTGCATTTGAGCAAACTTGTCCTTGACTATAAAAATTCGCCATCATTGCACAAGAAACTGCGGTGTCTAAATCAGCATCATCGAACACGATTAGAGATGATTTTCCACCAAGTTCAAGGGTTACTGGCTTGATGTTTCGTTCCGCACAAGCCTATAAAAATACTTGATAACATTTTTGAATTACAAAATTTTAGTATAATCAGATTTTTGTCGGAATTTCTGTAGATCAATGTCGGCCCAAAAACTAACCTTCATAATTTTCTTTCCCGTTGGAATACTTCCAGTAAACGAAACTTTATTAACACCTTCATGTTCAATCAAAGCATTCGCAGTCTTCGCATCGCCTTGAATCACATTAAAAGTTCCATCCGGTAATCCAGCCTCCTTCAAAATCGCTCCAAGAATCAACGCCGATACCGGACTCAACGGGCTTGGTTTATAAATAACGGAATTCCCACAAGCTAACGCCGGAGCAGTTTTCCAAGAGCAAGTTTGAATCGGATAATTCCAGGCGCCAATTGATGCGACCACACCAAATGGAACCTTTTTTGTGTATGCAAATCGAGATGGATCAATTGGAACATGTCGGCCAAGTAAATCGTGAGATATTCCCGAATAAAATGTGAAAGTATCAACACAGGATAAAACATCAGCTTTTGCTTCGTATAATGGTTTTCCATTGTCAATACATTCCCAATAAGCAATTTCGTCGCAATACAATTTTAGAAGCTGGAAATAAGAACATTTTTGGATTTTTCGAGAAAAATCCATACTCACTTCAGCCGTCTTCCGCAAAACATTACTTTTTTCGAGCCAATTTGTGTTGGCCCAAAGTTTCTGAGCTTTTTGGGCGACTTGTACTGTGTAATCAACGTGTTCTTCTGTGGCATAACTCCAGTTCGCCAAAGTTTTCCCTGGAAAAACACTTTTCGAAAAAAATATGGAAGTTTTAGATAATTTTTTAGAAAACCTCGAACTTTCGAACCCTTCTGAAAAAATCCCATCAAAAACCCACCCGATCTTGGCTCAATTACATCAAACTTCCTGTCCGATGGCAAATCCACTGAATTTCCAGATATCCAATTGGGACAATCGAATATTTTTGAATTTCGCAAATTTTTCAAAGATATTCCACCGGGAACAATTCGCATAACAACCTGCAAATAATTGAGAAATGAAAAAAAATCATTTTAGAGAGTACACGTGGAAAAACGTGAAAATTTTCAGAAAATCCAAAAATAGAAATTTATTTTTGAGGTCTTGTGGCCGGAGAAAAGTTGACGGTAAAATGAGATTTAGAGAAAACGAAAACTACAGCAAAAATTAGAGGCCTTGCAATTTTTGATATCAAATTACACATTGTGTATTTTCAGATCTCGTTTTTTTTCCATTAAAAATCCCATTCCTCTAAAAAAAAACTCAAAACCTCAAGTAGTTGAGATTTTCTCAATTGTGCGGGATGCGAACCCTCATCTCCTTGTGGCACTCTGCACTCTCTCTTCTCAAAATACTCTCTCCAATATTCAATCAACTCTCCATCCGAATTCTCAAAATTCAAAGTGTGCGGAGGCCAAGAAACAATGTTTTTATAAGCTTCCGTGATTAATTGGCTACAATAGAAAGATTCGTCGTTTTTCGAGTTGATCAAATTGTGAGTGAATATATCATTGTATTTTTTGCCAATTTTAGATCTCGCAAATTTTCCAGCAAGAATTCGAGAGCGTTTATCGATTGATTTTAGCCTACAAATTTCCAATTCTCTAGGCGAATGAAATTCCAAACTCTTCTCAATATTTTCCACTTCAATAACTCCAATATTTCCCGGAACCGCCTCAATTATTCTAAATTCATCCGACAAAATGGCAACATGAAAAAGCAAATTATCTTTCACCACATTCTCAACAGCATTCGAAAAATCGGAATTTTCCAAATTTTTCGAATAAAAAATAATATCCCCAGGTTCAAGCATCTGAAAAATAATTAAATATTAGTAGGTTAGTAACCACCCATAATTCAGTTTAAAATAATTCAAAATAAAAGTTTTATCCGTAATTGATTAATTTAAAAATTAAATGCTAATTATGAATGCTTAAAAATGCTATTTACAATTTGTTTGTGATAAAAAAAGAAGAAAGAAATCAATAAAAAACATTTGAGGAGTAGGAATAGAGATAAAAGTCAAGGACAAACGAGTAAATATTATGAGAATTTCGAATTATAATTATATCATATCACAAAATGCGTAAATACCTGTAGATAAACTAGACTAGATGGAATCGAATCACAGATTTCCTTTTCTTAGCCTCATTCCGTATGTATTTTCCGAATTAGACTGGTTGAGAAGTAACAATTTCAATTTCGCCGCGAGAAGAAGACTGGATGCGATTTTTCATGAAACGTTGAACTGCAGCTGGCATATGATCAGATAAAACAGAAACTGATAATTTGATGGCTGACAGGCATTTTGGATCGATCCATTGTTCTTGTGTTCCATTTTCCGGCGATTCAGAGAGGTAAACTATTCGACCAGGAACATAGAGCTGCAGAAATCAGGCATTTTTTGGGAAAATCTCAAAAAAGTACCTGTATTCGTTGCGGAACTTCAGGAATCGATTGTTGTTGTTGTTCGCTACTCTCCGTTCCTCCATAAACACGATTTTGCTGCAATAATGCAGCTTCCATATCAGCCGGGCTCACACCTGAAAATAGGGGAAAAATGGGTATATTTGTGAGCAAATTCTTCAAGTTAGCCGAAATAAGGATAGGAAAAATTCAAATTTGGCCTATGAATTAAGTCCAAAATGAACGACCAAATTTAAAATTCGAATTTTAGGAGATTTAGCTCACAAAAATATACCTAAATCAGTTATCTCGCTCTGAATTCAAATAAAAAATTACCTGACAATCCCTCATCTTGCCAAGGATATTCAAAAAACAGCTGATAAACTCCTCGAATCAAAATCTTATATTTGGCTCGTTTACAAGCAACCAATTCCGTAAAAATCGATTGTCTCAATTTATGAAGTGTTTGAAATGACATTCGCGAAACAATATCATCTCCAGCCACAACACTCATCACATATTTTTCCATTTCGTCTTGACCAAATTCACTAATCACACATCCAGGTGGAGCGAATGCATAGCATCGAATTGTTGGATATTCTTGTCTGAAAATGCGATTTGAAGGTGGAAAAATGATATATTTCTTACTTGAGCAACATTGTTAACAACGATCCAACTCCAGCTCCAAGTGAATGTCCACAAACAACAAGTTGATAACTCGGATTCACGACAAATGTGTTTTTTAGAATATTTTGTTTTCTGAAAAAAAAAGAAGATATAAATGCGCTACTAATTATGAGAAAAATATTGATTTTTGACATTTTGATGTTTATCATCTTCCAACCAAAACTCACTCCAATGTTTCAAAAATAAATCTAGCACTTCTCAACATTCCTCGATGTACTCTTACATCTCCACGCTTATCCAATTCCGAATCTTCTCGAAGTGTTGCATCTTGATCAACATCGACTGTCATTATTTCATCAGCTAAGCAAAGATCAGTGACAAGATCGATGAGTGAACAAGAGCCGCGAATTGTGACGATTATTGACTTCTTATCGTGATCCACAATGACGGCGAATGGTACCTACAGAAATATATTTGAAGAGGGTACATTAGGGGTCTCGCCACTTTTTCCCCTCAAAAATCTGAACCACGTCATAGATCTAATTTCCCACCAAAAAATCTCACCTCATAAACGCGATTTCGAAACGACATATAAACCAGATCACAATTTCTATCCTGATTCGCCAAAACCACCGCCGCAGTATTACAATAACAACAATTATCCTCAACAACCATCGATTTTCCCTGGAATTACTTAATTATATAATCAACACCACCAAATCAATATTTGTTTGATTTAAAAAAAATAGTGCATAAGAGAACCCCGTGCAATTAAAACATTGTTAATTAATTAAGACAAGTGATAATACCTTATACAATAATATTCCAGCATTTTTGTCAATTTCATATTCTTCAACCTTCTCTTTCCTCCTATTTATATTCCGCCTCTCTTCTCTCATCTCAATTTCCTCCCAATTCACTGTCTGAATGAAAAAAAGACAAGGAATTTTTGTCAGAAAAAAATAAACTAGCAAAAGTTATACAGGGAAAAAGCGGGAAACTTTTAGAAAACACAAGCAAAAGCAAAGCAAGACAAGGGTTTTTGAGATTATTCAAAATTTGGGTACAGAATAGCTTGAATTGATTTTCTGAGAAGAGGAAAAAAGGTATGACGTGGCAAAACATTTTTGAATTTTCGTTGGTAAATTGTCAGATAGGTTTTTTCTGGACTTTCAGAAAAACCTTAAACTTTAGGTCTTTTAGAAAACCCACGTCATAACTTTATCCCAAAAACCAAAATCAGCTCAACCCATAAATTCTGAACCGCTCTTGTTCCTCAAAACCAAAAAGAAAGAAAAAAACACAAAAAATACCTCTTCACATCGCATACTTCCACAACATTGCAATTGTTTGTACAAATTCCAGATTGATTTTGGTCGAAAATTATAGAGGAGATAAGTTGGCCAACCGTAGACACAAGAAGCATGATGAAGATAATATTCAGCTTCTTCAATGTTCATCCAATCGGGTCGAGAAGAAGCTGAAAAATATTTTTATTTGGAGATTTTGGAAGAGTTCAAATTGAAAATTTGGTTTTTAGATAATTGAAAATGAAAAATCCTATCAAAATTAGGCCACCATTTGTCAAGCCATAAAATCCAGTTACCCCCTTCAAAAAATCACCATATTCCTTCTCTTTCACTGGCGGATATTGATTATTTGGAGAATGATAAGCCAACAACAATCCAGCCAAAACATCACTAAAAACCAGATCTGAATCCACAAAAAACGAGGAGATTAGAAGTGCAACTTCATCCAACGCAGCTCTCATTGATTCATTTTGCCCGATTTTGAATATTCTCATTCTTCTTGACCAACTTCTTTGTGCAATTAGAGTGTTGTCTTCAACATCACTTTCTCGTAAATGAAAAACGATGATTATTCCAATTGCTGCGGTTAGAATTAAGAACCATTCTAGAACAATTGTGATTCGGAATACTGTTAGGTTACAGGATGATACTTCATCAGCTGAGCCTGAAAATGTGTATTTTTTTAGCAAAATTAAAAAAAAGGGACTTACTAAATGCATGAAATGTGGATACAACTGTAACAGCAATCTCTGTTAAAAATATTGGAAGTCTGAGATATAACAAAGGGGTGACAAGTGTCCTTCGAGTTGAATCCATAATTGTTCCTCTCGCTGATATTATTGCTGTCCATAATGCCAGAAAAATCGTGACTATATTTATAACAACAAGACTGATGAATTGAGCATCCAAGTTGTTTGTTTGACATTTCAGTGGGAAATGAAATATGAACACGGATATACCAAATGCGACCCAGGAGGAGCGAACGAATGTTTCGGTGAGTTCGGGAAACACAAAATCGTCACTCCCAATATTCCAATGTCTGCCGAATGCTACCAGTGACGGCATTTCATTATTTCTGAAACATTGATTGGTTTTCTATGTGCGAATAAAGAAATTCAAAATCTTATCAAAGAAAGTTAGAAAGAGAGTATCAATAGAACGAAAAAAACAACTGAACAGTTTACTTTTAATGAGTCATTTTCAAACTGCGACTATCCATCATTCTTTTCCTTTTTATTGATTATTTACCAACGGCAGACGTCGAAAAAACTGAAAAAAACAAAAGTCCACGAAAAAAGAAAAATAATATTTTTGTTTGTCATTGGAGCGAATTTGTTCGCGTGGTCGAGCATTTTCGCGGGTGGCCGAATGAAATTGGCCTAGAAACCGACAATTGTTTGAAAAAGCCGAAATTTTGATTTTCGACTCTCGCTTGTTTTTACACCTTTTCCCGCATTTTTTCAGGTTTAAATAGCAGAATTAAATTTTCAAAAATAATTGTTAGTTTTATTTTTCATATCTCGAATCCAATTCCTAAGTTCTTCTGGTTTTTCATTGTGAAAACGATGAAATTAGGCCCAAAATATTTTTTTGTTCCAGCAGCTCGAAAATTGCAAAATGGGAGCTTATTTGAACAAACCAATTGTTGAGAAGGAGAGAGATATTGGAACTGGAAAAGGATTCAACTATGCATGCACATCGATGCAAGGATGGAGAGCCAATCAAGAGGTATTTTTCTTATATATTAAACAGTGATCTGTCTGTCCGCCCGACATACTTTTGTGCCCTAGATTTAGAAAATTACAAGATATATAATCACTTTGATAAACAAATTTTAATTTTTTGCTCAAAAAATGACCCTGTGTAAAATAGAAATCGATTTGAATCTTGCACTGGATGAGGTCATCACCCAATTTTTCGAAATAAATTATTTTTATTTCAAATAATCTATAGAATCTCTTGTTTTTTGTGATAATTATATTCAAACTATGTAAATTATAAGATATAAAGGGGTGAAGACCTCATCCAGTGCAAGATTCAAATCGATTTGTATTTTACACCGGGTCATTTTTTGAGTGAAAAATTGAAATTTGTTTATCAAATTTATCTTGTAATTTACATAGTTTGAGTATACTTATCACAAAAAACTAGAGATTCTGTAAATTATTTTTTCTTTCCAAAATCTAAAGAAATGGTTTACAGGATGCGCACAATTGTGTAGTTGATATTCACGATGATTGGAACTTGTTCGCGGTTTATGATGGACATGGTGGAAGTGAGGTCTCAAAATATACCGCCGAGAAATTCCCAGAATTCCTGAAAGATCGCAAATTCTGGGAACAAGCCGATGTTGAAACTTGTCTTCAAAAAGCATTCGTTGATTTTGATGATTTTCTTCGATCTGAAGACGCAATGAAAGAATTGGCAGTTTTAAGTGGAAACGTAAAAGAGAAAAAAGGAGATGATTCAGAAGATGAAGCTGATCGAATTGAGACAATTGAAGAGAGTGGGCTACCATTGGCAGAAATAATCAAGAGATATGGAGGAGTTATGCCGGCTGGAGGAGCACGTTCTTTGTTGTCTGCTTTTCTTCAACAACACCCTGGAAGTGATAGTGATGAAGATGAGGAAGATGAAGAAGAAGAAGAGAATGAAGACGAAGAAGGTGGAGATGAAGAGAATGCTGAACCTGGAGAAGAAAAGAAAAAAGAGGAAGCCGAAGGGAATGGAATCAAGAAAAATAACAAGAAACGTTGTAGTAAATCACCAATTCAAAGCGAAGCCAAGAAATCGAAATCTGAAGAAGTTGGAGTCGAATCTGAAGCTAAGGGAGACAAGTGAGTGATTTTTTTTTAAATAAATTAGATTTTTGAGCGATCAAAAAAGTTACTGGTTTTTTTTGTTGAAAAAATCACAATAATTAATTTTCAGTGGAACTGCAAGTGATGGACCAGGAAATAGCGAAGGAACTGTGTAAGTATTTAAAAAAAATGCTCTTGAACATTTCAAATTTTGAATTTTTAGAACTGAATCATCGAAAGACGAAGCTGACGAAGATGATGCTGATTTTGTTGCTGGAGAAGAAGAGGAAGAAGACGATGAAGATGAAGAAGACGAGGATGAGGAAGACGAAGATGAACCCGATTTTGAAAGTCTGGCTCTTGGAGGCGGCGCCGAAACACCAGGAGAAGATTCTGGAACCACGGCTTGTGTCTGTCTTGTAGGTAAAGATAAAATCATAGTTGCAAATGCGGGAGATTCACGTGCTGTTCTGTGTCGCGCGGGTAAAGCTCTTGATTTATCAGTCGATCATAAGCCAGAAGACGAAGTTGAGACCAATCGAATTCATAAAGCTGGAGGCATTATTGAGGAGGGAAGGTATGCGAGTTTTAATAAATAATTTGAGACTAGAAGATTTTCTACAGAGTAAACGGCGGATTGAATCTTTCACGAGCTCTTGGCGATCATTCATACAAAAAGAATGAGAAATTGGAATTGCGTGAACAAATGATCACTGCTTTGCCAGATGTTAAAGTTGAGGCGTTGACTAATGAAGACGAGTTTTTGATTGTTGCATGTGATGGAATTTGGTTAGTTCATTTTTTTTTATCAAAATTTCTCTAAAAATCTGATTTTCTTCGCAAAAACTTAGACGTTTTCATACTATCTTAAAAATCCGAAAAAAATCTGTATACAAAAGTGTTTGATTCAACAATTTGTTTGTCTTTGAACAGAGACAGAATCTGAAAAAATCCATCCTCTCTTCAGGAACTCAATGGAATCTCAAGAAGTCATAGATTTCGCTCGCGATCTTCTTTCCCAAGGCAAAACCTGCACCGAAGTATGCGATGCTCTCTGCGATCGTTGCTTGGCTGATTCAACTGATGGAGATGGAACAGGTTGTGATAACATGACAATTATCTGCACACAATTTGCTCGTGAAAAATAAGGCAAATTTCCACTGTTTCGACTGTTCCATTCTCTCTGATCCTCATCAAATTATCTCGTGTATCACTATTTTTTGAACAACCGAATGATTTTCCATCTGTTTTTTGTTTTCAGCAATTTTCATTTATTTTTAATCATTTTATTTATCTAATAAAGCTATGAAAAATCATAGTTGTTCTGGATTCTTCACTTCTTCTTCCTTTTCCTTTTCCTCTTCTTTTTCCTCCAACAAACATCCCGTAACTATACAACCGTAAGATAAATATGGGAGAGCTGCTTCTAGAAACTTTCTCAAATCCACAACTGAAAATCCGATTTTCGATGGCTCGCATTCTGTGTCGATTCGAATGTTGTAGATTTTTATCACTTTTCGAGATGTTCTATAAGTTTTTTAATTCGGATTTTGTTGAACAAATTAGCGGATTTTTTACGTTTCAAAAATTTAAGTTAAAAAAAAACAAATATTTTCAAAACGATACATCAAGATTTCTGATGAGAAAGGTGAGCCATTACCTCAAAGAATCCAGCGCCCACCATCTTCCTTCAGAATCCTGTCCTTTTTGCTTTGATAATTCTCGATCAGCAGATTGTGGAACATAAATTATCTGAAAATTGATTTCAAAATTTTTGGAGGGAGAAAATGAATCTTACCGATTTGATTTTGTTCCACTCAAAATCATAGGGAAGTTTTGATGGAATGAAGAATTGTTTGACGATTAGGAAGTCTTGAGTTACCTGAAATCGGAGAATTTTCGCCACGTCATAATTTTTTAAAAATTGAATTCAAACACGGGGAAACACAAAACAATACCGAAGAGAATAATTCTAAAAATTTTGATTTTTGAATAAATTATGACGTGGAAGTATTCCCAACAAAATTTCAAACTTTGCCACGTCATAACTAAAACCAACTCCAAACTCACCGAACAAAAATGATCGAAATAAAAGGAATCCTTCTCATATTCCATTTTATGAGCATTTTGCTGCTTTTTCAAAACTTCTCGACCTTGTCGAGTTTGAAGAAAAACTCGCATTTCTGTCGACATTTCTTTCTTTTTTTGAATAAATCAAATTAGAATTAGAAATATGAAGAAAAATGTAAGAATGACATAAAATCCATAGCAACAAGAAAAAAAAGAAAATCCCGAGGGATTTTTTGAATACGCGCTGATTAGATGAGGATTAATTTTTTCATCTGCTCTGCTTTTGTTTGAGAAAAAAAGTTTTCAGCCCCAAAGTCTACGTGGCGGAGGTTGTAGTGGTATTTTCTGACAATTTTTTAGATTGTTACTACGAAACTCACCAAAATTAAACATTCCGAAATTAATTTTTGAAAGTTGTGAAACAGTAAAAATTTTGAATGATTTTTTTTCGAAAAACATATTTTTGCACCAAAAACCACACCGCTGACGGTTACTGTAGCTTTTTTGAAAAAAATTTTGGAGAGTTGTCAATCAGAAATTGAAAAATGCTGGTTTTATTTTCGAAAATTCTGAAACAGCAAAAAATCTTGAAATATATATTTTTATTTCTGGTAACGAAAATCCAAAGAAAATAGTTTCAAAATAATTTATTTCAAGTGGAGAAAAAACAGATAACTTCTCATGTTCATAACAAATTTGATAACCAAGTTTATAATAAATTGTTCACTTTTTCTTTCCACTAATTTCACCCAAATCATCATCATGTACATTTGTATTTGTTTGAGTTGTTGCAAGTGTTTTCGATGTCGACTCATCAGAATCGCGAGTTTTTTTCGCTGGCGATTTTTTGGGTGTAGTTTTTGAGGGTGCTGCCGCATAAGTATCATCAAAATTTCCACTTGATTCTTTTTTGCTGGGGGTTTTTGGGGCTGATTTTTTATCTGGAACTGCATAAGTATCATCAAAGTTTGCAGATGTTTTGACTTTTTCTGACACTAATGTTTTAGTTGATTTTTTCGCTTCTTTTTCTTTTCCCGCATCTTTTTTGTTTTCCGATTCTTTTTTTGTCTCATTCGGAATTGTTACTGTTACTTCAGTTCCCAAATCATCATCTTGAAAATATATGGTTTTTATATTCGAGAGAATCGGTTTTGCATCTGGAGTTGGAGCTTTTTGTTTCTTTTCTCGCAAAAAATTAGACCAAATCATCAAAAATATTAAAACTGCTACAAGTATTGAAAATAAGAAACCAGTTATTGCGGATAGAAAAATTTCGAGATCAAATATTGAAGGTTTGTCCGGTGGAATTTCGAGAATATCGTTGACACTGAAAATTTTAAGGTTATAACAATTTTGCAGAGCGAAAGTTAGCAAAATCCTAAATTTCTCTTATGCATATTTTTCGTAGATCATAAAATTTCGAAATCTAAATTTTTGGGAATGAAATTTTCAAAATGTTAAATTCCTCACAACAAAAAATAAAACTCACAAAAACGTAGTCGCATCTTTGAGCTCATTCGTTGCTTCCAAAGTATAATTAATTTTCGAAAATTCCGAAAAATTGAGAAATTTGAAGCCAGGTGTTCCAATATAACCAGATCCAACCAAATTGAGTTGCGCACGGAAGTTGAGTTTTTTAAACTCGAGAATATTTCCCTCACAATCAGAAAATTTCGGAAAATACATAATTATTTCAATGCGATCAAAATCTTGCCGACTCGTTGAGTTTTTCAAATTTTTCAGATATTTGTTATAAACATCACAAGTTGATTCAGTGTTATCTCAAAAAGGACTTTTTCTAGAAAAAAAATTCAGCAAAATAAACTTACGTTTATCTGAACTCCATTTCAGTGCCTCTTTCAAATATACCAAATTCGAGTATGTTTGAAATTGATAATCTTTTTCTGAAAGTGCATAGCTAAAAATCGAATTTTGTGGAATTGAACAGGCAATTTGTTGCATCACAAAACTGATTTGTTGATTCTGAAAACATCTGGCAATTTTGGGATGATCAATCGCAACAAATAATAAATGATCAATTTTTATGAAAAAAATGAAGTGACTCAGAATTCATGAAAAATTTGAGGTGTAAACACGGAGTGACGTAGAACATTGTCTAATAATCCCAAAACCCACATCTTGTTCCAATGTTTTGAAAGCAACGAAAAAGACGAATAAAGTTTTTGGAAACTCTTTTCTCGTGTATTTTTCACGAAGTTCACATCGATTTCCGAAAATTTGGTTGGAAAATATGGAACAAAATAGAACAATGATAATTGTCCCAATTTTCATGCTGTCTCGGTTCGAAAATGAGAATTTTTCACGGAAATTATCAAAAATTGACTGGTTTTTCACATTTCACGTTTACGTGAGATTTTTTTTTTTTGAATTTCTTTCCGAGAAATTTTCATTGCCGTGGTTTTTTGCACAAAAAAGGATTCATAAATATTATTAAAAACTTTCACTGTTTCAGAATTTTCATAAATAAATTTCAAAGTGTTTGTTTTTATTCCATGTCGAAATCTCCTCGTTCAAAACAGATCTTACAATAACTTCTTTCACGTGAATTTTTAATTGTAAGTGAAATTTTTCCGAAAATTCAAAAATTTTCTCATAGTTTCAGCCAAACCTTTCAAATAATCTAGAAACATTTAATATCTTGAGAAAAAAAGAGACAAAAATTGTCATGAAACAATAAAAAACGGACAAAAAATAATCACCTTATTTTGAGGGTTGGAAAAAATACACACTGGGAAGGAGGGATTCGGGTTGGGCTTAAATATCTAAATTGGCACAAAATAATGTCTTATATAGAAAAAAACAGGACAAAGAATGAAAAGAAAAAGGATATGGTTATAATATTAAAATCAAAAATCGAGAAGGTCTGGGGAGTCGAGAAAAAAAGAAAACATATCAAACTTTGGAGATACGGTAAAATACACAAAGAAGAAAGAAAAACAAATTCTATTAGAAACTGGGGGAGAAGGAAATCCGAGGAAACCATCGCATTGAGAAAATACCCATGTAAAATATAAAAAAGAGAACCTTTTTGAATATTAACTCTGACTTTTGAGAAAAAATGGAATATAATTTTTCTAGTAGACTTTAAAGTTCTGATAGTTGTTAAAACTGTGAAGCTTAATTTTGAATATTAGTTATGACGTGGCAAGCAAGACCAGCTCAAGAATGATTTCCACGTCATAACTCATGTTCAACATTGAGAAATTCAGTTTTTCACAAAGATCCCCACACATTTCTCATTTCTAAACAAACCCGAGTAAAAATTGAAAAGGTTCCCTTGTAGGATAAATACTATTATGATTGTTTTATTTCAAAAGTTCTTCGTCTTTCAGAATAATTCCGTCCAATTCGAGATTTTTCATCAATTGTCGCAACCAATTCATTGTACTCGCATCTTCTTTCAACAATTTTTTGAATGTCAAATCTTTGAGTTGATCCGGTAGACATTGTTTCAACGCTTGTTGAGCTCTGGAAATAGATAGGTTTTGAAGGAAAATAAATTTGGAAATACCAACCTTGGATTATCACTCAATCGACTATAGCATCGAATAACATGTTTCAACAATCTCGACGACGGTTCTCTCGCCAACTTCAACACCATTTTTCCCAAAATCATTGCGACGTGCGAAAATCGTTCATATGTTTGACAAATATACGACAAACCGGTATCATCGAGCAGAATCTTTTGGAGAATAAAAGTGGCGACGGTTTTCGACAACTCGGTTCCTTGTTCCATAATTCTCAAACATAATGGAATGATTTCCGTGGACAACAAGAAATTGATAACGGTTAGAAGTTGCTGCAAAGAAAAAATATATGGATTCGAATTCAATTATTCTTGAAACTCACATCCTTATCTTCAGTTTTGACAAGTGCACCAATGACACCAAGAGAAGTGAGACGAAGATATTCAAATGAACGGGATACTTTTGTAGTATGCAAAAATGGATACAAATACAATGGAATGTGAGCTGTAAAACATTCAATTAAATTATAGAATTTCAAGTTTGTGCTAAATGTGTCTACCTTGCAAAAATGGTGCTCTGGTCTCTCGATGACTCGCAACACATTGCATCAATGCCAACGCATTACAAACTCGATTCGACTGAACCGCCGTCAAATTGGCTGGCATTATACACGGATAAATGGCGACAACTTCTTGCAACAATGCGGCCATTGTGCCAAAAGAATGCCAAAGCCAAACGGGAAGTTCGGGAACACTGTCACGTTTTTTGCTGAGTTCGAGAAGGGCTTCTTCTCGTTTTCGGGGATCTTTCAAATCTTCGATCCATTGAACTATTTCTTCGCTGCAAAATGTGAGGATTTAGGATGATTTCAGTTTTTTGAAGGGATTAAATATTTTTAAAAAACAGTTTTGAATTTTTGACAAATCTTGTGGATTAAAAATTAAACAAGACTTAAAAATTTATTTGAATTTTTGAAAATTTTTTTTTTTAATTTCCATGAAAATCCAAAATTTAGCGGTAATTTCAATTATTCTACCCAGATTTAGAAAAAAAAAACTCGGCCAAATTTTAAAATAAAAGTTTTCAGAAAACTCTTATTTTATGTATTTTTTACTGAAACATTTCCACGTGACAATCTAAAAATTCTCCCAAATTTAATTTTTCAAATAACCCACGTATTAATCTCCAAATTTGTAGAAGACGGTTGTGCAATTTGTTGAGCTTGAGTAGCTGGCGATGCTCTCGAATCCAACACATTCAACATCACGCCTAAAAATAATGATTTGCATTTTTAATTAGCCTAACTAATTAGTTAGATTTCAGATAACTTTGCAGGTCAACAAAACCTGTTAAAATTCGAAAATAAGAGAAAAACAAACTCATCAATAAAAATGTATAAATAAAAAAAGTGGAACCAAGAAAAATTAGAAAAAAACGTATTGGGCCAACAAAAAACTAAAAAAGGGAAAAACTCAGAAAAAATGACCGTAGTAGTAAAAGATTTGATGATAAAACAGGGTTTGGAACGGGGATTGAGAAAATAAAGGGGGAAAATAGAAATAATAACAAAATACGGAAGAAAAAACGAGAAAAACAACAATTAATTTACTGGACCGGGTTGAACCATTAAACGCGGTGCAATCGACATTGACATCAATTCTTGGAATAATAATTTGCACGCGTATGGAATACGAACTGCTGATACTTGAGTTTTGTTTCGGCACGCCTGAAAAAATTGAAAATTGTTTTCGTAGAGGAAAACGGAAAATTTCAGAAATTTTAAATTAAAAACTGAATATTTTCAAAATGTCGCTTTTTTGTTGTTTCGACAAATTTTTGTTTAATTTTCAGATTTTCATGTTATTTTAGACACTTTTAGTTTCTGATAAAATTTTCAGATTTCCAGGTAAAATTTAATTAATTTTTAAAGGTATTGCTCTCATATTATGAGATTTATTTTTTGTTGTTGGAAAATCAGAAAATGTTTGAAAATTTGAATAAAAATCTAGGTCTTTTTTTTATTTCAAGAAAATTTGTTTCAAAAAACTCACTCTACACTCAAAACTATTCGTTCTCAAATTCGCCACAACAATCAATCCACAATTATTGCAAATATAAACGTGATATGGATCCGACACTTCGAAAAGACGTTCTCGCAAAAATTGTGTGGCACCGTGCGAAATTTGACAATCCCGTTCCATTTCACCAAAACGCAATCCTCCGTCTCTGGCACGTCCTTCCATTGGTTGACGATTCATCATTTGAATTGGTCCGCGAGCTCGTGAATGGATTTTGTCGTCGACCATGTGTTTGAGACGTTGATAATAGGTTGGACCAAAGAAGATCTGAAACAAAATATTGCATATTTTGGGAGGGTGGGAATTTCTCAGGTTAGAAAAAGGTTTCGGGTTAAATAATTTGAAAATAAAAACGCTTGTTTTATTAAAATTATTCCAGTTGCTCATATTATAATAACAACTATTAACCTCAAGAACATTGAATTAAAAAAAGGTCTTCGGAGATAAATACACTTAACATGAAAAATGCTATGAAAAATTCTCCTATTAAAAAAAATATTTTTGGAAAATTTCTGCACCATTGCTCATATTAAACATCATTTTTTTCCAATTTTTCAACATAAAAACATTTCAAAAAATCTGCTCACCTGTGTGGTCAATTTCGATCCAGTATGTCCATTATACATAACTTCATTACCTCTCAAATGATAACCGTATTCATTCAATAAATTACTGATTTTCTGCACATTTACAGTATCGTTGAATGGTGTCGCGTCACCAATTTCTCCCTTGTTTGCGGAAAGCTGGAACAAAATTTGTATCGTTAAAAAAATAATATTGAAATATTCTAGGCAAACATTGAAGTGCCAAAATACATGAAAATTTCCAGGAAAAAATAGGTTTCAAAACATTTTAAATCAAAATTGAAAGAAAAAAGAGCGATTCAAGCGATGCCTCTTGATAAATTTGTATAAATTAAGTCAAAAATTCAAAAAAAAAATTTGTGAATAAGTAATTGTAATTTTTTTCCCTAAATTTTCAAATTGATAGATATCTCTAAAATGCACCAACCTTTCCTTGCAAACATTCAATAAGATGGCCAATTGTCATACGAGATGGAACAGCATGTGGATTAATAATAATATCAGGTGTCAATCCTTCGGCCGTAAATGGCATATCCTCTTGTCGATACATAATTCCCATTGTACCTTTTTGTCCATGTCGAGACGCGAATTTGTCACCAATTTGAGGTAAACGAACACTTCGCATTCGAATTTTCACAAATTTATTTCCATCTGTATTCAATGATAACATTACTTGATCAACAATACCAGTTTCAGAACTTCGGAGGAATGTTGAAGCATCACGTTTTGTGTATTTTTTGCCGGTGGCGTCGAGATCATCGTCCTGGAGGAAAAATAAGGAAATTATTTGAAACAGTGAAATTGTGAAGAAGCGAAAATTCAAAATTTGTTTTTTCTCGGTTTTCCATTTAAAAAGTGGATTTTTTTGATGAATTTCGGCAGTTATTTACCAAAAAAAACTCACAATCTCAGGCAAAGCAACAGTTTTTCCAATAATCACATCATCTCCAGACACACGCATTCCAGGTGAAATAATACCATCATCATCCAATTTATCATACAACGAATGTCGCATTCCTGAACATTTATCTCTTGATGGTTTTTCAATCAATTCCTGATTTGCATTATCCAAATTCGCCTCATTATCACGATAACTTCGATAGAAAACACTTCGGAATAATCCGCGATCAATTGCCGAATTATTCATAATAACCGAATCTTCTTGATTATATCCAGAATACGACAAAATCGCAACAATCGCATTAATTCCAGCCGGCAATTCATTGAAACGAAGATATTCCATTGAACGAGTTGTGACAAGTGGTTTTTGTGGATAATAGAGAACATGTGCCAAAGTATCCATTCGAACATGGAAATTTGTTGTGTAAACACCCATTGCTTGTTTTCCCATGGCACTTTGATATGTATTACGTGGAGATTGATTGTGATCAGGGAATGGGATAATTGAGGCGCAGACACCCAAAATCATTGCTGGATGGATTTCACAATGCGTGTGAGTATCACAATAACCACCAGATCGAAGATCTTCGGGCATCATTGCTATCATTGATGTTTCTGCAAACAATTTGATAATTTCGGAAAAATTCAGGACTTTTTATTTTTCAGGATTTGAAGATAAAATAAATTTTGTGGATAAAAGAACGAATTTTTTACAATAATTTAGAATTAAATTATTGTTCTTTGAAAATTAGCCAAAAAACCCGAAATTGCTATGTGGATTTTTCTCCGCCAAAAATTCTTTGATCTTAAATTTTCTCACGTCTGCCACGTGGCACCCACCTTCTTCCATAGCATCAATCAATTCAACAACTCCACCAGCCACCAAATCCGACCACGTATATTTATTGGCTTCATCAATATCCTTTAACATATCAATATGTTTTCGTTTCAACGCCAATTTTTGTTTTTCAACAATCAAAAGTGGTCGACAAACTCTTCCGGCATCTGTATAAATTCGAATTTCTCGATCTCGAATATCTCGAACCATCGAAACTTCCGACACAATAATATCCATTTGTCTTCGCAATTTTCGAAGTGTTGACATCAAATGATCCGGATCACGATGAATACCAACCCAAGCGCCATTCACAAAGATTTTCGTAGCATCAGAAATAGCAGATGGCGAGACTTCTTCCAAATTCTCCATACTCCATTCTTCCAAGAATTCCAAAATTGGTTCAGGCAATGAACCGACAGAAATATAGGCCATCAATGCAAGATTTTTGACTAAACCGACAGCTTGTCCTTCGGGTGTTTCAGCCGGACAAACCATTCCCCATTGGGTATTATGCAATTGACGTGGTTTCGCGAGTTTACCTTCTCGACCGATTGGTGAATTTGCACGACGTAAATGGGAAAGTGTTGCAGTATATGTCAATCGATTCAAAACCTGCAAAAAAATTGATTTAGAATGAAATTCAGAATTTTCAGACGACGCCTAGTTTGTGGTATAAAATTTCTAAATTTTTGAGCTTTTCAGATCGAAAAATTCTTTTGGGGATGAATAAACCTATATTCCTAGCCAAAACAAGCCTAAATTTTTAGAGCTGAAATTTCGAAGCACAGATTGCTTGAACCAACAAATTTCATTGTAATTTTTTTAGAGATCGTTGATTAAATGAGATTCTGCCACGTCATAACTCAATTTTTACAAACCTGCGATACACCAGCTCTCGATTGATGTGCCTTCTTTTGATCTCCCCAATTTCCAGTCGCCAACGAATACGACAATCCACGTGTAATTGTCGTAACTTTGACACACGTGTCCAATTGAAAATCACCTTTCGAATTGATGTGTTTTTGTGCAGTCATTCGCATTTCCTTCAACAAATTTCGGAACAGTGATCGGAACAAAAATGCCAAAAGTGGACCGGCCAAATCTAATCGCTTGTTTCCAATGTGATCACGATCATCCAATTCTCGTCGACCGAGTGCGGCTAATAATAAACGATGCACCATGTAGCCGATGAAAAACTGGAAGAAAATATCAAAATTCCTGTTTTTTTCACGATAATTTGGCAAATTTGAGCTTTTTTTTGTTAAAAAATACAATTTCTCAACAATTCTCGAAAAAATCGAAAACTTCAAATAAAAATGTTTTGGCTTTTTCCTCTTTTTCAAAATTTAATGATTTTTGCACAAATCAGCAAAATTTATCAAATTCTTTTCAAATTTCAAAATAAAATAAAAACGTACCGCTTTCTTAGTTTCACAATGTTCCGACACTCCAACATGCGGCAACAATTCCTTTTGCAAAATTTCTCTTGCATACTTAATTCTCTGCTCTTTCGTAACTCCCGGTTTCGCACCACGTGCACCAATAAAATTCAACGCCACATTTTGTTCTTGAATAACAAAAGCCTCGTCAAGTGATGGTTTGACCATTTCCATCATTTCGGGATCTTCGAAATCATAGATAATATGTTCCAAAATATCACGATCTGCGACAAAACCAAGTGCTCGGAAAACAATCATAATTGGTATTTCTTGTTTGATATAAGGGAGAAGACCAATGATTCGTTGACCCATTGCTGTCTTTTTTCCACCGCCACCACCGCGAGCCAACATATTTACCCACATTGTCGAAGTTGGACGACTGAAATAAAGAAAAGGGTGTTGTTTTCAAGTAGGGTCTCGAAAAATTGGCTTTCAAACCCCCGAAAAAGTTTAAATTTAAAATTTTTACCTGGAATTCTCTAAACATGATCTACATTCGGTTTTATATGCATATTTTCCGTCTTTCATTGAAAAAACATAAACCGTATTCGATGCCATTTTCTCTTGTGCAATCAAAACTTTTTCCGATCCATTAATAACAAAATAACCTCCAGGATCCAATGGACATTCATTTAATTCAGTCAAATCTCGATCCGTCATATTCGATAACATACAATAACTTGATCGAAGCATAACTGGCACTTTTCCAACAAACACTTTTTCATATGGTTTTTCTGTTGTTCCATCTTCGGATGTGATTTGTTTGGTAATATCGACATATAATGGAGATGAATACGTGAGATTTCGAAGTCTTGCCTCGTTTGGCATTTGTGGCATTGGTGTTCCGTCTTTTTCCCAGTGAGTTGGTTTTGAGAGATAGATTTGGTTGAATTTTAGAGAGAATTTTGTAGGATTTTCAATGTCGCCAGCAAGATGTTGCATTTCGGATTGGAGTTCGACGGGTGGCGAATCTTCGACGATTCTTTGAACATTCATTTGCACAAATTCATCGAAAGAATCGAGTTGTTGTCGAACAAGACCCTAGAAAATTGGATTTTTGAAGGCGAACAGAAAATCTTAACTTCTGGACTAGAAATTTCATGTTTTATTATTTTTTTGAGGTATTTAGAAAAATTATCTCGAGGATTTTCAAGACCTTGAGGCCTCGAATGCCGTTTTTGATAAGAAATTCAGCTTTCCCGTTATTTTCAGAAGAAAATTCGCTTTTTGGATGTTTTTCTCTTTCAGAATATTCGAGTTCAAAGCTCAGATTTTTTTTAATTCCGAAAACCAACAACCAACCTTTTCATCGAAATACGCACTAATAACAACCCAACACGCTTCTTGCCATTGTTCCGATGTGATTTCATCGTGATCTACATCCTCCTCTTCCATCTGCTCCATTTCTTCTTCCTCATCTTCGTACATCATTTTTCTTCTCAAGAAGGTTGTCTTTCTGAAATTCGAGAATTAGTAGCTTATTTCGAAAAATAAATAAAGATATTTCACGGAATTTGAAACAAAAACCGATTTTCATAAAATAAAAAAAATTCAAAAACCAATGTTTTTTTTTTCGAAAGAAGCTTCATGCATATAAATAATTTGTTCTATTTTTTGATAGAAAAATATCACGGAATGATTAGAATTTGAAAATTTGTGAGATCATAATTAAATTAATAGAAGAAGAAAAGCTGAGCGAGAAGAATATATCATTGTATGAAAAATATATACAAGTTCCGAGTTCATCCCATTGGGGGACTTCCAACATAAACCATCGATACTTCTGTATTTCCATAAACCGCACAAACAGCGGGAAAAAGTCGAACCGGTGGCAAATGACTGAATGCGACACCAAGGAATTCGGAGCCACGTTCGAAATATGCAACGTGTTTGTCGCAATCGATGACAAGACGAATACGTTCGCCCATCTAGAAACATTTAATTTAAAAATCATGTTTCATTGTTATATGGAAACATTTTTAGTTGAAAAAATCAATAAAATTTTTCCAGCGAACAAAACGAATTTTTCAAATAGAAAAAATTCCCTTTTATTTAGTTTCTTTGAATTTTTGAATTCTGAAACATTTTTTAATCAGCTACAAAGAAATATTCCTTCTACTTTGTAATGTTATTCAAAAACAAACCTCATATTTCGGCGGATTGTTCATTTTCGGATAAATTCCGAGTTGTTGTGAATTGTGCATCAAAACATTGTCAACTAAATTCCAACCCCATGATTGTTCATCACTTCCCAACAATGCAATATATCCAACGCAGTGAAGAGCAGCGTGTCTGAAAATTTATTTTTGGGTTGAAAATCGTCCCCAAAACCCCCTTACTTTGTCGCAAATCCAATAACCGCCACAGTTCCCAACGGTCCTTCCCAAATGATATCAAAAGCATGAACACCGTGTGAAACACCGCGTTTTCCGCGAACTCCATCAGTCGATTGTGCAACCGGTTGACGATGAACAGTGAATCCATTGGTTCGGATATAGTTATTTCTTGATATATCATTGGCATTCCAAGAGAAACACCAAGCTCGTAACTTTTTCTTGGAAGATGTTAGTTCAGCGAGGAGAAACGGATCGGAAAGTGCAGCTTCGGGCACATTTCGACTGACTAAATATTGCCATACAGCGCTATCCTGAAAATAGAAAATTGAGGATTTTTGAAGGTTTTATTTAAACCAACCTCAACAGAAAGTGCATTGTTCCAACAATGACAAGTCAACATACAAGATTGGAGATCTTTCATGCCAAGATATTGAAATATCTGAATTAGAACATGATGTGGAAGACGGGAAGCGGCAACTTCAGGTCGTCTTGGTGATTTCCTTCGAGTTTTTAGATATGGTGGTTCAACAATTTCAGAGATCAAATCTTTTTGATTTCCTTCGCCATCACATTCAACTTCGGTTTCACATTCGGTTTTTTCTTTTTCTTCGATGGTCGACTGAAAATTCGAAAACGATTGATTTAGTTGCTCATAATAAAAAAATAAGAAATGAGCGAGCGCAGACAAAATTTACAACGTGAAAAATAAAATAAGTTCACGTTTTAAAAATTGTCTGATTTTCATGTGGTCTTTTTCTGATCCTTCAAAGTTTAATTTTTCAATAATTCAAAAATCAACAGTTTGAAAGTGAAAAAATATACCTCACAGACACTGATTTTGGTCGGAGTTGTTGTCAAATTGCATTGCTCATCTTCAGAAATTTCGGCCATTTTTATTAGTCGAAAATCACTCTCGTGTCTTCATTTGCCGTCGGCTTCTCCTGCAAAAAAATCAATTTTATTGATTTTTGTTAATTCCAGGCTAAAGCCGGTTTCTCAAAGATATATCATACGGAAATTAAATAACCGAAAAATTCGAATTCAAAAACTACATGAATGAAAATTGGAAAACTTTTTTGTGAAATAAAAAACAAATAACAAAGCAAAACAAAAATCTACCTAACGAGAGAAAAAAAAAGAAGAAACTCTATGAACACGTAAATATTTGAATATATTTTTCTATTTTTTGACTTTGGCAATCTTCGCCTTTGTTTTATCTCTTCCGGCGGCTCGTTTAGCATCAGCATCTGTGAAAACAATTGAAGGAGATGTGAATCGGAAAATTTTTGGTGAAAATGTTTCATTGTGTAATAGTTCTTTGGGAATTGTTCCTTCAGCTGCAGCTTCTTCTTCGCTTTCTTCGGAAATTGTTTCTAAACTTGGAATCCATGTTGGAAGTGGTCCTTTCTGAAAAATAATCAAACTAATTTTTTACACCAAAATCTCATTTTTATAATTTCCACGTGAATTTTTAGAGCTCAAAACTGAATTTCCACCGCCAAATTCCAAAAATAATAAGTTACCTTAAGTTTCTTTTCTTCTTGCACACAATCCTTCAACAAAATAGTTTCTCCAATATCTCCCGGAACAGATCCTTTCACATAAATCACTTGTTTATCATTATTGATTCGAATAACCTCAAGTCCACTAACAGTCACCCATTCATAACCCATATGTCCCGGCATACGTTTTCCTGGCCAAATTCGCGCATCTCCAACCGATCCAACAGATCCAATACGTCTATGCGATTTAGTGGTTCGTCTCGTCGGTTGTCCACGCATTCCCCATCGATGCATTCCTCCTTGAAATCCCCAATCAATAGTTTTTCCAGTTGCTGTGATATATTGTCCGACAACAAAATGACGAGCATCGAGAGATTGACCGGTTTGTGGAAGAGCATCTTCAGTTACCAAAAAGCATCCAAGTTTTTGTTTGATCGGAATTCCAGCTCGATTAAATTGTCGCCGATATCCAACTGAATATTTTGTTGGATCATCATTAATTGAACCAACTGTAACTTTCCACATTGGTCCATTTCGATTAAATGCTTTTCGTTTTCCAATCGCACTCATTTTATACCAATCTTCTGGTGATGTTACACTAACAACATTATTTTCAACAACTTCTAAAACTGTGCATAATATCCTTGTTCCATTAGTCGTCCATTGTGGCAACATTCCAATTTTTCTTACAACTAATCCAACACGTCTTGTTGATTCTCCAATATCAGTTATCGCCGCTTTTGAATTATCTAATTCCTCTCCAAATCTCGTTCCTTCTCTTTCAATTACTTTTTCGAGAAGTTTCCTGAAATAATTTATTGAATATTTTTATGGAAGTAACTCTGGACAAGGGAGCCCGATAAAAACTAAGATTTCAATTCCCCTGCTCAAAAAATATGAAAATGTCATTTTTATAACGTGAACTAGTTGTTTTTCAAATTGCAAGGTTCATTATTTAAACAAATTCCCTCTTGTCCAGACGTGTTTCGTAATCTGGACAAAACTCACTTTGTTGTATCATTCAATGGTACCGAATTACTATGCGCTGGTTCATTAATTGGCGGCAACCATGGAACAGGTGTCAATGTTCGCCTTCGTCCTCTTTGCTGTGTGTTAGAAATGCAAGTGGCGACGAGAAGCCGATTTGCTGCCCATTCTGGCGCTGGACTTGATGATATTCCAGTTACCAGTGATCGAAGCATACCCAACTAAATATGCAAAATGTTATGAAATTCTTTCAAAACATGTCATAAATTAAAAGAAAAAGTATTTAAAAAAAGACGATTTGAGTAAGAAAAACAATGATTTTTCGAGTCCACCAGATAATTAGAACACATACAACAATATTTAACACGTTTTCAGATGAGTTTAAGTCTTAAAACATTGAAAAACTTAAAATTTTCAGCGGAAAAATCGATCCGGTTCGAAAATATTTTGACGCTAAATGAAATGCTAAACAACGCGCATGCGGAGTATCGTAGTTGGTTTTCTCTTCCATCTTGTGCATTTTCTAGTCCCTCTATTTTTTCGGTTGAAAAAATGATTTTCAGCCGGAAATTGCTGAAAGAGACAATAACTTCTGTTCAAAAACTTATCAAACATGATCTAAATATAGTCACCGCTGATAAGTATATAATAAGTGTGAAAGCAGGAAATGGTGGAACCGGTTTAGCAAGGTTGGTTTTTAAAAAAGTTTTAATGGAAAATTTTTCGAAAATTATATGTTTAAGGTACAATGGATGTGGAGGTTATGGCGGGAATGTGTATTTTGTGGCAAAACCGAATGTGGCGTTTACAGATATCAAACGAAAATTGAAATCGAAGATGAAAATTCGAGCAGATCCTGGAGTTTCTGCGAACAAATTAGGATTGATTGGAGCGCACGGAAAACATGAATATTTTGAGGTGCCAATCGGAATTGAAGTCGTTGATCGGGAAAACAATACACTTATTGCCAGATGCAGCAGACCTTTTAATAAATATTTAATAGCTAGAGGTGGAGAAGGAGGATCAGCAAACACTGGATACAAGTAAGTCGGAGACTCCTGATATTCTGAATATTTAACTAGGGTGTTTTTAGAGGATTACCAGGACAAGCACTTGAGATTGAAGTACATTTAAAACTCCGGCCAAATATTGGATTGCTAGGTTTTCCAAATGCTGGAAAATCCACTATTTTGAAAGCGTTTGTTCCAGAAAAATCGGTGAAAATTGCAGATTATCCATTTACCACAGTTAGTTATTTTTTGATAATTGATTATTTTCTAAATTATATAACTGCCCTTCAGGTGAATCCACAAGTTGCATTCTGGAATTCATCAACACCATCAACATCTTCTACATCTCCACTCGCTGAAAATTTCACAGTTTCATTAGCCGATCTTCCTGGAATTATTGAAGGAGCTTCGAGAAATCGTGGAAGAGGATATCAATTTTTGAAACACTTGGAATATGCGGATATTGTTTTAATGGTTGTTGATTGTCAAGGATTTCAGTTGAAAAATGAGTTGGATTGTCCTTTCAGGTAAGCCAAATTACAAATCTCCCAAATTTGAGTTTAGCTCCAAAAACTTATTATCGAAAAATTATAAAAATTTTCGAATTTTCAAACGATGCTCCAGGTTTACAAGAATGAAAAATGCTCAGAACCTATGTGTAAACGCTGAGCGTTGTTTGAAAATTTTAACTTAAATATTTAAAATAAAGAAATCTGCATGTAAATTCGGATTATCGTTTAAAAAAACTGAAATATCCGATTTTCAGAATTTCATATTTTTCAGATCTCTAGTTTTGCACAGATCCCGGGATATTTTGAAATTCAACACATAGTTCAAAAATGAAATATTTTTCATTCAGAACACCCCTAGAATCGATTGCTTTGCTCAACAAAGAAGTCGAAAATTACGACAAAAAACTGGCGAAAAAACCAATTGTGCTGGTTCTCAACAAAATCGATCTTTTGGAATCTGACGAATCTCGCGACAATATCCAAAGCCTTCAAAATCTCCTGAAAACCAAAAATTGGTGGATGGGACTTCCTGAAGAATTTCGGCCAACAATTCCAATGCGTTTCGAAAATGTTATTCAATTGTCAGCAAAATCTGGAAAAATTGAGGAACTTCAGAAAGTTTTGACTGGTTTGAGACATCATATTCATGCTTTAACTGATGTTCCGGAAAATTCGAATTTTGAAGAGAAACCCAGAAAGAAGAGGCTTTTATAATTGCTCATGTTAGTTTCTCTAGTTTCATAAATGTTTCCATAGCAACCGAACCCTTTTTTTCTTTTATTTTCTAACTAGCTTTGAAAATGGAGGAGTTTGTCAGGAAGAATGATATTAGAAAAGGTAATTTTTCGTTTTTTTTTTCAATCTGAAATCAATTTCAGATTTTTTTTCAGAAATAATATCAAGTTTCCCGTTTCAAATGGCACTTTATTATAATATCCTCCTTTTTCCCTTTCATATAATTATTATGGCAATTGGCATGTATTTTAGGGTAAGTTAGCTTGAGTTATGTTTTAAATTACTTGTTTGTCTAATTAGTCAATTATATATAATTAATTCCAGTATGATTTGTTTTCTCTGACATATCGTGTAATTGTATTCTCGGCGTGTTTTGTTCATGTTTTTTCGGAGGCAATTCGATTGGCGCTTGGATTTTTTGGAAATTTGATGGAGAATGTGAGTTTTTTTGTTGAAAGTTCTGTGTTTTATGGTATTCAGCGCAAATTTTTGATCTAGAAATTTTTAACTGAAATTTTAAAATACAAAGTTTGGTCCATAAACTTGGTGAAAATATTCTAGATCTTAATTTTGCGCTGGAAATATGGGAATTCTATAAAATTTCTGACAATTCGAGACTTCGTGGAAAAATTTGATTCAGAAATTTTTTTGGATTTAGAATAAAAATAAATCATTTTCAACATCCAATTTTTCAGATGTCAGCTCTGTCCGGATTTCTAATAACATCAACAATAATTCAAATTCCCATCACACTTTTCCTAATCTTCAATTCTTCCTCCAAAAAACTGCCAATCGAATATTTATTCCTTGCAATATTCTTGATCCTAAATATTTTCGAAGTGATTTTCTCAATCTCAACTCTGAAAAAAGTGGCAACTCGTGAGATGATAAAATATGCATCGAAGATTGTGAAAAACGAATTCAATCGACAATTGGAAGCTGATATGAATGAGATGTTCGGACCGAAAAAAGAGAATGATGTTGAAAGAGATCGATTTTTGAAAGCAATGAAAGAAGTGGAAAAAGAGAAGAAGGAAGAAGATGAAGTTGAACTTGATTGATTGATTTTTAACTCGAAATATTTTGCTGAAAATTTTTTTCGTAGATTCCAAATCTTTTGATAAAAAAAATTTACAAAAATAAAAAAATGAGATCAAAATTTAACAACTCGTCCCAATTATTCCCTCAACTCGGGCGGTGTGAAAATCTTCTCCAACAGCGAAATACTCTTTGCATATTTGGCATTTCGTTTTCTTTGATGCGCAAGCCATCCTTTTTTCACCGCCTTCCAATGTCTCGAATATTCAACACGCAAAACTCCAATCTTTTCCGGATCAATCGATTTGTCGAATTCGTCGACTTTTTTGGGAAGCATTGGCATTTCAGCGATGGCGTTTGAGGCTCGCGGCATTTTGTGGATTTCACGACATGCGAGATATTCAACTGCGAGATTTGGGGCGAATTCTTGGCGAAGGGTTGTTGGAGCGGGATGCTCTTTAGTGATGTCTCCGCGAACCCAAGCTCGGCACAATGTGTATTCGCAATCGGATCTGAAAGATTACTTGGATTTTTGGTCAAAAATTAATCAATTCCAGAAAGTTTTCATTTTTTTTTAATCGAGCTTTTATCCAAGCTTTTATAAAAATTTTCATTTGGTCGATATTCAGCAGTTTTAATTGTTGATAAAATAAATGATCTTGAATTTTCTAGATAAAATCCAATTTTCGTTCATTTTCCCCATAAAAACTAACCTTCCAGCGACCAATTCAAAAGGTTTTCCCCTCAACTCAAACATAATACTCTGATCCGGCGACAGATCCATCACCTCATTATTCTTTTTCGTATCATTCGGCTCAACAATTTTTCTCGGTCTACCAGGTGGTCTTCCTCGTTTTTCAGTTTGTTCTTCATTTGTCGCCGGAGCTGCTGAACTCGAAGGAATCAAAGAATCGGGCATTGTAATCGATTCGACTGGATGTTGTTTTATTGTTGTCAATAGATTTCCGAGTCGTTTTCTGGCGAATTTCATGTCGGGAGATTCGGGAATCTTCGGGTCGATTTCGCCGAGCATTGCGCTGAAATTGCAAAAATTATTTATTTTTTTTCAAAAAGTTTCAGTCAGGTTCATATTTAGAACGTGGCGGATGAAAATTCAGAACTTTTTGATTTTCAATCTGAAGATTCTGAGAATTTCCAGAATTTTCATTATCTTTGTCTTCATGAAAAATTATTTGAATTTCCATTCCAAAAAAAGGAAATTTTAAAAAACGCACCCAAATTTCCTAGTCGGTGAATCATAAACCCCTCCACTTATCATCTCATCATTAAGAACATGTTGAGGAGCACCTCTTTCAACTGGCAACAAAAATTCCTCAAATTGATCATCCTCGTTCATCTGAAAACCTTTTAATGTCAAAAACAGTATCAACTGGTTTTTAAAATAAAAAAATGGAGATTCAACCATTGAAAATAATCTAATTAGAAAAACAAAAGACGAGATTCATATAGACTATATATTAAATAAGAAAAATAATAAATTATCACTGGAAATCTTTTAAAAAATTTAATCGTATTTCTTGACGCTGTTGGAAGATCGATTGACGGAATAAACCAAGACTGTCATTGAAGCGACAGAGATCGAATAAATAGCACGGAAGACGAGAATTGACCAGCTTGTGATAAGCAACACATTTTGAACAGTTCTAGAATAAAAACAATAATCTGTTTTAGAAATGGCTTGAAAGAGAGCTAATGAGCTTCGAAATTAATTTTCATAAAAATCTAATGATGTGTTGAATTACAATTTTCCTCGACTTGCCACATTTTTTCAAAGTCAGCTCAAGGTAAAACCAAACTTACTGATAGATGAATGTTGAGAAGATGCACAAGGCTAAAACTGGCACAATAATAAGTTTATTGCTACTACGTGTAAGCATCCATGTAAGCGCAGCCATTGAAAGAATCAAAAGAAGATCGAACGATGAATCGAGTGATGTTTGAACCCATCTCCAAGTAAACGCCGAAGCTCTCGCTCCAACCCACAAAAGAATAGCACGATGTGCAATCGAATGAGCAAATCCCCAACCAATTCCACCAACTAGAAAACGAACTTCTCCCTTTCCTGCTAAAAAGTTGGTCATCAAAAGGTGAAGTCCAATAACATCCATGATATCAGCACAGTTTTTCAAGAATTCGGGAACAATTGCGAAACCTTCGACATCAGATGTTGGGAAAAATGTGGCGAGGATTAAAAGTTTGACAAGCTGAGTTAACAGATATCCACCACTTGCTGTAGCACATTTCCAAATTGAACTATATTCGTTGATTCCTGAATATATTTTTCTTTCTTTCTTTGAAAAATAGAATAAGTTATGATAACTCACCGGAATATTTATATACAATAAAATACGGTGCAAATGACAATGCAAAACAATTGATAAAATGGAAAAATGTCATTTTTGAATACCCTGAAAATATAATATTTAGGCCAACAAATCGATTCAAATAGAGAAGAGCGTCAGTACAAAAAGAGGAGAGAAGAAAGTGTGCTCTATTGGAAAAAAGGAGAGATGCTTGGTTTTGGTTAGTATAGTAAAACGTATAGTAAAACGAACATGTGTTAATTCTTTTGAATATTCAAATTATCTCTCCGGTTATAAAAAACAAAAACACTATAATGGGGTGATTCAGGTCGAAAACGTTTTTTGTTTAAATTTTTTTCGACCTGAATTACCTCATAAAAAACAAAATCACACCGCACAAACCTTACAATACCTCCCGGGAACAGTGGGGTATTTCGAAGAAAAGGTCCCCACCATTATCATTTTGAGCAACTTAATTTTTGGTCCCCACCAACGAGATTTCTGACCATGAAAAGGTGGGGACCTATAATATGGCTGACTAGTGGGGGCTTAAAGTGATATTGGTGGGGGCCTGTTCAACGATTCACCCAAACGCAAAAAAAACATCTGAAAACCATGTTTTTTCCCACTAACAAATCCCTTCCTTCGAAGGAAGCTTGAAGCTTCAGAGAAAAAAAAACGACTTGAAAAAATCCGCAAACGTTAAACACGCTGAAAAAAAAATCTGCAAACAGCAAACACTACGCGCAAACCCTACAGTAACTCCCGGGAAAAGTGTAACGGGAACCCCTCGGGGGTTTTTAGCGGGAACCCTGATATTCCCTAACGAACTATAACCCCGGGAACCCTGAGAATCTCATAAGTTTCACTTTTCAGGCGGAGTATACTAGTCAATTTTCATACAAATTAGCCTTTTTCTGAATATGAACTGAAACCTTTTTTTTAGAATTAGAAAAGTAGTTAACGGATGAAAAAAAGAACAATTGTTGGAATACTGTAGCAAAGGAACACACAAAGAAATGCATGGTTCTCGAAACGAAAAATGAATTTAAAAAATTTTCGCGCGTTGATGTGATTTTTTTCAAAACTTCAACTTTTTGGCATAAACATATAATACATCGAGATAGACTAATCACTTAATAATCAAAATTGGCTTAGCGCCAGGTAATCGTAAAACGACTTATTGTAGCATCTTTTGAACTGTGTTTCTAGCTTATTTTAACTTTCTCTAACTCTCAGTTTGTAAGTACGCCCTTTCTCTTCAGATAGGAATTTTCGAAAATGAGAATGAATTTTTTATTTCTCGTGAAGAAATTTTTTAAAAATTGGAAACGTTTCAAATTTCACAAATCTATTTTTCATTTTTAATTTTTGAGCCAAATTTCGAGCATAGTATATCTCATCAATAAAATTTAATTTGGTAGATAGAAAATTCATCAATATTTTATTTATTTCCCTTTTTTTGGGTGTCACATCTACAAAACAACAATACGAAAATTATATCTTTTTTGTCTGAAAATCCCTCATAAAAGCTTTGCAGAGTATAATCTTCTCAGGAGTTATTCAACTTCAATTGGACATTTTCGTAGGATTATGTAGAATAATCTCTGATGACGGGTTTTCATATTATTTTTATAATGTTAATATTTTGTTATCTGAAAGAGTTCAAAGCTCGTGTATAAACAATATTCACAGAATTGTTAAAGTTTCCAATAAATATTTCTACGTGGCAGGATTTTTAAACTGTTCATTTTTTGTGGGTTACAGTACTTTCAGCGATTTTTTTTTCTGAAAGAAGTTATAACTTTTTTTCAAGTGATTTTCAAATGACTTCACATAACACAAACCACATGATTAAACATAAAAAATATGTTTTGAATTCCAGAAAAAATAATTTTGAAACGTGGCATATTTTGTAGCTAGAACCTGGTTTGAGCTCGGAGTTCAGACTTACTCTAAGAATTCAGAAATACCTATGAAAATATTGGGACTTTTGTATTTTTTTTCCAATAACCCCCATACTTTTCTTCTATCCTCACACTTATAATTTATTTCCAAATATAATTTATTCCCATTTTTGATATCACCTTTTTTTGATGTATGTGTGTGTCTCTAAGTATATGTGTTTTTTATTCACGAGTGTTGAAAACTAGAAGGCTGTGACATGAACAAGAAGAAAAAGAGAGCACAAAATCAATGACTGCGCACCTCTGCTTTTTCTCTTTTTCTTCTTCTTTTTCTTCTTCATATATGTTAGTTAGATATTTTCTTGTTTTGTTGTTACATAGAAGAAGAAGTAGACGTCGAGAGGAAAAGCTAGATATTTTATTGTTTTTTCACACATCCACATACATACACAACTTTTTATTAACTATGCTAGGTTCATGTTTCTACTGCTCGAAATTTTTTTTTTGAATTTTTTGTTCAGATTGTAGTGGCAAGATTCTTAATTTTCCGAAAAAAAAGGTTGTTCAAAATTTTCAGATGAATGCCACGTGGCAAATAATTTTACAAAAACCAAATAATAAGTAAAAATGTATATGCCTAATTCTCAGCAAAGACTTATATGAGCCAAACCCATTTCTGCTCAAATGTTCCTTTCGAAAATGTTTTCTTCCAATTTTCCTCCGTAAATGTGTCATTCAAAAACATCTGCCTTCCATTTCGTTTAAAAATAAAATTAGTCATTTTTATTTTCAGATGTCATGAGTTTGAATTCGGCTGAAGTAGAAACTGAATACGTGCATTCAATTTATTCAAGATTGGCAACATATCAACAAAAGGTATTTTATGTATGGATTACTGTAATTTTTCGGGGATTGAAATTTAAATTATCTAGTTTTTCTCGTTTCTTGTGTCTTCTGTGTTTATCTTTAGTTTCTGAAATTCAATTTTCGCCACGTATATTTTTTATATATACTTTTCGATTCTATATTCCATCAATTTTAGCTTACCCCATTTAGCTCATCTCCTATTTAATTGCCGTCATTATCCTTTTTCTTTTTTTCTAAATTTGATCGACATAAATTTAAAAGCTACAACGTGGCAGATCTAAACAACAAAAATTGAGAAAGTTCTATAGAAAATAATTTGTTTTGGAAAACCTTTACCTATTTTTAATTTTTTGCAGGACACAAAATCAAGTTCGCCACGAATTTGGCCACGTGTCAAACAGTTTGTTGATCAACAATCAACTGGAAGTGTAATTCTTGATGTTGGATGTGGCGAGGCAAAATATACATCAACAAAAAGTCATGTAATTGGATTTGACACGTGTCCAGAAGTGTTGGCTGCGAGCCAGAAGGATCATATTGATTTAGCTCTAGCTGATGCGATTAGTATTCCTGTGAAGTGAGTTGAAGGGGAGAATACTCTAACAATAAATGAATATAGGAGGAAAATACACTTTGGGACCCCGCGTACCTTCACATTTTTTCAGAGATGAAAGTGTTGATGCAGTTTTAAATGTTTCTGTAATTCATCATTTATCAACTACTCAGCGACGAAAAATGGTACTTCAAGGTGAGTTTTTGTAGATTTTGAAAATATAGGTGCTTCAAACTTTTTACCAAATATTTTTCCAAAGAATGAATCAGTCAAGCATACTTTTTCAAAATAAATTTTAATTGTCAGTTTTTTGAAACGTATTTTTAGCTTGTCAGAATTTCGGTGTTTTTCAAAGTTCTAAAAATGGCGGAATAATTTGAGAAAACAGGAATGAAATCGTTCTGTTCTTTTTTTGCAAAAAAATTTGACAAAAATTAATATTAATACAGTAACCTAGAATTATTGCTCATATTAACTATCTCAGGTTTTGAATTCAAAGATAAATACACTCGGTTGATCTCACGTTTTTCTAGGGCTACTGTAGCTCCAACACTAGATTACTGTAGAGATTTCCAGAATGTTCGAGATGTCTTCGAATTGGCGGCCAAATGCTTATCTATGTTTGGGCATTCGAACAACCAAATGGAAAATTTGCATCGCAAGATATATTGGTTCCATGGAATATGCATGAAACTGCAATCGGTGGTCGATTACCAAAAATCAAATTTCATATGAATACAACAAAAGAGCAACGAATAATTGCGGCTTCTATTCCAATTTGTATTTCTGATCCAACAACTTCAAATCGTTGGTTTTCCGGTGTTCTCAATAAAATGGTAGAACAATTTCAATTTCCATATTTTTCGAAAAAATCAACTGCACCTGAATCGAATAATAATATCAACAAAAATGAGAAGAATTCGAATTCGAAACTTCCATCTGCAGTTCCTCAATTCCTTCCGACAACAAATTCAATTATATCTGGAATCAAAAGATGGAGTCCGATGTTGGGAAAAAGATTGGCTAGTTTATTGGTTCCGGTTGAAGAACAATATGGAGAAGAGTTGGCCAATAATATTATGAGAGAAAGTATCACAGAAGCTATGGCCACATTGAGAGAGGTGAGGTTTTTTTGAAACAGAAGAGAAAAGAAATATGGATTTTTTAAATTTCAAATCGTGCAGTAATTTTGGTGCCGAAAAATTAAAGGCTGAATTTTTTTTCCATATTTGAAAAAAAATCACGGATTTTTTACGTTTCAAAATTTAGATAATTTATTTTATTTTAAAATCTGAGATTATGTATCTTCAATATTTGGCCCAAAATTTTAAATTTGAATTTTTCTCTGGCTACCGGATAACGCAAACATTTTCTCCCGCTTTTACTTTAGCTCCAGAACTTTTTTTCCAATTTGAAGCCAAAATTCTGTTATTCTAAATTAATCCTTCAAAAAATCAGATTAACTTTTACAAATAAAATGTCTAATTTTCTTGCAGGTAACCTTCTACCGATATTACCATGTTTTCAAAGAAAACGAATTGAATAATTTGGTGGATTCAATTCCCGAACTTCGAGTGATTTCAACAACATTTGAGCATGGAAATTGGTGTGTTATTGCTGAAAAAATTCCCGAAAATATCATACGTGCATAGATATCAAGAATATATATTATAATTCAACAACATATCTGATTTTATGTTTAATGAACAATTTTTTATATTTTTTATTCCTAACAATAAAAACAGAAATTATTATAGTTTACATCCATTGGAATTGGGAATTTCAGAATTGATAAATCCTTCATCTTTGAGTTTGAAAAGAGCCGGTGTCCAATATTGTTCGGGAAGATTTCGCAATTCAACAACTCGACTTTTGTATCGTGGATTATTGTCTCTAGAAAATTGAACTTGAACATACTTAGTTTTATTAGAGGAATGGAATAACTTGTTCTAGTTTTTTGTAGTTTAATATTTAAGGTCATACATACTTTTTTAGAAAAAAAACGACTACTGTATCAAAAAATATTGTGTAATTTTGCCGCCGAAATTTTAGAACCAGATTTTTTCTTCGAGATTCAATTTTCAACGCTGAAATCACTACTGTATCAGAAAACGAAATTCGTTGAATTCTAAAATGGTTCAAATTTTATTACAATTTTTTTCAGCGAAAAAACTCTATAAATTTACAGCAAAAATTTAGAAACCTGAAATTCTTTCAAATTTTTCTGCAGAGCAATCTTATATCGGATATTTCGCAAAACTTTGAAACTCCTAAAAACGAACCTTCTCCAAATTCTCTCCTTTTTCGTACATTGCCAAACAGCTTCATCCCAATACGAACATTGTCCCACCATTTTTCCAAGCGGTTTTTCTTGATGACATCTTTGCAAAAATTCAATCAATATATTGCATTCTTTTGTGTGTAAATGTGGCGATAAATCAGGCAACATCTAGAGGAAAAATACACTTTGATGGGGATTCACAAGGTAACTGTTTCAAGTCAAGCCCCTGTGAAGATTTTAACATAATTTATTATAACTAGCTTCAAAAGTCAATGAAAAAAATTTTAAAAAGTCGAAAACTTTTCCATCAAAAAACCCCCATGAATTTTTAACAAAATGTTTTTTTTTCAGAAAAATGAAAAAAATATTCAAGTGATCGGTTTAGAACACAAGTATACACCAATAATTTCAAAAAAAAATGAGAAAAAAATTTATGCATAATAGAAATTTGAGCAAAAACAAAACAGAACAGAGAACAGTACCTACATTTATACCTAATCAATCAATATTAATATCTTTTCCATCGGGTCCAAATCGATAATTTTCCTGAATTTCATGAAAAAGTCCACCACAAGATACGGTAGCCTTCAATTTTGCGGCAAGAAGATAACAACCAGAAAGTTTTCGATGAAGAGAATAAATTTCTTCAGGTGGGGATGTTAGACGATGTTCTAACATTACTGGAATTAATTTTTGAATTCTTTTTCGTAACATCTTGATGTGAGAAATCGTATGGATGATTGCTGGCAAGTGTTTCTCCCATAATCATTACTGATTCAACATGAGCATTTTCCATTATTGTTGTTTCGTAGCCAGTCAAAAATCCAATATCACGTGAATACCTAAAAATTAATTATAATTGATGTGACCTGGAACCCTGCCTCTTTAATCAATTAATTAAAACCTCTTGAACTCACTCAATAATCTTTTGTTTATCTCCATCATAAGCGGCTCGAATAATCTTCATATACGTATCAACAAATTCTTTTCCATACGCTCTAGACGCTCCAAAATCTAATAAAACCAATCGAGGTTCGCCAGTTTTCGGATGTTTTCCCAAGAAGAAATTGGACCAATTTGGATCGGTTTGCATAAATCGCCACACGAAAATCTCTTTGAGACATAATTCAATGAATTTACTCGAAATATAATCGCGAACAACTTGTGATTCTTCAATACAAGCATCAACTGGTTTACCATAAACCAATTCAGTTGTCAAAACACGAGAAGATGATAGTTCTTCAATGACTTCAGGGACATAAACATCTTTCCAATCAGCAATTAATTCTCGGAACTTTTTCATTGCTCTTGCTTCTCTTTCATAATCACATTCTTGTTTTAATTCTCGTCGAGCAACTTTGACAAATGAATCGAGGAACATTCCTTTCGGAAATATTCCACCGACTGATAAAACTGATACCAAATTGTCAATGTCTGAATCGATTCCTTCAGCTACTCCGGGATACTGTACTTTTACAGCAACTTCACGACCACCTGCAAAATGAGAATGTTGGACGGGTTTAATTGGAAAATTTCGAAATTCCGAAAATCTTACATTTCAAAGTGGCTTTATGAACTTGTCCAATAGAAGCACATGCAAATGGTTTCTCATCAAAAGTCTCGAATTTCTCCCTCCAATCATCTCCAAACGCATCTTTCATTTGTTTATGAACTTGTTTCAATGGCATAAAATCGGCACTTTGACGAACTCGCTCGAAAACTTGAAGCAAAGCTGGTGGAACTGTTGAATTGTCCTGAATTGAGAGCATTTGTCCCAACTTTAGCGCAGCTCCTCGAACTCGACAAAGTGTTGCAACAATTCGATCAGCATTCGCTTCAGAGAGAAATGGATTATTAGGCGATCCAGCTGTATCCAATGTTTTCTTTCCAATTCCAAATGTTCTTCTTGTGACTTCAGCAGTTGCGCCACCAAGTAAACCAACAGCTAATTGACCAAATGTTGCGAGTCTGGGGAAAATATTGATTTTGAAAATATAGTCTGATAACTTCGTTGGTTATTCAGGTAAACTTCTGAAACTTCTGAAAATCCTTTTGAAGAAAAAGAATTTAAAAATTTTTGAGGCATTCAAATTTTTTTTGAAATTTTTCGAACAAAAGTTTCGAGAAATCTGGATTTTTAAACTTCTTTTAAATTATCAAAAATCTCAACCTTCCAATCCTCGTAGCCGGAACTTTGCTCTCATTACTCCTCGAAAGTGTATGAATATTTCCAGTATTTATATTCAACTCAAAATTTTTGGGCAGTTCTGGTCGATAAACAATCGGTGTTTTTCCATAGATTTTCGTCTCAACATTCTCATCTTCTACTGATTTTGCAGCTTTTATTAGAAATTCAGTCTCCTCTTTTGTCAATGTTTTATCAATTGGAATAGCTTCTTCTACAACTGCTTCAATATTTTCCGGAGATGTTTTCTCTGATTTTGCCATTTTTGGGAGACTTGAGGTGCTTTCAATGTTAATATTTTTAGATGGAATTCCTCCAAGTGCCGATTGAATAAATATTTCTAATTGTGCAACTTGAGGGAACTTTTTCAATTCATTTGGAATCGGTAATCCAGGATTATTTAATGTCCAATTTCCTAATTGAGTTATAACCGGCAATGGAAATGGTGCTATTTTGACAACACCTTTTCCAATAAGTTCCGCAGTTTTCATCAAATTTTCAGTGATATTTGTTTGCATTGGCGAAGCTTGTCGACTATAAATTTTCTCGCCATTGTCAGATACAGTGAAACCGCCAGAACCGGGATATACACCTTGTGATAATAATTTAGCGAAAGTTTCGATTCCGGCTGCAATTACTCGAGCACGTTGAAGAGCTTCGTTTGTTGTTGGAAGAGCTTGAGAGAGAAGTGGATCGTTGGTTTTGTTGGGCTCCTGAAAAAAGCAGATTTTTTTTGAAACTTTTTTTGCTCTATCTGAAACCTTTTTCTGAATTTTCAATTTTTTTTTGAAATTCAAGATTAGCATGAACTTTTTTAGCTTTTTTTTGAAAATTGGATTTTTGCCAAAGATTTATAAAAAAATGGTCTGCACCGTGGGTTTGAATAAAACTAGAAATGTTGAAAAATGTTCATATTTTGTGCTAAAAAATCCACGAAAATTTTTTCGTGTTGGAAAATTTCAAGTTATTTTTCTCAAACAAAATTTAAAAAATCTCCCCCTCCAAAAAGCTTACCTTCAACGAATCCACCTCAGTTCCACCCATAACAATTGTCTGTAGGATTTTCCTCCGACAATTCTTCTCTAATTTTCTTCCATCATAACCAATCTGACTTCGAACAACCATTCCAACACCATCACAAATTGGCCCAAGTTCTTTTTGACACCATTTGATGGTTGATGAAAGAGGTGTCGCCATCCTAGAAAATTTTATTCATTTTTTGGGATTTTCGAAAATAAATATATAAGAAAAAGAAGAACGAGACAACAAAAACAAAAACCTAGGAACTATTAAAAAGTAAAAGAGGAAAAGGTTATTGTGGTCGAAGCTGTTTCCATTCAGGAATTCCATCAACAAGAATCGCATTTGTATCACAAGTTTCAAGCCAAGCAACAGTTGATCGAATATAAGTAACAGCTCGAAGAAGTTGAACTGGGTCAACAGGTCGATTTAGATATAAACAACGCCAAACTGCTCCAGCAAGAACTCGATCATCGTGTAAAAATCCTTCGTCATATTCGAAAAATGTTTGCAAATGTAATCCGTGCATATGTTTCATGTCATTTTCTGATGTTAAAACTTGTCCCAATTCTTTACTAACGATTGAAAGTCTAAAAATTCACAAATTTTATTTCGATGAATTCTTCATTAAAAAATACCTGTGATCAATATCTAACCACATTGTAGATAATAATCCTCTTTGCAATCTCATATATGCTTTTCCATCAAATTCTCCATGCAATCTCAAAAGAACCATCCAAGTATGCATTAATGTTAATTTATACCAAGATGACATAAAATCCCCAAGACCAAAAGCATCGCAAAGTTTCGGAAAATCGAAATTATCGGCGCAATTATAGTATAATTGAGCTGATGCGCGATCTAAAATTGATTTGACTGATCCGTCAAGGCCGTCTGGTTTGAATTTGAGTTTTAGAGAGCTCATGATTCGTTGGACCGTTGGTGGAACTCGTGAGACTGGAGCCTGTGAAAGACATTATTCTAGATATTTTAGCATATATTTTTTGACTATGATGCAAACCAACCTGCAACATTTCCTGTGTTAAATCTTCAATAGTTCTTTTTGGGCTTCTTATTTCTTCATTCGAAAAAACAGCAAAACTACTCGAAACCCTTCTACATATTGTTCGATTTATAGTGCTCAACATTCTCCTCTTTTAAAGCTGAAATTAATTTCAGCTCAAAATCTCGAAAAAATTAAATAAAATGATGGCCTAGAATCCGACAAGTTTCCTCTTCCACTGACCAACACGCCCTTTTTCTTTTTTGTGAGCTTTTGTGTGTTTGCCCAGAAAATTTGATATTTTTCTGACCTTTTTGTGATCAGACGGACAAAAGTGTACTATACGTTTTCTTCATTTTCATTTGTTTCGCTTCATTTCAAAAAAATCAATGTTATTTTTTGAAAATATTTTTGCAGAGAAATGCTTTTGCCAAGTTTATCCGATCTCCGCCAAGCTTTAACCGGTTATCATATAATCAACTTTTTGCTTTCAATCGCGTTTCCAGTTTTGAAATCAACATTTCTTTGTGATTATGTATTTTCTCTAGAACATGGAGATGTTTGTGAAATTGATCCGGTGAGTTTTTGAGTTACATCAGGGAGGGGGTTTCTGAAACCCAGAATCTTGTTGTAATCGGATACTTAATTGTTGAATTCCTAGTGGTGGAGTGAAAATGAGCTTCGAAAGTTGGTTGAGATCAGTTTATTGAAATTTGAAAATAAAAAAATTCCTGGATATTTTTTGTCTCGGCGAATTCGAAATGCCTCCGAAACCACGATTTATCATTTTATCCATAAAATTGAGTTAGGTTTGAAAATCGCGAATTCGGAGTGACTACGAAACCACGATTTATCATTTTTATCCATATATCCTACAGTAATATATCATAAAGTTTCATAATTTTTGGCAATCAGTTTTAACACTGTCCAGATGTTTTAAATCATTCATAAATTGGTAGTTTCTTGCTAATATGTCCGAGTTCGCGATTTTCAAATATAGCTCAATTTTGTGGATAAAATAATGAAGACCGGCGTTAGCCGGTCGTTTCATTCTTGTAAATTCGAATTGTTGTTTCCAGCGAGAACGTGAGATTCTCATGTTTTTACTCGTCATAATCGTATGGAAAGGTAGAAAAGCTACAAATTGGATGCATTATGTCAGCAACATTTTCCTTTTCTCAAAAGTCGCCGGATTATTTTTATTTGTTCGAGCTGATGTTTTGCCAGCCATTATTTATGTGCTGATTTGTCTTATCGTCACAGTTATGTTCCCTGAACCTCTTTATGATGGGCCCGAACAAGTTACATATTTTCAAGGAGAACAGTTATTTGTGAGTTTGAAAATATTCTTTGGTGCCTAATAAATTCACGATTTTAGGAAGAGCTCACAAAAAATCGAAATACCGTTTGGGTTATTCAATTTTTCACAACATGGTCTCCTGAATGTAAACACGTAACTCCAGTTTTCGCAAAACTTAGTGAGAAATACACACTTCCAAATCTGCGATTCGGAAAATTGGATATTGGAAGATGGTCGAAAGAGGGTGAAAGATTCCGTGTAAATTCACATCCAATGTCTAGACAGTTACCCACGATTTGTGTTTTTAAGTGAGTCTGATTTTTGGCAGGGATGATTTTTTTTAAATCTGATTGTGAGGATCTCAAATTTTTTGTTTTGAAAAATATCTAATTTTTTCTCGAATATATTCGAAATCTCTGAAAAATCCTGAAACACATTCAAATTTTTTCCCTCAAAACAACAATTTGCAGAGATGCCAAAGAAACATCCCGCCGTCCTTTGGTCAATGAAAGTCGCCGTGCTGTTCCTTTCGTTTTCAGTGAGGAAAATTGTGTGCTCGCGTTCGATTTGCAGAATTTATATAAAGAACAACAGTCGAAAAAATCAGCGAAACAGCAATCAAAAAAAGATGAGTAATAATCTGATCTCTAGTCGCATTTTTTTCGAATCAAAAATATACTTAATAAATATTTTTATGAAACAACACGAGGATCCCAGCAAGTTTTGTGGTCCACATTGATTTTCAAAAGTTTCTCAATATCTTCTTGTGAGATGACCAATTTTGTGACTTGGAAATTGGCAATTGCGTGTTCGGGATTAGTAGTTCGTGGGAGAACACTGATTCCTTGACAATAAGCAAATCCGAGTAACAAAACCGGAATTGATACTTGATATTTTTCAGCAAGTTCTTTGATCACTTCATCTTGCGATAACTTTTCGCGATAAGTCGGACTTCCCAAGCTGCTATACGCCTAAAATTAGATTTATATAAATAAACGATTTGATAATTGAAATTATGAGAACTTCTCAAAATTTTGATGAATCAAACAAGAATTGAATTCTTTAAAAAGCTCAGTTTCCACTCCATGCAGTTTAGGGAATATAATTTGAAAGTATCTCTCAAAATTCCAAAAATTACCTGAAAATGAATATCATTATCCTGACAATATTTGACAAGATCATCTTGATGAAAATGTGGATGATATTCGACTTGATTCACTGATGGAACAATTGATGAGATGTTTTTGAGTTCTTCCAAATGTTGAATTTCGAAATTTGAAACTCCGATGGATTTCAATTTTCCGGATTCTAAAAACAACTATTATTTTGGTTTCATGAAATTTTTGAACTACTGAAAATTCAAAAAATACAACAAATTTGAAAAGTTTTTTTTTTAAATTATAGATGTTTTATGAGTGAAATCATTAAAATCCCCTCACCTAACAATCCTTCCAAAACTTTCCAACTTTCTTTCCTCAATTCTCGATTTTTCTCGTCCTCACTTTTCAACCAACTTCCAGGCCAATGAATCAACAACAAATCGAGATAATCGGTTTTCAGATCTTTCATGGAACTGGAAAAAATCGAATTGAATTCGAAAAAAAATTAGTGAGCAGCTCACTTTTCAATACTTTTTGGTGCTTTTTCAGCTCCAGCATTACTTGGAGCCAATTTCGAAGTGATGAAAATATCTTTGCGGGTCAAACCATGAATTGGCAGAAGTCTCTCAAGACATCTTCCGATTGTTGCTTCATTTTGATAAACCTAAAAATATATAATTTTAGAGTTGTAGGATATCGTTCTGAATCAAATTAGCCTTTTTCAAAAATCTACCTGTGCAGTATCAATAAATCGATATCCGTTTTTGAATCCAGCATCAATAACTTCATACAATGTTTGTTCTTTTTTGATTTGCCAAGTTCCAATTCCAATTAAAGGCATATTTTGGCGAACATATTCACGATGAGTTGAAGACATTTTAACTGGAATTTATTTTTGTTTTCAGGTTAAAAATGAACGGTAACCCATAGTTACTTATCGAATTGTTTTGGTTTTTCTATTTTTTTTAGAGATTATTCTAGATTTATTAAGAACTACACATCTGAAACTACGATTTTCGATATTTTTTCAACCGGTTTACTAAATTAAAATATTTTGTACTTATTGTTAATTTCATGGCGGAATTTTTCTGGGCCAAAAAATGTCTCAAAAATCCAAGTACGTATCCGCATGCAGCTGTCCCCAATTACACTAGAAATAATAATAATACTTATGTATAACCCAACCACTTGAAACAATACATGTGTTTATATGTGTGCTCAAGTGATTTCAGTTACTTATACCATTATTGTGCAATTTGAAACACGTTCTATTTTGATTCATTCAGAAAATATGAATTCAGAGAATTCAGAAGTAAAAAATCGAACATTGGCGAATGCGAGAGAACGAAAACGAATGAAATGGTGAGTTATTTAGATTACTGTGGGTTTACTTAGAAGAGGATTTTGAAGTTTGAATTATTTGTCTACTTTTCCAGAATTTGAGGAATAGATGTTTTATTCCCAGGTTTTCAAAGTCTCTTCTGAATTTCTAATTTTTGAGACCAGTTTTTGCCTGTTTTTTGGACACCGCTACTTTTGAGTCTGATATTGAAATCAGAATTTAATTGTTAAATAGAAAGTTAAAATTTAAAATTAGAATAAACTTTTCGAAAACATACACCAAGATTCTCGGACCATGAAAATTTGGATATTAATTTTCAGCATAAATGTTGGATTTGATCATTTGCGAAAACAATTACCTGGTCGATATCACGATAAAAGATTATCCAAGGTAAGATTTATGAAAAAAATATTTTCCAAAATTTAAATGCCTAATTTTCAGGTAGAAACTCTCAAATCAGCCATTGAATATATAAATACCCTATCAAATCTTCTACAAAATCATCCTCCACCAAATACACCAAACACTTCACCTAACTTTTTCGCCTATCAATCGACTATTTGGACACCTCCTCAAAACTTGAATAAATAATTTGATAATCTTTTTCTTTGGTTTAAAAAATCTGATTTTCCTAATATTTTCCCAATATCTGTATCACTAAAATTTTCAATAAATCGGGAATTCAACCCAAAAACTTCCCAAACATAACTGTAAAGCAAAATAATTCATTTGAGACCAATGTTTTAAGCGAAAGAAAGAAATACACGTGTCAATAAATACAGCAAAAAAAAAAGAAACTGAAAAATGGAAAAATAGAAAAAATGAACAAGATCAATTGGATACTTCTTTAATAAGATTCTCATAAAATTCTTTGTGAATTTCCATAAATTTCGAATAATCGATTTCTTCTTCTGGATTTTGTTGAAGTTCCTCTTTTGGGTTATAAAATTGTTCGCAAGCTGGGCGAATATTTGGAGAATTGTTGTTTGAGAATTCCAAAAGACGTTGTTGGAGGGTTGAAATTGCGGACTGCAAAATATAAATTAACAAAATTTTCAAAAATCTAGCAAACTTACCAAAATGGTGTTCGCATCAACAACTCGTCTTAAAAACAAATTAACCAACGAATCAACACGATATGTCAAACACGGATTTGGTTTCATCGAAACCCAACAACCTCTTCGGAATAATCGATCCATTCTCTCACAAACCTGATCTTCAATCAGATTATCATCATTCGAACAAACTTCGACAGGAATAATTGCCGACCAAATTTTAATCGGAATATCAACAGATGGTGGCATTACAACAACATATGCCAATGCTTCTCGATCTTCTTCTGATAATACTTCGACACATCTTTGAAGTGAAATATCATAGGATTTATAATTATACGGTGTAATACATTCGATTGAACGAAGTCCTTTTGTTTCCAATCTTTGATTTAATTGTGCCAATCTTTTATAAGTTGGAGGATGACATGTTTTACACATCATTGTTAACAATGCTGGATTTCCCGAACTCAAACCGATTGTTTTCGTAAGAATTTCATCATCATAATCCGATTCGGCAGCTGGAAATCCATAAGCTCCGAACAAATCATCACATTCCTGAACTTGGAATGGCGGGATTTCAATATAGTCACAAGTGACCGTGGCAACATTTGCAATTTCAACATCACGAGTTGTGATCATACAACGAAGCTAAAAGAGGAATAATACTATGATGATTTAGAATAAAAATAGAAAGAGAAACAGAACTAACATTCAATTCCTGTGCCCAACGTATCGTATCATCCAAAACCACATCATCAAATACAAATAACACATTTGGTCGGTCAATCAACGCATTCGCAATCTACAAAAATGTTTTTTTTCTTTTTGTTGCCCAGATTCAAAAACTTCAGAAAAATTCTAAATTCTCACCATTTTTTTCAACACAACTGATGTCACATTATCGATACTTGGAAAGTTGAGAAGATCATCTTCGTTTCTAAAAAATTCCAAGTTTTCTAAATAAATTGAAATTCAAAAATGGGAGAAATTACCTTAACATGAGCAATACATCTGAAAATAAATCGAATGTAGATTTAGGTAGAACTCCAGCGTCTCGAAGCCAAATTACTGAATCGTAGTATCTGGAAAATGTTGGGATTTTGAAAAAAATTGGATGAAAAATTTTCTTATTTGGTACTCTGTCACTTGAGACTTGAACCAACACGTTCTAATCTCTATGCAGATGATGCACGATATGTTAGATGTTTGAAAATAGAGCGAGTTTTCATGTGAAAACTTTTTTTGGTCGAAAAAGTTATTCACGTTTTCAATAAAAAAAACTGGTCAGGTCACGTTTCTTATCTGATTTTATTTTCTCAATTTAAAAAGCAAAAATTCAGTCATTTCTGAATGTTAGTTCATTTTATTGCGGGATTCGTCATTTTGGCGCCGAAAATGTGAGTTTTGTTTCAGATACTGAATCAATATAGAAAAAAAACAATATTATTCTCAAAACTTCTCACCCTCCAATAAGTGTTTCATTCAACGACAATGCCTGCGATGCAATAACACTTTTTCCCGCTCCCGCTCTCCCATATAAAACCAGAAAAAAGCATTCGTTTTCCGACAAATCCTCCAAATTCTCCACAACTTTCGTGACAATTTGATCTCTTTGATAAAGATCAATTCGTCGTGGAACACTTCCCAACAATAATTTGCGTTGAAGCATTTCTCGTGAGAACATTGGTTGTAAAACGAATGAGCGAAGTCTGTAAGCCCTTAAAATTAATGAGGAATCTAAAGAAACACGAAATCGGAACTCACTGATCTGGATCATTTGTTGCAAAATTTATGAAATTCTGAAGATATTCTGAGATATGCCCTTGATTATTGTACTCGAAAAATGAGATCAAATCATTCAAATCAGACGCGTGTCTACGATAAAGACGAAGGAATAAACCAAGTCGTTCCAATCGTGTCATCTGCAAATTTCATCATGATCGGGGACTTTGAATAATATTGGTGGGTTGCTAATTTGAGATTCAGCCTAAGATTCTCTCACCTTCTGTTTGATCGAATCGACATGATCATCGGTGAACACTTTATTTCCTTCTAAATATAGCAAAGCTTCGCGCGGTTCGAAGTCGTGAAGTAACATTTGATATGCTGCGCTTAGAGCGCGACATTCTACTTCGCAAAGCATCTGAAAACTGATTTTTGAAATTTTTCTAGAAATTATTCCCAGAAAAACAGAGGTATTGCATCGTTTTCAGAACGAAAAATAAACAAAAATAAATTTCAAAAAGAAAATAAATACATATATTAATTAGTTGAAAGACAATTAATTTACATGAGAAACCTTCCGTATTCATATAATTTAATAAATATCTATTCATTTTTTCTTCGATACAATAACACGACCTTCTGCCAAATCAGAATGAGAAGCATGAATTTGTCGAATATCCCAAGACTGTGTAGCTCGAAACGAAACCACATTTTCTGTGATATTTTCAGCTTTCATTGGAATTCGCCCATATTCACTATTTTCCACATATACTTCTTCTCCCTGTTTGTAAGACCTTCCATCATATGTGAATCGCAATTTTTGAAGCTGCACGTCGAATTGGCGGCGTGACTGAAAATAACATTGATTTTTTTTTCGGAAAAGCTTCTTTATGTTGAAAAAATTGGCTAACCTTTTGTGGAGTATTTGAAGCAGATGAGATAAGTTTCAAATCTTCCATAATGTCATGTTCAGCCAATAAAAATTTGGCGTTCGAGTGAACTGAGACAACTGTTGTTTTTGGTGTTGCGTTGAAATATGTTGGCGGTTCGATTAGTATTCCACCACGTCTAAATATACATTTTTCACATAAAATTTATGAAAAAATTATTACCCTCTCAAGATCTTCTTATTTATATCAATAATATTAGAAGTTGTTGGTTTGTTAATTTCTAGTGATGAATATTCTAACTCGGTTCGTTTTTCAAGTGCTTCTAGATCTTTTTCCATTTCTGCTTTCATTTCGCTCAGTTTCCTTTGTGTATTTTCAGTTATTTTCTTCTCGCGAGCCTCATATTCTTCGGTTATTTTTTTCAATGTCATCTTTTCTGCAACATCAATCCTTTCAATAGCTTCGGCAGTTTTCAACTTGAAATCTTCTTTCGATTTTATTAAAATATGGTGTTGATCATTTTGCGCCAGAATTAGCTCATTTTTCAGTTCTTCTATTGATTTCTCTCTCAGACTTTTGAATAAACCATCTAAATCGGAATCATCAACTGAATTTTCTCGTTTAACAACCTTTTTCTTCATAACATTGCGATTTGCTTGTTTTTTCGAGCGAAATGACCCTCTCGAATCGATTTCCTGAATGATAACTGATTAATTGAATAACCCCAAATCAAATTCAACTTACACTACTCATTGAAATTAAGCTTCCAAGGCGGAAATGCACGAAATTCAAAAAATGGCGTGCTAATGAAAGCGCGTCAAATTATGTGTTGTGTGTGCATTGGTGTTTGCACACTTTTCAACTTCACAATTCTTTTTTCATTTTTTGTCCGTGACTGTTTTCATACGTGAGAAACATGGTATTTCTTACATTTTTCAGAGTTTTTTTATATACAAAATATTCACAGAATATAGAACTTCCTTTTAGACAAGCGATTTTTACCAGAAAACTTCAGAAATCTCCAAATAATTGTGTTTTTTGAAATAATTACTATGAGCAATATTTCAAAGTTTGCAGATGGCTTTCAAAAAGACACATGAACAATGCATGGAAGTGAGTACTTTGGAGGAAAACGTTTTGAGATGTATTAAAGATGGTCATCATGTTGTTGTAATAATTCGTGGAGTTACAGGAAGTGGTAAAACTACTCTTGCACAGTGAGTCATAACTAATTAGAAATAAGTCTAGAAATTAGTAATAACTTGTTTTTCAGAAAGTTGACCGAAGCTTCAGAGAAGTTCGAGATTCTTTTTGACGATAACGACAACCACGACAAAATATCGAAAGCTCTCAAAACCTCTTTGAAGAAAGATATGCCTTTAATTGTGATCGATAATGAAAATCAGAATTTTATGAGAGTTAAACAATATGCTGAACAAGCATCAAGACATAGTTATGAAGTTTATTGTTTGGAACCAAGTACAACTTGGAAATATATGGCTGAAGAATGTGCAAAAAGAAGCAGTCGCGGAGAGAGTATTGAATCGATCAGTGCAAAAATTGAAGTTTTGACTAGTACCAGGAAAATTACCGGAGAAACGCTTTTTTCGTCGAATATCAAGTTCGAGTAGGTTTCAAATGAATTTATTACTAGTTTTTAAAAGCACGAAAATATTTTTGATTTTCAGGATTCATAATTACAACAATTTGGATGATGATGATGATGTTCCTGTTGTTTTTTCCCCTCAACCAAGTCTTTTGAAAAAAGAAACACCGGAAAATTCAATATCTCCGGAATGTCTCAGTCCAGTACCGAAAGGTTTCATTTCACTTCGCGCGGAAAAAAGAGTTGTCGAAAAACGTGATAGTAATTGTCAAGTTTCGTATAAAGATTGTAAGTTTATTGTATTTTTTTTTCAAAGTAAAATAAACCATATTCTAGTGGAATTTCATTTGGCTAATGTTGAATGCAAAAACGATTCAAGAATTGGAGAAGGCTATTCATTCAATGAAAATTATCAGAGACCTCAAATGGTCGAGAAAAATCTGGATACACCTGAAATAAAAATGTTGAAATCGTTAGAAAAACCAATGGAACAAGTCGAATTGAGCATGTTATTTTCAATGTTTTTGCCTCATCGAAATGTTGAGGATATTCATCATGATTATCAAATGTATGGATTTGAGACAGCTGTGAAATTGTCGTTGGAAGAAGGATGGCCTATTTCGGATGATGTGATTCCATATGTAAGTGTATCACAATTTGTGATACAGACAATTGCATTTTCAAATTATTTCAGGAGTTTGCCGAGTGGTACGAAAATTATGCATATTTGGCTGATTCGAGTTCATTTGTTGTTGAAAACATTTTCAGAAATGACTCATCTTTCATTGGAAAATTGAGAAAACGAGTCGAACAGGAAGTTCTACCAGGAGAATGTACGTTTTTAAAGGCAGATTTTTTCCCACGGAAGTGTATTTATTCAGATGCTGATCCAGATATTTATCCGCATCTTGTTTTCAACCAGGAAAACATTGAATCAGATGAAGCGATTGCTCGACAACTTCAAGAAGAAGAAAATTCGATGTCAACAAATGATTCGTCTAATAAATTAACAATGGCGCAAAAAGAGAATCTTAAACTGTTGAAAAAGGCGTTCGCAAATGTTTCCGAAAATGAAGTTGAATATTATTTCGATGCTTTTCGAAAGACATATAAAGATGCACATCAAAAATTAGCTGAAGATTTTGGTGTAAACAAAAGTGCAAGAGAGGTGAGTATTTTTTGTTTCCTTTTTTAATAAACGTTTTATTTCAGTTTGAAGCACGCATTAAAAAAGAAAATGCACCATCAACATCAACTTTAATCAAAGCCTCTCAAGAATGGACTCCAACTTCAAGTTCCAATCCGAATCCAAATTTGAAAGAAGCGCAAAAAAGAGCACAAGAAGCTCGGATCAAATTGGACGTGAGATTAAAAACAAGAAACATTATACAAATTTTAATTTTTTCAACATTCAGAATTCAATGAGTAGATCTCGACGTCAACCATGTAATTCAATGCAAAAATGCATCGAGAGTTGTCGGGTTAGTTAAAAAAACCAAGGATAGGCTCGGACTGAACAAATATTTTCAGAAGCTTTATGAGAATAGAGACAATACTTCGAAATTTGTTGGAATCGATCAAATTATTCGAGATGGTCATTCATCGATTTATTATCTTGATTTGCATTTTATGACATCATATGGAGCTGTTCAATTTGTGAAAGATATGTTATCACAAGCGAAACCCGGTTAGTTTAAAGTTATATACACAGAGAAAAAAATTATTTTAAAAATATAGACAATCTTTATTTGCAGGTCGATGGATTGAAATTATCACTGGAGCTGGAAATAACTCACCAAATCCTTCAAATAACATCAGAACCAAGGTACTCACCTACTTGAGAAATAATAAGGTAACATTCACAAGAATTAATGATGGGTGCTTCAAAGTCAAAAAATAGTTATGGTTCATATCTGACCAGTCTTTTGTTTTCATATTTTTAATGCTATACCAAACAAAATTGTATATACATAGATGTATCTTTCATCTAGCAAATTTTCTGGTCAGATATGAGGGCCATGAATTTTTGATGTAGATTTTGTATCATTACTCGGTTTCTCTTCACTTGCCTTTTTTTCACTGAAAACAGGTTACTTTTTTGCGTTTTTGAATAACAATCTAGTTATTTATATAATACTCATTCTTATGTTTTTTCTTGTTCCAATTATTTTCTTTTTGTTTCTTTTAATAATGTTAAAAAATGTTCTCTGTTGAATATCAGCTATTTTAATATTCAGGTCAAATATTTTCAGTTCAATATTTCCAACCTTACATATCTGTTAAAGGGTTGGTATCGATAGGAATAAGGTGCTCCTGGAAAGTTCCAGTTTTAGAAAAAAAATTGAACTAGGCCGATTAAGATAGCAAGACTATCATCGATTAGAATTCAAAGTTGTAAATATTGTCCTTCCGAAAAAAAAAGAACCTTGGAAGAGAACCGACATGGCCTAGGAAACCAATACTACAGTAGACTTCGCGAAATTTTGGAGTCTATTTGAAAAATAAAATGCGAAATTTACACGTTGGCTATTTGCCAACCAGTTTGATGTGCATGTGTCACGTCATTTTTAGTCTACTGTACGTGAGCGCCAATTCAAACGGGGGTTCTTTTATTTTCGGAATGACAATACAAAAAACAATTAAGTTTCACGACATTTTGTGAATTGTATTTTCGTGTTTCGAAACACGTTTTTTGACGTTTTGAAACTCCGTCAATTGTCCCATAAAAGACTCATTTTTTGTCAATTAACTGACAAAATCACGTCGATTAATTCGACTTAATCATCTCATAAGTGCAAACACGGCAACGCACAAATGCATGGCCCCATTGGTTGGTTTATTCATCATTTCTCCAAATTTCATTCAATTTATTTATTTCAGTTTCCAGTTTTTGAACTGATTCGATATATTGATCACGTGCTTCAGTTTTTGACATACCTGAAATTAAAAAAAAACAAAATATATTTTGGCTACTTGGGTGAGTCAATTTTATTTTTTGTCAATTAATTGACAGAAAATGGGAGTCTTTTTTGTGCGATTTTTTCACTTTTTTGTCGATCAATTACATTTTTTTGCAATTAATTGCATGCAAAAATGAGGATTTTTGCCAAGAAATGAAAGCGAGGAATTGACAAAAACGTGAAATTAATCGCCCTGAAAGACTCACTTTTTTTTGTAAATTAATCGCAAAAACACGTCGATTAATTCGATTGACTCACCCCATACCTAAATATTGAGTGTTTACCTCTTAACTTATTCCAAGCATGCCATTTTTCATTTCCATTTATCCATCTCCACATCCACGATTTTTCACCCTCATCGATTTCCATGTAATCGAGTTCTGAAATTATTTTCAGGTCAGATAAGATCGAAAATAAACTAGAAAACTCACTGGGAACATTGATATCTCCAATTATTGATTGTTGATATAATGCCCAAATATTTCGAGTGTGTTTTTCGAATTTGATGAAGATTTCGAACTCGAATTTAAGAATCTAAGAAAATAATCAAAATTAAAAATATTGGATTTTAGAACATTTATTGGATTTTAGAAAATCTGAAAAAATTTCTGAGTATTGCTCAGTTAAACAAAATTTTGAAAAATTTCGGAGCGGTGTATGTGTCAATTAAAACAATTTTGTGAATTTTTGAAAATTGTGATCCTTATTAAAAAAAACAATTCTGGATTTAAAACATTTGGAAAGCTCTCAATTCAAAAAAATTTTAATGCCAAATATGAGCTCATGATAATTAGAAATCTGAAATTTTACTGTAAATCTGTACCAACCTTCCTTTGAACATATTTCGCCCGAATTCGCTTAAAATCTAACAACGCAGATTCCATAACAATAATGCAATCTTTATTTTCTTCTTTTTTTTGCAAACTCCTGAAGAAAATAAAAACTAAACAAAAATGAAAACAGGAGATGAAAAATAGAAAAGAATCGAAAACACCCAAGGAATAAAGGGAAGAAAAAGGCGGAGAGAACGAATTGATAAAATTGGCTCAAATTATTGTCAGAGTCGCATTACATCTATTAATGGTCCAAATTGTTGCGATGATCGTTTGTCTTCTGAAAATATTTATTTAGGAAAATTGTTTCTTCAATCGATATATACGGTACTTAAGCTGACAAAATTACTCAAAATCTGAAATTCTTGAGCAGCTTTAAAAAAATTTAAAAAAACTATAAAAGTAATTTGTCCCATTGAAAAGTTTCTTGTAAAAAAGAGGAACTAAAAACTATAATCCCTTGGGAAATTAGGTCACCTTGAAACAATTGCTCATAAGCTCGAAGTTGATGAATTGCCCGGTTTAGACTTGATGGTTTCCAATGTGAAAGTCGATGTGGATCTCGAAGAACGTCTCGCATTACTAGAAAAAATGGATCATGATTTGGGTTGAGTTCAGTTTGGGAAGATTTTGAGTGTTGAACGTCAGGAAAAATCAGGAAAAAGTTATGACATGGAAAAACAATTCTTCATAAATATAATTTTCGAAAATTTTACATTGTTTTTCAGCAGGGTTTTGAATTTGGAAACTTTAGATGGTCCAAGTTTAAGAGAAGAGTTAGGGAATCGAAAAAATCGATGGAACTTCCAAATAGGAGTTTCTAAAAAATCCTGTGAAATCAGAATTTGAATATTTGAGATCTGAAAAATATCAGATCCTCCGAAAGCTTCCAGGCATTTTTGCCACGTGATAACTTTATTCGGAAAGGTACGATTCACGGAATAAAACTTTTAAAAAATTTATTTTCAGAAATTTCTAATTTTTTCCGAATTTTTGGTTTTCAAAGGATATGATGATAAATATTTAATAATTTGAGTTTTTGTTTAACATGAGCAATGCTCAAAAAATCCCATTGAACTCTTCAACTCACATCTGCATTTCTCACCAGCACAAGTCACCGATTGCTCAGTTGAAACGACAAAAAACAATAGAAGGACAGCTAGAAAATATGGTGAATAATAATAGCAAATCATTTTTCTTCCACAGATCCTGTTGACTTTGTGTTGTGTTGTTATTGTGTTTTTATTCTGATTAGCAGCATCAGTCCTCCACATTCTTTTCTTGAAATATAAATTATTATGAAGCTGAAAATGGAAATGTAAATGAAAATGGGCGGAGCATTGAGGAGCAAAAATATGCGCGGTTGGGGAAAATGAAAGGACAGACACACCCCAAATGAGAAAAAAAAGAAAAATTCGTTGAAGTGGAATAATACATCAAATTGTGATATGATAACAAATATATGAATAAATAGAAACACCTACGCATTCTTATTAGTTTGTTTGAAAAAAAGTTGAAATGTAAGTTAGTAAGCAAGGCGACGTAATTGATACTTATTTATAAATATCATTGAAAATAAATAGATTTTCTAGATAAAAAGTAGAACTTTGAGTTTTGGATGACTCCAGGGAATTGCGAAAAATTAGTGGGAAATAAGTAAATAAGTTCGAGTCCAAGGTACGATTTTTTGAGAAGAATTCTGAATCAGCCATGTTTGAAAAAGTGGCTCTATTTTTGGGGTCCGCTTCACAATGCTTCAAGATCCCTACAATTTTCATACACCAGGAGCTCACCTGTTAACTCAACTCAAAATTCGAATTTCCGAAAATTTCCAAAATAACATTTTAGACCTCTATAATTAAATAAACAAATTTTGCTTTTTTTTTCTTCAAAATTTTCTTGATAGTTAGACTAATTCGAGGGTAACCAAAAAATATATTCAAAAATATTTACCCAACTGTTTTCTTGCTCAATAATCTCTGAGGTACAAAATCTTTAGAAAAATCACATTATTTTCAGAGATGAACTAACAGAAATATTTGGGAAAAAATGCGGAAGTTAAATTTTTTATGTGAAGAAAAACCATAGCATTTACCATAATTTTGAGATTTGCAAGAAAAATACAATTTTTTGTATTGTTTTTGTGATGTCTAACAAGAATGATTCACTTTTGGGAATATTTTGATGATGACCAAATGCTCCAAAAAAAATTCTGAGAAATCTAAAATTGAAAAAAAAATCTGACATCATTTTTCAAATTTTAGAGAATGAATGTCACGTGGCAAAACTCAAATTATAAAGGGCTGGATTTAGGCTGACAAAAATGAGGTAATGTGGTATTTAAATACAACATTTATTTTTTACACGTTTGCAATAATGCAATTTTACAATTTTACCCATTTGCAAAAATACCAGAATACAACCTTTTTTTCTGCTTTGGCAAAGAATCATCAAATTCAACGTTCCGCGTTTTTCCAACACGATTCCACGTGGAAGCAAAAACAGAATACAGTAAACCTCTCTCGTTTATTCGATCTCAAACAAAAAATCTAAATTTCTCATTGTCAATTAATTTTTTTTCAACCGGATATGGTGTAAATTTGATGGTGGAAAACCATTTTCATTCAGAGCAAGTTCCAAATTCAGAATCACTAGTGAGCTGATTTTTGAAATCAGCTGATTTTTGAAAATTGTCATCATCGAGGCTTCAAGGCAAATATCACTGCCCTTTTACATGATTTGGTAGCGATCAAAATGATAAATTATTCGTGAAGAGCACAGTTATACTATTCAACTCGCTTTCTATTAACACTTGAATTGTTTCAATAACATTTTCTGAACAAAAAGTACCACAAAATTGTTGAAATTTTGGGTAAATTTAAAAAATGTTGTATTCTGGTATTATTGCATTCTGGTATTTCTAATAAAAAAAAATCATTGCATTCTGGTACCATTAAAAAAACGTGAGTTGTATTCTGGGCGGCCATTTTTAGCATTTTTAAAAATGTCGTATTATTGCATTATTTTTGCCAGCCTAGGCTGGATCTGGGCTCAGGCTCTGAAATCAGTCCAACATCTTGGCCCAAGAAACATGTCTATCTAAGCAAAGGCCACCCATATTTGTTCTCATTCATCTTTCGATCGAAAAAAGTTTCAAAAAGTCAACGTTCAGCGATGCATAAAGTATGTATTAATCATATGGAAACTTGAACCAAAAAAACTAGTCACATGAGATGAGAGTTCGTCAACTTTTGATGATTTAAGTATTTCGAGAAAATGTCACATTTTTGGCAAAAAAAACCAAAGAAAAAAAACAAGTTGATGTTAGCTCATTTTTATTGCAGAGTAAAATAAAGTGTTCAGAATTGAAATTATTCAGGGATTTTTGAAATTTGCTCTGAACACAGTTCAGGATTTTCAAAAACTTGAAAAAAAGCCACGTGGCAATTTACTTTAGCTCGAAAAAATCTGTTTTAAAGTTTACTCCACGTGTAATTTTTAGCGCAAAATAATTTTAAAACTTTAAAGCTTGGAAATTTATATACCACGTCTCTGACCAAAAAAACCAAAGTTTGCTATTTTCTCCAAAGGTTTTCGAAAGGTTTTGATTCAAAAAATGACAGGTGAAAATTGTGTGACCTAATTGGCATCTTGAAAAAAGCTCACATATAATTAATTAATTATTAATGAATTTTGTTTGAAAAAAAATAACTTAAAGAAATGTGAGAAAATTGCATAGGTTGGGAAAATTTGTGAGAGAATTTTTAAAATACACATGATTTTCTGAAATACCAAAAATCTTCGTAAATAAATAGGCCAACTCAAGCCACGCCCATTTTTTCTCTCATTCCAGATTCAATTTAAATTAGATGATCAAAAAATGACGGGCGGAATTTAGTGGTCCATGAAAAATGTCACATTTATGTGTTTTAAGACTTATTTTTAGTCAGCAAAAGCAGTGGGTGTTCGTTTCCAAAAAACCAATCTAATAAAGTGACATTTCGTTTTTCTTCTTCTTCTTCTAGAACTTCTTTCCAGTCAAGAAAAAATCTCATTAAATTTAAAAGTTAGGCAAAGTTTAAAAAGCGAAAGGAAATGAGTTAGTTGAAATTCAAATTAAAGTGAAAGAGACAAAAGTGTCCATCTCTCTCGTTTTTGAAATAAAGTACTAGATTTTTTATACTTTGTCAAACTTGACATTTTTAGTGCATTCAAAAAATTGCATGGGTGGTTAATTTGCTTTGACTAGATGCATTTTTGTAGAAGAAGGGGGGATATGAAATGTTGAAAACATGTGACTATTAGCGAAATGGGGGGATTTTTGGGCAACGTGGGATTCTAATTAAAATTGTGCCACGTGGCACCTAAACATTTTCTGATTCCCATTTTTTTTCTACGTGACATTTCAACTCTTCCTTTCGATTTTTGGTTTTGAACCCTTGGAAGTTCATTCATTCATTTTTTTTTTGGAAAAAAACAAGCTTATCATATCTTTTTTCGTTATCGATGACATAACACATTCAAGTTTTTGTTTCATAAATGTTTCTAAACAGATTTTCAACCCTTCTAATATTTTTAATAATATCAATTTTCCTTGTTGATATTTATAAATGTCAACTTGCAAATAGCAGTAAGTTATTGTTTTTTTTTAAATTATTTTTTGGTTCAAAAATCAATTCAAAATTATTAGGTCCATTCGAGTTTCCTGAAGAAGAATTTGAAGATGAAGAAGATCGAAGTTTGGAAAAAGACATTCTTGTTTTACCGAATCGTTTTCCAAAAAGATTGAATTGGTTTTGTAATCCGAGAAACGAATTAATGCGGGATCGATTGTGTATGGGAGAAATTGATGCGTATGCTTTAGCTTGTGCTGATGAATCACCACCTATTCAACTTGTTCCGTTTTGTTTGGGATATAAGGTGAGGGCAAAGAAATGTACACTCAAAGTCCCTTTCTTAATTAATCCTCTCATTCTCACCTTAACAAATAAAATTTCAATCTCTGATCACTTTTCTAATTACTATTGTCCATCTTGAGAAAACATCAAAACAAAAATATTTTCATTATTACTATTTACACAAATCTTGTCTTTTTCATGATAAATTAGCTTGGTTCCAGTTTATTCAAAGAATAAGTGTTAACAATTGTTTGTTTTCAGCATCAATGCGCAAAAGCAAATTATCCATCAGAAGATTGGTGTGAAAAAGAATTTGATAGATATGATAAGTAAGTTTCTGGGGAAAAAGTTCGAAAAATGCGTTCAGAACTTGCATTTAGGCTAAGCCTATTTTTATTCTAGTAAAGATCTTGTATTTCTTGTACTCATATACAACTATTAAATTTTCGAAAAATATTCATTCAACTTCTTTTGGACTGACGCAAAAAACTTGAATATGAAATGAAATGAAACGATTTGCAAGAAAAAAATTGACAAGAAAAAGGAATTCGAGGTTTTCACACATGTTCACCATTCATTTACCAAATCAAAATCATCAGGAATATTGAATAAATCATCGAGAAATGAATGATCATTGAGATGTAAAAGTCGAAGCGCTGATTTTGGCTCATTCAAATCTGGAAGTGCTTGCCAATGTCGAACACGTAAATCAAGTCTCTCGTTTTCTTTCGTTGTTGCTTGACCATCAAATCCGCCTGCCACGTGGATTATATGATTGTCGATTACACTGATACCGTAGTTTGATCTACAAAAAATAATTTGCGTGATTTGGACTTCTGAATTCAAGAGGGTTTCTCCCAGCTCTCTATTCAAAACCAACCTTCCACAATGCATTAATGGCATCGGATGCCAAATCCCTTCTCTCAAATCATACATCTCAGCCGAATCCAATCGTTTTGATCCATTAAACCCGCCAACCACCAAACACACTTGATCCATAATCGTGACTGCCGAACATCCAGTTCTCCTCGTTCGCATACCTCTTCCAAGCATTTGCCATTGATTAGTGTTCGGATCATACAATTCGGCATTCGAATGAAAATTCCGTCCATCAAATCCTCCGACACTCATCACTTTTCCACCGATCAATGTGTTTGCACCGTCCGAACGATGAAATGCCATTGAGGAACACTCTGTCCACATATCTTTTTCGACATCGTATCTTTCGACAGTGTTCAGACGGTTGGTTCCATTCATCCTAGAAAAAATGGTTGTGTTGAAGCCTGATTTTTTTCAGCTTTTGAAGATCTTTTAGATCAGGCAGGCTCAAAATTTTGATATATCTAAATTAATTTTCAAATTCTCGCATTCTCTAAAGTCCCAGTTTCTTCCAAACCCACTCCCAAATAACTCACCCTCCACACGCAAAAATACTCGTGGAACCTTGTGAATCTTTGAATTGTACACTTGACACATAACATCGACAATCATGCATATTCTTTCCCCATTTCCAATCCTTCTTCTTCAAATCAAATAAAAGTGTTGTCTGATAGTGTGAATTGCCACCAAATCCTCCAAATATAATCAGTTTGTCGTCAACAATCTCGTTTCCATGATACGCTCTTTTGATTGTTGGAATCTCGTAGTTGAAGGTGCATGTTTGCCAGCGATCACAGCGCGTGTTGAAGATTTCGATTTTTTGAGCGACACCTCGACTTGACCAACCGCCTGCAAAATTTTCGGAATTTTTTCGGAATTTTTTCAGAAGGAGTCTTTTTTCCTTGCCACGTCTCTGCGGATCTTACCAAATGCGATGATTGCATTCCTAGGCTGCCGATTTCGAATAACTTCATATTTCGTTGAATCCGGCATCACTTTTCTTGCAAAATTCATCAATGAAAATTTGGCCAAATTGGCAGAATTCAGTGAATTATGATGGCGACGCCAATTTTCCACAATCCGTTTTTCATCTTGACTCCGTATGTTCAAATTTTTGTCAGTTAACAGGAAAATCAGTTCGTCTTCATTCAAATTCAGATATTCGTTGCTGTTTACAAGCTGAAAATTTTAATTTCTGAATTAGAATTTGGGAAAAAAATGCCACGTAAGAAAATTCTTAGCACTGGAAAAAAAGTTTTGAAACTGACCATCTGAAATTGATTCAAAATCGCCTGCCAAACACGAAACGCCAAATGTGTGTGATAAAGTAGAGATAAATGAAATATTCGAATAATATCTGAAAGATTTTGGAATATTTTTGGATTTCTGAATCAGTACATCATAAAAGCGATTAGAATTTTTGTTAAATAATCAGAGACATCCTGAAATTCTTATTTTCTCACTTACTATTATAGTTGAGTTGTTGACAAATGACATCAGTCAAATAATCCAATGCAATATCAATTTGTAAATAGGCAGCTGGTTCAATGAGTTGAATTGCTCTTTGAAGTGACAATTCTGGTTTGATACCATTCTCAAAAGCCCGTGGAATTGTTAGTAAATAATGAAGATCAGTTGAGTTCACAATCCGGATTCTGAAAAAAAATTGTGTGATCAGAAAAAGGATAAAAAATCTGACTTATTTTTTCCCGCCTGAACTTGCCTATAAAAATCCAATTTTGAATCGTTGAATTGTGAGGAGAACAAGCATTTGAAATAGTTCGAGTAATTTGACAAAATTCGTCGACTTATGATCATTTCTTCATCATTTGAAAGAATGAGTCGAACATTTGAATTGAGCCAATGTAAATCGTTTGAATCATTTGAAAAACGAGCACGTTTACATGGAGATTCACCAAATGTGTTATCGATTGCTGCAAAACTCGAATGTTTTATTGTAAAAATTATTTGAAATTTTGCATTTTTCCTAATATTCAGATTGAGGGCTTACAAAAAATCCGCTGAAAATCAGTCAAGCATATTTCTCTGGAATCTACAGTAACCACTTGCTCTCTCTCTGTCCAATTTTACCTGTATTTGGCGGTGGACTTGTAGCTGTTTGTGAAATAAATGAGCAATTATTGTTATTCACATCATAATATGTTTCATCCATGATAGTTTTGAAATGAGAAATCTAGTCGAGTCAAGAGACAGTAAAATAATGAACTGAGATACTTCTCATCCCTTTTATATCAAAAATTTTATCGGTCACGTTACACGTTTATTTTTGAAAAATAAAAATGAAAACATGTTTTTTTTTATTAATTTTTCAAATGCTGTTTTTAGAGACATATTTTTAAAAATTTTACATTTCTTCTGATCCTTACGATCATTAATCCACAAGACACAGCGGAAATTTAAAATATTTAACTTACAATGTTTTTCAGATCACATTTTAAATTTCCGCTATACTTTAATATAGTTTGGAATAAAAATCGATCAGAGTCCCTTTCAATTCTAATTTTTTGCAGATTTTGCACATCGTGCGCCAAATCCGAATGCATCAGCTACAGCCACGATTTATCGTGTTACTGTGAACCATATGATAATATTTGGCGACGATCTGGTTTTGAAACTGCTAGATGGTGTCAAAAATACGAATTGATTTGTGATGAGAAAAAGCGGCGAGAAAAAGGAACCGAATTAGTGCAATTGATGCAGGATAAAATTAAAGTTCATTATAGGTGTGTGAGGTATTTACAGTAGTTTTCTGGACCCACTTTTTTCCAGATGCTTGCATTTATTCAATTTGCCAAGTGTAATTTGTGACCCATTTTCGACAAGATTTGATTGGTATCGTTGTATGAAGGTAAATTAATAATAATAATATCTTTATTCTCCTCATTAATTAATTAATTCCAGTTTATCTTCGATTGTGAATTAATTTCTGATTGGGATGACGATGATTATGAAGATGTTGGAGTAATTCATGGAGAAGGACCAAAAACAACACCACAGGTTCGTTTAGCTCTCGTTGTTAGCTTTTTCGTATTCAATTTTCTCATTATTCAAATTTCGCTAGAACAAAACAAATAAACAAAAAAGAGTAAATGAATATATCCATCTTTAATTATTTGCAGCCAAAGACCGCGCATTACAAAAAGGAGGAAATATCAATTTCAGATCAAGCTGAGACGTTGTTGAGTATGTTATTTGAGAAAAAAGAAAAGGGTTTGAGGGGATATTCAGTGAAACTTAAAAATGTTCCATATTGGGTGTACCCGTTGTCAGCTAATGTTTTCCAGAAAGTGGTGTTACCAAAGATCAATTGGCTGCAAATGCTGCAATTCGAAACAAGGAGAAAGAACTGGAAACTGTTATCAAAGGAACACCAGGAAAATAAATATTTATTTTTATTCAATTTAAATTCTATCTTCAATAAACACATATTTATCTCCTCGTCATCCATGTCTGATAATTCGCAAAAAAAATCTAGAAAAAAATATTTTTGAAAACTTTTAAAAATTATAGATTATTCAAGTCTATAATTTCAACAAAGGTCTCTAGTAAATTATCTTTTTGAAAAATAATATTTGAAAAAAATCGAATAAAAATTGATATTATGGGGGGTCTATTTTGGAAATCTTATCATTTTACAAGATGTTTTGAAAAATAAAGATGAAAGGAATTGCGACGAATTATTTTTGGAATCGGAAATTCTTGATATTCAAAAATAACTTGATATTTTGGTCGATTGGAATTCAGGAAGCTTGAAGAAATTTCTGATATTTTGGGAGCGGACCTGATTTTTTTCAAGACAACAGAATCATTTAATTATTTGGAATAAAGATTCTTTTTCTGAAAATCTAAATGAATTCAAGTTTCACAAATTTTCGATGATATTTACGGCTTCAACTTTATCTTTTTATAGATTTGGTTAAAATCCTTCTTCAGAATCAGATCTCTATTTAAAAAAACATTTTTTTTTCGAATTTTCTTTGTGATCTTCATCTCTTCTAAATTTTTTAAATGAAACCCCGCAAAACCTTATCATTTTGACTGTAACTTTGAAGATGAAAAGAAATGCGACAATTTATTTTCGGAAACGGAAATTGTTAAAATTTAAAAATAACTGATACTTTGATGGTTTGGAGTTCACAAATCAGAGTACTGTATTATTGAAAAGATTTTTTCAGTCAAATTTTAGGTCTAAAATTGATAAAATAGTTATGACGAGGAAGAATTTTTGTGATTTTTAGAACCTTGATCTTCTGATTTTTTAGAAATGATATGAAATAGTTTTTTAGGCCTAACCTTAAAGTTCCGAAGTATTTACAAATGAAGGCGACTTTTTAGACTTAGGCTTACCGAAAATGTGAACCTCACCTACAGAAAAAAAATGTTGCCAGTTATAACGATTCTCTAGTAATGAGGTTTTTTATTCCCCTTTTTTCGCAATTTGGTCAGCGGACTCCCTGATTAATGCGATTTTCACTTTCACTTCAACTTTGATCGTTCAAAGAGAAAATTTGAAGGACAAAGACCAGAATACTGTACCTGTTCTATTTTTAACTTTTCCAAAAGAAATAGTTTTGCTTTACTTCTTTATCAATTTAGTAGTATTTCTAACTTTCGATGATAATAGAAAACTTCCCAAATAATTTGCGCAATTTCACATGAAAACTATGAACAAAGATGACTATTTTCGTTTGATTAATGATATTTTCGTGTCCTTTTTCGCATCTTATCATGGGAAAAAAGTGTGACATTTCACAATTGACAAAATATTTGAACAAGTTTTATTTTCAACTTTGGATGAACGATCATCAATTAAAACAGGGCGATGAAAACAAGAGAATAGAATGTGTGGCCGGATGTTTTAACACCTTGGTCTTATTTTGGTCTTTTGATGATTATCGCACATTTTCTGATCATATTTTGATGGAAGATGGTACTCAGGGAATCACGGGCGAGATCTCCGCGATTCGCGGGACCCAGAAATCCGCGAAATCGCCGCCAACACGCCGCGATTTCGCGGTTTTCTGTCTGCGAATCGCGGAAATCTCGCGGTGCTCTCTCAAAAATCAAAAAGTAGAGGCGCCGCGAGACACAACTAATCGCTTTTAATCATACTCACTCGGCCGGCCTCGATCCGACACTCTCTGACTCACACACATTCCTATTACCCACTTGACCATCCACGCGCACGACTCATATCGCTGAAACGTGTTTCATATCTCTGCACTCTTGTCGTGACAGCCCGCGAAATCCACGCGAAACGCAAACTTTTCTGCGTTTTGCGGAAATCTCGCGACAAAATATTTTCGACCGAGTCACTTCGCTAAATTTGCGCAATTCGCAAATGTCCACCGCGGAGTTCCCGCAAAACGCTGGACGCCCGCGAATCGCGTAGATCTCGCCCGTGATTCCCTGAGTAAATCAGAAATTTATAATTAAATGATTTCCTCGTTTTTGATGTTTTCAAGATTAAGTAAATAGGCATCGAAAACATTTTCGAACAAATTTTCAAAGATTTTTGTGGTGATGAATAAAACCACATCAGTATTCATAAAATTTCGATTTAATGAAAATTTGGCCCTAAAAATTCAACAAAACATTCTACATTTTTTGTTGAAGGATCAAAGTTGAAGTGAAAGTGAAAATCGCATTAATTAGATGAGTCCGTCGATCAAATTGCAAAAAAATGGGTACAGAATATTTATGTGTTATTTTTGGAAAATAGACTAGAAAATTCGAAGAGGAACATTTTGTATTTTACTAATATTAGATTTTATTAAAAAAAGTAGATTATTTGTTAAAGTGCCGGTTTTTAACAATAAGTCAAGAATAAAAATCGAGAATTTCGTCATTTCAAAATTTCAACATAACCATTAGGAAATGAATTTTGAAATGTAAATATACGGATTTTTTCTACGTCATAACTAAAACGTGAGGAATGATTTTGAATTCGAGATCTATCTGGAAAATTCTGCAAATCCCGTTATCTACAGTAAATTTGGTTTCTGAAAATTCGAATTTTTCTTGCAAGAAGTAACCAGTTCGCCAAAAATTCACCTACTTTCACCCCTGAAAACCTTAAAATTCTCAAAAATCTCTCTATCAGATTACTGTATGATTCCGAATCTCATGACCAAATTGATTTATCTCTCATTTTTTGTCTACGAAAAAAAATGACCAACAAGAAAAAAAGACGTTTATCTTTCAACTATGTCCTTGATTTCGTTGAAATTGTTTCGTTTTGTTGAAAAACGAAAAATAAAACGGATAGACCGATGAAGGTTCGAAGTTTTTGGCTGACGGTTTTGGGGTTGATCGATGAAAGTTTTTCGACGATTATTTGGTTTGTAAACGTCACATGAACAAAATATATATTTAGAAGAAAAAGAATCGAATGATAAAAACAATAACAGATACAACATATTCAGTTTTGAAACCGGAAACAAATGAAAACATCATGAAAAATCGATCAAAGTTGAGTTGAAATAAATTCAGTAAACTTTGGAATTTCAAATACCAAAGGATTATTATTTTGTGATGTCACAAAACATGAGTAAATAGTTGTCAGAAATAAAACAGTTTTGTTTTTCTGTATGAGAATATTATATTTATTGATTTTTTTGAATTCAAAACTTTCCCTAAACTATGTAAATTTCTGACATAAAAGATCGATTTCTTTGAACCAAATTCAATTCAAAATTTTGTCTCCTGGTTTAAAAAAAGCCCTAGAAAAACTTTCATAAAAATCAAAATTGTCAGAGAAACACAGCTCCAAATTACTGGACATTTCAAGCCATTTTACACGGCATTTCACAGATTTTTTTGAAACGTCTTTTCACTAATGTTTGAGAAGTTCCCAGAAAAATTGAAATATGATATTTCATATGAGTATAATTTATTTCTCTCAGACCAGAAATAGAAAATAATAATATTTTGGAAAAAAATCAGATAGAAATAAGTTTGTATTTAAAACTAAAATTTTGGATTTTTGAAAAAGAACATCTAGTTCACTTAAATCTGAATTTTATAATCCCAGGCTATCTGGAGAATTTCTAGCCCACGGAAATCCTTTAAGCTCAAAAATTATAGATCACAAAATCTAGTCTATGAGGTCAAACCCAGCTTAAATTAGTCCGAAAAGTATGATTTTATCATATATAGAATTAGAATCGAAAATATATGTGAACTTGTTCAAATCAAGAAATAAAGTTCGAAATTAATTTGTTGAACTTAAGATCTGATTTTAATTTAAAAAAAATTGTCTACTTCTGCGCACCTAATAAATTCAAATTTCTAAACTTAGTTAGTCTAACAGTGTTTTGAATTAGTAAATGATCTGGCCATTGTTGGATCTCAAACAGTTCCGAAAAATCTAGGCAACAATCCCAAACAGTATTAAAAAACAACAAATTTTCGGAATTCTGGCCAGATCATTTGCATAAGTATACAATCAAAAACACAACTGAACTTTCAACGTTGAAAGATAAACATTTCTATCATCTTTTCTCTTATTTCTCCGCCTTTTTCTATTTCCAATACAGTATCAATTCAACTCCGCCCACTTTTGTTTTCATATAAAAATGTTGGTCAAGCGATTGAATTCTCAACTTTACTAAACTAAAGCAAAAAAAGTTTTCTAACTAGAAATGTCTTCTTCAATTCGTCCAATGGACATTGTTGAAAAATCACCATATGTTCACGAAGAACCATTGACTTGTGGTGGAAAAGTCAAAAGATGGTGCAAGAAGTATTTGCTCGAAGGACAACATTTGGATGAAGAGCAAGCTGAGAAATTGGCAAGTTTGCCAGAAAATCCAACTATCAGTGATTTGATCTTCATCAAATATCGCAAATTCTTTGCCATGTTGATTCCATTCACACTTATTTGGGTGAGTTCTTGGGAAAACCTATTTTGGTTTCGAATTCAAGAAGAGAGCCACTCTTTGCAAGGGAACTTATTTCGAGTTCCTATTCAAACTCAGACCTTTGCAGAGTGTTTGGTGGAGTGCCGCTTTCCGCCATGATTTCTTCCAATTCTACCCAGATTATTGGCATATGCCAGTCACAATGATTCTTGGTTCATTCGTCGGTGGAATGACATCTGAGGGTTCGGGAGCTGTCGCTTTTCCAGTTATGACTTTGGCTCTTCATATTGCTCCAGGTATTGCTCGTGATTTTTCATTGATGATTCAATCGATTGGAATGACTTCTGCTTTGGTTTGCGTACTTTTCATGAAAGTCAAATTCGAAGAAAGAGCTGTTATTTTGGGAGCACTCGGAGCTGTTCCCGGATTTATTATTGGTGTTCACTGGGTAAGAATTCCACTCTTTCTTTGGGTTTTGAAATTCATTATTTTCTAGATTGACCCACTTTTCACTGGACCACAAAAGAAAATGTTATTCGTTTCAATCTGGACAGCCTTCGCTTTCGCTCTCGGTATTCTCAACGCTCAAAAGAAACGTTCAACATTCCGTGAAATCCCCGAATTCTGCGCATGGAAAGGATGGGTTTTGTTCTTCACTGGTATTATTGGAGGAATCTTTGATGCTTTTGCTGGATCAGGAATCGATATTTGCATTTTCTCAGTCATCACTTTATTGTTCCGTGTCACCGAAAAAACAGCTACTCCAACAACTGTTGTTTTGAAGGGAGCAATCGCTGTGTTCGGTTTCTATTATCGTGCTGTTATGATGGGAGATATTGATCAAATGGCATGGAGATATTTCTGTGTTTCAGTTCCAGTTTCTTCAGCAACTGGACCAATTGGATCATTCCTCGGATCACATTTGCATCGACAAGTTGTTGCTGGATTTGTCTATGTTCTTGAGATTATTGCATTAGTTGGTTTCTTGTGCACAAGACCAGCTTGGCAATTAATTGCTGTTGGTGGAATTATCATCTTCGGTGGTTTCGTCTTCTTCTCAATTTTATCCAAAGCTGGATCACTTTTGATGGAAAGAATTGAAGAGCGTCAAAACAAAGAGGCTCGTAGAACTGGAATCACTCAACACTAAATACATTACCTCTTTTTTTTGACATTTTGATATTCGGGTCACTTTTATTTTCACAATTTTTGTTTTTTGAATATTTTGATCTCCATAAACAATTTTGTATAAATTCAGAAAAGGAACTTTACTTTTATCTTGATTGGACGAGTATCATTTTTTGTTGTTTTTCTTGCACCATTCGATCATTGTTGAGCACGCAAATTGGAAGTTTTCCATTGAATCGAAACAATTTGATCGATAGTTTCTGAAAAATCGATGAAAGTTGGCCATTTTTGTGTCGTTGTTTTTCCCCAGGGATCCCTATTCCTATCTCTTTCTTACCTGATTGTTTTGAGAGTATCAGTCAATTTGACACGTGTCTTATCTCTGAATCTATCCGCTTCCGTATCAATGAGTGCCCAAATACCGCTCCTGAAAAAACCATTATATTTTCTAGCCAAAATCTTAAATGCCTCACTTTGTAGCTCCATCTTTGCACACAACAACAATCGGATTCTTCTGTCCCCATCCAATATATTTTCGAATCTTCTCATGCGCTTCAACAAGTTCAGTTTCGCCAAACTTCTCCCCTGACCATTTATTGATTCGACCACATTTGACGTCTTTCAAACCGCTCGCCGAAATCGTGGCAAGACTCCAATCATCTGTTGATTTGTCGGATGAAACTTTCAAGCCAACTTTGTCACCCTCTTTTTTGTTGAACAGAAATCTGGAAATTTCACGCTTTGAATTTTGGTTTTTGGCGAAAAGAAAAACAACTAACGTTCCACAATCATCAGCAGCATCAACAACAACAACCGCTTCAGCTTTGACATGTTGCAACATTTTCACAAATTCTTTTTGTTGAGATGTATTCATTGGAGCTTGAGCAAGTATGTATTGATCTAAAAAAAATTGAAATTTTATTTTTGATGGAACATACATTTCAATAGATTTCTACACTTTGATTAAGATCATCTTGTCAAAAACTGCGTGGCTTAATTCTAATCATGACTTATGCACAATTTGAAAACTTGTGACTCAGCAATCAGTGTGTAAAAATCTACTAGAAACATACTTGGACGAAGTCCTTCAACATAAGAAGCATGATAATAATCAACATCAGGAATTTGAACACGTGTCGCATCATAAAGCCAAACATCTGAAAATAAATGAAATATAAAATTTATTCAGTACACATTTAACCTACTTTTGCTGAAATTCTTATCCTTGTTAGCAGGTTTGAAATAATTGAAAAAAGTTGGACTTTCAATGTATGTTTCTTTGAAAAGTTCAGCAGTTCCATTTTCAAAATTTTTGGAAGAATGTTTTGATTGAATCTGCAATGAAAACCGTGGATTTTAGAATAACACAGCTAAAAAGGAGGAAACATTAAACGACTTCCCCCTTTTTTCCAGAAAAAAAAAGAAAAAAGTAGGCGGTGCCGATACGCCGATTGTGCGGCGCGTGTTTTTTGTCGCCGCACAGTTTTTTGTGTGTTTTTTTGTTCGAAACAGGAAAGGTCTCTCTTGTCTGCAAACACCGCCGCATTCCGTATCCGCGGGTAACATAAAAAAATCATTAGCTGTGTGTATATAATAGTCTTGAATGAAAATCTTACAAATTCGATACATCTTTTTGGCGTAATCAAAGTAGTTTTCTTTTTTCGAGTTGATCTTGTTGATATTTTACTTGCGTTTCCGGTTGTTGTAAGTGCTACAGCACGACCATCTTTGTCCATTTTAGTATCCATCTTTTAACTGAAAAAAAACATTTGAGGGCTCCGGATTAGATTTGAGATGTCACCGGTGCACCAGGTCCGAAAACCTGCTCCAGCCCATTTGACTTACGAGTATATTTTATCAAGATCTGCCTATTTGATATTCCAGAGAAATAAAATAATGATTTCAGATGGGCGGGAAAAACGTGGGATTTTTTTTGTTTTTTTTTTTTTTTGTAAAAAATTGGGCCACGTTTTAATTATTTTGAAATTGGGATTTTTGTAAGGTTTTTGGTATTTAAAAGGTAAACTTCGAAACTATTCTGATCCAAAAGTATTTTTATTCCCAGCTCTCTTTCAATGTTTTCCCAAAAAATCTCGACAAGATCCAATTTCTTTTTTTTTTCACCAGCTGTCAAAATTCAAGGTCACAAGTTCATTATTGTATATTTTTCTGTATAGTAAAGGTATACATGTTCATTCTACTAATTATCCCTATTTTTACCACCATGTAAAAACCCGTTCTATATATTTTTTGCCTTTAAAAAGTAATACTTTTTGATTTTTTCAATTAATTATGAAACCGTAAGAATTTCATAATTCAAAAAATATATATAGTTTTAGTTGTTTTCCCAATAAAGTCGTAAACACTTCAATTATAAGGTAAATTGTCCGGTGAAGAAAATTACTGTATTTTCATTTTTCGCGCACCTGTTTCGTCACTTTTTTGAGGTTGTGGGTGGTTTGTCCAGATTTTATTGTTTTTCTTTTCTTATTTATGAATTCATATATATTTATGGTATGGTTTATATGACGACAGTCGAGTGGTTTTGGGTTTTTATTCATTTTTTCTCGAAACAACATTTGTTGGACTCTTTTTGGAATATAGTAGTTGGTCCGAAATCCATTATAGAATTTTATTGAAATCTTTTAACATGAGAAATTGAAATGTGTAGTTTCAAAAAAAGTGAATTTTTTAATTAAAAATTTTTGGATTTCTAACATTATCAGTGATCAAATAATCTGAAAATTTAAAAAATCGTTATTGAATTATTGATTTGAAATTAAAAGAAAATCAAAATGTTCGTAGCTGGACCGAGCTGAGTCGGTCCGAGCACGTTGCTTATTTTTGATGCAATATCCAGGCTCGGCTCAGAAGTGGCCAACTTGATAAAATAAGTATATCAATATTTTTATCTGGGTATCCTCCTCCTCCTTCTTTCTCCTCCCAAAAATCTTCTCTATCTACATATATGTGATATGATAATTTTTGGCTGGCGTCGCCAAAAATATCCAGGATATTCTGTTAGATATATTTTCACTAAATGACCCTAATAATATCAAAAAAGATACGATTCGCAAAAGAGACAATTTTATGACTTTTTCTTTTCGAAAATAAAATATAAAATTTGCATATTTTCACTTTTTTTCGGGTTGGTTGGAGGATTTTATCAAATTATCTCATTTTCATTTTCACTTTCTTTTTTTTTCTCGAGAAATGAAAAATTTAATTTTTCTTTAAATTTAGGATGTTTATTTGCTTTTTAGCTTTTTCTTCTGCTATTTTTATATGTTTTTAATTTGAGTTCTTCGTGTTTATTTTTGAAATTACTTTTTACAGGAAAAAATGGAAAATGATTATTCGGTAAAAACACTAACTTTTTTGAAAAATGTATAAAAATCTAACTTTATGTTTAACTTTTGTCACTATTAATTTAACATGAAAAATTAATTTGAAAAAAATTAATCTAGATTTTTCCAGGCTACAAACTACGAAGAATATCCAGAAGACGATTATTGGTGAGTTAAAAAACGTTTTTGAAAAAAAAATTGAAAAAAAAAGAAAAATAAGGTTTGTGCATTTTTACGTCACATTCTTGCAGTTTCAAATTTTCAAGTGAAAACTATACATTTTCGAGTATAAAAATCTAGATACTGTCAAGTTTTGTTTTCCTAAAAAAATAATTATTGGGTTTGTTTCGTCACTCAATAATAATAATCTCATTGATGCATATACCATGACCAACACACTTGATTTCGTAAAACATCTGTGTCTCTCACATCCCCTTACTATTTCTGGGCTCTCGAAAATTCGCATGCGAACACAAAAAAACCGGGAGAGAAAGAGCCGGAAGGATAAACAAAAAACTCGCGCGCGCAGGAGAAAAAAATAAAACAATATCTCATTAATAATGGCAGAATGAATGAGACACTTTTCTTCTCAACAAATTGTTTTTTTATAACTTTCACAGTTTAGCAAAGATTTTTTAGTTTTTTCCCCTGCAAAAAATAAATTTTTCCATGCATTTTTTTGGCTAGAGATCAGACGACCAGCGCACATTTAACTGGGGTATTGAAGGGTACTTGCGATGTCTGCTTCCGTGGCGCAATAGGCAGCGCGTTCGGCTGTTAACCGAAAGGTTGGTGGTTCGAGCCCACCCGGGAGCGAAAATTTTTCCTTTTTTCAACACTATAATTTTTAATTTCATGAAAATGTTTCATTTCCAGTCCCTCGAAAATGCTGCGTGGCCCTGGCCAAAAAGCGGCGAATCCATTTCAATTCGTAGCTACCAATAAAAATATTGGTGAAGAAATGGCAGACGCTGCAAAATATACACTGCACTTGGCCGAACAGCAAAAGGTGCAGCGGGAAAAGATTCTCAAACAGCAGCCGAAATTTGACGATACAGAACCTTGGCAAGCAGATTTGGATACTTGGCGGAGAAAGAGAAAAGAAAAAATTGTGGATACAAATGAGAATAATATAAGTGAAAACAGTAAATCGTATTCGCCCTACAGAAAGGTTGGTTAACATTTTTTGAAGGGTTTTAAATTAATTGAAAATTAATTAAAAATCTCATCTTATCCATGTTAAATGTGTATTTTTACAACAATCGACACAAACTAAAAAACCAGAAAAATCAAGTTCAAACATAAACACCTAACAAAAGTCTATTTGATTTACCTCAAAAATAACTCTCTCTCAAATTTTCTCCTATTTACTTTTTCTCTGTTCTTTTTCTGACTATTTGACAGCCGAACTAAAATTTCAAAATTATTTCAAATAAGCTAAAATGACTGCAATAAATGAGCCGTTATCTGTCGATTTGCCTGAATTTGGTTGTTCAAATGATAATTGTCCATTTAAACCCAAAGAAGTTTCGGTTCTTCGAATCAAAATTCGTGGAGGAGTTGTGAGTTTATTTTTTCTGGAATTGTTGAATCAATTTGTTATGAATACCTTTTTTCCTAAAATATCTACTTTTTCACGTTGGAATATGTTGGCGCGGAATCTGGGGGTTTTCAAAATGTATCCTAGACTTTCTAGAATTTTCCAGATCTTTTGAAAATTCAGAAAACATTTTCTGAATTCCCCATAAATCAAAAATCTCATCTCACTTTTTTCTTGACTAACTATATATATATATATATACAAAATGAGAATTGGTCTATTTTTCCAATTTTAATTGCTTTCTTTTTCTTTTACGCGAAACTTTTTGGTCAGATTTTTTGTTTTCTTTTCTGTCAAATCGACTTATCCTCAATCTTCGAGTTACAAAGTTTTGAAATGTTTAAGTTGAAATTCATTTATGGAACAATTAGATTGAGGGATGAAAACTGGAATCTTGATTTCTGATTCAATATTTTTGCAACGTGGAATTTTAGTGTCAACTCTCGATTTGAAATTTCATTTTTCATATCCAGTTTTATGCCAAAATATCTTTTCAATTTCAAAAAAACCACAAAGCAATAAAAAATCTCGATAAATCATCACACATTTTTTCATAAATTCCCCTCATTTCCCCTCTCAATATACATAAAAATAAAATGTTTGCATCGCTATTTACTTCTCTAATCTGATCTCGATTACATCGACTGTCTCTTTTCATATTTTCATAACTTTTTTCCTTCTATTCTCCTCTTTTTCTTTTTTTTCGCAAATTCTTTTGAATGCAAAAAATCGACGAAGAATGGCCACGTTGGCAACGTTTATTTGGAAATGAGTTGGAAATTCCACGTGTCATCAATCGATATGTTCACGTGGAAATTAGGAAAAAATCAGGAGATGTTGAGATGGAATCGAGAGAAATTGTTAATTCGATTGTTCAAAATCAGAAAACTACATTTGTTCAATTATTTGATGAAGAGGAAAAGAAATCACGGAATAAGAGTGTAAAATGGGATCAGAATGTTATTGTAGGTTTTGCTTCTTTTTTATGTGGAAATGCCACGTGGCACTAATTAAACTGATACCTATTGTTAGGATTTTGAACTTGAATAATCTCTGATTCGGAAAGTTTCGGATTACCACGTGGATTTTCCTTTGGTCGTGTCAAAAAAGTTCTGATATACTGTAGACATTTTTTCTAAATTCCAAACCCTGGTTTTTTTGTTGAAATTTCTCATAAATGCATGACTAATCCTTCTTCTCATATATAGATACGTTTCAAAATATTTTGTTATTATTATTTTTTGTGTTGTGTTTTTTTTCGTTTTCCGCGTGCCATAAATTGTTCCTTCTTTTCTATACAAAAATTAGTCACCTTTTCATTTTGCTATTAAATTTTGATTTGATTCGATTTCCGCCCAGCCCAAACATTATATTTTATTTTGCTGAAAGCCTTTTTCAGATGTGTTGTTTTAGAAGATTCAGATCTTCGTTTTTATCTGATTTAATTACTTTTTAAGGGGATAAAACTTGTTGGAAAAACTGTAACTAAAAACAATTTCAAATTTTAAATGTTTAGACTCATTTTACATATAGGTTTGGTAGGTTAAATTTTAAGAAATAAATAAGCCACAATTTTTGAATCCAATCAATTTAAAGTGTTTTTTTCAGGCAAAAGACGAGATTCTTCATATCAATAGTCAACCTCAACATTCAAATTCGACAACAATTACAACATCAACAAATTCAACAAATAATACAACTTCATCGAGTGACGATTTGAATAACGATAGTGGAATTGATAATCGAACTGTTGGATCACCTTCAACTTCCGAATTTTCGCCGAGAAGTTAGTTCACACAATTTTGAATTCTGTAGATTCTTTTGAACATCATCATAGGCGATATATTTTTTCAGGCACTGACTTATTCATCTCACCAAAAAGTGTCGACGAAGAACCGCCACATCATCCACCTCCACCTCCACCAACATCTTCTGAACTTGATCAAGTTTTAATTCCACTCAAATATTCCAAACAATCGTATTATGATCAACCATTGAAAACAAATAATTATTCAACGGTTAGTTAAGATCGGGAGGGGGGCGAGATTAGGATGACAAGAGTTCTGGAAATCGATTTATTTTCGAATATTTTATTTTCCTAATAATCTTGAACATTGATTATTAAATGAAGAGCAGGCTTTTCTGAAGAAAGTCCTCAGAATAAAATATTTCTGAGCTGAATTTGATCACAGAGTATTTTCGCCCTAAATCAAATATTATTAACTTCAGGAACCATCGTCTTTCAACTCTTCTCCTCCTGTAAAAATGCCAATAAATAGTGCCAAAGTCGAAGCAACTTTCAAACAACCACCATCTCGCGAAGGTGTTAAACCATTTGTTTCTCGAGCTGCTCAAGAATTATTCCATAATCAAAAAGAATCTGAAAATATCGATTTGACAGTTGAATTGAATCGCGAACAAAAAGCAACAGTAACCGCCACAAAATATCCGCGTTCAAATGATTTTATCAAAGATCGTGATCGAGAACCATCACAAGAGCCGCCAATTCAAAAAACAACAACTCGAATTTATCACGCGGTTGATATTCCATTTGATGAATCGCCAGCTAGTTATCATCCGATACAAATTCAAAAAAAGACAACAATAAAGAATGGAGGAGTACAAACTTTTAATATGAATATTTTGATGGGATCACAGCCTGTTCATAAGGGTTTTGGATTCTCGGTTGCCAAAAAAGATGATCGATTTATTGTTGAAAGTGTTATTGTTGCATCACCTGCTGATAAAGCTGGACTTTTGGTAAGTTTTTTTGGGGAGAAACTAAAGATTACTGTAGGTTACTGTATATTCGAAGACAAATTTTTAAAAACTATATATGACTAGTGTAAATTAAATCTAGGTTCCTGATGATATAGCCAGGATTGTGTTTCAAAACTACAGTACTCCTTGAGATCTTGAATCTGAACATTTGAAAACCCTGGATTTTCAACTATTTTTGTAGGTTGGTGATACAATAATCTCAATAAATGGTGAAGATATGATTGATAAATATCAATCAAGAATCACACAAATACTTCATGATGCTGCAAGAATCGGAGAAGCTGATATTCTCATTTCAAGAGCTCGTAAGTTTTTAAAAAATTTCCCACGTCATTTGAAACTATAATTTCAATCAATTTTCAGCCGTTGTTCTCTCCAAACAAAATTCCTCTTCATCAATAAATTTCGATAAAGCTCGCTCAATTTTCAACACAACCACAAATACAAATGATAATCGATCTTTCGATTCTTACACCGAATTCAAACGCAAACATTCTCGCGCATCTCGTGATTCAACATCTACTTCTTCATCTCGATCATCTCGTGATTTCAATAGTTTGCCACGTGGCAACACAAATCGAAATATTGAAAATGGAGGTGAAATTGATCGAAGACGTGACACATCTTTGTCGAGTTATCGAACTGCAAGAGAGAATTTCAATAGTTTGTCGACAACAAGAAGTAGTGGAAGATCTGATTATGGAGATTATCGGTGAGAAAAAATAATCCATGTAACTTCTAAACTTTGTTTTTTTCTTTAGAGTCACATCTGCTTTCGAGGAAAAAAATTCGCCAGGAAGACTAACCGATTTTGTGCCAGAAGTTGATCGTCGAAAAAATCGAAACGATGATTCGGAAGATATTTATCATAAACTTCGCGGAGATCAAACTCCAAAAACTATTCGCAATTTCCACGTATCAAATGAAAATGTGGCAGTGAGTTTTTAAATAGGGAACTGTAAATTTAAAAGCGCGATCTGAATATTGAATATTTTTAGAAAACAAATATAACATATTCTGGTCGTAGAGAAAGCGAAGAAGAATCAACAACGACAACATTAAAGAGATCAACTTTGCCAAGAAGTGTGAGTTTTAGGGGAAAAACAATAGGCTTCAGGAACATTAAAATTTCAAATTTTGACCCAAAAATACGCAATAGCTTGGGTACTGTATTTTCTTTCATTTTTTCTCAGAAATTTCGTATAGTTGAAAATAAAATGAGTCATAATAATTTTCAATTTCAATATAATTGTTCATTTTATTGTCTGAAAAACTACTACAAAATAGTCAGAATTCTCGAAAATAAATTTCTCCATTCAAAAAAATGTGTTATTTTGATAATTCGTGTTTTTGTACACGTCCAAAACGTCGTCGAAGAAGGCATAAATCTTGTGTGAGTTAAAATATAATAATTAGAGACTAGCATTAGGGTCAGACTAGAGTCTAGTGTAGTTTGAGAATCAATAGATCATGGTTTGTGGCAAATTTTCCATTGGTTTTGCCACGTGACATATTTTTCTATGCTCGGATTTTTTTATTCTAATTTTATACGTGAAATTCAGTTTCGTTAATTCCAAAAAGTTTCCCATGTGAGAAAAGAAGCTTCCGGAAATGTGCAAAAACAAATAGATCAACTGCAAAAAATGTACATCATACAGATATGTACAATATAAAAATAAATATGTGTGTATGTATTTCAACGCGCGACTAAAACAAACATCATCATTTTTTCCCGAGAATTTTTTTGGAAAAAAAAACTTTGTTAAAACAATTCCCATTTTTCTCATCCAAAATTTTGCCAAAATATTTCTACGTGGTTTCTCATTTTCACACCAAAATTTTTAATTTTTTCCAGGGTTCTGCGACACATTGGAGAAATGAATATTCGAATGAAGATTTGGAACAACAAACTATTCCTGTGGTTAGTTTTTTTGTCAATTTCCAAAAAAAAAGTTCCGCTGCGAGATGTACTCACACCCCTTTCCAACTCGCGAGTTCGAATCCACATAGCCGCGATTGTTTTGTTGTTGAAAAACAAACTCGCAATTTTTGGTATTGGTATACTTTTGAAGTACATATGTTTTTCTATTCATATAATTTTACATTCATATTTTTGCCGAAAAAATTTTCGGCGAACAAAATCGATTTTATTTTTATTTTCATGTGAATTTATATTGACTGAATTTTATTTTTCAAAAATTTTCGATGATTTTTTTTCGTCAAAATTTTAAATCAGGAAATGTTTGCCGCCAAAATTCCACGTGGTTTTTCCTCTAAAATTTCCAAGTGGGAGAAATTCTGAATTATAAATATTTCGGCCTCGAAGTTTAAAGCCACGTGGAAAAAAGTTGTCTCAAACATTCCACAGGTCAAAGGGTGGATTTGAAGTCGTTTAGTTTAAGGTAACGAGTTCAAGTCGGCCCTGTGACCGTTTTTTCCTAGGTGGAGGTATCTACTTTCATTCTATATTATTTTAACTAACAAAAACTAACGCTCACAACTTCAGAGACAACCATCACCACTTCGAAGTGCTTTAAAAAAACACCAACACAATTATCCACCAATTCCACATCCACAAAGAAATAATCAACAAAGAAAATATTATTCAACTGAATCACTTCATCGAAGAACAAAACAACAAAGAGAAATTGAATATTGTAGTTCGGAAGAAGAAGAAGAAGCTGAGATGAGAACATCAAGAACATTTCACACTGTTGGATCATATGGAACTAAAAATGGAGGAGATGTTAGTGATGTTAGTCATCGATTTTATGATCGAGATGGAAAATCGATTCGAGCACCGAGAGAAAGATCAATTGATATTGAAGTTCGGAGAGAATATTTGGCAAAAAGTTCACAATTAGAGGTACTAACTAAATATTAGAAAATGAAATAACATGCGGGAAATAATTTTGGTGAAAGGTTCTAACTTTCAGTGGGTCTTACAATTGGTGAATTTGAAAATATCAAATCTGAAAAGACTCCTTGGTTATTTGATTCATTAAAAATGATATTTTATGTTTATATTCAGATTACTGTAGATCCGTCAAGTTTGAACTCCAGAAAATTTTCTAAATTTTTGAATCATAACAATGTAATACATTTTTTGCACCAATAAGTTTTTTGGACATTGAAAAATCATTCTAAAATGAAAACTTGATCTAATTCAATTTAATTATAATTCCTTATAATTTTCAGGAATCCCGTGACTGGCGTGATGTCATAAATCAACAACGACAACCAGCACCCGGTTATCAATTAGATCGACGTGGAATTTCAGCAGCTTCAGCTTCTCTCTCAAATCTTCCAACTTTCATCAATCGTAGAATTGATCGAGAACGTGAACGTGAACGTGGAGGAAGTGGAGAAATCAGTGAAAAATATGAGAGAGATGAATATCGAAGAGAGGAACAGAGAAATTATGCACCAATTGCGCAGCAAAGAGTTAATAAAACAAGTTATGAGGAAAAAATAACAGAAGAGAGAAAAGAAGAAAATGTTGTGGCTGTTAGTGGAAAACATCGATGTTCGCATTGTTCGGAAGAATTAGGTTTGTAGGGTCAAAATCAGAGGAACTACGATGATCCACATTTACACTCTCAAAAAACCATCATTCTCATGATTTTCCAGGTCGCGGCGCTGCAATGATCGTCGAATCACTTAACCTGTTCTACCATCTTGCTTGCTTCAAATGCTACGTCTGCAAAACTTCGTTGGGTTCCGGTTCAACTGGTGCAGATGTTCGAGTTCGTGATGGTCGTTTACATTGTCAAACATGTTATAGTAATCATCGAGTTCAATTGAGCAAAGTTTGATTGAGCAATATTTTTAGCACTGCCGTCTTGTCAAAAATAGTATTCACTTCTCTGATTTTTCAAATTTCAAACAAATAGTTTCTTTTTTAGTATAAAAGAAAGAAAAAAGACGAGCATTTTTTGCAATTTCACAAAAAATGATTGATTTATTCAAAAAACCTTTTTTTTTATTTTACCCGTTTACATATTATGTGATAATAATAAGAATAATTAAATAATTGGATGAAAAACATCAGATTATTGTGATTTGATATAAATTACTGTTGGTTTTGAATTTGCATTAGAAGAGGCTCGATTACGGTAAGATGGAAGGAGAGTTGGAGCAGCGGAGATTGGAGGTTTTTGAGAATTGAACACGTGGGTTGGCTGGAAATTATTATTTTTTAAGTTGAAGATGGAAATCTGAATAATTAGATAAACTTCGAAATTTCACGAGTCAACTCTCAAAAATTTCAATTTCAATTGATTTTTTTTTGAAAGTTTAAACGTGAAGCATTGTGAAAAATCCCCCAAAATCTGGCCTACCTTTTCTGAACTTCGATAACTGACTCGTTTTCTTTCCACTGATACAATTTCAGTTTGGCTTCGATTTCGAATTACAATTGAATTATTCGCCGATTTTCCAATACTTATGGCTCTGAAAGATATTAATTTTTAAATTGCAAAAGTTATAACTCTCCGCAAAAATCAATTAGATCTTTGCAACGTTTATGATTTACAGTAATTTGTGTGTCTTCTAAAATGAATCATGACGTGGCAAAAATGGGAAATATTCCCGCCAGCTTAAAATTCACTAACTAACGGTAGAATTAAATCCAAAATTTAGAAAATATTGACAAACCTGATATTGTTGGTTGGATGATTCATAGTCATGTTTTATTTTCGAATGAACAAAAAATGTGATTTGAGTTTGACTAGATAAGACCAATTTTCGTCTGATATAAATAGACGAAAAATAAGGACCGCCCATTTTTTGAGTGGGTTGGCCAAGAAAAAAAAACTTGTGATTTTTAGAGGTTACTGTATTTTTCTGGGAGTTAAAAACATGTAAAGTAGTAACTTTTGGAAGCATTCAAATCAAAACTTGTAGAATCACTGGATTTTTTTGAACAAAAGTTCTCCACATTCAGCTTTGAACTTCAAAATCCACGTGGAATCTTTCCAAATTTCAGACAAAAAACAATATTCGAAAAAAATACTGTAATATTCTAAACCCTAATTAACTATAGTTAATTAAGTTCTTCTCTCCGAATTGGTCACAAAATAAAACGAAAAAAATTCGAAAGATCGCACGAAGAAACCACACGTTTTCCTTGACAACGATAAGTGTTTTCGAAGAAACGTGTCTTTTCGGGAACTTTTTCGGCGAGCATAAAAAACTTATCATCAATTTTATTTTGTTCTTTTTTCGTTATGTATTTTGAACCAATAAAAAACAACTGACTGGGTTTGGGGAAACAAGAAATTTGAAATGAAAATTAGGAAATGTTTTGAAATTAGAACTTTTATGCGCCTTTAACTCGGGGTTACTGTAGGGTTCAATGATTAGGGTCCAAAATAGGACGAAATAGAACAAGCTCAAAATAGAACTTTATCTATTTTTTGTCGCAAGAAAATACCTTATGATGTCAACAATTTTTGGCTGACAAAAATGTGAAAATAGACTGTTAACTATTTTTTATCGCGTCAAAACTTCACAGGTGAAAGCAAAAAATTACGTGCCGAACAAAATCAGCAATTTTGACCCAGGGTGAAAAAACATCTGAACCGAATGTTTCTATTTGAAGCTGAGTTCACTTGGATCAAACCAAAATTATTTTGTGTTCCTCAAAACAATATGTTTTATCAATTTCCATACTTTCTCGGGCAGAAAACGGCGAGGTCGCTACCAATCGGGGCGAGGTCGCTACACGTTTCGGGCGACTGGCCCGAGGCTCTTTGGGCGAGCTTGGGGCGACTTGCCCGAGCGTGAAGCAACTTGCCCCGTTCTCGCCCTGATCCACTCTCTCGGAGGGTGCCCAGAAGAATTTTTCAAAAACTGTGGCTATGGAGCAAAAGTAGATCTACTTATAGTTTTATCACCCTACATTTATATGGGCCATTTAATCAATGAATCACTGTGAAATCTCGAAAAAAAAAGCGTAAAAACCATGATTTTAAAAATGGGCAAAAATTGTAGCGAGTTGCCCGGCACTCGCCACTTTTGAGGCGCGTTTGGGGCAACTCGCTACAAAACGAGTCTCGAAAATTGTGTAGCGAGTCGCCCCAAGCTATGTCGTTTTTTGGCCGAGTTGTTCTGTTTTGTTTCAATGCGCTTTTCAAAACCACGTGCTCTAAAAAACGTTTTCCTCAGACATCACTACCATTTTTCGCCAGGTTCATATTCTTATCATTATTGCGATTACATGGTTATTAATTAGATTTACACTGGGGTCATAAAAAAAGAAAAAGAAAATTGTTGTTTGTGATTTTTCCCGATTCATGATAGATAACTAATAATTATGATTCATGATAAAATTAATTTTTGCTCGAGGAGAAAAAGTCAAATGACTGTGACTGATATTGAAATGTTGCCTAATCACCATGAAATATGAATTTATTTACGAAGGTTCTTTGAAAAATATAGGACGTGACAAAAACTTTGATTGTGAGATTACTATCATTTTTTGAACCACGTGAAGTTTCAGTTAGACACAATTTTACTGATTTAGAATATTGCCACGTGGCAATTTATTTTTGATTCAAAATTATTGGGATCAAAATATGTTGATTTTTAGTAAATTTCCTATTCAGAATAAAATTTAAAAGCAAAGCTGAACACTTTGAAAAAAATGTGAACGTTCACAAAAATCAAAGAGAACATATTAAAAACACGTGGCCAACGTGATATCAAAAACCCCTGCCGCTCACCTTTTCTCCCTTGTCACTGGTCCAATTTGGCTCAAAGATTTTGTTCGACTTTTCTTGATATCCTCCACCTTTTCCAACTTTTCCGATTTTTTCGAATCACAAGACTCGTTTTTCTCCGTCGATTTTCTTCGGCGAAATAAGAAGCGTCGAAAAATTGCCAAAACTTGCGACATTTTCTCTTCTATAAATATTTTTAGTGGGACAAAATTCAACGAAAAAGTTAGAAATTTAGAGATAACAAGAAAATAATTTTTGATCTACCAGAACCAATTTTTAAAAGCTTGAGGTCTATTTTTCAATATTAATTTTAAATAACAAAAAAAGTAGTTAGCTTCGAAAAAAAAATAAAATAAAATGATTGTGAAATTAAAATTACTGTGATAAGAAAAGATAAGAACGGTATTTTTTGAGTGATTTTTGGTTGAGAAACTTTTGTGAAAACAAAACACAACAAAATATGATTTCGAAAACTAAAACAATCAGGTGGTTTCTTGGAAAACTAGAATCATACATAGTAATCTAATTTAATGCAAATAATATAAATATTTATTAGTTTTCTATTATTTTTTATAGCTCTTTCAGCTAAAACCAACCAAAAAATCATGTTTTTCTGAATAATATTATTCAGTGAATATGAATTATACAGAAGATCAAATTCCTTTCGAATGTAATTCAAATTATTCTCAAAATTTTGAAATACTCAAATATTTTATTCAATTTTCTTACTTAGTTCCCGGTTTGATTTTACATTTTCTGTTTATTCGAACTATTTTTTGCACTCATAAAAACTATTATTTGAATAATTTATTTTTTATTTTTTATTCAATTGATTCATTGATGGTAAAGATTTTCGGGTGGCTAAAGATCCGGTTCCTAGCTATGCTGAAAATGAGTTCCAAATCCGTTTTCAGCGTAAAAAAGCACACTTTCAACCATGATTTTCCAGAGTTTTTATCAACTTTCAATCGATATAACAATCAGTAGACCAACAATATATTTCACATTTCTTTGCCCATATTCCAATCAATATTTATCATATCCAAGATTTGCTTCAAAATTCGTATTTTTATCCCTAAATTATTCGAGACTTGTCAAATGTGTTGTTCAAATTATTTTGAGCCTAAATCGAATGTCTTGTGTTATTGCACCTGTTACTTATACAAAGTTTTGGTTTTCAAAACTAAAATATATAATTATTATAATATTTCTTTTGCCATGTCTTGCAGTTTGGAATATCGCTATTTCAAGAGTTTATATGATTTCAGTGTTTGGAGGATTTGGTGCATCTTATGTTAGAAGAATTTCATGGGTGAGTTATGACGTGGCGATTTGAAATGGGCACAAAATTAAGAAAAAACAAAAAAGGATTAATTTTCTTATTCGCAATTTATTATTTTTTTATAAAAGTTTCGATCTTCAGTGAGAGTCAGCCAAAAATCTTCTAGAAACCCATATTTTCCAGGCAAGTTTCGGAAAATTCCACCTGGCATTTCTATGCACCGCCTTAATTGTTACAATTATTTGCACGACAATAACTCTTTATTATTTGGTAATGTTACCAAAAAGAATTCGATCGAGTGAAAAATCATTGTGTATTTGTACAGTTATCATTTCTGTCGGTTTTTTCACTTCCGCTATTTTTCATGTGAGAATTTTCATCGCATTTTTTATTTTATCTAATTTTTTAAAGGCAATTTATGGTTTTTGTTCTGAATGTGCTGGTCAAATTGTTTATGCCACTCATTTTTTTGCCTATGATTTTCTGAATATCGGATCACCAATTGTTATGTTGTGTATGAGTCCGCAACTTCGACGAAATATTCTTGGAGTTCAGAAATCGTGGAATTCGAAGGCTACTCAACTTCAGAATCATAATTCTTTCATGGATCGACCAACTAAAACTCCAACGCCTGTTTCATGAAAAATAGTGAAAAATGAAAATTAAAATGTTTTTCGAAGAGAAATTCTAGCACAAAAATCCCGGACTGCATTGGGTACTGTAGTCTCAAAAATTGTCCCGACAACAAAGTGACTGTATCTATGTAAATATCTCAAACTGCAAGGAGTACTGTAACTTAACTTGAAAAACGTTAATTTTGAAATTTTGTTTTGATCTACCGCGCAAAAAAACTTTTTTCGAGTGAAAAAAAAAACATTTTTTTTTTGGAAAAATCAGTTTCAAATATTATATTTCGTGACAAATATGGAATTGACTTTCGACACATTGGATTGTATTCTACGAGAATGCAATCTTCAAACAATTGACAAGATTTTGGCAATGAATAAAATGCTGCGAAATCAAATACAGAAACATCGGAGACATTATGCGTGAGTTCTTTCGATATTTTTTTTTTGTTGAAATTCGAATAATTTTTTGCAGTCGATTGCCAGTAAAAATTGTGAAAATTGAGCCCGATGTGTCGTGTTCTTGCTATCGTTGGACAATTGAACTGCGGCAAGATGTGAGTTTTCGAAATGAAACATGAAGAGAAGCTATGGGTGTTTTCGCGCCAAATTTCGAATTTTTTGACACCGAATAAGCCTAGGGTTACTGTTAAAATTTTAGCACCTACCCCTACAGTAACCCACTGATTTTCAGTACCAAAAAATGCAAAATTACTGTAGTTTTTCGCGCCAAATGTACAGTGGCCTAACATATTTTTATGTCAAAAATATCGATTTTTCCAGTGTTATAAATTTGTTAATGTTCCACCTCACCAAATTGATCGAATCAATTTATCACAATTTGCACCTAGAATATTTATATTTTCTTGCTTTTCAAGAAATGATCCAATGTGTTATGATAAGATTTTCAACGAAATTCCAAAAGAATGGTTTCGAGAAATTAAACATGTTGAAATACAATCGGATGAAAATGAAAAAACAAAATCATTTCAAAACGAGAAATTGGAATTGTTCGAACCATTGAGTTCTTTGAGAATTGAAGGATTTGTGGCATTTTCGAAAATTGGAGAAATATTAAAACTTATGCAAAATATTGAGTATCTTGCGTAAGTTTCCTATTTCACACATATCGTCGTAATTTTTAAAATTTAATTTCAGGATTTTGCCACAGAATGAAAATGAAATTGAGACAAATGAAGACGATATCAATTATATTATTGAAGAAGCGAAAAATCTTAGTTTTTTAGATTTGAGAAATATAAAACACATTTATTCGTCAGAAAAACTCATCGATTTTTTGAAAGTGAGTTGTGTTTTTTTTTTTCGGAAGATTTCCGCTTCCGTTTTCTACAAAAAAAAACAATATTTCAGAATGCAAGTTTTGCCGATTCGACTGTTTTGAATTTCGAAGAATGGCCAACAAATGGCGAAATGATTTATCGATTTTTGAAAGAAGAAACTGAAATTCAAGAAAGTTGTTATCTGCCAATTTCAATGTTTCATGAAGATGCTCCACCAATTCTACCACATCGATATTCTTTTAAATTTCGAAATACACTATTTATGATCACTTTTTGGAAAGATCAAATAATTAATGATCCACGACTTTTGAGATAATATTTTTATCTAATTATTTTATTTTTATTCATGAATTATATTTATTTTTGGTTAATTTTTTTTGAGCAGGTGAAATATAAATCGTTTTTAGAAAATGAGAAATTTAAATAAAAAAGCTTGAACGTGAAATAATTATGTGGACATTCAGATATCATTTTGATAAAAACCTTGTTTTAAAACACGTAAATTGTTTACTCTGAGAAATTAAGATTACTGTGGCTCTTGAATGGCGTTGATTACTGTAACTCAAACTATCGTATTTCAAGTATTCCGAACTGCAAAGGGTACTGTAATCTAGGGACCCAACGATTTATTCAATGTGCGTAGAACTGCACGATATACGGTAACCTTATGATCATCCTTCCGAACTGCAAAGTGTACTGTAACTAAAGTATTCTGAACTGGAAAATATACAAGAGAACTTCAAAACTCGAAAAAAATAGTAGAAAATTTTATTTTCACCTGAAAATACAGAAAAAAACAAACAAGAAAGGTTTTCGGAGGCCAAAAAGAGTTACCGAGTAAAATAAATTAAGAGTTTTGGAAATGCACATCTGACTGACCGAAACAACTTTCAGGAAATGAATTATGGGAAATTCTCGCGGGCGGACGAAAATCTCGCATTCATTTCAACAAAATCGAAACGATCGAAGAAATAACAATCCAAGTCTTTGAGACCACCAAAAAAGAAATGGAAAAAACAAGAAAATATAAAAAAAAACATCTAATGTCTATATCACAAAAAAATTGAAAAGAGAAGTAGAACTTCAGAAAAAAAAAACAAGAAGAAAACAAGGAAACCTATTTGAGCTTAGTTTTTGAATTTGGGGAGGGAAAATGTGATAGGAAGAAAAATAGAAATACATAAAATATCGCAAAAAAACAATATTTGGACAGCAGAAAAACATATTCTTAAATACAGATACACGTATTCATTTTGGAATAAAAATATTTTGATTAATAATAATATGTATAATAATATATAAATTCTTCGGGTTTCTGGGAGGAAAAAAACAATACACGCATTCGTTCTTGAGATTTTGAATTTTTGAAGAAAAAGAAAAAAGACTGGCTATACCTAAAGAGGAGCAAAAAAGGAAGAGGAAGCAGGGAATATGACCTATTGTCCTCCAGCATTTGATTGATGTTGTTGCTGCTGCTGTTGTTGTAACTGTTGCTGATGTTGCTGTTGCATCATCATCTGTTGACGATTCTGAAAATATTTGATTTGCAAAAAAAGTAACAATAAAAATAATAAAACCAAATCCAATCTGGAAACAAGCAAAAATCAAAGGGTGTAAATCAGAATGGAAAAGCTAATTAATCAATTTCTTTTAACCTGAGCAATATTTTGAAAATCAAGCTATTTGCCTCTAACCAAAGAAACCCCAAATACTTCTAAAAAAAACTCGCATACCTGATACATTTGTCCACCAGGTGCCATATTTCCTCTCTGTTGATTTTGCCACGCTTGTTGTTGTTGTGCAGCATTCATCGATGCAAATTGTCCGGATGCTCCACGTGGTTGTTGTTGTCCTTGAAAACCGCCAGCGGCAGCGCCTCCTCGCATTTGATTTGGCTGTTGTGAACCGGCTGCTCCCGGTGCACCTCCAGCCATCATCATTTGCTGTTGTTGTGACATGTAATTCGATTGAGCTCCGTTTTGCTAAAAAAAATTAAAATTAATTTTAGAAAAATATAAATTGAAAAAGAATTTCGACACAAAAGCTCATAACTTCAGAAAATCAAGAATTTTTCAGTTTCAAAATTGAGTGAAAATTTGAACTTCAGATTTTAATTAAAGATGAAGTTTCAGAAATGTCGAAAAATATTCTAGATAAAACTTTTTATCCTTTTCATTAAAAAGGTCTTGGTGATATATTTTTAATTTTTGAAACATTCGAGCTAAAATTTCTCACAGAAATAATCATACCCCAGTTTCCAAAAAACTCACCCTCAAGAAAGCATTAAACAAATGCGGCGTCTTTTTCAGATCCGCATAAAACAATTCGCGTTCTTCGTGAGTTTTTGCCGATTTCAATCGATTATTAATTTTCGAGAGTTGTGATAAAATAGCGGGATCAGTTGGTGCACCATTTCCAGCTCCACCAGGTTGCTGCATTTGCTGCATATGCATCATTCCACCAAAACCACCTTGAGCTTGAGCTTGAGCTTGTTGTTGTCGGAATTGTTGCTGCGAACTCATTCCCATTCCACCAGCTCGAGATTGTTGCTGTTGTTGCATTTGCTGCATTTGTTGAGGTGTCATCATTCCACCAGGTCTTTGCATTCCACCATACATTTGTTGTTGCTGTTGTTGTTGGGCGCCGAGTCCACCGTTTCCAGATTCTGCAAAAAAACGTGGGGTTATGGGGGAAATATTATTTTTAAATTAATTTTCTCGCGTACTCCTTTCTCAACCTGAGAAACCCAAAAAATCAGATGTTTTTTTCGAAAAATGCTCCTAACCTGAGAAATCTCCTGGTTATTTTGTTTTTTTAAGTTTTGAGGTATCTCCTATGTCTAGGTTTTTAGGTAAAATTTTCCGAACATCCCGCTCCCGATTTCCAACCCAAAAAAACTTACGCATAAACCGCTGTTGTTGTTGCATAGGATGTTGCATTGGCATTCCAGGTTTTCCACCCATCTGCCCTCCACCAAGTCCTGTCATTTGTTGTCCCATTCCTCCGATATGTTGATTGGCTGCGGCTGTTGTTGGTTGTTGTTGTTGTTGCTGAGTTGGCTGACTTCCTCCACTTCCACCCCCTTTCATTCCATGCGATCCTCCGCCCATTCCACCTCCATTATTCGAAGGTGTCACAGGTGTTTGCGGTGCAGGTGTAGATGGAGCTGGAGCAGCTGACGAACTGGCTCCTTGCAATCCCTCCATTCTTCTTCTCATCATCATATCAGCTCGTCTTGCCAAACTTCTCTTTTGCTCAGCCAATTTCTGTCTTATATTCATACAGAATGGAACAGAACACGCGTCTCTTGTACAATGTTTTGCGTGATAACAACACAATGCAATGAGTTGTTTGCAAACCGGACAAGTTCCGTTGATTCGTTTCTTGCACATTTTTGTGTGTTGAACAACTCGTTTCATCTTATGACAAGACATTCGACGACAATTTGCATCTCTGCATTGACAAGCATGAACCAATGATTGAATGCATCGTTGAATACTTTCGAATCGATTATTTCCGCCGGCTTCACCTCCAGAATCAGGAACAATTGATTTGATGAGTTCAAATGGATGTTCATGTTTCGTTGTATCTTTGCAACTTTCACACAAATCATAATCCTGCAAAAATATTATGGATTAGGTCCCATTCAAAATGAAAAAAATGTGATCCCTATTTTTTGTGGTCCCAATGAAGAATCCGAAAAAACTTACATCACAAACAGTACAATGCCATTTCGCATTTGTATTCGAACATCCATTACACGAATATTCCATAACTTTTCCAGATTCTGTATCGTGTAATGCGTGTGCCAGGCACAATGTTGAATATCTGAAAGAAAATAAATATGCGAAATATTTCATAATCCTTTCTCATTCATTCTAATAGAAAAACATTGCAAACAAAAACAGTTTTTTGAAAAAAAAGGATCAAAAATGTTATCTTGAAATCGATAAAACACTAGTTTCCTTATAAGAAACAAAAATATCACTTTTTTTGTTTCCGAATTTTTGAAAAAATCGATTGAAATTTTTAATATTTCAGAATTTAAAAGACACTCTTTGTAAAACTGCAAAACCCACCGGACAACGAAAAAGTCATGATCTCAGAATCGGCCCAATTTTTTTCTTAGTAAGCCCCATGGGTGGGGAACTTTTTCCACCAGGTTAGAGATCATGATATCGTTTCGCCAATTTGGTGGGACCGGGTGAAGGGGAAAATTGTTTTTCGAAAAAATTCGTAAGTCGGTTTAACGTTCATATTTTTCGATGATTAAAAAAGCATTTTGCTCGTCTTTTGACGCTCTTTGCGATGGAAAAGAGCACGAATTTCGATACTCTATCCTAAAAAAAATTTTTTTTTCGCCATAATACAACATTGCTTAGGAGTCATTTCCGCTCTTTCTAACCGCTTCCAAAATGTTCCTCGTGCTTTTTTACCCATATTTAGCTACTTTCAAAAAAATCGCCGGCACCTATCAACCTCGGAAAATCACCTAAAAGGGCGCCACTCAAGCGCGCGCGCTCATATAACACACATATGTGCGTGTGTGTGTTTGTGTGCATTGAAGGATTACTGTAGGTGGGAGAAAAAGTTTAAAAAAAACGACTTTCTCGTGGAAACGATGCAAATTACAATGAATAGTTCCCAAAATGAAGTACCCCGAAGGCATTTTACATGCAAAAATTTTGTTTTCGGACTTTCAAGGGGTTGGACTTTTTTTTTGATATTTTTTAGCTCTGAACTTTGAAAAATCGTATTTCCACTTACAGTGGACAAAAAAAGTCGAAGAAAAAAACAGAATGGATCTCAAATATCTCTCTATTGACTGAAAATAAGAGTTGTTAAAAGTATCAAGTGTTCTAGTGCCAATTTTCAAACTCTACGTTTAACGTTACGTACAGTAGTATGTTAGAACTACTCAGAAAATCATCATAGATAGGTACTGCGCCTAGAAAATCATTCCGGCAAATCTTCAGGCTTAGAAAGCTATTCTGACAAAGTTCCGCGCCTAGAAGTTCATTCTGGCAAGGAGTCCCGCTTAGAAAAAAATCATGGATAGCTCTCTTAGGCGCGGCTCCTTGCCAGCTCAATTGTCTAGGCGTTGACTCTTATAATAATGGTTTTCTAGACGCGAATCTTTGTCAGACTTGCTTTCTAGACATAGATCCTTGTCAGTGATGTTTTCTAGGCGTAAATCCTTCCCAGAGCTGCTCTCTAGACGTAGATCCTTGTCAGTCTTACTTTCTCACTGTGTTTTTTTCTAATAGAAAAATGCAATTTCGAGGAGACGCAGACAGTCGCTGGTCTCGCCACGCTGTGTGTCTGCCACACACTATTTCTCTCCCTTTTTCGACGAGAGATTTGTCTGCCCACGTTAAAGTCTGCGTCTCCCTCGAATTGCAAAAAAAATACAGTGTTCTAGGCGTGTTTCTAGGCGTTCTAGGCGTGATCCTAGTGAAAGTTGCTCACTAGGAGCAGTAATTAGCAATAGTGGCTATCAAGACGTGGATTCTTGATCGAATTCTTTGCTTAAGTGCCGTACCTTACCTGGTGGTCTCTGAAAGCGCAACGACGTGATATAAAAACTCGCAAGGCGCCGTACCAAGTTAAAGTGGTTCTCCAGGCACGGTTGCTGGTCATAGTGGCTTTTCTGGCGCAAATAGTTGACAGCGTAAGAATTTTGGACATTTTCAAAAATTTCCGAGAAAAACATAAAATCAATTTCCAGTACCACTGGGGACCGGACACCTATCAATTTTAACATGCTATTGTACGTAACTTCAAACGCAGAGTTTGAAAATTGGCACTAGAACACTTGGTACTTCCTCAAACAAGGAAACCTTTTTTGCTCAACACTTCAAATCTTGATGAAATTTTGTCTATTGACAGCTTTTGGTGTCATAAGAACACCCTAAAAATTTAGTCTCCCAATGGACCTCTGAGCCAAGTTCTGGGCTCTCAAAAGTTCAAAAATTGCTAAAATTGGCTCATAAAATACATCATAACTCAATTCTCGATCATTTTTTTGAAAAACTGAGTAGCAGATGATGATCAGCGTGGTCGATTTACCCAAAAACCATCAATAAATCAAATTTTCAAGAAAAATTCATTTATGAAAAAAGAATGAGCAGAGACACATTCATGAATTTTCAGCCGAAAAATAAAAAAATTCAAAATTTTTCGAAAAAAAAGTTTTATTGTTGTACTTTTAGTAAATCGACTATGCTGATCATTATCTGAATTTTATTTCTCCCACAAATTATTTTGAAATGGAGCTATGATGACCTTTATGAGCAATTTTCAGCAATTTTCGAACTTTTGTGAGCCCAGAACTTGGCTCAGAGGGGGTACGATTTTTCAAAGTTCAGAGCTAAAAAATATCAAAAAAAAGTCCAACCCCTTGAAAGTCCGAAAACAAAATTTTTGCATGTAAAATGCCTTCGGGGTACTTCATTTTGGGAACTATTCATTGTAATTTGCATCGTTTCCACGAGAAAGTCGTTTTTTTTAAACTTTTTCTCCCACCTACAGTAATCCTTCAATGCACACAAACACACACACGCACATATGTGTGTTATATGAGCGCGCGCGCTTGAGTGGCGCCCTTTTAGGTGATTTTCCGAGGTTGATAGGTGCCGGCGATTTTTTTTGAAAGTAGCTAAATATGGGTAAAAAAGCACGAGGAACATTTTGGAAGCGGTTAGAAAGAGCGGAAATGACTCCTAAGCAATGTTGTATTATGGCGAAAAAAAAATTTTTTTTAGGATAGAGTATCGAAATTCGTGCTCTTTTCCATCGCAAAGAGCGTCAAAAGACGAGCAAAATGCTTTTTTAATCATCGAAAAATATGAACGTTAAACCGACTTACGAATTTTTTCGAAAAACAATTTTCCCCTTCACCCGGTCCCACCAAATTGGCGAAACGATATCATGATCTCTAACCTGGTGGAAAAAGTTCCCCACCCATGGGGCTTACTAAGAAAAAAATTGGGCCGATTCTGAGATCATGACTTTTTTTGTCCGGGCCTCTGTTGTAAAGTTTACGTTTTTACAAATAATGTCTTTTAAATTAATTTTACAAGTAAAACTGCAAATTGTTAACTTTCAATAGTTCCACAAAATTCAGCACGATTTCTAGAGCTACAGGCTTTTCTTCACCTTTTTTAGAATAATCTATTTTCACAACTCCAAAACCCTCTCAAAAAAAACTCACTTTGCTCTTCTCAACGATGAAAATTCCCAATGTTCATCTCTGGCTCTCGTCAAAAATGTATCTCTTCCATCCATCATTTCAGAAGGCATTAATGGATCCGGATCAGTGATTGGTGTTGACAAAACTGACAATTCAGATTGTTGTGAAACAAGTCGAATTGTGAAGAATACTTCCTTATGTTTCTCGAATTGCGAATATAATTTATCACAAACTTCATTTCCAGTCACACTTCCTTGTTTCTTTTTGTTCAGTTTTGCATTTTTCTTCAAATTATTCTTCTTATTTTGTTTCGAACTTTTCTTATCAGTTGCTCCACCAATTCCATTATCTCCATCTCCATTTTCATCTTCATTCAAATCTTCTTCTTTCGTTGTTTTTCTTTGCTCTTCTTCTGTTTTCGCTTCTCGAATACAATCTTCAATAACATTCGGCCAGAAATCTCCTTCGAAATATGGAAGTTGAATTGGTGACACTAAATTATCATCTCGAGCTTGTTTGTATATATCTTTGAATTCGACAACAGTTTTCTCTTGTACTCCTTTTTCCAACATCTTTTTATACCAATCTTGCAATCTTTTTGGCTTCGGGATTTTCTGTTCAGTTGGATGGCAATGGAATATATAATCATCGCCTTCAGAAGGCGGGCAAGCCCAAATATGTGCCATTGTGTAACCCAACTTTTTCGCGTAGCTAGAAAAAATACATATTATATTTAGAGAAAGTCGAACAGTCAATTTGACTTTTTTTTCGAAAAAAATAATCTTTTTCCAAGAAACCCTCTGAAGAACAAAAAAAAACTAACTCTAAATATCCCAACAAAATCTCATGATACACATCGGTTCTCAATTCTCTTGGTTGGAAAAAGTGCACCGAATCCAAATAGGCAATATATACACGACGAGCATTTGGAGTTGGACAATTACTTCCGTATTCTTGAACATGTAAACCAAAGAAGCACACTTCGACGCCGTCGATGATTTCGAATGCAAATACAGCTTTTGTTCGATAAGGGAATTTTTCGGGAAATTGGCCTTTATCACAATATCTGGAAAAAATAAGGTTTATTCGCAACTTTGCGTAGGTGTTTTTCTATCGAAAAACTAGTGAATCAAATCTTTAAAAGCATTTTCTTGTAAACTTACTTGGTCTTCATTTGCGATTTCACTTCAACTTCTTTATCTTGAACACACAAAGTTCGAATAACAACTTCATATTTATATGCTTCAGCTTGTAATGATCGCTTGATAAATCCATTAACCCGATCTTCCAAAAACGTCGACAATTTATTATGCGGCAATTTCTTGGCCAAAAATTTGTTCTCTGCTTTCGGATATTTTTTCGACGCTCGACAACTATCGCATATAAAACCTTCGGAGAAAACTTTCTTATCGTGAAGAGCACAAATTCGATGCCATTTTCGATGACAATATTTGCAATTATCAAACGGTTCAAAATCAATCAAATTATTCTTCATTTGTTGGAACTTTTCTTTCGATGCCATACTTGTTCGATCTGATGGATTATCAGATAATGAAATTCCTTCTGGTGGTAGAGCATCGAAACATTTTGTACAATATGTATATCTTTCTGATACAACAACATTAAATTGATTCGAATTTGTTTCATAAACCCAATATGGTTGATCTCTAGCTATTGTACACATTGCAGCTCCATAACAAAACAGTGCTAATGGTGTAAATGATAATTTCTTCGAGCAACAATAACCCATCGCTTTCATAACTGGATCCATCACAGCCACAAATAATTCGGATAACTTTGTTCCATATTTATAAACCTTCGAATTCTTTCGATTATATAACCAAGCATTATCAAACATCAGCCAAATATCATCACAAAATTGCCACGCATTTTTATAAATTCCCGCGTTCATTTTCTTATAAATTGTCTCCAAATCCATTGGATGTTTAACAATATTATGATAATCTGGAATATTTAATAAAATCGGATCAACAGGCACTCGAAATGGCATCGCATCTTCAGATTTATCCAATTTCTCCCAAACCGGCAACAAAAAGCTTTTCAATTCTTCCGCTGAAAATACCATATCTTCAGCTAATGGTGGTGTCGGTTCTCTTTGAATTGTTTCCGTTTTCAAAGGTGGTGTATTACTTGGCTCTTTCTTTATAATCTTCTCATTTCCATTATTATTTGGTGGATTTACAGGTTCTTCTGGTTCCTCTTTTTTAACAGTTCCATTTATCAGTCCAGCTGATGAAGATGGTCCATTAAAGCAACCTTGTTCATTAACATCCATTGGTTCCTCTTTCTTAATTATTGATGGCTTACTTTCAGAAGCTTGTGATTGCTGTTGTTGAATTGATGGCATTACACTTGGTGTACTACTACCACTATTCGAAAACATTGAAGGAGGTGCACCATTTGATGATATCATTGAGTTTGGTTGTTGTGATTGTTGTTGATTATTTGAATTAATTTGTTGCAGAGGTGGTTGTTGTGAAGAATGATTTGAACCCGGTGTTGACATCTGAAATTATATTGGTTTTGCTGATGATTTGAAATTTAATTTCATTATCCAAGAGAGATTCTGTGCTCTTAAAAATACTTACCCATGGTGGATGTTGTGAATGTGGTTGCTGTTGTTGTTGTTGTTGTTGAGTAGCAGGTTCAGGTTGTGGTTGATTCGACGCAGATCCATTCGTCATATTTGATGTTCCTGGTTGTTGTGGATCAATTGGTTGTCCGCGTTGTTCAACTCCCATCATTTCAGCAAGTTCCGAAGCCGGTGGAATACCGTATGCTAAAAGAGAAGAGATGATTTGAGAATTTAGATCAAGAAATTTCCTATAAATTCAAAAAAAAAAAAGTAACTCACGATCTTGTTGTTGTCCTTGACTGAGTCTATGACTCTGTTTCTCTTGCAATTGTTTCTGAATTTTATAGATTTTCTCGGCCAGCAAATGATAATATTCTTCTCGATCGTTGGCTGATTCAAACATTTCTCTCTCAACTTTTCGCGCATAATTCACCAATTCTTTGATTCTCGAATCATTTACCGCTGCTCGATCAGGCTCCGGGAAAATGGATTTGACAAGTTTACCGACGAGATGATTGCGAAGGTCTTTGGTGACTTGAAGATGCCATTCTTTGGTTGTTCCTGGTTCACCAGGTGGCGGTAGATTCATATCACTATTTCCAGGCCTATCAATTCGTCCCATCTGTCCACTAGTTGGTCCACTGATTTTCTGATTTGGTGCATTTGGTAATCGGAAAGGATCACCGTTATAGCCTTCGAAAAGAGCATTTGGTATTTGTCTCAATGGTGGAGATTGGAATGATGAAATTACTTCTGAAATATTATTCATTATTATTATTTTGTTTTTATATTAAATTCTTACCATTCATTGCAACAGGATTATCTTGTATCCTTTTCAATGGTTTACAAACTGGACAATCTTCTCGATTACAATTCTTCCAATGAGCAATGATTTGTCTTGATGAAGCGCAATGTGGATCTGAAAACGAATTCAAAATTAATTTCAAAACACCCAAAATCTCACATTTACAGGGACATCCTCTTCCATTGTTGCACGATGTCATATGTTGTAGAACTTCTTTCATTGTTGAACAATGTGGAAGATTGCAAGGTGGATGAATATTATTGGCATTATTTGATCGAGCTTCTTGATTTTCTCGTTCTCGTTGTTGACATTTATGTGCATGTAAAAGTAGAACAAGTTGTTGTTGAATCAATTTTCTTTTTTCTGGATCTTGTTGACCAAGTTGTGATGTTCCAGGCGTTGATGCTCGACCATTTTGAGCTTCTCGAGCTGCTGCTGCGGCGGCGGCTGCGGCTGCAGCTGCTTGCTGATTTGGATGTTGCATTGGATGATGACCATTCATCGGCATCATCTGTAAATTGAAAAATATTTTTATAAACTCGAGATTTTTTCTCTTGTTAAAAATTTTATCAGCCCATTTTCAAATTTTAAAACTTTCCCACTTCATAACTCAAATCGAAAATTGAGCTAAAAAGTTTCAAGTCGATTTTGTCAGATATCGAATGAGTAATTTTTGTTATCTAATAAGGTCAAAAACCTCATCTCTATAGACAATTCAAACCCATCTGAGTCTCAAAACTAACCATTTGTTGATGTCCAGGTCTTATTGGTTGTCCATTTGCATCAAGCATCATTTGATGTTGTGGATGCATCATTGGATATTGTGGATGTTGTCCTCTTCCATATGCCGCTTGATGCATATATTGTTGATGTTGTGCATAAGCTGGATCAATCATTCCACGTGGCATCATTTGTCCAGGCATCGCAGCACCTCTTCCTTGTCCACCCATTGGTCCGCCTCGTCCCATTGCTCCATTCATCATTTGTGGCGGTGCACCTCGTCCACCAACTGGTTGTGCACCTCTTCCACCATAACCTGGTGGCGGAACTCCGGCTGGTCCTTGACCATAACCGGGATATCGATGCATCATCGCCGCTGGATATTGTTGACCAGCTTGTCCGCCCATCATCATTGTTCCAGGTTCTGGTGCTCCAGGGGGATACATTCCTGGTTGACCACCGCGCATTTGTTGAACATGTGAAGCTGGTTGTTGTGGTCCGCCTGGAGATGGTCCAGGAACTCTTCCAGCTATTGAATTTGGTGGTGACATCATTGTGGTTGAACCATTGTGCATAAGTGGACTCCTTCAAAGAAGGAAACATTTAATTTTGAAAACTTTTCTTTAAAATTTAAACTAACCTATTAAAAGCTGTATTCTGTTGTTGTGCGCCAGGTGGATATTGTTGATTTGGCGGCCTTGGTGAATTATTAGCACCTTGTGATTGTGTCATTAGCAATTCTTGTAAAACTGAACCACCTCCACTTCCAGTAGTACCATTTGTGACTGGAGCATTTGGTGTTGGTTGAGATGGAACACTTCCAGGTTGTAAATTGAAGCCAGAAGTTGTTGGTTGTTGAGGTGCAGAAGTTGGTACTGAATTTGGTGGACCGCCCGATCCTCCTGATGTACTTGCATTTTCATTTTCAGCACCTCCTGATCCTAATGGTTCTAACTGTTCTAATTCACTGAGAGCATCCAGACCGTCACCGTCAAAATCTGCAATCAAATAACAGTTATTTTCATTTTCCTTTTCAATTTGAATCAACTCACCGCTTTCAGCTCTTGATTTTTTCAATGGTGGTTCATCCATTAGATGATTTATATTTATAATATATATTCAAATAAAAAACCAATATATTAATTTATATACTTCAAATGTTTGCAATTTGTTGTTCTTCAGCTCCGTTTCACCATCAGAACAAAAAAATTTATCTATGTTAGTTTGACAAATTCAATATTTGACAAATTATATCTGCAAAAAAATGAAGATGATTTCTCTTTTCGAATATTCGAATAAGTTTTTACGAGAGGAATAATTGAAAAAGTTTTTCGAAAAAATAAAAATTAATTTCAAATAATACAGTATGTAAAGGAACATACACAAACAGCACGAGGTTCTTGCAACGAAAAAAAAAGATAATGAAATATTATTGAAAAAAAAAATTATCGATTTTTTTATTTATTGATTTTTGATAAGTTGATCAAAAAACTTCGGATAAAAGGGTGATTTGACGATTGAATGAAAAATCAATAAATATAATTTGCAAAAAAAAGCTCAATTTCACGTGAGATGCGCAGAACGGTGTTCGTTAGAAATAACACACAAACGTGCAGAGACGACAGACAGCGAAAAAATCAAGAATATGAGAGAGTGCGAAAGCAGAAGAGGGTAGCAGACACTAGCAGCGTCCACACAAAGGGGTCTTAGAGCGAGTGATGCATTTAAAGGGATACTGTAGACAGAGCGCGTACGCAATACGCTCGCAATCGAAAGAATTCGTTTCGAAGCTTGCATTCGGATTTCACGATTTTTTGTGGGAAGATGATTGAATTTTGAAAATTCCAGCGAGAGGTAGATACAAAATGAATGAATAATGATAAATAGAGTGGAAAAAATATAGAGTATCGTGGGAAAATATGAAAATTATGAGTTTGAAAGTTCAAAGTTAAAAAATGACTTTTCTCAAAAATGTGGAACTTTTGAAGAACAAAAATCAGTGATTTAATAGAGAATTTTATGGAGAACAAAATGCATTGGCTTTCAATTTCAGAAAGTCAGTGCATCGCGAGATTTTCAGATTCTAAACTTTTTTCACTTCTAATCAAAAAATCTCAACTTCTAGCGATTTTCCAGAAATGAGACCGCTTGGAATCGATTCAAAATAGCGAAATTAGTCAAATTATGAAGTTTCATCAATTTTAGATTCGAAAAAAATATTCAAAATTTTTCCAAACTTTTCATTCAAAATTCTAGTTTTCACATGAATTACAGTATGTCTCAGTGATAGTTACTAGTAATAAATATTGAAACTAAAGTCAAATAAACAAATTGAAGATCTCAAAAATATCTGGGTATTCAAAAAAAATCGTATGTGGTGTGATGGCCGAGAGCGGCGGCGGCGGTGTGACGATGGAAAGGGGGCGGGGCTTAGGGCGTTTCACACTTTGTGTTCGAATGGGGGGTTGTGGACGGGGGAAAAATGGAAGAAGGGTATGGATAGATAGATAAATGGACAGTAAGAATATATTAACAATTAAATATTTAATGCGGGATATTTTGTTGATAATGAGGAACATGATGCATTTTCAGATTTTCTGAAACTGATTACTGTAGGCAACTTTTTTTTTTGTAGAAATGGAGATTGAGAAAAACACAATTTTGAAAACTATGGGTAGGAAAAATTGAATGAGCAATTTTTTCGAAATTTTTTAAGATGCTAAGAATGCGCCTGTACTGTTATTGGGGGTGATAACGAATTTGGAGAAAGCTGAAGCGCAAAACTCAAGTCGCTCATCACTATGCTGCAAAGAGTATCTGCTGAGATGCAGTCAGAACCGCGCAGAAGAATGCGCTTCAAAGAAATCAGCTCTGAATAATTTTCAGAAAAACATTAGCTTTCTACACTGCAAGTATTCACTGCAAAAGTGAAAACTGTAGAAAACCTAATTTTAGAATAGAAATGTTCCTTTTTGATAATACATACTTTGAACGAAATGCTAGAGGGGTAAGAGTTTCAAAATCTCTACTCACAATCTTTTTGAACGCATGGTCTTTTGTTGGTTACAGCATTTGTATGAAATGAATTCCTCAGAATTATTGAACCTTGATTCTAAGCATCAAAATTTTCTACGGGTTTCTGCGATCAAAATTAACAAGACTGGGATCATTTAATTCAGTTGAATTACAATTTATGGCGTGGCAAATTTCAAAAATTCTTAAAGTTTCTCTGAAGAAGTTGGAAAATTTATTAATTTATAACCTTGGAAACATAAATTTTCCAAACATTGAGAATAATTAAGTAAATTTTTAAATTTTCCCACGTCATAACTCGAAGTTGAGCTATTCAATTTTCCAGTAAAAACGTACAAAACAATATATATATTTCAACAAAAACCTTGAAGCTCACCAATTCAAACATTTCATGAAACTTTTCTGCACAACTCAAATTTTTCATCGTAAAAGTTCATCTTCCAAAGTTTCCATAATCATTTTCTTCAATTCTTTTGTCATATTTACACTCTTGCTGAAATCCATCATCACAACTATTTCGATCTTCAAAAAACTTTTTTTTTCAAATTTTTCAAGGAAATTGAATCAGCATGATAACGGCTTTTGAAAATTAAGAAATACAGTCTGATAGAACTCGATACGCTGATCACTATTCTGCGAAAACTAACTGCTGGGTTCCAGGGGAAGCAGCCAAAATGAGCTGAAAAGATCATTGAAATATGACCAGGCAGTAAAAGTTGATCACATTTTTATCAGATAATTTTCACAGCATCGGGATCAGATAATTGAGTTCTGTCTTTTTTGATTTTCAAAAACTGTTCGCTCCCTAATCTAACTTTCCCCAAAATTCTTACATCTCCATATTCAAGCGGTGGCATTTCAGCATAGACTTTGTCAACAATATGTTTCAACCAAATTCGAATTTTGTCTTCCGGAACTTCTCTATCAACATTCTACAAAAAACTCATGCAATTTTGAAAGAAAAAAAGTAAACTTACAACTTTTATCAGTTTTTTGGGTCGATCTTGGTCCAATTCCGCAGATTCGCTCATTTTATTTTTCCAATAATGAAAAAAATATTATAATTCAAACAACTCAAATTAATAGGTCACGTAAAAAATGAAAAATTTATTAAAAATATTACTATTTGACAAGAAAATATTGAAAATAGTAAAAAAAATAAATATGAAAAATTATTGACAAGTACTTGTTGATTGTCGGTTTTTTCTTCTTTGTTCAACTAATGCTGGATGATCAGGAGCGCTCATATAAAGCGACAGAACTTTTTCGAAGTTTTTTACTGGAAACATTGAGGAAATTTTCGAGAAATGGAAAAGGGGGGGGGGTTAATCGGAACTAATTTTTGGTGTGGATCGAACCTAAGCGGACCATCTTAGTTTTTTGAGAAAACATTACACCTGGCCTGACTCAAAATTTTCCCAAGAAACTCACGATTGCGCCCATTCACTACAAACGATTTATAATCTCTGGCTAAATAATAATATCGAAGCGAGAAGAAATGGAACATCTGAAATTCATAAAATTATATTCATTTTCAAATTTTTCAAACTCACATCTTCAAAACTGGCTTTTGTCAGCTCTTTATAAAATGTGTTTTTTGTACAAGCTGGAGTTAGGCATAAACAATTGTCCTTGAGTTGATCAATCACGTAGTTCTCGCCGTAATCAAAGGTTAGCTTAAATAAGATTGGATATTAATTTTGAAAATGAAAATTTGCTGAGTTTTTTATCTCATGAAGATTTTGAAAAATGAACCCAAAAAGACATACCTGTGCACCAGGAAATATATCTTCTAATGAAATCATGATGCATTTGAGATGTTGTGGTCCTATTCCACCTTGAAATACTCGACACATTCCCAAATTCGGTTGACATCCGTGAGAAACAAATCGAGCTTCATTGCCTTTGAATTTTGGATCGACGTACCATTTTTTATCGAAAAATTTCTGAAAAAAATTTACATAAAAACTCTCAAATATCATTCAAAATTTTAAAGTTCCCCTGTGTATAGTTCCCACTCACATGGAATCGTTCTCTTGTTTTTGAGCTGAGAAATTCTAATTTTTGAAAGAAGTTTCTCAACACAGTTTCGGCAGAATCAAAACAACAAAATGCATAATCCTCTGATTCTCGATCCGAAACACTTTCAAAATCAACAAATTCTCCAACGAATTCGAAGATTGGACTTCCGTAAGGAATGAAATTCCTGGTTCTAAGACAGAATCCTTTCTCATCGTGACGATAAATTTCAAATCGATTGATTTTTTGTTCGATTGTGTATATAACATTATTATCACAACATCCTTCACATTCACAATTTGAGCTACAGCAAAAACCAATTGTGTCGAAATAATGATCAATATCGCGCATCAGAATTTTTGAGAATGCTTTCTGAAAATGATGAATTTTATGAATAAAAATGAGTTTACACATACAAATTGAGTTTTCTCATGTTCTTGTCGATATGCATTGATTTTTTGGATTTCTTGAAATCTTTGATTCATATTAAAACAAGGGCAATTGGGATTATCAAAACAATTCACAAATTTTCCTTCGATTTTCTTGCAATCACATCGAATCTGAAAAACCCCATTTCTTTTGAAGAATGAAGAGATATGTTCTTACCAAAATCTCTTCCGATTTCACGAGTTTTTCGTATCCAATATCAACATCACTTGTAATCTTATTTTTATCGATATAATCGAATATCATGGTTTCGCTAATCTTAACTTTTTTTGGATCGATGGTTAACATATCGCAATAAAGTGGAATAGGATTTTGCGGATCCAATGTTAGATTTTTCATGATTCGATTTCTTCGATCTGGTGGAGTATATCTCGCTTTGTTTCTTAGATCCTTAAATGCTTTTTTCAACATTACAACATCCTTTGGAACGGAGACTTCATCAGGTGTTTCATGTTTCTTGATAAACGATTGTATTTCCTGATGTAAACGAATTCCTTGCATTTGACACACTCGATCATCAGCTTTTTCTAACACCGTAAAATCAAAATGTTGTTTGAGGATTGGATCATCTTCAATTCTCTTCTTAATTTCTGCATAAACTTTTTGATAATCTCCCCATTCATCATAATCGATTCGTTTTGTGTTCCGTTGCATTATCAATCGTTTGTGCTGTTGACAATTCGAAAAAATCAATCGTTCTTCATCTTCTGAATCGCATTCGATGATATCGTCGTCCTTTTCTTGCTCGATAATTTCAATTTCGTCCTGAAATCAAACCAATCACACAAAGTGAAACAAATTTCCAAAGAGAAACAAACCTCCGAATCTTCAGTCAAATCGATTATATCGACAGATTCTCCCATCGCTGAAAAAATTATTATTTTTTCAAATTACATTAATTCATTCTCAAGAGCATAAACAAGAGATAGAGAATAATTAAGCTTCAACGTTTTATAACGAGAATTTTAGAATAATTTTCAAATAATGACGTTTTTCTCAATTGAGAGCAACAAATCAATTTTCAGATGAAAAATTTGATAGCTTCTTAAATTCACTAGTTCAGATTCACAAGAAAAACAGTTAAAATGAAAAATTTAGGCTGAAATAAAAAAACAAAAGTGTATGGGGTACTGTAAGTGAGTTTGTCCGCAGTCCGTGGATTTCTTCAACGTCAAACACGCGAATTGACGACACAATTTTTTCATTTTTTTTTTCATTTTTCCTTTGAGTTGGCAAAAACATAAATAAATGCTCCAAAACTAGAGTATGGTTTAATCTGGAGTTGCAAGATATTGCTCCGCTAATATTTTGACTAATGGGGCGATTCAGGTCGAAAAAAAAACTAAAAAAAACATTTTTTTACAAAAAAATTCGATTCAGCAAATGTCAAAAAACTCTATTTTTTTCCACACAAAAATGAGAGATATCTCGCAGCGAAAATGTTTCAATGAAAAAAAATGTCAAAAAATGTCGAGAAATAGGAAAAAAATATAGTTTTTTGACATTTGCTGAATCGAATTTTTTTGTAAAAAAACGTTTTTTTTTAGTTTTTTTTTCGACCTGAATCATCCCATAAAGTTTCACTGAAATATACAATTTAATAGCTCCAAAATCATTATTCACATTTTTCAATTTATAAAACTAATTTATCTTACTCGAAGTATCTGTTTCCTCTTTTTCATTGCTCGCATAATTTTCCATAGCCATGCTAGCTTTTTTCTGTTTGTGCGTCATTTTCGTTGTTTACACATTATGTGTTTACTTCTTTTTATCCGTAAAAATTCCGAAATTCGTATATTTTCTTTAAAAAAGTTTCAAAACTTAGTTTTTCATAAAAGTGTTTTTTTCAGAATGGAAATATACATCGATGCGATTAAATGTTCAATTTCGAAACCTGATATTACATGGAAAGATGACCCATTCGAAAATCCTTATAAAATTCTACGCGAAAAAATTGGAGAGACTTCTACGGAACAGGATAATACTTCCGATTTACGATTGAATTTTGCAATTTTATTAGGGAAAGTTTATTTGAAGGTTGGTTCTCTAAAGGCTTAATTATCGAACAAAAAACATTATTTTTCAGCTCGCGGAACAAATTGAGATTCAGAAAAGTAACATCGAAGACGAATATCAAGTATTATCTCTCAACAATATCACATTAATCTGTGAAAGTTTTCAATTTTTCGTCCTCACTTCGATTTTACCATTTGTTGAAGAAGGAGTGGGAATTGGAGCACAATATCGATCAAAATTTGTTAAATCTTGGAAATTGTTCAATGGAGATATAAAAGAGCAGAAAAAATATGTAAGTTTTTTGTGACCTTTGGTTTTTTAGAAGTAAATATACATTTTAGCTCGAAAATGCTGCAAATGTTATAGTGAATTTATTTCAAGCAAATGAACCACTTCGAATTCAATTAACTAAAAAATTTATCGATGATTTGATGGCTCTACGTTTTCAACTTCAAAGTATCGGAATTTCAAAATTCGATGAGAATTTATCAAAAATAATCGAAGATTCTCCAAAAGATTTACAAATTTCTGCACTTCTTGCTTTATGTAAAAACAAAAGAGGCGCCCCAGTTTGGCTTCAAAATGTCTGTGGACAAGAACTCTCAAAAATCCTGATGAAATCTGATGGTTTATTCAATTTTCTGGTTTATTATGATGATGTTGGCGGGGATAATTGGACTGAAAATATTCCATTAAGACGATTTGTTGCGCAAGTTTTGGCGATGGTTCCGAAAATCGAAAAAACTTCGACACTTTCTTATCATACAAATATTTTCAAACAATTTTTGGCGATTTTTGACAAAACGGTAGATTTTTTGAAACTTTCCCTGTAGTTTTGTTTTTTTCCGAGTTTTCAAATTTTCCAAATTATTTATAAAAAATTTTCAGGCTTCAAATCAACAATCAAACAAAAAAGTATATCAAATATTCTGTGAATTTGTTTCAATTTTACAACAAAGTTCCCAGCAGAAATATAAAAATAGTGCAAATCTGGTTATTTTTGACTATTTATTACGAGATTTGGAAATTCTTGCTGAACAAATGCATACAACAACAAGTTTTGATAGAAAAATTGAGAATTTTGATGATATTCAAAACAATTTGGAAATTATTGAAAATATGATAAAAATTGGAGGATTTGAACCGAATGAAAGAATTTTGAGACTATTCACGGTGTTTTTGACATTGGAGAGATTCGAAATTGCAAAGGACATTTTGAAGAAAGTTGAGAATCCTGGAGATTTATTGTATTCTTATATCATGAGAGAGAGCAGAAATTTGAGAATTTTGGAAAAAGAAAAACCGAAAGTAATTGAAATTATTGACGAAGAAAAAGGAAAAGAAGGAGAAGAATTATGGATTGATGGAATTGAAGAGAAAGAAATTGGACTTGCAAGAAGATTAGAATTCGTATGTGATTCGCTCGATAAATTATTTGAGAAACGAAGTTTATCAGCTGATGTTTTATTGGAAATGCTTTCGAATGGAGTTGAAGAATGGATGAAGAATATTGATTGTTCGGAAGAGGATTCGTATAGATTTGTAGAGAATTCGGAACAAAATAATGCGTTATATTCACATTTATTGGTTGGATATTGTTTTGAAAGAATTGCGGGCTATTTATCGGAAGATGGATTTGTTTTGGAGAATTCTAAATCAATTTTCGCATTGTTGAAAATTGTTGAGGTGAATTTAAAAAAATTGTATTTTGTTTTGGCTATTTTTTTGTCCGAAAACCTTCGTTTTTTATATAATTTATCTTCAGAGCGTTATTCTAAAATCGAACAAATTCATGAACTTTTTAATCAAGAAGTCGAATGAGATGGATATTTTCAAAATAAGTGAGGAAGATGGTTCTCGATTCGAGGTATTTTTTTGGATAGGCCTAAAATGATTTTGAGAAGCCTAAAATGAGCCTAAAAATAGGCGACTTGTTTTAGAGGAGATCTAAATTAGTCCTTATTTTTTAAATTTCAAAATTAATTTCAGGTCATGATTGAAACCGCAAAAATGGCAATCGGTTTAGCTGGCGGAATTGTTGTCGCCGCAACTTTTCATCAAAATATCCTCGAAAACCTTGAAAACGCGTTCCAAAGTCTCAAAAAATTCGTCGAAATCAGCTCATCTCTACCAACATCTCTCAACAATGATAAACTTCAAGCGATTTGCGAAGATGCCAGAAAATTATTGGATTTGATGAATATTCGAGTAGATCAACATGTTTCTGAACCATCAACTTCAGGATTTTCAACACAAACTTTCAAGAATTCTGATGAATGTGAAGAAATGTTGCAAGATTTACGAAATCCACAAGAAGAATTAGCAATTCGTGGAGGTGTTCTTATTCAAATTTCGAAAATTTTCCGGAAAAGAAATCTCAAATTTATCAAAAGATTTGAAGAATTGGATGTTTTTGAAGAGGTCAAAACTCAAATAGTTCATCCGGATTCGTATATTTTTCTGTCTGCAATTAATTGTCTTGGTGAAATGGCTGTTTATAATCGGAATTATCTCGATAAACTCATTGATTTGTATTCGGATATGGAGAATGTGAGTTTTTTGTTGGGATTCTTTGTGCAGATTTTGAGGCAAAAATAATATTTCAATTTTTTCAGTCTTCTGAAGAACAAATAATTCGAAAAGGCAGAATTTGTGAAGCATTGGGAAAAATATTCAAAGAACTCGGACAAGTTTCAATATTTTATCTCGATCGAATTTGTCGCATTTTCCTTGAATCAATCAAACAAAATGAGGAAATAATTCGAGCGAGTAGTTGTTCAGCACTTGGAGATATTATAATTGCATCACGAGGAAGAGGCATTGAAAAATGGTTGGATGAAGTATTGCATATTATTGATTCACTTGTTTTGATTGATAAATCGGCTTTAGTTAGAAGATGTGCTGTTGATTTGATTAGGCAATTGATTCGATCGTGTTCGAGTGATATTTTGCAGGTGAGATTGGATGTTCAAAAAGAGTGTGAAAAATTGAAGACAAAAGGAAAAAACAGTTCTCCCGTATTTAATTTCAAATGACAAAAACTGCTTGGTTCGGTCTATTGTTTCTTTGTGTGCTCTTGTGTCTTCAAAATTTGACCATGGTTAGGCTCTGCCGAATTTTTCAAAACTTTCTTCAACCTTCAAAGCCTAAAATAACTGTACATAATTTAATTCTAGATTCTCGGAAGTCGACTTCGAGACATTCATCGAAAAATCATATCAATTTGGAAATATGATCGAGATGATATTGTTCGACTTCATGCCCAATTATGCATTGATGAATTGAATGCAGAACTCAAAAATCTGTTCGAAGAAGAGAATTCGAGATATTGTAGAACTATCAAATTTTGAATAAATGAAGATTTTTTATTGTTTTTTTTGTTGTGAAATTTGTTTTGGAAAAAAACGTTTCAATCGTTTTTATACTTACAATTAGCTCAACATTTTTTGCGCTAAAATGTTTTCCACGTGAAATTTCATGTTGGAGCTAAACTTTAAATTTATTTTTAGTTGAATGGACGAGATAAATGTGGAATTGGTGATTGCTGCGATCAATGAATTTTATACAACTGTTGATGAGCAACGAAGGCATGATTTAGATGGAATATTGTGTAAATTTAAAAGTGGTGAGTTTGTTGGCTCAAAAATTGTTTTTTTTTGTGAGAAGTCCAGATTTAAAAAAATTTTTAGTCAAAAATGATTTTTTGAAGTTTTTTCAAAAATACATTCCATCTCTTAATTCCTAAATTTTCAGACTATAATTGTTTGCCAACAGTTGTGACATGTATGCGAATGATCAGCTCATCGGAAAGCTCACCAAATGTTCGATATTTTGCCACTGTTTGTTTGTATGATGTTATTCGATTGAGAAGCGATGAATGTGTTTCCGATCCCACTATTGTGAGTTAACATTTTCACAGAAAATAATCCAATTCACCACGTTTTTTTTCCAGCAAATCAGTGTCAAATCATTTCTAATCGAAAGTCTAACATCTGGAACATATTCACAAACCCAATCAGTTCTCAATAAATTATCATCAACTCTTGCAATTCTCTCACTTTATTGTATACCTGATTTATGGACAGAACCTGTCGCGGATTTAACATCACTTTGGGCGCCAACACCGGAATTATTATTGAAGTAGGGAATTATTTTCGAAAGTCATGAATATTGGTTTTTCTTGCAGAGTTTTATCAGATATTGCTGCTGAATTTTCAAATGTTACAATGCCACTTGCACAAAGAAGTAAATTGAAAACGGAATTGCATAGGATTTCCAACGTGAGATCTAGACTTTTCATTTTTGACCTTCAGACTATTTCTCAATTTTTTGCAGGACATAATCAAAATAATTTGGACAGTTCTTTCATGCGGCGATGCAACTGCTTCTACAAAACGAGCAGCTGTTGATTGTGTTGAACAATGGATTCGTCTACCGGGAGTTGCTCTTGAAAATTGGTCGAATGTTTTGTCGATTGTGTTGGAATCTGTGGCCAAAGATTGGTAAGAGCAATTTTTTTGAGGAAAATATGAGCCTGTTTTTTGTAGGGGAAGAATTTTGATGGTTTCAAGAGGGTTAACATCATATCCAGGATTATAATTAAAATAATTTTTGAAATAATAATTTCAACCCTTTAGGCTTGTATTCATATAAAAATCTAGAATTGTATTCCAGCACCGCGCTAACAAATTTGCTCTCAATTCTTTCCGAAAACGACGAACTTTCAAATATGGGACCACTTGTCATGGATATTTGCAAATATATAATTGTAAATGTCTCGCAAAAAGTTGGCGAAGAATTGAAAGAAGATGGATGTAGTGAAGAAGTATCTAGTCTAGTCTCAGCCACGTGTTGTTTAGCTGAAAGAGCTGTGCAAACTTTAGTTGAAGTTTCGAGTCAAGCTGGAAATGTCGAATTATTGACGTGGGTTTTATTTAGGCAAGCGGGAAAAGGAGTTAGCATTTATTAACAACAAAAAACTCCAAGAAAATATTATTTCCTGAAATGCTTCCCTTTTTTCCAGAAAAATGTTGGATTTTATGCAAGCCTTATCCACTTTACCTGGAATTTATCCAATCGATGAAATTGTTTCTGATCTACCAGTTGTTTTTCTAACAACATTGAGAGAAGAAGTTGTCAGTTCAATGAGTTCGCAATCAAAAAAGAATTGGAGTTTAGTTGTTGAGAATGTGGCACCATTTTATGCCCAAATATTATGTTCATCGATTGAAAAGTTATCTTATCCTGAAGCCAATATATTTGAGAGATATTCGAAAGAAGATCAGGATTTATTTGATGAATATCGAACAACAAGAAGTGAAGTTTCAGTTGATTCGTATTTGCTTTCGGGAAGTCAAACTTTGGCTTTTTTGAATACAAAATTGGAGGAATCTTTGACTGCAAATTTGAATTATAATAGGTAATTTTTTCTGCATTTTTCATTAGGAGAGTTACTTTAGATTATTCCGGTGCAAGAATTTTTATCTGAAAAATCCTTGGATGATTTTGGCCTCAAAATTTTGTACTGTAATTTTTAGAGTAACTATGGATAATTAAAATTATCTGCACATAATTATTTTTTCAAAATTTCAGATCTGAAGCCATATTATATCTATGGGAATGTGTTGGCGATTATACAAATGAAAAAGATTACCCAAATATTCTGAATTTTCTTCAAATCGTAGTCCAACACTTCAAAATCTCACCTGAAACTGCGCTAATAAATCGAGATCAAATTCGACGAGCCAACACAATTATGAAAGTTCTCTACACATTATCCCATTTAATTCAAGCACACGATGAAGTTATTCAATTGGAAATTGCAATTATTCCAGTGATTTTGAGCTATTTGGAAAGATTAGAAAATCCGAAACAAGTTTTGATAACTCTTGAAAAGTTTCTAGAAGATCGAAGTGATTGTTTGAATAATATTGGTGATTCGATTCTTTCGACTTGTTATAACTTTTTTAATAATTCGAATAATTGGAAATATCATCGATTGACAGCTTTGAAATGTATTGGATATGTTTTATCAAAAAAGAAATCGAGTGAAACTATGGATATTATTTATCGAATATTGAATGAGCATATTACAAAAGATGATGTTGAGGAATATTCATTTAGTGTAAATATATTCAGCTCACTTTTTACAAGTTTGCGCAAAAAACAGGATTCAAATCGAAATGATCAAGAAGAAGAAGATCCAGCGATTGTTATAATCCTTCGAGAAGCTATTCCAGTTTTCGAAAGAATTTATAATCAACAAAACGATTTTCGATTAATTGGTGATATTTGTGAAGCAGTGAGAAATGGATTAACAAGTTTGCCTGATAAATATATTCCCGATTTTTTCCCGTTCGTTGTTCAACTTCTCAATTCTGCTCTTTTTATAAATGCACAAAGTGCTTGTTCATTGGCGAAATCAGCGGTTTTACAATGTGGATCACTTGTTGGAATTGAACTTGCGAATTCGATAGCTGGTTGGTGTTCGTTATTTGAGCAACGAGTGGATGATGCACAGATGGAGGAATGGTTGGCACTTTTGTATCAGGTATTTTTGTTTTGGGACTATTTTTCATCTATGCAACTCGATTTTAGGTTCTTTTCTGGGCCTGGAATCCGATTTCTTGCTTTTCGAGCTCAATTTGGCTATTTATAACCCCAAATTTAATTTTTTTTTTTGGTTTTTGATATCTTTAGTTCGTCACTCAGATTTCTAGAAACCATTTCTCGCATTTTTTGAATCCTAATTATAAATATTAATTGCAGGTCTTCAAAAAAGATTGGAAAACAATTCGGAAATTCGAAGAACCTTTTATCAATGCGATAAAATCGGCGCTGAATATTTGCTCATATGTAATTACAATTTTTTTTGGGAAATCTTTAATCTGAAATTTTCAAATTTTCAGACAATAGTTCATTCTGCGGAACCTGCAGTTGTTCGAACTGCTTCTCAAACCCTTGCTTGTATTGCATCACAAACCACTATAAACGACGACAACATTGTCAAAGATATCCTCGCAAAACACGGCGAAAATCTAGTCAAAACAATATTTGTGCGAGTTCAAGGCGAATTAATGCGACAAACAGTCGAATCGCTTGCCGAAGTGCTTTTCTTCTATTTCAAACAATTCACTACAGAAACACGACAAGTTATTCTAAATGAACCATATGGAAATACACCGCTTGTTGCTGCAATGTTTCGAGATATTGGAAATTTGAGGAATTTCAAGCAGATGACATTGCGATTTAATTGTGCCACTTTGAATGATCGAGCCACTTCTACTTCTAGATAGCTAATTTTTGAGAGAAGGTTTGAGGAGGGTTTACTGAATAAGGAATTCTTTTTGAAAAAAAACCCGCAAGGTTAATTCTAATTCTAAAAATTTTGAAAGTTTTACTTCCAGAAAATCCTTATTTTTTCATAAAATCCTTTACCTTTTTCAGTTTCCCTCAATTTTTCTACCGTAATATGTGCCTTTCAAATAATCACGGGTTCATATATAATATGATTTGAATTTGAATTTTAAATTTAAAAAAAAAATAATGAATAGAGTTTACATACATATATTTATTGATTGATGTTTTTTCTTTCTATTTGGAGTGCCATAAATATTTTGAAAAAATTTATCACAAATTTGTCACATCATCAACTTTTTGTCGAAATTCCTCAATGATTCTCAAATATTCACTTTTTCGTTTTTCCCTTTCTTCTGCCAACAAGATTTTCAGCGCCGAAATTTCGGCATTTTTAGCTGACAGCTCATTTTTGAGTTGAAGAATTTCAGCATCTTTTGACATTCCGATCATTAATGTATCCAAAAGTTCCATAGTCGAAGTGTTTTCAGATGGAAAATCTTCGGGATCGGGAGAATTTGCCAATGAACAGGAAGGTTGTTCGAATCTAGAAAAAATTTGAATTGATTAATTAACGGTGGCTGATTTTGAGTCGAAACTTTAATTCTAATAGATCAACTTACTCTTTCAATTTTCTTCTTCTTTTACAATTCGAATATAATTTTTTGGATTGTTCAACTCCTAGATTTCCCAAAACTTTGGAATATTTATCATTCGTTTGTTGCGTGATTTTTATCCACATATTATGTCTTTCCGCGTTTACTGTAGCTGATCTGAAAATTTGAATCAATTCCTTGGAATCATCTACTATCTAATTCTCAAAATCCAAAAAAATTACCTCGAAGAATTATCAAAACACATTCTCTGAATATAATGTTCGGCTAACTTGACAACAAAATCGTGTCTCTCCTTTTTCAAAATATAAAGTTGTTCGTTATTTGAAGATGAAGAAGAGGAAGCAGATTCAGAAGAATCAGAAGATGTTTGAGGAACAATTAAAAGTGGAAGAAATCCGGAAGATGAGGAAGGTGTTGAGGTTTTACTTGATATTATTCTGAAATTGTTGGTTGTGACTGAAAAAAATTGAAATTGTAAAGCTGAGTTTATGGAATACTAACAATAGCATTACAAGTAAGCATTACAATTTTATTGCCAAATTATTGAAAATTGGAAAAATTACGAACTAGGGACAGCTGAAATTTATCTTGAAAAAATTCCGAGTGAAAAATTGACCTATAAATATTCACTTCAATAAAATACAAAAACTCTTTTTCTCTCTTTTTTCCTCTCTTTCTCTAACCCACTTCCTTACATTATTATTATTTCTCGGACCGTTCTTATATTTACAGGCGTCACTTTATGATTTTCCTATAAATATTCTCTCTCATCTCCTTCTCTTTGTTCTTTTTCTTTTATCTTTATGCGCATTAGTTTAAGTTAGCAAAAATCGCGTCAATTTCATTACAAAGCACAGAGGTTAATACTGACGAGACCTGCCTCTGATACCGTCTATTAAAAAGGTCGAAACGGTAGCGCGCTAGTAATTTTCTCTTTCCAACTCATCTTCCCTTTTCCCTTTTTTTCTCTTTTCTTCAATTCCAAAATTTAGCATATTCCTAATATTTTTATTATTTTATTCACTCTGAGCTCAATAATAAATATAGGGAAATTGCTAATTATCCACTTGTTTGGCGCTAAATCGATTTTTTAAAAGATAACTTACGATAACAAATTTGCCAATGGTTGATCAACATCTTTCAATAATTCAGTTGGTTCTGGAACATCTTCCAATTTTACAACAACCTCTTTATTTGTTGGCTTTCTGAAAATACTTATCTTGGTCAAATTTTTTCTGAAAAAAAACTTACTCCAAATTTCCCTCATCTTTTTTCTTATAATAAGTCAATAATTTCTTGACTTTATCCACAGTCAAAACTTCGAGTTTTTCTCCAAATTCTTCGTTGATTTTATTCGTAATCTCTTCCCAAATAACAGCTCTTTCGTGATTTTTCTCAAATCGTCGCGCTGACGCAGAATTCTGAAATTGAGCAAAAAAAAACTGTGATTTTCAAGAAACAACTCACTGAAAGAGCCGGTTGCTCATAGTATAATTGCAATAATCGATCTCCTCTTTCTTTTCGATTTTCTCGTTCATCTGATGCGACTTTTTGTGAATCGTTGGAATTGCTGAAATTTTGGAAATTGGGAAATCGGGAATAAAATCTTGAAGAGGTTCTTAAATTTCAAAAAAAAAAACTCACTAGCTTCCAAAATTGATAAGATTCAGAATATTATTAACATCTGATTCCTGATTGCTCACGTAATTGATACATTCTTCAATCCGCTGCTTTTTCAACTTTGGACAGTCTTCTTCCGACATTTTCCCTGTTTTTCTGAAAATACAATTTGTAACGAGCAATAAATATTTTGAAAATGAGAAAAAAACAGCGAAATCAGAAAAAAAATCAATGAGAACGACGACAACACAGAAAAATGTTGATAAAACACAAAAAAATTGGGGCGAAGGAAAAAGAAGGAGCATCACATACATTCTCAATCTTATCATTCTTCATATTATATTTTTTGTATTTATAGAGAGAGTTTTTAGGGGAAAAAAGAAGGGAATTAGTTAATTGGTTACATGACATTTGGGAAAGAGGAAACAAGGTGTTGTGTAAATAAATGAGTGATAGTTTTTGAGAAGGAAATTGGTTACTGTAAATCGGAAAATGTCAAAAATAATTGCTTTGATTAGAAATAACGTAACATTGAGAGATTCTAAGCTTTATATTTTTTTTTTGGATTTTTGTTCGAGAATCTAATGTTCTAGCTTCTCTGAACTTCACGTTATCTCTAATCAAAATCATATTTTTCAATGAAACACATTTTAATTTGACACTATTTTTTCTGAAACTGTGAAAAAAATCTTTTGAAAAATCATAAACAATTTTTTAGAACAAAGTTAAAAATTTTCCAAATCCGAAAATCACCTAAAAATTGTCATAATCATTTTCTGAAAAAATAACTTCAAGTTGCTTATTTTTTTCCTGCTTACAAATCTGAAAATGAAAACTATGTCCAAAATTTTTCAGATCTAAATTTTCCAATTTTCTGAACTCCATAGAAATCCAGGAAAAAAACACAAAAAAAAGTCATTTTGCTGCTGCTCAAAAATGTTACCATAGCAAAAATGGGCGTTTGGTTGGCAGGGAAAAATGAGGATGAACCAGAATCCCGAATATTTTAAAACTCTTGCTCTATTTGTTCAGCTTCTCACTGCAAAACAAAACTAAAAAAATTCATTCAAAAAATACAACAAAATTTGAAAGAAAGAAATGAGAGAAAAATACCATAGGTATTAATTGAGAAAATTCACGTTTTCGAAAATTTCAAAAACAAATTTGGATGATTTTTGAAAAAGAGACCATTCACTAAAAAACTCGTCGAGAAACATAGAAATGGATGAGGAGGCAGCAAAAAACAAATATAAAAAGATCTATTGAACAAAATATTGTCAGTAGAGTATATATAATATTTAATTACAAAATAATAACAAAAAATTTGTGTCTAGGTTAGAAAAAAAAGCAAATTCGAAAAAAGTAGTAAAATACATTATAATCACAGAAGAATTAACCAATACAAAAAGGGTTTCTTAAATTCCAGCCGGTGTAACAGTTCCATTTGTTATATGATCTACACAAAGACCTTCTTCGTGTCTTTTCCACATTTGATGCAACAAATCTTCCATATCTTTACAATATTGTTTGACATCGAAAAGTGTTGATGTCATTCGGGCTTTCCAGACTTTGGCGCGCAATGAGGAAAGGCTGCAAATTTAGGATGAATTTTGGAAAGTAACGGGAATTTTTTAACGAAATTCCGTTTTTACACCTTCACTCAGGTTTAAAAAAATTAAATTCTTTCAACTTTTCGAAAAATCAAAAAAAAATGTTGACAAGAAGAAAGAATAACTCACTAATCTGCATCAGTTCCACATTTCACAGCAATTTCCACATATTCTTCACGACTTTTTGCAACAAGTTCAGTGACACCAAGTGCATATAATTGAGAAGAGGCAACTCGTGAAGCCAATGTTTCCACTGAAAAAATAATAATGAAATTAATTTGTAGTTATGACGTGACAAAAGAGGATTGCAACCCGGGGTGATCATTGAAAATTGGTAGGTAGAATTCGAAAGTTAGGGCCTAAAAATTCAGCCTGGCAGCTGTATTTTGTTTCTAGGAGTTCCAACAAGAGTTCCGGGCACAAAAGTTGAATAAAAAATTCATCCAGACGGTTTCCCCCTCAAACTCTAAAAATCAACGAACTTGGCATAGTAATCATGGGTGTTCCAGTCCATAATATATCCATTCCAGTTGTATGTCCATTACATAATGGAGTATCCAAACAAATATCAGCCAATTGTCCTCGTCGAACATGTTCTTCTTTTGCTGCCACATTACTAAATACAACTCTTTTTGGTTCAACTCCTTTTTCCGTACAATATTTATTAACATGATGTTCTCCATGATAAGGAAAACGAAGCAACCAAAGAACCGAATTTGGAACTCTTTTCAATATTTCAATCCACATATCCAATGTTGGTGGATCAATTTTATACAATTGATTGAAATTGCAGAAAACAATTGCTTCTTCTGGCAAACTGTATTGTTGGCGAGAAGTTAGAAGAACTTCATTTGGTAATTCTTCGCCGGTTGCTGCTTTATGATGAACTTGTGCAAGACCATTTTGTATATGAACACCTTCGACAGCACTTGTTGCAACTTGTCCAGATCCAATCATTTGTTTGAGTGGTTCGGTGGTTGGAACTTCGATGATTGGCATTACAACTTCTGTCATTATTTTCTCTTTTCCTGGACCACAAACTACTTCAGCTTCTCGAACATATGGCTGAAAATATAATAAGGTTTTTGGATTGGAAAATGAACAAGAACCATATGATTTTTTCAGACAAAAAGTTATACGATTCTTTCGATTTTTGAATAAAAAATTACTTGCTCATGTTAGCCACGCATTTCAGGATACGAGAAGTTTTAAAGTTATTTTTTACTGTATTTTGTAGAGAAAAATCAGACGGCAAAAATTACGTTTCAAATTTTTTAAAAAATTTTTTTGAGTCATTTTGAAATTAGTCAGTGATCTACAATTTTTCAATTCAATTTGCACAAAAAATCACTCGAAAACACACCGTAACATCAGCTTTGGCCAAAAGCGGTTCCAAATTGGCCGAATTCACCACAACAATCGTATCCTTATCCTTCGGCGCATCTTTATCTCTTACAATAACTCTTTCAGTCAAATGTTTCAACATTTGCGCATGATCTCCAATAAAAAACGTGTGTGGCATATACGCAAGTTTTTCAGTGTAAGCACGAGCAAGTCGAATTGGTGAAGTGACAGCGTCGGTGATAATATAATCCATAAATGTAGCACCAGATGTTCCGGGATAACCTAACCACATAACTTGAATTGGAGCAGGTCGTAGAGCAAATATTTCATTTCGAGCACCTTTTGTATAACCGTTCATGTTTATTAGAATGTGAATTCCGTCTTGAGCAATTCTTTCAGCACATTTTCCGTTGCAAGAAATCTAAAAAATTCAAATTCAAAATTGATTTGTCGCTGTAAACCCGGAGTATCGTTGGGATTTCAGATTTTTTGAAGACAATCTCAGAAATTTAGTGATGACTTCAAGTGAGATCTGATACCTCTCTCACAATTCAAAATGTCTTACCGATGATAAATCCACAAAATGTTCAGCCTCATTCTGTAATTTCAGCCGGAAATTAGTTCCATCACTTGCTGAAAGTGCATAACAAAATACTTCAACTTTTGATCGATCATGCATTCCAGGTATACTTTGCATAAGATGCGATGTTGGATGATTGCCAAAATCTGATGAAACATAGCCAATTCGTAGACGACTTCCATTTTTGACACTAAATCGATCAGGATGAGGAAGTTGAATGCGATTTAATAATTGAACGTTGACCTGAAAACAATATTGGGTTAGAACTTTCAGTTCTCAAAAATCTGAAGGTGGTTTGGTTTCTAATGTGTTTAAACAACTTCCAAATCCACCTCAAAATCCCCAAAATAATTCGAACCTTATCAATACACAATTGTGCATGTTTTGCCGCAATCGAAATTCTTGTTGAATGCGAAAGTGGATAAAGCATCGAATGGTGTGGATGAACAGATGGCAGACGTTTTTTGAGTAATTGTTCTTCAACAATCACAACTAATCGTTTCATTCGATCTTCATAATCAGTCCAATCGCATATAATTTGTAGACAATGTGCCAAATTGCAAAATGCATCGGGGAAATCGGGTTTCAATTTGAGAGCGGTTGAATAGCTTTGGATTGCTTCAGGGATATTTCCAGCATCCTACAAGGAATATTAGAGATTTTCAGTTAAAAAATCGGGAGTCCCAAAAAAAAACACCCCCTTCACAAATAAAAAATAGCTCACTTTGTGGATGCTCGCCAAATTACTGTGTGCATCCGCAAATGCCGGATTAATCTGAATCGCTCTCGTATAACATTGCAACGCGCTATTCGTATCGCCCATTTCTTTCATCGTATTTCCCATATTCGAATATGCATCAGCGAAAGTGGGTGCAATTCGAATCGCCTCTTTATAATGCAGAATGGCTTCTTGTAGTTTTCCCTGTTGTTGTAGAATCGACGCAAGATTACTGTGAGCCGCAGCAAATTCCGGATAAATTTCGAGAGCTTTCAAATATAGTCTAGTCGCTTCATCGACTTTTCCTTGTTCTCGTTTGATATTTGCCAAATTATTTTGTGAATCTGCATGAGTTGGACACAATTCAAGAGCTTTTAGATAAGCGCCTTCTGCTTCAGTTACCATTCCTTTTTCTTTGAGAGCATTTGCCAGATTACAATATGCATCAGGGAAATTGGCTTGTAATTCTATTGCACGACGATATGTATCTATTGCGAGATCGATTAATCTGAAAACAACATTTTTAATTGAAAGTTCGTTTTTTTAATAAAATTACAAATTTCAGAAGCACCTCAAAAGCCGGTAAAATCAGATTAATTTCTGAGAAAAAAAAATTTTTTAAATGTTTTTTCTAAAAAAGTCGAAAACTTACTGTTTCAATTTTTGGGGTTCAAAAATCAAATTTTTTTTACACATCTTTCAGAAAAATTTTGAAATACAACGGCAGAACCAGGCATTGAAAATATCAATACCAGAAATTTTAATCATGAAAAATTGAAACGTATAATTTTTAGGTAATTTTAAAAGTGAAAATTTGGGAATAAATCGATATTTTCTAAAATTTCGATGAAAAAATCTATATTCTTTCTTTGAATGTGTCGCGTTTTTATCACACCCTTTCCAGCATAAATTTTCAGATTCAAAAACTCACCCTTGCTCATAATAAACACACGCCAAATTGCCATGAACAACTGCATGATTTCCAGCCAAATTCAACGCTCTCAAATACGCGGCAACTGCTCGATCAAAAATGCGTGCCTCCTTCAAAACATTTCCCAAATTAATATAAGCATCGAGAAAATTCGGGTCGAGTTGAACAGCTTTTTCGAAATGATGTATAGCTAGCCAAATTTCGCCTTGAGCATTGAAAACACATCCCAAATTGGACCAGGCAACAGCAAATTGTGGCTGCGTTTCGATTGCTTTTAGATAACAAACTTTAGCTTCTTCAAGGCGACCCATGGCTTTTAAAAGATTTCCTAAATCACTTCGAACACAATATAAATCGGGATTACAATGGAGAGCATTGAAATATGCGCCAACAGCTTGATCCAAATCACCACCAGCAACCAAGCAAGCAGCCAAATTTATATAGCCATCAATGAATTCGGGCTGGAAATGGCGACAATTTTTTTATATTTTCATTAAAAAAAATATTTTCACCAAAATATTTTGGGTATTTTTTATTTCTGACAAATTGTTCTCGTGAACTTTCAAAAAAAATGAATTTTCATGAATTTTTTAAAATACTTTTTCTAGACCAAATAATTGAGTTAAATTCGATTTTCATTATAATTTCATGAAAAAACCACTCACTTTTAACCTAACAGCATGTTTATAATTTTCCAAAGCTTCTGCCAATTGTCCCCGTTCTTTGAATACATTTCCGAGATTACTGTAGGCTTCTGCACAACCCGAATTCGCTTTTATTGCCAGTGTTGAGAATTTCATTGATCTGCAATAATATTTATTGGGTTTTGACTTTCCTAGTTTTTTTCAGCCAAAAAAATATCGCTAAAAATTGTAGGATGATAATTCAATCAAATTTCGGATTTTTCATGCCAAAATATTTTTAGTTCTAGATTTTAGGCTGAATTCTTTTATTCAATTTTTCTTGAATCAAAATCTGATTTTTTAATAAAAATATGTTTTTCTCAACCAAAATTCAAAAACTCACTTTTCCAAATTTTTGAGCTGAAAATAAATGGCCGACAACAACAACAAAACACTAATATTCGTGGGATCATTTTGATAGATCGATAAACAATTTTTCTCAGCTGTCAAATAATCACCCTGTTGAAATTGTCGATGAGCAAGTTCGGTTAACTTTTCACCTGAAATTCGGAATGTTTGAATTTGGGCCAAATTTCGAAATAAAAGAAGAACATACTTGTCTGGTCATTATTACTAGTTTGATTTTGATTCTGCTGACTTGCTGCTAAAAAGTTGGGCATTCGCATTATTAACAATCGCCAAAGCTGCTCCATTTGTACTGTTTTCGATCTGAAAATTATAATTTATAGTAGATTTTGATGAGTTGAACATGATCCCGTTGTCAGAAAAAAACTGATCTCAATTTTGAATATAAGTACTGGCGTATCAAAGTTCAGAGATACATTTTTCTGTTACAGTTTTTTTTTTAGTTCGACCAAAAGCTCACGAGCTGATTTTTACAGCATCGTGATCAGTTTATCGATTTTCTTCCCTCTGTCAGTTTTTTATCCTCTCCCCGATTTTCTAGCTTTCAAAATTCCAACTCACACTTTTCATCGCAATCTGCATCATATTAGCCAACTGTTGTTGTCCAACCATTGCAAATGAAGAAGTGGCGAGTGCTGGAGCCAAAACTGGATGTTGTGGAACGGCTCCAGGTGCTAATTGTTCACCGGTTGCACCAATTACTTTATTATAAGATTGGAAATAATTCGGTTTTTCCATGATTTATCTCTCAATCATTCGTGTACACAATCTGAAATAAATGTAAGGAATTTGGTGGTGTTATCTTTTCTGAAATTCTACCATTTCCCAAACAAAAAATGCGAAAAATGAGGGAAAATGTGTTTTTTTTTTCACGTCACGCCACAATTTTTTTTTCAAAAATTCTAGTTCCACACAAAAGGCACGTGACTCCTTTTTTCTAGAAACAAAAGTTTCCACGTGACTATTTTAATTAATTAACTAAATCTCATAATAAGAAAGTGAAAAAAGAAAACAGCGATTTATAACAGTAAGCAAAAACAAATAAAAAATATCAATCCAATTTTTTTTTCAAAAAAAAAAAAAGAAAACCTAGTAAAGAGATGCGTTGTTGCACATACACAAAAAATAAGAGATTAGAGGGGGAAAAGAAAAACCTGGCGAGAGAGCGTCTGAAGGCGAGAGAGTAGGTTAGAGAAACGAGTCAAAGACCACTCGCTTTTCTCTTGAAGAGATGCAGAGAAATGAGGATGAAATAGTGGGGGAGAATGAGAGACGCAGAGATATTTTGGATGTTTGACATACAAAATATTTTTTTTTGATGTTTTTGAGATGAGGTGAAGAGTTCATCAGAACACGATTCACTTTTTCTTTTGGGAGAGGAGAGAAAAATTTTAGCGGCGTGCGGGACCCGTGTGAACAGACCATTTTGAATGACCAAAAAGAATTTATCAAAATTTCTAATAAATATTTTTTGTCATACCAAAACTAATAGATTATTCAGAGATTATCTCTTCGGATAACAAATCTGCCGAAAATTCAACAATTTTTCTGAATTATTAGAATTTCATTTTGTGTTGTTGTTGTTGTTGTTGTTGTTATTAACATCAAAACACAAACTACGTAGATGAATGAATAAATTTCGAAGAAAATGGGTATAATTATATTTTTAGATACTAGGTTTTTATTTACATGAGAAAAACATTTTGGCTCGATAATTTGTATTCTGAGGGAGAGAGGGTGGAATTTCAAATTTGAGATAGTTTTCTTGAAATTGTAACAAAAAACAAAAAAAATCTGATTTTTTAAAAACCTTTTTTTCTAGTTCTCCTAATTCTAGTCACCAGAAAATCTGCTGATCACTCAGAGAAAGCATGGCTTGAACGGCGCGGTCCGCGGACGATTTTTCACCGATTTTTGGGTGAAAATCATTACGCGGATTCCGCGAAAAATTTCGCGGACAGCGAAACTTCAGCCAGTGAGAGTCTAATTTCGCGCATTCCGCGAAATTTTTTGACTCGGAAATTTGATTTTTTTGCGTTTTTCGCGGATTCGCGGATGGACTCGAGAGGGAGGGTATAAAAAGGATAGATTGTATCGCGTACGCGACAACGAGGATAGCGCAGCAAGGAAGATGGATGACTACAAAACGACAGGATTGGGATCGAGGCCGGGTTGGAACTACAAGTCAATACTAACCCCTGATAATTACCAGGGGTAGTGAAGCATTTTTATATTTCGAGAGTGCATTGCGCGGATGTTTCGCTAACAGCGGAGTATAATTTCGCGGACGTTTCGCTAAAGTTCTTGTGTCAGCCGCGGATTGGCAGATTTCTGGGTTTCGCGAACCGCGCCGTTCAAGCCAGACCTTCTCTGAGCAAACTACAAATATTTTCCATAGTGTTTTCTGTAGTACTTTCTCAAAACTTGAATATTAATAATAAATTAATTTGAATTGTGAAAAGTGTAGAAAAAAACGAGGAAATGAAGCAAGTGGCGACTAAAAAGAAAGAGAAACCCCCCATTCGTTTCATTTCTCTAATTCTCTTCATCTAATCGTGCTCTCTCATTTTCCGATAACATGTCTAATTCTCCATTCTCTAAGTTTCTTAGAATTCTGCGTCTCTTCTCTTTTTTTCTGTTAGAGAGAAGAAAGAAGTAAGAAAAAGTTCGAATGACGTAAATATCAAAGGACTAACAAGGGTTAGCTTTTTCTCGGGTAGGTCCCTGAGCAAATGTTTTGGGATACTCTAGTTTTTTCAGTATTACTGTAATTTCGCCAAATTTTTCAAACATCAAATATATAACATTGTCAAAAACTCAACAACTAATAGAAATACGGAAAAGATCTATTTTTCAGAAGTTTTTATGAAATTGTTTTTACATAAGGCGTTCGTCTTCTGAAAAAACACGATAAAATCTATTTTAAAATTATATCCAACTAGAAAAACGAAAAAAGAAAAGGAAAACAGAAAATGGAACGAATTACGAATTAATGATGATGATGAACATAATCCGGATCGTATGAATCTGAATCCAAATCAAGTGATGTTTCGTGTGATGTCAAATCATCATAATACGCTTCGCGATAATAGTATTCATACCTGCAAACATGTAAAACTCATTTTTTGGATAATTTTTGAGCCTTGAATTTTTCAATTTCAAAAATAATTTCATTTTGATAACACCAGATTTTTTATAATTTAAATCTCTAGTAAGTACAGTAAACTCCATTTTCCAATTATTTCTAACTTTCGGCTAACCTATAATTATTTTGTGCTGATCTTTTATTATTAAAAATTTGTCAGATTTGAAATAACAAATTTCGGTTTCCTAGGGAACTGAAATCTTTGAGCTAAAGCTGGAGGTTGTGATTGAGGGTTTCATATAATCTAGACTACGAGCTCAATATCAGATAAAGTTAAATGCCAATCAATTTTCTAGTTATCAACATTTCTCTAGTTATCGATTGTGTCACACGATAAAAAATTATATTTTTTAATGTAGTTTGAAACACATTTTTGTACAAAAACTACACTTTCTCGAGTCATACAAGATTCAGATTTCATTTTTTATTGAGAATAGGGTATTTGTTTCTAGGAGCAATTTTCCTATAGATACTATGTAATTAAAATTCAAAAAGTTTTTCAAATCTTCAAAAAGCACAAACCATGGTTCTGGTAGATGATGTCCAGTATGCCAATTGCTGGTTCCATTTTGATGATCTCCATTCTTGGCAATATATCCATAACCATATGGCGATTTCAACACTTCTTTTCTCATTACATGCAAAAAGTGTCCAGTGTCACGTGGATTCACATACAATTCTCCAACTTCGTGTGTGTCGATTCCATCAAAAGCCAACATTCTGGCGTCGTATTTTGAGGTGGCACTGAAAACAAAATGAATTAGAAAGAAGAGGAAAATGGGGGAGAAAATGTTTTTTGGAATCATAGATTTCAAAAGAACTTTTTCAAATTGAAAAAAAAACAAACTATTGTCTCCAGCCATTCCATCCAACAGCATCAACAATTGTATTCCATTCTTCCATAACTTCTCCGCTGTGCCATTCAAAGAAATCCAAATCCAATCGTTCGATATCCTGCAAAATTGAATTATAGGAAACACTCGCTCATTTCTCTAAAAATGTTACCTCAACAACCGCATCAGTATCTCCGGGTTTTGTCCAATCATATGCCAAAATTTTCGAGTGTTTCTTGAATTCTCTCAATGAATCCTTGTATGATTCCTCAATAGTTTTCAAATATTTCTCATCAACAGTTGCAATTTCATCAACATTTCCACGTCGTTTGATATTTTCCAAACATTTATTGACTGGTGTATTCAAATAAATCACCAAATGTGGCCAGAAATGAAGTTGAGGAATGGCATTTTTACGAACATAGTAGTAGTGTTTGAAGTCTGAAAACTCAAAATATTAATTTTTGCTGATGTGAAATTTCTTAAAATTCCAGAAAAATAACGTTTTTCTTTTCAAATTTCTGAAAAAAACTCACATTCATGTCCAATATAATTCTTGTCTCTCATCGCATTTGCAAAAATGAAATCGGAATGCGGTGTTCGCTCAAGAACAACTCCTTGTCCTAAAAATCTCGATTTTTTAATAGGGAATTTGGAGAAAAAAGAAAAACAAACCGGTATTCATAATATGAGCAAGAGCATTCAAATATTGATCGAATCGACTGTTGAAAATACGATCTTGCATTGCAGCCGACAATTGTCCATTTGGATTTTTATAGAAGGTTTTCATGTCGGGAAGACGATATCTTTCAGGGAACTAGAAAAATATGGGCTCAGATTTCCTCTTCCATTTTTCATTTATAAACTTTCTAATTTCAAACTAACCAAATGATAAAAGTTTCTCAAATCATTTCCATATCGATCAACAAGAATATCATCCATTCTAAATTCGGGAATATAATGGAAACCCAATTGTTCGGCCAATTGTTTTGCCAATGTAGTTTTTCCCGATCCAATATTTCCTTCAACAACAATCAATCGAGAATTTGCATTCAGATGAGCTTGTGTATCATCTTTCAATCCATCGATGTAGTTGAAACCCAATTTTTTATAGTCCCATGGTTCAGGATGGTCGCTTGGTAATCTAGAAAAATAGCCTATAATTGGTAAATACAATACAATGCAAAATCACAACACTTTTCAGTTTCCAAGATTAATCGGATCCGGTGTTTTCTATTCCATTTTTTACAGGATACCTCGCATTTTTCAGGTGCAAAATATAACGTTTTGTTCAGGACCTTAAAATTCTTGTCGAAGCTCTAAAATTCATCAAATTCAGTTAGAAAACATTTTCGACAAAATTCAAGAAGTGTATTTTTTCAGAAAAGTTTTCTTTCCCAAATTTCAAGAAATTATTTGCTGCTAATTGTTTTTGTATATAATTTATAGGCGAAAAAATTGACTTTTTACATTTTCTAAAAAATCGCAACTAACCTGAGCAAACTTTTATGAACAACATTTCTGGCCTGATTGGACATGATTCCGGCCCGCGAACAAGCCAAAAATCCATTGGCCAGCCCACCAATTTTACTCAACGACATCTGAAACAACTTGTTTTGATAGAAAAGTTGGAAACACACAATTTTTAAAAAATATATATTCAACTGGATGAAAACCCAGGCTTGCAAAAGAAAAAAATCAGAAAATAATAAATATTAAAATCCGTTTATTCAAAACATGGAATGAAATAAGAAACAAACAAAAATACGAATTTAGAAATAAATTATTTTCTCGTGAGAGAAAGAGAAAAAAACAAAATGAGATGAGAATCCGGGAAATTTGACGTTGAAAAAACAACAAAAAATGTTTTAATATCGATCTCTTCCACTTCCATTTCTACTACTTCCACCTCCGCCACTTGAAGATAATCGACTACTCCCACGATCTCTATCACGATCTCCACCGTAACCACGATCGGAAGAACCACGGTCGCGATAACTAATAACGAACAATTGGTTAGTTTTATCATTAAAATTAATTTTTTAAGAGTTTTGGGTGATACTTTTTTAAACACGCTTTCTTTCCCCCAAAAAATTCCCATAAACAAAAAAAAACCCAACCTTCCACTTCCTCCTCCTCCTCCTGATCCACCATATCCTCCTCTATCACGATCTCTTCTATCTCTATCATATCCTCCTCCATTTCTATATGAATCCTGTCTTCGATCTCTACTTCCACTTCTATCTCGATCTCTATCCTCATAATTACTTCCTCCTCTTTCATTCATTTCTCGTTCTTCGATTGTTGCTCGCGATTCACGTGTTTTACGTGTATCACCCTTACCACCACCTGAATATGAACTTGAGAAATTGGAGAGACTAGGAAATAATGGCCTTAGGGACTAGAAAAATCTTAGTCCTTCCATTTTTTGTCAACCCATTTTAGAAAAAAAAAACCAACCGAGTCTTCTTGGAAGCCATGTTTTCTGAGTTCTTCCCCGTTCATAATCTACAACCAATCGCCGTCCATCCACTTTGATGCCATCCGCTTTTTTATAAGCAGCTGAAAATTTAATTTTATATTTTTTCAGTCAATAATTTTTGGAATTTACCTAGTTATCCTTGGGTTTCAACTAAACTTACCCGGGTTCAAAAACGTCAAAAAAAGTTACCTGGGTTTTTTTCTCGGAAACTTACTTTTTTCAAGCTTACCCGGGGAAACTTACGAATTTTGGCGGAATTCATAAAAAAAGTGTCTTACCCGTAAGCTTACCCGATTTAAAAAATTGAAATTTGAAGAAAACTAAACCTACGTGGAAACTTACAGGAAAATTTGAATTTTGGATAAGATTTTGAAAAAAGTGTTTTGATTTTTTTCAGTTTGCAGGTTAAAACTAACCATCTAAACAAACCTATTCCGAAAACAACGAAAATTTGGGAAGTTCAGACGGGTTCACAATTGAGAACTCGCAATGTTGCTGGAAGAAACAAAGCGGTTTTCTGTGAGTATTTGGGAGAAGAAACAGAAAGAAAAACTGACAAGGGAACTGGTTTCTTTGATTTTTTAGAATGAAATATATATTTTACAGTATTTTTGACAATCCGCTCATCAAAAACCACCAGAAAAATATATTCCATCTCAAAAATCTTGGAAGAGTTCCCTTGTGAAGGCTGTGATTTAGTAAAAAACACTTGAATATCACCAAGAAAAATTGATTTCACCAAATAATTTCAAAAATGACATACTGTGCATCTCCGATTTGTCACTATACTCAATGAAAGCATATCCACGTGGTTTTCCTTGCTCATCATGAACCATTGTCAATTTTTTGATTTTTCCGTAAACCTCAAATTCTCGACGAAGTTTGTTCTCCGATGTTTCGTAGTTCTAAAAAATGTTTGATTTGAATTTTCATTTTCTACTAAATTCAAAAAAAAACTTACAATTCTACCAACAAACAAAGTTCTATATGGATCTTCGGATGCTTTATCATTTTCAGCCGGATTCCACTGAGCAATTCCTTGTTCTAATTTATAAGCAAGAAGCTCTTCTTTTTCTCGCCGTCTCCGATCTTTCTTTTGCTCTTTTGTCTCAACAACAGGTTTTGGTGGGGTATCAGCAGGATCTTCGAATAGCGATAAATATTGTGCAACTCCAGTCATTGGTGGCCGCTTCGCATTTTTCTCAACAATCAAATCTTCGACTGGTGGAAGATATCGAATTGGTGGACGAGCTTCGAAAAGCGCCAGAAGATTTGGTGGCAAGAATGCGGTCATTTGATCTGCAATTTTATTTTATTACAAATACAAATTGTGGAAAAGAAAAGGACAAAAAATTGACGGAATTGACAAAACAAAAAAGTAAAGTTATAAAATGAAAAAAAATATTCAAATCGATGTTCCTCTTTCCAAATCTTCTTTTATATCCTCGGTATATTTTCCATAATATTTCTCCAATTTCTTATTGAATTTCTTATTTTTCTCATTGATATAATCAATTGGTGCATCTGGATCATACAATCTACGTCGATGATATTGTTCTCGTCTTTTAACTTGTCCTTTAACATCACCAACAAGTTTATCCATTGCACTTGTTGTTGGATAATGTGAACCATGAATAAGAGTATCAGCGGTTGGATAAAATTGTTCGCCTCCAACACATTCGCGCATCTTTTTATAATTATCCAAATCAGGTTCAAGTGCTGCTGTCAATCTTGTGTGTTGTCGAAGTGTCATATCTTCATACGATGAAAATCCCAAATCTGGATTCTTCTTTCTTTTCCGTTTTTGCTCCAATTTTTCAGTCACATCAGCAGATAATTCAAGCGCTTTCACTCTGCAAAAATAGGAGTTCTTGGTTCATTTTTAATAAAAATATTTACCTCTCATAATCCAATCCTTTTTCTTCTGCCGCTTTTCTTTCTTCCAATTCCTGAACTTGCCATTGATCTCGTTGTTTCTTTGCTTCGTGATTTTTCGGAAGTTTACTTCTTCGATCTTCTTCAACAACTTGTTCATGATTCTCTTTCCGGGTTGTTTGTCTCATTTTGTGCAACATTTTGAATCTTTCGTTGAAATCCATTTTCTTTGGTGCTGATGACGAAGAGCTGCTTCCCTCATCCATCTTAAAATTAATCTGGTTTAAATTTCAAAACCGAAAGTTAAACGGAAAATAACGAAAATAACAACAAACTTATTGAAAAGGGCCTTTTAAATTAGATCTTAGACTAGGCCCAAAAAACACGGACATTCACAGTAAACAGACCGGATTCTGAGTCTCCCCGTGATTCGTTCCACAATTTTTGTACCAAGCTCGTTTTTTCTAACAAGCCTGCAAAAAAGCAAAAACAAAACGAAAAAAATCGGTTGGATAGCCCATATGTTCGTTGGAGCACACTTGCTCACCTAACAAAAAAACGCTTCGCACAAGCTGACGCGTTCGCGGTTCGCGTCAACCAAACATTTTGCTGGCTCCGCCCCACTCAAATTTTCTGGTGTGCGCACGCCATCGTTTGCGTCAATTCACCACTCACGCAAGCGCTTTTATTTCGCTTGGAGGCAATTTGAATTTATCGAATAATTTTGAATAAATTGGGAATAATGTGAGTTTGAATCAAGAAATTGCAGTTTACTCTGAAGAATTTTTGTTTATTTTTTCTAGATTCACAACAATGATGCTTCATGATGGAACACAAGAAATTGTTGATGGTAATATGACAGTTGAAACATATGAGGAAATAGCAGTGGATGATATGAATGTAAGTTTATTACTTGACGCAGAATTAAAAGCTGAATTTAATGTTTTTCAAAACTAGTTGGATTTTTATAGGATATTGTCGTAGAAAGTGAAACTCAAGGAATACCATACGAAGAAGATGATGTTAGAAGTGAAGACGGAGATGGATATGGTGGAATGAGTCATGAGCAATATAATGGGATTCTTGAATATAAGCGAACTGGAATGGTTCCAACAAATGTTGATAAACGGATGGATCGAAGTGCTCCAAGTCATTGGAGATCTCGTTGTAATCGATTTACAGTCGCTGATGATAATGAAACATTGTTATATTATAATCCAACAAGTCCAGTAAATGATCAGCCAAAAGTTGTAGTGAAACGTGGAGAAGTTCGGAAAGCTTTGGAGAGAATTCATGAATTGATAGGACATTTGGGGCAGAAAAGAACGTAAGTGTAATTATTTTTTTTTATTTTTAATAATTTTTATCTAAACATATATTTTCCAGACAAATGGTGGTTCTTCGAAAGCTTTATTGGCGTTCAGTTCGTCAAGACGTGAAAAACTACATAATGTCATGCGATTTTTGTAATCAGAAAAAAGTAGAGGGTCGAAAAATCGTCAAAGCTCCGGTTGACATCACAAGTGACGCATTCGATATAAATGTTGCTGTTCGAGATTTGAGAGATGGACCTGTTGATCGTTTAGAATTCACATTGATTGGATATAATGAGGATGAAGTTAGAGATGCCGCATTTAGCCGGATGACTTCTTATACTTTCAAGGAAACTGCGACAGAATTTAGATCGAGATATTCACTTCGTGATACACCGGTAAGAAATCGTGGAATTTTCATATTTTAATATTTAAAAATTTAAATTCAAAGTTTCGGAGCCCAAAAGTTAAGTGGAAATTCGATTTTTTGTACTTTTTGTACTTGGTCTCAAAAAAAAATTCAAAAGAAAATTTTAAAATTTGTGTGCAAACACCGTAACGCAGAAATGCACATGTGTTGTATACCGTACTCTCATCATTCCCAAAATACTACAACCTTGAGATTTTCCCATAAACTTTAACTCACAGGCTTTATTTGTGAAACGGAGAATACTATTTTTCAGAATTTTGAAATGAACATTTTGACAGTAGATTTTGTAACGTGAAACATTTGACGTAACCTCCCTCTTCCTTTTTTAATAATGTTCATTATTTATTTTTATTGTTCTAGGTTCCAACATTCCGAAGACAACCATATGTTAAACGAAACGGTCAAATGGCAATCGGATATTTACTTCCATTCCAGCAAAGAAGTCGAAATATGGAACCTGAATTTATTGAAATTTACGAAAGAGCACAAATGCAATATGCAGATGGAGAAGGTGAAAAATATGAACAGGATGGAGAGTTAGTTTATTTCAACGATAATTCTTGATATAATCAATTTTTTTCAGAATTACTGATTCTTTGGGACGATTGAAACAAGATTCATCTCAACCAATTGCTCATCCAGTTACACTTGATGGACATGTTTTGCAAGGAAAACGATATTTCAAAGAAGAAGAAGATCTTGATGTTGTTGTAAATTCTCCGGATAAAAATGATGAGAAAGGAGATCGAGAAGAAGGTCCACAAAATCAGGAAGAAATTGAAGAACAACCAACAAATCAATTAGAAGATGTTAAACCTCAAGAAACAAGAATCCACGCAAGATACAGTAATCCGCCCTCAAGTTCTGCTTCTTCTTCACATAAACGAAGATTTCACGATGTTCATCATGAAGAGATTTATCCACCAGATCATGAACCAGCTACAAATCCGATTCCACAACCGAGAATTATGCAGACATCTTCGAAAAAGAGAAGGAATAATGACGCATCACATTTACATGGAATTGCTGGGAGATTTAGTATGGCAATTGGAGAAAATGATCGAATGGGTAAGATTTTTGGGTTTCTGGGGAAACTGAAAAGGGATTGAAAATTATTTTTTTGAAACAAAAAAGAGGTAATTCATATGCCAGAGCTAAAATTGAAACTAATAAAATTCTTGCCACGTGGAATTTTGAAGCCCTCATTATTGAAATTTTGGGAAAAAATCGAATTTTTAAATATTTCTCAACTAGATTTTTCAATACTCTGAATTTCCGACTGAAAAAAACAAAATAAAGCGAAGTTCAAAAAAGTTGCAAACACCGGGACATAAAAAATGCACAGAAAACATATCTGGCGATTTTCCAAGGTTCTAATTGTCTTGGGAATTCCTTTAAAAACATTTCTGATCAGGGTTAATTAGAATATGTTTAAATACGGGTTCACAACTTATAGGTTAAAATTAAATTTAAAAACTTGATCCCCGTCACCTTTGAAAATATAACATTTCCAGATAATGATGCCCGTGCAAGTATGATGCAACAATACGAACAACAACCAACATCAAGTCGACCAGAATTAAATGGGCTTCCACCAATTTGTATGATGCCTTCATTAGATTCGCATGTTATCGAAATGCAAAAAGAGATTCTGCAACGTCACATTCGAATTCAAAAAATGCAGGAGAAAATCATTCAAGCTCAATATGACGCTTCTATGAGAATTCCGATCACGAGATATGTTCAACCGACTGAACATGTTGTACAGGAGGTGAGCTGGTTTGGGCGGGGGAATTTCAAATTTAACATTTTGTTTTTCATTACTTATTTCTTTTCTTGAAAAAATACAATTCGAATCTCATAAAGTAAAAAAACAAACAGGAAAATCAGTTTTCAATTTTTTCATTTCCAAAAATAATTTTGGGAAAGTTTTGAATTTAAAAATTAAAAAAATAGTTTTTATTTCTCAAATCGTATTATTCATATTTTAAACCTTCAACATTTTCAGGAAACAATCGTTGAACATGAAATGGATGTTATTGAAGAACATACTGTCTATGAAACTGAACATTTACAATGATTGATATAATATTTTGATAAATTTTTAATAAAAATATTCTTTATTTATACAAAACTTATCAAACATGTGAGATAAATCACAAATAAAATGACTGCGAGAATCGGACGAATTTTGGACACATTTCTGTATTTCATGTGAAAGAGGAAAATATGGAAAAACAGGGAAATAGTATTGAAAATTAGAGAAGTTCCTAAAAATAAAATACAATTTGGAATTGATGTTGAAATTGGAACTTCTTTGATAGTTATCTTGAGAAATATAAATTGTATTAAAATATTTGAGATTAGCAAGAAAATTATGGATCGCATTGTTGGAAGAAAAAATGAGAGGAGATTTAAAATTGAGAAAAGCTGGAAGATACTGAAATGAATTTTTGAATAAATTATTTAAAACTTACAATCAGTGGTTGCTTAATTACAGCAAAATAAATTGGAAAATTCCGTTTAAAAATGATTTTCGTTTGATGCATTGAAAACATTTTTTCATTTTCTGTCGGATTATTTTGAATTGTTGAATTTTTATATTCTTGCCACGAATTGAAAAACCATTGACTTTGCACGATATTTTGAATTTTGAAATTGCCAAGAATTCGGATTTCGTCTTTTCCCCAAACTGAAAAAATATGGTTTCAAGACCCAAACATATAGTAGTTTTTTTGGGTTACTGTAGTTTATTGATCTGACAAAATTGATTTCCGCAACTCACTAAAATCCGAATTCGAACTTGATCCTCCAATATAAAAATAAAACTTGGATAAAAAATTAGCAGGTTTAATCGAAATTGTGCATTCATTTTGATCGTATGGAAAATCAGTAAAATCGAAAAAACATCCAAAATTTCGATGAATTATTGTTTCCATCAAAATAATTGAACTCGAATTCCAATTTGAGATAATTTTGAAACGAGTTCGATCTTTTCGTAATAATTTATCTGCTGAATTCAAAAATGTGATTTCAGGTTTCCAAATATTACACCGGAAACATTGAAATTCCTTTGTATTGTTGTTTTCCGCTGGGTTCCAGATTATCGATTTATCGATCCATTTCTAATAAACATATGACGTGGAAAATTGTAGTTAAGAATCTACAGTATTGCCAAAAACCCACCATCAACAATTTCCCCGAAATCTTCATTGTCCCTCTTTTTTCATCAATCGAAACATGTTTCAAATTCCAATGTACACTCACATAAAGTGGCTCATTTTCAGCGCTGAAAATCATTTTTTCTTGTTTTTCTTGAAATCTAAGCTTACACAGGTCTCTTGAATTGATCGTGGATTTTTGGATCAAGCAAGATTTTTTCAAGGTCGATATTGTGACCAAAAATTAATTTTATGTTGAAAAATATTAGAACAAAAAACATTTTTGTTCAATTTTTTTCAATAGAAAAATGATGAAAAAAAAGTTTATTTTTCGGAAATTTGAGGATATTGTACTAATTTTTAAATAAAAAATCATTTATTCACATATAAGCAATTTTCACAACCAAAGAAAAATTAATTTTGAAAAATTAATTATTGTAATCTCTTAATTTCTTTGCCAGTTTTCTTAAGAGCTTCAAGGATCTGCAAAAATTTTGAATTTTTTAAATCAATTGTTTTTATAGAAAAAAACCTACATCATCAGCGGGTAAATCCGTAGTTACTGTAATTTTTTTCGTTTCAACATTGATGTCGTCGATTTTTACTTTATCTTCTGGAAAAAAATCTGCATTTTGGCGTCAAAAATTGACGTGGCAACATTTTTTTTAAATTTCGATTTTTATATGGAGTATGAGTCTAAAAACAAGACAGAAAACAAACCTCCTAACTTTCCCAGAACTTTTCGAGCCGCATTTGCACATCCACCACAAGTCATTGCCATTTCAAAAACGTACTGAAAAAAAATTTGTTTTGAAACTTTTAGATGAAAAAAATTTAATTAGAAAAACTCACTTGTGTCATTTTGAAATCGATAAATTGTACGAGTGAAAAATTGAGGAAAATAAATACCTGGAAAAATATTTTTTGTGATAAGGGAATTGATTTTTATCAAACATCAGGAAAAATATATACAGTACTGGCCCAAAAAATAAGCTAGAACAAATTTTGACTCTAAATATGTACGGGATTCTAAAAAATTCAGAAAATTTATTTAAAAAAAAACGTCATCCAAAAAAAACTAGAATTAAAAAAGCCCTAATGATTTTATCACAATTAATAATTTCTTGAAAAATTTCAAATCCAAATGATTTCGATTTATTTTTGCGAAAAGAAAACAAATAAACAAAAAAGAGTATATCGCTCTATTTTTCTCTAATTCTCTCTCAAAATGTCAATTTATCTCTGCGTCTCTAATCTCTAATTATATGTAATATTTTCCGGTTTCGTTTCAAACTTTTCTTTTTTTTTTCAGCGTTGTACTAATTGTAATGTTCAAGTGGGAAAGTTGTACAAAAGAACATCGTTGTATTTTTTTTTAGAAAAAATTGTGAATAGAAAAAAATCGATAACAACTTCCCATATCCAAAAATTGCAGCAAAATCTAATTTTTGAAAATTCTTTTTAAAAATGTTTAAATTGTTAACCTCAAATTTCAAACAATTTCTCTTTAATTTTTTTTTTAGATATCTGAAGGGTTTCAGAAATCAAAAAATATCACAGATTAAAAAATTCAAATAAAAATGTCTTGAAATCCAACAAACTCAAATTATCCAAATAAAATCAAACAAACATCTAATCATAATATTTTTATTATACAAAACAAAAGAGGTTTTAGGCACATTAATAGTCAATTTTGATTATTTAAAATCGGAAGAAAAATGCTGATTGTGAAAATATCCCGTAAATTTAGCCAAAACAAAAAATGTACACCTATTATGCTATTTATGAATGGGCAAGAATTAATTTGGTAGTTTAAATTAATATTCATCAAAAAAGAAGTTATTGTCGATCTCTTTCCACACTCAAAACACGAGTTTTTGGTGCAACTGGCGGTGGAGCAACTATTGATTGACGGGGAGCTGGAGAGGGAGATTTTGAGGTTTTTCGGCGAGATGGAGTTGTACTGCCAGTATGTTTGAGACCTGGAAAAAATTAAAAAAATATTATAACGGGGTACTGTAGATGGAAATAAAAGAAGAAAACTGATAATATTCAAAAATTAATGAAAATTATTTTCAGAATTTTTGAACACGATCTGAAATCTTCAATAAAAGGTGCTTTTGAGTCTAGCTCAATTAAAAAAATGTCAAATTCATCGAGAACGACTCAATAAAACTGTTCTAAATTATTTTTTTTTCAAAAAAAAGCTCACCATTCATCAATTTTTCAAAATCTCCATGATCCATTCTGGTACTATCAATTTTGGCCCTCTGTTTTCGATTCACACTTGTTCCATTCACTCTTTCAGTCAATTCTAATAGCATATTTTGTTGTTGTTGATCTTTATTCGCAAGTCGAGCACGACGTTCTGCTTCTTCTTTTTGTTTCTGAAAAAAAAACATTGGAAATTTGATAAAGGACAACATTAGGTATGACGTGACAAGAATACTTTTAAAAATCCTCACTTTTTCTTGTCCCACTTTTGTCTCATTTTCCAGCTTACATCTCGCATAATTCGCTACAAAACTCGACAACTTTTGAAAGAAAACATTTGGTGGAGTGGATTTTGCATTTTCGCCATAAAATTCGACGCATTCATCATATGTTTTAGTGGCCAATCGATTCGCATCCAACAATTCGTCCATTTTTTCTTTTCGTGATTCGAGGAAATCGATAAGTGTTTGTGGACAATCGGCTCCTTTCAGAGTTCGCTCATCTTGAGCCAACTTGAAATTTGTTTCAAGCTCTGCCACATCAGCTCGGATTGAGTCCCATTGGACTGGAAAAAATGTGTTAGTTCGGGATTTTTGAAGTTTGTTTATGATTAAAAATTTAGCTTAAAATTTTACTTTTGGTACACAAAAAATGGGGATTTTCAGACCAGAATAATACCCAATTTTCATCCAAAAATCTAACCTGTAGTCGCTTTATCGACAAATTTCAATTGTCCCGCAAAATTTGACAAATTCGGCAAACTTTGTTCAATTGACGAAACAATCATATGCAATAGAGTCAAAGTTCGATCAGTTGGTGATTTCAAAATAGCCAATGAATCGAGTGATGAAAGTTTGAAACCATATGCTCCACCACGTTTTCCACTATTCATATAATTACCGAAAGCAAGAATCACTTCAAGTACACCATGGAAATCTTTGGCATCTCGAGCACATTTTGATGCAGCTGTTACGTGCATTAATTGCTGGAAAAATTGAGTTCATATCTTCGAAATGTTTTTTCCCAAATTTCAAGTTTTCAAAAAACACTTACAGGCTGAAGAAGTGCAGCGGTATCATCGAATTCGGCCATAATTCTCATAACATTCAATTTTCTCTCCAATCTTTCAATTTCACACAATGCCGCCAAAAACACATCCTCTTCTGACAATCCATCCAATTCGCCCTTTTTTCCTGAATACATTGTTCGTTCTTCGGAAGTCGGAAGAATTCGTGATAAAATATCCACTTTTTCGGCGGATAAATTTGTTAAATCCAATTGATGCACTGCTGCCATTATTGATTTTGCATCCATGGCAACTTTTCGACGTGTGATTGCTGGAAAAAAAATGAGATTTGGAATTTGGAGGCTTTGACTTAGGCTCTCTTCAGACTTTTAATTACTCACCAACATTCTGCAATCTTTTTGCATCCAACAACGTATTTTTCCTGGCCGATGATCCCGAACTGGAAGTCGAAGATGGACTAACTTGTCCCAAAGCACTTTGCTCATTTTTAGGTTCTGTTAATCCAGCAGCCGGTTGCATTTTGAACATCTCTTCAAGTCTCGAAAAATCGAGTTTCTCAATAATTAGTTCATCATTCAATTTTTCGAATACTGTATTTTTAGCTTGATTCGGTTTCATTGCAGTCCAATTCAATTGTGGTAATTTATTTTTTGTTTGATAAATCTTCTTGATTGTTTTCGCATCATTACTCGGCGGTGCAAATCCACCTGGCAACGGTGGCGGTGGCGGGGGTCCACCCTTCAATCCAATCATTGGCGGAGGTGGGGGCGGGGGAGGTCCTCCTGATAAAAATCCAGGTGGAGGCGGAGGAGGTGGTGGAATTGGAACTGTATTTCCATTCGGTGTAATGAGTCCAGCAATTGGTGGAGGTGGAGGTGGCGCAGAAGATGTTTGAGATGGTTCACGGGATGTTGATCTTCTTTTCGTTGCTGTTGGTTGTTCTTTATGTGGTCCTGGTGCTGGAGGTGGTGGAGTTGGCGGAGATTTTGCTTGCTGCTCTTTTTGTTGTTGTTGTTGGACTTGTAATCCGGCTGAAATAAATTGATAATAATGATAAAAATGCCACATCAAAACTCCACGTTTCGAAAATTCAATAACATTTCTTTAATTTTTCAAACTGCCACATCAAAGTTCACGCTCTAATTCTGAAAAAAAAACCAACCTTGCATAGTTTTTTGAATCGCCTCCAACTCTCCGATTTTTTGCTCCAATCTTTTGCGATCTTCTCGACTTTGCCGATCTTTTTCGTCTGCAAAAATTAGAAGCGTTAAATAAAAACACACGCCAAGAAAACTTAGAGTTATGAGAGTGTGAAAAATTTTAATTCAAAGCTTTTTGTTCTAAGATTTCTTGTAAATTTTCAAGGAAAATTCCATTCAAAAACATACTCATAGTTCTAGTCCATGTTCCTTTTTGTTCAACATATTCCTTTTCCATTCGATCTCTTTCATTCACCAAATCCAACAATCTTCGATCCAGAGCCGCTTTGTCAGTTATCCATTTCGCTTCAACTTCTTGAACACGTTCATTCGCCTGAAAAAAAGAAATGATTTTTTCCCGAAAATTATTAATTTTTGAAAAATTCCACATCATTTGGGTCACGCTTAAAATTAGAATTAATCAATAAGACAATTTTTATTTATAAAATTAAATTTTGAAAAAAAATTGAATTTGAAAATTTTGCTTCCCCTCCCCAATCTCTTCTAAATACTCACCTGCGATAATTTAAACTTCAAATTTTCTTTTTCCTCAATCAAGTCATTTTTTAAATTCGAATCCTCCAATAATTGTGCAACATCAATTGCACTATTCGCATAACTAATCATTCTTTCTTGCAATTCATCCGATTCACAATCAGCCATTTCTTCAATATATTTATCCAATCCAAGCAATGTCATTTCATATTGTAAATGAACACGGAAATTCAATTCATCAACATTATTCACAAAATAATCGAAAAACTGAACAGCTGATGATAGAAATTCGAAATGAAATTCGGGAGGAAATCGAACAAATTGCATAAGTGTCCAAAATCGATGTGGTTCACGAAAATCTTTTTCAAATCTATCGAAAGCGTCGCTAACAATCTCTTGACCACCCTGAACCATACAAATTGATGATAACATTTGAATTACAAGTGTTTTTGTGCGTAGATTTTGATGTAAAATACTTCGAACAATGCAATAAATAGCTTCAGTGTCACCAAATACTTGTTGAAAACCTTGTTTATTATTCATTATTGCGCGAAGACACATCATACAAATATGAATATCATCTTCGGCTTCTCCGATTGCTTTTGAGATTTTTCCTTTTGATATTGTCAGTGATCCTGGAAAAAGGGATTTTTTTGGAGGAAGGGTATTGAAGTATTATGCTTACCTTTTTTCAATAAATTCGCAGTCGTGTCTAAATTTCCAGCACTCAAACCAGAAATATTACCAGAATAATCCGAAGATGAATTATTATGTGACGGTGATTCATTGATACCAGAAGTCGATGGAATTCCATTTGATGTTGATGGAACTGAAGCACAATCAGCCAAAAGAAAACACATATAATCAACGAGTTTTCGAAGACCAAGATTGGGTGGATCAAGAAATTCGAATACCCAGCTGAAAAAAATGGAGTTAGATGAAGGACGAACAAAATTTGGAGGGCTCAAAACTTAAAGGTCCAGTCAACCCCAAAATACTCCATATCTTCCCTCATTATCCCCAAAAAAACTCACTCCACACTATTTGTCCTTAGCGAAATCTCAATATGTCTCAAAACACTAGTTGATGTTTCATCCGCCAAAACCTCTTTATTCTTCAACGCTTTTTTCAACATCTTCTTATCCATGAAAAATCCGAGTTTTTCCAAATATTTTGCCGGTGGTGTGATTTGCTTTGACACTTGTTGTTGCTGGAAACCACTTATTTTAAAATCATTTTTTTCAATCACAAAAATGTCATAAAAATATTTGTTTTTTTTTCTATAAATATTTCGAAATCTTCCTATTGAAAATCGGAGCGGGATATTTTTGATTTTTGTTTCGAAACAATATAGTGTTAAACATTTTCATATTCAATTTCTGTTATTTAGAAAACTTTATTTAGAAAAAAAAGCTTAATGTGTTTTTTTTTTTGAGAAAAATCTGAATAAAGATTCCGATGTATTCTGACAAGGTATTTCATTTGGGGAGCATTTTTGTGAAAAGGTTCATTCCATTTAGTATTTTATCTTTCAAAACCGACAGTTTCCCACCCAAACCTTCCCCCCTCTTTAAAAAATCCCAACCTGATCATTAATCAATTTCCACTTTTTCTCATTATCATAACTTCGCAATATCCTCAATTTATCCACCGGCAAATCCATATGTTTCAACACATCATCAAACATTTTATCCAATTGTTCCTGATTTGGAATTGGCGGTAAAGTCGCTGGCAAAATCATCGCGCTTCCAACAACCGACGAAATTCGCCGCGATCTGATTGAAGAACTTGTAGAATTAGATCGCAGAAGACTTCCACTCTTCTTATTTCTCTTATTTTTCACAGCAAACGTGCGGCGCAATTGCGATCTTTCGAGAAATTCTGAAACAAAGTAATTAATAGGTTTTTTTCAAAAGAACGCGGAAGAAGCAAACACGCTCTACTGCACAAACAGGACAATTAATTCAGATTTGAGATTTAATCTTGAAACCATAAAATGTTTTTTTCGAGGAGGAAAAACAACGAAATTTAATACACTCATCAAGCACCTGCTTTTCCATATTTATTTACTCAATTTATCTGAACAATAACATGTGTTTGGTATTAATTGAATGAATTAAAATATTGTGAGAAAACAAAATTACATATTGTTCAATAGTTGAAAAATTGGGCGAAAATAAAACTTTACAATGGTCAAAATGTATGTTTTTTGCAGTATTTTCATTTCAATGATAAAAATCGGGTTAGATAACACCACAAAATTGTGGTATTTATAACCTTTTGATATAGAGAAAAAGAGAAGTAATAGTCATTTTTCGACCCGTAAAAAACGGAAGGTTTTTTATTTGCGGTGCGGTGAAAAATGTGTTTTTTTCAAAAAAAAAAACAGAAATTTAGCGCTGGATCTTCAATTTGAAAAAAAAAACTTGCCACGATTTCATAAATTTTCACAGGTGAATAATATTTTTGAAATGTAATTTTTACTGATTTCAGCGAAAAAAAAATCGTGGCGAAACCCATATTTTGAAAATATCAAATTCTTATAAAATTTTAGCAGTTAATTTAAAGGAACATGGATTTCGAAAAATGTAAGGTCTCACAGCGATTTCGCAATTATTAGCATGAATTTAAAATTTTTGAATTGAAAAAAATACCACGGTTCAAATTCCAAGGGCTCATTTTTCTTCTAGACAAATAAAATTAGGTATTTATTTTTATCAGAAAAATAAACAAATAACAAGTACAGTACTTACTTTTGTTGAAAATCAAAAATAATTCGATGACTCACTAAATTTCTCTATTTCTCTACCTGGTATTTTCAAACAAAAAACGAAATGAAAATAGGATGAGACAGGTGTGTTTGTCTGGTCAAACATCAATAAATGATTCATTTTTTTGAAACTTGTAACTTTGAAAAAAAAATTTTTCTCACCAAAAAAAAAGTAGTAATTATAATATATTCGAAAATTAGTTACGTTTCGATGGGTTTTTTGGGAAAAATAGAAAAAAAACTAGTTTAGTTCAGAAAAAAGCGTTATATTTTGCTTTGAAACAATATTTTTCGAGGAAATCGAAACAGTTTTGATAGAAAAGATAACGTATCGAGGGCCAATAAAAAACGCGATTTCAGAAAGTTTCGAATTTGACCAGAAACCTCCAAAATATTTCCGACGGTTCGTTTCAGAGATCCAAAAATTGGAAAAAGTTCTACTGAAAATGATCGGCTCGATTCAAAATTTGCATTCTTCTGTACTAGATAAAAGGAAAATTGGGGAGTGTCAAAACAAGCCGCTTTTTGCATACAAAAAAGTAAAAGTGACAAACGGCTCGATAAAAAGCGGCTAAATAGATAGATACATGCCGACAACAACAATACATACATATATCCACATATGAATGTAATAACAATCGATCGACAAAAAACTGGTAAATGGCATGTTTACTAGGCTATACTTTGGTCCGCTTGGGTCGGGCTCGGGAAAAATACAAGTCAAGGTTCCACCAATTTTTCGTCAGAAAAAATCAATGTTAGTTATGTTAGTTATTCAACAGAAAAAAAAACGAGAAAAGGATGAGAAAACACACTTGATCCAAATAAACTTTCCATTTTTATTCTTTTTTTTAAGATGAGAAATTCAACATTTCCACGTGAATTTTTTCCTTCGGGAAAAACGGAAAGAAATAACATGTGAAAACAAAAACCTAATATATCACACGGCTTGTTTTTTGGAATCCCTTCTAACAAAAGAAAATAAAACATTTTACCGGGTAATTTTTAGGCGGAATATAGAAACCATGGGAAATTGCGAGATTTAGAGATAGTGATCGAATTTTTGATCTACAAGGGAAAGTTGCAAACAAATTTGGGTTTGGTTGAAAAATATCTAACTTTTTTTCTTAAAATTTCAAGTAAAATTAACTTTTTGTGCACAATAAAAATCCAAGTGGCACAAAATTTATCTCCGGATCTTTTTTAATTCAAATTTGTTTGCGCTAAAAGTTAGAGGGTTTCAAAAATTAAAAATTTTCAAAGCAAGCGGCTTTTCGAAGCAAAAATTCCCAAATAAAAATCACACACATAAAAAGCTACCTGTAACCATAGTGAAAAATAATAGATCGGAAAGAAAAAGCGGAAAAAAGAGGTGAGAAAATTTATGTATATTTACAACAAATAAAATATGTACATAAATGCAAGTATTTCTTTAACGATGCGTAATAATTTTTGACTACGACTGCCTCAGGATATTATTATTATTACTTTACTTTGAAATATTTTCTCACCAAACCAAAACAAAAAACTCCAGTTTTTATCAAGAAAAAACAAATGTTTTGTCTTTCTTCCAAAAAAACACAAAACGCCACCAAAAACGAGAAAAAAACTAAAAAAAAAGAAGGGAAAAGCTGGAGCTCGAAATTGTTTCTCTCTCTAACCGTCTGAATCTCTCTCTATTTTGCCAACATTGCTAAAAATCGCGAATTTCTCTATATATAGTAGTACTACATAAATTAATTTAATTAAAAACCCCAAAAATTTTCTATTTTTTTCTTTTCATTCTTGGGAGAATGGAATTTTGAGGCATTCCTCACAAAGGGAATGAAAAATATATTTTGGAAAAAGCTGACTAAATTTGATATACTAAAAGGCCGGAAACATCTGGGAAAGAAAAGGAAAAAGCAACATATTGAATATGATTTGACACATTTGAGATAGCAAAAAAAAAGAAAAAAAAAAGGGGGGGGGGGAGGATTATCTAGTTATCTGGTAGAAAAAATGCAGAAAAAAAAGAGAAAGGTCACAAGATGGATGAGAAGTAAAAAGAAGAACGGCAGATGAGCTTGGCAATAATAAATCGAAAAAATATGGATGGAGTAAAAAAAGAAGGAGCAAAGTGGTTATGACGTGGCAAAGTTAACTTATCTAGTGGTGAATGTACGAGTTCGCAGCGTTGATAATATCATTTTTTTTTAAATAATACATAAATTATTCCAAATTCAGATATCTCAAGACATAATGTTTTTGGGTAGTCTTGAACGAACTGCGAAATAAAAATAGACCCACATCTTCACTTCCCAAAAACTACTCACATAAATAAGTATACCAAGCTGCCTGGTCCAGGCATATGTCGGTCGAATACTTGATAGAGGATATATAAGAAAATTATAGAAATAGGAAAGGCAGAAGAAACCTGCGGTCCGTTTGACAGAAATACTTGACCGTTAAAATGTGGGTTTCTTTTTGGGCAAATGTTGAATTCAGAAATGAAAATAAATATTTCTAACTATTTACACGTTATTTTTTTTCTCACGTTAGGAATATTTTATTCAAAATTTCGTGCATTTTTTGAGCTGCTAATGTTTGAAAATTTTAGCTACAGTACTTCATTTGAGTCTCGTAATTTTTTGGGGTTTCCCCCTTAATTCGCCTTAATCTTGAGGTCGTCTTTCAAACCGTTGAAAAATTCTCTGACCAACTGCAACATAAAAATTTATGGAAAAAAAAACATTTGTTTTGTCACTCACACACCACCCAAAAAAATAAACAAAACAAAAGAATTGCTCATTTTCTTCGAAAATGTTTAGAATACTCTTCTTTCGGCTACTCAAATTTCAAAGAAGCAATAAATCAAGAAGAATAAGCTTATGCTTATTGTTTACATACAAACGGAAATATTATTTTGCATAAATAAAATAGTTTTTCTTCTGTTGTTTTGTAAAAATAAAGAAAAAGTTCACACGATTCTTGTGAGAGAAAAAATTGGTCTAGTACTATTGTTTCGACTGATTGCCGTGTAAATGTGAAAATTGCTTTTCTTCGATAAGAAAAAAAGCATAAATGAGGTCAAAGATATGTCACTGAAACGAGAATTAGATTTGGATTCTCAGAAATTTCACACCTCATTAAACGATTGACACAGTTATTAGACAGATTTATTACTATTTGTGATCTATTTTAACACACGGCCTTTCGAAAAATATTTTTCACAACTCATATTCAGAGTTGAGCTAACTAGGGTTTTAAAACGGAATCGTGATCTACAAGAAATATTTTTCACAAACGCATGAAAAATTTCAGATTCTGAAAGGGCGTGCAAACTTTTCATTTGCAAAAAAAATGGATTTTCCAAAGATTTCCGAAAAAACAGACCTAATGATTGTTTAGCCGAATTTGGGCAAACAAAGATGCGGATCTTTCATTTGACAAAAAACAAAAAAAAAAACATACATTGAATTGAAAACGCAATTAATAATGAAATAAATGGAGGAAAAATGTGGGTTAACCTAGATTAGGGAAAACAAGGAAACAGTGGAAAACAGAAAATGGTCCGTTCGTAACCTTGGAATGATTATTATTGTTGTTTCTTTTTTTGGTGTTCTCATGGATTTAGCAACAATTGTAACATATAATTAGCGATATTTTTCAATGTTAAAAAATAAATTAAAGATTTCCAGAAATTTTTATTCAAAATTCAGTTTTCCTAAGGAAGAACTTTGAAAAAAAATTTGAAAACTTTCACTTGTCAGGATTTTCAAATCAAAAGTCCAATTCATATTTAAAAGTCCCCAATTTATTAAAGTTTTTCCCAAAAAAAACATTTCAAAAATTCGGGAAGTAAAAACCGAAAAAAGGTGTCAAATTTCAAAGCAAACTTGACCACCAAGTTTTTTTTAGCTTTTCGAAAATGAATGAAAAATGTTATAAACAAATTTCAAAACAGGGAAAAAAATTTGAAAAATGCACCAATTTTTCTTGCTACTATATTATTGACAAATGTGATTAGAATATGGAATAAAAATGAATTGTTCTCTTTTTTATTTAGATATTTTATGTGTTTTGTTGTTCACCACAAAACAACAATGACACCTTATTTTTTGAATTGAATGGTTATTTTTTCAAAAGAAAATCTGGAGCGCTGGGAGAAAAATGTTAATATTTCATCGAAAAATTGAAACTTCTAAAAAAACTTGGATAAAAAATAGAAAGCATATCATTTTTTTTTTTTGAAAAACGTTGCAGATTTTTTTATCGGAAATTTTATATAAAAGCTGAACAAACTATGCGGTACTTCACAGTTTTTATTAGTAGAAAACCAAGTTCTGATTGGAGATCAATCGACAACCTTTTTTTAATTATGGAAAATTTGAATCCATGTATTTTTAAACATTTCCAGAAGGTTTTTTTAAATTAAAAAATTTTTTAAATAAAATTTGGACTTTTCGAAGTTATTTCTGGATTTGTTAAGTATTGAATTTCCAACGTTGTGTGAATAACTTCAACCAAAACTTAATTCCAATTTTTCAGAAATTTTTAAGCTTTAAAAATCCACTTTTTGCTCACTTGCCTCCATTATTTTGTTTCTTTTCATCCTCATCAATCTCCTCATCTTCTTCTTTCTCAAAATTAGTTTCAAAAATATCAGACATTTAGGTTAGTTTCGAAATCAAACCAGCAAATCAACACAGAAAAAAACACTGTGTGCTCTTTTGGCGAGTAACAAAACCTATATTTATACAATTCGTGAGAGAATTGAAAATCGAGAGAGAAAAGGCGAACAGACGAAACGAAAAAAACTTTGCGATTGTATAATAATCGGCTGAAAGTTTTTTGTCGCTTCAAAAAATAGAACATGTTGTTCTAATTTTGACTGTTTTTTTTGTTTGTTCAGCCAGTTTAGTTTTGCAAAATTAATATTCTGTGAAACATTACTCTTTGAATCACAGGATACTTTGGTTTTTTTAAATCTGAAATATGCACTTCTCAAAGAGTTCATAGAACTGGTTAACATCCAGTAAAAATTTTAAACAAGAAAAATAGATTGGAAAAAAAGTATGTATTAGAAAAATGTTTTTAAAAAATTCTATAAAATGTAACAACAAAAGTACAGCTAAGCGAAATCTATAAAACCGTATTAGAAAGGAGAAGTTAAACCAAGTTTGTTTCGGCCACGAATTTCTGAAAAATGGGTTAAAAATAATTACATTACTATATTCATAAATACAAATAAAAAATTAATAATCACCAGATAAATGGATTTTTGGCGCGACTAATTCGAGTTTTTGAAGATGGAGTTGTTGTCAAAGGTTGCGCTTGGAATTCTTTCGAATATTCCTCGCCGTATTCTTGACCGTACCAGACTGAAAACAAAAAAATAGACAGGGATTTTTCGAGGGGTTTTTGGGTAAGATTTTCATCGGTTTAAATTTGGCGGTTCAAATATTCCCCATTTTTGACATCACATTTCAGGTAACCTTCAGAAAAATACTATAAATTTTCTAACAAAAACTGGATTATTACGAAAAATCGATAAAAAAAACATTTTTGCGTTGAACACAATTATTTTAAATAAAAAATATTTCAATTTTTTTACCCACCAAGCAATTCCTCAGCACCTGCAATCGGTTTGATAACTCGATAATAAACTCGGCCAGAAACTTGGAATGCCAATAAATTTTGCTCATTTACATCTGAAAATCGAAAATATATCAGAATCTAGCTGAAATGTTCAAAATTCCTACGTCTTGGACTATTAATATATCTGAGCCAATTGGATTTTTCGGGATGCGATCCGTCGATATAAAAAGTTCCGTCTTTTCCATCAACTTCCCAAGCATAACCATCGTGGAAAAATTCGGATTTTTTCGAGCATCGCACACCTTTGTATGGTCCAAAAACCATGCCAACCTGGAATTATGAGTTATGACGTGGCAAAATTTAAGATAATGACTTTGAATTTCATATTTTCGAAATTTATAAAAAATCGTAATTTCTCAATTGTTCAAAATGTTTTCCACATCATAAACGAACCGGAATAAAAGCTCGTGCAAAAACACCGAGTCCAGCAGTTGGAATTGTCGATTCGCCAATCACAAACAAATGCGGAATTGTTCTTTCTGCGTATGGTTTGCATGCGTCGTTTTCTTGTGGTTGCTGGAATCAGAATTCCGTTTTTGGAGCAAATACAAATAAAATCAAATTCAGAATTGCTTACTTTGTCATGAATTTTGAACAATGGATGCTTGAGACAAAACGATCGATAAAAACTGTTGCATCTATCGCAATCTGAAAAATTCCATCATTTTTTTCTGAAATCATCTCCAAAAAATTAAATAAATCTTACGAATATCCGTATCCTGGCAGAAATCATCATCCGCAATTTTCTTTCCTAATAATTCGTATTGTGATTGGGGAATTTCTTGAATTTCTGTGTAACAATTCGGATCGATTTTCTGATTTCCTTGAATGATTTTGAGGTGTCCTTTTTCGAGTTCAACAACCATTTTATATTTTATTTCTTCTTTTTTCTTTTCAATAGCTGCTTCAGGATCACATATTCCAGGAATTTGGATATTCATTGTTGTCTGGAATTTGGGTTGGTTATAGATTATAGAGCTGATTTCTGAGCACTGTATAACCAGAGTTTCAGAATTTCAGAACTTGATAGATAATTTTTTATGGATTTAACCAAAAAATGGAATTTTCAAACTACATCAAAACATTTAAAAGTACATCTCAAAAATTTATTGAACTAAATTAAATTTTGTTCGTAGAATATTCTCAACTTCTTCCACTTCAATTCTTTTCTCTGACAAATCAACAATCAAATTTCGAATTTTATTGAAACTTTTGGCGTGGAATCCTGTCCTAAGTTTCTCCACGATTTTCAGATTTTTCGGATTTTCCAGCACATTTTCAACAATTTGCATAATTTCCGTCTCGTCTGTGATTTTCCAATAATTATTATCATCAATTAATTGTTCAACATTTCGAATTTCCTGCTCAGAAGTTGAATAAATTCTCAATAAATCCAACATCCTTAATCTCGTAAGTCTTCCCGCTTCAAAAAACCCAATCAAATCAACAAATTGTCGAATAAAAAACTGTGATTGTGGCGGATAAACCGATTTCGATCTTTGCATTATTGTTTTCAATTCTCTCATCCAAATCAATATTGTTCGAGTTGCACCAAATTCCACACATTTTTCAACAAATCTCAAAAGTTGTGAATCTTCTGAAATATGGATAGAAGATCTCGCATCAAATCCATATTTCTCACGAAGAATTTCGAATTTTGGTTTGGATGTGGAATTGAGACTTTGTCTGACAGAATCGAGCCATTCGTCTTTTATCTGTAAAACAATGAGATTGAGATAAAACTCAAAGATTTCGAAGTTTGGGAAATTCACAGTTAGCTTTTATTATTCTATATATTTTAAAAACCTCGCAAAAAACCTACCACAAGATTAGGTAAATTTGGCTCAACCATAAATCGATAATCAGTTTCGACTTCTTTATCTCTCATTGAAACAGTTCTTTCTTCATTATCAGCTGCTCTTGTTTCATTTATCACAATTCCACCATTCGATAAAATCTCAAATTGTCGTGCAATTTCATAATTGATTGCTGTATGAATCGATCGAATACTATTCATATTTTTGATTTCAGTTCGAGTTCCGGTAATATCATCGAAAGATAAGGACACGTTTGCATCAACTCGAATTTGACCCTCTGAAAAGTGGAAAAATTAATAGGGATTGGGGGAGGCTTGATTAATTATGATTTTTTCAGTAAAATAATTTTGAAAATAGTTTCATTCGTCGATAAATTACTCACTATGCATTTCTCCATCACAAATTCCATAATTCATCAAAATCAATCTCAATTGTTGTACAAAACAAATCGCTTCCAATGCCGTGGAAAAACAAGGAGTTGTTACAACTTCAACCAATGCACAACCAGCTCTATTATAATCAATCAATGATTTATTATCAATATGTATAGTTTTTCCACTATCCTGTTCTAATTGTAATTGAATAATATCAACTTCTTTCCAATATGGCTCAATTTTCTCATCAAAAACATAAAATCCAAATCGACCATTTTTTGCAATCGGTTTTTCATTTTGTGTGATTTGATATCCAGCTGGCATATCAGCATAAAAATAATGTTTTCGATCGAATCTGGAGATTTTCGGGATTTCACAATTGAATAACATTCCCATTTTCAATGCATGCAATACACATTTTCTATTGAGTGAGGGAAGAATTCCAGGAGTTGCCATATCCAATGGGCTGACAAGGCGATTTGGGGATGATTCACCATTGAGAGTTCGTGAAAATAGTTTGGTTCGGGTGTTTAGTTGAATGTGAACCTGGAAAAAATGAGAGATTTGTTTTGAAATTAAATTTCACACCAAAACACCATTCATGAAATTTTTGTAAAATTTTAAATTCCTAGATTCTCAGCTAAGGATTCTAGTGTTACAGTTTCTGGCAAAATCTCAAGATTCTCATTAAAAATTAAAAAAAAATTGAAAAGCCATGTAAACAAATCAGAAAAAGGTTTCTCTAATTTCAAAATAGACCGAGAATTTAATTCTGGAAAAATTTCGACATCTGAAAATTTTGATAACTTTCACATCTGAAATTTTATTATGAAATCTGAAAATCATGGATTTTGTTCTCCAAAACTCTTTTCAGCTCAGAATATTAAACATCAATAATTTCCCACTGATAAAATATTCATTGGTTTCATTTTCACAAGATAAAAAATTTACGATTTCCGAAAGAATGCTAATGAGATTTTCAAATAATATATAAATGAATTCATTTTGAACTAAAAATCATCCAAAACATCATGAAAGTCTCACTTTATTTGGTTTTGTTTTTCACTATTCTAATCGTGTCAGTTTGTAAGTTGTATATATTTTTTAATAAAAAAATCTAATTCAAAAAATTTCAGATACTGCTCCATGTGAAGGACACGCGCCAGCACAAAAAGTCGAAGCAGCTACCAAAAAACCACTAACTGGAAAAGAACTCGAAGAATATTGCAAAGATCATCCAGAATGTGAAGAATGCAAAAAACTCGCGAAAAAGGGAAAGAAACATCGCAAACATCATCATAAACATCACAAAAAATCTGCCGTGAAAGACAGTGAGAAGAAAGAGGTGAAAAATTAAGAATTTTTGAATTAAGGTTTTTGGTCATGGGGTAATTTGGGTCATGGTGTAAAATAAACTTTTTGAGAAAAATTCATGTTAACCTATTTTTTTTAATAAAAATTTTCCTTTCAGGTAATTAATGTTTCTTCAAAAAAAAATTCTAAATTTTTTGTTAAAAAAAAACTTTTTCCTTCCATAATTTCTCAAATTCACAAAAATATTAGTTAATGTAAGTCAAAACCTACGCATTTCTGACCTCCAATCCAATAACTGGTTTATATCTCAATTTCTGCGCATATTTCGGAGAAGTCGAAGTAGATGCAACATCTGAAATGAACCTCCGAAGCATCTGATCTGTAAAGTCTACATTCAAATATCGAAAAAAATCTTTACACAATATTTTCTAGGAAGTTTTCAGCAACCTAAACATCCGCAAATTAATTTCAGGTATAAAATTCAACGTATCCTACTAATTTATTATCCTCCCGGGGAAACAAGAAAAGCCAACAACAAAAAAACAAGTTAGAAAAAAAGGAACAGAATTAAATTAAAAACCGAGATTGACAAAATGAATCACATTTTAATAGAAATGTTTGTAAAAAATGAAATGTTTATGAAACTGTAAGAGTTGATTCGAGAGTTTCCAAATCCAAATCTCCATTTCGAACCGCGCGAGCCAAAGAAACACGAACTTCTTCGAGATTCTTTTGAACAATTCCTTCCAAAGTGTTACGGTAACTCTGGAAAAATACAATTATAGGTTTTCGAAAAGGCCATTTTAATTTTAGCGCGAGAAAAAAATACTTTTTTGTGAAGATTTAGATTTGTTTGATTCATTTTTTTTCAACAAAAATTTAAAATAAAGCAAACCTCATATTTCTCCTCATCTTTGTCCATTTTCAATGCATGAACAAGTGCCAATTCCGAAGCAGATCTCACTGCCGAATTACTTTCCTTGCAACCATTCACCAAATGTGGAGCAATTATCTGGAAAAATTATTGGATTTCGGTAAAAAGTTATCCGAATTTTCGAGGCCGATTCAGAATAATTCTCTAAAAATTGAGCAAATCTAATCCAGCTCACCTTTAACAAATCATTCGATAAATTATTATTCTTTCCAACATGTCCCAATGCAATCGATGCAGTTTTTCTAACATCAATCGATTGATGATTCAAAGACTTGGCAACCAACGAAAGCAATTCTCGATCAACATCAACATTCAAAATATAAGAAACAGCTCGAAGAGCACAACAAGCAACAATAATATCTTGGGATGAAAAAGCATTCGCAAATGCACTTCGACATGCTGAATTCGCTTCAGATGTCCATAATCCTTCAGCATTTGAACAACACAATTGTTGAAGAGCAGCTGCTTTTGCTTGACGAGTTCTTTGTTTTGTTTTTGTTGATTCAATTGCTGATAAAATACTAGATTGTGCAATATTCCATTCTTCTTTTCGAGCAATTGTTTCTCCAAGAAGTGCACCACTACACGCGGTTAATGAAATATCAATTTCTGATGGATTTTCAACTTCTGGCGAATAGATGAGTTCAGTTACGCGATAAATTTCATCAATTGTTGATTGAGAAAGTTTCGAATGACTTGTTGAAACAAGTGCACGAGCTGTTGCCAATGATGATTCTCTGAAATATCGAAAATGAATATGGGGAAATATTAGGGTGAAAATACAGAATTCCAAGTTTTTTAAAAGTAGGGTTGGAAAAAAATACACGGATACACGCGCTCGATACACGGTACACGAATACACGCAGTACACGAATACACGGTACACGAATACACGCGATACACGAATACACGGATACACGAATACACGGATACACGAATACACGAATACACGAATACACGCTTTTTTATAAATTGCTTGAGAAGAGAAGAAAACCGTGTATTCGTGTACAGTGTATTCGTGTATTGCGTGTATTCGTGTATCCGTGTATTCGTGTATCGCGTGTATTCGTGTACCGTGTATTCGTGTATTTGGCTGCGCGTGTATCCGTGTACGCAAATACACTGTTTTTCCAACCCTATTTAAAAGTCAATTCAATCAATTTTCACAGGTCAGCACGATTTTTATAATAAAAATCCACCTTCCTCATGAGGAGCTCAAAAAACTCACAATAATTGTTCATCTTGCGTAGTTGCCAACAATTTAAGCAACTCCACAACCGTAGTTTCAGGTTTCGGGTGCAATTTGAGCAAACGAGCCAATGCTCCACCAGCAGCCAAACGAACTGGTCGACTTGTTGGATCTTGAAGTGCTTTCAAGAATGTCGATTGAAGTTGTGGCAAGAATGGCCGTAACATCGCATCAACTTTGTCCAATAATTTGCTGAGAGTTTCGATGATTGGCAATTTGACATTTGCTGGATAACGATCACCAAGAACACGAATCAATGGTCCAGTTATATTAACAACATGTGATTTGAGAGCAGCAACTTCGGATATTTTAACAACAATTCCCAATGTTTCAGCAGCCATTGCTTTTGTTTCAGTTCCTCCTTGTAAAATACTTTCCCTAAGCATTCCCAATAATGGTTGTAAACTTTTCGGGTGCGAAAATCCATTAATTTGTTGTCCTTTTGATGTATAAACAATCGAATTGATAGTTTTTCTAGCAGATGGTAAAATCGACAACAATTCTTTTTGATCCATTGATTGTGTCAATGCAATTGCAGCTCCAATAACATTATCAACGATTTGAAGATTTTCAGAAGTGTAGAGTTGAAGAAGACCAGGAAGAACATCTTCAGCCATTTCAGATAAATTGACACCACTTTTTGCGATGAAAGTATTGAGAAGAACTGCAGCTGGAACATTGTTATCAGAAGAGGCACGTTTGATCAAATAATCGAGTAAAACTGGAATGCCATCTTCATCGGTGACAGCAATAACAACCTTTTCGCAAGAGTCAATCATCTGAAAATAAAGTTATGAAAATTTTGTTAAGAACAATCCGATTGTCAGAAAATTGCTTCCAATTAGGTCAATTCTAAAAATAAGTTATGACGTAGCAAAATAGGTAAATTTCCGATAAACCGTGATTTTATAAAAAAAAAAGAAACAACTTTTTTTTCAAATTCTCAAATAAATTTCCATTTTCGAAGGATTTAGACCATTCGAAAAAAATCGATTTTTCACATTTTGCCACATCATAACTCAGTTAAGCTAATCCACAATATTTTTTTGTAAAAAAACCTTTCAAAACTAACCGGATCATTTTCATCATTAGTCTCACAAGATGCCAAAAGTGCATCCAAAACTTTTGGAAGTTGTCGACTCAAAGAATCACCCGAAACTGATGCCAAACTACACAATGCATGAACATTGACTGGTGGTTTTGTCAATTTTGGCAATAAATATGGGAGCATTGCTCGACTATTCTGTTTCATAACATCACAAAGACCAGCAAGAACATGATCTTGTTCTGGGGTGAGATTTTCGAGAAGTGGACAGATGATTTCATCGAGTGCTTCGTTTCCAACAACATGATAGAGAATTGTGAATGTATCAGCGGCAGCAGTTCGAACAAGTTCATCATCATCACAAACAGCTGCGCGAACTGGTTCAACAATTGAAGAAAGATAATGATTTGTGACTTCCTGAAATTAAAAACAGATATTAGTTTTCTGTAAATATAAATCCGTATAATCCCAATATTTCTTTTTGAATGAAATATTTTCCGAAACTTGAGATTTTTACGTTTCCCACGTTTTTTTTACTAAAAAATTTAAACAAGCTTCTGATATTTTAGTTTCTTTAGGACGTTGAAAAAAAAGAGAAAATTTTGGAAATAATAAATTCCTCTCATAATCCATACCTTGCTCATATTCTTAATAATTTCATTAAGCGCCATCGCCACTCCAACACGTTTCGAAACATCATCGGATTTCTGATTGGTATCCAACACCGGCAAAATATCATTAATAACTTTGTCTCCCATTTTTCGAACAAGTTCTCCCAAACATCTCGCTCCCATTTGTTGTCTTTCATCACAAGAAGAAGCCAATGAATCAACAACCATTTCGAATAGATATTTACTAACTTCTCGAAGAGTTCTTGGTGTATTTGCCACAACCATTTTCCAAACATGTCCAGCTGCTTGTCGAACAACATGTGCAACATCAGAACGAACCAGATATAATCCAGCCAATACACGATCTCTGTCTTTTTGTCCCAATGCACGAACAATTGTTTTTCCAGCTTGTTCCATTCCCATTGTATCGTCTTCATCAGCAGTGCTTGATGTTGATTTTCCAGAAATTCCAGAAACATTGAAAAGGAAATCACCGATTAATTGAACTGAAGCATAACGAATACGCCAATTTTCATCAGTCAAAGCAATTTGTAATTGTGGAAGAAGAAGTTTGCGAGCATGTGAACAATATTGAGAAATAAGACGTTGACCGGCTTTGAGAGCTGATGCTCGAACATATCTGGCAAGAAAGAAGGATGAATAACAATTAAAATAATTTTTTTTAATTTCAGTGAATGTGAAGAAAACACTTTCACCCGGATCTCTCAAATTTCAACAAACAATTTTGAAATGTGTTTTTGGCCCAAAAAATACGAATTCAAATTTTGGTTCAGTTCTAAGAATTCCTAGATTTTGATAAGGTTGTAATAATCCACATTCTAAAACTCACTCATTTTCATCGGCCAATGCTTTCAAAATCGGTGGAACAACTTGCGGTAAATACGGAACAAATCTGTCACCATAAACCATTGGCAAATAAATATACATCAAAATATATCCATCTCTAGTTTCAGCAGATACTTCAGTGCTTTCAGTGGCCGCAATAATTTCAGGCATAACGAAATCTAATTGATCAGTTCCAACACCAGCCAAAACTTCACATAATCCTTGCGCAGCTCCAGATCGATCAACAGTCGATTGTTGTGATACAAGTTTCTCTTTCAACCATGGAACAACTTCTTCTCTCAATTTTTCGCTTGTTGTTCCTCCAGATTTCGATACAACAGCTCCAAGTGCACGAGCAGAAACAGCACGAATTTCAGGAACTGGATCTAACAATGATCTTTGGAGTCCTGGAACCATATGTGGAAGATATGGTTCCATATCTTTATTTTCGGTGAGCGAATAAATATTGGAAATGATTTGAGCAGCAACTCTTCTTGTTTCACTGTTTCGATCTTCAAATGCTCTTCTCACAATTGGCATCATAAGAGCCAAAGATGGAGCATCGATGTAATGGATGAATTTTGTGTTGAGAACTGCCTGAAAAATAAATTTATGAAAGGGTAAATATTTCTCAGAGATTCGCTGGCCAGCTCGCCACCAGGTGGGGAGGCTGGCTGACCTGGGAACCACATGGAAACCATGTCGCCCGGTTTTTTTCGCTGGCAAGGTGGCCAGGCTCTGGCTAGGTCACGGCCACATGGCTACCACGTGGTGGCCACTTCGCCGCGTCAAAATGAATTTTCATGAAAATGTCTGAAAAACTTGTGAATTGAGGCATTTTCGAAAAATTTGGCTCATTTTCTGTTTTTTCGCAGCACTTGAAACCTTATGAAGTGAAAAAAACAGTAGAAAAGGCAGTGTTTTGAGTACAAACCACTGTCTTGCCAGCTTTCCAGAATTTCAAACACACAGGCCACGTGGCCGGAAAACTCAAGGCGACCTGGCGGCCATGCGGTTTCCAAGTGGCCGCAGCGATCTGGTGGCGAGCTGGCCAGCGAATCTCTGAGTTATTTCGAAAATTCAAGATTAAAAATTTTTAAAGTCTAGTCAGAAAATGTGGAGAAAAAACTTATGAGATTATTTAAAATGAAAATTTTTTTGATCTGCGCGCGGCTTTTAAATTTTTTCGCGAACAAACAAGTTTCTTATTCTAGGTTTTTTTTGGTATCTCATTTCTGAATGAAGTCTAAAATTATTTTAAAAAACGGTTTCAAAACGCATGTCTATAGAAAATCAAATGACAAACCTGCAACGCTTCACTTGTTCGATTCGCCGGATCCAATAATCCAGCCATCAATTTATTGGTAACTCCCAAAATCTCCGGATTTCGCACAACTTTCGCAATTTGTTGCAAAGCTTTTTCTCCTGATTTCTGAACTTTCGATGAAGAATCCGCTAAAACTTCAATCAATTTCGGCACAATATTTGGCAAACAAGCGGATAATTGTCTTGGTGCACAGAATGCCATAGATCCCAATAATTCTGTAGCAGCACATTTAGTTCTCCATGATTCATCATCAAGTGCTGTCAATAATGACGGTAAAATTAATTTTGTTCCATAAACAGTCATTGAAGCCATCATAGCTCTTGCAGTATCTTCAGCAGATTGTCGAACATTTGAATCATTATCACCAAAAGCCAACAAAAGAGCAGGCAATGATTTCAAAATATAAGGTTCAAATAATTTTCCAATTGAACTACATAATATTTCCAATGCTAATAAACCACCTTCACGATGTTTTGCACTCTTTTTATCTTCCATATTTTTCTGAACAGCTTGCAATAAATCAATATCCCTAAATGCAATAATTCCCATTCCTTTCAAAAAATCCAGCAATTCCATAAGCGGCTCCTCTTCTCTCTCCATAAGTCGCACCTTCGAACAAAGTCTGTTGCAATTTGCTAACCAAATCTTTTGCATCTTGTCGGATTTTTGGTACCAAAGGTGATAAACACTTCGAAACAGAATCTTGAACAGTTTGACTTGGAGTTGAAAGTGCATCCATCAAACGAGACACAATACTTTTGACTTTTTCAGTCGAATCAATATATTGTGCAAGTGTTCCAAGAAGAACAACTAAACCTTGTCTTCTATTATCATGATCTTCACTTGAAGGTGTTTTATCCGATAAATCTTCTAAAAATGGTAATAATCTTGACATAATTGCAGCTCCGTGTCTTCGAATTGTTTCAACAGCTGCATTTCGCAATTCATTTCGACATTCAGCTCGGCGATCAGAAAGACCATCTGGCACAATCTGGAAAAAAACATTATGGGGAATAAGGGCTACCTTTTTCGAGAAAAAAATCAACATGCTGAAAATTGAACCATAGGCTGAAATCCAGGCGTGAAAATCAGGGTTAAACCTAACGAACAGAATTTCCGGACCTGAGCTTCAGGCCTAGGCTCAACTATTTCTCCTGAATTTCTTCCAACTTTCCAAGTTCTCATTTTTCCCTCAAAATTTCAGATTTTCAATTCATTATAATTCTGACACATTCTTGCACTTTCTATTTTTAGCCAATCCCCCGAAAAATTACCAATTGTCAGCCTTTCAGTAATAAATCAAAAAGATGACGAAACCCCCCAGGAAAATTGGATTTATGCTAATTTTTGCTTCGTTCTTTTTGAGATTAATTCGGTTTTCAGACGTACCAACGAGTTAATCTCAAAAAAGAGGAGAAAAAGGGCTCTGGAAATCCTCGGCACTTTTTTAAGCAAAAAAAAACCACATCTACAAAGCCAAGATGTTGTGGGAAAAAGTACAATTTTGAATTGACATTCTGGATAAATAATGAGCATGTCGGTAAGTTTCAAATGACCTAGTTTTTCGGAAAATTAATTCCAGGGATAAAATCTTTAAAATTGACTTTTTCTTTGAAAAGTTTAGCTACCGTTTTTTCAGACTCTTACTGGTCGAAAATACTCACAATTTTGATGAGATGCTCAGCCTCATCAACTTTAACAATAGTCGATAATCCAACAAGCGCCATTCCAATTCCCGATCTTCTTTCCCATTCATCAATCGTATCTCTTTGCATTCTTCCAACTTCATCGAAAATCGCACCGCGAACAACAACAAGATCTTTATAAGTCTGAAACAAAAATATTATTGAAGTTGAGCTTATCAAAAAATAAATCCCGAAAAAAGATATTAAACAAAAAATAAAGAAATCACACTAGTCATGACACATCAGTGACTTGTAGTTCTACAAAATCGACTACAAATCATCTGGCGTGTCATAGCCAGGGAGTTCCTTTTTGTAGGGTGAAAAATGGGCATGAAAAATGTTACCTCATCAAACTTATTCAAAATATTATTCATTTCTTCGGGAATTTCTTCAATGTATGCGAAAATAGCACGAGAAGCCGAATCGCGAACAAGAGCTGATGGCGAAACACATTCTTCTGCAAAAAATTTAGGTTTTTTGTGGAATTACAAAAAATGGGATGAATCAAGAAATTATTGAAAATTTTTTGACTTTTCAGTCAGTGAATTCTGCTGTAAAATTTTAGACAGGTTTTTTTCGAATAAAAAAATCAACCTAAAAGTCCCCTTTTCTCACAACTTTCTGGTTATATTATTTTCGAAAACAACAATCTTCCAAATTCACACGATAATTTTATTGTATAATTTTCATAAACAAAATGCTGTCTGTGCTGAAAAAGGTACTCTATCAAGAATTCAAAGCTCCACATTTCTAGGTTTTTAGTAAAGAAATGAAAATTTTCAAAAATATCACCAATTTTGCACTACCCATGATTTTCCCACCACTCAAAACTCACCAACAAGTGCCAATCCCATAACAGTTTTAATTTGCAAATGATTCTCAATCCACAATCGATCAGCCACATTCGCAACAGTTTCAATCGGATCAAATCTCGCCACAAAAACTCTAACCAAAATCTCTCTAGCAATCGATGTCTCAATTCCTCCTTCAACAATAATTCTCATCAATAATTGTGGTGCACTCAACACTTCCAATGCACTAATTCGGACTTCATGTTTATCATGTGAAACATATGATAATATTTCACGAATCATTCCAATCACTCGATCTCCAATATCATTTGTATCATTTGCAAGTCGAACAAGTTGTTGAGTTGCTTTGAAAGCTTGAGTTGTCAAATATTGCGAATAAAATTCGAAAAGCATTGATGCATAATGTTCCATTGGAAGACTAAGAACATCACGATCACGAAGGAATTTCTTATTGATTGCATTTTGTAAAAGTTGAAGAGCATCAGTACGACTTTGCTCACCAAATCGATCACTACGGAGAATTATCTGAAATTAAATATGTAAAGATAATGAGTGTTTTTGAGGTTCAACGCCATTTTTTAATTTATTGGAATTTTTGAGTTTAATTTTTACCTTAATCATTGGATATAAAAGTGTCAATTGTGGTGCTCCAACAATTTCATCATCAAAAACAATTCCATCATCTTCATCATCTCCAGTATCAACAACAAATGCTCTTTCGTTCAGTAATGAGAACATTCGTTTGAGTGCTGAATCGAGATTTTCATCGCTCCATCCTTGAATACGATATTCACTTCCGATAACTCGCAACCAACTGCTTCCAACAAGTTCCTCTGAAAATTATTCACTTTTGATGTGTTTTAAATTGTTTGTTGATATTTGTAATTGACAATTTTCTGATTGTATTTTCGAGCCCCATGTTTCAAAGCTCAAATTTTCATAATAAGTATTTCCTAATTGGCCCCAAAAATCATAGTTCCATTGATTTTTCGAATCAAATCCATTTTTCAGAAAAAAAGTATACATGTGTGAAATATAGAAAAAGCTCAACGAACGTTTCAGAACAAATTAGATTTTCTCAAAAAAAAAACTTTGTGCCAAGCTTTTTCTTCAGTGTTTGTGAGTTTCAAAAAATCATCTAGTTCAGATTGAAATTCAAACTTGTTCCGGGCAAAAATTGGGAGTTTTTTCAGAAAAATAAGAAAATTTTTGAAAAACTTCTAAATTTTCGTATTTTTTTGTGACAGTTTCTGTATATTCTTTTTCCAAAAGCTACCCAAAAATCGATACTTCTCAACAACAAAAAAAAAACCATGTTCACACGGTTTTGTCAATTGTTTCCCCATTGTCTTTTTATTAATCACCATTATTTGTCTACTGTCAGTAACAATTCAAATATGGTGCAGCCGTTTTTAAGATTTTTGTCAAAAGTTTCTCGCTTCGCGCGGCGTCTAATATTCAGTACCAAACCAATCTTGGCTTTTTGCCAGCAGCGCTCTCTTTCCCTGCGTCTCTTTGAACATGATTACAAATTAATAATTTTCTTGCTATGTGACTCAGATTTCCTTCATTCCAACGAAAAGGATTATTTATATATATTTTTTTCTTTTTTTTCCACAATATTTTATAAAAAATATATTGCAATCCTCTTGGCATGACACAAAAGCAAGAAATCTGAAATATGTCAATAATTTCGAATTTCGCTTGAGTGTCATATCGAGAGAGATACAAATCAAGTAGAGAATAAGAATGAAGGAAGGAAGAATATTTTGTGAGAATACTCTGAATGCTGTCGCCTTTTATACGATGTACTTTCGACAAAAAAGTGGGCGGAGTCTAAAAATGGGCGTGAGCAAAATATTGCAGAAGGAAGAAAAGAAGAAGAAAAAGAAGAAACGACCGCCCATAATGATATGTTTATGTTTATGTTTCTAATGATATTTGACAAAAAAAATATCAGAGTTCAAATTTGATTAAATTCATAAACAAAATGATTGAGTTTCAAAACATTTCCGGAAATAGATATTCAAAACAAAATGGGTGGGCAAAATATAAAAATAGTTAATGAAAAATTGACAAAACTTCAAATTATTGAGAAACGATTTTTTGAAATATTGTAAAAAAATACTGAAATTAGAAAATCGATTGACTCAAGTTATTTACGTGAAAGGGAAAACGCGTACAATTTGAGAAAGGGAAAAGAAGCTAGAAACACAGCTGAAATATTTCTTATTTTCTACAGCTGACTCGCGATCAGTTTTGGGCTTGAAGAGATTTCTAGACACATTCTCTCGATTTATATACTCAAAATCAACGTGTGCCTTGAACCAAATTCATATTTCCGAAAACGTTCTCAATAATTCGAAGTACTTCACATTTTCCCCCCAAAGATTTATTTGCATATTTTGCCCACCCATTTTGTTTTAAATATCTATTTCCTGAAATGTTTTGAAATTCAATCATTTTGTTTATAAGTTTAATCACATTTGAACTTTGTTATATTCTTCTCAAATATCATTAGAAACATAAACATATCATCATAGGCGGTCGTTCATTTGATTGATTAAGCTATTCACCCCACCCGTTCACCCCAAACGACATAAGGAGTCTAGCTAGGCTCAGGCTTATCAAAAAAAATTCTTCAGTATTTTTTGGAATACCACTTTTATGATTTCGCCTCCTGCTATTCTGTTGTCTGTCAGATTTTTTGAAGTTGACAATAACTTCATTTAAGCTCATTGATTTTAAAAAGTTCCTATTCCATTTTCACTTTCCCAATTCCATCAATAATCTTTTCTCTCATTCTTAGTCTTCCCAATAATTCCCATTTCATCGAAAACTAAGAAGAAACCACGCATTCCCGAGAAAAAACTTTGGGGGTAAAAACAACCAAAAATTACACATTTTAAAGTATAGGTGGTCACGCTAATAATCATTTCTTTTTTCCGAACAAAAAAGGAGCGAGACATTTTTTGCTGTGTGTGTTTTATGTTACACAGTTTTCCAGTGAAAGAGAGTAATTTATCTATTTCTCATAGGAATTCTGTCGTGCCCTTTTCTCGACAAAATCGATTTTATTTTGGCGCCAACCAACAGCAAAAAAAGTGCAACCGCCCCTTTCTCATATTCCCACAAGCTCCGCCCATTTCTCGACCAAAACGAAAAGCTTCAGTTTCATTTGTCAACTAATAGTTTCTATTTTCCTCCTAATGTTCCTATTCCTATTAAATTTGGGTTATTCTTGTAATGACACTGATCGAACTTTTATACTTTTTAAAAATACAGTATAAAGGTTGATGAGTGTCATACCAAGAATCAATTCAATACATATTTATACTTTTGCGAGGAAAGGAAATTATAGAAAAATATTGGAAAAAAAAGAGGGGAGAAGAGAAAAAACCAAGAAAACCAAAGATAATTTATGGAAATGTGAAAACGAATGAAAATTACATCATTTTTTATTGGGAATTGATGGGACTACAAAAACAAAAGAACAATGTTTTATTTTTTATGGAGATCTCTAGTCAAAGCTCAAGTTTTATATTGACTTCGGCAGAATATGGATTTTTCCTAGAATAACAATCAAAAACTTTGTGTTAAAATATTGAATTGATCAGTAAAAATTCGTCATTTTCCTGACACAAAACTTCCATTTTAGCCCAGATTTCTCCTTCGTTTTTCTGAACGACTTTTTGATGAAAAATTTAAAACTTTATTCTAAATTTGAAATGATCTATATTTATGACATGCTTTCCCAAAACCTCCTCTTTTCACATTATCAAAAAAATCCTTTTTTTTTAAATCCACAATGTTCAGTCGCAAAATTAGAGAAAATTTTTCTTATACAAATATTCTGAAACATATTCATTCCAAGTCAAACATTTTGGATTTTTCTTATTTTTCTTTTCAAAAATATCCACTAACCAGAAAACATTTCTAATTGTAAATTCTTAAGATACTCAAATTCCGAAACGTATTTTAGCGAAGATTTTCACTGTGTTTTTAAAAAATCCAATTTTCATGGCTTTTCATAAATGTTCAAGAACTTGATTTCTCCGATAAAAAAACCCCTCTGATCAAAATGTACTTTCCGGAAAATTCTCCTAGTTTTGTACTCGCTATACGACTACAAATGTCTGAAAAAACACACAGAAAACTAACCAAGATAATCATCGGAATGTTCGAAACAAGCATCTCGATATGCCAAAAATAGAAGAGCAGCTTGTTGTGAGACCAATGAAGATCGAGTTAACGGAAGACAATAATCAAACAGGATTGTGGCTCTGGAAAAAACAGGGTTTTGAAATAGGAAATTTTGGATTGCGGTTTGAGTATAAAACATTTGGCAAGATTCTTTTTAAATGCAACAGGCTTCACCCGGCCAACTTTTAGGCTTTGAGTCTGAAATTTTCAGTAGTTCAGATCTCAAATCGTGGTTTCCACAATAAAAAATTGTACGCTAACTTTTTACAGTACAAAAATTGTGAATTTTTCAGTTTTTGTCCTCTAAAAACTGAAATTCAGATTTTTCAAAAAATTGTACTCTGGCCAGCCACGGCTTGGCCGAGGTGTGATTTCTTGGCCCCATTCCCAAATTGTCACTTGCTCATTTTTCGCTTCACTGATTTCACAAGAACCAAAATCTTCCCAAAACACCTGTTTTTGTGTCATTTTTCCTTATGCTCTTTCATAACTTATTATAAATGTTGTAATCGTTTTCTATCGCTCGATAGATCTATACGAATTTAATACTATAATTACACATTTAGTATTCTATTTCACTCTCGCGCGGTATGCTTTTTAATTAATTTTTGCTGCACACACGAGAGTATATTATAAGCTGGAATGAGAGCAGGTGACAAACATGTATAATAATAATTATAGATTATCTTGAGCTTTCGGGGAGAAGGTAGATGAACAAAACATTTGGGGGTTTGGAGGATTTCGAGAAAAAAGACGTAAATGTGCATTTATTTAATGAAAATTTGAGAAAAGGTGAAGGATTATAGGAGGGATCAGAACAAATTTTAATCTCAAAAGCTAGAGCACCTTTCGATTATTAAAACCATAAAAATGTGGTTTTTACGAAATTATTATGGGGGTTTTTGTGAATTTCCACAATTTGAAATTTGAAAACTACAAAATTTTTTACAGCCCGTTTTTCCAGCCACCCAAATTTCCATTTCCCTAACCAACCTATAAAGAGCTCCTGAATGATCAGCATTAACCATAGCTCTAACTTGATCCAATTTAACTTCAGCTGATTCGAATAACTGTTTCAATTCATCTCGAATCTCCTTTTCACTCGCCAATTCCTTATCCATCACTTGCTTTTGTTTCGCCGACAATTTGCCTTCTTTTCGCCGTTTTTCAGCTAATTCTCGTCTGGAAAAAATGTTGCTTTGTTTGTAATTTTAGAATTGTGTTGTTCTTACATGAGTTGAATTTCAGCTTGTTGTTCAGCATGACTTCCTTTCTGTGCTTTGATTCCAGCCGCTTCATCACTAGAAAAAAGTACATTTTCACAGGTTTCTCGCAGGTGTTAAGTGCAATACAGTATACCATAGACATCTGGGCAGCTGCTTTCGAAAAATCACTAGTGACCTATTCAATGTTGCGTCTCAATAAATTATCGGGAACAAACATTGTGTTGAAAAATGATGCAAACTATAGCAATTTTTGTTAATTAGGCTTTTGAAAGAAAAATATCTATTGAAATTTATTTGAAATTCAAACACCTGCTCAACCTTGAGAATTATTTTAAAAATTTGAAAAAAAAGTAAAATGAAAAAGAAGGAAACGTTCCGTTCTATTTTTCGAAAAACCTTCTTCTAAATTTTGCCCGGTCAACTCACAAATCTAGCGCTCTTGTATTATACAATTGTCCTTCTGGGCATTTATAAATCGCAATTTGATTATCAGTGATTTTTGAATATGCTTTCACATCCAATTCTCGAATATTTTGCTCAACATTTTTCCACAAATCATTTTTCAATTGTTCATCATTCAAAGCAACAAGTGTAATCAGAGCAGTATTTCGAACTTGTCGATGTTCGCATTGAAGAACTCGTTGAATTGCGGTTTCGCGGAATTTCTCATTTGCTTGCCACGTTTTTGATTCTCGATGTTCATGAATCCAACGAAGCCAAACCGAACCATCAACTTCCACTGAAAAATTTGTGGTTTTAATTTTTTCAGAGTAATTTTTCCAGACTGTCTTTTAAAATAGAAGTTCACTCTAATTATTCGAATTTTTCGCAACTCACCAAGTCTTTGAATCGAAGCCAACAAAAGTGTATGAATTGCAAGTTTGTCGAGTTCTGGTCCAGTTGGAGTCAATAAATTGCGCAATGTCTGAAAATGTATGTTACATTGTGGTTGTAATTTTTAAGTATACTTCGTCTCAAATTAATAATAATAGTTTATGTCTCAAAAGTGGGGATTATAATATTTTCAAGGGTTCCACGGGATCTTACATTAAGAAATTGGAAGTAAAAGTCATTTTTTTGCGATAAGGTTATTTCTGAACGAAGTTTATTTTTCTCAAGTTATCATTTTTGAAATTTTGACAAATCTTTTTTGAAACGTACAAAATCTAGAACATTTTTCGGCTTATTTGCAACATTATCTATGATTATCTGAATCCTAATATCGTAATCCTTGAAGATTTATGACCAGAGTAGATCAAATTACAGTCATAATGGAGCATATAATAAAAAAAGGTCAACCAGATGAGAAAAAAATGACAGAAAAAAAATGTGACAATTAATGAATATTAGGTTACAGAAGTTTAACGAATAAACAAAGGAATTTGAAAAAATGTCTAGAAAAGATGATAAAATGGTAGATTTTAATGAATTCCGTGGATGTTAGATTCTAATCAACAAAGAGGGAATTCAGATTTCCAAATATTACACACACTCAAGATGGAAAAAGTCTAAAAACTAACCTGAACATACCACTCGCCAGGAGCAGTCCATTCATTTGCATCCGGACATCCAGGAACTCTTCTCAACAAGAAATCAATATTTCCATTCGCAGTTTCCGAATAAATCAAATCAGCCAATTCTTCAGCGAAAAGCGCTTTTTCAGTATTCAAAATATTCAATAATGTTTTATTTGCTTGTTGTCGAACATTCCAATTTGGCCAGAAAAGAAGAATTGATAATGCGCGAAGTGCTGTTGTTGGATAAGAAGAAGTAGAAGAAGCTGGGCGAGATAAAATTAGGAGTTCAACTAATTTCGCCCAAGCAACTGCATCTTGCCATTTTGTTGATTGCAATGATTTTTCCTAGAAAAAAGCAAACATATGGGAAACAGGAAATCGTGGATTGATAAAATCCTCACTCTAAACAATGCTTCAGAATTGGCGGCTTTTGTCCAAACTTTCGTATGTTCATCACTTCCTTTTTTCAAAGTTCTCAATAACAACAAAGCAAGACCAATCGATCCAATTTCGCCTTTTGGTGCAACCTCAATTTCGGCCAAAAATGCTTTATTCTCAACTCCATCCGGCAACACATTACTTTCTCGTTTTTCAAGAATATCATTCAAAACTCGATAAGCGATATATCTGACTGTTGGTTGGATTTTTGACGAATCTTTGAAAGCGGGCACTAGGCCTGGTGTGATTTTATTGAGTTTTTGAGCCCATTGAGCAGCGGCATTCCATTGAGCTTCGACTGTTGCATCATGAGCTGAAATTAAAAAGAAATGATTGTTTTTACACATTTCATTCGTGGAAACTGCGTGGTTTTCTACGTGGAACAGAAGTTCACGTTTTTAATTATTTTTGTTCTCAAAACTCACTATCTTTATCCGCTTTCGTGGTTTTCGTGATAACATTTTCAGCAACACTGTCCAAATCTTGTGATTCGGCAACATTTGCGATTTTGGCGATTCCGTTGAGAAGTGCAATTCGATTTTCGGCAACTTTGGCGGCTAAAAATAAAAGCAAGATAAAATGTTTTCTGGTAGATTTGTATTGTTTTTTGTTAACTCCAAAATCAATTCTCACCTGATAATTGATCAAAAAGTGTATTAACAACTTTTGTAATCGCATTCGCTTGTGCTCTTTTCGTCAATCCAACCGCTGTATTAATCGCAGTATCTCGCAATAATTCATCAGCAGATTGAAGTGAACCAGTTGTTGCTTTCAAAATATCAGCAGAAAATGTATCAAGAGAAAAGGAAACATTTTCAACGATCGCAAGAATTCCAAAAATAGCAACTTCCGGACTTCTCAATAATCCTTTTTTGATATTTGGAAGAATATTATCATTGAAATCTTTCTCGTTTATAAATGGAATATATTGTGAAGTTGCATCGATTATAAATTGAGATGGTCGAACTTTTCCCAAAATTGCCACTTTGGATATCAAATCATTGAATAATGAGGGTTGATATTGAGTTGAAGTACATTTTGAGATTGTTGATAATAAAAGAAGAGCAGCTTCTGGTTGATCTTTTGCTATTTGTGAGATCTCAGAATCAATCGCAACTATTAAATTTGAATTCGTTCTAATAACTCCCGTCAACTTTCTCGAGAATATTCTCAGAGCTTCGTCACTCGCTGAAACATAAAAATTAAGCACCGCCAATGCTGAAACAATATTCTTTTGCTCGGATTTTGCAACAGTTTCAAATTTCGAATTAGCTAACAAAGTCAAAAGCCATTTAGCAGTTGGAACTTGAGCCAATCCAGTTGAAGAGCTCAAATTCGCAATAATTGGCAAGGAAGCGATGACAGTTTGAGCGAAAGATTTGATCGTATTCGGGTAATCTTTTTTCGCCAAACTTGTCAAAAGCTTCGCAACATGTTGGAAGGATTTCGGTTGAATATAGCGACGAATCGAAGATGAAACCGAGATTTTGACAAGACCACGGACAACTTGCTCGGGGATTTCTGGAAAAATTGCGTTTTTTTCCGAGTAAACAGGATCCTTTCCAACTTTTTTGATGAAAAAAATGTTTTCGATTTGTTTTAGACCCTCTGATCACAATTCCTAATACTATTTAGCTCGACTTTGAGTGTGAGTTATAACGTGGCTGAGGATAAGGAGAAAGGGCTTCAAAGTGAGACAAAATTCAACTTGTGTCACGATTAACTCCTGTTCATAGTTAAGTTAATTGACATCGGAATCGTGATCAGCGGCTCAGAAGCTACTATTCGAAAAAAAACATTATTTTATGGCAAAACCCCTCGAAAATCACCATTTTCTCGTTCAATCGTTTTTACAAGTGATGTATATGACATTCCATGTACACGTAGACTAGAATCGGTAACCGCGATCGAGAATCGACGAATTTCATCGCGAAGTGCGTCTTCCTGCAAATTTTCATTCTAATTTTGAAGCTCTATGAATGAACTCACCGATGTTTGTTCTTCAACTACATTTTCAGAAGTGGATATTGCTTCTTCATCCGACATGGTTTCAGAATTTTATTGTACCCGTTTTGATTATCTGAAAACAAAACTTCTGATGGATAATTCAACCATTTTCCCAAAAAAATTCGAAAAATTCAAACTTTATTTGAAAACTCCTAAAACTCTTCAAAATTTCTGAATTTAGCAATAATCTCGAGCAATACCCTAATTAAAAATTGAAAAACCTTCTAATCTAGCACATCTGAACTTTTAAAACCCAACGCAGCCTTTGAAAACCCCACAAAACTCAAAAACGTTGAACCGAAAAATTCAAAAAAATAAAAATATTTGCGCGTCAACTTTGGTGTATTGTGTGTTCAACACACACATTTCGGCGGAATTTTGAAATTTTGTTTTTTTTTGTGTGTTGCAAACTTTTAAGTTTGTTACAAAATTGAAGAGGAATCCAGTTTGAAAGACCGTAGAACAATTGTACTTGAAATTATTGTCACTTTTTTTTGCAATGGTCAAGTTTTTGCTATCTGTTTTTCAATAAATCTTCGTAAAATCTTAGGAAGTTCATTCATATTTTTTTCTTTTTCTCAAAAACCCATTAATCTTATCTTGAATTTCCAATCGAATTTGGCTGGAACATGACACTTCCATAAATTATTCATTTTTTTGCTAATTGTTGTGTAATATAATTTGCTATTTAAATTGGATTCCGCGTGGAAACTTTTCATTTCGAAGATTTATTTTAGAAATGATTGAAAAATCTATTTGTATTTTGTGGCTTTTTGCGGTCAATTTCAATTTTTCGCAACTTCACGATTTTCATTATTCTCGGAAAAATATTCGATTCGCCCCACAGTTTCAAATCGCTCCACTAAGGTAAATTCCAGATTTTGAAATATGAAGAATACATCTACAGTAACTGTGGATGGTCTACAGTAATAGTGAATAGTTTTTTTAAAAAGAAACTCACTTCATTCGAAATCCAACCATTTTTGCGAATTGATACAATTTGGAATGATTCATTTTTGTTGGATTTTTCACGCAAACGTGACAAAAATTATGTAAACGTTCCAATTTAATTTTTTGAGTATTTTGTGGATTATCGATCAGAGTACTGTAGAGCAGAGTTTCTCAACATTCCTAAAGTTTCTATTCTTTGTAGATCATCCGGTTCGACTTCGGACTTGGTCGCTCCTCTCGCAAATCGTTTTATTATGCGTGGCAGAAGTGTTCCACCAACAACTTCTTCTGCTCCTCCACCTCCAATTCGACCATTTCAAGTTTTAGAACACGTTGATCGAGTTCCTGATAATGGAGAAACTTGGCATGAAGGAGTTTTGGATTTGAATAGTAAATTGGCAGTGGTAAGAATCGGGGTTACAATGTGAAATTGAAAATCTGAATAGAATCCGTAGATAAAAAAATTATAGAAAAATTATTAAAATCCATATTTTTCCCAGAGACTTGCTTGGAAACCGTTTGAAGAAGATATCAATGAGAGAATTGAAAATGAATGGATGTGGATTCCACTGAAAGTGAGTTTCTGAAATTTAATTTGTTCCCCAAAACGTTCTGAAGATCTTGTAATGCCTGAAACTAAATTAAAGAAAAAAAATATTTTCTGAACCCTAATTTTTAATTTTCAAGTTTGACATCAAAATTAAAAGTTATTTTCCAGATTCTGTCTGCCGAAGGTCAAGTAGTTTCTGGTGTTCTTTATGATATGAAAATCCTCGCTGGAACTTCAAATTGCTCTCGATATGATGTGAATACTCACCTCATTCAAGAATCCAATTGTGTTCATTTCAATGGTCCCGAAAGAGCAATTTTTAAAATTCTGATTTCTGAAAAATCTACTTTATGGTCTCCATTTATCCCAGATTCTTCGCGTATTTTTTCAGTTTTGGAGAGAAAAGTCTCCGATTTTGAGGATTTTTGAATAATAAATGTTTTGAAAAATATCAGATTTTCTCCTCTTTTTTTCCACGAAAAAACACAAATTTATTGCCAGAAATCGTATAATTCCACCCTTGTTTACACACACAAATTCGAAATTCGAAATTCTTGAGGAATATAATATAATTTGTGTTGAATCTATGAATCAGAGTAAAGTTTTTGGCGAGAAAACACATAAATAAATACAAATAAAATAGTTTTGGGCGTAACATAAGAAAAAAATATGTTTTCGGATTGTTAGTTTCATTTTTTACGTGCCTGTTTGCGCATCAAAAAATATTTGTACTTTTCTTATTTGAATGCAAAAATTGAATTGGCAGAGGGTGTGACTTTCTCTGATGAAAAATATATTCAGATGTTTTTTCACATTTTCGAGTGGCCAATTTATTTATCTGTCGAAAATTCAAAATGTTCGAATTCCTTGCTTGGCTCACAGGTTCATTTTTCCAGAAAAAAAAATTCCAAAAAATATTCCAACAGATTACTTTTTGAAATTTCCATGGAACACTATATTTTATTTTCTTCTACACATACAATTCTCCAAAAATACGTATTTATTTTGGATGATGAGCACACCGCATTTTGAGAATTCGACAACAACAAACATTATTCATACTTTCATTCTATTTATTAGTATTTTGATTTTTATTGACAGAACGTGTCAATAACGAATTCAACAGCGCAAATCATTTTCATTTTCAAGTTTACCAACTTCTTTTTTTTCGAAAAAAAAATCCAATTTTTAAAGAAGCTTCAAAATTATTCCAATTTTTTGTTAGGAATCTCGAATTTCTTATGTCTAATTTAAAATTGCCTCGTCTTTTTTCTGAAAACAAGGCCCACTTCAAAAATTTCCATATCATCTTCCAGAGTCAAAAATGTCGTATGGTTATGGAGGTATTAGTGGTTGTAATGGGCTTCTGAGTGGTGTTCTTGGAATGGCTGGAGGTTATGGGGGAGGATACGGTGGATATGGGTACGTTTGTTTGTATGAGCTTTGGAAATTTTGTGAGAACTTTGAATGTTTTTGGAGCCGTGGAACTTTGTGAGGTTTGAAATTTTGAATGGGCCTAGAATTTTTTAAAGACTTTTTTCCAAAATCAAATTTTTCCAACGTCATACCTCGCTCTGATTGTTTTCGCGGCTCTCGAAAATTTAAATGTGAATTGTTTGAAACAGTGAAATGCGACAAATACAACATTTTCAGAAGATGCGGTTCTGATAATATATTCTATTTTTGGCGATGTTGTGATTACAATCCATATGAATGTTGTTTTCAATTACACACTTGGTTCATGTAAGTTTCAAAAGGTTTTTTGAAAATAAATCCTCCTAATTTTCCGCTTTTGAAATTGTGAGTTATTCAAAAGTTTCTGGAAATTCTGAAATTCCATTTTTACTTCAAAATTCAACTTTCCTCCTTTAATTTTCTGAATATTTTGCAGTGTGTTCATAGTTCTATTCCTAATTGGTTTCTTCATTTGTCTTTGTGCATGTTTGGCTGGTTGTATATGGACAGCTCGAGCAAAAGAATAACAAAACGATCGAATAATAATTACAATTTACTTACTTACTTACTTATAAATACTTAACTTCCAAATAAACAATAAATATCTCATTACAATTAGAGATTCTTCAAAATAGGTACACTTGTATATTTTCCAAGAAGAGCTGCAAAAAGAGCGGGTCCATATCCAGTTGCTCGATCTCCGCTTTCAGCTGGAGCTGCAATATCCAAATGCAACCAGCGAAGACCTTCTCCAAAATTGATGTGAGATCCGATGAAGAGTCCAGCGATTGCGGATGGTGGTCCCTGAATTGAAATATGTTACTCAAAGGTTGGGGATGATGATTTTGGTGATTTTTGGTTCTCGCAAAAATTTTGTTCAAAATTTGAGTAAATTTAAAAATTGTTGAAATAACAATACCTCCATTTTCCCCAAATTCGAGTTTCTCATATCCGCAATTGGACTTCTCAAATCACCAAAGAAGAGATCGGGTGCAAAGAGCATCGGAGCAACCAAATCTCCAGAATTCTTACCAGCTTGGATTATCTGCAAATGAAAGATGGGGTTTTTTGAAGAAAGAAGTCAGTAGCTTTTGAAAATATCATAGATCAAAATATCCTAAACTTTTCTCTAGACGAAATCTCGAAAAAAAATGAATTTGATTCGAAACTCAAAAAAAATGCTCACATTATGCTCCAATTCATCATCATTTGTCATTCCAGCCGCATGATATTTTCCAGACAAATAGGCTTGTGCTCCAGTCAAAGTTGCCATATCAATGATGGTTGTTGCTTTCAGCGTTTCTTTCGCATAAAAAACACCATCCGCCAAAATCAATCGACCTTCTGCATCGGTATTGTTGATTTCAACTGTTTTCCCGCTCAACATTGTGATGACGTCATCAGGTTTGCTGGAATAAGTATTTTAAAATTTCGTAGAAAAATCAATGAAATTGTTTGCTAGCTGAAATTTTTGAACCGACAATTTTTGAGCATAGCCCTTGCGAAAATATTTGAAAAAAACAAACTTTGCAGCGGGGCTAATATTATTCTCAACAATACAAAGACAAGCATGAAGGGTTTTGGAGAAACCATTTTGGACCAAAGTTGAGAAGGCTTCGAGCATTCCAGCTGCACCACCCATATCACGTTTCATATCTGCAAAAAAAGTTGGAATTTTTAAATTAAAAGTAAGTTCCATTAAGAGAGTTAGGTGTTGAAATGTCAAAATTTTAAATTTTAAACGATAGAAAAACGAGGTTCCAAAGTTCATCAAAATTTTGAAAATTGAATTAAAGAACTTTTTAGTTTTAATTAATTGCAGGTTAATTAATTGCGAGTTAGAGTAACTTTAGAAATAAAAAGAAAATCAACTATTCTATATTGATACAAAGATTTCGAGTTCGTAAAGTCTAAATTTTCATCCCCAAATCCCCCCAAAAACTCACTTGGCATTCCAGTTTTTCCCTTAATTTGCATGCCACCAGTATCATAAACAACTCCTTTTCCAACCAATGCAATATTTTCATCCGAACCCGCAACTTCATGCGACAAAACAACAAATGCAGGCGGTGTTGGTCCAGCTTTTCCAACATGATATATTCCACCAAATCCTTTCGCCAACAATTCATCGCCTTTGATAATTGTCAATTTGGCGCCAATTTTTTGAGCGACTTGAATAGCTTCATCAACAAGTGCATTTGTTGTGAGAACATTTGCTGGAGTATCGATAAGTCGAGCTGTTTCGCGAATTGATTCGCATAAATCATCGAGGAATTTTGTGTCTTCATTTGTTAATTGCTAAAAATTCGGAATTTTCGAAGTTAGTGAATAATTTTTTTTCAGACTTAAAAAAAAATTTATTACTATCCGGGACGAATTTTAATAGTTTTTTCTTCTTATCTATTCATATTTAACAATCAAAAATCATATGTCTCTCTCTCTTTTTTTCCGCCAAAAAAAAAATCAAAAAATCACAAACCTTTCCATTTGTCGTAACAACATCCAAATTGACTTTCAATGCCTTTGGTGCACCACTTGTTTTCAGAGAAAACTTATAAAAAGTTCTTGCAACAGCTGCGACACTTGCTAAAACATGTTCATAATCAGAATATAGTAAAATATGAACATTTCGAACATCTTCCGGATAACTGACACTTTTCAATTCTTTATAAATTGATGGAGAATTTGAAGGAGTATTATGACGGGATGCTTTTTCAGGAATTGTGATAACTTGAGCAAGATCGAGATTAAGAGAAACTCTTCCATTTGTTGGTAAACGATCGATTGCAGATTTCCATTGTTCTTTGTCTAGAAAAAAACATCAAAAATTTGTTTAATATCAGCTCAAAATGTTTTTATATAAGAAAATAAAAAATATCTTTCGTTTTCTGGATTTCTAAAATTTGGCTCAAAGTTCCATTCATTTTTTTTTGAAACTTTTCCCTGAAACTCTTCAAAAAATCCTCACCTCTAACATGATTCTTCACTGCCTCTTGAAGTTCTCCCTCAAAAATCAATGGTTGAATCGCCCGCTTTTTTCCAATTATCACCAAACTCGTCAATCCATCTCCAATCACTTTTTGGATCCCATTTCTTACCCAAATTTGTGCCATTTTTCAGATGGCACCTGAAAATTTCGAATTTTTGACAGCGGAACCGGGATTTAAAAAAATGAAAAACATATTTTCTAACAGAGTTTGACGCGCTGGTTAGAATTCCGTAGATCAAAAACTAGTAGAAAATATATTTTTCATTAAAAATCTCGAATAAAACAGAGATATTCACTAACCGATCAAAAGGTATTTCAAGAAAAAATTTCAGTAAAGATAAAATCAAATATTAAGCATTTTATGAGAAAAAGAGGTAAGTATTAGGAACCAGCCAACATATCAAAAATATTCTATTGTGAGGAAAAATCCCGTAAAAAATCCCACACATTTTTCGATGGAACCCCCTTTTCTAACATAAGCGAATCGACTCATAAATGGCAAAAATAATGATGGATAAGAACATTCGAAATTAATTTAAAAACAAAAGGGACCTTATTTTACGGGACCATATTAGTCTTGAGAAGTCGAACTTCGTCAACTGATGTAATTCGCAATGGTTGATTATCACTTTTTCCCATTGGAACACTGTTGGTCTGCAAAAAAAATAATAATGATAAAAATATGACAAGAAAAACCAATTAGATAAGAAAAATATGAGAGAAGAAAATGACACGCCCCCACGTGGTCAAACAAGAAAAAAAAAGAGAAGTTGTGATGGAAAATAAATAAATAAACAAATAATTTTTGGGTCAAAAATTATTGTAAACAAGTTCAGAAAATGATGAAATATGAGGTTTTCGGGGCTCAGAAAAAACAAAAAGTTTAGATATTTCTTCGCCAAAATTAATTTTATAAAAATTTTCGAATTAAAGATATCAGATAATTCTGAATTTTAGAAAATTAAAAATCTATTTCGAAAATGTCACAATTCGCATGTGTTCTAAAACTCTTAACTTTCAGTAGAATTTTATCTTGCTTGAAAAATCTTACAATGAGCTGAATTTTTTCAGATTTTTTTTATTTGAAAAAATGCCGAAACAAATAAAAATTAATTTTCAAGATCCAGATTTCAAAACAGTAGTTACAGTAATCTCAGAGACATACTTAAGCGCCTAAATTTGATATGATCCACCGGCCACAGTAATCTCAATCTATATTGAAAAAGCAGTATTTTCTCCTCAAAAAATCAAGTGATTTTGGCAGCAGTACAAAGTCTCAACTATATTCTCCGAAATAGATTCTGCAGCCAAGCTTTTACGACACATTTTCTTTATCTTATCAGCGAAAATTGAATTAATTACCAGAAACACATAGTCTCATGTGATTATAACACCTTTACAAAAAATCATGATGATTTGATTTTTTGTTAGAGTCGGAGAAAAAATGATAGACAAAAACCAAGACGGGCTTTTAGCCTCTGAATTAAACCAACCTTTTTATCCTTGATAATCGAAGCTGAAGCATGATACATTTTACATTTCGTCCATTCAATCAAATTCGCCACATTCGAACTGTTCACACCACATCCTGGAAATTTAGAATGTTTTTTGAGGTTTTCTAAGATACTGGGCACCAAGTTTTAGGTTTTGAGCTTGGGCTCAGAATCTTTAAACAATAAAAAAAGAACTCACCAACAAGAATATCAATCCGATCTCCAGCAATTTCATTCATTTGTTGAATAACACTAACACCATCAAGAGCTGTCGGTTCTTGTCCACTGAAAAATATTCCTTCTAGAATTTTTCTTGAAAATTCCAAAATTACCTTGTCAACACCGCTTTGAATCCAATCTGAATTGCATCTTCCAATGTGTTTCTCCAATCACTGGCAACATCGATTGCTCGATTTAATGTGACTGGAAGTGGTTTAGCTGCATCGATTATTGATTGACACGCTGATCGATCGAGTTCTCCGCTGCTGAAATGATGGGATTAAGAGAAAATGAAAAATGAGGATTTTACACGTCACACGTTCACGTTTTTTTATTTATGCTTGTGTCGTTGTTATTCCAAATTCTTTCTAAATAAAACCCACTCTGTCAAAGCGCCAAAAACAAATCCGGCAGCTCCGGCTTTCTTCAACCATTCAACATCCTCCAAATTCGCCTCCATTTCATCTTCCGAATACACAAAATTGCCAGCTCTTGGTCGAATCATACAATAAAGTGGAGTTTCGGGAACTTTGAGAGTCAGACATGAAACGAATCCTGGAAATTTTCAGTTGATTATTCGAAGTGAGACCTCCCTAAACGTACCAACAGATGGTGTTAGGCCTCCGAGTTGAAGTGAACTGCAAACTTCCAATCTATCACATCCTCCATTCACCGCATTTATTGCTGATTCAAAATTATCAATACAAATCTCAAGAAACATCGCTGAATCTGCAAAAATGTTATAAAATTAAAAAAAAAAGAAGGTAAAACAATATCAGACAATGTGTATACATTGAAGGACAAAAAAGTAAATCATAATTATAAACAGAAACAAAGAAATTTATAAATAAAAGTATAAAAATAAATATATTTCACAGAAAACTGAATGAATGAATAGAAAAAAGTCGACCGGTAAATAGATAGGAAGAATGTGATGTAATTGAATCCCTTATTCTAACATAAACAATAAAAAATACTCCTAAATTTGAAAAATCACATAAATTGTGTAGAATTTCCATTAAAATTGGCACGTTCTTCTGGATCATCGCCATTTGGATTATGAAGACCAGAAATATTTCCGCGCTAAAAATGAATTTCTGATAAAATTTTATATTGAGATTGGGCCAAAACTGTTTGATTATTACACAAAAAACCATTCTTTCGATTGAAACAAAAACAATGATTGTTTTGGTTTACACAAAAAAAATAGGCGGCTCAAAAATTTTGGAATGAATCATGAAAAATTTGACACAGTGAATTCTTCTCACAATCAAATAATGTCAAATAATTTTGCTACGTCAAATAATTTTGCTTGTCAAATAATTTTGCTACGTGGAACTTACCCGTCTAACTTCAGCAGTTCTTGGCATTCCTCTTTGTCCATTTCCATTTCCAGTTCCAGTTCCAGAAGAAGTAGATGGTTGATTAGTTTCTCCAGAATTCGAGTCATTTTGACTTCCTCCACCAAAAATCGAAGTCAATGTTTTAAAAATGAAATTGAATGGTGAAAACAACAACCAAGTTAATAAACTAATATAATATCCTGTTTGTTTTGCGGCAATCACAGTTACTCCTGGTTTTTGAATAATAATCAATGATGCTGACGGTGTTAACGCATTTTTTAAAAACGAAAATCCCAATTCTTCAGCGGTGAAAATTTTTCGCGGATAAAGTTGCGAAATATCGAATGATCCTTTTATTGATGTTTTTTGTTTGATTATTTCGATGAGTGAAAGAAGATTGTCTGATGAGGAAAATTCTTCGACAAGAACTGAACCATCTGGTAAACGGACTTGGAGACGGCATCGATCTGATGGAATTGGAGCTTGCGTTGGAGCTTCAGGCTTGCTTTTTTCGGCGTCTTGGGATGGTTTTTGTGCACGAAGTCGATCTTCTCTGAAAATAAACATTTTGAGGGCTTCTTGAGCTTTTTTCAGAAATAAAATATACGTTTTCTAGTGGATTGATCACGACTGTGCTGTTTTGAACTATTTTGAAATCAAATTTCTAATCAAGTATCTTGTAATACCAACCTATCAGCTTTAATTTGTGCACGAATTCTTTCCTTCTCTTTTTCAGTCTCCAATTTCTCTTTCCGTCTTTCTTTTGCCGCTTCAATCAATGCTTTATCATCCCGTTCCCGCTTGACTTCCTGCAATGATTTTGCCTCTTGAATCCTTCTCAACTCGTTTTGTTTTTCCTCCTCGATTTTTTTCTCCGCATCAATCTTCTTTTTTTGCTCCAATAATTCTTTTGCTTTCTTGATCTTTTCATCAAGAACTGCTTGATTTTGATTAGCCACCGGAGTTGGGTTAGTTTCGACTGGTTTTACAGGAGCTGCAGAACTCGGAGAAGTTTTCAGGAATTCCTGGACAGCTTTATTGATTTTCTGTCTAAAACTGTCGTTATTCAAAGGAACAAGATGTGTGATAATCTCGAGAGGTGTTCCTTTTTGATCAATCAAAAATGCGGCGGGCAAAATTGGTGTTGGATCTGAAGATTTTGAATATTATGAATGAAAACTATTTTCAAAACTCACAAATTTCTGCAAATTTAAATGCTGAATCTGAGCCCTTTTTGAGCTTTATACCAACAATTGCACAGCCAAGATTTTGAGAATCAATATTTTCCCAAAGGTTTTCAAATTGTTGACCTTTTTCATCTTCTGTTGAAATATAGACGATCAATAATGCATTATTTTTGCGTGAGATTTGAATGGCGGTTTCAACGTTTCCCGGAAACCACTGCATTTTGACACTGGAACACGATGAAAACGTGTCGTCTGAAAAAAACTGAAAATGAAATATTTCGCCAGCTGTTTTGTAAAGGCACGTCCAAGAATTGCAAAAACAATGTGCGGCGCTTGCCGAATAGGCCCCGCCCCCTGCAATTTCTTCTTTTTTTCATCCATCCGTTCGCTCTCGTTTTTCCGCCGTTTGCCGCCATTACTTTTTCATTTTCCCCTTATTCTCTTTATTATATTATTCTTGGAAAACTATTTCATTTTATAGTCAGACAGATATATAAATTATAACCCTTCGCCTGCAGTAATTTATTGCATTTCATCCTTATTTCGCATAAAAAACAAAGTGCTCGCAACTTTATCGATTTCATTCAAATTACTTGGTTTTCTTTTGCTCATCATTATTTTTTTCTTGTTTCAGATAAACTTCAAGTTTCAACAAACACGCAAAAGCTGATGCCTTGAAAATCTGAAATATAATTGTCGTGAGTTATTTTTTCTATATTTTTTTTCAAAAAAAATGTTTCAATTTTGCAGAATATGGGTAATTCATCCTGTTGTTTGAGAAGTAGGTCATCAAGTGGAGAAGATAAATCGTATAATCATGATGGACAATATGTTAGAACCAATCAAGTTGAGGTAAACACCTATTTTGTATTTTAAAGTGTATTTTTTGTATCCAAAATGTATTTCAAAGTGTAGTTAATTTGTATTTAAAAAATATGAAAATTTTCAGTTTCAATATATAAATCAAGTTTTTCCACGAGATGAGACATCGACCAACTTCTTACCTCATATTAGTGAACGTGAAGTGACTGAAGGCTACGAAGTTGATCCTTCAACTCATCCAACAGCTCGACCAACATTTATGGAAAGAAGTAAAAGTGAGATGAAATGTAAGGTTTTCGGGGGTTTTGAAATAAATTTTGTGATTTTCAAAATATGTTTTTGTAGTAAAAGATAATCGAAGATCATGCTACATGTTGGATGCTTTGGCCGCTGGCGGAGGACATCCAGGAGTTCTCCCAAAAAGCTTAAGAAAATCTAGCAGTTGCAGCACAATTTATATCGACGATTCGACTATAAGTCAACCAAATCTCAAAAATACTATAAAATGCATTTCATTGGCTATTTATTATCATATTTGTAATAGGAAAAATCGAGGACATGAACGTTTGATGGAAATTTTCGAAGAGCGACTTCATCCAATTACAAGAGAAGCGATGCCAGCTGAATTGGTCACACGAGATCCAGATCATCGAAATATTTATCGATTTGTTCGCACACTTTTTCATTCGGCTCAATTGACTGCTGAATGTGCAATTATTACATTGGTTTGTTATTTTTGTTTTGGGTTTTTTGAGAGGAAAAATCAACACATCAATTTTTTCAGGTTTACATTGAACGACTTCTCAACTACGCTGAAATGGATTTGTGTCCATCAAATTGGCGTCGAGTAGTTCTTGGTTCAATTATGTTAGCTTCAAAAGTTTGGGATGATCAAGCTGTTTGGAATGTGGATTATTGTCAAATTCTACGAGATACAAATGTTGATGATATGTGAGTTTTTTTGATTGGAATAGGGGTCTCTGGTAGATTTTGTGACATTGGCCAGGATTTTCAACAAAAAAAATGGAAATGAGCTTCAACGTGGCTTTTTTTAAACACCAGATAAAATTTTTCAACCGAGACCCCATTTCAAAAACAATATTTCAAAATTTCCAGGAACGAATTGGAACGAAGATTTCTCGAATGTTTAGATTTTAATATAGAGGTAAGGTTGTCCTGAAACGTTTAAAATTATTAATTTAAACTTCAGGTTCCATCTTCTGTTTACGCAAAATATTATTTCGATCTACGAACACTTGCATTGGCCAATGATTTGCAACTTCCAATGCAACCATTATATAAGGAACGCGCAAAAAGATTAGAAGTAAGCTAGCTATTTTTCTCCAAAATTTATCAATAAACCTTTAGGCTTCGAGTCGAGTATACGAGGATAAAATTCACACGATATTACCAAAGCGAAGTTATTCGGCCGAAAGAATATTTATTGAAAATAAGACACCCGTTGTTCTTTCCTAGACGTTTTTTCTCTGTTTCACAGCGGAGCTTTTTTGAACACGAGGTTTCTGATGAAAAATGTTTTCTGATATATTGTGAACCACTGAAAGTTGAATTTTGAATATAAGGTTATGACGTGGCAAAGGATTGAAGATTCTGCGAGCATTGTTTTTAGAGAACTTACTTATGTAGTCAATTCTTCTGATCAAGTTTGTGCTATTAAATTTTCATTATCCTGATTTTTGAAAACAAATTTCAAATATTTGTCACATCATAACTCATGTTCAGGATCGTTCAAATCTATCAGAAAATAATTTAATCAAAACATCTCAATATAAAAGTTTCCCTGTTAGCTGTATTTATTGTTTCTGCGCATTTTTGAATTGAATTTGTCAAATATTTTGTCTTCATTTTTTTTGGTCACAATGATCACTAGTCTCTTTCAATATTTCTTGCTTATTTCTTTTTCTTCGCAAATTCTGACATGAACTATCAAATAGCATAATCTCTCTGTTTTTCTACTTTTTGGCAGCCATAAATTCCAATTCAATGTTTTCTTTGTTTTATCTTGAATACGGCTATTTCCCCCTTTTTTACAACAAATGTTTTCTGACTTTTCATTCTGTGCTTTTTTAATTTATTTATTTTTCTTAATTAATATTTTTTAATGTTAATAAAACATATCAATTAAAAAATAATGGAGTTTATATATTTTCATTATTTAAAAATATTTGTTTTTATACTGTAACTATTTTGAAGAAATTGCATTTAAAATTTGAAATTTAGGAATTTTGAAATATTTGCTAATTACTTTTTGAAAAAAATCGGAAAAACAATTTTAAATTCAAATATCTTAATTTTCCCCAAAAATGCATAGGAATTTGGAAAATTTTTCAATTATAATTGAAGAAACACAATTTTAAAACGTGAACTTCCAGAGCATGACGTGGAAATAAAAAAAAATTTAAAAAATTTATTTATCATTTTATTTCATTTTTTCACGGCCTGAAAAATGAACTATTTTTCTGACTGAAAATCAATTGATTGAATCAGGTAATTTTTCTGGAATTTATTTCTGTCAACAGTTTTTTTCTGGAAATCTTGAAAACTCTAATTTCTAGTGGGTTTTTTAAAGTTCCTTTTGAAATTTTTTATCATTCTCCAAAAAGGCCGCTTTGAAAAATAAATTGTAATCTAATATTTTGATATTCCAGAAATTTCTGCTGAAAATGTGTGATTCTCACGGGCATTCACATGATGGATGTTCTCACGAAGCGATTCCTGATATTCCCGATGTTTATCGATATGATATGTGTAGTCATATTGATTTTGATAAGGTTTGTTGAACAGCGAGATTTTCTGAAGTTTTTTATAGGATTGTGATTAGTGGGTCAGAAACTATGAGGAAAAATGTAATTAAAATAATTATTTTCAGGTAACTGTCTTGAATGAAGCTGTCGAAGGATCGGGTAAAAAAGTCTTCAAGTCAATGGAACAAAAAGATGACAAGTTTGTATACTTATTTTCTACTCGTCTTTTAAAAATCCCTTTTTTTGTTTCAGAACAAAATTTGTGGATAGTGATTGTGATGCAGAATTATTGTTCAATATTCCATTTTCTGGACATGTTCGAATTACTGGATTATCAATTGTTGGAGAAGATAATGAAACACATCCTGCAAAAATTAAAATATTTAAGGATAAAGAGGCGGTGAATAATTAATTGATTTTAATTTTTGAAAAACAATTGAATTTGGTATTTTTAGATGTCATTTGATGATTGTTCAATTGTTGCTGATCAGGAAATCGATTTGAAAATGGATTCGAGAGGTAAGTATCTGATTTCGGGTCATTTGTAAGCCAATTTTTAAAACCTACAGTAATATTTGGCATCTACCGTACATAAAATAGGCATTTTTTAGAAGTTAATTTTAATTGTAAGTTTTGTGAGGAATACTTTTTTTTGCAAAAATAGGACATTGCCCATGTTAAACTTTTCAACAAAAATTTCATCAAAAAATAAGATTGTGGACAGTAATCGAAAGACTTCTAAATTTTCAAACAAAATCAGTATTTTTCTGAATTTTTTTCTAATATTTTTCTAGTAAGATGATCCGATTCCTCGCTTCTCATTCAAAAAACCCCAAATTCTCTTATTTTTCAGGCCTTGTGGATTATCCGCTTAAAGCCTCAAAATTTGGAAATCTTTCACATCTTTCGATTTTGGTTTGTGCGAATTTCGGAGCTGATGAGACACGTGTTCATTATATTGGATTGCGCGGAGAATTTCAACACGAGTTCAGGCAGAGAGTTAGTTTGGGGACAGGGAAAATTGGAAGTTTGGGATTCTGGGAATGAAATTGGAAAAGGATAAAAATACGATGATAACATTGTTGGGTTTTTTCTGAAATATATGTAAGTGTTAACTATCCAACTTTGGATATCAGAATCTTATATATCGGAATATCAAAACTGAGTCGAGAATTTCTGGCTCCTCGGTGTTCATCTCTCGTAACACTATGGTTTTTTTTCATCAAAAATGACTTTTTTCATGTTCTAAACCTGTATGAATTTTCATTCAAAATTCAGAGAATGAAAAAATCTGAAGATTTGAATTCCAATTAGTTTTTTCTAACAAATACAAATAATTTCGTTGTTTTTTCCCATCCATCCATTCATTTATTCTTCATTCAATCATTCATAAATATGATAATTCCCTCGATGATTTTCTGCTGCTGCTATGTTTTTCCCATCGTTTCATTTTCCTCTTCTCCTTCTTCGTTTCCCTCTCTCTTCACCCACTCAATCTGATAATCAAATAAAACACAACACCGAGTGCTGGTAGCCTCTTCTTCTTCTTCTTCTTCTTCTTCTTCGTCAGTCACCATTTCCTCTCATCACTCATTCTCAATGACACCATCGAGAGGGTGGAAATGATTAGAGAGAAGAGGGTTAGAGAAAGTGAAGACTGGGTTACTGTAGGGTGTGGTTTGATAGAGAGAGGATATTTACAATGAAACCGTTTTAACTCGAGATCGAGATATGAGTTGGCTTGTTGGGATTCTTATAAAGATTGGTTACTGTATGATTATAGTCCAGTGTTTTTCTCTAATTCTCTTCACTCTAATGAATGAGCAGAGTGAAGAGAATTAGAGAAATGGACTACTGTAGAGTGTGTACAGTTTCATTTATCATTGTGTAAACATTTAGCCACATTTTATTGTTTTAATATAACAAACTATCAATTTGAATAGTAGCGGGCAAACTTTCTTTCAAGAAAAAATAGGGAATTATAACATACATTTTTGAGAAAAAAACACTTTCAGAATATTCCTTTTTTTATGTTACATTGTGATTGAATGTAAGTTGAAAGCTTGATCAGTGTCGAGGGTGATAATTTCCAATGCAAGTTTATTTATTGCCGATAAAATAGAAATGTAAAGAAAAATCTGGATGTTTTTTCTCTACAATTTTTTAAATGTATAGGATTTCTTGACGGTATTTTTTCTACATTTCATTTTCTTTATCACACGTGTTTTTCTATTGCCCAATCCTATTGTTTTCCGAATATGTGAAAAATTGAGAGCGTATTTTCTTTCATTTTCCATACACTTGCTTTTTCTAGTGATTTTTCAGATAAAAAGCTGTTTTTCTTTTGAAAAACGAAAAACAGAACAAATACAAGGTTTTTCTCGAAAATACAAAAAAGTTGAGTTTGATAATGCAATTGCCTCATCAATTTAATTGTTCTGAACAAAATTGGCAATAGGAATTGTAATGTGACAGCATTTTACCCGAAAAAACACCAAAAAAGCAAGCGAAAAAAAGAAAAATCATCATTTCTGCATTTTTGCGTACACTTGTGTGTGTGGTGACGCACAAATGCACAATGATGATTTTTATTTTCTTTTTTTTTCTTTTTCGGTTGCTTTTTTGGTGTTTTTTCGGGTAAAATGCTTTTTTCCTATCGCCAATTTTGTTCAGAACGATTAAATTGATGAGGCAATTGCATTATCAAACTCAACTTTTTTGTATTTTTGAGAAAAACATTGTATTTGTTCTGTTTTTCGTTTTTCAAAAGAAAAGTAGCTTTTTATCCGAAAAATCACTAGAAAAAGCAAGTGAATGGAAAATGTAAGAAAATACGCTGATTTGAGGAAAGAATAAAAACATTTCCATAAAACTTTACATTTTTGTGTTTTTGCAAAAAAATGTGAAGAAAAAAATGCCCACATTTTGTTTACATTTTTTCAAAAGGTGAAAATGTAAGCTAAATTGGCCCCAAATTTCTTATACATTTTTCAAAAGAAAATGTATATGATTTCGCGACAAAATAAATTTTACATTATTCTTTGGAGATGTGGAAATCGGAATGAAACATTGGGAATCTGAACGATAAATGTCGAAGGATATGGGAAAAAAGAGATAATCAAATAAACAATATACACACAAACAAAAAGTAATCAAAATGAGCGAAAAATTTCTGAACGTGCTTATCCTTCATACATTTGTGATGAAAACTTGCTCATTTTTTCTTGAAAGAAAGTTTGCTCGCTACTATTCAAATTGATAGTTTGTTATATAACAAAAGTGTATGGGAAAATTGGATTTTTCAAAATCTGAAAAGTTTCTGTCAAAAAATCGACGAATCTCATTTAATCAGGTTGTTTTAACATGAGTAATGACTTCAAAAACTTCTCAATAATGCTCATGTTAGTCTAAAGAATTGAGGTTAAATCTACGAACTTCAACTAGAAAATTGAGACTCGAATTTTTACTAATATGAGCAATGATAGAAAATTTGGCTAGAAGCTTTAGATTACCTTGAGTCTCGAAACATCGTTTAAAATGAGCAATAGTTGCAAAGTTTTTGAAACACATGGTTTTCTAAAAACCCCTTTTTCTCTCTCTGAATTTCAAGGTTTCAAAATTTTATGAGTTTGTTTTTGTTCGATCCAATGACCCTTGTCTCATTTTCCCTGGACCAGCAGATGTTTTTTCTTCTATTTTGTTTCTCCATTTCTTTTCCGGCGCCATTCCAATCTACCTTCATTCTTTCCTTTCTTTTCCACTCGACTCAACAATGTTGCGGAACAAATTTTGCGACACGAACAAATGGGGCGAAAATTGATAATTGTGTAAGAAAAAGGTAGAAAAGAAAAGGCCAAGCCAATAAATGATTGATGCGATTTTTATCTTTGTTTATTTTTGTTTTGTTTATTTGTGTTCGACTGAAGAATAATGTGAAGATTATTTTTGGGCAGCTAATTCGATTCTAAATCCGAGTTATCGATACTTCCTCGAAAATTTTCAAATTTCCCCATTCTTCAAGTGGGCGTGGCCTAAATTGTAGAGGAAAAACTGACTTTTTTCCCAAATTTTTTACGCTTCAAAAATGTATCAAATTTTTCTAGAAATTCTACATTAGCTTGTTTTTTTTATATTGGATAATATTTACACGGATTAATTTTCGGAAGGAAATATTATTGCGCAATGAAAATGGGCGGAGCTTGGTTAATTATAATTAGGAAGTAAAAGAAAATCAATAAAAAGCATCTTCTATGCAAATATAATAATATATTCATATTCAAGTTGATGTTGTGTTCCTATTGGCGTGTGAAAAAGGGCTCCGTATTTATAATTAGACTGGCTGGTTGCCTCGTTGCCTGAATAAATCTTTTCACTAATATTTAATTATTTCTCGGACTTGTCATTTACAAGGTCGTGTAGAATTTGGAGAAAACAAAAAAGTTTTGGAAGTTTTCAAGGTTCGGAAAAGTTTGGAACACATTTTTTAGAAACGAAAAATCATCAACTTTGAAAAGAATTTTCAAGGTTTTCTGAAAATTTATTCAGATAATGTTTAATTTGAAAAAAATTCCATATATACAGTAACCCCGGGGATTTTTGGCGCAATAAATCCAAGTTACTTTAAATCGAATTTAAAAAATCCAAGTTACTGTAGATCGCTGAAAATCATGTTTGAATTAAATTTTAATCTCCAGTAACTGTATTTGAATTTCCCCAAAAATGAAACAAAAAACAAATACATCATTATTTGGGTGCCCTTTTTCTGCATTGATCGTCCCATATCAAGTTACTGTATCTATCTTTTTCATTCTATCTGTCTGTCATCATTTTGTTTCCACTTGACACATAAAAGCGGTCAGCCGACGCAAAAAAAGAAAAAGAAGAAGTGCGCAACAAAAACATCGAAGTAGCCAACCAGCCAAGGCAGACCAAAAAAAAAGAAAAAGAAGAAAAAAGACAAGTCGGTCGGAAACAATTAAATGTGACAGATAGACTATTACTGGCAGCTGACCATAGAAAAAGAGGAGAGGAGAAAGGGGTACGGTAATTCCTAATGGAATTTGGGAAGGTGGGAAAGTGGGAAACATTTTTGGGAAGGTGAGAAGATTTTACTGAAGCTGGGATACAATGGAAGGTATTTAGACAACTTGGGAACAGATTTTGAGAAGGCCGGAATGGTTTTCTGAATATGCCAAAATTCGGAAAGATCGGGAAAGTTGGTAAAATAGACCTTGAATTTTGGATAGTATGAGGAAAGTGGGAAGAGCCAGCCGTTTAGGGACGAACTTCGAGATCCAACATTTTCTGAAAATAACATTAATTCCGAACTACAAAACAACTGTGATATGTATTTATCCGATTTCCTTTCATAGATGTTGAATACAAAAAGTTGTTAATTTTGTGAATGAAAAAATCTCTTCAAAACGAATTACGATAAATGTTCTTTGAAAAAGAAAAAACTTTGGATTTTCGAAAAAAAATAATTTTTGTAGTGGGTATATCATAACAACTATGACGTGGAAAATTGTTATCTTGACAACAACAAAAAAATGGATTCCAAAAATACTAGATTGATTCTTAGAAATTTTTTGAATTTTCAAAAGTTCAAGTATCATCCTTATTCATAATTTTTTTAATGCTAATAGGTCCCTGAAAATGGCCTTATTCATTCTCAAAAGATTTCAGTTTTCCTTGAAATACATTCCCTTTCACGAATGTTTTCTTTCTACCATTCAACTTTTTTCAAAGAAAATCTTTGAAAGGAGCCTTTATACTTTTTAGTCCCGTTTTCTAAACAATCAATGAAAGAGATTTCTTTAAACTTCAAATTTCCAAAATGATATTCGATAACTTGGTTTACGAGTTATCTAGTTTTACGATTTTTCTATAGAGTCGGAAATTCTTTTACAATTAAAAGATGTATGTAATTTTATAGCTAATTGTTAGGTTTATTGTTTTTGACTAGACGTTCCAAGGTTTCCAATTTTGAAATAAGAAAAATAGGAAATTTAAGTTGAGATTGAGAAAACTGGAAACGGGATTCATCAAAGTAAGAAGCAGAAAAATTATTGAAAAAATTAAAATTAATAGGGCTCCAGTTTCACTCTGAATTATTCTGAATTTTGAAAACTTGGCTAGACTAAATCTTTCTAGTTTTTTGCAGAGCTTCATGTTATCCACTTTAAAAATGTTTTCTGAATTGTTCGTCTAGGAACATTTTCTCATCACCTCAGTCAGTTCAGATTCTGAATAAACTCTGAAGAGATTATAATTTTTCCTGTGATTTTCCATACAGGATTTCCCTAATCTTCCAAATCCCGTCTTTGCTGCTAGAATTTCAACGTCCACTGATTTGTGGCTTTAAATAGGACAACATTTGTTAATAATAAAGTATTTGAACTGTAAAGTTTCCTAGAATTATTATTGAAATTGGTGAATTTGGGAAAAGAAAGAAGCCACATGATCTTCCCAAGTAAATTATCTTTCGTCTGTCGTTGCGAGACCCTCCAATAGAAAGACAAGTTTGATATCTCGAATATCTCTATTGATCTCTGCAAATAAGTGCTGCAAACTGTGAATTATTTTAATTGACTACTTCACCATACTGCCATGATTTTGGAGATTTTTATACTCAAAAAACGATTTGTTGCAGATCGCAATTGCCACCTACGAGTCTCGTGCTCAAATGAAAGATCACAAAAATGCGATCCCCGATGCAGTTGGTCGAACTTTGTTCTGATTAAATTTTCTTGTTTTTTTGTGCCTGTTCTTTATTGTCAGTTTTATCATGTGATGTGATAAATTTTGAGCATGCATGTTGGTCACAAAGAAATGATAATTATCGTTTTGTTGGAAAAAAAGTGGGGAAGGGAGGAGATAGACAAACCCTATGGGATTAATTATTGTTTTTGCTCGAATTCTGAAAATTACATCCTTTTTTGGCACGTGGCACAAAATTTTGAATTTTCTAAAAACTAAAACAAATCGGTCGCTGGACTCGTAGGTTTCTTGGACGAAAATAAATTTCAGAGCTGTATTTCTTACTGTAAACGTTTCACTTATTCCTTGAAAAATTGAACTAATCAAGTTTCGTGGAAGAATTCGAGTGTTTTCTATTAATGATAATTTTGAAACAGTAAATTTTTGATATTGAAAAAAATAATTTTTTTTTAATTTGCTAAAGGTATTTATTGGAATTAATAATATTGGTTTCCAGATTCAGAAAAATCCAGAAATTTTTCGATGTATCCAGATATCAAATGGAAATTTAATGATTTGAATGAGATAAAAATTGAAATTTTAAAATTTGCTTGAAAAAAATACCGAAGAAATAATAATTTGATTCCAGCATTCTTGTTTAAAAAAATGTTTCATTTCAAGCTTTTTCAAATTTATTTTTTAAAAGTTCAATCGATTTATGTATTTTCAAGCCATTTTCCATGTTGTTATATTTTTTTACCAATTCTTGAATTTTTTGAAAAAATTCAAACTTTTTCCCTGATAAAGCATCCAAGCCTTCTTCATTTTTTATTCTGCCCTCAAGAAAATCAATAGTATAGTTGGTCCCCGCTTCTTCTTCTTCATTGCATTTTCTTTTTCGTCCATTCCTTTCTTTTCTCTCTTCTTTTTTCATTTTGTCGATATCTATCGTCTCTCCATTTTCCCTACTATTTCTCTCTCCTCTATTCATAATTCTGTCTTCGCTCGCTCGCTTTTTTGTTTAGTTCCTCCTCTCGAATATGTTGATTGGCTAAACCAACCGTACTTCTCTCACATCTCTGCGTCTCTCTCAACCACCTCTCTCTCTCTCTCTTTCTCTGTCTCTCTTTTTCGTTTTCTATGTGCCCGTGATGTGTACATAAAATGTGTAATCATCGTTCGACTCATATTATATTTTTTTTGAAGAGAAGACAGCAAATGGAGAAAGAGAAAAAGGAGATAATTATAGGAAAAAAGGAGAAGAAAATGAATTGAGAATGGGTTACTGTAGGATATTAGGGAAAAAAAAGAAGAACCAAAATATATCTATTAATTATGGGGTAAAAAAGGATCGGGTGAAAAATTTGAAATTGAACACCTACGTGGCAAAATATTGATTTTCAAAATTAATTCGTTTAAAAAACTCGAAGATTTGAAAGTGTTGATTTTATTTATAAAAATTGAAACTCATTTTCAAATGTGTTTAAACATTTCAGCAATTTGAAATTTAACACCGTGATTTACAAAAAAAAAATTTTCGTGTTTAAAATGAGCAATACATTTCAGATTATAAGAAAGTTTTTCAACATTTCCTGATCTACTTCTAGTATTTATCCATAACACTGAACTTTTTTTATTGATAGAATCCGAAAAATTTTCCACGTCATAATGTTTTTCGTATTACTAACTACAAAGATATAGAATTATAGTTTTTCCCTAGTGACAGAAATATTCTGTATTTATTTTTTCAGCACAAATTACAAGTTTGAAATAATTTTTTGAGTGTTCTGAAATTCAGAACTTGATAAACGTATTTACAAAGATGATTAAAAATTTTGGATCCAAGTTTGTATAATGTGAAAAAGTAGCGTAAAGACTCTGAGTTTTGCTTTGAGCTAGCTAATTAGTCCCATTTTTCGTTTCGGAGAATTTATGTTCTTTGTACTCTGTGATATATTTTCATGAAGAAGAAGAAACCTCACATTTTCAAACAATGCGTCATTTTCTTGATTTATCTGTTTATATTGAGATTCGAACTTTTTTTTTGAATATTTGGTAACTCAGAAACATCTTGGAACTTTTGAGAGTTCTACCACACTTTTCCTCGTATAAAAATAATCCACAACGAACAAAATCTTTTTCTGGAGTGCCAAATTTAAATATAGCTTAACAATTGTAAGTTGAGCTAAAAAATCCAGAAATACAGTATTTGATTTTCCCATTAAATCTGAGATAATCTGATAATCTGAAATCTAAATAAAACTAAAGTGGTTTTCTGAAGATCACTTTTATGTTATCTATGCGGGAAAATTTTCGCCTGTGCAGCCAACAATGAAAACCCCCACCCGACAAGCTATTCATGTATAATTCGACGCTGGTTTTTTTTCGGGCAATAAATTGGAAACCCATCAATATATTATTGTTATTTTGAAGGAGGCGGCGAAAATCAAAAGATTCATTTTTTGGCGCAAAAAACATATAGCTATATGATTTTGGACAAATTGAGATTGAGTGATTTTTTTTGGTTGAAATTTACAATTAGAAATGTATAATTTTGTCAAGTTTTTTGAAAAAAAACTGATGACGTGGAAAAAGAGGAGTTTATATTTCAGAAAAATTATTATTTCGAACTTTTTCGAGTTTGAAGAAATAAAAGATAAGCAATCTGTTAGGTTCAAGATTTTCTCAAAATTCGTCAAATTCAATCAGCAACTCCTTTTAACTTTTTCGAAATAAATCTATGACGTGGCAAAAAAGAATATGCACTCATAAATTTATTATCCTGAACATTGCTTAGGCTCACAGAATCTTCGAAATCTCCGAAAAATCAAGCTTCAGAAAAATAATGACGTTGAATTTTTTTTATCCAAAGTTATTGGTTGTTCTGACTAATCTTTGAATATATTTAGGACTGGCTTCTTGAAAAATAACTTCTGATATATATTTATTCAAGTGTTTTTCATCTCTCCTCTCATCATTATAGAAAAAAACTAATTACGACAAATAAATCTTTCCTTTTTTCCCACCTGTCAATAGATTATTATTATTATTGACACCTAAATCTCTTCTCTTTCTCTTTCTTTTTTTTCTCTTTATTTTCATTTGCCGCGAAATGGGCGGAGCTTGTTTAATAACAAACTGCGCAGTTTTTGAACATCGAATAAGGTGTATTTTGACTACTGTATTATTTGAGCTCAAGTTTGACTATGAGTCCAAGTCTAGGTTAGCTGTTAGACGTAATCTAAGCTTTTATCACAATCCTTGGCAAAGATTTGTCACGAATATTTGCGTTTTCAAATTTGGTATGCGAGAAAAACGTGGATTTCGGGAGCTGAATGTTTTCTGGTTGCTTTTTCCGCGTTGCAAAATTTTTGTTAAATTTTGAAAATTGTTGTAATAAAAAAGTTTAATGATTTTTTTAAATTAAAAAACTTTGCAATTTTTGCAAAAGAAACTAAAATATGATGAAATATAGAAATTTGGTTTAAAACTATAATTAGAACATTATTTTTTGAATCCATTTTTATTTGACTTGTGGTTTTTGTGATACAGTAAGAGTATTTGAAAATGTCAGGAAACGGCAAATTCGTCATCGCTCGTATTTAAGAAATGACACAGCAACACAGAATAAGCCTCGTTTTTTGTGTTCAGTTTTTTGTTGGAAAGAAAGCGAAAAAGGTCACCTGGTACTGACAAAAAGTTGGGGATTGAAGATGGGAAATTTGAAAATTTGATCAAAAGTTAGACTTAGAATTAGGCTAAAAGTTTTTTTGAATGTATAATTTTGAAATTCGTGAAGTTATTTTGGTTATTTCAGAGTTCTTCAAATTTATTTTTTTTGGGTAGAAAATAAAATTTCTGCATTCTTTTCAACGTGTACTTTTATGACGGGGAACTTTAAAAACCATTTTTTTATTTTAAAAATTTGAATTTTGAACGTTATAAGATTTTGGCAATGAATTTGGCATGCTATTCTTCGAATACAGTATTCTGAAAAATATTGGGTAAAAATCTACAGTAACCCTATGCAGACTCGATTTGAAATTTCTCAATTTCCTTGTATATGGCTACAGTAACCCACCTCTCCATCTTCTTCCGAAATTTCAAATCCATCTGTGTTCCACGTGGCTCTCAACAGAGCGTATTTCCATTTAATTTTTTTAAATAAAAAATGAAATTAATTCAATGTGACTGCTAAAATGTCTTCTTCTCCTTTTTCTCTTGGGCCATAAATTACACAACACATTGCGCGAAAACTAAATTATTTATTATTCACAGATAAATCTAAAGGGACGTGGTGGTTTTCTAAAAAAAAACAAAAACAAAATGAGAGAATAAATAAAACCGGACTAAATTTAGGAACAGAAAACCCGTAAGCGGAGCAAATGTGCTCTATTCTAACATAAACATATCTACATATTTGTAAGGTAAATTTTTGGTTTCTCTTCAATCGGCGAAACATTTGTGTTGGTGGATGACGTCACATTTTCTTCTTTTGGTGTGTTGATCATAAAAGATGGTGTATTTGTTTGTTGTTGTGATGATGTGCCACCACTTCGACGCATTGATTCGGCCAAAGTTTTTCCAAGAGTTTTTGATGATTTTCTTGCTTGGGTTAATGCATCGATACTTTCAGCAGTTGGGAGGAGAAGTGGCGATGGCTGAAAATGAATCATGAGAAAATTTCTAATAGCAAGTAGATTAGAAATTATTTTCCTTGAAAAACATTTTTGGTTGTTTTTTTTCCAAGAATTTTTTTGCAAAAAATTTGGGATACTTTTGGCCCCGAAAAACTAACCCTGTCACTCGAATTGATAGTTTTTTCGAGTTCACTTGTACTTGTTACTTCTTGATCTCTTTTATCTTCCGCAACTTTTGTAACTGTTATTTTAGTTGTTTCAGATGGTAATTTATTCATAATTGGAGTTGTCACAACATATGCAGATACATCAGTTTTCTTGATTCTTTTTCCCGCCGAACCATCTTGAGTCGCATCAAAAGATCTTCGTTTATTCAATTTTCTCTCCTCAATCATCTTCATTCGTTGAATATTTTGATGTTTTTCAAACATTTGTGCAAATAAACTCGCTTGAAGTTCAGGTGTGATTGTTGGAATCACAACACCTTTCGAATCGCATTCTTTTCGAAATTTGAAGATGAATTCTTGTTCAGGTGAGATTGTTGTGTTTGGTTGAGGTCCGCCAGCAGTTATGTAGTAATCATCGAGGAATTTTGATGGGTCTTTTTTAGTTTCGAGTGCTCGCATGAAGAGCCATTCGACTGCGTGATTTGTTGCAGTTTGATTGAATTTGACGTTTGGCAAATTTGGTGGTGTCTGAAAAATTATTTTTTTGTGAAAATTATTGAATTTTTTTTTTGAAAACTCTGGGTTCTATTTGAAAAATCCTCAAATACTCACCATTTTTTCGCGACTTGTTGGCCTTGAATTCGATTGTTGTTGTTGTTGTTGCGGAATATTTGGAGGAGTTCTTTGATTTTGCGGAATTGGAAACGGAAACACTTGAGCAATATTCTTCGAGATTGGAGCAGGCAATTCAATTTTCGGTTGCTCTTTATTCGGTGGCGGAGTAGGTTCAGATTCCGGTTTTGTTATCTCAACATCGAGTGATGGCATAATTTCCTCTTCTAAAATTGGTGGACCATCTTCTTTTTCCTCATTTGCTGTATTATCAGCCATTATATCATTTTCACTACTATTTCTTTTTATTTCTGATGTCGGCGATTGCTTTCGTATATTATTCTTCATTAATATTAGCATATTGATTAACATTTTGGTTGTTGACGGAGAATTTCGGCGAAATGCGACTGTTCGAAGAGTTATGTTATCTGTGAGTTCAGCTCCATCACAAACAAACGCAATTCTTGCGATTGATTCATCGAGTTGGAATTTTTGCATCATTAATTGTCGAATTACGAACATTGGAGTTGAAGCTTTGCATCGATAACCTCTTTGAAATGAGTTGATTGTAGGAATTTTTTGGATTTGATATTCGGGAGTTTTTGAAGTTGAAGCATATGGTCGCTGAAAAAATATTTCAATTAATTCAGATTTACGTGGGAAGGTTCAATTTATTTATTTTTTGAATTGACGAGCCATTTCAAAAAAAAAAGCTGAAAACTTTTGCGAAAAAATAAAAAGAAAACAACGATGCTCCGGTTTACGCGTATAGCGCGGGAGGTTTGAATTTTTTTGAAATGCTTTTAAAATAACTCACGATTGCGACATTTGGATCATAACAAACAAAAAAAGAAATTTGCTCATCGATATCAATACTTTGTGCAAGTTGATCAAGCAATTCTCTTTTCACAATTTTTGTCTGAAGATGTGGATATTGTTGAAAATTCTCCAATCGTTTTTCGATAATCACAGCTGGTTTAAAACGCGTTATAATATCTTGAATAATTTGATTTGTTCTCAATTCTTGAAGTTTGAAGGGTTTTTCGCAAACTGGACAGCCTCTTTTATTTTCTTGCAAGCTTTTCAAACACTGGTGGCAGCCTAAATTTTTATTTATTATTATAATTTTTTTTCAAAAAATTAATTTAAAAAACTCACAACTGATATCACAACACGGCAAAATTTTTGGTAGATAAAATGTGTTGTCGCACAATCGACAAGTCAATGATATTTCTTGAACTTTTTCTTTTTCTGACGGTGAAGCCGGCATTTTTTGCTTGCAGAAGAAGTTCAACAGAACATGAAAATCTTTCTGAAGAGAGAAAAAAAAATATAATATAGAAGAAGAAGGAAGGGAAAAAATCGGCGGAAAACGAAGAGAAAGAAAAAGTGGGCGGAGCTTGGAAGGGGGAGATGGGGGAGGAGCTTGGGAAGGCTGAAGCAGACGGCGAGAGTATTTGTGGGCGGAGCTACCGTATTCTTAATGGGTACGGTATTTGAGGGGGGGGGAAGAAAAGGGAGAAGAAAAAGTGAAGGGGTAGATAAGATTCGACTAAAAACCTTTGGGCTGGTTTTTCTTTCAAACTAAATGTTTTGGAAGAGAATCTATATGGCCTAGTAAACCAAATAACCCACATTTGGTTTTATCTTTCATAGTTTTTCATTTTTTGATTCGAACTTTCACTGACAATGAGATTTGAATTGATTTAAATATGAAACTCTAGTGAAAATGTGGATTTTATTTCAAAAAGGTCAAAAATGTATCGAAAAATCGATAAACTGTTGTACAGTGTCTCTCTTTCTTTTTTGACTATATTTTTTGAAAAAAAGAAGCATCGCGGGGAAAGAAAGAGTGTCCGAAATCAATATAAGAGCGCGCCCGGTTCGTTTATACACACACACAACACAACAACAAAAAAACGGGGTGGAAAAAAGAGGAGAGACACCCGAAATAGTGGGCAAATCCGTAGAGACGCAGAGAATTTAAGAGAACGGTCCACAGTGTTGATGGGAGGAGATGAATCAGCCAATCGGAATGGAGACTCCGCCCATTTTCGGGCCCTCTTCAATTACTTAGATATTTATGTGTGTCTCTATGTGAGAGTGTGTGTATTTTGGACTTGAAGTGAAAAGAAAACGCAACAGGCGGTCAGCGAGCGAGTGATTAATCAAGTGGAAAATCGAGGATACGGTAGATATATTGACACATGTGGATATATCTAGATTATACATACAGTACTTCTCTCATCGGAAAGCAAAACACTTCAGAAACATAAGGTTCTACGCGCAAAGATCTACAGTATTCAGGGGGGGGGGGTGTTATTACTGTAGATGGTTGTTAAATTTTAAGCACAGGTTTTAGAACTGAAAACTTAGAATTTCAAAAAGTTTTGTTGGAAATTTGAATACCTCAATTTTTCATCTGAAATTTGTTTTGTCAAATTTTTAACTGGAAATCTTTTGGGAAAACTGGATTTGAGAAAACATAAAACAAGCTTCTGCAACTAATTTGGTCATATTTTATTTTTTTTTGCTCATTTTCTCCAAAAAAAATGAATAAATAAATTTGGGGCACCTTATTTTTAAATATCGTTCAGAACAAATAACCAAAAAATTTTTGACAAAATTTCAAGCAGCTTAATTTTGGCATAAAAGTGTACGTGGCTTCAAAGCTTAACAGGGCTCAGATTTTGGAATAAAGACAAGTCAACAACAAAAAAAAAAGAAAAAAACTAAAATTTTCCTATAAACATTCAAAAATGTGTTTTTCCTTTTCGAAATTAATTTTTCCCACCAATCGAAAAAGTTTCCCGCTTTATTTTTCTTCTTTCCCAAAACATTTTTCTTTTTGATCTGCCCCGATATGTTTAAAAACAATTTTTTGAGGTCTAGAAAATTGTTTCTTATCTTATCTTCTAGATGTTCTGATCTATTTATTTTTTACTGGGAAACGTTTTTTTTTTGATAAATAATTTAAAATTTATTGCAATATAAAAATGAAAGTAATACTTTTCTCTTTTTTTCGAAAAATGTAATTTTTATCGGATGAAATTGAGCAAAAGCTGTCAACTAGTGGAAGAACATAGAAAAATAACAACTTAAAATTTTTTAGGCGATACTTCAAATAATATGGGTTCAATCCTTGAATCCATATTTTAATGTCTCAAGTCAGCTGAAAATTCCCCGAACAAAAGTTCAGTAAAATTTGCACTTTTATTTTCACGCACCCCTCAGAAATACAAAAAAATGTGTCTACAAATATGAGATTTTGCAAAAAAAGTGCACTACTATGACTCAAGAGAGTTGTGCTACAAATGCACTTTTAACTAATAAATGATGACGAAAAAATATAAATGTTATTAAAATCATCGAATTGACTAATAATTGTAATCAGACCGTGATAAATGTGAATAAGCAAAATGAACTAATATTAAATTAAATTATAGAGTTTTCAGAAAAATATTACTATTTTTCAAGGAGAGCGAGGGCTGAAATTTCGAAATTCTCAAATTTTTGACTTTTCAATCTTAAAATTGAAATGTTAAAAAGTTCAAGTCACACCTGGCGAGAGAGTGGCCCAAAAATTTTTGTGCAGTGTGAAAATTTTTCAACAAAAATTGTACAATTCACGGGCAACAGGATCCGAACAGTGGTCTCATGCACATCAGTCGAAAATGCTATCCTCTCGGCTGTATACATCTGTCTCTTATCCCGGAGGGAAAATGCTGGTGAAAAGAAAACTTTCATGAAAAATGTACAAGGGGGGGGGGCTTTTGAAAATTTTTGGACACGTCTCGTTAGGTGTGAAGTGAATCTTAAATGTCCGCAATGACACTATGACGCAACCGTGCACACTGGCGAATTGCCAAGTGCAGCAAATGCGCTCTGTTGCACACTCATTTCAATTTTCTTTTTTTTCCTCGGGAACCCGGAAATCGGGATTTTGGGGACCCGGATTGAGTTTTTCTAGCCTAAACAGTCATTACTTGACTAAGGAACCGCAGGCATTTGAAGTAGGTCGTTTTATCAGGGATTTTAGCTCGGGAACTCTTCAATTTTAAAATTTCTTAAAAAATTGAAAAAATGCATTAGACGCGATTTTGCGGCGCTAGTTTCATTTTCCATTGAAAAATTTCGCATTCTAGAACATTCTTCTGCTTCTCTCACTTTTTTTCGTCTGCGTCTCTCAACAAAAAAAACACTCTTTAATTTGAAACATTTGAACCTGCAAACACCACGCGGCACCAAAAATGTTTTTTTTCTATGCACTTTCTGCGCAGGGCCCCCTAGTAAATATCGAAAATGAATAGATAGGTGTTTTACTCACATCAAATATTCCTGCCTATTATTCCTACAGTATTCTAACTAGTAGCTGCTCATCTTCTCAATGCGAATCACCGTCAGCCGCTTCGCCTCGAGGAAAAACGTGAGTCGGTGTGCTCCCTTCTGCTGCTCCTTTCTACTAGATAACTACAGAAATGTGTGAGATCTTTGATTTTCACATATTTCTGTGATTATCACTGGTCCTGGGAGGTTGACCAAAAATTGACCAAATTTTGGCCAAAAACGAAAATTGGTCGAATTTTGACCAAAAATTGATCAAAAAAAATTTATTGGCCAAAATATGGTCAGAAATTGGCCAAAAAATTGGTAGAAATTTGGCCAAAAATCAGTGAAAATTTTAATTGTGAAAAATTTCGAAAATCTTAATGTTGTTGGGCAGACATGTCGTTTTGCGGCTTTTGGTGAAGTTAGGTTGATGAATTTTGTTGTTTTTCTACTGATGAATCAATAAATAGGAGTAAAATACTTCGTTTGGTGAATTTTGGCGCCACTCACACCAATTTCACCATTGGCGCAAATTTCAGCCCCAAATCTTCAAATAAAATCAGTTTTGACTTATCTTGGAGCTATTTTTACCAAGCAGAGACCTATCTCGAATCTATCAGTTGTATTGATCGATCCTTAATTTATCAAGAACAAGGGCTCAGAGAAATCAGAAGTATTGTGTTCAGGGGCAATAATTTCCATTATTTTTCGAAAGAATATTGTTGTGATAGCCATCAGCTTCGAAAGAAATAACACCAGTGTTCCAAAAATCGTGCATTTTTTCCCAAAAACGTGAACTCAAAAACTTCCACGCATAGAGATGATTTTTATATCATTTTACTCAGCGTGAAATTCTGAATCGAATGGTGCAAACTATTTATCACCAAACACTACTAATTGGTGCGCGAAAACAATAGATTAAAGGCGCACATATTTATGCAATGTGGTCCTGCAGCGAAATGTGTGTGCGTACTTCTCTCGGACGAAATGCACGCCACCAAATTTTTCTTTTTTTTTCGTTTTTTTGTGTGTTGCCCTACTTATAGAGAAATTGATTGTTCACGACTGCTAATAAGATATAAAACTTGTTCCCCGACTAGGATCTAGCAGCAAGTTTTACCAGAACTTTGAAATTCACATATTAAACTTGAATTTAGGCCAAAAACAAAAATTGGTTTTTGAGTTTTAGATTTTTATCAGAACGGGGCTGTTTCTCAATTTGACAAGTTTCCAGCAACATTTGCATGAGTTTCTATGTTACAATCAGAAGTGTCTCAACAGCCGGTAGACGGCCGTCGGGGTTTTAAAATTCGATTCTTATCGATCTTATTTCGCAGTATTGATATTTCTGCTGTTTTTAGAAACTACTAACCAAGAAAGAATGACTACTGCTCTTGCTGAGACTACCAACACAATGACCGGAGAAACCACTGTTCCAGTTGAAAATGTCAAGACCACCACTACTGAAGAAGCAACTCGAGTCCAACTACTGATAAAACTTCCACCGCTGCCACCAAAGAGCTCACTGCCGAGGAAAAGTCAGTTTTTTTCTTCTGAAGAATTTTAATCAAAGTTGGTTCTTATTTCCAGGACTACATAATTGAAGAACAACTTGACATCTGGAAAGCGATATTTGTTGACAAGCGAATTCAGCATGGCTGCTGATCTCTTGAGTTTGGCTTCTCAACTTGTGTAAGTTTTGAAATTTTCATACATTTTCTATTTCTATGCATTTCAGTGGTAAACTCTTCGGAGACGACAGCGAACAATCATTTGAACCTTACTTCTACTATGGACAAGCCCTTTGGATAACTTGAAGATCAAGTTTTCTCAAATGCAGTGACTAATTGCCAACCGTAGAAGAAGGTGATGCCAACAACGATTCAATCGACGAGGAACAATATGGTAATCCGGATAAATTGTCAGAAAAAGGACGTGAGCAAATCAAGGAACAAGTTGACACTGCTCTTTCTGCTGGTGCAGAGAAAGCAGAAGTATTAGTCGAAACTGATGCAATTTTTATTGTTTGTAAGGTTCACAAACTGTTAGGAGTCTGCGATTGCTCTAAAATTGACTTTCTTAGGGCAAAATTTACATTCTTCCGAGCACAAGCCTCCAACTCTTTTCTCTAATTAGCTAAAAATGTTTTTCAATGAAAATTAAAGTTCATAATATAAGCAGATTCCTAACAGTTAGAACCATTTTTTGTTTCTTTTTGTTCTTTTCAATAAATTTTTGTGAAAAAAATGTGTTTTTGATTTGAAAAAAGTTGGGAAAAATGATCAAAAAATGGTGAAAAATTGGTGGGAAAAAGTTGAAAAATTGACCAAAAAATGGTGAAAATTTTTTTGGTGCATTTTTGGTCAATTTTTGTTCAAAATTTTTTTGACCAAAAATTGACCAATTTTTTGGTCAAACTCCCAGGACCAGTGATGTTGCCCGCTTCTCTCTTTTTCGCCCCACAGTAATATTGTGAGATGTTAGGAAACATCTAGTAACTGGCGGCTAGAGGGGAACTATTATCTCCTTATTACTGTGGTTCAGTTGCTGCTTCTGATGCTCCCTTTTTTAGAGTCTTTAAAGCGAGCCTCAGATGGGAAAATGTTTTAACTAGGTGGGCAATTTTTTACCCGCTTCTCCAGGTTTTTGGGTGAGGTTTGAGTACATGCCATCTGGAGGGATTCTGTTGCTGCTTCTGCTGCTTGCTTCTGCTGCTCGGCACTGGTGCTCATTCGGGGCACCACGAATCTTTACAGATGCGCTTTTAGCGTCAGTGCTTTTTTGTGGGCGCGCTTTTAACACCGGCGACACCGGTGTTTTTTCTTTCGTTTTTTATTGCATTTTTTCATTATTGTTTTGAATTGTTGATTTGTGTGATCTCGCGTCGTTTGGAATTTCGCACTTTTTTGAACATAAGATTTTCTTCAAATTAGTTTTCTATGAAACCAGAAAGCATTTTAGGCCTTTTTCTTATGGAAAACTATATTTTTACGTCCTTTAGGCCTTTTTCTTATGGAACATTATATTTTAAGGGGTTGTAGGCCTTTTTCTGACGTTAGAAGCCAACGTTTTGTTAATTGTTTGATTGAACGTTTTTACATGAAAATTCCTGTTTTCAAAAATAGTCACATAGATTTTGCGTGAGCTCAGGCAGAATTTTGGAAATAATTTTTGTGTGAAAAATAACGGACAATAGTTCACTTAAAACGTTTTTACATGAAAATTCCTGTTTTCAAAAATAGTCACATAGATTTTGCGTGAGCTCAGGCAGAATTTTGGAAATAATTTTTGTGTGAAAAATAACGGACAATAGTTCACTTATGGATCAATTCATCTGAAGAAAAAATGAATTTCGCGACATTTTTTGTCGCGAAATTGCAATTCGTGAAACGACACGAAATTAACACAAAAATAAAGGAGAAATATTAAAGGGACACGTAATCGCTGCGAGACCCAACACACGAAAAAAGAATTTCCTCTTTTATTTTATTATATTTTCGTGTCGTTTCGCGAATTGCAATTTCGCGACAAAAAATGTCGCGAAATTCATTTTTTCTTCAGATGAATTGATCCATTATTATTCACGTGAATTCGTCTCATTTTCATTAATTTCTCGAAAACTAGTCTGCGAAACGAAAACCAACCCGGATAAATCTCTAAAGAGAAAAATTGGATTGGAATCAAGTAAGTACATATTTGATCAAACAATTATCGTTTAAAAAACCTACCTATGTAAGTTCTCCTCATAATTTTTCTCCATTTTATGTTTCCTCATAATATTTCTCCATTTTATGTTTCCTTATAATTTTGCTCCATTTTTTCGATAGAACATTTGAAACCATATCCTTTGAATAAGAGTGCGCAATCTTGACTCGACATTTTTCCAAATGATCAGTGTTTGAGCATAATTTCATTGAACTTCTAGAAGTCTCAAATTATAATTTTTAAAATTTTAATTAAAAAAAAAAGATTACGGTATACAATGCACACACGCGGTGTTTGCACACTATCTCAATTTTTGAAATTTTTTTGTTTTCTTCATTTTCCGTTTTCCCGTGCCATTCGAGTTTGTATTTTCGTTTTCACTATTATAAGTGATAAGTGAAAATGAATGTTTCAAACCCTTATTAATTAAGGTTATTTTAAAGTCAAACAAGTTCGTATTTCACAATTTATACTCATTTTTGTGCTCTCATTACTTTCCAGCTCATTTGTGCATGTCTGACTGGCTATACGTTTTCATTTCTCGAATTTTTTCAAATATTATTGAAAGAACACTGCACGGACATTCAAATTTCGAAAAATGCCCCGCGAGAGAAATAGAGCGAACAGCATAAATATAGAGCGAATAAGAGAGAATTCCGACAACAAATAGGTGAAATAGCATTGTCGTAGACATAATAACAAAAACGAAAATAGTAGAGAAAAGACAGAAAGCGCCTCTTGCCCCCCGTCTTCTTTTCCTTCTTCTTCATTTTTTCGACCGATAGTATTTGTGTGGGTCTTCGCAATAATTTTTGCGATTTTTTGAACGCTTCGTTTTTTTTTCAATTTGTCGCATGAAATTGTTTTTTGACAATGTAAGTAATTTATTCAACATTTTTATGAAATTTTCCAGGTATGGATCCAACTGGTGAAGATGGTGTTTTTGCTGTTGAAACCTTGCTGAAAAGCAAAAAGATCAAGGTTTGTTATTTATTGATTTTTCTGACTGATAATAAACAATCGAAAGATATTGAGAAAAAAGATTATTATTTTTCATCATAATCATAAATAGTACACTTATGGACCTATGCATATTAAAAAATGTAACATAATTTAATATTTTCTCCGTGATGAAAAGCGTCGAAAAAATATACAGAATATTATTTCGATTTTGGATAACGTGATGAATTTAAACTCACTATAGAATATCAAACCCATTATATTTCGAATGTTTTTCTTTTCCCTGATCGATATCTAAAGCAAATAAACCAAAAATGAGTATTTCATATACAAATTCTGTTCTTTGATTATTATTGTTGTAGTCTTCGTTGCCATAGAATTTTGACTTCATACCTCACTTTTTTCAAGGAGACGCAGAGTTTGTTAAAAACTCAATTTTTTCTCCTCTGATCGTCTAGCTCTCTAACTCAAAGACAGGCACGGCGCTGGTTTATTCAGAAAGAGACTAGTTAGAGAAATACACGAAGATGTGTGGATAATTAGCTCATATGAAACAAGGTTTATATTATATTTTTCAGGGAAAACTACACTATCTCGTCAAATGGCAAGGTTGGGACAGCAAGTGAGTTTATTTAGAGAAAAAACTATATTTCAATAAAAATAATGCAATTTCTTTCAGACACAATACTTGGGAGCCAGCCGAAAACATGCTCGATTCTCGACTCATCGAAGCTTTCCACGAGCAAGAAGCGGCTGCAAAAGCTGCAGCAACTCCGGCGAAAAAACGGAATAGTGGAGGAGTCAAAAAGAGTGACACATCTGTCTCGCCTCCGAAGAAACGGCGTTTGGCTGGTGGAGATATTCGAGATGAAAGTAGTGAAAGCAGTGATCATGGTGAGTTTTTTTGGGGTTTTGAAAAACAAAAGCAAGCGTGATTTTTTACTGTCTATGCTAATTAATTCTATCAAAAATGTTGTGAAAATTTCGGATCTGAAAATCACAAATCAATTAGGATGTTCGAATAAATGAAATTTCAGAAAACTTCCGAAATTTTTTTTTAAATTGATAGATTAAAATATTAGTTTTCAATTTTCTTTCAAAAATAAATAGATCTATGTCAATTGTTTCAGAAACCGAAGAAGAACCGGCTACAACATCACGATCTCGACGAAGCGCGCAAGCCAACAAAAAACCAGCTAAAGAATCCAAAAAAGCTGAAAGTAAAGTAGCTAAAAAAGAAGAGGAAGAAGTGAAAAAAGAAGAAGTTGAAGTTGAAAAAGAGGAAGAGAATGATCAAGAAAAATTAGAAGAAAATGGAAAAGAAGAGAAAAAAGAAGTGAAAGAGGAGGAAAAGGAAGAAAATGTAGAAGAAAATGGAGATGAAGAAGAGGAGACTACTGATGGTGAAGAACAAGTTAAAGAAGAAGTGCAAGAACAAAATCACGAGCAAGAGCAAGAAAATAAGCAAGAAGAGGAACCAGTTGAGGAAAATGCTTCGGAAGAGGTATGTTTTTTACAAGCGAATTATATCAGGGTTATAACGGGTTCTGGAACAAAGTTCGAGGAAAGAATTTCAATGTTCATTTTCTGCGTCTCTAACTTCGTTTGGAGACTTTCCCATTAGGATAAATGAAGTCCAAGACATTTTTTGCAAAATTTTCTGAATTGCATTTCACTATTCAGATAACCCCTTGTAAATTTAATTTTCCAAAAAAATTCAAAATATTTAGGCAACCAAAACCGATGAATTTGTTGAAGCCGGACCATCGGAAGCTGAACCAGAAGTTCTTCTTGGTAGGTAAATATTAACACACATTTTTTTCTAAACCGTGTTTTTACTTTCTAAATAGTTTTCTGTCTCGAGCCAACCATTTTTTGTGTGTTGTGAATTATCATTTAATTAGTACTTATTCTTGAAACATTTACATCCCTACTCACCCAATTTTAATACTTTCCATTCCCACCAATCGATAATTTTCCCCCTAATTTTCCACCATTCCGGTCCGCTTTTGTTCCTTCTTCTTGATCTTCTTTCTCGGTTTTTTCGGTTTGCGTTTGTTTCGCCTAATAAACCTTGGAAATATCTACTTATGTGTCTACATATTTGGTCTTATTTTATTACACCTTTATATGTATGTATGCTGTGTTCCTTTAATTTAACAAAGCGAGAGAGAAAGAGAGGCGAGTTTCAGGGAAAACTTGGACTCAATTTTTAAATTCTGAAAAATAATAAATTGTTCAGGACAGACGACAAAATTGACGGACGACACGACGGAATTTTCGGCGAGTTACAATCTGGAAACAGCGGAAGAGGAGATGAATCAAATGGAGGAGGACGAACAGGAGGAGGAAGTGGAATTGATGGAGAAATTGTATATACCAAAACAGACAGAAGCGGAGAGGCAAGCGATCGAGCAGATCAAGAGTGAGATTCGTAATGAGACTGTTAGTTTTTCTTGGGATTTTGAATCGGGAGAAATGATAAACTTCACAAAATAGAAGTAAAAAGAAGAAAAAATACGTGGCCTATGGGATATACAAGTATTTTGCAAACGCGCTCTAACGAATTTGATTTTTGAAAATTATTTTCGCTGGAGCTCATTTGTTTTACTTTAAAGAATGTTTACACATTCATTATTTCTGAGCTCGATCTCCCAATTACATAATTTTTCAGCAATCTTGGACTCAAAGTGTAGAAGTGGCATTAAACAGTAGGTCAACTATCACCGAAGTCACTTTTGCTGGTGAAACTGTGCCAATTCTAGAACTTTGAATTTTTTATTTTATTTTATATTATTGTATTTTATTTTTATTCTATTCTATTCATTTTTGTTCATATTTTTTCCCAGCCATACTCACTACTTTTCCTGACTCACATTTTTATAGATTTCTAAATTCAAACCACAGCTAAAACCCTAAAATACTTTGTGATTGTTTTCTGTCAAATAAAATCTTTATGATTCAATTTTTGTATTGATTTTTGTTTAGGATGTGTTTGTGATCATTTTGTATATATTTTTATATCTATAGAAAATTTCCGAAAAAGGGAGAAGTTTATACTGAAATTTCCAGGAAAAATGTCGTCTTTTGATAAAGAAGACAATCGATCGAAGTTTGTTGTTCCAAAATCGATAAATGATGGAAAAATTGTAAAAGTATCGCAAAAAACTGTAAAAACTCAAAAAGTTGTTCGAAAAGTTCTGCCGGAAGAGCAATATATTCGGAAATTGGATAAAATCATTGAGAAAGACTATTTTCCCGAATTGCGAAAACTACAAGCACAAAATGAATATTTGGAAGCCGTGGCAAATAAGGATGTGACAAAAATAAAGGAATTGCAAATGAAGTTTTGTAGTGGAGCAAGTATTAGGACTGATCGAAGGTAAATTAGATTTTTAAAGAAACAAGTAAATCTTAAATCTTGAAAACATCAATATTTTTTCAGTATATCAAGTTTTCGAACCCCTACAACTGATCATTTTGATGAAGAATCTACAAGAGAAGAAACTCCCTCCGAAACTCCTTTCGATGTAAATACACCAGGTCCATCAACATCTTCAAAAACCTCGAAAAATGATTGGATGAATACACCAATTCCATTTGCAAATGCGGAAGGAGATAATGAAGCAATACGAAAAAAGAAAAACAAGAAAAATGATATGAGTTTAACTGGATATTTGAATAAATATACATCTGAAGATAATGCATCATTCGAAGAATTGACTCAAGTTATGAGAGAACGAGAAGATGCAAAGAGAAAATGGTTGTATGAAGCAGAATCTGAACATAATAAAAATCTGGTGACGAAAAATGCAATGGCTTTGGAAGCTGATGTTCAACTTGCTTTGAAATATGCAATAAATGCAGATGAATCTAGGCCATTAGCAATTGATAATTGGGAATATAAAGCATGGAATACTGTATTATTTAATCCAAATGGAGCACCTTTGACAACTGCAGAAGCAATTGATGCTGCTAAAAAACAACAAATCGAAATAAATCGAAAAGCTACTCGTTTTCCAAGTGATCTAAAAATGAAACCAAGTGATGATGCAATGAATCGAGCAGCAATGAATCAAGTACTTCATAATGCTGGAAAAGTTGATGTTATGGGACATGAAGTAACACCATCAAATGCTATCAAATTGCTATCAACACCACATCCTGATCCAGAAGTTATGGATTCGCCATTGATGACGTGGGGAGAAATTGATGGAACACCTTTTAGATTAGATGCACCCGATATTTCGGAGAGTTTTTTGGCAAGTGGAAGTGCTCCTGCTTTTAAGGTTTGTGAGAAAAAGTATCAACTCTGAATTATTTTTTAAAAAATTTCTAATTTCTCGAATATTCAAACTTTGATAAAATTCTAAAAAATGTTCACATATTTTTTTTGTGAAAATTCATTAAAATTAAATTAGACTCAAGTTTCTTATGTGCATAATTTTCAGATTCCTGAAGTTCCGCTTCGTGAAAAAATTGCTCAATCAATGAATGATTCAATTGCTGCCAAATATCGAGATAAACGAAAAGTTGCGATGAAAGCTGCCGAAGGTGCACAGTAAGTTATTTTACACAATCAGCTACTTTATTTATTAATTGTTTTTCCAGTCGTACCCCGAAATTTGGCTCAAAAAGAGTGGCTGATAAAATTGCACAATTATCACCGGCCGCACAAAAATTGGCCACGAAAAAGTTGGGTTTGAAAATGGCGTCGAAATCGCCGTTTTTGTCACCGAAAAGTGGTGGAAGCACGTGGCGAAGTAGCAAAACACCGGGATCAAATTGGAGTCGAGGCGAAAAGACACCTGGATCATCGTGGAGTCAAGGAGCACGAACACCCGATGTTGAAACCATGATTTTGAAGAAAAATTGTGAGTTTTTCAAATTTTGTGGAAAATCTTCTAGTCGGAAAACTGTATTTTTCGAATAAGATTCCAAGTTCAGTTCAAGTTTTGGAATTTTTCTTCTAAAAAATATTTAGTCTTTTGTGAGATATTAAATTAAAAATTACATAGATCTGTAGTATTTTTTTTCAGTTTCTAGAAGAATCTGAGATTTTTACAGTCTTGAAGTACTGTAGATTTCTACCAAAAAACCTCCATATCATTTTGTAGTACTCTGCTCCATTTTGTTGTAGTCTGACGAAATCCAATTCTATTTTAGATCCCATTTTTCAGCCAAACCAACTTCTTCTTCCTCTTCATCTTCTTCAAACGACAAATCGAATCAGAATCGAGCAAACGCGGGTGATTTCTTCTAAATTCAGATATTTACATAAATTTCTCTTAAATAAATATTTATCAATTTTTTATTATTTTTTTTCAAATTTGAATTATAAGTTCGAACCCATTCAATATTTTTAAAAACATTCATTTATTTATTTTCAAAAATTAAACATTTGTTAAATAGTTAGTAGATAGCACCATTGCGTTGAAAGGAAAATTGAATATAAAATTTGAAAAATTAAAAACAAAAGTTAAAAGGCATTGGAACCCGTAGAGAATATTTTTTGAATCCAAAAAAAATCTGAAATTTTAGCTAAGTCGATGAAGGCCAGTTGGCAATTTATGAACTTGAACATAATTTGCTGGTAACATTCCCCATTGAAGTGTTCTTTGAACTGTTCCAGTCATCCAGCCATCATCGATTTTTTCGCAATTCACAATGATGTCACCTTCCAAAAATGAGACCTGCAAATATCAGGGGAATTTAGGAATTGAGAAAAAATTTCTATTTTTATTCTGAAACTTTGAAAAAATTAATTTTTCAAGATTGTTTTCCAATTTTTCGAAAAAAATTATCTAAATTCTCTTTTATGCTTTTTAAATTAGACTGGGACCCGGCCCAATTTTCAAAATTCTGATTCTAAGTACTTTTTGCCTAAAAACCCACTTCATCCTTATCAGCAGCCGTATAGTCAAAAATCGCCTTAACAGCAAATCCAGCTTTTCCGGTTGGCGATAAAGTTGATTGTGGTGAGGAGAGATTTGAATGCGGTGATGCAGAGGAGGCCAAACTTGATGGCGGCGGTTGGGCGGCTGCAAAATCAGCACAGAATTTTGGGGGACCATTGTCGACTTGAGTCTCTGTAAAATTTGAGAAAACCACGTGCAAGCAACCAAAAACATTCGTGTTTGCTAGATGAAAGCTCACGACATTGCAATTCACAAAGCGATGTATTTTTGAAGGGTGAGAGAAGAAATTTAAGTTTTGGTGCCAAATTTTAAAAATTCCGTGAAGATTTCCTCCTCCCAACTGCCTTTTTTTAAATCCAGCCAACAACACAAAAAATTTACAAAAGCTTACTCAAATATCCCAATTTTTCATTTGGTTTTCGCTGATTTGCAGCGCTTCCAGATGTTCCCCAATTACCATTAATTGGATCATAATCCGCAATACTTCCGACAGATCGTTGTTGATTTTGTTGTGGAGAAACTGATAGGAAAAAATTGAGATTAATTAAATAATTAATTTCTAAATCTCACCTGCTCCTCCTTGCTCAACTGAATAAATCAAATTAGTGTTAGCCAATTGTTGAGCAACTTGTTCAACTCCATTTCGAGAAGATACCGAATTCAAACCTGAATTTAATATTTCGTTGAAAAACATGCAGTTTCAGATAAACTTCATTTCATATCATTGCATATCTTTTCTAGACAACACTACTGGGATTAAGTTTTTCCACGAAAAAAGCGTTAGGAAGTTTTTCAAAGCTTATTATCATTTGATTTCGTGACGGTTTTCGAGGATTTTTTCACAATTCTTTTTGCTTTTTTCTCTTCCTTTTTCGCTGATTCTTCCACAAGTTCAACCGCTTTCTCTGAAGATTTTACAACAATTTTCAAAGGGTTTCTAGAAATTTCGGACAAAAATTGGACGAGATAGAAAAAAAGAATAGAAGAAGCAATGAGCGAAGTAAATAAGTCCATAGGAATTTTTGGTCAGTTTTTTATCATAAATTTTTGAGCACAAAAATTCTAAAACGTGAACTATTTTTTTTGTAGGAAAAATATTTGAAAAATTTTAATTTCCAAACTTCGGAAACTGAAAAAATGTGAGTAATGTTTCGGATTTTTGAAGAAAGATTGAAGAATTTGTAATTCAAGGTCACAACTCTGAAAATGAATTTCAAAATTTTCCAATCTCGGTCCGAATTTTTGTGATAAAAATAGACCAAATATTCGAATTCGAAGCGCTTGAAATTTGAAAAATAGAAAAATTTTAAACTTCAGCAAAAACAACATAAATTAACACAACACAAAAAAACACAAAATCCTAAATAATTTTCAATTTCCTAAGTAGTTGGATATACGATAACTGGAATGTTATAATAATCATCTTCTTCTTCTTCTTTTTCTTCTTCTTCTACAATATTTTGCTGTTTCAAGCTCACATATTCCATTTTATAAACAACTCCACCACTTCCACGGTTTGAAGTTGCGCATTGAACAATTGTGAAACATAAAAAGGCTTTGTTAGGTTAAAAAACATGCTTTTACTGACGGACAAAACAATTTTTGGAGACTTTGAATTAAAAAATAATTTTTTGATAAGAAATACTCACCATTTTGTGGTGCTTGTTGTTGTTCGCCGGGAATTTCGGCTGGACGAATTTCTTCTTGTTTTTCTTTTTTCTCCAAAATGCCGTGATATCCGATGTTGGATTGAACCTGAGAATTTTTGTGTAAAATTAGGATAGGAAAATTTTAAATTTCAAGATTTTTGTACCATTAATTCTGAAGACAATTAACTTTCAAACTGACCCTTATATTTTCGTGCGATCTTTACATTGAGATAAAACCCTGATTCTACAAATTATTATTTTTTTCAGAATTCTTCCATCAACTCTTCTCTATTTCAATTTCAATTTGAAGTCAAATCAAGAAAATGTGAGTTTTTTTTTATTTCGAGAAATGATTTATGTTTCCTAAATTTTTAGATTTTTAGAAATTCTTAAATATTTGTAAATTTCTCTTATAAAATTTTGAAAATTCAAATAGGTGTGACCTAAACAAATCTGATTTAGAAAGGTACTTGAACCTAGGAGCAATTTCATATTATTTTGGAATTTTTTATCTAGATATTGTTTTCATATTCTAAAATCAAATCCCTTTTTCCTGTTGGCTAAATGAAACCACCGCATACTTTTTAAAACTTTTTTAGCCCTTGCAAATTCAAACCTGTGTATTTTTCTTCAATCGTTCCATTTCCGGATCATCACAAATTTCAATTTTCGTACCTTTCATCTTCTCATATTCCGCATGATATTTGATCTAAAAATAGTTTTTCTATCTTTTTTTTTCTCAAACAAAAACACCTACATTACTTTGATTTTTCGTGTTTTCCGCGATTCTTCGCATTTCCGGCGTATCAGCCACAGCAGAAGCAACTGTTTTTGGATAATGACTGAAATTTGAGGAATTTTTGGAGCTTAAGGCGAGTTAGGGTAGTTTTGAGAGATAAGGGGAAATTTTTAAAAATTTCTTCAATTTTGTTTCGCTCATTTTCCAGATTCATCTGTTAGGGATTTTTTTGGATATCTAATGTTCAAGGATTTTCAATTTTTTTTAAGCCTCAGGCCATTTCTGAATTTTCGAGGGTGTTTACTTCAGCCGGAAGATGTTATGAGCTTTTTTTCTTCTGACAAACCCTCTGACTCCTAGAAAAACAAACTTACGGCTCACAATACGGTCTTTTATCATATCCTTTGTAATTCTTCATACTCAATGTCATTCCACAAACTGTGCATTTGAAACATTGTTTATGCCAAACTTTATCCAAACATTTCAACTCCTCAATTGGATACACCGTTTTTCCACATTCTTCTCGAGCACACTTTTTACTCATTTTTGAAAAAGAATCTGAAATTGAGAAATATGAAATAATCTAGTAGGGATGTAGATTTAGTTATGACGTGGCAAAGTTTAGAAAATTTGGAATATAGACCATAAATCCTGATATTCTTTATTTGCCACGTCATAACTCATATTAAGAGTTGAGATGAGAAGTTTTTGATAATGATTAGCATATTAAAATCTACTATAAAACATATATTTCATCATAAAAAGTTCGCTTGTTAGTTCAAAGGTGAAAAAGAGCAAATAAAGGGAGGAATGAGAAAAATTGGTTATCAGTTTATTTCAGTTCAATTGATTTCTGTTTTATTTGTTTTGTTTGTCTCTGTGACGAAAGAAATAATCAAAAAGCATAAATTTTGAGGAATGATTGGCATTTTGTTCAAGCAAAAATGAATAATAATCGAAATAAACTTTGTCCACACAACAAAAAAAGTCTCCAAAAAGTCAATACAAGAAAATAGAAAAAACAGAGCAAACAAGAAAATGATGGAATTATTGTGAGGTTGAAGAGCTCTTTCACGTTGTGACAGAACAAGATTTCAGTGAGACGCAGAGAAATATTTTTGGTTAGAATCTCGCTGTGAGACCTCAAAAGGTAATAATGCCGAGGAACCATCGATTTGTAGCATCGACCGATATTCAAGCGGGACTGATCTTTTTACAATTTTGCCTACAAAAATAGCGCTTTGCCTATCCAGTCTGAATGTCTGAAACGTTTGAAAAACAGAACTCTTGGCAATACTTTTTAGGTCTCACAGCGAATTTCTAAAGTGCTTTTGTGAAGAAACAAAAATCAATTGCTGTTGAAAAAAAAAAGAGTCCATCTAATTACTTTTTCGAAAATTCTACTCCTTTTTTCTCCTTTTAGAAAAGAAGAAGTTCACTTGAGAAAAAGAGTATTAGTAGTATTTGTTGTGAAGTCAAAAAGATGTGAAAATAAAGGAAAAGAAGAAGAAGATCCTACTTTTTCTTCTTCTTCTTCTCTGGTTGTAATATTTCGAACGAACGGACAAAAGAGCCCCACAGAAAAGAAGAAGAAGGAGAAGATTAAAGTGAAAGAAATGAGGGGCTATTTGAGATTGAGAATGAACGAAAAATAAGAGGAAGAGGATAAAAATAATAGAGGATGCAACTGGTTAAAACAGCTGTGGACGCGAAATATTTTATATATTTAGATACTTCAATATTGGACGATGATGATACTTTTTGAATGACACACAACGATTAATTTATTACCCGCGAAAAAACTCGCGAATTTTAGGCTTGACTGAAATCGAATTGGCAGTGTTCAAAAATTTTTAATTTGAGATTTTCAACACAAAATCCGCTGGAATTCTAAAAGCTTGATGAAAATCTGGAATTTCACCAGTTATATTTTTCTTGAAATTATCAGAAATTGGCCATAATATCGAACCCGCATTGTATACGTTTCAAACATTCTTTAAAAATGTAGGTCGAAATTAGCCTATGTTCTCGTTCATCATTTTGAAAAACACAATCTGAAAAATTTGAAAAAAAAACATTGAAAATAGTTTTTTTCATAAGCAATATTGATTAGGGGAATTTTTTTTGGAAAAGTTTGTAATTGAAAAATCAAGTCAATCCAAATGAATTTTCTATTTTAAATTGTTTGAAACGTATTTTTTAAGAGTATAAAAATCTCGATTTAGGCTGTCTTGTAATTGAAAAATGGGTTTCCAGACAGCAAAAAAAGAACAAATTCAATTATTTCCGAAAGCGCTGGAATTTTTCTGAATTTTTTATTCATCAATTTCTCAAATTGAAAATTCATTCATGAGAATTTTCAAAAAAAATAACATTTTTTTTCGAAATTTCCTGGTGAGCTTTTATCTGAAGCCAGAACAAGAGATCAAGTGTAAAAATGAGTCATAGCTATTATAAATAAATCCAGGATTCTTAAGAAGAAAATAAATATCGGAAGTATAGTGCAATTTTAATTAATTAGTAGGAAAAATAATTTGGAGTTGTAAGAAAAGATTTTCAGACGCTAGTCTTGGACAATTGAGTCCTCTAGGCTCAAATACTTAACAACTAGGATTGGCTACTTGACATATAAACTTTCAAGGCACTGTACCTAGCAGCATAAGCTTTCAAGGCGTGGTTCCTTGCTAGAATAGTTATCTAAACGTAGACTCTCGAAATTTTTTTAAACATCAAAAAACACGAAAAAATTCTCGAAAAATCTGCCAATAAAAAAACGAGAGAAATTCGATATATTTCTTGGAAGAAAACGAGTGGGCAAAACACATTGTCATTTTATAAATATATTTGATAAACCAGAATGAAACAATAGATAGATAGAGATATTTTTCTCGATTCTAAATTTGAACCAAAATTTTGCAAGAGAAATACATATGTAAGAAAAAGAAGAAGATGAAAGAAGAAAAAAACGGAAATTTGGCAGGTATTGAAATGTGATATAAAATAAACAAATAAATAAATAATACTAGTAAAAAAGTAGGCGAAAAGGACAATTTTGGAGGATGAGAATCGATTTTGATTTGAAAAATTATATTTATATTGTCAATGTCAATTTGAATTAGTTTCAAATTGAATTGGAAAAAAATCTCGATTTTTTAAAAGCTAAAATTTGGAGATAGGCTTAGCTATGATGCTAGACTTAAAGTTCAAGTAAGGCGTAAGCTTATATAGTCTAAGGATCTTAGTAAAACTCATTCATACAAATAGCGTGTATATAAATATTCCAAAAATTTGCTGGAGTCTCTTTATTCGCAAAATAAACCAAAACATAATATTTTCCATTTTCCATTTGAAAAAATGAAAACAAAAAAAATAAAAATAGTGGCCAATTTTAGTTGGCAGAAAAAATGTTAGTGCAAAAAGACAGCTGCTGTTATAATACATATGTATATGCTATTCACTTTGTAAGGGAAAGTTTCGTAAAAAAATATATATGAACAAAAAAATTTAAAAAACATAAGGGAAGGAAAATTGGAAGGGAAAGATTTTTTTCGTTAGGCTTAGCTCGATCCGATTAATTTGGCTTACTCCAAACTAAGCATCAATGATATTTTAAGCTCATAGATTGCCAAGAATTCTCTCATAATCAGGCTCAACCAGAAATTTTTCAACAGAAAATTCGGTAAAAAACTTTATATATATATATATATATATATATAAAGAAAAAAGTAACCGAAAAAACTTTGAAAAACAGACGAAATTTGAAATGCAAGACACTTTTTTATGTGGTCAAGGATAGTAGTCTCAAGGGAGCCAAAACACAGATAAATAGATTGAAATTGAAACGAATGGGAAAATTTTTGAAACTTTTTTTCTCGGTGAAAAAATAAAGGAAAAAGATTTCGGATTCAGGTTTTAAAGGAAAGTGTCGAAGAATTTTTTCTTACTAATTTAAACCTATGCCTAAATTCCCAGCTATCCTATGCCTCAGAACCTGGTTGGGCTTCAAAATTTATTTAGACCTAAGACAGAGCATAATTCAGGCTAAGCCGAGAAGCCTAAATCTATAATTCCAGTTTAATCAAAAACTTCCAAAGGTTTTTGTTAAGCTTAAAATCTTGTTTCAAGCCTAATTCTTTCCAAGATGAAAAATACATTTTTGAAATATTTTCTGGCCCAACCCAAATTCTTCAATTAGATGATTTTGATTTCAGAATCAGATTAAATTCCAATTGTTTTCCAAAATCTAAAAAAAAGTATCAAATAATTTGAAATTCATCTCTCTTTCTCTGCATCACTCCAAAATCCTCAATATTTCCCCGTTTTCTCACCAATTTTCCCTCCCTCCATCGAACAACCATTTGTCCTTGACATTTTTTATTTTGTTGTTTTTTTGGCCAATTTTTTGTGCGAAATCCCTCTGAGATAAAGAAAATGCGTTGGTTTTTGTGTGCTGGAATTTTTTCCGCTTGGAAAATCGGATGGAAAATCCAATTTTCTTTTCTGTGTTTTTACACAACACTTCTTGGTTTTGAGATTTTTCGTAGACGCTTTATTTTTCTTCCAAGTTTTATTTTTTTTAGTGAAAATGGAACTGCAAAAGTTTTGAGAATTTTTCAAATATAAAATTTGAATTTTATTTTAATAAAAAAGTTGCTGTTGGGTCACACCCACTTTCAGAAAATACATTTCGAAATTTCAAATAATTTAAAAATTTGCCCAATTTTCATTGTTCAATGATCACAGTTCCATCTCCGATTTTCCTTTTTTTTTCTCAAATTTTTTTGTCAATTTAGCAAAAAAGTTTGTTTTCCTCTTTTTTTTAGAAACCAGTCTTCTCATTTTTAATAAATAAATAAGTCGCAATTTGATGTTTTTTGGACATTTTTCTTTGCACTTTTCTTATCAAAATTTTTTTTTCAAAAGTCTCATTTCAGTTTCGTCTCGATTTTCGAATACACTTTCTAGCCTACACAAAATGTCGACACAAAATGGAAATGGAATTCTTGAGAATGTGAGTTTTCCTACTGTTTAATGATTGAAAAAAGTATTTAAAAATTGAAAAAAAAAACTTTTAGGATACTGTGGAACTTGCAAAAATTGTACACGTTTTCAAGAATCTCAAATCACTGGAGAATTTTAATCGAAATGGAGGCGATGTGAGTTTTTCAGCAAATTTTTGTAGCTGGAAATTCGTCAGCAAACAAAAAAGTGTATTTTTCCAGGTAGTTCCAATTTTTGTGTCAAAGGAAAAGTTGGTTTGTGAGATGTTGATTCAAGCACAACATTTGAATTCAAAGGTATCTAAAAATCAAAAAGTTGAGAATTTTAAGCTTTTAGTTTTTCAGGGAACTTTACACGGTGGTCAAACAGCAACTTTGACTGATATTATAACAGCTCGTGCTGCTGGAGTTACAATTAAAGATAAGGGAATGGCCTCAGTCGAATTGGCTGTTAGGTAAGGCTATTTTGTTTTTTTTTGGAAACTTGGACTACATTCTACCTTAAATATATATAATTCATCCAAAATTGATAGAAATACGTTTCAAATAAAATTCAAGATAGATTTAATAATGTTCATAGATGTTTGGCGATGGTCCAAAAAAATACCACCTCCCACAAAAAATCCAATTTAATTTGCAGTTACATGCTTCCTGTAAAAGTCGGTGACACCATCGAAATCACTGCAAATGTTCTGAAAATCGGTCGAAATATGGTTTTCACTGATTGTGATTTTCGCCGAAAATCCGATGGAAAATTGACAGCAAAAGGAAAACATACTATTGCAATTCTGCCTGATTTACCTGGTGTTGATTTGGATAATGGAAAACAATTTTGAATTTTTTAAATTTTTTTTTGGTTTTTACTGTTGAAAAATACGAGAAAGCGTAATAATTTTTAATAAACTATTTATTTATTGGTTAATTTTTTATGGTGAATTTTAAGCGGGCCTCAATTGGATCGGAGATAAATCGGTTATCGAAATTTCGGAAAAAACTTTTGATAGGAAATTTTTGACGATCTGCTCATGTTTTTCATTAAGTTCCGAATATTTGTTTTTTGTGACCCTAGCTCGATTTTTTTTAACCTCTTCCCAACAATTTTTCATATTTCGTTTCATTTTATTTACTCAAGTTTTTTCTACTTGTTCAAAAACCCCCCACCTAGGAAAAAAAGCAAATAGAATTCTCGGCTAAATTCCAATACCAAAGAAAAGAGAGACCAATAATCTGTGTGGTTTGAAACGAAACGAAAATAGAACACATTACATTTGAGAACGAAACTTCAAAGTATGAAAAATTGATGAATTTTGTAACGAAACTCCAAATTTACGCTTTTCCTAGTTTAAATTTGTGCATAGCTCTGGTAGACTGTGTTTTTTGGGATACCTGCAACCCCCGCATACTTTTTTTTTCAGTCCGAATGAAAAAAAAACAATACAAAAACTTCGAATAAAACAATACTCAACCGACTCGTTTTTATTCTTTTCATTTTTTTTTATAATAATCCTCATGCCTTTTCACACCTCACGGTGAGCAAGAAAACGTTCCAGTTTTTGTCGAATGCTGGTAATTTTTATTATGAGTAAATAACACGGTTTTCTTCGATGGATAAGAAAATAGAAAAAGGATAGTTTTTTGTGAGTAAACAGGAAGGAAAGGAACCTTAGTTTTTTGGGTGAAAAAGACAAAAATTTGGAGAAGAAAAAAGTACTTGATCATATTTACTTACAAAGGCGTTGAACTATCGTTGGAACAACATTGTTTGGATGATCGGATTGTATGAGTCACATGGAAGAAAAAGTAGTTATTTCTGGAAATGAAGTGGATGAGAGTTGCACTAAATTGATAGATCAATTTTCCAGATTCACAACTTCAAGTTGTATCAAATTCGAATGTTACCCGAAACTATACTTTAGTTTAGAATTTTTGAAGCAATAGTAACCCAAATTATCTCATTGCAATGTTGAGTTTTTCTTTTGAAAAGCAAATATTTTTCTTTTCCACCCAAAAATTTCTAAATTCCTAATAAAACACGAAAGTATGTCCCAATAACAAGGGTGTTCCAATAAACACACGCAACAAAGTATTGGCTCCCCAAAAATTGTGTTGACATAAAAACTCTAGTTCTTTTGAATTTTGAAGTATCAAACATCAATTCACAACTAGAATATTTTCGATTCAGAAAAAAAGCAACATTGAAGAGCTCGAGAGCAAAAAATCACAGTCTTGTCATTTTCGTGGGCCGGTTGAGTGGGTTCATAAAACCAATTCAAAACAAAAAAAACTTTGTGCTGAAAAAAAATGCCACGTGGCGAAATCACTGTGAACTGCACGATACCTGAATTTCTCACAATCTTTTCTATTACAGTATCCCCTTAGGAATGGCACGTGGCAAAAAATATTTTTGAACGCATTAAAACCTCGAGCACTTGAAATTTTCACTCCCAAAGGTCCCCAGAATTTGCCTTTCTTCAAAAAATTTGTCACATCTCATTTCATGCCATACAGTTTTTGCAAAAGCACTCGAAAAGTCTGTTGCTTGCTGCCACCTGAAAATGTCTCAAATTTCGAACCAGAAATCGCCATCCATCCATCCAAAAAAGTTGGGCGGTGTTTGCGAGAAAAAAATTTTCAGGGAGAAGGAAGGGCGGAGTTTTTATTGTGTGTTTGTTGAGCACATATATAAAACGTGAACAATTTTGCCGTGAAAATAACAACGACGTTTTCGACGAAATATAGTCATGTTCAAGTTTTTGTAAGTTTTTTTTGGAGTTGTTTTTTTTTATTCACACAGAAAAGCCACGTGTCAAAAAATTCGAGAAGAATACTGTAGATAAAATCCAAGAGTTCTCCAAATATTTTTTTGGTAAAAAAAACTGTTAGGTGCTAAAAAAGTCGCTCTACAGTACTTCTAGAGTGCTGAAATTTTGATATTTTTAACTTTTTTCGCAGATTGAACAACATGTTCTATCCACAATACCTCTCAAAAATTCCCCGTGGCAAAAATCCTTGAGAAAATACTGAACGTATTTTTTAAATTTTCACTTTTTCCAGACTTTTGGCCACATTGGTTCCATTAACCATTCAACAATTGACCTCATCATGTACTTCGTGTAACTCTAACTCAAATTCGAACTATGGTACGTTTACAAACTTTATTTTTTAGCTGCTTACTGTTAACGCTTATATTAGATAATTACTTTCGAAATTAATTTTACAAATTTTCAAAAATATGTTTATCAATGGAGCGCATTTACCTCAAAATCAAAATAGTATATGCGCTCTATTGATAGAAACTGTAATTTCCCTGGAACTCTCCATTCAAACGCCGTGTAAATTAATTTTTCGAAATTATAACCCCTAACAAAACAGCATGTTCTAACTTCAGCTCACCGCTTTGCTCGTTCTGTGCCCGGTTATCTGGGAAACTATCAAGGTGATGCATACACCTCAAACTCGCGCCGTCAAGAAACTCTCCAACTTAACCAAGCATCTAATCTTAAATTTTCCAAGCTTTTCCCTTTGCGAGAAAATGTGAATGAAGATGAGCCGATAATTATTGAATTTGTGGAAGAAGATGATTTGGAGAAGAATTCGGAGGGATCTAAACAACATCAAAGTCAAGATCTGAATCAGAAGCAAAAACCACAGTACGATTACGTGGCTTTCAATATTCATCCAAATGGAGATATTTTACATCAACAAGGCGATATGAAATATGAAAGTGAAGCAACTCGTGCAATGATTGAGGCACTTAAGAAAAACGATCCAGGATTTCATCGAAACAATCAACATTTTCAGATGGATTTTGTACCGCATAGATTTATCAAATAGGTTCAATTTGCTATTAACACAAATATATTTGTACATTTTGATGACAGCTTTTAGCTTTATTTGCTTTCTTACCTAACCTAACATTTTTTATATAATAATGTGCAGATAGATAAGATTTGTTGACATTTGATAGATAGAGAAACTTGATCTATGTAATTGAAATGTCAAACAAATCTGATCTTTATGAGATTTCTTGTATAGTTGGATATGGATTTGAGGAATGAGGGTTGAGAAAAAAATAAAATGTATATATATGAAAAATTTTGGAACAAAAAATTCCAATTCAGGGAACCCTAACTTCAACAACCTTGAATTTAAGGTTCTACCTCCTCTCTTTAAATCCATATTCAAATATATTTTCTTGCCTGTCTAATACCAATGTCTTTCTCCTTTTTCATCCAATATCATTCAATAAACACATTAACTATTGTTTTTTCATTATTAGGTTCTTCTTCCTACACAAACACAGCACAATCCGACGATTCTTCTTCTTCGAGTGTTCCTGGATATTTACCCGATTATCAAGGCGACAAATACACGAATCAACAACGAATTTTGGATACTCAAGCGCTTAACAAAGCCTTTTTCGATTCGATTGGCGGAGCACCATCTCCACCACCATTGACACCAGCACAACAAGGAATGAATTCAACTTCTTCGAATTCTTCTTCTAGCACTGGATACAGTAATACTCAACAACAATACAGTAATACTGCTTCTACATCTTCTACACAAAACACAAACCAAGTGTATTATAATCCATCGAGCAGTCAACAACAACAATACAGTACTCAACAATACGGTAGCTCGAATAATAATAATAATCAACAATACGGTAGCAATGGACAACAACAGCAATACAGTACCCAACAGTACAATACTAATGGCCAACAGCAACAATACAGTACCCAACAATACGGTAACAATGGCCAACAACAACAACAATACAGTACTCAATCGTCATCAAACTGCAATTATTGTCGCTACCGTCGTTTTTCGAATTTCCGTTTTCACTAAACCCATATAATTTTCCCTGAATATTTACTGGTCTTGATTTCTTTTCTTTTTTTTGAATGAATGAATGAATGTATTTTTACCAAGAATGAGAAATGCATGGATTTTCAGAGTGATACACAAAAATTTAATTCACAGGATTCAATCATTCAGGTCTATTTTTTCAAAAGTTCTATGAGGTTACTGTAAAAATTCTCGAATCGAAATTTTTATTGTTAAACGTGACCTAATTCCGAAAAAAAAATTTAATAAATCATTTTTCGGTTTCTAAAAATTTCAAAAAAAAAAAACATTTGTTGAATTATTTCTTTGTATAACATTCTTTTTGAAAATTCAAAATTCTAGAGAAAACTTACAGGTTCCGCAACAACTCTTTACGTGCCAGCCTCCTCCTACGGATATTCAACAACATCTTATAACCCGAATCCGACAACAACATCGAGTTTTTACACAAATCCAACAACAGTACTTGGCCAACAATACGATTCAGTTTCCTCTTCAAATTCAAATTCCAATCAAAACCAAAATCAAAACTCACCATATTATTATCAAAAAGTTCCATCAACTCAAGAATATAATTCAATTCTTGGAATAAACGCCGGATTTCCACAATATGTGCAACAACAGCAACAATTTTATGATAATAATGGAAATGGGGCAAGTTCAGCTTCTCCTTCTTCTTCATCTTCTTATATGACAACTATGCAATATACAAGTTCTAGTCCAAGTTATAATACAAACTCGAACACAATGCAATATATTTCATCAACTCAAAAACCATCAACTCATTATGGTTCGAGTTACAGTACATCACAATATTCTTCTTCGAGTTCTGCACAACCATCTTATGGATCAACAACAATCTCACCAATTCTTTATGATCAAACTACCTCCTCCTCGTCTTCTTCCTCATCTCAATTACCATCATATTCTTCAGATAGTATTTCTTGTTGTTCTCAAGTTTCATCAACTTGTTGTTATCAATTAAATCAACAACAAGGATATGGAAGTCAATCTAATGTTATGTACAGTCCTTCTGTTTATCAATATGGAGGACGAAAATAGAAAATGATTGAATAAATACTGTATGTATGATAAATAAACCTACGATTTTTTATTTTTGAATTTAATGTACAAACAGCAAACAAACAAATAATACTCAACAAAAAATCTATTCTAATCCCATCGTTTTCGATTTGCAAGAGCTGCTAATGAATCTTCGACAGTTGAATGAGTGTGAAGAAGATTTCCGATGTTTCCACGACGACGAATCACGGCTTTTGAACCGTCCGTTCGTTTTTCCTTTCCTGGCATTCTTCTCGCTTCATTTTCAGCAAACTCGACATTTCTCAATTCCTCCAAAGAATTGACTCCTTTTGTTGCGAGAAATGTGACTTCAGCATCTTGTGTTGTGTATGGTTTTGTTAGAAGGTTCATCACAACATTTTCTCTAGCCAATCTTTCTCGAAGAGTATTCACACGGTCTGGAGATATTGGATAATCCGGGCGACCAGTTCTGAAATTAAAAGTTGTTTTTGTGAAATAGATGTTGGAAATTTAAATTCCTCCGCTTTTACTTCGTAGATAAGACAAAAATCATTCTAATTATTGAAAATCAAGTTTTTTTTAACCAAAAAAAACTCACGCTTTTTGTTGTGGAAGAACTGGACCTCGATATCCAACTTCCCATAATTTACGATTCCAATGTCTGACATTCAAATTTCGAAAAGAAAATCGTGTAATATGCATCTGAAACAGCGAATTTATTGAAGTTGAAAAGTTTGCGCAAAAAATAAAAATCTTTTCCGAGTCGCTAAACAACATGCAAGCGGAGTCTCGTTGTTTTCTTTTATTTATTCTTGAAATTTCAGTGCGAATTTTTTTAAACAAAAAATATCTGTTTGAATTGAAATTATCTAGGGAGTCATCTGAAAACTTTATTCCATTTTTAAAAATTACTTTCACTCATTTTCCTGTTCTAAATAATCAGCCGGCAATTCGCAAAACCAATTTTTCATGCGAAATTCTTCAGAAACATTCGATATGAATTGATTCTCATAGTTTTGAGCAATTTGTCGTGTCATAACCACGTTTTCCAATTGATGTCGATCAATTTTCACACGAATTTCTGTCATCATTGATGAGTCTTTCGATTTCAATGCTTCATCCAACCAATTTTCGACTTGCTGTAAAGTTTTAATACTAAAAACTTGACATAAATCATCAAACCTACAGTCTCCACAGTCTTCTCATTTTTATTCGAACTCGCCCATTTTTTCGCAACAAATCGTTCAGTTTTCAACGACTTATTTCGAATTTTTCGATCTTTTTCGAGTTTTTCAAAAAGTTCCAAATTTATTGCGACACATTTTTGAGCATTTTGGCTTTTCGAAAGCAATGTTTTGGTTTTTGAAATATATGCGGGACGTGGCGGTTGATTTGGACACTGAAAATGTTTTTTGCTGATCATATTTATTTCCAAAGAAAAACTCACCGGCACTGCAATTTTCATTTTTGCAAATTCACTTCTCACATTCGCATTTACAATCGAATCATATGAAACTGTTCCACTTGAATTTGAAATTCCAGATCCAAAATCGGCATGGAAATCAATAACATTTATGAATTGTTCGGATAATTTAATGGGTTCCACGTGTTGTGAATCTTCTGTCGAAATTTGAGATTTATCCATTTTTTGTTTCCAAATATGTTGAAAGGTAAAAATGACCGCTAGAAGATTTGAGAAAGGAAATATTGGTCACGTGATTTTTTTTTTTAACAAATACATTTTATTTTATTTTTCCGTTTAGTTTGTTTGGCCCGATTCTTTTTCGTACTTTCAATTGGCATCTGAAAATAAATTGTTTCCAGTTTTTTTCAGAAAAAAAATAAATCAATTTGGAAAATGGGTTCATTTACTGAGCCATTTCATTTTAATCTTTTTTTGTACTTTTTTCTTCCTTCAATTGCTGCAGCTTCAGAATTTAGTAAAAAATCAACGAGATCTACGCGTGATTTACGTGAACTGAAGAAAAAAACTGTTTTCAAATTTCCTCCTTTCATTTCTAGTTTGCGCCAACGTTCAGCGAGTTGACGCATTTCTTGTTGCTGGCGTGTTTGAGGATATTAAATTTATTTTTTTTTGCCCAACTTTTTTTTGTCCTGTGGCGAAAATCAATTTTGTCGCGCACCCATGAAAAGAGGAGTTTTATGTATTTTACTGCTTGTTGGATGGATTGAAGCGGAAGTGAGTTTTTTTCGAGTTCAAATTTTTTGAACATGAGAAACAAGTTTTTTATTAGAAGAAAAATGCGATTGAAAATGGCGGATGGACGACAGATGAAAAGGATATTGTGAAGCAGAATGGAATTTGTAATATTGAAAGACATGATGCGAATGAATTGACGCAGAAAGAATTTCTGAAACGATATGCATATTCGGAGCCTGTAATTATATATAATGTGGATAATTCGGAGTTTCAAAAACTCACGAAGAAAGCAGCAATGTTAGATTCATGGGGAGAATTACCGGTCACGTTGAATTCAGCGAATACATATAGTTATACTAGAGTTGCAACAACTTTTGCCGATTATATTGATAAGAAGATGAAACCTCAAAATTTGGATAAATTGGGAAATGAAACATTAATTTTATTCGGCGATATTGATCAAAAACTTTGGGCTCCGTTACTCGAAAAATATCGAAAACCAGAATGGGAATTGCCTGATCATTTGCCAGCATTGAGTTTTGGAATAGCTGGAGCTGGAACTGGTGTACCTTTTCATTTTCATGGTCCAGGATTCGCTGAAGTTGTTCATGGAAGTAAACGATGGTTTTTATATCCTTATGAACAGCGACCAAAATGGAATCCAGATGAGACAACTTTAGAATGGTATTTGAATGATTATCCAAATTTGGCACGAGAAGATCTTCCACTTGAATGTGAAATGAAACCTGGAGAGCTTATTTATTTTCCGGATAAATGGTGGCATGCAACACTAAATATTCAATCTTCCGTTTTTATAAGCACATTTTTAAGTCCCTAATTGTTTGTTGTTGAAGAAAAGGGGTAAGACAAAAAATCGAAGCTATATTCAAAGTTAGGAATTTTTTGTTCTTACCCTTTTTTCTTTAAAACTGTGATTTGTTTTTTTTTCAATGGGTTGTTAAGTTTTATCGTAAGTATCTACTGGTAAATATATGAAAATTAGTCAGGTTTATTTAATTATTCATTATAATTTGGTTGAATCACCAATGATTATCTTTATTATCTTTTTTTCCTTTATTTCCCTAAATTTCCCTTTTTAGAAAAATGGCAACCAGGCGAAGAATTGGTGTTGGCGCAGTTCAAAATCGTCAACAAACCGCAAACAAATTTGCAGCAAAAGGTGAACAATTGGCTGGTGAACAACTACAACAATTCTCGCAACAATTGGATCAATTATCAGCTGGACTTGAGATGTTTGCGCAAAAACATCGAGATGAGATCAAGAAAAATTCGCAGTTCAGAAGACATTTTCAGGAAATGTGTGCTAGTGTTGGAGTTGATCCATTGGCTTGTGAGTTATTTTACTTTACAAAAAATATTGACATATTTTAATTTTTTAGCTAGCAAAGGTTTCTGGGCAAAAGCTCTAGGATTTGGTGATTTTTATTATGAATTGGGTATTCAAATTGTCGAAATTTGTTTATCAACAACACATATTAATGGTGGAATTATGACTGTTGAAGAAATACGAAATCGATTGATGAGAACAAGATCGAGAACTCGAAAAGATGTCATTTCAACGTAAGCTTTTTCTTGTGAATTTCATAAAAATCTAATTCCAATTTTATTTAGTGATGACATTCTGCGCGCTGTCGAAAAATTGAAAGTATTGGGAAATGGTTTTGAATTGGTGCCCCTTGGCGGCGGACGATTTTTGGTGCAATCTGTACCGGGAGAATTGAGTATGGATCATTCGAGAGTTTTACAATTGGCTGAAGATGCCGCATATGTGACAAAGGAATTGATTATGGATAAATTGAGGTAGATTTTTTTTTGAATTTTATCTGGAAACCTTGAATTTTCAGTTGAGTTTTGAGATTGAAATTTGCAAGAAACCCTTTCCACATAAAAGTTTTATAAGAAACCCTTTCACAATTCTACCCAATATTAAAAAAATCGATATTCCAGATGGGATGAAGCTCGAACTCAATCAGTTTTGGATTATCTCGTCAAAGAAGGTCTCGCTTGGATCGATGAACAGGTATACCTTTTTTCTAAATTTTTTAAATGTAGAAAAAAGCGTAATTTTCAGGCTTCTGATACAACCCAATATTGGATTCCTTCACTTTTCCTCCAACAATATTGTCATTCATCAAGCAGTACTTCAGTTTCAGATTCTCTTCACAGTATGAGCATGAATAATTATTGAATAATTTATTTTTCACTATATTTTTTCTCTGAAAATGGCCAAACTTGCTGTAAATAGAACATTGCTAGTCGATAATTGAATGAATTTTATTTCTCTTATATTTGAAATATTTTTCTTGAAATTTGGATTTTCTGTTTTGATACAGTGGAATATCTATAACCAAAAAATTCCGAACATGATAGTCTCTATAAATTTTTCCCCGATTTTTCAAAACGTCAAAAATGTTCCAGATGGCCTCATTCAAAATCAAACCCGAACATTCTGGACCGCCCGAATTATATTATAATGAAACTGAAGCATCGAAATACGCCTCAAATTCGCATATCACAGCAATTCAACATGAAATGGCTGAAAGAGCTCTCGAATTATTAGCATTACCAGAAGGAAAATGTGGATTGTTGTTGGATATTGGATGTGGAACTGGAATGAGTTCGGAAGTTTTGCAAGATAATGGACATTGTTTTATTGGGCTCGATGTTTCGTTGCCGATGTTGAGTGAGTTTTTTTGGCTGGGAAATTTATATCTAGAAATTAAGCCATGTTTTATTTTACACAAAAAAAAAACAGAAATTTTTGGAATTTCTGGAACTTCATAATAAAACCCTCAGATATTATCAAAAAAATCTTTGAATTTCATCTTCTTTTTTTCCAGCAATTGCAAAAGACGATGAAGATCTTGAAAGTGGTGATTTTGTTTGGCAAGATATGGGAAAAGGAATGCCATTCAGACCTGGAAGTTTTGATGGAGCTATTAGGTTTGAAATTTTTTCTGAAAAATATCATCCTTTCTATCTCTCTTCTTCAAATTAACTTTTTCAGTATTTCTGCAATCCAATGGCTTTGCCACGCAAATTCATCAAACGAAAATCCACGAAAACGTCTCTATTTCTTCTTTCAATCACTTTATGGTTGTCTTGGTCGAGGTTCTCGCGCAGTTTTTCAATTTTATCCCGAAAATGATGCACAATGTGATTTGATAATGAGTCAAGCGACAAAAGCTGGATTTAATGGTGGATTGGTTGTTGATTATCCGGAATCGACGAAAAAGAAGAAGTTGGTTGATTTTTTTTTCCTATGAAAAATTGGATTATTGACCCAAAGTTTATTTATTTATGATCAAATTCGCCATTACCTCTGGCTTAAATTTGAAAGTTTGAAGTCAAAAAATGTTCTGAAAACAAAAATATTTTGAAAAAAAACCGTCTGGCAATTTTTGGTAGCAGTAGTATATTGTTATTCACAAAATTACCAATTTTATATTAAAATAATCGAATTTTTTTCAAAATTATTTTTCGAGCTGATTTTCAGTTTTTCCAATACTGCCAAAAATCAATTTTTGAAAAACAAAACTTTGATTATCTAATTTTTTAAGTTTTAAATTAAAATTCCAACCTTAAACTTTACTCAAATATTTTCCCATTCATATTTTCTTTCCAGAATTTATTTGGTTTTGATGACTGGAGGAGTTGCTCAATTACCACAGGCTTTGAATGAGGAAAATGACGAAGGAAGAAGTCAAATCGATAACGCTGGAAGAAGTTTCGTCTGGAATTCGAGGAAGAATGAGAAAATTGTCAAGGGTTCGAAAGCTTGGATTGATCAAAAACGATTGAGACAAGCAAAACAGGGAAAGTAAGTTTGAGAGTTAAATTTTATAAAATTCCGAGAGTTGATCTAACTCCTTTTGTTTTTTTACGCCTACATTTTCAATTCCAATTTTTTCAGAGAAGTTCGACATGAATCGAAATATTCGGGACGAAAAAGAAAACCTAAGTTCTAATTCTAATAACTGTTCTTTGTTTTTTTTTTCATTTACTGTTTTTTCTTCTATTGTTACTGTTGTTTTTTGTTGCTTAAATTTCTAGATAAAATTTTTATTTTATTTTTTCTAAATACTCAAAGTTAAAAAAAAACAAAAAATTAATGGAATTTTGTGGAAAAACAAGTTCTTATCTTTTTTCTAGTAAACATTATCATGTACTAGTCAGTTGCCCTCACTCGGTTTTTACGATTTTTCTCTTTTTTTTTGAAAAAAAAAATAATTTAAAAAATTAAAGGATTTCTTTTCGAGATTTGTGTGTTGGTTTCGACACGAACACCGTAACTCGTTGAACCCGCGCATTTTTGAATTTGATTGTTTTGTTTGTTCGAGAAACCGAATTTTTCTAGTTTTCGCAGTTCATTTGGAAAGATGAGTGAGGCGTGGATAACATTGGCGACAAATGATAGTTATGCGATTGGTGCGTTGACATTGGCGCAATCGTTGAGAGAAGTTGGAAGCACCAAGAAAACGCATTGTTTGGTGACAAAAGAGGTGGGTTTTTAAGAGAGCTTTGCGGGAGAGGGCTTTTCCAAAGTCAATCAATAATTTGTGGTATGTGGGGGGCTAATCGGCTAGACAGCTTTATAAAAACGTCTAACCGATAAAAGGCCCTTTCACAAAATTTCAGCCTTGTGAAAATCTACAATCGATGAGAGTTTTCATGTAAATATCACATTGAAAAAAAAATAAAATTGAAAAATTAAAATGAAACGTGAACTCCGCTACGTGGCAGTCGTTTCATTTTTACATTAGGTGATTTATTTCTATCACTTTTACTAATTGCCAAGTTTCGTACGGTTGACATGTTGTGATTTTTTGGTTTCATGGTTTCTACGAAAATAATCAATTTTCTTAAAGATCTCCCAAAATGTTCGTCAACAACTCGATGCACAATTCGACGAAACAACATTAGTCGACACGCACAATTCACGTGACACTGAGAATTTGGCACTTATAAATCGTCCTGATTTGGGTGTCACATTCACCAAATTGCACTGCTGGCGTTTGACACAATATACGAAGGCCGTATTTTTGGATGCTGACACGTTGGTCGTTCAAAATTGCGACGAATTGTTTGATCGTCCTGATTTTTCGGCGGCCGCTGATGTTGGATGGCCAGATATGTTCAATTCGGGAGTTTTTGTTTTCAAACCATCACTTGAGACTTATCGTAAGATTTTGTTCCTGAATATTCATCAAACCGATCATGTTATTTTCTAGGTACACTTCTCGCTTTGGCCACTTCACAAGGCTCTTTCGATGGAGGCGATCAAGGACTTCTCAACGATTTCTTTGCCAACTGGCATAGTCTTCCAGCAGAACACCGTTTGCCATTTATCTATAACATGACTGCTGGCGCATTTTACACTTATCCAGCAGCTTTTCGAAGATATGGAGCCAACACGAAGATTGTTCATTTCATCGGCGCCGAAAAACCGTGGCATGGACAAGTTGGAGGAATTCATAAAAATGAGCATTATCAAAAATGGCATGCGACTCATCAAAATCAACAATTTGGTGGTTTGAACATTTCCTCTCAACACTCAGCTCATAGTTCTTCTTCTGTCACACCAAGTTATATCTCTGCAAAAACTAGTGAGCCAATTGAAACCGGTCGTGAAGCTTGGGAATCAGGACATCCGGATTATTCAGGCCGTGATGCTTTCGTTAACATTCAAGCAGCTTTAAACGAAAGTCTTCAGAAATAAGAGAAATGCTTCTCGTTTTAATATCTTACTCAATTTGTACAGATTTTCTATTTTGCTCATATTCTTCTTCTTCTTTTTATATATTCATATATCTCTATTGCATGATAAAATTATTTTTTGGTGACGTGCCAAAAAGACGCGACGAGAAAAAACAACAACAGGACCACACAGAACAGGACATATGGTGGAGCGCGCCTTGACCCCGTTGAAAATGAGATAGTATGGGAAGACGAAGAGACGCAGACGTTGTGATGAGACAAAAGGGGACCATTGAAGGGAAGCGGGGGGCGACGGACGAGCGAGAGTGGGGAAAATGGGAAGATTTGTGTGTTGAAGGGTTGGGAAAAAGGGGGCGGGTGTGAAAAAGGCGGATCGGCGCGGGGAGCACACCATTATTTGTTGTATTATTATTAGTAGTATTAGTCGATAATGGTGACCTGGCTCGGCGCGTCCTAGAATTAATTTTTCTTTGTTTTTTGTTTTTGTTGGCGTTTAGTTTATGAAGGCTGGTTATTTTTGTGAGAGATATCACTTTTTCATGGCTCAGTTTACTTTTTAGCTTAACTATGAATCTGAGTTATAACGTGGTCGTGATTAGAAGGTCAAAATTTACCTGAACCATACTTGAAGATCACATTTGATCTACTCCCGCGAAACTTTTCTCTTAAGGGATTCCAACTTCTCTGGCAGTAGAAAATTCCGGAGTTTCGCCGAAATGGAACGAGAACGTCGCTAAAAAGGCTCCAAACCCGGTTCCGGATCTTTTCTCGGTACGCTTTGGCGATTCTCCGGAACTTTTTTGTCGATTCTCCAGAGTTTTTTTGTTTTTGTCGCCTGCTTTTTTCGAATACATTCTAGTCTTTCACTCTCAAAAATCAATATTTATTTTCAACAAACAGGAAAAATGAGTTATTTTCTGATTGTTTCAATCTCCAAACGAGTAGAATATAAACATCAGAAGATTCCTTTGGCATTCTAATGAAAATTGGGTGTTGACTTCGGCAATTTTTGACGAGAACTTCTGTTTCTTATCATTTTGAGCCAACGAGGAGAGATGCAGCACTGTGTGGAGACGCCATAAGCGCATTTCATGCTGAAAATTGAGAAAGGATAATAGATTTATAAGGATGATTCTCCAAGAGTATTATTAATCGTAATTTCTCACTTTGAAATTGTGAACGACCTTTTTGAGATAGGATGTGATAATGGTCATAAACTTGAAATTTGTAAACTTTCAAAGCTCAAAAACTCGAAAAACAAACGTTCATCGATTTTCTTTCTCATGACTCACCTCATAAATAGAATACATCTTGTGATTCACGATTTTGGAAAGATTGCAAGGCGATCCTCCAGAAATGAAAATTGAACGAGCCTCTGCTTTCGAATTTTCCTAGCACGAGGGATTCCAATTGAATCTATAAATAAAACTAATATTCACTTCTGTTGAAGAACCTTCACTCACCAGGAGCAAAAATTGCTAATTGTATTCCAAGTCCACGTTGACTTTTATCCATGACGATTTCGTAAGACGCACATTGCTTCTAGACGATTTCAATTGTCTGAAAATTATCAAATTAGGCAAAGAAACTCTGAAAACTGAGCAATTTTGAAGGAATAGCAAAAACTAAAAAAACGAAAAAAATAAATGAAATGAAAAAAATGACTCGTCATTGTCATCATTCAATGGAGCACGTTCGATCGACAGCGATTTGCTCCGGAGAATCGCCAAAACCAAACTAGAAAGACATGCCAAACTAGAAAAAACAGGCGCTCTCTCGATTTTCTGTACCCACTTTGGCCTATCTCCGGAGTTTTTGCGTTTTCTGGTTCCCCTCCGGAGTTTTCTACTGCCAGAGTTATTTTCGTAAAATATTTTCATTTTCTCGCTCAAAAATCACTTCACTTTAAAATTGATTAACAACTTTTACAGAATGGTTCTTGAAACTTCAACCACTAGCACATTTCTCTCAACCAACTCACATCTCGAAAACATGCTCCAATCACAATTCATCGACGCGGCTTCGACATCAGCCGGTTCTTCATCAACACCATCACCAAATCACACAGAAGATGATTCGGATAATCAGCAACAACAAATTATTGAAAATGTTAAAGCTGGAGAGGAGGGACAACAACAATTACAACCACAAATGCCGTTGGATTTGATGAGTCTTGTGATGGGTGGAAATGTGGGAGGAGATTTGGATTTTTCAAAGATTCTGCAGGTAAGCTTTGATGAGATCTTTATTTGGTCGGGAAATTCGGGGATTTTTTTGAACCGAAGCCTATAAAACTATAAAATTCAAATTATGACCAAAATTTCTGAAAAAAAATTAAACATAGTCCGTAATTTTTGGTGTTCTGAGTCAGTCATCCGACAAATCAGACCGATCCTATTAATTTCGGGACACTATATCCTTTTTCCAAAAAATCCCAGGTATGTGTAAAAATCTGACCTTGCAATCATTCTGTTTTTTTTCGCCTCGCGCCAAATTGAATTTCTCTGGCGCCAGTCACAATTTAATTAGGTCGGCGGGTTGGGCGCCAGCAAAAAAACCAATAACCTTTCTCTTACTCTTATGCCACCACAAAAAAAACAAAAATGTTCCAGGCTTTGAATCCACAATCGACATCATCTATGCTATCCTCATTATTCTCGAATAACAGTCCTTCGTTGAAACCAGAAAAACCAGAAAAGGTTTATAAACCGAGAGCGACGCGAATGAAAGTCTATGCCGATGGATTTTTCATGACATTTGATAAGGAATCATCGTGTGGATTGAAGAATTTCTGGAGATGTGAGAGGAAAAATGAGTGTCCAGCTAGAATGCACACAAAAGTAAATGAGTTGACGATTTTGAAACGGATACATCCACATAATCATCCTATGCCAAGTGCTGCTGAATTGGCATTTTATAATTTGAATTTGGATGAAGTGGTGGCAGATCAAGTACTTCCAGTTAACGCGATATCGAGATCAATGTTCAAATGTCGAAGATTATCAAGAATGTTGCACGAATCACCACAAGATCAATCACTAGTTATCCCAAATATTCCATCTCCTGGAAACAGCATCTCTGCGGAAAACCAGGCAATTATTGCACAATTAAATAGTCGACCAATTAAACGGGAATTATCGGAAGATTCAGATGAAAGAGCTTCTTCGCCAAAAAGACAGAAAATATCCGAGATTGAGCAGTTTGTAATGAATACACCGAATTTTATGGAGATTTTTGAGATTTCGAAAAAGTTGTTTGGATTTATGAATCAAAGTTTGCTCAATAAGAAATTGTTGGTTTATGTGGCAAATGGAGATGAGGATGTTTATCAACCGATTGAACTTGAAACCAAAACAGAGGTTGGTTTTTTTTTAGATTTTGAAAAAAAAATGTAGTCAGAAAATTCTAATTGTGGGTTGTGACGTGGAACAAAAAATGAAAAGTTTATTTTAAATTCTTAGCGTGAAATTTGACGTGGCTTTTTAGCACTTCATTTTTAAAAATTTTATTCGAAAAATGTTGTTTCTATCGAAGCGAAAATATTCAAAACCTGCTGAAAATTATTTATTAAGAAAACTAAGAATTTATTTTTGTATTCTATCGTAAACTTATTTTTTTTCAGCGTTGCCTAGTCAAACATCTCGAAACTCTAACCTCCGAAACTTGCTCAAAACACGTGCATCTAGTCGTTTCATCATCAATCAATGTCGTCATTCACGATTCGCTGATCTCAAGTTGGACACCGGGAAAATATTTCAAACTCAGAACGGGAAATTCGTGGAAATTGGAACCGGTTAATATTTAATTCTTTTTTGTCAAATAATTTCAAACGCCACATCAATTTTCGTGTAAAATAATCAATTTTTGAAAGCCAGAGAAAATACCAAAAAATTAATGTACATTTTATTTTATTTCGTTTTGTTTTTTCGTCTAATTAAAATAAATTATTAATTTTTATCAAGATTTATTAGCCACTTTTTCTTGGTGTTGAAGAATCTCACTCACTTTCATCAAGATTTTGGACACTTTTTCCGGGATTCCAAATAATGAAACAATAGAGAATTTGAAGAGACGGGTTACTGTAGAAAATCTGATTTCAGAAGTTTTTGCCACGTGGCATTTTTGAAGAGTACTGTGAACGAACAAAATTCGAGCTACGGTAATCTATAAGAATAAGTCGCAACAAGGAGGCTTCAAAGGATACTGTAGAATTTTTAGATATTTATTGTAGTTGGAACTAGATTCATCTGAAATTTGATATACAGTGGAAATTTCAAGAGGTACTGTAGATCTAATAACTATAATTTTCAGAATTTTGAACTATTTTTGAAGGGTTTTCAACGTGACAAATTGCTTTCAAATTCTTACCTAAAAGTTAAGCTGGAAAACACCCTTTGAAAATTATACCTAGCCCCACCCAACAAAAAAAACAATCCCGGATATAACCTCTAGCTTCTTCTTCTTCATCATCTTTTTTTTCTCCCATCTCATCACATTTTTTTCCACGCCATTAATAATGAAAGTACAAAAATGAAAGATATCGTATGTTTCTTCTCCTTTTTTTTTCAAACACTTTTTTCATTTCGCGATAAAATCCATGGTTTCTGCGGCTGCTTGTCGGACACAAACCCGTTCCGCACTACTTCATCATCATCCTTTTATCCGCCCTCTCTTTTTCATTCCTCTTTGCCTCCCTCGATTTAATCCACAAAAATATGTAAATATTTTTTGTATTCATAATGAAACTTTTTTATTTTAGAACAATTTTATTTCATGTCGTTGGACGCGCGCTGCGTGAACCAATTTCAAAATTATTTTTCTCAAATTACTATTTTGAGCTTACAGTTTTCATCTAACAAAGTCGAGATTTTTCAGACTTTTTTTTGAAAAAGTATTTTTACACTTTTTCTTTCAGAATAGCCATGCTTCTCCTATTTCTTCTCACATTTCTGTTATCTCCGAGCTTCCAACAACAAACTTTCCAAAATACAATTTTCGATTTACCCGCACAACTCGGTGGTGAACCAGTTGGTGTAGCTGCACAAGCTCAAGGCGCCCCAACATTTGTCAAATTACCTGACGCAGTTCCTCCACCAGCTCAACCTGCACCTCCAATTGCTCCACCTGCAATTCCAACTCCAGCTCCCGCATTCACATTCCCAACCTTGGCACCTTTCACATTGCCCTCCCATCCAACTCTTCCACCATTTAGCATTCCAACACATGCTCCATTTACTTTCCCAGTTTTCACAACTCCTGCTCCATTTGTTCCACCAAGTCCATATCAACCACAACAACAAACTCAAAATTATCAATATAGTGGATATCCACAATATTATAATCAACAACAACAACAATATACAGGATATAATCAGGTTGGCTTAGATTTCAAGAAAACATTTATTTTAAAATCCTCCTATGAACTTTCTGAACTTCCAATGCTGATCTGTTTAATATTCCAAATACATTTCTTGCCACGTGGCATTTTTAGGATACTGTAGATTAGAGACTAGGATTTCTGATTTTGAGAATTTCATTCACAGAAATCTTTAAAAGATTTTTTGCCATGTGGCACTTTTTTATAGATTTGGATTATTGAGGATACAAATAACATGAGTCACAAAAACTTATCAATAAAAATAACAAGTTCCTCCGTTCTTCAATTTTTATTACTGACAGTCATATTTCCCGAAAGTTTTGTTATTGTTTTCTTTTCTTTTATTATTCAAAATAACACAAAGATGCCGTTGTAAACACAATCAAATCAATTAGGAAAGGCAGATACAGGAAAAATACACGAAAGAAAAATCTGGTTTTCGAACTGGATATGTTTTCTGTGGCTTTTGTGTTTTTCCTAGATAAATATGTATATATAACAACAGGTATAACAAGAGAAAGGAGAAAAAAGGAAAAGAAAACGAGAAATCTGTGGATAAAAAACATGAAAAAAAAAAGAAAATATGGATAGAAGGGATCTATAGGAAATTAAGGGTTTTTGAATTTAAACATTATGATACATTATATTCGCGCTCAACCTTCAGCAACCCAAAACTCATCATTTTTCAGCAATACAATCAACAACCATACAACAATTACTACAATAATTATTATAATCAACAAGTTCAACAACCTCAACAACCTCAAATCCAACAAGTACCTCAACCTCAACAAGTAGTTCAACAAATCCCAGCTCAACCTCAAATCCCACAACCAAAACCAATCGAAGCTCAATCATTCGAATCTCAAACTCAAATCGTTCAACCAATCAGAACAATTCAGGAAAATGCGCAAGTTGTTCAACCAGTTCTTAGACCAGTGAGTTTTGAGATTCTAGATTTTTCAACCTAAACCTATGAACTTTTAGGCAGTAGCAGCAGCTCATTCAGTTCCAACTCAAACCGTTGTTGACACTGAATCTTCAAACAAAAAAGCTGAGAATTTCAACAAAGCCACTTTTGGTGAAAATGGTGTGAAGCCAAGCAGTGTTGAAAAAGCGTCGCTTGATGCCGAGGTTTGTACTTTTTCCGGATGTAGGGTTACTGTAGGGTTTGGTACTGTAGTTCAATTTATTTTTTGAAAGATCAAGAGTTCTTATAATTTTTTCTGCATTTAAAAATTCAGATCTACTTAGAAAATCACTGAAATACTGTAGACCTTAAAATTACAGTACTTCAAAAAAAAGGAAAACACAATAAAAAATTTGGTGAAAAACTATAGCATCTCATGGATTACTGTAAAAAATGATATAAATGTTTGATGAAAAATTATTTTTTCTTTCTAGAAAAAAATAGGTTTCAAAATATTCATTTGATTTTTTTTTGAATTAAAATATTCGATGCATATCATATTTAACAGTCAAAAACGGGAAAAATAGAGCTAGTAGTACTGTAGGCTTGGTTACTGTAGATCCTATCCCAATCTCAAAATTGTTTCCCCATTTTTTTCAGGTAGATTCAAATCTTGATCGTCATGCCTGGTTTTCGCCAGATTACGATGTCAAAGGTGTGTTTTTCCCGCACTACATTTTTTTATCCCCGAAAAAACTTCCAAAATTTTTTCAGAATGCCGCAAATCTCTCAACGGAATCGGTGTCAAATTCCAGAAAAAGTTCCCTTCATATTTGCAAAAAGGTGGAAAAGATCGCGAATTATCGGAACTCGTCGAGCAACGACTTTTGGAATGCGAAAGAAAATCGACAGCTTCGCATTGGGATAAAGTCGACACACTTTTGCAGAAAATCAATTTGACAAAGAGTGAAGAAGGAGAATGTCGAGCTGGATTGATTCAGGTAAGAAGAGAGAAAGGGTAGCAGTTGTGCGACCTTTTAAATATTGCGAAATCTACCGTTCAAATATTCAGGAACGAATTTCATGTGTGAATTTATTGAAATACGCCTGTCAATTCGTCGATTCCTCATATCATTTCAAATTGGTCCCAGCCAGAATCACAATTCAAGAAGCGAGACAAGCTGAAAGTGGAGCTGAAAAATGTCGACAAGTTGTGCGAATTGTTAAACAACGTTTGGAAAGTGGAGCTGTTACTTTGTAACAAATTGAAACTGATAAAAAAGAAGAAACAAAACATAGGTGTCTGAATAATGTGCAATAATTTAATTTATGAATGAATGAAGTTTTATTGATTTTTTTTTGTAAAATCCACGTGGATTCATAATTTCGCTCAACAGCGAAGATAAAATCAGATTTCCCGAATCCCAAACTTTCCTGAAATTCTCCAACCAAAATCCACATTATATAAAAACTTTTATTGATTTTTTTGGATGTTCATATTATTTATTTTTTGTGTTGTTCATCATCCTCTTCTTCTTCTTCTTTTTTCACCAAATTCGCCCAAGCTGTGGTGGGATCGAATTTCGAATCGGACCACAAATTGAAATCGGGGCCACTGAACATTGTGTTATATGAAGTTGTTCCTAAATCCATTCCCAATCCAGACAAAGGATCGATTGGTGATCCACATAAATTTTGATTTTGATGGTCCAAATTTTGTTGTTGTGAATTTGAACTTGAATTTCCCCAAACATTTGATGTCGATTCATTTTGATATAATGAGAAATCCATAGTTGACCAAGTTGGATAATTTTGTGTTGGATTTGTTGTTGTGGATTGGAAAGGATCAGAAACTGGTTTGGCTCCAGGTGTTCGAGCAAAACTTTTCAAATCTTTCTTTTCACTTCCAATTGTGAGTCGGCGAGTTCCCATTTTTTGCGGTGAATCGAGCTGGAAAGAAATAGGTGAATAAATTTCAAAGATAAATTCGAAATGAGCCGGTGAACCGATTTTTAGAGTTTGAAAGTTTGAACATTTCATAAATTGTTTTGCTTTAAAAATTCTGCCATGTCATAACTCACTCTTTTAGACAACGTCGACGATGCAATTAAACTTGCAACACTCGGACTTCGATTCTTTTTTCGATTTCGATCATTTTTCTTCACACTATTTTGATTTGTTTCTTCTAATTCATCATCTGTCAATACCAAATTATTCGAAGCAGCTGCCATTTTTGAGAAATCCATTTCAGCGTCACTTGCATTCACTTCCTGAAATTTTGAGGTTTTGAGGATTAACAAAAAAGTTTTATAGAAAATCTGAATATTGCATAATTTGTAACAAAAAAAAAGTTAGATGAGGAAAATATTTAACAATAATTAATATTTTCAGGAAATTTTCATGGAGAAAATTGTGCTTCAAAAATTGTGAACCGACTTTTTAGGAAGGATATTTTTGAAGTAATTATTCACAGGGAAAACTTTAACTTAAAAATTTCAAAGAATTTCATTTTCAACTGGAAACTTCAAGATATTCCAGCATTTTCCCAAAACCATACCTCATCTGCCCAATCCGGCGCAATACTCTCTTGATCTTCTTCCAACAATTTCTCCTCTTCTCCTCCCTGCGGATAATTCCATCCAAACTGATTTACAGTATTCTGTGTTGGTGTACTCGGTTCCGCTCCTCCTCCAACATGTCCAATCAATGCCTGCATTTGTTCAACAGTCAAAGGTGCACCATAATTCCAAATATTCATATATTGCATGGCAGCTTGTGCGGCTGGCGTATCCCACATTTCATCGCTCATCGAAGCATTTGTTGCATCAATAAATTGTTGATAAATTTGTGAATCAAATGTTGGTAATTTATACATTTCTTCAGGTATTTCCTCAACAATATCTTCTTGATCTTCTTCTTCAACTTCTTCAACAATTTCGGGTTCTTCAATTATTTTCTCAGGTTCGGGAATCGCCAAAACTTCCAATTTCTTTGCACTTCCCTTCTTTTTCTCCCGACTTTTCGATCGATTTTGAATCGGAATTTCTTTTTTCTCACTACTTTTCTTTCGTTTATTATTATTATTTGTCGGTTTCGGCGACTTTTTAGGTTGTGAAACTTTTTGAGGAGCAGCTGAAACTGGTTTAACAACAGCAACTTCTTCTTTTTTTGCTGTTACGGGATTCTTTTTCTTTTTCGCTTTCGTATTTTTCTGAGGCGCGGGTTTATCATCTTTTCGATAAAACAGTGATAATTTCCAAACTGAATGAACTAATTGAACAACATAATTGGCCAATTTAATTGCATATCTTTTAACAATCCAAGCATCGGATGAAACTCGTAAAGTTGATGGATTGCTAAGTTTCCATTTTTCTTCAGTTTTTGGCGCTTCTTTTTGAGGAATTTCTGCTTCTTTTGGTTGATTCTGTTGTTGTTGATGTTGTTTTGCTAGATTATTCAAATCGAAAACATGTCTTGGTGTTGTAAATTGTTGTCGAATTGCACATGCAATTGCACGATCTCCTTCAAGATAAGCACAAGCGATAACACAAACAAGGCAGAAACTGGAAAAAAAACAATAATAGATGATTGGAATTTTTCTCTAGTTTTCTCTAAAAAAAGAATTGAGCAAATTTTAAATAAATCTGTTTTTTTTACGTTTCAAATCGAATTAGATATATTTTCTCCCAGAAATGTATTTATTTATTGTACGCTATTAACGTGATTCAACGAGAAATTGAATTTAGTATTAGGAAAGTTGTCCAAGAATCAAAATTTGCTAAGCTTTTTCGTACCGTTTTTCAAATTTTGAGCGAATGTTGGATGAAATCAATCAGTAATGGAGATTTTTAATGTTCTATGATTTTCAATTTTTTTTCGAAATTCGCCTGAGAAATTGTGAACAATTTTGAATTTTCGTAAAAAAAACACAATTTCAGAATTTTAAAAACTCACATCAACGCCGTCACACAACAATAATACATAATATTCTCAAATGGTGGTCTTGGCAATGCTTGATGACATTTCGCCAACATATCTCCGGGTACTGTAGCCGCCAATGGGAACAACCACGCACTTCCATTCATATGCATATATAATTGAAGATCAGCCTCATTTGTAGTTGTTAGAAAATCTGGTGTATAAGCAACATCAAGAGCATATGTTTCATTTGGTTGTAATTTGAAAGGATAACAATTCAATATTCGAAAACCTCGATTCTCACAAGGCACACCATTGATTGACATATTTGTTATTGTAAATTGAACTTCTCCCGAATTATGAACCATGAATGGTCGACGAACAGTAAGTGTTGAATGAAGTTTATGCATAAGTCTTTTTGGATTATTACAATCAGTCAAATGATCATGTCGAATTTCAAATAATAATGCTTGTTTCGATCTTGCTTCCATATTTTCCAATCTAACTCCAATTCGTGCACCTTTTCCATACATTACAACTGGTTCCATAACTGTCAAATTATTTCGAATCAATAAAAGCGAAGATCTCAATGTATAATCTGACGGCAAAAATCCTAATCTTAATCGAACTTTCATATGTGGTTTTAATATCATTGATAATGTAAATCTCGGAACATTATGTGGAATAAGAGATTCCAATTCTTCTCGAAGTTTCGGAACTGGTGAATCCGGTTTCAATGTGAACAATTCAGTGTCTCTCAATGAAAACATCAATGTCTCATTCATTTCAACATGTTCAGATAATGGTGTGAGAAGATGTGGTCGGAAAAGATCGACCAAAACTTCAGCATCCGGGTAAATTACCAATGGAATGACTTGAATTGCAATTGGCATACTTGTTGGATTTGCTAATGTTAGATTGACAATTGTGAAATTGCCGAGAGCTGTGAGTGGAAAATGAATAGAGTTTCGAGTCAACAAACGAGGCCAAACTAGTTCAGCAGATGTTTTGACCTGGAAACAAATTAGGTTTTGAGTGGAAATTTCAAAATTGTCTGAAAATCTTGGATCTACGGATTCACATAATCTTTTCAAATATATATTTTTTTACTTTCTTTTCAAAATTCCCCGCATACCTTAATATTCTTCGCTTTATCCGTATCCAAAATAACAGTTGTATTCACCAAATGTCGTCCAGATTTCACAAGATTATCATATTTTGCTCGCTGTTTTTTGTACAAATACGCATCAATTTCAGCCAAATTAGCTGGAAGTGTGAGGCCGTGTACAAACCATTGACCATCTGCAAAATATCTTTATTTTTAAACTTTTCGAAAATCTTCTCACCATTAGTGTTCAGTGGAAAACCCAAATAACAATATTCATGTGAACATGGAATTTGTGGTGACATCATAACTCTTCCTAAATTCGTCAATCTTCCTGATCTTAAAACTGGGGGCATATTTGGATCAAATCCTTCGAAATGAAAACGTGGATCTTGATTTAATGTAGTCAATCTGGTTACTGTCATATCCTCATCGAAAGAATTGAACACTTGTAAACTTCGATAAACCAATTTTGCGGGAAAAGTTGTGCCAAATGTTATTTTTTCTGGTATAGATTGTAGTGATCCAGTGGAAACTTGATAAGTTACAGCAAACAATTTGGATTCGTATTCAGTTTCAAATAATATATTACCATTTCTGACTAATCCATCTTGCGGAACCTTTAATTCTAGGTCAAATATTTTACCACTTTGTGGTTGAATATCAACATCAATTGCTTGAACATATTCAATTCTTTCATCATTTGAAACATCCGAAAATAGACTTCCCCGTTTTTGTGTTCCAACTTCATATAATCTATAAGCTTGTCGTGATGGAACTTGCAAATTCTTTAGTCGCATTTCAGCTCGATTATGATTCCAAACAACGAATCGAATAGTTCTTGTATCATTTCTTTCAACAAATCCAAAATCGAATGATTGTTTATCAACTGATGTTAATTCAATACTCATTCTCCCTGAGAATTTATTCAAATACAATCGAAATGTTGAAGTGTTTGTGTGCACATAAATCATCGCATTATCAAAACTCGTTGGCACTTTTTTATTGTATTTCAAGATGAAAACGGGAGCAATATGTCCAGCTCGAATCGAAACAACATTATCAACAAGACGCACTGAAAAATGATTAACCGCATCTGAAGACATTGAGATATTCCAAATAGCAACATCAAATGGTAATTGATTTTCAATTCGAACAATTCGTTGATGCGGTGGTCGAAGATCTTCTTGAAGTGATAAATCATTGCCAACAGAGTATAGATTGCCTTGAAAAACATCGGCTTTAAATGGAATTGTTAGATTATAATTTCCTCCTCGGGAAACTGCAATTATTGATCCGGTGTGATGTTTGATAGCTGGCGCAGAATCAGGAAAATCAATTCGCGAAGCATCGAAATACACCTTGACTAGATCAGCTTTCGGGCCTGGAATTTAAGTTTTTTTCCAGTAAATTTCATTTAAAATCTTACCTGCAATAGCATTTCTTCCCGGATACACAATAATCGGAGGATTTGACGAAAATTCCATATAAATTCCAGTATGATCACCTTTTTCCACATATAATGTTTCAAATTCTAATCGCCCGCCAAGTTGATATTGAAAAACGGAGAATATTTGAGAATTCGATCTTTCTCCAGATCGGAGGAGACCAAAATCTAGGATTTCGCTGGTCGAATAAACACCTCGAGATTTTGTGACTTCTATTGGAATAGTTAAGATTATATCATCAAGACGAACGTTCACAACAGCTTGCAATTCGGCTGAAATTCTCACAAAACACGTTGTATTATCAGTCATTCCACCAACAAGCATAACATTTGCAATTTGTTTTGTTTGAAACGGTCGAATATCCCAATATTGTGGAAGTTCTTCGGCATAATTTTCATCGATTCCGTGAGGTAGTTCAATATGACCATTTCCACCAGATGACGAAATCTGAAAATGAATTTATTTAATTTTGTTTTTTTTTGGAATGTGGAATAATTCGTGGATTTCGTGGATTTTAAAGGTTTACGTTTTTTTGCAAAAATTTCATTCCGTTGTTGTTCCGAATAAAAACAACCACATTTTCATTTTCAGAGAAAAATGCTATAAATAAATAACTAAGAGACGTGACCTTCAAAATCCACGAATACTTCTAATTTTTATTTTCTTTTCATTTCTCGAAGTCTTGAAGACTTCTATCAACTCTCAAAACTACAGTTGACTCTACGATTCAAAAAATTCACCTCTGTAATCGTCATTGTAAATGGATATGGATTATGTAAAATCAAGGGTTTCGAAATGGTTGTATTCAATGGAATATGATATCCTACAAATGGTGAGATTCGATACGGATTCGACACACAATTTCCAGTCACTTTATATTTGTATAAATCGCCGGCTGAATAAAATTCAATTGTTGTTGTGCGTTTGCCGATTTCTCTTGGCAAAAATACAACTTCGAACCATGTTGATTCACCGGGCCCGATTTTCTGAAAAATGAAACATTGTTTTTATTCTGGGGTCAGTTTAACTAAGTTAGTTACATTTGATTCATAATATGAGGCCTGAAATTCGACTGAATTCACAATAAACGCATCCATATGTAGAACCTCCTTCCGAAGATTTTTCACATAAACTTTTCGCTTCTGTGCACTTCCGACAGAATTATCACCAAAGTCCAACATTGGCGGATCGATTTCGAGTTGAAGTTGATTTTTCGTCATCTCATTTTGTTGTTGATGATGAGGATTGTTTTTATTTTTATTCATATTTTCTTTCCCAACATAATGAAGTTCTTCACCGATTTGAACGAAAGCTGTGTGAAGCACAGGAATTTCGTGCATAAGAGATGCAGAAACTTCGTCAGGAAGTGGCCATTGCTAGAAAAAAAAAATAAAAAACTGGTTTCTAAAATCAGCTGATGTTTCTAGAATCAGCCATAACCAATTATTTAGAAAAAACTAACCTGCTGATCAGCGATCACCGAAGTTGATATTAAAATTAATAGAAAACCTAACATTGGAGTTTTGGCGAAAATCCATCGACCAACAAATAAATTGAACAAATCATTGACTTTTGACACCATTCGAACATTTAGTCTTATTGAGGAAAATACCTAGAAACGTTTGACTTTTTTGGGGGAAAATGAGAAATCCAATAAAAAGAAAGGAGAAGATCGGGTAGGTAGATTAATGTTCTTTGTTCAAAAAGGGCAAGATGAGGTTGAAAAGTATAGTATTACGAACATTTTCGAAATGTTTAGATTATCAGGGGAGGTGACCTCTATTATATTCATTTTTATAAACATTTACTATTTAACATGAGAATTGTTTGAACTTGCAATTTTTAATGAAACAAATGCTTTCTAGTAGTTTTTGGAGCTAGAGTTCTGTCTGCTTTGGACAATCTTGAAATCAGCAATACATTTTCATAAAATGATTCAAAAATAAAACAGCCCACCCCTTCCTAGAATTAGCTTAACATGACGTGTAACTTTGGAAAATGCTGCATCGCAAAAAAGGAATAAGATAGCTGCGCAAGAAGATTCAGGAAAAATGAATCAAGGACATCATGGAGACGCAGACAAATTTTATCGATTGATTCTTCTATAAAAAGAAGAAGAAGAAAAGAGAAAAAGGAAGAGAAGAACACGTCTTCTTTTTTTGCGCAGTCATTAGATAATAACATCGCGACAAAAAATTGTGTCATCCGATTATATCCGAAAACCACTGATATTTTCGGGGTTAAAACAGATCTATTCAGTTTGAAATTTTGAATTAGAATTTTACTCAAGTGATATACTTTTATAGATATTTGGGATCTGCTGATTGATAAATAAAACCAGTTTTGTTCTAAAAAGTAAGTCAGTCACAAGATGTGAAATACTCAAGAATAAGAGTATTTTTTGAAAGAGAGATGTCAAAAGTTCGAGAAAAAAACGAACGGATGAAAAATACTCATCAGCTTAACTTTTTTCATTATTACACAACGACCACATGTGTTTTTTCAACAAAATAAATCGAAAGCTTAAAGACAAACTTCAGAAAAGTATTGAGAGGTTAAAAATGCAAAGTGGCATGGAAAAAAGTGAAAGAACAAACGTGTTGCTCTTAGGCCAAGCTAAAAGTTCGGCCACGGTCGCAAACTGGTTGGCAATGTGTTGTTTAATGTTTCGACACTATTTATTGTGTTCGTAAGCTATGCCCACAAGGTGAATTTATTGATTTTTGGGTTGAAAAAAATTAGGAAAAAAAAAAAGAAAAATTGTTTTGTTACGGTACGCTCAAAGGCGCATGTGTGTTTTGGATAATATATCTCGCAGCGATTTGCATTTGTGAACTTCTCTCGGACAAAATTGAATATTTTTTGAAAATTAATTTTATTAACTTTTTCAAACTGCTAAATCTACTTAAAATAGTATCAAAATTGAAATGTAATATATTCTTTCAGAAAAATGATATCGTTTGAAGATTTTCTGCTTCGCCCATCAAAAGTAGTCGATCCATTCAATCGATTTGTCGCCAAAATTGAACCATTCATCACAATGGTCGAATTCTGTCAAGTAATCGGTCCTCGTCCGCTTGCAGTTGTTTCCAAAAAAGAGAACAATGAAAGTGAGTTGTTTTTAATTATTAAAAAATTTAAAATCAGCACTTTTTTGTCAGTAACTGGTGTGGATATAAATGAAATGGCAATTTGGTTAATGTCATCTGACACAGTTCCCGGCACAATCATAGTTCTTGAAAATACTCAAACCGGGACATATGCAATGGCTTATTATTTCAATTTGTATGATATGCGAGCTCGCGCGTTTCAAAGAAGTCTATGCATCGCATTCTTGAGTTCCGAAAAACCCAATAAAGAATCGCTTCAAAAATTTTCAACTTCAATGAAACGCCTTATATCTCCAGTTCTCATTTGCAATCGTCGATTGTTTATTCGCCACGTCACAGATATTGTCAAGTTTTCAGATTCGATAGGTAAATTCAAAAATATATTTTAAAACAAATAAAAAATTTTAATTCTGAAAAATTTTCAGATGAATCGACAGTTCAACAATATTATAGTCTGAATGGCGAACCGCAAAAAGTTCCAGATGTCGGAAAATTCAATGTGGTTTTTGAGCAAACAAGATTACTGAAAAGCAAATTTCTCACCAAAAAGTTTCAAGAAACCGCATTCGATGATGATATTTGTTGTGGGCATAATATTGAAAATATGGCAGAAGTTGAAGATATAATTTGCTCGTTTAGAGTTCCATCAGTTCCTCTAAGTCCTGTCGAAACACTAACACCTTGTGTAAGTTTATTTTTATCCAGAAAATAGTATAATTAAAACTTTTAGGCATACTCATCGATTGTTCCAAAACTTCGAACAATTCTTGATTTATGTGTTCAGAAGCAATCTTCCGAGATGATTGGGAATTCTTTATTTTGTGGTGCTCAACCGATTTCTCGACTTTCATCATCTGCTGGACCTTCAAATGCTCCAGATTTTCTCTCAGATGATTTAGAAGGTGAAGAAACTTTGAAAGCAGTCACTGGCCATTTAGGTGATGTTCTTTATCCGATTCTTTGTGGAGATGATATGATTGTTTGTGGAAATGAGCAACGAAGGAATACTGTAGAAGATATGCTTCAAAAATTGCATCAAATTACTCCCAAACCAAATCCGCGAATTGAAAATATCCAAATAAAACATGACCCAAATCGAATTGGAAATGGTTTAGGAGGTTTGGAATGTCAGAGAAATGAGACTGGAAAACTAGCGAGATGGAGAAATATTTTGGATATGAATCGATGTGTTCTCAAATCATTCACATATGATGGAGTTTTGCTAACTGGTCTCAATAAGAAACGAAAATTTCCATCAGATCGATCACTTATTTTATTCATTGTTTCATATTTGACAAATATTTGCAGTCTTGCTTATATTTGTCGATTTCTTATCAAAACTTATGATGGAATGGATAAAATTGATCCGAAGATTTTAGAAGATGACGAAAAAATATTGGTCAATTTTTTAATTGGTATGGATTTCGAGAAATTCAATTCATTAAAAATGTCGCCATCAAAAAACAAAGAAGGTCCGAAATCTAGTCGAACGATAAACTTGTAAAATATTGTATTTATGAATTTTTTATGAAACGAGACTAAATTTCAAATATTTTTAACACGATTCAAAACACTTAAAATCGATTCACCCTTATTTTTGGGATTCGGGTTTTCAAGAACATGCATTTCAACATTTCCAGTATCTGATGAAATTCCCATAAATGTCAATGTTGAAATATCAGATTTCCAGGTGCAAGTTGACAAAATTGCACCGTGTTCTGGTAATTGATCAATCCATCTAGCTGTTGTTGAATGTGATAAATCCCATGTTACGATGGTTTTTTCACCGTGAATCACATAAAATGCCGATGGATTACTGAAAATATTTTATAGGAATTGGAAACTTTGAAATCAGCAGCCTTTTTTCACTACATAATTTTCAACAAATCATCCTATCCTTTCAAAATTTTCAAAAAAACTCACAATCGACTCCACATAACATTGATCGCTCTCGTCGAATAATCATTTCGAATCAATTGAATAATTGGCGAACTTTGCGAAGTTCGATAAATCGCCACAGATCCACTCGAAAATCCAACAAGAATCACCGAATTCTCCACTGGATTTGCAGCCAATCCCGTAATTTCCCCATATTTTTCCTTCTCCGTTTTATAGATTTTCGGCATCGCTTGCGATGTATCCGATTTATACATACTATACAGTATTCCAGTGTCAGTTCCCATGAAAAATCTGACAGGTTTTTCAGTTTGACAAAACGCTGAAATGGCGAAAGATGTGGAATGTCTTTTGAGGATCGGATGTGGACGAATCACTGCGCTGAGTTGAATATTTATCTCATTTTTATTATTTGTATGACGTGTTGATTGCCAATAAGCAACTGTTCCAGTTGCATCAATTGTTGTTATTTCTTCACCAACTCTGAAAAACTTGAATTGTGATCTCATTCGGTTTAGAAAAACAAATCTGAGAGGTTTTTTTTTGGAATGACAAAACAATTCAACAACTCTCAAAAATTGATCCCTTATTTTACGATTTTTTTCGTTCGAAATTGGTCATGTTAGAAATTACAGTTAATCTCGTTTTCAAATTGAAAATTTGTTTAATAAACCGTAATTTCATTCCAAACTTTATCCACGTCATAACTTGCTATTAGTCTCTACTTTTACCTTCTATGCCAGATGGTAACATCTGCCAAAAATGATACATATGTTTTTTCAAGGTGACTAATGTAAGAACAAACTTTTTTTACACCAGACACATTAATACTTTTGTTTTCTAAATATGACTACAACTCACTGTGATTTTATAATCGACATTCCAATAATTGGACTCGCATCTGAAATTGTTGTGGCTAGAAATGAGGAATCGAATGATGGACGACGAAGTGCAATGTCGTTTTGGGATTCTGAAATTTTGGAAATGTGAGTTTTAAATTGTTCTTTGTATTTCAATTAAGAACCTGTCCAAGGTAGAAAATCATCGAGAGAAGCGTCGGATATTGAAGTATCGAAGGCGCACAAAGTTCCATCTTTCTGCAAAAAATGTTTTGAATTTTTTGATATTCAAGTAGCAAAATTTTCAGAATTTTTATGGAAATCAAAATTCCAAAAGACAATCCCAACCAAGCCATTTTAAAGTAAAAACTTACCAAACAAACATATAAAATATTGGTAGTGACACTCAAAAACATATCAACCACCACACTTTCAACAACAAATAATCTTTTTGGCGGTCGTTTTCGATGAATATAAAATTCGACGATCAAACTTTTGTTCAGAAGATCTTGGGCAGGCGAGCCGAAAATCTCGAAAGCAACCAGGATACTATCCGGTTCACCGAGGCGAATACAACTCGCTATGTGCTCTGAAAAATCCGATTTTTTGTCGCAGAAAATGAATTTCAGAACTAACTCTCTGTAATTGTTCCAAAGTGATATGAGTTGAAGCCTCGTGAAAATTTGAGAATCGATTTTTCGCGAATCTCCTCTTCCTCGTTGATTTTGTCAGAGGAGATTAGGATTTCTCGAATTGTCTGAAATTAAAAAAAAAGTTGTTGTACTCAACTCTTTTTTCTTCCAACCTGCGTTGCGGCAAAGAAAAACTTCTTGAATCTCTGTCTGTCTTCTGGAGTTTTTTCTCGATCCAAATCATGCTTGATGAATGATTCTTCAATGTGAGGGAATTGCATTTCTTTGTCCTCGACGTCTCCGATTTCGGTCTGAATTTCGATGTTTTTCGAGTCTTGTCCAGTTTGGGTGAATGCATTTGCCGAGTTTGATGAGATTGATTGTATCGGTTCGAAAATATTGGATGATAAATCGGTGAATACCACAGATTTGCTTGTTTCAATGCCTAAATTTAAATTTAAAATACTCTTCAGGGATTTATTTTAGCTTCAGTACAAATATTTTCTTTTCTGTCCGAAAATTTAGATTTCAGCCTAAAACTGTTGCGAGAATGCGGTTCGGAAATAGGCAATAGTTTTTCTGACTCGACGAGGTGAATCAAGTGGTGTAATCAGAATTTTCTGAAAATTCCTCGAACATGTGTTAACACACTTAAATTTTCGAAAAAGGTGCTGAAATCAATATTCTATGCGTAAACACCGCGACGCACAAATGCACACATCGCTTACCGTATGACGATCAAAAAATTTCACGTTTTTTTTCAGTTTTTCTTTTCTAGTGGCCTAAAAGCGTAAATCACACTCTCACCGAGGTTTTTTTCTGTTTTCAATTTTTAGAAATCAAAACGAGAGACTTTTATCGACTTACTTATCAATCCTCGAAGTTTTTGTAATCTTTCGAATGCTCTTGTCTCCACGCTTTTTCTCTCCTCTTCGTTGTAATGCGTATAAGGTGTATTATTTATCTGAAATAAGGTTGTATTTTTTCCAATTGTTTTTTATAGTTCCATTTACAAACCGCTGAAAATGTAATCTGTGGTGCAATTGGCTGTGGCTTTTCCTGAATTTTCGCTGGCCCTTCTTTTGTTTTTGATAACCTTCGCATTATTTCACTTTCATATCCAGGTTCATTATTTTTAATATCAGCGGGTGATTCACCTATGGCATTTTGTTTTTCCTCTTCTTTTTCAACATCATCATCTTCTTCAAAATCATCCTCATAATCCTCAAAGTCATCTTCATATTCAGGCTCTGGTTCAGGAGTTTTTTCGCGTTTCTTAGATTTTCTAAACTAATTTACATTTTCTTTGGAATCTTTAATAAAAAAATGTTTTTCATTTGAAAATCATTTTAAAAACGAGTAATCAAATATTTCCAAATAACTTACTTTTCCTTTTTAGACATTATAGATGTGGTATACACTAGGGATTCAAAAAATAATAATTGAAACTAAAAAAGCAGTTGCCATAACAACCAATTGCAACCAATTTTTTACTTTTTCTAGTTTTTTAAAACTTTCATATTCAACTTTTTCATACATTATATAAACTGTGATATCCATTTTTCCAAAGTTTCTCTGATATTTTTCTGTTTCCCGTTCCATTAATGGATTTCTCATCCCAATTTCCCGCCGCAAAAACTGGCCGTGGAAGAGTTTTTTAGTAAAGTTAGGTCATATATTTTATTTAAAATTTGATGCATGTCTATTTCTATACGCATAGCTTTAATAGGTTATACGGTTCTACGCAATATTTTTAACCTCTTCCCCATTAACAAAACCTACTTGAGTTTTACTTTCAGAATGGAAGAAAATGAGGATTATCTGCTTTTTCTCCCACAAGCAACTGAAGAAGCTGAAAAGCGAGGTTTAAATGCTGAATTTTTGACATATTTGAGATCAGCAAAATTCGGCCAAATTATTCTAGCTCAAATTGAGCACAAAATGAAATATAAATTGAAAAATAGTCAACATCCAACACATATTTTATTATTACAAGCGATCAGAGAATGTGTGAGTTGTTTTATTGTTTTTTTTTTAGAAATAAGAGGTATTTCTAAAAATTAGAATTTTCTAAAAAGATTTAATTTCACTTGGCCTCGTTTTTTTTTAAATTTCTCACGTTTTCCAATGCAGTCATTATATGATTTTGGAAAAACAGCAACCTAACTCGATTTTCAGTATAACTCGCTACAAGATTCAAGAAAAATACTATATTCTGAAGAAACTCGGGTAGTTCATATGAAAAGAAACAATCACAAAATAAATCCGATGGACAAAGAAGCGATGCCTATTCAAGAATTGAGAATTGAAGACAGAATAACGAATCAGTTGAGAAAAGAGTTAGTTATTATTTCATTTTGAAAACAAAATTTATAAATAAAATTGTAGGAATGTAATACTTGGAAACAATTCAATTTTTTGTGGAATTTGTTCAAAAGGTGGTATTACAAATGCAATTAGTCGAGCTGAAGATTTCGTGATTCATAATGAAATGTATCATGGACATCTGATGTTATTTGCTTGCCAATTTTGTGGAAATGCATATACGACAAAAGAAGAATATGAAGGACACGATTGTGAACAATATAAATCATTTAAACTAAGTCAATCGATGAATAAAGAATACACCGTGAGTTAATATTTTTTGTTATTTGATGGTTAAAATCTTTTTTATTCAGGGTGATACAATGTATGGTTCGGCTTATTTGATTTGCTCCGAATGCGGAAAATATCATATTTTGAAATCGAGATTATCTGAATTGGCAGCTTTGGAACAGAAAAATTCCATAATAAATCATTTTGTAAGTTACTTACTTTTTGTTAAAAGTATATATGTTTTTATATCAATTGTTTTTAGCGACATCACAACGCCAATGAGATTATCACCGCAATGGTTGTTTTTGAAAATCAATGTTCGATTCCGCCAAAAATCACATTTCCAACATCTCTTAACATGAGTAAGTTATCTGAAATAAGTTCCGGAAAACTAAATATAAATTTATGATTCGTTCAGATGTTCGACTGAATTGTAAAGATTGCAAAATCAATAGTTTCACTTCGAGCAAAGAACGAAGAGAACATTTCGCTTCTGTTCATGGATTTTCATCAACTATCCCGTGTCCGCATGAAAATTGTGATTTTCAAGAGACTGATAAGGTTTTGTTGAAGCAACATGTTCTGGAATCACATATGAAAAATGGAATTCTGGGATTTTTTATGAAAAATCATGCGGCTATTCATACTTCTGATTCATCGGTTTGTGTTTTTTGAATCACGAAAAATGTTTTATCGATCCCAAAAATTCCTCGGTTTTTGAATATCATAAAATCTTTACAGAGAAATCTTGGATTCGCCAGACCATCGCAAGTAACCAGAAAAAAGTTTTGGGGTAAAAATGTGCTGATTGGTGGAGTTCCAATGCAAGATATGGTAAGTTATATCGCAATTAATTGTTTACCCATTGAAAATTCATTTTTTAAGAGTCCTCGACTTCCTCCGCAATTTGTCTCGAAAAATACGTCAACAATTTTTGATGTCACCGAGGAGGTTCTAAAAAATTTACATATTCCAAAAGATGCGCTTGATTTGGCCAGAACTGATTCGAATTTGAAAATCTCGACTACATTATTCAATGGCAAGGTAAAAAATTCAAACAAAAACCTTAATAACAATAAATTTGAATATTTTTGCAGGGAAAAAAGAATGGAGTTTACCAAAATATGGTCTTGGATAATTTTGAAATGGACGATATGAATCAAAATATGATTATTGAACCGGAATTTTTGGAAGATTATCAAATGAGTTTTCAACTATCAACTTTGCCAAATATGGAAAATGATAAAGAATTGCGAAAAAAGATCGGGTATTGTAGGGAGTGTCACCGAATTCTTAATGGTTCGAAATGTATCAAAAAACATTGTTGTGAAAAGGATCGAATGCATATTTTATCGCAAGGCGATACATTTCAAAATCGAACTTTCAAATGTCCAATTTGTCGCGAAACCAATTTGATTTGTTCAATCGATGGATTGATTTTTCATATGTTTGATGAGCATAATTATTTTTGTCATTATGAAGAAGATAGTGAGTTTTGGTGGGAAGAGGAAGGAAACGGGATAGTATTGTTTTGAGAAAAACTAGAAAAAAGTTTCGAATTTTCAAAAAGTGCTGGAAACATTTTTTCAAAATATGAATTAATTTTCCAGACTCCGAAATTGCGAAAATTCCGGAAATCAAAAATATTGAGGAAACTGAAAGAATCAATCAAGTTCTGGAAATTGAATCAAATGAGGATATTTTCAATGCATTTGTAAGTCTTTTATGAATAATTTTTAAACTTTTCCTTTTTTTCAGACAAAGAAAGAGTCTGATATTGTTGTGATAGATCTTGATGATGAAATGCCAAGAAAACGGAAGAAAACTCCCCAAATTTTGTCAAATGAACCTTCGACTTCAAATCCAATTCCAAGTTCTATTTCACCGGATGTTGAAGATTTTGTATTGCAAAATGTGACTGAAAGACGAAAAACATCATTTGATGTGGCGGAGATGTGGATGGAGTCTGGACTGAATCGAGAAGCATTGTCGGCGTCAAGTTAGTTAATTTTTTTTTCTGAAAATATGTGCTAAACCACATTCAGAACATGACAGTGCAGAGAAAAAAGTTTAAAAAAAAAACGAGGGTTAATTTGTGTTTTTTGCTTGCCAACACAGCGAAATTTTTTAACATCAGATAGTTGGGAAGGTATGGCTAAACTGATATGACAAAATACTGAATCTCGTAGAAAATGTTCACTCGGAAAATCAGAGACAACGTAAAATTGAGAGAGTTCAGACAAAAACATCAATTTTAGAAAAAAAATACTAAAATTTTGGAAAATTTTCATATAAATTGCACTTTTTTTGTTTTGTTTTACTACCAATAATCGTGTTTTTCCAGATTCGAGAGGATCTGCGGCTGACAGCCATCGAAGTAGCAGTTGTCAAACTCCGGACAGCTTGGTAAATGAAATTTTATCAATTTTCCAAATTCCACTAACCCTATTTTTCTAGATGGATGATCCAAACAATCCATTACTTGATCGAGCACTCGCATCAGTAATAATTGAAACACCATCAAGTCAAGATTTTCAAATTGTTCAACAAATCCGTGAGGAAACTCAAGACAATACTCCGAATGTGATTCATAATCATTCCGTTGATGAAGGGGAAATTGACGATGATATTATGATTGTGGAAGATATTGCAAATCAAAATCGAGAAAGAAATGATGGCGAATCAAAGTTTAGACCGCCAGTGATCAGCAAAGTTGTAGAATTACACGATGGTGATGATGAAGTAATGGCCGTCGCCAATGTATTTTAGTATGTTTTTTTTTTGAAAAAGTGTTCAGTTTACTAGAAATTGCCAAAATGTATAAATATTATTGAGATCAAAAATTTTGATAAAAATGCAGAAATTCAAATATAATTTTATTTCCGAGTGAAAAATTCCAATTATTACCAACATATATTAGTTTTGACTGCAAAACGTTATTTTTTCCAGTGCAAATCATGCGGAAAGACCAGTTTCGGGGCGAGAAGCGAGATTTGGTTGTTCAAAATGCTCCAAGAAATTTTTGACGGAGAGTAGTCTCAATAATCATTTGAAAATCGAGCATTCAACAAATGCAATTGATGATTTGAATCTGCAAGATTTTGGTGTTCCGCTGACTGGAACTATCTTCATTTGTTTGCAATGTTGTGCTGCATTTGAATCAAAGGAAAAATTTCTAATTCATCTGTCGAAACATCCAGGAAAAGCAGAGTGAGTTTTTGAAAAGCTATCAATGATAATTAACTATGTATTTTTGTTTTTTAGACAATGTAATTATTGTTCGGGAGCAATGTTGCATCTGAATGAGAAAGCACATAGTAGCAGTCATAAGGAATTCAAATGGTCGTGTTCATCTTGTCGACCTTTTTCTGCTTTTCCATCGGTTGGTTAAAAAATACACTGACAAGGAAATTTTGTCGTTTGTGGAGATATTGAGAATTAACAAAAATATTCAAGAAATGTTTCATATCATCTGAAAGATATTTATAATGTTTATAATTTTTTGTCACATTTGAAGACTTAATTTGATAAAAGTTAAAGTCAGGATTACTGTAGAGAATTTTCAATATACAGTAACCGAAGACTTCAATGCTTTTTTTCACAAAATATATGAGGAAAAAAAATCATTTTTTTACTCCATAATTGAATTACAGTATGAACATTCTAATCGAAACCTTTTTTTAGATTATATAAAAACATTCCTTTTACGTCTTCATTTTTAGGAATCAACGTTGCTGAATCACTTGGCAGAATTTCACAATGTTCCAATGATTTATTATTGCAAAAAATGTATGATGGGAACTTGCTCACCGAATGCAATATTTTATCGCCACCTCAATGAGTGTTTTGAGATAAAACCAAAAACTCTACTTTCGATGATTGGAATTATGACAGCGACCACATTTTCATATCAACCAGCTGATATGGAGGAATATAAAGCCGAACTCGCGCGACATCCTGAAAAATTTGCATATGTCACTGAATGTTCGCATCGATCTGCAATTCGACATGGAACTTCATGGGCAACTTGCCCGATGGCTAATTTGGATGGAAGACAATGTTTCTGTATGGTGAGTTCATATTTTGTCGAAATCTCATTTCATTCATCTTAAAACCATGTTCTTATATATTTTTGTAGATCAGTAACTTCCGATTGGACAATTTCAAGGATTATTTAAAATTGAGTGACGTCGAAACAACTGATAAACATGATTTTCCTCGCGTAACACTTCATGAAAAATTCTGGAAAAAATATGATAATGTGACAAAGCGAAAAGGAAATAGAAAGCAAACAGTGAATCAAATTGCAATGCAACTTCAAACAAATGCGAGTCGACAACAAAATAATCATCATGTTCAACAAAATGTTGCTATGCCATCGTTTCAACAAGCGGCTGTAACAATTCAACAAAATCCACCAAATGTTCCTCCACAATTTGCGCAACCACAAGTTCCTCCTCCACATCGAAATAATCAACTTCAAGGTACTCCATCAAATATGCCTATGAATATTCAAAATTTTCCACCTGTTCCTCGAATTAGTCTGTCTAATAATCCACCGGCTCAATTGGTAAAACTTTTCTCGGAGTCAGCAAATTATATTGGCCAGATTTTCGGCCGTGATAATGGACATTTTTGGTTCAACCTTTTGCATCATATGTATAATTGCACACCAAAAGCACAGGAAATTATGGTGAGTGATTTATGCATTGTTTCTGTAGAAACTTTGGAAAACAAGAAAAACAGTCTCATAGAACTATGATGTGAAAAATATCTTCTGAGCTCCGAACAGAGCCAAGAAAATAAGCCCCAAAAAATTGACTGAGAACTAGTTTCTATTGAAATCTAGCCAAAAAAAATGGCCAGATGCCTTTTTCGGGACTCATTTTCTTAGAATTGTATTTACAGTATGAAAAAGAGAGTAAACACATTTTGCAATTGATGTTAATCGATCCATCACTTGTTTGCTTGTTTTGTGGAAATGAATTGAAGGATGAAATGGATGAATGGACACCGGATAAATTTCCAGTAATCTGTGAAACGTTGAAACAATTATATGAACAAAATGCAGTAAACCCAGAAGGATTAACTGTACATGATATTTCTACAGTTCTCAATTTGCGACAATTTTTTGGTGAGTTATTCGAAAAATTTGCCAAGACCAGGCGATAGCTCGTGAGATATCAAAAATTATTGATTGTCGAATTACAGCAAAACTTTCCGAAAAGAGGAAAAAAGATGGAACATTCAAGATTTCCGTTTGTAAAATTCATTATCAAGAAGATGCGCATTACAACAGAACTGTTCCGGTAAGTTTTTGTTGAGGAAAACATTTATAAGACAATTTATTGAACAGTCTTCCTTCATTCCGACTGCTGACAAAATGATGAATCCACGATTGTATGATCAAGTTTGTCAATCAAAAGCACAACATGGAGAAATATTGTCGCCGCCGAATTTGCAATTATACAACAAATGGCTTGACATGAGTAAGCAATTTTTGATAGGATTTTGAAGAAACAACCATTTTAATCTTATTAAATAAATATTTCAGTGAAATTACTTGGAACTCGAATGACATTTGCAATGGGTCCTCCAGGTCAACAACCACAACAACCACAACAGCAACAGCAACAGCAACAACAACAACAATATATTCAACAATATCAACAACAACAAATGCATTTTGCACAATTTCAAAGGCAAATGGCCCATCAACATCTAAATCTACAACAGCAACAAATGCATCCGAATATGCAGTTTCAAATGCACCAAATGATTCAGCGTCAGCAGCAGCAACAATTTCAGCAACATCAGCTTCAGCTACAAGCTCAACAAGCACCTCATCGACCAATTCAACCTCCACCACAACCCAAATTTAGATGTGATTTTTGTTGGATCGAAGGAATCTCGAATATTTGTGATCCAAGATTGATGATTAGATTGAGTAATCAGTTGCCAATTGAAATGACGAGACAATTCAAACGATATATTGAAAAAAATATGGAACTCAACAAGAAAATGAAATATTTCGAAGCTATGGTTGGGTTTTTGGGAGGGTTTGAGGCCGAGTAAACATTTTCAGAATGAATTCAACAAAATTTGAATATCTCAACAGAAATCTGACGAAATATCAATCTTTATCTTCTAATTATTTCAGAGAAATGATGTTTTCATTTGTATCCGTCACTTTTTCCCAAAAGCCATCCATTTCAATGCCAACAAAATGGAAATTGTATCAAATACGACTAATCAATGGCTTTCTATCAATATTGGACAATCGGAAATTTTCAATCAGGATTTTGTGAATATTGTCGATCATGCTGTCACGGTAAATTAATTTCCCTCCCTCCCCTCACAAAAATTTAAAAAAAAACTGGATTTTCAGTATTTTTCATCGCTTCCGAATTTAGTATCTGGTCTTATTGTCACTTCGCAATTGAAAAAAATTGAAGATAATTGTAAATGTATGTATTGCAATAGAAAAGTGGAGACATCACTTGATGTTGAGATTCATAAAATTCACAAATTTTCTGATGTCTCATTTTGTTTTATTTGTATGGAAATGTTTGCTGGAACGACGAATGAAGCGATTTTGGGACATTTTTATATTGTTCATAGAATTAAAGGTTAGTTTTGGGTTATCCCCGATGCATATTTTTTAGATTTGCGCGCCAAAAGGTTGATTTATTTTTTATTAAAGTTAAATTGAACAATTTTATTTTTTAAAGTGAAATTTCTAACATGAGCAATGCATTTTTTGTCTTTAAAATATATATATTTCAATATGAGTCTCACAATAATCCCAGCTTTTACCTGATAGCTTCGAGTTGTTCTTAAATGCACATAAATATTTTTGTTTTCAGAGAAAACAGTGCATTACAAATTGGCTTGTCCAATAATTCCAAATTGTACAGGAACTTGTGAATTTCCGAATTTGGTCCAATTTCGATATCATCTTTCGGAAAATCATTCAAAACCAGAAGTTGAACCACAAATTGAAAAAGTTGCAGTTTGTGGAATGGGATTTTTGAATGACGCGGCTAAAAATGAACATAATCGAAAACACTTGGCTGTTGGGTGAGTTATTTTTTGTGTTTTTGGAAAGTAAATTATGAGGAGAACATGTTTCTGAGCTCCCGTTGGCTTTCGAAAAATTAAAAGAGTTTCGTTATTTTCATATCGATGGAATGTTGTGGACTGTGTGATTATGTTGGAAACACCAGACATTTGATAAACGAAATAGTCTACGAACATCACATTTTACACGCTTTTCAAATTCAAGTGTTCTGTAAAATATGTGGAATGATTCTAGAAAATCGAAATGATTGGATACCCCATTTTAATATGAGTCATATATTTGAGCAAAAGAAGTGCAAAGAATGCAATGTTGTGGTGACTGTTGAACATGTTAATTGTCATATGGTTGGTTTTTTGTTGTTTTAACAAAATAAAATTGGACCTAACGAACATTTCCATGTGGATTTTTTTATTCATGTGGCAAACGTTTTTTTTTACCTCACTTACAAAAAATTCAGAAATACTATTTTCAAAAAGTTTTCAGACCTTTATTTTTCAGCCATATTTATCTTGAATTTTACACCCTCCAAGTAAAAATAATTTAAATTTTCTAATTTTTCCAGACTCCTCTTGTCAAACCAAACGACTATCGAATCAATGCTGAAAACTTCGACTTGATTATAAGAGTTTCCAAAGATTTCCGAAATCTTGTGACATTTGGGTAGATTATATATTTTTCGGGTTTTCTTCTTTTTCTTTGATCTCTAAAATACTAGGTTTGATTTTGCTTGTGAATTAGAAATTTGATTATAAATTAATTTTTCTGTTGTTGCTCACATATATTTTTGTACAAGTTTTCAGTTTGAGACTGATGAATATTTTAAGGAATCTTGGCATTTGTCAAGTTTTGTTTATTACAGACAGAATGCAGATTTTTACAATCGAAGAATATTTTGAAAAAATTGATAGGTTGGTTTGGAAGAAAATTTGGAAACAAATTTAATTTCATTTTTTTTCTTATAGTTTAACAAAGAGAGATGAGTGGAAAAATGCAGAGAAAATAGCGAAATTGATCTCGTTGGATGATGAACACTCGAAATTGCCATTTTTACATGTAAGAGTTTTTTGGAGTTTGAAACAAAGATATAGAAAATATAGAATAATTTTTGGTGCATCTCCGGAGTTCTTATTCGATAAAAACCCCCTATTTCTTTTGACAGATCGAAGCATATGGCTCACGTTCAAAACGAGCTCGAATCTATGATGAATCAATCGATGAATTAGTCTGCCTTCATCTCCATGTTCTTTATAATATTTATATAACCCAAGACTTCATTTTGGCTCATTCAACACAATCTCAAATCATTCAATTATTCAACAAAGAGATTCTGCAAAAACGAAAAGAGGAGAATTGGTTCCTACCAATCTTCTATCAAATTTGCACCGATTTGCGATATTTGAGCAAAGAAGCTGAGAAATTGTCGTCAGGAGATGATGAAGGAGAGGCAAATATTTCGTTTTTTGAAGGAGCTGCAAATGTTATTATGGAATGTTATAGAACTTGTGTTTCTGATGTGTTAGTTTGAATAACACAAATTGTGAATTTAAAGTTATTATTTTCATTTTTCAGAAGAGCTGATTTGTCAACAACCAAAAAAGTTGCGATGTTGAATATGACCAATCAATTATTTAGAATTTATTTCAAGGTTTGTGATTCAGGTGCTAAAAAGAAATCCTTCATGAAAAAAATTAAACATTTATTTATTTAAATTCAAGTTAGGTTAACTCATATTCTCTCCATTCTTCTTCCCTTCCATTCCTTCATTTTCCATTATTTTCAACTTCAAAATTCTTGACAATTCCCTCATTTCCAACATATTATTCTGAATCGTATCTCTTCGTTTCTTCAAAATCTCTAAATTTCGCTCAATAACCGTTCGATTCGTTTCGCTTTGATTCATCAAAATTGTCAAATTTTGCGAGGTTTCTTGCACGGTTTTTTGACGAATCGATGAATTTCGATCGACTGAATCGAGTATTTGACAAATATCCACTTCTTCTATCGAATTTCCATCACCGCACTGCAAAGGAATTGTGAGAAATTCGCTCTTTTCAATTAAATCCTTACCTGCTGTGAATTAGTGTTCTCCATTTTTATTCGCTTCGAACTGACTTGTTTATTTATTGATTCTTCTTTAAAAAATAAAAATGACACATTTTCCACATCCTCTCCCCTCAAAAAAAAAACAAAGGTCACGTTATTTTTCCTCCAAAAATGTCACGTTTTTTTGCAGATTAATAAATTGAATTTGTTGAAACCTTTGATTCGAGCCATTGATAATTCGGGACCACTACAAAATGAATTTTCGATGGCTGATAAAGTAGCTTATAATTATTTTCTGGGACGAAAAGCGATGTTTGATGCGGATTTACCGCTTGGTAAGTTTCTTTCGATACAAATTTCATAAAAAATCAATTTTTTGCAGCCGAAAAATCATTGCTCTATGCTTTCCGAAATTGTCCAACCGAATCGATGTCGAACAAACGAAAAATTTTGATTTATCTAATCCCTGTTAAAATGTTCCTTGGCCACATGCCATCTTCAAAATTATTGAACGAATTTCATTTGGATGAATTTGAGGAAGTTGTTAATGCAGTGAAAGATGGAAATTTAGCATTGTTGGATGCGGCACTCGGAAAAAATGAGACATTTTTCATCCAATCGGGAATATTTTTGATGCTTGAGAAACTGCGAATGATTACGTTTAGAACGTTGTTCAAGAAAGTGTGAGTTTTTAGATTTTGGGAGTCGGAAAAGGGTAACTTTTTTATTGCAAGTTCCCGAGGAAATTAGAAAATTTAAAAAAATCCTAATTGTTTTCTGACCGAGAGAAGTACGGGATTTTTTTTTGGAAAAATATCTAAATTTCATTAAACTTTAAAAATATGCTAAAATTGTTCCAAATAAATTCAAAATCACCGAATTTTGGCTTCTCCTCAAGAACTACACTAATGAAATTTTAATTTTTGCAGCAGCTCAATCGTTGGTGGCAGTCAAATCCCATTGGATGCATTTTTGACGGCTTTGAAATTTGTCGGAGTTGTTGATATTGATACGGATGAGTTGGAATGTATTATTGCAAATTTGATTGCGACGGTTTGTTTTTTTTATTTGGAGTCTTCGGAAAAATACTGAAAATACGAAAAATGAAATTTCTCATCATCTTTGAAATCAAAAAATTATATTGGTTCTAAAACTTTTCATATTTCACTTGTTTTTTCTGAAAATTGAAAATGTTGAAAACCAAAATTCAGCATTCACAAGTAGTTACTTCAAACTCTAAAAATCTTCATTTTTTCCAGAAAAAAATCAAAGGATATTTGTCACATCAACACGGAAAATTGGTCGTCAGTAAAACAAATGCTTTTCCAAATTTATCCACAATCACGGCCTCCTAATGATTCACTCTAATTTTCATTCCACAAAAAAAATCAAATTCAATAAAATTTACAAAACAAGATTTATCTTGGTTTTTCCCATTTTTCATTTGTCAATTAAATTAATAAGATTGCATAAATCTTGTTCTTCATTAGCGGTTTTTTGGGCTGCCGAAAATTAATGAAAAATATAAATCACATGATAGAAATGCAATACAAATATTTGAATTATCGTTTTTTTTTGTCTCGTTCCGCCGCCGTTGATTTTCCAGTTTGATAATAACTTTTTGATTCGATTTTTCGACTTTTCAGGTTGAATTCGACTTTATTTTGAATTATGTGTTTTTTTTTTGGTTTTTTGTTGTTGTGAAAATGAACTGGTTTAGTTTCATAAATATGTACTACCTATTTTATTTTCAAAAGTTTTTGAAACTTTTTTTGTAGAAAAAGTGAAATTTTATTGAAAACTTTTGAAAACAGAGCGTTTTGTAATTATGGAATTCAAAATTTTTGAGGGCGGGGACTAGCTTTTAGAGATGTTTGGTTTTCTAGTCCCCAACTTCAGAAAAGTGATTAAAAATTCCAATTTCCTGTCAATTTTTACCCAATGTTTCAAAAAATTTGAAACTTTCTACGTCATCATTTTTTGCTGCTTTCCACCTAATTGAAAACAATGGCTTTTGCTTGATTTTGAGCGCCGAACAACTTTTTGTGAGCAAATAAGGAAGAAATAAAACAAAAGAGAAATGGGAGAGAATCTGAACAAACAATTCGACCAAAAAGTGTGAAAATTGAGAAGAACACCAGTCATTTTCTTGTTTTCATTCATTTTTCCTGTCTGTCAAAAACGTTTCCTTTTTGTTTTGAGAAACTTTCAAAAAATTGAAAAAAAAGTTGCCTGCTGCTGGAATCGAACCAGCGTCGCCACGGCCACAACGTGGAGTACTAACCACTATACTAAGCAGGCCGAGAGAAACACATCGAAATTGCCATTATAAAAGTCGTATAATTTTTTTCAATTGTTGTGTGTTGTGAAGAAGCTGATCAAAAATCATCGTTTCTTGTACATTTGAATAATAAAAAGTTTAATCTCATTCAAATCAGGGTGTGGTTGAAACGAACAAGTATTTCCCCAATTTATTATTTTTCCAAATTCTTTTCTCAATATTGATCATTCATTCTTTCTCATTTTAAAAGAACCAACCGGCACCAGATTTTTCCAGGTGTTCTTTCAACCTGCGCGAAAAGGTCCTAATTTATTTTTTTGCTGGCCTCACCCACCTGGCCTTTTTTCTTTTATTCCAATTACTAAATGATGTTTGGTTGGGTGAAATCCACTTTTTTCTGTGACTTGTGTTTAAATATTTGCAATCTTGTTGAAACTATAGTTAACTCAAATCAATCAAGATAAGTAGATATCTACTTATTGACACAAAAGTTCCAGACTTCTTTGTCAAAAAAAAACTGTAGGGCAAGGAGCAAAGTTGAGAGCTAGCTCTAGTTGCAAAAATATTACGCGGCGTTTGCATTTAAGCCACGCCCACTTGCGGAAACAGTTTTCTTTCAAATTTTATTTCCTTCACACATTGAAAGAAGGGCCCAAAATGTAAACAAATCAACAATTGTTATATTCTCATTCTTTTATATATTTATTTGTTATTGTAAGGAAGTTATGTAGTAAATATAAAACAAATATAAATAAACTTATACTTGACACGGATCTCGACACTTTTAATGAGATTTTTATATTTTTAGAATTTAATTTTTAATTAGAGTCTTGTGCAGTAGGAAAATATTAATAATCAGTTGTTTTTGGCCAATTAGTGACCTTGTAATCCTTCTCCTCTTTTTCCCTATTCCCTCAAAAAACCCTAACCAAGGCCGTTTTTTTCTTCTTTTTCTCATCTTGCCCACAAGTTTTTTATTTATTATTATAAATTTTTTGAAACCGAACAGTTTAGCCTAATTTCTTTTCGAACATGTATTTCGCAATATTTTTTTAATAAAAATTATTTAAATAGCTGAACAAATTTGGATTTGAATTCGAATAAAAAACTTTTTGTTACAGATTTTTCATTTCATTTAACGAACTTCGAACGGGAGGAACAAGACTCTTTCAAAGGCAAGTCTTATCATTTTTAAGCGAGGTTTTGAATCGTACCAAGAACCTTTCTTCAAAAATGGGCCTAATCTAAAATTCTAAAAATGTGGACCGATAATCCCTGGTCCCTGATCCGATTCGTCAAATTTTATTCACAAAAATATGAATATTTTGTGTCAATTCATCCCCTTTTCTCCTTCTTCCCACTCGAGAATAAAATTTTTGTTATTTATTTATTTTTGATAAGGCAAAAAGAACATTCATACTGGGGTACTGTTTACATACAAATTTCTAGCTGAAACTTTTCTATTTTTATTTCTATTTTTATTTTCAATATGTCTTCGGACGAAGAAATTGAGGATACCAGTGAGAATGTGACTGTGAGTATATTTATTTGTATTTTTTACAAAGAATTCTGGGCTTCAAAAATCATAAAAATGAGTCACTGATAATGATTGATTTTTATTTTTATTGGAAATTTAGAAGAAAAGGATAAAAAATGTGTGTAAACATCAACCCTACAGTATTCTGTGAAAAGAAGTATAGCAGGAACCCCGGGAATCACAGAATTTTTGAAAATTTCACAAACGTGACAAATTTGAATTTAAATTCGTACGCAAAAGTGCGTCTCAGTGTTTGCACACAAAAAACCTTGGAGGAAATTTAAAACAAATCAAAAAAGCAAAATATTACCAAACATCAAAGGATGCACCTTATTCGTATTCGCATTCGTATTATTATTTATTTATATTTACCGTTGCTCTTGATGAGAGAGTATTAAAAAATGAGAGAGTGCAAGAGAGGTTGAGAGACAGATGCGCACCAGCCGACAGTGAGCTGTCTCTTCCTTTTATTATTATTTTATTTTATTATTACTTTTTTGGCTGGTTAGAACAACATAGAAATTATTATTATTAGTAGAATAATTATTGATTTATTTTTGGCGTGTAAGTTACCAAAAACAAATATTTTAATTTTTTTTGAAAATTCATATTTTATTAGTTTTCGCGTGACGTTCACGTTTCATTTCCAAATTTGAAATTTTTGTTGAAATGTTATTTATTATTCGAAAAATGATTCAAAATGGCGTTGTTCTGTAGAGCGAACTTGCATTTCTGAAGATGGAGGAAGAATTCTTATCTATACGAAGAAATAAATCTGATAAGAAGACGGAGAGGAAGTTATGAATTTTTGGAAGACATCAGAGCCTCAGAAAAGAATCCGGTTGTTTAATTTAGTTTTCAGTGATACAAAAACAAAATTTCATAAAAAGTAATTTAAAATTACAAAAATGAAGCACTAAAAATTTTCCCAGTCTCCCATACTCACACCTTTGTTAAAAAATAATATTTTTACAGATGTCGTGGATGTTCCGCACACTTTCCGCCCGTTTTTCTCGAAACCGCAATCCACCACGCAACAATGCTCCACAAAATTCGCATTCCAGCTCATCGGTAACCGAGCCAAGTTTTGACACAAAGAAATTTGTGCAATGCAAAGTTTTACTTCTCGATGGAGCGCATTTGAATATTGTTGTGCCTGTAGGTTTTTTTTTGAAAAGAGGGAGGGGTGACAGGGGCTTGCTAATATCATTTCAGGTTCCCTGATAGCCTGAAATGAAATTGAGGAAGGTTAAGCTTTTAAGATTGTTCCTCTCCTGTTCCCAAAATCCTAAGTCAACTCATTTTTCCCATTTTTTCCAGAGAAATGCGCAAGGAGCCGAATTATACGAAGAAGTATTCTATTCTCTTGATTTGGAAGAACGAGATTATTTCGGATTGCAATTCACCGATCATTATAATGTTCAACATTGGTTGGATCCATCGAAAAAAGTAGTGAAACAAGTCGCCATTGGGCCACCATTCACATTAAGATTTCGAGTCAAATTCTTCACTTCTGAACCATCTAGCAATCTCAAAGAAGAGCTTACACGATATCAATTTTTCCTTCAAATCAAATCTGATGTTTCAACAGGAAGATTAGCGTGTCCTGCTCAATTTGCTGTAGATCTTGCAGCCTTGGCACTTCAATGTTAGTTTGAGAAAAATTATTATTGAAAAACAAAAATTATTAATTTTCAGCAGAGCTTGGTGATTATAATCCAATTGAACATACACCAATGTTTATTTCGGAATTCCGTTTTCATCCGGAACAAGATGAAAAAATGGAAATCGAGATTCTCGAAAAATACAAATTGTGTCGAGGACAAACTCCAGCTCAAGCCGAATTGAATTATTTGAATAAAGCAAGATGGATTGAAATGTATGGAGTTGATATGCATACTGTAGAAGGTAAAGATGGAAATACTTATCGATTGGGTTTAACACCACAGGGAATGTTGGTATTTGATGGAAATCAGAAAATCGGATTGTTTTTATGGGAGAAATTGCAAAAATTAGATTTCAAAAATAAGAAAATCACTTTGGTCGTTGAAGAAGACGCGGATATGTCGGTGAGTTTTCAAAAAACATTTTTCCACGGCATTTGAACTTATGTATGTGATTTTGTTTAGAACAATGGACAAATCCAATTGCACACTTTTGTATTTAATTTGATCTCGGAAAAAGCTGCGAAACATTTTTGGAAATGTGCAATCGAGCAACACGCATTCTTCAGACTTAAATCGAAGCCAATTCCAACTGGCAGGAAAATGCAATTTTTCCGATTGGGAAGCACATTCAAATATAGGTGAGGAATATTTGGAAGTTTTTGAGTGGGAGTCGATGAATCGGGTTGGCCCCGATTTCAAAAATTAAATTTCACTCACATTTTTCCAGAGGTCGTACTGAATATGAAACTGTTCACAAAGAAGGTGCCCGTCTTTCCCGCCGTCAATCTTGTTCTTTCGAACGCCGTCCAAGTCAAAGATACGGTCCTCGACAATCCCATTTAACAAATGCCCAGATTCGCGAAGCAAAACGAGCCGAAATTCGACAACAAATCGAGCAACAACGAGAACCTGCACCACCTTTGCCACCAGCTCATCAAAAAGTGATACCAATCCCAGAGCCAAAAATCAGCCTCAACAATAATAATGTGATTCATAAAAGCTCACCCGATATTGCTCATGTTACAAAAATTTGTGTGGGAACTCTTGAACCGCCATCGCATATTCCAAGACCTGTACATGTTCAGCAGACACCTTCAGTATCAAAAATCTCACGAATTCCTGAACCTCGAAAATATTCCGATCAGAATCATAGCACGACAAATATTATAGAAGTAGCGCCAAGGAAGTTTTCACAAGTTGAGGTAAGTAGAAGATTAGTCTACCTAGGGGATATCTAACCTAAGGAACAACACAATTTTTTCAGAACACCACATCACATTCAAAATTACCAACTCGAATGGTTCAACCAATGCAACTTCAGCGAAGAATTGTTACAGATTTTTGAAATGTTTTGTATTCAATACAAATAAATTAAATAAAATACAATATTTTTCTTCTGAAAGCTAACCAAAAACTATGTAATCAAAAAATGCGATGATATAAATTATCAAGAAAAATGCGGCCAAAATTGGGCGAAGTGTATTGATCCAAGTTGTCCACGATTTATCAAGACTATCTTTTTCGATTTTCCAAGAATCCGGAAGGTATGATCGGATTCTATTGATCCCTAAGAATGATTCGGGCACTTCTTTACGACAATTGACAAGAATCATGAAAATGAAATGAATTGCCAAGCTCAAAATAGTTGAAATCATAATAAGTGAATAGAATTTGATGCACGGAGGAGAATAACTCATTGCAAGGGGAATTTTTTTGATTATATCTTGCAAGAAGATTAGTTGAATAAACATAGTTGACATAAGTGTATAACAGGCAAGACTGAGAGTTGGAATAATGAATGAGAGAGTGTTGAAAGTAGCACAAATCTGAAACAAATATTTTTCATGTGGAATTTTTGAATCAAAACGTATTCCTCTGAAAATCATTCATAAAATCAATGAACTCACCAAACTTGGCATCAAAATTCCGGAGAAAAACAACGGAGAATGTCGTTTGAAAAAGATCACCGAATGGAGAAGCGAGAAATAATCAGAATATTCAGTTGATATGACTGGAGCATCGCTTGTGACTTCATTATTATTTATTCCAATATAAAATTGTCGCCCGATAATAGTTATGATTTCATAATCCGAAACTATTGTTTTTGATTCGGCAGTAACTTCAGTACCCCAAACTGGAAAACATAATCAATTAGATTGTCAATACTCAACAATCACAAACTTACCAAGTTTCATAGTATGTTTATTTCCGCTTTCAAAATATTTCAAGTTAACTTCTGACATCGGTAAAGGTGTGAAAAACTTGATTGGGCAAGAATTGATATCATTTGGATATCTGTAGAAATCGAATTCACAAGCCAGTTTAAAATTAAACGAAGGACTTGTCTCCATTCTTGCTCCCTTGTCTTTCCCTAGATTGACTGCTGTCACTTTCGTATTTCCACCGAAACTGTATTCACTTCCTTCTATTGAATTCATAATTTTGATATTTGGTTTCCAAACATCCCATCGATTGAATTGGACACGTTCGACACTGTGTTTTGTAATATCCCAACCAAGAAATTCATCCGTCCAGGTCTGCAAGAAAGGTCGTTTGGTATAAGTAAAATTAAATGAAAAAGTTACCATAAAAGCATGTCCCATAACTCGCATACTTTGATCCTTTTCATCAATCGAAATATGTGTTATATGCAGGAAAAGTTTTACTTCTGTTGTCCTACTTCCATTTCTGAAAATAAAAATCCTGAACGTCGATTTCTTTTTCCGACCTGGTTTTCAAGATGGCTGTGGAATTTCGGTCTAATTCAAAAATTTCCAACAACTAGACGAACCTTATTCATGGTCTGATTAGGCATGTAAAAATCAAATTAATTCAAAAACTCACACGACAGGCCTCCGATGTGTGTCATATTTCTTCAACAAAGCCGCCTGAAGTACCCCAAGTACTTGATTATGCGTTTTATTAACCTCAACCTCCTCAGGATCTTTCACCACATCATTATAATCTTCCGAATCAATTCCATCTTGAGAAACCGAAAACGGAATCGAAAAAAATAAGAGGAATAAAAGAATGGATAACATCAACAAATTTGCGAATAAATAACTAAACTAAACTAATTGAATAGTTGATGAATGTTTATTATTATTATCATCGAAAATAAACAGTTTCTCATATTTCTCATTTTTCGAAAGGAAATTTGATATTTATATGGAAAGGAAGGTGTCAATGGGGGAGTGTGGATGAGAAGAAGAAGATAAATGCGACAAAATTTGAATATTTCTATAACTAGCTAGTATACTCTTCAAAACACAAAGTTTGATAGAACCTCAGGGTTCCCAAATCCCAAAAATTTTTACGGGTCTTCTAAAACTCTGGACTTTCACCTTAAGAAAAAAATAACCCGAATATTTTCCGATTTTTGGCACATGCCGTAATATGTGTTTTTCAGTAAACCAAAAAAAATCAGGCGTTCTTCGAATCTTGGAATTTGCGATAAATAACCCAGTATTATTTTTTGAAAACTTCAAGTAATCGCTATTTAATGACTTCTCTATTTCTCATTTTTCTTGCTCAAATGCAGATTTCAATTGTCACTCACTCCAAATGACTGACAGCTTGCTTTCTATTCTAGTTCTCCCGCAAAAACCTTCCAAAAAATCTCATAAGAAAAAACAAACCGGATGTCCGTTTCCGCTTTGACTCTAGTTAGGACATCTCACCTTTTCATTTTGAATTTTTTCAAAGTTGTATTTTTAGTTCATAAAAAAAGAAACTTACACATTCCCAATGGGAATATCACTCTTCACAAAATACTCAACTTTTTTGCATTTTTTCTTGCAAAGCTATATCTCTAGGTCCTTGAACACAAATAGGTTTGGTTATTTTCTAGAAAATCTTATAGGCTTCATGTTTTTATAAATGCGAAAAATAGGACACCTTTAATTATAAAATATAAGTTATCCAAAATTGTTAGATTAGGCTGTTCAAAAAACCAACTTTCTATTCTTTTCTAGAAAAACCACAATATTATATATTTTCCAATTCAACCACCTTCCAAAAGTAGAAAAAATATAGATAGATACATATCATTTCATTTTTTTTTCATATTTTTCATACATAAATCCAATTTGGTATATATTATTTTCTCAATATCCTCTCCATTTTAGGCAATTTTTGTGTGAAGACGAGCAAAAAAAAAAGAAAATAAATATGTGTTTGTGTTATTTTGGCATTGTTGACTAAACATTTCTATTTTGTCTTGGTTTTTTTGTTTATACGCGGGTTCTTTTTTTGCAGATGAGATTCGACGAAAAATGACATCGACGACCGCGAAATTATTGGGTGAGTCTTACAAATAAGGGTGGGAAACGCAGTGAAAGATAAAGGGATAAGAATATTCTCCTGATCGAACTGTCATCTATCAGAACTACATTTTTGGATTACAAAATTGTTCGAAATTTTCTAAAAAAAAACATTCTAGATTTTTATTTCACAGTGAGTTGACAGGATCTTCGGAATTTTGAAAAAAATGAGAATCTTGTATGAAACTGTTAGATCTTAAAATATTGAAATGGTAGACTTATTAAAGGTCTTTTATTTTACTTACTACGTGATTTTTTTTCTCTAACGGTGTATTTTCCGCTCATCGTAAATAAATAAATTAATTAAAGGTCCATTTTTGAGATTCATTTATTTTTTGAAAGAAAATAGGTTTTCATTGAATACTAATTAGGTACACTTATTTGAAATGTGACCAAAACACTTGAAATATTATTTTCAAAATTTTTATAGGATTTTAAAAACCAAATACAAAAAAGTTCAGAAATCAAAAATTTTAATTAAAATTAAAACAATTAATCTGAGCGTGATCCAAAAATTTCAAATTCGATTTCCAATAAATTAACCATTTTTCATTTCAAAAATGACGTCTTGAAATTTTGGAATTTATATTTGAAAATATAAATTTTATTTCAAAAATAGAAAAAAAATGTTTTAAATCCCGTTTCCAACCCCGTCCCTCTTTATATTTCAACCCATCCTCGAAAATTTCTTCGAAAATCATCAAACATCAAAACAACAGCGGACAAAAAATGTCCAACTAACTAACTAATAAAAAATTCCGGCATTTTCCTCCTCCCATTTTCTGCGCTCTTTTTTTTTGTTTTGTCTTAATCAGCATTCCATTTTATTTTTATTTGTGCTCAATTTTCAGCTTCTCCGACAAAAAGAAAATAAAATAAAACAACAAAAAGCAAATGCCATTCTCCTTTTTTTTTCTTGATCCAATATTTCCGGTAGTATTTTTTTGCTATTTCTAATTCTAGCCGCCTTTTTCTTCTTTGTTTTCCGTCTTTCGTTCGGAATTTATTGTTAGTTAGATTATTTTTTGGTTCCAAGATTTTTACACGTTTCGGAAGCCTGGGTTTGGTCTGAATTGGACCGATCAGGAGCAGGCTTTTCTCTGCACAGAGCGAAGATAGGACTCGGAACCTGAACATCCTTTTTTTTGGACCAAACTCGGGAAAATTCATAGGTTAGGTAGATTTCTATTTTCGAGAGATAGAGAAAATTGAAAAAGCTTGCGGAACGGCGCCTATAAATTTTTATGACCCTCGTTTTGACAATATGCACTTTTACTCAATCGTTTAGACATTTTTGTTGACTGGTAGGTTTGAAAGATATTTTTGGAGTTAAATAATTGTGGATTCTAGCTAGTAATAATTGTGGATTCTATACATCAGTTATCCTATTTTGAACACAATTTTTGTAAAAATTTTTTCAACCATAATTTTGAAGTTTTCCGAGGCCACCCTTCAAAAAACTCTAAACGCATAGAAACATAACTACCAAAAAATGAAAAATGCCTAGCCATTAATAAAAATTTTCCTGCACATCTACTCCTGCTCTTCCAAAAACAAAAACGTTCCTCGTTTTTCTCGACGAAACACAAAACTATCAACACGGCCATCCATCTTGCCCACCTAATCTTCCTTTTTTCCTCGTTTTCCCTTCCAAAAAAACCATTTTCTCATTCAGAAAAATTGCGGAGGTCTTCTTTTTTTCGTGAAAAATCTTTCGGTTCCCCCCTCTTTTTTCTTGTTGCCAAGTTTATTAGATTTTCGAGCACCAACACTCAAAAAGATACAACAAATTTTTTATTTTCGTCTTCGACGCACAAAAAAACGGCAAATTTTTTCGCTGCGATTTACATATTACTCGTCTTTTTTTTAGTTTTTTGTCAGAAAATAATGGGTCTTTAGAGAAAATGAGAGGTTTCTCAAACCAAAACCAAATCTAAAATTCCTCGTATTTTCTGAGATACCCTGTATTTTCTGAAAAAAAATCTAAAATTTTCAGAAAATGAATCCAATGGTCCATTTTTTTTAAAGTATAAGAACTTTAAAAAACGGTTCTGAAACTTTTTTTGAGTGCATTTCGAGGCCCTGTTCGAATATAAAAAATTGCGGAAAAACTGAGAAATGAAAAGTTTCTCAAAAAATTATTTCAAAGGTGCTGAAAATGGGTTTTTTCGGATCAACTTTTAATTTCCAAAGAACCTTTCTTTCTTATTTGAGCCGAATCATTAATATTATTATTAGTGTTGAAGTAACAAAAAAAATAATTTTCGTTTCTTTTTCTTCTTCTCACACTCTTCTCGTTTTTTCTCCATTTTTGTTGTGTTTATATGTGTGCATCTCATTAAGAATCCCTCGTTTTTTCCGTTTTCCCGTTTCTTTTTTTGCTCCAGGCACCTTTTCTTCGCCATCTAATTGCTACATATTTACTTTTTCTTTTCTATTTTCTCTCATTCAGAATTCTAGTGAGATTCTGAGATGGCGAATAAATCAAAAATATCCATTTTCATTTTTTTTTTCTCTGTAATATGAAACTTTTTTCCGAAAAGGGAGGAGTTTGGCTCTCACATTTGAAAGTGCATGCTCATTTTTTAAATTTCGATTCCCTATACACCTTTCGATTTTCTTTTCAATGAAAAAACATCTGGAAAATTTATATCCAACATTTTTCCAGAATGAATTATCTATCTTTTGACTTTACTTCCATCATCTATTGAAGCATAGAAAATTGCTCCATTTTTCAATTTGAAAACTGCTGCACTTTTTATGCTTTTCACACATTCCTCCCCATTCACTGTTGAATGCAAAAATTGTTTTTGACACATTTTGTTGTTGTTTCAAAATGAAAAATGTGTTTTTGCAGGTTTGTCAGCGTGCCGTGCGGCTGCATTGTCGACGACAATGCTGACGCGAAGGAAATCGTCGGTGGAGGGGGTAAAAACAGAAAAACGGCGGAGAGGTGAATCGATTGGTGGAGCATTTACTGATATGATTAATATTGAGCCGACGAGTATTATCAATAAATCAACAGGTAAGATTACTTTGGTTAGAACTTTGGAGAAAATTTTAAAAAGTACTGATAAACTCTTTCCCCTGTAAGAACCTGGAACCATACAGTTTCTCAGGACTGCCTTTGGCCCTGCAAAGAAACGTCAGCCGCCTAGAGTAAAAAATTATCACTATCTTTCTAAAAAACCGAACCTCATCTTCACTATTAATTCAGAACTTCTACATGAGAGAGCTGTTCGAGATTTAGTGCGAATCGCTTGTCTTTTGTCAATGATATCAGTTTGTCTTCATACACCAGATACAATTAAAATGTGGCCTCCGCTGAATTATGTCATATTTGCAAATGATATCATAGTGACTCTGATATTTTTGGCCGAAGCGATTGTGACTATCAAGACAAATGGGTTGCTTGAGGTATCTTATTGACATTTACATAAATTAAAACCGATATATTTCTTTTGCAGAACCCTGGTTCTTATTTACGAGATCGATGGTATCAATTCGAGTTTTTTCTTCTATTAATTCATTTTTTGTGTTGTTTCCTTCATGGTTATGAACTTTGTTCAATATGGTTCGAATCTCTTCAACTTGTTTATTCACCGTGGTTTGGAGCATTCCGATCACCTCGACCATTTGTATTCTTGCGATTTATAAGATCAATTGTGAAGTTCAAACTTCCAAAAAATAGAATAAAATTAATCATGAAGTTAGTCAACCTGTACTTTCTGAGTAAATCAAATAACCAATATCTTTCAGACGATCTTCTCAACAAATTCAAAATGTCACAATATTTTTTATGTTTTTCGTATTTTCGTATGCTATAATGGGTGTTCAAATCTTCGGTCGTTTGAATTATCATTGTGTAGTTAAAGGTACAAATCCAAGAGCGGTCACAATAGCTGATCTTGCTATTCCTGATACAATGTGTTCACCTCCCGGTGAAGGAGGATATGAGTGTCCGAATAATATGGTTTGTATGGAACTTGAATTGGGAGCACAACAAGAGGGTTATTATGGACAATTCAGTGATTTTGCTTCATCATTGTTTACTGTATATTTGGCAGCAAGTCAAGAAGGATGGGCTTATGTACTTTATGATTGTCTGGATTCTCTACCATCGGTTCTAGCATTCTCCTATTTTGTAACTCTTATATTTTTCCTCGCTTGGCTTGTCAAGGTGAGTTTTTTTCAAGATTGAAGACCAATCAAATATATGAGTTCAGAATGTTTTCATCGCCGTTATCACCGAAACTTTTGCTGAAATCCGTGTTCAATTCAGTGAAATGTGGCAGACACGTGAAACATCATCTGAACATTCTTATACCCAAAAACTGGAGAAAGATGATGATGGTTGGAAGTTAGTTGAAATTGACAAATATAATCGAAATCATGCAAATAGCTCACAATTTTTACACAAGGTATCTGAAAATTATATCTTTCAAAATAACCAGATAAAATTTCAGATTGTTACATCATTAGCATTCCAAACTCTGATGCAGTTTTTGATTCTATCGAATGCTATTTTTCACGCAACTTTCGTATTTTATCACGATGAAAGTGATCAAGTTAGAAAAGTTTGGTATTACTGGGTTGAAGTTGGCTTCACGTGTTTGTTCAATCTCGAAGTTGCTCTGAAAATCTACTCTTTCGGATGGAAATCTTTCATTTCTCGCGGAGTTCATAAATTCGATTGTCTTCTTTGTTTAGGATCTACATTGAATTCGGTTTGGGTTCTATACGAGACAAATATCTTTACCTATTTTCAAGTATTTCGTATTGCTCGACTTATCAAAGCCTCTCCAATGCTCGAAGATTTTGTTTACAAAATATTTGGACCCGGAAAGAAACTTGGTGGACTCGTTATTTTCACATGTATTCTATTGATTATTACATCAGCTATCTCACTCCAACTCTTTTGCTATGTGCCAAAACTAAACAAATTCACCAATTTTCCAGTCGCTTTTATGTCAATGTTTCAAATTATCACGCAAGAAGGTTGGACAGATGTTGTTATTGAAATTTTGCGAGCATGTAATGAAGCGTGGGTACCATTCGTGGCAATTTATTTTGTAGGATATCATTTGTTAGTGACACTGGTAAGAAAAATTGAAAAAGTCAAACTTTAATAAAATATTTCACAGATTGTGCTCTCACTTTTCGTTGCCGTTATTCTTGATAACTTGGAAATGGACGAAGAATTGAAAAAAGTAAAACAATTAAAAGCTCGGGAACAAGATACTATAAAAACAACACTCCCAATGCGTCTCCGAATCTTTAATCGTTTTCCAACTGCACCAACAATGGTTCGAATGAAAAAAGTTCCATCGGAATTTCCACTTCCAAAGATTCGCGATTCATTCACTCGACAATTCGCCGATGAATTTTTTGATGCAACAGAAGATCCTCTACAAGAATATGGAGTACGTCAGAAATCAATGTTATCGTCGAGGAATGGGCAGAGAGGACCATCAAAAGAATCGAAGCTCACAACGGCTATCAGACATACTGGTCAATTGAGCAATAAATCAATATTGACATCTATGTTGACGTAAGTATACAAAAATTTCAATAACTTCTAACAGAAAATGTCTTTTTTCAGTGAGTCAAATAAAAATCGCGCTTTATTTTCGGAATCTAATCAACATCTAGCAAGTCTTACACGAACCAACACAAATTCAAAACACACGAAAAGTGCAATAAATGCACCAGGTCAAACTCGAAGAGGTCTTGCATCAATGAAAGGAATCGAAGGATTTAAAGAAAACGGAGATCTTCGACCAGAAGACACTGCAAGAAAAGTTGAAAAACACGGGGAAATTGATATTAAAGCTATTCAAATGAAGCGAGCACATGCAGAAATTACACGGTATGTTAAGTGAACATTTTTTAAATATCTATTAGATGTTTTGAATTACAGAAATCGAATCGAAGAGGAAATGCGAGAAAACCATCCAATGTTTGATCGACCACTATTTCTTGTTGGCAGAGAATCTTCGCTTCGAAGAATGTGTCAACTAATTGCACATTCCCGACATTGTTATGATCAAACAGCACAACAACATCGAAAACATTCGAAAAAATATAAGCAGATGCAGTAAGTAGAAATTATTAACATTAAAAATTCACTGAAAATTTTAATTTTCAGTGATTTCCTAGCAATTATGACGTATCTCGATTGGGCGATGGTTTTGATAACAACTTTATCATGTTTCTGTATGCTGTGGGAATCCCCTTGGCCAACTACCGGAGAAAATTTGATTTTCAACAACTTTTATCTACAAGTTTGTTTCTTCAATATTGTTTAACTTCAATCATTTTTTTAGATCAGCGAATATCTTTTTGTTTTTGGAATGAGTTTTGAACTAATTGTTAAATGTATAGCAAATGGATTGTTTTTCACACCGAAAGCTTTGGTAACAGACGTTGGAGATGTGATGACAATATTTATCTACTTGGTAATAATTAATAAATGTATCCTGGAAAATTTCTAAATTTTCAGACAAGTCTTCTTTTCATCGCTTGGATGCCAACACATATTGAGATCAATAGCTGGGCTCAATTATTGATGATTTGTCGAGCAATGAGACCACTTCGAGTTTATGCATTAGTTCCACATATTCGAAGAGTTGTTGTTGAACTTTGTCGAGGATTCAGAGAAATTCTACTTGTAACAATTCTTCTCGTTGTTCTCATGTTCATTTTTGCAAGTTTTGGTGTTCAACTTGTTGGTGGAAAACTTGCAGCTTGTAATGATGCTTCGATTACGACGCGTGAAGATTGCCACGGATTATTTGATTTGCAAATTTTTGTCACAAGAATGGAGATCAAAGGAAAACACGAAGCTGGTGTTCATCCTTCAATAAGAGTTCCACGAGTATGGAGAAATCCTCGGAACTTCAATTTCGATCATATTGGAAATGCAATGCTCGCACTTTTCGAAACACTTTCCTATAAAGGTTGGAATGTCGTTCGCGATGTTTTATACAATCGACACGGGGCCTGGGCTGTGTTATTCATCCACATTTATGTATTTATCGGATGTATGATTGGATTGACTTTGTTTGTCGGTGTTGTCGTCGCAAACTACACCGAGAATCGTGGAACAGCTCTACTTACTGTTGATCAACGTCGTTGGCACGATTTGAAAGCTCGTTTGAAGATGGCTCAACCACTTCATGTTCCACCAAAACCACCAGAGAGCGCAAAACTTCGATGTTATTTGTATGATCTTACAACAAGTCGATGGTTCAAACAACTTTTTGCCGCATTAGTTGTGATCAACTCGTTTACTTTGGTCATTCCATGGAATGTGAACGAACAAAAATCAGGCAGAAAAGGAACATTGCTGATTCTAACAATAATATCAGCTATTTGTAATATTCTGTTCACTATTGAGTGTTTTTTGAAAATGATAGCTTTCACTATTTCTGGTTTTTGGCAATCAAGAAGAAATCGAATCGATCTGATCATTACGATTCTGGGAATAATGTGGATAATTGCTCATTTCATCCTTCAACGTAAGTTCATCTTTACACCTTCCGAAATAACAAAAACCAAATCAATGACTTAAAATGTCTCTGATTCCAGTTCCTGCTCATATAACTGGAAATATTGAAGAATGGAATAAGCTAACTTTTACTTATGGATACACTGTTGTCATTCTTCGATTCTTCACAATTGCTGGGCGAAAATCAACACTAAAAATGTTGATGTTAACCGTTGTTATGAGTATGGTACGATCTTCTTTCATTATTGCCGCCATGTTTTTGCTTGTATTGTTTTATGCCAATGCCGGAGTTGTTTTGTTCGGAATGGTGAAATATGGTCAAGCTGTTGGAAAGTAAGCTCGGAATATTTCTAAATGAAAAGAAAAATTCTGAATTTCAGACATGTTAATTTCCGAAATGGGCGAGAAGCATTAGTTGTTTTATTCCGATCTGTTACTGGGGAAGATTGGAATGATATAATGCATGATTGTATGAGAGCTCCTCCATTTTGTAATTGGCATCCAGGTTTGAATTATTGGCAAACCGATTGTGGTAATTATATCGGAGCAATTGTATATTTCTGTTCTTTTTATCTTATCATCACATATATTGTGCTCAATCTACTTGTCGGTAAGTAATTTCGTAATTTTAAATCATATTTAGACAAACAATGATTCGATTTCAGCTATCATTATGGAGAACTTCTCTTTGTTTTATTCGAGTGAAGAAGATGCTCTTTTATCATACGCCGATATTCGAAATTTTCAACTTGTTTGGAACATGGTTGATATAGAACAGAAAAGATCTATCCCAGTAAGAAGAGTCAAATTTTTACTTCGTCTCCTAAAAGGAAGATTGGAAGTTGATGATGAGAAAGATGGATTGTTATTTAAACACATGTGTCATGAAATGGAACGACTTCATAATGGAGATGATGTTTCATTCCACGATGTTTTGAAGTAAGACAATTTTTTAAATAAACTTCTGATGCATATTTTGTTTTCAGTATGTTGAGTTATCGAAGTGTTGATATTCGAAAAAGTTTACAACTCGAAGAATTGCTTCAACGTGAGGAATTGGAATATGTGATTGAAGAGGAGGTTGCGAAACATACAATTCGAACTTGGCTTGAAAATTGTTTGAAAAATATAAAAGCAAAGCAGAACAATGTAAGTTTTCGAAATATTTTCAAACCAAACTATCAAGTTTTCAGAGTCTTGGGAAGGGAGCATCAATGGGTTCGACTTTCAATTTTCCAAATCAAGTAGAGTCGTTGAGCAAGGGTGTACTGGTGAGTTGGAAAGTTAAATGGGTACAAAACATTCTATAACATTTGTTTTAGCTAACCGAGCCATCACCGGACGATGATCCACTTTTGATTGAAGAAACTATTGGAAGCGGCAAGAAAAAACAAAAAACACAGCGGATCAATAGTCTTGTTGGAGAAATCAGTCCAATAGAAACAGCTATGGGTAAAAAATCAATCAAACGTCCAGATAAAATTAAAGAGCGTCGTGGAACTTTGCGACAAATGCAGATGGGAACTTATGATGAGTTAGAAGAAGTTGAAGAAGATGATGATAATGAATTTGATATGAGAAGGCCATCTTTCGATTATACAGCGTCATCTCATAATGAAGAAGTAAACAACAAATTGTTCATTTCGAATGAGAAACAATTCGAAGATGTCAAAACATGGTGGACAATGTTTGATTGAAAAATCTGAATGTTAGTTGTCTTTCACTACTTATTACGGTAATTTTGATACGCGTATTTTTCATATGTAATTAGATACTCTTTCCGTTTTATATAAATTGTTTTTATTTATAAAAAACAGACGGTCTACAACTATAAACAATAACAAAATGGAGCATATAAAAGTTGGTTGAAAATAATAAATAGGAAAAGAAATATGATTTTCAAATTCTTTGTATTTTCTTTCTTTATTACCATTGCTTCGGCGATTGATCGAGACTTGTTCCCAGGAGGTCGCGAAAAATTCGGACGTGATTTCGATGAGTTGAAAAGAGCTGGAACTCCCACTGATAACTTGTGTTGGGGATATTTTGATGGACATGATGGATACAGTTTCTATCGTTCACCAAATGGTGATAATGCCACAGCTGCTGCTTTGAAAAAAGCATACGGTAAATCGAGTATGTGAATATCGAATGTGAAAAACATTTCAGAAATAATATATCATCCAAACTGGGCTGCAAGTGAGATTCAAGACAAACTTAAAGCTTGGAAAAAGAGTCAGTCGCCAGAAGTTGTGGTAAGACTGAGCTAATCGAGGAAAAAAACAATTAGAATTTTTCAGGCTCAGCTTAAAAAACAGAAAAATCAACTTCTTGCTGATCATAAGGACTTGCTTGCAAAAATCTACGATATTATTCATGCTCTACCAAATGCATTCGAGAAAATTGTAGGCGCACTGAACAGAAAACCTCTAACTCCTCGAGCTTCGCTCCATGAAGCATATGCTTATCTACAAAAGTTGGACAAAAATGTTGCTCGTAGCTTGTTACACATTTTTGATGTTACCGGATGCCCACTTCCAGCTGATAAAAAACCATAAATATTCATTCATTTTCTGTTAATAAATTTTAGCAAATTCAAGATGAAGAAGATAAAGAGATAAGATCTGCCTTCTTTCCACAAGCATATCCACGAATTGATTGATACAAAGATGCTTGAATGGAAACATCACAACTGAAATAGTTATATTAAAAATTTATCAAGAAAATGAAACTTACACTACGTCATCAAAACTTCCAGGATAACGAACATCTCCAGTTGGCGATACTCCAATTAATAAATACATAGCGACACATGTTTGAACATTACTGAAAAAACTACCTGAACAGAAAGTATATTCTAAACTCATTTCTCACGATTTGAAATCCGGTTGATAAGTAGCCCAGTAGGTTCCAGCTGTACCAGTTGTGAAACCATCAGTCCAATAATAAGCGTTCGCCTGAATTGACATTTTCTAAATGTGTACGAAAAAACTATACTCACGCCAGTACACCCTGTAAGTGAGGCATAATCAGCTGTTGAACACTCAGGTTTTCTTTTCATACCAATCCAAATCATCCCACTTGTTTGGTTATACTTATCCCACATTTGGTTGATACCTTGATCTGAAGATTTTAACTTTAGCATGTCTGAAATTTTTCGACAAAATCACCAAAAACATAATAACGTTCAGCAGCTGTTTCGAAACTTGTCAAAACTGCACCACGTTTGGCGCAACGCGTTTCAGCAGCTGTTTCATTTATGACCCCAGAAAAAGTCTGGAATTTAGTTTCTGTTGAAATAAAACTAGATAAACACTCACCCGAATACACCAAGCTCCTTTCGAACGATTGAAAAGTTTCCAACCATATGGACAAGCATCAACATATCCCGGAGTGCTACTCATCTGATAATCCAAATCATCCAAACTGTCCAAACCCGATGATGAGGAAGAAGAAGAGCAGGTTGAATTACTACTCGAGCAACCTTTTTGGAAAAAATTGTTACTCGTTTTTTTCAATAAAAATACTTACCACAATCTTGATATGACAAAGATACGAAGGCCAACAGGGAACATAATTTCAGTAACATTTTCGTAGAAAATAAAAAATTTCGGCGAGATTTATAGCATCTTTGAAGATATGCAAATTATATGCATTTGCAAAATAATCATGGGAATATAGGTTATGGTAGAAATATTTGAAACTATACGAATAATAAATTATTGATGGACATACAAACCCAGGGTAAGAAAAAACAAAAGAAAAAGATGAAAACCGGAAAAAAAGAAATCAAATGCTGGACAAGCCATAGCCAATTTTCATTTTTATTCTGATCTTGAAAAAAAAAATATAAAAATGACTCACAGCTGCACAATTGCTTTTATTATAGAAATCAGAATCAACTGTTACATAAATCTCATTTTCTAGAAATAACATGTACAATAAATAAATACGACAATTTTTCATCTAGTTCACGTTTGTCTTCGAAATTTAATTAATTTTTATTGTTCAGTTCTAGATTTTTGGACTTAGATTTTGATGCGTTAGCGTTTCTTTTTTCAATACTTAAAGATTATTTTTTTCATAATTTTCATATATTTTTCAAATTTTACAGAATTTCTTATCGATTTTCTCAATTTTTCCGAAATCCCTCCCCAAAAAACTTACCTATCGCGTCTGTTTCTCAAATCACACAAAACTCATAGAAAATTCGAGAATCCCAATCAAAATCCGAAATCCTCAGTTTTCCACGTTATTGACATTGAAATCCAATTGTCCATCAATATTTCGAGCTGAAAATCAGAAAATTTGAATGTTTCATGTACCATTGAGATCTGCTAACTCCATTTCTGTTTCTATAGATTTCTGAGGGATTTCTGGGTCTCACAAAAATTTTCCAGCTATTTTTCAGAGATTCAAAGCAAAATCTTACCAAAACCCATTTTCCATCGATTTTTGAGTGAAAAATCCAGTAACACCTCAACAGTTCCGATAATTTTCATTTAAAAAAAAGTCGCTTCAAATTTAACCAATAATCGTCCTTCTCACATTTAAAATCATTGTTGACCCTGAAAACTCAAAAATTTCAATCGAAACAGTGTTTCTCTAGAAAAAACCCACATTTCTTCGATAATCCTCGGATTTTCCTTTGGAAGCGTAAATTCCAACTTTTTTAGAAGATCTAAAAATTTAAATTTTTGACTGAAATATACTGATTTTCCACGCAAACCTGGAAACCCAGCGAAAAAACGAAAAATGAAAATGTTCTCGTCTTGCGCTAAACAGCGGGCAAGCCGGAGTGTCGTTGAAAAAGCCAATCCCCAACTGTTATACTTTTTATGTGATCCTTTCTCAGAGTCTGAGAAGGGGGGGGGGGGACGGGGATTTCCCATTTTGAAAAAAAATCTCTGAAGTTACAAAAAGCTTGTTAGTGTTCCATAAATAGCAGCGCTCAAAAAAGAATGAGAAGTTTTACTTAGGGCTTAATAAGTACATGGTTTCGCTAACTTAAAGCTCATTCTTAGTCATGAAAGAATCGAAATTTAATTCTCTACGTTTCCATCGTTCGTTTTTTAGGTGAAACGGTCTGAGACCTGAGAAAATTGTGTGTTTCAAAAAAATTCTGAACAAAAAAAAATCAGGAAAAAGTGGGCGGAGCCTGGCCGTCAGTCTGCCCGGTTTGGTTTTCTCGGCCAAATGTCACGAAATAATCAGCGTGCGCGGTTCGGCCGTTTTTCATTTGAAGCGGCGGGAAATCGATTGATCGATAAAAAGTAAGTTTTCCGGGTTCTGTGGGTATCTTCTAGATAGTTTTTCCAACAAACAAACATGGTTTACAGGTGAAATTTCGCTGTCAAGAGCCAGCTTGTCATGAATTTGCAACGAGGAATCCAAAATATGGATTAGATTCGACTTATGTTTGGATAAAAATTAGTGAGCCTTTTTGGGGATTTTCGAAAAAAAAAATCAAAATATTTTCACACAGATTTCACGCTATTTTTGGCTGTCCAAATCGAGAGAGTGGCGCAGAGAAAAAGACGCTCGTTTCTCGACACGAACAAAAATATTTTGGTAAAAAACTACTGTATCTACTGCTTCGCGTGTGTCTTTTTCACGCGTTTCTCGAAACGAACAAACAAAAAACTATATAACTACTGTACTTAAAGGGAGTTTTCGCGTCTCTGTCATCTCTCTCGATTTGGATGCTCTTCTTCTTTTTTAAAATAGCGTGATTTCATCATAGAATACAATATTTTCCAAGTAAACATAATATGAAAATGAAATATTTATTTATTTATCAAAGAAACCCCAAAACCATGTTTCGCAATCAACATTCTATATTTCCAATAGTTGTTGTTTCAACTTCCGGTTCAGATGTTTGATTTTCTTCACAGACCCTGAAAATGAAATAAATTTGCGGTTAAACCTATTTGTACTACTAACAAAATAACTTTCGAAGGGTGGAATGGACCGCTCAAAGAAGCTGATTGAATTATTTTTCCCTCATCAGAATTTCTTCCATAAACCCATTGTCTTTCACCGTTAACAAAAATATCGTATCTGTCTTTGTGGATAAGAATTTTGATAGAAGTTTTATAGTTGTGCTGTGTCAAGATATTCTGGTCTTTATGCTCTGACCATGCAGTGTTACCCTAGAAATGTTTTCAATTAGAGAATTTCATACATATCCACTTACATCTTTGTTTTTCGAATCAAAATTGATTCCGTTTTCAACAAATCTGATAGAAACCGAATTCAATTTCTCCAATTCTTCTATATCTCCAGTACCTCGAGTTAGACGAAAAGTGATACCAGTTGTTTTATCATAAACCATTCCTATGAATTCAATTGATCCGGTCTCGACTTCACTGTTGAATCGGAAATAAATATTGGGATACATTTTTTCGACTTTATTCTGTATTTATTAAAAAATATTCGATATTTTATGAAGATATTTGATAAAATAACTTACTACACCGCATTTTAAATTGTTTTTTTGTATATCCGCGTTGGCATAGAAAAATAGGGAAACAATAAAGAAAATCGGAACGAAGTTACTCATCTTTGTATTTGTTATAAATCGACTTCCGCTCTTTATTTATAATAAGATTTTTATGATCAATTCAAATTTTAATTGACCCCTCAAATATTTTATTAAACCACACATTTGTTGGAATCATAAAAAATCTCTAGGAATTTTGGTACTTCTACAAGAAATTTGTATACTTACACATGTTTCCCATAAGCCAATTTTCTGGGCGAAATTTTTCTGTATTCTTGAAATAAAAAAATTTGACAAAAAACGGAGGCCAGACAAATTACACTCTTCCCAAGTACGGTGTTTCTGCCAGTCGGTGCGAGACCAATATGTGCGTCTCTTACCTTGTTTCTCTGCCCAATAGGGTGGTCTCGAAACGATGTTAGTGACGCAGAGAAATACCATACTTGTGGAAATTGGCATTTGAATTTCTGGCCTCTTTTTTTGCCAATTTTTGTTATTGTAATAATAACAGATTTCTAAAACGATCGAATCTATGAATATCTATGAATTCGAATCTATGAATAGTTCGTAGATATTTTGGTATCTTTTTATAGTTTCCATTTAAAGATTTCACTGATTCTAATATTTATTCGAAACTCATATCATCATTCCTAAATTTTCATAAAAACAAGAAACATCAATTTTTCAGCCAAAATGAAGGAAAACCAGACCAATGTGCATACAAAAATCGACGGGAAACTATTGCAAGCCTTCTGAAGAAACTCAAATTCTGCATTTTTTGTGATTTTGGTTGTTGACGAACACTTCTGGATTTGAATGTGAGTTTTTTCGGGGAGTATTGAAAAAATTGAGCATAAGACCTTGCACTATCTAAAAAAAATCTATTATAATTATTTAGAAGTGTATCATGAAATCCACTGAAAATTGTAAACAGAGTGGTTTACCAGAAATAAGTTAAGCAAAATTTGGTTGGCTCTATGAACATTGTTTCATCTGCGATTTAACTTTCATAAACACAAACCTAAACATTAAGAGCTCAATCAAATATTTATTCATAAAAACCCCAAGAAAATTATTTTCCCCAATCGTATCTCAAGTTCCCAATCAACAATTAGGATTTTGTGTTGTTTCTTGTTCTTCCGGTTCTGTTTCTTCTGGTTGATTTGCTCCACAATACCTAGAAATTAAGACATATTTCAAAATTTTGAAAAATAGTTCGTAAACTGACAATATAACTTTTGTAAAATGGAATGGACCACTCAACGAAGCTGATTGCAATATATCTCCTGCATCAGAAACTCTTCCATATGTATGTTGATGTACACCATTCACATAAATATCGTAGTTTTCTTTGCCGATGATTACTTTTACAGAAGTTCTATAGTTGTGTTGTGTCAATGCATTTTGATCAATTTTCTCCTCTCCTACGATTTTACCCTAGAGATATTGACAAATTATTCAACAATTGTAAGAGTAAATGATTTGACGACTTACATCTGGGCTTTTGGAATCAAATTTAGTAGAATTTGTAACAAATCTGATAGAAACCGAATTCGATTTATTCAAATCGTTCATTTCTCCAGTACTTCGAGTTAGACGGAAAGTAATACCAGTTGTTTTATCATAAACTTTACCTATGAATTCAATCGATCCGGTCTCGACTTCACTGTTGAATCGGAAATATGTCTCGGGATACATTGTTTCTACTTTATTCTGTTTAAAAATTATTAACCTTTTTTGTCAATATTTTATTAGAACTCACTTCACCACATCGTAAAGATTCTTTTTGTACTTGTTGAGCTTGGCTTTTGCCATGTAAAGATAATAAAACAATGCAGAAAAATGCAATGAATTTTGTCATTTTTTGTTTTCGTAATCAATTGATTTCCGCCCTTTATTTAAAGTGATTTTTTATGATCAATTCAAATTTTAATTGACCCTTCAAATAATTTATTGCACTACATATTTTTGGAAGTCATAAAAATCTCCTTTATTCCAGAATCGTCGTTTTTGTCAGTGACAGATTTCTATTCAGTACAAATTATCAAAAAAAAAAAAGAATAATTGTTCATTCAATCAAAATGAATAAGAAAATACGGATTTCTTTTGTCGATGTTGAGTTATGCTTGTTCGGCTAAGTAGTCACAGTTCCTAGAAAATTTGAAAAATTTAGGGATAAGGACATATCAGAACTAACAGTATAACTCGGATGGGATGGAATGGACCGGTCTGAACAGCTGATCCAATTTTATATCCCTTGTCGTCAGTTCTTGTATAAGTCAATTGTTTTTCGCCGTTAACAAAAATATCATATCTGTCTTTGTGGATAAGAATTTTAATAGAAGTTTTATAATTGTGTTGTGTCAAGATATTCTGTTCTAGTAGTACGGCTCCTGCATATCGACCCTAAATGTTATGGGGGTTTTCAAGGGGTTAGAAAATGCTCTCAATGTCTTCATTAAAGCAATTAAAGATTAGATTTGAATCTATTCGAGACCTATTTCTTGGAGAAACTCATATTCATATGTGGAATCCTGCTCTACTATTAACCTAGAAACCTACTTCAAAGTTTCTCGAATAAAACAACATTCTGGTTTCATGGAACTCGAAAGAAAGTGAGTTGTTTTGTTCAAGAATTGAATCTGTCTCTTTCTCTGTCTGCTCTCCGAATGCACGATTTAGCCGGAAAAGTATATTCGCTGTTTTATCGTAGATCATTCCAATCCACTCAATTGAGCCACTCTCAGTTGAGTTCTCGAATCCGAACAATTTGTCGGGATACATTGTTTCGACTTTGTTCTAGAAATTTGATGTGTATTCTGACAGTATTTCTCGGTAACTACTTACTTCACCGCATTTTAATGTTTCTTTTTGTATATCCCCTGCATGAACTTTCGTAGAAGAAAAACAAACGAAAATACAGGACAGAACCAAGAAGTTGTTCATTTTTCAGTTTTCTAACCATGTTTGATTCTATTTATATGATTTAAGCTAAGTCATTATTATAAAACATGAATAATGTCCTATTATTCAACGGTGATTCAGATGGAAAAAATATATTCGAAATATTTTTGAACACAAAATTTCAATTAATGAAATGTCAAAAGGAATTTTTTCCCATTTTGTATCCAAAGAAAAATCGAAATAACTTGTCATAGAAATTCAAAAATTACCCGTGAAAACAGTTTTATTCAAAATCATTTTTTACAACAAATAAAATAGTCTATACAAATTTTCGAAAAAGACGAGAAACAATCGGTTGCTGTCTCATAATATTTGAAGCTCAAAAATTTCCTTTTTTTCTTTTTCTCAATGTTTTCTTGGGAAAATTGATCGATCTCAAAATCGAATTGCGGAGGAATATCTGAAAATGAATTTTTTAATTTTATTCATTTATTGTTTGAAAAACTTACATTTTCGTCGATTTCTCAAACATTCACAATTCTCGCATTTTTCTTCAGGTAATTTCCAATTTTTTTCAAGTTTTTCAAATTCGTGAAGAGTTGTACAACCATTTAAAAGTAACCATTCTGTTATCTGAATTTATTTTTTTTTTCAATTCAATTCCAGTTGTCTTCAAGAATATTTATCCAACTAACCTTCGATTTGATATATTCATCATCGAATTTTTTAGAAGTATCAATTTCAGCTTCTAATTTTTCAGCAATTTCTAACAATTCGAACGATTTTAGCTCGAAAATAGTCGACATAATCAAGCGAATACAAGAAAAATGAATAAATGAATTATGTTTGCACTTTAGATAATGATTATTATTTGTAAAAATGTCAAAAGTCAAGCGCTCTCTTCGGAGAAAAAAAAAGATTACGAAAATGTAAATAAATATTTATTGTCTGATATCACTTTGAGAGCTAGTTTTTTGTTAGTTAGATAAGCCCACTCTGAACTACTGTCAGTACATTCTTCCTTTTGTTTGCACGAGTATCATAAACACTCACCCACGTTTAAAAATATCGTTGGAATTTTTTGAGTAACAAAAATATAACAAAAAGTTATTATTAGTAATCATTTATTTATTCACCGACTATATGAAAGGCATAATTCGAGAGAGAAAATCAAAAGGCAAATGGGATTTTTTGGCAAAGTGAGCATATTAGAGAGCACCGACAATCGGCGAATATTTCGAAAAAAAAACTAAAAATTGGTACGCGTATTTTCAGAAACTCAAATAATAATATGGGGGAGACACGTAATATAAATGGGGTTGGAAAAATAATTATTTAGGATCTAGTTACAGATGATGATGTTTTTGTGGTAACATATTCATTACGGCTTCGTTCGATTTGCCCATTTTGAATCGGGTCTACACTGTAGTTACGAGTTACGAGATTTCGAACATCTCCGATTTCGTGTTCTTCAGTTGTTGAACTTGCAGCATCAGATTCTTGATATTCTTCGATTTCGCGATTAGCTGATGATTCAAATTGATGATGATTTGATGAAGCGCCACGAGCTTTTCCGATTGAGAATTCAGCAACACTTTCTCCTCGTTCTCTGTAAAAGTATATTATATTTATATTTTGAAGTTTTCTTTAATTTCAACTAACTTTTCATCAAAAAGTCGATTCGAGTATCCTGCTGCATATCCTGTGTTCACAAATGAGCTTGTAGATACTCCTTCTTTACCGTAGTAAGAAACATCGTCTTCGTAAGATGCTGAGCTGGCTTGATTCTATAAATTTTCAATTTTTTTTTCAAAAAATAAATTAGATTATTTAGAATCTTACCATTGCTGATCCTGACATCATTCCTGATGTTGCCTCATATCCGTGATCATGTGTCACTGTTCTAACATGACTATCTTCTGGTTCGATAAGTGTTTCGGAGGTTGTGATAATTGTATTTCCAGATGCATCAGTGGTAGTTGTTGTTTTGATTTCTTTTGTTGTCACATCAGTTGTAACTCTTCTTTCAACTTCTTCACGAATAGTATAATCAGAGCTTGCCTCGCTGAAACTATCAATATCAGCTCCAGAGCTTCCAGCAAGATGAGCACGTGGAATACGAACTGCTCCTGCTGCACCACTCGATTCTTCCTCCAAATATTGTTCCATTCTCGCGACATCGTGTGATCTTTCAACTGTTCCTCCAGCACCCTTCAGTTTTGCTCTTGGAATTCCGATATCTGGGTAGTATTCGTTAGAGAAATCAGCTCCACTTTCACTTGAACTTGATCCTCCTTCAAGAGTTGACCATGGCCAAGCTCCTCTTCCATATCTCAATCCCGCAGCTCCAGCAGCGGCTCCAGCGCGACCTTTGAAACAATGACATTTTGTGCAGAAATAAAGAAGGCAGCAAAGTGTCAATAGAAGGAAAAGAAGAGCCAGAAGAATCAGAAGAACTAAAGATGCATTGCTTGGAGCAACTTGACATTGTGCACCACTCCATCCATCTGTACAAACACACGTTACATTATTTGTAGCTGAATTGTGAACACAATCTCCGTGAGCATTGCAAAGATCGCAAAGCAGAGCTCCGCAAACTCTTCCAGGTTCATCTGGATTTCCATCGATGTAACCATCTGGACATCTACAAGTATAACCAACAGCTCTGTCTATACAATGAGCAACACCGGAGCAGTTATTCAATCCGAGTGCGCATTCATCAACATCTCGAACATGCATACATAATGTATCATCAGTTAATCCTAACATTGTTCTCTTTTCTGATTTTCTGATATCCATAAAACCAGCATCGCATCGACATTCAGCTTGTTGTTCCATATTTTTACATGTTGTGTTGGTTGGGCAGAAATTCACATCACTACAGTAATCCAAAACACACATTGAACCAGGAATTGCTTCTGGCGGAGAAGCATCGTAGAATGTTGGAAGACATTCGCATTTGTAGAGATGTTCCAAATCAACACATCGTGCATTTTCGCTACATTCATTGTCTTCTTTTCGTTCACATTCATTGAAACCGTGAACTGGTAGGCAGGTTTTCCCAGGATTCAATGGATTCATATCACGATAACCGGTGGCACATTCACATTTGTAGTTGTATTTCGATGTTTCGATACATTTTCCGTGGGGATCACAATCATTTTTGAAGCACGGTTTGAATGGATCTGGTTGAACTGGGTTGAGATAAAGATCTGATTCTCCAACTTCGTTGTTGTTTTCTTTGGTGATATATTTGACAAGTTGATAATAAGCATCAGATGGAATTCGAACCATTCCTAAAATTATTTATGGCTTTTTGTGAGAAAATTTATGAAAAAATGTTATACCTTTTCGGAAATTCACTGTGGTATTGAACAAGAGTCCAGAATCATAAGAAGAATTCAATAAAACTGGGTTGACGATATCATTGACTTCAGCACTGACAAATGCATTTTTGAGTTCAGTGTGTGGATAACATCCTTCAATACCCTTTTCAATGCGATTTGAGTAGCTCTGTAAAATATTATTAATTTCTTCACATACTCTAAATTTTGTAGTTCTTACCTTGTATATTTGAGTTTGAGGATTATCCAAAGATTCGCTATACAAAATTGGTCTTTCCTTGTCTCGAACCACCCACAATGGAACATTCCAGCTTTCAACAATTCGACATTCCGAATCGGAATTAGATCTTTTCATTCCATCTGGGCATCCACAAACTTGTCCAGCCAAACAAACTTCACCGAGTTTTTCTTTGCATTTCAAACCTCCACAATCTCCCCATTCTTCTTGTTGTTTACACGGATTGAGAAGTTCATTATCAGCTGCAACTCGAAGTGAACCACCACCAATTGCACCATTTGTACGATCAAGTGATGATTGCATTTGTTTCCACAATTCACATTCATCGATTGGAAGAGCATTCTTGACTTTTGTTGTTTGAACCTCATATTTGAAAATTAATCCTTGATCCCAACTGCTGTTCACAGTCTTTGGATGAGTTATATAATCAACCTTGGTGTTAACATATCTTGGAGCAAGAGAAGTTCCACCAAATGTTGTTGCCATGTTTCTTTGGAATAATTCAACGATCTCAACATACGGAGGATTCTTACTACTTCCATATTCACTCGAATACATCAATGGTCTTCGATCTCTCGAAATAACTCGTACTTGTAATGGTGTTTCATCAACTGGTTGACATCTTCCATTACTTGCTGATCTTCCTTCTCCCGGTTTACAACCACAATATTCTCCACTGATACAAACTTCGCCTCTTGCAATAATACAATGATCTCTACCACAAAGAAGTCCATCTTCTTGTTGAGTTCGAGGTGGTTTGATATCGACACGTTGAATTGTTTGTTCTTGTTGGAATTCGATGCAAACTCTTCCCGCTTCTTGTGGATTTGGTGATTGATCGTAGAACCCATGACGACAGACACACGTGTAACCGTAGTCCAAATCGCGACAATCAGCATTTTTATCACAATTATTCATATTTGGATTGAGGCATTCATTAAGTCGACAGATTCTTCCTCTGTGACCCGATGGTCCTTCATCTCTGTATGGAGAACGGCAAGAACATTCATATCCGCCAGCAGTATCTGTACAAATTGCGTTCTTGTCACAATCATTGAGATTTGATGATTCGCATTCATTGATCACTGAAAAGAATATTTATATTTTTAAATTTCCGGAAAAAAGTGGAACTTACTGAATGAGCATCGTCTTCCTGGATTTGCTGGATCGTCGTCGTGATAACCTTGTCGGCATCGGCATTCGTATCCATTTTCTCGGTCGAAACAATCAGCAAATGCTGAACAACTATTCAAAGATGGATTTGCACACTCGTTTACTTGAGCAGTACACAATCTTCCTGGTTTGTTTGGATTTGGTGATTGATCTTTCATTGTAACCGGACAGCGACAAGTATAACCATCAGCTAAATCTTGACAAACTGCTGAAGTGTGACAATCATTCAATGATCGATCGAGGCATTCATTGATCATTCGTTTACAAATTCTTCCTGGTCTTCTCAAAGAATCTGGCGATTGATCAATATATCCATCGCGACATTTGCACGAGTACTTTTCTGGTCCATTTACTTCGCTGCAAATAGCAGCTGCATGACAATCATTTTGTGAAGAATCGAGACAAATTGGCTCAGTTTGTACACAAAGTCGTCCTGGACGATTTCTAACATCTGGACTCTTGTCAATATATCCGGCAAGACATTCACACGTGTATTCTTGTGGTCCGGTAGCTCGGCAAGTTCCAGCTGGGTGACAATCATTTCTTTCCGGATGTTGGCAAGGATGAATTGGTGGAGGTGTTGGGGGTGGTGGTTGTTCACAAACTCTTCCACGACTTCTTGGATCTGGGGATCTATCGAGGAATCCACGTTTACATTCGCATCGATAACCGTTCGGTTCATCATAGCAGATAGCATTTCTTGAACAAGTATTGTAACGAGGATCACGGCAAGCATTGTCTGAAAATTGTTAATTCACATTTGAAATCAATTATTTGAAAAACTCACTTCTAACACAAACTCTTCCTTTTTGCCCATTTGGTGAGTGATCAACATATCCTTGAATACAAGTACATTGATATTTCATTCCACCTAATGGTTCACAAACAGCTGCTGATGAGCAATCGTGATTGGATGGACAAACTTCTGGTGCAGAACAAACTCTTCCTGGTTGACTAGCCAAGTTTGGTGATCTATCAACATAACCATCTCGGCATTCACAAGTATAACCTTCTTCAAGATCACGGCAGTCAGCTTGAGCACTGCAAGTATGTCGACCTTCTCGACATTCATCAACCAATTTCACACAAACTCTTCCCGATCTTGTCAATTTGTTTGGACTTCGATCGATGAATCCAGCTGGACATTCACAAGTGAAAGATTGTTCATTATCTCGACAAATCGCTGATGGATCACAATCGTGTGCTCCAGTTTGACATTCATTGATAAATTGAAGACAAACTCTTCCTGGGAAAGACGCGCTTGGTGAAATATCCTTTGAATTTGGTGGGCATTCACATTCATAAGAATCAGTTGTATCACGGCATTGAGCATTCTTGTCACAATCATTGAGTCTTGGATTTGCACATTCATTGATAAGTTGACGACAAGCTCGACCTTTTAATGACGGAGAAACATCAATATAACCAGAATTACATTCACATCGATATCCTTCTTTTTCATCAAAACATTGTGCATTTCTGTCACAAGTGTTCAAAGAAGGTCTCGAACATTCGTCGATCATTTGTTTGCAAATTCTTCCTGGTCGACCATTTGATTGATCCATATAACCTTGATTACATTTACATTCGTATCCTTCTTCAAGATCAATACATCTGGCATGTTGACTACAATCGTTCAAATGTGGGAATTCACATTCATTGACCACTGGAAATATAATATTTGTTTCCAAGTTAGAAATTGGATTAAAAAAAACTCACTTTGTTTACACATTCTTCCTGGTCTATTTCCACTTCCAATATCTTTGTAACCATTTCTGCACCGACAAGTGTATCCATTGATTTGATCAATACATTCAGCAGAAGTATGACAATCGTTTAATTGAGCGAACAAACATTCATTGATAACCGAACAAGATCCAGACGAATCTCGATGATAGTTTTCGGGGCACGAACATTTTGGTTCACCGCCTACTAATCGACAAACTTCGTTTAGATGAACTTTACATTGGTTAGAACCATCCAATCGGCATTCTGGTGGTGGAGGAGTTGGTCGAAGTTGACAAATTCGACCTGGATGAGTAGAACGATGTGGAGAAACATCAAGGAAACCATCGCGGCATTGACAAGTGTAACCATGTGGAAGATCTTGACAAATTGCGTCGGAATGACAATCATGTTTACCGGTTCGGCATTCGTCAACAAGAGCTGGTCGACAAACTCGGCCAGGTCTTTGAGAAATATTTGGAGATTCGTCGACAAAATCATCGCGACATTTGCAAGTGAATGATTCTTGTGTATCAATGCAATCCGAATTTGGTGAACAATCATGACGATTCGAAGTACATTCATTGATTCCTGGAAGAAATAGGTAGATCTCAAGAATCTAAAACACAACAACTTACTTCTCAAACATCTTCTTCCTGGTCGATTAACAGTATCTGGTGACAAATCAATATGTGTATCTGGACATGCACAAATGTAACTATCTTCGGTATCTGTACAAAGACCCTCTCTTGAACAATCATTTTGACCAGTTGTACATTCATTAATCAATCTTTTACATTTTCGACCTGGTCGATTAACTCGATCATATGAAACATCCAAATAATTCATTGCACATCGACAGTTATAAGCATCAGGTGTATCCTCACAAATTCCTCCATCTCTCGCGCAATCATCAATTCCAAGTGCGCATTCGTTTTGAAGTGGTTTACAAAGACGGCCAGGTTTTGTTCGAATATTTGGCGAAATGTCCAAAAATCCGTGACGACATCGACACATATAACCATCATCAGTATCTGTGCAAATTGCGCGATCTGGTGAATCACAATCATTGAGTGTTGGATTGTCACATTCGGGGATAACTGGAATACAAAGTCTTCCCGGTTGAGATGAAGATGGTGATTTGTCTTTGAATCCTGGTGGGCAAGAACACGAATAATCATTATCTCCTATCTGAATACAACGAGCATTTCGATCGCAATCATTCTTGCCAATTGAGCATTTATCATTTTGTTGGACTGAAATCAAATCCACATTTGTTAAATGTTTTACACAATATTTCTACTCACCTTTCTGACAAACTCTTCCTGGATTTCTGAATTCATCCATATCAGTGAAACCTGGTTTACAGATACACGAATAACCTTCGATGGTGTCGATACAATGAGCATCTCTCGAACATGTGTTCAAACGAGGTGATGAACATTCATTGACAAGTTCTTTGCAAACCATTCCTGATTGTGATTGTGGATTTGGTGAATAATCAACAAATCCAGGTTTACATCGACAAATATATCCACTTTCGGTATCGGTACAAAGTGCATTTGGGGAGCATTTATTAGTTCCGTCAAGACATTCATTTTGTTCAGCCACACATAATCGACCTGGTCGAGCAATTGGGTTTGGTGAATGATCTATGAATCCAGTTGGACAGACACAAAGATATCCTTCATCGGTGTCAATGCATCTGGCTGATCTATCACAATCGTGTTCACCAGTCATACATTCGTTTTTGAGACAAATTTCTGTGATCGGATGACGTTTTTCATTTCTCGCGCATTGACAAGTATAAAGATTTCCATTTGGAAGACATTGTTCACGTTTTCGAATATTGCAAGAGTTTGGATCAGATGGATTACACGATCCAGGATAAGTGCATTGTCCTGAACGGGTTCTTTCAAATCCTGGAAGACATTGACAATACCAATGAGCTCCACCATTCACACAATGTTCATTTGTTGAACAAGAAACACCTCCGTTGTGACAATCACCATCGTGTTGTGGCTCAATTCGGATTTCTTTGACAGAAACTGAAATATTAAATTTTCATTCAAAACTAATTTGTTGACCTCACCGCAAAATCCACTTCGGTAATCGCGATTGTATCCTTCTGGACAAGCACATCGATAATTAGAATATGGTGTGATTTGACATTCTTCTGGGAAAATACACGATGTGATCAATTGAGGATTGCACAAATCTCCACCGCAAACTCGAGTCAATGGGTGGCGACTGAATCCAGAAGGGCAAGAACAACGAGGCCTAAAATAATTTATTATCTTTTGCCAATTCTCTCAATCTGCTTACCGTCCATTTTCTGAAATACATCGTTCATTGAGTGTTCGATCACATCCAGTTTGAGTTCTTGGATTACATTCTCCTTCTGGCGATGTTTCTTGTCTTGTTGGAGAAGGACAAGCTGCTTTTTGAATCATCGATCTCAATCTCGTATCTAAATCCTTGAATTTATCAACATAGAACCATCTACTCGGTGATCCAGCAATTGATTCGAGTTCGCTAGCCAAAACATGATCAGTGACACCAATTGCAAATGTATTGATTGACAATTTTCTAGCAGCACTTGCTGGAGCTGTTACATTATCTTGTGATCTTCCATCAGTCAAAATAATCGCAACTCTTGCAATATCATTCTGTCTTGGTCGAGCACCTCGTCGTTCACTGAATCCTTCTTGAACCATGTGTTGAATCGCAGCACCAGTTCTTGTCAAACCAGTCAAATATTGAGTTTCAGAAATTCCACGAAGCAACGATTGTTTGTCTCCATATTGATCCAAATCGAATTCATGACGAATTTGATCAGAATATTGAATCAGACCAACTCTAGTTTTATCTCTTCCAATTTCGAAAAGTTCAACAAATTCTCTGACAAATCGCAGAACCTCATTCTTGAAAACATAAGATCCGATAGATCCTGAACCATCAATCAAAAATACCAAATCAGTTTTTTGTTTTGGACAAGTTGTTTGAACTGTGCAAACTCGTCCTGGTGGAAGGTTTGCATTCGATGAAACATCAATAAATCCGCCATAACATTGACAAGTATAACCATCTGGAGTATCGATACAATCAGAATTCTCATCACAAGTATTCAATGATTTATCCGAACATTCGTTGGCTGCACTTGTGCATTTTCTTCCAGGTCTTTGGCCGTGTCGACTTGAAACATCAATATAACCATCCAAACATTGACAAGCATAACCATCAGTTGCATCAATACATCTGGCAAATGGAGAACATTCATTATCAGCTGTTGCACATTCATTGATCACTAAAAAAAAAACTCTTGTGCTTTTATATTCGAAAAGGTTTCAAATTCACTTACATTCTTTACATTTTCTTCCTGGAAGTCGATTCAAATCATCTGAAACATCGATAAAACCTGGTCTACATTGACAAGTATATTCGTCAAATCTGTTCAAACAAATTGCATTTCGATCACATGTGTTTTTCTTCGAACAAGCTGAATAAAGTCGACAGGTTCCATCGGTGAATCGGAACGCGTTCTCAGCACATTCACAAGTGTAATGCCCACGAGCAAGTCGATCGGTGCAAATCTCATTCGAACCGCATTGAGCTTGTTTTGGATCACAAGAATCGGTCGAAAATGATGATTCATGTTGACTTGATGAAGTTTTAACGATCTTCTCGACTGGTTTTGTGCAAATTCTTCCTGGATAATGTGTAGCATTGGATGATGTATCAACATATCCTGGTCGACAACTACAAATGTATCCTTCTTTCGCATCTTCGCAAATCGCATTTTGTGAACAATCATTCAAATTTCGGCTTGAACATTCATTAACTGCTTCAATACAACGACGACCTGGAAGTCGATTGAATGCAGCAGAAACATCAGCGAATCCTGGACGACATTGGCAAGTGTAACTATCGTCGGTGTCGACGCAAATTGCATCTTCTGAACAGTCAACCTTGTATTTTTCTCTGCAAAAAAATAATGTTCAATAGTCTTCTTCAAAAAATTTTTGAGAAAACTCACTTGTTACTACATTCATTGATTCTTGCTCGACAAATTCTTCCAGGCTGTCCAGTTGGTGAAATATCTGCATAACCACTTCGACATTGACAAGTATAACCTTCGGCCAAATCAATACATTCCGCATTTTTTCCACACGTGTTTAGACGAGAATGTTGACATTCATTGATGACAACACAACGTCCATCTGGAAGGCGAGAATATCCAGAAGCACATCGACATTTGTAAGTGTTGCTCACGAAAAGGCAAACTTCTCGTTTTCGTTGATCACAACTCATTGGATCGCTTACATCGCATTCTGGTGGATCCGGAACAAATGCTGTAAAAGTAAGCATGAGTTTCGAAAAACCATGAACTATCCCAGGATCTTGAACTTCAAAAGTTCTAGATCCTAAAGCTTTTATTAATTTCGAAGTTTCACCCTGGCTAGCTGACTCAATATAACTCACATTTGACACAAATTTTTCCGGGATTTTTGAAACTATCCGGACTATCATCTCGATATCCATCCAAACATCGACAAGTAAAACCATCAGCAGTATCAATACAACTAGCATTCGGTGAGCAATCATGCCTTCTTTCCGCGCATTCATTCACAACAGCTCGACAAACTCGTCCAGATGGTTTACCGTGTTGGCGGGAAACATCAACATATCCACTAACACATTGACACATTGGCCCGATTGGTGTCTCTCGACATTCCGCTTCAACAGCACAATCAATATGTGAGCACATATCTGCTTTCTTACAAGTTCTTCCAGGGCTTCGGAGAGGATCTGTTGAAACATCTCTCCAACCATTTCTACATTTACAAGTATAACCATCGGAAGTGTCGAGACAATCAGCGTGTTGATCACAAGTGTGTCGACCGAGTGAACATTCATCAACAGCTGAAAAGAATTCTCTTGTTTTTTTTTTCCTTCTCTTTGCCAAGTTTTTCCCACATCAAACAACAATAATAAAAAATACTATAAATTATTGTTATTATTATTATTATTGCATTTCAAGGTGAATTGGCATGGAACCTACTGCTAGTTTTTTTTCTCGAAGAAAGTTTTGCTGCTGCCGCCTGCGCGGGCGAACAGAACATACAAATACATATGTCGAAGGTCGCGCATGAATTTTAAATACCCCCTACTTGGACGATCGGTTTCTTTTTCTTGTTCGAATTAAATTCATCCATCAAACGAATTACCCACCATCTCACAAAATTTACATAATTTACGGGTAAAAGTTGACCCGTTTCTTTGGCGAGTGCACTTTTCCATCTTCTCACATCTCAGTTAGCTTATCATTCGAAATGTCCTTGACCGACAAAAAACATGGCTTGCCCTAATGATGTTTTGGTTTTTTTTTCAATGATTAGGAAGTGGAGACTTAATCAATCTAGAAAATGCAAAAAAAAAGAATTGGAGCGAACGAGTGGGTAGAAAAACTTGATTTTTCTCGGATCTATTAGTCAGCAGCTGATAGATTGATGAGATTAGTACAATTATCACACCTCGGCCAATCCGTGGCTGGCCAGAGTACAATTTTTTGAAAAATCGAAATTTCAGTTTTTAGAGGTCAAAAATTGAAAAATCACAATTTTTAGAGGACAAAAACTGAAAAATTCACAATTTTTGTACTGTAAAAAGTTAGCGTACAATTTTTTATTGTGGAAACCACGATTTTGGCCGAGGTGTGACAATTATGGATGTATGGATGGGTTAGGATAACTAGATCGGTTTTTTTTCGCTTCCGAATCGTTTTTGTTTGCCAGCGTACAATTTACCTCTCACACATTTTCTGCCTGGAGATCGTTTGGCATCCGGTGAGACGTCGCTAAATCCATTAGGACATTTGCATTGAAAATAGCCGGGTTGTTCGCTGAAACATTCGGCTAATGGATCGCAATCGTGAAGGGAATAGTCTTGGCATGGATTCGCTCCTACAAAAATAGATGATTAGGGTTTTGCAAAAAAGTTTGTAGATGGCGGGGTTGTTATTTTTGTTGTCAGTAGTTTCCAAAATTTTGAAATTGAAACAAAACTTTGGGACAAAATGATTCAAATTTTTTGATATATTCATTTGCAAATCAGTTCTTATTCAAAAGTCTGAAATTTCTGCGGTCCGATTCAGATTCTCAAAAATGGTCCTGTTATCCGGACATGGCTCGTCACAAAACTCGCCTACAGATTCTCTATCCCGGATTTTTCCACCTTTTTTTTGAATCTGGTCATTATTAACCTCCCCCGAAGTTAGTCAAACCCAAATTATTCTTACACACAAGAAACATATCATAAGCCTTTTTCTCATATTTTCCACAATTTCACAAAACACAAATTTGTTTGTATCGGTCATCTAACATGTCAACCAACAAGGAACCTACCTCAATTACAAAATAACACCTAATTATCCGTCCTACTCAAAAACAACTCTAACTTTCACTTGTTTACTATTTGTTAGCCATCGAGAAATGCTAATTTCATTTTAGTTTTGCAAAAAAAAATAAAAATTCAAAATCCCCCTCCACAATACATTTTTTGTCTCATATGTAAACCAACAAACACAAGAGAAATCAGGTCAAAAAAGGCGATGTTGGTTTTTTCTTCTTCCCATCCGACTATACAAAAAACTTTTTGCTACTACTTAGTTTTCCGAGAGAATGGTAATAAAAACATCTTGACTTTGTTTTTTTTCTGTATGAAAAAGTCGAAAAAAACGGGGTCTGGTTGGGGGCTAATATTTCTAACGATGTTTGACTTTTTAATTGAATTTATATTATTTAAATAGTGAAATTTTTTGCTGCGTGCAATTATTTCATGTAAGTATCAAGGCAAGGTAATTTTCGAATTGTGAAATGAGAAATAGGGGAAAAGTAGTACATATGTAGTGAAGCAGAATTTATTTATTGCAGACAGGTAGGCAGGTTAAGCGAATTTATGAAATATTGGTTATTTAGACAAATGACAGGACAAACATTATTGTTTAGTTGAGGGCTCTGTAAGGAGATTTGAGTTACTTAAAAAAAAACAAATGTCTCGTGTGAGTAAAAAAATGAGAAGAAAATTCAAAGGATCATCAAAAATCAAAACAAAACTATGAAAAATAAAACCCTGAAAAAAATTAAAATTCAATGTGTGATTTGAAACATTAGAAGTTTAAGGAATTAAGGAGCCCTCTGCAATTTTCTACCGAAATTTTTTTATAACTAAAAGAAATTATGACGTTTTACAGTAACTTTTTTGTTTTCAAACTTTCACAAAAATATTCTGAGAAGAAGAACTTTGAGAAATAAAGCAAAATCTTACAGTAATCTTTCAACTTTCGCTGAAAATAGTGTGAGTAAATCTTCAAAATATAATAATCAGATGACTGAAATTGTTAGGCCTCAACTTCTGAATTTCGGAGTTTTAATAAATTATTAATAAGTAAATTCTATTTGAGGTTAAAAATTACAGTACTGTTTTACTAAAAAGTTTTGCGTTGATCATACTACAAAGTTATTTTTTCCAAGTGAGCCTCAGAATCTTCTTCGGGACCCACTATCCTTACAGAGCCCATAAACTAGAAACTCAAAAAAACACTAACTCTCACCGATCAAAATTCTTCCACCACCATAGTTATAACAACTCAAATCTGATAAAAAATAATTAGAAAAATTAATTAATCAGTTAATTAACTAGTTTTAAATAATATGATCCTTACCATATGCCAAATTCCATCCCAAAACGAGGTGAAAAACGACGCCAATCAAATGGCGCATTACAAAATTGAAATTTCAAAATTAGCGAATTAATTAATTAATTTTGCAGAAATATAATATGTATCAAATAAAAAAATAGTTTGGAATTTATCTTTTTTTTTTTAAATTTCAATTCAAACAGAAGCGGCGAATTAGTGTGTTCTTGTATTTCTTTTCTTCAAAAAATGGGCGGAGTCAAGTGGATGCGCGAAGAAGAAGAAGAAGAAAAAGAAGAAGAAGATGAAAAGTTGAAAAGAATTGGGCGGTGGCTTGCTTCTCTTGAGATTCTATTCATGGTAGCCCATCTTTTTTTTGTGTTCGGAACAGTTAACTGGCTAATCTAGTTCGAACAAGCCAATCAAACATCATTTCTAATCATTTTTTGGGATGGAAATTTGCGGGATTTTAAGAAGACGCTTTTTTATTGCAGAATAATAATGATACTGTAGATCAAGTTTTTTGGGGGATGAGGAACTAGAATTTCAGAAAAACATGGAAGATCGGAAAATCAAGAGAAATTTTGGGATGGGAAATCAGAACGTTACTAAGGTTTTGAAGAGAAGGAAATTTCAGTCCCCATTTTTAATCTGAAAATTCCACATTTTCGGCACAAAAATATACAGTAATCCCAGGTTCCCTTTTCCGTAAAATCTTCCGCTCTCAAATCCTGACTCACTTTTTTGCAATCGCTGACAATTCAGCCCAGGTGTAATTGGTGACATATCCAAATATCCCGGCAAACAAGTACAAACTCGATTTTTGGTCTTCGTTTCGACACATTGCGCAAAAGTTGAATTACAGCCAACGCATTCGAGTGTCGCTGAAAACACATTTGGTAAAGTGTGACATTTGGGCAAATTTGAACAAGACCTCAATATTATTCCTAACAGCTTAAAGAAAAAATCCTTTTTGAAGTCTTTACTAACTTTCTCAAGGACCTTGAACTTTTCCTAACAATTTTAAGAATATAAAATTTTCTGCTCAATTTCCGACTGAAATACTGTTTCTCTCTTTTTCTCCTCTTCAACTCTTATGTCAAATTTCTTCGTTTAAATCTCATTTAATTTCCACCGGAAAATACATATAATATCATTTTTATTTTTTCTTGTCTTCTTCTTCTTATTCTTTATTCTCTTTTTTCTCGAGATAATAATCGGTTTTCGGATCCGGTGAATAATGAAAGGAAGAACCAAGCAAGCAAGCAAAAAAAGATACTCATCGATTCGATTTCGAAAAAAATAAAAACGAAAGTCTTTTCTAGCTGAATATAAAATATAAAGAACATAGAAGAATTCAGGGATTAGGATTATCTTGGCGATGGTGCAAGACGGCAAAAAGTACAGTATTATTTTTTTTTTGTGTTTGAGTAGAAAAAGAAGGAACTGGTTTTTTGGTAGTTGCGACAATAAATACCAAATATTTTGTTTTTTTTTTTCTGAGATCAGATGTAAATATTTTTGGAAAAAAAAAGTAAAGTGCTTTTTGAGAAGTTCAAGAAAACAACTTTGGGAAAATGAAAAATCAATCTTTTGAAACTTTGAAAACATTTGGGAAACTGGAATAATTCTAGATGTTTGAATATTTTTTTCTAAATCGGTAAGATTTTGAAAACAATTCTCAGAAAAGGCTAGATTTTTTTCAAATCCCAAGTTTTCTTAACCCGAAAAACGTTCTCACCATCAACACACTTTCTCCCCGGAAAATTCGAATCCAGGCCGACATCTGTGAAACCGAAAGGACATCTACATGAAAACCCAATCGGAAGATCTATGCAAACCGCATTCTTATCACAGTTATGTTCATTTGTGGCGCATTCATTGATGGCTAGAAACATTTTTTTGAATATGGGCAAATTTTAGATCTTCTAAGTTAGTTACCTTTCACACATTTCCTACCAGGTTTTCTCGCTTCTTCTGAAACATCAACAAATCCTTGTTGACATCTACATGAATATCCAATAGGTTTATCGAAACATTTTGCATTTGGTGAACAATTGTTTTTACCGCCAATTGAACATTCATTGATTACTAGAAAATACAACAAATTCCAGTTGAAAAATTGAGAAACTTACACTTAAGACAACTTCTCCCTGGTTTTGTGCGAGGTTCGAGCGAAGTGTCGAGATATCCTTCACGACAAAGACATTCGTATCCAATGACTGCATCGACGCACATTGCCTCTTTTGCGCAATTATGGGAACCTTCCAAACATTCGTTTCGAAGTTCTGAAAAATTTGGAATGTTTCTAGAATTGATTGAGGATAATTCGTTTCATTTCTATTCAAAATAAAATCAAACCTCGACATTCTCCATCCATAAAAACAGTTCCAATTTGACAAGAACATCGAAATTTCGAATCAGCTTGCAATTGACATTCTTGTAATTGTCCATGACAACTTTGATTCGATGTTGGATCACACTGATGTTCGTCTCGTTGAAATTTGATTGTTTCAGGTGGCAAACCAGTTCCATATGTATCAATTGTCTCATCAGAAATACCATGTTCCTCCGAATCAATTTGAAACATAAATGGAACTTTTTCCGATTGTTCGCCAATCAAAAATCCATCCGGAGTTGTTCGAGATATTTCGAATTTTTGAGGAGCTCGACGGATATCTGATTTTTTCTGAATTCGTAGAAGTTGAAGTTCTCGCAACGATCCGAATTGCATTCCAAGCTCGGTACAATTACTGACTGGATTCTTAAGGTATCTTGAGAGAAGTTCGACGGGAATACATTTGACAGAACCGATTGGGCGAACTGTTCCAAGTTTGCAAACACATCTCCAAGATCCACCGATCACCTGAAAAATAAGATTTTTTCGGGACCACTGTAATTTTTCCCAAGGAACCCCTCCAAGTATATCTGCTTACAATACAAATCTGGCCGAGCTCTGGTTTACACGGATTCTCAACAGCGCAAATTTGTATAGTCCCAATTGATAAAGAATTGATTCCACCATTTCTTGCTGGTTTTCCATCAGCACAAATATCTGAAATTTATTGACCATGACTTGGTAAATATTTGATGAAAAATGAATGAATCATCCAAAAAACGAACCGGTTTGATTATGAAGTTCATCACTTCCATCTTCACAATCCCAACTTCCATCTGAGATTGCATTTCGGCCAACACATCGAACAGCTCCGCATTGACATGAAAATTGAGAAGCGGTGCATTCTAGAACAATCGATTTTTGAATTAAAACATTTTTTGGAAAAACAGAGGTTTTTAGATCACGTCACGTGCTTTTATTTTGAAATATTTTTAGGAATTTTGAAATTTTTTTATTTATTTTGAAATACATATTTATCGTAAAGTTTTGAAGTCCCCAAAAATTTAACCTTCATCAGATCCATCAACACAATCATCGTTTCCATCTTGAAACAGTTTTTTCGAAATGCACTTCGATCCATCGGCACATTGAAATTGAGTTTGAGCGCACGCTGAAAAAATAATGAAATTGGAGACATTCCGAATTTTTAAAGGAATCTGGTAAATTTTGATTAAAAAAATACACAAACTTTGTACATAAATCGAAGAGGTTTTCTAAAATTTATAATTTCACTCAAATTCTTTAAAAAATTTGATGATTATAGATCTAACTTTTTTGAGAAAAATGCTTCATTTTGTCCTAGAGATCTTCCTGAAAATTCCTATTAATTTGTCCACATACGTTCATCAGATCGATCTTTGCAATCAGCAATTCCATCCAGATATTTAGCCGGTTCAATACATCCACTTCGATCTTTACAAACAAAAAAATGTGCTGGACATCCTTCATCAAAACCCGAATAGCAATCAATTTTCCCATCATTCAATTGTTTTCTTGAAACGCAACGAGGTGATCCAAATTGACAGTCAAATTGCCACGGCATACAGGCTGAATTAAAAAAAGTTGAAATAAGTGAAGTATAATTCAAGGTTCCTTTTTTGGGAACAAGATTTTATTTCTGTTTTTTTTTAATTTGAATCGGAAAAATTTGAAAAAATCGACGTTTTAAGGTGCTGTAGGTTTTGAATTTTACCAAGCTCAATTTTGTTGAATCCGAAAAAAATCGTCAGGGTTACTGTAGATCAAGCTTTTGGTACCAAATTAAAAATAATCGATTTGTATTTTTATACAATTTTCAATTTAGCATAAGTATTTATAATTCTCTCACCCCTTTCATCATATGATATTTTTGTATTTTTTGTGTTACTTATACTTATTATTTGTATTATTCTTATTATTATAGTAAAAATAAAAAAAGAAAACCTTCTGAAGTGGGCCGCCCTTGTGTAAGAAGAAGGTAGGTAGAGGTATATTATACCTTCTTCCTATTCTATTTTGTATACTTATTTAATAATAATGTAATTAAATACAAATATAGATAGAAAAAGAAGGAGTCATGCTGCGATTGCGCAATTTTTGAATATGAATAGGTGAGAATAAAAGAGTTGAATTGAAAATGATTGAAGTTTTCTCGGCTGGTGAGAAAATTGGTGAATAAAAAGAAAATGACACAGTTTGGGTGGGGTGGGTATGTAATTAATTAACGGAAGTTTCTGAGTGACTTTTACTTTTTGGAAAAAGTTTGAAGTTCCCCTATATTTCATTTTTTTTTCTAAAAATAAAACATTCTGCGATTAAAAACAAGCTAAAAACTGATTGTGATAATTTCAGCACAGAATTCCCAACTTCATCAAAATGTTTTACAAATAGTTTCAGGTCCAAAAAACTCAAATATGGAAGCAGTATTTTCTTCAAAATGTTTTCCTTTCCTGTACAAAAACTTCCCGTTTCCTCCCAATTTCAATTTCAAACATCTGTTTCGCCTGTTTTGCTTTCGAAACATATGATTAAATGTCAAAAAGACTGTCGAAAAAATGTATATATTGTTTCTGTGAAAACATTCGAACAGTTATTGTTGGCTTTGCCATTCAAATCCCCCAATTATTTGTGAAAACATATACAAAACGCTCGTCATTTTTATTTGAATAATATATAATTCCAACTTTTTTATTTCGCATGCTGCTTACAAAATGCTTGCGCGCGTCATTTGATTTTGAAGGTTTTCTCGATTTGCTTCGAGAAAGTGAGGTCTTCTGGAACTAACAAAAAGTTGCTGAACCTTTTTTCTATTCTGTTTCTAGATTTGTCCTTCATTTTTCTTCAAAAGGTCATACATAAAACATCGTACTATTTTTTACTCCATAACTTAATTACCCTATCCAAATTCGGACAGAAACGGAAAAGGAAATTCCGTGAAATGAGACATCTGCGATGAGAAAAAGAAATGAGATGAGATGAGATGGAAAATTAATTGTGAACCTATTTTTGAACCGAACAAAACCAATTATTGTGTTAAATACAGAATTTTTGGGTTTCAAGGTTTCTTTTTTCGGAGTTGGCAAATTTTCTTGAAGAGTTGTTTATTAAGTGAATAGGAGTAATTAGGGAGTAATTTTAAAATTGAAACCTGAAGAAAAATATTTGATTTTTCGAAAAATTAGGGAAAGGCATATGCGCTCTAATGAACTACCAAAAATCAAAGAAAATCAGATTTAAAATTAACATCTAAAGACTTCATATAGTTTAAAATTATAAACTCCTCAAACATTTTTTTTTCAAAATTCAAAAATTCATAAATAACTTTTTTTCACAATTTTCGGCTGCACTTTTAGACTTCTCGTCAGTGGTTTTTTATTTCAAGTGTACTAATTATAATTCATCATCATAATCCAAGACACAATTAACTTGAAACCTAAAAAGCAACGAAATCCGGTCTGAACTGAGAAAAAATATGGGAAAAGGTCAAGAGATTTTCTATTTTTTTTTGTTTGCTTTAAAAATTACTGTTTCGATATTTTTATTATGAAAATGAATGAGTTTTCTGATCGATTTGAACTTGGAAATTTATTTTAAATTATTTTTGGAGATGGGAAAATTTAACATTTAGTTCCTAAAATCAACGTGGCATGTTTTTATCAGAAACCAAAAATATGACCCAAATTTTTTTCGAACACGGGAATTTCGTTTTTCGAAGATGGAAAGTCCGGAAAATAATTAGTGAAAATGAGTAAAGGTGCCACGTAAAGTTTTGGCTTTCAAAATGTTATCTAATTTTTTTGAAACGTATAGCGTTTTCAATTTTCTTAACATTAGGAGTAACAATTTTTGGAACCCCAAAATTGATAAATTCAAATTCAGATTACAGCTCAATCACAACCCTTCCCTTGCCCCACCTTCATCACTTCCATCAAAACAATCATCAATTCCATCCTGCCATTTTTTCATTGAAATACATTCTCCATCCACCAAACATTGAAATTCCTCTTTCTCGCGGCACCTTTTCACCAATCCCGTTTCTTCTCCGCCACCAAAAACTGGCGGAGGTTCAAAAAATAACAATAGATAGATTATAGAAATCAAAATATTCATAGCCGCATATTTTGAAAAACAATCACAGTCCAGTGAAAAGTTAGTATAATATAACAATACAAACTAAAATAAAACTAGTCGGGTTTGGGTTGTGGGAATAAGGGAAAATCGAAAATATGTGGGCGGGGCTTATATTATTGTATAACACAACACAACTAGACGATGGGCGAAATATGGGTGGGAAAAAAAGGAAGAAAAAAGGGAGGAAGGGGGAGGGGAAGAAAGAAAAAAGTGATGTGATGAGTAAATTACCCGGTATGCCAATGGTCAAAACAAAATTGCGGTATCTGGAAAAATCGAGATTTGGAGAAGTGTAAGAGGGATCTGGAAGATACTGTATTTGGGTTTCTAGGCCACGGGTTTTCAGGATTTTTTTTGAGTTTCGGTGATGGAATATTTACAGATTTGGAGAAAAGGCTTGGGTTTCTAGGCCACCAAAACTGTTTCATTTGGGGACTAGTCCAGCAAAATTTTTCAAGATATCTGAAAAAATTTGAACATTGGAAGAATTTTTTTGTCTTCCAAAAATTCTAGATCTGTCTCTATTTTCTTATCTCAACATTTTCCAGCTTCTCCATTTGAAACTCTAATTTTTCCAGCCATAAAAATCTTCGATTCCATGTTAATTTCGCAATCTCTTTCCAAATTCAAAATGTAATCTCTGTGATAAATCTCCAATCAATTACCCTACATTCTTCATGTTTTTTCATACTCATACTCATAATAATAATAATAATATTACTTTTCTATCTTTCCGTTCCCGCCAGCCGTCAAGGCCAACTCAGAAAAAAAGAAGTAGAAACTAAAGTTATACTTATTGGATTAAATGGTTAGTTTAGGAGGAATACTGTAGAACTTTGATTTATTTATAACTTATTTTATTGCTGGCTGACTGGCAGTGTTTTCTTAATAGGGATGCATAAATTAATTCTTATTCTTGTTGGTTTTTTGTGTATTTCTCGAGAAAAATTGAGGACACCATAAAACATCTTTGAATATTCATGATCTTTATACAAACACATACGTGGATATATATCTTAATCTAATTTTTTTGTTATAATTAGATATCCAAATAAATTACTTTTGCGTGTGTGTCAGGTACAAAATAAAACACAAAACAATGCCGAGACTTGAAATTTGATCTTGTTTTTGCCACCATCATCACACCAATCCTACGGTATTTGTATTGGGGGATATTTATTATTGTAGTGGTGGAATGAGGAGAAGGTGAAATTGACACCAACACGGGATTTCGATAGAAGTAAAGGGAAGTTGATATGTACTTGAAGAGGAGATTTGAAAAGTTGAGTATGAAGATTTTTGAAATTTAAAGATGAGTGGAAAGTCTGAAGTTTACTGTAAAAAGGAAAGACAGCGAAATATTGCAAAATGTACAACGTTTCGAAATTTTTCCAATTTCAACAATTTCAATTTGATCTGATTCTGAAAATATTTGGATACAGAAAACTTGAAAAAAAATTTTTTAAACTTTAAAGCCTTCTAAAAATCTTTCAGCTAAATTTTTCAATTTCAATCTTCTTTCCTGAAATCCAATCATATATTTCCAAAAAATTCAATATTTCCATGTTCCAAAAAATCCAGAAAATACCCGATTTATTTGACATTTTAATGATACCCACCACTGACCATTTTAAATATTTGCATAAAAACCAGTTCTCCTTTTTTATTCCATATTTTTCATTTTGAGAAAAAATCAAATTTCCCCAAATTTTTACAAAATTTAAAAAGAAAAATTAAATCATAACAGCAATAATAATAATTCATTGTTTATTTTCGGATTCACCGCTCTTCGTCTTTCTTTCCGTCCGTCCGTCCAGTCCCCTCCAGCTTGTCTGCGTCTCCGTAAACTTTTGTGCACTTTTTCTGAAGAGGGAGCTCGCGCGCCAGATTATTAGTGCGCGCTTTTTTTCTGACAAAATTTTTGTGTGTTTCTTTTTTGTTTCTTGACTCACAAAAGTGTGAGAAATTCCGGGATTTTTTCAGCGAAAAAAGTTCTCTAAAAATGTTCGGATGTATTGCGCCGCCGAAACAAAATCGAAATTTGATGCGAAGTAGTTCGCAGGATTCGCGCGATTTTCATGGAGATCCACGTTTTGATCGACTTTTTCAGCGACCATCTTCTGTTCTTTCGAAACCAAGAAATGGTTAGTTTTTTTTTGGGAACGACGGGTTGAACCTTTAGAATTTATTATTTCACAAGATAAATTCAAAAATATGATCCAATGTAAACACATCTACCAGTTTCAATATCACATTCTCCTCGTGGACATTGAGCATTGGAATAACACCCAAAAACCATAGAAATTGACAAAATCAGCAATATTATAGAAATATTCATGTCCTTCTTTTTGTTGTTGGAATTTGATCACAATTTATTTATATATCATTTTTCAGTTTGATAACTGATTCGATTACAACACAAAATGAAATGTGATTTTTTAACCAAACTCACCAAAAACTTTTTTGAAAATTATTGGTAGTTTTTGGTGCCACTTTTTGATCATTTTTTTTGGTGCAAACTGATTTTTGTGAAAAAACCAGTTTCTCAATTTTTGGAAGTTTAAAATCACATTCCTATTTGTGCTGTAATCAAATCATTCATTGAATTATTTATTCAAATAAAAACCAAAAAGTTCAACCAAATTACAATTCCACAGAAAAGAAAATGAACATTTCTATCATTTTCCTAATTTTGTCAATCTCTTCTGTTTTTGGACGATGCACTACCACTGCTGATTGTGCACGCGGACAATGTCTTAAGGGCACATGTGTTTATATTGGTTAATGATTTTTTTGAGATAATAAATTTTGAAGTAATTGAGATTTTTTAATTTGAATACCTGGAATCATACTATTTTCCAAAAAAAAAATCTTTGACAAATCTGAAGAAACTTCTAGAAATCTTGAATAATAAAAAAAATTTGCCACTAAAAACTGATCTAAATTTTGCACCAAATATACAAAAAAATGGTTTATTTTCAGTGCGAAATTTTATTTTAATTATGGGCCGAAACCTACAGTAATTCTAGATAGTTTTAAGGTACCAAACATTTATCCGAAACTGGCATCAAAATCTACAGTAATCACAGTCAATTTTTTCTTCGGAAAGTCATTAAAATTTTGTATAATTTCAGAAAATCTCATTTTCTCAACACCTCCAATTCCTCCACAATCAAAAAGTCCAAAAGTGAAACGACTCGACAAATGGATTGGAAATCTGTTAAATGAAGGTGAGAGACAGAAATCGCTTTGTTGGAAAATTCCGCCACGTGGCACTCAATTCCCCACGCGTCAAGAATTTCTCAAATTTATCGTATGGAAACCTTGAAAGTTTTCCCGCTTCTCCAGAACCCTGAATTCTCATTTTTGTCCCTGTGTATCCTAGTGATAAACAGCAGAAAATATCTATATGAAATATGATTCATTTTTTATCGATTATGATTTATTTTTTGCCTCCTTCTTCCCTTTTTTCCCGCATTATTATAAGAATAAAATCTCCCGAGCAAGAAAGAACAATTATCTCTTTTTGCTGTGTTCTTCTAACTAACAAACGGACACACAAAAAAGTGTAATAAATGTGTACTTCAGCTTCTTCTTCTTATGCTTCTTCATCTTGTCCTTCTAAATTTCTTGCTCCTCAAAATTACACTACATAAATATCTACGAGATTCTCGAAAAAAAAAGTTCGTTGCAATTTTTTGTATCATTTTTTTTCGCATCGCAACAACTATTTTTTTTTGGCAAACATTACAGATGTTTGCATATTTTTTTTTGGAAATTGTCCAATTTTTTTGGTTGACAGATGTGAGAATTTAGTGTTTATATGTGATTTTAGGGAAAAACATAAATTTTCTATTCAAAAAATCTGATGAAATCTCAGAAAATTACGACTCACATAATTCGGAGCTCTTCAATATTTTTTTGGAAATTTTTCTTCCCTTTTCTGAAAATCTGAATTTCCACCCTATTCTCTGGCTCTACCCAACTTCTCCTCCCTAATCAACACAACCTAACCTTCCCAATTTTTCCAGCGCATGCCTCTTTTCAGTTGGCGACCTCGCCTTCTTCTCGGCGGCCGTAAAACGCCCGAACCAACGCAAGCCGTACAAATTACAATCGCTCCGGAACCCCCAATTCTACCTGAACGTCAACCTTCGCCACCTAAATCAGCACGAGTTCGATTCGATGATTCGCCCACAGCATATCAAACACATCCGACAGAACCATCGCCACCCGAATTTTCGAATTCGTATGGTGGAGAAGCGAGAGTTTTGGGTGTGATGAGACCGGCTGGAACTATGCCAAGTAATTGATTTTCTTATTTACTAACTTGAAATTTTCCGGATAAGGATCCTAAAAATAGAACATCGAAAAAATTGAATTTTCTCCGCTTGTCAAAAAAACTATCGATTTCTAGGCACTAGTCATCGACCACCTCAAATCAACAACAATCATCATGGCTATGCTGAAGATGTTCGAATCAATATCGCTCCCTTGGCAAGCACTGATATCGACGCAGACATGAGACCACCGCAAAGATTTGTAGCAGCTCCACCATCTCGTGCAACTTCAGTCCTCCAAAGTTTACGCGAACAAAAAGAGACGCTTGAATACGACGAGCGACGAAGACAAGCATCAACTCTGCCAACAAGTTTTGATCGAGCTGATTCTTTTACAACTGATGATACTTATTCGACAAGACATTTAGATGATATGAATGTTGTTTTTCTTCAAGCAAATGATGAGGTTAAACGGACTATTCTTCCGCCGGCTATTCATTCAATGCATCAAGTTAAAATGGCGTTTGTGAGAACTTTTCCGAATGTGACACGATCTTTTGTCGAACAACCGCATGTCAAGATTTATATTCAGGAGCCGACTAAAGGTGCACTATTCTACGAGTTAGAAGATCCAGGGTAAGACAACAACTAGAAAGCACACTTTTTTTTTACCAATTTTCATTTTTCAGAGACATCAAGAATAAATCAGTTCTCCGATTGCGCGAAAAATCGCGAATCATGTCGCCAATCGGTTTCCAACCCTACGACCGCGAACCTGATTATCATTCCGAAACTGAACAAGACGATGGTCGTCGATTCGTTTCATTAGCTCGACCAGCTTCAGCAATGGCTGCACCAGTTCATCATTTAGATTTTGGAACACTTCCCAAGAAGATGGCACCACCACAAATGTATACAGATGCGTATGGTGATCCATATAATTCAGACACTTCTAGTCATGATAGTCGAAGTGTGACAAGAAGTGGATCAGCGACACCAATTATTGATCGAGAATCAAGAGTTCGTATGGAGACAATGGAAAGACAATTGGCGGGTTTGAGCACACTTGTGCATACTGCATTGGTTAGCAAAGGAATGAGTCAAAGTACACAAAGAGATATGGCTGAACTAAGGAAAGAGGTAGGAGCAATTGCTTGATAGGAATATATCTCAACACTAAGGCCTTCGGGCTTCCGGTCTCTTTCCGGTCACCTCATCTAATCTAACAACTCATTTTCTTCCTCTAGATTCTATCCATGCACCCTGATTCTTCTTCCCGATCTGCACGTGATTCTTCCGAAGAACCCACTTCATCATCTATCAATTCTGACGCATTATCCGCACACACTGCACACCGTCTCCTTGATTTCCGTAACCAATTACAAGCCACTAATTATGAATTGAAACAGATCAAAAAAGCGGCGCAGGTTCGCTAGAGTGACTTAGGTTCTCGAGATACAAATTTTACGTTTAGGTAAATGCGCAAACGGCGAATACGTTGATTCGAGAGGCGGGTGAGAAGATCGAGAAAATTGTGACAGATCGAGTTCGAAGTGGACAGAAAGTGATGTATGTGGCACCAGTGAAAGCTGAGAGTAATTCAGAGGATGGAGGACAATTAGAGACGCAGAGAAATGAACATGCGAGTCGATTGGCGGAATTGTTGAATGATTTAACGTAAGTTAGAAGGAGCATTGGAATAAAAAGATATTTATCAAGCCTAAGCTTGAAGGAATCTAGAAATTCTGCAAAAAATCTTCATTTTCAGAAATTTCGAAACGAATGTGGAAAATGTTCGTGGAAGTGTTCTATCGAATCAGAAAAAATTGAGAATGTCTGAAGTCGAAGATCTTACTGGAAAATTAACTGATATCGGAAGACTTGCTGCAAATCTCAAAACAGATTTTCCACCTATCCAATCAGCGATCGAAACTCGAATCAAACGAGATATGGAACGAGTTGTTCGCGAGGAGAAATTTATTCGCGATCAAACATCAGCCGTAGATCAAAGTCTTCGGCGATGCAAAGCGTTGGCAAATATAATGGTTACTATGAAAAAATTAGCGATGGTGCAAGATCCAACAATTCAGCGAACGAAAAAGAAGACAAGCGTCGAATCGCCACGTCTTCCACCAAAACCAAATCAAGCGATACAAATGCCGCCACCAATGGTTCAACATATTCCACCTCCACCTCCTCCTCCACCAATGGAAATTGCGGCTGCTTATATGCCAAATGTGCAAACTCCTAAATCACCGATTTTGGAGTTGGATGGAATATTGGAAGAAGTTTCATCACAACAACCGCCACGTCCACCAAGTCGATATTCAGTTCAAGATGTTCGTCAGAAGTTTTCGCATCCACCAGAACTTCCAGATCAAATTAAAACTTTGATTGAAGATGTTGCTCGAAGAGCATCACCTGCTCCAGATACTAATTTAGAAACTAAACGGTATAAATAAGTTTTACCCAATCTAATCCTATTCATCTCAATTTTTCAGACAAGATTTGGAAGAGCGTCAAGAGCGTTTGGCTGAAAAACAAAGACAACTTCGTTCGCAATTTCAGCAACTTCAACAACTTGCACCCCAATAGTTTCAATTTTTATAAATATTTTCTTTTTCGTTGATTATTTATATTTAATATTTATCATTATTTCTATTATTAATTTTAAAATAATCGTTTTATGTTGATTCAAAAAATAAATAATTGAGAAAAAATCTAACTACCCTAAAGAAAAACGCAAAAATAACAAAAACGAAAAAAACATGGTATAAACTTAACTAAAATGTCTGCGGTCGACCGGTTGAAATAATATCGTCTAGATCTTTGAGTTGTTTTTCAAAAGCGTCAAGTTCTTTTTGAAGTTGACGCTTTTTCAAGACACTGTAGTAATTCACGCCTACAAAATGTCGAACTTTTTGATAGAATTTTTGATTTTAAGATAAAGCAACTAACCGTTAAATGAGAAATAAATTTTAAACAATTCGAACCCGGCACCAGCAGCACTGCCGATCAAAAACAACCCTTCCCATTTGGAAGATAATTGAACAAGAAGTCGTGAAAATGGGCGAATCATCTGAATTTTTTTATTGATTTGATTTCTAGTAAAAATATAGTTACTCACTTTCTGAGAATAAATCCGGCTTTGTCGGCTTCAATCAATTCACGTTCTAATATTTCTCGTTCTTCTTGACGAATCGGTCTAACGTATCTGAAAAATATATGTAATAGTTTAAATGTTTTTTGATAACACAATTTGTCATGGCTTCATATATTATTCAAACTTTTTGAAAAGAAATTTACAAAAGGTTTCAAAACTTGTTTTCTACCCAAAAATTAATATTTTTTAAAACTTACTTGTAGTAAATCCCGGCGTTTACCAGACAATAAGATGTACTGAACACTAGGAAACCAAGAATAGATCTAACCACAGCTGTAATAAAAAGCATTGGCAAAATTCTCAACGAAAAGTCTTACTTTTGTGAGCGATGTCCAGACGTCGATTGGTGAAGATTCGTCGATAAAGCGGCCTTCGGTCTTCACGTTTCCTGGTCGCTAGATTTACTGGCGACCAAAACATCAACTGCAACGAAGAAATAAACGATATTCAAGTCAAGAACGGGAAAAAATGAAAATAAAATGAAATTTCGTTCGAGAGAACTACACAAAATGAGCGACACAGCTCAAATGTGTGTGACCGTAGTTTTTGGATATTTCGTGGCGACTTTTCTTCTTTTCATTTATTCAAAAAAGGGTTTTCAAATTTTCGTAGTTTTTGTGCTTACCCAGCTTTACTGATTAGTTTATCATTTGTTTGAGTTTCCAGGGTTGAAGTCCTTTGTCATGCTCTTCCGTGAAAGTAGAAAGTTGGTCGATTAGGCCCTGATTGTTTCTTTCCATAGCCGTAGAATTAGTCTGTGTGTTCCCTTCAATTTCCGCGCTCTTCTTCATTTTCAGAAGTTTCAGGATTCTCATATATTTTACTCAAAATACTTGTTAAATATTTTTGAAAAATGTGACATACCTTCATGTTTTCATTTCGTTTTTTCAATGGGGAAAATGGATTACAACTTGTTCGATCAATTGCAATCATCATTTTATTTCGTTTTGATCGATCCTTAGGCTGGCAAAAGTACCAGAATACTATTTATAGAAATGACAACGAACTGACTTTCTCACTTCACGCTGATTACACTTTTTTAATTCAGAAATTTCATGTCTATTTACTATTTAGAACCTCAGGGTTTCATTTCTCGGATTTTTTATTTAAAAATTTCTCTCATAGTTTTTCTCAAGCCCCCTAATTATGTTTTGCCTTTCCAGATGTCAAAGTTTGAGGATTTCTTCACTCCGCTTGACGAACTTCGAAAGACTGAGCCAAACTATGGAAAACCAATTGTTGTCGAATCGGTTCCAGAAAAAAGTCGTATAGATTTGGGTGCATTTTTGAGCAAAACGCCTCTTCAGATTCTTGAAGAGGGATCCACAGCTGCTTATCAAGAAAAAGTTGATTGGTTAATGCAACAATATGTAGGTTTCATGTTTTCCTTCGGATTATTTTAAATTGTATTTTTTAGGGTACGGAATTCGAAATGACTTGTCAGTTACGAGGTACAAGAGGTGTTGGTCGAAATATCAACAAGAGAATCGCGAAACAGAAAGCGGCGGTCGATTTTTTACGAAAAATTGTAGACAAAGGCCTATATAAAGAGTTTCTTGTTCCGGGATTAAGTGCGCCCGATGCTCATAATTCTATGTGAGTTTAATGAAAAAATTAAAAAAGAATCTATCAAAAATCTATTATAGTGATCAATTAGAGAAAATTGAAGAAGCTAGAAAACTTGGAGAATCTCCACTTACTCCAGTGAAGAAACCAGCCACGGATGATTCATTCCCGACTTCTGATAAATTGCCTGATACAAACATTGATTGGGTCGGCAAATTACAAGAACTTTTGCACAAACTCAGATATGAGGCACCGACATATGAATGTACAGAAGATGGCGAGCCAACAAATCGAAAATTTATTTTCTTGTGCATAATTGCGAATCACACAACAAGAGGAATCTCTTCAACGAAAAAAACAGCCAAGAAAATCGCCGCGTATTTGATGTATGATATTTTGGAAAAAGGTGCTGAATTATTGGATCAAGATGTTTTTGAAGGAGATGAAAATGAACAAGATTGGCATAAATCGGAAGAAGCGGAACATCTCAGACAAATTAATGAGATATGTCTGAAAGAAAAAGATGCTGAAAATGCATTGAGAACATTGTTATCAGATACCAAACGATTTTCCGATTATTCAATGGAATACAAATGCCAATCCTTCAGCACAATTGGTAAGTAATCCAAGGTTCGAGATAATCAGTTCACAGGTTTTACTTCTTTAGGTAACAAGCAAGCCTTGGTTGTAATTTCTGCGACTCCAATAATCCATTCAGATGAAGATGAATTAGAAATTGGTGTATGTTTAAAAAATCCAGTGTTGTAAACATAGGTTTTGATTGCAGGCAGAACATACAAACACTGAAGAAATTGCAAAAGCTGCTGCTCAAAAGGAAAAAGAAAGAAAACAAAAAATGGACGCCGGACCTCGTGTATTCTGCGGCGATGGTAGAACCGAAAGAGATGCCCAGCAAAATGCGTGCCAATCTGCGTTGATTTATTTCAACACTTATGAGTTTTGAACAATATATTATTTTTCTCCCACAAATTTCCATCTAACCAATAAATTACTTACAGGTAAGTTTTTTTTGTGTAAATAAATGATCTTGCATGTTTAACATATATTTTGTGTATTTTTTCAATGTTTCATATTATTCCGGTTATTTTCCGGTTCAAAATATCTAAAGCTCAAAGAAAGTTCATCTTTTTTCATGTCAATTCCATTTTTCCTATCGAACTGATCGTTCTTTGCATCTTTTGCAGTCTCGTGGCCTATTTGTATATAAAGAAAAGTGTTTGTTGAGATCGTAGCACTTTTTTGCTAGATTTTATCAAATGGGTTTCTTTATTTTATTTTTATTTTTCGAAAATTCTGAGTTATGTGAAGGATTTTCATAGTTTTTTTCATTAGACATTTTACAACTGAATTTCAGAATTTTCCATGAATAGTAAAAATTTTAAATATAACAAATCGTTTTGAAGTTTTTTTCATTTCAGAAATAATCAAATATTTAACTTCCTCTATCTATTTTTAAATAACCCGAACTATTCGGATCACGTGGACTTTGTCTCCCATGAACAATACATAGATTTTCGCATTGTCGCAATAAAGAAAAGATATGATTGATTAAAACGTGGTAGATGTGTTTCGCCGCCGTTCATTTTGATAAGACCCCAAAGTTCGGAGTAAAAATTTCAAAAAGAATATAATTCCTGTCCATGGAAAAGCATCATTCTTCCAGGTTTTTTTACACAAATATATATCACTTGGTTTAATGTTTGCCTCGTGGTGATTTTTGATGTGATGTCTAGAAAAATATCTGTAGGTGTTCGGATAAAAATTAAAAAAATTGATTCAAACATCACTCTGATCTTTAGTTTTAAAACTTTTCTTGGCCTATTTGCTCAACTCATCTCAAAACTTATTTGTTTTTAATAAGAAGCTGAAGATCTCATTATACTCAAATTTTTGTTTAATAAAGCTTCAAGTTATAAACGCTTCTTCTTTTTTCTTTTCTGAATCAAAAACCAAATAAGTAGCCTACATTCCATTTGTGAATATGTATGAAGAAGAAAAAACCCTTGCCCGCCCGTATGTCCTTTCATATTTTCTATGTGTTGTCTCTCTTCGTTGTGTATATTTGTGGGAAGAGAAAAAGAGTGGAAAGAGCGGTGTGTGCGCCGCCCGTCTCTTTTTTTACTCTCTCTCCATTTTTGTTGCCACCACCGATTTGTAACTTTTTTCTCACTCTGTTTTTTCTACTCATTAATTGTTTTATTTATTTTTGTTGTTATCTTTTTATTTTCGACGCGTGAACTATGACGTGGATGTAGTTAATCGTGTCATTTTTTCAGGTAGTTGAGTCGGATTTGCTTATTTCCGAATTTCCGGTCAACAGAAAATGTCGCTTTCAGCTCAAGTTCTTCGTCGTCTTGTTTCAAAGGTTGGTGGAGTTTACTGGAAAGTTCAGAATTTATGAGTTCGAACTCTGAGATCTCAAGAATGTTAAAATTCAGAGACTTCAATGAAAAAGTTACTGTATTTTTTGAAAAGGGGGAGTTTTCAGCATAGCACAACTTTATAAAAAAAACCTTATAAATTTACGAAACCCAATTTTTCAAAGAGTAGTTTTTAAAAACTCCTGAGTTTCTACTATTTTTCACAATTTCAGAACCAGTTTCTGGGTAACAAATTTCTTTATCTATGAAATTTAAATTATACAGTTTTTCAAGCTTAATTCTCATTAGGAAAATAAATGCAAAGAACAAGTTTCTGAAAATCACCTTCCTCTATTTCGAACACAGAAAAAAAAAACATCTGTGCTGATATAGTTGTTGTGTCAGTTGGTTTTTTGCTCATCATGCAACTCGCATTTTTGTTTACAACGGTTCCCTCTTTCTTGCTCTTGATATTTCATTATCAGCAGGCACACTTTCCTTTCTTTCAATTTCCACTGACGTTGTTTCAAGACTACAACACATACATGGCACTGCTCTCAAAATTGTGAGGGGGAGATCATGACATTTGGAAAAAATTTTCGAGGGGGGATCATGACATTACATACAAAAAATCTAAATTTTTTTCAAAGTGAAATCGGTACGCTAGAAAAAAATTCGGTTTTTGCATGTGGTCATTTTTGACATATTTTTTCAGGTTTGATAATTTGGAAACTAGTTCTTTAGGAATATCGGATGTAGAGAAAGGGCGAAGAATTCGACGGATATCATTCATTGGCTAATTATTCTTATTTTATTTCTAAAATTCTCAATTTTATTTTTCTATATCCTTCTAAAATAAAAAATGAGTTTATTGTAGTAAGTTCCTTTCAGAAATCTTCATGCAATTATCATGCTCAACCCTTCTGAACAATTCCATATAAATTATAGACAATGCGTTATTTATTTGATAATCAAATTGAAACTCAAAAATATTGAATTAGAAAACAAAAGAAAAAAGTGGATTCCACCGAGGATTCGATCCAAAAACCGTCTGATTATTACGCGCGATCTCTACCGACTTGACCACGAGGCTACTTTTTTCACACGCTTATTTTTAAGTGATAAAAAAGGGATAGAAGGGGGAGATAAAATGAAAAAGAGAAGGAGAAGCGGGAAAAAATCATGAAATTTTTGAAAAATTACCATTTTTTATCGAATTTCGCCGATTTTGTTATATGTTCCGACTGTATAAGTAACTTAAGGATGGTAGAAAGCGAATGTCTGTTAAAATTATCTCAAAAGATGGCTTATTTCTTGAGATATGATCCCCCAAAATGGCATAGCGAAACGGCTTCGATTTTGGGGGGGATCATATCTCAAGAAATAAACCTTCTTTTAAGATAATTTCGACAGACATTCCTTTCTACCATCCTTAAGTTACTTATACAGTCGAAACATATAACAAAATCGGCGAAATTCGATAAAAAATGGAAATTTTTCAAAAATTTCATGATTTTTTTCCTCTTCTCCTTCTCTTTTTCATTTTCTCTCCCCTTCTATCCCTTTTTTATCACTTAAAAATAAGCATGTGAAAAAAGTAGCCTCGTGGTCAAGTCGGTAGAGATCGCGCGTAATAATCAGACGGTTTTTGGATCGAATCCTCGGTGGAATCCACTTTTTTCTTTTGTTTTCTAATTCAATATTTTTGAGTTTCAATTTGATTATCAAATAAATAACGCATTGTCTATAATTTATATGGAATTGTTCAGAAGGGTTGAGCATGATCATTGCATGAAGATTTCTGAAAGGAACTTACTACAATAAACTCATTTTTTATTTTAGAAGGATATGGAAAAATATAATTGAGAATTTTAGAAATAAAATGAGAAATAAGAATAATTAGCCAATGAATGATATCCGTCGAATTCTTCGCCCTTTCTCTACATCCGATATTCCTAAAGAACTAGTTTCCAAATTATCAAACCTGAAAAATATGTCAAAAATGAAACTCCCCTCTCTCTCTTTGATTTTTTTCATTTTTTTTCACCATTTATTTTTTCAAATTTTTGACGAAAAAATTGAGGGGGGATCATGACATTTCAATATTTTGGGGAGGGGGGATCATTACATGGAGGGTCCGTTGGGCAAAGATGCCATGTATGCTACAACAAAGACCACGTTTGTTGTTTCAAACACATTAAAAAGATAGCAATTTTGAGTGTTCTTTGGATGATAATTGTCATGAGATGAAATGGAAAAAAAGGAGGAATTCCAGAGATAACAAATTTGATTTTTATAGGGAGTTGCTCCAGTTTGTCAAACCAGCCAACTCTCCACATCTGCTGATGGATCAACCAACTTGAAAGAAGTTCTTTCCAAGAAGATCCCAGCTCATAACGCCAAGGTCAAGGATTTCCGCACACAACACGCCGCCACTGTTGTTCAAAATGTGACTATTGACATGGTAAGTTTCAAAGAAGTTCTTTTATGAAAAATAAACCTAACTGTTTTGTTTTTAAGATCTACGGAGGTATGCGATCCATGAAGGGAATGGTCACCGAAACCTCAGTTTTGGACCCAGAAGAGGGTATCCGATTCCGTGGATATTCTATCCCAGAATGCCAAAAATTGTTACCAAAGGCTAAAGGAGGAGAAGAACCAATCCCAGAAGCCATCTGGTGGTTGTTGTGTACCGGAGATATCCCAACTGACGCTCAAACCACCGCCATCACCAAAGAATGGAACTCCCGCGCTGATTTGCCAGCCCACGTTGTCCGTATGTTGGACAACTTCCCAGACAACTTGCATCCAATGGCTCAATTCATCGCCGCCATCGCTGCTTTGAACAACGAATCCAAATTCGCCGCTGCTTATGCTCGCGGAGTTAAGAAGAACGCCTACTGGGAGTATGCTTATGAAGTGAGCTTTTTCCAACGAATAAGTTTAAGAATAATGATTTTCTTTTTAGGATTCCATGGATCTCCTCGCTAAATTGCCAACCGTCGCCGCGATGATCTACCGTAACTTGTACCGAGATGGATCAGCTGTCGGAGTCATTGACCCAAAGAAGGATTGGTCCGCCAACTTCTGCTCAATGCTTGGATACGACGATCCATTGTTCTCTGAACTCATGAGACTCTACCTCGTTATCCACTCTGATCACGAAGGAGGAAACGTTTCGGCTCACACCTCCCACTTGGTTGGATCAGCTTTGTCTGACCCATATTTGTCCTTCTCAGCTGCCATGTCTGGATTGGCTGGACCACTTCACGGATTGGCTAACCAAGAAGTGAGTTTTTTACTCGGAAATTTTTTCGCGATTGGGATTGAGATGTTTCGAACCTACCAAAATATCCCTTCCGATTTCGGGAAGTTATGATATCTTCTCTAAAATAAACGCAGTTTTTATCTTGGCTCAAAACCATCTAACATCAAAAACTAAAATCAATATTTCACAATGCGACTACTTAACTCGTTCCCCCTTCAATTTAGCAAAAAATAAATTACTTTAACATGTTACATGTGTGCAAATTAAAAAAAATTTAATCGAGAAATTTTTTTAGGTCTTGGTCTTCTTGAACAAGATTGTTGGAGAAATCGGATTCAAATACACCGAAGAACAATTGAGAGAATGGGTGTGGAAGCATTTGAAGAGCGGACAAGTTGTTCCAGGATACGGACACGCCGTACTCAGAAAGACCGATCCACGTTACGAATGCCAACGTGAATTCGCCCTCAAACATTTGCCAAATGATGATTTGTTCAAACTTGTATCCACATTGTACAAGGTTACACCAAATGTTTTGTTAGAGCAAGGAAAGGTGAGTTGAATATTTCTTTGTTGCTCAATTTTATCCCAAATATGTTTGTTGTTTTTTCTAGGCTAAGAACCCATGGCCAAATGTTGATGCTCACTCTGGAGTTCTCCTTCAATACTTCGGAATGACCGAAATGTCATTCTACACTGTCTTGTTCGGAGTTTCACGTGCTCTCGGATGTTTGTCACAATTGATCTGGGCTCGTGGTATGGGACTTCCATTGGAACGTCCAAAGTCTCACTCGACCGAAGGACTCATCAAGCTCGCCGCTGCCGCCAAGAAGTAAATTAGTTTCATCTGTTTTTCTTCTTTGTCACCCTTAATAATCCCCCCAATCTCTCTCTACCCTCCCGTAGGATATACAGTGTTTTTAATTAGTGTACATTTTCACTCTCACGAACTCTCTATCTCCTCCCAAAATCCCCCAAGTTTTATTTTTTTTCGATTTCTTATGGCCTTGACACGTGGAATAGCACATTTTCTTATTATTTTTTGGGTTGTTTGATTATAAGTTTTCTTTATAAACAAGACCACAATAAGCAAGACAAGAATCTAATGGAAATTAACTGAATTAGTCGGAGTTTCGGATTTTGACAAACTATGTTGAGAAGATGAATGTTTGACAAGATTGAGAATTGATGCTGGTCGAAGAATATCTCCCAAATTATGATTATGTGGATAATGTTGATCTGCTTCTTCCGGTTTTATATTCACGATTTTCTCCTTGAGAATTGAAGGACGACGCGCATCTTTTGAAACCATTCGAACTTGGGACATTGATCGAGGAACTCTGAAAATTTAAAAAAAGAATGACGAGTAGAAAATAGAATAACTCACTTGATATGCGCCAGTGATCCTTCTCTCCTTTGATATCGTTTCTCATGTGCACTGGCTTCTGAATATAGCGGAACCCAATCATCATCCCAAAATGCGTCTTTCTCCAATCTCGGAGTTTTATTATAACCTTCATCCACGATTTTCAAACCCATTGCCAAATTTCGATCGATTAACATATTTGTCTCGAAATCGTCATCATCTTCGCCCCACGGATTTAGCAATCCTTCGGCAACTTTGAGCCAACCCATGTAAAGGACGAATTGAATTGAGGTCATAAATGGGAAGACGAGATCGACCTGAAAGTGGGCGTGGCTTAAATTTAACAGTAGTCGCATTGTTTTTTTTTTCAATTAGGATTTTGAGTAATTTTCTAGAAAAATTCAGCCACATTTTTGCTATGAACTTTTCCTCGTCACAGTGTTTCCTTTTCTTTATTTGAAAAATCCTGAACTGACCATTTCAGGATCTGAAGGTGCTCCTTGAACAAATTGTCTAGCAATCACACAAACCAAAAAATACCTGAAAATTCAAATTGAAATTTGAAAATTCTGAAAATCCTTACATATGAACTGCAAGACAAACAATAGTTGGATAAATAATTGGAAGTGGCACCCAATCATAATTACAAACCCACGCCAAACCAGTTCGAAACTTTTTGACATCCTCCGAAATCACAGTCACATAATAATCACTTTCAATCAATCCCTCTTTTCTCGCATTATAAATTAGAGCCCAAGCCCAATTAAATGGAAGAAAATATTTATTGTAATTATATTGGATTTCATCGAAATTCTCTTTTTCATGTGGCATCATAAAACCGGCAGCTGCAACTGTATCCAATGTTGGAAAACGTTTTCGAGCCTTCATTGAAAGATCTCGAAAAATTAGAACTTGGGTTAGTTCGCAATATCGGATTACGTTTCGACGATATTGTTTGGCACGGTCTGAATCGCCACGTATGTAAGTGGCTGCAGAACATGCGATGCTACAAAATTGATGATTTTGGTGTTTATTCAGATTTATTATTTTGAACTTCAAAAAAATCTCGAAACTTTTAAATTTGTTCCACGTCATAACTATGTATTCTCAAAACCTCACTTATCAATAAATCCAATAATATCATACAAATACCAAAATCGTCTCAAAACACCGCTCACAAAAAATCCGAGCAAAAATTCGAGTGGAACATACGATAACCGCGAATTTGTGTATTCGACCAATTTCACAAAAATGACACGTTGTGATGGCGAAAAAATGAATCGATAGAAAAAAGAGGTGAGAAAGAATAGACCGAGCCAAACGAGATATTGCATCCAAATCGATTTCCATACCGAACCGCGCCATCTGAGAATCAGATCTTCTTGCTACTTTTTTCTGGATGTTTTGGAGCTCACCTGAACACAAGAGCTAGAAAAGTCCATGGCCGACTTGTGGCTATTGATTGATTATAGCTAACCGTCATTTTTCAAACATCAAAAAATTGTATTTTTGGAAGAAGAGGAGAATGTTTGCCGAACAAAAATTTGAATAATCCTACATTTTTATGAATATTTTTCACGAAATAAAACGATTTTTTCTGAAAAACTTTACTTATTAGTAACAAATAACAGATTAACAAAAATAAAAAACTCAACAAAATTAATTCTTATGTTTCAAAATATTCTCAACCGCTTGTAGTCGCATTTGATCAGTATGTGCTGAATCGACCAAAAGAAGTGGTCGAAGTGCACTTCGCAATGAATTGAATAAATCAGGGAAGACAAGTTCTTGTTGTGCCAATAATTGTTTTATTCGATGTCGTTCGGTTGCTTGGTTGAAACATGCTGGACAATTTTCGGCCACGATTGGCAGTTTTTTCTCTTCAGCAAAGTTTCTGAGCGCTTTTTCGCGGACGAAGACGAGAGGACGAATTACGCGAAGGGTTTGATCTCTGGAAATTATTTCATTTTTGAAGGGGTACCCAAATTAATGTTACCCACAAACTCTTTTATGAGCCCAATATTTTTTTTCGAAAAATCCCTGAACTTACTTTGTTGAATATTGTGCTTTCATCGTCGTCAAACTTCCATTCTGAAAAGCGCCAATCAAGAACGATTCAGCCAAATCATCCAAATGTTGGCCCATCGCCAAAACATTCCAACCATGCAACCTGAAATTAATTTTTGTTTAAAAATTTGTAGATCGAGAAAACTACATTTTTCAAAAAAAAAAAACACCGTTTTGGTTAAAACCCATTTTTTCTTTAAAATTAAGCTGAATTCAAAAATCGTGATTTCGAAGTAACTACGAAATTACGATTATTATTTTTATCCATAAAATTAAAATTCAAAACCTACTGTGCTGCTGCAGCCAATCTTCCACGTTTCATCCGACTACAAAATGCACAAATCGACCGTAATCCCTCAACTTTTTTCGCTGCTCCAATAATATCTTGCTCTTCATAAAAATAATCGATATTCAATGATCGACAATATTCAATAAGTGGTCGTGGATTATATTCACTTGATCCCGGATCAATTGTAATTGCACCCAATTCAAATACCGTGCTTTTCGCTTTCTTGCAACGTTGTTGATAAAAATGAAGAATGTGTAAAAGTGACAAAGAATCTTTTCCACCCGAAAGACAAACTAGAATTTTATCACCATTTTTGATCATTTCTAATTGATGTATAACATCAGTCACTTTTTTATACATTTCAAGTGGTGGATTATGCCATTCTATCCGAGATTCTTCTTCTTTACTTAATTCAACTTTTCTCACAATAACTCGTTTATTCCAATCTTCAGTTTCTCGAACTTCTTCCGCCTCTTTTTCATCTTCAATATCTCCTTGAATTCCTCGTTTTCGCTCAATTTCCGGATTCAAAGGACATACAAATTCTTCTTCTGATGGGAATTCTGGATTGTTTTCAGGAGATATTTGAGGACTAATTTCTTCTTCAATTTCTTCAGAAACATCCTCATAAACTTTGGGTTGTATAACAGATTTTTGAGATTTTGTGAGTTTTCCAAATTTCTGATATTCAGCAATTTCAATTGGGAGAACAAACCAGCGAAGATCGGAATATTTTGAATCGATAGCTGATCGAGCATCAGGTGTTTTAGAAAGATCAATACTTTCAGCAGCGTCATTCGCTAGATTATCCGCACTTTTCAGAATATTTTCCAGATTTTCAGCAAACTCTTCTGTATCTTCTTTCGACATCAAGCCATTTTTAGTGAATCTCGCATGTCCCAACCATTTTCTTCCATGAAAAACTCGTTGATTTTTATGATGCCATTCACCGCTCTCACAATTTACTTGATATAAATGCAAAAAATCGGCGGCATGTTGAGCGACAAATTGAAGGGCTTTGAGAATTTGGCGAATAGTTTCGATTGGTGTGAAATAGGCAAAAGAAATTCGAGTGAAACCAGGACGAAGAAATTCTCGTTCTGAATATTCGGTTGATCTTCGTAGATGTAAACGATCGAGATCCGAAGCTTCGCGAATTGCATCGACGAATCTATCAGCTAGCTGGAAAAATTTAGGTCTTATTGAATGATGTAATTTATAATTTAGTTTCTTGAAAATCTTTGAATCTGATTTTTTTCGAAAAACTTTGAATTCGATTTCATAGGACCTCTCTTATTTTTTGTCATAGATTTTTTTTAAAATTTATTAAAAATCCAAAATTACCTTTTCATCAATTCCTAATAACTTTTGAGCATACGGACCAGCACACATACATCCAGAACGAGTTTGAATTCCAAAAAGATCATTGAGAAGTGCAGAAATATAATTATGATGGAAGAAAAGTCCACTTTTCGGTTCTTTCACTAGAAATGAGAAAACAGGAATCCTCTCTCGCCTTGTTGCAGGCCCCAATAAAATCAAATTCTCCTCCTCTTTAAAAGTTCTGATAACCATTGAACTGATATTCTGCTCAATTTCCGCGATAATATTTTCACCAACACTTCTTTTTAATTTCGCAGCCATTGCTAATCTAACAGCTCCAATTGCATCTGCAGTTCCACCTTCTTCTCGATGCGAATTCTCTTTCAAATACCATTCTTTGGTTTTTGAGACAAAAATTACAGTGCCTCCTCCAATTCTTTTCGGAGTTTTGGCTTGACAGAGAGCTTTTTTGATGATAAGAACACCTGGAGATGAAACACCTCCAGGGAATTTGTGACCAGAGAAGAAAATGGCATCGATTGAAGATGTAAATGAAATATTGATATATGGCGCAGCGGAAGCGAAATCCCAAATTGATAATGCTCCAAATTTCTTGAGAATTTGTGAAATCTTTTCAATATTATTCAAAATTCCAGTAACATTTGAACACGCTGTAAACGCCCCAATAATCCGTTTCCCAGAAATTGACTCCAAAATATTTTGTAAATCCAAAACATCAATTCGTCCACTCGAATCTTCTTTAACTTCCAAACATTCTATTCCCAGATTCCTCCAAGGTAAAAGATTGCTATGATGTTCTTGCGATGAATGTACAACAACAAATTCCTCGATATTTTCAATATTCATCAGATGAATCAATAATTCGACAGCTGAAGTTGCTCCATTTCCAGTGAATATAATATCATCAAGATCACCAGCTCCAGTCATTGCTCGAATTTCTTGTCTAGCTTCATGCATGAAAAGTGTAGTTTGCTCAGCGGTTACGGTCACCGAACTATGTGTATTTCCATAAAATGGAAGAACTTCCTGAAAAAATGAAGAAGATATTTTGTACTCACTAAAAAAGAAATTGTTTTAACTTACAGTGGAGGATTTTATAAATTATATGGTTTTTAGTATATTTCGACGCTTTTATCATAATTCCGTGCCAGTGTGGAAGCCGCCAATGAGAAATGCAAACCGAGGTTTCATTTTAAAAGATTCGTAGATTATTATCTAACTATGTCATCACGTGAAGAAACTCTTTTAAAAATGAAACCTGGATTTTTATTTCTCTTTTGCTGGCACCTTCGAAACTGGAACTGCATGAATAGGTTTCGTGAGTTTAATGGGCTAATCAGTATTTGACAACAAAATCAGGATCAGTGAATTGAAATCTAATAGAAACCATACAAATCAAAAAATCATTTTTTGTGAGTTAACTTGATTCAATTTGCAAGAACTTACATTTCTGATATAATCCTCGATTGCAGAAATCGCTCGAGCACTCGCTGTGTAATCACAATAAGTTACTAAAATAAATTAAATTTTGTATGCATTTTGTTCATTTCCACAAACTTTTTCGATTTCCGAATGGGCCTTTCATAATAGCATCTCTGCCAATTTCATCATTCCAAATCCATTCACATAGTTTTTCGCCGCTCTCCAAAATCTCGCCATTTTCTGCGGGTAGACTAGGAATCTCTTCCCCAAACCTTCGAGACATTCAAATCCTCTAAAATGTTTCCTTTTTCATCTGAAAATCGAATTTGAAAATAGGTACACGGCTGTGGAACCTGAAATCAACGCAAAAATGTTGCATTTTTCAAATTTTTATATTTAAATTTAATAGATAAAAACTTTTTGTACAAAATTGAAATTATATCAAAATTCCATAGAATGTGGATTGATTCCTTCTCCTGGATGTGATTCTTCATCACGTTTCTTCTTTTTCTCTTTCTTGCTCTTCTTTTTCTTATGCTTCTTCCTGTATACTTCTTCACTCGCTTCTTTTGCAGTTCTCAATGGTTCCAACGTTGATTTCACTCGAATAACATCCCTCTTTTCATCATAAATCAATTGATTATCTGTGCCATCTCTACGTTTTTCGAAAAGATGTCGATATCTTTCATCAACTGGTCCTGTACTCAATCGAAATGCTTGCATTGCGGAACTTGTTAAATGTGTGATCTCTTTATGAATTGGCGGTTTATCAACTAAACTTTTCAGCGAACTTGAATCTTGTGATGCAGAAAAATTGAAATTTCCATAAAGATGCGGAAGAAATGAGGAAAGATCTTCTTGAATTCGACGAGGACTACAAAACCGTCTGAAAACAAATAATTTCGATATAAATTTTATAGAATAAAACTTACTCATAAACACCACCGAGATCATATGCAGCTAAAAGATCATAACTTCCTTGAATTTCTGATTTTCCAGGAAGTTCTGGCTTGAAAGTGTGAAATGGCGTGACGATTTGACTGGTTTTTAGGGAGATTTTCGTTTTCAGCGCTCCTGATGTCACTGGCGCAGAAGTGGATGGTGTACTATCACCCATCAATCTGCAAAAAACGATTAAATTTGAGTAGCTTTAAAGGAAAAACGAAAACGCTTTGCAAACAAAAAAATAAAAGAAACATTTTTCACACATCAATGTTCGCTCTACCGCACACAAACATGTTTCAATCGGAGGCAATTTGAAAAAATGTTTTCCAATGGAAAAGCTTTTTTCTATTAAAAGCTTTTAATAGGGATAATCGACCCTTTGCGCAAAAGCTGCTCGAAACTTTTCTTGCGCTCACTTGTGATTATATAATAATCATGATATTGCACAATACATCAAAGCCTACAACCCGCTTCTTTCGGAGCTCCCCCGAAAATGCGCCAGACACATTTATAATCTACTCAAATATACTTAGCTGTGTGTTTGATACACTTGACCAGGATTGTAAAATATGGGAAATGTGTGAAAAAATTATCTAGACACCTCGTAAATAATGTTTGTTGATTTTTTGGTATGGTTTAAGAGGGGAAAGAAGAATCGAAGAAAAAGGGCGGCAACTTGGAAATCAATTGAATTTTTCAATTCGCTTAAATATCTATCGATTTAAATGTTATTCAAAAAACCATGAAATCTTCTGAAAATCCCATAAAACCTATATGGATTTTCTGAAACTCTTCAGGAATCCTGATTTCAACTTTTTTAGGGCTTGCAGTATCATTGACTTTCCTGAACCAAAAATTGATATTTTGCGAATTTTTCAACCTGTTCAAGGAAAAATGAAAAGATACGGTATTTATTTATCAATCCACAATTTTTTACGGCTTTTTAATAACTTATAATAAATTGAGTGATGATTGTGATAAGATAATAAATACGAAGGGAGAAAATAAAAATGAAAGATTATTATTTTTTCACAAACACATATTTTACAACATGGTAGGTTTTCAGAAAAAAAAATATTTTCTCTCATTTTCAGACCTATCCTAGCCAAACAATTTCCCTTTTGATAAGAAGTGTCACATTTTTTTCCCAAAAAACACTTGTTTATTTATTTGTTTGGTCCCAAAAGTTCTATTGATACGTATCTGTTTTACAATCACCACCGTCTTCTTTATTTTTCCCATATGCGTTTTACAACTCGTTTGATTTATTATAAATTTTTGCGTTTTTTATAATAATAACAATCACAATGACATGGTCAATCGATAAATTGGTTTAGTATTTAGTTTATACACACTGTTTTTTTTTTGGAAAAAACTTAAATTCAAAAACAGGATAGATTTGAAAGTGTGCCGCTAGCTGACACCTTCTTTTGCGGTGCCTTTTCGGCATAATGTGTTAGCATGAGGTGATAGGAGCCGATAAAGGAGCTGTCAATTTTAACACTTCTCGGGATTTTTCTATGATCTGACCGGCGGATATCGATATAGCGGGGGTTCTAGAAATTTTGAAGGTTTTGGGTATTCCACAGATTTTTGTCAGGTGGATTTGAGATTAGGAAAAATGAAAATTTTATTTAAATTAGATGAACGAAAGATTTGGTCAAGGAATTTCTGTTTTCAAAAATTTTGACAAATTTTAGAGCCTGAAAACTTTTTAAAATATAGTTTCTGTAAATTATTTAATAATTGCTGAAATCGAAGATCTACAGTAATCCGAACACTTATGATTTTCGATTCTAAAATTTTTGACACCGGAACTTTTCAGAATTTTTTCCTCTCTAGAAATGTTTTGAAATTTTAAAAATTTCTTCAGAAGCTGTGTTGCCACGGGAATTTTTCGGGACAATATAATTGTTCATGATTTATTCTACGAGGGTTCCAACATTTTCGAATCTTCCAAAAATATTCCCAAAACCAATTCTTCCCAACTATATTTCAACTTTCAAAAAAAATCTTATCACCAAGCCTCAACTTCTTTTTCTCACCTGTCACTCACTCATCTCTTCCTCTTTCCTAAAACTCCAAAATTCCAGCCAAATTCGCGCGGCATCTGTTCAACACGTGTCAATATCAAAGACCATACCGCCAACACCTACCGTATTCTCCTCTTCGAAAAAAGGGGCGGAGTCGGGGGTCCCGAAAAAAGGGCGGGGCTTAGAGAGAAACAGAAGAATGGTGTTAAGGATTTATTATTTATTATTGTAGTTATTGTTTCAACATTAGCCAAGAATTATTAATTATGAAGTCCGAAGTTATTGTCCGACTTGCTGAGCAACAAGATGCTCTTTGGAAACGATTTGCAGCGCATACAACTGAAATGGTTGTCACCAAAACTGGAAGGTTAGTTTTTTTTTCCTAAATTTATTGACAACAAGTTCTATCTCTATTCAAATCCCATTTTTTAATTTCAGAAAAATGTTTCCAAAACTCGAATATCACATCGAAGGATTAGAAACTGATAAAATGTATGCACTAGTTTTGGAGATTCGCCAAGTTGATGATTATCGCTATAAATTTTCAAATGGTGGTTGGGTGACTGCTGGAAGATGTGAAGGAAAAATTGAGGAAAAAAAGATTTGGCATGCGGATGGTGTGATGACTGGAAAACAATGGATGTCGACAGCAGTGAATTTTGATCGGCTGAAAATTACGAATAATTCGAAAGATACTTGTGCATCACATGTAAGTTCGGGGAAAATTTTTGATTTAAAATTGTTTTTGATCGCTACTCTTTTTGAATTCGAACAGTTCTTAAATTATCCAGTTCCAATTTTCCCAATGCAGATTTCAAAAATATTAAAGTTTCTCTACATACCAAAACCTTTAAAGACACAAGAAACACTGGAAAAAACAGATTTCCCGCATTTATTTTCAAACGACAAAACCAGCATGTGCGCTCTAGCGACACACTGTGTGCAAACACTTTCGAAATTTCCGTCGGCTGAGCGACTTCAAAAACAATTATTTTATTTTTTCACTTTTGCTAGACTCAAAATTTTTTCTTGGTTTTCATGAATTTCGATTACTTGAAAGGTGCTGAGAATGAATAACAAACTCATTTTCTGCTCATTTCTAGGTGCTCTTGTGTCTTTAAATAATTTTTCCTCTATTTTTCCTCAATCAATCCGAAAATCGAGCTACAGTACCTCGCTCCACTGCGGGTGTCATAAAAGATATTTTCCTCTCATTCCTCCCGTAATCTCATCCATTCTATTGTCTGATATCTATAAGATATGATCTACGCCGGCGCGTGTGACAAGTTCATCATCGTCACAGTTTGACGCAATGACTAAGAGCGGAAAAGGAAAGGCCATGCCTATTTGTTATTTTCATTATCGCAATCCTGATCTTATCATTTGTTATTTATAGGTATTTCTTCACTCAATGCACAAATATATTCCGGTTTTATCGATTTTTGAATCGCCATCGAATAGTCCATTTTTGATGCCACAACAAACCTCCAAACCGATTGCTGTTGTCAAAATTGATTATACCGATTTTATTGCAGTTACAGCTTATCAGGTAAGATTTTTTTCGGAATATCGCCACGGTAGGACTCGTTATCCGAGAATGCTAAAAATTAAAATTGAATCTTCAAATGATCTATATAAAAAAATAACCCTATTTTTTTCCAGAATCAAACCGTAACCTCTCTAAAAATTGCTCACAATCCATTTGCCAAAGGTTTCCGCGAAGGAACATCCACTCCAACTCAAGAATCACGAAAACGAAATTCGTCCTCAACACCAGAAGATTCGCAAGTCTCTTCTCCTCAACCAAAACGTATCAAATCCGAACACCCACTTCCACCAACAATCCCACAAATTCTACCATTTGCTCCAAATCCATTTATGCTTCCTTATTCTCCATTTTTATTCCAAGCAATGGTGGCAGCTTCTGGTGGACCACAAATCCCATTTTTCCATTTTGGTCCAACTTTTAGCCCAACACTTTCACTTGCCTCATCAAATTCAGCTGATTCAGAAAAAGATGTGGATTTGACACCTTGATTTTTATTTTTGTAGTTGATAATTTTGACATTGCTGTTTTTTTTTAGTTTTCGGGTTCTTTTGTAAATATTAAAAAGTATACATAATATTTCTTCTAATCATAAATTAATAATATATAAAAATGATAAAATAAAGTTTAAAAAAAATATGTTGTTCTGTTTTTAAATATTTTTGAAATTCTGCTAATCATTCATTCATAATATTAACATCAAAAATAAAAATAAATTTTCACAATATTTTCGATTCCAAAAAATGTTCCAAATTAATATACAGTACCCAATTGATAGCGTTTTCCTGGATAGCAGCGATTCAAACATTCTTGAGTGAAACAGCAGACATTGTCTTTTGGAAATTCGGAAAAGCTGCATTTTCCTGGCATTGAGCAACAAGCAGCTTTGAATGCACGGGCTGCAAAAATTGGAACTCTTCATGGTTTTCGGAATTTATAAATAGACGAAAAAGGGAACTCATGTCAGGCTGAAAATAAATTTGAATCTGAAAAATTCTGAACTTTTTCAGATTCTCTAGAAATGTCCGCCTTAACTGCTGATTTGAAATATTCACAGTTTGATTTTGAAATTCTAGATCCAAGGGCCAAGATTTTCAACTCACCATCAGATGAAACACATGGTTTATCCTCGGATCCATATTTGCAGAACATATTGGTATATTTGATAAAATTATCACATGCCACGCAAATTCCAATCAAAACCACGAAAATCAAGAGAAGTTTCATGATTTTTCAGCTTCTTCCAATCCAACTAAAATTTTGTGGCAGGTGAAAAATGAAAAATGCCAACTGTTTTGACATTTGTTTTCAAAAATAAAATAACACATGTGATTTTCTAAACTTCTCTTTTTTTCCCTGTTAACCCCAATCTCAATCAAGTAAATAAATGAAAGAGTTTTGCATGTTGGAAGAAATGTTGACAATGTTTGCACACAAAAAGTTTGACTATGACTAGTTTAATTTTTCTTGTGAGTCAGCCAGAATGGATTATTTTTGGAGAAAAATGTAACTTATTTCCGCCGGCAACATCAATGATCGAAATGTGTGAAAGTTTACAGTTTTTCTTGCACTTTGAGCCGCAAAAGAAGTGTAAACCTGCGGCACACTTTTTAGATTTTCGGGTGGTTATTGTGTTGAAATTTTTTGAAGATTTTATCGAAGCATTGTTTGGAATTATTTTGGAAGTGTTAGCCTGGAAAGTTTAGCACCAAAAATTATTGATTTGAATATGAAGGAAAAATATCAAATTTTCGATAATTTTAGAAATTATTTTGGATAAAAAAGATTTCTGTAGATTTTTTCTATTTATAAAATTATTTCAAGTCATATCTGATTTTCCAGTCAAGTTGAGATAATTAGAACTTGAAAAAGATGATACAAGAATTGAGACGAGACTAAAAATTCTTTTAAACGTAGGTTATTGATTTTGCCACGTCATAACTATTTTTATTTTTAGCAGATCAACCCATTTCGAAAACCACTTCAAACTGAAACATTATTTTCAACTTCGGACTGTCGCCCAAAATCGATCTCAAATCTTTGTGTGCTGCCAAAAACAAGCAAGCAAGAAGCATAATTTAAATATAGCTGCACACTTGAGATCCGTGTAAAAACAACACAATTGTTGCCAAGTGCGCGCAAAAACTGTCACAAAATGTTCAACCATCCACCCTTCCCACAAAAATCTTCATTTTATTCTTGCTATTCCTTTCTTCAGCCAAAAAATATTGACAAACAAACAAAACCGCGAAAATCGAATCGAATATTTGCCTTAAGCTTTTGCCTTCTTCTTCTTCCTGCGCAAGAAGGCAAATAGAAAAAGAAAAAGAAGAAATACCTGGGTTTTTTGTTGTGTTTCTTTTTCTTGCTCGCTTGTAAATTTACACGAATTTTTCCTCAAGTTTTGGTTGGTTTTGTCGATATTAAAATGGGTGGCGAAGAAGGTGTGTTGGATAAACAACACAGGTAAGTGAGAGCCATTTTTGGGAGGAGGAACAATTTTTGAGTTGAGTATTTTAGGAGAGAGGACCGGTTGAATAGATTGTTGTTTGTGTGTTTATTTTTTGGTATTTACTTTGTATTTTTTATTTGGAGTTGTTTTGAGAGCATAAAGTATTTCTTGAATTTTGAGAAAAGTTCGAAGCTTAAAATTCATTTTCATATTTTTATTTATTAATTTATTCAAAACTTTTTTTTTCAAATGCTCAGTATAGAGCTCCCATTTTTGAATTTTACTATATTTTTCGAAACTTTCAAAACATTAAATTTATTTCTTCAATGTAAGAAATCAAAAATTTTTTCACGGAAAATGTTAGGTTTCAAAATTTTTAGAATTTTGAATGTGTGTTCAAAAACCATTGCCGTAAGCAAGTTTGAAAAAAATGAATTGAATTTTGTATCAAAAGATAGTGTTGAATTTTCATTTTTTTCAAAATAACTATAATTCAATTTTTCACAGATCAAACATCCATCGTTCGGAACGCGAAGATCAACATTTACAACGCGTTCAAAGTCAAGGATCCGACACGGCAACTATCAATTTTGTAACCGACGATAGAATGCAGGTAGGCTCTCGAGAAAAATCTAGATTTTCTCCCCTCCCGACTAACTTTACTTTAGAGTAGAGTAGAGATAGTATTTTAAGTAGTAAAAATGAGGTCTTGTTGTTTCCCACCCCCGCGCGTGATCCACTTCAAATCCCTATTCTTTTTCTTCTTTTTCATTTTGCTCGGCAAGTTTTCTTAGCTCAATTTTTTAGTTTGCAAAAATTAAATTTAGAGTCATCAACTTTAAAAAATAACTTTAATAAAATGGAAATTTCAGAAAAATATTTTTTTTTTGAATTTTCTTAGTCAAGTTTTCATTTTTCCCTCCATATTTTTTTCGAAAACAATTCTCAAAAATATTTTTATAATATATTTTCATAATTCTGCCATCGTCTATTGTTTTTGTGCCTATGTTTGTACACATTTTTTCCATGGGAAACGAAAAAATTAATATATTTTTGGTCAATATTAAAAGTATGCGCGCGATGAAGCGAAAAGATTTGCAAAGAAAAAGGACAAAGCCTAATAATATTCCTGTTGTGGTTGTGAAGGTAACGGGAATACCGCCTTTTTTGTTTTTTCTCTGTTTTTTTTAGGTTTTGCTTTATCCCGGGAATTTTGTTTTCTTAAAGTCTCTGAAAGTCAGAATTTGGAATCTTTTTGGATGGGGGTTTCAAAAATTTTTCATTCAGTGTCTTCAAACTTTCTAGAACCCCCGCTATATCGATATCCGCCGGTCAGATCATAGAAAAATCCCGAAAAGTGTTAAAATTGACAGCTCCTTTATCGGCTCCTATCACCCCATGCTAACACATTATGCCGAAAAGACACCGCAAAGAAAAGTGTCAGCTAGCGGCACACTTTCAAATCTATCCTGTTTTTAGAACTTAGGTTTCGTGAATGATTTTTTAACGGTCCGAAAAATCCAATTTTTGAACTTCAAAAAGTGGGTCGACGATTTCAAGACTTGAAAAAATTCCAAGCCAGTTCAGAAAAAATTCGCGCTTCAATTCAATTTCCTTTCTTTTTCACCAAGAAAAAAACGCGAGGAAAATAAGAAGAAAATTGTGGGAAACCTGTCTTGATTCAAAAAAATTAGATTAGCTTATACCTACGCTCATTCTTAAAGACCCTCAATATATCAGCTCATAATTTTGACTTTCAACAACTTGCGGTAGCCTAGCTCCATTTTAAATTCCAATAGATTTTTCCGAACCAGTTCCGAAAAAAATTCCGTTTCAATTCAATTTCATTTTCATCCTTTTCCTTTTTCCACAAAAAATAAAACAGAAAGGAAAGGAAACCTTGGGGCCAATAATATGACGATGGAATTCAATTTAAACCACCAGATTGGTACGAAAATTAGCATGTATGTTGTTTTTTTTTCTTCCATGTGTCGTCTTCTCCTTTTCTCTTCTTCTTCTTCTTGCCTTTTTTTTGCCTATACACACTTCAATTAATCATTTTCCACTGCTCTCGCGCTGTTTTTTGTTGTGTTGTGCAAAAAAGGAAGAAGAAAAAAAAACGCGCGCGTTATGTTCGTTTTTTTCTCCTTTCCTTCTCCACCACTTCTTACCCCATTTTCTTCGCGAAAATGAAGAGGACCCACCAACTTTTGACTAGCTTCGACTACTTAATGCTCTTTTTTTTCTTTTGCTTCTTCTTCGATGAGAAAATTGAGAATCTTTTATTTTTTGAGAAGAGAAGATAGATGTCACGTCATTTTGCAGAGTTTTTTGAGTACTTTGGTACTTTTTTGAGTTTTAATTATAGATCTATTTTTGGCTTAAAATTGTGATTCCAAATCTAGAAACTTTCAAAGATCCACGGGAATCTGATCCACAATGTTTCATCATTCTCAATTCAGTCGTTCTTAAACCATTATTTCTTGAAATGTAAAAAATGTATTTTTTTCTATTTAGCTCGCCATATAAACTGACCCGCTCTCCATTTTTTCGCGTGCTTTGGGTCACCAAAAAAAAGATGTCACAAAAGATAACCCACTATATACTTTTTTGTTTATTTTTGTTTATAACTTTACTCACTCATATCAAACAATTCTTTTTTTTTCTAGGAAGAACACGAAGATTACTTGGTGTATAAAGATCAATACGAGGAGGAGGAACGACGAGAATACGTGATAGAAAACGGTGTGAAAAAACTGGTGAATCAGCATTTCGATTCGAGAGGCTATCAATCACAGGGAAAAGGAAGTCGAGGATATCGTGAAAGGGAAAGAGCTAGAAATATGGCTGTTGATTATTCATGTTAGTTTTTTTTTGAATTTTTTTTTTGAGAAACGGAGAGAAATTGGAATTAGATAGAATGAAACTTTTTGAACGTGATTTTTTTATTCTGGAATCTCAAAAATATGAAAACAAAATTAAACAATTAATGGAGCATTTTAATTTAAAAACATTTCTATCTTATTCTCTTCAAATTTTCGAAATATCACACATCCCTGATTTAAGAGCAATTCATTTCAAAAGATCAAAAATCTAACCACTCCAGTTTTACTCATTCTTTTCTTCTCAAAAATATCTTATTTCGCCTTTTTTATTTTTCAGCCAACGATTTCCGTCAATCTCTTGCTGCAATTGACCAAGCAAGTAGAGATGGTGCAATTTCGAGAGAAGATGGAGGTGTTCGAGTGAAACAAATTGGTGACACTACAATTATGACAGAACATCGTGATCCTTACTCTTTTTATTGGCAATTAGATCAGGTAGGAATTTCGATTTGATTAGGATGAAAATATATTTTAAAAATGTGGTCTCTCTGATCCAAGAGATTCGTATGTGAAAGATCGTATTAAAAAACTTCCAAATCATTTCCATAATTCCATATCCAGGCTCGACGAGAAACCGAATCCCCGCCACGTCGCCCACCACCAACCGATTATGTGATAGACGAAGAAGAAGTGATTGACACAGTTCTGTCGCCTGAATCACACGATAGCGGGATGTATGAGAATCAATATAGTCGTCCACAACGAACACATCCACTTCCACCGCCTCCAATGCCACCATTGGAAGATGATGATAGAGATTTGCCGCCAGGTTGGGAAAAACATCAGGATCCGAATGGTTATTCGTATTATTGGCACGTTAATAGTGGAACTATTCAAAGAGATCCACCACCACCAATTGTAAGTTAATTTGAAATCTTATAAAATATTCGGATCTCTTGAGAAACGAATAAGAGCTCAGGGATCCAAAAAACTTCGAGAGAACTAGTAGCACGCTTTGATTGGTTTTCAGCGTGTACCATCACCTGCTCGAAGTCCCACCCCTTCACCACCACCACCACCAATCTACACAACTGTTAGTTTTGTGTGTTAAAGCTTCTTGTATTCTCTATTTTTATGGGACATCACTAACAGTTAACATTTATGTACTTTCTCTATTTCTCACATCAACAAAAAATAAAAAAAAAACAATAATAATAATAATCCCGAGTCATCTCATCTCATATAATCTTCTATATATGTTTTTTTTCTTGCAGCACAAAGAGACACAAGCGGATGCTCCACCGACACAAATAATTCAGCTACCACCACAGCAACCCGTTATTGAGGAGCACGCATTCAAACAAACGACAACGAAACGACGAATTGAACAAGATGAGATGAGTGAAGGATATGCAGAAGGTGAGACGATTCAACAAGAAATTGATGCCTATCATAAACCGGTTCGATTTGCTGTTAGAAGTTTGGGATGGACTGAAATTGCTGAGGATGAATTAACAGCAGAGAAGAGCTCACGAGCTGTTAATAGGTAAGAACTAATTTTTGTAATGTGGGATTTATTTTGAAAAAGTCGTAAAAAACACAAAAGATTCACTCGGAAATTCGATTTCCTGGTTTGGGTGTAAATTCGTTTATTTTGCGAAGGGTTCAGAAGTTTATCATGAAAAATAATACATTGAGAGGGGAAAGGAGAAGAGTTAGTTCAAAAGTTAAAGTGCCTCGAGTGTTGAAAACTCTTTTCTAGGAGAGCCTGAAGATTTTCTAAAGGGAAGACGTTCTAGACAAAACAGTTCAACCTTAATTTTAATTGAAGCATACCTCAAAGCTTCTGGTCGAGTAATAAGAATCTCTGAGTACTAAACCACATTCTCTCAAAAATGAAATAAAATTTCCAGAGCTATCATTGATCTTTCAACTGGTCGAAATGACATTATGGACAATGTCAGTAAATGGGGAGATGGTCGTGAACTTATCATGGAACTCGATGATAACGAACTCGCCCTTATCGATCCTGATACAATGACTGTTATTCATGCCGAGAAAATCCAATCTATTCGAGTTTGGGGAGTTGGAAGAGATAATGGAAGGTTAGTTTTTTTTTTTTCAAACTCTCCTTTCTTTTTATTTTATTGAACATCCTTATTTATCTCATTGTTTTCATTTTTTGTTATAGAAATCGGTGGGTCGAAAATTGTCGTTTTGTATAGCTTGCTGCCTATTTCTGAGCTTTTTTTTAGAAAATGTTCTCAAAAAAATTAATAAACGTTAATTTTCAGAGATTTCGCCTATGTTGCACGTGATCGAAATTCGAGACGATTCATGTGTCACGTTTTCCGATGTGATACACCGGCCAAAACTATTGCGAATACATTGAGAGACATTTGCAAACGACTTATGGTTCATAGAAGACCGTCGAATTTGCAGGCTATTGAGTTGGGAGAACGAAGAGTTGTCAGAAGTAAGCAAAAGGGTTATTGAACAGATTTATAGAAATATTCATGAGAATTATTGTCCAAAATCTTCATTTTTCCTTCATAAAAAATGCTTCCAGCCGAAGGCCTCTCAACACCACTCGATGAGCCACGAAAAGTGATCCGTTGCCATTTCCTCGGAGTCACCCAAGTTCCAAAAGCCACCGGAATCGAAATCCTCAACGAAGCCGTCGATCGTCTCGTCTCACAAGTTCGACCCGATCGATGGATTCTTGCTGATGTTTCGATCGCTCCATCAACAATCGCAATTGTTGAAGTAAATGGACAACAGATTGCGGAATGCCGAGTTCGATATTTGTCATTTTTAGGAATCGGAAGAGATGTCAAGTGAGTTCTTTCTTTTTTGTTGTTGATATTTTTTAATTTTCAAAATCTATTTAGACACTGCGCATTCATTATGCAAAACTCTTCCGAAAACTTTATGTGCTATGTATTCCACGTCGAACCAAGTGCAGCATCAATGGCCAAAACAATCGAAGCCGCTTGTAAACTTCGCTATCAAAAAGTGCTCGATGCTCATTCGAGTCGTCACCCATCAGGAACATCTTCAATCCATCATGGCAATCCACCAAGTAATGCCTACGGCAAGGTTTTGCTTTTTCCAACTTTCCTTTCTAATCACTCACTTGTTTACCTGCTTGTTTAGTTGACAAAAATAGGAACATTTTGAATTGGACTTATGAAATCCGGTTCTACCAGGTCGTGAAACTTAAAAAGTAGTTCGAATTTTCAGCCTTTTCCAAAGTTTTCAGAAGAAATTTCTCAAGATTGTCTTCTAAAAATGAAATGTCAAAAATTGAAAAATTTGAAACTCATCTTAGCATGTGAGCCAAAAATGTCTTGAAATTCCTGTTCAAAAAGTTCACTAATCTTTTCCAAATCTAAAAATCACTGACTTTTCAGTTCTTCGCACCAAGCACCTCTCAATCTTAACCCAAAATTTTTAACAATAATTTTTACAGAGTTGGAGTGAATCTTTTCGTGACGCATTTGGTTCAGTCAGTCGAATGATTCCATCAAAATCCAATCAGAAAATGTGACAAAACTACGCGCTTATCCTATCCTTTATCTTTCCTTTTTGTAAAAATATTCCCCTTTTTCACCCCCTCAAAATAATAATGATTTTGCCTTAAAAAAGCTCAAATATGTTTTTGTTGATATATAGTTGCTTTCAACTTTGATTTTTGTGTAATTTGTTGTGATTTTGAAAAATGAAAAAATATGTGTTTTGACAATGAAATAAAGAATGAATCCCAATTTTTCGCAGTTAATCCAAAAAAAAACAAGCGCGATGATAAAAAATATCTGGCGATTTATCAACAAAAACAAGAACTGGAATCATTTATAAAGCTTCGTGGAAGAGGATTTTTGCAGAAAAATATCGATTAAAAAAATCGCCACGTGGCAAGTTTTTAAGGGCGTTTTAACAGAATACGATTTCTAAGTTTTCAGATCGCATTGTGAGGAAGAGGTATAACTTTTGTCACTGATTTGGAATTTGAAAAACTCGAATGGGTTTACAAGAAAATGAAATATTCTAAAGATCGTTACAAAAAATACAATCTTCCGTGTACTACAGTAGACCAACATGCAAAGACCCAAATTTTTGGGTAGATCTAAACTACAGTACTTGTCAAAAAGCCTATTTTTAAGATTTTCAGTTAATATCTCAGAAAACATGACACATGAGAATTCTCACAATCAGGCAACCGACACGAATTCTTTTTCCGAAATTACTCCGACGGTTCTCCACCCTACTGTTCTGAATTTCTTCATTTTCCCCAATTCTCTCCTCCCAAAAAAATAATTCGCTGACAAATCCACATATCCATACATATTTTCAAAAACTAAAATCTTCATCTAATCCAAGTTGTTGTTATTGAATATTACTTTTGCCAGTCAACTAAATGCTGCCCCCGTTTTTCTTTTTCTTCTTCATTCCCAAATCCCTCATCCACTAATCCGTTTTGCTCATTTTCTCCGAAAACACTAAGGGCTTGGTTTCCATGGTTGTGTTTGAGACGAAAAAAGCAACGGCAGGCAGAAAAATGCCCAAAATGGTGTTTTTCTATTCATTTTATTCACTCAAAACTTTCACTCACTCACTCTTCAACTAACCAACCAACCAACCACACAAATATATAACATACATACACTCACACACAACACAAATATAATATCCCTGGCCTCGTTGCATTCGGGGTTACCAAGCACCCATTTTTCTCTCGAGGTCGATGCGGGTCGGATTCTCTCGTCTAACCAAGCTCTCCACATTTTGTGTTGTCTCTCACCACTTGCCTGTCCCAAACCCCCTCAACCCCATTATACACATTTTCATTTTTGTTTGTGTGTCGCTCCTCTTCTCGTTTTTCTCGTGGCTACCCCTATTTTATTTCTGTGTGGGAGGGTTTGTGTATGCTATTTGAGGCCTACGTTTTAGGCTTATCGGCTGGGTCGAAATTTAGAAATTTCATCAAAATTGAATTTGAAAACCTGAAACACCTTCCCTGTCAGGCCTCCAAAAAATGCAGAAAAATTTTTCAGGTAGAAAATTACACGCTGTGTCTTTCTTACCCAAAAAAGATCCCCGCATTTTTCCCACGATTAAGGAGTTAATAATTTTGATCTACCGCAAAAATAATTTTGATCTACCGCAAAAACGTTCATGCCCTTTGTTTCGAGATTTTCAATAGCCTGCATCAATAATGTCCAATTTATTGATTTTCTGGGTTCTGTTGTCCAAAAATCAAATAGGGTCGCCTTCTCTCTCTAACCAAACTCTCCTTGTTTCCTATGTTCTATCAGGCCTTGTCCCAAACACCCTTTCTACCCCATTTTATACACACATTCACTTTTTTGCTGTGTCGCTCCTTTTCTCTTTTTTCTTCTTGTGGTTGTCCCTTTTCTATTTCTGTGTGTATGTGTATTTCGAGTGCCTTTCTCTCATAAATATATTTTTCGGTTGGTTTTATGCACCATTTTATTGATTTTTTGGGATCTGATTTACCTGTGGTCTCCAAAAAATTATTTGTTATTATGCTGAACTTTTTGAAATTTAACTTTGAAATTCATTTTCTAAATTTTTGGCTCTCACAGAAATCCCGATATATTCGGTGAAAAATTCATTTCTTTCTCGATCTCACGAACTTTTTTTTTCAAATTAAAAAAAAATCGTGGGAATTTTCGAAAATTAGAAGAAATTATTTTTTTTTAAACAATTGTGTAAAAGATTAATTTTTGTAGAGAGTTACAATTTTTGTAAAGCTGTGACTCATTTTATAATTGCGTGAGAATAATTTTTTAATATAAAAAAGTTAGGTTGTTTGTTAGATCAAAAAGGCCTTTTTTCATAAGACCTTTACCTCTCAAATTCCAGTTCACGTTTCTTATCTGACCAATTTTCTCAAAAAGATCATTTCTGAATGCTAACTGATTCCAAATCACTCACTAAAATATTTTTTAAAGTTTTCAAATTTTTTTGAAACTAGCAAAATTTCAATCCACATTTTTTCATCGAGTGAAAAGGAGAGGTATTTAATAATTCATTCATATTTCATATATATATTTCTATATTTCCAAATACACTCAAAAATGTGCTCTTTTCGGCATTCATCGGCTCTCCCTCAGCCACCAAAACTACTTGAAAAGAAGTAGAAGAAGCAAAAGCGAAAGCTTTGGCAGACAGGAGGAAAAATCAATGGAGCAGAAAACCAGAACCCCTTTTTTGTTCACATGGGAAACAGGGAGAAAAGACCCAGGTTTTCCTCGCGTTTCTCCTAATTATGTTCAAGAGAGGGAAAAAAGGGAAGGGAGGAATTCTTCTTTTTTTCCTACTTACTTATTTTTTTACTAACTTACTCTTACTTATGAAAAAACGGATTTCTCTTTTTTCTAGCTAATTTTTATTCTGAACACAACTTACTTACTTACTTGAAATTCAAGCTCATTTGGAAAAATATTTTTAAATTCTGAAAAATTCCAGAAAAACAAAACAAGATGTATGTGGTCATAAGTATGGAGCCTGGCGCGACTTTGAATCAACTTATGGTTTTTATGACGCAAAAGGCTATCACGTTTTCGGTGACCGATCGAATCAATAAACTTTGTGATAAGAATGGTGAGTGGAGTATTTTTAGGAGGGAACTATTCAGAAGTGTTTTGAATCTAGATTTTGCTCAGATCTTTCATCAAAATCATTCAAAAAATACTTGAAATCATCAATAACTTGAGTTACAGTAAATCCGGAAAAATGTGAAATCTCAACTCAAACCGAAGAACAAACACAAACACCTTCGATATCTGGACCGCCTGCCAAAAAATCACGCCCAGAAGAATGCGATTCGCCGTGCTCTTCAGCCACACCTTCTGAGCCGACAATCGATAAAAATGGATGGGATTCGGAAACTGCTTTGCTAAAAAATTTGATTGATGGAAATGACAATGATAAGGAGACTGATGAGATTCAAGCACAGATTTATGCTGCACTCTTTGCGAAGATTCAGGTAATTTTCAAAACTTTTTCAAAGGAGTGGTTGATGTTTTTCTACCTTCGAAATATATCATTCATAAAAAGTTATTTTTCAGCCTGAAAATATGGATGAAGAATCTGAATCATCCAATCCAACACCAAGCCTCGATTTAAATATTTTCAACAACTCTGACACTAGCGGCTCAAATTATCGATATAAAGCTCAATACGCTTCAACGAAACGTGGAGTTTGTCAAGTTTGTAATCGTGAAGTTTCATTAATAACAACTCATCGAAAACGGCACGCGAATACACATTTGGGATTCAAAAGTTTGAAATGTACAGTGTGTCATAAATATTTTGCGAGACAAGATTTGGGAACAGGACATTTTAAGAAAGAACATCCTGACATGGAATTTATACCATTTGTTGATACAATGTGAGTTTGAAGAAAGTTTCTGAATAGATTTCGAACTACGTTTTTTGCAGGTCTGCTGACGATGAACAACAATTAGCCCTAATGATGAATCTATGTTTCCCGGAAGAAATGTCAAAAAAGAATAAATCGAAAGCTGAAACTGAGGCTTCGACATCGCCATCACCCTCAAAAACTATTAAAGACACATCAGCCACTGGAAAAAACAGATTTCCCGCATTTATTTTCAAATGACAAAAACAGCATGTGCGCTCTATTGCTTCGTTGTGTGCAAACTCTTTCGAAAATCCCGTCGGCTGAGCGATTTCAAAAACAATTATTTTGTTTTTTTTACTTTTGCCAGACTCAAAATTTTTTCTTGATTTTTATGAATTCCGATTACTTAAAAGGTGTTATGAAAGAATAACAAACTCATTTTCTGTTCATTTCTAGTGGATTGTGTGTCTTTAAAATTGAACCTCCTGTGTTGTGAAATATATCTTTGAGAATGTGTTGAAATTTTTAATTTTATTTATAATTATAAATTTTTTGTATCAAAGATGATTTTTGAAAATTTTCATATTAAAAAATACTTTCTGTTTTCAAACCCACAGAAAACTCACCCTACAAACAAAATAACAACCAGAACTCTTCATTTTTTTTCAAACTTTGTCGACTTTCTCCAATTTTTCTTTTTTCTTATTTCTAGCACCACATTTTTTGTCTGCATCTCCACAAAGTCTCTTCGAAATTGATGAAATCGTTTCTTTTTCCTGGAAATATAAATCAAATTTGAATTTTACATTGATTTTTAGGACTACCTTTAACTTCAATAAAACATTCTGTGGTGGTTTGATTTGATCATCTGACGCTGAAAAAAAAACCACGTTTCTACAAATTATTTTTTTTACTGTAAAAATACCTTCGCAAGTTTTCTTAGCAAGCGATAATTTATTTAGATGTGATGAGATATCTGTAAATTGAAATACAAATCATTTTTTCAAAAAAAAAACTTCCTCATTCAACATACTTTTTTGATTTTTGACAAGTTTTTCAAGAGACTTTTGAGTTTGTTGTTGAGTTTGTAGAAACGATTGAATAGTCTGAAAAAGCATTTTTACGAAAACACCTAAATTTTCAAAAGCTTACTGAATATAGTTCACAATTCGTATTCATAATTTCGTTTCTTCTTGCCTCCATAACATTTTGTGAACATTGTTCTTGAGTGGGAAAATTCCGTTCAATCATGCTGTCTGGAAATGAAAAATACAAATTATTGTGTTAGCTGAACAGCTGAACTTACCTGTTTATTAGATTTTTCATCTATTGATTAACCGATATTCAAAAACTACTTATCGGAAATGAGAGTGCAGTGCACTAAAAACGCGTGAAAAAAGAAAGAAAGGACGCGCGTGAAAAAACTATGTACAGTATTTTTTTGAAGGCGCGCGCATTTTTTTCTCAACAATTTGAGTGTCGTTTTGAGACACAAACAGAAATTGACATGCTCCTTTATTTTCATTGTATAAAAAACATTTTTGATTTTTTTTTGTTTTTTCTTTTGTCGTCGCAAAAAATGTCGCAAAGACATTCGCAAAGAACGCCGAAAATTTCGAGAATGGTAGCTTTTGTTCTAAATCAGGATGTTGTCTATGTTTTCTTACTTACAGAATTCAGCAGAAAATGCGAATAAGATTTTTAGTGAAGAGCAAGTTGTTGAACAAAAAGTGGACGAGGGAGACGATAGAGATGTTGGTGAGAAATTTTACATATTCATTGTAAGGCCAAAAAAGTGGAAATGATATGGAAGTTTTTTTGTAAGAATAAACTAGGCCACTTTCACGTATTTTCTTGATTCATTATTTTATTTTAGAAATTTTCAAAAAATACAAATTTCGAAAAAATTTAAACATGACATTCATTTCTTTGGCAAAAACTAAAAAGAAACTTGAATATTCCAGATTTTCACGAAATCGAAGGTTCTCTACACATGATAAATTGGCAAGATTGTCTCGCACAACTATCTTCAGATATTATCGAATACCAGTCAAATGCTGAAGCGAGTGATTGGAGTTTCATGAAACCAGCAATTATTCAATATCTCTTCACAATTTGCATTCGATTACGTCTTCCAAATGAAGTTCGCTATACGGCCGCACTGATTTTCAATGTTTATATGCGCCGACAAATCATGCAATTGTATCAGTTTTTAGAGGATCAAGATATGAGTGCCGCGCAGAAATCGAGAGAATGGGAGAAGATTGAAACAAATGCCGAGAGGCAGATTCCATTGAGATTGTTGAGCGCTGTTCAGATCAGCAGTAAAATTCACAGTTATCATGATGTACGTTAGAATAATTCTGTAGAGAAAAGTTTTGATGAGGCAAATTACAGAGTTTATCATCTCGCCAAGTTGTGAATTGTCTTCGATCTCTTAGTCTTCCATACACACTTTCGGCTGTTCAAAATTCAGAAATTCGAGTATTTCGAACAATCGGACACAAGTTTGTTTCATTTATGGGGCGGGCTTGTCAAAATTAATGCTTTGAAATAAAATGTAAAAGAAAATTTTTATTTCACTTAATATTGGCAGAAAATACAAAAAAACTAATTTAGACTCACAAAATACACTGATAAAAAACAAAAAAAATCCCAGCGTTCTATCCAGGTTTAAATTTGATCTAAGTTAGTGAGCGAAAAAAAGGGAGGGGGGAACATTGTAGGGTACATGAGACGCTCCTTTTCTCCTTATTTTTTTCTGGCAAGTCCGCAGATTTATCTTTTTTAGTTTGCTATTTTTGCCTGTGTGTGTGCGTGTTATTATTAGACCAACCCATAAAATACGATTTATTTCAGGCCACCTGAAAGTCCGCTAACTGTTTGTGAAACGGCTATCAAAATCTTGGCATATTCAATGCGAAAACATGGATGGGCGGATGATTCGAAATTCGATATGATTTGGCAGCATGTTTTGGTTGTTTTAGATGTTTGTATGATAAATCATGCTGATGTGAGTTTTTGGAGATACTTTCGGACATAGAGAAAAATATAACTTTTTCAGCTCTACGATAAATTCATGGCTCGCCGGCCGCGAAATAATTTTAGCGCGAAAGATGACCCCGCTGTTGTTTTGGCCAAATTCAAATGGGATTTTTTGATGCTTTCAATATCAGTTATTCAAACGGCTATTTTGTGTGTAATTGGAAGAAGTTGTCTGCCATTGGTGAGTTTTTTGTTTTGTGGGATAAACATATTTAAATTTTTTGCAGATTTCAAAAGTTTTGGTGAAAATCTTGCATTGCGATGAGCGAAATTGTCAACTTTTGCACGAATCAATTGTTGAGATGATTGAAGAGCGAAGATAGATTAATGCATGTTTTAATAAAGAGTTTTATTTTTGACATTTTCGTGGTTGGAAACATATTCAAATCGATTATATTTCGTTATATTACCTTTATTTTTTGTATGCTTTCAATATTCAGAACGATGTTGTAATTCGAGTAAGATATGGTCAGTTATATTTTCCTTTTTTAAATAAAAACAATTGGTTTTTTTCAGTGATGCCTATGCACTTTTGCTGGAAAAATCGAGAAAACAGGTAAAATTTGATTCAAAATTCAACTTTTCCGAACTACCCGCAAGAAATAAAACATCTCAATTATGAATTTTCAAAATAATTATTTACAGCAAGATTGCTCTTCGTGTGGTCTTGGAGCGTTCACTGAAAATGGAAAGGTACGTATTTTTTGGGTGAAAAATAGGTTATAAGGTTTTTTCTCAAAAAAAATCCAAACAGTGTAACTCACACAAAACAATTTCGCTGGTTTTATGTTCTGGAAATGGTTGACAAGCCACCATCGAGAACAATTCTTTAATATTTTTCCCAGTTTTCGCAGAAGTTTCGATATATTCATGATCGGCCTCTTTGATGATTTGTTTCACATTCATCAAGCGACGCCTGAATTCGTTCAAATTCTAATTCTTTCAAATATAGATAGTTTTCTCACCCATTAACAAGATCGCATTTATTTCCAACAATAATTGTTATTGTATGTGGTCCTCGATCTTTATCGATTATTCGTTTCCAACGAATCAGATGCTCGGCCGCGTGTTCATCTCAAAAATTAAAATGATAAGAATCAAAGAAAAATATGTTCACATTTACCTGATAAATCGAAAATCAACAAAGCAACTCTTGAACTTCGGATATAAGAAGGTGCCAGTTGGCGGAATCTTTCTTGTCCAGCCGTGTCCCAAAGTTGTAGACGAATTGAAGAACCGTCGCTTAGTTGAACTATTTTGTGTTTGAAATCGATTCCGATTGTTGTAAGAGGGTCAGCTTCGAAGGTATTTTCCAGAAAACTGGTCAGAAGTGCGGTTTTTCCGGCTGGAAATAGGAACTTTGAACTGAATTACCAAAAGGTCTCACCTCCCTTTTCGGGATAGCTTTGACCATTTTTCAATTTTTTTTTGCTCTGGACACCGCTTGAAAGTATGAATCATTTTTCCGAGTTCTATAGCTCAACTTGGCTAATGAATTTTAAAAAATTACACCCCTCCCCTCGCCCCGTTTTCCCTTTTCACAAACCTCCCGACTCGCCGACAACCACAACTTTAACAGTTTTAATTGTATCCATCAACAAAAAAAATCGGAAATCAATGTGAAATTGGAATATATTCAACAAATAATGATGCCTTTTGTCGTCTGCTGTCGCTTTTCCAACAAAAAATAGCACCCCAAAAATATTTGTGTTTCTGTATTCTCTCTTATCAATTTTTGAAGACAGCTCAGCACTTGACTCTGTAGACTGACTGTACAAATTTCGTTGATACTTTGTACGGAAACGGGGAAGAGAGAATTGCACATAAGTAACATCCGTTTATCTACAAAGTAGCTACAGAACAGCAACGGCGTAGCTACGGATTCAAAAATAATATTTATAGAGCGGTCACTTCACTTAATTTCTGTCCGCGAATTGTGTAGCTACAGCGTACACAGGGTGTAATTTACTACCTCAAATCGCTAGACCTCAAATTTTTCATTAATTTTTGGGTATATCAAAAATCATTTTTCTCTAAATCTCTCGTTTTTGCGTTGAATTTCGTCGATTTTAGTCCCACCCCTAAGATCGTGTCAGGTCTCAAAAAATGCGCGAAATTTTTCGGGTAGTAAATTACACTCTGTGCGTAGATACGCTGTACCTACGTTTTCATCTCTGATTGTGTGACGCTTGGCAGCTCTCGTCAGAATTTAAGGTGTGCGTAATAACGATTTATCATCTGCGTAGCTACGAATTTGATTTTTTCGTAGCTACGCTGAAGATAAAATGAACCTACGATTTTCGGGAAAAAAGTGTAGGTACAGCGTTCATTCGCTGTATTCACACTTCTTCAATTTGTACAGTCAGTCTACAGAGTCAAGTGCTGAGAGCCACAAAAAAAACAGAATTTATTTATTTATTCGTTCAATTTGATTTGTTTATGTACCATACATAATAAATAATAAATATAGTTTATGATAGTCAGAAAATTTATGAGGTTGAAGTTTCGCGAAGAAGTTGAGCAATGTACAAAGGACGACCATTCTTAAATCGAATTGACTTGGTAATTAGAATTATTGAAATCTCTAGCCAGAAAATACCTTATAAGTTGATTCCATTCTTGGTAAAAGATCCAATGCCAGATGTGCTTGTGGATTTTCAGCTGTCGCAGGAAGCCATTTCGTTTCACCGAGAACAGTTTCCGAGTCTTGAACACCGTTTGGATCTCTGTGAAAAATCTCATATTATGAAAATAAAAGGGTGACCTATTACGTGGAAATTGGGAGAATGGTTTTTTTTTTCGAAACGTGAACTAGTTTTTTAGAAAAAAGTTTTGAAAAAAAAAAAGTTTTCATTTCAGAATGAAATTATTTTACAAAAGGGTGCACTTCAATTATTTTCGGATTTGTTTTGAGTGAGTTGGGTCCTGATCCTTGTGTAAATATAGTTCGAGATTAAAGTTCTTGAACTCACCCATATTTCGCAAAATTTGTCCAAAGTCTTGTTGTAAGCTCAATCATTTTGATATCTTCCTCAGCCCATTCGAAATTTCCCACAATATGAGTTCCGACAACATAACTAATATCAGTACAATGAGTAGCGTCTGAAAATATATCTCATCAAATTGAATCTCGAAGTTTCTCTCTATTTTCTAACCTTTAAATGGCATCTTGTAACCGATTATTCCGTATGCTTTTGGATTGTAAAAATCGAATGAATAGAAATAGATAGGTGTAGTTGGTTGAGTGTCAAGAACATCGAGAATATTTGTTTGAACTCCGACATTCATGAAAAAGTCTCCTTTTATTTCACTCATTGCTCGATTCCATTCTTCTTTACTGTGTTCGCAGCCAATATCAATCAATTTTGTGATGGCTTCAGATTGAACATGTCTTGCATGAAGTGGGAATTTTGTTTCGGGAAGAATATTTGCGAGATCTTTCAATATTTGATTGAGTGGATTCTTACTATCAAGTCCGATTACTAAATTAATTTACTGAATAATTGAGTCTCTAGATTTTTTTTATATTCAACTCACTGCACATTATCAATCCTTCCGATCTTGCACATCCAACCAATCTCGGTTTTACTGGCGATTCTTTGCGTAGTTCCATCAAAGGTTTTGGCAAGAACACACTGTCAAACTTCGGACCTACCATCATTTGTGTATCTTCGCGATTTGGGTCGATTTCCATCCCAGCTGCAAATTTGTCAGCGGGAATTTGACGAAGTTTATGTATCCAGTCTGCACTGTTCAAAGGGTCGTGTATACCGATCGATTCGGCTCGAATACGACATGCTTTTAGAGGAGTTTCTTTTATAGACCAAGAACAACTTGCATTTCCGCCCATTGGAATGACCTTGTGGAACAAATCTGAAAATAGCTTTTTTCTTTTGATTAGATGTTAATAATAAATTAATATACCTCTCGATACTGGAGAAATGCTTAATAAATCAACAGCATCACCTCCAGCAGATTGACCCATCAAAGTGATATTATCCACATCTCCTCCGAATTCTTTTATATTTTCTCGAATCCATTTCAATGCAAAAGTCATATCATGAAGTGCTAGATTATCTGGAATCGTTTCATCACCAGTTGTCCAGAATCCCAAGAATCCTAGACGATATTGAACTGTAACAACAATCACATCTTTTCGAACCAAGTATTTGGAAATATTCAAATCGCCGTATTTCACAGCTGAATCGCTGACGAATGCTCCGCCATGAATAAAAACAAGAACCGGAAATCCGGATGTTGTTTCAGCTTTCCAAACTGGTGTGAAAATGTTGAGTGTTAGATTATCTTCGGATTGTGGGCCAATCTGTAAAAAAATAGGGTAATTTTATTCCAGGATATCCAGCGAGAGTGGGAAAATTATGAGAAAAATATAACAAATTTACGTAGGAAATTGTTTGTCTGAAAATCCCTAATCTTGCGAAACACACTTAGACACGAGTTTCCACCCACGACTCTACAAAAAACTCTGACTTGTGCGATTTTTGATGTGTGGGCTATTATGACTATCACATCATAAGTTGTTGTGTCTGTGGGAATACATAATGATAAGAAATACAAAATTGTCTAGCTAAATTGTTGCGAAAACCGTACCTTTCCAGAAAGTAAACCATCTTTCTGAATTCCTCTCGCACCAAAAGCTTTTGTTTCTCTCACATCTTCCCATTTCTCATGTGCAACTGGCATCGAAAAACGGAGTTCACCAATAGGTGTCGCAGCATACGGTACGCCTTGAAATGCATCAACTTGTCGCTCGTCTTCGGAGAAAAATCTGCGGCCTTCAATTAGGCCGTATGTTGTCTGAACTTGTCGAGATGGTGGATAGTTCCCACTGGCTCTTGAATTCGAGGCACCCATAATTCTGGAATTTGAATTTATTTGAATCGGAAAACAAATAACAACTTTCTCTTGTTGACCAAAAAAGAAACAACAACAGAAAAAATAAAACGAAAATGAAATTGGATTTTTTTATCGATTTTTTTTCAAAAATAAAAAAAAAAACAAAATAAAAAATCATGACCAAACAACATTTTGTTGTTGACTGATTGAAAATGAGCAGATAGTGCGGACTCCGCCCATTTGATAAGATTTTATAGTTAAGATACGACTAGACAAGGAACGATGATTTTTAGACTTTTCTGAAACTAGAAAATTTAAGAAGAATCTATTGAGAATGGGAATCGATGAAAAGGGTTGCAGGAAAAAATGCAGTTTTCAGAAAATAAATAATTATCACGTGAACTAACTCAAATTGACATTTCTCAAAATTGTTATCATTTCAAATGTTATTTTCGAAATCTGAAAATTTATGAAAAAAATACATATATACATTTTTTTAGGAGCCACGATGTGACGATGTGATGCCACGACGATTGAAGATTTTCGGACCTGGCTGCATTCAAAAAAAATTACTGTGAGTTTTTTTGGGGAAAGTTTTTCAATAAAAAGTTTATGTGAAGGTAAATAAGGTCTATTTATAACATACATAAAATACAAACGGGCTTTTTTGTTGTGTGATTATTATGAGCACATACAATCGAATTCTAGCAAAAAAAAATTGAAAAATATAATTTGGCAGTGGAAAAAAGGGTGTGAGCAAATAGGAAAGTGAAATGTAAGAGAAAAAATTAATTGACATCTAGCACCAAGTAAAAATAATAAAAAAATGATGGGGGAATATAAAAAAGCACCGAATTTATGGCAGTTTCAAAAAATGGTATAAATCAAAATGAAAATGATGTGTGCCTAATGGCCGGTTGAATGTTCTTCTTTGTACGTGCGATGGTATTTTTCTTCTACAACTTCTCCTCCGCCTTGGGATGTTGATCCTCCTAGAAAAAATAAATATACGATGACTTTCTAATATTTCTAATTTTCGTGATGTCTCATGTTATACATTGTTCATATTAAACGAATATAGTCTTACCGACGTTACTTGTTGAGGTGGAGAATTTCTTCATACGTTCGATAGTCCGATCCAGCGGTTCAGCGACGATGTCGATCAATTCTTCAGCCCATTTTCCAGATGTGTCATCTGTAAATTTAAATTTTATTATTTTGTTCCCACACTTTTATCCTCTAAAAATTATTCTATTTTCATTCTATGTACATTCTACATTCGCATTCACTCAAGAAGTGGTAAATTCAAGTCAAAAAGGTAACAAACGTTTTGGTGTGTTGGCTGATGTGCTGCCGGCTGAACTTGATGGATATCCGACACGTTGAACACTTCCGCTAACTCCACTTGTTGCACCTGCTGCAGCTGCACCGGAAGAACTTTGAATATTCCGAGTTGATGATTGATAGGTATCTAGAAAACATTCACACACTCTACCATGCTTCTAATTTCAATCTAACAACAAACCATAATCATAATTAGAATATCCTCTAGCTCTACTTCTAACTGTATCATAAGCATTTGTATCAGAAGTATAACCAGCTGCGCCACGTGGCGATGATCTACTCAATGTATCTAATTCTTTTTGGAGTGTATGAAGAGCATCACGTTTTGCGTGTGGAGTCGATGGTCCCGGACGGGAACCATCGAGAAGTGTTTGACTGGCATACCGACGAGGGCTACCTACATCGCTACGCGATCTGTAGTTGTAGCGCTTCGAATAGGTATCAGTTCCGATTTGTGAATCTTGAGCAGCGCGAGCCAGGTAAGAACTTCCAACATGTTGACGAGATCGAGATAAAGTTCCACCTTGGAGATAGGTTTGGGATTGATGATGAGCTTCTAAATAATGAAAAAAAGGTTAGGAAGGTTCTAAAGTTAGAGAACAGGCATGAAAAATCACTACTTGCGGGTTTTTCATTCTATTGAAAAAGTTTTTTAGAAATAATAAGTTAGTATTAAATGTAGCTAACCTTTGTTTTGAGCCAATGCTGAAGCCGAGAGTGAACGACGGTTGCGACTCAATGAATTGTATCCTTCTTCAGCATCATATTTTAAATAATCTCCAGGCTGAAAACATTAAAGTTAATTATTGATTAAAGTTTAGTTACTCACAGTGTAATGTCTTCTCAATGTACTTCTTCTACTTCCGATTTCTTCTAACTCGTGAGCCAATTGTTGACCGGTTGATGAAAAAGCTGCTCCTTCTGGTTGTTGATTGTCTGAAAATATAAAAATAAAATGAGTTTCGGTACTTCCCACTCCTCTAAAAATAGGAAAAATACTCACAAACGTGATAAATCTTTGTCGAATGAATCTCATCTCCTTTTGTCTTCTCCAATGATGTTAATCTTTCAGTCAATTCTGTCAATGATTGTTGTAATCTTCTCGAATCTTCGAATCGATGTTTCTCTCCAACTCGGGATGATGCTCCCTCTTTGAATCCATCAACATATCCTTGTTTGAACTCTTCTTGACCAGCATATTGTTCATCGAGTCTTGAGATCAATGATGGTGTGACACGATCACCAAAGATTCCCGAATTTCCATCTTTGTAACCTTGAACAAATCCAGCGGAATATCCTGGACCAGTTCCTCGTTGAGCCAAGTTATGCATTGATGTTGTCATTCCGGTCATTCCAGCGTCCTTGAGACCTTTGGCATATCCTTCGTGGAATCGGTCATCTCGAGATGCGTAATCTGATGCCAAGCGATTTCTGGCAGCATTTGCGCTTCCAAGTTTGCTAGCATCTTTGTAGCCTTTCATGTAACCATCTTCGAAGTGTCCATGAGCTGAAAATTCGAAATTTTATTTTTTTCATTCATTTTTTCTGAAAAGATTTATAGCTTACTTTTGTTATTGATAGCACCTTTCATCGATTCCAATCTTCCTTCCAAGTTTCTCAAATTCTCATTAATTCCAGCTCGATCTTCTGTGAGAAGTGGAACATGTTGACCATTGGTAATTCTGGTTTCATGAGTTTTTGAGCTTCGGAATCGGCTAAAATAATTTGTATTATTTTATTTTTCACAAACATTCAGCTAGTCACACTTCAGGAAGACATGTTAGAAATAGGCTTACCGTTGTAGACACCATGGTAAACAGCAGCAGAGCAAAACTGCGAGAAGAGTTAGGAGAAGTGGGAGAAGAAGCCACCACCATGGCCAGGATGATGATGTAAGGAAGGGAGAGGCTGGAAGAGGGGATTGAAGGATCTAGTTAGGTTTGGGATAATTATTTTTGAGTTAAGAATTTTTAGGGTAACATGCTTCGCAAAACACACTACTAACTCTTTACAATGCCAAAGAAGGCAAATGAGAGGACATAAAATGAGGAAAGCGGCGAGTGGAAGAAGAATCCAACGCCAGAACACACGGCTCAGAAGCCAGTCCCAACCGCGAACATCTGAAGATTTTTTTGGGAATTGTTATTTTCATAAATCTGATGCCTCCCCAAAAAAAGGGCGGGTTAACTTCGGCCTCTGGGGTGACTTCCTAAATTCCCCGGGGATTAAGTTTCTAGAATTTTTTTTTCGAAATCTTAAAAAATTTCAATTTCTCATAACTCACCATCTGGAAATACGTACATTCCCAAAAATAATTGTTATCTACCCAAAACAAAATTGAAAAATACTAGCGTTCTAGTTGATCAGTGTGATCAGTTGAAAAAAATTTAGAAAAAAAAACGAAAAATCTATTATTTTTTGTCCCTTCTGGGTCGTCTTGTTGTCTTGTCAGCCACACCCATTTTCACATTTCATTTCCCACACTCACACACACACACACACACTTGGCGAGAGAAGAGAATCAATCAAACATTTTCGCCTTATCAAATATACTAGCGCCTAATTCTCTCTCACTGTCTATTTTCTCTTTTGTTTTCTGAATTGCTTTTCAAAAAGGCGTTGACTGTGAAGAAATGAAGAGAAAATGGGGCAACAAACAAATATTTGGAAATGGAAATGATAAACATTTTTTTTACTATTGAAATGGAGCGAAACTAGGAATAATAGTAGATTTTTCACAAAAAGTACAAACCTCTCAATCTTCCAACAACTTCTGATCCAGTAACATTCCAAATGGTATAAATCTCATAGTTATACTTCTTTCCTTTAGTCAATGGATAATTCAAATATCCTCCAATAACACTTCCATCTCCGATTCGAACTTTTCTTGGTTCTGGCAATGTTTCCAAATTGAACGAAGCTGCCACATAATATGGAATCTTCATTTTGTTGGCGGTAACCTTGTCAGTCAATTCAGTCCAGTTTGTATCTCCTGGTGGATCACGTTCATCAACAACAACGTAGTATCGAGAAACATTGCTGTTTGTGGCAGCTGGATTGACATCGACTTCCCAATAGGTTTCTGGAGCACCGATGTTGTCGACAAAGTAAGGTGGTGGAACAATACAACAGCTTCGACGGACCTGAAATTAATTTGATATTGTTTTTAATTTTAAAATCTAGATCACAAAAATTAATCGCAAAACTCCCTCTTCCCTTTAATAAAATTCTCTTGATACTTACATAAAGTGGTTCACTGCTTGTCATTTTCTTTGGAGCTGATTTCCAGTGATTCCATTCGCCATCAACTTTAGCGCGAACTTGGAAGACGTATTCTGATGGATTGTGTGGTAAATTGAAAACTAGATAACACAATCGTCCACAGCCATCCTTTGGACACAAAAGTTCTTTAGCTGGTCTTGCAGCTTCTTCAATCCATGTTCCATCGTGATCCTTCAATCTCAAATATCTAACTTGATAATCGCTTGCCATATTCAATTCAACTGGTTCCCAAGACATTGAAACAGCGAAATCAGTCTTATCGCATTGTTTCAAGTTTTTGACGACAAACCATCCTGGTGGAAGTGTCGCATATGCTCCCCAAGCAACTTCGTTGTGATCTTTTGGAGTTAATGTGACATTGTAAACTGTGGATGGATGAAGTCCTCGGATAACAAATTCAGTTTCTGATGCATCAACATCGAATGTTTTGAGTTGTTGAAGACGAACATTTCCGTAAACTGAATACAAAGTTCTGGCGACCAAAGTGTATCCAGAGTGAGATCTTCCCCAAACTGGATCCCAAGCAACATTCAAAGTTGTTGGAGTTCTGTTCAACAAGCGAAGAATATGACGTTGTCCTGGAGCCAAAGTGCTGTAGGTTCCCCAAAGAATATGACCGTAACCAGAATTGGTTCCAGCTTGAACTGTGATGTTGTAGATTGTTTCTGGATTGAGTCCTTCGAATTTGATTGAGTTTCCTGGATATGGAACAGTGTAGTTTTTGGATGGTCCAGTCTTTCCAGAAATTGGATCGAATGGTGCAATTGTGACTCTGTGATGGGTGATCAATTCTCGTTGTTCTGGGTCGAAAATCTCTGGTGGCACCCAATCAACGTGCAACATTGTTTCACTCTTCTCAATCAAATGCAAATCAGTTGGAGCGGATAACCAGGTGAGAAGTCCTTCTGCGAAATCGGTTGTTGAGAAAACGGAAGAAATGAACCAAAGTGGTTTTCCTTCTTTATGTCCATGAACTGTGATATTGTATTGTGTAACTGAGTTGAGATCACGGAAGTGGAATTCAGTGACAGATCCTGGAGTATCGAATTTCTTTGGATTTTGATCCAACGAAGAAGCGACAGAGATTGAAAGATTGTATCGATCAATCTTCTCACCAATAACTGCTGGTGGAATCCATTTGACACGAATATTGTTGTGACCAGCGGAAAGAAGTTTCAAACTTCCACCAAGATTTTCATCATCAGACAATCTTGTGGTTGAGAAATAATCTGGTGACCATTCTCCCCATGAACCAGATGCAGATTGTCCTTGAACAGCGATTCTGTAGGTGGTTCCTGGTTGAAGTCCTTTGATGGCTCCACAGAGATTTTGTGAAGTCAACATTGGATTCTCGTATCCCTTGCATGACAATTCATCTCCAGTGAATTCGACTTCAGTTGGTGTCGCATATTCTCTTGGACTGTATCTGATTTTGTAGGCGGTGACCAATGCTTTTTCTGGATATGGTGGCAACCAAGTCAAATGAATTTGCGTGGCTCTGGTTTGAATAGCAGTCAATTCTCTTGGTGGTCCCAATTCACTTCCAGTTGTGCGGATTTCCAAAGCATCAGACCATGGTCCAGGTCCACTGGCAGTGAATGCACGAACCTTGAATCGATACAAACTTCCTGGTTTAAGATCCTTGATAACAGTAGTTGGTCGAGGTGTGACTCCTTCAAATGCTCCCTCATTCCATTCATCCAATCCAACAAGTTCATATTCATATTGTGTGATATTTCCATTTTGTTGAGCACACTCTGGTGGTTCCCATTTGAATCCAAGTGATTCATCCTTAACTTCAGTTGCTTGCAAATTGACTGGTGCTCCAGTTGGTGCATCATTTTGAGTTCTAAATGTTCTGATAGTCTTTGGTGTAACAATTGATGAATGCAATGATGGTGGACGTCTTGGTGTGACAATAACTTCATACAATGATCCGGGTTGCAAGTTTTCGAGTGGAATTTGTTTTTCTTGAACATTCAATTTGGTGATTGGTTCTTGTGCACCAGTTTGAACTTCATTACATCCTCCGAGTTGTTTGAGTCTGTAAGTAATATCAACACCATAATTCCATTTTTGATCTTTGTCCGGAAGTTCCCAAGTGACCAAAGCATCCCGTGGTCCCTTTGGATCAACAGTCACGAAAATCTCTCCTGGCAATGATTGAGTTGTGATACTAACTCGATCACTCCATCTACTCGTTTGTTGTTTTCCATCATCTTCAACAGTTTGAGTACGAATCTTGATATCCCATTTGGTTCCTGGTTGAGTTGGAACAATAAGTTCAGATGGAGCATCAGTTGAGACAGTCCAGTTTCCACGAGAAGTTGTGTTGGCGAAATCGATGAGATATTCGACATTGTCACATCTCCAAGTATCCTCATTTGGTGGTGTCCAGGTGATCTTCAATGTTTCGAAATCGACAGATTCGAGTTTCAAACCAGATGGTGCTTCTTCTGGTTTACCACATGATGTTGTTTCTTTGGTTTCTGGCCCAGGTTGTCCTCTCTTGTCATTCTTTCCAACAACTCTCAAACGGAAGAAGTAAAGTGTGGCAGTTTCTAATCCCTTTACAGTTGTCTTGTAATCTTGAGATGTTTTGCGATGTTTGATAATTCCATTATATTCTTGCCATTCTGCATTATCATCTTCTGATTTGTATTCCAAAATATATCCAACAACATGTGTTGCTTGATCTTGTGGAAGTCCTTCGAATTTCAATGAGATTGAAGTTGATGTCTTATCAGTGACTTCCAATTCTCTTTCCAAAACTGGAATGTTTTGTTGTTGAGTTCTGGCAGTCAATTCATCCGACCAATCAGACCAAGCTGTTGTGTGAGCTGACACTTGAATATCATATTCTTGCTCGGGATCCAAATCACTCAAACGATAACACAATCTGTCTTTCTTGTTGGCATCCGAACATTCCAATCGATTTGTTTCAACGCGAAGCTCTTTGTAGTTGGTTTCCCCACTTGGTGTGTATCGAACTTTGTATGAGTCAACGATTCCGTGTGGTGGAGATGGTGGTAACCACGAGATTTCGATGGCGTGTGGGAATGAGGCTTCTTCTTGGAGATCTGTTGGTGCTGGTGGAGCGGTGGCTTCAGTGAGGAATTCGAACCATTCACTATATGGTCCTTCACCTTCGCCGTTGATGGCACGAACACGAATTCTGAAAGAAATATTAATTTCGGATTATCTTTTTTTTCTAGATCTTACCTGTAGAGAGTATATGGAATCAATTGATCCAAATTTAATCTTTCTGTTGGATTTTGTCCAGTGCTGTTATCTCCCCATTCATTTAAACTTTCCAATTCATAATCGTAATTAATGATTTTACCATTTCTCAATTCACATTCTGGTTGAGTCCAAGTGACATCAGCACGAGTGCTTGTGACTGAACCGGCTTTGAGATTTTGTGGTGGTCCGGTTGGTGCAGCTTCTTCAGTTGTCACAGTCACAACTCTTGATTGTGGTCCAGCGTGTGATGTATGAGCGGTGACGTGAATCTCATAAGTTGAAGCTGGCAAAAGTCCTTCAAGAGTTTGTTTCTCGTTACGAACATGTTTTTCGATTGGTGTCGATGATCTTGGTCCACATTCACCAATTGATTTGAGAGTGTAGGTTAAGGTGTATCCAGTGATAACTCCATTTGGATCCTTTGGTGGTCTCCAGGTTACAACAACAGTTGTTGGTCCAGTTGGTTTTGCTCTCAAATCATCAACTTCTCCTGGTGCTCCTTCACCAGTTGTGATTTCCAATTCTTTACTCCATTCTGAATGTCCAGCATCGTTTTCAGTACGAATTCTGACAACCCATTTGGTGTTTGATTTTGAATCGAAGATTTGTTCAATTGATGAACTTTGAAGATCAATTTGTTTTCTTGAATTTGTTCCATTGACATATTCCAACTTGTATCGAATAGCTGAGCACTTCCACGAGTTTTGATTTGGTGCTTGCCATGAGACACGAACTTGAACATTACTTGGTGAAGCCAAGTTCAAGTTTGTTGGCGGTGAAATTGGAGCAGCACATCCGGTTCTACCTTGAGCTTCTGGCGATGGAACTCCGACGCGTTGACGATTGTCGACAACCTTGATTCTGACGAAATACAAAGTATCTGAATCCAATCCAGTGAGTTTTTTGAGATATGATCGTTTAACTGAATCATGTGCAGTAACTCCTCCGATTTCTTGCCATGTTGGTGTATCAGCATTTCTGATCTCAACAATATATCCTTTGACACGATTCTTTGGATCAGCAACCGCATTCCATTCAACATTTAGAACACTTGATCCTTCAGCAGTTACAGTTGGAACAGTTCCAACAACTGGAATATTGAATGGATCAGTTGTGTAACGAGTCCAAATTTCTCTTCCGAATCCTTGTTTTGTTCCAGCAGCGATTGAAATGTTGTAAGATGTTTCTGGGTGAAGATCATCGAACAAATAAGTGACAGTTGGATGGTCAACCAAATATGTTTGTTTTTTGTCATTAATATCATCCAAAGAAACAATCGAAACACGGTATTGTTTGATATATCCTTTTGGATCAATTGGTGGAGTCCAACGAATATGCAATGAATGATCAGTCTTTTCAATCAAATGAATAGATCTTGGAGCATCTGGCAAAACTTGAAGTGTATTTGCAATAACTTCTTTCGACCATGGTCCATAGATTCCTCCTTCAATTCTAGCAGCAACCTTGATTTCAAATTGTTGCCCACTTTCCAATCCTGTTGCATTGTAACAGAATCTGTTACTTTCTCCTGGGCATTTTAAAATTGGATCTTTGACACCTTTTTCAATTTCAACCCAATCGTTGGTTGGCAATTGACGATAGGTGATTTTGTAAGAATCATGTGGACCGTATGGTGGATATGGCGAGACCCATGAAACCATGAAGAAATCGGTACCTTCTTGAGCGACAACAAGATCTTGTGGTGGAAGTGGAGCATTAGCCTTGGCTGTCATAACAACAAGATTTTCAGTGTTTGGACCTCCTCCGACTGAATTGTAAGCCTTAACACGCATAACATATTTGGTGTATGGTGTTAATCCTTCGATGGTGACTCTCAAATCAGATGTGTTGGCAATTTGTCTTTCCAATTTCGCCCAATCATCTTGTCCAAGAATTTCGTATTCATAATTGACAATATGTCCATGTCTTTGAGAACAATCAACAGTATCCCATTGGAATGACAAAGATCTGACAAGTGCAGAAGTTGATTCCAAATTGAGAGGTGGTGAAGATGGTGGTTGTTGCTCAGTCGAAACTTCTTTGGTCTCCTCTGGTCCTAATTCGGTTGTTCTTGCGCGAACTCGAACTTCGTATAATGAATATGGCAAAAGTCCAGGAATGATATAGTCCAAATCTTTGTGATTATAAACAGTGACGAAATCTCTGCTCACATCTCTTGGTTCTTCTTCTGGACAAGCTAAACGATGTTTGAGACGGTAGGAGATGTCATATCCAACAATTGTTCCTCGTTGAACTAATGGAGCCAGCCATTGAACGTGAACCTCGTTTGGTGACAAAGCTTTGACTCTTAAATCACGAACAGATCCTGGAGCTCCTTGTCTTGTTGTAATTGATTGCTCATTTGACCATGGACTTGATCCAACTTGATTTGTTGATTGCAATTTGATAACCCATCTTTGATTTGGTTCAGCTGGGAATGTGTATTCAGTTTGATCTCCTGGAACAGTCAATGTTTTCTCTGGTTGATTTCCAACACGATAACTGATAACAACATTCATTTGATCACACATCCAAGTGTTCTTTCCTGGTCGAGCCCATGAAACACGAACTTCGTTGGTTGATGGTGCATCAAGACGAATTCCTTGTGGGGGATTAGTTGGTGGCGAGCATTTGGTTCTGGCACGAACTTCGGGTGATGGATTGCTTTGCTCGTTTTGTTGCGAAACAACTCTGACTCTCAAATCGACAACTGCATTGGTTGGAAGACCATCAACAGTTGCGGTGTATTTGATTTGAGATGGATTTGTTGGAATTCGACGTGGATGTTGTTGCCATGGTCCACCGGCAACTCTGTATTCAACGATAAATCCTCCAGCTTCGCGATTTCTGTTTTCCCATTCAATAGTAATCGATGTTGGCTCTTCAGCAACAACTCTTGGAGCAATTGCCAAAGCGGTAAGTGGAGCAGCATCTGTTGTCATCATTGTTGTGATTCCTCCACACATACGAATTGCAGTTGAAGCCGAAACAGTTACATTGTATGAAGTTCTTGGTCTCAAATTTCCGATTTGATAGTTGTAAGTGGCTCCATCGACATTGAAGATTTGTGGACGTTGTTGTCCGTCTTGTGGAGTTACAACAATTTGGAATCCGATAACTCTTGTTCGATCATCTGGTCGAACATCGTAGTGGATTTTCAAAGAGTTTTCACTTCCTCCAACTTTTCTCAAGAAAAGAACTTGAACTGGATCAGTACTGATTGTTGTTTGTTGTGGTTCAGAATATGGTGTCCATCCAGATGTTGGGAAATGAGCTGCCATTTCGATGTTGTATTGCTTGTTTGGCTCCAAATTATCGATTCTTCCACAATGAAGTCTTGCACCTGGTGGAGTTGGTGGCAAGTTTTGACGTTCTAATTGTCTTTGTTGACATGGTGAGACGGCTGGGAATTGACGTTCTTGATAATTTTGTGATCCTTGTTGAGCATATCTGCACTTGTATTTGTCAACATATCCAGTATTTGGATAAGGAGATTGCCAAACGAGTTGAGCATGATCTGATCCTGTTTGAATAACTTTGACAAGTCCTGGTGCTTGATTGTTTGATGAAGCAGATGTTTGGAACGGAACTTCAGTTGACCATGGTCCGGATCCTCTTGCTGTATAAGCACGAACTTTTACAGTGTAGGCGGTTTGTGGTTGAAGATTTTCAATACGAGCCCGAGTTCCACGAATGTTTTCAGTTGTTTTTTGAACATTTTGACGACGATCAACTGGAGTTACCTCATATTCATATTCGGTAATTTCACCATTTGTTTGAAGACAAGGTGGAGCTTGCCATGAAATGCTAACATCAGTTGGATGAATATCTTCAGTTCTCAAATAGATTGGAGCTGCTGTTGGAGCAGCTTGTTCAGTTTGAATTTCAACAGATACTCTTTCACCTGCTCCAACACTAGATTTAGCAGCGACTCCGACACGATATTTGGAATGTGGGTGCAATCCAGTGATTGTGAAGTGTGGTCCATTAACTGTAATAGTTCTTGGCTCTTCTTGATTATTATCACAGTTTCCTTTTGAGATCAATTGATAAGTGACTTCGTATTGAGTAATTCTACTATTTGGATTGATTGGTGCTTGCCAGCTGCATTGTAATGAATCTGAACCAACTGGTTGAACACGAAGATTTGAAACAGCTCCTGGAGCAACTCCTTGAGTTTGTGCACTTTCTGATCTACTCCATTGACTTTCACCGGATGGATTTGCGGCTTGAACATCAAAAGTCCATTGAGTATATGGATCAGAATCGAAGACAACTGAGTTTTCTCCATTTGTCAAATTACGATATCCTTGTTCTTTTGGATTCGAGAATTTGACAACATACCAAACTCGATCGCAATTCCATTCAGATTCGTGAAGTGGAGCCCATGAAAGTTTGATTTGAGTTGGTCCGATTGGTGAAACTTGAACATGGGATGGTGCTCTTCTTGGTGCTTGGCAAGATGTTTGAGTTTGAACTTGAACAATTGGTGAAGTATATGCAGTTCCACGATTTGGATCTTTGGCAACAATTCGTACTTCATATGTTTGTCCTTTTGGAAGTTCTCCAAGATCAACCGAATATGGACGTTGCCATCCATTATATGGAATTGGATTGCGATGTTGTCTCCATTGTTGTTCACGAACTGATTTCCATTCCAACAAGAATGATTGAATCATATCATTGGTGTTTTCTCTTGATCTCCATGTGATAATTGGTTTTCCTTGACGATAACTGACTTCTGGGCCGATGAGAAGTTCTCCGCCTGGTGGAGTACTTGTTTCGACTGTTGGTGTCCATGCAGATTGTCCAGCTGAGTTGATTGAACGAATCTTGACTGACCAAGCTTGATTTGGTGCCGCATTGAAAATGTGCGATGTTTGATGTGATCCAACAACAATTGGAGCTTGCCCAGCTGGTGTGACTGCTTGAATTTCGAATTGAATATCAGCACATCCCCAAGTTGATTGTGGTGGAAGAGCCCAAACCACACGAACATGGGTTGAATCAGGAGAAACAACTTGTAAATGTGATGGGGCATGTGAAGGAGCGGAGCAAATTGATTTTGCGCTAGATTGAGCAGAAGTTTGTAAAACATATGAGTTTCTATCGAGAACCTAGAAAAATGAGATGTTGTGCTATCAGATTTGAACAAAAATTAAAATGTCTTACTTGAACATGAATGAAATATGTGTGTCCTCTTTGAAGTCCAGTCAAAGTTTGAGCATATTCTTTGGAATCTCCAACATATGGAACTAATTGTCCATAAGTTTTCCATCCTTGATTTTCCGATCTGAATTGAACGTGATATCCGAAAACACTTCGACCATCACCTTCACTTCTCCATCTAACAATCAAATCATCATTTTGTGGAGTGACAGTTGGAGTTGAGACCAATGCTAAAAACTATCGATTATTTTTTGATAAATCAGGAGAAGAAGATGTTAGAATCATGCTGAATGAAAAATGGAACTGAAGGAATTATTTTTGAAATTATAAAAAAATTGTTGTTGGAAACTGAAAGTTAGTAGAAGATAAAAATGCTAGGCTATGGGAAATCAGGAGATCACACTTTAGAAGTAATTTAAACCTTCTGACGATTGCATTTCACGCAATGGTGAGTTTTGGAATTGTCCTTTACACCAAAAATCAGTGCGCGGATCACAAACGCTCCGCTTTTGACGGTGGTCTGCAGACATTATGATTTTTGAAAAAAAAAAGATAGATTTTTATCCCGAAAAGATTTTCAACAAAATATAATCATCTACAAAAACAGAGCTGAAATACTCACATTGTTGATCAGATGCAAACAAGGCATCTTGAGATGGGGTTCCAGATCCGGCTGAATTGACAGCGCGAACCTGAACTCGCCAATCTCCATCTGGTCTTCCACTAATATCAACACTTCTATCAGTTCCTGGAACACGTTCATTGATTGGTCGACCATTTTGTTGTCCAGTGACAAAGAAGTATGATTGACAGTTGTCGTCGTCGAGTTGAGCATCCCATGATATTCTAACCATATCATTTGACACTTTGTCGAGACGCACGTTTTCTGGTGCTGATGGGACTATAAACAAGAATCATTTTTGGATACATGTTTTATGTACTTTTCTCAGATTTTGGTGCTAAGTTTTTCTCGAAATTTCCGAATGAAAATAAGTTTCGAAAGCCTGCGCCTAATCTTCCCCTATCTCAATTCCAAAACTCACTTTGACATTGCACCGAAAACGAGGCGGACGGCGATGTGGCAACAGTGGTGTGTGTTCGATCCAACGCTCTCACGCGCACCAAATAGGTCGGCGCAACATTCAACTGTCCCAACGCTACCCGATAATGAGTTTGCGACGGTTCATTCTGTTGCAATGATCCGCTCGGTTTCCATGTTCGATCGTCTTGTGTTCGAATTTCCACCTGATATCCAAGAATGTCGGCATCACCGCCAGTCACCGAATAATAGACAACGAATCGAGAGGCGGATTTTTCGATACGTGGCTGGCTGATTGTTACACCATTATTTGTCTCAGTCGCACTTCCGTCTGAAAATATCAATCAGTTATGAATTCTAATCTTCAAAAGAATTTGATTAGTCAAACCAAGTTGTACAAGTGTAAAGTGTAATGGATTACTGCTAGCCGGCATCAGTTGCCCATTGGTTAGTTCATATGAAATCTGAAGTTATGTTAAATGTTATTAGAAAAAATAGAAAACTTAAAACACACACACTACTGATATAGTGAACACCAAAGAAGAAATCCTTCAACTGAAAACAATAATCCTGTGGATCGGCCAATCCTTCCGGACACATAAAATGATCAGTTCCGGCAACAAGTCGAGTCCATTTTGTTGCACCTTTTTCCTTATAAGATAATTTGAATTTTGCGATTGATGATCGTGGATGTGATGTTAGTGGTGTCCAAACAAGAAAAGAGCAAGGTGGTGACAAAACAATACGAAGTTTATAGATGTTGTTATGATCTTGAGAAAGCTATTAGATTTTTGAAATCAAAATTAGGGCTGCACCTGGTAGCCAGGCCCCGTTGTACATCCCTACATAAAAATATTAGTAACAAACCTCGAATCTGATGTTTAGCTTGTCGTTTCACTCTTTTTCCGAATGTGTTGGTTAAATTGTTAGATGTTAATGAGTCTAGAAATATTTGTTAGATGAAAGAAAGTTAACGCGCGTCCCATTATTTAGCCCAATATTTTTTATTTTTCCAAATAAATACCTGAAGAAACCAGCGAACTTGAAATTGTGGTTTCACCGCTCCATTTTGAATGAGAATTTACACTTCGTGTACGAACTTTGAAAATGTATTCAGTGTTTGGATGAATTTGTACAACTACATATGGGGAACCGGTGTAAGAACCGGCTTGTGGTGGAGCTTGTGATGCTGAATAATACGAATATTCGTATCCATCGATTGGTGTAATTGAATCATCGCATTTTGGAACATCCCATTCAATGCGAATGTGTGTTTCACCGGAAAGGGAATATCGAATCTAAATGTATTTTCAGTGTAAAAAATAAATTCAATAAAAATAGTTAGTTCAATAATTCTCACATTTCTTGGAATTCCGGCTCTTCCAACACACGATGCATCAGCTGCATCTCCAACAGTCATTTCTTCACTTCGTGTCACTACACTATTTTCCGAATTAACTGCAACAATTCGGAAAGTATAAAAGGGTGAATCAATTGGTGGAAGTGAAACAGAAAAATCGTGTCCCGATCCTTCTGTCGCCAATTTTTGTTCACTTGTTCGCCATGTTGTTTCATTCGGAAGTCGATATTCGATCAAAAATTTGGCAATCTCTTCTGTGCTTTGTGGCAATTGCCAATTTACTTGATATTGATTTGCAGAAATTGATGAAACTCTTGGTTTATCTTCCCAAAGTCCAGTTCCTTCGCCAGTTGTTGATGTTTCAACAGCATAAATCTACATAATAATTTAATAATTTTTTATTAGTGAGATCAAGAGTTAGAAAAAAGAAGAGGGTTCTTACCATTTTGGGTTCATGATCAACGACAGCAATAATTCCAATACTATATTCGGTGTGTGGTTGAAGACCGCTTAAAGTGAAATCTGTACTTGTTGGTGGAACTCGATTTCTCTCAATTTTTCTGCCCTCCTTATTTCTTTCAACAGCAGTAATTTCATAATGTTGAATTCTTGGATCATTATATGGTTGCCATCCAATTCTCACTTCTGATTCAGATCGATAAAGAACCTTGGCATTTGACATTGGAAGCCTTGTTCCTTTTGTTGTAGCATTTAGTGGTTCGGTATTCCATGGTCCAATATTTCGAAATCTATCAGACGCACGAATTTTAATTGTATAAGTTGTATTTGGAAGAAGATTTGTGACAGACACATGAGGTTGAGTGATTGTTTGACGATGAACATCAAAAGATGTTTTCGAATCTCCGGTGAGTTCGAGATGATATTCACCAACTGAACCACAATCTGGTGCGTCCCATTTAATAGCCAATGAAAATTGGGAGGCTTCAGTTACTTCAGGATAACGAGGAGCAGTTAAATCATCTGAAAAAGGAAAATGTGTTAGATAGAAGTGGGAAGAAAAGTAACAAACAATCAAAAACTAACCATTTTCACATTTTATTGATACAATCTCATTATGTGCTCGAATTTCTGGTGTCTCAACCAATACTGCATTACTCTCCCCAATAACTTTGATCCTCACCAGGTATGATATACCGGTTGGAAGTTTTGGAATCTGTACACGATATTGATGATTAGGTCCCTTGTAGGGTATAATTCCTGGATGAAGTCCCCAATCGTTATTATTTTCCGCTCGATATTCCACCAGAAATCCCTTGACTTCTGAGTCGGCATGATCTCCTGTCTGAATTCCTTCCCATTCGACAGTCAATAAACTGTCAGTCTGTCTTTTTACTCGAATATCTGTAAATGTTCGGTTCCCGTGTGGATGAACTCTGTTCTTCTGGGTTCCACTTTTCCCGGAGGTCCCTACTTTTTTCCCTTGTTTACCAACAAAAATAGTTTCGCGCGCTCTCGGTTATGTCAAGGTCATTATCAAGTTATCATATCATACTGGTCTTTTTGAGAACGAAAAAATTCTTGAGCGATAAATTAGAAGAAAAAAAACAAAATAGGTTTTGGTATTGGTTTCGGGGTTTGGTTTCAGTCTAGTAAAAGAGAAGTGGGAAAATTCTGTTAGAAATTCAAAAAAAAAACAGGGCGAACTAATTTCAGTAGAAGTGGGAAAAATATTAGGAGATCAAAACAAAATCTTGCGAAAAACTAACTTGATGAGATGGTGGTGGCTGTTGTGAAGTATAAATGAAGAATCCATATTCCGAGGAGGAGAAGGTGGTTACCCCTCGAACGGAGACCCATTCTGTAATTCATTTATTTTTTTTGGAATTAAAAAATGTAGTTTCAAAAAAATATGAAGAAGATTCAGCAAATAAAAAGGTATCAAAAAAATTTTGGAACATTTTGAAACAGGAAGAATTTCAAAGTATCAAATTTCGCTAACCCAATAATAATAATAATCGAATAATATAGAAAAAAGGGACAAAAAAACAATAACCGATCATGTCGGATTATTAAAATACTTTGTGATGAGTTTAGTTTATATTGTTTTGGCTAGCTTTTTATTTATTTCTGCCTAAAAGGTATCTAAAGAGAAAAAAGATGTATAGAAAAAGTAATAATTAGTAGTCGCTCGCGCGGGGTGGTAATAGTAATTTTGTCTCTCTTCCCCCTTTCTAATCAAATCTAGATCTCTCATAGTGATAAAATCAATCTCGTTTGGGTTTAATCAATTCATCAAACCGTTTTTTCTACTATTCACTATGTGTTTTTTGCGGCGGAGAAGGAAACGACAGGGAAAGAAAATGTGGGTGTGGTCATTTTCCAAACTATTTTCTGCTGGGTTTCTTCTCGGTTTCAGATATCGATCAAGTAAGGCTTCAGAGATCAGGGGAGGGGTGGAGAAAGGTTGGGAAATTTGAAATGAATTGATATGGGGTTTTGAAGAGAGCTGGTTGGGAGCTTGTAGGAAAATTTGAAACAGAAAGTTTTAGAAAATTGAAAGATTTTCGGATCGGCTGGAACCTCGGTAAACATTTTTTGTGAACATTTTTAAAAGGTTTTGATTTTCAAGAAATTTTATTTTTTTTTAAATTTCTAATCAAATTTCGGGAGAAAGTTCAGTTTTTTTAAAAATCAGGTAGAAAAACCAGGAACTAGAGTTTTCCAACAAAAAAATATGTTTTTCTGAAATGAATGTTTCCTGAATTCAGTTTGAAATTTGATAAGAAAAATCAGAATTTTTTTGGAAAAAAAAATAAGAAATTAAAATTTATCAAAAATTATAAATATAACTTTAATATGGGAAATATACAAACATTTTTGACTCAAAAAATTAAGCAAAAAACCTCTCTTTAAGTAAAACCCAATAAAAGCCTAATAAAAAAGCTCTCAAAAAAAAAATGAAAAAACAACTACTAGAGTTGGGTGTAGTTTTACAGACCGTGTATTATGACTAATAATTGATTCAAAGTGTATTTATATAATAATATTTCTATTATTTGCTTGTGTGCCAAGAAATTCGTGGGAGAAGAAGAAAAAACAGGAAGAAAGAAAACATTACTCATATTAAGTTCAAAAAATTCCAGACGGGTCAATTAAGAAATTATGAAATTGAAATCGAAATTTCAAAAAAAAACAGCGGTGTGATAAAAGAAAACGACATCGAATTTGAATTACACATTAGATTAAAGCGAATTGGAAAAAAGTTTTTTGCGGGAAGGAAATCGAAACCAGATTTGGGAGAAGAAAGTAGGCAAATGCAAATTTCAAAAAAATGTTCAGTTTAATTTATGGATGAATGATTAGACACAACATTTTTTGGATTTTCAAGAATTTAGAACTTTTAAAAAATTTAAACTAGTCGAGTCAGAACTGGAAACCATCAGTAAAAAAATGTAAAAACTGAGAGTTAAAAAAATCTGAAATCCGGAAACCCCAAAGTAAACTAGATTCAAAAAAATTAGACCAACATTTTTCAACAAAAAATTTCACCTCCTCCTCCCAAGAATTTTCGTGTTACTTATGTGTACACAATTTTTTATCAGCTTGCAAGCAAGCAAACTCGAAATCAAATTCAAAATCAAATCGATTCACACACAAAAAATTGTTGCGGAAAAAGGTGTCGGTAAGAGATGAATCACAAAATGTGTGGTATTGTGTGTATACAAATATTATTTATATAAATAAAAATAATAAGAATGAGAATGAAAAAAGAGAGGAGACTGATATTATCACAGTGTTATCAGAACACAAATTGGTTTTTGAAAAAGAGGACAAAAAAGTTGAGTGAAAAACGTGGTGGCACTAAATTAGTCAAATTTTTGGAATTTTTGAGTAAAATTTTATGACATGGCAAAATTTCGGAAAGAAGAATTTTCTAAATTTTGATTTTGTAAATAAGAAAATTTATATTTTTTTCAAGAAAAAATCTTAAAAATAAAAATTTAAAAATTGTGGATCACAATTTTCATCAAAAGAATTAATATAGTTTTTTATTTCCACGTCGTACCTCATTTCCGAGCTCACAACACAATTTCCTACTCAAACTTCTAGCCCCTTTTATCTAATAGTGTAACTTTATCATAATTATGATTAATAATTAATATCTTCGCGAAAAGCGTTTAACACCAAAAAACCGGTGTTTTTTCGTCGAAATGAAGTGAAATAAATGATGGAAGAGATTTGTGATCTGAGAAAATTCGGCTGGCTTGTTTGATATGATTATTTTTGTTGTTGTTTTTTGCAGTTGTTAGAAAAAGAAAAGGACAAATATGTGTAGCAATAGATCATCGCGGTTTTATTAAGGGAGGTGAAAAAAAAGAAGATGAAGAAAAAGGATGAGAGAATTTAAGGATTGCTGATTTATGTTTGATATGATAGAAACTATGAAGAAATAAAGGTCTAGCAATTTCCTGAGAAGATTCAGTATGAATAAAGATAATGCTACGATGCTCCGCTTTTACGTTGTGAAAATTGAAGTTTTATGAAAAGTGTGAACATATCGTTTTCTATACATAGATGTAGAAATAGTGGTTTATGCTTTAAACAGCTGAAGTTCTAAGAATTAAACTAAAACGCTACACGTTTACATAGCCTCTGTAAATTTTTTTATTGATTCAAAAAATGTTCGGAAATGTAAAATTAATGAAATTTTCTTTACTTCGATATTTTATTGAAAATTCAAAAAAAAACTGTTTTCATATTCTCTCAAAACATTCCAGCTCAAAAAAAAATCCACTAAATTCCGTATTTGCAAAATTTTCTCGAGACACCAATTTTGTAACGGTGTCTTCTCATTTTCCCACCCACGAAGAAAATGGGCGAAAATAGAAAATCCCAATACAATACTTTCATTTTGCCCATAAATTATCCAATAAAATCATTCACAATTTACATTTTTCCATGTCTGAATACAAATAACAACAATATTCTTTTTACGCGCATATCATGACAACAAAATGTCGGAAAATCTGACCTTCCAGAGAAAATAAATTGGACAATAAAAATGTCTGTGAAAAGAATTGTTGGAAAAAGTGAACAGCAGCTACATACAAGAAAATAAAGAAATGGATCCATTTTTAGGGTGTGGTCCAAAAAATGGAAGAGGTTAGAGGGAAGGGCGTGTGAATTTTGGCTGATGATTGAAGATATTAATCAACAGGTTGGGTGCGGTTTGAAAAAAGGTCAAAAATAACAATAATTTTTTTGAGAGATGTTTTGGTTAGATTAGGTGGGTGGCTGGTTAATTGAGTCATCAAATGGGAATTTGGAACGCAAAAAGGTGGAGGAAAAATGGGATTTCAATGTCAATAAGTTTCAGCAATGATTTTTCAGAATTTTTTAGTTATAATTTTTCGAGATATATTCACTTCAAAAAACAACAATTTAAAAAAAAATTGAAAGTCTAGATTTTCTTGAACGTAAATAATCCTGGATATTTTCTGGTTGAAATTCTGTAATTTTTTCTAGTTTTACTATTTTTAAATCTGGAAAAACATAACCAAATTACATAAGTTTTCACAAATAAAATTTGGATAACAGTTAAAAGATTTCGAAACACTTTTGTCAAAAAAAAACAATAGGAGATACTGTAAAAGTTGATAAGTCTAGAACTTTTTACAGATACAAAAAATTAAGCTTTGAACGAACGAAACAAAAAGATTCTACAGTAACTTTAAAAAAATTGGAATAAGTTTAGAAATAATTGAAAATTTCGAAAAAATCCAGGCTCAGGGATAATCGACGCAATTGAAATCAAAAATCTTTTCAACAAAAAAAGTATCAAAAAAACCTTGTCAAAACCAAACATAAAATGTATCTAACAAGCTTCTTCTTCTTTTCTGTTTCATCCAAGCAAGTATAATCAAACAAACAAACAAACAAATAATAAATAGATAAATAATGAAAAGAAGGTATTTTGGTAGAAATGGGTTCTTCTTCTTCTTCTTCGTTTTTCAATAGCGCGAAATGATGCATCAACCGATGAAAAAACGAGAAAAATCAGAAGAAGAAGAGAAGACATTTTTATTTTGGGCGTGGTTGTATATGTGTCCGTTTCGGGTTTATGTATTGTTGTTTTGAAACTGTTATTCTATTTCTTATGTTATGTTATGTAATGTATTTCGCATTTTTCTTGTCAAACCTAAAAAAAATCAAAAAAAAATAGAAGGGCTGAAGAAAAAACTCTTAAGACAGTGCAAAATGTACTTGAAAAGATTGGCCGCCGAAGCACCAAACACGACAGATAATTCGAAGCGTAAACACTTGTAACATACAACAACGCGAAATTCGCATCGTGGCGCTTTTCTAGTAGGAATTTGATTTGTTGGCGGCGGGAATAGGAGAAATGGGAGTGTATTAAAATTTTATGTAGCCAGGGGGGAAATAGGGGACTTTGTTTTTCCATATTAGAAAATATGATCAGTTCTGAAAATTTCGATTTGAAGATCTATAATCTTTGAAACCTATAAAATCATGGTTGTTTGAATTCACGAGAAACCTTTTTGAGCCTAAACTCATTTTGTTTTCAAACCTCAAAACTGTTAAGAAAACTTTTTTGGAACTTTTCCAAAACTTTTCTTCCCAAAGTTTAAAAGAGTGGGATTTTTGAGCGGCGGAAAAATGAGTAAATGAACAAACAAAGTCAGATAGGCCAAACTAAAGAAAAAATCGAAATATTCTGCGAAAAAATCCAGATGTACAAAAAAATGAAAAACAAAAATGGGAGGAACAGATGTTTCTCAAAGAGAAAAACAGAGCTCTCTATGATGTGAAAAAACTAGAGTACAGTACTTTAAAATCAGGTTTCCAAAAAAGATGCAACAGGTACTACAGTACCTCGAGAGTCTAAATTCAAAGTCAAAGCACAAATGAATTTATGCAACAAAAACTTGTGCCAGGAATAAAAATAACAACAAACAAATTTTCTGATTTACGGTAGAAGAAAAAAGAAAAAACGGAGAAAAGAAAAGATAATGGCTGCATGCTTTCAAGCGCGCAGTTTATTTGTTTTTATGTGTATTTACGTAAAGTTCCTGCATGCGCATGCAAAAACGAAGAAGAAACTCGGCGAGCAAAAATGAAACACCGTGCGAAAGAAGAAAGCAAATTAGAAGACAAAAATGTGTGCCGATTTTTTTTCGGATTATTGATTAATTTGATTTGGGAACAATTTTAAGGCCAGATTGTCTAAGTCAAGTATGATCCCATTAATAGAACTTGATTTTCGAAAGTCCTAGATGTACTTTAGGAATCAGACATATTGCTTCGTTAGAAATACTCGGGAAACATTGTTTCCAGAAAAGTTTGAATAGATTTTGCATAGCCCAAGCCTAGAACTATGAAACTTAGACCTACTTATTCTTATTAATCAGTTAATTAATTAAAGTGATAATTAGAATCATAAATCACCAAACTAATAGTTTTTCTAAAAAAAAATGCTATCAAGTTTTCTTCATGAAAAAAAAATAAAAAGTTCAACAAGTCTCTCCGAAAAAAAGAAGAAAAGTACGAAACAAAAAAAAAATTACAAAAAAAAAGTGCGCGCGAGCGAGATGCTCTTGAGTTTGAGCACACTGTCTTTTGGTAGTAGTAGTAGAAAAAGAGAAGAAAAATCGGGGGTGGCTTCAAATATCAATAGATAATCGAGAGATTCCAAGACAAATTTTTGCGAGGCGCGCGAGGAGCGCAACAAAAAATTGGAGAGCAAACTTTGCGTGGAAAATTATTGAAGAAAACGAAGAAAAGGATGGGAAAATGAGGAGGACGGTTACAAAAAAAAACGTTGGGATATTTGTGTTTGACACATTTTCTTGGCTTGGAGAATGGAATGAAAAATGAGAATAGGGATCTTTGTGCCAAGAAATGAAACGGGACTTTTCTTCGTATCTGAAATAATCAGGATCTTCAGGCCAATCGAAACATCTAGGCTCATTTTCAGGCGCATCAGACTTTTCAAGAGAATGTAGCCTTTTTTTGTTGGATTCATTTTGAAACCCCCAGTACCATTTTCGGGGTTTCAGAACCTTCCAGACTTCATTTTTCATTCATTTTTGTATATAGATATCTTTTAAAAAATTTTTTAAAAATCAACGAAAAAAAACGTGTTCCACTTTTTTCCGCCTCAAAAAAAAACGCTCGGAAAATTTCAGCAGCTCCTCATTTTTGACAGAAAATTATAGGCAAACTAAACATTATAACAATATTTGTGAAATGGTTGAAATAAAAACAGCAGCTCAAGAGGTTCCAATAGTTTTTCGCAAATTCATCAGAAGATTGCCCAAAAACTGTAGTTTTGATATGAAATTGCGAATTGAGTTCAGTGATGATGAAGAAGAGGAAAAGGAAAGGGCGCCGGTGAAAGTGAGTTTTGCAACAAAAACAATAATCTTGTCATAATTGGGTATATAAATTTTCAGTCAAAAGTCGAACCGAAACGTGAAGCAAAATCTGAGGCGAGCTCCAGCGATCCAGCAAGTTTTTCTGTGAAAAAACCAAGATCGATGTTGTGTTTGAATGAAATCAATCAAAACCATTTCGATTCAAAACAATTATTTCCGGAAGAATTTTCTTATTATTCACAAGCAGTAAGTTTGTGTCAGGGTTTCTGAAATCCCAGATTTTTCTCATCTCGAAAATCTCAATATTTTTTTTGGCAGAGCAAAACGGAAATATCTTTATCCAATGAAACATCATTTGGTGAAACTCAATCCATCGTCAAAAATTCGTCAAATTCTCAAAATCCACCAGCTAAAAAATCGAAAACTGATCAATCGCATCGAAAATATTCAAAAACTCGTTCTTTAACAACAATGCACTCAAAAACATCACTTTCAAATGAGACATCGAATAAGAATCCTGCAAGAAAATCACCATCTTATCACGATTTATATTCGGCAAATCAAAGATATCCGCCATCCACAACAACTGCAATTATTTCACCAAAAACAGTTTATGAAAATGAGCATATTTTGTTGTCGGATAAGAATAATAGTAAGAAGAAAAATAGCAAAAACAAGAAGAAAGAAGAGAAAAATAAGGAAAATAGAATAAGTCCGTTGGTTTCAAGCGAAGAAAAAAGTGAAAAATCAAGAAAAATTGAAGATGGAGCAGATGGATGGGCTTTGATTTCGGCGAAAAAAGTTGGAAATGATTTGAAAATTGATTTGAAGGATTTGTTTCTATGAATAAATATTGGAGGCTTTTTCTGGATTTTGAATTATGTAATTATTTTTTAACATGACTGGATGAAATTTTCAGAATTTTTCAAAAAAAAATTTCAAAAACGGCCCGATTTTTTGGTATTTGAAAAAAAATCGGCCCGATTATTTGGTACTTGAAAAAAATCGGCCCGATTATTTGGTACTTGAAAAAAATCGGCCCGATTTTTTGGTACTTGAAAAAATCGGCCCGATTTTTTGTTACTGGAAAAAAATCGGCCCGATTTTTTGGTATTTGAAAAAAATCGGCCCGATTTTTTTGTTACTGGAAAAAAATCGGCCCGATTTTTTTTTGTTACTGGAAAAAATCGGCCCGATTTTTTGGTATTTGAAAAAAATCGGCCCGATTTTTTTGTTACTGGAAAAAAATCGGCCCGATTTTTTTTTGTTACTGGAAAAAAATCGGCCCGATTTTTTTTTGTTACTGGAAAAAAATCGGCCCGATTTTTTGTTACTGGAAAAAAAATCGGCCCGATTTTTTTTGTTACTGGAAAAAAATCGGCCCGATTTTTTGTTACTGGAAAAAAATCGGCCCGATTTTTTTTGTTACTGGAAAAAAATCGGCCCGATTTTTTTTGTTACTGGAAAAAAATCGGCCCGATTTTTTTTTGTTACTGGAAAAAACTCGGCCCGATTTTTTTGGTACTTGAAAAAAATCAGAAAGATAGAAAATTTCGCGAGTCTTTAACAAATTTATTTCTTCTTTTTCGTCGATCTTTTTGTCTTATCAGATTTCTCAACTTCAAGACTTTTAACCTTTTCCAAAGTATCATCTTCTCCCGAGTTTTCTTGATAAAATCCAGCCTTGATTTTCTTTTGTTTATCCTCTTCTTGTTGTTTTTCTCGCTTCTTTTTAGTGCTTTCAGTAGGCATCTGAAAATAAAGTGGATTTTAGGGGAATAGAAGGAGGAAAGAAATATTCACCACAAATTTAGGAAATGGTTTCATCGATTGAGCCGCTTTATCTTCGTCTTTCTTCTTTTCTTCACCCTCTTCTGGAAAACAAAATATTCGAAAATATTTGCTAAATTTTTCTAGGAACTCAAAAACTGAACTTTCACTGTTTCAAAACCAATAAACTATTTACAGTAACCCAGAATCTTATTAGACACATTTGGAGATCCTGGAAACTACAGTAACATATGAACTCTCAAAGGTTACTGTAGTAAAGCCAGATTTTTTTCAGGAAATTTAATTTTGGAAGGAAGCTCTAAGAGCGTAGAAATTATCTAATTTTCCAGTCATAAACCTATAAAACTACAGTAATCCCTTCAAAAAACCTTACGTTTCTCCTCTTTCTTCGCATTTTCCTTGCTCATATCATTATTTGATTTCGACGGTGTATTCGTCTCATTTCCAGTTGCTGATGCAGTCGGTTCTCTCATTGCCGATTTTACTTTCATCGATTCATTCGATTTCGGCGGTCCTTTTTCCTTCTTTTTTCCACAATTCAATAAAACATATTGGCAGATGGCAATTAATTGAACAAGTATCAGAATGGTTGAATATGCAGCTTGCATGTTTTTTTTTGAATCAAATTTTATTCCAGCTGATATTTTTCTCTCCTTTCAGTAGTAAATAATGACCGGTTCTCTTTAGAATTTTTCGATTTTTTTCGAGGAGCGGCCGAGAAAAAATAGGAACACGTGAAAATTCCAAATTTTGGGTGGGCACTATATTTTCAAAACCACGTTTTTCCAAAAAATAATATTATAAAACTTCAAAAAAAAAACTAAAACCATAAATAAAAAGAAATAAAATCAACAACACAATTTTCTAAAAATCAATTTTTTGAATCTTCCTAGTCACTTCGAATTGTCATACTGTAGATGCGAGATGTTGATTGATTCGATTCCAGGGAAAGATGCCTTCATTTCTTTGATTTTCGATGGATGAACAGCGATGGATCGAGCATAATTTGGTTCGTCGAATATTTTCGACATTGGTGGTCCACCAATTTTCACCATTTCAGAGGATGTCATGTTCCAGATACGGCGACACAATTCGCTGCAAAATTTTTGAATGCGAATTTTAATCCCAAAAATAGATAACTTACATATTATAAGGATGTGGTGTTTGTCTAAAATTGTTCAAAATGCTCAATTTTCCAGCGCTGCTCACATTTCCCTCTCGTTTCATCATTTCAAATACCAAACTTCTTTTAGCTCCCTCAAATTCAGCTTCCGATATTTTTCCACTTTCCACAATTTCTTTGACAATATCTTTAGTTCTTTGATAGGCAACAGTTGGTTGAGCACAACGATAAAGTGAAAGTGTAATTTGTTTGCGATCGGGTTTGACAAAAATGTTGGCACCGTATGCAAGACCATCTCCACGAATTGCGCGCCAAAGTGGTCCTAGAATGTTATGGGGTGAATTAGGTTTGTTTTTTAATTCTGTGAAACAAACCTTCACATTGACTCAAATATTGTCCGAAAACCATCGCTGGAATCAATGAATCCGAAGTCCAATCGGCATCAAAGAATCCAGTCTGATAGATAAAACTCGATTCAGATCCACCAACACCAATCAATAATTGTCGTCCAAGTGTCGAATTCACATCTTCACCACAGCTTGCCTAGAAAACCTTATTTTTAGAATAAATATTAATAAAGAATAACTCTTACCTTAAATTGTTCTCCTTTTCCAAATCTCGAATCTTCATTCACCCAATTCCAAAGTTCCGGTTTCATCTGATTTCTATCAATCAAATCAACATCAGCCACAAAATGAACATTGAGTCCCGAAGCGAAAAGGGCTTTTCGGACATTTTCGAGTTTCGCGATAACTTCGTCCGGTTTTTTCGAGCATTCTTTGGCGATTTTTTCGTGAATTTTTTCGAGAACTAATTCGTCATACATTATTGGATTGCTGTCTGCAAATTAAGAATTTCGAGCATGTTTCGGTTTGCAAAACTTGAAATCCCCTAAATTTCCCAGAAAAAAACCAACTTTTGTCATAAACCATTGAAGCGATAGCAATCGATGCTACAGTACACCCATCTCTCTTTTTCTCTCTCGCTTCACTCGCCAATTTCTGTGCCGACATTTTAACCCGTGTTGCATCGAAAATAACACCCTGCGTAAAAATCTGCGTCCATTTTGCCAGAATTGCATATTTCTCCGCTGCTACTTTCATCCGCAAACAAACCAATCGATCAAAAAGACCCGAAACACCAACTTGAATCGAATGATCAATCAAATCTTTGGTGAATAATTTTGCGACTTCTTCAGCCGAATATTTGACACCATCGATAATTGCAGGCGATTCGAATAACAAATCATTATAAAGAAGAAGAAGACTACGTTCTTCTTGTGTCAATTTCGATGAATCCAAAAGAACGAAGACTTCAGCGAATTTTGTTGGACAATTGTGAAGATTAGCGTGGAATTGGAATTGATTCAAGAATGCAGATTGTTGAGGAGTCAATGAGGATGATGATTTGGTCAAACTTTGAACAGGGAATCTATCAAAACTTTCCAATTCTTTCACAATTAATTGATCCAACAATTCAGCACTTGGATGATTCGCCTGAAATAATTATCAAAATTAGAACCCCCTTCTCATATTTCAAAAAAAAATCTCTACCGTATTTTCATGAATCGCCGCATCCAATTCCTTCTTTTTCTGCTCGAGTCCAGCTTTTCCCAATTTCTTTCGTTGCTCATTCAATCGTTTCTCTTCATCCTCCGCAATTTTATCAACCAATTTCTCATCAGGAATTCCAATTACTGTAGCATTTGGAGAGGTGAAGAACTTCTTCACAAGTCCACACCAAAAACTAGCCGGTTCGGATTTCAATTTTTTCAAATAATCAACTTCATTGATTCGTTGTTGGAAAAGGTTCATATCCCAATCATCGAATAATTGATGACCTATAAAATGGGAAAATAATTAAATGGTGTGGTTTCTTTTTTTTTTTAACCGACCAATAACATGCGAAATGATATCTTTTTGCGCATTTGTTTCTAGTTTCACCAACTCATTTTGGATAGTTTGATCAATGAGGAAACCCATTCTTTCCATATCCCATTTCGATTCTTCCAAGTGTTCTCGAACAAGTTTATCGAAGAATTTTGGTGCGACGAGTTCCAATTTTTCGATTGGAACTCCGGTGAAATTCAGGCGAAGATCGCAGCGAACCTGTAAGATTGAGGGGTTTTGTTTAGATTGATAGTTGTTTCTTTTAAAAATCAGGTACTATAAAAAATTCTAGATTGAAATTATAATACAAAACTTCTCATATACATAAGTTTGTATCGATGAAAAATAATATTTTTCATGAAGGTTTTGAAATTCGGAACCACTTTTTTGAAAATCTGATTTTTCAAATTCATCTTAAAAATCCTTACCCCTTCCGCCACATGAAAATACGCTCCACTGGCCAATGGATCATCCAACAAAACAAAATCCTTCTGAATCGGTGCAACCGAAGTATTGCTCAAATAATCGAAAAGCACATGAAGTGCAGAATGAACTTCTAATTCAGTTGGACTATGTGCAAACCAAGCAATTTCCACACTTCCACGTGTCGCATCATCACTCGGACAAATCACTTTTTCAACTCTCGATTCTTTGATCTCACATGGCGCAATCGAAAATGGTTTTGGAAAATGATCAGGAATTGTTGAAGCGTGTTCCTGTTCAACTTCTGACATAATTTTCAAAAGTTGCTCATGGTTCACTTTTCCACAAACAGTTACAACCATATTTGACAAATGATAATATTTTTTGTGATAATTTCGCACTTTTTCCAAACTGCATGAATCTCTCAGATTTTTCAATCGTCCGCCAGTATCAATTGAATATGGATTTCCAGGAGGATAGATCATCTCTTTCGTTTTTCTATCCATAATTGATTCCATTTCTGATTCATGATCTTGCATTTCCGAATAAACAACCCCCGCATCATTTCCCTTTCCATCAATGTGATGAACTTCAGTAGCAAATTGAGAAGCAGTTAACATTGGAGTAAGCAAATGATTGATATAAACCGGTAGAACTTTCAAAAATCCATCGCTTCCGACCTAAAAATTGATATATACTAAAATGTACATATAAATTCAAATAAACCCACAGTACTCAAAGTGTATGCAGTATGATCAGTATCAGTCCAAGCATTAGTTCCATCAGCCAAACATCGATTCGCAATTACATCCAAAACTCCTTTGAATGGATATTTTTTACTACCCATAAATACCAAATGCTCCAATGTGTGAGGTAATCCATCATCACTGTCAGCTTCAGTAACTGGAAAAAAGGTGGAAGTTTTATTTATTTATTGATATTCAAAATTCAGATTTTCAGGCCAAACTTGAATTTTCTGATATTTTTTTTAACTTTCCGAATTTTTGCCAAAATCTAGAACCCCCGCAGCTTCTCAAAAACCCACCAAATGAAACACTTCCATGTACCATTGGTCCCGGAACTTCTCCAACAGCAACCCGTAATTTCGAAGTTTTCGACGAATACAAAAACATTTTAATTCCGCCATTCAACACCGTTTCGGTGCAAGACCACAGTTTACTCATCTAAAATTGGAAAACATATTTTTCTGAATTTTCAATTTCGAGGTAGATATTTTCAGAGATCTCAAAGAGACTCTAACAAAAAATCACATAAAACTTCAAAATTCCAATAAAAATTCTGCATAAATAAATAATTACATATCACAAATTATCAAAAAAAAAGCCTATATACAAAAATCTAGGGAGTTCTCCAAATCTGGACAACTTTTTCATACTGAATTTTATCCTCGTGTGATTTCAGGAAAATTGAGTGCAACATTTCACGATCTCGTCTGTCGAATGCCATTTTTGCCGCTTCCACGTAGTTCCTAATTTTGGTCAAAAATATATTAGAGGAAAAGGATTTTTTATAAGCTATCTTTGATTCAAAAAATAACTGATTAAAATTTGTCTGAAATTCCTGGAATTTTGGGAGTTATTATGCTCCAATTTTCAGTAAAGTATTCGCCCTATTAAATTCCCCATAAGCCTAAAAAACACTCACTTCATAGCTAAATTTGCAGCAATCAAATCATTATATCCATTCACTTTTGCCATGTATTTTTTGACTTCGTCGAATCGCTTATATCTCACACAAGCTTTTACAAATGGCTGGAACAATTTGAATTTTTATTACATAAAAAGCTAGAGCTATGACGTGGAAAACAATATGGTTTTTAAGAAAAAAGTTCAAATTTTGGCTTTTTTAGGAAATATTCGATATTCAAAGTTTTTTTGAGAGATTGAATTTTTTCAACTTTCGGGAATCTAAAATTCTCTCATTGAACATTTGAAAATTTTTTATGCTTCTATATTCGATAGTAGTTAATTTTAGGTTCCATTTATTAATTTCCGGTGTACTTTTATTTTTGGGAAAGTCTAGAGAAAAACTTATGGGAAATTAGATCCAAAAAAACAAGCACAGTCTGACAATTTACGTTTTTCCACGTCATAACTCAAAAAACCAACTCACAGCATATCCAACCGGCGATTTTTTCTGCGCCATATCAAAAAGTTGTTCCATTTTTCCTTTTTTCGCAAGCCCTTCAATCGTCCAAAGATAAACTCTGGAAAAGAATATTTTCAGATTTTTGTTTAATAATTGACCATTAAAATGGATCCGAGTAGATTTTTGGTGCCAAAACATCAACCAAAATTTTTCGAAACTCACTGTTTATCAGTCAATCTAGCGTGATGTTTCAATTGTGCAACTTTCGCTTGATCATGTGCCAAATCAATAATAGTGTCTCGAACCGACATATCAGCTTGTCCTTTTTCGATTTGAAATGGTGCAAATGATGTGACGTCATTTAGGATTTCTTCAATCGCTTTGTCGCCCATACTTTTTGCAGCATCTTTGGCTCGACGCAGTGCATTTTAGTCTTTCAGATGGCTGAAAAATTGATTTGTATTCAAAATTGGTTTTGGTTGAAATTTTCATTTGATTTTGAAAAAAAAGCCCCCAAAACCATACATTTCTCTCCACTTCAGCCACATCAAAATGAAACAGTGTTTGCCGTTCAAAATCGCTCGCCTGTTCCAATAATGCCAACATCTGCCTACTCGAAACTCCTCTTCCTTGTTCGCCTTCTTGTCGAACCAAATCCTGATATAAACATTGAGCCAATGGGATTTTTCGAATCGCAAGTTCATAATCAGCTCTTCTTTGACTCGACATTAAATGCCTTACAACTTGATGAATTAATTGTGGTCTTTGAGCAGCGGCGGCTCTTTCGAGAGCTGCTGGAACATCATCTAATTGTAGGAGAATTGCAACGTGGTTTGAATCATCGGTTTCTCGTCGAATAAAAAGACGGGCAAGTTGTGGTAAATTCGCTTCGATTGCACGTTTTGCAGCGTCTGGAAACAAATCAATTTGGGATGGAAAATGCCCATTTTTTTGAAATCAGAAGGTCATTCCGAATCCAAATTTCTGAATTCAAAATTTCAACTTTTCAAATTTCATTCTTTCATAAATCAAAGAATACCTGCAATCGAAACATGTGGAAACAACAGCAATTTCGCGGAAATCTTCTCCTCCAAAGCTTCAATCGCGCGTTTATCAAATCTCTGTTCACTTTTCGCCGCCTTATTTATCGCTCTTCTAACCCATTCCAATAAAACTCTATCAACATTTTCACTTTGTTCTCCACCAAGCCATTGTGCAATCCGAATTGCAATACTATACGATCCCATATCAACTAATCGATTGATCAAACAAGTTTCACCAATTGCTCGCAATTGTCGATGAGTTAGCGGAACTCCCGTTCGACTAGAGTGTAGTTCGTTTAAAACACGGATCTCTCTAATAGCTTTCATCAATTTAGAAGTGTCATATGTTGTTGAGCTAAACGCCATTCCAAATCTTGCCGCTTTCAGAAGTGATTTTTGTAATTCAGGTTGCCAAGAATCACAAGCCGCAATAATACAATCATCAATAGCTTTTAACATATCCTGTAATTGGGGAAATAAGAACGCCGAATCTTATTATATTACATCTTATAATTTACCTGAACTTGTTGAGCATATTCGAAAGATTGATGTCCAAGTGGTCCATCCAAATATTTCGCTGCTTCATGTAAAAGTGCTCCATCATCGGACGACGCAATTCCCAGAACAGTTTTCTGTTCCTTACTCGCAACCGTTGCAAATTCCACTTGATTATTCTCAAATATCCTGATTCCATCATTCTCCACTCCAATTCTACAATTTCCCGTATGTTTTTCATAAACACTAGCCATTTCTCTTTCTAAACTTGTCGATTTGACATTGATAAAAAGTGTGAGACTTGGCGAAATTTGAGCGAAAAGAACCGATGTTTTGACCCATCCAAAATCGAAACAATTTGATAAATTATGATGTGATGGTAATCTGAGATTTGTGAATAACGTGTCCAAATCAATTGATACAATTTGAATAATCGAAGTATCAGTTAAAAGAGCAATTCGACTTCTTGCATCATCAATTACACATTGAATATATTTTGCATTTTCAGCCCAAGATGCAGCTTGTGGTTGAATTGTCATTTGCTCTCCTTGTTGTCCCATATAAAATTGTGAACCAAATATTAGAAGGACGTGAGTTAATTGAGAATGCGGCTGAAATGCGCTCCAAGCAGTCAATTCTTCTTTTACAGCTGAAAAAATCTATTTCTTGGCTTTTTAATGTTACCGTATCTTACGAGAATTAATATTCCAAACAATTGGTTCAGAAACTGAATTAACAACAAAAACACGACATTCATCATCGATAATTGCAATTCCAGAATCACCTCTCGACGTTGCAAACATTCTACTCGATTGAACTTCTCGGATATGCTATAAAATATTCGGATTTGAATTTTTTAAATTCGGAAAAGAGCAATCCCCGTAGACCCCTAATTTCAATAACAATTCTCACATTACTAAAATGAATATCTGAAATTTGTTCTCCGAGTGACGAATAAACAGCCGCATGTCCTCGTCGATTCAAAACCAATAAACAATGTCCACGTGTCCATTCAATCGAAAATGCATCCGGAACTGCGAGGTTTTGCTTGAGAATTCGTCCGCTACATGTTCGAATTGAAACAATCCAGGAAGAAGAAGATTGTGAGAATGCGAGAGCTGAAAATTCCCGATCATTTTTTTTCGCTAATTATTAGAAAAATATTACTTACCTATTGGACCAGAAAATGAGCAAGCAGAAAAATGGACGACGTTTTTCAAGTTGAGTGACGAAATATTTTCATACTGCTTGGTGAAACTGAAAAACTTCAATTCTGAAGTTAGTTATGACGTAGTTTTTTTTCCATAGGCAATTTTCATAGCTTGAAAAAATCAGAAATGGCAAATTTTAAGATATTTTTTCAAAATGTAAATTTGCCACGAATTTAGGTCACGTATTTTTTTCAAAAATGCATTTTTTGAAACAAGTTCATTCTATATTTTTCCAAATCTTACCATAATTGAATATTTGCAACATCGATCCACAAACTCTGTTCATTTGCCAAATGTAGATCCGGTTTCATCCCTAAATTAACCTGAAATTAAAATTTCAAAAAAAATTAGAAAAAAGATATCAGGTCAATGAAAACCATAATAAACTTTGAAATTTTTCAAGAAAAACTTATTTCATTGGGAAAATCGAAGAGATCGATGATTCACGAACAGAAAAAATGGGGGTGCAAAATTATGAAACGAAAAAAGCAAAATACATTTTTATGGTGAGAAAAAAGAGGAAAACATCAGAGAAAATCACCAATCTTCTTCATTATCATATTCGTCAACTCCACAACGAATGATTTTTTTCTTTTGCTGAACTGGTTGACGTTTTTCAATTGTGATCACTTCACTTTTAGCCAAACGATTCTCCATAGTCTAGAATAGAAAATCGATAAATTATTTTATATCATCATTTATTTACAAAAAATAATAAACAAACCTCTGTGGTGAACTCGTCTTTTCCTCCCAATTCATCGAATCCTCGAATATAATCAACAGTTTTTTGTTTCTACAAAAAATAACAATTTAAAATTAAAATTTTCTCACAAAGTTTTCGCTTACCACGATGATTGCAATAGTTGGAATGACTCGAATATTCAATCTGGTTGTCAAAAAATGCACTTTTTCCGCATTCACATGAATGAATCTAGTTCCAACATATTTTCGGGCGAGAATCTCGAAATGTTTGTCAACGATTTTGCATCGGAAATTTCCTGGTAGATAGAAGAGGCAGACAACTTTGTCGCTTTTTTTGGTGGCTTCGAAGAACTCTTTTTCATCGGCGACTTCTTCGTATTTTCCGTGGCCATTTGAAATCATATCTTGTTTACTTTTTTGAGCCTTTTTAATTTGGTCCATTCGTTTTCTGCGGATTGCTTCAAGATCATCTTCTTCCAAATTTTCGAGCCTGACAAAAATTATGTTTTATTTCATGCCTAGCAAAAAGATGGGCCGAACCGGGGATTGAACCCGGGACCTCTCGCACCCAAAGCGAGAATCATACCACTAGACCATTCGGCCACGTTTAATATCCGTTTTACTTCAAAAGATATAGAATATCCCTACACGGAAAACCGGTTTTTCAACCCAATTTTCCTAATTCGAAGAGATCTAGAAAATCTCTTGTTGGAAGATATGGAAAATCTCTTCTTTTGAATTTTATCTATTTTCAAACGTGGCCGAATGGTCTAGTGGTATGATTCTCGCTTTGGGTGCGAGAGGTCCCGGGTTCAATCCCCGGTTCGGCCCATCTTTTTGTCTTTTTGTCTTTTTTCGGTTATCTTTTCAAACTTTGGAAAAACCCAACTCACTTATTCATTTCCTGATCGATTTGCTCCTCCATAACCTGAGCAGCACGGATCAGATGCTCTCCCAACATTTGCTGTTGAAGTGCCGACATTTTTGTCTGAAATTCAAAATTTTCAGTTATTATATTATCGCTACAAATATTTACAAAAGAGAAGGTTACTATGACAATATCGATTTTTAGAAACACATCTGGAGGGTCCCATTTAATTAGGTATGCATGAAAGAGGGAGACCAAAAATAGACGGATTTTTCGAACTATTTTGAAAGTAGAATTATGTGCAAAAGACTGTTATACACTTGAATTACGCTTTAGTAAAAGAACAATTTGTGCTAAACTTGTTTAATTCAAAAAATTCGAAGAATTTCGCAAACCGAAAAAAGAAAAATGAAAAATTGAAAATTGGATTACGGTCATCAAATGTGTGCAAACACCATGACGCAAACACGCACACAAAATTTTTCTTTTTTTTTTCTTTTTTTCACAGTTCGTTCAAGAAAAAACTCTATTTTCAGATGCCAAAGACATCGGTATGGAAAACCCGCGTGGGTAGTCAAATCTTGATGGGAAAAGTAACAGATATTACTCAAATTGGAATTGATCGAATTCCATGTGCGCATGTGAGTTGAATTTAAAAAATTAACTGTTAAAAAATGGTTTTTATGTTTAATTTTTAAGGTTCGTTGTCAAATGAATGAATTCAATATTTATCTCAAAAAATATTTTGCACGGTCTTTTGATTTCTGGGCACTTGACCGTAATTCTGTTGGAAATATTGGCGATACCATTTTAATTAAAAGAATTGAGGGAGAACGACCGAAGGCGAATGTTTCGCACACTGTAGATCGTGTAGTTTTCAAGTTCGGAAATGTTGTCGATCCAGTTACGGGAAGAAAAATCTTCAATGATACTTTTGCTGATGAAGTTGATCTCAAAAAACTGTTAGTCGAAGAAATTGTTGATAAACCAATGGAACAAGATTCGCTGCTTTTTGAAGAACGAAGAGCACTTCAAATTAAAACTTTGGAAAATGAAAAATCTAATGTATAATTAATTAATTTGTGTCGAGGTTAGGTTTAGCTTAATTGTTATTTTTGTTTGTTATAAAGTTTTTTCTTGACAAAAAATTTGTTTTGCTGAAAAAATCCTTGCTCTCGGACATTCTGTATCTTTTTTGGGGGAGGGGTTCAAGTAGAAATAAAATTTGAAAAATTGACTTGTTTTTTTCCACGTGACATAAAAAACGTTGTAAATAGAAAAAAAATTAATTTCAAATTAATTTTGTTCATTTTCAGAATGGACATTTCTCGTCAAACCATCGCAAAACCTAGATTTTTAGAAGTCGAAAAATTCGTAGAATCTCGAACAAATTCAATCGCTCAATTATTAAAAGCAATTGATAATGAAGCTTTGGTTTCCGGTGAAGTTACAAAAGGTCCAAGAACCGCAGCTCAAAGACTACCAAGACATATGAGAAGAAGAGCAATGGCACATGATGTTAGAAGATTTCCAAAAGGAATGAGAAGCTTCGCATCAAGTTATTTGATTTCGAAACATCGCAAAAAGCCGCCAAGTCGTTTTGCAAGACGAAAACCATCGAATATTTTAAAGGTTTAGAGATGGGGAAGTGAAAAAATAATTAAAGTATTTATAGAGCTACGCCAGACGAAAGATGTTGAATGGGAAATGGTTAGAAACTCATATTTGGCATGCGAAAAGATTTCGGATGATTAAGAGGTGAATTTTTAGACGTGGCTCTCAAGAAATTATTCAAAGAATGGACCAAAATTGTTTAGAAAAAACAGTCTGAAACTGGGTTAGGGAAAGATTTTAGGATGAAAAATATACCTTATTTTTTCACTCACTCTCTTTAAATTCTTTTTTCCAGATGGGGATTCAAACTTGCCGATCGAAGTTATCAACGTGGATTTCGAGCAATCATTCGAGATTCGAATAAAAAATGCGTTGTTCGTGACCGATCTTTTCTGACTTGTATCACAATATCTTCCGAGGACAATGCAATAATTTTAGAAGGAATCGAAAGATTAGTTAGTAAAAAATGCGGAATAACTTTCAATTCCGAGAAAGGTTTATCTGGAAAACACGAACTTCCGATTCATATTTATGAAAAGGATAAATATCCAAGCAATTATATTGGACCTGCGAGATTTCAATGGGTTTCAAAGTCAGTTTTTCTGTTGAGATTTTGATAGTCATATATTATAATAGTATTTGTTGATCACGATTCTTGTGTTGTCTGCTGTTAAAAATCAAAATTTTCAGAAATCAACTTGTTATTTGGTGTCATCCATCAGTTGAAGAGACACTTATCAATCAATTGAAAGACTTGTTTGGATTAGAAAAAATAGAAAACATGGAAAAAGACGAGGAAGAAGAAGAAAATGAGAAGAATATATTATATTCTTCAGAGAAAGTGAAAGTTTTGGTATATTCTGGAGAAATCAATCGATTCAGATTGTTTGGACCTTTATCGTTAGAAAAATTGGCGGAAGCTATTCGATTGACTGAAAATCAAGAGGAATTTGGAAAACATCACGAACAATTTCGAAAAATTGTGAATTCGAAGGATTATTTGACGAGAATTGCTAATGGAACGATTTTATCGATTGAGATTGAGGATTCGAGAACTTGTTGGGATCGAAAAGATCGAAAGAAGAATTGGAAAAAAGAGAGAAATGAGGGAGATGAGGAAGAGTTTTGGATGGATTTGGAACAACCTTCGACTTCATTTTGGAATCAAGAAGTTCGAGAGAATGCAAGAGATAAAAAGTGAGGGAATTTGTAAATTTTTTGTTCGAAAAATCAGGAATTCTCAAAAAATTCAGAAAAACCTATCTTAAAAAACTCAAAATTCTCACCGAAAAATTCAATAGTATTTTCAGACTACCCAACAAAGATTTCCAAAAACAAAATGCTGAAAAAATCGAAGGACTCAAAAGAACAGATTCAAAAATCCCAATCCTCGTCATTTTTCGAAATACAAATCAAAGTATTCTTGATGGAATTGAAATTCTGATTCCACAAGATTTTGGAAAAGATTTATGGGTCGCTTTGCAAAAGATGTGGAGTTCGAGCAAGTGGAATGCGAGATGATTTTTCGGCACATTTAGAAGCTCGTGCACTTTGTAGTCCGAATGATGATATTGATTCGAAGGCTGGGAAAGAGTTTGAAGATTATACGAGGGATCAAGTTCATGTAACATTGGGGGAAGGAAAGGAGTTCAGGAATTTTTTTATCATGGTTTTTAAAATTTCCTAAATCTAAATTTATTCTGTCAAAACCCTTCATTTTCAACCTGAACCTTTTTTTTAAATTTTCCAGAAAGTGTGGCTCGGTCGGCCATTCAATAGACGATGTCGATTCTGGAGTGCTTTATCTATCAAATATCCATTCACATATAACTGGCCAAATCTTTGTTCAGATTGGGGAAATCGAGATGATTCACCACCAATTGTTTGTCGAGACTTACAACAACTCGCATTTTTTGACACGGTTTTGCGCGGGAAAAATAGTGGGTTTTTTGAAAATATTTGTTTGATCCTTCTCCAGCCCATTTCTCTGAAAAAATTACCTGAAAATTTTGAATTCATTTTTTTTCAGTTTAGTTAAAATCTTAAAGTTTCAAACTTGAAAATATATTTGCTAATTTAGTGATGACGTGGCAAAAAATAACTAAATTATAGAAAATTTTAATTGGAATTTGCTGTATGAGAAAAATTTCATTTTTAATACGTTTCCCTGGATCTCCTTCCCAAACGTTGAATTTTCAGAACCGTCTGAAAATCTCGAATCCATCCTCATCCCCGTCAAACTCGATTTCATTGGAAGAGGAAGACCGAAAAAATTGGGAATTATTTGTTTGCCGACTGAAGAAGATTTGAAGAATTTGAAAATCAATCGAAATATTGAAATTATCCAGGAAAGTTTGAAAATCAAGGAAATTGGCGAAGAACACATGGAAGTTGAAGAGGAAAATAATGGAGAAAGAAAGTTGACTGGATTTGTATCACTTGAAGCAGCGGCGAATGAGAAACCGATTAGTTTGAAAAATATATTTGAAAATGATCAGAAATTGGATGATAAAAATATTCGAAGAAAAAGATTGAACAAGAAAAAAAGAGAGACGAAAAAACGGAGAAAATTGGAAGGAGAAATGAATCCAGTTGAGGAAAATGAGCAGAGAATTCAGAAAAGTATGGAGAATTATCGAGATTCGGCAAATCGAACGATTATTGGAAGAATTGTTAATGGAGAACAAAGTTTGCTTGGTGGATGTGGAATTGGGTTGGGATTTATCTGTGCGAGTTCGTTGGAACAGTTTTCGGCCAATTTTGGAAAATGTGAGCATTTTTGGGAAGTTATTTGACGGGACTCACAAAAATTGATATCTATGCAGAAAATCGTTTTTTTAACCCCAAAATATTCTGGAAAATATACGTTTCAAAATTTTTATGAGTGAAAATTTCAGAATTTTGAAAATTGTTCATGGAAAAATACAAAATACAAAAATTTGAAACACTACGAGCAAAAATCTACAGGAGCTTTTCAAAAACTTGATATGCTCAAGTATTTTTTTTTTCAAAAACAGCTTAAAAATATACGTTTCAAAAATGTTGTAACTGCAAAAAATTGAAGAATCGAATAATTTACAATTCCCAACTCAAAAATAATTTTTTAAAGGCAAATCATTGGTTCTCGTTCGAAATTCGACTTCAAAATACTATCATCCGGCTGTGGTTTCAGTAATTCGAAGAACTTCACAAATTTAAATTTAGGTCAAAATTTAGGCCCAAAACTTTATTGTTATTGTTGTTGTTATTATTTATAAATTGTTTTCGTTTTATTTTTTTTTTGAAATTTTTTTCGAAAATCAGTGGTGTTTCCCTAAAAACATATCTTTATTTGTTCCTTTTTTCTAATTATCCTAATTTTTAATTAGTCTATGATCCGATGGCTTAACAAAATATCTTCGCCGCTTTCGGCTGATTCGAGTCCGAAAAATTCGGCCAGAAATGAATTGTTTGGTGGCTCAGGTGAGTATTTTAGGGGTTTTTTTTCTGAATTTTGAAATTTTCGGATAAAAATCCTGAAAATTGGAATTATGAAAAATTATTAAAATTGCTCAGTAAGAAGTTTTAAAAATAATAATTCAAAAATAATTTCAGCCCGTGCAAAATGGTCTTCAGCCTATGCATCTGATCCAACAGAATGGGAACGGATTTTCGAGGACAAAAATCGAATTGTTGATGAGATTTTGGAGAAAAAGTTGTCGAATGTGGAACATGATGTAAATTATGATGAGGTAAATTTTTTTTGAATATATAAAATTTTCGAAAAAAATTTCCAGATGATGGTTCTTCTCGAAAATATCACAAATATGTGCACTCTTCTAATGTTGGAAGTCAATTCTCAACCAGAACCATCAATTGGCCCAATTTTAGATCGATTTTTCACCGAACAAATATTGGAGCGAGTTATTGATTGGGCAATTCAATTACCACCTTTGCTAAAACCAACTTGTCAATTATCGCTGGTTCGAATTTATGAGAATATTGTTTCGGAATCACATTCACAGAATCATTGTGTTTTGGTGCATAAACCGATTTTGAATCCATTGTTGAGGTTGTGTGAATGGTAAGTAAGATTTTTGATAATTAAAAATCTATCGAGGATTTTTTAAGTACCTAGTTTTTCTTTGGGAAAATATCTAACTTTTATTTAATTGTATTTATATTTGAAATAACATTACATTCAAAAAATCGGAAAGATTACTGTAGTCTAAACTATCGTACCCTCTTCCCCGTCTCCAATGTTCCCCTAAAACTCCGGATAATTCAGGTCCCGCCGCGTTGATACCTATTGGCACCTGATCAACGCCGAAGTCAAACGCAGTGAACCATCAATAACCGACAAACATTTCGTCCTTCTCCTCAATCAAATTTGCACAAAACTTGCCGAAGATCGAACACTTCTTCACTTTTTTTTCACTTGCTCAAATGGCTCAGAACAATTTATTGTATTCACTCAACTTATCACTTTTTTGTATGAACAGGTAAATTTATCTTTTTGATCTATTTTTTAACCGAAATAGATTTATCCAAGATTTTTTCTACTAAGTTTCTCAAGTTTATTCCAAATTTGTTTTTCCTTCAGTTTTAATTTTTCTGAAAACAATCCTGTGAAAATAATTCGGGAGAAACAGCTAGTAACATGGATATTTTCAGAGTGATATTGGTCAACTTGCCCGGGATGCTTTATTGCTCATATTATCAGTTTCCGCTGAACACGAACAAATTGCCACGTTTGTTGCGAATAAAGTAAGATTTTTTAGTTTTTAGAAAAAAAAATGTTATATAAAAAATATCGAGAAAGAATTTTTCCTCGACAAAAATAATTTATCAAAAAAAAATTCAAATATTTTTCGACGTCACGTCAAAAATCCATTTCCCTCTCATTTTTCAAATATTTTAATTAGGAAATGGCCAAATTTCAGAAAACATGAGTTTGTCGAGTTTTCAGAATACATAAAAAAAATTTCCTATCCAAAATTGCTAACTAATTTTTCAATTCCAGACCGCATTTTGCCCAGTTGTTGCCACTGGTCTTTCTGGATGTTTTTCTCAACTTCCTCGATCAATTTTAGGAGATGGTGGTGAAAGATTTGTTGAAGACGATTATTCAGATGCACTTTCCGATTTTCATGCTTCGATTTTGTTTTGCAATGCTGTCGCTCAATCTGCTCATAAAGATGTTTGTTTTTTTTTGGGAAATTTGGGGATATAAAATTGATTACTATGAGTAATCCTAAAATATTCGAACATTTTTGTGACTCTAAAACTCTTAAGATGAGCAATTTCTCAAAAATCCCGAAATTCTGAAAAAAAAATTTCGTTTTATTCGATAGTTTTAAAATGAGCAATCATTATATTTGTTCTCAAATTTACAGGTTGTCAAACAAATTTCGGCATTTTTCTACACGGGATTTCTAATAAATGTGGTCAAACCTGCACTTCTTCAAGATGATCGACAATATATTGCAGCAAGTTTAGCCTATTTACAATTATGTATCGAAACAATTACGGAACCGATGTTATTGAGATCAATTATTCGAATGTTATTAACTGAAAGAGATGAGAATTCAGCATTGTTGTTTGAGAGAATTTTGAGTTATACGAAAAGTGGAGATAAGGTTGGAAGGGAACATTTTGTGGTATTAAAGTTGAATTCAAAAAAATTTTAGATGAAATTGGGGCCGAATTGAAAAATTGAAACTTCTCAATTTACCTAAATTTCAAACGTGATATAAAAATCCTTTCAAAACCACCTATCCTTATTTTTCCAGGCCTCAGTCGTCGCAATTTCTCTTCTCGATACTCTTATGAAATTGTGTTGCGAAGATATAATGCTCGCAATGATATTCCGTCCACTTCTCACAAATCATCTCGCCAACAAAAAACAGTTAGCCAAAGTTCAAAATCGTCTTCGTTGTCAAGAATTATCGCAAAAATATTTGGATTGTATACCAAAATGTATGGAAAATTATAAAGAAGTTGTATCAGAGTCGAATTTATCGGGATATATGAGAGAAACTAGGTTGAGGATGGATGCGAGAGCGGAACAATGTAATAAAAATTGGAGATGGAAATATGATGGAGTTGTTGCTGATAGTTTTTGTCTTCCTTCAGAATCAGATGATGATGCAACTTGTCATGTTTCATTTTCGAGATTATCTTCGAGTCGATCTTCGATGTCAACAGCCGCTTTTGGATTGAATCGATATTTGAACAGTAAGAATTCGCATCTAACACATGAATTTAACATTGGTGAGGAGATTTTTTGTTGAAAAAAAATTTTGCAATTAGAAAAATGGGAGATTTTTGCAGATAAAGTTTGTGGTCTTGGTGAAAATCAAAATTCGGATCAAGATGATTATAAAAGTGATAATGATAATGAGAGGAATTTTGAGAATGAAGAAGAAGAAGAAATTGAAGAAGATAACCATTTTGTGCTTCCACCGATTGAGTTTGTTTTTTTTTTTAGAAAAATAAGATTTTGATAAAATTTTTCAGGAATTTAATAAAATTGGGAAAATCGAAAATTAGAGTGAAATTTATTTGAAACATTTTTGATTTAAAAATATGCCCAGAAATCCGAATTTATTTTCAATCCAAAAAATTATCCGCTTTCTTCTTTTTCAAAAAATCCAAAATTTTCAGCGAAATGACAACGTCAAAAGTCATGACGTCATCATGTATCGATTATCTTCACATCTCTGGATTGGACGATTTTTCCGAATCTGATGATTCTGCTCCAATTTTATCCAAAAGAAGTACAGAAAGTGAAAATGAATCAAATATTCCACCTCAAAATTCATTTGTTTTATCTGGTTGGCAGGAAATCAAAGATGAAACGACTTTTCGAAGTTTGTTGGAAAAACAAAAAATTGGCGGAAAATTGATGAATGGCAAAGATATTTGTGATTTTATTGAGGAGAAATTGGAAAAATTAAATTTGGCCAAGGGTAAAATTGAGGAAAAAGAAAATGGAGTGAAATTGGAGGAAGAAGAATTGAAGACGACGAAAACTGGATTTTCAGTTTATAATTTTCCAGGTAACAGTTTTACGGGAATTTTTACGGGTAGAGCAAACAAAATGCGTAATTTTTCAGAAAGATCGTCCCTCTTAAAATTCCTATTCGAAAGTGTTGAAATGTTGTGCGAAAATAGTTTGAGCTTCAACACGGAGCTGTGCTCATTGATTATCACAATTGTTTCTTATCCACAACCAATTCTTGCATATTTTTTGTTGGATTTGAAAGAGGACAAATCGGACAAGTGTTTTTTGACGGTGAGAGGATTTATAAGTGCCAAAAAAATCCGAAAATAAGATTTTGAAATAAAAAGTCAATTCATAATTTAATGTTTTTCCAGATCCTTCAAAGTGTTCAAACTCGCATCGAAGTAATGGCTGAAGGAATTGAAGGATTCGATAATTGGGTTCAACGAGCTTTGAAATCGCTAGAATTGAGAGCTGCTAGAATTAACAAACAATCTAATAAGTTGGTTTTTTCTTAAAGTTTTCAAATTTTTTAATGTAATAATGTTTCAGAAAATCACCAACTGAAGAAGAATCAACATCTTCATTATTTTTTGGACGAGCGTTTGGTGGATCAATGAGAAAAGCGGCGAATTTTAGGTTTGTGTTTTGAATCGGTTCACATTGTTCAGATTAGAAACATTTTTGGTCACACATTTTTTTCTTCTCATGTTTCAACGAAATGATCACGTGGTTCAGGTGATAAAATTGAAAACGGAAAAAAAGAAATGATAAAAGAATGTTTCAAAGACACAAAAGAGCATCATGAGATTGCTTTTTGGGAAATTCGAAAGGTCGCGAAATTTTAACCCAAACTTTATGGACAACAAAATGTTAAAAATCAGTTTAAAATAATGAAAAGCATCGAATTCTAATCCTGCTGAAAATTCCAGAATGTAATTTTGGCACGTCAAATCTCAAAAACTGTTTAATTGATTCCAAATTTTGAACCTAATTATTAGTTTGGAAATCAATAATCTGAGTAACCAAGCTCGATTGGTGATTATAAAAAAACGAAATATAGGCGGCCCAACCCAAGTTGAAATTTTTTATCTGAGATTCTGAGCTATCCCAAAAAATTCAATTATCTAAAAATCCGTATTCCAGAATGCACACTCACAAACACATTGACAATCTTGAAAATCAACGCGACGACGCGACTGCAAAACAAACAGCACTCGCAGCGATTTTTGTCGCGCACCTCTCGCAAACTCTTGCCTCTGTAGTTTTCCAGCAATCCCTTATAATTTGAAAAACCAAATCTCGTGGAAGAGAAAACCAAATTGGGTTTTCTAGACATGCTCTGAATTAACTTTTTTTGCACCTCCAATCCAAAAACTCGTGCCTTCTTCAATATCTAAAAATGTGATATTTTATTTCTCTTTCTTTTGTTTTTCTTATCTCTCTCTCCATAATTTTTTAAGGGCTTATCATACATCATTGTTTCTTTGTTGTTCATCGTTCAGTTTGAGAAAAACTGAGAGAGAATCTGTACTTTTATGTTGGGAAATGGGAGAATTCAAAAAGTTCAAGTTTCAAACATTAGAAGTTTTGGGTGAGAAGTTAGCCTGAAGTTGTTGATTTTTGAATTTAGGAGATTGAAGATCAGAAATGCCACTTCTAGATAGACCTTTTCTGAATTCAGCTAGAACTTCAGTAGATCTTGGAAGATCAGAAAATCTAACGAAATTATCTAGATTTTGAAGTTTTTCCCAGTGATCCCGAAAATTTCCGAAATTCTCAAAAAAAAGTTCCTTGCAAGTTTTTTCTCTCTGTATCTTGTTGCATAATTTTTTCATATCCAATTTATTATCTAATCTTTTTTGCCTGGCGCCAGCCGAAAAGATTCAAAGAACTGTATAAATCAGATCTGATATGACAGTTCCGTTTTTTTTTTGAAATCATAATTTGATTGAGATAGGAATGTGAATCTGGGAGCTTGAACACATCAGAAAAAGTTTTGGACCAAGCATAGTTAGAGAATTTTTTCAGAAATGTTGATTGAAATTTTCTGAATTTTTGAGCTCAACTTTCTAGAACCTAATATTAATAATCCCAACTTTTCGTCAAAATCTCGTTCTTCCCAAAAAACTGTGATATTTGACACCTAATCCAATTTAATTGACCCAAATACCTATAATTCACACCTCTCTCACCTATCCCAAAAAGAAGAACTTTTGGTGGTTTGAACTCTGACAACCACAGAAACTCCACCCATTTTTATTCATTAATCAAAATTAATTTTTAACAAGATCTTCTTAATAATTTTAATTACACACCCGAAAACTTTTTTGCGTAGTAAAAATTCTCTCGTCCTTCTTCTCCTTCTTCTTCTCAATTGATATAAAATGCAACACATACACACAACGTGACTCGTCACGTGGCATCCCCTTTTCATTTTTCGAAAAAAAAACGACGAGAGATTGTGAGACGCAGACTGACAGGTGGTGTTGTTTCGCTGTCTCGCGTCTCTTCATCGCCTCCTTGTCTTTTCTCCCCGTTTTTGCTTGTTTAAGAAGGCGCCTATTTAAATATTATTATTATTGTCTAGAAGAGTGGGTTGCGTTCTGGGTGATTTTTATTTGTTTTTATTTTTATTACTGTTTCGGGAATGTTCTTTGGATAAGAGATTTTATCTTGAAGGAAAACGGGAATTTTTGTTGTTTAACTTGTTGTGATCGAGGAGAAGAAATTGATCCTTGATTGATTCACTTTTTGATTCGAAAGCATTTTCCCATCGCTTCAAAAATCGCGGCGCCTTGAAATTTAAAGGTACAGGGATTATTCAAAGAGTTGGGTCTTGCAGTATTTTTTGAAAACTCCGTGTAACTGAAAGAATTTAAAGGAGAAATTCTTCCTAGTGTACCGCTATGATTTTTAAAAGTTTTTGAAAATGTTCCAAATTCGTAACAACTTGATAAAGTCTATTTTACTTTTATTTCCGGGATTTGAAGGCGCATGAGTTTTCTCAAGAGTCCCGCCACGATTTCGCAATATTTTTATGTGAATTTTGTTGACTCGAAAATTTCCGACAAAAAATATTTCTCAATTCAATTTCTCATGTAATGACTAATTTCGTAACAAGACCCACAGATTCGATTCTCTCTCATTCTCAAAATTTCCCTCAACAAGTTCTACTCAAAATTTCTAAACTTTTTTTATCATTGCCTTTTTTGTCCACTTTGATACAACATCTCGGTCAGAAAACGGCGGGGTCGCTACCAATCGGGGCGGAGTCGCTACACGTTTCGGGGAACAAAAAACGTGTAGCGACTTCGCCCCGATCGGTAGCGACCCCGCCGTTTTCTGACCGAGATATTTATGATTATTATTTATTTTCACCTCATCATCTGTGATACCTTTTTCTGTCTGTAAATACATTTTTATAAATAAATAAATTTCTATTTTAAGGTTTTTGTGGGTTAATAAAAATAAAATGTGTTAAATTGCACTTTCCACAATATTTTTGTGATGTTTTTGTTTTTCGAAAAAATTGAAAATCAAAAGTTCATCAAATCAGCTGATCTGTCTGAAAATTATTATTTTTTAGATCGCCATGTGACTTTCTTGTTTTTTTAGTCAAGATTCAAAAATCAAAAAAATTACTGGATAGACTACAAACTTTCCTAATTTTTATGATGACCTATATAGAAATAGTTGTCTAGACTACATTCTAGTCTAAATTAAATTGGGGTAACTACTTACGATAAGTTTGGCCAAAAATTGATTCTTTTGTTTTTGTTTGCAAAAGGAAGCAAATTTTTGTTCATTGATCAAATCAAGCAAACCTAACCAACAAAAAATACACTTTTCCTCATTTTCTCTGCGTCTCGATTTTCTTTCCCAACCCGGGTTTTTTTCATGCGATAAGTCATCCGATTGTTTTCTGTGGCGTGATAGCGAAAACTTTTTGATTTCACAAAAAACTTCATTTCACATGAAGTTCGTTTCAATTCAAGTTAATGTATTTTTTTTTGCAAAATCCACAGTTTTTTCTAGTCTACAACTCTTTTCTTATCAATTTTTTATCTTTCCTGGAATATTTTCCTCCCCAACAAAAATTATTCTTTTTTCAGATTATTGTTGTATAATAAAAATATTGTTTAATATTTATCTTTTTTTTAAAATCATACCTGGAAATATTCAAATATGACGCTGGTGAATTCGCGACCCGAATTGATGAATTTGTCATTTTCCGGATGCGGATTTTTGTGCGTTTATCATGCTGGAGTCGCCGCTGCTATCAAGGTTAGTTGGAATTGTTTTTCGAAAATCTCAAGTTCCGTCTTTGTTTCATTGGAATTCAATATAGCATTCGATTCGTCTCGATGAGAGGAATCGAATAGTGTGTTCATCTATTTTCAATTACCCCGATTTCATGTTGAAAAACAGCTTTAAAATGAAAAAATAAATTTAACCTGAAAACACCGCGACGCACAAATACACACAACGTCAAATACCGTATACCGAAGATTTATTTTTCCAAAAAAAATTCTTTCCAGGAATACGCGCCGCAATTACTTCAAAATAAAATTCTTGGTGCATCAGCTGGCTCAATTATTGCATGCGGTTTAATCACAAATGTTTGTCTATCAAACGCCACATCGACAATTCTCAAAGTCATTTCACAAGCTCGTCTCCGAACCTTCGGCCCACTTCATCCCGAATTCAGTCTTCTCGGAGTGGTGCGCGAAGAACTCGTCAAAATCTTGCCCAAAAATGCGTATCAATTGTGTACCGGAAGATTGATAATATCTTTGACCAGATGGAGCGATCATAAAAATGTTATGATTGATGAATATACGTCGAATGATGATTTGATTGATGTAGGCAGTTTTTTTTCGAAAATTTTAAATGGAATGTGAAAATTAAATTAATTTCAGGCCATTATGTGCAGTTGCTTCATCCCACTTTATTGCGGATTGACACCTCCAAAATTCCGTGGTGTTCAATATATTGATGGAGGAGTTTCGGATAATCAACCATGTTATGATGAGCATACAGTAACAGTCAGCCCATTTTCCGGTGAATCAGATATTTGCCCGCCAGATTGGGATAGTGGAAGTCTAATGGGAGTGGATTTCAATGGAACATCTATCAGATTTACCGCACGGAATATGTTCAGATTAATGGCTTGTCTTTGGCCAAGATCCACTGAAGATTGTTCGAAAATGTGTATTCAAGGATTTAAAGATGCGTTGAGGTTTTTGACAAAATTCGGATTGTCTCCTTGTATTCGATGCCTGACAATTCAAACTATTGATCCATGTGTTAGTGAAGTTTCTGATCGAGAAGATGATTCATCGAATGTTACAATGAGAGGAAGATGTTTGACATCGCCGGCGTCGACGGCGAATTTGGGAATTGGAAGAATGAGAAATCGAAGCAGCACATCGGTCATGAATTTGAGGTTAGTAAAGGGAGCGGAAGAAATTGCATATTTTCTAGAACTTCATAAAATCATTCAAAAATTAGTAAAATTGAAAATTTTCTCGCAAATTTTCGGTTTAAAAATCGTGAGCGGCAGTTTCTATCTGGAACTCAAGCCACGCCTACTTTTCACTCAGCAGTTGCAGATGTAGCTAATTCATAGCTCAACCGATCGCAGCCCTTGACACTTGCGTTTTATTTACGAACAGTGTGCGGTTTAGCTACAAACACACACCGAAGTCTGTTTTAGCTACGAAACACACACGCATGTTTTAGCTACGAAAACTGTTTTCCTGTTTATTGCGAAATACTGCTTATGCGGGTTTATTTCTGTATTTGGCTTAGTTAGAAAACTTGCAAATATAAAACATTTATTCGTATTGAAACATACAATAACATAAGAATATGAAATTATAGTCAGTTATTCACCAGAAACACTTAATTTTCTCGCAGTTGTTTGATAGCTTCTGGATCCTGGACCGGCCGAATATTAGATAGAAAAGTAGCAACTAAAATTTCCCAATAGGGCGGTAGGCTTGCAAAACATGACGATGTGGTGTTTGTGCATTTTGCGACTCCATTTGGCGGTTTAACTTCCCAAAAACCTATTAGAAGCCAAATTGGTCGAGATCCATGACATCCGGCTTTTTTCTTGTTATTGGCATCTGTAAATTGAGAAACACTGTGGAATATTGAAAAATTTGTTAGAATTACCTCATTTATTGAAGATTTCACCATCACTTTCCACTTTTTCGAGAAACGCAACAAACTGACTGTTTTTCTGCAAAGATTCAACGTAAAACGTAACTTTTAGATGAACTTACTCGTTCTCCATCGATAAAACACTGACGCGTAGACGATATAATATGTTACCAGCACTTTTCTAGGCTTTAAGTCACGAAAATCGTCGAAAAACAAAACAAAACGAAGAAAACATGTTTGCGCGCCAAAAAACCGTAGCTAAAACGTATGTGTGTTTTAGCTGAGAAATCGGTCAGAAACACTGAGCTAAATTTTTGCTTCGATTTAGCTGGAGATTCAAGTTCTTTCTACGGTTCAGCTACGAAAACCCTCAAAATATGATTTAGCTACATCTGCAAATGCTGAGTCAGCTATTTTCTACTCTCGAGTTTTGAGATTCCACAAAATTTATAATTAAATTAAAATTTTCGATTTTCAATAAAAATTTGCAGAGCCCGCGGCGAGTCAGAATGTGAAGCTTGTTGTGAATCTGATTTTATCATGGAAGATATCAACGTCGATTCAGTTTTCCCTAAAATTATGCAGAAACGTGAGTTTTCCCTTTTTTTTTCAAATTTCATAACATCTCTAATTTTTCTAGCATTCGAAGATGCAGTCGCTGCTGAAAAATCAGTATTCGAATATTTTCTGTCATTCCGAATTGTTCGCTACGCTACAACTGCTTTAGGAATCGGAAAATTCCCGCTTGATATAGCACTGGCTTTTGTGAAATCAGTCAATAATTATTTGGATTTAATGAGTCCACCACGATGGTTGATTATTAAATTCCGCTCACTTTCCGATTTTATTCTATCGGAAGTTGAGAAGCAAAAATCGAGATATACGAAATTCTCGTGTCTTGTGGCAGTCACTGAAGTTGATCGATTTGGCTCCGCTTTGGCACATTCGACAATGGAACATAATGGAGAAGAAAAAGAGATTGAAATGAGCGAAGAAGCAAAAAATGAATTGAGATTTTTGAGAGAACGAGATAGAAGAAGGCGAATGAAAAACGATCCAAGAGAAGTTCCTTCAACATCTTCTGCTGGACCAAGTCCTTATGACGTTGATTCATTTGAACATGTAGTGCAATTCACAAAATCACATGATCTGATGTATGAATTTCATTACATTGATGAGAATAACGAGAAAAGGACGTGCGGTTTATTCGCAGCTGATCATCATCGACGACATCAACATAATCACAACCAAAATCATAAAATTGTGCTGAATAAATTGGAAGAAGAAGAAGTTCCAGCTGAAGATGTTCGATTTATTGGCGGAAAAATTAGTGGAGATGAAGAAGAGATTGATTCGGGTTTGTCGGGAGTTGAAGTTGTGAATGCGAGGAATAGTGTAAGGTAAGGGATTTGAAATGATTCTGAAAATTAGTTGGCGATTTTCCAGTTTTTATAGCAGATTCAAAAAAACGTTTTTTTTCAGTAGTCAGCCATCGACTTCGACCTCAAAACGAGACGCCTGTTGTTCACCGGTCCGAGAATTTTCCGAACCTCCCCCAGTTTCGGAAAATTCACCAAAAGTCGGTCGAATTCGTGGAAACGGTCGCAGATATACAAGTGACGTCACAATGCGAACAAAACCATCAACATCGATGGCGAAAAAGAAAACATCGGTGGTTTCGTCATCAGATTCGGAAGAAATTGATGGAACTGAGAAATTGTTTGTGCCAAGTCGAAAAGCGTGGAGAGCAAGTAGTGATTTTGATCAAAAAGATCCGATTGTTAATAATGATACGACTGCTTAGATTTATTTTTATTTGTTGTGGAAAAATGTGTATTTTTTATTTGTTGTCAAGAACCCCATACCCTCATGAAAGTGATGAAACATTTGAGTTTTTAAGAAAATTAAGTTAGAGCTCAATTTTCTTCTAATTTCAATTTTTCACCACTTCATATTTTCCTCCCATTCCAGTCTTATCCCACGGGTTTTTTCATTCTCACGCTCCTGTACATATTATTTTTGAATAAAGTCTGTATTTTTTCTTCTTTTCAACAGTTATTTCTTTTTCTCTAAACTGGTTCTTCTCTTTTTTTTCGAGGAAACAATGCCGAGGTGAAGTGGCAACTAAAAAAAGACACATTTTGCTTAATTGACCCCCAAAAAGGGTCGAGACGTTTATTTTTTTTCGAAGTTGAACAAATTTTTGTAACGGGTTCTTCTCTGTTTTTTTTTTCGTTGGTGAACTTATTTTTGACCAGAGGTAAGTGCTATTTTTGTAGAAATTTTGAGGATACTGTAGCTCGAAAAGAAAAACCACGTGGCAACTTTTTTTTCAAAATTTAAATTCAAATTTCCACGTGAAAAAATTGCAAACTGAAAATTCGGAGGAAATGTGGCTTTCGAAAATTTTGGTTCCGAAACTGCACGTGACTGAAGTTTCCGAAATTTAATTAACGACAAAATCCACGTGTCGAATTTCTGGAATCCAAAAATCCACGTGGGAAAAAAACTAGCTCAAAAATTCAGATTGCAGCATTTTTTTTGAATTTTGGTACTGGAAATTCAGGTGGAACTTTTTCTGAAGTTTTAGCTTCAAAATTCCACGTGGCAAATATTTTTCTAACATGAGTCATCTTAACTTTTTTCACCATCTTTAAATAAACTTCAGTAATCTAATCTGTCTTAAATCTGACTCACAAATTCAACAAAACAAAACAAGCTCACGAACATCGCTACCAATTTTCTTATTCCCAAAAAAGCTCATCAAAGAAGACAATCAAAAAAAGTGTTAGTTTGAGTAAACTTTGAGTAAATAAAACTTTTTCCGCGTGCAAACAAAAAAACAAAAAAAAACAGTGAATGAATGATTTCCGTGCGGAAGAAAAGAATAATCTTTCAGACACGATCCATTTTTGATTCGATTTCGTTTATAAATTGGCTGCGACGAGCGAGAATGAACATCATTTTTAAAACTACTTAACCTTATTCGAATAAAAATGTGCAATTTTATAATATTTACTACTGTATTTTTGGTGGCTCAGGTTGAAATGGCGGCTGTTACAACTAGCAGACAGGTAATTTCGAAAATGAATTTTGGCAAAAAAATGATGATGTTTTTAAGGTTATTGATCCAACAATCCAGCAATATGAGACAACTCTGAATGACGAAGATTTTGAAAGTGATCTTCATACACGATATGATCTTCATCATATGGGTAAGATTTTTTGTTCGATTTTGCAAGAAAATTTTCAGAAAAATCCCGAAACATTTCCTGCAGGAATCCAAAATTTTTTGAAACTGACAACTCTTTCGTATCCCCCATTTTCCAGGAATCAAAGTGAAAGACGACCCGACGATCGGAAATTACAGCGAGGGAGATATTTATCTAGAAAATGTCAAAAAATTCGTAGATGACAACAATAAATTGGGCCGAAATGCGATTCGACAAGCGTATCGAAGATGGCCAAATGGCGAGATTCCTTATACACTTTCATCGCAATATGGAGCTTATGCGAGAAGTGTTATTGCAAATGCAATGAATGTGAGTGAAGATTTTATGGGAAAAAAAAGTTCTTTAAAAAAAGTGGAATATTTCAGGAGTATCACAAGAAAACTTGCGTGAAATTCGTTGCTCGCGACGCTTCAAAACATCATGATTATCTTTGGATTCATCCAGATGATGGATGTTATAGTTTAGTTGGAAAGTGAGTTTCGATTTTGAAAATTACTTCGATAGAATTGCAGAAAAATGTGCGACTAGAGACTTTTTAGAATTCAAATTCTAAAGCTCAATTAATCAATCATAAATTTTCTAGAACTGGTGGAAAACAGCCAGTGTCCCTGGATTCCGGATGTATTCAAGTTGGAACCATCGTTCATGAGCTGATGCACGCTGTTGGATTTTTCCACGAGCAAAGCAGGTTTGAATTTTGTGAAATTTTTGAATTCGGAACAAATCAGAATTTTGCGAACAAGACATCTTCACTTTTCTGAATCAATCCACAGATCATAATTTTGTCAAAAACTTTATCTCGAAATTCCAGACAAGACCGCGATGCTTACATCGATGTCGTTTGGCAAAATGTGATGAATGGAGCTGACGATCAATTCGAGAAATACAACTTGAACGTGATTTCACATCTCGACGAACCCTATGACTATTCCTCAATTATGCATTATGGCCCATACGCGTTCAGTGGTTCCGGCAAAAAGACATTAGTCCCTAAGAAGGTATCCTTATTTTTTTGTTTCAAAATCTAACTCATGTAAGCCTACTTGATTATAGAGTGGCTCGGAGAGAATGGGGCAACGTGTGAAATTTTCGGATATTGATGTGAGAAAAATCAATAAATTATACAATTGTGATGCTTCTTCCAACAACAACAATAACAATCAAATCAATACAAATTCAATTGTGAATCATCCTGTTCAGGTAAAATAGATAGATAGATATTAATATGTTTTATATGTGTTTTTCCAATTTGTTCAGTCACGTTTTGCTGGATTGCCTTCTTCTGCTAACCAACGTGTTGTTTCTACTAACACTCAACAACGAAGGATTATTCGTATTTTTGGTTGATTCTATGTGCTTGTAGATATATGTGATCTCATGTGCTTTTTCTTTTTTGTGTGCTTGTGTGAAAAATGAATAAAAATTCAAATATTTGACTTTAAAAGTTCGTTGTTTGTGCATTTCGTAGTGGAGCGCACATGCTTTTTTGAAAAATAATAATTTTTCTATTTTTTTTTGGTTTGTTTGTGTGTTTTGTTTTCATTTTCAAACCAAAGAACAGTTTGCAACAAACACCAGACACATTTCATCTCAATCTCTCGATTCTCCTCATTTCACATACTATCTTACAGGTAATCGAGCAATGCGACGATCTAACTTGGAGATGTCGTTTCTGGTCACTTTTTTCCTATTGTCAGCGTAACGAAATACGCGCAATTATTTGTAGAAAATCATGTCAAGCTTGCTCATAAATTTTTCTTTTTTTTTTCTTCCGGAATTTTTTGAAAAAAAAATCATTTCTAGAATTATGTTTTTAAGAAAAATGTCGCGATTGAATCGAGTCTCTGCGAATTTGAACATGCTATTTACAAACGTCCCATTTTTGGAGAGGTGAGTGAGCAAATACGGTTCTGGGAATATTTTTTAACCGAAAAAACTTCCGTGCAGGTACAAGTTAGCAGCAGCGGCTGGATTCAAATTAGTCGAAGTAAGTTTGCCGTATCAATATGATGCAAAAGAAATGCGAGCCGAAGCGGATAAATACAACCTAAAGCATACTTTAATAAATGCACCGCCCGGAAATTGGGAAGCTGGATTTCGTGGACAAAGTGCACTTCGTTCAACTGTTCAACAATTCCAAGAATCAATACCAATCGCAATTTCCTATGCTAAAATACTCGATTGTCCACGTGTTCATGTAATGGCCGGAATTCCTAAAACTGATGAAGATATTCAACACGCAAAAGCTACATTTTTGGATAATCTTCGATTTGCCACCGAAAAACTGAAGGAAAATGATATTTTATGTCTAATTGAGCCGATTAATGCGATCACTATTCCGGGATATTATTTAAACAATTATGATCAAGCTGTGGAAATTATCAAAACCATAGATTCGCCTAATCTAAAAATCCAATTTGTAAGTAAAGAATTTTAACTGAAAACTGATCTAAAAATTTTTCTTCTAGGACTATTTCCACGCTCAACAAATATGCGGTCAACTTTCCGCGTCTCTTACAAAACTTCGTGGACACATTGGCTACATTCAAGTCGCCCAAGTTCCAGCTCGCGGAGATTGTGCAACTCCTGGCGAAATAAATTACAATTTCATTTTCTCCGAACTCCAGAAATATGACTCGGAATTAATTGTTGGATTGGAATATTCCGATGCAACACCGCATTTTGAATGGGTGCCTGGCATGAACTTAGAATTCTAATTGTCTTTGTTGTAAATAAATAAACGTTTTAAGCTCAAAGAAAGCAATAACCCGCGCAGCTGTTTGAAAAAAAGAAAAATTCATTTGTGTGCAAACACCGCGCACCTGTCGTCAGATGTGGTGTTTGTTGCGTACCCGCCAGTTATGGCTGTTCGAATTTTTCCTTTTGTTTTCTGTCAAAAAAACGTTTTTTCGAGATTTAAGGCAAAAATGGGACAATATTTCTCATCTTCACAAAGCAACAGCGCATCAAATACTCCACAAAGGATTCCAAATTGTATAGATCCTCGTTCACCAACCCGAGATATTGATCGAACACCGATTCAAATAAATGAGTGAGTTTTTATTTGAAATAATTGTTGGTTTTAATTGAAAGAAAACTTTTTAGTGATAAATCTGGCGATGAGAATAGTACAACAGCGATCAAAAACGAGCCAAAACGACAAAGTTTACGTCAGAAAATCATCAAGAAAAAAGCGGAAGAGGAAATGGCGAAAAACTAACCGAAATCTGCATCCAAATGTAAATATTATCAACAACTTTTATTTCTTCACTTGTTTTCGAATCGATTCAATCGGATTTTCGCGCTCATATGAAATCGGCCCAATTTTCTCCTTGAATTGAATTATCACCCCAACTTCCTTGTCGATTTCTGAATATATATTGAACATTTAATTTATTTGTGAGTAAGGTATATTTTGCATTTTTTTCAAAAACTAACTTCCAATCGGCGAGCATAAAACTTTCGAATCATTCAGCTTAACTCGATGAGAATCAGCATTATTAGAAGTGCATCTTTTCAATGCTCTTTCACTGTTTTTGATTATATTATTCAGGCTATAATACATGATTACATCATCGTTGAAATGTTCATCGTCCAAATCTTCCATTTCTGCCAGGCTTCTTGTCCAATCGAGAGAAGTTCTGGAAAGTTTTGAAAAATTCCATCTTCGGGTAGATTTCGGGAAAAAACTCACGGTTTCTTGGGAGGTTGTTGCAACATCAAAGCTCCTTCCAAATATTTGATAACATGTTCCGAAGTGATTCTCCCCTCCACCTCAACTCCTTCTTTCTCAACCTCTTTCGCATCAAATTTCAAAGTCGCCCAAAACGGATTTCCATTCTCATCGAATAATTTCTTGTCCTTCTCGCTTTCCTCAAATTTCTCATCCGTCGCCGAAAATTCTTTCTTAATTCTCGCCGTTTTTTCCTGATTCTCTTTCCGTTTCAATTCCTTCAATTTTTCCGGCAATCGATCTTCGGTTTTCAAACTTTCTGCAGTTTTTAGAACTTTTCTTGATTCAACAATATCTTTGAAATATTGTTTGGTAACCGCGATTTGATTAACATTGTTCTTATTATTTCTTACGCTTTCCTCTTTTTTGATATCTTCTGATTTTTTCTTTTTCGGTGCCGCCTGTTTTTCTTTTTCCTCTTGCTTCCCAACTTCCACCGATTTCTTTCTATACAATTTATTGACCATCTCTTCTGATTTCACCTTTTTCTTATTATTTTTCCCACCTTGTTGATTCATAGGTTCTTCGCTTCCAATCAAAGTGTTACTTGTATTCGTCAATGTTAGTTCCAATTTTTTCTCGGGTTTTTTCGCTGCTCGGCGAGCCGATTCGTTCTTTTTGTTTTTCTGATTTTTCGAAGCTGCTTCTTTTTTTGGTGTTCCGATTCCTCGTTTTTGCGTTGTTTTCCGATCTTCGGGTTTTCTTTTTTTTGGTGACGCATTCGTTTTCTTGGCACCAATAGGCCTGAAAATTGGGAGTTGTATTATGACATGGAGAAGTTATTGGTGAAATTTTGAAATCAATCCAGCTAATGTAAACCATGAATTTTGCCACGTCATAGTTAGGTTATAGCTAATTAACTCACCTCATCGACTGCGAAACACTTTCATTGCTATTACTCGATCCATCTTTTGACCCCTTTGTTTTCATTTTTGCATTATTATTATTCTGATTATTACTAGCACTTTTTTTCATTATTATAAAATAGCTAAAAAATGACTGAAATCTGAAAATATTTCATTTTTATAGTTACTTTTTTCTCAAAAAAAAAGAAAGAAAAATTGGGTCACGTTTCAAATTTTTATCTACAAAAAAAGATCACATATTTTGAAAAGTTGTTTTTCTCCACTCCAAATCTTTTTCCATGTCGTGAAGTTCTATCAAATCGGAAAGCGAATATAAATTTCCAGAATTCTCCAGAAAAGATTGTTGACGAATTGATGAAACAGCAAACTTTTTTTCATTCCAAATTTTTTTGAAATCAGTTGAAATATTCAAAATAACCGTAGAATAACCCATATTTTCGCGCAAAGGAATTGTAAAAATCACAGAATTTTCTGGAATCTCCAAATTATCCTGAATTTCTACTCCACTTAAAATTGTTGTCCGCGGAATTTTCAAAGTTTCGGGAAGTTTTGAAAATTCATAATTTTTGAATTTTCCAACATTGAAAATTTGTTGAAATTTGGAGCCATTTTCCAAATGTTCGAACCATTCAGAAAATGTTCCCAAATGGAAAAATGTCTCAAATTCTCCTAAATCGAAAATCTCGATGTTTTTAGCGGCGGAGAATATTTCAGCAAATTTTCGGCGTTGGAGGGCTGAAAAAATATTATTTTTGAAATAATACAATTTAAAAAAAAACTCACAATCTCCCAAATAGCTCAAATCCGGATTTGTCCCCATTGGTCGCATAAAATCTGCATAACAGCAAAGTTCTTCAGAAATCGGAAATATTGCGGATTTTTCGAGAGCATCGCAAATTTTCCAAGATAACCAGAAACAACTGAAAAAAAAACGAATTCTTCAAATTTTATCATAGTTACAGTAACTCACCTATCAGTCAAAACTTTTCCATTTTTTCGAATCGCATTTGCATTTTTCATTTCTTCGATACTTGGTTTTTGTAAAACTCGAATTAATTTTGAATTTTCTGGATCAACACAAAAAACACCGTGTTGTGTTCCAACTTTTAAACTCGATTGATGTGCAAATATTATAATTTCTTGATTTTTATCAAAAATTTTGGATATTGTTTTCATATCTTCTAGAACATCTGATGCAGTTATCATTAATCCGTTTGGCAAATTTGAGACTAGATTTTGGCTGGAAAGATAACATATTTTGGATTGAAAATTTTGCTAAAAATCACCTATAAACTTCCAATTTCGTTTCCAAAATAGTTTTTCCATTCGGAAAATGTGCAAATATTTTTCCAAATGCCGAAAAATGTGGCATTCTTTGTGAAAGTCCACCCGAATGACACAACAATATCTTTTTCTCCACCAATTTTTCGCCATAAATTTGTTTCAATAATTTTAAAACGAGCAATGTTGCTCCACCAGATCCAATTCGAACATTTTCCGGTTCATCTGATATTACTCGAATATCTTTTGCATATTTTTCCAAGTTTGGAATTGTCTTCAAAATTTTCTCAAAATTCAACTTTTGCTTTTTCGAACCAGCTGTGAGTAATAAAAGGTCCCACATTGAAAATCCTGAAAAAAAATCAATTATTGTATTTAAATAGAAACACAGAAATCAAAAATAACATTAAAAAAAACTATTTTTGAAAAAACTACTTTCAATTTTTTGGTACCAAAATTTTCCACGTGGATTCGAGCATGTTACTGTAGCGAATATCCTACCAAAAAAGTTCGAAATTCTTCAGAAGCTACAGTAACCTCCACGTGTCATTCTTCAATAAATAAAAGTTCAGAATCATGTTGGAAAAATAATTCTTAAAAAAAAAATTTTTTTTTGGTTTCTCTAAAAAAATTAAAAATGGTCCAGTTCTTATTCGTTTCCAAGATATCGCGCCTACTTCAAAATCTATGCAATAAAAATAATATTTTTGCAGCTCTCCAACGCCGAAAATTTGCTGAAATATTCTCCGCCTCTAAAAATATCGAGATTTTCGACTTGGGAGAATTTGAGACATTTTTTCATTTGGGAACATTTTCTGAATGGTTCGAACATTTGGAAAATGGCTCTAAATTTCAACAAATTTTCAATGTTGGAAAATTCAAAAATTATGAATTCTCAAAACTTCCCGAAACTTTGAAAATTCCGCGGACAACAATTTTAAGTGGAGTTGAAATTCAGGATAATTTGGAAATTCCAGAAAATGTTGTGATTTTTACAATTCCTTTGCGTGAAAATATGGGTTATTCTACGGTTATTTTGAATATTTCAACTGATTTCAAAAAAATTTGGAATGAGAAAAAGTTTGCTGTTTCATCAACTCGTCAACAATCTTCGCCTAAAACAACCCGCAGATGCTTGTGGACGATGCCGCAAGAGTTGCAGCTGTCTACGCACTCTTCTATTTCCCTTATGTGTTTCCAGCTTCCCTTTCGGATCTACCACAAAAATAGCGGGTTTTTTCTCGAGTTATTTTGAGAGTTCTGGAAACTCGTCTGAAACTTTGTATTCGCTTGGCGATTTGATCAAACTACACGATATGGATAAAGATTTGGAGTGGAGAAAAACAACTTTTTAGAAAGCGTGATATTTTTAAATAAACAAATTTTGAAAATTTTCCGGGACGCAAAATACCACGTGGATTTGAGAAAAGTACTACAGAAATGGATTCTCAAAAATATGATGGTCTATAAAATTTTCAAAAGCTTCTGTATTATAGCGATGTTTTCAGAACAGTAAAAGTACGATCGAAATTGTCCAAAAATAATTAATATGTTAGTATACATGCCAGAAAAAGTATAAAAATTCAAAATGAAACCTGGTTTATTTATCGGAACTAACAGAAAGGAATACTGGGATAATTTACATATTTTTTGAAAAAAAAACAATTTTGGATAGGAAAACTTTTTTTCAAATCCGATTGAAAAATCGATAAAAATTTTTGGGCAAAACTGTTTTTGTTTGCTTTGTGAAAACAATTATGATCAAAAAATTTCTACGTGGATTTGGACTGTAGAAAATGGTTCACCGTCATCCAAAATTCCGTAGATCATATTTTCTACAAAACATTTTTATCGTTTTTTTTCAACCGTTAAAATACTGAATTTTACATATTTGCACAATTTTACAGTTTTTTACAGTTAGTTAATTAACTAATTAGCCCATTAATTAATTACTTGATAATCTATACATAAATAAGAACACATCTTTGTTGTCGATGTTCGGCCAAAACCGCCGGTTTTTCATATCCCAATTGCACATAAGCTGGACAAAGTCGCCATTCTGAAGAAGCAGCAAAAAGTGGAGAATTCATATATTTGTGAAGTTGATCAGCACTGAATGTAGTTCGATCCATATGAACTGTCAATTCGTGTTTGATTCGGAAAAATGTGGATTCGATTAATGACAAAACTGAGAATGTTGAAATGAGAGGACAGCCGGAAAAACGGAAAATCTCCAAATTTGGGCAACTTCGAGAGATTGTTCGCGCGAATTTGTCAGTTATCTGGAAAATCAATTTTTTGAGATGATATTTTCAATGTTTAGTTATGAGATTCGAAAATTTGTCTCACCTGTTTATTATCTCTCATATCAATATTGGTCAAAGTTTGAAAAGACGTCGACAAACTTCGAATCAACATTGATTCCGAAATCGAAAAAGTGCAATCCTCAATTTCCAGTTTTTCTAATTGATCAAATTTGGCTAACAATGCCAAAGTCCACGGTCGAACATTTATCAAATCACATCTCGAAAGAGCCAGTCGTTTCAAAGGCGCATCCGAACAGAATGCGAACAATCTCGAAATTTGTTCATCAGTCACTCGCGTTTTCACCAATTCGTCTTCAACTTCCAGCGAATTTGCAGCATTTGCGATGATTGGCAACAATTTTTCGAGCACATTTTGCTCATCAATATGTTTTCCACATTGACAAACATCGAGGCAAACTGATTTTTCAGATTGAATTTCAGCTCGAGTTGGACAATCTGCTTTGAAAGCTATTTTAAGGGAGTCGAGATCCGGAAGAATTCGGGCTGAAAAAAATTAATTAAATATTTCGAAATATTGATTCTAGGTTTTCTGCTAAATCTAGGCTATTTTCTTTCGAATTTAGGTCATCTAGAACAGATTCAAAGGATACAAAATTTACCTGCCACACCAAAACATCGTTTCGAGACCATAACTGTGTTTAGCAAATCGACCGGTTCCAATTTGCGAAAAATAATTTCGGCAATTTCAGGTGGTAGCCCTTCCATGATCTGAAAATTTTCTTTTCTGAGAACAAATTTTCCTTGAAAGAACAGATATTCAAAAAGTTCCACAACTTTCTTCAAGCGAAATAGAGTTTAAAAAAAAGTATAAACAAATTATTCAACAACAAAAAAGTAATACAGAAACAAAAATAAATAATTTAAATGTTGATATCCTTGTTTTTAAAAATATTTCCCGTATAATATTTTGGGCTCTTTCTCAACTCAAAGTCCCCACAATTTTCGTCGTTCAGATCTTGCCGATTTCGTTCCAACTTCTACAATTCGAGATGAATCGGGTCGTTTGAATGCTTTTTCGCTCTCAATTTTCCGTCTTTCCATTTCTTTTTGCGCTTCACGCATTTCGGCTTCCATTGTTTCGGCTGTTCGAACACTTTCCATTTTTAGGTCTCGTCGAGATTGTTTTGATTCCTGAAAACATGTGAAATCGAGGGATTTGTGAAATTTTTATTTTTTAAAAATGTAACCTAGCTTCAGAAAATGATTTTCGAAATGTTTTTAAATCTTGGAAAATTATACTTTTTCAATTTCATTTTTAAAATCTCAAATCTAAAAAAAACGAACCTTAACCGAATAAAACATAGGTCCAAGTTCAGCCAACCAAATCGCATCAACAGCTGTCACAGCTTGCATATATTCTTTTGCAGTCATAATAAGTTCGTGATAAACAACATAATCCGGCATGAAACCCATTCCAAAAAGTGCAGATGTTGGATGAAGGAAACATGGGATTCCGGTTCGAACATTCACATATTCTCCGATTCCTTTTAATCTGGCCGCATTATGGAAATATGCTGAACAAATACATTTTCGAACAATATCCCATTCACTTCCATTTGAACTGCAAAAAAATAGATTTTTGGAAAATCTTTATTCAATTTTTGAGTATTCAATTCTTGAGCTAAAAAACTCCACGTGGATTTTTTTTCCCAATGATTTAAATCCAATGAAAAAAACTATTCAAACTTACATCAACGGCAATTTCAAATCCTGCATAATCTCTTTGAGTTGTGCCCTCACTTCTCTCACTTTTTTCAACGCTTTCACATGCAAATAATTATCAGTACACCATTTCGCCGAATATTTATGTGTTCTCCATTGTAAATAGACATTCAAAAATGTCAAATGATCACTTTCAGGAACTTGAAATTTCTCCTTTTTATTATCTGCTTCTTCTTCTCGTCCTTTTGGTCGGAAAAATATAGCGGGAACTGATAACATCGAAACAATTGTTAGAACTTCTTCACTACAACCCATTTCAGCTGAAACAATCAACATTTTCGATAATGTTGGATCAAGTGGAAATTCGACCATTTTTCGACCCATTGGTGTTAATTGTCCTGTATTATCTAATGCTCCAAGTGTCCATAATTGATACATTGAATTGAGCATATTATCTTGAGGTGGAGCATCCATGAAATGGAATTTGAGAAGATCATCGACGTTGAGAGATTTAAGGAGGAGAACGACATTAGCTAAGTTGGTTCGTTGGATTTCGGGAACTGTGCTTTTCTGAAAAAAACTCTGATGGTTTTGGATAGTTTTTTCTTCTTTTACTTCTTCATTTTTTTTTCAAATTTTCCAACTTCTAAAAATTTATATCAAAACGTCGAGCAAAAATTTGCACATTTTCCAAAAAAAAAACCCACCAATAATTCATCTTTGAACTGTCTCTCTGTATACAATCGATAACACTGTCCGGGACCAGTTCTTCCCGCTCTTCCCGATCTTTGATTCGCCGATGCTTGTGAAACCGGGAAGATTTGCAGCGCATCCATACCAATTCTCGGATTATACACCTTCATTTTACAAAATCCTGGATCAATCACAAAAAGAATTCCATCAACAGTCAAAGAAGTTTCGGCAATATTTGTAGCCACAATCGCTTTTCTCATTCCTCCCGGTGCTCTTTGAAAAATCTTCGCCTGCAAATCACTAGGTAATTGCGAATAAATTGGTAAAACAGCCAAAGGCGGTGCTTCATCCAATTCGCCCAATTTCTCCTTAATCATTTCACAAGTGCATTCAATATCTTCTTGTCCAGGCATAAAAATCAAAACATCTCCTTCCATTCCTCCTAAATGTATTGTTACACATTGTTTGACAGCCGCATCAACATAATCTTCCACTGGAGTTCGAGCATGGAATAATTCTACAGGGAAAGTTCTTCCAGGAATTGTGAATGTCGGACAATTTCCACCAAAGAAATCAGCAAATTTATCAGCATCCATAGTAGCAGATGTTACAATCAACTTCAAATCTGATCTTTTCGCAACAACTTCTCGCAAAAGTCCAAATAGAACATCAGTATTCAGTGATCTTTCGTGAGCTTCATCCATAATAATTGCAGAATATTGATCAAGTGATCCATCACCAAGACATTCTCGTAATAAAATACCATCAGTCATATATTTGATTATGGTTTTTTCAGATGTACAATCTTCGAATCGAATTGCATATCCAACATCTTGTCCAAGTTCAACTCCCATTTCATCAGCCACACGTTTTGCAACACTCATTGCAGCAACTCGACGAGGTTGAGTACATCCAATTAGGCCTGCAAATTTGAATTCGTTTCTAGAACAAATTATTTTTCGGTCAGTCAGATTCTTTGACTACTTTTTTTCGGTCAAAAATGTGCAAAACTGGAAAGTTTTTCTTTGTCACATTTTCTAATTAAACTTTCGAATAACAACTCTAATTTAGGCATATAAAATCAATAATTTTTCATACAAATGTTACCCTATTTTTCACCTACACTTACCTGCATCTCCAAATCCATCCTCTAACAAATACTGTGCCAATTGTGTTGTTTTACCCGATCCAGTTTCTCCAACAATAATCACAACATTATTCTCTCGAATCACATTCATCATTTTCTGTCGACACGCAAATACTGGCAAATATTCTCTTTGCTGCTTAATTGTTTTCTCAAGCGCGAAATCCGAAACTGCTTCTGAGTCTTTCATATGCGATGCAAATTGATGTGATTCTTTATAGTTTCCACTATCATCATCGTCTGGATTTGCAGTATCATCGGGTTTATCTTTGATTCCCATTAGATTTCCAAGTTTACTTCCAGCCAATTCCCAATGTTTATCTTGTGCTCTTTTTCGATCTTCATTTTCTCTCCGTCTCCTCACAGCAACACTTCCTCTCGCTGCTGCAACTGCCATATCACAAGTTGTATCAACAACTGGAATTACAGGTTGAGCTTGCTTTGTGAAAACAATTCGTCCATCTAAAAATGGAGGCACAATATTTTGTACCAAGATCGTAACTCGATTCTCATCTGTCTCATCTTCAAAAACACTTGATAATTCATCAGCCATCGCAACGACTCCAGATCGATGCAATCGATTATTTTCCCACATTTCATTTTCTCTTTTGATTGCTTGTTGTTTATGAGTTAACCGTGGTTTTTGTGTTTTTTCTTGCCATTGTTTTTCTCGTTTTTCGACAAATTCTTCAGATATTTTTGCAAATGGGTTATATTCATCATCGAATGCTCCTTCATTATCATACCATTCTCGATCAAGATTTTTCTGCTCAACTTCCCATTGCTCTCGTTCTTCATCATCATGAAATCTGAAATTTACTTATAAGTTTTCATTTTATTTTAGATAGAAAACTCACTCAATTTTCTCATTTTTCTCTGATCTCACAGAATCTTCCGGTTTCTGATATCTCCTTCGTTTATCATCATCTCGTCGTTTTCTTTCACTTCGATATGCACTTGAAATACTCCTCTCTGAATCATATTCTCGTTTTCTATCTCGATCTCTATCTCCTCTTGGTGTTGGCATATCCCAATTTCCACGATGTCTCTTTTTATCATCAATATCCCAAGATGTTCTTGATGGAGTATCAGGAATTCGAAATTTGGGAGTTTCTCCACCTCGATCTCTTCGTTCAGATCGATCGGATCTATCTGATCTATCATATCTTCGACTATCTCTATCATTTTTTCTATCATCTTCTCTACTCTTATATTTTACACCTCTATCTTCTCGATCTTTTCGTCGATCACGTACTCGATCGATCTCTTTTCTCACCGAATCAGTAACTCCTTCATCTTCTTCCCGATCTTCATCTCGTTTTCTAGCATATTCTCGTTTCGTTGATGCCAATTTATCGAGTCCAAGAAGACTTTTGCCTGGTGCCGAAGTGCTTTCGCTTGTCTTCTTTTTCTTGATAATCAATCCACCGAAAGTGTCATTGGTTCCCTCAAGTCGATCAGACATCTGCAAAAATAACACTATTTTTTATGTTTTTGTTGTTTTTTGAGCTCATGAGCCAGACAACGAGCAAAAAACGAAACAACAAAACAACACAACGAAAATGATAAAAACGCTGAAAAATTCGAAATGAAGAGAGCACACAAAATAGAGAGAGTGGCAGAGATTATTATTTGCATTGGAGTGCACTTCGAATTCGACATTTTTTTTTTTTTGAAATTCAAAGTTCACCATATGAATAATCGCTGGCTTGAAGATATATTTTGAAATTTTGATTTGATTTATACATAGAAGCTATTTTTTAATTTTATTCAACCATTTTTCGAAGTTTTCGTAATCATAATTTCAGATCAACAAAAATCCTTGGATCAATAATTCAAAAATGTGTTTCATGGAGATATATGGTTGTTATCAACGATATTCCAATTCGATTTCGATTGATCAACGTAAGTTGACACTGTAAAGAATTTAAAAAAGAAATATTACGAAATCTTCACTGCTTTGTTTAGAAAAAAAACTATCTCTCATTTCCAAATTTTTCCTTGTCAAAATCTAAAAAATTGATAATAAACTTGCATTGCATGTGTTCTTTTTTATTAAAATCATAATTTTAATCGACTTTTGAAACTGTTATTTTTTACAGAATGTCGTCTTATGGGTTTATAATTGTACCCCAAAAATCGACAAATGAAGTGGATCTTGTGAAACCACTTACAACTTATATTGATAGTGTTTATAATACTTCGGATGATAATAAAGCTGAAATATCAGAAGCTGTTCAAGAATTGAATAAACTTCGATCAAAAGCTTGTTGTCAACCATTGGATCGACATCAATCTGCTTTGGATGTTGTTACAAGATATTATGATCAATTAGTTGCTATCGAAAACAAAATTATCATTTCTGCCACACAAAATTCGATAGTTTTTAAATGGGAAGACGCGTTTGATAAAGGAAGCTTTTTCCGCAGTCCGGCAAGTTTTCAGAAAACTTTTTGGGATTATGAATGGAAATATGTTATAGGCCTCACTTTCGCTTTCTGATGGTTCCTTTGAACGCGCCGCTATTCTTTTCAATTGTGCGGCATTGATGTCTGCAATAGCCGGATCTCAGAAGTTCCATACCGATGTGGAAATCAAAACATCTGCCAGTCTTTTCCAACAAGCTGCAGGTGACAATTTAAATTTAATAAACCATTCAAGTTCAAAAATCAAGAATTTTTAGGAATTTTTGCGAAGTTACGTGATAGTGTTCTTGGAATGGTTCAACAAGATCCAACTCCTGATCTTATGCCAGATACACTTGCCGCACTTTCTGCAATTATGGTTGCTCAAGCTCAAGAATGCATTTATATCAAAGGGAAAAAGGATAATATGAAACCAGCTGCAATGACTAAAATATCTGCACAATTGGCTGATTTTTATGTGGAAGCTCAAAAATTGATGGCAAAAGATGTGGTTTATGGTGTTTTCGATACTGTGATGGTTAGCACAGTTACTGGGAAATTATTGACTTATCAAGCTTTGTCACAATTTCATCAAGCTGAAGTCGATGCGGAGAATAGAAAAATAAGAGATCAATTATCTCGCTTGCAAGAAGCTATAAAAGTCGCTGAAACTGCACAAAATACAATTGGAAAAAGAAGCAGAATGGTTGACCACTCTATTTTCAGCAATCTCAAAAGCTCATTTCTCTGCTAAAAAGGATAATGACCTCATCGTAAGTAGTTTTCTAAATGATGAATAATTGAAACTAATATCAATTTCAGTATCACGAAAGAGTAACCGATTTCCGTTCACTTGCTCCATTACCAAAAGCAGCCTTGGCTAAACCAACTCCAATAACTGGACCACTTTCACCAAAATTCAAAGATATGTTCTCATCTTTGGTTCCAGTTCAAGTTCATAATGCAATGCAATCATATGAAGCAAGAAAAGCTGAATTAATTAATATGGAAACTGTTCGAATGAGAGAAGCAACTCAACTTATGAATGGGTTAGTTTTTATTATGTGGAATTACTTTTCGAACTATTTTTAGATTTTTGTCGAGTTTGAATCTGCCGGCTTCATTAGATGATGTAACATCAACAGAAATCCTACCCGAATCAATTAGACGAAAGTCTATAAAATTAAAAGAAAATGGTGGATTGGCCGAAATTCTACGGTTGCTCAGGGAATTACCATCTTTTTATCAAAGAAACGAGGAAATATTATCAAAAACAAGTCGAGTTTTGAATAATGAAAAAGAAAGCGATGATACAATGAGAAAACAATTATCCACAAAATGGAATCGAATGCCAAGTGATCAATTGACTGGACCATTAGTACAGGAAATTGGTAAATTTCGGAAAGTATTGCATACTGCTTTAGAAGCTGATAGAATGAATAGATATAAATTCAATACACATAGACAAATGATCGAGTTATTATCGAAAAATGAGAGTGTATTGAAAGCTGCAATTCCTGGACAAACTGCACATTCAACTGGAGAAACTGAAACAGTTCGAAAATTGAAAGAATTAATGAAAAAATGGACAGATTTGACACAAAAAAGAGAACAATTGGAAAAGGATTTGAAATCAACAAATTGTGATATTGCTACTGATTTTTTGAGAGCATTAGCTGAAAGTCAATTAATCAATGAGGAACAAATATCAAAGGAAAAGATCAATGAATTATTTGGAGCACTTCGAAATCGCGTACAAAAATCATTGAATGATCAAGAGGCTTTGATGAATGAGATTCAGACTTGGAATAATAAATTTTCTGGAGAGAAAGCAGTATCGGATTCGGGGTTGAAAAGAGAAAGATTTTTGACAACTTTAGCTCAAGCAGCTGATGTTTATGCTGAATTGAGGGCCAATTTAGAAGAGGGAACTAAGGTAGGATATTATGTGGTAACGAAATCTACCAGCCTAACCCAAGATTTTTTCAATGAGCCATTTTTTGCAGTTCTACAACATCCTTACTCCAATTCTTGCTAGATTACAACAAAAAGTCAGTGATTTTGTATTTGCACGACAAGCTGAAAAGGAGGATTTGATGCGACAATTACAATTGAGCATTGTTTCTGGTTAGTATTAGGAGTGTTACTCGGAAAAAATCTCGTCACAATGACGCGAAAACCCGTTTGTTTTTTAGGTGCTGCCCAACAAGCCGTCGTTGGTGCAGTCTCCTCATATTTTTGGAATTACGTCACAGGTAAGATATCGATTTTTTAAATTGATTATCACTAAATCAATATTTCAGGGACTACTGCAGCAGATCCACCAATACCTCCATCAAATCAATATGAAAGTATTGATTCACTGATTCCACAGATAGGAAATGCGCAGAATTCACAAGGTCAAGATTGGTTTCATCCCAATAACGAAAAAGACAACATTAAATATATTGCGAAAACGTGAAATGCCACGTGGATTTTAAATAATCATTTCTCCAATAATTTTTCATTCCAAAATTATATTTTCAGGCCAATCACAATCAATGACGTTTCAACCAACATTCTCAACTCCTTATCCAAATTTCCCAGGAGCTTTTCCTTCTTATCAACAACAAGGCTATTTCCCACCAAATACCCGATTTCCCAAAAATCCTTAAAACTAGCCTAAATAATTTATAAATAAAGTTATTTTCGATAAAATGAAGATCTAACGTTCTCATTGTTCAGACATCTAGAAAAACGAGACTATTTTCGATGTTTTGAGCGAGATGACAAAAAAAACGCAACAACAACAACAAAAAAAGAAAAAAGAAAAATTCGAAATGAAGAAAGCGCACAAAACAGAGAGAGCGGCAGACGACAGAAAAACGGTAATTCGCAATGGAGCGCACTTCCAATTCTACTTTCTTTTCTTCTCTGTTTTTTCTTCGCGCCGGTTTCATCATATAAACAAAAGCGCCTGAAGCAATGTTTCGAATTTTCGATTTATTTTAATCATTTCACAAGTTGCGCGCTCTCGAATATTTATGTTTCTTTTCTAATTTTCTCGTTATCAAACTAGAAATCTTTGATAATGACCTCAATGTACATGTTCTTAGAAAAATGTGTGTGTCTCATTAAAAAAACCAATTGCGAAATGATGTGATGAGTCATCGCATTTAAATTTTGCGATATCATCCAACACACTTGAAATTTGTCATGTTTACCCTCATTTTGTTTGTATAATTTTATTTTTTCTATAAACAACACTTTTCATCGATTATTGAAACCGTTTTAATTGTTACAGAATGTCCTCTTATGGGTTTATAATTGTACCCCAAAAATCGACAAATGAAGTGGATCTTGTGAAACCACTTACAACTTATATTGATAGTGTTTATAATACTTCGGATGATAATAAAGCTGAAATATCAGAAGCTGTTCAAGAATTGAATAAACTTCGATCAAAAGCTTGTTGTCAACCATTGGATCGACATCAATCTGCTTTGGATGTTGTTACAAGATATTATGATCAATTAGTTGCTATCGAAAACAAAATTATCATTTCTGCCACACAAAATCCAGTTGTCTTCAAATGGAAAGATGCATTCGACAAAGGAAGTCTTTTCAGCAGTCGAGTAAGAACTTTTATGGAACTTGTGATTTCCAAAACTATCTTTTTTATAGGCCTCACTTTCGCTTTCTGATGGTTCATTTGAACGTGCTGCTGTTCTTTTCAATTGCGGTGCTTTGATGTCCGCAATTGCTGGTTCTCAACAATTCCATACCGATGAAGAAATCAAAACATCTGCTAAACTTTTCCAACAAGCTGCAGGAGTTTTTGCGAAATTACGTGATAGTGTTCTTGGAATGGTTCAACAAGATCCAACTCCTGATCTTATGCCAGATACACTTGCCGCACTTTCTGCAATTATGGTTGCTCAAGCTCAAGAATGCATTTATATCAAAGGAAAAAAGGATAATATGAAACCAGCTGCAATGACTAAAATATCTGCTCAATTGGCTGATTTTTATGCAGAAGCTCAAAAATTGATGGCAAAAGATGTTGTTCGTGGACTTTTTGATAAAGAGATGGTTAACACAATTACTGGAAAATCTTTGGCTTATCAAGCATTGTCTCAATTCCATCAAGCTGAAGTCGACGGAGAAAATCGAACCATAGGCGATCAATTATCTCGCTTGCAAGAAGCTATAAAAGTCGCTGAAACTGCGCAAAGTAAAATCGGTCGAGAAGCAGAAGCAGTGACTTCGCTATTTCCAGCAATTACAAAAGCTCAACTAGCTGCCAAGAAGGACAATGACTTTATCGTAAGTGAAACATTGTGGAATGATAAACAATCAACTCATTTCAGTATCACGAAAGAGTAACTGATTTCCGTTCACTTGCTCCATTACCAAAAGCAGCCTTGGCTAAACCAACTCCAATAACTGGACCACTTTCACCAAAATTCAAAGATATGTTCTCATCTTTGGTTCCAGTTCAAGTTCATAATGCAATGCAATCATATGAAGCAAGAAAAGCTGAATTAATTAATATGGAAACTGTTCGAATGAGAGAAGCAACTCAACTTATGAATGGGTTAGTTTTTGATTACTTGAATATAATTCTCATGTGCTAAATTAATAAATTGCTCTCAATCGGAAGTGCAAATATTAATTTTTCATAAGTAGGTGGTAAAAATTGCAACATTTTTAAAAAGCCAAAAATGTTCATCCCGAATGCAACTCACTTCTTATTAAATGCTACCTTATTGCGATTTTCTTTTTTATTAGAAATGCCGGAATCAAATTTCAATTTTTGGAAAACATTGTTTGTAGCGTGAACTAGATTGTTCACGTATATTATTGCAAAAGCAAAATTACATTTTGTTTTTTTTTTTACTTACAATTATGCTTTTCCAGAGTTTTGGCGAGTTTAAATCTGCCAGCTGCATTGGATGATGTAACATCAACTGAAACCCTTCCCGAATCGATCAAACTGAAATCAGCAAAACTGAAACAGAATGGAGGATCGGCTGAAATTTTGCGATTGTTCAGCGAATTACCATCTGCTTATCAAAGAAATGAAGAAATATTATCTGAAACAAGTCGAGTTTTGAATGATGAAAAAGAAAGCGATGATACAATGAGAAAACAATTATCCACAAAATGGAATCGAATGCCAAGTGATCAATTGACTGGACCATTAGTGCAAGAAATCGGAAAATATCGAGGAATATTGCATACTGCTTCGAATGCTGATAAAATGGTTAAGGATAAATTTGAGACTCACAGACAAGCGATTGAATTGTTATCGAAAAATGAAAGTGAATTGAAGGCTGCAATTCCTGGACAAACTGCACATGCAACTGGAGAAACTGAAACAGTTCGAAAATTGAAAGAATTGATGAAACAATGGACAGATTTGACACAAGAAAGAGAACAATTGGAAAAGGATTTGAAATCGACTAATTGTGATATTGCTAATGATTTTTTGAGAGCATTAGCTGAAAGTCAATTAATTAATGAGGAACAAATATCGAAGGAAAAAATCAATGAATTATTTGGAGCACTTCGAAATCGCGTACAAAAATCATTAAATGATCAAGAGGGTTTGATGAATGAGATTCAGACTTGGAATAATAAATTCACCGGAGAAAAAACTGGATCAGCTTCTGGAGTGGAAAGAGAGAGAATTTTGAAGACTTTGGCACAGGGAGCTGATGCATATGCGGAGTTGAAGGCAAATTTGGAAGAGGGAACCAAGGTAGGAAGTTTTTCCGATTTTTATTGGAAATCAGAGCCTAATAAATTTTATATTATTTTTTTCCAAAATCCATTTTTTTTCCAGTTCTACAACGACTTGACTCCAATTCTCGTCAGATTACAACAAAAAGTCAGCGATTTTGCGTTTGCTCGACAAACTGAAAAAGAAGATTTGATGCGACAATTACAATTGAGCATTGTTTCTGGTAAGTTCAAATTTTTCCTCAAGAAATTCTATAATCAATAATTCTTAACCCAAAAAAATTGCAGACGACGGTATGAACTTTTAAAATATGGTTTGTCCACGTTGTACAGTGTTTTGTGTACCTCAGTTTTGTTTTGTCTCTTTTTCAGGTGCCGCCAAACAAGCTGTGGTTGATGGAGTTTCTTCAATTGTTTCGAGTTATATCACTGGTTAGATATTGTTCTTTTTATCGTTGTTCAATTATCTCTAGCTAATTGTAATTGAAATTCAATAAATTTGTCTGTTTTTCAGGAACCACATCCGCTGCTCCACCAAGACCACCTCCACCAACCAGACCTGCTCCACCACAACAACAAAGTGTCGAGTCACCAATTCCACCACCAAGAAATGCGCAAAATTTACAAGGTGAGGAATTGATTTATTTAAAAAATTCTCAAGTTCGAATTATTTATGTTAACTAACATAGTATTATTTTTGTGTATATGTTTTTTGCGGTTTCAGCTCAACCTGGAGCCCCTCTTCAACAACAACAAGCTCCACCGGCTTATAATCCATATCAACAACAACCACAACAATTCCATCCTGGATATTTCCAACAACAAGTTCCTTATGGTAACTTTTTCTAATATTTTTTAAATTAAAAATTGGTATTTTGTGTTTCAAGGTCTTCTGTTCAAAATGCACGATTTTAACATTTTTCACTTGAGAACTAATTTTTTGAATCTCGAGAAAAGTATTTTTCATTGGGAACTCGAAATTATTATCGAAAATTTTAAAATTTCATTTCTGATTGTGAATCAAAAAAATCTGATTTTGGAAAATTAAAACGTGAAGTGCCACGTGAATTCAAACTAATTCATTTCTAAATTTTTCTCTAATAACCCTTTTATCCCCCTCAAAACCCATATTTTCCAGGTCAACCTCAACCAATGATGTTCCAACCAGCCTATCAACCAACATTCGCAGCTCCTTATCCAACATTCCCCGGAGCTTTTCCCTCTTATCAACAACAACAATGGCCACAACAACAACAACAACAACAACAACAAGGCAATTTCCCACCAAATCCACAATTTCCCCAAAATCCTCAACAAAACACCAATCCATTTGCCTAATTTTTCGTAATTTGTAAATAAACGTGTTTTATCTGGTAGTTTTTTTAGATGTTCAATTTGTTCAATAAATAATTAAGAAAATTTTACTGTAGTTTCTTGCAGTTCGGAGTACTGTATTTTGTGCAAATTAGAATTAATATTAGATTTCTATTTAAGCTTTCTTGATTTTGTAGATGAATTTGAGATATTTTGACCCCAGTTTTTCAAGAAAACTGTAGCTCGAACATTCTAGCTTTTTTGAGACTTTGATTTTCTCAAGCGTGAGGTTTTTTAAAAATTAAAATTATTCGATTGAATGAAGATAAAATTTATTTACCAAAAATAGTCAATCTAATTTTTACGAATAGCGAAAACATTTCTGTTAACCTTTGCTCCATCAACCATTTCATTTTTGGCAAATTGTTTGATATCTGGTTTTGCCCAATTTCCGAAAGATTTGAAATCATTGAAATTTGGAGCTCCTTCGTTCATAATTCCTTCTCCATTATTTGCCCAATACCAAAGGCGAACATTTCCATCAAGTCCATCGTAATTATCAGTTATTTTCTTCCAGAGTTTCGAATTTGTGAAGATTCCAACGTTGTATTTAAGTTGCTGAAAGTATTTTTGTAATGATTTTGATTTGTTTCAAAAGTATATTTACCATTCCACGTGTAACAATTGATTCAATAAATGCAGAATTGGCTGTAGTATTAGTTGAGAAAAGTTTAGTGTCATTAACACTGATATAAACTGTATTCACAAATCCAATACTATTATTTCTGAAATTGTTAGCAACTACATCGAATTGTTCGGATCCACTCAATTTTGCGAACATTGTTGGTGCCATAAATGCTTCAATTCGAAGTGAATGATATGCGATCGCATTATTTAATGTGGAAAGCATTGATTTATCGAAAGATGTTGTGTTGGTTTCGAAAACTCTGACAATAATTCCAGCATATCTATCAATTGAGAAACTCATGATTGAACTATTTGTAAGAGGTTGCGAAACATCAAGAGAATATCCAGAGATTGTTGTTTCTTCTTTAACTGGCAAAGCAGAAAATGAGGCAATTAAGAATGAGATAAAAATCAGGGCTGATTTCATTTTTGGGCAAATGATCAAGTGATATTCAAAACTGAACATCTACTCATATTTATACTGTTTTCAAAATCATCATAATGATGTTGATTTTCCATAGACTAATTATTATCACGAAATGATGATATATCAATAGATCGAAATTTTGATAACACTGAGTTTTGCACAAACTATGATTCTGTTATCATTGGAAGTTTTCTGAGTGCACGGATTTTCAAATGACATCAGAAGCCGAAATTTTTTCAAATCGTCAGTAAATAAAATGTTTATTTATTCAATCGAATAATTCATTCCATCTTTTATTGCTTGCATAATTTTCGTCTTCATAATTTGTTTTGTTGGATACGAAGGAAGTTGAAGGCGATTGAAACATGTATGAGCACGTGGCAAAGCAGTTTCTTCACCCCATTTTTCGATACAGAATTTGTTTGGTGCGTTGTTTCCGCGGAGTGCTGAGAATCCTTCGAATGGGACCGATGAACTGCCAGTGACAAACTGGAAAAGGCTTGTAATTTTGAGAAGAGGAAAGAGGAAGAGCGAGGTGTAATAAGTTTAGATTTTATTTTAGAGCATGCTGAATTTCAATATTTGAGAAATTCTGAACTTCAAAAAGTGTGTATTTCTTATCAACTATTTCAAATTAAAAATTAGTCTATACTCAGGCAGAGATTCGCTGAATTCGCGACGCAAATCTGCAGCCATTTTCAGCAGATCTGCGACAACGTGTCGCAACAAGTGAGCTAATTTTGCGACCGCGGTCGCGAATCTGCTAATGAGTTGCGACCGTTTTTTCAAATTTCGAGTTTTCGAGAGAGTCTGTCGCAGGTTTTGAAATCGTTAGCGACACTTTTCAGCAGATCTGCGCCGACGACTGCGACCAAAAAAAGTGTCGCACATTCGCTCAAAACGGTCGCACTTCTGCGCCAAAGAAAAATCGAGTCGCAAATTAGCTCCAAGGTTGCGAATGCTTTCCCGAGATATTTAAACATAACTGGGTTATTTATCCCAAAACAACTTTATTGTTTTCTCAAGGTAAATTTTTTACAGTTGGAAAAAAGGTGACTGAAAAAAATCTGAAAGTTTTTTTCTCTAGTTGAATTTTGAAATTTTCAAGAACGATTCTAAATTTAGCAATACTAAAAATTCTCATTGTCAAACGGAATTTCTTCAAAACTAATGAAACTTACCAAAAGTAAATTAAATCGATCAAAATTTGTCATTTTCTCTACAATATCCCAAAACCATTCAATAATAACATGTCCATCAAAATATCCGCCCTTATAAATTGAATTCACTCTCCAATCGATCAAATCCAATTCCATCGATCCACTCAATACCATTCGAAGTTCATCAGGATTCAGTATTTGAACAAGTTCAGAATCAAGAATTTGATGAAAATTTCGACAAACGATTTTCATTGATTGTTCGATGCCTTTTGTTGATTGTTTTTGGCAAAGAAGATCGATGAATTCGTTTTTATTTGTGTTTGTGACAAGAAGATTTGAACCATCGGGAAGAAGATCGATATCAACTACCTGAACAAAATGTTGAGATAATATTTTTATAGATAAAATAGTTTCCTACTTTATTGCCCTGAACATCACTGTATACAAATCGCATGTCCAGATGTTCCACATCATTTTCAAGCATCCATTTCATCGAATTATAGAATTCCGGATCAACCGTGTCAAAATCTTCCAAACATACTTTCCTGAAAAAAAAATTTGTAGGAAAAAGGATAGAAATGTTTTTGAAAATATCAGTATATACTTATAAGTTTGGCGCCGAAAATTCAAAATCTCGTAAAATTTCTCCCTTCCTTTTCCTCACTCACTTATCCAATAAATTCTTATAAAAAGTCTTCGTAAAAAATACATCAACCAAACATTTATGAATAACAGCCAATGCCAAAACCCTTCCACATAATTCAAGCCATTGTCTTGATTGATGTGTTCCTTTTGACAAATTCAAATAATAATCATTTCCATAATATTCAAAAAATCCGTTCCTTGGATGAAAAAGTTGGCGTGAAAGAAGTATGAAAAATTCTCTGGATGGTCCGCCGTAATCCAACGCAATTTCATCATCAAATGAAATATGAAGCCGCGATTTTTTGAGTGAAAATATGTCGGTTGAAAGAATTTCTCGAAATGCATCATCAATTAGATTTTCTCGCGAGATTTTCCACATTAATTTGCCAGGTCCTTTTCCGAATTTCGCTTTTTGAAGAATTGCATAAAAATTTGAGATGTTTTCGTCGTTTCGAAGATTTTTGTTTTTATTTTCATCGGTGTCTGAGTCAAGCATACTAACTGCTAGTGAAAGATCGAGATCGTTTGCAAGGCTGGCAATTGCGAGATCGCCGAATCTTTCAACCAGACGCATTTTTTTACGAACACGATCTGCAAAAATGAAAAGTTTGAAACGGAATTCGAAACTTTTAGAGCTTCTTGGGAATTTGAAATTTCAATATTTGTGTGCTAAAACTCCCATTCAACAAACCTGCAATATGCGGCAATTTCTGATCAACAATTCTCATAATCTCATCATATTTCACAATCAATAAATGATTTCCATTATTATCAATTTTTGCATTTCTTCTTGGCGGTGCACTTCTTCCTCTTCGATGTTCTTTTGATACTAATTTTCGAACTCTTGGATCCAAAAAACTTGTTATCATTCGATTATGATTTATATAAATAGTTTGTTCCGAATTTCTCAAAATCTCCCAGCCACGTGGCATCGGTTCACTTGTATCAGAAAATGAATTGACAAATTCGACAAATTGTGGGATGTTTTCGAATCTGATGGAAAAAAATTAGAAAATAAGAACGAATTTTGAAACGAGGCTGAGGAAGTGTCTGAATCTAATAAATCACTGGTTCAGACATCTTCAATAAAACTTTGAAAATTTTCGAACTTACTTATTCGGTAAATCAATATTCATTTGAATTCTATGAAGTGCATGCCTCACAACTGAACTTTTATTATAAATATCCAAGGCTTTTCGATTGTCGTGAAGAATTGTGACAAAATCAGAATTTTGAAAGAAATTCGCCAGTTCTTCTAAAAAATCACTTGCTCCAGTTCCATTTTCGTTTTTGTTTTTGGCGATTGTTCGACGTGGTGTTATGAAACTTTCATCGCGACGAGGTGGAAGTCGAGGAGTTCCGATTAGAAGTGGAGGTTGGGTTTGACGGCGGCGCGGCAAATTCTGAAACAAATCAATATTAGGTTGAATTTTTATTTCAGCTTTTTTTGGATTACTGTACATTAATTTTTGTGCAAAAATATAAGAGGTGGAGTAAACAATAATTTACCATGAAAATATTTCGAATTTTTTGGGATTACTGTAGGTCAATTTTTCACCAAAAATAAGTTGCACTGTAGATTTTTTTCGGAAACTTTTGAAATAATCTTGAAACAAATTTTCGAAAAGTATCCAAAAATGCAACACACTTTTTTTGCAAATAAAAACTTTTCGCAAACCTTTTCGGGATTCGTCCAAGAAGTCTCCTTTGTTTCATGATTCACATAAAAAATGCGACCTTTTGCATCCAAACACATTTGCCATTTTGAAGAAGAAGATGAAAAATTAGAAGAATTTGCAGAAGAAGATGAGCTCAAATTCGTCGACATACTTGAACTTGTGCTCGGCATTGAGCCAATTGTATCCGACGACATTAATTCTTAATTTTATTGGTTTTTAGGGGAGGGAAATGGATTTTGGACAAAGTTCTGGCCAAAATTCTGGTAAATAATTTTATTGGTTTTCACAATCAGTTTTTTCCTAGAACCTGATTTCTAGAATTTCTTTCTATGATTTTTTTCAAAAATTTTCAAGAACCAACCTGAAACTGGTTGAATACTGTAAATCAATTCCACACAATATTTTCCATGCTCATTGATTGATCTTGAACAGTCGTTTTCTAGCCTGCAAAATAATTAGTTTGAATTTTTTTTTTTCAAAATTTCGAGTCTGGAAACATTTCCAAGCCTCTATGCTCCATTTCTCATTTTTTTTCTCGTTCAAAACTTGAAAATTCAATTTTCTTCTAGAGTCGAAACGAAACATTTTTTCTTGTTGCTGATTAACTTTTTGAACGAGCAAGGCAAAAAAGAAGCAAAAAAGCAGATAGGAAAAAATGAACAGAAAAAATGAATGTTTTTTTTTCGAAAAGTTTGAGGTTCAAATTTTACCACGTGGATATCTTGATTTCACAGAAAATTAAGTTTTTTTCAATAATTATTTTGAAGATTACTGTAGATCGAAAATTATACTGAAATTAGGGGTACTGTAGATAAAATCATGCCACGTGGGTTTTTCGATCTACCAGAAAATTTTCAAACTTTTCTCTAGATTACTGTAGATAAAGTTTTGGGGGCTGTATTTAATCATCTTTCGGAGCAAAAATAAAGCAAAACCAAAAAATGAAGATGTTATTTGAATAACGCGAAAATAAACGTCTGCTGAGAAAGGAACATGTCAAAATTTGACAAATCGAAAGGCTCATCTTCCCAAAGGGTTTCACACCCACTCTTCTACTTTTTTGGCGGAGAAAAATGAAAAAAAAAGAGGGATGGAAAATACGACGAAAATTTGATGTATGGACGTGATTTAGTTGTTTTTTGAGAGCATGGAATTCGAAATAGCGTAAACAACTGATACAAATACTTTTTGTTGAGGAAAATTCGCGGAATCTTCAAAGGAGAAAAGGGGTCAAAGTTAAATTTTAGATAGAAACATTTGCAGAAAAAATGTTTAAAAATTGCAATAATTGCTCAGATTAGGATTAGGATCGTTTTTTAAATCTTCGACAAATATTTTTGTCAAACAATAATTCTGAAAATACTTCAAAACTTTTTTTTGAAACATTGAAATCTCAGTATGAACTCGAAAATCCCAAAACTCACTGTTGTGCTGTGAAAACGTGTTTCTCCGATTTCGCCAAATTCTGCGAGATTGAAATTTGAACTTCTTGCCAGGCGAAATTGAGCTGCAAAAAAAGAAGAGAAGAGTGGGAAAAAAAGAAGAAGAATAGAATAAAAAACAAGCTGGATAGATAGATAGAAGTGACACTTTGAATGATTGAATTAAATAAACGGCCACCAAAATAATTCCATTTTGTTGTTTTGTTGTGTACTTTGGGATTTTGCGTGGGTTTAGATTGTCAACCAAAAAAAGTTCGAAACACAATTGAAACTTTTTTTGGTCCCATTCAGATTAACTTTGAATAGTCTGAAAGTTCAACAGAGAAAAATACATCAAGAAAATCCCAACTCCAAAAAATTCTGTCAATAATTTTGAATGTTTCTCACGGCTCTTAAAAATCTTGAAGTCCGAAGAAAAATACTATTTTTGAATTATTTTTTCTTCAATTCAAAATAAAAATTTTGAGAAATTGAAAACTGGAAAAAATTCAGCGTGGGAATGTTCAAAAAATTTTCAGAAGAACTTCAAAGAAAGTTTAGACACATAAATTTCCGACGGCTTATCTTAGAGTTTTGAAAAAAAAAACATTTTCCGTTGCTAAATCAATATTTTACAGAATATATATAATTTTTCCAAATAAGATTTTCAAGTCAGTGACGTTTTTGGCTATCAAATTTCAGTTTCAGTTTCAAAATCGGAAATCCTCTAAAATGACGTTCACAAAAAAGTGCATTCCTCTTTCGCCCACCTTGATATCTTTTTTCATTCTCTCAGGAATTTCAACTTGATTTCCATCAGATTCCAAAATGATCGCCGATTTCAAACAATTCAATCCTCTCACAACTTCATGAATAACTAGATTTGCTTGATTGCAAATTTCCAAATCTGCAGATCTTCCCATCATTTTTCCTGTTATTCCATCGATATAACCAAAGTAGACACGATTTGCGTGAAGAAGGTTTTTTGGTGAGAGAGTGAAGAAAAGTGGAGGTTCGAGGCGATGAAGTTGTTTGTGATCGAGGTAACAAGAAGAATCGTCTGGAAAAATATGATTCCTGAGATTTCTTGAAGAAATTGATTGTGATTCTGAAAATAATTTCGGAAACTGTGAGTATTTTCTGCAGAAAATTTTAGAGCTTATTCCCATTCAGAATTTGAAATTATTAAATTCTGGTTCAATCCAAAAAATCTGGATCTTAGAACAAATAACAAAGATCCGGAACTCATAAATCGTCTCTTCCGAACAATTTTTTCTGGATATAATGCGGAAGTTTTTTTTCTTTCAAAAAAGAGAGGCAAGAAATTCATCACGAAACGAGATTCTAGGAAAATAAGATTTAAATTTTAGTTTCAAGTTTTTGGAAGCTGATGATAACAAGATATATCAAATATTTTCAGAATTAATTTTTTTTTCGAAATTTCAGCTTGAGAAACAACGTTTCCATGAATCAAATCTATAGCTCCCTCCCAAAAACGTACCAACATTAAACAATCCAATCCAATCCAAAATATTTTCATTTCCATCGAATCTCCACCAAACTTTCACAGTTTCTTTCATATTTCCAAATAAAAATATTTGAGATTTCGACGTGAAAACTCCATTGTAGTCATCTGGAGGACCTTCTTCTTCGATATTTCGACGACGGAGAGTGATCATTATTTAGTTAGCGAATCTTCAAAAAAAAGAAGAAAAATTAACTCAACCAAAAAGACAAGCCGAAAAACAAAACACATTTAAATTTCGATGTCATCCATTAGGAAGACTTTCTTAAAACAAAACAAAACAAAGCAAAAAACCAAACCAAGAGTTTCGTTTTGTCGCCAAACACAAAAAAGCCGGAAACGGTGCTCTTTTTTCTTTTTTCCCCCAAACTCTGATGCCATGAAAAAACACGAAAAATGTCAGAAGAGTGTCTCGTGGGATCTATCAATTTAGAATCAACCCGAAGCGCGGTCGAGACGAAAATAATACTTGAGAAGAAAGACAAAAACAGAAGACACTATCGAGATTTTGAATCTTTGGATTGAATGGAGTCAAAAAAAAGAAGTGGAAGAAGAATGAAAACTATTTCGGAAGTTAAAAAATTTCAATTCGAGAGGAAAAGAGTCCAAATATCTCATTTTCAAAAAAATTAATTCTAAAGCTGAAGATTTTGAGTTTAATAATATCTAAATTGCCACGTCATAGTTCCACGTCTTTACTGTTAATTTCTAATTTTTTTTAAATATGTATTGTTCCATTGATCTCAGGTGCTCCCCGATCAAAATTTGTTACCTTTCCGACTTTTTTTGCACTACGCTCATTCCAAAAAACCATGGCCAACAAACAACACAATTTGCCTGTTTCTATCCGGCAAGCTGTCAATTTTAACAAAAATAAATAAATGTGCGAAATAGTGGGTGAGATTAAGAGACGCAGTTTCCGGATTCAATTCCCGTCAACGGTTATAAATATGATTAGACACATTCGAAATCTAGGATTTTCAACGAGAAAAATATGCGACTGAAATATTTAACATTTTTGGTGATTTCTGTAGTTTGTGAAACAAATATTACTAGTTCAAATATTGAGTTAGAGAAAGATGGTAAGTTTTTTTTAGTTTTGATAATTGAGTAAAACATTGTCAAAATTTAGAAAACAATACAAGTACATCTCCACATTTAAAAATTGCTCATGATCAAGGAGCTCTTGTTGTCGCCGCTTTTCCGGTAATCTCAACAATTCGACCGAAAAATAAGAAAAAAGGTATGAATGGTCCTTTTTCATCAAATATTGGGAATACTGGATCAAGTTATAATCGAAGAGGTTCATGGAGTGCATCGACAGGAAATCCATATTCAAGGTGAGAAATTATAAGAGGGTTTTGGGAATCTTGAATTTTGTATAAGGAGGCTTTTTTTTGAAAAATTCAGACAATTAGGGAAACCTAAAAAATGATAAAATGATTGTTAGAGTTTTATTTGAAATGTCTATCAGGTGTTTTTCGGTTTTTCTAAATTTGAGTTTATCTGGTATTGATCTTAAAGTCCAACCTCAGCATAAAGTTCTGATTTCCAGCGGCTACTCCGGTGTACCTGATTCTCAACGACCCACCGGTAACACAGGCGGTGGAATGACACGAAACAACAAACGAACATTCGGAAGTTATGGAAGTGTAGATAGTGCGAAGGGACAAAGTGCAATGAATCGCGGAAATTATGGAAGTAATGGAAACGGAAGACGCGGAGGGAACAGTAACAATAATGGGGGAAGCAGTGGCGGATGGGGAGATAACGATAATTACGGATCATCTTCGAATAATCGCGGCGGATGGGGAACAAATGACAACGATAATGATAATAGCAACTATGAGAATTCGAATAATCGAGGTGGAAATGGAAACGGAAACGGAAATACTGGTGGATGGGGTGACAACGAAAATAGTAACAGCAATTATGGTTCATCAAATAATCGTGGCGGAAATAGTGGAGGAAGATGGGGAGATAATGATAACGATAACAGTAATTCGAAAAATAGCTGGGGAAATGGAAATAGTGATAATGACAACTACGGAAGTTCTTCCTCAAATAATAATCGAGGATCAAACGGAGATGGTGGCTGGGGTGACAATGACAATTATGGAAGCTCCTCGAATAACAATCGGGGAGGAAACGGGGGAAATAGTGGTGGCTGGGGAGATAATGATAATTATGGAAGTTCGTCATCGAATAATCGTGGTGGAAATAACGGAGGAGGATGGGGAGATAACGATAATGATAATCGAAAAAGTGGAGGAGATAATTGGAATTCTCGAGGTGGAGGAGGAGATAATAGCGATAACTGGAACAGTCGAGGAAATGGAAATGAAAACGAGAACGATAATTGGAACAGCAACAATAATCGAGGAAATGGCGATAATGATAAAGGCGGCTGGGGTGACAATAACAACTATGGTTCATCGAATAGTCGAGGAAATGGTGGATGGGGTGAAAATACCAACAATAATAATGGTTGGAATAATAATAATGGAAATTATGGAAGTTCATCTTCTTCGAACGGTGGAGATAACGATAATAATTATAACGGCGGAAGTTATGGTAACTGGAACAACAACGGAGGAGGATATGGGAATAACGGCGGAGACAATGATAATAATAATAATAACAACAACAACGGTGGGAATGGCGGAAATGGCGACGAGGATTATGGAGATTATGATGATCGACGAATGAAGGATCCAACCGAAGAACAGAAATTGCAAAAGAAAATTGCGGAATTGACAGATATGGATTCGTACAGGAAGAAAGTTTGACTGTTTTGTTGGCTAATTTATTTATTTATTATTTATTTTTTAATAAAATTTTTCCGTGACCTGTCTATTTTTTCTCAAAAAAATGCTGATCCTATTCATTTTCTATTGATATTAAAGTGAAATATGCTCAAAATGTTTTATGTTTTCCAAAATTTTAACAATTTCATTCTGATTGTGAGTTTCATCTTGTCCCTCTAAACTCTTCCAACCCAAAATTTCAGATATATCTCATCCTTTCGTGTGCTAGAAAACAGCAAAAAGTTTGTCCCGTTCGACACGTTGGTAGTTCGATTCAAGGAAGTGTTACGGAAGCTGATAAAAGTACAGCGACAGCGAAGGTTTTGCGAAAGAGCACGAAAAGTGCAAAGAGTCAGAGAAACAAGAAAACGAAAAAGACAGAGACTGTGAAATCAGAACCTGCGCCGAGTTCAACGGTTCCTGAGCCAACGCAATTTTCAACTGCTTCCACATTGGCTCCATTGTCCACGCAATTGCAAACCCCTATTACACCAACACCAAGGCCGAGTTGCGGACTTATGTAAGTCGGGGTTTGGGTATCTCGAAAACTCAAAAATCTGGTCGTCCCAGTCCAATTATTTCCAACTGAACATTGTTATCTTGACGTATTCCAAACATTTTGAAATTTGATTTTTAGCCCTGTTTTTACGGTCCCGCTAAAATTCACTCACTCTCATTTGCAGTCCGGCGTCAAGCAGGCGAAGTTGCAACAAACTTCCGAGTCCCAATCCAAAATCTGGTGAAGCTGGAAGCAAAGCAGCATATCCAATATCAAAAGCACAAAGTAGAGCTGGATCTGTAACAAATCAAACTACAATCCCAACCACCAAAATTCAAAGTAAAGCTGGGTCTGTGAAGTGAGTAATAGAATTTGAAAAAAAACAACAAAATGAGATTTTTCAGTAAAACCGTGGCTTTGGAACCAAACAAGAAGTCATCTGTCAATTTGAATCAAACTGTTTGAAAATAAATGAAAAATAAATAAAATTTTGAAAAAAACATTTTCAAGGTGCATCTTAAATCCTAGAAAGCCTTTCTTCATGACCAGCAAACCACGTGTTGAAACCCAATCACGTTTCTTGGTATTTGCACATTTTTGGTCATCATTGTTTACATTTCACAGGCATTTCCGGACATTCGTACAAAAATCCAGTCTCTTCCTTCGCAAGTACATATAAAAAAGCGTACAAGGAGGAAAAGTATTCTATTCTGTCAAAAAGATTAGATTTGTATTTTGGAAGAAGAATGTGGAGAAAAGGAACATTTGCCGGTGGATTCAAAAATCCAAACTATGTGAAATTGTTAGATGGTGAGTTAACGGGAGTATTTCAAAATTTAGGAAAGAAATTTTTCACAAGAGCACAAATGTTGTTGGAAGCGTCGCGGTCACGCGCTGCGTGTTTCATTTTCAAAAATCTAGTATTATTCTCATTTCAAAGAGAATTTCAAAAATAAACACGCAGAGGGTAACTGCAACGCGCTCAACAACATTTGGTCAATGAGTAAAGATTTCATGTACTTATTTTTTCCCAACTATTTTTCACCTTAATTTTTCTAATTTAGACACCGAAAAACCACAAAAACTGCGAAAATCTTCTTCAAAATCCTCTTCTTCTTCTCCTTCCACATCTTCACAATACTTGCCAGTTTTAATTCCAGCGATTCCTCAAAGATTCGCATTTTTTGGTTGATTTCTATTTTATTTTCTGAGAAAGTATACTACTATAAATTATTGATTTTATGTGATAATATTTTTGAAAATACCATCAAAAGAACCCTAAACAAATAGAGAATCTATCTAAAATCTGTTCAAATATTTGTCAAGTTTTTTTTCCTTGAGAAAAAACTTTGAGAATGAAAAGGTCAAACCTTTTTTCCAAATTGCTATAATGTTCATTTTTCAATAAATCAAGCGAGTGTGCTTATTTTAGAGTTATGGTTGAACTGGAGCAATGTTTGAATCTTGAATCCCGGTGCCTGAAAATGTATTAATATATTTCTTTACTAAGTAATTGAAAAACTCACTTGTGCTATCCGGATCTTCTTTTTTGACTGGCGGCTCTTTTGGCGGCTCATTTTGAGTTGACGCATTTTTCTTATTTTCGTCAGCATTCGCACCAACAGCTGGAGATCCTTGGCTGATTGGATCAGTGGGTGCACTTTGAGTTGAGGCCTCTCTAAAAATTCAAATATTTTCACCTGGGAAGGGGTTTCAAGGTTCTTACTCAGGATCTGATTTATCACCAGCCGGTGCTGCACCTTTACTCGACTTCTTTTTCGATTTTCCAAACTCGCGAACTTTGGGTTTTTGGAACATATTTGCTGCATCCTTCTTCTTTGAATCCTCTTTTTCTTTTTTATTCATCATACTTATTCCTTTTGCCATTTCTTCCGGTGTTGCTGGTACTGAAGTTTGAGTACTGTTTTGTTGCGGGCCTTCGGTGACGTTTCCACGAATCGAATTGCCAACATTACGAACCGGGCATTTTTTTGCTTTCTTCTTTTTACAGACAGTGATGAGATTTATCTGGAATTTTGAAGGTTCTACAAAAAGTTTGAGTTATGACGTGGCAAAGTTTATATTTGCTAAACATTTGTTTTCACAACATTTCACAACTTTGCCACGCCAATACTGATTTTCAGAGTTGAAATGAGAAATTTTCGACTGCGAAATCTTGCTCTGCGGGTAATAATAAAGATAAAAAACAAGCTTTCGGTTGAAAATCAGCGAATAAATTTTTTTTTGAAAAAAAAAGAAACATTTGGTGTGCACTTGTACGTCGCCGTGTATACAAACTTCTCTGTGCTACAGTATACCATTTTAGTGCTTTTTTTTAATTTTGGAAAATGTTTTATTCAAATACTGATATTTATAATTGAAGAACTAGATAGTGTATTTAGATTTTTATCCAAACCAACTTTTAAAAAACCTTTCTCTAAACTTACTGTAAGACAGAGTATGTTAAGAATTTGGAAAACAAAAAAACATTCGAACATATTCCACTTTAATTGAACTGCTAAAAATAAACAATGTTTAGTTTTTTTTAATTGTCCCACATTTCAAAAGAAGGTCAGTCACGTAATTTTAACGTGAACAATTTTCTTCCTCCAACTTTTTTTCGCACTTTGAAAGTGGAAAATCCGGTTTTCCGTGGCCGCAGCCATATGATTATTGATTTTTGAATGGTAAATTGTTTTAGGGAAAATCGGAAAACCATCATTTCAAACTAATTAATCTTGTTTTCGAAATTGATTAGGTAGTCATGCATGTATGGTGTGATTTTCTAGGTCATTGCCATTTTCCTTCTCCACCATATCAAGATTTATTTTTGTCAATTAAGAAATTCTGTAGTTTTTTTTTGAAAAAAATCCTATTGAAAATCAGCTGCCAAAATTATTTTTCAAGTAAAATCTATTTTTACCGAAAAAAGAGGACAGATGAAATTGGAAATTAGTATTCCGAATTTAAAATTATTCAAACATCTGCCCTTTTTCGAAACAAAAATGTTCCGGGAAGAGGGAAATCGATTTTTGAAACCGGTTTTGTATTTTTATGTTATATGTATATAATTTTTCATCAAATAAATTGTAAGTTTTTCAAAAATCAGCCATCTTTCGAAATTTTTCCCAGAAGAACTCTCTTTTTCCAATAGCCTTTTTTCGAAATATGTTTCAAAACCGGTCCTGATTTCTTTTCTCAAAACAAAACATTCATCATTTTTGTATCAATAATTTTTTGCAATATTTTTCCTTACTCACTCTCTAAACAATAGTCATCCTTCTATTTTTCCTTCGTTCAGCTCTCATCTTTTTTCCCGTCGTTTTTTTTTGTTTGGTAGGCGGTCTTTCCATCTAAACCACACTACAATTAGCTCAAATTCGATGCACTTTCGGTCGGGGGCACGCTCTGAAAAATTGTTGTTTTCCCTATTTTTCGGGGTAGGAACAACAGAAAGAGCAGCCCTCAATGACCCCCCGAACTTTTTTTTGTTCACATTTTACCGGAAATACTTTTTGTGTGGTTTTGTTTGGAAAATATAATATTCTGAAGAAAATATTTACCTTACCTCATTGTTATTATTTTTCGTTTCTTGCGCAGGGCAAAAATAAAATGAGAAGAGTCTAAAATAATTTCCAAAATATCTATGAAAAATTTTGTTTTCTCTGAGGGGCTCACAATAATATTATATTTAGATATTTCTTATTTCCTATAGAGATAGTATTTTTAGCTAGAAAACTAACTAACAATAAAAATAGCAGTTTTTATTATTTTTTTCGTATTCTGAGTTTCAAAAATACAGTTAGTTTATTTCTGTGCTTTTTCCTTTATCCTATAGATAGTATTTTCCAGCTATTCTATCTGTTCTAGACTAAAAAAACCTAAAAACAACAAATTTTATTAGTCTTCCTCTTTTTTTTACTGTTTCTGTTTCATTTGCTTCTTGAGTGTGTCTGTGTATTTTTGTCAACAAAAAACTTCTGAAAAATAATAATAAGCATTCTTTTTGCGCTTGTTTGTGCTCTGAAAAAAGATAAAATTATTATTTTTTATTTTTGAGCTTCACCCCCAACTTAGCCTATCTATTTCTATGTATTCAGAAAAATCTTCCAATCTAATTTATTTTTTTTTGTTGGCTCGAAAAAACTCTCGAAAAAAAAAGAAGTTTGCGCTCCCCGAGCCAATTAAAACGTTTTTGGATCTTTTTTGGTGGGGACCAAAAAGTTCTTTTTTACAAGAGAACTTTTTTTTGCCCAGCTCAGGAAAAGCAGTGAAATTGAATTAGAAGCAAAATTATTTTTCGAACTCTTTTCTTTTTTTTCTGGTTGCTTTTTCTTTTGCTCCCATCATTCATTTCTTTCTTGTCAATTTTCGAACAAAGTTTCTTCTTTTGCTTGCAAGTATCATTTTAACACATTTTCTCTCTTTTTCACAATCTCCTTCAATGTTTCAAAAATCTGATTTTTTGTCGTTTCGGCCAAGAAAAAATGCGTGTTTTCCCAAAGGGCCCCAAATCTTTCACGCTTTTTGACTTTTCGAAAGTTTTTTGGCTTCCTGCAAAATATACAGTTGTTTTTTTATAGGAAAACAATTGTGAGAGCGGAAAAATAAATAAGACATTTGAAAATAATGTGCTTTACTAAAAAGAAACCTAACCGTTCAAATTTATTTTGAAGATTAGGAACTTTAGAATTTTAGAAAAACTTTTTTTTGATAGTCTGAAGTTTTTAAAAACTCCATTAGTTTCTAAAGGTTCGCCGCGAATAAATACCATTTTCCATTTTACCTTCTCTTTTCTTCTTTCAAAGAAAAAATGAAATAAAACTGACGAAATAATAAATATCCTCATAAAATGTGTATGAGGATATTTGAGTTCAAAAATTCATGGCGTTCTCATTTTTTTTCGCCCGAAAAAAGAAATACATTATTAGTTATGATCATCTTCGAAACACGCAATTCTTGGCGGGTTCATAAATTTCTTTTTCTTCATTTTTTAATCCTAAATCCTCTCGCACTTTATCCTTCTCAAAAATGTATATAATTTTTCTCGTTTTTCTATTTTTCCTCTCCGTTTTTTTGCTTTGATTTATTATCTAAATTTTCCAGAATTTTCATGAGATTTTCATTTTCGAAATATGTTATTTTATTGCTCATATTAGTCACAATTTGCGTGGCAAAACGTGGTGGAAGAGGGAAGAGTTCAGCAAGAATATCTTCATCAAATATCGGAAGTCATCGAACTCGTTCAAAACCTTATTATACTAGGAAGTGAGCTATTGGGTTTTATGGGATTTTTGGAAAAAGGGAAAAGGTGGAAAGCGGGGAAAGATTGTTTGAAATTAAGAAAAAAATCAAAACTTTTCTTTAAAATTTATCTTTCCAAATTTAGATCAACTAAAAAATGTGGTCCAAAAGATTCAACTAAAAGCTGAAAAGTTCAAATGTTCTGAAAAATCATCGAAGCTCAATTGAATAAATTCAATTTTTATTTTAAAAATTTTTTAACCCGAGTTTCAACCTGATTTTCAGATATTCAAAAACTGGTTCGATTGAACATACTTCCAATTTCCGATCTTTTGTATTTGGCGCAACTTCGGGATATTTAATGTATAGCGGAGGAAGGCATATTATTCAAGATGCTTCACAACCAATTCTGTGAGTTCTTTTTTTTTATAGTTTTTCTAGGCTTAGCCCTGGGAGATCAAGTGAAAATTACTTTCAGAATCTAATTCATCTTTTCAACAAGATAATTTGTTTCAGATATGAAAATAGAACATATTATTGGGGAGAGACAAAATATGTGCCGAATGAAAATTTGCCAGTTCAATGCGTCAATAAAATTGATCCACAAGATCCACAATTTGGAAAGGTTCGTGGTTTAAACTATTATTTCAAACCTGAACTTCATACGTGGATTTTTTGAATATCATTTCTAACTTCAAAATTTCCAGGTCTACTTCGAAAATGAATCTTCAAAACCTCAAGAAATAATGTATGGTTGTCCATCTGGTTATAACTGTTGTGGTTATGATTGTTGTCCAGAATCCACATTTTTCACATCAATTTTGTAAGTCTTCTTTATATTTTTTGACGTGAAAAAATAAGTTCTTGATTCTTTTTTTTCCTAAAAATTATTTCTCTTCAAAAAAAATCCCTCATTTTTTTCAGCAGTCTCCTAATTCTCCTACTTGTTCTCTCAGTTCTCGGAATTTTCGTCATCGAATGCATTCGTTGGTGTCTACATTGTACATATTTTTGCAAACACGGTAGATCAAGAGATTTCGAACCGCTCAGCATCTGAAAAACTTCACAAATTCACTTTTTGCCAAAAATCAATCAAAAATTCACTTTGAAAAATAATATAATTTTTACGGGTTCCCCCCCAATTCTTACGCCGCCTATTTCCGATGTTTTTATGAATGTGATTAAAATATAAATATATAAAAATTAAATTTTCTGTTTGTTTTGTTCCAAGAAAAAAATGATTACTGTAAAATTGGTGTTTGGATTCTTATTTTTCTTGAAACTTTCTGATGCTCAAACGACGTGCTACTATGGAACATTATACTCAAATTCTTCAAATGGGAATGAAAAGCCAACATGTTTTCAGTTTATGAGAACTTCGCTGAACTTCACAAATGCTTTGAGGGTAATTTGACACTGTTAGAAAAAGAAATCTAGAACCTGCACTTTGATGTTTTTTCTTCGGAAAAAAATTATCAGGGGAAATGACTGGGACCTTTTTCATTTTGAATCGTTTTTCAGTATTGTCGTGTGAATGGCCGGGCAACTTTAGCCAGAAATATTGATCCTTTGAAAAACGAGATCTTGAAAAATGCAGCGAGCAAACTTGGAATCGAAGAATTTTGGATTGGTGCAACAAATGTGGATAATGATTGGGAATGGTTGAATGGAGATCAATTGAATTTTTCGAATTTTGACAAAGAAGCCGGTTAGTGAGAAAAAACAGGGGGACAATGAAGAAAGATCTATAATTATAGCAGTTCACTAATTAAATAAAATTGGATCTCATCTTCACCGCGATATTCAAAAATTAATCCCCAAAAAATATATCTAATTTTAGGATACCCAATGAAAACTGAAAGTCAAGTTGGCGCAGTTTCAATGCAATCCATGAATGGCTTATGGTACACCAAAATTGATACAATTCAATTACCGTTTGTTTGTGAGAGACCGGCCACCGATGATTATGATCAAGGTTTGGAATTGAAATTTATTGATAGCAAAAATCCAAAACGGTTTAAAAAAATTTGCTACTCATTGAACCAAATTTCAAAAAAATTTCTCATGATCAATTTTCGATATATGAACTTCTGCAAAAATTTCAAAATTTTTTTTGAAAAAAAATTAATCACTAGTTAACCTTTTCTTTTAATCATTTTAAAATTCAACCGGAATTTTTGAAATTCCTGTCAATTTTCAGTTGATCAAATGCACTTATCAGTTTCCGATTTGTGAACTTTTCAAAAAATTCCAAAAGATATCTAAACCAAATTTGTCACGTCATAACTCATTAAAAAATTTCAAATTTTTAATCACCCTTCCCTCTTCAATTATTTTTTCCAGGAGTTCTATATCGCTACCCAAAAACCAATTTTCTTCGTTTTCCCTACGGCGGAACCAAATCACCTCATATCCCAGTTCAAGCCGCTGATCAATCTGTTCTTTATTTCTCAGTCGGGCCAATCCAAATGAACCATGCAACAGGTGAAAGAACCTATCTAAAACCTATCACAAATTTGCCAAATGGTATCTCTCAAAGTGACGTGGCACAAGCACAAGTTTTCATGGTTCAAAGAAGAGAACGAAAAAAGTTGGAGCCAGTGATTGTTAGTGAAAAAGAGACATTTATTGATAAATCGCGCAAGAATAAGACTGAAATTGAAACGAATAAATCGATGAAAACTTCGAAAGGAAATGGAAAAGGAAGTTCAGGAGGTGGAAAAGAATATCGGGAGGATGTGAAGAAAAATAATGAGTTCGAGGAAACTGCAAAATTCCATCAACGTGAAATTGTGATCAAAAGGGGTTAATTTTTGGTTTTAACTTTGATGATAAAAATTTATACTATATTTTTCACAAATTTTCAGGAGACATTGACGTAAATAGAATTGATAAGAGCCCAATTGACGACGTAATAAATTATTAAGTAGAAGATGATTAACACCTTTCTTTAAATGATACGTAATTAGATTTTAATCCGTGCATTTCAAGGAAAGTTTCTGTGGAAGCATAGAATTCATGGAAAAACATTTACAATCTCCGAATCCAACTTTCTTTGAAAAAAAAAACTCAAGCAGGCAAAGAATTGAACCAGCGACCTTAGAAATTGTCCACTTAGAGAAAAATTGGTTCAGTCGGTTAGAGGTCAATGTTCGATTCTGCTAGTGAATCTGAAGATGATCGACGCTCAGAACTGTCCTTAATACTTTAAGGCAAAATATATCAAATTAATCACAAATTCAAAGTGAACCTAAAAATAGAAGAACCGCACCCAAAATAATTCCATCCTAAAAAGTTTTCAACTCTCTCTCTCTCTCTCTCTCTTTCTTTTTCATTCTCTCCCTGCTTAAACACAACAAAAAACACAAAAATGTAGGAGCAAACCGCCATTTCATCTCTTCATTTTTTCAATGCACATTTTTTAATGATAAGAAGAAGTGAAACACTATCATTTTTCAACTTTTTTTTGCGAAATCACAAATTGTTAGATGCGGAAAACTTTATGCATTTTATTACTTCTTGTTTTGTGCTGTGTTGATTTTTGTGGTGCTCAAGTGAACTATAATTCTAGTTACTGTACAGCTGATAAATGTCAATTGGCATCGAATTGGACGCAACAAGGTTTCCTTCGTTTTTTAAAATTGGCTAGAAAAGTTCTTCAGGGATTATTTAAGTATCATTGAAAATCCTATTTTTGTGTACATAATTCGAATTTTCTAATGTTAAAAAATCAAAAAATTTCTACAAAGCCTGATAAAAAATCAAACTACGTTCACAAATTCATTATCATTATAAAAACTGTTTTTGAAATAAAAAAAAATTATTTGTTTTCAGAAATCTGCGATTTTGTGAATTGTAACGATGATGCTTGTGAAGGTGGAGGATATCTTTTATGGACACAGTATGTTGAATGCGCTGGATCCACTTTTAACAGGGTGAGAAAATGTTCCAGCAGAAGTTAGTAGTGGTCTGTTATAGAACGCATTTCAGAATGATAATCCTGAATTTTGAGAATCGAAATTAGCTCAACTTTAATTTCAGGTCATACTAATAGCACTTGGTGTTATATACATGTTATTATTGTTTGTTATGGTGAGCACGGCGGCTGATGATTTTTTCTCGCCATCAATTTCTTCGATTGTGGCACATTTGAGAATTAGTGAAAGTGTAGCGGTGAGCAATTTTTTCAAATTTTAATTTGATTTAAAAAAAAACATCAAAAATTGTTAAACAAAACATTTTACTGAAAAATTAATTTCCAAAATCTTTCAGGGTGTAACATTTATGGCATTCGGAAATGGTGCACCAGATGTTTTCGGCGCAATCGCTTCTGTTCTAAGTAGTCCCACACCAAAAGCTGATTTAGCGCTTGGTGAACTTTTTGGTGGCGGTCTTTTTGTGACAACGATGGTTGTATCAACGATTATTTTGACGAGTCCATTTGATGTCGAGATTTTCAGCACATTTCGAGATTTGATTTTTTATCTCGTAGCGTTGGCATTTTTGGGGCTTTGTTTTGTGTTTTATAATCAAGTTACACTTTGGATGCCTTTGAGTAAGTTTTTTTTGAATATTTGAAATTGATGGATTTTTTCAGCATACCTCGGGATTTATGCATGTTACGTGGTTACTGTATTTGTTGCTCAGGCTATTCATAATCGACAAAGAGTGGGTTTTTGGAACTTTTTATCTCTTCCAATTCCTCAATTTTGTAGAAACAAATGCGAAAACAAAGCAGTGTTCGAAGTCGTCGAAGTGTAGTTCCAATAATTCCTGAAATCACAACAATAGCTCCCGAACCCTCCAAAACTCCCGAAGAAAAACCAGCACAAACAACTCCAGAAATCTCAATAATCACAGATGCAGTTGATAGATTACGTGGACATATTGAAGATAATTTGAAACGTGAAAAATATATGAAAAGAGCTTCGTATGCAGTGAATACTGATGGCAATTTAAATATGCTTCATCCTTATGCAAATTCAAATGGACCAAGTTCAGTTGGATCTGATCTTTCGGAAGAAGATGAAGAATTTGTTGTGATTCATGGTCAAGTTTTTCATGGACATGAAGCTCGAAGTCGAGCTGCGAGTTTAGCTCCGCAACCAATGAAAATTGCAAGTTGGAAGGATGTGCAGGTTCTTAAAGATCTGGGAAATCATCTGAATCCCCTTCCTGATGAAGATGAGTGGAATGAGATGAATATTCTATCGAAAGTACTGAAGTGTATAAGCGTAAGAGCATTTTCGAGAGTTATTAGAAGAGATATCCGATTTCTTGCAGATCGTTCCAATAGTTCTGTTCAAGCTAACAATCCCGCTAAATGAACTTTCCTGGTCAAAACAACTTGCTTTAATTCACTCAATTTTATGCCCGATGTTCTTGTTATTTTCACTGCAGTGTGAGTTTTTTGTATCGGGACGGTATATAGGTCATGAAAAAGCTGAATTTTGAAGTCGAATCTATGATATTTGGTTAATTTCACAAAATCAGTGGAGTTACAGAAAATGTTCAATTTTTTTATAGAAAAAATACCGACGAATTTTTCAAAAAACTGAATTCGAACTTTTACAAAAACTTAAAATTTGTTCAAAAATATTGGCTCTGAAAAGGATTGGATGGTAATCACTTTTTTTCATTCCAAGCGTTGGGAAAATTATTCTTCACGGCCAATTTTTCCCTCTTTTCTCTACCTAGTCATTCAAACAAACCACCGACGCCTCACTGGGTTGGCTGTGTGCTATGTTTTTCGAGAGATAGGCTCCGCCCACTTTTCATTTCTCTTCAAAATTGATAGTTTTTGATGGGAGAAAAAAAGTTTTGAGAAAATTAAATTAAAAAAAATAAAAAATGTGTTTTCAGTAACATTTGTTCAACCGTTCGATAATAGTCCAGGATTATGGTTATATGGTTTAATGTTTGGAGGACTGTTATTTTTATTAGTTACATTATTCACGAAACTTGGCGAACAGCCAAAATATTATAAGGAAATATATTCGTATACAGGTTTTCTGATGTCAATCGCTTGGATTTATCTAATCTCATCAGAAGTTGTAAATGTTGTCACAATGCTTGGAGTTGTCTCTCGAATTTCGCATGAAGTTTTGGGTTTGACGATTTTAGCGTGGAGTAATAGTATTGGTGATTTGATTGCTGATGTTTCTGTGGTAAAACAAGGATATCCAAGAATGGCGATGGCTGCAGCTATTGGTGGACCTTTCTTTAGTTAGTTTGAAATTTTTGAATTTTTGAAAGTTATGCAATGATGCGACTAGAATTTAAGTAGTCCTAGTCCCTGTGAATTTTGTATTTGTATGGTTGAAAAATAAAATATAAATTTTCATTGTTTTTTTTGCAGATTTACTAATGGGTTTTGGATTACCGTTCTCAATTGCCAAACTTCAAGGAAAATATATTTCTGTGAGTTTTTTTTGAAATTTTGAAGGAAACTTTGAAACGCGTTATTTTTATTCAGAATTTTGAAAGTTCTAGAATTTTTCAAATATTATATTTTCAGATGACAATAAATCCAACCTACCGTCTTCTAATACTTTTCCTCGGAATTAGTCTTCTCACAACTCTCATCGGAATTCCAATTCAAAAATTTCGTCTTCAACGACCACATGCAGCTGTGCTAATTTCAGTCTACATAACTTTTATAGTTTTTGTAATTCTTTCTGAAACTAATATTCTTGTATGGAATTAATCTTTGTTTCATTTAATTGTTATTTGTTTTATAAACGGGTCAGAATATAAAATTCTTATCAGTGAAAATCAAATTGTATAATTTTTTGAATTATTATTTTTATTATTTCAAATTTTGCGTGACGTGATTCTCCACGTCACTTAAACCATTTCTGAAATCAGAATTTGATTCATTATTGATTTTTAAGAATGTTCGATCCGTTAGCCACTTCTGAACCTGCTCCTTTTAGCGATGATCCAAAAATTGTTGAAAAACGAGAATTGATTGATTTTGAGTATTTGGTTACTGTAGAAGAGGCGATGGCAGGAAAAGGTGAGTTTGATACCGTCAGGTCAACATGAGGACAAGCTATTTTCCTCACATCTCATACGATTACTCGAAAAAATCCTAATTCAGATATTGGTCGACCATATCGTGTTCTTGCAAGTGGTGTTTTTGATCTCTTTCATTATGGACATGCAAATCAATTGAGACAAATCAAACAACTTATTCCAAATTGTTATCTAATTGCAGCTGTTACATCAGATGAAGATACAATCAAATATAAAGGTCCACCAGTTCAAACTCTTGCCGAAAGATCTGATTCAGTTCGTCATTGTCGATACGTTGATGAAGTTTGTCGAATCTGCCCATTTGATGACAATTTGCAATTTATGGATTCGATGAAAATTGATTTTGCTGCACACGACACGGAACCTTATGTTTTGGGAAATGTTACCGATATTTTTGCAGAACATAAAGCGTGTGGACGATTTTTGGCGACGCAAAGAACTGAAGGAACATCTACGAGTGATTCGATTTATCGAATTTTAAAGGATTATGATAGTTTTGTGAAGAGAAATATGAATAGAGGATATAGTCCAGAACAAATGAATGTCGGATTTTTCATGGTTAGTTTTCGGGAGAATATTGAAATGGGCTAGGTTTTTAAATATGAACTTTAAGTTTTGTGATTTGAAATTCCTTTTTTAAGCTACAGTAGCCCTTCAAAAATTGATCCTTTTTCATTTTCAAAAATAATTCTTCTATTTCCAGACAAACAGAATGAAAGCTCAAGAAAAATTTGGCTCAATAAAAAATCGCGGAAAAGTTGCTTTCGAAGATTTCAAATCAAAATCTGATGAATATTTCCAAAATGTTAATGAAAGTTTTCGTGATAACGTAAGTCTCAAATTCAATGACCAGATTAATAAGTAATTATTTTCAGCCGCACCGTATTCGCGCGCAAGACAAACTTGCCACTTTCAAAACTCGTGGAATCGATATGTTTTCGAATTTGAAATTTAGAGTTGAGACAATGTGGAATCAACAAGTTATCAATAATGAGCAATGAAATGGTAATCAAACTTTTTATTCGTTTTTATTTGTGTTTTCATAAATGTATTTTTTTGTACTAATTGAAAATGAATTGAAACACTCTCGTTGTTTTTTTTTGGAAAATCTTCAGGATTACTGTAGCTCAAATTTCTAGCAATTTTAGACAAATTTTTAAAGTACTGTAGTGCATAGAATTGGACAGATTTTTCACAGAAACAAGTGATTTGAGGCATTATTCAAAATATCAGAGTGTTTCTAGAAATTATGTATAAATCTATAGATTGTATAGTAAAAGGATGATAGTAATATGTCATCGAAATGATAATGATAAGATAACTTTTGATCCGTCGGCGCCTCCTCTTTTATCCCTTTTCAGTTCATTTTGTATGATTTTTTGATTTTCGACCACGTTTTTCTCTGTTCTCGTTGTTCCTCTTTCAAATAGGCGTAAATATGGAAAAATGTTCCAATGTTCAAGTTACAAAACGAAAAAAATATAAAAATGTTCCAGATTTTCAAGGGCAAAACAATTTTCCTTGAAACATATTTGATTACAAGAAAAAGGTTTCTAGCCTGTTGAACAAACAAAACTGATGACAAGGAAAGGAATTCCCCGAAGAATTTCAGCAATATATCTTTTTGATCACACATTTCCATGAAACAAGATAGATGTCTTTTTTGTCGTCGAAATGACATATAAAAACTAGAAGACCGCCTATCTTTGTCTATGTCTTGCCATTCGATATATACATTTTTGTTTCTCTATTTTTTGTCATTTCCGAAAACGTCACCTGAATACTCTTTTTTCGTTTTGCTTCGGTTTTGTGAATAGTTTATATAAGACTGAAATTGCAACTTTCTTTTTATATTTTAATGTTTTCTGAAATTCTCCTTCTGCAGACATGGCATGCCCTTATGGTTACGGTTCTTCATCTTCCGAAGGTCTTTCGAGTCAAGTGAGATTTGATGATGGAAATGAAGAAAGTCAGGAAGGAGTTAACAAAGTTGAACTAGGATTTGGACAAACTTATTCCGAATATTTACAGGTAACTACTGGAAGCAGAAAATAACTTGAACTTGAGATTTTCGAGAAAAATGCTTTGAAGTTGTTTTTGACCAAATGACCAGAAAAATTTCATTTGGAAAATCTCGAGTTCCAGTTGCAAATTCTCTCATCCTTAAATTTCTCCAAAATATCATTTTTCAGCTTGATAAAGTATTGACAGCGCAAAGATTATATTCTGAAATGGATGGAAGAATAGTGGATGATGAACATTTATTTATAATAATTCATCAAGCTCACGAACTATGGTTTAAGCAAATTATTTTCGATTTAGACGCAATTAGAGCCTTATTAAATAACGACGTGGTTGATGAGACAAAAACTCTGAAAATAGTCTCGAAACTCGATCGAATTGTAAAAATCTTCAGTCTTCTCACCGAACAAATCACACTTTTGGATACAATGAGTCCATTGGATTTTGTCGATTTTCGAAAGTATTTGACACCCTCATCTGGTTTTCAATCATTACAATTTCGAATTTTGGAGAATAAGTTGGGTGTGAGACAAGAAAGAAGAATTCGATATAATGCACAACATTATAAGAATGTTTTTAAAGAGCAAGAATTGAGCACTTTGAATGCTTCGGAAGATGAACCAAGTTTATTGGTTCTAATTGAGGTGGAGTCTAGGATTTATCTCTGTGAACTTTTTATAAATTAATATTTTTAGAGTTGGCTGGCTCGTACACCTGGTCTCAAAGCGACTGAAAATCACCAAGGATTCTGGGAGCAATATGAAGCAAGTGTTCAAACATATCTTGATCATATGTTAAAACAAGCTGAAGAACCAACAAACACTGAAGAAGTTCGAAAACAATTAATTGCTGAATATCATAAGAACAAGGATTCTTTCGCTTCAGTTTTAGATCCACATTTGCATGAACAACAAATTCGAAATGGTAATCGACTATTATCGCATGATGCGACAAAAGGAGCTATGATGATTTATTTCTATAGAGATATGCCAAGATTTTCGCAACCTTATCAGATTTTGACATTTTTAATGGATATTGATAGTTTATTTACAAAGTGGAGATGTGAGTTTGTTTAAGGATTGGGGGAAGGAACTCACAATCAGGAAATCTTAAGTTGAAAAGCTGGATTCTCAAAAAGTAGTAGAAAATTACACTACTTGCAATATCCGTGCACACACGCCATAATTTGAATCCATCTCACATTAGTGTTTTTTTTATTATGGGGAATATATTTCAGACAATCACGTACTTCTTGTTCAACGCATGTTAGGAGCTAAACAAGGAACCGGCGGAAGTTCCGGATACATGTATCTCCGAAGTACAGTCAGTGATCGCTACAAAGTATTCCTTGATTTGTTCAATCTCTCAACCTGGCTGATTCCACGTGAATATATTCCAACACTTTCTCCACACATGGTCAAAACACTTTCAGAACATACACATCTTCATAATTCACAATCTGAAAGTGAATAACTGAATACACTTTGAAGGAAGAGAAGAGAATTTTTATGTGTCTTTGTATTTTTGTTGGTACAAAAAATATTCGTAGGAACGGTTTCACTTGTAAATAATTCATGTTTTTTGGCATTTTTGCATTTTTTTCTTTATGTTGCGTGTGTTATTTTTTGCCTTTCTTTTCTTTTGAATAAATCTGTACTTTTTCAAATATTCTATATTTCCCAGAAAAATATCAAATTTCATATCCATCCGTGAGAACAAAAAGTATACTCATATCTATCTAATATGTCAAAATAACTCATCAATCAGCGACAAAAATCGTCACCTTTTCTTATTTTCTGGAAAAGTTTTGGCGAGAGCTCAAAATATTTTTATTTTTATTTTCGTCAAACATTTCCTTTCCATGTTTTTTTTTCGAGAAAAACGGAAGAAACAAAAAAACGAGCGAAGAATCAAAGATTTCTTTGAGAATTCAATTTAAATTTTCTTTGTGTTTGCAAACACAATTTTTCGAAATGAAAAGCTGGAATTATCCAATCCCCAATCCAATTTCCTCTTTTCGTAGAAAATATTAGAAAAAAATTGTTGTTTTTTCTCACGACGTTTTGATAATCCTCTCTGAATTTTTTGCTTGCTTTTTACTTTTTTATTGGTTTTTGATGACCCTGGGTTCAAAAGTTCAAATAACTCATGTTAAATATTTATTGATTCATATTTTTTTTTAATTAACAATGATGATGATGATGATGTGGATCTTGATAGACATAATTAGGAGTTACGTAAACTTGAGGTACATGAACATGTGTTTGTTCTCGAATGACAACAGAATGTGAAGAGTTAGCATAACTTATAGGTTGAATAACTGCTGGATGTTGCATAAATCCAGGCTGGCAAGTATTTTGGACATATGTTTGAGGATAGGGAATATATGCATTTTCGCAATGATGATAATGATTATCAGACATTGTAGTAGTTTTGAGAATCTCAGAAAAGTGAACTGATAATGAAATTGTGCATTCATCGAGTTTATATATGGTTTTTTATCAGAGAGAAGGCGGAGAATATATTTTGAAAGAGGAAGTTTACTCTTGACTGAAGGGTAGAAAAATTATGAGTCAGGTTTGGGAAAAGTTGATCTTGAAGAGTTTATTACTTACGTGGTATTCTGGATTCGAACATCTTGATTAAAGTGAAAGTTAACATTTTGAAACTCATAGCTTCCGAAAATTTTTGAAGTTTTGAAGAAAACCCTATTTTTCGCAGCTAAACTGACGTGAGAAAAAATATTTCTTTTAAAAAAGTTACGCCTCGGAATACAAACTGTGAAGTTTAATGAGACATAGATTATAAAACAAAAAATAAATAAATTCAAAACGAACTGGAAATCGCGTGAATAAAACTATGAAAAAATAAAGGTAAATAATGAATGGGACCCCAAATGGGACCCCAAATGACTGAATGGGACCCCATGCTGAATGGGACCCCGGTGTTTAAAAATCGTCGTGATGAATGGGACCCCAAAATAATAAAATGGGACCACAGCATTTTTTTGAATTGTCTGAATGGGACCCCGCAAAAAAGGGACCCCGTTGAATTTTTGTATGAGTATGAATGGGACCCCACTGAAATTTCTTCAGAATGGGACCACAGGTAATCTTAAACTTAGACGTATCCTCAGCACTGGGGTGAGGCATAGGCTTAGGCTTAGTTAGGATTTCAGGCTTAGACTTAGTTAGGCCTTTAGGCTTAGGCTTAGTCAGGGTTTTAGGTCTTTGTTAGGATTTCAGGTTTAGGCTTAGTTAGGATTTTAGGCTTACGGTTAGTTAGGCCTTTAGGCTTATGCTTAGTTAGGGTTTTACGCTTAGGCTTAGTTAGGATTTTTAGCCTAGGCTTAGGCTTCAAATTTTGTATCCCTTTCAGTATAAAATTTCAGTGGGGTCCCATTCGTACTAATACAAAAATTCAACGGGGTCCCTTTTTTTGCGGGGTCCCATTCAGACAATTCAAAAAAATGCTGTGGTCCCATTTTATTATTTTGGGGTCCCATTCATCACGACGATTTTTAAACACCGGGGTCCCATTCAGCATGGGGTCCCATTCAGTCATTTGGGGTCCCATTTGGGGTCCCATTCATTATTTGCCAAAAATAAATCTACCTGTGAAATATTTCATAGTTTGTTTTTTAATAAAATCTGGAAGCTGATCCGATAGCTTCAAGTGTAATTCATGATTCAAACACAGTAATTTATAAACAACTTTCCTCAATAGTAATTATGAATTAAAAACTTTACCCAATATTTTTCAATGAAGCTCGAATCTCACCTGTTAGTTTTGTTCCTTCCCCCCAAACCTCAAAATAAACTAACTTGACTGGTCCGTTCCGTGAAAAGTTGTTGATACCTTTGAATGTCCTGTCCAATCGAAACATCTTCTTGTTCGGAAGCCTGAAACTTCGACATTCTTTTTCTCAAATTTTTCGCCTATTCTAAAACTTACATCAGAAAATGACAATTGTGTATTTCATAGGACGCTGCATTCTGTGACTGTTGTCTCTAAAAAAATAAGAAAATTAAAAAATGTACCAAATCACCCCATTAATAACATTTTCTGCTCTGAAAAAAACCAGAAAAATGATTGAGTTCGAAAAAAAACGTTCAATCAATGATTTCTTTTCAAATAAAAACACATACACTCACTCACTCTCTCTCTCTCTCTCTCTCTCTAACTCTCTCTCCATTTCCCACACTCTCTCGTCTACTCTGCAAAAAAACAACAAAATAAACTAAACAACGTGCACGCGGAGTATCGTTGTGTTTCTTTTATTTTTTTGCACGACATTTTTTTCCTGGTTTTTGAGTGGTGTCTTCTGAATTGTACACTGGGCGATTTTATTGAATGGTAGATACTACATAATTCTATTCCATGTTCTTTATGATTCAGCATCCTCTTTCTGTCTCGAGGAAGTTCTAAGTTTTATCAAAACTTGACGTTTTTTCCTGATAAAATCTTTGTATAAAAATACGATGTTCACAACTTTTTTATCATCAAAAAACTACATTCCCTACGAATGTCGTATAACTACAATTCCTACCCAAATATTTCTCATCAAACTCAAATGTCTTATTATCCTCCAAATTCTCATGGATGTTTGACAACATCAATTTGTCCACCACCGAACAATTGTATTCCAAGTTATTATAAATGTCCAGATCAACAGAAAAAGAAAGAGGTGAAACCTGGGTTTTTCAAAAAACTCTTCGGAAAAAGGAAAACTGAAAAAGAGCATTGTTGTCATTAATAAATTGTTTGTTTTCTATAATAAAAATATCTTGATTAGTTTCTACTTGAAAAATAGTTTTTGTGAATTTGGCTGCAAGAAGAGTCTGCACATAATATCTGCTCAATATATTAGCTGCCTCTTAATTTGTACCTCCGTTTGATATTTTATTACCAAAAAATCCATAATTGTTCTATTTTGTTTTGTTTTCCAAACTTTTTTCTTTTTTCTCACTAACTAGTTTTCCTCGAGAAAACAACACAACAAAAAAGGAAAATGACAAGTTAAAGCCGGATGAAAAAACCAAAAAAAAAACAACCAAATTTTTGTTCTTTCTATTTTTGTGTCTGTCCCACGAAAAACCTGTCAAGAGCTTTAGGTTGAGAGATTGTCTTGTGCTTGCTTGCTTGCGTATGAAAAGATAGAACAAATCTTGCGCAAGAAATGACAAACGCATGTAAAACGAGCCAGATTTTCTGACATTTCTTTTTTTTTTTTGGAAAAAATTTGATCTTTTATTCTCGTTCTCTTTGCTCATGACTAATTTATTTTATTTTTCAGTTGTTTTTCTTTTCCTAAAAAATGAATATAAAAAAAAAAGAAAAATATTTAATAATTGCGAATAATTTCAGCAAAAAAAATACGAGAAGAAAGTTTATTTTTTCTGCCACATGAAAAATCTCATCATCAGCTGTGTGATTTTATGAGATATTTAATTCTTCTTTTGATTTTCTATCATCATTTTTTCTCAATTTCTATTCATCTTCCTATACAAATTAGATAAATGACTATGTCATGAGAAAAGAGCAAAATTATTATTTTAGCTGAAGTCAAGGATCATGTTGTTTTTTCGCGTGACTTTGAAAAATGCAAAAAAAAACAAAAATAAATGTAAATATAAAAATTTTGAACCACACTTTTCCTACTGATTTTTGTGACGAGACTTCTTTTGAGATTTTGAACCGCGCCTTGAAATAGTTTTATTGAAGAAAAAACTTCGCTACGAGACCCTACAGCGCTGTGCTTTTTTTAAATACTGAATACTGTAAAAAAATTTCGTCTTGCGTCTTTTAAAAACAGTTATTTGTTTTTTGTTTCCGAAACTATTTTAAAAAGTTTCTCCCATGTTCGTTTTTTATTTATTCTCTCATGTAATCCATCCATCTTCCTCGGTTTTCTCGTTTTTTTTCGAGTTCACTTCTTCTTCCTTTTCCCCACTAAAAATAGAGGGTATTTATGATATTTGTCTGAAAAACTCTCCCCTTTTTTTCTCAAAAAGCAAGCATTTTTTGAAGTATTCTGATTCTCCACTTTGAATAAAAATCAAAACAAATATCTTCAGTTGTTTTTTTTTGCTTCAGATAGATACGATGTGTGAGCTGTTAATTGGATTTTTATTTATTTTTTTATATAAAAAAATTTGAGAAAGAAAGAGGAGAAGATACTTTTTCAGATTTTATTTGAAAAATCTAGATTATTTTTAAAAAATGAGCCTTGAAAATTCAACTCTTCCCGAGTACGGTATACATCAACTTTGAATTTGAACTTGGGAACCTGAATAATATATACCTTTGACACAGAAGTTTTCGAACCAAAACTCAGCATTATATTTTTAAGACACCAAAAATACATTTTCAAAAAACACAATGAATTCTTGAGCATCAAAAAACTTTTTGTGCACACATTTTTTCAAAGCTTTTCCCCGTTTTTTTTTCGTTTCCAACAGAAAAAATATAAAATCCAATTGTTCGTATTTATTTGGACCACACCAAAAACCACAAACAAAATATTCTTCCCAAACTTTCGTCTTGTTTTTTTTCGTTCCTTCGTTCACATTTTCTAGTTCTTCTGTTCGTAAAAAAATGATGAGATTCTCCTACTTTTTCTTTTTTTTTCTGTGGCTTTGTTTGAATGTGGGGCGGCCATTCAGCCAGCAAATTTGTGCACCTGTTTTGCAGAGCCCCACACACAAAAATTGCATTTTGAAATCTGATCGGCTCGTGCTTCTTGCGGCCACAAAAGACTCGTCATCTTTTTTTGAGCCTTTTACTGACAGAAAAACATTTGTTTTGATTATATAATACTTTTTTGTTTGTATACACGTGTTTGAGATTTTTTTCTGAAATTCAAAAAGATGCCACTACTTTTTTTCAAGATTACTGTAGAATGCTGTGGTAGATAAGTTATGACATGGAAAAAATTATATTCGGATTACTGTATTTTTTCAGATTATTTTTGGAAAACTCAAATTACTGTAGTTTTTTCTATGGGAAGATTTCAAGATTACTGTAGATACAAAATTATTTCAAATTTTTTTTAAAATTCAAAACCTTCCACCAAGAGTTCCAAGATACAAAAAAGTATTATAATGTTTTTAATAGCAGTTTTTCAAGACACACCGTAGTTCTTCTTGCTCAATATTTTCCAAAAGACCACGTCATAGATCATGTTCAAAGTCTCGAGTTACATTTCTACAGTATTCCTTATTTTTCTAATTTTTTGAAATATAAAAATACGAAAAATACAGAAATATCTACACATAATCTGAGTGCCAGGTAAGACCTGGCAAAATTTTAAAATCCCACAACAATTATCATATTTACCACCTTCTCTTTCGAAAACATGAAAACTTTTTTTCAAAAAACAACAACATTCTCACGGATAACTTAATTTAACTCCTAACTTTTTCCCTCTAAAAACATTTCACATCGCACTTTATTTTTTGAAAAACAACAAAAAAAACTCCGCCCTTTTTATGGGGAGCAGATGTAAAGTATTTTTAGAAGTGAGAGTACTCACTAAACTTTTTCCTGCACTTTTTTGCTGCCTGAAAAAATTGAATTGGATTTATTGTCAAAAAAGTTTAGAAGTCAAGTATACTCTTTTTCAGAAACTTCCTTCAGAATTACTGTGAGTTCTTTTTTTGTTAGGAAAACTTAGGTCTCATTATTTTTCTTTGGAGAAAGTACTTTTTTTTACGATTTCACACATTTTATGAGTATTTTCCTGCATCGTTCTCTTCTTTTTTCATAATTAAAAAATGAGGAAAAAAGTGGGGTGAAAAAAAGTTTCAAGTGCTTCCCGAAATACTTTTTTTGCGCCAACTCATCAACTAGAATCTAGTTTTCTCGTATCTCAATTTTTATTTTCAAATTTTCTGATTTTACTTTTGATTTTTGATATCGAAATATCTGATGAGCTTTTGGCTAGAGAAAAAAGTTTGAAAATTAATTTTTTTTAACTTCACATTTTTTCTGCTTGAATTTTCTTCGGGTTCAACATGTTTTCTAGTTTCTAACAATTTCCCGAATCGAAACAATTTCTTAACATTTTTTCTACCTCCACTCTCACTCTTCAACTTCTTCAAATAATTTTCTTACAGAATGTTAATATAAAAATGGATTCAACAAGTTCTCTTTGTCTTCCCGAATCTCAACTTCGTTTATCTGGATCGGGTCTCGAAGCATTTCTCTATACCGTACTTTTCCCGCCAATTTGTCTTTTCGGACTTATCGGAAATGCTTTAACAATTCTAGTCCTGATCAACAATGATTTCATGTCAAGAGCCAATATTTTTCTAACTTGTCTCGCAGTTTGTGATGTCTCATTTCTTTTGTTGATTATTCCACACAGTTTGGCCAACTTTGACACGTTTGCTTTCAATTATACATTTCGATATTTATATTTGCCAACAAAAATACATTTGATCGCATTTGCCAATTGGACATCAGCCGTTGCTATTTGGTAGGTTAACAGTAGAGCACATTTGAAAAATAGTTTATGAGTGGGACCAAAATGCAGACGGTGCACACTTCTTCTGCAAATCCATTTCTTCCCCTCCAGAATTCAATTTCAAAATAATTATATTTCTAGGCTCGTAGTTGGTGTATGTTTCGAACGTGTCGTCGGTGTTCGTTCTCCACTTCACCGTCTCACAACTCCATCTCGCGCCAAACTAGTCACCGGCCTAGTTGTCCTCCTATCATCCTGTGCTGCTCTCACCTTCTACAATCATGTTTCCCACCATTGTTTCATCAAATCGTTTTGCAATACAACACAAATAATGGCAGTATGTGTCGATGTCAATCTCAATGTGTGAGTCCTCTTTTCTCTCTTTTTTCTCTCTCGCCCTTATCTTTGCAATTTCTGTCGAGGGAATACATGCAGGGATGGCCGAGCGGTCTAAGGCGCCAGACTCAAGCTATTCGCTTGCCTCAAGTTCGAGGTCGCATGGGTGTTCTGGTACTCGTATGGGTGCGTGGGTTCGAATCCCACTTCCTGCAGAAAACTTTTTGCATTTCTTTTTTCAGATGGCCCGGAAATCGCACCAATTTCTCTCCACCCGCACTTCGCCGCTACGTCGCAACAACTCGCGCAGCAAACGCAGTGTTCGTAGTGTTTCTTCCACTAATCCTTCTGGTGGTTCTGAACATAATGCTATTGTATTATGTCAAAAAACGATCATTCTTTATGTACGCGTCACTTGGCAAAGTTTCAGCAAGAATGCGAAAATCCGGCGAAGTTGCACTTCCTTTCGTTGCTACGTTATTCCGCAGACATTCAGATCAGGTAAATTAAGGAAGTCTGGTAGTGTCGTTTTTGATAGGTACTTTTGGTATTCAAATTTTAGAAATCCGACAGTATTGTAATTCGAAAACGGAAGGTAATCTAGAATCTATCTATATATCTTTCTATTCCTAAGTTTGCACCTTTCACACAAAATAGTATTTTTTGTTTTATTCAGATATTCAAAAGATAAACATTAGGGAAAAAAAATGAATTTCCAGATTCTCCAACAAAAAACTGAACACCGTGTAGCGGTTACCGTATGCGCAGTTGTGACGTCATTCACAATCACTCAAGCTCCATCAGCTGTTGTGTTAACAGTCAACTCTTTATGGCTTCAGACTTTCAATAATTCGAGATGGTAATTTATTTTTTCTCCCTGATTACTGTAGATCTATTTTTCAGGTGGTATCAAATGACAACAATAATCTCATTTTTGGTGGTTATTGGAAAATCTCTGAATTTTGTTGTGTTTTGTCTATCTTCGAGCAGTTTCAGACGGCGACTTTTCAATATTTTGAGAACGAAATATGGATCTAGGGAGGAAAAGTGGGTATTTGAAAAGAGTTTGAAAAATTGCGCTTATTTTTCCAGACGCAACTATTCAATAAACACCGCTTATACAAGATGTGACAGTCGAGATTCTCGAATATTATCACAGAAAAAATCATTTCAAAGTATCTAACCTTTCTTTCTTTCTTTCTCCTTTTTTTGTCGCTTTCTTCCTCCCGGCTATATCAAAAAACTATGGGTAAACAAATCCCTTCATCGTCGTTCTTTTTGTCCTTTTTTTGCATTCCTTGGGATCATGGATCTCTCCTTTATTTAGCAATAAATTATATATTTTTGTGACAATAAATTAATTAATTTCTGGCTCGCTCTGCCGCATTTTTCAACTTCAATCGCAGATCCGAAGTTTTAACCATATTCAGCGGTGTTTGTTCCTCTTTATTTTTCAACTCAATATCAGCTCCTTTTTGTGTCAACATAATTGCAATATCGTCGCGATTTTCATCGCAAGCAAGATGTCTGAAATTGCAACAAAATTATATATTTAGTTAGCATATTCAGAACCCGAAACCAAAGGCCCAAAATTGTAAATATGAACTAATTTTCAAAGTTTTTTTGATGTTGATTTCGTTAGGAATAGCTAAACTGATAGGCATGAAATAAAAAATTGTGTTTTATTTTTAGAATAATAAAACTCACAATGCAGTATTTCCTTCCGAATCCCTTTGATTTACTCGAGTTCTCGGATTATTTAACAAAAATCGCACAACAATTTCGTGTCCTTGACTGGCGGCTCGATGAAGAGCAGTCGCTCCATATTTATCAGCCAAATTGATTATTATTGGATCGGATTCGACCAACAATTTAACGATCTAAAAAATAAAAAAATATGAATAAAATTGAGAGTTTTCAGAAGTTTTTATACCTCAATATGATTTTTGCTGGCTGCATAGTGCAAACTTGTCTGACCATTTTTGTTGGGTAACTTCGGATCAACGGATGGAAGTGAAAGAAGATATCGAACGATTTCAGTGCGACCAGCGGAACAGGCAATCATCAACGGAGTCCAGCCAACCTCAAAATATTTCATGTTAATCATAAAATCACAGATCAGAACATTTTTGCAGGGAAACCCAACAAAATTTTGGATTTCAAATTTTCTAGCAACACTCACCTCATCTCTTTTTGTCGCATTTTCCGGATCGTTCAGAATTGCAAACTGCAAAATGGGCAAACTGCCTCCAACCGCCGCAAAATGTACAGTAGATCTTCCCGAGTCGTCAACGGCTTGCACAAGTTGCGGATTTCGATTTAAAAGTCGTTTTGCTTCCTAAAACAAAAAACATATGTTATTTTTTGAGTTTCTCCAGGGAATTCTTTCTTACATCTTCTTTTGCCTCTCGTAAAAGTGTCGAAAGTTGTCCAACAAGTTGAGAAATCGGAACTTCCGGCGCTTTTTCAGTTTCCATCGGCTCAACTGTTGTCATTTTCCTGGAAATTACTGAAACGCTGGAAAAAAACTGGAAAAAAAACAAAAAGAAATATTTGGACGAACAAACCAAATTGTCATCATTTCGCAGCAAATTCTCAATAGGGCACACATTCGCTATTCTCAAAAAAATAATCATTTATTTTTTCTCATCGCACAAAATAGCAAAAAAAGTTAGTGTGAAGGTTTAGTATCGCTCAACAAAGCGGCAATAACAATTCTCAATCTGGGAGGTAATTTATTCTTAGAGTAGTCGTCAGTAGTTTCCTGATGCATATTCTGAAAAAAAACCAATTAAAATTTAAAATCCAAAGAAAAAGTTAATACCATGTATACGATGACAAATTGATAATATGTAGGAATACTATTTAAACTATCTCTTACACCATAATCACCATTTCTAAATTTATCGAATTTCTGCTCCAAGTTCGGTATACATTTTTCCAAACATTCCGGAGTTACACAGCATGGTCTTTTCTGAAAAACGGACAAATTTTCAATAAAAAATATTTAGAAAATAAAAAATACCGAAAACTCTTCAGCCAATGTATGATTCATTCTTAATTGTTTCAAACTATTCCGAATAGTTGAAAATTCTTCGGGTTTTCCACATTCCTCATTTGCTTCATCCAATTTCAAATTGCATAATTTTTCAAGAATCTGTCGATCATCCGAAAACGGCGTGTAAGGGATTTTCACTGGAAATTAGATAATATATTTTGGAAACTCCTGATACAAATTTTTTAGCTCCAAAAACTCACATGTCTTTTTTCCAACAGTTTCATTTTTGAATGCATGAACCATTGCACAAACAGCTCTTTGCACAAAATATTTGACTTCTTCGGGTTCCACATATTTTTCAACATTTGGCCGATTTATTTTTGCAATATCCGAATCTGTCAGGTAGAACACTTCTCTAGCTTCCGGCGTGATCAACTGAAATATTTGGGTCAAAAAATGAGTTATGACGTTGCAAATCAGTATTTTAGATTAAAAATTTTGAATTACTTTTTTTAGAAACAAAGTTGTTCCCCAAAAAAAAAAACAAACCCCCCAAAATGCGGGATCAATTTTGTCCCATTCCTCCTTATTATTCGGAAATTGTTTGCACAATGGATTTCGAACCGAACGCAATATATTACAAGCTTTGATACAATCTTTTGTCACACAACACCTCTTTTCAACAACCCATTCAATAACATTCGGATCAATATGTCTCTCTCGAAGTCGTTGTCGAACATCTGAAGGTCGAATATAGTCCAACTCCTCACACGATTTTCCCGTTGATGAATCGTAATGCTGACACATTTTTTCAAACACTTCAAAATCGTCGGTAAATGGGCTGACTTTTGAACTTGTTTCAGAAAGTGGTTCTGGCGGTCTTTCGGAAGTGATAGTTTCTCTTGGAGTTGGTCGATAATCACTTTTTTCACTAACATACATATCGTATAAATTCTCATCTCTTTCTGAAAATATCACATTTTTGATTCAAAAAAGAGAGAAAAGCAATAAATTACAAAGTTTGTCCCTTTAAAAGTTATTCAAACCTCCTTCTCGTTTCCCAAACACAATTGCAACATCTTGAAGTGTTCTCTGAGCCCAAGAGTATTGTTCAAATCGATTTGATATCAAAATTCGAATGATTTCCATCAATCGATCATCAATAGTTCCATTTCGAATTTTTTCAATTGTTGTTTTCTTGAACATTTTGTTGAAATCAACATTGAGATATCTCAACAAATCATAATTATACGGAAAATTCACAGCGTACACATTATCGGTCAAACGTGGCGAGCACAAATTGAGACATTCCAGTGTGAAACAGCATTTATTTTCCACAATTTTCACTTTTTTGAAATGATCAACTCGTTTTACATGCATAATTCTTGAATATGTCATATTCATCTCCTTGTAAAATGCAACAATCTCATCCTCTTTTGCCGCATATTCACACGGTTTTTTATATTTACACAACAAATTCATAACCGATGCATCATCCAAAAATGGATTCAACACATTTTTCGAAATCGTACCGTTTCCCCAATATTCATCTTCCAAATTTTTGAAATGATATTGTTGTTCAGTGATGAGATTAGCAACAGCGCTTAAGAAATCGGTGAAATACATATTGCGTTCAGCGATTGCTCGCATTCCAAGATTTGTGAACATTTCAAAGAAATCCGGATTGATTTTATTCAAATATTCCCAATTTTCCGGAAACTTCGAGGCGATTTTGGTTCTTGGAACATCTGTGCTCCAATTCAAAACACACTTGTTTTTCTGGAATAAATTCTTTGTCTCGAATACTTTTTGAAAAAAACCCACTTTTTTGACAAGTCTCTCAAAATTGGTAGTGCGATTTCGGTATTCCAAAAAGTACAAATCCATCCATAAATACGATCGATTGATATCTTCCAAACTTTCAAGATTTTTCTCCCTTCTCAAAATTGCATCCATCTCCTCATCTTTATCCAAAAATCCGCAACCCATTTTAACAAAAGCCATCTCATTCAATATCAAATGATATCTCAAGCTACTTAACATCGGCAAATCGGGTGATTCTTTTCCTGAAAAAAGAACTATTTTTATTTATGAGGTTCTGGAAATAAACATACTTTTGAATAAAGTGATTTGTTGAAGCTGTTTTCTGAAATGTTGTCGTCGAGTTTCACTGTAATTTCCAACAATCATGTAGAGCATTTTGGAAATATTTAAGTTCTTTTTGCTCGATTCGCCACTCATTATTCTAATCAATTTTTTGATATCGAACAAGTTCAGAAACTTAGGTTCGAATTCGGAAATTGATTTGATTCCCGATGGAAAATGATAAGAATCTTCGAATTTGCGGTCAGGAAAACATTCTTGATAACATTCGATGTCCGCGCAGCAGAATTTTCCCTGAAAATTTTAGATATTTCTGACAACGCAAAGCGAGAAAACAGATTTGTATCACAAATCTGGAGCGAAAGCTCAAAAGATTCATATGTTCAAATCATCTTGAAACCAACCTCCAGCAAATCAGTAAAATTTCCATCAACATCCATAAAATAATCGGACATGAAATGATCAACGCTCAAAAGTCTTTTCGAACATCCCGCATCAAATTGGCATGTTAATTCCAAAACCGCCGTGTTATTCGCAAACGGTGTATCCACTTCGATGCATACGATTTCCTTTGTAAGGACACATAAAAAACCGAAAAATTGCGATAACATGTGAACTGATTTGTATCATTTTCGCAAATAGTTTTCGAACGGCAATCAGATACGGTTTTAGCGCGCGCGCTCGAGGTGAAGATCGAACACATTTTTGTTTGTGTCTCGCGTCTCTCGTTTTCGCACGCTATTTTTAAAGGCGCAACGATTTATTTGTTGCTTTTGTCTTGAAGCGATTTATCTTTTTTGAAAGCGCTCTTTTTGATTTTTTGAACCTATAGAAAATTTCTGCAGAAAACGTCTTTCTGGATCAAAAAAATAGAGAAATGAATTCAAATTTCGACTTCACGTGATCACGTCATTTTTCAATAAAAAATGAATAAATAAAAATTATTTATTGAACAAGTATTATCATGAAAAAACCCGAAAAATACATAATCACAGAAATCCCATCAAAAAATCCAAAATCTTATCAAAACCCTCTTTTGTAAAATATAATAAACCACTGCGAAATACAATAAAACAGCAAGTATCAATAGAATTTTTTCGGTGAATTCGCGTTGCTCATATTTCGACAAAAGTTTGCTGCCAGTCTGGAAAAATTAATTTTTATTGACTGAACCATGATAGATCATTTTTAGGCTCAAAAATAATCATTTTAATTTCATTTTCAAAAATTCCTAATAACCAAGTTTAGTCTGAGTTGCGTGACTCACGATTTTTTTCAAAAAAAAAAATTATTTTTCACAAAAATATATGATTCATTCAACATTTTATGAGATTTTGAGGCGGGGCTCAAAATCAAAACATTTTTTGTAATCTTACACAGTTTTATCAACATTTCCCATTTTTCGTTGAAAAATCACCATGTTATATTATTTTTCTCTTCAACACGAAGCTGAAGGATTTCTAAAATCGCTTTATAAACATTACAGTCTTCGAGACCCAAATATTCTTCACAAAGATTATCAGGGTTTCAAGAATGGACAATTATTTCAAACATATGGTTAGTTATAAATTTTCAAGTTTTTTTGAAAAATTTATTTTTAAAAATTTCAGACGGTGCTGCTTATTGGTTGCAAAATTTTAATGAAAGCACAATCGCCGAATATGCGCAAACTTTCGAAATTCTCTCAAATTATTCGATTTTTGATTGGCAAAAAGAATGGGATAATGGGGCAATTCGGGTGACTGATGATGGGTTTCTTGAAATTACAATTCTCAAGAATTATATGGCGAATTATGTTTATATTTTGAAAACAGATGAGAATATTGAGGGAGGTTATAAATTGATTAAATCTTTTTTTTATTAATTTCTGGTTTGGTACTTGAATAAATGAATGTATTTTATTAGATCATATTATCTTAAACTGCTTAGCTAAACTCTGAATATGAATTATGAAGTAGCCAAAATGATAACTTTAAATTGTTTTCAACTTCAAATTACCTGAATATGTCCAGATTGATTTTCAAATTCGGCATGAGTTTGTCCCAAAACAGTTGAAGAATGCACCAAAGAACCCATCGCATGTTCACCTTGTTCAACTTGTTGTGACATTCTCGAAACCAAATCTTGAAGCCGATTTGATCTCTCCTGATGACTTCCAATCTTTTTATTCGAATTCCCACCATTTTCTCCACTTTTTCTATGAAGTAACAACTTTCTTTCCTCATCATTTATCTCTTTTCGAACATTTCCGGAACAATCTCTCAAATTCATTTGCAATTGATTTAGTTGTTTTTCATGACTTTGAATATTTACTTCGTTTTTTTGTTTTTCTTGACGGGATGCCATCTAAAATTGGGATTGATTTTTGAGAATTAAGGAATAAAGCTTACAATTTGCCCAAGTTTTTTCAAGCTTCCAATCTTGATTTGCATTGATCTCAAAAGATTTTGCACATCTTTCACATCACTGACCAATTGTTTTGATTCAGTGGCTCCATTTCTGAAAAATAGTTCAAATTTTCAGATGATTTTCAAATCGATTTGTATTTTACACCGAGTCATTTTTGAGCAAAAAAATTGAAATTTGTTTATCAAACTCATTATATATCTTGTAATTAACATAGTTTGAGTATAATTATCACAAAAAACTAGAGATTCTATAGATCATTTCGAAAAATTGGGTGATGACCTCATCCAGTGCAATATTCAAATCGATTTGTATTTTACACCGTGAATTTCTTTCAAAAAATCAATAATTTTAGTAAAGTTTATCGATTTTTTTTAGCACCAAAACTTAGCTCGCAAGAATTTCTCTTATTCTTCCCTGTCCCAAAAAAATCCTCACATTCTAATCATATCAATTCTCTCTTTGCTCATTTCATAAATCCTATTCAATTCTTGATGTGTTCGATGAGCTTCTTCCACATTTCGATCAGAATTCATCATGAATCCTATTTAAAAAAAATTAATTTCTGGAAAGCATTTTTCATTATAAAAATTTGAATATGGGATTTTAACCTCTAATTTTTTTCTCAATTATCTTTCAGATTAAATTTTTATGAGCAAGGTGATTAAAGCATTCCAAACAAGAAACAAAAACTAACAAGAATCTAAACTGGACTAAATATAATTTCACGAATTTTTAGAGAAAAGTTTCATCTTAAATATTGAATCCAGCATCTCTCATACATTGTTTGTGAGCTTCGATGAGTTTTCCACAATTTTCTTCGCCGTTTTCAATGATGCAAGCGTCACGAGCCTGGAATATTTCAGATTTTATCAGCTGCTCAAAATTTCAATGACAAACTCTTTTGGTTTCGGGACAAGCACAGCATGGCTTCAATTTCTTTTCGCCTTGATCACCATTTTTTACAGTAATATCACAACCTTGTGGAGCTGGCATTTTCTGGAAACTAGCTGATTTTTTAAAAGAACATTTATGATGAAAAATATCTTTTGATTCTCTGATCACGACCCCGATTTCAAAAACTACGTATGTCAACAGCAGATTTTGAAAATGGGATCGTGATGCGCGGTTCGAAATCAACATTTTTTATTTTCAGGTGTTTTGAAAAATATTTCAACGTCTTCTGACAAAAACGTATTTTTCAAACTCTAAACAAAAAATAGCATTTCAAAATTCATGATTGATGAAATAAATAAATAAAAGTTTGTGAAGCATCAAAACCCTCGGAAACTGGACTGGAAAAATCCGTGAAAAATGAAATAATTTAGGAAACAAAACACACACAAATAGAAATCGGTTCAATATTTCAGCAATCAGTAAATAGATTTTACCAGTAGGGGGGATAATCAAGGATAAGAAGATAAAAGTAGAGAAATGATGAAAAGGATTGTTTGATGGAATCAAAGGGGGGCTGGACTTATTTTTTCTGCTAAAATATCGATTTTTTCAAGAGAAGATGTAGACTGTGGCCTTGTTGAGATCCCAATTATTGCAGCTTAACACACTGATTGCTTCTTCCTGAAAAATTATGAATTATGCTGGAAATTTGAGTTTAAATTTGAAACGAGTTACGACGTGGCAAATTAAACTAAACTCAAAAAATACTTACTTCCCGAACTCCCATATCTCTCAATTTTTCTACTCTACTCTTATAATCCTCATTTTCTCCGCTCTTTCCACGCGCAAATCGAACAGTCCAGAATTCGGCAGTCGACTGAAAAAAACACACATTTCTTTTCAAAAAATCCTTCAAGTTTCTTCTTACCTTGAAAAGTGCCGGATTCTCCATATATTGTTTAGCAACAACAGCATCTTGTGGATCTTTTGGTTCCGGAGAGCACATCAACGCCTGAATCGACAAAAGAACAGTTCGAAGTGTGAGAGAAGCCGCCCATTGATCCTTCAAAATATCGAGGCAAATCACACCGGTTTGAGAGCTCACATTTGGATGCCAAATTTTGGTAACGAACTTGATCTGTAATTTTTTCAATGATGCAAAATCTATCGATTTTTTAAACTTAATTTCAAAAATATCTACCTTTGGAGGAGAGAATGGATACGAATCAGGAATTTTGATTTCTAAATCAAAAAGTCCGCCAGCATATGGAGTATCTGGTGGTCCACGAATTTGTCCTTTGATATCAGTCAATGATTCGTTCAAAATTTCGATCATAATTCCAGTTTGCGCAATTTCGGTGTTTGTCACAACTTCTTTGCATTCTCTTTGAAGACGAGTAAATGCAATATTCGACATTTCGAGCTGGAAAAATTAATATATTTGGATGAAGGTGTTGGTCAATAGAGAAAGGATTAAAAGAGCAGATGTGTGTGTGGCAAAGCTACTTTAATTAGCACATAGAAGAAACCTGTGCACCCTGAAAAGAAAGCGGTGTTACTAAATATAGGGTAAGCTGAAATAGTGCTCGAAGTGTTGCATAGAAACGTTATAATTTCGAAATCAATAAAGACTATGCTTTTGAAATAGTGAAGTTGCCATGTATTTCATAATTACTGATGATATTAAAGGGAACAAAGAGTTTCGCAAACAAAGTTCAATCATTTGAACCAATAAATATTACATACTTTCAAAACTAGAACAAAAAAACGAATAGAACTTCTGGAAGGCGAGCGTCACTAAAAAAAGGGAGAGACAAGAAAAGGCAGCATACGCGACTAAATAGAGAGCAGGTGTCAACTGCGGACTTTCGTTTGATAATGACACTTTTGTTGTCTCGATCGACCCCTTTTTATCACGTGGCCTAATCGGTATTATTTGTCCGATTTTTTTTCGCATTTCTCGATTTATAATTTTTTACGCTATAAGTTTTAACATAGTTAGATATAATTTCTCTCTGAATCACTAGAATTAGTTATGCCATAACAAAAGAACTGTTCAAACATAAGAATCATTTTTTAAAACAAATTTGAAAAAAAAGTATTTTTCTTCAAATTTCCCTAGTTTTCACTCTGAAAATTCCCACCAAATCAAACCCAGAATGTTTCTATAATTGTATAGTAGGTGTTGATACCACTTAGAACCCAGAAACTAATTAAAGCAAAAATAAAGCGCTGAAAACGCTGAAATTTCGGAGCGACGCAAAAAAAGAAAGTGAAAAAAAACTTTGAAAGCGTTGTGTGCAAACACCAAGCACACACAAAACACCATACCTGACGCGCGCGTATTTTTATTTTTTCGCGAAAAATGATTTATTTTCCCAGGAGTCTGTAGAAAATGTCACGCCGTGCAGCCGCCTCATCAATGACAAAAGAAGAGCGAATGGATATGATGTCACCCGAAGGCTCATCTGGTTCACCTTCAGCTCCATCTACACCAGCAAATTCCACAGGTTTTCCACCGGATCGCAAAAAAGCAACACATTTGCGATGTGAACGGCAAAGAAGAGAAGCGATTAATGTAAGTTCTTTTTGAACAAAAAATATTTATAATCATGTTATATTTTTCAGAGTGGCTATAGTGAATTGAAAGATCTGATCCCTCAAACCACAACATCTCTCGGATGCAAAACAACAAATGCAGCGATTTTATTCAGAGCGTGTGATTTTATGAATCAACTAAAACAGGAGATCGATGCAGATGATGCTGAATTGAAAAAATTGAGTTCACAAGCACAAGCATTGGAATTAATAGTTACTGAGTATGAGCAAATGGCTTCAGCTGTTCCAGTCGCTGGTTCGTCAACTCTTCAAGCTAAAATGGTAAGTATTTTTGAAACTTGAAAGCAGTTGGACAAATTGTAGTAAAAATGTTGAATATCCGAACAAAATATTTCTTCTAGCTTCAAGTATTAATGGATGATTGTTTCAAAACATTTACTGAACAAGTTGATTTCACAACATACGCTTCAATAACTCGAACATTTCTTGGATGGGTTGAAAGTCTTTCAATTCATAATGAGCCATTCAAAACGACATCTACAACAATGATAACAACTCCTTTCACTTCGCCTTAAATCTTGAAAAATATATTATGTACAAAGAACGATAAAAATGTTTATGTGATTTTCAAATCATGGAATCCTGGTATCCAATAAAATATTGAATAGAATTTCGGAAACAATTCATCATTATTCCAATTCTCAACCATTTTTGAAGCATTGATGATGATTGGAATCTACAAAAATGTGTTGTACAAACAATTAGAGACCTTTCTTGAGACCCACGTATTTTGGGATTGGATGGGCATCTAACCAGACTTCCTCATTGAAAACACAAAATATTGGGCGACTTAGAAGGTCTCGAAGATTTTTCGGATTTTTGTAAAGGTTCTCAACTTGTCGCAGGGAATCTTTGATTGTTGGCGGATTTGTTGAACTTCTGAATTGCTGTTCGCATTTCATAAATTTCGCATCTTGAACTGATTCATTCAAAGTTTTATCGATTATTGGGCAAGGTTCTTTTGATGAATGATGATGTGATAATGTGTCATATTCAATAGTTGTGCAATAATCTGGATCTCCTTGTAGATAACTTCCAATCGCGAATGGTGAAATTGCAACTGGAATTTTTCATATTTCAGAATACTTTCAGAATTTTTAGAAGCTTGGAAAATTTTTTAAAAGCTTGGGAAATTTATTCTGTAATTCTCATAAGTTGCCACGTCATAACAGATTTTTTAAAATTCAAAAAACCAACCCAAATTTGCTCTAAATTTCTTGAGTTCCGAAATCAAATCCTCACTCGAAACAGTCACAACATATCGATTAGACCACCAAAAAGAATTCAAAGGGCCATAGGTTAAAAATAGAAAATCCAAAAATGATTGAAGATTTGGAAATCTGAAAAAAGGCTCGTTATTTTTAGCTTGAAATCCTTCCCAGATTTCAAACATACTTGCGAATCTCCTTGAAATGTCCTTCGAAATTCCGATCAGTTTTAGTTCCGGGTTTCAAAATCAAATCTGGAATCTCTTCGGCGGTATTTACATTGAGTTTCAGTCCAGGAATTGTTGTATAATCAAACGGTTTTGGCTGAAATTTTTTTGTTAAATTTAAATTCTAATTTTTGAAATCAATATTACTTTTGGAATCCGATTCCAGATCGCTAAAAATACAAAAAATCCAGCGAAATTTAATATAAAATATAGAAGTATTTGGAGCATTTGATTACTTTTTAGAAAATAGCAGCAGAAAGTTAACAATTGTTATCACTTTTCTGATAAGATGAGTATAATTATAGAGTTCATATGATAATAAACGCTTTTTATAGAAGGGACCGGAGCTGAAAAAAACTCACAAGGAAAATGTTTTGAAAAAAAAAATCGAACTGTTTTTTTGAACAGGATAAAGGTTACTGTAGGTTTCTGAAATTCAGACCAACTTATAAGGCTCCCATAAAATCAACGAAAAATCAGCCAGGAAAACATCCGCACCTCTTTTTTCCATCCAAAAAAATTATATCCTCGAAATCGCCGTCTTTGTGGTTCTGCCACTAATCTCATAAGTCGAATCCGAATTCTTGCTCAACATTTCTGAAAAGTTAACTTTTCTAGTTACTTTTCTCTGAAAATTCCAACAAACTTCTAAAACATTCTCGATATTCGGTAACAACAGTCATCAGAATCACACTATCCAAAGATGGAAAAATGGTGAAAGGCGAAACGAATATTCCGGTTGGAAATGAGATTTTTGTGAAAATATATGGGCCAACTAGAATTGGAATAATTGGAACACAGCAAAGGAGGGATGGGGATAAAACCTGAAATTAATTTTTTGATTAGAAAATGAACGGAAAATTAATTTGTACCTAATTAAACAATTTTCTCACCTGAATAACGAGAGCTTTGAAAAGTTGTTTCTGCAAACTTCGATCAGATGTTGAAATCGTGCTAATTTGTGTTTTCAATTTCAGATGCATTTGTGTTCCAGCATAAATCATAATCATATATTGAATTGAAATTAATATAATTAATGTTGACATACATGCTTCACCTCTTTCTCTCAAAGTACTTTCCTCGTGGTCTTCCTGAAATAAAAATTTCAAAACGACTAATCTTTAATCCCTCTCTTCTCAAAACTTACCACAGCCACAACAACAAAACCCGCAATACTTTCCACAGTCAAATTATAATTTCTCATGACTTCGGCTCTCAAATATCTTCGAGATTCATCATCAAATGGTCCCAAAATATAAATTGAGGAAGAATAAATTGTGCCAATTAGAAATATATATGCTTGACTATATAGAATTTTCCAGCCATCAAAATATTTGACACTTCGAGATCTGAGCATTTTTGAAGAGGATTATGACGTGGCACTTGGGAAATTAATTTTTTTTTGAAATTTTCTTGACGTGGATTTTCTGCGTCACATTTCCCCGAATTTTATTTCGAAACATTCTCAGACATTGACTACAAAGAATCTAATTAATTTTGTGATTCGTGATTATTTTTTATGATCTCAAAACCATTTTTTTTACATAAACACTACATTAACATTGTGACGTCTCGGGAAAAGAACCGCAATTGTGGCAGCATTTGTCGCAGCATTAACAACGTGTATTTCAAGTTCCCTAATTTTTTTTTCAAATAAAAGTTCAATACGTCCAAAAATCCATTTTTTGCACAGCGAAAAAAACGTCATTTTAATTATCTCATTTTCTCATTAAATTTGGGACAAAAAATCATCACGAGATTTTTCGAACGAAATTTAATCAAGTTAAAGCTACAGTAATCCTAGGTAAATATTGGGGCGAAAAAAACACATGCAATAAGCTTTTCAACATCTAAAAGTCTTCCAAAATTACCCAGTCATAATCCAATATCGATACAAAAACTGAACAGCCATAAATGATATAACAGAAGAATAACAAACACAATAAACTAACAACAATAATTCGGAAATATATTTGGAAGTCCATGTGGATAAAGTGAAATAAATAAAACTTTGATTGTAAGAATGAAAAAATGGATGACAAGAAATATCAGAAAGTTGAAAACAAATTCCGAGAAATGAGGCTATTATAATACATGTTTTATAAGCTCCAACAATTCGTTTGATTTTATAAATTGTCATATAAATTAGAACTAGATTTGTGAATAAAGTTATGAAAAATACATGGAATGAAATATCAGCGGATATATTGTAGTAATCTGTTGGAGTTAGCATATCTTTGGGGTAAATTATGAAAATAAAAAATCAGAAAAATATTTAATTAGGAAATATTTTGGCGGGCAATGACGAAAAACAGAAAATTGGATTTTTCGGTGAATATTATTAAATTTGATTGAGCTTAGAACACGGGCACTTTTTTATTGAAAATAATGTTTTCCGAAAAACACGTGGGATTTTTGATAAATAGATTTTATTTTGATTTCTGAATTTATCTAAATCGTAGGTACAAATTTATTGTTTATCAAAAGTTATTCCAAGAAATAATTAGATTTGAGAATTGCAGAAGACAGAAGATGATATTTTGAAACTGGGAAAGCTTTCACTTGAAAATGCATAATTTTTGAATTTTCAGACAAAAAGTTTAAAATTTGAGAGAAAGTTTTTTTGAAATTTGAATCATGGTTAAAATTTATTTTGCATCGAAATATTTCCAAGAAATAATTAAATTTGCAGAAAAATATTAATTTTAATTGGGAAAGTTTTGCGTACTTTTTGAATTTTTCATAATAATTTTTACACTTGAAAATTACAGCTTGAAGAAATTTGAATATATTAATATAAATTTTGATTTAAAAATCAGAGTTTACAGGCATTTGGACCTTTCAGCACAAATCTACCCTGGATTAATTTTTAGAGAGTTTCTCCTCAATGAATCCAGGGTGTCTTGTTTTACAGAGTGAATAATAATGTACCTCGAATTCTTGGCGTCATTTATTTCTCATATGACCTAAAACACTTTGACTCACCGCATTACGAATCCCGCCAATTCCTTTTTCCCTCCCAGAAGCCAAACCAAAAAATTGTGCCCTTCTCTCTCGAAACTGTTTTTTTCTCTGACTTCTCTATTAGTCAAAAACTATCCTATTCTACGCTATTCGAAAAAATGTACCCTCAATTTTTTTGTCTTCCTTCCCCTTTCCTTCCCCTTTTCTTATATAATATAAAAAAAAATCATTTATTCGACACATTTTTTGGCGCCCTTTTTAATTTACGACCGTTTGCTCCCTTTTTTCTGATCATTTTTTCGGAACTTTCGTAAAATAAGCTCGGAATGGCCTGAGAATATGAATGTTTTTTTTTTATTTCCAGGGTGAAATGGGTGAGCCAACGATTCGAGATTTGAAAAAGATGTTTCGAGAAATTGCCGGAGAAAAAAAGAAGAAACAAATTGAAAACGAGAAAAAGAAACAACAACTCGAAGTTTTACAGAAGATTGAAGAGCTGAAAAGAGCTTTTGAAAGAAATTTTTGGAAAATTTACTATTATCGCATTCATTCTATTTGTCATCTTCAACAGGTTAGTTTGGAATATGAGTTGCTCAATATATGTTTTTTGAGAAAATTTGAATTACACAGAAATTTTAAAGCCAGATTTCTTGAAAAATAAAATCCCGGCACTCATGAAAAAATGTTTCAACTCGATTTTCAACCAAAAACAGGAAATTTGAAAATTTTGTAGCTGGGACCATCGAGAATTTATCAAGATTCGATATTCCACCAAAAATGTTTTTATCTAATATTTTGGCTGAAAAATCAGAATAAATTTCAAAAACTCACATCACAACATTTTTCCACAAAAAAACGAGTTCATTCATTTTTAAGAATCAAATCAATATCTTGAATAGTTTTCTGAGTTCTAGTTTTTAATTCAAGATCCGTCATATTTTGTAGAGAAAATTGGAAGATCATCGAGTAAATAAACACAAATTGCAAGTAATTCGAAATCGCTCCAGGTCTTTGCTTGCGAATTGCACGGCATATTTTTTTGAGCTGTAACAAATATTTTAGGGTAACATGTTTAATTTTCAAAGAAAAATTGTAGAACTCACATTAAAATTTGTACCATTTTTAGTCAAATAACATCCATAAGAAATAGCCAAAAAAGTAGCAGCTCTGCCAGTTCCTCTTCTCGAAACAATCGCAATATTATTTTGTTGCAAATCATCCACAACATTTGTCAGAACTGTAACAAGTTTCTTTGTGTTTTTAGCGACACCATTTTCAGGCCAATCATTCAAAAATTGAATTTTGGTCCGGAATGGGCTATCCGATTTATAAATATCGAAACAATGCAAATCTTCAGAAAAATCTTCAATTTTTCGAACTTGAAGATTGCCAAATTTCACAGAATCTGCGCCAGAATTTGAAATTGGAAAAATTCCCGAAATCTTTTCATCAGCACTGCACAAAACATAGACAGTTTTCAAATTCTCTTGATAAATCATAGACCAAAAAGCTGCGATTTTCTTGGATTCTTCAATTGGAATTTGTGAGAGAATAAATTTGCGAGGAATTTCTTTAGTTTCAAAATAACTTGCATGAACATATCCATCATTTATCTTAACTCGATTAATATCCAAACATTCCTTATCTTTTTCCTGATTCCAATTCTTATTTTCATTATAAGCTTGACAATCACTCGCTTTTATCTCAATTTTAGTATCAATTCTTTTCCATTGTTCTTTCATTACTTCACTATGTTCCAATCCAAGTTTATACAATAAATTAAGAATTGGTGCATGAGTTGGATTGATATTAATTGCGGCAACAGCTGGAACTACATTTATGTTTGTTGGACACGGTGATACATTCATATTCTCATCTTCAAAATCATTTTCAGTTGGTGGTTGCATTTGTGTATAAGTTGAGAGAACTGTATAAGTTGAAGCTCCTTTTGTTTTCTCCTCTTTTGCGTTTGGTCTTTTAGCTGCAGCTGTCTGCAAAAAATACTAGTTAATCTCTATTTTTAGACTGTGATCCCTAATTTATTCTTGAATAGTTTCTATTTGATTCCATTGATCAAAAAAGAAAATGTTTTTCTCGTCCCTAATTTTTTAGCCTATATCTAAATTCTTTTTTTCTGGCTCAAAATCCATCGTGAAGTTGTCTTTCAACAATTCTCACCTTTCTAACAGTCTTCTTCTTTGTTTCTTTATCTAATTCTTTAACAGTTCGAATATTCAATTTCTTCATTCTTTTATCATCTTCACTCGATTCTTGCGAATTTCTGAAAAGCGACAAAATTTTCAGTTTTTTCGGTTGTTGTTTTCTTTCATCTTCCGAATTCGATTCATATTTTCTGGCTTCTTCCGATGATTTTCCTACGCCTTTGACAATCGTTCGACTTTTATTCTCCTTTTTGTTCATAATTCGAATACGTTTATTACGGAAGTTTTTGTTTTATTGAAATACCCAACATTTTATCTTTTTTTTTCTCGAACTAGTTTTTTTCGTCGTGGATTAGTTGGAAGAAGTTCACGTTTTTATTTTTTTTAGGTTGAATTTTTTTTAATTTTTTTAAAAGCAGTAGGTCTAAAAACCCGCAACTTAAAAAGGGTTAACTGTAGAAATCTGAAATATTTATGTTTGTATTATTTTTAGATCAAATACATATTTTCCGAAATTTTATTTTGAGAAAATCTAAGACCTTCATAAATTCGTGTTCAGTCCTAAAATCAATCATAAGCCATGAGAATTTTCAAACAACTGTTGGTTTTTTCAACTTTGTTTTTCCCATTTTGTATTTCAAAACATGCAAGATTAGAAGTTCACGAAGTGACAGAAATCAACAAAGCTTTGGATAATATTTGGAAAATTCGAAAACTTTTTGATAATAATTTCATATTTGCAACTTGTAATGGGAATCTTTACAGATTGACTGACTTTTTCTTTGATTTTATTCCAAAACATAATTTCAATATTAGCATGAGAAAACCGGAATTTTATGATGAAACTGAGGGAATCACATCAATATTTTATCACGATGAAAAAATGAATCATCCTGAATTTATGGCAAAAGTTGATTTTGGAAAAATTCGAATTTTGAGTGGGAGAGAAACTACGTGTTTGGTCAAATAATTTAAATGTTTTTATTTTCGTGAAAAAAATTAATAAATGGCTTTGTTGGGCTGGAACAAAACTGATTTATAAATAGAATAGGGGCGAGATTCTCAGACATAGGATAAATATTTTAAAGTGGGGTTTTCTTGATTCAGAATAAATTTGAATATTTTTAAATTGAAATTTCTTCATTTCAAAATCCTTTTTTCCAGTTTCTACATTATCAACGTCAAGAAAATGCCCGCCTGGAGCTTCAAAAGAATTCGATTTTCAATTCTCCAAGCCTCGCCGCCGACAGTCATCAAGAAGACGGGTTTTCCGCAAAATTGGAATAATTTTCTTTTTTGAGCATTCAAATTCAGTAGTAATTTATTAGAAATCAATTTTTATTCATTTTAATAAAATAAAAAAAAACTTTTCACAAAATAACTTAGTAAAGAATTTGCAAATTGTGAGAAGCGCAAAAATCAAAAACAAAACAAATCATCGAGATACATTGGAAAAGAACTTTGGAAATCAATAAGAAACCGGAGAAAAGACAGAGAAAATTGGGGGATTTTTTTGGAAAAACAAGAAAAGTTAAAATTATTTAAAGATTAAAATAGGGGGAAGAAAGGAAGGGAAACGGGGACCCGAATATACATGAAACCCGACTCAAATCGGAGAGTGAGGATTTAAGAAAAATAGAAAAAAAAAGAGAGAGAGAGAGAGACAGGGAATGATTATTCACTACAGCTTCGACTAAAACAAAAAACATAAACAACTTTCTATCGTCCATTTTGTTGAGCCGCGCTAAATTGCGGCAATTTTGCTTGTTGTTGTACAGCGGCAAGCATATTTTGCGAAAGACCCATTTGTTGCATAAATTGGGCAGCTTGTTGTGCATTTTGTGGTGCGGCTGATACAGCTGGTTGTCCTGCTTGACCAATTGATAAACCGGCTGGGATTCCGGGAATTCCTTGAATTCGTGCAGCATGGGCTTGTTGAGCCTGTTGAGCTTGTTGTTGGAGAGCCAAGATTGCTTCGATATTGGCTTGTCGACCAGCTTGTTGCTGTTGCGGTTGTTGTTGTTGTGGTTGCTGTTGAGTTTGCTAGAAAAAAAAGAATTATTTTTTGTTTGTGAGAAAAACTCTGTTTTCACTGAAAAGTCGAAAAAAATTGACAAACTCTGAATTTCAATTTTTTTGAGTTTTCAGATCGAATTAGCTCGCTTCAAAATCAGATTAATTCATCTTTTTAAAATTTTAATCCAGTTTGCAACCATCCCCCAAAATCCCTGAAAAATAAATGCTCACCTGTTGCGATTGTTGCAATAATCTCAAAATATCAGCCGACGCACCATTTCCATTATTATTCACCGAAAGCAACAATTGCTGCAATTGTTGCGCTTGAGCCTGAGCTTGCGCTTGAGCCGCAGCAGCTGCCGCTTGTTGTTGCTCGAGTTGCTGACGCAATAAATCGAATTGCGATGGTTGTTGAGCTTGCGAAGATTGTGGTTGCTGCGATTGTTGTTGAAGTTGCTGCAAAAGTTGTTGAGCAATTGCAGCCCGTTGATCACCTCCAGCAGCGGCTTGCATGAACAAAAGTTGCTGAATATTTGGTTGCGACTGTTGCTGTTGTTGCTGATGTCCAACTGCGGCGGCAACTTGTTGGAATAGTTGCATCTGTTGCTGCTGTTGAGCTTGAGCTTGAGCCTGAGCCTGTGCTTGAGCTTGTTGCTGCTGCTGTTGAGCCTGAGCTTGTTGCTGTTGTTGTGCAGCAGCTGCAGCCGCAGCCAATTCTCTTTGTTGTTGCTCTCTTTGCTGCGCAGCCTGTTGTTGCTGTTGCTGTTGAATCAAAAGCTGAAACAATGCTTGCTGCTGTTGCTGTTGTTGGAATGCAGCATGCGCAGCAGCGTCGCTGATTCCATTCGTCAGTGATCCACCAGATGTTGCAGTCGTCGCCGGTTGTGCCAATCCCATCGCAGATATCGCTGCTGCTGCAGCTGCCGCAGCGGCTGCAGAAGGTTGCTGCAATTGTTGCGGTGTGCCCAATTGTTGTCTTGCTTGTTGCTGTTGAGAAGGTGGCCGAATTGCCGGATTCGCCGGTTTCGGAGTTGCCCTGCAATTTGCATTCTTCATCATCGGGCTGGAACGGGTTGCGATAATTTTCAGGGGACTCAAAAAATGTGTATTTTTGTGTGTTTTGTTAGTGGGGTTATCGATAATTGTTTTTTCTTTTTGAAAATAAAAAACTCACGCAACACGTCTCGCAGCTTCTTGAATAGTGGCAGCCATCAATTGCGGATTTCCCGAATAATTTTGTGGTCCTCCACTGAGAGCCGGTGGTGGGAATGTGGCAAATTGTGATTGAGCATTCGAATGACTAGTTGATGGTGCACATTGTGCAGCAAGTCTTGCCTGTTGTTGAATATGCGCTTGAGCTTGAGCTTGTGCTGCAGCCACCGCCAAATCAGCTCCAACCGATGGGATAGCTTGTTGTGGTTGCGCAGGTCTTTGTTGCGGTGCAACTTGTTGTGCTTGTGGTTGCACTTGCACATCACTTTTAACCGATGTCGAACCTCCTTCAGTTGGCAATTGACTTTTTTGAATATTTTGAATATCATTGGCAATCTTCACATGCATCATACACCATTTTCCAGGTTTCTTTGAAATTGGCGGAACTTGCGCTAAAAGTGCAGCTCCGGCGAGTTGTGATCCAAGTGCTGCATTTGCCGGGAATTGCAGACCATTGAGAGCAAGTGAACTGGCAGCTGCAGCCGCAGCCATTTGTTGCTGCATAGTTACTGCAGATGCATTGCTACTGCTAACAGTTGTTGTTGCATTTGGTCCTTTATTTCCAGCGGTTACTGTAGTTGGAGCATTCGAACTAACTTGACCAGGTACAGTAACTCCATGATGTTCAAGTTGCTGGAAAAAAATAAACTATTTTATTTGTTTACAAGAGAAAGAGAGAACTAATCGCCTCGTGGCTTTAATATTCGTGTGAAATTCTGTATGACAATCATGTTTGTCCCTAACAAAACTAGAAAAATTCGAAAAATCGATAACAATTTGTACATTTAATTTCCGGTCGCCCGCTAAACGCACTTCCTTTCTCCCCTCTTTTTGTTGTTGGATTTGCTCCAAATTCAATTTGGGCAAAACCAGAAAAAACGAAAGAGGAAAAAAGAGAAAATGGTTCTCTGCTCTGATCCGGCAAAAAAAAAACGAGAAGCCATTAAAATTTCATGAGTTGGTGCTTGTCTATAATGAAATTTTGGAAAGAAAACTGGAAGAAGGCATTTTCAAAATTTCAACAAACAAACTGGCTTTTCGAGCCGATTCAGAATTTCAAAAAAATCAGACCGGGTCCAATTCAGAAAGCCTTAAAAATTGAATTCTTTCGATTCAAATGTTCCTTTTAAAAAATATGAGAAACTCACTTTTTGAATAGAATAAAATGGAATAGTTCCACCTCCACCAGCCGCCAAAAATGGTGCACCATTTTGCAAAGTTGGCAATAGTTTCAATTGTTCAGCAGTCACTGCAGAAATATCACTGTTCGCCGAAGTTGCTAGCAACGGATTAACTGGCAATGAATTCGTGGAATTTGTAGATGTTGTTGATGAGGAAGATGTATTGACATAAAGTGATTGAGTTGATGATGATTGTGGTGTTGATTTTGAATCATTCGGATGTGTTCCTGTTCCATTTGTCGAAATTCCAATAACATCTTGTGGTTTTGCAATTCCAATCAAACTGCTTCGATAAATATCATCCCCAATTTTCGGTATTTTAGCTTGTTGTCCAGCTCCTGGTGGTGTTTCACTATTTCCTCTTTTTGGCGCTGAACCAGCTGATAATGCTGCCTGATTGCTGATTCCAATCACTGATTGTTGAGTGGCAGCTGGCACAGTTCCAGTTGGAACAACAACATTTTGTTGTTGAGCATTTTGAGCATTATTATTGGTTGTGTTTGGTGCGGCGGCTTCTGTCATTGTTGAAGATGTGCCAGGACTCTTCATATCAGGCGCAATATTTTTACGTTTCGTATATTTTCGCTTCTCTCGTTTCTCCGGTTGATTTGAGGACGACTGCAAAGATGACATTTTTATTATAAATATGAGCGGGAAAATGAAATGAAATGAAATAAGGAGGCGGTACAGTTTAAAAATCTCTTTTTTTTTTTGATTATTGAAAAAAAGGAATGTTTTTATTACAATGTCTGAGCCATTTTTTATTATTAAAAAATGATTTGATCTGCAGAAAAAGAAAGAAAAGATTTTTGATACTGTATGATTCTCTCAAAAAATTGTTGATCAAATTATGAAAAATTAATAATTGTTTAATTCGATTTTTCAATGAAAATGCGATGAGAATGTGAAAAAAAGGGGGCGCTCACCTTCGGCGATTCTACAACAATTCCAAATATTTCTTGACGAAGTTTATCGAATTGTTGTCGTTTTTGTTCGGCGCTCAATTTCTCGGCTCCAGGTTCTTGTGCTTTTTGGGCGATTGCGTTCTCAAATTCTTGCTGTAGTCGTCGTTCTTCAACAGCGCACTCGATTTCAACTTCTTCGTCGATTTGGTGTTGCTCGTCGGCAGTCAGAAGTTGTTCGGAACTCTGATTTTCACCAACGACTTCCTCTCTTTTCTAGAAAAAAAGTATGATTAATATTTTTGGACTATAAATAAATTGGTAGACGAGCGAAGAAAAATTGCAGTTTATTATTGAAACTGAAAAAAATTGGCAAAAAAAGAGAGGGAATAATCAAAAAAAAACTTTGCAGAATTATTTGATACTACAGTACAGCCTATGAAATCTTCTCAGAACAGTTCTAATCCCAGAACTGAAAGCAAAGGGTATTGTCGATTCTGATCTACGAAATGTTTATAGTTTGATCCCCACATAGTGTGATAAGAGATTTAGACTTCGACTAATTGATTCTTCAAAATGGACCAAAGTTCCAAAATCACATTAGTTTAACTCAATTTTTCTCCAATTTTTGGCCTACCAAGTTTATAAATACGGTACCTGGTAGTTTAATTGTGCAAAAATGTTCAGATAAACTCAATTTCTTATCTTACTCCCCTATAAAACAAGAGTTCATTATACAAGAAAAAGTGAAACTCCATATTCTCTCGGAAAAAAAGATCAGAATGGTCGGTTGCGAGATTCGAAAACTGGATATTTAGAAAAAGAAGAATAACCAGGCTTTCGATTTTTCTCGTCATCATTATATTGTAATTATAATGGCTAGTCGGCTTGATGGTCAATGATATCGGACAGCAGCAAAAGAACATATTCAAAAAGTGAAAACCAGAGCGGAGAATGGAAAAAAACCGGATCGAAGTACTCTATGGGGTGTGAGATCAAAATTGGTTGAATATATGATTAGAAAAAAAAGAACGCAGGTGGAGAACAGCTGAAAAAACGAAAAACGGTTTCTCAGACACACTATAATTTCAGCTGTCAACAAAAACTACTATCAAAATGCAGACAATATACGATAAGATCATTTGTTGATTGACAAGAAAGGTCAACAAACTAGAACAACTAAAACAAAATTGGAAATGATCGAACAAGAGAAGAGAGAAAAGCTGTTCAAACAACAACACAGAAAAAATTTCGAAATTTTATCATATGACTCTACCATCTTATCAACCAATGTTTTTTGCACTTGTCAAATTCAGCCTCTATAAAAAAACTTGGAATTCTACCAATCACCTAAAATGATACAACCTGATAGATAACAAGGGTCGAAAATGATAAAAAGAGGGAGAGAGAGAGAGAGAAATGATGATAATAATAGGACGAAAACGGTTTGCAAACAAACAATATCATTTTTATTATTATAATATACATCATAACAATTCAAATAAATATTATATATACATTTCATCAAGCGAAAGAATTCAAAACAAAAATAATTATGATCGTGGGAAATCAAATATACCGTGCACTACATCCTAGAACTAACTATAGATAAGAAAATGTACCAGTGGTTCCGGGTAGCAAATAATTTTCAGCATCAAACTAGACAAAAAACTGCTGGCTCTCGCATTTGAACGGAAAAGAAAACGAAGCAGCAAAAAAAGAGACAGCGAAAGAAGAAAATGGGTGTGAGGGGGGGGAGAAAATAAATGACACGCCACACACACATACACACAAATCCATCTAGACGATACATAAAGAGGGTCTAGAGAATGAGAAAGATAAGAGAGAAGAGAGTGCAGAGATGCAGAAAATTGAGAAGAAGAGGGTGCAGAGATTGAGAGACACAAGAGTGTAGGGATTAGAGAAGACGACGGAAAATGATGTGAAAAAAGGGGGAGAGGACGAAGAAGAAGAAAAAATAGAAAAAAGAGCGAAAACGAATACAACAAAGTGGATAGATGGATGGATGGATGAATAGGAGATGGATGGATAGAAAAAACGAATAGATAGATAAATTGTTGAGTAGTATATCGAAATGAAAAAGGCAACAAACTCATTTGAAGCAGCAAAAATGAACAAAAATCCAGATGACTGAATGGTCATGTGAATCAACATCGCCTCAACAAAAGTTATATTGGCCACATGCCAACTGACTGATAAAAATACACAGTGTAAAGTAGAGAACTCTCGCTTTTCTATCTATGTTGATGTTTTTTCCCAATTAAAAATGTGTCTGTACAGTACAACAACTCTTTCTACCATCTGCCAATTACGCAATAATTTGATTGCGCACTTTCATTGTTCGATGTAGTTACCAAAAAAGAAGTGAAAAACACGTTTCTTATCGGTTGGAGTTGGGTTCATTTTGATAGATACGTATAAATTTGCGGTCACGTTTTGTTTGCCCATAATTTTTGTCTCTTTTTTCATCGTCTTATCATTTCATCAACACTCTGATCGAAAAACTGTTATCATACATCGTTTTTGGTTGTGGCGTCTTCTTCACTTTTTGTCTTCTTCTTTAAAAGAAAAAAGTCAACACATTTATCAGTTGATCTTTTCCTGCCAAACATTTCGATGAAAAGTGTCGTTGTCCCACACAGAGTGCACCTTTTTTCCAAAACCAAAGTGTGAATTGAATGAATGAGTGGGCAAAAAAAACCTTGAGACATCACAAGGTCATTTATTGTGTGCCGCTGTTTATTCGCGCCCAATTACGATTTTCAGCGGGCGGGTGACCACCAGACCACACAAAAAAACTATTCAAAAAAAGGAAGAAGAAAGATTGAATCTCTTTTTACACCAACCAAACAAAGACGGGTGGCATCAGGCAAAAAGGAACACTATGCCTTTAGGAAACCATAATTTATGGGATGTTCCTTCTGCCATCAAACATCATATGATAAGAATCTTGAGAAACGGAAGAAGAAAGGAAAGAAATGCCCGTGGGATTGGATCACAGCAACAACAAAAACTTTTCATCGCAACTTTTTCGGCTGCAAGAGACACTATGGTACTTTGATCCCTCCTAAATCACATGTTCTTTTTTATCTTTTCAATTCTATCTTTCAGTCAATTTCAATCACAAAAAGCGAATTCTTCTTCAAGAAAAAAGAAGGCGGGCGGGCGGGTCGAATCAACGGACAACAAGAGAAAGAATACGGCGACAAAAAATCGACATAGATAACTAGCAGCGCCCGCAGTGAATTTGAGACAAACATCACAAATAACCAAGAGAATCATACGAAAAATGAGATAGTATTGGGTAGAGAAGGAGATGAAATGAGATAGTGTTAGCGAGAGAGAAAAAGAGAAAAATAGCGAAGAATTAGAGAAGGAGACGGAAAAAACTAACGACGATGAGCGAAAAAAGAGAAGAAGAAGAAGAAGAGGAGGACAAAAACCCCCCAACCACAAAGGACCTTGATCGAAAAACGAGAGAAAAAAATGGGGAAAAAAGGGGGGGGGGAGAGACAAAATTTGAGGAGGCACACATACAAAAAAATGCAGGGATTTGTATGTTCACATATGTAAAAGATGAAGATGACAAAAAATCACTTGATGAAAAATGGGGGAAAGAGAAAAGATAGAGAGAGAAAGAGAAGTGCATTCTCTGGAACAACACAAAATGTCTAAATCGAATCAACGATGATGATGAGATGACGGGGCCAATGATGATGATAAACTGGAATTGCCTATGGGAAATCAAAGGAGAGAAGAGAGGAGAGGAAATATGAGATGAAAGAGCGACACACACGATCAATTTTTCAATATACATTTTTTGTAGCATAGAACAGCATAATGTTGTTTCAAATCGCAACCCCTCATTAGAGGAGGAATAGAGAGACCAAAAATCATGTTTTCGTAATAGGCTCAGTGGTAGTGGTTCTCCCGATGACGGGTTTCATTCCTAGTGTCGATCAACTCAGGCAGTGTGACTTGAATCCTCAATGGTCAATGTCGTACACCACTGTACTACGTGTCCGAATCTCCAGAGTTTATTATTCTCCTAGTCACTTGAATAATGGGTGACCGTTAACTGTTTCATTCCACGTGGCTTTTGAATACACACTCACTTTCAATTTTTAAAGTGTATTTAGTATTTACAGTATAAAATCGCGGAACACACTGTCGGGTCCCCGCCCGACCAAAAATACACTTTGTCTGACCTAATATTGACATTGGGTCTAATATCTTCTTCTTTTTCTTCTTCCGTCGTTTTTGTTATATTTATTTTTGTTGTTGTGTCTTGAAGGTGGAGTGAGAGTGAGTGTGTGTAAACAAAATCCCTATCCAAAATGTTTGAGTAAACAGGCTAGACCTCCGAAAAGATTATGATTGCAAAAAAAAAGTGGAAAAAAAGAACGACCACCGAAAAAGGGCAGACAAAACTAACTACAAAACTAAATCAATTTGTATCTATTTTTGAGGCGATTAGCGAATTGTATCAGGTGTAGTAGATTATGAAGAGAGAAAGAGAATTAGAGAAAGAATTTTTGAAAACAACAAGTACCATATTTTTCCATCTGATCGTGTTATTCGTAAAATACATAATGTGTACTTTTATCTCGACTGCCCAATTTCTTTTCTTCATCATTTTCTTCTTTCTATTTCCCTTCCTTCCAGCGAAAAAAATCCGCGCATGCGTTCGTGAAGACGAGAAAAAAGTGAAAGTTGTCGAAATAACACACAGACACATCAATAATAAACGAAGAAGAAAAGAAGAAGAGTGACCGTGGAAAAATGCGAAAAAAACACATCGAATCGTTTCCTTCACCGAAATAGTGTAGAGTATACAATTTGGCAGCAGGCGGCAGTATTTCTCAACGACGAGAGATTTCGTCGAGAGAATCAGACAGTTTTTATAGATCTATGGGGTAGAGAAGCATACGGCGAGATAGTACGATATGAGAGAAGCATACGAAACGAGTCAGAATGTTCAACAGATGGATGAATAGAGTATGTGAGAGAATGAGGCGAGCGCTGCTGCTTCTTCTGCTGTTGCTGTCCATTTTTTTCGACACACAACGCACAAAAAAAACGAAGACGTCGTTGTCGCGCACTCAATTTTTCAGGCAAGAAAACAGCAGCACAAAAAAACCGAGGGGCGAATGAGCAGAAAAAAAACACATATGCATGAGCTACTCCGATTAGGTGAGCCGGGGATTTGCTAGAAGACGGAAAAATATGTGTATGTATATGGAAATGACTCAGTCGAGGGATGTTGTTGTTTTCAGCACAAATTTGTTCAGGGTTTCGAGAAAACCCAGCAAAAAATTGGAGATCGCGTGCGCGTGGGAAGGAAGATGAACTGATCAAGTATGAAAAATAAAATAATCCGGCAAAAATAGAATAGCAAAGATTAGAAGGAATAGATCCGATAACTAAAAATCACCACAAGCTGGCAGAAAGCGCCCTGTGTTTTGTATGATAGAAACAATTGTATTTTTGTAGTTGCAAACGAACGTACCTACAGACTTTGTGTGTATGAAAGTCTAAATCTCCAAGTATTCATTCAAAGTAGTTTAATTCCGTGTTTTGGTCCATAAATCAACCAGACCAAGAAAAAAAATCTCGAATTACAATCGTTCAATAGATCATTTTCTTTCTTTATTTGAACAAGCGTCAAATTTTTCCCTCTTTTTTTCTCGCAAAGCAAATATGTATATACAACAGACCATTTGAACAATGTTTCTTTTTTCTTCCATTTCTCTTTATTTCGCGTCCGTTCTTCTTCTTTTTCTTCCAAAAAAAGTGCAAATACACATTTTGTTTTCCTTCTCTTTCTTCCCCCATTCATTTCGGAACAAACAAAAACCAACATGTTGTTAAGTGGTTGTTGCAGGGCAAAAAAAAAGAGCGAAGAGAAGAAGGGAAGAAAATTGGAAAGAAAAAAAAAGATCGAGAGACCGAGACAACAAGAAGAAGAAGAAGTTCTTTGAACATCGAAGAGTGGAAAAATAAATACATAAATAAATAAATATGTGTATATATATATAGTTTAGTTTGATATCAACTGTTAAATAATATATATTATATTATATTACTTTTTCCTGGAATTTCCAACCACGTCAGCTTTTTGCGGTATCAAATTTCTCCCCCAAAAATTGCAACATTCTGGATTTTGGTTCAAAGAACCACAAGAATTCCAAGTATCAAGAGATTTGACTAATCACAATAATTTTGTGCAAAAAATAATCCCACAATTATTTTCTGACATTTCCCCAGCTATACGATTTTTTGAAAAGGTGTGTGTAAAAATATAATTGGGCAGGCCGAGCCAATATTAAAACCGTCTTATTTTTGGGCGAGAACTGTGTAAAAAAATAATTGGATCGAACTATTACACATCATATTTTTTTAATTAAAAATGGCTCTGCACAAATAGAAAAAGCTCAGCAGACCGAATGATAAAATGATATTACAAAAAATAAATCATGGTACAAAAAGCAGAAACCTCATAATTTCAACCTTTCTCAGGCTATAATAAAATATGAAGTGAGCAAAAAATCAAAACTAGTCGAGGGAAAACTAATATCATCAGTCTGATTGAAAATAATGATATCAATTATATTTTTTGAGAAAAAAAATACTCAAGGGGAACTTTTTTCTAAGAAAAAGTATTTTTAGAAATTTAAAAATTTAGAAATTCCGGTTTGTTTTCATAATAAGCATGGAAACCCTTAGCAAAATGATTCCAAAATAGTTATTCTTATCAAAAAAAAACTTCAAAAACCCACCTTGAACTCATCATTCTCCGTATAATTTGTGTGTTGCTTTCTTAATCTTTCGAGCATTTGATTGGTCTGGAAAAAACAAGAAAATGTGAAAAACATTCTAAATCCCCTTATGATTTCATTATTTCCGCTCTGCATGCTAATGATTTTCGAACATTGTCTTTTTTTGCGCTGGCTGATTAATTCTCGCCTCGTCATCATTAGATTATTCACTTTTGATTTTCAGTAAATCGTTCACTTTAAATCCGGGATAAACTATAAGAGGAGATTAGAGAAGCAACCAAGCAAGCAGGCAGATGAAGATGAAGAAAACCCACACAACACTAATATAACTAATTATTTTGAAAGCTAGAAATACTTTGATCGGGATTATCCTAATACTAGATAGATAGCAGTTAAAAACATAAATATTTTTTGGAAAAAAGAAGGGACTGTTGGAGGGACAAGGAAGTTCTAAATTTTTAAAGTTGGGAGATTTTGACAGTCAAGAAATCTGACTTTTTGGGATACTGTAAAGCAGCTGAAATTAATTATTCAAAAATCTCAATTACACTTTATCCAGGTGAAAAAAACAGCGAAATCATTTATGTTTGAAATGTAGTGTCTAAAAAATCGGCTTTAAATATGAAAGGGATGAAGTTATATTTTTAAACTAGGCTCAAACATCGGACAGCTTTCAAAAAATATAATACAAAATTTCGAAACTCAAAACGTGCTGCAGAAAGAACTTATCAAACAAAATTCGGGTGAAAAACCGTCAGGAATTTATTCGTGTTATTTTTCACTCGGAAAATTTTCCGACTTGTAATTATTTTTCAAAAATTTTCAGTAAAAATTGGAAAAATATTGTTTCCTAAATACTTCCACGGATAAATTTGTTGTATTCTCAAAGAATCGATTTCAGCCCCCCCCCCCGTTCCCCAAAAACCTCACCCTAAAATTAATAGCTTTATCAATCATCATTGTCTGCTTCTTCCTCGCATTTGTCTTCAAATCAGCCAACGAAAAAGACTTCAACAAATTCATAAAATCAACTCGATCCTCTAATGTCATTTTATCCATCCATCCACGCATTCTCAACAAATCCAATCTTCTCGGCCCATATTTTCTGCCAATTTTCGATTTTCCATGTGGTCCGCGAACTACTCTTTTGAAGATCTTGCCTTTTTTGTTTTTATCAGCTGGTTTTTTCGAATTAGCCTTTTTGGGACCTTTTTTTCGATTTTTTCATCATTTTCTTCAATGGTGATGTATTCTTCTGCTTTTTCTTCTTGTCCTTCTTATTTTTCTTTTTCCTCACACATTTTCTCGCAACTTTATTTATTCTTTCTCTTCTTTTTCTCAACATTTCCTTTTCCATTTCTGTCATTTTCCTCTTTTTCTTCTTATTTTTCTTTTTCATTCCAACTTCTTCTTTCTTCTTGATTTCTACAACAATTTTCTGCTCTTTTTTCGCTTGATCCTTCAAAATTCGATCATATTTTCTAGTCGGCATAACAAGTTTTCCCTTCTTTCCTTTTCGAATCGGTAAAACCTCTTTATTTCCAGATGTTACAAGTTGAAGTGTTAATTTGTGTCGATTCATAACCATATTCAACATTATCTTCATAATTGGATATCGTTTTTGAACTTCTCTTCGAATTTTGTGCAATTGTTTCTCCCAAGATTTCTTGATTTTATGAAGAACTCGTCGTTTTTTGCATTCTTCTTTTCGATGTTTCAATTCATCAGAAATCATATAAAATGCATCAATCAAATCAGGAGCTGCAAAATATTTACGATTACCTTTTTCTAATGAGAGAAGGGTGCACAAGGTGTAATATATTTTTTGAAACAAAATTTGGTGGGAATATTAAAACTGGATTCTGATTATAACAATTTTGAGGTTGAAAATTTTCAAAAATATCTGTGAGCCTTTTTAAGCTATCTTCAAATTTGGAAGAGAATTTTCGACTTCAGAATCGTTATCAGCATAATAAAATTCACCAGAAGTTAATTGCTGAATCTTATCCGTTTCTCTAGAGCTCCCCCGAAACTGATACTTACGACACTCCTCATTGGGCCTTTCTTGTTCATATTGTCTAATATGTTTAGCAACTTCCCAATATTTTTCTCTCAATTGCTCATTTACTCGTTTGAATTCGGCTCGTTTCTGTTTTGCTTCCTCCTTTCTCTTCAAATGTTCATTTTTTCGCTGTAAAACAGTTTACATAAATAAATCTGTTGAGTAAAGTTATCAGACCAACCTTTTTCTTAAAATATTGCAAATGTTTTTTGGTGTCAGCGCAAAGATTTTGGATTTGTGTCCACCAATAATATTCTATGAGTTTTCGACGACGATAGGCAACTTGTTGTTGATATTTCTGAAATGAAGAATGAAGAAGTAATTATTTTTAAATAAAAAAAAACACGCGAGTGACACGTGGCAGAAAAATGTCACGTCAAAATTTAAATGAAATTTTGAAGAATTTATTTCGAGATTTTTTCGAAAGAAAATAAATGCGTGAAATTTCTGAATAAATATTTTGATTTGACAAAATCGGTAAGGATCTCAAGTATTTGAATTCAGGAGAGTCCAGGAATTCTGAAATTTCAGAATAAAAAAGAATGTTTGTGAATTTGTAGAATTTTCTGAACTTCAACGGTTTCTCAAATTTGTACGTTTTCTTCATGTTTCAAATCAAATTTTATATCAAAATTTTTCAAATTTTCCGAAAAAAACCAACTTTTTCATCTGCGACGGTAGCAAATGCAATAAGCGAATGATCATCAATAATAAATTCTTCAACAAATGGAACTGGCTTTTGTCGAACATCAATTCCTTTTTCAAATTCATCAATCCTCTTCTTCTTCTTTTTATTCTTCTTTTTCTTATTTTTTAACTTTTTAACCTTATTTTTCTTCTTCGTACTTTTCTTTTTCTCTCCTGTTTTCTTCTTCTTCTTTTCGAGTTCCTTATTTTCCAGCTTTTCTACAGGTTTTGCTGATTTTTTCTGTTTCTTTTTTGATACAGTAGCTCCTCCAGTAATTTTCTTCTTTTTAGCACTATTTACAGGTTTTTTCTGGGGGCTTTTCAAAGTTTTCTTTTTCTCCGATCCTTTTGTTTTCTCATCTTTTTTCTCGACTTCAGGATAAATCCTCGGATAATCGATTTTCTCCAGTTCAGGTTTCGAATATGGCAAAGAAGCGATAAATTTGACTTTCTCGTTTTTCTCATTTTTCAGAACACGAATTCCAGCACCATTTTTCACTCGTTTATAACGGAATATTTTCTCACCATTGAATTCGCCTTTCTAAAAATGAAGAGTGACTTTCCAATATAAAAACTAGTGATTCCCTTTCCCCCAAAAAACTTACAAGAACAGCAGAATATTGATATCCTCGCTTGGCACAACCTCGCTTCGAAATAACAATCCAATCCTCTTTCTTATATTTAATAATCTGTCGGAGTTTCAGCTTCACATTTTTCGCAGTCTTCATCTTTGATTTTCTCAAATCCTTTCTCTTTTTCAGCTTCAACTTTCCATTTTTCAGCAAAATCTTTTTCTTATTCACAATCTTCCCATGTCTTTTCACATTTTTCGTCGCCAATTTTTTCGTCTTTCTCATCACCTTCTTCGCAACTTTGGGATTTTTAATTGTTTTTCGTTTTTTCCTCAAAATCCTCATATTTAACATCTTTTTCGCATCAAATACTGCAACTACTTTTTTCGCCTTTCTCCTTTTTTTCTTTTTCATCAATTTTGCTCGAACATTATCAACAAATCTGATTTTTCTCATCGATCTCAATTGTTTATTCCATCCTGTTTGTATTGAAGCATATTTTGGTAAGTTCAATGAATCTAAATTTTATTTTATGAAATACAAAACACTCGTAAAAACTTCTTTAAAACTCACATATACATGATTCGGCGTGTGGGCAAGCTAAATTATGAAGATCATACTCTAATTTAACTTCTTCATGGTATTTTGGAGGCGCAAAGGCAACACGATTTTCCAATTCTTTAGCAGCATTTGATTTGCGACCTCTTTGCGCTGGCGGATTGTTATGAGCTCCTCTCCCAGCTTTTCTTCCACCTCGAGTCGCTTTTTCGGGTTGCGGAGCTTCCGTTTTGACCTGAAGCACAGTGGAGGTATGCGGGCCGGTGCTTCCACCGGCTCTCCGCTTCTTTCGATCAATGATTAAATGTTTTATGCACCACGATGTGCAGTATTTCTGGAATTTTACACTTTTTTGCGAAGGAAACAAACAAAAAATAAATAAAGCGCGCTAACGATACTCCGGAATTACACAAATATTTTTCTGCTAAACTGCAGGCAGATCGAAACATTTTCTGAATTTTTAGGACAAAATGCTGAAATTCCGAATTTTCCGAACGTTTTTGTGAACGGGGATAGCTTTAGAAACATCCGCAAGATTAGTTAGCACTTATTTCGTTGAAAATTAATTTAGAAAACTTGGCGTATCTTGTTTTATAAAGTCTAATAGGAAAATAAAAGTGACTTCAGCAGTTTTCAGCTTTTTAATAAAATTTTATTTGTCTTTTCATTGATAATAAATAACTAGTTTTCTATAATTTCTCATGTTGAACATTTGTTCTTCCCTGCAAAATTGAATATGCTAATCGATTCACTTTCGCATTATTTTATTCGTTTTTTTTTGCAGAATGACAACGTTAAACTTGAGAAGTAGACCGAATGTTCCACCAAAACAGATAGAATCACAGTCAAAACTTGGTTCTTGCTCACCGCCTTCATTAGCATCCACAGGGTGAGTTTTTGTTCAAATGTTTTCGCAGATCTGTTCGGTTGACTGACATTTTTAAAAATGAGGTGAAATTATGTTTTTTTTTTCAATTCACGAAAACGTGATTCCTGGTTTTTTGTAACCCAAATATTTATTTATTTTCAGAAAAAACGATGGCGAATTAGATATGCGAAAAACCCTGTTCTCGGCTAGTGTTCTTGAAAAATTTCGCGATTTTGACATGCCGGAAAGTGAAAAAATCGAGAAGATCAATCAAATGTGGAAAGCGATGGATGAAACAAACAGAATGCAATTTACAGAAAATATTTTGAAACGAAAAGAAAATAATAAAGAATCGATGAAAAATAAGAGAATGAAGTTTGAAGGGCGGCCAAGTATTGAATACAATCCTCAGAAACCAAATCCGATTGTTACAAGTCAAAAGAGTAGGTTTTCTTTATTTTTTGACTAATGAATATGACTTTGCCACGTCATAACTCATTATCAAAATTAAACTCCAAAGCAGTAGCAAATTTTTAAGTATATTTTAGATATCGAATTGGTGGCAAAGGCACTTGGTGTAACAAATCCGACACCTTCAACATCGACAGAAGTCGTAGATGTGAAACCGCCTCCACTTCGACAAGAAAAACAAAAATGTCATGCGGATTTGATGAGAAGTCGATTGCAATTTCATTTCTTCAGAAGTAGTTTGGAACAGGCGAAATCGTTCAGTCTGTGAGTTTTTAATTTGAAATTTTAAAAAATAAGCAAAAAATTTTTTGCAGGAATAAAAGCATCAAAGAGGAACTGAAAGTTGAACCTCCTCCATCAGTTGTAGAAGTTGTAGAATCCATGCGATTGACTTCTTCTGAAAAACTGGAGCAAATCCCTGTGAAAAAAGATGTCAAAGAAGTTCTGTTCAAAAAGCCTCCGATGTCAAAACCTCTTCAAAGTACCTACACAATTCCGGCCGTTCAGAATCCTGAAGTTCCAAAAACAAAGGCAAAAACTACCTGCACTCTAGTTCCAGCTATTCAAAATTGTGAGCTTTCGAAGAGCAAGCCACAAAAAACCGAAGTCAAAAAAATATTCAAAAGAGCGCCACCTGTGAAGAAAGTGAGCTACGAAGAAGCATGTAGAATTTATTATTTCGAATTGAGTCGAAGATTTTTATTGGATGATTTTAGTGAGTTTTTGTCAGGTGGAAGCATATTTTTTACAATTTTGGTTTCCAAAAAAATGACAACAAAAATTCCAGACGACATCCCAAAACCCGACAATTTGCAAAAATTGGCGAACATTGTTGAAGGCTGGAAAGTCACAGATTATCACGGACTGTTGTAAACTAAAGATTTTTATGTATTTTGTTTTTTTCCTAGGCTTTAGTAATTACTCGTTCACCGCAATAAGTCATAAGTTATATGTTTTGTTACATTTCCAGTTAAAAAGTCCTGTTTATAGTTAAAATACACCGGTTGTTTTTTATTGTTTCAAAAAATTGTTTCTGTTCAAATAAATTAATTAATAAAAAACGTGCGTCAACTTTTTTTCGGGCGCTGAGAAAAACAAAAGCCATTTCATATTTTTATAAACATGATAAATAACAATGCGACAATTGCAGCTGAAAATTTTACAGTAACTGATTCAACATTATGGACAACAACTTCGGAAAATGGTAAGTCAAGAGATCGCTGCAAGACCTGCGTTTGAAATTTGGGTGCGCTTTTAAAATTATATTTTAGCTCTAGTATGAACATGAGTAATGACGTTACATGAGTAATGACGTTGTTTTGGATTTCTTAGAAATTGTTCGTTTTATTCTTGCGCTTCAAGATTTTTGTAATATAAGCAATATTGTAAAATAACATGAGAAATCTCTGATTTTTCCACAACTAAGTTTTATGCCGAATTCCAGAAACCGCGACAATTGGAACATCGGATACACAATATGATCTTTTATCATTGAAATCCGAAACTTGTGAAGATTTCACTGGACAAGAAATGACAGCTGAAGAAAAAGAATGGCTAGAATTGGCCAAAGAATTCACGCGAAACGAGAAACCCTATAAAAAATCGAGTATTGTGAGTTGATTAACCATTCCCTAATTAGCCAAGTTATCAAATATTGAGGGTCGAAAGGTTGTTCGAAAACTTCACTCATATATTCCAATTCAAAACAAACTCTCATTCACAGTTTTGCGTAGAAAAGTGAGTTACCAAAAAAACATTTTGGGATTTTTTTAAAACTAAAAACATCTAGATTTCTAGTTTAATGGACGACAAGACATCAGAGACGAAGCATAAAATTGAGGGTACAAATAATTAATTAATAAAAATTCATTCTATTTGGCATACACGTAACGTAATAAACAAAAACAAAAACAAAATTCACAACCATTCAACCGGAGCTTTCTCATCTTCAACCAATCCACGAGATTTCAAATAATCCATGAATGATTCGTCCTCATCGTAACTCTGCAAGAATAATTTTGAAAATCTTGATAAAAATTGAGATCTAGAAAAATATAAAGTAAAAATCACTTTTTTCCGATTTCTTTCAATTAAACTCACTCTCATATCTCTGACAAAAAAGACATTCTTATTGAAAATCCCCGACTTCTCGACATCCATTTGAGATTTTGCCAATTGAACTGAAAATCAATTCAAAAATTATTTCTGAATAGCTGAAATTCAACTCACTATCTTCCAAATTAATAACAAGCGGAACATCGACTTTCAATGCAGAGCGAAACATTTCACACTCGCTACTTTTAAATATTCCATTTCGGGAAGAATTGATACCCGAAGCTAATCCATGAATCGATAATTGAAGACATTTTGGAAGATATCGACAATGTCTGAAAATTTGCGTTTTTTATTTTTTTCTGAACTCGAAATGAAACTTACTGCTCATGAATTCTGTACAAAGAGCTAGTCAAAACCATATCGCAACCTCCAGAATCCAAAAACAAAACTTCGGCAAAAGTTTCGCATTTGAGAATTTGCACACGTTGCCATTCGCCAGTATATGCGGATTTATCTTCGTTGACAGCACAAACTGCGAAAACATCTTTCGATTTTGCGAGAAGATTTTTACTGAAATAAATAAGAATTGTGATTATGAAACTTTGCAAAGATGTAAATCGCCGAAAATCATCTTTGAAGTCATCGGGTTTTTACGCCACATCATAACTCAAATCGCTTACATTTCTTCATGTGTCAATGGTTTTCGATTTTCAGACACCGAATAATACGTATCCAATTGTTCAGCCGCTGATAATAATTCCTCATTTCCATTAATCATCCATTTAACCGGATCGTCTTCAATCTCATTCTCATCACCATCTTCCGCTTCTTCTTCATCACATGTTTTAAGAATTGGTCTAGCATACCATCGAGATGGCGATTTTGTGCAAATTCCTTCTACACTAAACAGAATATCATTGTTTTCATCGGCGAATCTGAAAAAGAGGGGTTTCAGAGGGATTTCAAAAATAAAACTAACGATTTCAAATCATCTTCTGTGAATGCTGGGATTTGACAAAGTTCGGGATCCCAATCTTGTATATCAGAACTCAACGTAGCTTCTTTTCCAAGAAGCACGGGTTTTTTGGTCATTTTCCACTCTTCTGGAATTCCTCTATGAATCGTCAAAATTTGTTCTTCATCTGATGGACTTCTTTCAACAGCGAAAAATTGATGTTTTGCCGCGTCATATAATGGAATGCGAGTAATCGGCAAATTTCCCGTACTCAACAATAAATCCAAAATATCTGAACCGGTTTCTAATTCCATATAATTTTCAATTCCAAAAATATGGCAAGGTGTGGCTCTTGAGTAATCATTGAAAACGACACTTGACAAAACCGCTTCGACTCGTAAAAATTCGAATTGTTCCAGAACTTCACGCAAATTATCGCATGTTTCTTTTGACCATTTTTGTCGCGGTTGAACACCTTTTAGGTTGAAATCTCTTGGGAACAGTTGAAAGAGCGAAATTTGAATCGCTTGCCAAGGGAAAAACATATAATGCTCATCCATTTCACAAAGACACTGAAAAATTCCATTTCATTTGTTTTCGTTGAGTTTCAAATATAGAAAATACCTCCGGTTTTACTGTGTATTTCAAAGCATCATCAATAAATAAAATATCAACAATCGTTTCGTTATTATTATCTCTTCTGATCTGAAAATCAATTATTTATTAACACAAATATTTTTTTTCGAAACTTACATCTTCAATCAAACATCTTCGAAAAGTTCTCGCTTGATATGGAGCAATGGCGTATTCTCCAATTTTAAAGCTTTCTTTGGGTTTCAAATCGAAGCTGAAATTTTTTGAATTATTATTTGAACGACACATTAAAAGCTAGAATAAAAGAAACTCACGGTTCTTTGAATGTCAAAGTATCGTCAGCGATATGATTTGTTAATCTTACCCAAATTTTCGAAGGCGATTCAACTCTCAGAAGTTCGACAATCGCGGTTCTAGACAAAACAAGACGATTGATCTGGAAAAAAATATAATGATATTTAATGAAATAACTCAACTCAATTCTAACCTTCTGCGCTTTTGTATTCTGATCAATTCCATTCATAATCATTTGAGGGTCGCCTTTTCCATTGGGATAATTTGCAATCGGTTCGATTGGCTTCTTATCGAATAACTCTTCTTCGGGTGGTCTATTACCAATTCCAATCATTTCTGAAAATGATATACCACTTTGGGGGCTTTCAGTGAGTTTTAAAAATATAAAAAGCCAAACTTTGAAGAAATAACACTTGCGAAAAATTGCTCATGTTTATAACAACAGCCTAGTTTTTCGCTGTCTTTCTCGTCCATCAAGTATTTTGAATGAAAAATCTTCACTTTCCAGAAAAAAGTGAATTATTTCATGAAATGTTGAAAACTCGCTATAGCCCAATCTATAGCTTCTAGCCTAGGATTCCTATAAATGTACCGGTACGTATACCAAGTTTCGGACAAAAAAAAAAGAAAAAAAACTAAAAATGAAAAACAGGAAAAATCGAATCGTGTTGAGACAACAACGCTTCAAATACATGCGCGCCTTTGATTGACTTTTTCATTTTTTCTCTATTTCTCTCACTGCTCTATTGAATTTCGTCGATGAACAAACAGATAGAAGCCCCGCCCACTACTCTCGCATATGACTGCGTCTTTCCGAACCCGCGCGTTGTCTGCTGCTAAATTATGTGTGGTCTTATATACTTGGAAAAAACGTTTGGCACCGCCGGCGATGATTGTCGCCGGCGCACCGAAAGGCAAAACCTTCACTTAAAATGCCTAATGGCATAATCTACATCTACGCCGTAAGGCAACACATACAACTACGCCTTAACATACATCTACGCCGTAAGGCAACTAATACACCTACGCCGAAAGGCACGTTACTGGTGGAGTAACACAACTTTTTTCATTTCATTCTTTTTGTTTTCAATTATTCTTCAGTTTTCATAGCAGTTCCAGTAGTTTATTACAGCAAAATTTATTCAACCCGAACAAAAATAGAATCACAGATCTTATTACTTCAACCCATATTTTGAGTCATATAACTACAGTCTGTTCGATGCTATTATCTCTCGAAACACCAATCGAACTCCATCTTGGTCGAACAATCGACGGTCGAGCTCCATCTTCACGAAGCCATGTTTGTACAAAACCAATTTGTGCAGTTATCATCTGTAAAAAGATATTTAAAATTAGGAATCTCAAAAATATTATTTAAATTACCTGATAAGCACCCTCTCGAATTGTATTAAACTTTTTCCGTTGACTATTCATAATATTTGAATGCGCACTCCGGATTCCTTTGTTAATAGCTGTTAAAATAACAGGATATGCTGTGCAAGAAACATAGGGGAGTAAATGTGTGAATTTATAAATGATAACCATCCAATTTTTCTCGATTCTCATGAAAGATGGAAACCAAAATAGAATCCAATAAGGAGTCCAACAAGTCAAATAAACTATTACAAATGCAGTGACAGTTCGACGAATTCGCATTATTGACATCCAATTCAATCGGCTTGTCCCTATTAATTATTTATATATTTTTCACAATTTTAGCAAACAACTCTGATGACTCACCAGCGCTTGATTTAATTGATGAATAACGTTTTTTGAGCAAAATCGGAACTCTTAAATAAAAATAAACATAAGCGATGCTAGTTAGAAGATATCCGAACGAAAATGCAAAAATATTGAAAAACAAGCCGTGTAATTCCGGTGGGCTGAAATTGCACATCAAAGATTGATGATTCTCTCTTGTTGATATCCACGATAGAGTTGAGAAATTGATCACAACAGCCTGCAAAAAATCTTGGATGTAAGAAAAATGTTTTCTTAACTCCCTTTCTCCCCTTTTCTTAGAAACATACCATTAAGATAATCACAACAATCGCCGCACAAATTGTGATAAAATACGTGGTCTTCGGACAAATTGTCTGATTTTTCCTCTCAAAAACTACAGTAGACCGCTTGTGAGATGTCATTTTGACAGATTCATAAGAAGCCCGAGAGATTTGAACAAGAGCCAAAGGGATTACTAATTTGTTGACAATTTCAATACAATATGAAAGCTGCAAAACACTTTTTGATTTGGAAAATTAATCTCAACCTCATGAAAAATGAAAAAGTAAAAAAACAAACCTTGCACAAAATTTTGCCAAAAATCCATTGTCGATAAATACTATAATGAACGACAAGTGTCAAATGTGCCAAAACCAGCAAATCGGCGACGCAAATGAATAAAATGAGGATTATGATATTTCTTGGAACAAGCGATTTTTTGCCGAACAAAAAAACAATTCCCACTTTCCATGACACCCACAAATTTCCAATTACACCAATCAAAATTGTGATTATGTATGCGATATTTATGATGAGTTGAGCAATTTCGATTGTTTTTAAATTGAAAATTGCCGGCGAATCGCCTTCTTTTTTCATTGAGGAATCTGGAATATTTAAAAAGGGAATTAGTTAATGTTCAAAATCTCAGTCAACGTGGATAGTCAGCGGAATCAAAGTGATCGAAATTCTATAGAAATCAAAAATTATCTGAAAAAAGGGAATGCTCCTGAACCGCTTGGAGCTTCGCAGTTCGAAGAATGAAAATGAAAAATAGTAAAGTGAATCGAAAAAATAAAATAAAATAATCTTCTGCATTTTTCGACTAATAAAAGTACAAAATCTGAAACTATAAAAAACAGAAAATTAAAGTTTTCACGAACCTTTTTTCTTTTTTTTTCTAAACGTAAAATTAGTTAGCTATGCATGTTTTTGCTCTGGATCGCTTTAGACACAAAAAAAACACGGTTTTTCATTCATTGTGTCAAAAAAACGAACGAAACGAGAAATAATTTTCAGACAAAAAATTGTGAAAGAAAAATGCAAAAAATAAAACGCCTGGGGCTAGAAGTTGGAACTTTCCAAAAAAAGTGCAATAAAGAAGAAAAAGAGCGCAAAAATCAGAAAAGTTCCAGAAATCAAGAAAAATTTGTTTTTTTTTCGTGCGCTTCAAAACAGATTAGATTAGCCTCCTTCTCGCTTCCAAAATAAAATCTTACGCGTGTTTTTTTTCGAGAGAAGACACAAAAACATATATATCTGAAAATAAAAAACACATATTTTTCTAACTTTTTTCTGACAAGATCTGAATTTTTTGAAACCATTCAGGATTTTTTACTCCTAAAACCAGGTCAATTTTCTTGCCAAAAATTGATGTTCAATTGTTTTGCACGAAAAATCATATTTTGAGAGAGAATGTTCATCTGCGACCTCCTCTTGTAAGGATAAAATAAAAATATATATTTCTAAAGAAGTCAAGCATGAAAATTAGGAGAGTGGAAAAAAAGGAACTTTTCAGGTAAAAAGGGCAATTTATCCAAAAGCATAAAAACATCCAGCAATAATCAATCTTTTCGGGAGAAAAAAGAAAAATGAGCAAAAAACAGGATTAGTTAGGTAGGAAACAAGAAATTCTTCGCAGAAGTTTTGGTTTTGAATAATATCAGAAGCCAAAAACACAACACAAAAAGACGGACAAAAAATAAACGAAGAACGGGAAAAAAATAACAATTTTACGCCGATTAAACAAAAACCGAACGGATAAAATTAAAAATCTTTTTTTTTATTTTTCTAAGGCTCATTGCTTTTGAAAGGAAGAATCGCGTGAAAAACGTGTAGGAAGTTGGTAAGTCGATAATATTCCACCTAAAGGATATAGAGTTTGAATCCCACTGCCTGCACAATTTTTTTCGATTTTTCTAATCAAAAGCTTGGGTGTACAGAGTTAATTTAAAATTCCACAAAAAATTCGAGGAATTGTTATTTGGTCTCCTTGTTCGTCTCTTCTCATTTTCGAATATCTACAAGATCAAATTTCCAACAAAAAAAAGCGAAAAACAAGAAAAAAGTATGAAAAACTCGAGAATCAAATTCAACATTAGAGTGGGTGAGAAAAAGTGCTTGAAACACAAATTGAAAAATCAAAAAACTTTTGGAAAATAAATAAAAATAAAACTCACTCACGAAAAAATATTTTGCTTTCCGGAAATCTCTTTTTCGTAGCCTTTTTCGAGGGGAAAAAAGAAGGGGAAAAATAAGTACAAATTAGATCTCGGGGAAAAAATTCAGAACTTTTTTGTTTTGTTTAAAAAAACAGGGGCTTGAGAATTCCGATAAATTCAATTTCAAACTGTTTTTTTTTTGAAACAAAAATACATTGAGAAAATATTTTAAAATTTGAATGCCAAAAATACAGTAAAGCAACATTCAATTTCAGATTTTTCTGTGTATTTCTTGAAGCCTAAATCTACAGTAATCCGAAAGGAAGATAATGTTTCGTTGAAAAATGACTTTTCAGTTTTGATTTCAAATTTTTCGACAAAAAGAGAAATCTTGAAGAAATTGAATTTCAAACAGTTTTTTGTCTCAAAAATAACAGGGCTTGAAAAAAATGAAACAAAAATGGAACAAAAGACAAAAGAAAAAATGTTTTATGAGCACTTGGCTAAATACTTGAGCCTTCAAAATGAACAAAATGTGATTCGATTCAAATGTTTCACTTAACTCAAATGTATCTAGCCCTCCTCCTTTCAGGAAGAAAAACTTCCGGCTGAAAAATTGAAATTCAATGAACCTTAAAGTTTAAAAAACACATTTTCTCTAGATTTTTATATAGTGTATACATAGATACTTACTAATTAAAATGAGAATGAAGATGAAAATTAATTACAATTAGTTCCTGGAAGAGTGCGAATGGTGAAGTTTGAGATATGTGATGAGGAAGAGAATTCCAGTGATCAGAAGTGTTGTCTGAAAATATTTTGAATAGAGAAATATCTAAGTATGGGGTTAGGGGTGAGGGGGTAGATTTCACCAGGGATTTTTTGCAAATAATTTTAATTAGTCTAGATAATAATCACGATAAATTTTTGAAAATTGGAAAAAATTAGTAGTTTTTAAAAACAGTTAGGACGTGGCGAAAAAACGTTTTCAAAAAAGTTAGCGCGGTATAGTTCGCAGATTAAAAATTTGAATTACTGTTTTCTTCAATTTTAAATTGTATTATTTGAATGAAAAACCTTACAGCAACAATAACACATCTTCTCATCCAAGCTTGATTTCCAATAAAATGCGGTGGAAATCGAGTATGATATGTGATCTCATGTTTTCCTTTTCGCATATTCCAAATATCCCATAAAAGTGCGCAAGACAATGAAAATGATATAATTGTACAAAGTGCATTTAGAGAAAGTTCCTGGAAATTCAAATTGCGTTGAGTTGGAAAATTTTATTTTATCTTTGAAAAATCATTTTTTTTTTAATTTTTAATTTTCTGATTTCAAGAATATTCAATAAATATTTCAACCTGAAAATTTCCAAAAAAAAACTCACAACAACATTAAATGAAACCTGTCTTGATCCATTCAATTCAAAATATCTGAAAAGAATCGAAATCAATGCAAAAGCAGTAGCAAGTGCCGAAAAAATAAAAACCAAGTTGTAGACGAACCTGAAATTAAATTTTGAAAACATTTTTTTTTTCAAAAAGCCAAGTGTTCAAAATCTCACCATTGCTCACGTCCATCAACAAACAATAAAATCACAACAGCCAAGCAGACCTGAAATTGAATTATCAAACATTTATTTTACCCCTAACACAGAACTCACCGCCTGTGCTAATTTGATTAATGGAAGCCACGTGGCAAACCATGTTATAGGTTTGGTCATTTTTATAAGAGAAATAGGTAAATTGAAAACAAAAAAGTTTAGGGGAAAATAAAAAGAGCCCCCACACACAGCTGTTATAAATGAACACATATGTGGGGCTCCGATGGATTTTTGATGAGAAAAACAGAAAAAAAAGAAGATAGAAAGAAGGATAAAAGTTGAGATTTATTAGAGTAATTACTAAGATATTACTAATTAGTTATTTGAAAAAATACTTTATTGAAATTTTGAGCTAGAAAATGTTATAATTAGAAACAATTCCTGATTTTGCACGGATGAGGTTATAAATCATTTTTTTGAAATAATCTATAAAATTTTTAGTTTTTTTTGTGTTAATTATACTTACAGAGAATTCTTATCATTTTTTAAAATATTCAACATTATAATCAAATCAAAAACATACAATTTTGTAGATGTATTGATATGGTAATTGTTGTATATTTTAGCAGAGAATAAGAATATAAAAGGTTGAAAATGAAAATTGCAAAATTAATTCAAGAATGTTTTTGTATATTTTATTGACTGCTCTAGTTGGAAATATTCATACAGGTTTTTTTTTTGCAAAACTTTTTTGATTCACAATCAAATTTTTATAGCATATTTCCCTGCAGATAGTGACTATAATAGTTGCTATGGTGATACAGAACAAACTTGTGAAGATGGTTGGACTCTTCTTATTCGACCACAAGGTGGATGGTGTATCAAATATTATATAGCAACAATTACTCGAGCAAATGCTGAAACTGCGTGTAAAACCGAGAATGCAACACTTTCCGGAATTCAATATCCATCTGAAATTACTACAATTGTTAATTTGTACACAGCTGTGAATACAGTAACATCGGGATCAAGAGTTTGGATTGGAGCATACAGAACACCGGCGTGTTTGACTTCATTCCTTACAACAACTTGTAATGCGACAAATTCGTTTTATTGGACTGATAATTTCACAACTGGAACAGCTGGTTTTGTTTGGACAACTGGAAATCCCAATAATAACGATTCATTAAATCGGCGCGCGTAAGATTTTTTAGAAAAAATGCACCACAATAAAAAGGGCTCACACCAGATATTCTATATTGCATATAATGTGATAAAAGGAACCTGTGTGGTCCCATTCAGCATTTCAATGGTCCAAATTTTAAATCTCATTTTTCAGGCCAGTTGTTTCATTGGTAATAATTGATGCAGGACTTGACGATGTCCCGTAAGAAAAACATATTTTAAATATTTATATTTTCAAAATTTTCAGAGACATCACTACTGGAAATAAGGGATACATTTGTGGAAAACAAGCAACCTAAATTTTTTTTTACAAGTAAAAATGCCTTTTTTAAACATTGAATAAATTTTTAACGTGAACTTGAACGTGGAATTTTTTATTTACAAAAATAAATACAAAAAATTCATTTCCAAAAATTGGAATTTCTGAAATGAACAGGTAAAACTAAATAATGATATCTTTTGAAAAATATTCAAATTTTCAGACAACAAACATTTTTCATATCAATTTGTTTATTCGTTGGATTGTTGACTTTTGTGACCATTTTGAGAAGTGAACAAAATTATGAAAATGAAGGTCGAAGAGGAGAAAAAATTCAACTATTTAAAAAATTTCTAATAAAAATTTCTGACATCATTTGTCACTCGAAAACAGCAGTTTCAGTTTGTAAACTTTGAATACATGCTGATAATTGCTCGTATGTTATTTTTGTAACCTTCTGATCTTTTTGATATCCGTTCAGATGTGCTTGTAAAAGTGCTGGTCGAAAATCGGAAAATCCTAAATTAATATCGACTTCGTCCGTTGATTCGGCTGCCAGTTTCCTCAAATGCATTTTCATTTGTTCAACACTACTTTCTTTTCCCAAAATTTTCTTCCGAAACATTTCAACCAATCTTCTTTGATGATTAATAGTTGTATTTGTATTTGTATCTCGATCAGTCACAATTAATATTCGATGTATTTGATCGAGAATTATCAATACTGGATCTTGAATTGGGCGAAGTGCATTACTTCGAACACACAAACCAGAATCGGATATCTTCAAATTCGGCTTTAGATCAGTTGAAGAACTACTTCGGATTGGATGTTCGGTAGAGCATGTTTGAACTCGTCGACGATTTTGAGCAGTGAATGAATTATTTGAAATTCTAGGAAATGATGAAAGAACTGAAGAAGATGAACAAGCTCGAGAAGTGTCTCCAGCAGACATTGAATGATTTCGACCTACAAAAAACTCTATGAAGAAAAAACATAGAAAAAAATAATAAAAAAACTGACGTTCTGGATTAATTGGTGGTAAAAGTGCAGTTGTTCTGGATGGTCTTTTATAAGAACTTGTTGATGAATTCAAAGATTGAGTAGTAATTGGAACAACTTCATCAATCACTTTTTTGTCTCCAATAGTCGCTTGCTGTCTAGCAACTTCATCTAAATATTCCAGAATTCTGGATCCCGTCATCTCAGACAGTTTCAAAATATCTGGTCTCTCCGAAGGTTCAGGTGTCAAACAACTTTTGATAAGATTTCGAATATCTTCACTCCAAACATTTTCATCAATCGGATCATATTTCGCTTCAACAATTTGCATTGCCAATGTTAACATATTATTCGAATGAAAAGCTGGTGTCAATTGACACATTTCATAAATACAACAACCAAACGACCAAATATCAGCTTTTTCTCCGTATGGTAAATTTTGCACAATTTCCGGACAGCTATATATAATTGTACCCGCTGCTGATTTCAAATATTCCGGACCCTTTTGTTTTGCCAAACCAAAATCAGCTGGAAATCACATAAGAATTATTGGATAATCTATATTCAAAAAATCTCAAACTTACTTATAACCACCCTTTCATAATTATCAGTTATCATAATATTATTAGGTTTCAAATCTCTATGTACAATATGTTTTTCTTTATGCAAATATCGTAATGCTAACATCATTTGAACTATAATATTCCAAATCCGAACAATTTCGATATTTGTTTTCTTATCTTTTGTAGTTATTATATATTCTTTAAGAGAACATCCTTGAATCAAATCCATAACAATATATAATCGATGATTGTCAACAAAGATTTTTCGATATCTAACAATATTTGGATGACGCATTTGTTGTTTTATTATTTTAACTTCGCTAATCATATCTCCAAAGCTTTTGTCTGTTTCACGATCTCCTTGGTGAGTCATGAAAATCTGAAAATAGAATACTGGAAGTTAGGTGTGGTCGAAATTTACTTGTCGGAATATCGCCACTTTTCACTTCAGATTTTTTGTTTGATGAAAAACCTCTCAATTTTTATCAAATCCGAAATCCCAACCTCTTTCAAAGCAAATAATTTGGCAGGCATATCCGTATGCGACAATGCTTTTTTCCGAACAGTATAAACACATCCAAAAGCACCAGCTCCTAACTGATCCAAAAGTTCAAATTCTCCAACTTCGCCCATTGCCTGCCTTCGCTCATTTACACTTTCCCATTCTTTCGTAATTTCCGGATTTTCTTCCTGCAAAAATACATTTTTTCTTTATTTTTGTTCTATAAAAAAATAAAATAAATAATAATAATAAAAGCATACCAAACTTTTTTCATACAAATCTGCAATCTCTTCATATTCTCCCAGAGCATGAACATAATTTCCAATATCAACAAACTTCTCATAAATTTCAGTTTGAAAAACTTTTTTGATAGATTGTCTTGCTCGGTCATAAGTGAAAAGTAATCGAAGAATTCGAAAAATTGAGCATTGTAAAAGTCGCCACGACTCAGAAAACTCTTCATTTTTTATGAATTTTCGAATTGTCAACATTTTTCCCAAAACATAGACTCCATTCGAATTTGTAATTATTTGTTGATTTGATGTACATTGACATAATTGTGCAAAAAGAGCTGTCAAACCTGGAAAATTTGGGGGACCGGAATTATTCTGTTGGAAGGAAATACACAATAAATATTTGTTTCTATACCTGTCAACATTGCGATCCAATCACTGACTGCTTTTTCGGGTGCTTTCAAATTCGAAATTTCCGCAAATATCAAACTTATCCCACCAAGTTGAGCTATCTGAATAGAAAATTTAAAAAATGTATCCAGTATCAAAAAAGTTGACCCACTTCAATAGATGTTTCAACTTGTTCAGCCAATTGTGCCAAAGTCCATGCAACATGCCATTGTAGGCGAGAATTTTTGATCGATAAAAGTCTGAATTTGAAAATTCGAAAATTATTACAGAAGGGCCACATTTTCAAAATTACCCTAATAAAGTTTGTACTCCATCATAAATGCGAATTTGTTCCCGAGCTTGTTCTTCACATGATAAAATTCGAAGAAGGCTCACGCAAAGCCTTAAAAAATGAGTTTTTTTTTCAATTCATACCCAGATAACCACCACTTACTTTTGTGTCAAAATATCACCATCGGGAATCAATTGAAGACACACGTCAATCGTATTTGTTTCACACAAATTTTCTCGACATTCATCTGACCAATCAGATAATCTTCCCAATATTTCCAGCGAATGTTGAAGAATTGTCATTTGACGCGTGGCTAATAGCAGCAGAATTGCGTCTTCCAGGTTCTTTTCAACGAAACTTTTTGCGTTTTCACCGTTGTCGACTAGTTTTTGAGTGACATCTAGAATCTATTTTTGAAAAGAGAGAAAAACTTTAATGAAAGAACACTTTCAGAAAAAAATCTGCTAAATATTTCAGATTTTGAAACTTATTTTCAACAGAAATTACAGTAATACACGTCTGAAAATGAGCTGCTTTAATTAATAGTTGTAAGTTACCTAACTAATTTTAAATTCAAATCTCTTCAACCATAGTTTATATAATTGAAGGGTGCCTTGCATTTTTTTTTTATCTCAAAACTCACTCAAACAATTTACAGCCACACTATTCCACTCATTTTCATTTCGAATAAAACGAGTCGCCATAAAATGAATCATTCTCACATAATTCTCATAAACATCCAACGAATGAAAAATGAGAACTCGAGATTTGTCACGAAAAAGTACACGGGCTGTTCGAAATATTAGGAAGATCCATTTTTTGGCAGGACGCGAATCAATAAAATTTCTGCAAAAGAATAATGAAGGGGGGTTAGGAATAGAATTAGAGGATTCGGGAGAGATAGGATTAAATGATCCAAATTTTCGAGAATTTATGGACTAAAAACGGTACGATAACCAGCCTTGTTTCAAATTTGTTTTTCAATTCCTCGAGTTCAATTCAAAAATTCCAAAACCTACTTGTTACAAATGCGATTCATCACCAAATTCCTAGTCATCTCCAATAATTCCTCCTGCGAACACGTAGTTTCACCCGATTCTTCCAAAAACTTTGATAAAAATTCGCACTCATTTCTGGCAAATGATGGATCACCAATGCGAATCTCGTTTAATAAATTCATATTTCTTCCACTTCTTTTTCTTCGATCGAAAAGAAGAAAAAGGAAGAAAAATGTCTGCTTTGGCACTTATTATTTTTTGTGTGTGTGTGTATGTCGAAATATCTCCCTGACAACATGAAAAAAGAGCAGCATTTTTGTGTCTCTGAATGTCTGCGTTTCAGAAAAATTGAGAGTTTTAGAACAAAATAGTTGTTTGATTTTTTGGATTCGGAAAAAATTGAATCTTGTGCGTATCTTGTGTGTGCTTTGAACTTGAATTTTTTGTTGGAAAAAATAAGCCTGGAAAAAATGGGAGCTTTTAACTCGCACCACTTCCGGTTTTTAGAGAAAAAAGTTGAATAAACTCTGAACTCTTGTTCCCTGGAATAATTTTAATTTAAAAAATTACAAGTTACTGTAGTTGGTTCTGAAAATTATTATTATATTGCCAAGAATATCAGAAAAAATTGAAAGACTACAGTAATCATAGAATTATCGAAACACTAGAATCAAACATTTTTCAAAAAAATTATTGATTTTAAAGTCGGAAGAAAACCAAAAATAATGTTCTCTTGATTTTTTTCAGATCTTACACAAAATTAAAAACATCTAAAATATTCTAAAACAATCTGAATGTGAACTTTTATTTTATCCCCTTCCATCAACCCCTTCACATATTTACTTAACAACAGTCAAAAAAGGCATGTTCACAACGCATCATATTGACTTCATTCAAAAAAGCTGATCAAACAGTTTCACCCCCGAAAAAAATGGCAAAAAACTTCGTTTCACTTTTTTTTCAAATCCAACTTTGTTCACAAAATGTTGTGGATTTTCCTATTTTTATATTTATACGAGAATGTTTCATCACAATGTCCTCCAGGTTTATCAATTGTAACATCAACCACAAATTCAAATACAGTACAGGTGAAATTGATAAACGGAAAAGATTGGGATCATCTTGTTTTTCCAGACTTGCACCCCACAAGACCCATGTTCTTGTTATTCCTCGAGTAAACTTGGTGCAATTTGTCAATATTCGAGCACTTACTCTAATTATATTTGTTGCGCATCTTCAAATACACGTTAGATAATCAACTAATTGATTAATTATGTACACAATCAATTTTTTAGAATGCGGAACAAATTCATCGCCTCAAGTATCGTCTTCTGGTAGTGTTGTGACTTGTTCCCAAAATACACAATGTTCGAATGGTTATCAATGCAATTATGGAACTTGTTGTCCAAATTCTACTTCTACTGTTTCAAGTGATTTTTTAAAGGGAGGGAGGCGGAGTGAACAAACTTACTTATTTCAAATTAGGGTAACTCTGCAACCTGTGAAAATCCATCCATATTTCAGACACTTGCCAATCTCAATTTTCAAATGGCTGCCTCAACGGTCAAGTTTATGTAAACGGACAATGCTACAATTCCGTTAATATTGGTTCGAATTGTCAACGAAGTGAACAATGCCTCGGAGGTCTCCAATTTTTATAATCCTGATCTGACCAAAAATAATTATAGGTTCAACGTGTTCCAATTCAATTTGTCAATGTTTGAATGGATATGTGAATGTGAATAATCAATGTGTTATTAGTAATGGAATCAATTGTCAAATTGGCACAGTTTCTTACAACTCTCAATGTATTTCACTTGCATCACCCGGTCAAAGTTGTGTCACTTCATCGCAATGTATTGATAATTCAATTTGCACTAACAGTATTTGTACCTGCTCTTCTAATTAGTAAGTTCACATACCTTTAGAACATCTATCAATTTTATTTTTGCAGTCAACTTGTTTATGGATACTGTGTTCCTTATTCCTCATCAACGTCTTGTTCAAACACCCAAACTCTAATCAATAATCAATGTGTACTTTATTCTATTGTTGGAGAATCTTGTATTGGTTCAAGTCAATGTGTTGGTGGAGCAATCTGTTCATCTTCAACTTGCACTTGTTCAACTGGTTATACTTCAATGTACGGATATTGTATTTCAACGACAAGTTGTTCTCAAAATCAAGTTGCTGTAAATGGTCAATGCTATAATTCAGTTCAAAACGGAGCATCTTGCACATTTTCAAAACAATGTCCAACAAATTCCTATTGCACTAATTATTATTGTGTTGCTTCATATTGTAGTTTTACTTGTTCGAATGGACAAGTTTGTTTGAATAATCAATGTGTGAATACAGTTTCAATCGGAAGTCAATGTAGTGGATCACAACAATGCCTTTATAATTCACAATGTACTAATAATATCTGTCAATGTCCAACTGGAACAACGCTATCAAATAATATGTGTACATCTTCTAATACAAATAACAATAATTGTAATTCGAATCAAGTCTACTATAACAATCAATGTTATAATACTGTATCAATTGGATCATATTGTTCTATTACTCAACAATGTTTGAGCAACTCACAATGCATCAATAATTACTGTCAATGCCCTTCAGGATCTTCAAACAATAATGGATACTGTAGTGGAACAAGCACTTCGTGTAACTCAAATCAAGTGTATTACAATAATCAATGTTGGAATACTGTTTCGTATGGTTCACAATGTAGTATCACACAACAATGTTTGAATAATGCACAATGTATCAATTCAGTTTGTCAATGTGCAAGTGGTTCAACTTATACAAATGGTTATTGTAGTGGAAGTAGTTCATCTTGTAATTCAAATCAAGTACTTTACAATAACCAATGCTGGAATACGGTATCTCTTGGATCGTATTGTTCTATTTCTCAACAATGCTTGAGCAATTCTCAATGTATAAATAATTATTGTCAATGTCCATCTGGATCAAATAATATAAATGGATACTGTAGTGGATCTAGTTCAACGTGTAACTCAAATCAAGTATATTACAATAATCAATGTTGGAATACTGTTTCGTACGGTTCTCAATGCAGTATTTCACAACAATGTTTGAATAATGCACAATGTCTAAATTCAGTTTGTCAATGCGCGAGTGGTTCAACTTATACAAACGGATACTGTAGTGGTACAAGTTCCTCGTGCTCTTCAAATCAAGTATACTACAATAACCAATGTTATAATACGGTATCTATTGGATCATACTGTTCAATAACCCAACAATGTTTGAATAACTCGCAATGCCTTAACAATTATTGTCAATGTCCATCAGGCTCTTCCAACAATAATGGATACTGTAGTGGAACTAGTTCATCTTGCAGTTCGAATCAAGTATATTATAATAATCAATGCTGGAATACAGTCTCAATTGGCTCACAATGCAGTATCACACAACAATGTCTCAATAATTCTCAATGTCTCAATTCCTTCTGTCAATGTCCAAACGGAAGTTCGAATATAAATGGGCAATGCACTTCATCTTCAACTTCGAATCTATGTTCATCTGGTCAAACAGTTCAATTAGATTCATCTGGAAATGCAATCAATTGTTTGGTTTCTGCTTGTCCAACAAATTCAGTTTGTCAATATTCAACAACTGGACAAAAATATGTTTGCTGTACAACAACTTCCGGATAAATCAGACATTTTGTTTTTATTTTTTATAGATGAAGATTAACACAAAACGAATTTTTTTAATTTTATTTTTTTGAAAAATTGTAGTCTCTGTCTGTCAAATCGATATGTTTACAATGAATGTTTCGACCGCCCAAATATGTCTGCGTCTCTTTTCTATATTTTATTTTTGGCTGCCCTTCTCTTTCGATCATTTTGAAAAAATAAAATGACTGAGGTCGGTGGATCGTACAAAGACTCTCTCACTCAAGTAAGTTATCGCAACTCACATTTTTTTGTTTATTCAATAAAGGCAGATTTTTCCGTGGTTAATTTCATAAATTATTTCTGAAGAAAAATAATTTTTGTTTTACAAAAAAAGTTTTCCAGAAACTGAAAAAAATTGTCAGAGCTCGCTTTTAAAATGTGTTCTCCAAAAAAAAATAAATAAATGATTTTTCAGGCTCAAAAAGATGAGTTACATCAAATTGCCTTGAAAATCGTTGCTGATGGAAAGGGTATTTTGGCCGCTGACGAGTCAACCGGTAAGTTCAAAAGATCATTTCAAGATCAAGGTCGACTGATTTTTATTAAACAACAATTCATATTCAATTCAAAGTTCCAATTCTAAATCAGTTCAAAGTTGCAAATATCACGTGCATGATTATTATCAGTAGTTTTTGTTTCGAGAATCATCCTATCACTTTTTACACAAAAATATAAAAGAACGATAAAAAAGAAAGATTGTTATCAAGGTTGTTGAAAACAAAACAACAGAAAATTTGAAAAAAAGAATAACAAAAGTTCGATCGAATTGTGATCTTAGATAATTGATTTTGATTTGAGGTATTCTTTGGAAACCCTAATTATTAGGACTATTTGAACAGAAAACTAGATTTACTAGGATTATTCAGAAAAACAGTCTCAATGATGCACAGCTGAGCTTAGCTTGAATTTAATCAATTAATTAATTAAAGGAACAATTGGAAAACGTTTGGACGCCATCAATTTGGAAAACAACGAAACAAACCGTCAAAAATACCGTCAATTATTGTTCACCACTCCAAATCTCAACCAACACATCTCCGGAGTCATTCTCTACGAAGAAACATTCCATCAATCAACCGATAAAGGCGAGAAATTCACCGATTTGTTGATCAAACAAGGAATCGTGCCAGGAATCAAATTGGATTTGGGAGTTGTTCCATTGACCGGAACAATTGGTGAGGGAACTACACAAGGATTGGATAATTTGGCACAAAGAGCAGCCGCTTTCAAAAAAGGAGGATGCGGTTTCGCTAAATGGCGATGTGTTTTGAACATCGGAAAACACACTCCATCTCATTTGGGAATGTTGGAAAATGCTAATGTTTTGGCTAGATATGCGACTATCTGTCAAGCTAATGGACTTGTCCCAATTGTTGAACCAGAAGTTTTGTGCGACGGAGAACATGATTTGGCCAGAGCTCAAAAGGTATGATTGTATTTGAATAACTTTAACACTCTATCCATTCCCAATCATCATAATATTCCAGGTCACCGAGCAAGTTCTCGCTTTCGTCTACAAAGCCCTTGCTGATCATCATGTTTATCTCGAAGGAACTCTTTTAAAACCAAACATGGTTACACCAGGACAATCAAGCCCAACAAAATCAACACACGAAGAGATCGGTCTTGCCACAGTTACTGCTTTGAGACGTGGAGTTCCAGCTGCTGTTCCAGGAATCACTTTCTTGTCGGGTGGACAATCCGAATTGGATGCTACTGCTAACTTGAATGCTATCAACCAGGTAAACACAAACTAGAATTGATCAACGTGAACTAATAATAAACAAATAATTCCAGGTTGCCCTTGGTAAACCATGGAAGCTCACCTTCTCATACGGTCGTGCTCTTCAAGCATCCGTCTTGAAAGCCTGGGGTGGAAAAGACGAAAACATTGCAGCTGCTCAAAAAACCTTGTTGCACAGATCAAAGGCTAATGGAGATGCGTCGCTTGGAAAATACGAGGGTGAAGATTCAGCTGGAGCTGCTGCCGAATCACTTTTCATTGCCAAACATTCCTATTAAATATGTCTATACTCTTATTTTCGCATAAATCGTGAATTAGCCCCAAAATGTTTTTCTATGTACAGTTTTTTCTCAAGAACTACAAAATTATCGTCAAAAACTTGTAATAAAAAATAAATGTCAAGGAAGCACAAATACGCCAATAATTCAAACGCGCCAGTGATTTGACATTTGCGCGTTTTGTGTGCACTAGCGGCTAATTAAAAAAAGCGGGGAAACCTCCGTAACCTTTTGCTATTGTTATCAGCATAAAAAATTTTTAATCAGAATCGCAATGAAACTTTTAAAAGTTCACAGAAAATTTTAAGTTTTCATCAAAACCAAAATAATTGCAGATCAAGAAGTTTCAGATTCTCAGAAATTTTGTGAAACTCACACCTACATTAACCAGCTAAACAAATCGAAATGAAATTTTTATTTAAAAATTTCAAATGAGTTGATTAGTTCACGTGTCTCAAAATTGAATTATTTAATCATTTCAAAATTAAAGGAGCATGCGACAAGTAAATTTTTCGAATGTATTTTTTAAATATTCATGATAAATTTATTCAAAAGGCTACTTGCTTTCACCAACATTTTTTTGATATAACATACATTATCATATGAATGAAGAAAAACTATATAAATTCCACAATTTCCATTTTTGCAAACAAAAATGCAATTTCTCCTTATTACCGTATCCATATTATTTTCCGCATTTTTCGGAATCTCTATCCAACTTTGCTCGTCTGATTCAACATGTGGTTAGTTTTTTTAAAAAGTAGTTCTGCATTTTTAAAATCTATGAAAATTCAAAATTCCAGCATCGAACAGTCAATGTGTAAGAAGTTTTTAGATAAGTTTTTTTTCCAAAAATAACATTTTTTAAAGAATGTTAGTCGAGGTTGTCCAGATGGTTGGCAGGGATTTCAGAGATTGTATGGAAGATGGTGTATGAAAACATTTTCTGGAAGTGGAACACGATCTTGGGCTCTTGGAAAATGCAGAAATTTGAATGCTACATTGTCAGGAATACAAAATGTGAATGAACAAAATTTCGTTGGAAGTGGGTTCTACTTTTTAGCACTGAAGAAGGAAGTAGAATCAAGCCCCCACCCCATAACAAAAAAAAATATTTTGTAGACCAATTCTCGAATGTATCTGGAATTATCTCCGGCGGTGTCTGGGTTGGTGCTCGCCGTCGTCCACAATGTTTCAATGCACTCAACGTGACCCTATGCACTCCTCAAACAACTTATGCTTATTATTGGACTGATGGATCAACTCATGGGATTGATGGTTTCACTTGGCATCCATATCAACCTTTATATGAGGATTGTGTTGCGATGTATGCGACTAATCGAACACAGGTGAATTATTCGCCTGATGAGTTTTATAATGGGCAATTGACTGATCTTATGTAAGAGAGAAGGCATATAGGCTATAAGTTTTACATTGTTTTCAGATGCAATCAACCACTTATGATTGATAACACCTTTTTCGATGTGAATGGATATGTTTGTGGAAAACTTCCAAGTATTTATTGATTTTAATTATTGATAAAACAAATTATCCGATGATATGTTTCTGATTTTTCCAATTTTTTAGATACAAATAAAGTTTAGAAGCAGGCTTCAACTCCTAGGGGTACTATACAAAACAGGCCCTCTAATTTTACCTTTGGCAAATTCACAATTTTGTGACCGTATCCAATGAAGTTTCATAAAGCGCGCCTCCGCTAACAAACTTTCTCAACAAACTTTTGTTTCGCTTGCAGAACTTCGATGTTGTCTGGGGAAACATTCACCATTGTTCAACGAACTTTCAAAAAGTTTGAAAAACTTCCAATTCGCCGGTGAGCCTTTTTAATTTAAAAAAAACATGAAGTTCGTTAAATAGGCATAGCCAATCTCCACCAAACAAACAAATAAGGGTTGTTCAGCGGAAGTGAAAATTCCCCGGGAAAAAATTTAGGTTTTTCAAGGATTCCTGCGTCAGATATAGGATACCTGATTCCTAGTGTATCTGTAAAGTTCCTAAGCCAATGTAATGTATTTGAGATACTCTGATCTCTTATGTGTTGTATGACAAGATGCAGTTCTTACTGTAGACAAGACTAGACAGTAAAGTCTTTATTATGAAAGAAAGAATAAGAAATTAGTTCCAGTTCTATACCTCCAAGAACTTCCCAGAACTTCCTCCGGATTATACTCTAGTCGGTCTTCTTTTATACACAGGCATAATAGATGGCACAAATAGATAACCCAAATGACGTTGCACGTTCACGTGTATATCATAATCATTTCTATACACAACACCTTCCCCGTATACAATTGACGAGATATTTGTTGTCTCTTCGTCCAGATCACGAGTCACAGATGTTTCATGCATCCGGCAATGATAAACAATAGCCATCAACCAAATTGATCCACGATCAATAATCCCGAATCCTATTGACAAGATATTCGACTGTAAGATCCACTTACAGATCCTGATCTTCAACATCCTGATTCTAGCTCGCCAAAACCATTTGTTGTTTTTGTATATTTCGACGTGCCACTTCACAATAATTGCATAGTGTCTGATAGTCGCACTTTCATCAGCTTGTATCTTGTATTTGTCTGCATTCACACCTTCCTCTTCCCCTTTCGGAATCAATGAGGATATTTTGCTCCAACAATAACCAATATACTTGTCAGCAGCAGCAGGTGTCACACCATCCAATGATGTATCAAGAATTGAACACGAGATAAGCTGATTTCGCCTTGTATCAGTTGTGTTTCCATCTCCATTCAGCTTGTTCACTCCTTGTTTCAAATTATTGACAAATATTTTTGCTTCTCCATTACGTTGAGAATTGTCAGCTGATGTATAAGTGTGTTTAATGCCAAACTCTTCACACGTGTATTTGATTTGATCAGATACCAATTGTGTTTCGTTGTCTGCTACGAGATGCTCTGGAACTCCAGGCTCTTTTGATTTGGCACCGATCCAACACACTTTTACCATAATGTTGTCTTCCCATTTCAACTCATGAATGAGATCCGCCACACATTCGACTTGCTTGCAGCAATCCAAGTTAGTTCGACACAACCAAATATCGTCTTTTCCATCCACGATATATTGTTGATGCGAGTCTTCTTCTCTACTGATGTTTTCCACGTCATCCTTCGATGCTCTAGATAGATATGCTATTTCCAGTGTCACGCTCACGTAGACCACTCCTCCATCGTTCTCAAACGAATAGTATATTGTTTCATTGTATGAATTGTATTCATACCAATGACTAGCATCCATCCAACAAACAGTAATCTCAATGTTGTATTTCCAATCCAAATCATAACTCATATTCTTTGGATCCGTTGACATACATTTTTCTCGCCCACAGTGTTTCAAGCCATCGCCATTTCTCCTCTTCCCAATACAATCATAGAAGCTGCATTTGCGAACCAATACTACGATCAAACCAGATAATAATATCACTTGATGTATTTTGTCCACGAAAGAAACCGCAGTTCCAAATATTGCAACCTTCTCCCAGTATTTCAAGAAGTATGAACGATTGACTTCGGTTGTTTTCCACCAACTCCATAACTTCGATAATACGACAAGTTTTGACCAAACTGATGTCCGTATAACGAATAACACTCGATGTTTCAACATTCGCACGATAAACCAATCGTTGCTACGAACCATCGCCTTGTTGTATATACCTCGAGATATTTCACCCATCTTGGTGTATCTATTGTATATACTATGGACTCTTTCATCCATTTTCATATTCGAGGTAGCCATCGTACTATTCCGATGTTCCTGCTCCTCTCGACGTTGTTTGGCCATATCAAGATTCCATATCTTGATCTCACACGGCAGCCCCATTGGAACATCAACCGATTTGACTCCAATATCCATAGCTACTTCTCCGCCACCACAACGTTTGGCACTTTCGCCATCATCCACCAAACATGTCACCACTCGGTCCTCACTCTGAGTACCCCTCGCCACGGTCCAACACGAATCCAATATTCGCTCCTCCGAATGACGATTACCAACGAATCCTAGGCACTCCCGATATTTTTCATATCGTTCCAACAATGTGTGCTCTTGATTCTCTTTGGCCTGTATAGTGGACCCACAAACTGCCTTGAGTTTTCCTTCCAACTATTCTTGGTGCATTTTGTTTTTGGTGTGTCTTTCTTCTTCTGACTGGAAGACTTAGTGTTTTCTGTATTCTTCTTCAACTGCACAACTTCTTGTATACTTACAGATATCATTCCAGCAGAACTATTGTATGATATCTCTCCACTTTCCCTTTCCATCGACGAAATTGACGAGTTGCTAGTTCGTCTCTCCAGCTGTTGTCGAAGATTCATTTATTTATTTATTTATTTATTTATTTACGATGAGCGGAAAATACACCGTTAGAGAAAAAATCACGCAGTAAGTAAGATAAAACACAATATATAATGAAATCGAACACAAAGTAAAATAAAAAATAGAACAAAATCGAATTGAATTAAATTATTTTGGGGGGGGGGGGAGGATGACACAAGCTAAATTAAAAAGACTAATCGGAGGTGAGGAGACCAGAATCAGTGGAGATAGCACGAAATTTATAGTTTTTATGGTTTTTATGTATTAAACATCTACTATATACTAATTGGGAAAATTTTTTTGGCAATAGTGTGTCCGGGTCCCGTTCTCAAAACTGTGTGCATAAAAATTGATGATCAAAAAAAGAAAAAGTTTCTAAATGTTGGCAGCTCGATGCGCTACCTATTCATTCTTTCTTAAAATGTATGTGGGTGCGCGGAGAATCAAAAGTTTGAAAACTCCAATGTATTTTTCGATTTTAAAATGTGTCGCTCGACTTTTCTCAATTTCCAGAAGACCATTTTTGATGGGACCTCCACCATTCGATCCCAAATTCTTTCCCATCGAGGCGCTAATATTCGATTTTTCATAAAATGCGCGAGTTTTCACGTGAAAAATCAAAACTTTTTTCATGCTAAAAAGAATGAGCACGTTTTTAATCAGAAAAAATGGCTAGGTCACGTCTCTTATCTGATCTTTTTATTGCTCAGTCATAGCCGGACATTTTTAATCATTTCTCGCTATTACTCTACTCCTAATCGGTTTGAAAAATAAATAGAAAAAAAGTGAGTTAGATTACTGTGGAAAAATTTATAATTTGTTCGAACTTTCAGATATTGGATAATTTCTTTTACAAGAAGAAAAACAAATACTTTAATGTGAATGTTTGATAGTGAGTTTTGATGTGTTTGGGAATCCCAATATAGTTAAGCCCAAACAATTATTATCAATCCAAAATTTTGTGAGCCTTGGAAGAAAACCGAAAAAAAAATCGGCCCGAGTTTTTTCAAAAAAAAAATCGGGCCGAGTTTACTCAAAAAAAAATCGGCTCGAGTTTTTTCAAAAAAAAATCGGGCCGAGTTTATTCAAAAAAAAATCGGCCCGAGTTTTTTCAAAAAAAAATCGGGCCGAGTTTATTCAAAAAATCGGCCCGAGTTTTTTCAAAAAAAAATCGGGCCGAGTTTATTCAAAAAATCGGCCCGAGTTTTTTCAAAAAAAAATCGGGCCGAGTTTATTCAAAAAAAAATCGGCCCGAGTTTTTTCAAAAAAATATCGGGCCGAGTTTATTCAAAAAAATCGGCCCGAGTTTTTTCAAAAAAAAATCGGGCCGAGTTTATTAAAAAAAATCGGCCCGAGTTTTTTCAAAAAAATCGGGCCGAGTTTACTCAAAAAATCGGCTCGAGTTTTTTCAAAAAAAAATCGGGCCGAGTTTATTCAAAAAAAAATCGGCCCGAGTTTTTTCAAAAAAATATCGGGCCGAGTTTATTCAAAAAAAAAAATCGGCTCGAGTTTTTTCAAAAAAAAATCGGCCCGAGTTTATTCAAAAAAATCGGCTCGAGTTTTTTCAAAAAAAAATCGGGCCGAGTTTACTCAAAAAAAATCGGCTCGAGTTTTTTCAAAAAAAAATCGGGCCGAGTTTATTCAAAAAAATCGGCCCGAGTTTTTTCAAAAAAAAATCGGGCCGAGTTTATTCAAAAAATCGGCCCGAGTTTTTTCAAAAAAATCGGGCCGAGTTTATTCAAAAAAATCGGGCCGAGTTTTTTCAAAAAAATTGGCCCGAATGAATCAATGAAAATAATCAGAGGGCGGCGGAGTTTACTGTACTTTGGTTTTATCTTCCACGGCTCTGAAAATTTCAGATGGAACATAGAAGCTTATACTCAGAAAATAAGGCAGCATTTCTTTTCTCTCAGGATATAGATTTTTTGGATATAGATTTTAGATTTTCGGAACAGTTTCGCCAAATGTTGTGCTTTAGTTTTTGAGAGGTAGAAAATTTGGATTAACCTCTTTATAAAATCAAGAAATTTTTTCGCACATTTTTTTAAACCATTTTTGTCAATTTTCTTCAGAAATTTTAAAAATCATACCTAGCGGAGAAAGAATTCAACGAAAATCAAAATTTCGGTTTTTGTTGAAAGAATCTTTTCCAACTTTTCAAAAATTACAACTCTGTCGTATTTTAAGACGAAACATGTTTCTGTTTACACCTAAAGAAAACTACGCGCGAAGCCGGGACAATCCAGAAGGAGGAGCCGGCGTTAGCCGGCGGAGCCCTTCTGGTAATTATAAATGAGACTCATAGACATAACCGTAAGTTTTAGTTTGATTTGTAATGTGTACACCAATGTCAGATCAATCGCAAGCATTTCTAATAATTACATCTAGGAAATCATCCGAGTAGGATTTGATGTTTTTCAAAAATTCAGGAATCACTCGCACTGAGAAAAAGTTACCACGGATTTTCTTTTTGGAATTTTGTAAGAAAAATTAATACGGGATCGCGTTGTAGATTTCTGGATTTGAAATAAGGATTTGAGATTAATTTTGGATTTACCAGAAAGGATGTCCTCAAGGAATTTTAGATCACATTTCTTCCTCCTGTCACTCAACTTCTCCAATTCAAACATATCTAGCCTTTCCTCATATGATAAATAGTTAGGGTCAGTAATACTGATCATTCTCCCAGAAATTCTACCAACTAATTTTCTCGTAAAGTTGCGCTGAACCCTCTCAATCAAATCTGAAGTAGATTTGTCTGGAGGAGATGTGACGATGCAACCATATTCGAGAACAGATCTAATATGAGTTTTATAAAGAGACAAATAGAGCTTAGGATTTTTGGTGGAAAATGTTTTGAATAAAAGATAGAGAAGAGAATTGGCTTTTTTGGTGAAGATTTCCCAATGTTCAGAGAAATCAAGATTTTGTGAGATATGAAAACCGAGATCGCGAATCAGAGAGGTTCTAGAGATGTCCGATTGATTTATGTGATAGGAGAATTCAGAAGGTTTTGGATGTATCGAGATAACTTTTGTTTTATTACTGTTGAGAATTAGTTTGTTAATGGTAGCCCACTCATGAACTTTATTGATTGAATTTTGGAGAATTTCCGAGTCATTCCGACTTCTTACTTTTGAGAATATTTTCACGTCGTCCGCGAATTGTGCAACCGAAACTCCCGGATTTGAAACGAAATTTGGGAGATCGTTTGCGAAAATTGCAAAAAGAAGGGGAGATAGTACTCCTCCTTGCGGAACGCCAGAAAAAATTGGACGGGGATTTGAAAATACGTCCTTTATTTTTACAACAAAACTTCTACCAGTCAAATATTGTTGTATCCAATTTAATAGGTAAGAATTCAAACCTAACATAGAGAGTTTGGTGAATAGTATAGAGTAATTCACCATATCAAACGCCTTACTAAAGTCGAAGTAGATAACATCGGTTTGGATATTTTTGTCGAGCGAGTCGGTCCATAAATTGACACACTCAAGTAGTTGAGTAGTGGTTGATTTTCCAACTACAAAACCGTGCTGAAATGGAGTAAAATAATTAATTTTCTCCAGATGTTGTACTATCTTGCGTTTGAGAATTCTCTCATATATTCTACAGATTTGACTGGTGATTGAAATTGGTCGAAAATCTCCCGGAGTTTTTGAGTCAGGAATTTTGGGGATAGGAGTAATAATTGAGATTCTCCATTTGTCCGGGATGTTGGAATGCATCATTGACACATTGAATATATGTGCCAATGGGGTACAAATCCAATCCGGAAACAGTTTAAGAAAAGAAAATGGGATGTTATCTGGTGTCAGAGTAACATTATTTTTGGTTTTTGAAAATTCCTTCAAAACTTCCTGAACAAAAACCCAAGGAAAAGATCCGGCTTCATCGGAAGTGTTCGGAAATTTTTCGAAAGTATCATGAGGGGATCCATTAGCAAAATTTGCAGCAAAATGATCTGCTAATCTTTCAGATATTGTTTCCTTGTTTGTTATTATGGTGTTTGTCTGGTTATCTTGTAATTGGATATTTTTGATGTTTGTTTTGAACCGGAGATTCACCTTTTTGTAGAAGTTCCTTGTTCCAAGTGTGTTAATAAGTTTATTCTCTAAGTTTCTGTTGTATTTTTTCAATGCCTGGAGATATTTTGTATTGTATTGTGTATATTTGGTGAAATCTCCAGCATTGTTTGTTCGAGTTGCTTCAACCCACAAACAATTTTTGTGTGAGAACATATTTTTTAGATACAGAGGCAGATTTAGATGATTATTCATATTTTTCTTCTTCAACTGCTCCACACATCTCCATAATTCGCGAAGAATTGTGTTTTCCGGAATGTGTTTTACCAATGTATTTCCATCGTCGATTTTCATAGTTGTTGTCGATCTGGATCGCTGTAAAGATCCTATACTTTGTGTTTTCGACTTCGTCATCCTGATCGCCACTGTAAAGTTCCTAAGCCAATGTAATGTATTTGAGATACTCTGATCTCTTATGTGTTGTATGACAAGATGCAGTTCTTACTGTAGACAAGACTAGACAGTAAAGTCTTTATTATGAAAGAAAGAATAAGAAATTAGTTCCAGTTCTATACCTCCAAGAACTTCCCAGAACTTCCTCCGGATTATACTCTAGTCGGTCTTCTTTTATACACAGGCATAATAGATGGCACAAATAGATAACCCAAATGACGTTGCACGTTCACGTGTATATCATAATCATTTCTATACACAACAGTATCTCTATCATTTTTTTTGAAAGTCATGCTTGGATCATACTTTCCAAAACTTCCAAACAGTCAAAACATAAATAATTTCATTCACAAAAATACAATTAAACATCGTCTTCTTCTTCGTCATAATCATCATCATCTCCATTATCTTCAACAAGTGTTGCTGGTTGTCCACACGCATATCCAAGCATTGCTCTAGTTCTTGAACACTCATAATCCAAAAGAAGTGATGTTGAATTAGTTGACCATGAAGCTGCGGTCGATTGTAAAGCGAGACAATTTTCTACGCTTGCAGAATTATCTGGTTGACCATCCATCCAATATCCGAAACCAGTAGTTCCTTCAACAAATCCATCAGTCCAATAAAATGAAAATGTTTTTACTGGTTGACAAGCTTGGTTTTTCAAATAATCGCTTCCATAACAAACTGATCTTCGTAATCCACCAATCCAAACACCTCCGCTCACATTTCTTGACAAGGTTTGAGATTGTGATAAAATAAAGTATGCTTCGTTGTAATTCTCGATACTTGATAGAGTTGCATTAATTGAAATACATTGAGACAAAGCAGAAGTATAATTCACAGTAGTATTGTAAAAAACTTGAATACAATAAGCACCATTATATCGGTTAAAAAGTGTGTAATTAGTTGGACATTGGTATTGAGGAACCGCGAAAAGTATCTAAATTCAAAATTAACTTGAGTAATCAAGGTAAGAGAAAACTAACATCTTCAACTTGACATGTTGATAGCATACTGTCAGCATGACTATAGCAAACCAAAAATGCTAATAGATATGTAAAATTGTATAACATTGAATGAATATTTTTTGGGAGAAAAACAATATTTTTGTATTTATATAAGGTTCTCAACAATTTGAATAACAATTATTGTTGCAGAAAAGAAATTGTACAATTTATGGATGAAAATTTGTCGGGAAATTTGGATCTTAATTTTTTATACAATTTTTGAAAATGTCACAAATTCATTATAAAATCACATGTTTTCAGCGTTAGTAACTAACTTTTCTTAAAGAAGCCACTTTGGGATAATTTTTCGAGCTCTGCAAATCCTGACACGTCATAACTCATTCTCAAAAATTTGTCATCAACTTAAAGAGATGAGTGTAACCTTTTTGCAAACTTCAAAAATGTTCTACGCTATAACGATGTTTCAGTAGAACTTAATTGATTCAAAAACTACCTTCAATTCTAACAAACTGAATTTGATGAAATTCATCTTTTGATTTTTCTAGAGTGAACTAAGATGTGGCAAATTTTTGGAGAAATTAAGAACAACTCTTGATCTAATTTCTCGATATTTGACAATACTGCAACGTCCTAACTCATGACTGAAAACTTCTAGAAATTACGAATTTACTAAAGAGATCAAGGATCCGAACGAGGAGATCCAATAATTTGCAGATTTTCCATCATTGATTAATATCAGAAATTCCAAAACTCCCACAAACAATTCAAATATTTATAAACTTCGACGACATTCACGTATTTCAAAAGATAATAATAATTTTGTAAGAACAGAAGAACAGGGGGCGGAAAACACAACACATCATCTAAATGAGACCATTTTTTGATTGAAAATTCGAGAGAGAGAGAAAAGTGAGAAGAGGGGTGGGATGGGATGGGGTAAGAGTGGAATGCGTGAATTATCGTCGTCCAGCGCTGCTCAACTTGTTGAGATTCATTCCCAAGAGTCCGTTGATCAATTCAGCGTTTGATCTGTATCAAAAACAATTAATTAGAACAAAAATAGAAGGCGGAAGGCTTTATATCGAAAATAGTTTTTTATCCCGGTGGGAAATATTTTCGTCTGTCAAAATCTTTTTGTTACCCCAACAAGAATCAGAGTTCAATGTTCTGAAGCTTCGCACAGGGAGAAGAAGCAAGAATTTGTGAGTATTCGAAAGGACAAAAAAAGTTTTCTGATTGAATAGTATATAATTTAAAAGAAGTAAAGTACAAACCGTTTTCCGACAGCCGACAATTTTCCGAGATCCATTCCAATTAATCCATTGATCAATTCAGCATTACTTCTTTTAACATATTGAACATCATCGTATAACTGCAACAAAAACCACTATACAAGTAAAAATATTTTTCTCTAGAATCAGAATAACACAAATTCCCAGCGGATATGACTGACTAAAAATTGAATCTCCCCGCATTTTTTCCTTTCGGCCACAACTTGAAACGTCACAGTTTACTCATCTAGAACTAAAAAAATGGAACTACTGAAGTCAATTCAGTTCTGTTTTAATTAAATATGACTATACGAAGTTAATTTGAAAGCGCAGCCATCCGTATTTATTAGTCTATTATCGCACGTTTGAACTTTCGAGAGGCAAAAAGTTAGAAGCGAGAGCAAGGAAAAATGAGGCCAATTTATAATCATCACGAAAAATAGATGACTAGTTTTTAATGACAAGAAACCATGAAAGCATAAAGGTCGGCAAAAATATAGATGGATAATTTTTTGTTTTTAATTAAAATTCTGTTATAAATTTTTGAGAAAAAAACAAATAAGTCCGTGGAAAAATCAAGATTTTGGGAAAAATGCGAGAGCGGAATGAACAATTCTCGAGAACAGAGTTTGCTCAAGACCATGGATTATAAACGGATTTGGACAGGTCCGTAAAATCTCGTGTGGTTATCTATCAAAACTTTCCCCTAAGCTCTCTCTTACACATAGCCCTACTAGTATCCGCAAGATCTTTGGTATTTTTCGGACAGCGACAGCAAATCTAGGCTAGGTTTAAGCAAATGTGTTTCGGAGCTACGCCTATTAAAGCTCAATGTTATGCTTTCAAATTGGGATAACTCTCGTCCTCCTATCCTAAATCCCCAAACAAACCTGTGGTCTGTAGATGAGTGGTGATGCTGTTGAAAGTGCACACAAAACAACGACGACGAGCAACAAGGAGAAAACGAATGAGTTCATGATTTGTTGAAATTGACCTGTAGATCGGTGTGGATTGAGCGGGCTCGAATGAAGCGCGCACAAAAACCAAAATGAGTTTAAAGAGGCGGCGACGGCGAGGAGAATATAGGCTCCGCCTCCATCGAGAATTTCAGAAAAATGAATGACACGCCTTCGAGCTTAATGAAGAAAGAGGGAGAGGAAAAAGATGTTGATGTTGATGATGATGAGAAAAGAGTTTGGAAAGTTTGATTAACAAAACAATTAGAATTATGTAGACGGCTGGAAAATTATTGGAAGGATTACAGAAAACTGAAACTAGAAGAAATTGAAAATAAATTGCGGTTTAGGCAGTTCGGACCAGAGAAAGGGACGTCTACTGGCCGAAAGGTGGCTTGTTCAAACTTTTTTCGTTCGAAAAAATATGTTCAGGAAACTTTTGCGGACTCTGGTTAAAATTTTAAGTTTTCGATTTGAAATTTTTACTTTAAAAAATTTAGTACGGGTATTTTCAAGGGTTCAGAAAACAACTAGAAAAAAATTCCAAGTCGAAAATATGTATTTTATCAAAAATGTATTCAACACGAGTTTTCTTTTTCTTGTTATTTTTTTTTTCGAAAATTGTCATTGAGCCCAGCACATAAAAAACATTTTAACGAACTTTTGAAAACAATTTTTCTCAAAAATATTAATTAATTTTTCCAAATGCCTCAAATTCCAGCAAATTTCCCCTTCCCCATCATAAATAAGGAACTTCTGAAAGTACAACAACATGATTCGATTCGTGACTAGAATTCGAATCCGAATAATTAATTGTTTTCGAAAACACATTTCTGAGAGTCAAGGAAAGTGCCAAAAAAACATGTTATATGAATCAGTGACCACCAAAACCAAAAAGTGTTTTTCACACGTCCATATTTTGCCTGTGGGCGGGGCGGATCCAACAAAAACCTTGTAAACCTAATTCCATTTTTTATTTTTTTTCAACAATAATTTTGTTATAGAAACAACTGGGACTCGAAACAAAAACGAGAAAAAAACATAACAAAAATATAGCAAAACACAAGTATTTGGTTTTGAAGAAAACCTATTCGGGGTTGATTAATTAATTGGTTCACTAACTAATCTTCCAGGAAATTGCTTTCTTTTAATGTCAAAAGATCATGGTTCGTTTCGTATCAAACATGTATTTCGTTTAGGATGACAGGACTTGAGCCTAGGCGATGCTACTAGAAAGCTTAGAAGCTTTGAAACATGGCTGTGTTTCTGATGGTGAGCCTAAAATCTCCCAGGTAAGTTTCTGCTCAACCTCCTGGTGTGCGGAATATACCGGTGGCTCTCATGCAACCTTATGAGTAAGCTCAAGACAAAGTCGAAACTTATAAGCCCAAGCCAGATCGGTATACCTACAGTAACTAGGCCGTTATTGAAACAAAAAATCCCTCACAATCAGACCACCCCTTCGCCAATCAGAACTGAAAAAAACGTTTTCAGACCATGATTTTTGTGACTAACATTGAGTTTTCCGTCATCTTTTCATAAAATTTGCAGCAACTTTTTGTTGGCCGCCCTGATTTCTTGCTCTCTTCGCCGTCCTCTTTTTTCAGTCGTCGAACATTATTTGATTGTTCACATCGCATTCATGTTCTCATTTGCAAAGAGCAAACCTCATAATCCGAGCTGCGGCGGCATAGCCTCCAGGAGAAAAGAAAAAGAATAAGAAGAATGTGACGTCTTTGTGACATCCAGCAAAAAAAAACAGAGACCACACATGAATTTTTGTTGAGCTCTTGAACCAGCAAAAAATGATGAATATTGTAGGAAAGAAAGGAAATTCTGTTGACATGGTAATTGTTATGTTTTTTGATTCGAAGTTCTTATTTGATACTCAGAATGCCGTGGAGCAGATCGATCAAAGCCTACGCTTTGCTCAGACTGAGCTTTATCTAAGACTCACACGTGGTGTCAGTTTTTTCGGCAATCTTGCGCAAAGATTTTTCTATCACCATCAGGCTCAGTTTAGGTCAAGTTATCCCAGAATGAAAAATTACCAACTGTTCCATGAGTTCTCTTACACCAAGGATCATTGAAAAATGTTAATTCATCTTTGATCCGGCAAAAAAAACATTTCATTTTAAATAACACCGGAAATCCGAATAATAAGTGCAAAAAAATAAAATAATTTGGTGTGGATACGTATTTACCATCCCGGAAACCACAACTCAAATAAATGTATTCATTGAATCATAAATTTGGTTTCGCGCCTTTTTTTCCTTCTATATAATAATGTATTTGTGGTTTGTTTCTGAAATGGCTAGGTGACTGACAAAAGTGAATTAGGTCAACATGAGAGACTGGGAAACTCTTTTGGATCAAAGAGCGCCGTAGGCTTTTCGAAAGTCTAAAAGCTAGTCTGCCTTTGAGCTCAGGTGCCAGCCTAAGTCTTTGCTCTAGACTTGCTCTAACTTAGACGCGGAAATTGCTCGAACTTTATCAGCCTAGGAAATCGGAAAATATTTATCTGCGTCTTCCAAAACCTTATTCTAGAATGTGTGTTCGTTTCAATAGTTCAACAAAAATCTGATTAATTAATAGGATTAACCATGGATTAGTCTGACATTTAAATATCTATTATTTTTTCTTTGCTCTTAAGAATAATGCCATGCCACCCATATTTTTTACATGTTCTCTTTTTTTCTGATGAACCGAACAGAAAAATTTCAAGTGAAATGAAATGAGATGAGAGATGATCGTGAGCAAGCAGAAATTGTCATCAAGTGAAAAAACTCTTCAAAAATTCATCGAACCATATCTAACTCATCATTTCATTTGTGCCTCATTCAACAAACCGATTCATCATTTCGAAGAAAAAAAATAAGTGATTTGGCTAATTTTTTCTCTCATTGAAATACTTATATTTCATAACAATGGTAATTAAAAAGGATTTTTCCAATTCTTAAAATGAGAAATATATTCATGTGTGAATATATGCCTAAATCTGTGTCGTGACTTGTGCAAATAAATTTTAATTGAATTTTTCTTTGGCGAAGGGATGGGATGGGATAAGATGAGAATTAAGAAGAAGAAAAACAAGAAAACAAAACAGAATACAAAAAAGTATACATAACATATATATCCCCAACAAAAAACTGACCAAAACACTGAAATTCAATCTGCCACAAAAGCGCATTGTTATTTTTTTGAATTTGACTCCGAGCTTTTGAAAAATGCAAAAATGAGAAATGAAATCATATTTTTTCTGGAAATGTAGGCCACGTGAAAATAAATATTAATATTCAAATTCGCGCGTCTAAAAATGATCAAAAGTGGTTACTGTAGATAAAATTTGGCTCTTAAAATCCACAAGGTTATAGGTCAAGTTTAGCTCGAAACAAGTAGATTTCTATAAATTCTTCGCCAAAATCTACCGTAATCAAAAATTTTCGCTGTGAGACCCCAAATCATTGAAATAGTATGCGCCTTTAGAAAATAAAATTTTCCTCTCTCAAAAACTTTTCGTGTTTTTATGTTTTTTGGATCCGAAAAATTTTCATCAATCATATTTAGTTTCGTTTTTCATCGACTTTTTCGTTTCCTCGACAATTCCAAAATTCATTTTTTTCCGGGGGTCAAAAAAGTTTGCAAGAAAACCTAAAAAGATGACATAATTAAAACGAAAAGGCTCCACCTCCAAGCAGGAAGTAACGCGATTTTCGTTGCAAAAATTGGAATTTTGAACTTGAATTGTCTATCTCGCTCAACAAAAAACAATAAAAAATTATATTTTATTTCATTCACTAAAAAGAAGAAAGAAATATTTCAAAAATTGCTAACATATTTGTTTGTTGTGTAGTGTAGAAATCCCTCATTAGAGCAATGAAAAAAGGAGAAAAGGCACAGCGGAAAATTGTCAAAATTATGCACATAGAAAAAGAAAAAAGTTGACCCAGCCAGAAAGGCAGAAAAATATGGATAATTTAAATTATAGAAAAGAAAAAAAAATTAAAAATTAACTAAAAAATTAAATTTTATACAGGTCGAGCAGTTCTTTGCATTCTCATTTTTTCAAGCCGACTTTGCAAATGTTTATTTGTTTCTTTCTGTTCATCTAATGCGTTTTCCTTGTCGCGAAGCTGCAAAAATATCATAATTTTTGCAAGTATTTTTTGATCGAGTTTTAAATCGCAGAATTTTTATATAATAAAATCTTGGGTTGTTCATTGAACTGCCAAATCGCTATTGTGCATATGTGCCGCTCCTGTTTTAAAATAACAAAAATTACCTCTTTCTTGGTTTGTCTCATCTGCGTTTTCAGCTCATCAAGTTCTTTTTCAGCCGAATCCGCATTCGCCTTATATCGTTTCATTTGTCCTTCCATTCGTATCACATTTCCTTGCTGATTTGTGTTTTCTCTTTCCAAATCTTGCATTTTCAGCTTCATTTCAGCTAATTGTTTAACAGCGTCTTCTAGAAAACAATGAAGTTTGGGGTGAGAAAAAATTGGGGAGAAAACAGAAAGAAAACAAGGAGGAGAAGCTTCTCAACACAACAATATCAACTCACTAAACTTTTTCAAGTAGATATCTGTGAATTCCGAAAAAGTTACGGGTATTTGTAAACTAATGATTTTTTAACATTACATAGTTAATCCACTGTTTTATAACAAAATTCATAATTTCAAAACATGAGTTATGACGTGGTAAAACTCAAAGATATTTCAGAAAAAAAATGTTTTCAACCAAATTTTTCCGTTGAAAATAACTCTGGGAAAAAATCAGGTTTTAAATGTTACCACGTCATCACTAACATGTTTTCAGAATTGATATAACTAGATTTAAAATAACGTCAGAAAAAGTAAAAATGAATCAATAAAAACAAAAAAATACTGGTCCGATCAAAACTGAGCACAATTTTTTTTCTGAATCAGACTTTCAGAAATGAATAGAACCATATTCAATTAAGATCCGTTTCAGAATTTTTTCAGAACTATGAAGATGGTCCGATTCAGTCCTCATCCATAGCCGTTGTTCACATTTCTAAGCGATAAAATTATCAGCAGAAATTAGACCAAGTTCAACACCCTTCATATATATTTTTTTAAATATTTTCGATAAAGCTCCTCACCCCGATTCTGGGTCCCATTTTATGTATGTCATGATTTACTAATTCATTTTTGTTTTTTCAACCCCCCCCCCCTCTCCTCCCAAAAAAAATCTATAAAAAACTAACTATTGACATCATCGACTGTTTGATTACTAACAACATTTGTTGAATCAGAAGATCGATTATTTCTGGCATGTCTTTGTGTATAAATTGTCTGCTCCAATTCCTCATAATCTTTTCGCATTCTCTTATTTGTATCAATCAATTTCTGTATTTTCTCATCCAAATTCGCTGAACCCGGAACAACTCGATCAACAAGTCGAATTGTCTCTCGTTTGAACAAATACGGACCAGATCTTCTGAAAATTTGAACTTTTCTCTTTGTTTTTTTTGTTTTGTTGTAGCTAACTAAAACAATTAATTGAGTTTTGTGCAAAAATTAGACGAACGTCTTTTTTTTGTTGAAAAAAAAAGAAACTTGGAGTACTTTGTTATTGCGTCAATCAATGTTCCCATGGGATTGACTAATGGATCGCCCACCGCTTTTTTCGGGTTCTCTTTAATTAGTGTTTTTTTCGGTAAATACTGATTGGGGCCGCGAAGAAAATGGGGGACTTTAACTTAAGGAGAACTCAACTTCAGGAGTGAGACTCAAGAAGTCGAACCTAGTTGTGACCTGTGAAGTGACTGAGCCTAGAAACCCGAAATGACTAGGAGCTTTTTCCTTTTATCTTCTTAGATTTTCTTGCAAAGTGATTTCTGAATACCGTAGTTCTTTTTTTCTCGATTTGCAAAAGCAGAAAAGAAAGAGGGAGAGATAAAAACAAACAAAACTTGCAAAAAGAAATCTCTCCTAAAGAAAATAATTAAGTTAATTAAACGCTTTTAAAACGCGTCGTTTGTCGACTTTTGGTTTTTTCAGAGGGATCAAAAACTTGGCAGAAAATAAAATTAAATTTAGAGAAAAAATCATCACAAATTCCACCCACTCTTTCATTTTCAACCTAATTTTGTCATTTTCATTATGATTTTCATCTATTTTTACATTTTCATTGTTGACTGACTGACTGACTGCATATATTTTTTCTATTCGTCATCGTCTTCAAAAAAAAGGGAGACGTACTCACTCACACATTTGATTAAGCTTAATGAAATGAAACTTTTGTGTGAGGAGTAAGAATAAAAAGAAAGAAAATAAGATTGGTAGAAAAAAGAAGAAGACATTGGGAGAAAATGGGGATCTTGATTTTTTTTTAAAAATGGGACTCTTATGAATAGATGGAGCCAAATTTTTTCAAAAGTTGAAAAAATGTATTTTTTAAACAAAAAACTCACATTTCTCCAGAAGCTGTTTGATTGGTCGATTCGGAATTGTCGTCTTCTGTGTCTTCTTCAACCAGGCAAAGTCCGTGCTCCTGAAAAATTATGAAATTATAATGAAAAATTGAAAAACTTCAAGCTTCGAGTAAAATCTGGATTTTATTTCAGCTGAAGATTATGATTTTTATTTTTTTTATTAAATTTTCTACACAAATGTTCCATTGAAAAATCAAACAAACCTCAATAAGTTGATCCCTTTGAGAAATTTCATGTTTCAATTGTTGTTGTGTTATATGCATCGCTTCAATTGTCCTTCTCAGCGATTTCACTTCACTCGTCAAATCTCGACATTCTCGATTCACTAAATTCAGCGACGAATCCTTTTCTTCAAGTTCATCTTTCAATAAATCAACCTCATATAAAAGTGTCGATTTTTCATTGTCTAATTGTGAATAAAGAAACATGACTTGTTGAACACGATCTTGTAATTCGATCACTTTATCCTAAAAATGCTCCAAATTTTGTATGAAATATTCAAACTTTCTGTTTTAATCAACTCACATGCAATTCTTCATTCGTACCACACACTCCATTACCATTAGAAGTCGACTAAATAAATAAGGATTTAGAAAATAAGGAAAACACACAATTATATCAAATCAGAGCACGCCAAACCAAATTTCAAAAATCAAAACTAACCGCTGTATCATGTCGATAGGCTTCTGCATCTTCTTCAACTTTTTTCTCCAAAAGTGCATATCTTCCTTGTCTGGCTTGTTCGCGAGTATCTCGCTTTAATTTCATTCGAGCTTCAGCCTGTAAAAATATTGATTTGATTTGAATATTGGTAAGAATCGTGGAATTCTAATTTTTTCAAAAGGGAACCTACAGTACCCCGAATTAAATATTCTGGAAATGCTTAGATTTCTATTCCAAAAAAATGTTCGATCTTGATCTATTAAATTGCGTGGGACACGTTTTTCCAACAACGTAATTTCAACATTTTCCAAAATTTCTCAATTTTCTTCCAATTCCAAATTTCCTTCGAAAATGGCTCCAAAAAATCTATCCGATGTGCCGATCGAAATTTTTCCAAATATTTTAAATTGTATGGATCAGGCGACACTTTTGCGGATTGGTGCGACATGTCGATTTCTAAATGCAGAAATCCGAAATTCGCAAAAATATTTTGATACTTTAGTTTTGACGGCATCCAAAAGAAAGTACACATTATCCATACAATATTGTTTCGAAATACGATTCCAAGAAATCGGAAAATTTAAAACAAGAATTGAATACGGAAAAGATTCTACTTCGACGACTTCAAGAAAGATTCATTTTCAACCAATTCATGAGGCTGTTATCGAAATTCTTGCTAATTTTTTGGCGCGAATTGGAAAAAGATTGAAACAAATTCATATATTTGTAGTGAGTTTTTCCTACATAAATTCAAGACGTGGAAAAAATTAATTTCAGGATAATGGACTGCGCTCAAAAATAGTCAGACAAATTTCATTGAAAAATCTACCCAATTTGAAACGTTTTGAGATTGAGGGAAAAAGCACTTCGCAACTCGATATTTTTAAATATCATTTTATTGACGAAGCTTCGCTTTCTAAAGTCGAAATTGCTCTCAAAATCCCTAACACAAAATTATCATTGGAAAGATTGGTCAGTTTTCAATCAAAAGCGATCGAAGTATCACTGATGCCAAATGGTCTCACAAAAGATAATTTGCGCGAATTCATCGAAAAATGGTTAAATGGACATTTGCATGCGACTTTTCGCAAACTCAAGATAGTCATGTCAAGAAGAACTGAAATTGGCAATTTGAATTTGTCGGGATTAAATGTGAGAGTTGATCAAAACGGAATCGGAATGATTCAATCAAGAATTGATGCCACTAAATATCTTGGAATCGCGCAATATTCGAATTATTATATAATGCAAGTTTATATTGAAGAAAATGGTGAATTCAAGGTGGAGAATGACATTTGGATTTGAAAGAAGAATGAGATTTGTTGAATAGTGTTTGATATGAAATTAATTGCATCGTTTATTCATGTGAATGTGATTTTTATTGTTTTTTGTGCTTTTATTTTATTCTATTTTATTTTCCTTATTTTAAATTATCTCATTTTTTGTGAGAATGAATTTTTTTGAATTTTACTAGAAGGCTTCTAGTAGAAGCATTTAGCTTCCAGGCGGGACACTCCTTTTTAAAAAACACTTACTTCTCTCGATATTTTATCAAGTGCTCGCTCTTCAGCCTCTGTTCTTGTAATAGGTCTTCTTCTCCCGCTTGATGCATAAGAGCTCATTTATATTCTTCTGAAAAAAAAACACATATTTTTTTCGCCGAACACACAAAAAACCAATAAATCAGCGAAAATGTGATATGCATCGGCTTGAGTAAATATTCATTCATTCATATCGATTGATGGAAATCACTAACAGGAAACTGTGAGCGAGTAAAATGCAACATAACATAACATAAAAATTAACGTATCAAAGCGCGAAAATCTATTCGGATGAATAAAAATGAAAGGAAAAATGAGGGAGGAATGAGGAAAAAAGTGCGCGGGAGGAGAATGAATTGGGAAGAAGAAGAAGAAGAAAACAGATACCCAAAATGCAGCTGCTAAATGAATGGATAGATTGAAGAGAATAAATAGGAAAGCTACATCTTTTTGTTCACTCAAGATTATTATGTAAATAATGAAGAAGTCTATATAGCTGAATTAATTGACCAATTGGAACGTATTTTTTAACTTGGTCAAATATTGATTTTGAGATATTTTAGGAAATTTAACTTTATGGTAACCATGATTTTTCTATAAGAACATATATTTGTCTTCGAAAAAAAAACTAATTGATTACAATTGTTTTCAATGATAAAGTTCCCAAGGGAAATAATCATTTTAGCCTAACAAATTACTTTTCACATAGAAAATTGCTCGGTGTTTTTTCAACACTAAAAATTACATCATGAAACAGGAAATCAGCAGGGGAACTTTTAAAAAAATCCGCCAACGGTTCTGGTGTAAAAAAAAGAAAAAAGAAAAAATGAGAGGACAAGAGAGCAAGCGCGCTCCAACGAACAGCAATCGTGGTGAGACCTTTCCCCTCCAACATTTTGTTCGATGTTTTGGGCTGTGTCAATTTTTGGCTCTTTTTTCGCGCGTTTTCCTTGTTTGGTGCACCTGTTGGTGTTTTTTGGTGCTCAATTAGAAAGATGAGCGTCATTTTATTGTTAGGTCTTCTGGTGGTATGCCCAAATAGTCTGAAAATTCTTCTATTTTTGATTTTAGGATTATCTTGAATTTCGCAATTTTTATTAATTTTCAGATTCAAATCACACTTCCAAAGTTTATTTTAAACTTTACTTTCTACTTGTCATGACCGATGTTACCAATGATGTAAACGGAGCAACCACTGTCGATGCCGAGGGCTTGATCACCGTAAGTTATTATTTATTTTGAATAATTAAAATGTTATCTATTATTTATTTATCATTCTAGGGTAACTATGAACAAGTTGTCGAAACTTTCGATGAAATGGGATTGAAAGAGGAACTCCTCCGAGGAATCTATGGTTTTGGTTTCGAAAAACCATCAGCCATCCAAAAGAGAGCTATCGTTCCATGCACAACAGGAGACGATGTCATCGCTCAAGCTCAATCCGGAACTGGTAAAACTGCCACTTTCTCGGTCTCCATTCTTCAAAGAATCGATCATAGTGATGCCCGTGTTCAAGCTCTCGTCATGGCACCAACCAGAGAATTGGCTCAACAAGTTAGTAATCAGTTTTTTTCTATTTAGCTCATACTTTTTTTTCTAGATTCAAAAAGTAATGAGTGCTTTGGGAGAATATTTGAACGTCAATATCTTGCCATGTATTGGAGGTACCAGTGTTAGAGATGATCAAAGAAAATTGGAAGCTGGAATCCACGTCGTCGTCGGAACACCAGGACGTGTCAATGACATGATCAACAGAAATGCTCTTGACACAAGCAACATCAAGATGTTCGTTCTTGACGAAGCTGACGAAATGCTTTCCCGCGGATTCAAAGATCAAATCTACGAGGTTTTCCGTCAAATGCCAAATGACGTCCAAGTCGTTCTTTTGTCGGCTACCATGCCAGCTGAAGTTTTGGAAGTTACCCAAAAATTCATGCGTAACCCAATCAAGATTTTGGTCAAGAAAGACGAACTTACACTTGAAGGTATTCGTCAATTCTACATTGATGTCCAAAAGGATGTAAGTTCTTCTATTTATCATTGATTCAAATATTTTATTATCCTGTTTTAGGAATGGAAATTCGAAACACTTTGTGACCTTTACAACATCGTCAATGTCACTCAAGCAGTTATCTTCTGTAACACCCGCAGGAAGGTAGACCAATTGAATGAACAAATGACCAAGAGAGACTTCACCGTTTCATGTCTTCACGGAGAAATGGACCAGGCTGAACGTGACGCCATTATGCGTGAATTCCGTTCCGGATCTTCGCGTGTTTTGATCACAACTGATATCCTTGCTCGTGGTATTGATGTCCAACAAGTTTCATTGGTTATCAACTACGATCTCCCAACAAACCGTGAAAACTACATCCATCGTATCGGTCGTTCTGGACGTTTCGGTCGTAAAGGAGTTGCCATTAACTTCGTCACTGATGCCGATGCTCGCCAATTGAAGGAAATCGAGACATACTATAATACTAGTATCGATGTTATGCCGGCTCAAATTGCCGATCTCGTTTAATAAGCAACACTCAACCATTTTAATCATATTTATCCTTGTTTTTTCCACTGTTTTCGTGTTTTCAACCTTTGTTTCTTCCGTTTTTACGATAATTCGGTTTCTTCTTTCTGTCACTTTCCTCATTTCGTTTCGAAAACCACAAACCCCAATAGGAAGTGCGAAAACATTTATTTTTACATGTAGTAGTTCCCACCAGAAGTTTTTTCAAATTTTTCTCCCCTTTATATTTTCTTTCTGTTGTTCTCCCCCTCTCCCACCTCTCATTTTTGTCCCAGATTAATTTATTGATTGAATTGTCTGGCGGTTTTCCAAGAAAAAATAAAAATGTTTATCAAAACAAAAATATTGGTTTTTCAATAGCGAGCGTTTCTTTCGCAGAATTATTGATTTTGTTTAGAGAACGAAGTGAAAAAAAATATAAGATAACTTTGAAGATTTTTCAAAATGGTGAAAAGAAAGTTGGCTGGAAGAGGAGATAAATTAAACGCAAATACGGGATTAGAAGAGCAACTCGAAAAAGATAATGTTGCAAAAGAGAGATCTGAATTGCGAGAAAAGCAAACGAGAAAACGAAACTCTTCACAAACTGACGAAGTGAGTCAAATTTAGTTGAAAAAAATCTGGATTCTTTAATTTTAGTTCATTCCTGATTCGATTTCAACAAAAATTTTGAAAGAGGCTCGGAAACAATTGCAAGAAGAAGCTTTGGAAGAAACTGGAGACGATGAACATCAACAATTTCAAAAAAGGTATCAGAAATGAAAATTTCAATTTCAAATGAAAAAAAATGCGAAATGAAAGAGTCACGTGGAAACGGGAATTTCTGGAAAATTAAATTTTCTCATTTCTGGAAAAAAATCATTTGAAAGCCAAATTTGTAGATTTTCTGAAGCTAAAAATTTACCAGAAATTTACATTTTCCGATAAAAAGACAAAAAAAACAAAGAAATTATTGAATTCTGTTTTTAAATTTCATCAAATTCAGACAACGTCATTTCTCACTTGGCGCAACATCAACAAAAAGTGACGACGATGATGAAGAAGACGATTTGGAAGAGAATGCAAATGGATACGAAGACGAAATTGTCAATATCGATCCAGAAGATGAGGCAGATTTGGCGCGATTTTTGAAAAAAGATGCGGCTCAAATGAGCACTTTGTATGATATTATTCAAGCCAAAATTGAATCGAAACAAGCCGATGCGGAAATTGCGTTGAGTTGTGTTGATCCAAATGAATTCAATGTGAGTTCAAATGTTCATATTTGATGAAACTATTTTTCAAATTATTTAGATGCGTGATATGGATCCAGAAGTTGTTGAAATGTACGAGCAAATTGGTGTATATATGTCAAAATATCGAAGTGGAAAAGTTCCAAAGGCTTTCAAAATTATTCCAAAAATGATTAATTGGGAACAAATTTTGTTGTAAGTTTAGCATACGTCGCATGCCAGGGGTAATCGACCCGTGGAGGGGTTATCCCTGACACCAAATTTTGGAGGGGGTTGTCACTTGAGATAAAAAATGTTATGAAATTTTCTCAGTTTTGATGATAATTTTCTCTATATATTCTGCCATAGGGATACCAATTCAAGCCTCAAAAAAGTTCCCACATAAATATCTGATTGAATTAGCGGTAGCATGCTTTTATTAGACCCTTATCAACTATGCTCCACAATAAAATCCAAAGAATTAAGCCTGGTATCAAGATGGGACCACTATGTCATTTTTTACCCTGTGTTATCAAAGAACACAGGGATAAAAAGTCACTAGGGGTATCTAATGAATACCAATGAATATTAGACTTGAGTTAGGGGTAGCATGCCTTTATTAGACCCTTATCAACTATGCTCCACGATAAAATCCAAAGAAATGAGCCTAGTATCAAGATGGGACCATTATGTCATTTTTTACCCTGTGTTATCAAAGAACACAGGGGTAAAAAGTCACTAGGGGTATCTAATGAATACCAATGAATATTAGACTTGAGTTAGGGGTAGCATGCCTTTATTAGACCCTTATCAACTATGCTCCACGATAAAATCCAAAGAAATGAGCCTAGTATCAAGATGGGACCACTATGTCATTTTTTACCCTGTGTTATCAAAGAACACAGGGGTAAAAAGTCACTAGGGGTATCTAATGAATACCAATGAATATTAGACTTGAGTTAGGGGTAGCATGCCTTTATTAGACCCTTATCAACTATGCTCCACGATAAAATCCAAAGAATTAAGCCTAGTATCAAGATGGGACCATTATGCCATTTTTCACATATCAACTGACAGTTAGTAACTGTAATATTTGCAAAAATTATGATTAAGCGACAATGTAGAGTTATTCAAAATTAATATGGATCAATGTGGTTGCACAATTTAATTTATTTAGTGTCTCGTTTAACTAGCTAGATTTGATATGATCTTTTTAAAAATAATCTCTTGGATGAACAAAATTTCATATTTCTCAAAATTAAAAATTCTCGATTTCAAATCTGTAAGGTTTTTTACTTTATCGAATCCGCGATCTATATTCTAATATCATTAAAAGTCAGCGATCTACAGAATAGTAATGTAATCTACAATTACGATCATATTTTTTTCTCAGAGTTTGTGGTTTGATTTAGGGTCAAACTAATGTTTTTGAAATTGATACATTTTCCCTTCTTGGAAATAGTTGATAAGAACCTAATTAAGGTAAATCACCCCTAACTCAAGTCTAATATTCATTGGTATTCATTAGATACCCCTAGTGACTTTTTACCCCTGTGTTCTTTGATAACACAGGGTAAAAAATGGCATAATGGTCCCATCTTGATACCAGGCTTAATTCTTTGGATTTTATCGTGGAGCATAGTTGATAAGGGTCTAATAAAGGCCTGCTACCCCTAACTCAAGTTCAAAATTCACTATTTCCCTCATTGATGCAAATTCTGAGCTTAAGCTCAATAATATTGTAATTTTCAGATTTCTATAGCTGGAAATGAAGAAAAAATGAAAAAAAGGGGGGGGGGTTATCCCTTTCGTCGAAAATTTTCAAAAATAGGGGTATGCACTGGCGGATTTGAAACAGGGGTATGCGACGTATGAAGTTTAGAGAATTTTGAAGGACTGACATTTTTAAAAGTTTAAATCTGGATTTGTACCAAAAACTGTTTGGACAAAAGTAATTTTTCAAGCCAAATCTTTCCATAATATTGAAAAACCCCAAAATTAATTTTTAGCCTAACAAAACCGGAATCATGGACAGCTGCTGCAATGTATCAAGCAACTCGATTATTTGCATCAAATATGAATCCAAGAATGTGCCAAAGATTTTATAGTCTAGTTCTTCTTCCACGTCTCCGGGATGACATTGACGAATTCAAGAAATTGAATTATCATTTGTATCAAGCACTTTGTAAAGCAATTTACAAACCGGCCGCGTTTTTCAAAGGATTGATTCTTCCATTGGTTGAAAGTGGAACTTGTACATTGAGAGAAGCTGTCATTTTTTCGTCGGTTCTTACAAAAGTTCCGGTTCCGATGTTTCATGCGGCTGCTGCTATGTTGAAAGTGAGATTTTTGGAGTTATTTTTCAATTTTAAGAAAAAATTAACATAATCAAACATTTTTTATAGATCGCTGAAATGGAATATACTGGAGCGAATTCAGTATTCTTGCGAGCTCTCATCGACAAAAAATACGCTTTACCATATCGTGCAATCGACGCAGTTGTTAATCATTTTATTCGTCTGAAAACCGATGAACGTGATATGCCAGTTTTATGGCATCAATGCTTGTTGTCACTTTGTCAGAGATATAAGAATGATTTGAATGCTGAACAGAAATCTGCTATTCATGATTTGATTCGAGTGAGTTTTTGCTGTTTGGTTTCCTGTAATTTTTGAAACCTCAAATCATTTTAGTTCTTGAAAATTTCATTTTATAACAAAGAAATCTGTTTTTAAACTCAAAAAATGAGTAGAAAACTTGTGGGATCTTTAGATTAATAAGAATTCAAAATTGGAAGTTGGTCTTCTAGATTTTTTGACACAATGTAATTAGAGAAAAGTTTCTTATTGTAATGTCTGACTTGAAAATTCTAACAAAAATTTTTCTGAAATCCAAAATTCATCTCATTATTTTCCAGTTCCATGGACATTACTTGATTTCACCTGAAGTACGCCGTGAACTCGAATCAAAAGAAACTGAAGATGGACACATTATTACAACAGTCGAAGTTTCAACCCGCAAAAAAGACAGCATGGAGTTCTAAAAGAGCAGCAGAAGCAGCTGCTCTTCGATTAATCTTTGCATATTTTCAAATCTTTCCTTTTTTCTTGTTTTCTCTTCTTTTTTCTCTTTCTCTTGTTCGTTGTTTTTGTTGTTCATTCGTTCGATTTTCTCGTTCCTAATAAAGTTTATTTTGTTAAATATCTTTTCTTTATTTATTTTGTGTCCAATCGATTTTTGATATTTTTTGGAGGATTTTTATATGGTTTTTAGTTTTTCAGAGAAAATGATAATACGGTGTAGTTTGAGACAATTTTTGAAAGGATATTCTATAGCAAAAAGAACGATTTCAACGAGGTTTGGATTTTATGAAAAAAATTTTAAAATTTATGGGGAGGGGATTTTTCAATAGAAAAAATTATTTCTTCAAAGTCTCACGAATGCAGTTTTTTTTGATGAAAATATTTTTAAAGATGCTTCAACCCAAATTAGAATTTTTAAACGTGAACTTTGAAATTTTTTTGTTCAAAATTAAAATCAGATTTCAAAACATTTCTGAAAAAAATTGAAATTTAAAATTTTCAGTTCAACACAATGTACAGTAATCCCAACAGCGAGTAGTTTAGTTGCACAAACTCCGGATCATGTAAAACCGTATTTGCAAATTATGCGAGTTGATAAACCAATTGGTGAGTTTGTTTTTTAAGTTTTGAAAGTTGAAAAAAAATGAGAAAAGTTTTCAATTCATTAGTTAAAATTGAAATATTGAAGTTTTTTTTGTACATGAATCGTCAAAAAACTATTTTCAGAATAAATTTAAAAAAAACAAATGAAGTCTGAAAAATTTAATTTAATTTTTCTCCCAGGAACCTGGTTATTATATTGGCCGTGCACATGGAGCATCGCATTTGCAGCGCCAGCTGGTCAATTACCCTCTTTGTATATGTTGTCGCTTTTTGGAGCCGGATCTTTTTTGATGCGAAGTGCCGGATGTGTTATTAATGATTTGTGGGATAAGGATTTTGATAGAAGGGTTCGTTTTTTCTCGGAATAAATTTATGCTTTCAGAAAATATTGGAATGCTAGAAAATCCCTTGAAATGCTAATTTTCTAATTGCATTTTTAATTCAAGCTGTATCAAATTCTGCAAAGATATTCTTCATTTTCTAAATCTAAATCCGTGTTTTTTTTCAGGTAGAACGAACAAAAATGCGACCGTTAGCCTGTGGTTCTTTAACCGAAAAACAAGCAGTTGGTTTATTGGCTGGTCTTTTAACTGCTTCTCTCGGTATTTTAATGCAACTTAATTGGTATAGTGTAGCGGTTGGCGCATCTTCAATGCTTCTTGTTGTCGGTTATCCACTTGCTAAAAGATTTACCTATTGGCCACAATTTGTGCTAGGTGAGCGAAAATGAATTTTATGATAGAACATAGATGAAGAGAGGGGAATTTTTGAGAATGAAAAAAGTGGTTGAAACTTGAGAATGGACTTTGAGTGTTGTAAGATCAGAATTTTCTCAAAAATCTATTTCCCATATATTGACAAATTTCTCATTTTACAACATTCAAAATTTATTTCCAATTTTCATCCAACTTTTTCTCTCTCAAAATCCACCCTTTTTTCACCACCGTAGAGATTTTTCTTCCTTTTTCATATTTCTGCTACAGGTGCCACTCTAAATTGGAGTGTTTTGATTGCGTGGGCTGAATTGGGTGGTGGCCTCAGTGATTTTAGCACTTTTGTTCCACTCTACGTTGCCACCATTTTGCACACGGTCATCTACGATTCTATTTATAGCCATCAGGTGTGTAATTATTATTGATTATTATGTGAATATAGTTTAGTCAGCAAGAATATTTATATTTTTAGTCATAGTGCTTTTGTATAGTGTTGTTGGTTTTGGAGTTAAATGTTTCTTAAAAATGGGGTGGAAATTATCGGAAAATTTTGAAAAACGGATTTCTGGCAGAGGAAAAATAATTGAAAATACAAACTTTTGTTTAAAAAATACATTTTTCAAATTGTTTTCTCGCAAATCCTCTGAAATTACGGCTTGCTTCTTCTTTTTTCTTTTCCTCCCCCTTCAAAAATTCAATAAGTGTTTAGTATTTAATATGTAGAGCTGCCACCCAATTGAGTTCAGTTTTCAGTCTGGCAAGATTTTTTTTTTCGATGTTAGATACGTAATTTTCTGTCTAGGTTTGACATTCAATTGGGGTGCATTATTGGGATGGTGTGCAATTCGTGGTGATTTATCATCGTCCGTCCCTTTTTGGTTGTATTTGGCCGCGTTGAAATGGACACTGGTTTATGATACAATTTATGCACATCAGGTTAATATCACAGAAAAATTGCATGTTGAAAATGGAAATGGGATTGTTTTGTTTCGTTTACAAATGAGAAGATTTCTGGAATTTCTTGGGGAACGGTTATGACGATAGAAAACAGGTCAAATTCAAAAATTCTTTTCCACGTCATAACTATGTTCCCCAAAAAATTCCAAAACCTTATATTCATTTAACACTGTGTGTTTTCCCCTTCATTCCTCACAAACGCATGCTTGTCTATTTTTTCAGTTTCGTTAAGTTCAAGTTTTGTCTTTTTATTTCATTTCTATGATTTCCTTCTTCCCCTGATAAAACCCTGTTGTATTCCTCAAAAAATCCGCAATGTTTTAGGATAAAGCTGATGATATAATGATTGGTGTGAAATCGTCGGCTCTTCGACTTGGAGATGACACCAAAAAATGGTTGAGCGCTTTTGGTGTTGGAACAATTGCCTCGTTGACAATGGCTGGAATTGCCAGCCAACAAACTTGGCCATATTATTTGGCGTTAGCAGGTGAGGAATTGAATTTGAAGAGAAGGGTCTCATTGAACTCTAAAATGCTTTTTTTTCTAACATCACAAATTATTTTGCAGGAACATCGGCTCAACTCGGCTGGCAAATCGGAACTGTCAACATCCACAACAGCGATGATTGTTGGCGAAAATTCAAATCGAATTCATGGATGGGTATTATTCTATTTACCGGAATTGTCGCCTCAACTTTATTGAAAAAAGAAGAAGAAAAACGGTTTTTAGGCACAAAAGATGAAGGATGGTAGACTTGTTTTTGTTGTTATGAATAAAAAATATATACTTAGAAAATGGTTATTTTGGAAGATGACAAGTATCGGAACTTTTACAAAATTTGAAACAAATGACATCACAAAATTCAAAAATCATCACTTGAGGAATTTGAAAAAGCATCGAAACTTATGATAAAACAATTAAATTGTCAATTTAAAAAAAAAAAATAACATGGGTCTCAAAAACATTTTCAAAATAATGATTATCCCGCCCAAATGAAAATTTCACTTTGGGCGTGAATCCAAATGATCAAAAATTCCTTACAGGAAGGAAAAAGTGTTAGAGTTCTAAAATTTTCGATTTTTCGTCAGAAAAACCTGAAATCACCCTACTTCCACTATTTTTGTTTTCTTTTTAAATATTATCCAGAATAATAAAAATATTCGATAAAATCAAGATTTGATATCTGGGTCAGTTATCTCCGAAAGGACAAATACATTTGCATAAATTCTGGATTTTCTTATCTCGCTCAATATATCTAACCTTGCCCTCTCTCTACAGAAAAAAACGGTATAAAAGGAGGATCGGCTGGGACACTTTTTATTTTTATTTATTTCATCTCATCTCGAGATTTTTGTTAATTAATTAATCCACTAATTGAATATTTTTGCAGATGTCTTCTTCAGTAACAGGCTACACAGCCTGTGCACTCGGTGCATTTTCAATTCTTATGTGCATGATTGCTGTTCCAACAATTATCATGCAAGTCGATCAAGTTCGAATTGAATTGCAAACCGAAATGGAAGCCTGGAAAGCGCAATCCGATCAAACCTATTTGGATCTTCAAAAATACGGAAGAGTTCGTCGTCAAGCTTATGGTGGATATGGCGGATATGGAAGTGGGCCATCTGGACCATCAGGACCACCAACTGGTGGATTCCCAGGTGGACCAAATCACGGTGGATTCCCTGGAGGACCACAATCTTCGAATAACCCAGGATTGCCGGGAGTTATTGGAGTTCCACCATCGGTCACTGGACATAATGGAGGATCACCAGTTAATCCAGATGGATCACCATCAGGTAAGGGCTTTAAATTACAACTTTATTTGAAAACAACAAGTTACAGTACCGTTTTTCGATTCGGTTACTGTAACTTGCCGCATTCGTGGTAGCTTTCGAATTTCAGATCTTTTGATTATTTTTTGAAGTATTCATTTGAAAGAAAATTCAAAAAACAAAATCATCTTGTTCTAAAAAAATGACTTTTTCCAAATTATATTTTTTTGCAGCCGGACCAGGAGACAAATGTAACTGCAACACCGAAAACTCATGCCCAGCTGGACCAGCCGGACCAAAAGGACAACCAGGACACGACGGACCAGACGGTATTCCAGGAGTTCCAGGAATCGACGGAAACGATGCCGATGATGCTAAAGCCCAAACTCAACAATACGAAGGATGTTTCACTTGTCCAGCTGGACCACAAGGGCCACAAGGACCAACCGGAAAGCCAGGAGCCCGTGGAATGCGTGGAGCACGTGGACAAGCCGCTATGCCAGGTCGTGATGGATCACCAGGTATGCCAGGCTCATTGGGACCAGTCGGACCACCCGGAGCTGCTGGAGAAGAAGGACCAACTGGAGAACCAGGACAAGATGTCGAACACCAAATCGGTTTGCCAGGAGCCAAAGGAACTCCAGGTGCACCAGGAGAATCTGGAGATCAAGGAGAACAAGGAGATCGTGGAGCAACTGGAATTGCTGGACCACCAGGAGAGAGAGGACCACAAGGAGATAAGGGAGATGATGGGCCAAATGGATTGGCTGGATCACCAGGAGAAGAAGGTGAACCAGGACAAGATGCCCAATATTGTCCATGTCCACAGAGAAACACAAATGCTGCTGTTAATGCCAATCAAGGTTACAGAAACTGAGCATAATTATAATGAAAAGTGGTTCGAGAAAACATTTGAAACGTTTCATTATTGTTTTGTTGATAAATTATTTATTCAAAAAATGTTTTGAGAAATTTTCAGAAAAATTCGAGGAGAATTTGAATCAAGAAATTTAGGTTCTGTTTTCAGAATTATTCAGAAAATGAATTTTTTTCGCCCTATAATTAGCTCAATTAAAAACATTGGTGGATCACGGTTTTCTCAAAATTTCCCGAGTTGGCTCAAATCAGATTTTTGACCAAACATTTTATGCAACTGGAACAAAATGTGACATCCTACCATGAAAAAGTCGCCCGGTGACTAGAAAAGTTATCCGATCTGAAGACAATAGAAGCGTTGCACTGATATCCTTCCAATGATTATTTTCAACTTCATAACAATCACCTTTTCCAGCATATCGTTCAAAATCGAAACAGAAACCTTGTCTGAAAAAAAATATTTTTTATCAGGTAAGTTAACCTAATTTTTAAACAACTTACGATTCATCATAAAACTGTTCATCCCATTTTTTAACTTTCAAATTCTTCAAAATAATATCCTTATCATAAGAATCTCTCTTGAACCATCCAAGAAATTGTACAAAATCTTTTCGAATTTCGCCATTCGCCCATTTTTGCAACAAAATATTAATAGTTTCATCAGTCAAACTCAAACCAACATCCAAATTGATAACTTTCGCATTCAAATTCAAAAATTGTTGTTGATTGAATAAAGGCGTCGCCCAGAAATACAACTTATCGCAAGAATTTAATTGCGTTGATATTTCATTCAGAAACGCTGTGGGTAATTCTTGTTTTGTGCAAATTTGAAGAGTTTTCAGTTTTGGTGGTCCCACTTTCCGAATCCACCACAGTAATAATTCTTGATTTTCGGTGACAACTCGGAGATTTCGTAGATTTTGCAGTTGAGGAATCGGAGACAAAACGAAACAATTTTGTTCCTGAATAAAAACATTTTGAGGGAAAAATGTAGAAAAGTTTGATAATATTAAAAATTACCATTTCAATAGTTAATCTTTTCAATCGATAATCACATTTTGCCAAACAGAATTCCACTAATTTCATAGCCTCAATTTTATAATTATTTTCACATATTTGACTAAATTTCCTCTTCCTTTTATAACTTTTATCATATATTCTGCAAAAAAAAATCAATTTTCGGGAAGAAAATTGAAGAAAGAGTATTCTTTTTAAATGAACTCTTGTTTTGGATGAGTTAAGAAACCTTTTAAAAACTCCGAAATCATGAAATGGAAAGTAATACGAGCATTAAAAATTGTTTTGTCTGGATTTTTCCTTTTTCCATAATAAACCCCTAAAACTCACGAAATTAAAACACATTTCTCATTTTCTTCTACAAAATTCATCTCAAATCGTTCTCCTTTCTCAATATCAAAATAAATCTCAACAGTCGAACATTTTTTCTCTTCTTCTTTACAAATCTCATAAAATATCAAGTTTTGCTCAACGATTCTGATCTCGCTAATCTTCATTTTCGAATTTTTCACATTTTCAAAATCGGATTTCGAGCAAAGTGAAAGATTTAATCTGCATTTGAATCCCAGGTTGGAAATTATAATTTTCTTGATTTTATATGGTAATTTGGGCCAATCTTCAAAGGTTTTGCATTTTCCCTGGAAAAATTATTTTTGCCACTTTTTTCACACAAAAAACTCACATGTCTAGAACTTGTGGCTGGTTCATCTTCATTTATCGAAAAATCGGCGAAAAAATCGAAATTCTCCATTTTCCAAAAACTCCTATTAGTCAAAGAATATCAGAAATAAATACACTGTGTAAAAAACCAAAACATATTTGTGTATTATACACAAATATTTTTTGGTTTTTTATTGAAAAAGGTATTGCGAAATATTTCATAATGTTTGCAACACACTTTTTTCTGAAACGCACACTTTTTTTTTAAAAATCATTGTTCATTAAACAGAGAAAAAATTAACAAAATTGTGACAGACAATTAAAAATATTTTTTATAAGTTCCGTTTTTCCAAACTTTGATATTTCTTCCAGAAAATCCAATGATCAAGCCTTTTCTCTGAAAGAATTTTAATTTTTTAATTGATTTATAAATGATTTGAATTTTACTGACTTTTCTTTCTGAGCTACAATGAGAAATGTAAGCAGAAGCCAATTCCTCATTATTTTCGCTTTTGAATTCTTCATTGAATCTGGGGGTGAATCCAACTCTGAAATTAATTATTGATTTATATTCAAATTCAATTAAAATAAAACGAACCTTGCCATTTCATCTTTTGTAAGATGACGAGGAGTCAATCCTTGCAAAATCTCTTCAATCGAGAAATCCTTTTGCATTCGCAAAACACAACTCTCCAAAGTGTCACAAGCTTCATTTTGCCAATTTTTCAAAAATTGATTAATTCCGCTAGCAGTGATATTTTCGACGTGATCAAGACGAATTGCAATAAGGCGGTGCATTTGGGAAAAATGTTGATCATTGATTGAATGTTTTTGTAAAACCGCCAATTTTTTGGGACCATAGAACTGGAATTATCATAGATCTCAGAAACTAAGTAACACGCAACAATTTCGCAACATAAGTGATGAAATATTTATTACTTACCTGTGGAATTTCGAACAAATCATTGGTCACCGAAGGAACACTCGAAGTACTGGAATATAATCTTCTGTCAGTTCCATCGTAACTGACAACAATATCTTTATAATCAAATCGATAAGTTCTGTCAGTCAAAAGAAAAACTGGATTTTTTCTACACCATTCAGCAAATCCACCACATCCAACTTCGAAAACAATTTCCTCGATTTTTTCATAAACTGATGGACACAAGGATTTATCAAAAGGCCATGGTGAGCGAAGAATCAATTTCTTGATTCTTTTCGTGTTGTTTTTCACAATTTCGTTTAAGGCATTTCTGGCTTCAGCATGATGATTTGTTGTTCCCAAAATGATTTCTGATTTGAGATAGAAGATGTCGCGGGTTTTATTGGATTTTGAACGTTTTTCACTAAAAAAAATATTCTTATGAGTAAGTAGTTTGTTAAACTAACCATGCAACAAGACAATGCTCTTTTCCAGCGAAGAATTTGAAATTAACTTTATTTTCGCATTTTATTCTAACTGGTTCGAAATCACTTTCCATTCGCAAGATTTCAAATGCCATTGGAACTTTCAATCCAATATAGAAGCTTGTTTGTCCAGACATCATGTAGTTTACCAATGTTTCTTGGTCCAAATTTTTGAGGACAATCACTTTTACCTCGACTGGAATATCATCCCATCTTTCCAATAATGTTTCACAATCTTCTGAAATTGTCTGAAAACAAAATAATTGCTTGTGACATTTGAAAAACAACTCACATCATAAACATATCTTTTCTTGTAACTACTTTTTCCTTCCGGAGTTATTTCTTCAAAAGAATCGTATAAGAACGAGAACATCTTCCTGGCTCTGAAACTACTTTCTCTTTGAAAACGTTTTTTAAACGGTAGAAACAAAAAAACAAGAGCAAATGAAAAAAAAACTAATTGAAAAATGGCTGCACAGTACCCCTACCTCAAAGGCGCACGTGACGCCGCACATGTGTCTTGACGCGCGCGCAACTTATTTTCAAAAAAACAAAGGTTTTTTTTTTTAATTTTCATTTTAAAATAAATTTTTTTTCATTTTTTTCAAGCAATAAAATTTATTCAAGAACCGTAAAAATACACGTAAAATAACAATATTATGCAACTTTTCAATGTTTCCAAAAAAACACCGATTTCATATCTTCTTTCGTCCAATTTCCATTAGGTTTCACATTTTTTCCCGACTCATTCCATTGATATTTTGTAGTCGGATGATCTTTATACCATAATTTTCCATATTCCAAAGTGATTTGTTGATTTGGCGAGCAAGTGACCCAAAAAATATGTCCCAAAAGATCGCCAGCACACCAAGGATCATATTTGGGATATGTGAATTTGTATTTTCCGCCATTTCCATTCATCCCACCAACCCAATTTATTATAGTTCCATTTTTATAATCATCTGTGTACATGAAAAATACATCGGTATTTACAGCATATCCCGTGTTTGAGTAAACTGTCAATTCCAAAGAATCATTGATCTGAAAGAAATAAGTTATTTTTGTGCAAATCAAGTCCAGGTTGAACCTTTTTTGAATTACTTAGAAATTTCAGAAATCAAAAAAAAACCTACAAGATAACAAAATTGTTATCTAAAAATTTTCTGACGAAAAAAAACAGCGATAGCGATAATTTATTTTTGTTTAATCTAGTTCAAAGAACAAAAAAACCAACCCGTCCAAATTTTCTTGCCAAAGTGAATTCCGATTCAGCCGACTGAAAATAATCCAATATTTTCGGATTTATATCCTCGATAAATACAGATACATCCATATCATAAGTGTGAGGAATAATACTACATTCACGATACCAACCTGAATTAATTAAATAATTAATCAGTTAATTAGATAATTAATTTTATCAATCAATTAGTCATGGGATGCTTACCTAATAAAGTTCCACCATTCAGAAATGAAAACATGTCAAAATCCAATAATTTATCTCGAAGTTGAGCCAATGATTGAGCCGATCTTGCAGCATTTAGAAAAACTTTTTGACCTTTTCGAGGAATATATAAATTCAGACAATCGATATATTTCGATCTTTTCAGAAATCCCAAAAATTGTGGGATATTTTTTGGATAATAAATATTGCCGATTTGATGAGATTCGAAGCGTCTGAAATTTTTTTGTTAAAAAAAAGATTTTAGGTAGAAAACAACATACTTTGGAATAATTCTTCTGGGTTCGGTTCGCAAGTCGAAATAATCCTTTTTCGTTTCGTTGGCAAAGAAAATTACTTCGAATCTTGGATCTTTCAAAATTTCGCGATTTTTCAGATATTTCAAATCGATTCCGATCTGAAAATTGAATTGAAATGAAATTTGGAGTGACAAAACCATGTAAAATTTGGATTTTTGCAGGAAAAATGAAAAATATCACGTGGCTTTTGAATTTTTTTTGACAAATTTTTGAAAACTTAGAGAATATACATTTTTTGGAATAAAAAACTTGAGAGTTTCCACGTGGATTATTGGAATCAGAATGCCACGTGTCTAACTTTTTTGCCACGTCATAACAACTCTCTAAGCTCACCTCAATTTTTCGAAACTTCTCACAAGTTCCATTTTGAATACTTCTCAAAAAATCTTCATCAAGAATAAGAATTCGAACATCTTTCGTCTGTAGACTTTCAATTGTCACGCATTTTTCAGATTCCTAAAAACCCGAATTTTGGAAAAATCTTGAAATGTTAAAATGTTTCAGCTCACATTCAAAGTCGATGTTGAAAAAGTTGTTTTTAAAATTGAAGTCTGATAGAATAAAATAGGAATAATGAAACAGCAAGGCATTGAAAATAACAATATAATTCTTCGCATTCTGCAAAAAAAACTTTTTTTTATTTTCAGTTTTTTTTTCAGATTTGTAGAAAAAAACAAGAAGAAAAAATAAAAGAATCATTGCTGTGTGAAATTGGATTTTCAAGTATATATACTTGATAGTCTTGTTTTCCATTTATTTTTTTTTATTTTGCACAAACCTTGATCTTCTTTGTGGATTCTCGAGTCGAGTATACATTTCTGAAAAATAGGTATTTTTAGAAAACCAGATAGATAAATCACAGAAATAATAATAACATCTAAACCAAACTTTCTTTTCTGATAACATTAATTTTTCACATGACAGGCTCGGTCCGGAAACTTGATAAAACAATAATAATGTGACGATTTTTGTACTACGCAATGCGGAAAAAATATTTTGGTGTCAGAATTTCTAAATGAACACTACTCATTTGTTATTTATTGGTTTGCAAACGAGAAATTTTGGGAAAAATTCGCAGAGCGTTTGCAAATTTAGTGGTTCGAAAAATCATTTTTATAGATCAATTCAATTACAAAAAAAGTAGTTTAGGCAGTGTTTCTATTCACAAATATTCAGAAATAGATTACTGTATACAAAATAGAATTGTGTTGAAAAAAATTCGAGAATCAAAAATACAATTTCTGAATTTTTTTTCAATAAACTGTAGTATCAATATTTAAATTTTTTCTAACAAAGAAATCACTTTTTTTGTTTAAAAAACTTCGATTTATTTTTTATTTTCTAAATGAATCACTCTAGAAATGTATCGAAACACTTATTTCTAAAAAAAAACATTTAAAAAATTGTTTTCCATTTGTTCTAATATTTGGTAGATGAATTAGGCAAGATAACTTTTGGAATTTTTCAATGGAGAACAAAATAGAAACATCTGGTCAAAAATAGTGAGTTCTTTCCCAAAACACAAAAATAAATCAATCCAAATGTTTATATTTTCTTTTTCATAAACAAAAGAGGAATCCGCCAAAAAACAAAATAAAAGAAACTAATAAACAAATAGTATTTTTATTTGTTTCAGAAAACAAAAACTAGAATTATTCACTTTCTGATTAGCTGGGAGAAGAGTATGCTGACCATGTTACAAAAATTGTTCAGATTAATATGATTTATTGTTTTTTTCTTTTTTTTTGAGGAAAAAAATTGGAGGAAAATTGAGAAAAACATACATTTTAAATCACAAATCTGTCAGGTAAAAAATGACAGCTGGAAAAAAGTAAAGCTTAAAAAAATAAAAAAAACACCGCAATGGTGCTCGAACCCGCGATAAAGCTGCAGATCACTTTTATTTGTGAGGTTATTACAATTCCGATTTGGAATATAATTATTCAAATTTTCTTCCGGGCGCATAACATTTCCGATAATGAAAAATTCGAGCGGAATTCCCGGGAATTTTGTTGATATCATTTATTTACATGCGATAAAAAATTAGTCAATAAATATTTGAAAACAGTAATAAAATACCTGGAGAAAGGTGAAACGGGATTGGGATTAGAAGAGAAAACCAAAGGCAATAATGACGATTGAAGAGCAAAGGAAAATATCAAAGTTGGCGAATGCGGCATCATCTTCATCGTCTTCTTCATAATCATTCTCATCATCTCGCGATCTTTTCTTCGAATTTCTATTTCTTGGGCGGTCTTCATCATCTTCGTCTTGATTTTGGCGACGACGAGATTTGCCATTCTGAAATTTAAAAAAGTTTGGAAACTAAGTTACGCTGGAAATGTCCGACAAAATTTCACGTTTGAAAAATTTTAGCGTGACCTCTTTTTTCAAAATATGTTTTCATTTCGAAAATATTAGAAGAATTACTGCTTTGGATTGAAATCCAAACTCTAGATTGGAAAAAAATCCTAGAAAATTTTGGGCTTTGTTTTGCGTCTAGGATTAAAATTTTCTGCTTTTGGGATAATTTTTATTAGAAATAAAATACCTTGGTAAATATGACATTTCATTTAATTTTGAGCCAATTATTCTCTTTTTTGTGAATTCTAGCCCAAATTCATATTCCACCCTCTTTCCTTTCAAAATCATTCCCCAACAACTCACTCGTCTATCTTTTCTCTCAAGTTCTCTTGCAGCAGCTTCCCAATCTTCATCCTCATCACCTTCTTCAATCTCCTCTTCTTCATCTCTTCTTTGCGAACTTCTTCTTCCAGATTTGCGATTTCCTCGTGTTGGTCGACGTGGTTTCTCCTCTTCCTCTTCTTCTTCCACATTCTCATCATTTCGAGTTGATTCCTTTGATCTTCTTGAAGTCTTCTCCTTCTCTTTCTCCATAACCGAATCAACTTCCTGGAAACAAATTATAATGAAAACGTCTTGCAGGCAACTTAAGATAACTTACATCTTCGAAATTCGAATTCTTTTTGTTGGCAATATTTTCAATTGCATTTATCGCATCATTCGCTTGCTTGCTATCAACTCCAGTATAAACTGAGTCGGTTAATCTCTCCGTGCGTTTGACGTCTCCTGAGATTTGAGTCGAAAACACTGTGTGATAATCAACATCTTCTTCAGAAGAAGTGTCTTTTTCATCGAATGAATATCCGTTTTGACCATCCTCGATGATGAGACTATCTGGAAATAAAAACAAATTATTGGGTCACAGTTGGACGTGGAAATATAGCACAGTCACGTTTATAAAACTGTGGGCATTTCTAATAACAAAACAGATGTTTTATGTTTTCAAAAGGATTGTCTGGTGAAGTGAGTTCAACGCTTTTTAGGAGAATTATGAAAAACAACTTACCCTCGCATTGAAAACTTTTCAGTGTACAGAAAGCTAGCTTTAGGCGCACCGGCGGAAAAATAATTTTTAAATCAAAGGGACACACATTTTTCAAGCGCTGGGGTCTCGCAGCGATTTCAGTTTTTCATGACTTTGACAAACGTTTTAGCTTATTTTCAGAAACTTTCATACATTTGCAGCAAAATCTGAGTATATCATGTGATTCGTCTCGTCGAAAGGAACACATAGATTATTCAAACTTTGTACTAGATGTAGTTTTAAGAAAGTTGTACCCATTTTTAAATACTCACCAACAAACTTTCCAGTGGTGATGTAAAAGTTGCGATTTTGTTCAAAAGTTGGTGTTAGTTGTGATGCATCAAATGAGAAGATGAAGTTTGTTTGGTCAATTGATCTAATAGTCTTTGATATCTCCTCTTCCGAAACAATTATTGGTTGATTAATATCGGCATATGCTTTGAAACTTCTATGTCCATGTGGAAGGCATATTATATAAGTTGTAGTTTCATTTACTTTTTCGAGTGGAAATGCAACATAAGCCTGTTGGTCAAAAACACCACGAAGATGCAAATCGAGATTTCCTTCGTTGTCAAAATTGAAAACTGTTCGGCAATTCGTATCAACATTACATCCTTCTGGTTGACCGAAACATTTTCCTGATTCGCAGTCGAGGGCCAATCCAACTGCAACGAATACTAGACAGATGAATTCGAGACGCATTTTTCGAAAAAGTGACGAAAATTGTCTAGTTCCGCCTTTTTATACTTCGGAAAAATAAATGAAAAGTAAGTAGATCATTTCGCGGCATTGGTCAAAAAAAGATTTGAAAAAAATTTTTTCCGAATTTCTATGTATTTTCTCATTGATCTTTCATTAGAAATTATACGATTTCAGAAGTATTGTAGAATTAGGTTTCTAGGATTTTCCCGCCAAATTTTCAGAGGTACTGTAGCTCTAAAAATTTTAAGGTTTCTGTAATGTCTAGAATTTTTTCCAACAACAATTTGATTCAAAACAATTATTTATTAATAACATAACCGTTACTATCAATCCTTTGTCTAAGTTCCTCAACAGTTCCACTCGACGAAATACCGTGTAACGAAGACAACATTGGTGGGAATCCTTGTCTTGGCGGTGGTGCAATACTCAATTGTTCCCACTGAGTTTTGAGTTGTGAAACTGTTGAAGGCGCTAGAATATCTGTGTGAGCATCAACTACATGCGGCTCTAAAAGTGTAACAATTTGCGAGAATTCCGGTCGAAATTCAGGCTCAGGATGCCATGCTTGTGGAATTAGATTGAGAATATGAGCAGGAAATTGTGGAGTTGGTTGATTTGGCAATGTTGGTCTTCCCCGTTTATACGTCATTTCCGCTGCCGCAGCGGCTGGTTTCAGATTTGCGAATGGTAATTCAGCTGTATGAATTTCCCAAACAACTAAACCAAAACTGAATACATCCACTTTTCTGTCATATTTTCCAGATTGTGAAAATACTTCAGGAGCCATCCAACGCAAATTTCCAGGTTGTTTAGTAAGATTCTCGTTTTCTCGTTGACTAGCAAATCTAGATTCTCCAAAATCGGCAACAACACTTCGACCATCGTTGTGGATAAGAATATTGTGACTATTCAAATCTCTGGAATAAATATTTTTTTTTGGATTACGAAAGTTTAGATCTGCAGCCTTTAAACTGAAGCTCCCACTTTTCTTTAAAATCTGCTCACCTATGAATAACTGGTTTTGCAGCACTTTCATGAAGATATAACATTCCTCTTGCAATATCAAGACTAACTCGTAACCGAAAATCTGGATCTAGAACTCGTTTTTCTTCGTGTAACAAATGAAATAATGAACCATTTTCTACAAACTCGGTGACTATTGCAAATTGCTGAAAAAATCAAAGTTATAAGCTTCATCCAACATTAAAACTTACACTTGGATCATCTAGCGAAGTTCCAACAAACGCAACAATATTCGGATGCGAAAGTCTTGATAAAATCGAAACTTCTCTACATAACATATCAGTTTCTGATTTACATCCAAATGCCATTGCTCGATATCTTTTCACTGCTACCAATTTTCCACGATAAGTCCCTTTATAAACTTTTCCGAATGATCCAGCACCAATCGATTCTTGAAAATCGACCTCAGCTAGACACAAATGAAACGGAGCTGGGAGAGCTGATCGCAGTTGGAGGAGTTCAGCCTTATCGCGAGTTAATGATGTTAGTCTTCCCATTGGAGATGGAAGTGGTGTGTAAGATGATTCACCGGAACTGTATTCACTACAAACATCTCCTTCGGTTGTTCGATTAGCGTAGTGTTTCAGAAGTGCCACAATTGCGTCATGTCCACGTTCATAAGCCCAGATGACTGGAGTCTGTTGATCCTGAAAATTTCAAATAGGAAAAAAGTTCAGGGGGTTTGTAAAAAATGCCCTTCAGTATCTGCTTTTTTTTCGAATAATCAACACTTACATCAATTGAAATAGTCGAGTTGTATGAAGCATTTGAAGACGGTGTATCACTTCTATTCAATGCCATAATCGCACTCGCAACTTTCGACATTCTCGCTCCAACAGAATTTCCAGCTTGTTGTCTCAATGCTCCTCCCTCAAATGCTCTCGACGCCAAACTTTGATCAGCCCCATTCTCCAATAAATACTGCACAATCCTCAGATGCCCATGATAACACGCAGAATGCAGTGCAGTATGTCCATCTTGCCCTTGATAATTTGGATCAACTCCCGGATATTTACAAAGAAAAGCAACGAGTTCAATCGATTTTCCACCTGTGGACGCAGCATGCAACGCTGTTTCGCTGAACACATTTTCCAGATTCACGATGTTTGTTGGCGAACATTCGAGAAGCGTTTTCACAACATCAAGTCGACCAGAATAACACGCAAGATGAAGGGCGGTGTCGCCGTATAAATTACGTGCGCATATCCTCTACAAAAATTTCTTTTGACATATATTTTGAAATTTAGATTGAGTTAACTGATATACCTCATGATTTCCACGAACATATTTGAGTAACAAATTGAGAACTGTCAAATTCGCTGATTTTGCAGCATAATGCAATGATTGATTTCCCTCATCATCAGCCAAAAGTGCTGAAATTCTTTTTTTTATTAAAGTATCGATAGAGAAGAACAAGGAAAAACTCACGATCTGCTTTTGAGTCCAATAAAAGTTTCGAAATTGCTGCAAGACCTTTTGCAGCTGCCAGATGAATTGGTCGATCATTGACAGCTCCGCCAAGATTTGCATCTGCTCCACGAGATAATAAAACTCGAACTATCTGAAATTCGGAAAAACAATGAAGGGTGAGAGATGGGTGGTTAGAATTTTTTCTGGTCCACTTGAAAATTTAAAAGAACTGACTACTGTAGATCAAAGTGGATCAAGATTACAATAGTTAAGAAATCCTAGATACCATTAAAAACTTGGTGAGTCGAAAAAAACCTCCAGCTCACAAAATTCTTCACTTACATTTTCGTTACTAAAATAAGTAGCACAATGCAAGGATGTAAAATGTACAAAATCAGTCGAATGAATATCAGCTCCACCATCCAAAAGAAGTGTCAAAATATCGACATCACCAGTCATTGATGCCAAATGCAATGGCGGCAATTTATGACGACCCGATTGATTCAAATCGACTTCAGAAGATATCAGAAAACTGACAAGATCTTTATCCCCTTTATAAATTGCAATATGCAAAGCAGAAAAACCATTCGAACTGATTGAGGAGATCAATGACTTTTTTCGATCTTCTTCGAGAATTTCGAATATTGATTGCAGTTTTTGACATTGCTGAAAGGAAAAATGTAATGAAAACGATAAAATTGTGAATGTGGGGTTACCGAATTACTGTGACCAGCACAAATGATATGAACAAGGGTTAACGATTGAGATGATGTTGATTCAACGTTTTCCAATTTCAGAAGATTTTTGAAATCTTCAGGTGATTTTTCGCTGAAAAAAAAAACGGAGAGAATAATTTTCAAAGAGACCGCCTCTCCCCCAGTTTCTATAACTTACAACGCAGCAATCTGTAATTCATTCCAACCAGTAGTAGTTCTCGGTCGGATATCATCATTTAATCGACTTCTTACAACCGAATAACCTTCCGATATTTTCTTTTTCAACTCATCTGAACAAGAAGTCAACGGCCGCGATTTATAGTTGCCCATTTTCAAACTTCATAATTTTTTCTCCAAAAAAATCCACTAATTGTAAAAATAAAATAAAAAAATAAAATATTTTCAATGATTAGTCAAGAAAAAAGTCCTTCTCATTTATTTACACTAAAGAAGACAGAGCAGGTTTGCTCTTTGTCTCTCTCTCTCCACCTGTGTCTCTTCTATTTTTTTCGTCTCTCGCGGGAACAAAAAAAACTTTATTGAATGAAGGAGAAAACAATAATACAGAGGTTTGGTTTAAAGATAAATTTGAAAAATATTAAACTCAGGATTTCGATGCAGCTTTCCATCCACCATTTTGACAACCAAATGAGCCACAGCCTGATGGAGTATTTACTTGTCGAGTTGGAGCAGCATAATTATAGTTTTGAGCTGGAAAAAATTTAGACCTAATTGTATAAAGGGGTTCTATTTAATTAAGGACCCCTTGGGAAACGAGAGGAGCCGTAGTCAGAAAATATGTTCGGGATTCGAATTTTATCAAAAGTTTGAAAAAGAAAACCCCATAGGGGTTTTTGAAGTCAATTTCGGATTTTTCGAAAGAAAATTCCAATAAATACTCCTGTCAGAAGCTTACTTCTCCTTCCATAACTTCTCATCGTATTCCCATTATTCAAACTTGATCCTCCTTGATGTACACCATTATTTGTTGTTACACCCTGCATCACACCATTTCCCATTCCCATTCCTATTTGATTTCCACCAAACATGTTATTGTTATTATTAGCTGCGAAATTTTGTTGGTTTCCAAAACTTGTTCCAAATAGTCCATTATTCATTGTGTTAGCAGCTCCGCCTAAAACAATTCCCAAAAGAGTTGAGAAAATAGAGGGAAATACACAATTTTAATGGCACTTACCAAAACTGTTATACATTCCATTGAACATTCCATTTCCGTACATTGAATTACCGTATAAACTTTCAAAACCATTTTGACCAAATGAGTTACCGTATAATCCCATTCCCATTCCACTGTAAGCAGAAAGCGGGTTATAAGCATTATATCCTGGAAAAATCACTTTTTGAAAAATCATTTTTTTTCGAAAATATGATTTTCAGAACAGTTCGGGAAAATTTTGAAAATGTTCTTGAGACAATAAGAAATCTGTGAAAACATGATCCTACAAATTAAAACAAAAATTTCCTAAGAAAATAAACCCTTTTCTAGTTTCTCCCTCCCCATTTTTCCTCCTGTCTAAAAATATTTATGCCCGATGTCTGGCCATTTTCTGGTTGACTTCATTTGTTTTTCATATTTTCTTACCTTGGAACATTGATGAATAATCAAAAGGATATCCCATCATTTGATTATAGGCAAATCCGAAAAATTGAAAAATAATCAAAATAGTTCGCATTTTCTGTCTGAACTTGGAATATAAATAAATACAAATAAATATTTTATGAATCAAAAAGTGAGTAAGTATGTAATTGGTCGAGTATACATGTATTTGTATTCACCTTTGTGCATCACTTCACATTTTCTGAAGAGTCACGTTTCCAACTTTGTGTGTGGAAACATCTGGAGCAAATTTTGATTATGTTCGAAAATGAAAGGGATTCAGGGGTAATAGAAAAATTATTTGAATGGTCCCAGTTATAATCTTCAAAACCCGTCATTTCTCCATTTTTTCCAAGAGAACAAAACACTTTCAACTTTATTTTTTTTTTGGAAAGAATTTTATGGATCCATCAAAAATTGACGAATCGGTGACAGTTTGAAAACATATACTTTTCTTATTTTTTTTTGTTGGAATGTGCGAATTCGATATTTTCCAAATTTTCTCATTTAAAATTCATAGACTCTTGACAAATGAGAATTTATAATTATGAATTGACAAAAAAAGGTGTTTGAAAAATTCTACTCTTTGAAATTGTGAATTTTCTGAACCTTTTCAGAAAATCCACGTGATGAAGTTTGCGGGAAATGTTGAATTTCAATATTTTTCCGAAAATTGTAAATTTCGAGTTCCTTTTGGAGAAATGTTTCCAATTTTTCAAAATTATTAATTTTACCCCTATTTAGAAAAGATAATATTTTTGGACAACATTTTTGGAAACAAAAAATAATCTCCCTACATATGTTTTAGTAATCCATTCAAAAACCAAACGCGTTTTTTCTTCTTCTTCATTTTTAACTTTTTATTTCCATAGGGCCATGTTTTTCTGCGCATTTTTTCTCTTCTCGAATTTAATTCACCGAAAGCAGCGAGTTTTTCTGGAGGACTCTAACCCAACAAATTTGATTTGATTTCTTTTTATTTTGTTTAGTTCAGTTCGTTTTGCTTTACCTTTTTCTTTGAAGATGCGAATTTGTGGTTGAGATGCGATTAATCGGACTCAGAATTGTTGTATTTTTCACTTTCACATTCTCAAATTTTTGTTATTCAAAACACGGTGAATCGAATGATCTAGATTTCACAGATCATACAAAGGTTGGTTTTTTTCGGTACTGAATGTAAATCAAAATTCAATTTTTTTTTTAAATTTTAGGGAAGCCCTCATATAAATCGTCATTCATACTTCAAACAAGATTATCGACTTGGATATAAATTGAAAATTTTTTGTGAGGCTAGCGGTTTTCCAAGGCCCGATATTATTTGGTATCATCGAGGAAAAGAAGTTGAACCGGATCATGGAAAATCAGTTAGTTAACTTTTTGAATGAAAATTAGTCGTACAGCAATGAATTTTGCAGAAAAAATCTACATATTTGCCTTTACTGTAGACTTCCAGTTTGATTTCGGATCACTGAATTTAGACTTGAATTCCTCAGCCAAGATTCAGAAAAAACCTACAGTACCCTAAAGTTTTTAGTCTAAAGTACTGTAGCTCACGAAGTATGATTGTATATCAGTTTTGATCAGTAATATAGGTTATAACCAAATAACTGTATTTCTGTAAACTCAAAAAATTGTCAGCACAAAAAAATTAAATCAAGAAAGCTTTTCATTCCCTATCAAAACTCAAAATATGTTCTCAGATTCGCTACACAATCCATGGTTCAACAACATCTTCATATCTCGAAATCGATCCAACAACAATTGTGGACAAAGGAGAATACGAATGTGTTGCGAGTAATCAAAAAGGAAGCCATGTCGCAAAATTCCTAACAGATTATCAATTTTAATTTTTGGCGTGTGTTGCTTTATTTTTTGCCGTTTTTTTTTGAATATTTGATGAAAATGTTTTAGCTGTTGCAAAAAATCTTCGTGGGTTTTGACAAAAAATATTTCTGGAATCAAAATTTCCATGTTTCCCATTTTCAGTAGAAAAATAAAAACACAATTTGAAAAAAGAAGAGAGTTGATGAGTTTGGTCTGGTCCCCGGTCATAAAATGGTTGTATTGACCTTTTTTAGGGGGCAGAAAAAAATGTTTTTTTGCTAGCTGAGCTCGAAATTTCTGATGATGACGAGTTAGCCTATTTCAATGTATACCAAAATAACTTTTTTATTCCAGGGAGGCAGCAAATAATATGTTTTTGCATCAAATTTCCTCTCCTTGTTCCTCCTATTCATCTGTTCTCAACGCAAATTAATTAAAATCATAAATTATTCACCAAATTTTCCGGGTGCTTCCAACTACTCTCTGGAAAATGTTTTTTTCCTATTTTTTTTTGATATTACATACACATACTCAAGTCTGATGAGTGAGTAGATTTTTCATTTTCTTGTTGTTTTTTTTTTCAAAGAGGAACGAAAATTAACAAAAGAATTTCTGATGATTTCTATTCTAGACAGACACCAAAAACTTATTTTTTCGTTCGAAGGCAAAACTAATTTGTATTTTTTTTTCGAAAAAAAAACCCAACTTCTAGAAAACATTTTAGGAACCCAGAAAAATTAGAAATCATCGATTTTCGAAAATTTTAAACTTTTCCCCAAGAACTTTCGACCTAATTTTGGCGCTAAACTAAGGCACTAAATCAAGCAACATCTCAAATTTTAGAGTACTGTACATTGCAAATTTTTATCTTTTTTCTAAATTCCAAATTCTTGATTACAGTTATTCCTGAAAACCTTATTATTGCAGTTTTTTCTAAAAAAAAAAACCGAAAAATCAGAAAACCATCGATTTTCGTGTCTCAATTGTTCATTTTTTCTCCAATTTTTTGCATACATATTTGATTCATGAGTACTTTTTTGTTATTTTTTCTATTTTTCTGCGTATTTCTTCATTTAAGACGGATCATTTTTTATTCTACGAAAAGACATAAGAAAACGAAAAAAAAGAAGAAATATGAAAGTTCTTGTGAATATCCATAATAAATAACCGAATCTCCCCCAACAACATATATCCATGCATTTTTGAATTTTTTATTCAAACTATATATTTTTCTTGAAGAGTACATCTTGTTTTTTTTTCAATGATAAACTTAACAGCCTTAATTTGAAGACCTAAACTTAGCATAACTACTTGACGTAAGAAAAGTTAGTTAATTTTTCTGAACCTAGAATTCTTAAAAAGTACATCAAGGTTTTTTTTTGATAAATGAATGTTCGTAAGTCAGAATGTTATTATAATTGTTTCCGGACACCAAACTATTTTGTGTCAATCATTTGATTTTTGTTGTTTTTTTTCTTTTTTTTTTGCACAAACTTTTATTTTTCAGAAATTTCCCTCGGAAATAATCAACGAATGTATGAATTTGTATGTTGCCGACCTGTCAATTATTAACAAGTTCTTTGATTTTATCCACGTTATTCTCAGTTAGTCGAACAAGACCAGTTGTATCGATACCGATCAACCTAAACTCAACTTCAATTGATATTCTACCGAAAAATTCAAATTCTACTTTACTTCAAGATATTTTATGGGGAAAAGATAAGAAAAAGATGGTTGACACTTCAACTTATATAACTTTGCGAGAAAATGATTGGAGAGATGCACATGAAGGTAGAATGATTATTTGGAGTCTTGAATCACAATATCATCCTGATTATGGAAAAACTTATAGTAAAGGAAGGAAAATCAATTATGAGCAACGGTTAGTTTTATTTCGATGACAAGTTGATGGGTTTTAAGAAGTTCTGAAGATCTAAGCTTTAGGAGATACACTGATTCTGAATAGATTTTTCCAAAATTGTGGTGAATTGTTGAAAAGTATTTTTAAAAACCCGAGAAACCTCTAAATTCTAGAAAGCCTATAACGCCTAGGATGACTGGGAAGTCCAGAAAGCATCAAAGGTTCAAGATTCTACAAAAAGAAATCCTCGGACTATTTTTTTGCATTCAAAGTTTTTATTTCCAAAAATCGCATGTGTTTTTTCTTGCAGACACACAAAATCGTCGCAGCTAATGTCATTTTGTATATTGGGTTCAGTGATCGGGTTTATTTTGTACACATATTTTTCGCACGTTTTAATGGTTCGTCGATTGGATCGAGAACTTGAAGCAACTCGTCTCAGGGAACTCGTTCAACGGTACAATTTTTTGTTTTTCAAATCTAATTTGCTCGTTTTTTTTCGGTTCACTGATTCTAAGTAATGTCCAGCTCAGCTATTCTGATGTTTTTTTTTTGCAGATCGGCACTAATAATGGCAGGTTCTGTGCAACAACAAAACGAAATCGATTTGACCGAGAGACGTCGATCTCTAATTAATATGTTTAAAGCTTTCAAATTGTAATTTTTGTGTTTTAATTTCTCATTCATTCATTTTTTTCTTGCTCCTGAAAATTTTAGTCTGCCAAAATAAACTAAAGTTTTTTTCATCATTTTTTTCAGCTGCCATCATTACGGCTCAATTTCCTTTTTTTTTCCTCGTCCATCCTCAAAGAAAAAAAAAGAAAGATATTGGAAAATGGGTGAGAAAATTGACTCATTTTATTTTCGGAAATTTTACTGAAAATGAAATTTAAATTTGAATTTTATGGAAAGGTCACGTTCGAAATTATTTGAGATGGAGACTTTAGAAAACGGTCACCAGACAAAAACTCATTGTGAGTAATTTTCAGATATTTCTGAGATTTACAGTAGTGTATTTTGTAGAAAATTTTAGACACCGAGAAAAAGGATTTCTGAGGAGTTGGAATAAAAATGTTAACATTCAGAAATTTTAGGTCATCAGATCCTATAACTGAAGTTCGAAAGAATTATAAAATATATAAATTTTTCAAGCCCCCCCCCCTATTTTTGAGTTTTTCCTCTCGTCAATCTATCAGAAAAGCCAGTGTTCGTTCGAGAATAATATTTTATGTGAAACACACATTTTATAGCCTCCCCAGGGATCTGAAACACAAAAACTGAAATCATTTTCATTTTCATTTCTCTCAACTCAACACGAGACCACAAAAAAAACGCATTTTATTTCATTTTCAAAAATTCTTTCGAGACTTGTTCTTTCAACCAAGCTCCAGCTAAATTATTCAAAAATGTTCCCTTCTGTCTTGTTCGTCGTCGTTTTCTAGATTCTTTTTCTTCTTTTTTTCGCCATTCAAAGCTCATCACGGTTCACCGATTATTCCTTTTTTGTCTTTGTTACCTGGCTCTCCTCTTCTATTTTATATTATTTCACTGCTTCTCTTTTTTTCAGAAAAAAAGTGGTTTTGGATTTTGTCTGGAATCATGTTTTTTGAAAATTAGCAGGCTTAATTTCAATCACAAACTTTTGACGCAAAAATAAATCCAAGTAGCAATTTTCTTCTGAATTAATGAATTAGGTTCAAGAGTTTCGTATAATTTTCCTACATACATACATCTCGAAGAAAAAAATAAACCACTTCAGTTATTTTTTCTTGTTGTTATTCTTAATAAATATGTTCAACATGAAAACAAAGAACCTTTTTTGCTGGTTACTAGAAGAAAAATAAATGTCCATTAGTGGTTGTCCTTTTTTCTTGAAAAGCTGACTTTTTTTCAAAAAACAGAAAAATTACATTTAATATTCATATTTATTACTTATAGTATAGTTCTAGCTTTTTCATTTTCATTTTAGTCGATTAATGCTCTTTTTTGTGGCGGCGAATCCAATTATTTCATCAGGTCTGCTTCCATCACAATTCAATTTTTGTCCCGTTTTTTGCTTGCTTTTTTTGTGATCCTATTTTTTTCATTTTTCTTTTTTCTCGTTTCACTGGATATAAATTCATTTCAGAATAGTATTTATCTCACCAAAAAATCCAAAAATAATATTTTATAAATCCACCCATCTTGTGTTGTTTTTTGTTGTTCAAATAACCGGAAATATTTTTTTTCAATTTTACTTTTAAAAAATACCTGGATCTATTCTTTTTTGCAGACGACACAAATATGTCTTTGTTACTACTACTTTTTGGTTTTTGTTTAGTGGTAAATGCGAATTGTTATAATTATTATGGAAATTCAAGACAATTTGAAAAAGTTGGAAAGCAGATTATGTGGGTTTTAATTATAATTTATACCTCGAGCTTTAACACTTTATGAGAAAATCCAAGATTTTAGCTTTATTCAGCAGGGATACCTTTTGTCTTTGATTTAGTTCTAGCCCAAGCCTCTAGACTCAAACATAGCTTATCTCTAGATAGCTCTGAAAAATTCAATTGAAATTTTTAGACTTTCAACGCAGTATGGAAATACAACCTACAACGCTTGGAAAAAAGCGAATAGCAAACATAGCACAAATAACACCAACGTTGGAGATTTCCGAACACAACTTCGACGAAGTTTAGGTTTGACATCTATTTTGAGCTTTTTTTGAGTGATCAAAGTAATTACTTATAGAGAACACGCCGGTTTTCAACAACGCAACATTTATGCAAGAATTAATCGAGGAGAGACAAACTTTTTTGGACAAATTGAACTCAGGTTTTCTTTTTTGTTGGGTCGTAAAAATTAAAAAAAAAAGTTTGTAGGAAAGTTCATAAATGATCAAAGAAGGCTAGTAGACGAATTGCTGGACACAGATTATTATGAGAAAACTGTTCATCCAAGAAGAGACCATAATAAACCGACGAGGGTTAATTTGAGCATGAGTCTTTATCAGATTCTTGATGTGGTGAGTTTGAAAAAATTCTCTCCATTTCTCAAAAAATTTCCTAACAAGTTCATCTTCTAATCTTTCTGATTCAGGATGAGCATATGCAAAGTATAAAAGTGAATGTTTGGATGGTCCAAGAATGGTATGATGAGTTCCTAGACTGGAATCCATTAGATTACGGTATGATAAATCGAACAATTGTGCCTTATGACCAAATCTGGATTCCCGACACATTTTTATATAATAGCGAAGAATTGGAGCAGAAAAAAACAGAATCTCTAATGAACGCGCAATTAACAACTGGTCATTGGGTGAATGATTCAAAAGGTGCACGAGTTCAATTATTGTTCCCAGCCATATATAAAATGAGTTGTCGAATGGATGTTCGATGGTTTCCATACGATGTTCAAAATTGCACTTTTATTATTTCAAGTTGGACGCATAGCAAAGAAACAATTGATTATTGGCCAAGTTTACCATCTGTGAATTTGCAAAATATGGCAAAAAATGATGAGTGGCGTGTTGAAAGTTTCGATTTTTATCGTGTCGAAGTGCCATTCAGTTGTTGTAAACAACCATGGACAATGTTATATGCACATCTAATAATTCGAAGAAAACCATTATATTATATGATTAATTTAGTGATTCCAACAAGTATTATCACAATTGTTGCTGTCACCGGATTCTTCACACCAACATCTTCATCAAGTGAACGAGATGAAAAACTGTATGATTGTTATAGGTGAAACGGTAGATCAATTTCTTATTCTTTCAGATACCTCGGTATTAATACACTGTTAACAATGTCAGTTATGATGTTGATGGTTTGTAATCAAATGCCATCTACAAGTACATATGTTCCTTTAATGAGTTGGTATTATATTGGAATTATTTTTGTTATTGTGGTTGGAACTTTCCTCGCAACAATTGTATTGGGTAAGAGATCTAGCAAACATGTCCTTCAACAATTCTCAAAAGTTCCAAACAAAAATTCAAATACCCAGCTAACACAGATAACTTTGTTGGCGCGTTTTGTGTGCACTGTTTATTAGCTCTAAATTTTCAGCAATCCACGGTCAAAAACACTACAACGAACCGATTCCTGATCTAATCCGAAAACTCATTTATAACCCATTCGTCGAGTTTTTCATCTTGAGTCCTCCAACAAGTCTTCTCGATCTTTGGACAGAATTTGGTGTTATAAATGAAAGAAGACATTCAATGAGTTTGGATCCACTTCTAGTTCAACATTTAGAACCAATTTCCGTATGTTTCACCGTTTACTTTTCGTTAGAACTATATTGTGCTTTTTTGGAATTTTTATTTTTGAATTCATTTTCAATTTTCAATAGAGATATAGTAGATTAGTCGTGTGCTTTACAGTTTCAAACACCGGGACCACAAGCATTTTTTGGTTCAATATCTTCTCGAATGGGTGATATGGGAGGATCATATATGTATACAGCAAGATTGGCAACTATCACAAGACAATATACACAACATGTAAGATGCTTATTTTTTGTTTTTTTTATTTCAAAGCGTGTTTTTTTCGGAGTTTGTAGGTGTGAAATTCAAGAATTTGAAGGAGAAGTAAGGCGAGAGATCAAACAAAGTTAGGGTAACTTTGGAATCGTGAAACACTCACAATTTTTTGAAAATCAAAATTGCCCTATGATTTCTCGTCTCAACTATTTACAAGAGAAACTTAAAATTTTCAGACAAAAATGCGAGAACGACGGAAAGTTCAATCACAACTGAATATGGATACGAGTCAAGCGAGAAGTGTAAAGAAACAAAAGTTGCAAAGACGGTGAGTAATATATACTTGTCTACTGTAGCCTTAGCTGGGACTAGATATAAAAATTATTTCTGAGATATCTATGTTACTATTACCAATATCTAAACCGGGATTTCCAGTGTTTGCTTAGAATGGGAATTTTTGGCGAATGTTCTCGATCGAATTCTTCTCACAATATTTTGTGGATTCACCATCGGTGTTTTTGTGATTCTCGTCGGCTTCGACACATTTTTCAGTGTTCCAAATTCAGCTGCCGCCAATCGCACCATCTTCTAATTAACCTATTTTTAATTAATTATTAAATATCGGGTGCTGATCATTGTGATTTTGAAATTCAATTGTCTTTTCATGATAGGAATATGTATTTATTTATTTATTGCTTCCATGAAATTATATTTTCCATATTTTTTTGCAAAAAAACCCTCATTTATTTTTCACGTGCTGTAAACGAATGCATCAATCCAACACTTGGTCGAATATTTCCCAAAACATCGCGCATTCGATCAAATGATCCATCATCCGTATCATCCAAATCAACGTTTTCCGAAACTGCACGACTAAAACAGAGAAATTGAATAGATATGGGTACAAAATATAACAAAGTGTAACAATTTAGGACAGTTCGAAATATCAATGATCTTGTGACGTGGAAAAATCAAAATTTTGGAAGTAGAGTGAAAACATGTCAATTAATTTACTTTGAAATGAAAAGCTAAGAGGTCACGTAGAAAATTTGAGCTCCGAAAAATTTTCTACAGTTTAATGCCCACTCGCGGCGAATCCCAACTAACTTGTTCTAATGCGCCTTCAAAACTAGATTTAACCAAACGTGCCACAACTAAAACAGCGTACAAAATGTGTGTTTTCTCACCTATCAGATCCAGAATGATGATTCGGTTTGCTCGGTCGATACAAAGTAAAAGAATTCACAGAAAAAATAGTGAAAATTGCCAAAAATACAAGAACAATTAGTTGAAAGCGACACATTTTGCTGTCACAATGAAGTGGAAGAAAAATAAAGGAAAACCAGCCAGTCAGTCAAATTGATATTATTAAACTTTTGATAAAATGGGTGTGATTCACATGAATGATCGTGTACTTTGAAGTTTATAATAGATTTATTAATATCAAGAAAAAGTAAAAAAGAAACATGAAAGCTCTGAAATTTTGTTGGTTCCTAGGAAATTAGGAATGTTTTACAAGCAACAAAATTGGAAAAAGACACGGGGCAAATTGATTTCAAAAAAGGGGAAAATATCAAAATACTGAATACAAATAAAAATTATCCATCAACACATCGAGTTGCCCAATTCAGCGGAACCCACGTTGATTTTGTTTCCAAATTATGAATCAATTTAATCAGATCACTCATTGTATCATCTAAATTTGTATTTGTTATACGAGAATCGAAAAGATGCCCATAATTCCTATCAATATTTGAGGCATTTTCGATGATTTGTCGAATTTCTGAATCGGTGAATGCTCTTCCCATTGAATTGATTGTTTGAGAAGTGGAAGAGGCTGATGATTGAGTTCGAGCGGTTCGAGAACGGAATGCTTCGCGGGTTTCCTATAACATTCATGTATTTAGAATTATTTAGAAAACGTCGAAAATCCACATAATGAAAGAAAACCGGAATAAAAATTTCAAAAAATAAAATAAAAATAATTATTTTCTCTTGTGATAAACATTTATTTTATGTTTTTTTTTTCGGAATTTCATGGCATTTTTTTAAACTTCGACATTCATTTCCAATTCAAATTTTATCAATATTCTTTATTTTGATAATATTTTCACCACCCTCAAACCGCTTCCCCCTTTTTTCCTTCCCTCCCCCGCCTCCCGTTAAACCCCCCCCCCCCAAAAAAAAACTAACCTTAAAGTCGTGAAAAGTCGGAGGCTGTACAAATATAATAAAAGGCATAAATTCCGAAGTCCTCAATTGTCTTAGAGCCAATGGATGTGGTGTCAAAAGTGGTGTTCCCTTCAATTTTGCCATTCTCACAGCCGACACAGCAGTTCCATATAAATTGCCTCGAAATTCGCCAAACTCTAGCATTTCATCATTTTCAATCATTTTCTCAATATTCTTTCTCGTCGTAAAATAATAATCAATTCCATCATTTTCACCATTTCTGGCACTTCTACTTGTATGCGGAACTGTTGTTGAAAATCGCTCCGGGAACATCATCAATAATCTCCTTTTCAGCTCATTTCTACCAACTCCAGGTGGTCCAATTAAAACTATTGGTCGAGAATTTGAAGAAGAAGAAGAAGACTTCAATTTACAAACCGATTCATAAAATAAATCATCCATATCTTTCTCAACCAATTTCTGACTCGTATTTTTCCTCCGATCTTCAGGCCGCGCTGATTTTTGTTGTAATAATTCTGAAGGAATCAATCCGACACCTTTTGATTCTTCTCGCGAATGAGCCAATGCTCCATTTCCAAGTCGACGAGCTTGCCACCAATATTCATCATTACAGACAAGAAGTTCAAGAATATCACCGCGTCGGAAATTGAGAGCTGCTTCGGGACATGGATGTCTTGCATCATTTGTACCATCATAATCGAACTGAAAAAAATAGTTTAGAAGATTGTGTTGGAAAAATCAGATTCGTATAGATTTTTAAGAAAATTTCGAAAAATTTTGATAAATTTTTAGATGTTGTTACAAGAGTTATGACGTGGCAAAATAGAATAGAAAGTAAAACAATTCCAACTCTCCAGCTTTATTTAAGACAGAAATTATTAGCTTTCAGACTCACAAATCCACCTTTTTTGAGCAATTTTAAATTTCCCACATCTAGCTCTATGTGATAACTAATTTTAAATATCTACAAGTCTATTTTTCCCCCAAAACTCAGTTCAAATTCTTACCAAAGCCCTCAAATGAATATGCGATTTCTCGTTATTATTATGTGCTTTCGATGAATGATTATGCCAAACTTCAACAGGTATCAATTTAAACGTCACACATCCACCATCGCATTTATTCAACAACTGAACAATCTCATCGGGCTTCTTATCCAACACCGATTCTCCATTTACTTCCAAAACTCGATCGCCTTCTTGTATACAACCACTTCGATCAGCAACACCGCCCGAAATAATTCTCGCCACATAAACCCGTCCACCATGATCACATTTTATTGTTGCGCCAAGTGGCTCATCTCGGCGAACTATACGAACCTATAAATTTGTTCTTTTTTTTACAGATTATATTTTATGTGAGTAAACAAATAAAGTTTTATGCGTGTTAGTTCAGCAAACATTTCTCAATTTCTCTTAGAACTCACAATTTTCACAGCGATTCCTTCATCTTCATCAACTTCGAAAGGCACTGCAGGTAATTCTGGAGCAAATCTTTTCGCAGAAACATCTTCGGTTGACCATAAAAGACCTCGAATATGCGGGCGATTTAGTAGATTTATTAATTGTTGAACTGGAGATGAGTTAAGTCCAGAGGCTTCCCAATCAGCGATAAAATCATCGCAAAATGATATTGTCTCGCTGGTTGAAGCGCTGAAATTTTTTCAAATTTGTTGTGATCTAAAAGGTCTCAGGTTCCCCTCCCCCAGGTACAAATGCCTTTTCAGATCCTTAAAAAAAATTACCTCGAACCGGATGATCGTTTATATTCGGAAGAATTCACAAATTTATGCAACCGATCTACTGTTCTCTGTTGATGTCGATTTAGTTGAACTCCGCCTATGAAAATCAAAAAATATTGATTTTTCGCCAAATATAAAACTCACTAGATGTTCCTAAACCAGTCTCTTCGATAACACTTTCAAGAATATCCTCAAAAGCTTTCGACAAATCTTCTTTCGCCAACATTTTTCCCGATTCTTTTTTACTTCATATCTTTTTTGACAAGTGTTACACCCTGAAAATGATACAAATACAATGTGTTCTGAAAGCTCAATTAAATCAAAAAGCGTAAAGTGAGCCAAGAAAGAGAGATATAATGAAAAGAGGGGGTGACATATGGCGTCGCAGGCATGGCTTGGTTAAATGAAGGGCACTTTGAGGGCGTGCCAATTGGTGGAGTGTTGTTGTTTTTGGAATTCAAATTTTTATTTTGCCGTTTACAAAATTTTTAGTTGTCTTGAAAATAATTGTTTATTGCTTTCATTATCAGCTATCGATTATCAAACTTTAACTTAAATTGATTTTTGAAATAAAATAAGCTTTCATGAAATTAAAATTTACCTGATTGCAATTGATGATTTCGCTCAATTTCAAAATGTTTTCTCATTCAAAGTCATTCAGGCAACTCGGAAAGCCGGCTCTTAAGCCCGATAAATTGCTTCCGCGCCCGGCCCGCTAAAAATATTACAGACGCGGACTAGGAAAACGTTCGTTTTCTCGGCCACTCACAACAAATTTTTAAACTCACAGTGCCCCCAACGCGTAGGCAGAGAAAAGTTGTGCGCATTTTTGGTGCATGTGCGGTAGAGCGCACAAGCCTGTTTGTCGGTTTTTTGAAAATTTAACATTAGGTTTTTTCTTGAAACAATTATAATCCAATTATACTTGCATGAAAACTCCCAAACTGAGCTATATGTTCTGGAGAATAATAAGAGGAACGTTTTGATATGAAACATGTGAAGATTGGATTCAAAATAAGTTAGTTAATATCTTTTGAAGAAAAACAATTCAAATTTTATGAAGGAAAAATGTGATTCGGCACTTTTTTTATGATAAATATGTAAATTAGAATACTTTCAAGGTGTTTTAAGAATTATTTGATCAAAATAAACTTCTGAAATCTAGTTTTTTGATCAATTTTGGGCAAATTTCGATGGAAAAGAAAATAACAAAAACAGCATAATATTGAATTATTATTGATTCCACATACATGAGGAGTCCTATTTCAATGTTTTGGAAGCATAACACTGAATTTTATCAGCTTTCCTGAGTCAAAAATGATGTTTTTCAACAAGCTATTTTTTGAAGAGCTCTTGCTCATTTCATTCTCAACCATTTTTCATGAAACAACTTGGAATAGCTTCAATTTTTCTTCCTCTGTCTTCTCCATATTCGATTTAGTTACAAAAATTCCATTTCCAGCATTTTTCAGCAAGAAAACAAAAGCGCAAAAAAAGATGAGAGAGTGCGCTTTGCTGAAGAGACGGATGAGAGATAGAGAGAAAACGAGAGAGTGTGTGGAGTGTGGAGTGCTGGCGCAATACGCGTTCGGGACACTGTGAAACTCGATATTTTCGCGGGAAACGAAGATCACCAATAACCGAGTTTATACGGCGCCTTTTGATCACAAAATCATCATTTGTCATGAATTCTTAATCAGTTTCCTTGTTTCCTAGAAAATCATCTTTCACAAAAGCTTTTCCAACCTTTTCTAACAACCCATTACTGTAGATTATTAAAGGTACATTGTATTTCTCTGTATGGTCTTGCGACGCTACAGTTCGTCGTTTTTTATTTTCTTTTTCGTGGCCTAAAATCATTCATTTTTACTCGCAGGTTTCACACCATGTTGGCGATACTGGTTGTAATCCAGATATTTGGGTTTCTAAACGCATACAACTTCGAAGATTGTATAGGAAAACCACAATGTGAGTTTTTATTCAAATAATACCTGTTTTCATTCATCAAAAAACAAGAAAATTCCAGCTCTTGCGCAAGTTCATAAAATAAGCGGAAAGCTTCATGCCTATTCACTCGACTATTTCCATCAACAACGTTTACCTTATGGACCGATGTACGCATTTACCGATGTTTTTCTTCAAACAAATTTAACCGATCCGGACTCGTATTCTTTTTATCAAGGAGAAAATTGTTCAACAGTTTTGGCTCATTACGAAAATGATAATCGTTATTTTGGATTATGGAAAAGGGCGGCAATGATGAGATCACATCATTTAAGTCCTTTCAATGATACAATCATTGGTGTATCAACATCTTTGCCATATGAAATATCAGTGCAGATTTGGAGTGAGTTTCAAGTATCAAAATTGAGACTCATATAAATTTATGGTTTCCAGAGGTCAACATCATTCGTCTTTCTGTTTTTGTTGGTGCCGTTGTTCTATTTTTACTTGCCAGTACACTCGTCAGAAATGTAGTATTCTATTATACAAGTGGATGCTCTTTCGGTATTCTGGCTTCTCTTCTTCTTGTTGCATTTATTGTTTGGCGAGTAGCACCCAAAAAAACTATTGGAGTACCTATTTTGATTGGTGGATGGTCGGTGTCTCTTTATATGTTGCATTTCGCTTGGTCAAATCTTCAAAGTATTCTTGTCGAATATCAAAAATATGTTATTGGTTATTTTGTAAGTTGTTTTCGTGTTCTTAAAGTAAATCTTAAAATGTTAATGATTCTTTTGTAGACCACAGTTTTGCTGATTTCTCTCGCGGTTTGCTATAAACGTGGTCCTCCAACAGATGCTCGATCTCATGACATCGCTCAATGGACACTTCAACTTCTCGCTCTAACTCTCATCTATTTCTCATCGCAAGTCATCGAAGTCACAGTGGCCACCACAATTGTGTTATTGGTGCATTATTTCTCGCGTGGATATATGTTCAAAGGAATTAGATGGTATTTCGTTGGATTGGGAACTTTCTGGTCAAGGATTTTCCCAAAATCTCGCAAATTTTTAACGGAAGAAGAGTATGAAGAAGAAGGTCGTAGGACAACTCGAGAACAACTCGATTTGCTCAAACAATATTGCCAGAATGAACGAAATCGTCCGTGGAAATTGGCTGCAAATGTGAGATCAGCAAGACGGTAAGAATATTTTCCAAAATATCAGAGCGACAAGAAATTCACGTGGAATCAAGAAAATTATCTTGAAATTCAGCTCAAATCTCAAAAGCAGCTATATTTTCAAACATTCCTGACGGTATTTCAAGACTATAATTTTATCTCCCGTTTTCCCGTTAACTTCTAAATCTAAAAATACTATTAAAAATTCCTCTAAAGTAACAGGCTGGCTCGATTTGTCGAAGGCGAAGATGGGCATGTGACGGAAGATGAAAGATATGCACACGAATTGACCGCCGACTTATTAGATCGAAATGAATTTCATGAAGAACCTCATAGTTTTTACGATAACGAAGAAGAGGAAGAAAATGACGGAGAATGGGATGAAGTTGTTGTTCTACGACGTGGAAATTCAAGAGGTTCAACAGTTCGAACAGTTCGTGTTCCATCAAATGTAACAACTCGTCTTTTATCGCCATATGAAAGAGCCAACAAAACGTATAATTCTGGATATGAAAGAAGAGAAGGCGATTATGCGGAGCTAGGAGACCGAATGTTCCCGGAATTGGCAGTTTCTCAAGAAAGAAGACCGATGACAGAAGTTCGTCCGTCGAGAAATCAAAAGGAACAAGTTCCACGGCGATTTGATAGAGAGGAATTGGAGCAAGTTAGAGAGCAATTAAGAGAAAGAAAGAGGCAGACAGAAAGAGAAGAAGCGCGTATATCTAGGTAATTATTAAACTTTATCTTTATTAAAAAAAAATATTCATCAACTAAATGTAAAAGTAGCTCACATCATTTTTTAAAACTCACTTTAATTTATAATTTTCCCGACTGATTTGAACTGAAGTACAATTGCAAAATGACCGGAAAATTCAATTATGTATTGAAAAAAATCTAATAAGATCAGATAAGAAACGTGAACTGGCTAAATTAAATATTTGGAAAGAACACGTGAACATTTCGATTTTTATTCGAAATACTAATTCGTGTCTATACTCTCAATTTTCGTTGTCTTCAATCGACCCGTAAAAATTTAATTCAATTTTCAGTGCTCGTTCATCTCGCCGCTCCTCTATCTCTACCACAAATCAGCCAACAACATCTCGAAAATCATCATCCAGCATAGTTTCATCGTCAGAAAGTGGTAAAATTTCGAAAAAATCACCTAGGAAAAATTTGTTGCCTTCAAGGCGAAGAGCGGTCATCGAATCCGACTCGGAATAGCCCAATTTTTATCAAATTCATTTTTCTCATTTTCAAGGTATTTATTTATTTATTGCAATTCCAAAACTATCATCATCGTGTGAATAAATTTTCTCAATTTTTAAAAACATTTTTGTGATCTGAATAATGTTTATATACCATTATTTGAATATATTTATAATTTGTTTAAAATTTCCTCTTACAGGTTTTCAGAACAAAAGGTTTTTCAGATGTCTAGCCAAGCAACTCCGGTTTTTATGAGTAGATACTCATTGATTTATCAAGCTGCATTGAGAAGTCATCTTGGAACTATGCAACAACATCGAAATAGTAAACTGTCGCCGTTTGAAGTTTCGCAAATGTCTGGAATTTCGATATCTATGGCGGGTTTTTTTGAAACATTTTTCGTTTTGGTTTTCAATTTCAGAATTGTTTCATTCGAAAAAATTCCTTTAAAACTGAAAACATACCAACATTTTTACGAATTTTTAAAATTTGAAACAAAAATCTCGAAATTCCAATAAAATCCAAATTTGCAGATCGAACGAGAGAATATTCCTGGAGATGCATTTTTGAAAGAAATGTATTGGCTGAGAGATGAACTCGTTTCACATTGTTTTCTTGATGGCGAATTATGGGTTAATGAAATACTTGCATATTGTCCCGAAAGATTTTATGGAAATATAGTGAGTTTTCGTAATCTAGAAAGCTGTGATAATGACTCCGTCGTCAAAAAAAATCAACTTTTCAGTTCACCGAATTCGATTCGAGTTCAATCAATCCTCCATCAGAAACATCATTCGATTGTAATTCCAACGACAATGTCAAAGCTTTTCGAGCCAAACAAAACGCGAAATTCGCCACAACTTTGATTCGAAATCGCGAATTTCAGCGAGCCGCTTTCTTCTTGGAGAAGAATCGCAAAATCAACAAACTCGATAATTTTGTCTATTTCCGCTGCTTATTTTTGGCGTATTATCAAGAAAATATGGAAAATGATGCAGAAGGAATTGAAAGAAAAACGAGTTTTGGAGAGGAAAAATCAAAATTTGCCAGTTTGTATGAGACGATGAATGAGGAGAATTTGAGAGAGAATGAAGATGTGTTTTTTGAGTATTTGTAAGTTAGAGCATCTCGGAAAATTGTTTTTTCTCTCCTAATTTTTCCTCAAAATCCAAAACCCCACTATTTTCTAGGATGGGTTTGATCGAAGTTGAACTTGGACAAAAAGAAGATGCATACAATACATTCAAACATGTCGTTGAAAGAGAACCGAGTTTGTGGCCAGCCTGGGAAGCTTTATCTCGCCTTGTTCATGACATCGAAACAGCTGATCAATTTTCGGTTGGATTCAATTCAAAATCACTTTGGATGGCTGAATGGTTTATGGTACTTGTTCTTGAAAGATTTCATCAACATACGATGGCTATTCAAAAAGCGCAAACTCTTGTTAGTCGTGGTTTGACTGGAATTCCGATGATTATCACCAAAATTGCGGCATGTTCCAATTATCGACATGGTTTGTTCTTTTTTTTTTGGTTTTTTGGACGGCAAAATGAATATTTTTTTTGTTTGAATTAACAAAAACTGAAAATTTACAGCCACATTTCTCACTCATTATCCAAATTTCCAGATCACGATCAAGCAATCGAAAACTTTGAAGATATTCGATCAATGGATCCATATCGTCTGACAGATCTCAATCTTTTCTCTGATTCTTTATACATCCGTGGAGATCAGAAAAAGTTGTCACAATTGGCTCTCGAAATTTACAAAATCCACAAATTCCGCTGGGAAACGTGTTGCATTGTTGGAAATTATCATGCGATTCGACGAGACAGCGAGAATTCGATCAAATTTTTCCAACGAGCTTTGCGATTGAATCCAGGTGTTGCCTCGTTGTGGGTTTTGATTGGACACGAATTTATGGAAATGAAGAATAATGCGGCCGCGTGTGTTTCGTATCGAAAAGCAATTGGTGAGAAAACAAAATTGGGGAAATTTGAAAAAAAAATAATGAAGTTTTGGGATTCTTTGAATATTAGGTTATCTGGCCAATTTTCTCAAGATTTCTAGGTAATTTTCCTATTTATCTGAGCTTTCAGACATATTTTCTACGAAGTTCAAATTCTGAAAACTGTCTAAACTTCCTTTAATATTCTGACTCTGAAAAATAATCACAATTTTTTTAGAAATCGATGATGCTGATTATCGTGGTTGGTATGGTTTGGGACAAATGTATGATATTATGAAAATGCCCTCATATTCATTGTTTTATTATCAACAAGCCCAAAAGTGCAAGTGAGTTCCCCCATTTTTGCTCATTCAAAATTTCTTTGAGGAAAAAATAATGATTGTCCTTTTTCTATTATTTTGAACTTTTGTTATTTCCGGTTTTCAAAAGAAAAGTGAGATTTTCGATTTTCAAGTAAAAAAATAACAAATTTTGCAGGCCACACGATTCTCGATTATTGGTTGCTCTCGGAGAAGTTTATGCGAAATTGGGTCGATTGTTGGATGCGGAAAAATGTTTGACTGGCGCGTATTTGTTTGGAGATATTGAAGGATCCGCGTTATGGCAACTTGCCAAGTAAGAAATATTGACGGGAAAGCAAAAAAATATTAGAGAACTGGAATTGACCTGTGAACTGAGAAAAAGTTTGGAAAACAAAGAATTTTGAAAATCAAGTTGTAATAACATAAGTTGAATCAAAAAGTGTGAAAATTAAAATTTTTTCAGAAAGTCTATATATAAATAACCTTTACAAAAAGATTTGCTCACATGCCTGTAGTAAAAATGAATATATCGATACCTTGCATAAATTAAATTTCAGACTCCATGAAAACACTGGAAACGAAGAGAAAGCCGCCCAAACATATGAAGTTTATATCGCTGTATATGATAAATTAACGGTAATCAATATTTTTAGTTTATCCTTTTTTTCCAATAACAAATGTGTGATTTTTCAGAACCTTGAAGATAACCTCGTTTATGCCATCGCTTTCCTCGCCAATCACTATTTCAAAATCAAAGCTTATGATAAATCGAAAGAATATGCGACGAGATGTTTGGAACATGATTCAGTGAGTTGTTAGAAATACTCCACAATGAAAACCAAATTGTTGTAGATATGTCAAGAAGGAAATCGTATTTTCCGACAAATTGCCAGAATTGAGGAACAAAAGGAGAGTTGGGCTGAAGAGGGAACAAGTGGAATCAATGCTGATGAATCGCATAATCAAGAGACGACAAATGAGCAGTCAGTTTTTTGGGGAAAATTCAGGGGGGAATAGAAACTGAAACGTCTGAAAACTGCAAAATCAAATGTTTCAAAATTTGAGTCTGAAAATCAGGAGCCGGAAATTCGGTCCTACATTTGTTTAATACTTGTTCTGTAAAACTTATGTTTCTCAAACTATTGTGGGAAAAAATATTGAACACTAGATTTAAGAAGGAATTTTGAACCTCTACTGAGTTTCAGATTTTAATTGTTTTCTGAAAATAAGGCCTCTAATTTTTTTTTTTTCGGATACCAATTTTTTCCACGTCATAGGCTATATGACTCATAGCTCAAAAATTTTAATTTTCAAAAATATCTACTCATATATTTCACGTAATTTTTTCTCACAAAACTTCCCGAATCGGAATAATTTACTCCTGTGTGAAAATAGTTTCCACAAAAAACGCCCATATTTTCCAGAAATGACGATGATGATATGGCAGTTTCAGACGGAGATGACAATGAAATTTCGTTTTAAAAATATATTAAAATTGCAAATTTGTTTCGATCTCATCTCTCATTTTTAATCGCACCCCCAAATTTCATTTCTTGTAAATATAAACTCGCTATTTATTGAATTTTTGCGATAAATTTATGAATTTTTATGATAAAATACAAAGAACCCGTAAATATTTTGAAACGTATAAATTCTTTGGGAATGATCACAATTGGTTTTGGGTGGGAGAAAAAAATGGGGGGAAACAAACAAACAAGAAAAATGGGATTGTTGTCAATGGGACCCTAATAACACGCATTTTTTGGACAAATTATGGATTAATATTCTGTTATAAGGCAAAGACGTTTGACGATTCGTTTGAAAGCCGCCCGAAAGTCTTGGGAAAATACCGTGTAGATTATTGGATTCAGTGCCGAGTTCAAATAACCTGAAAAATTGATTGGTTGATTTTAATTGATAGAAAATACAAGTGAAAAACATGTGGCCGAGCTGAAGTTCTGCTGAACCTGATTATAAGGCTGATAATAAAGGCCCAATCAAAACTCACCAAGCCATAGCGTAACATGTTCCAAGACATTCGGAATATTACAACCACAAATCGGTCGATATAATGAGACCAAAAAGAACGGTGTCCAACAAGCGACAAATGTGCCTGAAAATTGTTGAGATGAGATTCCCTTTTTTTGTTTTTCCCAATTTTTTCGTTGTTTTTTTTTGGCCGAGGTTGATAATTAGATTTTTTGCATCTTGAGATTAGAAAGAAGAAGACACTTGATTTTTCAAGAGAGAAAAAGAAATTATATTAATTTTTGGTTGAACAAAATCTGAGCTTGGACTACACGGAGCCTGTTCAAAGAAGGCATGTGCAAAGGCCCTCAGAAAATCTATCCCAAAAATGTGCAGACTGTTTTTTTCCCGAACCAACCTGTAATAATAGCCAAAGTTCTCCATGCTTTTCGTTCTCGTTTAGTTTCGGCAGTTTCTTTTGGTCTTCTTTTTCGTCTCGTCATTATTCCACTATTCGATCGTGGTTTTGCACTCATTTCTTGCGAACCATCCAATTTCGTTTCAGCTGTCACAATGTTTTGAGTTCTTTCTTCTTCAGATGCTGATGACGAGGATTCTCGATGTGTCTAGAAAAATTGAAAGTTTTGTTACGTTTTTGTCCAAGGCTTCAAAAATTACAAGTTTCATTTTTTGTGAAATTAGTTATGAAATGGAAACATTTCTCTCAAGATTTGAATTTTTTATCGAAAATCCCGTGATTTTCCAAGTCTTGAATTACTTCATCAGAATCTAATAAGTGCACGAAAAAATAATGAAGCCCATTATTTCAAGTTTTTTTGAGTAGCTCATAACTCGAGTTCATTCGAAATTCCCACCTTCAATGAAAGAGATCCCGATTTTCCGCCACTTGCCACAATTCCATTACCATTTTGAATGTCCGAAATGACAACAGCCGGTGGAAGTGGAATCTGAATGAATTATTTATGAAATGAACTTTTTTGTTAGTGCCCCTATGGAGCCCAGAAATCAGGTTGACTGCACTGCACTTTGTTGCATAAATAAAAGATTTTTTGGTTTTAGAAACCTCAAAGTTCATTGACTTCTAAAAGAATACATACCTTTTTAACTTTTTTGTTAATGAGTGGCGCTTTTTTCTCATCCAGTAAATTATCAGGTGGTGGTCGAATAACAGTTTTCCGATCTCGTTCTCTTTTGAATCTCTTCTTCGCAGCTCTCATAATTTTCCAATAAACACAAATAATCGCAATAAGCGGAATATAAAAAGCAGTCGCCGTTGAGAAAACTTGATAGCTAATTGTCTGATTGATCAGGCAAATATTATTATTTTCAATCCGCTCTGCAAAATTTGGATCATACCAACCAGGAGCCAACGGGGATAATGAAATTAGAAGTGATGTCAACCAAATACCAGCCAACATCCAGATTATTCGACGTGGTGTTCGATTTTGAACATAACAGATATCTGTGATACTCCAATATCTATCTAAAGCAATTGCGACTAGATGAAGAATTGAAGATGTGCAGACTAGAACATCTACTGATATCCATAATTCACATAATACTCGGCCAAGACGCCAAGAACCGGTTATTGTATTCCAGGCGCCGAGAGGTGTTACCATTATTCCAACCTGGAAAAATACTGGGTTTTGAAAAAGCTTGTAGTTCAGGTAGAAGGACATTTTAGATTTTTCAGTGTTTCTTTGCAATTTTATCATGAAATTCTGAAGTTCCTGTAAATCTGAATAAAGTAAGACATAAATATTCCACCATTTGTCCTAGGGGCCTAAGCTATCTCTAAAATTTTTCAAATAGTTCCCCATCCAAATTTTTCATTGAATGACCCCTTTTCCAGTTGATTTAATCGCATCTCGTCTTTTTTGTTTCATGAATGTGCAAAGCACTTCCTGCGGATATTCCAAAAATAGTTTCGACCAATCCAAAAATAGCGCCGGAAGTTTGAATATTCCACGTTTATCAACATTTTGAAAGTCTTCAAATTAATTAAGTGATCACAAATCTAAATCCCCTCCTAGTTTATTTTTTGATTCATCAAAAAAAGCAACTTCATTTTCTCTCACGCGCCTTTTTTTCTTCAGAAGCGCAGGAAAAAATCGCATTAGTGGATCCAAGCCCTGCGGCTATTTGTACTTGAAACATGGAAAAATGTTTTGGTTCTTGGAATTTTCCGCCAATTTTTTCATGTGTGCGATGAAAAATTGTCATAGAAATGTCAGAAATATAGAGATTGATGAGAAGACAATTTTTGTTGAATGTTTGTTTTGTTTTTATTTGGAGGAAGTATAAGGGAATAGGACATTCTGGAGAAATTTGAAATTGATCTTGAAACTTGGGTTGAGTAAATAAAAAAGTTTGCATGGAAATTGAAATTTGAAAAAGAGGAAGATAGAGAGTGTGTGTGGTCAATTTTTTGAACGCAAAATTGGAAATTGAAATTGAAAATGCAATTTCATTCAGCGCCCACGAAAAAATGAACTTTCGAATTTTGGTTTTTTCAAAAAACCGAAAGTAGAAAATCATGTTCAGCTCTTGAATCTCTCTACAAGATAGGCCTTTCAAATTTATATCCCGAACTCTCGAAACGAACATAACTTCATAGATGTTTTAAAACAGTTATAGCCAGAAAAATTCAGAAATTTCAAGTACATTTTCAGATTTCCGTGTGTTTTGTACTTTGAGTCCCGAAAAACACCCAATTTCTCTCTGTTTTCTCCCTCTTTCCAAAATAAAATAAAATGAAATGAATTTAATTAGGTACATTCGCGAATTTTTAAACACCACTCACTTCCCGCTTCTAAAAATATTCAAGCTTTATCTAATTTATTTTTTTCTTCGTATTTAGTTCACCAATTATTATTTTTCTCCGAAACAAGGAACTTTTTTTGTGTTGGCGTTTGCAAGAAAAAAGTCGAAAAAGATAATTGTTGTAGGAAGAAAGAACAATGCGAAATTTGAGTTTTGTCGCTCGCCGGAAGGAAGCAAACCTTTTGCTCCCACGTGAATTATTTAATAGCTGTGTTTCAACAAAAAATTTGAAATTTGATAGCGAAAGACGTAACCAACTTAATTTATGAGTGAATTTTTCAATTTCAAAATCCCTCTTTCCTCTTACTCTCCTAGAAAAAATGTCACACAAAACTTCTCAAAATCCAATTTTTCGCATTTCGTTTAGATTCAATTTCGACGAGTATCATCTCGTTTTTTCTCTCCTCACACTTCTTGTGTACTTGAATAGCCCCCTTGTAATTTAATTTCATAAGGGACATCCGATCCCTTGAAAAAAAAAAACAGAAAACACGAGGCAACGAAAAAATGAAATGAAATGTTCAAAGAAACGGTAAAAATCAAAGAAAGTGGCATTTTTTTGAATGAAATATTTAGAAATGGGATTGCTCATATTAGTCTACGATAACCCTGTCCAATTTTGAAGGAACAATCCGAATTTATTTCAATGCAGTAATCTCGTGATTGCTCATGTTAGCTACCTACAGTAATGGAGCGAAATTCAGAAGGTCATTGCTCATAATAACCGGATTTTTCCTTTTCTCCAGAATCGGTTTGTTTTTACAAGGGAACCTTTTTTACTCAACACTTCAAATCATGATGAAATTTTGTCCATAGACAGCTTTTGGGGCCATAAGAACAGCCTAAAAATTTTAGTCTCCCAATGGACCTCTGAGCCAAGTTCTGGGCTCTCAAAAACTCAAAAAGGCCTAAAAATGGTCATAAAAGTCATCATAGCTCCATTTCAAAAATTTTTTTGGGAGAAATAAAGTTTCAGATATTGATCAGCATGGTCGATTACCTAAAACTAAATCAATAAAACATATTTTTTCGAAAAATTTGGAAGTTTTTTATTTTTCGGCTGAAAATTCATGAAAATTCATATGTGCCCCTGCTCATTCTTTTTTTCAAAATCAAAAATTTTTCTGAAATTTTGATTTATTGATGTTTTTTGGGTAAATCGACCACGCTGATCATCATCTGCTACTCAGTTTTTCATAAAATTGATCGAGAATTGAGTTATGACGTGTTTTATGAGCCAATTTTGGCAATTTTTGAACTTTTGAGAGCCCAGAACTTGGCTCAGAGGTCCATTGGGAGACTAAAATTTTTAGGGTGTTCTTATGGCCCCAAAAGCTGTCTATGGACAAAATTTCATCAAGATTTGAAGTGTTGAGTAAAAAAGGTTTCCTTGTTAGTAAATCCATTCAAGATCTTTACTCTGAGAAGCTAATTTTTTTCTGCAGAAATGTGTTTTTGTTGTAACTTTTTTGAGCAACATTTTCTTCAGCAAACGAAAAAGAAAGGTGCATGTGACCGGGCGTAACGAAAATTTGATTTGGCTAATTTCGAATCCAATTATTTCATGTTTGTGCGAAGCGTGCCCTTCTCCTCATGCTTCTTCTACTTGTTCTGTTTCATTCTTAAAATAAGTAAGTAGCTCCCCCTCAATATTTATTGTACATAGTCGAAATGAATATGTGTGTTTTGAGAAGGATAGGAAAGAAGAAGAAGAGACTGAATGACTGAATGGATCCAAAATTTATGGAACTATTGTTTTTTGGAAGGAAGAAAAGAAGGCAGGAAAAAAGTCGAAAAACAAATATGAGTAGACTTTCTGTTTTTTCTCGAAGAGACCAAAATAACATATTTTAGGATACTAGAAAAATTCAAACTTATAAAAATTCAAACTTCACTCAAGGGGGACTAGAACGAAAAACTAGTCCCTATTGAAGATTTGATCAATTTCTTGGAATTCTGAAGTTATAGGTGAATTTACACATTTCAAAATGACGTAAGTATTTTCGAAATTCCATAAATTCATTAATTTTTCAAATTTCATTTTTCTTCTTTTCCGTGAATTTCAATTCCATGTGTTCTTTTCTCGAAAAAAAAAACAATAAAATCCGCTGAAAAAACAACAAAAGGCAGAGAGACACACAAAAATTAGTAATCTGATCTGTTTTAAAAAATCCCTCTACATCCTCCAAAAAACACATAACAAAATAGATATTTTTTTTGCAACCCAACCCAACCCAAATTTCCATTTCAATTCATTATTTCATGTCCTTTTTATTCTTTTTGTCTCTCAAATTCATTTGGCTCCTCACATCAGCCGACCGCGCGAATAAATCTCATCACATCAAAAAATGTGGCAAATTGCACGGAAAAAGCCGGGGAAGGGCGAAAAAATCAAATTTCAGAAGAATCCAATTTGTTTTTTTTTCTGGATAGCTGGGGAAGAAAATCGAGAAGGCATGATACATTCCAGAAAAAAAGAAAAAACTTACAATTAGGTCTGCGACGGCCAACGAAAAGATCAAATAATATTGTGGACGACCGCGCAAATCACGTTCCGACAGAATCGCCAAAATCACAAAGAAATTGCCGATAACACATGATAATATGAGCAATAGTAAGACAGATGCTAATATGACTGTCTGAAATATTTGACTATTTGATTCTCTTTCAGTTGGGTTGAGTATATGCGCTCCATTGATAACATTTTTGACTTTGTTTTAAATTTAAATCAAAGTCCAGATGTTTTTCTTTCTGCAAGTGCTCAAAAATCAGTACTTTCCCTAATTTTTGGTTTTTTTCCTCAAGAGTTGCCAGCTGCATGAAATTCGATTATTGGGAGAACCCAAGCAGAACAACAAAGATTGATGTTTTAAGTGAGAATTTTTGTACGAAAAAATATTGGATTACCAGCAGCAGGGAAGATAGAAAATAAAAGGTCATGGCTTTTGATGTTTTCTTTTTCTTTATCTATGAAGAAAACACAATTTTAAAACTGTTTGGCTGCAGTTTTTCGTACCTGGATTAGTGGTCGATCTGTCAATTCGATCCCATTACTCCAAAGAACTTTCTCCGTGGTCGTCGTCACCGTTAAATTCGTCATCAGCATAATCGAACCATTTAAAAATATGAAACTGGAAGAAAAAACACTGTGTTTCAAAGAACTACAAATCAAACGGAAGTTCAATTTTTTCACCTGACAAAATCATGTGGAAAATTTGAATTTTTTAGTATTTTTAAGAAGAACAATTTAATTTAAATCAAATTTAAATTTTCGAGAATTCAAATTTCAAAATACATACGTTATTAGAACAAAAAAAAACAAAAAAACGGGAAGAAGACGAAAAAAGTTGCAAAATAAATGTCGATCGAGCGGAAGTCATTATATGAACAAGAACTACATACGAATAGAAGAAGAAGAAGCAGAAAATAACTGAAAACGAGGACGAAGCACAAATTTCTAATGAAAAACGAGAAGAAGTCAAAAAATGTGTCTGTGTGACGAATTTTTTTAAAAATTAACTTTATTTGTAACCATTATTTTCTGGGAGGTTTTCTCGATGTTTGAGCTTAGTCTGATAATGTCAGAGATTAGTTTGGCCTTGAGATTTGGGAAATTATTTTCTTCTAAAAAACAAATTTTGGCGCTCGAAAAATCCACATGACAATACATTTCAAGTGTCTCGAAGTTGCCACGTTCGGAAAGTTTTGAATCAATATTTTTCAGAACTTGATCTTAGTCAGTTTGAAACTCTAAATCGCAACAATTTTGCCACGTCATAACTTGAGACCAAAAACTGAATATAATTTTTCCGCCTGAAATGAAATCAAAGACTAATTCCAAAATTCCCCAAAATCGCAAAAAAATAACATCACATGATATTTGACATATCTGAAATGCTTATCAAACCGGAAATTCAAATTATCAAAAAATAAGAAGCAAAAGCTGAAAAAAGTATTTTTCTATTCATTTTTCCTCAACACCACCAAAATATATATTCTTTCGTCTGGCTGCCAAAAACGGAAAACGGGCATCAGATTTCGGGGCGTAAAAAAAAAGAAAATATTATTTTCTCCTGGGGATCTTGAAAAAACGTGTACGACAAGAAATCCGTGTTGCGAATTTTTCGAAAAATGAAAATGATATTCATAGTCACGAAATATTGAAAGCACTTTCCGCACACAAATACAAATACATCCATATATGTATAAATAAATTGGAAAAAAATCCAATCAAAAATTCAAACAACAAAAAAACTTGTGCGCTTTTTTTTCGCTTTGCTCTGTGTTTCAAAAAAAATTCATCAAAATATGGGCGGAGCCAAAAAAGCAGAAAGAGCAGCTCAGAGACATCCCCTTCTTCTACTAAAAATGACAAATACACGAATCTCTTTTCGTTGGAGCACGGAGCAGGAAAAAATGGGCGGAGCTTGGGAGGAAAGGAAAAGGAAAGGAAGGGAAAAGTTGTTGGGGTGTGGCTGGCAAACAACAAAAAAATGGACAATGCACCACAAACAATTTGTGAACTTTTGGATGGCGGGAAAAATAACATTTATTGGCTAACTGAATTTAAAATCAAAATAAATCCCCTTAGAAATTGAGTATTTTCAGATTTTCATAAAGCGGAGCCTATTTAAATAAATTTTTGGGATACTAGATCTTGAAAAATATTCTCTCCACATTTGAAAGTGCATAGATTTTTGAGCAATGAATCTGATCACAACATGTCGAAGAATGCGTGTCTTTTCGAGAATAAGATCTAACCGATTCAGAATTCAAGAATTCTCCCACCTGATCTATCACAAAATCTCCTTTCCCAAATTCTGAACTTTTAAAAATATGACGGCAAAATAAATTAGCTTGTTTATACCTACAAACAGACAAAAAACTATGTGGTAATTTGAATAAAATCTGGGAGACAGCAAAAAAAAGATATACAATTTATAATTATTTTTCAGACAAACATTGTCATTTTCAGTGAAAAAATGAAAACGAGAGAGAAATTGTTCAAAAATCATTGGAAATGAGCGGGAAAAAATGAATCATTGTGTTTTTGAGGAAGTCTCATCTGCCTACATAAATACAGAAAAATTTTGTATTTTTTGAATAGTTTTTGGAAAAACAAAAACAATCGAGATACGGTAGCTATATTACTCATGTCAGAATTTGTTTTAAATGAAAATGAAAAATGAGAACTACCGTTTAAAAGGTACCACGTTCCTTCACAGATACAGAAATATTAAAGGTCCCGACACAAATTCTTTGTAAATATACATTTTTTTCTGACATGAGTAATACCTATCGTATCTCGACTATTTTTGATAACAAGACAAAATTTGTGAAAATACAAAATTTTATATTTTTGGCAGACTACCACGAAAACATCTAGATCTAATTTGAAAAATAAAATATTTTTTTAATTTTCATAGGATTTGAGATACGGTGGGGTTTTTTTTAATGAATGTAGAAGGAAACGTTGCAGCAAAAATACTCACAAATTTTTAATTGTGGGAAGTCCCAGAATCGCTCTGAGACTCACTGAAAATTTATTCACCTCAAACTTGATTTCAATAATGGGTCCTACCACGATTTGAAAAAAAACTTGACCAGACTTTTTCAGAAAAAAAAAAGTTCACGACTTTTTTTTTCTTCTTTTTCATATTTTTCCTTATTCCACCTAAACCCCAAGACAAAAAATAATGAATATTTTATTCGATTTTTTGTTTAGAAAAATTAGAGAATCTGAAAATTATATAAACCTCGCTGCGAAAAAAACATTCTTCAGATATTTTCCCATGGAAAATCGAAAAATATCGATCTCTTCATTCATAAAGTCGAAGAAAAAACTATTTTTCTTTCTTATTCCTCACCGATTTTCTTTCTTTCTAGTCGTTGCGAAAAAATACCTCAAGAAGAGTTTGGCGACAAAAACTATCGAGAGAAAATCTGATTGGGTTACGTAGAAAATTGGGAAAGGGGATAAATATGTATGTATAAATAAAAAATAGAATATAATGAAAAAATAATAAAATAAAAGTAGATAAAAGAAAAGTGCTTATATTTACATATGGAATAATTCATGATTTCTGGGACTATGTTTATTATTTTTTCAATATCAAATTTCCCGCCTTTTTGGTCTTGACAAGAAAAAAGAAGAGAATATCATGTGCGAAAAAAAACTAGAAAACCGATTTTTGATTTTCTAGGCCGCCAGAATCGAGTTTTAGGGTTGTTAGGCCACGACAATTGAATTTTTGAGTTTTTAGATTACAAGGATTTCGAGCTGAGTTTCTAATCGACTAGAAATAAGTTTTCAGGTTTCCTGAACATAGTTTGGGTTTCTAGGCTATTTTTCGGGTTCTTAGGTCACCAGAGTTCAATTTTTGGGTTTCTGCGCCTATCAATTAATTTCTAGCTTGAAATATCCATGAAAATCAATTATTCCAAATTGCCACGTCTTGAGTTCACGTATAGAAAATGAATTTATATCAAACTCTCTCAGTCATAATTCCAACTTATTCCACTAAAAAATTTCAGCAACAAAAAAACTCAAGTTTTCGGATAAATATCTCGATAAAAACAACACAAAATTAATTTAATTTAATTTATTTCTTGTCAAAAAGTCGGTTTTCGATTTATAAAAGTGTAGAAAAGACGACGACGAAGGAATAAAAAATTGAGAGAAAAAATAAAAGTGCTTTAATTTTTATGAGTCTCTTGAGGAGTCGAAAAAACGACGGGGAAAAAAGGTCGGGTGTTCGATGTGTTTTTGTGTGTGTGTTGGAAATTATTAGTAAGTAGACTCATGGGACATATTTATCACGAAACTTTTGTATTTGTCACATTTAATGGGGGCTTTGGGTCTTGCCACGATTTTTCAGAATAAGCAAGATTTGAATGAAAACATGTCCCTTTGAAGATTAATAATTTTTATTTTTCTTGGGAATCTGTGTTTATCGCATATCTGACATTTTCGAATGAAAATGATTAGAGGAATAAATGGTTTTCCTGATTTTTTTTCGAATTTCCGGATTGATTTGATTTTTTTGGAAAATATAGGAAAACATGGGAGCAATTTTTTCAAGAAAAAAACAATTTTCAGAATTCTCTGAATTTCAAAACTTTCCAAACCATAAAAAATCCTTCAGCAAAGTAATCCACAGTAATTTTCGGCCAAAGAGAACTTCGAGAAAAAAAAATACATTTCCATTTGGAAAGATGGGAGAAAAACGAATAACCTAGTTTTTTTCGGATTAAAAGTGGCCAAAAAAGAGCATCGAAACTTCCTTCTTCTCCTCCCTCTTCTTTCCCCCATTTCATTTTTTCGGTCGACAAAAACATCATCATTTAATGTCGACATTCTCGTCAAATTCCACACTATTTCGTCATTTTTCTGCATAAGTAATTAGAAAAAGGCGAAAAATGGAATGTTTCTATTTTTTGAGAGAAAAAAGAAGAATGAACCAATTAGTTAGCCAGAAGAAGAACAAAAAATGAGATGATGGAGGGCGGCGAGAAAAGCGCCAAAATTTAGTTTTCTGATGGGTGGAAATCGACCAAAGAATTTTTGTCTTGATTTTTGGAATCTAGCGCCGGAAAAACTTTGGCTAATTGAAAGGTCGAACTTCCGTGATTCTTACGATGCTCTTCTTTTACGGGGTCAATTTGGAGAAATTTTTTAAGGTTTTAACTAGGACTGTCAAATACTCAATTGAAACTTATTTTCATTATTTTTTTGAAGTGTAGGCGCGGAGTGTTGTAGTTTTTAAACGGAACGTTTCTCGAAAAAAATTAAAATTTATAGAAAAAATTATTCTGATTTGTGCTGAAATTCACCGAATTTTCCAGATTTTCCGGTTCAAAAAATGTCATATTTTGGAAGCAAAGAAATGTTTTGATTCTCGTTAAGAATAAAAAATCGCTCAACTAGAATATTTTTAAAGTAAGCAGGAAATGAAGAAAAAAAAACAAGAAAACATCTGGGATTGCAAAAAAAAGAAAATAGCGGGCAAACAATAAGTATCCAGTATTTTTTGCCGTGTGAAAAAAAAAATTGGTATTAAAAATAAGATTGATATAAAAAATTCGAAAAAGTTTGTCGAAATTGATTAATTGTGAGAGAGCAATTTTATGACACGGGAATAAAAAGAGGAAAAAAGTTTAGAAGTTCTATTTCAATTTTGAGATGAAATACATTGAGAAAAAAAAGAGTCTGAATTGAGATACAAGGAAAATGAGGACCAAAAAAGGCGAAGTGAAAAATCGTCTTCTCATTTTTCATTTTTTTCCGGTAAAAAAAGATTCTCGTTTTTTTTTCTGCATAATTTTGTTGGTGGTGGGTAGAAATGATTTTTGGGGCGTTGACACGACCAGAAAAAAAAATTATATTTATTTGAAAAATGAATTTTTTGAAAATAAATTTTTGGAGTCTAAGTAGACAGCTTGCCCCAGATTTGAGGTCAAAAAATAGGCCCAAGAATTTAAATTCTTAGGAAATAAGCTATGGAAAACCTCTCGTTTTGGCTCACAAAACGTAGGCTTATACTCAAAACCGTTTAGGCTCGAAAATCCATCTTTTCGAGCTAGAAACTCTAGGTTTATTTAAGCTTCCGAACTCTAGGTTTAAATATATGCTTATTTATACCATAAGAATCTGAAATTTCAACCCTATGATAAAAAATCCGAAACATCATTTTTCAATCAAAAAACATTGAATATATAAATTTTGGTTTTTCAAAAAATGCATTTTTCTATTTCCCCAAGTGAAAATTTGAATAAGTCGAAAACAAACAAAAACAACATAAAACACTGTATATCAAAATAAGAACGAATAATAAAAAAATCAAAAAAGGTTGTTTTTTGTTGAAAATTATGGGCTTGGTTCCTATTGTTTTATGGATGCAAATAAAAGTGAGGAGGCAATGATTTTCAGGTTTTCTCCCATTTTTCCTACTTCCATTTTTCTTCATTCTATTTATTTTTCTCTATTTTGGTATTTGGGATGAAAAAACTGGGATGTATTTCTGGAATATTATTATAAGGAGAATAAATAAATAGAAGATGTTTCTATGAAAGTTTTATTTAGTTAGAATAACATGGAATGGATAGTTGAAAATAAAATTGGATGAATTCAAAACAAAGATTGCGGGAAAACTTGAACAAACTATTCAGTGAGAAAAATTGTGAGAACACAAAAAAAATGAAATTGTCTGGGAAAAATTCAAAAAATATTTTTTTGCTCAACAATCAAAAAATTGAAATTCCTTTTAATTTTCAGACAGAAAATTTAACTGGTCTGAGATTACTGATCATATTTTTGAAAACATCAAATTTTAATCAGAAAAGTTTCATTATTTTCGTTATTATTGAGGAAGTCCCGAGTCTGGTTTTTTACAAGAATTTTGAAATTTTCAGACAAAAATCAAATTCCAGATGAATTTTCTAAATAACAAAAAAAACATCAAAACTCAACCCACGTCTCTCCCAAAAGCAAAAAAATCACAGTAATCTATTCCAAAAATCACACGAAAAAATTCGTTTCACTCGTTCGTCATAAACCATTCCTCAAATAGCTCATTAGTCATTGAATCCCAGAGGAAACATTTCTTCTTCTTATTTTTCTCATTTTTCCAGACAACAAAAACAATTGGGAAAATTGGTGGGAGGAAAAGGAGAACGAAAGGAGCCACCAAAAACAATTGTGTTTGTTTTTTTTGGGGAAAAAATAGATAGATAGCGATAAACCAAACAACAAACAATATTATAAAAAATGAAATCTTTCTTGGCCAGCATAACATAATGGTCCCGTTCCTGCTCTCCATGGGCCTGAAAACCGTATCGACACGTGCATGCCTCGTATCTCAAAAATCAGTAACCCAGCTCAAAAAACTCTTGGAATAAACATAAATCAAACATTTTTTGATACTTTGAAAGCTTTATATTTCCCCCAAGAAAAAACTTTGCAAGACTATAAATCAATCATGATAAATTGCTAATGTTAGTACTTAATGAAAAAAACAGATATGAACACTTTTCCTTTTTTTCAAGAATAGAAAAAAAGGAATGAAATGGGAATCAAGAATGTATGATGATATGTTTACTTAGGCTTAGATCATTTTTTTGCGGTCACAGAATTCTTGTTTCGCAAAAAATAAACATTCAGTGGGTGTGGTTTACTGTAGACATTCATTCTAAATAACATAAGCCTTGGGATGAACTTTGAAATTTGCTATTTTTGGAGGAGAGAAGAAAGACACGTCATCATTTAATTGGCTCAATTTTTCGGGGAAATTTTTATCATTCTTTGGAATTTGTGAGATTTTTCATATGATTTTCGAAAAGCGCGAAAAATTCAAAATGACACGTCACAACTAACGTCTCACGATGATCTTAAAGGACAGTTGGCATTTGTGTGATACGCCGGCAGTCTAGAAACTACAGTATCCCAGGGGCTACAGTAATCCGTCCGTTTCTACTTGAATTAATAGCCAAAATTCCTGCTGTCTGAAAATATTGGTTACATTATATCTGAACAAAATTATTTTTATGAAAATTCAAAAACTGATATTTCAAATTTCCACGTCATAAATAGCTCAGCCCCTAATTAGCTAAATTATTTCTAGTTTGTTCTAAGAAGAATTTTTGAAGTTTTAGAATGTGTCGAATCGCCACGTCACAGATAAAAATTCAAAATTTTTAAATAAGTGGATTCGAAAAATTGAATCAATCATATTTTCATAAATAATTTCGAAAATGCTTAATTTTCAATTTTCCCCAACCCCAAAATTTTAAAGAGAAAAATAATTCTAGGAACTTTCAGCCGAAAAAAGTGCAAGAAGCACTTAAAACTCAAAATTTGCTCAATCAATCAAAAAACAAAAGAAAACGGCGGCGACGAAAAAATGAATGTTTAAAAAATATCGGAAAGGCGAGTGACAACTGTTTTAGTGTCCGGAAAAGCTTTTTCGAAATTTGTTTGAAAAAAAAATGAAAAATGTGAAAAAGAAGAAGAAGAAACATTCATCGTTCAACAGAAAAAAACAACACTTATCATCTTAGTAAAGAGCTGAATAAACAAAATAACAAAACAAAAAATAGGATTATTTTCTATTTGGAATTTCAGAAATCCTCTTCCACATCAGTTCGATTTTCAACCACATTTCCCATTTCGATTCCGATCTTTTTTACAATTTGGGCATCCAATAATTCCATTAATATCACAATTCGAACAACGAAGATCTCTTAAATTATTCGAACTTCGATGTGAACCATGACAATTTGGACAAATAATATATCCTCGATTTTGACACAATTCACACATTTCAAATTTAATACTTTGAAATCTTCTCAAAATATTTGCCAATTGTCGTTTGTCATTCAATTCAATCAATGTTTTGTATGTTCCAAGAAATTTATTGTTCACAAAAATAATTGGGAGATTTTCGAAGATTGAGTTTTTTGAAATTCCGAGTTTGCGTTCCAATAATTCGCCACATTCAATATCAATGTTCAAATCTTCGACTCGATATTTTATTCGATGTGAATCTAATAATTGAATTGTCATTTTACAATTATCAAATGCTTGTCGAATTATTCCACAACTCGTTAAATAAACAATAACTCCAGGGGTTTCCTGGAAAATTGAGAATTTGAAGGCAAATTCAAATTCTCGGTATGAAATTCATAGTTTAAAAAAAACTTACACTTTTCCGATTCCTCAAATTTCTCAAAATATTTTGAACATGATTTCGTTTTCCTCGAATACTTCCATTTCTCTCCAGATATTCATTATTTTCAATGTTTTTTTCTTCTTCAAGTTCTCGCAAATAATCATAGCAAGTATCCTGAAAATCATAATTAGGAATAAGCATAGAAGTAGGACAAAAACTCACCAACTCAAGTTTCATTCGATTCAGTTCGTGAATAATTTGAGTTCTTCTAATATCATTTATCATTTTTTTGGTTAATTAGAAAAAGTGATAAATAAAAATTATAAAGTTTGTCTAACCAGTTGATAAATAATAAAGAAGAAGGTGTGCCCAAATATCGGAAGTAAAGTAAATAAACAAAAATATGGTTTTTTTCTAACTATTGAGATTTTAGGGAGGGAAATAGTTTCAAATGGGACAAGTGAAATAAAAACATTGAAAATTAAATTTTTAAAAGTTTTTCTTAAAAAAACTTATGAAAATTATATATTTGCTTCAAGATACAAACAATTCTCAATTTCCATATTTTCAGAAAATAAATTTCGGAAACGTATATTTCTCGGCATTTTTATTCAACAAAAAAATTCCCGAGAAAATTTTAAAATGTTCAAAGCTATGCTTGTTCGAAATGTATTTGAAAATCCACGTGGAAAATCACGGAATAAATAATCAGACGAAAATTAAGATCCGAAAAAAGTTCAATTTTTGTTCAAAATATGTTTTCCAGATTCCACTTTTATTTTTTCTCATCCCACCCACTTCTTCCTAAAATCCAATTTTTCACGCTTCACCAATTATTATTTCATCTCGGATTAACCTTGATAACAAAAATTAAAAATTCCTAAAAACAATAATAACAATTATCTTTCAATAATGAAACTTTCAATTGTTTGCCTTTTCCAAAAAAGAAACACCAAACATTTTTTTGGTCATACTTTCATTTGATAAATTACTATATATCATCGCAAGTTTTTTTGTTGTAATCTGAGGGTGTCAGTCATTTTTTCTGGGGGTAGGATTACAAAAAATCTGAACTTTACACGGTTTTTTTGTTAATAATGAGTTATGTTATCTTCATTGCTTTATAATAATACAGTAGTTCTATTTTTGTGATTTCTTGTATTTCCTTCGCAAGAGTCTCATTTTTTACATTTTTTAATTCCGTTCAAGTGGAAACAAACAACTTTAGAATTCAAAATTTTCAGAAACTAAATTTTTGAAACGTATATTTTTCGAGATTTCAAAAAGGTCAGAATTTTTTCGAGAAAATCTAAATTCCTCATACATAAAAACCAACAAATCCTTCCTCCTTTTCCTTCTTCTTTTTGTATCCAGAATAGTCATTTAATCACTTCTATCCCAGAGAGAAACATTCAGCAAAAAGTCGAAAAAAAACGAGTTTTTATCGTTTTTTCATGCCGAACGAAGCGTTAGCCTTAGCTAATTTGACTTTTTTGGGGTTTTTTTGGACCACACAGCGGGAGATTTCAAGGATCATATTTTTTCATTTGTTTTTACTTCTTGGTTATTTTTGTTGAAATTTGTTTATGGTAGAAAAATTATTGAAATTTAAAATTTTGATTTGTTTTTCTGGATTTCTTAGAGCTTGAAAATTTTTTAATTGTAAAAAAAACTAGAGTCTTTAAATTTTTTCATTAACACCCAAAATTTTCTAGACAGTCTCGTTATTGTTAAAATTTTTCAAAACAAGTCCTTTTTCTCCTCTTCAAATTTTATCACAATCCCGTCCCTCATAAAATAATAAACCTATTTTCAAATCTTGTTCTCGAAAAACTTCTCGCCAATTATAACCTCATAAAAATGATATTTTGTAGAAAGCGAACACTTTTTATCACTTCCATTTTCCTTCTGAATATTCTCCTCATTTTCTTATGACATTAATAATTAATCAAAAATTTTTGATAATTTTTTTAATTCGAAAAAAAGAAAATAAAACTGGATTTCAGGATTTATGATTATTATGCGATGATTATCCATTGTTTCGCAATTTCTCGATTTTTTCGTGATTTTTTTAATTGAAAAATATAAATTATTTTTGATTTTTCACAAAATAAGTTTGAGAACTTTTAACACGTGGAAAAAGTTGAAATTCTACAAAAGAAGACTAGAAACTTTTGAAGCGCATTCCATCTTTAACAAAATTTTGAAATTTTTTTTCAAATGTTCAAATTTCGCCACGTCATAACTCAATCTGATATAGCTAATCAATTCGTTCCAATAATATCCCAATCATTCAAATCCTCCTCGTTTTCTCTCATTTTCCAAAGAAGAAAACAACAGCAAAAAACAAATACATAGTTAGAGTGACCGCCATCAATCGAGTTTTTTATCTTCATCCTTTTTTTTCGCTTTCCATACCCAGGTTTTGCCATTTTTCGATTATCCCTTATCAAATATCGTTTCGTAATATCTAATCAGGTTTTCAGGAACGCACAAAACATGTGGTGGTGTCCGTTTTTGGTCACCTTCATTTTTAGTATAGTAAGTGATTGGAAATTTTGGGGATTTTTGAAGTGAGAATTGTCGAACTTTCTAATTTTTCGGATACATTCTGTATCTTGCTTCACTTCGAAAAATTATAAATTTCATGCTGATATTAAAAACAGTTAATAGAGTAACCTCAAAGACCTCGAACTTCATGAACAACTTTTCTGGAATTCTTTGAAGAACAACCTTCTACTATTTTTTGAGTTTCAGAATTTTTGAGAAGCTACAGAAAGTAAAAAATAATTTTTTCGCCTACCACAACCCATTCTTAATTCCCAGGCAAATTCACAAAACACCTACGAAGCAATACCAATCGGTCAACCCTATCTCCGTCCTCTTTTATCTCCTCGTGCCGAACCCGATGTTCCTCCTCCACCTCCACCACCTCATATCCGACCACAACAACATCAACCAAGAGGTTATCAACCGCCACCCCGTTTGGCAAACTTCAATCCACCCAGAAGTTTTGTCCGACCACCGCCACAGCCACAATATTTCCAGCCACCAAGGTTTGTGAATTATAGTTATGACGTGGAAAAATAACAAGAATTCACGTTTCTGACAATTACAAATCATTTCAGTTTCCGCGCCCCATCTCTCAATCTAAATCAACGCCCACGAAACTTCCAAAATCCATCAAACTGGCAAATGCAACAACTTCAACAACAACATCCACAAAGATTCGCAAACCCAGTCGGTGCACCAGGACAAATCCCAAGATTCCAGGTAAGTTGGCACCGAAAATTGTTCTGTTACTTTGTTGAGAATGTTTTTTCAATATGTTCCAAGTTTCGTTAAGTTTTCTTGTTATGTTTTGCATGATGTACACATCACACATGATATAAATTTCTAGACATGTTCCTCTCAAATTCGAAAATTGTTTTATTTTCACTTTCCTTGTTCTGTTGTTTATTTGTTGGGAATGTCTTTTCATTATGTTCCGAGTTTCGTTAAGTCCTCTTGTTTTGTTTGCATGTTGTACACAAATACACATGATTCAAATTTCCAGTCATCTTCCTCTCAAATTCGAATTCCTACGTCATCTTTAAGACGCCCACAGGTTGAAGTCAATCCAGCAACTCTTGAAAATGTAGTAGATTCAGTTAATCAAAAAATCTAATATTGATTTTTGCAGGGAGGACGAGTTGATCCGGTCAACAATATTATAATCCATCTATATTTGAATGCAAAGGATAAAATGTCTCACACAGCGATAAAAACACCAGTAAAAGGGTTGTTTGGAATTGGAACATCTCATGGTGGACCAGGATCGCATACAGATCCAATCGTTATTACAAAAGATTTCGATAGAGATACTCTAGAATTTGTTGAAGCAGAAAGAGCTGATGTAAGTGAAACATTTTTTCCAAGAAAATGATAAATCATTATTTTTTCTAGAAAATGGTGAAACGTGACAATATAATCGAAGTCAAAGCTACAGTAAGCACACCAAATCGTCAATTGGAGAACTCAGTAAATCGCGCGGTTAATCAAGAATTGAATCGAGCAATTCCAAAAGTTATGGATAGAATGAAAGGATCAAGTACAACTGAAATGGACAATGATATGAGAAAAGAATTGGAAGATGCGCTTGTCGATGAACTTGCGAGAAATCTAGGTGAATCTATTGACAATGCTGATGTCACAGAGGAAGATTTGTCGAAACTTATTGAAGAAGGTTTCAATGAGATAACTAATGGCGAATCTACAACAAGGTCTAGACCGCCTGCAACAACAACAACTAGAAGAGTTTTCACAACAACAAGTCAGCCGACCACAACTACTCAATCGACCACAACTTTCCGACCAACGACAACAACAAGACAATCAACGATCTCAACTTCTACGACAACCACAACTACATCTCGACCAACTACAACAACAAGAGAAGAAACAACAACCGAATCCACATCAAATCATGTAACCGCAGCCAATATTGATGATGATTATTCTTCCGAAGACATCTCACAAACCACCACTCGTATAATTCTGACAACTTCAACATCTCCAACTCCAACCCCAACAACTAGATATTACACACAAAATCATATCACAAGTACAACTTATGAACATGTAAGAATTGTTCCGGGAATTCGAGTGACGGAAGCAGTTCCATCTACAATTTCTACGACTACAGAAAGACCAACAACTACACGATATATTCCACCGACACCAACCACTAGATATGAACCACCGACCACAACAACAACAACAACTCAAAGAGCAACTACGACTACAGAAACTGAACCTGAACCAACTGTGATTATAAAATGGTCTGAAGAAAAAACCACAGCTACAGTTCCAATTCCAACAAGATCTACACCAATTCAAGTTCAACCATCAGTTATTCCACATCACGGAGTTGTGAATCTTGGCTCGAGTGAGGAAGAGATTGATTATACCGCAATCACACCACCAAATTTTGAATTCTCAACACGTAAGAAATGAATTCAGGCTAGAAAAAACGTAATATTTCACTTTTACAGCAAAATCGACAGCAATCAGCAATCTACCAACAAAATCCGCTCCAAGTCTACATCCATCAACATTTAGCCCACCTTTGGTAACTGAAGAATCCAGCACAACACCAGATAAATGGGCGACAGCATGGCCTAAAGATTATTGGGTCACGCGTCAGCACAACACTGCCAGCTCAAATGATATCACAGAAACCACACCAAGTAGCACGCCAGCAGTCATTACTTCAACCTATACCACAACATTTGTTCCGATTACCAGCACTTCAGTCACAGTTCCAGTCATCATCTCCGAATCAACCGAAGAACCATTCAGCACCGGAGCATTTTCCGAATCAACAGAACTACCATTTACCTGGCAAACTTCAGTGAGCGAAGAAACCACTACGCCAACACTGACACCAGTGCAAATAACAAAACCGCACCAAAGTATTTTAGATATGATGAGAACACCGTTTGATTTTAACAATATAGCATTCACCGATATAACACATCCAACTTTTCGACCAGTTATTAGTTTGGAAGATGATGAAACTCAAACTACTACTAACTCTCCAAATATTTCCACCGAGGTTTTGAAGACGGAAAGGGCTACGATTACACAAAAAAATCAACTTTGCACCAGCTTCTCTTAACTCAATCGTTTGAGAAATTCTAGTAACATTAATTTTTGCAGAAACCCTCGTCTTCTTCCGAAGAAATTCAACCAAACGTTATTCTTCAAAATGGTCAATGTCCAACTCCAAATCAAATTTCTGATCAAAACCGGACTGATGTTCTATTCTTACTCGATTCTTCTGATTCTTTCAATGAGGAAAAATTCCATCGAGCAATCGAACTTATCAGTGATACAGTTAAACAATTCAACAACTTTGGATCTGATGGTGTGCAAGTTTCGTTAGTGCAATACAACGATGAACCATATCTCGAATTCTCGCTGCGTAAACATAATTGTAAGAAAAATTTGTTAGATGATATTTCCGATACCGAATATATGACTGTAAGCTCTCATTTTTTCCCAAATTTTAACAAACACAACACAATTTAAGGGTGGAAGTCAACTCGGAAAAGCTCTTTCCAAAGTATCACAATTCGCTTTCACGAAAAAACGAGGAGATCGTGAAGACGCGGAAAATGTGTTGATTATTGTAACTGATGGGCAGAGCGATGATCGAGTTCAACAACCAATTCGATTGGCAAAAGATAACAATGTCACAGTTTTAGTTATCTCAACAATTGGAGCAAATAAAGAATATTTGAATGAATTAGCTAATAATCGAAATGCCAATATTTTCGAGTTAGATGATGATCCAAACCAACAACTTTCTTATAAATTAGCTCGTCGTATTGCTTTAGCCACAAAAAGAGCAACAACAGTTCCAACTCCAATCGGAACTGTCAATGATGTTGTTCATGAATCTACGAACATCCCAACAATTGCCCCGAAGAAATTGCCGGATCAAGTGGTGAATTTGGAATGTGTATCAGATGGATTCCAAATCAAAATTAAACCACCTCCAGGTTTCCACGGAGTTGCAACTGTTAAAGGATATCAAGATGATGTGAAATGTAAAACAACAGCAACAGGAGAGGCGAATATGTTTATTTCAAATGAAGAATGTGGAGTGACACAAGTCAAATCGGTAAATTTCCTGATTATTCTTATTTTCATTTTTTCAAAAATTAATTGTTGTTTAGATGTCACCAAGCGGTTTGAATTCCTCATTAGTTCTTCATTTATTACACGACGATCGACTTAATACAGCTTACGATCGAGCTTATCTTCTTCAATGTTTTGTCGGAACTGCTGAAGATACCGAAGTATCCACTAATCTCAATGTTATTCGTTCAGAACTCACAATTGCTGAAACAATTTCTCTTTCCACATTACCACCAACTTGTGCATATTCAATTAGAAAAGATACACCAAACGGACCAATTGTTACAAAGGCAAAAGTTGGAGATACAGTATATCATCGATGGGATTGTGACGGATCTAATGGTAAGTAATTAGTTAAAATATAGCTAATAGATTAGGGCTCAAACCACAATGGCATAACTTCTTAATATTCAGAAACTTCAAATGCTTACGGTATACAAGTTCACAGCTGTTATGCCAGTGATGACGTGGAAAGAAAATTCGCATTCGTCGATCCACGTGGTTGCTCATCAGATTTAGCGCTTTTATCGGATCTAACTTATGATGATGGAGCATTGTCAGCATATGCAGCAAGTCATGTTTTCAGTGTTCACGTAAGTTCATATAGATTTAGAAATATCTTATGATTTTGTTTTTTGAAGAATGCTGATTCATTGAAATTTGTTTGTAAATTGAGTTTATGCACTCGAGATGGTGATGGATGTGAAGGAGTTACCGTAAGTCATTTTTCAGTCTATTCTTTTTTTTCAAAAATAATATTGAATATTTTCAGCCACCAGCATGTGGCAATTCTCCAAACCGTTCTGATATTCTTTTAACTCGCCGGCTTGTTCGCAATCAAATGACAGCAATTGACGATGCTCTCACTTCAGCTCTCACAACAAAAGTCGGAGTATCTGTGAATTCAGCGGAAGGAGTTAAGAGTATTCTGTCAGCTTTGGTATCCAATCAAATATTTTGGATTGTTGCCGTTTTATCGATTCTAGCAGTTATCGGAATCTCGATTTTCTCAAGAAGAAATATGGATTCAACTGATAGTGCAACAACTTGCTCAGATCCTTCTTCAATGTCAGATTCGCAGGTAAAAGAGAACGAGAGAAAGAATATAGTATATTTAGTTTAAACCCCGGACAGTTAATTCAGAAAAACTGAACCTAGATTCCATTTTTCACATTTCTGATATCAAAAATCACTTAATTGAGTTACAGAAACTTCAACCAGAGCAGAAGGTAAACATTTAAGTTTTAACATAAACATTTATGTTTCATTTTCATTCCCGGGGTTTCTGTTGTGCTAAAATCCAACACTCTCTGAATCTCCATCAAAAATCCCAAATTTACAGGATCTTCGAAGTTGTCATTCAGCCGAAACCGCTCCAAACAATCGACTAGCTGAATTTATGCGAACTTTTGATAGGAATCGTTATGTCTAATGAGTTTATTATCTGTATATTCTGAACTTCGTTGCCATTATTATTATTTTTATTGATTTGCCAGTTCCTCTTGGTCTCACGTGTAATTTAATATCATTAACAAAACTAATTTTCGCTAATTATTTTACTATTGTTATAAAATTTTGATAAATTTCTGAAACCTAACCAATTTCTCATTTTCACAGGAAATTTTTCATCATTTCATTCAGAAGAAATTCCAAAAAAAAATAAAAATAGAAACCGGTTGATAATATTTCTCGGATTTTTTGCGCGTCATTTGATTATTACTATGGTGTTTGACACTTCTTTAACAATTGGTCTTTCTCCTCTATAAACCCCAATTTCCGAAAAAAAAAGATTTCCCTATTTTAAACCACCAAAACATAAGTGCTTTAAACGACCTCGAAATTCACCATCAGCGACCAAAAATCTTAAGCGAACTCTTGTTTTTTTCCCCTGTTTCCCCCAATGTTTTTCTTGGTTTAAACCAAGAATTTGAAAATAAAAAACATTGGGGTTTCAGATGACCTTTTCTATCAATTATCAAAGAAATGATAAGAAATTGAAGAGGTTTTTCGTCATTATTCAAAAATTTCTTGAAAGTTTTCTGAATGACCAGGGTTGTTTCAGACATTTTTCTGAATTTTCCGGTTTTTTACGAGAATCTTCAAAACTCGGGTGATTGGTGTCCAAACTTCAAATAAAACCCAATTTCTAGGCTCTTCAAGGCTTGATTACTTGGCAGTAAAAGCTCTCAAGACGCGGCTCATTTCTTTAGAATGGATCTATAGACTTGGGCCCCACTATGTTTTCTAGGCTCAGCTACTCTAATAGTTTCCATAAGTCAAAAAATAGTTTATGATGTTTCAGGAAGTTTCTTGGCATTTCCTTCGAAACTTTGTTCTTTCTTTCAATTCTCGCATTTTCCCATCAAATCCGAAACCAAAACAAACAACCTATTTTTTTGCTTATCTCAAATCTGTCAAACCAAAATAGAAAAAAACATGTATAAATTGGGCGGAGAACACTTCCTTTTTCGAAAAATACTACTTCCTTCCTTTTTTATGATTAAAAGACACTTGAGTTTTTTTTAGTTTTTATGTTTGTAATTTGCAATTCTTCAAAACTTGTTAACTTGAATTTTGTGTTGCAAAATTGAAATTGGTTCATTTTTGTTAGTGGGTTAGAAAAATTTAGATTTTTTTTAAAATTTTTGTTCAAAATTGGTTAGAAATTGGCAGATAATTCGAATTTTGATGAGAAAAAAAACGACTTCCGTGTTTCTAAAAGTAATTCCCAAAATTTTCAGAATAAATGAATTATTCAACAATTTTAACCCTCCTCATTTTGATTTGCGCAATTCTGGTCGAAGGTCAAAGAAGGTAGAACCAAAAAATGTACTTCCTCAAAAAAACTTTGAATTTTTCAGCGCTTTAAATATGCGCCGTCCAATGTCACCTCGTCCAATGAATCGTGCATCGGGTAGAGGTAACACCCCAAATTTCAAAAATAATCCCTATTTTTATTATAGTCGGTAGAAGAAATGGTCCAATTCCACCATCAAGACAACAATTTGCAAGACGAAATAATAACAACGGACGAGTTCGTAAGTGATTAGAGCTAGACATTTTTCTTAAGTCAGACATAGAAACATGTCTCCTAGAATACATTCTCCTTCTATTTCAGTCCCACCCGGATTCAAACCACCAACCGGAATCGCCAAAAAACTAAACGATGCTACGGATTTCCGCGCATTGGCTCGTGTATTGCTCAAACACTAATTTTTCTATTCTTTTTTCTTGACTCTCAGGATAAATTTCTTTTTTTAAAAACCCGGTTCATTAAAAACCCACGTATTTCAAACATCACAATACAACATTCTTCAAAAACGAATCAATCGATAATCTACCATTTAATTCGTTGAATATCCGCCGTTGTGATGGTGTTAGAACAGGTCGAAGCATATATTGAAGATGTTGATGGTAGAGAAGCCAATCGAGACCGTGCACTTTCGATAATCTCATCTGGAAAAAAATATATTGAATTGAATGAAAAAAGGCACACCGCGGATTTTCCAGAAAAAAAGGGGAAAAATAAACGTTCTTTTGTACCCTACAGAATCCTTCCTAGTTCTAATCTCTCCTCGATTCACATGATCTCTCGTGTGAAAATCGAAAAAAAATTGAAAATGAAAAAAAATTATGCAAGGAATTTTTCGCGCAACTACTTGTAGGTAGATCAAATTAAAGTTTGGAGAGCATGCAGTGAAGAAAATATGAGATTTTTTATTGAAATATAAGTTTCTAGTAGTAAACAGATACCGTTGTCTGCAAAATTCTACTTCTAATTTTAGTTATGACGTGGCAAAGTTGAACAATTTCAAAAGCTCGTGATTTTATGAACTACGAAAAAGATGAATTGAGGTCAATTTTTTTCGAATTTCTGAAAAACTTATTTTCGGGAAAGGTTCAAAATCTATTTTTCTTCTGAAATTTTATTGCAAAGATTTGTGAACTGAAAATGTTTTTCTGGGTTGTTCTAAATGTTCTCCCCACCCCCCATTTTTGTCCCAAAGTCAACAAAAAAACTCACAAAATTCTCAACACAATCCCTCGGCGTATATTCAAAACCAGCAAAAAGTGCAGGATTATTCAACAATCCATTTGCGACCATAATTCCATCAACTCCCGTCATTTCAGCCAATTCCAAAGCTTCTTTTCTTGTCGAAATTCCACCATTTGCAATAATCGGAACTGTCACTGAACTTTTTACAATTCGAATTGCTTCTACATCAATAGGTTCAGCGTGTTGTGAAGGTGTCCTTCCATGAACTGTTAAATGTGTTACTCCAGCAGCTTCCGCCTTCAAAAAGTGCTTTTGGAAAAACAGGAAATTCCTTTTAAAATTCTCACTTTTCTGCATAAATCCACGGTTTTTTCAATGTTATGATTTATCCGAATTTTTAAGGATACTGAAAAACTGCTATCTGATATCCTTGCTCTTGTTTGCTTAACCATATCTGCTAAAAGTTCGGGTTTCGATAATAAAGCGCTTCCAAATCCTTTCGATCTCACGTCATGTTTAGGACATCCACAATTCAAATCTATCCCCGTTGATATTCTGAATTCACGCTACTTGAAAATTTTTGCTGATAAATTATTTTTTAACTTACCCATACACCATTTCCGCAGCATCTGCCATAATAATCGGATCATCCGTTGCAAACTGCACAATCAGTGGAGAATCTCCTTCACAAACTGTCAATTCAGAATTCCGACATTTTTCAGATTCTAGGAAATTCTTTGCATAAATCATTGGGGTATAACACACATCAACATCGTATAATCGCACAAGTTGTCGGAATGCTAGCCTAAAAATGATATTTATGCGTATTGTCGAGTTTCTTTTCACTTCAAACTTACTTTGAATATCTGACCATTGGTGCCAAATAAAATAAAGGTCGATTCTCATCCATTTTTCACTTCAAACCAAGTTTTTAGGAAAAACAACCAATTTTTCGCGAAAAATAAAAAATAAAAAATATGGCCGTGGCCTAGCATCCGACAACTTGTGTACTCTTCTCGGAACCGCTAAATGCAATTTTTCAAACGCATTTGTTTTTTCCAGTGTTCAAAATGTGGCCAGAAGGTTATCAATTCGAGCGAAGTTGGTCATTAGTGATTCTGGAAGCCGAAGAAGATGAATCACCGAGAAGTTTGGAGGAGTTGGAGATTTACACGGTATTTCTGAATGAATGAAAGTTCTAATTTGGCGCCCCGGTGAGCATGAAACATTTTGGGTGTAGGAGTTTTTTGTTGCCATTATTTTTAGACACATTGTAGTTGCTTTTTCAATTTTGCACTCACCTTTTCCTATTTTTTGAAACATTTAAAATGATTTTTTTAAACATTGTGTTTTTTCACGCTTTAAAAAGGTCACGAAAAAATTGAAATAATTTTTTGGGGGGTAACCTTTTTTTTAGAAATTTGGGATGTGATTCACATCATGTGAATATTTTGAAAATTCTAAAAATGTCATCCTAGACTACTGTAGTACTGTACGGGATACTATAACACGAAAAAAAATTTGTAAATTTCAGAAGGTCTAGACAAGAATTACTCTAACTGCAAGTCATACTGTAGTTAGAAAACTACAAAGGCATACTGTAGTTCCCAGGCTAAGGTAATGGGTTACTGTAACGCAGCGACTACAAAAAAATAACTAGTTCGCATACTGCAACGTATATTGTAGATCGATAATTTAAAACTGCAAGAAGTACTTTACCTCAGATTTTTTTCGAGAAAACTCGAAAAATTTCAGAATCTCAAGACTCACAGTTTTATCCTTTGAATTTGAAGAAATAAAAATTGTTTCAATTTGTGTGTCTCGTAACGTTTTCGGGCAATTCTTATACAGAAAAACCCCCAATTTTCGAAACTCCATCAAATCCATAAGTTCAATTTCAAAAAAGTGTTTGTGTTTTTTGTTCGAACAAAAAGCTTCTGAAAAAGGCGCTCGCCAATTTTCTGCCAATTTCGCCTTCCTTTTTCTTATTTCTGAGAGCGGCTTGGCTTTTTTCGCGTTTTTTCCGGTCGAAGTCGATTTATTTTCACATCACTGAATCTCTCCTTAAAATCTCGAGCACCACGCATTTTTCGGTCTATTTGAACTAAACTAAACTATGAACGATTTCGATAAGGTTAGTTCAAAAATAATTGATCTTGGTTTTAAATTTCAAATTTTGAAATTTGAAATTCAAGCCTATTCTCGAGCGCATTTGCGCAATTCTAAAATATTTAGGTGATTCGTCAAGGAAACTTAAAGTTGCTGACAAGTTTGGCAACTGTCCAACTTTTTACAGGAGTTCATGGAATTGAGGTCTGCCAAAAAATAACTATCAATTAACTTTGTTGTAAAATTAATATGCATGAAAATATTGTAAATCTAGAACTTTAATAATATTTACGAAAATAAATCACAATAAAAAAAATTCCAGGAGAACCGCCGATATTTTTCGGATCAAGACTTCCGTCGTCCTCGTAAAAACGATCAGAATATGGTTGAATATTGGGTTCCGCCAGAGAAAAATGGAACTCCAGCAAAAAAGATCAGCAACGCAACTGCAAATGGCAAACGAGTTCAGCCAAATCAAATTGGACCAAGTGGTGTTCATCAAAATCTTGGTGGAAATAATGGAAATGGTGCAAGGAAAACCCCGAAAATCAAAGAGCCACGTGGCGGAGAAAATGGAAACAAGAAAAGTTCATCGGGTAGGTTGGAATATTTTTGAAACCGGATGCGATTTCTATAGAAAAAGAAACAAAGATATTTTTTTCTTAAGAAAAACCACCTCGTGGTTGGAAAATTATGTATTGGAAAATATCGAGCAAATTTGAGAAAATAGCTGGAAAAATAAGTCATTATTGGCAGAAGTTGAGGTTGTTTCGGAATCGGATGAAGACAAATAAAGTGGCGCCAATTCATACAAAGTAAGTTTGATTTTCAGGAGGCCGTGAAGCAGAGATCTTTATCTCAGGTTCTTTTTTCAGAGTTCAATCCCGCCATCTCGAACTCGAACCTCTTTGTTGCCTTTCATCCTGTCTTGTCCGCGGTGGTTGCACTTCTGTCGTCGTTTTCGAGTTATGCTATATTGCTCTTACTCTTCTATGTATATTTGAAAAATTCTTCCGAAAAGGATTCGTTTTCTGGGAGGATATTCCAGACACTTTTGAGATGTGGTTTGAACATCCGATTTTTTATTATATCGTCTTATTTTATGATATTGTAAGCTTAATGTAGAAAATTCCATCGATAATCTCAATTTTTGCAGCTTCTTTTCCTCGTTGCAGTTTCCACAGCTCGCTCTCTCGTCAACTTCCAAAAAACCGCCTTAAAAATCCACGTATATTTTTGTATCTTCTCATTGATCCTCAACCTAATTTTTGCAATATTTTCAATTTGGTGTATCGCAAGCCCCAACAGCCCCCTCTATTTCACATTCATGAATTCCCTTCTAATTTTTTGCTTCCTATTTCAACTTCCCTTGCAATTATGGGCAGTTACAGTAGTTCGAAGTTGTCGCGATTTTTTCGCATTAATTCATGTTTTTGTGAGCCTAGCTGAGTCATAGATTCTATGGGTACTTTTTATTTATAACGTGTGTATATGATTTCATTATCAAAAAAAAACTTTTTTCGTGATTATTCATCGAAAAAATGCAAAAAGTCAAACGTCATTAATCTATCAAACTGATAACAAATAAATATATAAATAAATAGAGTTTGATGAAAATTTATCATCATTTTTCAACTTTCCAAAAAAAAAAAAGAAAAATGAGAAAAGTTGGAGCAATCGGAATTCTTCTTCTCATTGGTTTGGTTTTAGAAGCTGTTGCACTTTTCACAGATGGATGGATTGTAATTAATCTTGTATTCACAACTATTTATTATGGAATTGTTCCGTATAACTCGGTGAGTTCCTATAACTAACAACATCCTCCATAATAATAATTATTATTATTATTTTTGTAGTACAACCCATTCTGGTTCAATTTTTCAAGTTGGTTGATGTATATTTCATTTGGCCTATATATTTTTGTAATCTTGGCATATTTACACGCAATGTGAGTTTATTTCTAATTACAATCTTTAATTAACTAATTTATTATGACATTTTAGGAAAAGAGTTCGACATCACGGATGTTCTCATTCAATTCGTCACAGCTTCAATGCCATATCTTCGTTTGCAACTGTAATTGGTATTTTTGAAATTGTAGCTTTCATTGAGTTTGCAATCAATACTAATAGTTATAGAGGATATCATTTAGCTAGTGTAAGTTATTTAATTTATTAACATCACAAATATTATTGTTTTGCAGTTGGGATATTCGGCGTATTTGGCACTAGTTTCTGGAATTGTCACACTTTTGGCGAGTGGATTGTCACAGCATGTTCGAATGTATGATTGTTGTTAAAATAAATATTTTTGATGGTTAAAACTCTTTTAAAAAACACAAATTTAGGAGAATGAAACTCATGGAGAAGCGAACACAGGGTGTAATTTACTACCTCAAATCGCTAGACCTCAAATTTTTTATTAATTTTTGGGTAGATCAAAAATCATTTTTCTCTAAATCTCTCGTTTTTGCGTTGAATTTCGTCGATTTTAGTCCCACCCCTAAGATCGTGTCAGGTCTCAAAAAATGCGCGAAATTTTTCGGGTTGTAAATTACACTCTGTGGCGAATTATACTCTGTATACAGAGACAATGATTCTTTAATTTCTTTGAAATTCTTGACATCTTTCATTCAAACAAAAAAACTACAACACTCCACTCGATTACAGACTCGAAACCCGTCAATTATTCCGTCATTCGAGCCACTCAATGAAATTTTTCACGAACTTTGTGAGCGGAAAAAAGAACAAGTATATGTTCAGGTTGAATTCTGAGTTAAAGTCAGGCTATGTTTTTCCCTACCCCGGTTTTTTATTTTTGTTTGGAATTTTCCAATTTTTTCCAAACAGCATCTTGCCAAAAACTTTTACGTTTCATGATAAACTTGTAAAAATGAATATTTATGTGATATTTTTTCGAAATTACCCAGATTTTAAAATGAATTAACTAAAGTAATTACTAATTATTGCAGAAAACATTGTGTAGTAGGACCAATAGAAGAGGCTGCAAATTTAGCTCGTAATCAACATTATTTTCATAATTTTAAATAAGGTAAGTTAGGCGAACTCACTTGAACACCACAAAACACACTGGAAATACAATTCGAGAATATTTGTCTATCAAATTCACATCTCTAACTCGAATTGTTGGAATAACTTTTCGAGCTCTTCGACTTATTCCACTTATTGATTGTTTCATGGAAACATTAAGTCGAGCCATTGTCATTCGACGTTTTTGTCTGAAAAAAATGGTTTTGAAGTTATTAAACTGGTTAGGCTAATTTAGACGTGTAATGACTTTTGTCGGAGCACGGATTTATTTTTCAAAATCGCTCCATTTAGATCAACAGGATTTTAAGTACCTAATTTTAAACATTACTTTATGTTTTCTCTTTATTTGCTCTCAATTTTTCAAAACTACAAACCTCAAAGAATGCGCAGGTCTTCGATGATTCAAAGTGCTATGATGATGTGGTCTGGCTCCTTTCATCGAAGGCGAACAATATCTCGGATACTCTTCCATATCTTCATCCACCAATGATGTTGCCAAATTATTATTACTACATAATGGTGCAATCGGACTCGACGCTCTTTTTGTTGGTGGCACCACAGTTTGTGTTGGTGGAGGTGAACTACTTTCCTGTTCTGCTAGTTCAGCTCTTCGTTGTTCTGTGGAGGTTTTTGGTATCCATTTTTCGACATTTACTGCGCTCTCACGATCTTCTTTATTTGCTCCGTTAATTGGCCATCTGTAATTAATTTTCAAATTTTAAAACATTAGATTGGGCAAGTCGAATTCGAAAAACGCAAGCTCGGCCGGTTACACGCCAAATTGGTCGTGGACTTGTGTGCGGTAGAACACGTGTTTTCTATCAAGATGTATTTTCAACTCACTCATCTGCAGCTCCAGCTTTTCCTCGTTCTCTTCCCCAATAAGAATAATTCACAGCTGCGTATTCCAACAATGCGGCAAATACAAAAACAAAACACATAACTAGATAAATGTCGATACTTTTCACATAACTAATTCTCGGTAGACTTTGTCTAACTCCAGTTGAAATTGTAGTCATTGTCAAAACTGTTGTGATTCCAAGAGCTACTCTTGCACTCGTTGCTTCATGATTTATCCAAAATGAGACCCACGATAACATAACGATAAGAACACATGGAAGATAGGTTTGAAATATAAAATAGCCAACAGATCTTTGAAGTTGGAAAACTAGCGAGAGCCTTTGATAAGCTCCTGTGGCTGTTTCAACAATACTATCTTGTGTTTCATGTCCGGTTATTGTAAATTGTGGGACATCAGCTTGGGTAACACCGTAAACTGCAGTAGGAAACGACCATTTCATCAAAACTTCCGATGTTGTGTAGCCATCTGCAGAAAAAAATATTGAAGATTGGAAATGAGATAGGATTCCCTAAAGGGCTTTTGAACTTTGTCCACTCAAAGACCAATCTCCCACGCATGTTTTTATTGATTTTTTGTTGTTACACACAAACTTACACGACTCAATTTCAACTGTGCAGTTTTGTGAATCAAGCGGGAAATTACGTAGATTCATTGAACAACTCAACGTTGATGTCAATCGCATTCCATAAGACACTTGTCCATCCGAATTTATTCGCAACATTTTATTAGTTTCGGTAACTTCGTGTAGATAACTTTGTTTGTCATTGGCAAGAAATGTGTCAGGAACCCAGAGCTTCCTGGAAAAGGAAAGTTACTGAAAGGCTCGACAGGGGTTAAAGTTTGGTTTTCAAACTTGAAACAGAAAAAACAATTTTTGAATTTTGTTTTTTTTTATTTCAAATATTTTTTTGCTAATTTTTTTTAGTTTAGCCTAACTTACTTCGAAAACTCTCCACTCAAAGTCATCTCATCAATCGGCAATTCTTGCTTCCATATAAGTCGCTCATCTGTCCAATATTGATGTAAATACATAGTTAATGTATAATCCTACAAAAAATAGGGTTGTTAAGAATTTTAAGGTGAAGTTAAGAACAGACCATATCGACTTCTGAAATTGAATCAAAAGACGCAATTATAACATCCATAGTGAGTTGTAGAGCATCACCTGAAAATCTATGATTTTTAGAGGAAGTGTTTTTTTTGTTGAGCCTAACCCATCAGAGAATACTCTTGTTTTCTTATTGTTGCTTGCTCACCACAAAAAAAAAGAAGAAACGTTCACATTTTTCTATGTTCACCCTTCCTCTTTTCTTTTTTTTGCGGCGGGTGCTGACAGCTTTATGTCAATGGTGATAAGCACCCCTTTGGGAAAATATTCAGGCCAAAACGGCAGGATATTTTTGTGAAACATTTATTTTTTACTAAACTGAAAAGGCTCTCAAAACACGCATTGTTTCGTCACTGATTGAATTTAGGCTAACTTGAAAAATGGGAAAAAGAAGAATAGGAATAAGGGAGGAAATTTAAACTTGTAGACATTCTTCAAGTGTCAAAGATCTTTTCCGGCATAAATCTAGATTTTAGCCTACCTCCAAAGCCGGGTCTCAATCGAATATCATAACCTTGCAGTAGATCTTTCAGCAGATCGGAAGCGTTTGAATACAAAGGTAGTTTTTCATCAGGATCTGGATTGTGATAGTGGTTTGGGGATGTTGTATTGCTGGAAAAAACGGCGTTTTTGGGGCAAGAAATTAGGTTGGGAACTTTTGAACAGTTTTTCTACTTAAATTTGAGGATTGCAAAATATTCTGAAACTCATTTTCAAATTTTGGATTCAAACTTTGTTTTCTCGAAAAAATACTTTATCTAAAAAATTCAGGAAAATTTCGAAACTTGACCTTTTTATAGCTTTTTTTATTACCAAATTTGAAAATTAAAAGCTAATTTTGACAAAAAATACCGAAGCCAAAAATTGTGTTTTGAACGAGCTTTTTTTTTAACATGACTCAAAAAATCAATAACATTTTTGTGTAGACTACTGTCGCTTTAGCAGCCATGTGAATAACTTTGACGTGGAAACCAACGAATTTCCACGTCATTGTACAGTTCCGATGACGCGGAAGCGGAAATTTACAAAAAATTTAAAACAAACCTCCTACAAAACGTTGTGGAAAAAATCAATAAAGTCAGCGAGATGAAAAATATTTCCCGAATCATCTGAAAATTTTTTTTTTTGAAAAATTGCCAGGACCGAAAAAAATGAAGTAGTAAAAAATCGAAAGTGAGCTCATCTTTTCTTGCTCCAAAAAAAGAAAAGAAAGGGGCGGGGTCCGAATTTTTTCCCTCAGGAGAAGCCAATTTTTTCGTGTAGTTTTTTTTGCGCGAGACAAAAAATCGCGTGTGACACTGTCATTTTTCGCCCCTAGCCTAGATAGAAAATAGAATTTCTCATGAATTCTAGAAAAAACTTCCAATCAGAAAAAATGGTGCAACTGGTTAGTTCTCAAACTACCAAGTAACACACGCAGGTTCAATTCCCGGTGTCTGCGGTTTTTTTTTGAGAAATGTTTCTGTTAGATATGAAACTAAAACTACCCAATTCCAATTCCCCACCCATGAAAAAAGCGAGCCCATAAAAATGTGCTCGGCGAGCAAAAAATTCAAAATTCATGAATTTTCTTCTTCCCAACTCTATGTAACTTTATGAGCATTTTTCCTTCCCAAATGCGAAGCATCTTTCTAATAAAAACAAAGCAGTTTTTTGGCTGTGTCTTGCGAGTTTCCTAATTATACGGGACCTTTTTTTGACTGCTTGAGGAGCAAATGAGCCCTCGAAAATGCGGCTCTGACAAAAATGGCACCAGAAAAAACGTGTGTCTCAGGGGACAATTTTTGACACTGCAATAGGAGAATGTGTCCTTTTTGACACCATTTTCTCTGCTGCGACATTTTTTGGAAGTGACTATAGTTTATTTTGTTGTTGTGGTTTTGAATTTTGAATTTTTGCGCGCGAAAAGAAATATTTCAAATTATAGGGGTTGAGCGCCGAAAAGTTGATCTACCAATAGTAACCCAGAAAATTAAAAACAAATTTTTCGAATTTTTCATCTACAATTTTGGAACTTTTGCGCAAAAATTCAGAAATACATCTACCAAAACACACCAAAACATCTCAAGAACCTTGTTTTTCCACACAAAAAAAAACACAAAAATTTCTCATCTCACATTTTTTTTTTCGAAATGAAAAATGAATCGGAGTAAATCATATGAATTTCTTCGCATTCATTTTTTAAAGGGATCCAAAAAACACAAGAAATAAAAGTGTGCACAGAAAAGGGTTTAAACGAAAATCGAAAAAAAGTGTGTTTTTTTTCGTTTTCAAACTCCAAATCAAATAAAGATTTTGTCAAATGATAGATTTCGTTTTTTTTTTTGAGAAAAACTCTTGTCTTTTTCTTCGTTTTATTTTTTGAATTTTTATGGAAAATTTTTGGAGTTCTTGAGAATTTGGTATTTTTTAATTTATTGCAAATTTTATTTTTGGATTTCACGGACTACTGTAGTCAAAGTTTAAAGAAATATTCGCATCAATATTTTCAACTTGATATTTTTGGCCCTAATTTCTTTTTGAATTTTTTTCTTTGCAGATCAAAATTTTAATGGTAACTGTGATATTTGTATCAATTTTTGCTATAATTCATGGCGGTCAAGCGGCTTCACAAATAGGCCAATTAAATCCGAAAAGACGGTGAGTTCTGGCCGAAAATTTATGATTTTCTGAAAATTCAAACTCAAAAGTTCCTAATCTCTATGTTTAATTTCTTTGAATCTCTATTGATGCTCCATAAAATCCACTTTTTTACAGGGCCACAACCTACAACACAACTCTAATCAAAGACACCACAGATCTGTTGACTGGAATCATAGATGGTCAAGACAAATATTTCCGACCAATCAATGAGGATAATTCACCGCTTGAAGTTGAAGTTGATATAAGTGTCAGATCAATGGGACCAATTTCAGAACAGAAAATGGTTGGTTAGTTCGTGACTTGGTGTAATTTGACTTGATTTGAAAAAATAGTATTTTTTGGTGGGGGCAGATAATTAATTAATTACAGGAATTCTTGCTGGAATTTCTTTCATTTTCAAATAAGAAAATCAGGAAACTATTTTTCAAGAACTGATTTTCAAAGCACAAAACCAGGTATTATCTGTTATCTAGGTTCCAAACAAGAGTTAGCTTAACTTAAATTAATTTTTTTGAATTTCAAATTCGCCTCCTAACTTAAATCAGGCAAATTGCAGGAATTTTCACTGGATTGTTATTTTCGTCAAAGATGGATCGATAAAAGGCTCATTTTCAAACCAATTGATCCAAATAAGAGGGAGATACCTTTGGCGAGTTCGATGTTGAAAGAAATTTGGGTAAGACTACGATCCTCTCTCTCCCAAACCTTCCCATTTCCCAGGTTCCCGACACCTACATTCGCAACGGTCGTTCTTCCTACCTTCACACTCTCACAGTTCCCAATATTTTGCTTCGAGTCCGCGCCGATGGTCAAGTCCACGTCTCTCAACGTCTCACAATTCGTTCGCGCTGTCAAATGTTTCTCAAAAAATTTCCGATGGACACACAAGCCTGTCCGATAGAAATTGGTTCACTTGGATATTTTGCAAAAGATGTGATTTATAAGTGGAAAAATGTGGATTTGGATAAGAAAATGGGAAATATGTTGAGCCAGTATCAAATTTTGAATACCACTCGATTTGAGGAACATGTCAAAGATTATCGATATCCAGATAGAAGTTTGTCTAATTGTTTTCAATAAAAAACATTTCCATTAATATTTTCAGACATCTCAACACTCAAAGTATTTTTCAAACTTCAACGTCAACAAGGTTACTATATTCTTCAAATCTACACACCGTGTACTTTAGTGGTTGTGATGTCTTGGGTGTCATTCTGGATTAATAAAGAGGCGTCGCCAGCCAGGGTTTCATTGGGTATTATGACGGTTTTGTCAATGTCAACTATAGGATTTGGTTTGAGGACGGATTTACCGAAAGTATCGCATTCTACAGCTCTCGATGTTTACATACTGTAAGTTAGTGCTTCAAGTTAAAAACAGTATTTCATTCAAAATTGGAAGAAGAGGTTGTCTACATTTTCTAGGATAAATCTACTCAGCACTTGACTCTGTAGACTGACTGTACAAATTTCGTTGATACTTTGTACGGAAACGGGGAAGAGAGAATTGCACATAAGTAACATCCGTTTATCTACAAAGTAGCTACAGAACAGCAACGGCGTAGCTACGGATTCAAAAATAATATTTATAGAGCGGTCACTTCACTTAATTTCTGTCCGCGAATTGTGTAGCTACAGCGTAGATACGCTGTACCTACGTTTTCATCTCTGATTGTGTGACGCTTGGCAGCTCTCGTCAGAATTTAAGGTGTGTGTATCAACTATTTGGCATCTGCGTAGCTACGAATTTGATTTTTTTCGTAGCTACGCTGAAGATAAAATGAACCTACGGTTTTCGGGAAAAAAGTGTAGGTACAGCGTTCATTCGCTGTATTCACACTTCTTCAATTTGTACAGTCAGTCTACAGAGTCAAGTGCTGAGTAGAAATCAACAACATAGCCTCGAAAGCCTACTTCTAAACCTAACGTAAGCCATTTTCAATTTCCTATTCTCAAATTTTACAGATCATGTTTCGGTTTCTTGTTTGCTGCAATGGTCGAATACGCAGTGATAAATTATGCGCAAATAGTTTACATTCGGAAACAAGTTCATGATTTGAAGGGTCTCGAACAGAATAGTGCTATGAGAATGTTTACAGCTGGATTGATTGGAGCAAGAAGAGATACAATTCAGGTGGATGATTTGGAAGTGGAAAAAGAAGAGGCGAGAAGAGCTGCAATTCCATGGTGGAAAAGGATTTGGCAAGGCGAACAGCAGGGAAATACTTCGAGTGAGTGAATTAGGAGGGATGATTATCTAAGTCGGATTCAAAAACTCATGAAGAAGTTTTCAGAACTTTTCTAACACTTTTAATTGAAATGTATTTCCTAAATCCAAAAATTGTTTTCAAAAAAAAACTATTTTAAAGCTACGAAAAAACCCTCTAATTTTGCCACGTCATAACTTATTTAGTTTTGTCACCATTTGAAAGAGGTAAGTCTACACCATCACAAAACTAGTTCTAGAAATTTTTAGCACCACTTTGTTCTAAAGTTTCTGAAAAATATCATTTTTTCAGAAACTTTCCTATCAATTTTGGAATGTCATTCTCACCTCAAAATTATTTAAAAATCCTCATATTTTCAGTGTTTTACCGTGTTGCAATGAAAGCCGCAATCGCCAAAAAAACACTAGGTAATCGAGATCCCGCTCAAGTTGTCAATCGAATCGACGCAGTTTCTCAAGTTATATTTCCCACCCTGTATATTTTGTTCAATTTTTTTCTATTGGATTGCTTATCTGTATATTATTCCTGATGAAATTGACACCGTATTTGGGATTTTTTAGGGACTTCATGAGAGGTTAGTCCTGTATTTTCCTTCTCAATCCGAAAAATGTTTCCATTTTTCAATGTATAATTACTCTTGACCCCAATCCACATTTCTTTTCTTTTCAAAAAAAAAACAGATTAATTTTTGATTCATTCATTTTCTCATTTATGTGTGTTTATATTTTCTCTTCCCTATATCATGTTTTTTCAGATTGTTTTTCTTCATAAAACTAATATCAAACAATAATAAATCATAATTTTGACCCGATTCTTTGGTTGACCGGAAGAATGTGTTTTTTATTGAAACGCATGAAATTTATGGGATTTGGGATTTTTAGAAATTTTGGAGGTCGGATGCGCAGAAAAAATAAAACATATGGGTGATAATCTTTGCCGCCTTCTCTCAGAAACAAAGCTCCATTTCGGAATTTTCAGAATATTTTATCCTAACTTCAGCACTAACAAGGCAACATTTTCCGAATAAAAATTTCGAAAAAATGTTTTTGTGATTTATTCCTGCATAGTTAACATAAGTTGAAGATCGTGTGGGGGAAAATTGTATTTGAAAAATATTTTTTTCAAATTTTCTGAAATTAGAAACGTTCAGATTTTTCCTTAAATTTCACAAAAGTTCCCACCTAATTTACTAATTTGAACTTTAATTTACACATTCAAATTGAATTTTCGTTTATCACAATTTCAAAACGTTCAAAAACTGCCATATGGATTTTTTCAAAGTATTCATTGGTAGTATAGTTCGAAGTTCGAACTTTCCAGGTCAAGTATTTTTCCGATCTTCCGGGTTCAATACTTTTTTCTTGCTATTAATAATTCTCGCCAATTAATTCTCGTTTAAAAAACCTTTCCCCAAGAAAAACCAGATTTTTCTCGTATCCCAAAACTGTTTCACTTCATCCCTGTTTTGTTTTCCATTTCTTTCATCACATAATTTCGGCTACAAAAATCACACATGTACTTGGGCTAAGCCAAGGAGGCTAGGTGTCATATAAAATATAATAGAAAAATGAAATAAAAATGAAGAGAAGCGGATTCATCCCTGAATAAAGGAGAAAAGGAAAAACTGGTTTTGTGACTGGCGCGTTTTTTTTGTTCGGAAGAATGAGAAGAAAAGAAAGGCAGCTAACAGACATCATTTTGATGAGAACAACAAAAAATTAAGAGATGCGGTGGATTTTATTTTATTGGAATATTATTATTGAATTTTTAGGAATTTTAATTTTATTGGGATTCTGCTTATAGAATAATTTTCGGTATTGAAGAGTTTTACGTTTTTTTCAAAACCACGTGGCTGGGTTAACTTAATTAAATTTAATTCAAATATGATTCTTCATCCTCCGACTGAAACATTTTGAAGTTTTTAGTACTAGAAAACTTTAGAAACTTAAAAAAAATGTTATTTTTCCACTGTAATATACGTTTCAGAATTATGTAAAAATTTTGACACAAAAATGTACATTAATGTTTTTCAAAATTTATTTTGTTTACATTTATTCTTGTCTAGGCTCAACATAAACTTTATATTCTACAAACGTTATTCTAACATGAGCAATGGCACAAGGCACAGTATACCACCAAGTGACCTGTAATCTCCGAGAATATGAGTGTTGACCTGTTCTAAGGCTAACCTTAGATGAATCAGAAAAATTTTATCCGTAATCTACAATTTCAGAATTTCGAAATTAAATTCTGAAAACTAACCCTGAATAATGAATAAAAAATTTCAAATTCGCGTGCTCAAAATCCCCGTGGCGTAATTTAACTTTATATATTAATTCCTAAAAAACCTATCATAATTTCGTTTTTCATCTTCAGATTTTTTGACTATATTCTACTTTTATACCGAAAAACCCTCCTAATTTCTCCAATCAATTATTTTCTACATGTATTTCCGATATCTCATTTTTTCTGGCTAACATTGGATTAATTAATTAATTAATCAATTAATTTGCTTATTTGATAAAGACTTTCTCTATTTCAAAAATTTCTCAACCAAATCCAATCAATTTCACTTTTCTCAGTCAAAAAAAGATAAAAATCTTCGGTTTTGGCAGATTTCACTTTGGCAAAAAATGGATTTTATTTTATTCGCTATAAATTCCTCTCGTTATTTGGTTTTCTATTTCATTTCGATTTTTCAAGGTTTTTCGGTAACATTTTTGCCACGTAGAAATTTGTATTCAAAATTTTTGAGATTTCACAATACTGCCACGTTGCAAATTTGAGCTTTCCTAGTATTAAAAAATCGAGAATTTTTGAAATTTGAAATTCGGGTTTGAAATTTGAAATTTCAATCAAGTTTTTAAGAAGTTCTACCTAGAAATTAAAAAATTTCAACGATTGCTGATCTTTGAAAAGTCCAAGGATAAGAAAAGTTTTTTGCATATAATTTACACGAAGAAAAAACGATCCAATTTTATTAGATTGCTTTTTTTTGTTGTTGGTGATCTATGACAAATTTCGTTTTTTTGGGAGTTAGTTTTGATTTGGCTTGGTGCCAAAAATGTAGTTTGAACATTTTTCAGAACTTTTTCTGAAACTCGAAATTTTTGAAAAATTACATTTTTCGAATTTTATTCAACTAGAGTCGATTTTTGATCATTGAAATTTTCAGCAAATTCCGGATTTAATTATTATAGTGAACATTTTATGATATGTAATTATAAAAACGGAAACAGTTTAGTTTTACGAATAAAAAAACTGTCTAGCCAAAATTGAATGACGTATTATATTTGGCTTTTATGATAATTGTAAGCAAAAAAGGGAAAAACTGGAATCTGTGGACAGTATGTTGCGAAATTTTCAGAAAACTTGAAATTAAGGCCTAAACACTATAATCAAATATTTTTTGATTTTCAGATTTTTTTTTTGGAATATCTTGGTTTTTTTTAATTTCTAAAATTAGCGATTTTTATGCGAAAAATTCAAATTTTCTGAAACTTTCGTTTTATGAAGAAACAAAGTCACTAAAAGCATTTGCTGTATTTTTTTGTTTAAAATATCGATTTTCTCTCCCTGAAAATCTCCCATAATCTCTGATAACCCAAAACTTTCGATTTCTCCCCAAAAATCTGCCAAAAAATCTCACTTTCTTTTTTCCACCACATCTCTAAAAATTAGTAAAAGCTTAGTTAGCTGATTCAGAAATCATCTCAATAAACTTCAGAAAACCGGTTTGATTTGATTATGAGGAACAGAAAGCAGAAAGAAAATCTTAGTTTGGCAACTACAAAAAATCTATGTTTATCTTTTTTTTTTGTAACACATTTTTTCGCGCTAAAATTTTTTTTGTACATTTTTTAGATTTCTAGAAAATTTCTAGCCAATATGGCCTAATTTTTCTCGAAAAATTGATCTTTCAAAGAATTTAATACATCTGAATTTTTTTCTCACACTTTTCGCGCTACAATTATCCGAATTCAAATTCAAAGTTTCTACAGATATGCAAAAAACAAGATGAACGAGACACAATGGTTGGATCGCGTTTTTTCGAATACTTCTTTGGGACATCGATTATTGGATAGGTACTGTAGCATACTGTATTTACAGTAATCCTAGATTTGATTTTAGGTTGACTTTGACAAATTTGCGACATGCCTTTTATCTGATTTCGCCTTATGAAACGAGTGTGGAATCGATTAATTTGGTGCCGAATTATAATGCAGAGGTGAGCGAAGAATTTAAGAAAATACACGTGGACCAACTTTTCAAAAAACTAGGTCATCTCAAAGCAGCAGAATTCAGAACTTTAAACAATCTATATCCATCCAAATTAAAAAAAAATGTGAAAATTAATTTTAGGTCTCCGCATGGTGGCTCGTATTTCTCGCCGCCGAATTTTTCATTCTCTTCCTCTCCGGCCACGATGATCGATTCGCCTTAAATGATTCAATAACATCAATCTGCGCTGGAATGTTGAGTCAATGTTTCAAATTCAGTGGTCGAGCTGTCGCAATCTTCCTATACGTCATAGTTTGGGACAATTGGCGGATATTAGAATTACCATGGGATTCTCCGTGGACTTGGATTCTTTGCCTATTTTTCCAAGATTTTATGTATTATTTGGGACATCGTGCAGTTCATGAAGCTGGTTTCTTTTGGGGTTTGCATACAATTCATCACAGCTCAGAGTATTATAATTTTTCGACGGCTTTGAGACAAGCTGCGATTCAGGATGCTGGTTTGGCAATTTATGATTGTATTCAAGCATTTTTTATACCTCCTCCTATTTTTTTGGTTCATCGATATTTTAGCGAAATTTTTCAATTCATTATGCACACTTCAGTGAGTAAAATGAGTTAGAACTCAAAATGGAGCTCTCATTTTTTTGCAGCTAATTGATACGATGGGACCATTGGGATTGGTATTCAATACACCTTCACACCATCGAGTTCACCATGGTAGAAATCCATATTGTATTGATAAAAATTATGGAGGTGTTTTTATTATTTGGGATAAGGTGAGTTCAACAGAGATTTTTCGGAGAAGAACAAAAGGAAAAATACCAGTCAAGCTTAAGTCTAGACTTTTCAAAATATTTTAAAGCCAAAAAACATTTCAGATGTTCAACACATTCGAAGCGGAAAGATCGGAAGATCCTCCAATCTACGGTCTCGTAACAAATGAAAACACTTTCAATCAAATCTATCTTCAATTCCACGTGGTTTGGGATATGCTCTTCCTAAAATCCCGTGCAAAAAATGCCAAAGGCGAGCCAATCTTCCCAGGAGTTGCCAACAAAATCAAAGCCGCAGTTTTTCCGCCAGGCTGGCAACCAGGAGTTCCGATAACTCCATTTTTTCACTGGATGAGTATGGTTGATCCAGCTTATGGAGTGCCGGAACCACAAAAACCTGTCGTCAAATACAATCCACCGATTCGGATTCTGGTGAAAATCTATATTCTGGCGTATTTTGTATTGTTTATGGCCATATTTTTTCATTTTGAGTACGATAGAGCGCATTTGAGCTATTTGGACTGCACGCTGAAGATTGCCTTTTTCGTGTTGACTATGCAATGTATTTCTGCATTTTTTGATGCCAAGTGGGTTTTTTTTTCGTGATTTTTACACCCATTTGTCCAAAAGCACTACGTTGAAGATTTCAAATTATTGCTCATGTTCACAATTTCAGAATTTCCATAGCATTGAAATTCAAAACTTATATCATTCCTTATATTAAACTTTCAAAAAATCGTTTTTTACAGATCCTATGCCAGATATCTGGAAATTTTGCGATGTTTCCTAGTTCTGATTTATTACGCAGTTCTGCTTTTCGATCATATCGGAGCTGGAACTCATCGCATTTTTGTGATCTCAATTCATATTTTAGCCATATTCTTGTGGACAGCCGATATTTTATATGAGGTTGGTATTTCTTGTCTGAAAATTTCAGCCTCAAATTTTTTGTTTGCAGAAATGCTCATGCTCTAAGGTTGCCGAAGTCAAAGAGAAAGAGAAAAACGGCGTCGAAATTTCAGTGATCTCGTGAAATTTTTGAATTTTTCACTTATTTTTTCTAGTTTGTCGTGTAGATGTTGATAATAAATTCTATAATTTCTAGAAAATTGTTCATATTAAGTTTTCGGGATTTTCAGAACATTTCTCATATCAAACTTTCAACAAAAAAGGAAAATTTTTAGAGTCTTGAAACAGAAAAATCTCCGCGAAAATCCCGTGTACTTTTTTCGGGAAAACCTAATACCGGCAAAAATACAAATTCCTTTGATGTTTTCTCAAGTACCATGTCCTTTTTTCCGTGTTTTCCAAACTTTTTTCTTTTTGCAACATCTAAAAAACCAGTTTTGTGCTGTCATCATTTGCCGCCGCCATACAAAAAACACTAATACTTGAGAGCAACAGTTGGCTCAGCTCAAAAAAATCTTCATGTATAAAATGTTCGTCTTTTTTTGCTGCCAATGAATGGCACCAGCAGAAAAAATAATACGATTATTTATCATTCTTTGGATTCATCGAAAATCTTGTTATTTATTTATTTACTTTTTGATATTGGATGTGTATCTAACTTGTTTTTTGAAAACATTTGTGACTTTCGATTGATTTATTGGTTTTGGAATAGATTTCGAATTATTCCCGGCAAGACTTAGCTGCTTGAGAAGTTGTCAAGCAGCGACACCTTGGCATAAATGACAAGGGTTCAATGCTTGAAACTGTTGAAATGCTTGAAATGAAGTCAAGAGTTGGATTCTTGACAACAGAATGTACCCGCAAAGTAACCAATGCTTGACAATTGAACATCAAGGCGCAGATGCGAGGTCTATCCGATTGCCAAGCATCCAATCCTTGTTGAACCCAATTGTGTCAAGCGGTAACTCCTTGACAACTTTAACATAAATTTCGGAGAATTTTCGGAATTTCGGAGCCAAAAAACGATTAAAAATCATTCATGATTTATGTTCTCAGAGAAATCGTTCAATTTTCATTTTCATCTTTTTGTGCAATAAAAAATGTGTATCTCATTTTTTGTTTTGCTCGTAAATTTTTCCGAGATTTTCAGAGAATTTCTATTTCGAAATTATCTATTTTTCATGACTCATTTAGTTTTTCAAAACAACAAAACTCATGATATTTTGAGACAATTGTTTTTTTTGTATTAGGCTGGTTGAAAATGATACTTAAACTGAATTTTGAAATTTAAAAGCTTCATTTCAAAATAGATCACCGCGTCAGTTTTTTTCCTAAGATTTCAATTTTTCTAAGACTTAGCCTAACTTTGTTCTTTTCCATAATTTTTAGTCTAAAACCTTGTCAATCCATCAAAAAGTACACATTTCAAAAAGTACGAATTTTTCAAGACTTAGTGCAAATCAAGACTTTTTGTCAAGTTGTAAAATGATATTCTTTGCTTTTTCAAGAAAATTAATCGCACAGGAATTTTTGTCTCATTTTTTGCCTCTACTCGCAAAAAATGCACAGTTGTTCTTTCGTTCCGCCACAGAAAGAAAAAATTCTTTAGTCTAGCTCAGATTTTCTCTCGTTTTTTATCCCTTCAAAGAATTTTTTGAGGAAAAAAAAGAATAGGAAGAAAATGGGCGGTTCTACGGATTTTGTTACTTTCACGGAAAATTATTATTATATATAATAGATTTTGAAATAAAACTTTTCAGTCTATATTTGTAGTCTGACTTGTTTCGAAGTTTTTCTCAACAGGAAAAATATTATTTTTGTTACATTTATTACAAAATATTAATTTGCCTCTCTTTTACTCATTATTTCAAGCTTATTGCTTCTCAAAATCTCTAACATTTCAGCCGTATTCTCAAAGATGACTGGTCTCAAAAGATCAGCCACAATCAACGAGACAACTCGAACTCGCCGTCACAAATTTGCCCTAAAATACGATCTCAACAATAATTCGGAGCAAAATCAGAAAGTTAGTTAATCTTCAAGTTTCGAAGTTTCAATAAAAATTTCAAATTTTCAGCGGGATTCTGAATCACCATCTGCTTCACCAGATTCGGCCCCCAATGAGACTTTTGTTTGGGATTGGCCGTTCAGCTCTGATGGTAGGTTTTTCCGGGAATTTCCCGGGAAATCATGATTCCAGATAGAAAATTAGCCAATTTTAGATAAAACTTTGGGAAGAAATCTAAACAAATGAAAAAAAACAACGAGACTCCGCTTGTTTCCACTTTCCTATTGTTTAGCGAAAAATCGATAATTCTTATTTTTGCTCAAAACTCTGAAAATCCCTATTCCCAGCCTACTTTCAGAACCTTTCATAAAAACAAATTTACATAAAGCCTAATTTTATCGATTTTTCTTCTTGCAGGAATCGCTCCAGGAGCCTATACACCCGAAAAATTTGTGGTTTGTCTGCCATTCAACAAAGGAGGAACCGGCGAAAAAAATGGAACTGTAAGTTTTCTCAACCCTCAAAAAAACAATAAACAGCTGTTCAGTTTTTTGACAAAAAAACTTCAAAAATGAAACACGAGCCCTTGAAACAAAGAAAAAACTATACAAAAAATGACGAAAAATCTTTGCAGACAAAAAAATTCGAGAAAATCGCCGAATCGGATTTTTCATGGAGTATGGGACTATCAAGAGATGCCGAGTTGGGATCCACGTGTTTTTGGAGATTGGAAATTGAAATTATGAGGAATTTGAATTCGATTGTATTGATTGCTTCAAGGTAAACATTTACTACGTCGAATATATAAGCATCTACTAGAAAACCTAGATTTCATTTTTTTATTCTAAATCTCTAGTCAGCAAGTCGAAATATACTGGAAGAAGATGCTTCATTCAACATACCTTGGAAAATTCTTATGAGACTTCCAAGAAAAATCTAATTTTTGCAGAGACATCAGCCGCTACTACGAAAATACAAAGCGTCTGAAGCGAGTTCGTAAAATCTACCGACTCCCGGATTACTATGACGTGTCAACTGTGACAACAACAATGTACGATTGGGCGGTTTTAGTGGAGGCACAGAAGAAATCGATAAATCGTCCAATTATGCGACGAGCATCCACTTTTACATAAATTAACTTTTTGTACATATTATTTATTGTTTTTTTTCGAATGTGCAATTTTTGATTGAATAAAATTTGACTAGATATCCCATGTTTTTTGTTTTGTTTTAAAAAAGCTTCGAAAAAACTCACTATCGCTCCAGTTCTCTCAAAAACCAGCCAATTCCAACTAGGGACATGCAATATTCGACACTTCTTCCAGGTCTTTCGAAATTTTGATAGAAAAATCCATTTGTCATCAATTTTCGCCAACTATTTTCGACCGGCTTTCCTGCAAAAAAGAGCAATATTTCTCAAAATTTTGGTAAAATTTGGCTAAACCAACCTCATCCACTGAAATACAAGCCAATCAACCGAATTCCATCCGCCAAAACCATCAAAACTCGATTAAAAGCGAAAAAATTGGAAAATGTTCGCGAAAATAAAATTATATGCACAGAACCATTTGTTCAAAGGCACACAAACAAAAATGAAAAATATTACGACGCGCTGCCCGCGAATGTGTTTTTTCAAAAAAAAAAAAACAATGTCAATTTTCTTTTTTTTTGTTTGTTCGTCACGCAGTACGTGTCAAACATTATCATTTTCGCTATTTTTTGATGGAATATGGAAGCTGGAAAGTGAGTTGATTTTAAATTTGAATACCTCGCTAAAGTTGGTGAAGACAAGCGTTTAATAAATTAAAGTTAGAAACGCCTTGGGGTCCATTGACCGTTCTGTCAAAAAGCAGAAATGTATATTTTCAAATAAAAAATGTTCAAATTCAAAAATTCATTTTATCATAATTTTTTAAACACGTATTCAAATATATTTTTTGTTCAGTTTAATTTTGATATGTAATTAAATAAAAATAAATTAATTATAAAAATTCTATAAATATTCAGCTTCTACTCAACTTCATCATCAGTATCCGAAGCTTCATACCAAAACATCTCCTCATTCTTCTCGACTTGCTGATCTCTCGATGGATTCCGCAAATCTTGCCGATTCGGCACAAGGCCCCGACATAAAAAATCTTGTGCAAAGAAGAAAACTCCAGAATCGCCCATCAGGATGAATGTGTTAGACGTGTCCAAATTGCGTGGAAAAATTGGCAAACCCGATGGAGATTGTGATTTCAAATGTCGAAGATATGACATAACTTGTCGATCTTGCATTGAGAAAATCTTCATCTTACTATTCATTTCTTGCCACGTGGCAATCTGTTGACCTCGAACATTTTCCAATCGACGAATCAGACAAGATTCTCCAGATTCCTCTAATTTCTGCGCCGTTTCGGATAATAATTGCAAACTTGGAACAATTGGAGATGAAAATAATTGAGAACCTTGTTGAACTTCTTGTTCTAATTGTTGCATCAATGGTTGGATTTGCTCGAAAGTTTCGGATAAATATATGGATTGTTCGATTGAGGATTGTGATGTGCACGGGGAACCGGAACCCGCATTTTGGAGGATTTGAGCCATTTGTTGGCAACGTTGAAGCATTGAAGCGATTACGGTATCAAGTGTGGCGAAATCTTCGAATGAGTTGCGACGGTTCTGAAGGAATTTATTGATTGATTGGTTGATTATGTGATAAAAAAGGTGAGTGATTTTTGGTAGGGAAATTGGAAATATAAGATAAATTTTGAAATCAAGAAATTTGCCTAAATTACTCAAAAATCGAGATAAAATTTTATTGTTCAATTTTGTTTTCGAAAAAGTCGGATTTCTTCAAAAATTCCTTGCCAAAGTCCGTCCTACAGTAGGATTTTACAATTTTCACTATGAAACCAAAACTACAGTACCTCAGAAAATACAGGTTGAAAGTTTTACCGCTGAAAAATAGGCTAGGCATTTTAATTTTTGCTTTGAAAGTTCGGAAAGTTGAATTTCTTATATTCAAGAAATCTCCGTTTCTGAAGCCATTTTTGAATTAGAGCTTTTGAAACTCTGGTGAATTTCGAATTTTACGCTCAACATTTCTTCGTCAAGAACTACAGTAGTCTCTCAAAAAACCTCATAAAGCCAACTCACCATATTAATTCTTGGCTGTCCTCCAAAATTGTTGTTGACACCTGAATTAGAACCAGAAGCTGCGACTTCTTCTAACTCTCTAATATTCTGTCTTCTTCTTTCCTGCTCTTCTTCGCCTCGAGCAGCAGCTCGAAAAGTGGGCGGAGCTTGAGCAGCAGAAGCATACGATTTTCTAACTCGAGAATTTTGGTTGCTATGGCGATTAGTTCTTCGTGAATGTCTGGAATGAAATAGTGTGTTATGTGGAGATTATTTATTTTTATTTTATATGTGATTAGAGTTAGAGAGCGAGAGGGAAAAGAGACGCAGAGAAAACGAGAAAATGGGATTTTTATGGACGAATTTTGTTGCGTAATGGGAGTTTTGGATTCGAGAAGATGTGGAAGAGGTATCCTACAGTAACCCGAACATAGGTGGTTTTGGCCCTAAAAAACTTGTGGAGAGATTTTTGGGAAATTTTTAAAATTTGATATAAAATATTTCCAAAAAGATATTTTCAAAGGGATCAAAAATTTCGAGAATTCTAGTCATTTTCGGGTTACTGTAGCTAAATCTAATTAGGATTTCTGTAAACCCAGTTTTGTTTCAAATTCCCATATTCTTTCAAATCTCCAATTTTCTCTTCATTTTCTCAAAAAATCTTTTCACCTTTTCAATTTTGCAAGTAATAAATACCTTTATGTGGTTTTGGGTGACGAAAAGGTGACTAATGAGAAGCTGACCGGGGATTAAAAATGGCGGCCAAAAATTCTTTTTGAAAAAGGAAGGGGGATAGAAGAGACTAAATTGGCAGGTGTAGAAAGATTTTTGGAATTATGGAATATGTTCGGGAGAATTTTTTGATTCCAAATTTTCTAGAATATTTCTCTAATACTTGAATGTTTTAATTTTTAAAAGTTCTTTAGATTTTGAACTAGATTGCGTGCCAGAATTTCATAATTCTCCACTTTTTTCATAAATAATTCTCCCGTCCCTTTAAAAATACTCACCTTTTAATCGAATTCGTCTTCATTTTTCTTCCTCTCGAAAATATAAATATGCTTTTTATCTACCAAAATCTGTCTGCAAAAAGGTCAAATTGGTCATTAAAGGTCCGAATATTTGTACAAGGATAAAAAGAGGAAAAGCACTTGAATGAGCAAAAAAAAGAAAAGGAAAAGAGGTTGACTGATACGATAAATACACAAATGAGGAAGAAAAATAAAAGAGAAGAAGAAGTTATTGTATATTTGTAAGGGCAAAATAAACGAAAAAGAAGATAAACATATTGAGACTGGTACCTATTATTAATACAGATTGTATTATCATTTTAGAGAATAATGTGTGAGAAAATAGGAGTACTGTAGGAAGATGTTTTGGCGCGAAATTATTGCATTTTGAAATATCAAATTTGAAATTTAAAAATTATGTGCGTGACTTTTTGGTCAAAATTAAGCACAAAAATATACATCATTTTTTGAAAACATTTCGAAATTCCCTTTAAAAAATCGATATTTCTTATCAATCTACTTTGCCTAAATCTATTTCTTTGTTTTTTTGACAATTAAAAACAAATAAAAAGTTTTTCTCAATTCTCACAACAAAAAAACCAATTAGAAGTAGAATCAAAAAATAAAAAATAATATAGTTTTTGTGTGTGTGTGTACACACAAAAATACAAAGAAAATGAAGAATGATTCAGAAATGTGGTTCACCCAACAGAAAATGGGAGGAGTTTGGTAAAAGGGAATATGGGTGACGGGCGGGTGACTAGAGCTTTTATGGTGCCGACTGAAACATTTGAAAAGTGTGAAGTGTGGCGGCTCGAGCTTTTTGTGGTGATAAAATGAAAGGACCGGTAGAGTTTTGGGAACTTTTTTGGGAAGCTGGGAAATTCTTGAGCCGAAAATAGGAAAATATTGAAAATATTGGATAATTTCAAAGTTTGGAATCAAAACATTTTCCTGAACTTAGAATTCTGAGACAAACTAAAAAATGTTTTTTTCTAGGCAGAAACTGCAAATCAAAATCTCTTTCCGAACAAATTTTGCGCTAAAACTTCAAAAACCTACAGTACTCTCAACCTCGCCAAATTTACAACAAGATAATTAGTTCAAACCAATTAGAGGAAGTGGTTTGAAAAAAGATAAGATCTTCAAATAAAAAAGACCGCCATGGAATTTTGTATTGAGACTAATCTAATTAGTCAGGTTTTTACCGCACGAAAATTAAATAGTTGTACACAGGGGTGCGAACGCGACATGCGCCAGCAAAATGCGCGAGGTGTGTGGTGTTGTGTGTGTTTGTCTGCGTCTCTTCATACAAACACACTCTCTCGCCACCGAAATTTTTTTTTGTTTTTTTTTTTCGAGAAGCCGGTTCAAAACCGACTTTTTCGGAGTAGTTCTACATGTGAGGAGATAGAGGAAGACAAGACAAACAAAATTATATATTTTTAGTTTGATTTTAAAAATTACTGAAGCAGGAAATTGATGTTTTTGAACCATGCCCTCGAAACCATAGTTTCGGGTCTTTCAAAGTGTGAATACTGAAATTTTTCGACAGTTTTGTATGTATTATCTGATTGTCGACCGATATTATACAAAATATTATTAAAATATTCTTACATTTATCTAGTAAAAGAAGGTAACCATCTTTTATGAGGGTTTTCTCTGGCAATAGCTTATTAGTAGCCTATTATTTTTACTCAAAATCGTTCAGAACAAAGTTAAATATCAAAAATATGACAATTTTCAAAATTCTAGATCGAGAAGTCCAATTGTTCAACGTTTTTTCTAAGTTATTTTTTTCTGTTCTAGCGCTGGTACCTTACTTTTAAAAATCAAGAAACCTATCGAAAATATCATCAAATTCATTGTTATTACATCCCACTCTAAGCCTGACATGTAAAAATTGAAATAAAACCAAAATTAAGAAAAAACAGATTTTGAATTGAAAAAATGGCCTGTCTTCAAATGGCATCAGCACCTTTCATTCTGCACCGATCTTCATCGTTGAGGTCTCAAAAAATTCTAATGTGATTTTCTATCTCGGATACTCCTCAAGAACATGTGAAAAACACCCATCAACTCGTAAATCTCTTCGAAACTTGAAAAAACGTTTTTTTGCAACAGAAAAAAAGTCGATGTTGAATGTGCGCTCTATTGATAAAAATTGAAATGCGCCAGCGCCCGCGCGATTCAAATTTATGTAGTGTTCGCACCCCTGTGTATTGTAAAATTAGAAAATATGGGGTTTGCGGTAATTTTTGACTAACAATTTACAAAAAATTGATCAAAAATGTTAGAAAATTATACATTTTTGGACCTTTTTATCAACATTAAAAAATAAAATCTTATCAAATTTGGGTTAGAAAATAAGTATAAAATAAAATATAAGATAAAAATGTGGTCAAATCTAACTAACCTACTTAATTAGGTCTTCTTTTTCTTCTTCTTCTTCTCATTTTTTCTCCGCCTCCTCCACCAAATCTCTACATTTTTTGGTATCTTTTTTGTCAATCAGTTTTAGTTTCCTCCTCCTCCACCGCAATAATAATAGGAATATCTTCAATTTTCATCACACGACCTTTTCTGACCGTTTTATATAATATTATTATATTATATTTTCTTGATTTGAATCTTTGTGGAAGAAGATGAGATTATTAGGACATCACCAAGAAAAATTGGCAGGAAAAATAGAAATTACTGTGCGAAAAATACCATGTTTTGTAATTTACGTGGTATTTTGATTAGAGCTAGTAAATCTATATTGAAAAAAATCGAATTTCAAATTTAGGAGCGAAAACCCATATTTTAGAGATTTCAAAATGCATTTTGGCGCTACTGTATTTTTGTTGAGAATTTTCGAAACTATTCTGATCTATTTTGGAAAGGTACTGTAGTTTTGCTTGAATATGATCTACCTAAGAAAACTTTGAAAAAGGGTGGACTAGATATTTTGTTATTAAAATTCCCTCGTGGATTTTCCTACTCCACTTTGAAACCCACGTGGCACTATTTTTTTTTTGAAAAATGTAGTTTAAAAAATGAAATTAAAAAATAAACAAAAAAAAATAAACACACCTTGTGAAAAATGATTCAGTTTGTAACAAGAAAAATGTTTTTTTTTTCAATTGTTTTGAAAAAAAATTGTAAAAAAAATCAATAATTTCAAATTGCCTGAGAAAATTTCGCTCAAAAAATTTTAGAAATTCGCAAAAATTTTGAAAAAAAGGAACAATACACAAAATACAGCTCCAAGATTAACTGTTCGAAAATTGAAATACAAAATCAATATATCTAGTAAAATTGAAAGAATCTGCCAAAATTACAACAAAAATGTGCTCGAGGGCTCTCAAAAATCACAATTTATTTTTCGCGCACACATAAAATTGTGTGCTCACAATATCTAATAAACAACTGTTGTGTTCAATTCAGTTTAGTTCGGGAAAAATAAAAAGGTGTGTAATATTTTTTTTTGAGAGTCCAGGCAAAAATGTAAGTATTTTATTTATATTTTTGTGTTTCGACAGCAGCTGACATCTTGAATTTTTTGATGGGAAAATTTATAGTGAAAATATTTTCAGATGAGATTTTCTGATTAAAAATTTCAGAGTTTCCTAAATTTAGAAGGTTTTGATGAATTTTGAATCAGAATGTAGAGATTTTAAGATCAGGAAATTAATTTTTCAACTTAATTTTACTGAAAAATTTCAGTGTTTTTCGTAAAAAACAAATCAATTTAACCAAAAAGTTCTCTAATTTCTCCAAATTTTATTTCATTTTTCAGATGCGAATTCTACCAATCCTTCTCCTAATTTTTCTTCTCAATTTCAATTTTTCAAATTGTTTGAAAAGGTATACAATAGATTTGGATGGTCCGGCGAGAAGTCGATGGAATGAGGTTATTCGAGATCATTTGAATGATTTGCCTGCTGTTGTTGAGGAGAGCAAGTTGGTATTTTGAGCGGGATTTGGGAGAAAATTATGAAAATTGAACAGTAATGAAAGAATGAGTAATTTTTGAATTTCTTAAAATAAAAAAAATTCTGCACTTTTTATTCGTGCTCATCAATTATTTTTTTTTATTAAATTCAGATTCGCGATTTTATCGGATCTGTACAAAATCGAGATTGAAATTCGATAAACCACAATCCATTTTCGATTATTTTTTCGCGCCAAAATCTTATCTCCACCTTTCGCCATAATAAATTGTTCCATGGCGCCAAAATTGGACATTTTTCCATCGATTTCATCAAGATTTGAATCAGATTTCAATGTTTTTTCGAACATCAATCAAATTTCGAACACACATCGATAAAGATCAGCGAATTGGTGAGGTAGTTCGCCATTTTGTTTTGATTGACACCTTAATCAATTAATTAGTGAGTTCACTAATTAACTAATTAATCAAATCTACAGTATCCTACAGTAGTCCTCCTCAAGTCTCGCATAATTTCGATAAAATTTCATCATTTTTTTTGGAAACGCCCTTGGAAATTGGGAAGAAAAGATTGATTGATTTTGAATTGACAAAAAAAGTAGGTGACTAAATTAATTGACTTGTTCGAGAAATGTTTTTTGTGTGGGTCAGGGAAAATTTGAAGTTTTTCGATTTCTACTGGAAATTTCCAGTCAGATCTGAAATGTTTAAAATTTATATTTGAGCTCATTTTGTAGAAATTTTCAAGAGCTCCCAGCGCCACCAAAAATCCAAAATCCAATTTATTTTCCAGAAAATATATTCCGAAAATCTTCCAGCCATTTGTTTGGTTTGTCGCCTCAAAATTGTCCAATTTTTTTCGATCCGGAAATTCGAGAAGAATTGAAAGGTACTGTAGACTTTGGGTTACTAATTGTTAGTAAAAATTTAATTTTTTCAGGAATTTCGGAGGCTTCAAATTTACCATTGGGCGAAATTGTTGGACTGAATATTTTGTATGATATTGCGGCTTTTGATAGAAAACAGTGAGTTTTTCGGTAGGAACTTTGCCACGTCATAAATATACAATTTTGGCTGAGATCCCCAATTTTTTCGAACTTTCCAGCATTTTTGGCCTTGGTTGCACATCAATAGTTGCTCAAAATTCCGATGGTGTAATATATCATGGTCGAAACTTGGATTATGATATGACAGGTCTTCTCAAAAATATCACAATTTTTGTGGATTTCAAGAAAAATGGCCAGATTTTGTATTCTGGAATCACTTTTGCATTGTATAATGGACTTTTGACTGGACAAAAACCAGGAAAATTTAGTGTCAGCTTAAATGCGCGATGTAAGAGGATTTTTCGGGATTTTTGGGAAAATTTAAAAAGGAAAAAAATTTATCAAATTGATTTTTTTGCAGATTCCGGTGCCTACATCGACAATATTCTGATGGAATTTTATACAAAATTCCGTCGTCCAGTCAGTTTTTTCATTCGCGAAACTTTGGAAAATGCTGAAAATTATGAAATTGCGGTTGATCGACTATCAAAAACTCATCTAATTTCACCATCTTATATTATCGTGGCTGGTGTCAACAAAAATGAGGGAGTTGTGATTTCGAGAAATCGATGGAAAGCAGCTGATATTTATAAATTGGATACTTTTGGAAAGAAGAATCAATGGTATTTGGTTGAGACGAATTTTGATCATTGGAAAGGGGATCATGATCCGAGAAGGTTGGATTTTTGGGGATGGAAATACATAACCACAAAAAAATATTCCATTTTTTCAAAATTTTAAAGTTAGTTTCAGAATAGTTTAGGATCAATTTTTCAGTTTTAATATTCAATTTGGAAATTTTTTCAAACGTTTATTTTTGACTGAAATTCTTGAGGATTTTCTACGAAAAAACCTTCGATTTTTTTGTTTTACAAAAATTTCGTTTGAAAAACTGGAAATCTGGATGTTGCGGATTTTCTTGTTTGAAAAATTACTCAGAAGCTAGATTTCAAATAAATTTCAAATCTCATTTTGAAATTTTACATTTGATTTCTTCAGATTGACTGCTATTTCGGAACTCAAAAAAATTGGCTCCAAAAATTTGAATGCGGCCTCAATGATGAATGTGCTCTCAACAGCTCCAGTCAGAAATAATATGACTGTTTTCAGTACTGTTTTATCGCCTGCAAATCCCGATTTCTTCTATATTTCTACAGTAGTTCGATAGAAAACGTGATTTTGCATATAAAAATTTCATGAAAATTTTGGATTGAAAAATTCTCTTAGTATTTCAAATTCACAAACTTCGTAGTTCAAAAAAGTTCTACAGTGTCATTCAGATCTTAAAAACACATATTTTTTCAAAAAACTTCATTCTCACAATTCTCTTTCTTCTCTAATTTTTCTCACTTGCATCCTGAGTTGCATCAACTTTCGAACCATCTTGCTCCTTCTTAAAAATATCCAAAATCTTCGTTTTCTTTTTTGTCTTATCTTTTTTCTCCTTTTTCTCCGTCTCCTTTTCTTTACTTATTGTTTTTTTCAAAACCGGAGGAGTTATTGGTGATTGTTTATCATCAACTTCGTATAAAACAAGACCCAAATCTTTGTTGGCAGCATTTTGTCCATATTTTTGGTCGGATGTTCGAGTTGATTTGGTTTTTGACGCATCGTCTTGCATTTCGATTCGAACTGTTTTTTCGTGTTTCGGCATTTCAGCCACATTTCCCTCTTCGTCGTATTTCACACCATCGTCGTTTTCTGCAAAAAAAACCGGGGTTTTCAAGATGATTCCTCGTTCGCAGAAGCTAGTGGTTTCCCCTGCTCTGCTCGAGTCTAACATGAGTAATATTTTTTGGTATGATTACTGTGACTCAGATTCAGACTGCAAGATTTACTGTATTCTAGGACTGTTCCGAACTGCAAGAATTACTGAAACTGCAACGAATGCTCTAGAAATAGAAAATAAAAATCCGGTGATTTTTTTTACGTGAACGTGACCTAATTGATTTTTTGAAACTGGAGCACTGATGCCACGTCATTTTTATTAGACTCGAAAGAAGCGAGTTGTAAACAGTAAGCTTTTGAGTCTTCACTTATTGCTAGAACTTCCTTCTCAAACTTACCTCCCCCTTGTCCTCCTCCATTATCAGCTCCACCTTCTTTTTCATCTCCACCATCAACATTTCCAGCCTTCTGACTCTTTCCAACCTTTTTCTCACTCTTAATCTTCTTCGCATTCACACTCAAAACCTTCGACTTGACTTTTGCTGGATCATCCAATTTTTCCGGTGATTTGTTGATTGATGTTGCACTAGCACCAGTAGCATTTTGAGCGGCACCAGCTCCAGTTCCAGCTGCATTCGGAGATCGAGCCGCGCTAGATTGTTTCGTCGATTTTGCATTTCGATTTTTCTTTTGAAAAATGCATGGAATGATTGATGAACAGATTGCCACATAGAAGATTATCATCAAAATAATAATGTTTTTCGATGAAATTAAGGATACATTTGGGATTCTGTTTAGTTCATACATAATTTGATTCTTTTTTGAATTGTGGTCTGCCTAGAAATAACTGATTTGACAGTTTCTGTGCTTTTTTATGCTCAAGGTTTTTGACGTGGCAAAAACATGTCACGTTGAAAATTATTTTTTATATATAAACGAAAAAAAAAGATAAAAGCTTTTCTTGAACTCGAAAGCTGGGCAAAAATGCGGAACAAATGATTCTCATCATTTGATTACTGTCTATACTGTCTTCAAAAAAAAAACGTTTTTGTTTTGAAAATTAAATTTTCATTCAAAAGTCATGTTCATCAGGGACAGTCTTTTTGGTTGTTGATTCACTGTTCAAAGCAGTTTTTGTTTGATGTTTTCTTCTCAAATTTCGAGTTTCAGTATTCTTTTGTTTGTTTCCTTCACTCTTATAATCATCTTTGGAAAATGTTTGATCATTTTGATGTTCATCAGCACTGAAATTCTATTAATTATATGAAAAAAAACATATTCATAATTCAAAAACTTACATTTTATTATTTTTAACTTTTTTCTGTAATCTCTCCATCATCAATGTTTCCTCTCCTTTTTCTTCATTTTTTCCTTTTTTGCGATTATGTTTATTTCCTTCATTTTCCCTCATCAGCTCTTCCAATCTTCCTTTCCAATCAAACTTATCTTTCAAATTCAATTTTCTTTCTTTTGCTATACTTTTAATCGCAGTTTCAATTATATCATAATCAACTTCATCCTCAAATTTCAATTTTTTCACATATTCTATAATTGTACAAAATTGTGGAGGAACACATGAATGAAGTTCTTTCGAAGGATTCTCAAACAATGCTTGCTTTTTCTCAAATAACTTTGCTGGATCGGAACACAAATCCGCCCATGGAAGACCTTTTTCATTGTGTAAAAGATCGAGAGTTGTATAAATCCATGTTTCAATATCATCTTTTCTTCCTTGATCAAGTTCAAGATGACAAGCGCGAGTACAGAATTTTCGAGTTCCAAAAAATGGAACTTTTTTTCGTTCTTTCTAAAATGAGTATTGTTTTTGTGAAATTCGTTTCAAAAGTGTTTACCCACCCTCAACTCTCTTGATTCTTGTGAGCGGAAAATTCTGCGTGAAATTCCAAAATCAAGTAAATATAAAATATGATCATCTTTCGGCGGAACACCAACACAAACATTTCCCGGTTTCAAATCTCTGTGAATAAATCCGACATCATGCAATATTTTCAACGCATCCAAAATTTGAAGTGACATTTTGAGAGTTGTTGTTCTCGTAAACTGTTTATGCAATATTTTTCGAATTGTTTGCAAAGATGGGCCAATTAATGTCATCACAATCCACTGAAAAAAAAAACAAATTTTGGAAAAATGAACATTTAGGTTCAAAATTAACGCACAAAGAAATCTTGAGTGTTTCCAGAATCAAAAAGTTTACAGAAATGATGTGCAATCTGTTTTGTCATACAATAAGCTGTAATTTCTTCAAGGATTTGAAGTTCGACTCGAAGACGTTTCAGTTGTGTATTTTCGGATTCAGTTTTCATTGCAAAAAACTGAAAAAAAAACAAACAAATTTTTCAAAAATTTAGGATGATCTCAAACCGTATCAGGTTGACCTCCTCCCAGTTCACATTTATAAACATCTCCAAATCCACCCGAACCAATATGAGCCAAAATTCTCCAAACATTATTCGCCTTACTTCTAATTTGTGAAAGCGGTTTTAAAAGTGCCGGCTTTTTTCGTCCACTTGTTGTTTCTCTCGTTTGTTTTGCAGTTGGAGTCATCGATTTTGGTTGTTTATCTTGTTTCACATGTAACGTATTTCTTTTCAATGCATTCCGAGAATGATTTCGTTTACTCATTTTTTATTTGAATCTGAAATGAAAATACTTGGAATTTTTAGTTTGGAATTGGTTTTAGATTCTAGAAACTCACACTTATTTGTTACCTTATAGAAATACAAAATGAGAGAAATCGCGATTTTTTTGACGTTTTAATTTATTTTAAAAAAAAGAAAAGTAGATCAAATTCGTGCCACTTTATTTTTAAATTAATAAAATTCAAAAAACGAATTCGATTTTAGCAAAAATTTATTTAATTCTCAAATACCAGAAAATTGACCACACTATACTTCAATTGGTGATTTTCCAAGTCTTGGACATGATGGAGCTTTTGCTGAAAATATTTGATGGTTTTGAAATCCAAAAAAAACTTACCAAATGAATTGATCGATGGTGATTTTCCCATTCTCATGAACACTGGTGATTTTCCTGAAAAGAAAAATATATTAGGCGGGCTAGGAATTCAAAAATATTTTGGCACCACAAACTTACCAAATGGATTTATAGATGGTGATTTTCCCATTCCGATGAACTTCTTCAGTTGGTCTAGAAAACAAAAAATGGTTTTGAGAGATTAGAAATCCAAAAAAGACTCACCAATACCGAAGGGTGTTTTTCCAAATCTTGGACATGCTGGTGATTTACCTTCATAAATCAACGGCCCAAATGGTCGATTTGGAATCGCCAAAACCACTGAAATTACAGCCAAAAGTGCACAGAAAACAAGAAATTTCATGATTTTTGTGAAGAATATGGGTTGGGTTAAGTTTTTATAAGGGGGAAAGAAAAGAATTCCGGAAATTCCTGTATTTTTTGGGGTGGGAAAATAGGAGACATCTAGGAATTTTCCGTTTTGTAGATTTAATTTGGGTTGGAAATGAGCTTGAAATTCAAAAAAATGCAAATGCTCGAGAAATCGAAATATCATTTTTTAAAGAATTTAATTGTAATTTTTGTACCTGAAATTAAAAAAAAATTTATTTTTTTTTTCAAAACATAAAATAAATACATAAAAACCCGATGATTTTTGAGAATTAAAATGTCAGAATTTGCAGAATTACTATATCAGAAATTAGATAAGAAAAGCTAAAGATAAACTCGAAAAAATCGCAATAGTTATCTGAAGTTTTGAAGAACTTCGATCAATATTAATTCGATGTGAGGCTTGTTGTTTTTGATGAGAACACGCATATTCGCCATTATCTTCTCGTGTCGCTTTTTTTATTCGAACTGTTTCGACAATTATTGAGGCATCTCTTTTGACTTTGAGGTTGTATTCTGAAAATTTTTGTCAATTTCTGGTTTAATCTTTTTTTTATTTTTAAAATTTTCAAAATTCATAAATCTAGTGATTTTTTTAATTGTGGTCGAAAAATTTTCGACCATTTTTCAAAATAGATCTCAAGCTCGAAAAAATACGTTTTTTATCAATTGTTCGATTTTCTGCTCTGAAACTATAAATTTCAAATCTCAAAGTTATTTTACAAAAAAAAAAATTATTGTCCATTTTTTTTCACTGTTTCAAAAATGTCATATATTTTGAGATGTTTGAAAAATGATAATCCAATAGTTTCATCAACAAAACTATTAAAAAACGTTCTCGCACCGAAATTTTCGGATATTTTTTTAACTTTCCAAAAGTTCCCCTCTCAAAAATCCCATGTATTCACATATATATTTCAATAAACATACATCATCCCTCTTCTCACTCTCACCCTTTTGCTAATAATATTATTAAAATACTCGCCACTCGTTTTGCCACTTCACCTTTTCTCTTTTTCTCACTTCAACCACTTGTATATTAAATCTTGTTATGTAAATTTTGAAAAAGAAGAGCTCGTAGCTCGGAAAATAGACAGAAAAAGGGATGAATAAGTCATATCTAGCACCTGCCAAATTTGTTTGTGTTGTAACTTAATTACACTTACTATCGGTGTCGTTCAAATTCATTCGTTTTCCATCTCGAGTCCAAATTACATCATCTTCTGGATCCGAATTTGAGTTAGAGCTTGGAATATTTTTGTCATCAACAGCAGTTACGGTGCAATTTAGAATTACTGAATCACCTTCCCAATTTGCCATCAAATCTGTAGCTTTTTCTGAAACATTTGAAGTTATTACAGATTTGAGAAATGGATCAACCCTATATAGAAAATTAGTTTGACTCACTATGAAGTGCTGAAGGCGAGGGTAGAGGAGGTTCCATAACTGTCAAATATATTGCGTAGACTGTGTTGTCTTTGTCATTGATGTTACATAAATAGCAACCAGTATCACTGTATTCGGATCGTCTGAAAACAAATATTGGAATTCGGGAGTTTAAAAGTGCATGAAAATTGTCAAAAACTTGGAGAACAGCAAAAAAAACCTGAGTTCCATCATACAATTTTCGTAAGTCCCTATTTAACCTGAGCAATCAAATTCGCTACTTTTCTTTTTTTTTTCTTGTTCAAAAACAAAATCCAATTGGCCTTCCTCATTTTCATTCATTCATTTTCCTGACTAGGTGGTCAATTTCGCCAAATTGTTTTTCCAATAAAACGAATGCGGACCATGTAAATTTATTTTTAAATAAATAAATGAATGAATGAATGAGAAAATAATGGGATTCTATACATTTCGTAGTCGTGTTCCAATTTTTCTCCCCTTTCTCCAGAGAATTCCCTCCCAGTCTCTCTTTTTGGAATATGAAGTTACCTTAAATTGAGCACCCAGTCATTGGTGTTTTTTCGCGAGATTTGGAAACGGGGATCTGTTGTGAATGATTTGTTGCCAGCTGTCAGAAGTGCGCCATCGTTGAGGCGGATCCAGGCGATCTGAAAAAAAAACAGGATAGCTAGAGAGCATAGGATTTTGAGAGACTGCAGAGTATTAATTTACTTTATGTCTAATTCCACATAGATTTCTCTCACAATCAAATTCCGAATTCAAATATCTCCCAATTTTTCTTGTAACATAGATGCCGCATCCGGAAGACCCCAAAATCATTACGCAACTCTTTTTTGACAAATCTCTTCCTTTTCTTTTCTTCAAAAAAAGCACACGACACAGGAAGCGCTAATTGGCAACTTCCCGTGCGGTAAACCATGACTTCTCCCTTTTTTTTGCTTGCTCCAGTTTTTTTCTGAGGGTGTCCTTGGCTATGTCAACAACAAATAAACATATAATTACCATTGTCACAGACACCCATCCTACCGTAATCTAATACACCCAAAGCTATATATCTTTTGTTATTATTTATTTTGGGATCAATAATAATAATGAAAATAACAATAGCCTAGCTCTAAATTAGTATACTAATTAACGAATTATAACGGGAATTTTTATAAGGAATTTATTTTCTCTTTTTTCTCGAAATTTTTCAGAAAACTTTATAAGATAGGCTTTACAGGTTGTGATCAACGGGTCAAAATGTACCAGAAACAAAAAAATCCTCACCTCATGTTCAGCATCCGAAGGTACACTACAATGCAAATAAGCCGGATTCTCCACTATAACCTGAGCAATCCTTTGCGACGGATTCTCAACAGTCGATCGCTCTTGCCGCAAACAATCCATCACTTCTTGCGAAACACAAAATCCCTCTGAAAAAATGATTTCCAAAAAGATCTAAGAAAATTTTCTTCTCCAGCTTTGCCAAAGAAATTTCCCGGAAAATTTGCATTTTGATTATGAAGATTGAAATCTGTCCGTCATTTGAGACGAGCCTTCCGGCACATTTTTCAATATGGAAAATTTTGAGATGTTTAAGATAACCACTAAAACTACATGTATTTCCCTTGTCAGCGAGCTAGAAAAAACCACCCAGAATTCAATTTTCCGTCTTTTTCCCCTTCACAGACTTCTAAATTGTATAAAGTACCTAAACTCCTCTCTTCTTTTATTTTTTCCTTTTTTTTCGTTTCTTCTTTTGGTAAACATTCTCCGTTCTTTTCTGGCTCGACGAAACAAATGGTCCCAAGGGAAAAACAGCGATTTTCTTGAGGAAAAAGAACATTTTCCGAAAAAAATAAATGTTTTTGGGTACGGTGAATTAAAGGCGCATCGCAAATTTGTGTGTGGTCTTGCGGCGACACATGGAGCGCATCGAAGTTTTTAGTTTTTTATTTTATTTTTTTAAACGTTTTTTGTGTGTGTTTTTTGCAGTAAACTTGAAAACTTGATGATATGTCAAATTAAAAGGGAGGCACATCAAAGTGAAATTCGAGTGTTTGTATTTTTGATCAAAAAAAAAATAACATGTCTGTTGCGAGGATTATAGCGCAAAAGCAGCAGATGTTGACTTTTCTAAAGGTATATTGTTTTTTGCTCAAAATTTATATAAAATAGAGTTTTTAAAAGCTTCCGCTTGACTAGTTGCTCTTTTATTTTACCAGCACACAAAAATATTTATTTTTATTAGTTGTGTGTCAATTATTCATGGAATTTTCTGGGGGCTGCTCAACTTGCTCATTTATAATGTTTTTGAGGGTAACTCGAAACTTAGAAAGGAACAAATGGGCAAAATAGAAAATGAATTGGATATGGGAATATGGGAAAATGTGGGGATGTTCGGGAAAATTTTAAATGAGGATTTTTGGACCCAAAAGTTCGTTGGGGCGAACTTGAATCTTAATATTAAAAATTTGAAAAGTTTCCGGTGGAGCATATTTTCCCAGATTGGTGAAACCAAAATTTAAAAATTGCAATAGAAATTTTCGTTCCATAACTTCGCTGGGCCGTATTTTTTTCAATAAATCTCAACTATTTTTAAAGTTCCTCCCGAAAAACTCACCTTTCACACAAAATCCAATAAAAATCACAATAATAATTGTCTTCAAAAACATCATCAAAATAAAACTATAATAATAATAATATAAATTCCACTTTTCCTCGCCGCAAAAAATCAAATAAAAAGTGTGTCTCCCGAAAGAAATGGGCGTGGCGAAAAACGAGAAAGTGGGCGGAGCTTAGGGGTGGAAATAAATTTATTTATAAAAAATATTTTTTGTGCTCAAAAAAATAAGAAAAAATGGTACAAAGTTAAGTTTTTGGTGGTGATAAAGACAACAAAGACAAGATTCAAAAAATTTCAAAAAATTCGAAAAAAATACCAGTTCAAAAGCGATAACTTATTGAAAATTCGGAAAAAAAAGTTCAAAAAATGCATGGAAAAATAGATAATCTAAAATAAAAAATAGAAATTTCTGGCAGATAATTTTCCTGACTGAAAAAAAACAAACAAAGAAAAAAAATGGAGGACAGGTAGATCAGACTGAGAGAGAAAGAGAGATCAGACAGGCAGGTGTACGGTATTATTTCGTGCCAGGATATCGTGAATTCGAACTGCGTCTGTGAAACCCATTGGTTTTTTGGTGGTTGAATTTGAATTTGAAGTAGAATTTGTGACTGTTGAAGATGAGTTAGGCGAAGTTCCATTTAACATTGTGATTGCAACTGGAAAAATAAAAGTTTCAAGCTAATTTTAGAGGTACACAATTTTCAAAAGTAATATTTGAGATTTCAAAATTCACATTGTTTTTATGTCTTTAAATAAAAGTAATTTCAGGTCATTATTTCGGATTTCTAGGCCACCAAAATCATAGAATCTGTTTTATCTCAGGAAAAATTAATGAGATAAAGCACTTTGTTTTATGAGAAAAATGTTGTTTATTAGTTTTTTTTTTGAAAAAAAACACTATTAAAAAAATTTCCAACAAATCATGTTCAGCATTTTAATTTTCCTGGATTTTTTGCAATGAGAAAAGTTCAATTCTGAAAAAGAAACTTTATCCAAAAAAACAGTCTCTAATTGAATTTTTCAAAAACAAATTAGGTTGTGTTCAGACTTTTTGAAAATCAAAAATCTGAAATTCCAGAAAATCAATAGAAATTGGTTTGTTTACACAGAGGCTTAAATTTCAAATTCTAATCAAAAAAATTTGAAGATAATTTTTTTGTCAACATTTCAGACAATTTTTGTTTCTAAAAAAATCACTGTTTCAAAAATTTGATATATTTTGGAAATATTTTTTGCAATAATAATTTTGTGAACTTACAAATGTTAAACTAGAAAATGGAAAAATGATTTTCATGAGTTTTCAAAATTTAGTTTCATTTTCAGCAATTAAGGTTTGTCGCATTTACTATCAAAAATCTTCAAAATTTTCCCTTCTTTTCAAAAATTCTCCCAAAAAAACTGACCAGATTCCTGTGGCAATTCAGTAGTTGGTGTATTTGCTTCTCTCAATGCTTCTTCAACACTTTCTTCATATGACATCATTCGATGTCCACATTCATCTATTGAAGAATCATTTGGTGATTGTATTCGAGGTGTTCCTGCAAAATTAATTTTGCGATTTTTTGAGAGCAGAAAAAATTTCTAGTGATTTTACAATAAAAAACTCAAAAACCCTCTAGCTAAAAATTACAGTTTTTGGGAAAATTTGAAGGTTTTCTTGTGAAAAATGATGAAAATTCATCTAGTGATTATTCAATAAAAAACCAATATTTCAATTCAAAAATAGGATAAATCTTATTTTTCAAATGAAATATATTAACTATTTTGAAGGAGAAGATAAAAGCACCAAGTCTGAAATTATCACCAAGAAATTTCAAATTTTATTGAAACCTATTTTTTCGAGGAATTTTTTTGAAGAAAAATTCAGATTTTTTCGGTGGAAAAATTGAGTAAAAATGAAAAACTTTTGAAACTTATTTTTCAGCTTCAAATCATTTTTGAGAATCCCAATTTTCTATATTTTCAGGTGAAATTTTTTGAAAATATCGAAAAATCCATTTCTATAACATTTTTTTCCCAAAATTTCGAACCCAAAGTCCTCTCAAAAAATGTCACTCACCGAAACTAGATTCGAATAAATTACACGTGGATCCATCGGCTGTCATATTTTCTCTTATTGAAATATCACCTTGTAATGATAGTGATGTTCCAACTGATTGACTATCCGATAATTTTAATTGTTTCATCTGTAATTAAAAGACAATTAATAAACTTTGAAAAACCACGTGGCACCACCTTTTGGCGCCAAATTCAAAAAAAAACAAACTCACCCTAATATGTGTTCCAGATCCTTTATCTTCTGGAATATAAAGTGCTGTCGTTTCATCGGCGTCAAGCTGAAAATTCAAGTATTTTTGAGGATCTCCGCATTTTTATCAATTAAGACAATTTTAAATTGAGAATGCTAATTTTCAGATAATTCCAGCCAAATTTCAAGCCAAAAAACTGGAACTCACATCTTCTCTTTCCTTCTGATTTGCTTGTAAACTCATCATTTCTCGCTCCAATTTTCGCCTTTTTCTTGATTCATCAACATACGGTTGGAAGCTGCAAAATTTCAGATATTCAGCCAAATTTTGAAACATTTTTTGAGTATCATTAGTAACATTTAGATTGAAAAACAAACGTATTTTTCAGACATTTCTGGTAAAACTTTGAACAATTTTCTAGCATTTTCAATCAAAAAACTTACGCTGGAAACTGGCTGGGACACAGTGTCTTTTTGCAATTTCCAATACAACCAATTGTGAATGGATTATAGCCGGATTGGAACTTCCCAGTAACCTGTAAAATAAAACGGGAATTTTTGAAGGTTGAAAAAAGCTTTTCAATTTTTTTTCTTTGGAAAATTTCCTTTAAAAAGAGGTTTAAAAAAAAAGTCAAATTTCAGGTTTCACATTTGGTAAGCAATGATCAGGGAAAAATCTATTATTTTCAGAATAATTTAGGCATATTTTTTTATTCAAAAAATATCGAAAATGCACAAATTTCCAAAAACTGTTTACCTGTTCATTAGTTGTTCTTCCTCTTCCAACCAAAATTAAATGGAAAACAGTGAGTCCAATAACTGGAACAGCCAAAATTGCACAAAGAGCCAATAGGACAAATGAGCACAAATATGGAGGTTCCAATGTTTTGCTATCAGCTAACCAAACATATGTTAAACATATTGAAAATACATATATCATATGAAGACTTAAACTGCATAGAAAAAAGAAGAAATATCTGCAAAAATTGGGAATTGGAATTCAAATTTTACTGATTATTTTGAAAAAAACTGACCGATAATTCCTTTTTCCCACGCAGTTATGAACCCATGGACAATGATGATCAAATGTTTCGATGCATCTGAAAAACAAGAGATTTTCAATCAGAATCTGAAGGTTTTTCAATACAATATTTGAATTTTCAAATTTCTGAACATTCAAGTTTTCTACACTGAAAATATCTGAAATTTCCCGAAATATACATAATTCGCGGGCTAAAATTGACCAAAATTTCAATTAAAAATCTTTTTTCAAACAAATTTCCATCAAACCCATTCCGCTAAATTGTTCTTACCGATTACAAACACTGCAATGACTCGACCTGGGCGGTCGATAAAATTTGCAAGTTACACACCATTTCATCCGCACAGTGATTCCATTTATATCCACATTTTTATAGAGCGGAGCTCTTAAATCATCTATTTGTGATGGTTCTTCAGACCCGATTGCTGAATTGAAAAATTATATAGTTAATTAATTTGGGAATCAAAATTTACCATAAGGATGAATAGCTGGATCGAGGCACATTGCCATTGCCAAGTTTGAAACAACCATCAAAAAAATTAGAAAATCGAAGCCTATAAATGCCAAGCCACATCTGCAAATTGATTTTAATTTTAGGTTAGTTTTTTTTTTGAAATTATAATTTCATGTGCAATAAAAATTCAACTAGATTTTCTATAAAATCTAAGTTTCATAGAAAATTTAAACATACTGATTACGATCAAATAGGGTTAAAGTAACTTACAGTGACCATTTATCAATTAACGCCGGCGTTAAAAACCAATAAAAACATGCCGAGCAAACTAGAATCAAAGTCCACGCAATTGCGGCCGGCAAAAGTGCCGAAATGCGTTTGCACATCGATTCTTCAGCTTCGGCGGGGCACGCAAAAAAGCCTGAAAAATACTGAATTTTCTAGCGGATTATAAGATTATTTTTGTTCTGTCTTTTCTCCTTTTTTCATCAAAATTTCGATTAAAATCGGGAGAAAAAGAAAGAAAAGGTTTCCTGTTTCAAGTGAGAAAAAATTTAAATAAAAATCAAACGGTCTGATAAAATAGACGATGAATAATACATTATTATTATTATACAATACAATACAAAAGTGTTGAAAAACGCATAGCGTCGTCGGAAAAAAAACAAGAAGACCCTTTTTGTGCAATTGAGCGTCGTTTATGATGTCGTTGCGGACTTTTTGGGAAGAAAATAAAAAAAGAAGAAAAGAGGAGAGAGTTGAGTGTGTTTGGTTTGCAATGATGAGTAGAAAGAGAATGGGAATCGACCGCAAAAAAGAGGACACTTGCGGAAAAAAAAAGAAAAAATAGATGAATGAAAACAAATAAATTTACAGCGCGCAATGTGATATCGTGTCAAGAGTTCTCAGGGTACTGTAGATCGGTGCGAGACGCGGGAAATTATGTGACGCGCCTTTGATACGGTTTGATGTTGATTTTTTTTTCTGAAGTTTTGGGTTTTTTCGAGTTTTATGAGGTGTAAAGGGGTTTTTGAGAGTTCTAGAATATGAGAAATGTAGCGAACAATATATTGTTGCTCGGGAAGTCAGGAGGATTCTGCGAAAATAAGATTTTAACAAGAAATTAGTAAAAAAATTAGGTTTTTTTTGTATCAAGGATTTCCTGTGGTTTTTGAGTTTAACAATTGTTGTTACATATGAATTACGTGAAAATCATAAATTATCTAGATGAAAACCAGGAAATCCCATGTTTTTTTCGAAAACCTGTGAAAAATTGTACTGTTAGCCGTTTTTCTTGTTTCATACGTTTAATTTCACATCGTTTTCTACGAAAATAGCTCCAAAGTTTCATTTCATGTCGAAATTTTTCTATTTTCCCACATTCATCTTCTTTCTTCAATTCACGTCCTTTCAAAAAAAAGATGAAAAAAACGTGTCAAAGCACACATCATTGACGTGTTTTGTGTTGGCGTTTATTCATTTTCATCTTTTTTTTTGTTGTTTTCTCCCTCGCAGTACCGATTAAACGACGCGCTGTAATTGTATCCATGTTATTGTATCCATAGAGTGTTTCAAAATCATGACTTTAAAGGCTACAAATCTTGTTTATCTGTACAGATTCTTAGCCTTTTGAGGTCGTGATTTTCAAACTCTTCCACGTCATAATTCATGTTAAGATGTTAGTTAAGCAATTTTTGAGTTTCTAGGAAAGCATGACTGAATCTTAATCTTTTTGACCAAAAATCAATGCTTCAACATTCTTCTTCCGTATTCCATTAATTTTCTTTTTGTTCTCAACAAAAAAACGAATTATTTGCAGAGATGACAGCAACCGCTGAAAGACGTGTAATTCGTCGAAATGGTCCCGGAACAAAACGAGAAGATTGGAATAATTGGCCACCATTGGCATTCGAAGAAATGGATACAGCTTTAAACATCCAACAATATATTCAACAACTCATAAAAGCCAATCCATCAGATGTTGATGCAATTCTAACACCACCAGTTGATCAAGACGAAGGAGTTTGGAAATATGAACATTTACGACAATTTTGCATCGAATTAAATGGTTTGGCACTACTTTTACAAAGAGAATGTGTTCCTGATACATGTCAACAAATGACTGCAACTGAACAATGGATATTTTTGTGTGCCGCCCATAAAAATCCAAATGAATGTCCGGCGATTGATTATACTAGACATACTTTGGATGGAGCTGCATCGCTTTTGAATAGCAATAAATATTTTCCGAGTCGAATTAGTATCAAAGAATTGTCGATTTCGAAATTGGGAAGTATTGCGCGACGAGTTTATCGCATTTTTTCGCATGCTTTTTATCATCATAAGAAATTGTTCGATGATTTCGAAAATGAGACACATCTTTGTAAACGGTAAGGATTAAGCTCAAAATCAGCTAATTATCTCACCTCTGAAAGTGCTTAACTTTAATCTAAAAATCAAGAAAACTAAGAAAACACCTGAGCAGAGAATATTCTAAGAAGAAAATGAAGTATATCAGAAAAACTGAATACAATTATTTTATTTCCGAAAAAAGAAAAAAAAATGAATACGAATCGATATTTTCCTACGATAAAAAACATAAAAATCAAAAAATTCCGCTTTTTCGGACCATATGAAAAATATCGATTTTTCACCCAAAAATTCAAATTGCAGATTCACAACCTACGTCACAAAATACAATTTAATGCAACAAGATCATCTAATTGTTCCAATTCTTCCATCACAACAACAACAATTATCAGCGGCAGCAAATCAAGCCAATTTACCAAACGCCGCAATTGTCTCACCACAAAAATCCTGATTTTTTGACCCCAAACTTGTGCCCAATATTGCTGGTTTTTAGGCTGAAATTAGGCTATTTTCAGCCATGAAAAAGCCCATATTCGCCCCAAAACCCCCAAATTTTTCTTTTTTTTCGTAAAAATCTCTAACCCCCGAGTTTTAAAACTATATTTTTGTGTTTATTTTTCTCCCCTGAAACATCCCCTATTTTCTGTTACATATTTAACTTATTTCCAGCCATTTCCAGATATTTCTCTATTTTTCTTCTTCTGTAAATATTCAGAATATAATTTTTTCCTTCGAAAAATTTCTGTTTTCAGTCTGTTTCAAAACTACCTATTTTTCCAAGATTTTTAGTCATTTGCAGCAATTTTCAGACTTATACTAACTAATGGAATTTGAAAATGCGCTAACATTTCAACAAGAAACCGCTCTTCAAATGTTGCTCAGATTAGGTGCCGATGAATTTTTTCTAACTACTAAATTGGCGAGTTTGAATAATGTGGTTCGGTTGAAAATTGGACGGATTTATGAGATTGATGGAGAGGAAATGAGCGGGAAAAGTCAGGTAATTTTTGAACATTTTGAGACTGAAAAAATTCTGCTCATAATTAAAAATTTCCCTAATTTTTATTTTGATCCACTCCTTCCCCCTTTGTTTTTTATTGATGAAATTTTCAATAACTCACCGAAAATTGCAGATTTCCAGTCATTTCAAGAAAGTTGAAAACGAGAAATGAAATTTTAAAAATAAAATTATCACGTTGAAAAAAATGATTTTTAAAGTGTAGATTGGGTCAAACTAGACTCTAGCCTAGAAGATTTGCCACGTGAACCTTTTCCAACGCTGAAATAATTCGAAAAAATCATTTCTCGTTTCAAATTCTCTCGAAAAAAAAAACTGTGTTTTTCGCAGATCTGCTATTCAATCGCAGCCAAATTTCTCGCCACCAAAAAATCGTCAAAAATCGCCTGGATTTCTGCAATTCCACTTCGAACTGATTTATTGATTAAACATTTAGATATGCAGGTACAGTATCTCTCAATTTTTCGCCGTGAAATTAATTTTTCAGTCCGAAAACCTGGATCGTATAATCTGCAATTACCCGGAAAATATTGGCAAATTAGTGGGACAACTTGAGTGGATTCGAAAATTTCGCGAGATTTTGAAAATTCAATTGATTTTTGTGGAAAACATTGATGCACTTTTACATGATACAACTTATGAAGGATGGGATTTGGGTATGAGTTTGTTTGTTTTTTTTTTTTGACTGGGATTGACATCAATATTAGCCCTGAAGTACTGTATTTATTGCCGCCAAAATGTTCTGTGAAAAATTAGATTTTCAGGTCGAAGTCATCAATTTGAAATTGTGGATCGATTAAATAAAATAGCAAAACTCGGAGTTACTGTAGTCATTACAAATCATGTTGTGAGTATATTTTGCTCCAAAATTTCGAAATATAAATATTTTTTGCAGTCGAAATGGCGTGGTTATCCATCTCCAGCATTGGGCAATTTTTGGGCTTCTCAAATCAATAATCGATTTTTTATCGAGAAAAATGAACATGTTTATACAATATCAACTATCGTAAGAGAGTTAATTAATTGAAATTCGAATTAATTAATTTTTTTGCAGAGAAATGGTGAATCTCAAGCTGTTAGAGCCTCGTTTGAAATTGGAGATAGAGGAATTTCAGATCTCATTCTAAGCTGAAAAAAATGGGAAAATTGTGAGTTTTTTGGGGACAATCAGTTTTAAGGGAAAATTACCTAAAAATACAAAGAAATCTGAAAACTCAGTTCTAAAAAACATTCAGATTTTCCATAAAAATTGAAAAACTCACATATTCTCTGGTAGTTTTTCCAAGGAAAATCAATTTTAAATGAAGATAAAGTAGAGAAAATACATATATACCAGAAACAATTGAAACTCCCAATAAAATCCACGAACACAAATATTCCGAATTCTGATTATTTGATGTCCAAATATGCAAAACACAAATAAAAAATATTAAAGTTATATGTAAAAATAGACTAAGTAAAAAGGTGAAATAATATCTGAAAATTTGAGATTACGGGGGATTTTGTGAAGGAAGAACTGACTTGTAATTTAGTTTTCCTATGCAATTATTTACCACAGGACAGTGATGGTCGAATATTTCAATGCATCTGCAAAAATCGATAATTTTCTACAAAACAACTGAAAAATAAAAAGCGCCTTACCTATTACAATATTTGCAATGATGTGATCTAGGAGGTCGATAAATTCGACAATTTTCACAAAAATCCCCATTTTCGACAAACGAAATACGAGAAATTTCTAAAAAAAAACCATCTCATAACTATTTTTAGAATGTTTTAATGCATAAGTTACCAATTTGGATATATCCAGGATCCAAACACATAACTAATAAAAAATTTATGATAACCAGAAGAAAAATCAATGAATCTGAGATCAAGAAAATTTTACCAAATCTGAAAATATTTAAAATGTTCTGTTTTTTTGTCTGAAAATCACTTACTTCCATTTTTCAATCAAATTTTTCGAGAAAAACCAGTAAAAACAAGTTGAGCAAAGAATAATTAGAGTCCATGAGAATATGACTAAAAAGTATTTGCACATTTTGAAAAAATAGGCCTGTTTGCTGATAATAATAAAGAAAAAACAGGCGTTTTTTTGTTAATAACAAAATGTGTTCAGATTTAAAATTGAGTGGAATTAGAAAATTGGGATTTTTTGAGAAATTATTTTCTGAATAGTGCTTTGTGTAGAAAATTGAAAAATTAAAATTTTTTGCGAAGAAATAGGATATTGTTTGGGGTGTCCAGAATTTTTCATAATTTTCGGTGAAAATGTTTGTTTTCCGTCCAAAAAAGAGCATTTTTTAGCTCAAAAGAATCAGGAACTAGCTATTTTTAACCAGTGTTTTTCATAGAACAACAGCAATTATTTTTTCATATATGTATGTAAAAAAAGGTCTTTGTCAGGAAGAGGAACATATTTTTTTATATTTAATGGGAAATTGCAGTTTTTAGTTTTTTTTTGCTTGAAAATCTTCTCAAAAATTGAAAAAAAAAATGTTTGCAAGACTTATTTTCGAGAGCTTAAAGATCTGCAATATCTAAAAAAGGAACCCTGATCAGTTTTGGTTGAAATATCCACATTTTCGCTCTATAATTCTCATCCCTTCCTGAAAATTCCAAATTATCCGCATAGTTCACCAAAAACCGCTTCGCTCGCCATTTCCAAATTCGATAATTCTTTTTTGTGTTCTGCGCCCTAAAAATGCGACCAGCTGAGTCGCCGTTTCTTCTCGTGTGTTTAGCCACGAAAAAACGAGAGAAGAAAGAAAAAAATCAGCTGAGATGAGAGAGAAATAGAGGATGTTGAGAGAGAAAATTGTGCCTTTTTCCTCGTGATATTCTCTTTTTTCGAGCGCGGGTCACTCGCTATTCTACTCTACTTTCTTTTTCTTTTTCTTCTCTATGCGTTCGTATTCCCCCTAGTTTTTTTTCGGTTTTTTTCCATGTTTTTCTCGTTTGGTTCTAGCCTCCGTTCCAACCACGACCCCTTGTTTTTATGGGATTGTTAATTTTTTTAACAGAGAAATATCTATGGATTTTTGATCGGTATTATAGATGAAGTTCATAGGGTTCTTAGGGTCAAACCCTGAATTTTTCTGAAAATTTTGAATTTATTCGATTTTGAGATCTGTTCCTGAGCTCTTGATCTACGAAATTTTCGGGAATTCGTCGATTTTCCTAGATTTATTCGAGAAATCTGAGCCTCGATGGTTTTCTAGAAGATCAGACTCAGACTCTTTATTTTATCAGAAATTAGAGCTTCTTCCCGATTTTCGCAGGTCTTTCTCGTTCTTCGTTTTAGTTCTAGTTTTTTTCCGTTCCAACCACGACCCATTTCTTGTTTTATGGGGTTGTTAATTTTTTATTGGATTCATGTTTATGGAGTCCAAAAGATCTTGACGATGTTTATGAGTAGAAATACATCGTCAGAAAATAGCTGAAAATCTGGGATTTATCTTGAGTTCTTTTAGTTTTTGGTTGGTTTTTGATGATATCTATGGATTTACGTTCCTTACAAGGAAAAATCCGTTTGAATATAGACTTCCTGAAGTTTTGATCGGTCAAGCTACAAATAAATTATCCTATTTCCGTTTTTGAGTTTGTTCAAACAAATTTTTAGTCTACTGAAAACACTCATGATGTACCTTTAAAGTTTTGTCGTTTTCTCACGAACTCTTGAATCAAGCTGGATTCATTTTCAGCTGGTTATTATCGTATAAGAAGCTGAAATTTTTAAAATCAGTAAATGCCGGTACTTCCTTTTAGAATTCCTGCTACAAATTCGTATGTGCCTAGAAATTCTGGTCTCGTCACAAGTTCCACTAACTCCGCCCTTTTTTTATTTCTAGCCTCCGCCCATTGGATATATTCATTTCGTTTGCAAAGAAAAGTTCATTTGGAACTTGAGCTCAAAAGTTTTTTTCCAGAAAATATATGAAAATAATCGCATTAGAGCTTTCTTTGAATCTCGGCTGAAAATTTTCAGTTTTTTAAAATCTTTTCCTAAAAATACTCTCATTTTTGATGTCTGAAACTTTGACTTCGATTAGAAATGTATTCATCCTTTTTCTCTTTTTTCCCATGAAATGAGAAAATTAAGGACTTTTGTGGATCAAAAACCAGAAGCCTATAATTTTGTATTGAAATGAATAATATATCTAATTAAGGGAAAGTGCTGAAAGTAGGCGGAGCTTGGGAAATTTATGCTGAAAATTTCAGACATTCGGATTGAAGCTTTCCAATTTTTTTTTTAGAAAATCTGAAAATAGTTCCCTGTTTATCTGAAATCTGATACTCAAAAGTTCTTCCGGATAATCTCAGATTCGAATTTTTCAAACAAAAATAGCTTTTTTTTTTGAAAAAAATCAGCTGAAAAGGCTTATCTTTTTTGTTCACTTTCAAACTACAAAATTTTGATAACAATGTTTTTTCACTGCAAAAAACAAAAAGTTTTTCTATCATCATTTGGTCAACAGCACTTTTTTTGGAATAATAACAAAATATTTTTGTTTTTGTTTTGGTCCAAAGTTATTCGATGCCAATTATTATTCTATGAAAAATAAAAATAGATTTTGGTACTTTCTTTGATGAATAAGAGGAAGTTATTATTTTTAGATTTAATTAGGAACTTTATTTGCACTTTTTTATAATTAAAATGAGTCATGAATATAGAAGTTTTTGAAAGTTACAAATGTTCGGCTAACATTTGATAAAAATATGGATTCTCATCTATTTTAGCTTTTTTGTTAGAAAATTGCATCCGGAAACGCCCACCAGTAACTAAAATGTGAACTTTAATTATTCTCCCCGTTCCTTGCTCTGAAAATGTGACTGGAATTTCAATTCTTCCCCAAAATGCCAAAAGTATACACTTTTTGCCTGTTCTGTTTTTATCAGCTGATTAGAATATTTAGTTTGAAAGTATAAGTAAACAATGAAAAATATTTAGACTTGTTGGCTAAGTTTTCATTGATAAAATTTTTTTCAAAATAATAGTTGCATTTTGGCGGCGAATTTGGAATAGTTTTCATGAAATTTTGAAAAAAAATAAATTTTGATTGAATCTAAAATATACTCGAAGGGAAGTCTGAAGCAGCAAACCTAAAACTTTGATATTCTCCTAACATTCTCTAAAAATCCAATTTTCTTCCATTTCCTGTTCTCTTCATTCCTTAGAAAATCGGCCATAAATCTAATGTGTTCTTTTTTTTTCTTTTTTTCCTGTCCGGGAGTGTGATTTCATTCATTTGATTTCAAAGTTAATGTCTGGCCCCACACAAAACATCTGTCCTTTACAATTTTTTTGATCTTTTTCTGTTCTTTTTTTTTGAGAACCTGTTGAATAATGAAAAAAAGAAAGAAGACGACACAAGGTGTCAAGTACAAATTCAGGACACTCTTTCTTTTTTCTTCTTTTTTTCTAGTTTTTTTTGGTCAGTCGTCTTTTTTTGCAGAAAAAATTCATTTCTGGTTGGAGTTTTGAGATGAAAATCATATTTGTTTCAGAAAAACCGATATATTTGGTGGTATGAAATGGAATTGGAAAGAGCACAACGAGGAAGTGGATCATCGAGAAGAGCCAAGAGATTGGCTCAACAAGCCAAAACTCATCCAATGATACAGGCTAAACAGAATCAGGTGCGGTTTTTGAATAGGATTTTCGATCACGTTTGGACTTAAAATGCTCCAATTTTCTAGCTGAAGATTGAAATTCTGAATTCAATCCACGTGGCATTTTGAACTTCGAAAAATCACATTATTCTTTTTCGAGGAAATTTTATTGGAAAAAATCACCAAGGAGATGAAAATCGCATTATTTTTATTATGAAATGATGAAATTTCGAAACCTATAATTAAAAATGGGATTTTCAGAACCAGAAATAGCTATTTTCTAGCTTTTTTGGCTTTGAAAAAATTGATTTTTACGTGTAAATTTTCTATGAATCTAGCTTCAAAAACCTGAAATTTCTCAATTTTTCAATTTTCAGATGTACCTAATCACAACAGTAACCCATCCAAGTTCTGACACTTCATTAATCAATAAAAAGTTGCCGAAAGAGCTTATTTTGCGAATTTTCTCATATTTGGATACAAAAGGATTGTGCAGATGTGCACAAACTTGTCACGCTTGGAATGCTTTGGCTTTGGATGGTTCAAATTGGAAACGAGTTGATTTGTTCACATTTCAGAAGGATGTTAAGGTGGGAATTTGGAAAGCCAGAATCGATTTTTTTCCTAGGAAAACAGAATTTCTAGCTACAAAAATGTGTCTGAAAATGCTCAGAAAGGCTGAAATTTGGCTAATCCCTTGGCTATTTTTCAGAAAAACAAATTATTAAAATAGTGCAGAAATATAACCTATTTTTAGCTAGGACTTTTTGAGATTTTTTCTGAAAAATATGAGCTATGACGTGCCAATTTGTGAATAAATACGTGAACTATGACGTGGCGATTTAGAAATGCTCATTTTCCATTTTTAATAACAATTTCACAATTCAAAAATTTTGCTCTAAAAAAATAAAACGTGACCTATTTTTATTCAATCCACGTGAAATTTTTCCCCAAAATATTCATTTTCGAATTTCGAATTCCAGAAAAATGTAGGTTTTTTCCCAATTCGCGGCTCAAAATTTGATCATCTAGAAAATGACGTCTTGAAGTCAAAAACTAGAAAAAAATTTCCTCATGAATAAAAAATGGCCTCGTTTTCTTTAGTTTTTGAGATCATCTAACTCGAACAGAAAAAAATGACAAGAAATTGGGAATTTTTAAATTTGGGAGCTCAAAAATAATCAAATTTTTTTTTCCAGTCTGCTGTTATCGAAAATCTTGCTCGTCGATGTGGCGGATTTCTCAAAGAACTATCCTTGAAAGGCTGTGAAAATGTACATGATCTCGCCATCAAAACATTCACCGCAAAATGTCCAAATCTCGAATATCTCAGCCTTTACAAATGCAAACGGGTCACCGATACATCGTGCGAAAATTTGGGTAAAAATTGTCACAAATTAAAATATTTGAACTTGGAAAATTGCACATCAATTACGGATAGAAGTATGCGATTTATTGGAGATGGATGTAAAAATTTGGAATATTTGAATATTTCATGGTGCGATTCGATACAAGATCGAGGAATTCAATATATTATTAATAATTGTACCAAATTAGAAACATTGATTTTAAGAGGATGTGATGGATTGACTGAAAATGTATTTGATCAGAATTTAGAGCAAAATGCGGAACAGGAAGGGCTCAAATTAGAAAACCTCACAAAAATTAACCTATTGGGATGTTTTATCAATGATGAAACTATCAATAATCTAGCAGTGATTGCAAAAAATATCGAATATTTATGCATTTCGAATTGCTCGAATATAACTGACAACGCTTTGATTTCCTTGGGAAATCATAGTTTTCATTTGAAGACACTCGAAGTTGCTGGATGTAATTTGTTGGGAGATAATGGATTTATTCCGCTGGCAAAAGGTTGTCGATATTTGGAGAAATTGGATTTGGAAGATTGCTCACTGATTAGTGATGCAAGTATTAATTCGTTGGCTAATTATTGTGGAGGATTGAAAGAATTGGTGAGTTGGCGGGAGTTTTTATAAGATTCAAAACTCGAAGTTTTTTCATTTTTACCCATAAAATCCTCGGTTTTTGCAGAGTCTTTCGCACTGCGAACTTCTAACCGACGAATCAATGCACAATTTGGCAGCAAAACAACGAGAAACTCTGGAAATTCTCGAAGTTGATAATTGTCCTTTGTTATCAGATTCAACATTATCCCATCTTCGACATTGTAAAACATTGAAACGAATCGATTTATATGATTGTCAAAATGTGTCGAAAGATGCGATTCAACGATTCAAATTACAAAGACCACATGTTGAAATTCATGCGTATTTTGCACCGGCTACACCACCTCCTGATGCTGTTGTTAATCGAGCTGGTAAGAGAGATTTTGAAAAGGGGTTTGGGGTGAGAAAATGGGAAACAAATTGAACAAATATTATAAAAAATTGAAGGACTATTTTTTGCAAAACCTAGTCCCTCCATTTTTTTTGTTTTTTGAAATTCAATGTTTTTTGTCATCTTTTGAATATTTTGTAGAATTTTAGGCGCCGCCTGAACCACACACACGCACCTAAAATTACGAAGGTATTTTTGAAACAAAAAAATTAGGTAGAAAATTTAATTATACATAGAATAGTAATTAACAAGGTGTGTGTGTGTGTGGTTTTGGCGTGATTTTTTCTGCATTTTGAATTTTGAGATAAACATTTGCTGAAGATTAAGTTTTTAAGGTTAATTTCGATCTTATTCATAAAAATCAATGCTTATAATAACTTTATTGAATTCCAAAAATTCTCTTATAATTTTCAATTAATTAATTAGTTTTAATTGTTGGAATTGGTGGATGAATCATTGGATAATCACCATCTACAGTTGTTGTTGTTGGAGGCTGAAAATATTATTGATTTTTTGTTTTCTGAAAAAATTCTGAAGTTTTCAGACTTTAGGAGTTGTTGTAGTCGTGGTGGTGGTGGTTGTTGACTGAAAATTTTACATTTTTTGATGTTTTCAAAGTTAGGAAAATCTGTAAATCTTACTGTAGTTGTTCTAACTGGTGTAGTTGTAGTTGAAGGTGTTGTTGTTGGCTGAAAATGACAATGTTTTGGAGGGTTTTAGAATTGTGAAATTTTTGCAAATCTTACTGTAGTGGTTTTTACTGGGGTAGTTGTAGTGGAGCGTGTTGTTGTTGACTGAAAATTTTCATTTTTTTATGTTTTCAGAGTTTGGAAAATCTGTAAATCTTACTGTTGTTGTTCTAATTGGAGTTGTTGTAGTGGAGTGTGTAGTTGTTGTTGGCTGAAAAAGTACAGATTTGTTTGTATATTCAGAGACAAACACATTGCTTGGACCTTATTGATTAAAATTTTCTAAAAATCTTACTGTAGTTGTTTTTACTGGAGTAGTTGTAGTTGAAGGTGTAGTTTTTGGCTGTAAATTTAAAGATTTAAATATAGTAGGCACAATTGGACTTCTCTGAATCTAGTCTAAGAATTTCAAATTTTCGAAATTGAAAATTTTCATTTAAAGTTCAGAAGTTTCGAATAAAAACTTCAAATTTTCAAATTTGTGGCTTTTTTCAGTTTTTTCTTAAATCTTACTGTAGTTGTTTTTGGAGTTGTTTTTGAAGTTGAGGGTGTAGTTGTTGGCTGAAAAATCACAGATTTTTTCGTATTTTCGGAGATAAACACATTTCTTGATTAACATTTTCTGAAAACCTTACTGTAGTTGTTCTAAATGGGGTAGTTGTAGTTGAAGATGTTGTTGTTGGCTGAAAAATTGTTTTTAGAGATATAGAATGCTCCTAAGCCTAGATTTAACATTTTTTCAAGCTTCGGCAGAATTTTCATATCTTAAAAGTGTTTTTTTCCTGAAATCTTATGGGGCTATTCAACGTCTTTTCTCAACGCTGAATTGGTTGAGAAAACTTATTCAGGAAGGCTGAGAAAATAGGAAAACGGTTGAGAAAATGATTTTATCAGCATTTTTCCCGTTTTCTCAGCGTGTTGAGAAAATCGCTGAATAGCCCCATTACAGTAGTAGTTGGACGTGGTGTTGTCGTTGTCGTTGGAAGTGTAGTTGTTGGCTGAAAAAATTCATAATCTTTCTGAAAAATCTTAAAATTTTACTGTAGTAGTTGGACGTGGAGTTGTTGTAGGAAGTGGAGTTGTTGGCTGAAAATTTTTTAAATATTTCAGATCATATTTTCACCCCAACAAAATCTCACTGTAGTTCCATTTCCCACAACAATATCATTGAAAATGAACATATATGTTGCAATACAATCTTGTCCCAAATTTCCAGCTATTTTCTCTAATTTCCCTCCTAATTCCCGAATTCCCTCCTGCAATTTTGGAATTCCCGCCGATTTTCGCAAATTCTCATATTTTTCCAATAGTTCGTTGATTTTCTCGAGAACTTTCGGAGATCTTTTGATGTTTTTGGCGATTTTTAGAATTGTTGGAGAAAATGTTCGAAGACCGTAGTTGAATTGAGTGAGATGATTTGTTTGAAGAATAAGAGATGGATAGGTTGCCAGGTTGTAGTCTTCAAAATATAGATTTGAATCATATTGGCGCCAACTTATTTTTTTTTCTGGACTTACCACAACTTTGACTTGCCAATCCTTGAAAATATACGAAAAATAATGCAAAAAATAACATTTTTCTGTATTTTTTGATTGAAATTCCTTGATTTATATCACTTTTTATGATTTTATAATCGAATTTATCAAAAAAAAAAATCAAATGTTTCCTCCAAAAAATTCAATAATTCTGACGCCAAAAGTTCCACGCGTCAAAAAATAATCAAAACTTTTTGCAGGTATTTGCCGATGTTGTGTGATTTTATGACTACATTTATGTGCCCTCGCATATGCAATTTACTATAAAATGTTCACAATTAATTAATTAATTAATTAGGAGGGCACTACGGGTTGTTTTATCGATTTTTGAACCAATTTTGTACCATTTTTCGAACTTTTCTACTGGTTTTTTTTACTTGAAAATGACATTTTTGCAGACCTGTCGTTTTTGGGCGGCCGGGCCGGGCCAGCCCTTCAAAATTCGAAAAATGCGGGCTTTTTCGGCCCTCCGGCCCTTCTTTTTTTATGAGAGGCTGTTTCAGCCCTTTTTTCGGCCCTTCATAAATTTTTGATGACAATTCGGGATTTTTACAAATGGATGTTTTTGCTCAAAATTTCTGCATTTGGGTGAATTTGGTAAATCAGAATGACTTAAATTGGTGTTAGTGCACCAATATTTCTTCGAAGTATTGTTTTGGTGCAGGATCGTAATGGTGAAACACATGAATTTCAATAAATTTTACTTTTATTATCAATCCACCATTAGAAACACGAAATACGGCAATTTTCTTACGCCAAAATGCAAAAATTCGAAAGAAACACCATTGAAAAATAGTGGATTTACACAATAAAATTTGTTTGAAAGGCCGGGCTGAGCCAGCCCATTTTCCATATTTGGGCTGGCTAGGCCGGCCCTTCAAATGGCTGGCCCGAGGGCCGCAAATAGCCGCAAAACGACAGGTCTGCATTTTTGCATCTTTTGACATGATATATGAATTTTTAATTTTAGGGTTTTCAGACCTGAATTCAAATTTTTGTTTGAAAATTATCAATTTTTTATCATTTTCGACTGGTTTTTGACCTGATATATGAAATTTTCTTGAATTCAAGATTTAAATTCAGAATCGCCATTTTCAGACAAATTTCAGAAAATTTTTCAAAAATGGTGGATTTTGACGATGGATGGGGAAATGAAATGGATGATAAACAATATGTGATGGCTTATGAAAATTTGGAATTCGAGGTTTTTCGAAAAATTGATCGAGTGCTGGAAAAGGCGAATTTGGCCGAGTTTCGACCGAAATATAAACATCAGAAACAGCGGAAAAATAGTGGAAGAAAGAATGTGAGCAGATTTTGGGAGGGATTCGAAGACATTTGAAAATTCAGACTTTTACTTGCGAAAATACAGACTTACCATGAAAGTTTGAAGATTTAGAGCCGATATAAAAATAAGAATTCTGAAAATCTTGTCTTTGATCTCAAAAATCGAAAGAAATTTTTTAAATAATTTTAAATTTTTTTCATACGTGAACTTTCAAAACCCTATATTTATCTCATTTTTCGTCCCAAACCTTTGCATTTTCGCCTAGAAATCTAAAAATGTTCATTTACTTTACGAACACTTTTTCTAACTATGTATAAAAAATTAATTAATTAAGAGGGAGTCAGGATTTCAATTTCCTTTTTCGTTTTTTCTTGGAAGTTTTCTAGTTGATCAAAAAATGAAAAAAAAACAGGAAAAATAGTGCAAAAATAGAATTTTCACTTCGCAAACAACATTCAAAAGTTCAAATTTTAAATAACAATTGAAATGTTCATCTTGAATCCTCAAAAAAAAATACCATTTTTATAGGACGATGAAGATTGGCGTAATGCTATTTATAACTTACCCGAACTTCATAATAACGAATCATCAGACGAAAATGAGGAACAAAAATTGTTTTTCAAACCTCCACTTCAAGTTCAGCGAAATACATTTGTCAAAAATCAATTATTGGATTTCAAGTGGGAAAATCGCGTAGATTTGTCGAAAATTTGTATAATGGGATGTGGAGAAATGTCGCTTGAACGGTTTTTGATTGAAAATTTAGCGAGTTTTGGTGTGAAAATGGTATTGAGTGTGGATTTGGATGAGAAATCATTGTCGATTGGACAACAACTTTTTGAGTATGTTATATTCAGCCTGGGGAAATAGACAGGCGCCTAAATTCGATATTCAATTTTTCCAGAACTCGGCTAGCAGAACAATCAGCTGTTCTAAAAGAGCAACATGGATTTCCAATATTAATTCGAAGTTTTGTCGGAAATATTTTAGACCTGGATTATCGATTTTCAAATGCCGATTGTATTATAAGTCTAGAAGTGTGAGTTTTTTTTTATTTCTTGAGAAAAATTAAGCGAAAAATCTCAACCAACAAAGACTTTGACTCAAAATTATACCCAAAGTATTCCCAGAAAATCTATAATTAATTTCAGAATAGAACACATGCCTCTAGCCTCCGCCAAACAATTCATCGATCAAGTTTTGCGTCATCTCCGCCCTCGAATTTTCATATTTTCCACACCAAACAATGATTATAACGAAGTTTTTGGCGACGAACCTGGCACTTTTCGACACGATGATCATTATTTTGAAATGAAAATCGACGAATTTGCAGAGTATCATCGAGAATTATCAGAAGAATTTCGAGATTCTTATGAAATTCAAGGACCTCTTTATATTGGACAAATATTTTCGCGTGAAAATGAGAAGAAATTTGAGAATTTGAAAGGGGCTACACAAGCTATGGTTTGTAAATTGAAGACGGATTTGATGGGAGATGTTGAGCCCGGGAATTTGGTTTATCAAAGTGTGAGTTTTCTTCAAATTTGCCAGCTGGATTTTTTGAAACTGAAATTTTCGAATATTAATTTGCGCTTCAAATAAACCTCATAAGTTCTAACAAAAAAATAATAAAGACGAAAGTGTATGTACTTATAAAATAACAAAAAATCAAACCCTTTCTTTCAAAATCTTGAGAAACTTCAAACATCAAAAATGTGACAAGTTTTGATCGAAAACTCAAAACAAAGAATAATTTTTGATTAAAAAAAAGTCCCAAAATGTCGTAAAATTCAAAATTTTGTCCGGAAATTCGCGAGGTTTCTGTGAGAAAATCGCATCATTACAAAATACATTTGCAGATCTATTTAAAATTCGGAATTATATCAGACTTCAAATGTAGATTCTCAAAACTCTCCTTAATCCTCTAATTTCTCTATTTTCTCATATTTCAGACCCATCAAACAATGGTTCCAATCGGTATGAAACCCGTAATTTATCGACTAATCAAAAAAGCATTTTTCGAATTTCTCGAACATTTTTCGTTTTGTCCAATGGCTTTGTCAAATGTTAATGGATTTTCGTATTGGCGGATTGATATTAAAAATATTTTGCATCGAATTCGAGCACCGGTTTCGTTTTTGACAAGTATTAGTGAGATTGAAGCCTTGTGAGTGGTTTTTTTTGGGCCTCTGTTTTTCAAAAGGTTTTCTGAAATTCTCATTTTCAGACAAATCTGCCAAAATCTATCCCATCACAAAATTTCGATTGATATCAAAGAAAACGAACATCACTCGATTATTATTCCAGATTTCATGAAAAAGGAAGAACTTCTGGAAATGTTGAGTTAGTCTAACTTGTTTTTTTGCCTAATTTATTTTTATTTCAAAATTATTGTTGTCTATTTATTGCTTTTTTCTCTATGTGTTTGTAAAAAAATGAAGAATTTGGGGTTTTTTTTTGGTTTTCGAAATGAAACTAGTGATCAATTTTAGGGATTATTCATAATCTGACATGAGCAATGCGAAAAAACGGAAAGAAAAATTTGTTTTCGAGTTTTTTCGGAGTAAGGTTCAAAAACCGGGAACTACCGTAGTCCTGGGAAATAATAGGGGTTTTCTGTGATTTTTCGTGAAATCTGATACTTCTACAGTAATCCAAAATGTTTTTTTTTTTCAATTTTCTCTATGATTTCTTGAAAAATCTCATTTCCTGATCAAAACTACCGTACTCAAAACTACAATCTGAACCACAAAAATTTGTAGTTCTTATTTATTTTTTCGCAGAAAAAAATTAGGAAAAATAATATTTTTCCTGATTTTTTTCCCACCCTATGACGTAGGTAAACTTCAAAAATAGGTCTCAATATTTTACAAAAAAATTTTTTGTGTCTCAATTTAGGCATGTTTTAGATAGGCTTTAGCTTCATCTTCTTTAAGCCTTTTTAAGCTCCGCCTCTTTTAACTTTTCCAAGCCACGCCCTCAATTTTTTCTTTTTTTTTTCAATTTTTTCTTGTGTTTTTTTTGTTTAACGGAAAAAAGTGTCAAATTACTTTTTTGTCTTCGTGTATTTTTTGAAGTAAAAAAATTTTCTTTAAAAAATGTGTGAAAAAAAAAGAAAAAAAGTGAGTTGTTTTTGAAAAAAAACGAAACGCTTTCATTTTTTTTCATATTTTTCTTTGTTTTTTCTGGTTTTTCAGATTTTTTGTTTTTTTCTAGTTTTTTGAGCTGAAAAGTTCGAATAACATTTCTTTTAGACTGATTTGGGCAATTTTTAGACGTTTTTTTTCGGGAAAAACGAAACAATCAGAAAAGGGGAGGATGTTTGAGATCGAGTGAGAAAAATCTTGAATTTTTTATTTTTAGATAAAGAATCCACGTGTTAAAGGTGGAGTGCGACAAAAATACAAGTTCTCATCATTCCCGGGTTCTTGCTACACTTAGAGAACACCCGTTTGTCGAAAAATTCAAGAAAAACGAGCATCGGAGAACAAAAGCGAACAGAAACAGTTTCCGGCATTTTCGCATGTAGTGGGCAAACGCGCTCTAGCTAACAGGCGGAACGTTTGAATTTTCTGCGTTTTTTTTCTTATTTTTTTCAGAGTTCATTTTTTTCAGTCAGAATCCGAGGAAAAAATGGATTTTGAACGCAAAAGCTTTACACAAGATGAAAAAGGAGAAGATTCTATACCTATTTAGTGATAAAAAATCTTAAAAAGATGTTGTTTCAGTCTGTTTTTCACATTTCAAAGTAAAGATGAGCAATATTTCGAAAACATTGCATACAATATATCAATCTGTTCCTTTTTCATCCCGAAGCACTAATATTCATATAATATCTCTCAATAATTCGAAATTTATAGGGTTTTCGTTAAAAACGTGAAACAACACAAATTCACACACTTTTCGCAAACACACAAATTGACGCGCAATTGCGGACGCTTTTTTTGGGTTTTGTCGCACTTTTTCACTACCGAGTCAATGCAAAATTGTAATCGAGCAAATAGGCTCCGCCCATCTTTTTCCGCACAGATATGTGGGCGGAGCTTAGATTTTCAGATTTTCAAAAAGAAAATTGAAAACCCTTTGGCTCAAAAGACACACAAATAAAAAGAAAAAAGTCGGGCTATATGTGTGTTTGCAGCGACCGACATCTCGCGAGGCCGGCCACACGCTATTGTTTTTTTTTGTCGGCCACGTAGCGTGCTGTTTGCGGAGGTTTTTTGTCGTCAGATAAAATGTTTGGTACGTGATTAATTTTCGGTAGTAATAAAACCCCTGTGCGTGTTGAGAACAGTTAGCGAAAATAGAAAAAAAATTGGTTCAAAATAATTTTAAGAAATTTTTCCAGATAATTTGAATGGTGTCTTAAATTTTTGAAACACATCTAATTTCCAAGTTTCAACATTTTTCAAAATATATTTTTTATCGTCAATGATTCTCGTGGCGAATTTTCCCGCTATTTTTTTAAATCAAGTTTTCGCCCGAAAATTAAACGTGGAAAACCTTTTTCGCAACTTTTTTAGGTACCTCTCAAAAATTAGCATATTTTATCCCACGTTTTCCATTTTTCTCGAAAGTTTCAAAAATCATCGAATCTTGGCGCCAAAAAACAATTTTCCGGCTTCATTTTCTGACTTTTTCGAATTTTTTCTAGATTTGAAAAAAATATTCTGAAAAAAAAAGAAAATTTTTATTATTTTCTCCATTCTTTTTTCTCTTTTTCTCCATATTATAAATAATACACAATTGTTTTGTTTTTCATTTTTTCACACAAAAGATGAAAAATATATTTTCAGTCTGAAATTTTCAGATAAATGGGTTTCAGATGCCGCAAAAATCTCATTTTTTTCATTCTTCTTTTAAAAAATCGGAAATTTTTGAAGAAAACTATCTGATATAATAAATACCCACTTGGGACGAAAAATGTTTTTTTTGAAAAATACGACAACTGTTACTTTTTGGACCCATTCAACTCTTTTTCATTCACAATGTTTTCATTGCTATATAAATATTGAAAACATTTTCATTTCAAAATACGCATGCATGGTCCAACTGGTGAACGCGCGGCTTTTGAAACCACGCTGTTTTGGTGCGACTCCTCGCGCGCAAGATATCTTCTGTTTTTTTCTAATAGTAGTTTTTTTGCTTATAAATCCACATGCCCTCATTTTTCGCCAGTTGTACTACGAAAAGGTGATGTGAAGTGCATTTTTCAATTAGCCCGCGAAAATTGTGTTTTTGTCTTTGTCCAAATTTTCTTGGTCTTTGAGATTTTCTGACAAAAATTGGAAAGTTTCGAATCAAATCAGAAAATGAAGCCGGATTTTGAAAATGAAAATTTTGGAAATAAAATTTAAAATGTTGAAATGTAGGAAAGGTCACGTTCACAAATTTCTATTTTTCTGGAAGTTTAGAATATTTCTCGAAAAATATCTGCGTCTCTCAATTCTATCTTCTCTCGTTGCCTACGTCTCTTAAAATCAGTGTTCTCTAGCTTTCTCTCTCCGTCTCTTGCATATGTTTTCTCTGCGTCTCTAATTTAATGATACTCTCTAATTTCTCTAACCCTCTCTCTAATCTATTTTCATCCTCGGGTCAAGTGTTTTTCAATTCAAAAAGTGTTTTTTTTTATGTCATCAAGTGTAACGTGATATCATTGAACCCGTCATTTTTTATATTTTTCTAGCGAAGAAACATCTCTCAAAAAAGGCGTCATAAGTACTTTGCTGTTCTTGAATTTCACTCACTCAAAATCCATTTGAACAACATTTTTGTGTTTGTGGTTTGTTATTTTGCCGTCCACGCGTCAAATTTCGAAAATGAAATTTTTGAGCGATGAATCCACGTCGCTAAATTTTTAAACATGAAATATTAAATATTTCACGTGGAAAATCAGCTCTGTGTTTATTTTTTCGTGCCAAAATATTTTTGTTCGAACGTCTAGCCTTATTTTTTGCGTTGTTAAATGAGACGTGAAATTTTTTGAGCCCCGGTATTTTTTTCCTATTTCCGCCAAGTGATTTTTTTTATGAATGTGAGAAGATTTTTTGGCGAAAAGACGTCAGAAATTTTTTTCTCGGTTGGTTTCTTTCCGTTTTTTTTGAAGAGAGGAAACCTTTTTTGTGCAGTCGGGTTTTTGAAAAAAATTGAATTAGTTGAACCAAAAAAAATTGGAGGAAAATTGGGAAAAAGAGAAGAGGAACACAGGTTAAACTAATTTTCTAGGTTTTTTTTTGAAAAAAAAAAGGTTTTTTGAAATTGAAATGTTTCAGGATAAATTTTGAAACCAATAACTACAGTATACTCAAATCTCTATGGACCATCACTCAAAAAAAAAAAGAACTTACTAATGTGAATTTTTGCGGCAAACTACAAAGTCTACTACTTTTCAAACAAAAAAGATCAAAGTTTCAAAAAATTCCTTTTTTCTTCGTTTTTTTGTTCTCCCCAAAAATGCTCTTTTTTCTTTCGAGTTCAATTCAATTTTCTTTTTTTCTGTGTTTTTTTTTTGAAATAAAATAAAATCGAAAAAAACTTCTTCGCCTCTTTTCACCTGTCCAAAAGAATTACGCAAATTGAAAAGAACTCCTTTGGGACGAGGAAAACTCTTTTTCCGCTTTTTTTGCTTCAAGTTTTTTGGAGCTAAAAATCCACGTGTCATAGTATTTTGCCCCTAAAATTTTTAAAATCAAATGTTGGCGATGAAAAAATCCACGTGGCACACATTTTAGACTTGACTCGAACTTAACATTTCCGAATTTTCACCTGTTTTTTGTCCCAAGTTTTTTCCAAGAAAAATTTTGAATAATTTTGCCCCCTGATTTATATTCAAAAAAATTCAAATTCAATTTTTTCTTACTCGTTTTTTCTTCTGAATAGCTATAACTTTTTCACCATTTTTTTTGATAAACTTTTACCACGTGGATATATTCGCTTTCGAATTACTTTTTTCAAAATAAATGATCTGTTAATTTTTTTTTAATTTCAGATATCCCGCTCTCAAAAAATGCCTGCCAAAGATACTCAATTCTGGGATGCTTTAATGGAAAATAAAGTGGCTAAGAAGCTAATTAAAAAACACAAAAATAAGGTCAAATGTGAGAATACAGAAGAATTGGCTTCGAGATATGAAGTTTCGACTGCTGAAGTTGAAAAGGTTCGTTTGAAATTTGAACATCAAAAAAAGTTTAGCTACCCCAAGTTTAAACATAATCTTCAATACGTTTAGGGGAATTCCGAAAAATATTTTGTAAACTTATATTTTCAGATTTCTTGATTCATTACTAATAGTTTACCTACTTTTGTGCCACGTGGATTTTCTGACTGATAATTCAACTTAGCATAACGCAGCTGAATTTTGAGCTAGAACTTTCAAATTTCCGGATTTTTCAATTTTTTAGACTATGACGTTGCTGATCTTTGTTTTAGAATAAACTAAGAAGGATTTTTGTGTTTTCTGACTATTCTGAAGAAAAATATAATTTTGAAGGAACAATTTTGAGCTCTAGGAAATGTAATTAAATGATACAAAAACTGCGATTCTGGAAATCATTTTGGAGCTCACTTCAAAAAATGTTAAATTTTGAAGACCTTTCATTTCAGGTGTTCACAATTTTCCAATTAATGGATGATGATCAATCTGGCACCATTTCCTCAACCGAAGTCGCAAAAATGTTAAATGAATTGGGAATTGATGTTTCACCAAAAGTTGTTCAAGCAGTTATGAGAAGTTCGGATGTTAGTGGAGATGGACAAATTGATTTTGAAGAATTTTTGGCTGCTGTTACTTCCAAAATTAAGGTACTAAGTTAGGATAATTTGAAAGACTTGGTCTTATTCCTAATTTTTTGAGTTAGGCGGTCAAGTTCAAAATTCCAAACCTGAACATTTTTCAGCTCAACAACTGTAAAGCTGATGTTCGTGTGATGCTCTCAAAATTGGACCCTGAGAAATATGTGAGCTTTTTTTCTCTACTATTTATTAGAAACCAACAAAAATCAAAATGTTTTCAGCTTTCGGCCGAAGAATTGGTTGTTGCTTGGAGCGAAACTGTTTCAACACATATTACTGTAAAAGAAGCCTGCGCACTTATTCAACAGGTTTGTTAGGCTAAGCCTTTTTTAACTTCCCTAAAAAATCCCTAATTCTCCAGGCTGACACTCAAGGACGTGGAAAAGCTACAATCCATGAATTCATCACAATGTGCCAAACTGTTTGAACGTTTTTAAATTTAAAATATATATATATAATATTCGGACCAAAAAATGTAGATGTTTCCACTTTTTACACTTTGATCTCCCATTAATTATTCGCAAAAATATGTAAATAAATACAATTTTTATTTGATGAAATTAATATTAAATTTTCAGAATAAATGTTGCAAAATGAAATTCCACCTTTTTAATAAAATCCCAATTAAGTGGGATTTTTCCATGGGGTAACTGATTTTCGTGTTTGAAAAAGATTGTTGGAGTCGAAGTAATATTTATTACTGTATTTCCGAGAAAACCCCTTGCACAAAATTACCCCAAAAATTAATTAAATTTCAACTTTTTCCAAGATTTCAATGAATATTCATTATAAAAAATAGCTTTTTAAAATTAAACATTACTTTTGTTTGAATTCGACAATTGAAGGAATGTTTCTTCCAAAGAAGATTGCGATAAAATGAAGTCGTTCACATTCAAATGTCGGGCGAGATTTTGAACCATTTCGAATTTTTCCGACCATTTATCATTTGATTTTTTCGGAATATGCCACACAAGATTTGAAGTTTTGTTGGTTTGCGATGTTTTCAGAATTGCTGCGGGGATTATGCTTTTAACATCAGCAACAAGATTTTCTCGATTTTGCTCAGAATTTAGAGTCAAAGTCATTGTATAGCTATTTCCATATAATGATTTTAATTCTTGACTTGTTCCAATAGCAATTAATTTTCCTCGATTTAATACAGCAATTCTTGAACATAATGCCTCACATTCATCCATTGAATGTGATGTTAACATAAGTGCACTATTCGAATTTTGTCTTGTCCAAATTAATAATTCCCATATTTCTCTTCTTGCTTTTGGATCAATTCCAGCAGTTGGTTCATCTAATATTATCATTTGCGTTGGTGATAAAAGTGCGACTCCAACTGATATTTTTCGTTTTTGTCCTCCACTATAATATCTACACAATTTATCTGCATTTTGTCGCATTCCAACACATTCTAATACGAGTTCTGCTTTTTCTTGATATTTTTTGAATCCATGCATTTGTCCCAAGATTTCCAGAATTTCACGGCCTGTTAGATCGAGTAGAAGAGCATCGAATTGTGGACAATATCCAATAGCCTGCAAATAATTGAGTGAGGATTTTTCAGGTGCAAAAGGAAAATAGATTTGTCTGGAGCTCAAAATTTTCAGAAGAGGCTGTGAGTTTTCTTTAATTTAAAATTAAGATATTTCAGATAATCCCGGAAAAAATTCCCAAAAATCCTTACAACTCTTTCGGTAACATCTTTTCCACCCAAAGTTGCTTCTCCACTTGTTGCAAATTCCTGTCCAGTTAAAATATTAAATGTAGTTGTTTTTCCAGCTCCATTAGTTCCTAATAATCCAAAACATTCATTTTCAGCAATTTCCAGATTCAGACTATCCAAAGCTCTCAATTTTCCATAATTTTTTGAGAGATCCTAGAGAAAAATACTTTTTTCAGAAACTAGATTTAAAATTTAAATAGTTCGTACCTTGATAACAAGAACTGGATTTTCAAACGGTTTCTGCTGGATTCCTTCACACTTTTCATAAATCAGGTTAGGTTTTCTTGAAAAACTGAAATTCGCCAATTTCTCCTTCACAACTCTAAACTGCAACGCAACAAAAACAGTCAAACAAGCAATTCCAAAAACCAGTAAAAACACGGCATTTTCTCCAAGTTCTTCCATTTCAAAAAGTTGCCATCCAGATTTATCAAATTTCGTCGAAGCATAAATAATCGATGTTCCAAATGTATAAGCTGGCAATAAAAATCGAAAAATTTTTCGAAATGTTTCAGCTTTTGATAGATCCAAATGAAGGGTGAATACAATTGGTGGAATAATAAAATAAAGAAAAAAGAAAGCCAATGTGGATATTATAATTTGCCAGGTGATTAGAAGAATATTTGCTTTTTCCGGAGAATTTAGGAATTGTGAGATAATGTAAATAAATGGAAGAGTTGAGAAGAAATAGAGAAACCAGAAGATGACAACGCTGGAAACTTTGAGGATTAAAAAAATGAATAAGAGAATGAAATTTCGAATTTTCAAACTCACACCCAAAAATTCACCAAAGCCAACTCAAAAATCACAACAATTCCAACAAAAACCGCACAAATCCCAAAATACAGCGCGAAATCAAAAATCATCGAAGTCGTATAGAAAACGCCGTGAGAAATTCCAGTCAGAAATTGTTGATGCGCAAATTTCGACACGCGTTCTTCCACCAAAAACATGACAAAACTCGAAGTGAGCATGGTGAAAATCAATAAAATAATTGGTGCAAATAAGATTTTTGCCCAAAAATGAGTTGTTATTCCAGCAATATTATTGGATGAATATACTTTGATACCACATTCGATCACTATTTCTTGATTTCCAAATTTTCCAGCAGAATTTATCATAAATCTGGCTTGATTTTGAAGTGTAACCAATTTCGGTAAAATATGATAATTTCTCAAATCAAACAATGTATAATTCTGAATAAATCCAAATTCAGGAGTTGGCAAAATTCCACGTATTTCCTCGATAACTTTTTCCAAATTTTCGCTTCCATAATAATTCAACGCCTCAAATTTTCCCGGATTTCTTAGCAATATTTTGTGAATTTTGTCGTGATCTTCACTTTGCGATTTAGCTGGATACATCCAAAGATATCTCGATTTTCCAGATTCAGAAAATTCGAATATTTTCTCTCCTTCCGATTTCCTTCCATTATATCTTGTCATATAAGCTAAAATCGATAATAGAAATATTGGGATAATTATTTGGCTCAAAATATTGCTCCAATTCCTTCTAGAATATATAAACTTTTTGCGGAAAATGGCGAGAACTTGTGACAGAAGTTTGGAGCATTCAGGTTTTTGAGGCACATCTTCTCGAAGTTTTTTGAATTTTTCCTGAAGATTTTTTTGACATCCAGATTCAGGTTCATTTCCAGATTGAATACTTTCAATATTTATGAAAACTTGTTCCAATGTGTTAAGTGATAGGCCGAAGCTTGAAATTTTCAGAGAAGATATTGATTTTCTCACAGAATTGGGCAATTTTGAGTCGATTCTGAAAAAACGGGATTTTTCCGAAAAGCAACCTCGAAAAATTGATTATAAAAGTAATTTTCAAAGATTTAAATTCACGAAATATTGAACTGTAAAAAATGTCTTCATCAAAGTTCACTGGATTTCAGACTTGAAATTCTGAAAAAAATTCTGTAAGATTTCATCAGAATTCGAGAATAATTTTAAAAAATAAATTGAAAATTTGATAACTGAACTACAGCTTTAATCAAAATTTTCAAACTTATATTTCGAAAAGAAATTCGATTTTCAATGTTTCTTCCTTGAAGATCTCACCTTCCTTCTTGAGCATTTTCCAATGCTCTAAAGAGAAATGGAAAATCAGTTTTTCGATGTTCAGGCAGTACAATCTCGACTTGTTGACCGTGTTTCTTCCCAAGCTTTGCATCAGGTATATAGAATTTACAGATATTTTCCAAAATTTGACACAAATTCTCCTTGTCTGAATAAACATCCAAAACAACAGTCAATAAATAACCAGTTCCATATTTTTGTTTCAAGAATTTAGTAGTTCCAGATGAAACAAGTTTACCATGTGACATAATAAGAATCCAATCACCAAGTCTTTCAGCTTCATCCATATAATGTGTTGTTAATAATATTGTTCGATTTTGTTTTTCTCTTTCTAATAAATCTTGAACATCTTTTCTTGCTCCAGGATCCATTCCAGCTGTTGGTTCATCTAATAAAACAACTTCAGATGATCCAATCAATGCCATACAAACACATAATTTTCGTTTCATTCCTCCTGATAAATTCATTGCCAATTCATTTTTCTTTTCCATCATTTTAATATCCATTAATAACTTGTTCATATCCTCCTCAAATTTCAAAACACTCAATTTTCCTCCCCTAAATCCATAAATCAACCAAAGATGCTCTTCAACTGTCAGTTTATCATAAATCGGGTTATTTTGTGGGCAAAGTCCTACGCGATTCCGATTTCCAACCTTAATTTCACCTTTCGAAGGTTTGATTGCTCCAACAATACTTTGAAATGTTGTCGATTTCCCGGCTCCATTATGTCCCAATAAAACCGAAATCTGTCCTTTTTTCGCTTCAAAACTCAATCCATCAACAGCTTTTTCTCCAGTCTCGGGCCAGATTTTCACCAAATTTCTGACTGAAACTCCAGATTTGGCAGAGGAGCGTGCAGGGTCGATTTCAAAAGATTCTGAAAAATTGTGAAAATTTTTGGAAGATTCCTAGGGTTTTTTCTACGCTAACACATTAGAAAAACTCATGAAAACAAAAAAAACGAAAAAATACAAGTAAAACAACGATACTCCGCTTGCGGCTTGTTTAATGTTCACAGACTGTTCATACAAGCGGAGCATCGTTGTTTTATTTTTCCCATATTTTGATTTCAGGAGCTTTGCTGGTTTTTCATCGTCAAAAGTTTTTTAAAGTAATTTTTTAAAAATTTTCGACGAAAAGCTTACTTTTGTTAATTTGCGCGTCTCATATCAGTTTTCTCGTAAATCGTCAGAACGGGTATTTGCCTTTGTTCAAAATTTAGAAATAAGCACATTTTTTAAATGAATATTGAAATTGAATGCTCGAAAAGGGTCACGTTTAAAAATGAATAAATTTCATGTTTCTTGTCATTTTGAAAAAAAACTTTTTTTTTTCAAGATTACCTTCAAGTTTCTCTAATTCGCTCATTCTCACAATTTCCATATTTTGTGTTCTATTTTTCGATTTTCCAAGTTTCTCCCTAATATTTTCCACGAAATTCCTTATACTATAATTATCTCGATATTTATCCACTAATAAAATCAACCCAGTCATCCAAAAAATATCGAAAATCATCATAAAAATCGCAAATCCCATTGAAAAATAGAGCAACGAATCGTCAAAAACATTCAAAATTCCCAAAAATCTCTCCATTTCCATGTTATTTGAAATAGCTGAAACTGCTAAAGAAAATGCTCCATTTATATTTAATCCATAGAAAAATGACTTGATTATTTGATCTCCATCGGGTTTTTGGTAATACGCCAAAATTATTGATAGCGCCCAAGAAAAAAGAACTGCTTTTATTGGTTTCTTGAACAATGCTCCGAAAAGTGCTCCAAAAATCAAAGCTCCCAGAGCAAAGAAAAACATAGTTATGAAGAAAACGGAGGGGGCCGTATACTGAAATTAATTTATTTTCAGAGATTTTAGTAGAGAAGATTTTCTCCACTAATCACGAACTTTAAAAAATATGATTTGAAAAAATCTGAACTAACCTGCAGCTCAACCCCAACAGTTATCAAAGTTATAAAAATGGCTGGCATAAATTTCGCCAATCCAACTAAAATATGATTCAAATAAAACATTGGTGTTGACAATCCCATCGCTGATAAATACGGTTTCACATTCTCATTTTCGCTGGAAATTTGCTGAGAAATATGCATAACATTGAATAATGCGATAAATGGAAAAAGTAAACTAAAATATCCGATGAATAATTGAACATTTCCATCAATTGAATGTGCCTCACTAAGAGGTTTGAATATTATCGGATAATTTTCGAGTCTTTTTCCATTAATAAATTCAATAAAACTTGTTTCAACAGCATGTTGAAGGTGTAAAAATCCTGAGTAATAATAAGGAGGTTCTGAAGGAATATGAAATTTTTCTCGATGTCCGCCATAAGGAAATCGTTGATTTTGCTCAAGTTTCCAATCATATTTCGATCTTCCATCAGAAATTGCAATTCGATACTTCAAAATATTTCCGAGTTTATCGATCTCATCAAAAACCACTCCTCCAATATAATTATGAATATTACATTTATTTTCAAAATTCTGTCCTTTTAAATCTTTCTCCAATTCATTCATCATATCCGATTCGTTGTCAAATTCAACAACAGTTATTCGAACTGTCGAATTTCGAAATCTCTCAATAAATCGACTCATAACATCTCTCACATCATTGATTTTTTCGGGATATAATGAAGTGTATCCAAATCTTAGCGAATCTCGATTTCCACACCAATATCCATCTATAATTTGTCTTCCGAATAATTCGGAAATCAAAAATGGAGGAAAAACAGTGGTTGGGTGGAGAGTGTTGTAATTTCCAGATTTCTGCAAAATTGATTAGTAAAAAAACAGTGTAAGTTTTTCCCCTAAAAAGCTTACCGCCAAAATCATTGTTCCAATCGGAAACATAATAAGACATGGTAGAATAATTTCAAAAATCGCCCATAATTTATTTCTCTTCAGTAATATCCAATCCTTGTAAAATAGAAGGAAAAACTGGCGAAATTCGTGCATTTTTCATAAAAAAGAATGATTCAGAAAGCTTTGTTTTATTACAACCGTTTTCATATCACAAAATGAAAAAAATAGACAATAAATATTAAAAGATTGTGGTTTGACTTTTTGAAAATTACAAAGAGATAAAAAATATTCAATCCCAACCTTCAAAGAAAAAAATAGGCATTAGAAAAATCCGCAAACACGTTGAAAAAAACTAAATGCACTAAACAGCAAACACTACACGCAAACCCTACAGTACTTCCCGGGAAAAGTGTAAGGGGAACCACCCGGGATTTTTTGAAGAGAACCCAGAAGTTTTTCCTATGAATTATTACCCCGAGAATCTCACAAGCTTCACTTTAATTTTGGCAAAAAATAGAAAATTAAGTAACTTTATTTATTTATTGACTTTTACAACGACACTCCGCTTGCGCGCTGTTTAGCGCAACACGAGAATATTTTCATTTTTTGTTTTTTTTTGCTGGGTTTCAGGTTTCCGGGGAAAATCAGTGGATTTCAGTAAACAATTGAATTTTCAGATATTCTACACGACTGGAATTGAAAAACCAACGGAAAATCCGAGACTTATCGAAGAAAGGTGGGTGTTTTCTAGAGAAACACTGTTTCGATTGAAATTTTTGAGTTTTCAGCTCGAAATATTGATGAGCAATTGGATTACACTATCAATAACGTGGAAAACTTGGAGGATTTCGTATTTCGATGATTTTTGTGTGATTAGAGAGATAGAAGCGATTGGTGAGGTTTTGGGGAGGGATTGCGGAAAAATTGAAAAAAATCGATAAAAAATTCAAGAAAATTAGAAGCTGGAAATGAAAAGCACGCTGGAATTATTTTGAAGGTAATATTATTTTTTGACGTTTTTCATGTCAAGAACTAAATAGTTTTTGAGAAGTAAATGGTAATCTTTCCTATTAAAAACACAAAAGATAAATGAATCAAAAGTGTGTGAAAACACTATGGCGCAACCGTGCAGACTGGCGACTTGCCAAGTGCAGAAAATTCGTTATGTTGCACACTCATTTTAGATGTATTTCTGTTTTTTCTTTGGGAACCCGGTAAGCGGGATTTCGGGGACCCGAATTGAGTTTTTCGAGCAAAGCAATGCTTTTGAAACTGAATTTTGTTCTTTTTTTTTAAAAGAAATATAGACTTTAAATTAGGAAATGGCGACCCTTAAACTTACTAACTATATCAATCCAATATAAAACAGGTGGCTTTTTCTCAAAAGGTGTTTGGTAAAGCGACTTATAGTTATTCACCTAGATTCGTATACTCAGAGTTCGAGTATCTAATCAATTTGGTGAAGCAACCTCACCCTGGTCGTGGTATGTATGCCAATAATAATGTGTTTTCTTTTTCGATTACAAACAATTTTCATATGAAATACGATAAATTATGAAAAAAATTCAGAAAAATTAGCGTTGGACGCGATAAGCAATGTGGTTAAAATATATGCTTTGAAAGCGAATAAAAATATGATTACTGGGAACGAAATTAATAATTTCAAGCAGAAATAGACTGGAATATTGAAAAAGTTCTATGAATTGCTAAAATGTGTTTCAATTTGAATTAGATAAGCGAAGGAATGTTTCTTCCAACGATGATTGAGATAAGATGAAGTCGTTCACATTTAAATCTCGGGCGAGATTTTGAACCATTTCGAATTTTTTGGACCATTGATCATCTCGATTTTTCGGAATTTGCCAAACAAGATTAACAGTTTTGTTTGTTTCTGGTGTTCGCAGAATTGAATTTGGAATATGAGAATTGACTTGATTTACAATGTTAACACGATCTTGTATGTCATTCAAAGTCAAAGTCATTGTATAGCTATTTCCATATAATGATTTTAATTCTTGACTTGTTCCAATAGCAATTAATTTTCCTCGATTTAATACAGCAATTCTTGAACATAATGCCTCACATTCATCCATTGAATGTGATGTTAACATAAGTGCACTATTCGAATTTTGTCTTGTCCAAATTAATAATTCCCATATTTCTCTTCTTGCTTTTGGATCAATTCCAGCAGTTGGTTCATCTAATATTATCATTTGAGTTGGTGATAAAAGTGCAACTCCGACAGAAATCTTTCGTTTTTGACCTCCACTATAATATCGGATCAGTTTATTTGATTGTTTTTGCATTCCGACGCAATCTAGAATGATATCTGCTTTTTCGCGATAATTGGAAAATCCATGCATTTGTCCCAGGATTTCTAAAATTTCTCGACCAGTAAGATCAAGAAGTAGGGCATCGAACTGAGGGCAATATCCAATTGGCTGAAAATAAAATATGTTAAGTATTTATTGATATAAAAATTAAATTCACAAACTCACAACTCTTTCGGTAACATCTTTTCCACCTAAAGTTGCTTCTCCACTTGTTGCAAATTCCTGTCCAGTTAGAATATTGAATGTAGTCGTTTTTCCAGCTCCATTAGTTCCTAATAATCCAAAACATTCATTATGATCTACCACAAGATGCAAATTATCCAAAGCTTTGAAACCGCCGAAACTTTTGCATAAATCCTTGATAACTAATGCATAATCTTTTGGATTTGCAGTTTTTGCCATATTAATTTCATTTGCAACAGCTTCACAACTAAGAAAATCCTGAGCTGCGAAATTATCCAAAGTTCTCGATTTTCTTGTTGAGAATAAATTATGAATAAATTTTCGAACTGGTTTGAAGTGCAAAACAACGAATAAAATCGATGAAATCAATCCACCCAACAACATTACAATTGCATTGTTCTCGATATTCATTGAATATCTACTACTATACATAAAATACGCAAAAAATTGAGCTTCTTCGAAATTGTAACCAGGAAGGAAGAAGTAAATAGCATACTGAAATATACATCTTACAATTAGAATAATTTTCAATAGATATTTTCACAAACCGTAACAACATGAAATGATTTTTCATCAAGTTGTTTTGTCACAAACATTGCAATCAGCCAAAATAATTTAGCTGAAATCGCAGCGATTCCCGAGAAGATAACAAGCCAAGTAATAAGGAAAACATGTGCCTTTGAAGGTGTTTTGAAAAATGTTGAAACTGCATAAATGAATGGAACTGAGGCGAAGAAATAGAGGAACCAGAATCCAACGAGGCTGCAAAATACTTTAGTTGGTTTCGGACGGTTAGAGTAGTTTTGGGGAAATAGAACACGATTCGGTCACCATTCGTGCCACACACGTCTTTACTTCTTACATTATCGAAGTATCCTTCCAGTGATCAAAATATATCATTATTCCAACAAGAATTGTGCAAATCGCCGAAAACATCAGAAAATCAAAAATGAATGATGTGATATAGAATGTTAGTGGTGAAATTCCGGTTAGAAATTGTTGATGGGTGAATTTCGATTCTCGTTCTTCAACCAAAAACATAACAAATGATGAAACAATTATTGATAATGATATAACTATTGCGGGAAAAAATAAGATGCGTGCTAATTGGGATATATCCTCTTTCTTATTGTTCTTCTCATTTGAAACAACAATAATTTCTGATTCAATTTGTGGATATTTTTCTCCGGGTTCCATCAATCTTTCTTTGTTATACAAAGATATCAATCCAGGGGTAACATGATAACTTTTAATATTGAACATAATTGTATTGGCTTGCCTATTGAATCCGAATCCTGCTCTCGGTATTTGTCCAGCGTTTTCTTCATGGAAAAATTTACTTCCCAGAAGATTCTTCAAATTTTCTTGTCTCTCCAAATTCACTTTTCCATCCCAGACTACTCTGGTCGGATGCAAATCTAGTTCTCGGCGTCCCTCTACATTTCCTCTATTTCGATCATGTTTCAACATAAAACAAGCAAATGTCATAATAAGAATCGGTAGAATAATCTGACCAAAAATATTTCCCCAACTTCTTCTTGTATATAATAATTTCTTTCTAAAAATCGCGATGATCTGATAGAACAATTGAGAGATGCCTGTTCTTTTCGAACCATTTTCATGGCACTCGGTGTATTTTTGAAAACTCGTCTTGCCACCAGATTTTTCGCTGATTCCCTAAATCACAATTTTCATTCAGATCTTATACTAAAGCTTTCTTACGGTTTTTTGAAACATAGCTTCATCAACTTTGTCTCCAATTGTGATAAATACTTGTTCGATTGTGTTTAGGGATAATCCAAAACTATTTATTACCAACGATTTCATCTGAGTTAGAAGAGATGATGGAATTTGTGCGAAGATCGGGTCATGGAAGCTATAATTCAAAATCCAAGACATTGTTATTTTAATTTTAACTTACTCTATATTTTTAACTGCCTCCAGCGCTTTGAATAACAATGGGAAATCAGATTTGCTAATTTCTGGTAGAATGATTTCTATCTGTTGGCCATGTCGAACTCCGCGAGTTGCAGAAGGAACATAAAACTTACAAATCTGTTCCAAAGTATCACTCATCTTCTCTTTATCTCCGTTAACATCTAGCACAACAGTCAATAAATAACCATTTCCATATTTTTGTTTCAAGAATTTAGTAGTTCCAGATGAAACAAGTTTACCATGTGACATAATAAGAATCCAATCACCAAGTCTTTCAGCTTCATCCATATAATGTGTTGTTAATAATATTGTTCGATTTTGTTTTTCTCTTTCTAATAAATCTTGAACATCTTTTCTTGCTCCAGGATCCATTCCAGCTGTTGGTTCATCTAATAAAACAACTTCAGATGATCCAATCAATGCCATACAAACACATAATTTTCGTTTCATTCCTCCTGATAAATTCATTGCCAATTCATTATATTTATCATTCAATTTCACATCTCTCAATAATCTATTCATTTCTTCTTTGAACCTGTTATCCTCTTCTTTTCCTTTTAATCCATTTACGAGCCATAGATGTTCCTCAACTGTTAATTTTTCATAAAGTGGATTATATTGAGGGCACAATCCAACAAACTGGTTTGTATTTTTTTCAATTGAAGTTACATTCTTTCCATTAATCTTCACTTCTCCTAAAAAATATCTATATAACTTTCAAAACCGTATTCCTCATACCATGAGTTGGTTTAATCATTCCTGATAAACTCTGGAATGTTGTTGATTTTCCTGCTCCATTATGGCCCAATAGAACAGAAACTTGTCCTTGTTTTGCTTCGAAGCTCAATCCATCAACAGCTTTTTCTCCAGTACTTGACCAAATTTTCACAAGATTTTTCACACTTATTCCATTTTTTGCCGATATTCTAGCACGATCAATTTCATTCGATCCATCAAGAAGACTATCAAGATTAGCAGATTCCAGTTCACTCATTTTGATAGTATCATCTAATCTGTTGTTTTTCTTGTCGTTTTTGAAAAGATGCGACCGCCAGTTGAAATCAGCGGAGTTTTGATATTTATCCACAAATAAAGCTAAACCAAACATCCAGATAATATCAAAAATCATTAGGAGAATGGTCAGGCCAATTGTGAATTCCCAATTGGAACCATAGAATATTCCCGTAAGAGACAGTGGGCTTTCTGAAGTATTTATAAGTTTGACTGTAATTTTTCAAACAATTACCGGAAATCATATATGATTTGATTATCAGAATAGCTAATTCAAGTGCTCCATTTATATGTATTCCATATAAGAAACAAGTTGAAATATCATCAAGATTTGGAACGAATGAATATGGGATCACCATTGAAATAATCCACGTGAGGAGCATAGCTTTAACTGCATTAGTTCCATTTTTGAAAAATGAAGCAATCATTGCACCATATGTTATTGCACCCAAACCATAGAAGAATAACACGAGGAAGAAAACTGAACCACTGATGTTCTGCAAAATTGAAAAATTCACGAGGAAAAGGTTTTTCAAAACTTACGACAAGTCTGTTATAAATCGGTAAAACGGCGCAAACGAGAAGTGGCAAATATTTCAAGAAGGCAATAAAAATATGGTTTCCATAAAACATTGGGCTCGATAATCCCATAGCGGCCAAAAATGGTTTAACACATTCATTTTCTGTTGCAATGTCACGTGAAACATGTGCAACGTTGATAAAAATGATAAGTCCAAATAAAGTCGGAAAATATGCCAATACCCAAGTTAAGATTCTTAACAATACTGGTTGTTCTGGAAACGCTTCGAAATTTATAACTGATCGTGAATCGCTTGTTTGTTTCACAATAGCAATGAAACTTGATTCAAGATAATGCTGAAGATTTAGATATCCTGAAGATTCATAGATTGGATTTTCTCTTTTTTTTTCTGGAATTTCATAAGATTTCTCCCACTCTTCTCCAAAATGCCATTCTTTTTCCGAATCAACAGTAATATAAATTCGATATTTGAAAACCTTTGAATTGCGATCAACTTCATCAAATACTATTCCAGCACCAAATTCACAATAAGATTTCTTCACACCATCTTTCAACACCGAAAACATAGTTTTCTCATCTTTATATTCAACAATGTTTGACGATGTTGCGCTGAGCGTATTTATCAACAGTTCAACATCTTTCGAGTTCCCCGAGTTCACATAAGCAATTTTAGATCCGCAAAGATTATTTGGACTTTTTTCAAAAATTGTAAATGTAATATTATTCAATGGTTTTGTTTTTACGAGTTCTACATCAAAGCCCTGAAAAACTAGTTTTCAAGGCGAAATATATTCAAAACTCACCATATTACTAATAATATACCAGATGAGACACATCAAAAGTGCCGGAATTACAGTTTCGAACGCTGTCCATTTTTTGTTTCTTCCCATAAGGATGAAATCCTTTTTGATGAGCAGTTTCAATTGCTCAATCATTTTCGATTCCTAATTATTTCATAACCTGAAAATAACTGTTGGTGAAAAGAGCAAAAACTAATAAAATGTATTGGAAAGTTAGATTAACTTTTGAACACAAAAAAACGAAATTGAAAAAAAACATATTTATAATTGATATGTATTATAATTTGACTCGTTAAAAATGTATTATCACATTATTCTTTGACCCCGGGAAGGCGCAAAAATGTTTCTTCTAAAGATGATTGCGAGAGGATGTAGTCGTTCACCTGGAAAGAATCAATTATCAAAGTTCTAGATGTAGTTTTCACTAACATCCAGAGTTTTAGCTAGGTTTTGAACCATCTCAAACTTCTCCGACCATTGATCTTGGGGATTTTTTGGAATCTGCCAGACAAGATTAACAGTTTTGTTGGTTTCTGGAGTTCGAAGAACTGAGTTGGGTATTCGATTTTTGACTTCATGAACGATTTTTTGGCGATCGTCAACGTTGTTCAAAGTCAAAGTCATTGTATAATTATTCCCATACAATGATTTTAATTCTTGACTTGTTCCAATAGCAATTAATTTTCCTCGATTTAATACAGCAATTCTTGAACATAATGCCTCACATTCATCCATTGAATGTGATGTTAACATAAGTGCACTATTCGAATTTTGTCTTGTCCAAATTAATAATTCCCATATTTCTCTTCTTGCTTTTGGATCAATTCCAGCAGTTGGTTCATCTAATATTATCATTTGTGTTGGTGATAAAAGTGCTACTCCAACTGATATTTTTCGTTTTTGTCCTCCACTATAATATCGAATTTGTTTGTTCGAATGTTTTTGCATTCCAACGCAATCTAGGACGAGGTTTGCTTTTTCGCGGTAGTTTTTGAAGCCATGCATTTGTCCGAGAATTTCTAATACTTCTCTGCCAGTTAGGTCTAGAAGCAAGGCATCGAACTGCGGACAATATCCGATAGACTATGAAAAAATTGATTGGACTCTCTCTGCTAGTTATAGAAACTTACAACTCTTTCAGTAACATCTCTTCCACCAATTGTAGCCATTCCACTTGTCGAAAATGCCTGGCCCGTTAGAATATTGAAAGTTGTTGTTTTTCCTGCTCCATTCACTCCTAATAATCCAAAACATTCTTTCTGCTCAATCACAAGATTCAAATTATCTACAGCTGTGAATTTTCCAAATTTTTTGTTGAGGTTCTGAAATTTTTGAAAAATTTGAGAAGCTGTAGAGTTTTAAAAAGTTCTGAACCTACTTTTATCACCAGCGCATAATCATTTGGATTAGCATTGTTTGCTCTGGCATCTTCTCTTCCAACAGCTTCACAAGGTGGAAAATCATGTTGAACTTCAGAAACTTAGCTTGTCCGAGAATTTCTCACCGAGAAAAATTGCGACAAAACTTTCCGAACTGATTTGAATCGCAAAACTATGAACAGAATCGATGAAATTATTCCAAAAGCAATCATTAGAACCGCATTTTGTCCCAAAATTTTCCACGAAAGTAAATCCGCTTTCGATAGAGTTGGTGGAGCAAATGGTGCAATTAACATTGCGTTTGCAAAAGCATACGCAGGCATAATGAAATTGAAAAGCAGTTTGAATGATTTCTCCCAGAACTCGTCTAACTTCTGATTCGCAACAAGTATAGGCATCACGAGATATAGGAAAATGGCAATAACTCCAGAAATTACTATTTGATAAATTATAAGAAGAACATTTGCCTTTGAAGGTGAATCAAATAAGAGAGAAACTGCATAAACAAATGGAACTGATGCAAAGAAAAATATGAACGAAAACATTATCACTCTGAAAAAAGTTCGTAGATTATGGAGCATGTTTTTCTAGATTTTTCGAGAAAAAAGCCTTTGAGGTTTATTCTTAAATATTCCTCGAAACTCACATATCAAAATTGGCTGGAACTAAATCAGACATACTGATAATACCAAAGCATATACCACAAACTGCTGAATACATCAAAAAATCAAAAATGAATGAAACACCATAAAATGTGATTGGCGAAACACCAGTCAAAAATTGTTGATGTGCAAACATTGATACTCTCTCATCCACTAAAAACATAACAAATGATGAAGTAATCATTGCTAAGACCAGAATCATTGTTGGAGTTAGAATTCCTTTAGCAATTTTTTCATACTCGTTAAATTCTGATGGTATATCTGTTGATACTTTTACGATAGTTGACTCGATTATTGGAATTTTAGAATCTACAGAATCCATTAATCTTGCTCGATTTGTCAAAGAAATTAGAGCTGGAGTTACATGATAACTTCGCAAGTTGAATAATGTGACATTTCCATAACTGAATCCAAATCCGGCTGGCGGTAATTCACCCTTCAATTTATTTGTGATATTCAACAAATTATCCGAAAAATCATTGTGGATAAATTTCACAGGCTCACTGTCCAATATTTTTCGAATCTTCTCATTTTGATTGTTTCCATTCCATATCACTCTTGTAGAAGTCAAATCCAATTTCCTCCCAGAAATCACTTTGTTATCAATTCCACTTTTCTTCTTCGAAAGAAGCACAATTAGAAGCACTAAAAATATCGGAACAACAACTTGTCCAATAAGATTTCCCCATTTCCTAAAAGTGTATAATAGCTTCTTCCGGAAAATTGCGATCATTTGAGAGAAAACTTTTGAGAATCCTGATTTTTCTGGGCAATTTGATTGACTTCTGATGAATTTATCGAAGCTCTCTCTGTTTTCATTGGTCTAAAATTAATTAACAGATGAGTGTTGAAATTTTTAAATTCAAGTTCTACCTTTCCCTCTCCTATAGCTTGTTCAACCCGATCTCCAACAGTTATAAAAACTTGTTCCAGAGTATTCAATGATAATCCAAAACTTGTCGTATTCAAAAATCGTAACTTTTGTCGAAGAGTACTTGGCATTTTTGAAAATACAGGATGTTCCAAACTAAAATTCGTAGCATAAATCAATTTTCCAAAAATACTGTTGTTTTATGTAACTCACTCTTTGATTTGAATAGCTTCTAATGCTTTGAATAAAAATGAGAAGGTTGTTTTGTTAGATTCTGGCAAAACTATCTCAATTTGTTGACCATGACGTTCGCCACGTTTAGCTCCAGGAACATAATATTGACAAACTTCCTCTAATATACAACTCATCTTCTCTTTATCCCCGTTAACATCTAGCACAACAGTCAATAAATAACCAGTTCCATATTTTTGTTTCAAGAATTTAGTAGTTCCAGATGAAACAAGTTTACCATGTGACATAATAAGAATCCAATCACCAAGTCTTTCAGCTTCATCCATATAATGTGTTGTTAATAATATTGTTCGATTTTGTTTTTCTCTTTCTAATAAATCTTGAACATCTTTTCTTGCTCCAGGATCCATTCCAGCTGTTGGTTCATCTAATAAAACAACTTCAGATGATCCAATCAATGCCATACAAACACATAATTTTCGTTTCATTCCTCCTGATAAATTTGAAGATAGTTCATTTTTCTTATCACCGAGTTTTACATCTTGTAACAATCTGTTCATTTCTTGGGTAAAATTGTTATCCGCTTGTTTTCCCTTCAATCCATTGACCAACCAAAGATGTTCCTCAACTGTTAGTTTATTATAAAGTGGATTATACTGTGGGCACAATCCAATAAATTCACAAGTAGAACTTCCATTACCAACTACATTTCTGTCATTGATCTTGATTTCACCTTAAAAGAAAGATTTGACAGATTCCCGTACAACAATTGATTTACCATAAGTCGGCTGAATTATTCCTGATAAACTCTGGAACGTTGTTGATTTTCCTGCTCCATTATGGCCCAATAGAACAGAAACTTGTCCTTGTTTCGCTTCAAAACTCAATCCATCAACTGCTCTTTCTCCAGTACTTGACCAAATTTTCACCAAGTTTTTCACAACGATCCCAGATTCCGCGGAACTTCTAGCTCTATCAATCTCATTTGATCCCTCCAAAATATTGATGTCTTGATTGTTTTGTTGTTTTAGGTTCTGACAAAAAATGAAGAGTTGTGTATTTAATGGATTATAATAGTTACCGATTTTTTCCAACATAAAAGTGTTCTCCAATTGAAATCTGTAGATGTTCGCATTTTATCAACCAACATTGCTACACAAAACATCCATAAACAATCGAAAATCATAAGTAAAAGTGCAAATCCAAATGGGAACTCATATTTTAAATCATCAAACATTGTAAAAACAGACAAATTTCGCTCTCGTTTAAGATGTGTCATAATAGCTTCGATGGCCAATTTAAAAGCTCCATGAATATTCAAACCATATAAAATACAAATTGGATAATTATCAATTTCTGGTTTATAAATCATCGGAATAGCGATTGCAATTCCCCAAACTATAAGAATTCCTTTGACTGAATTATTTCCAGTTTTGAAGAATGAAGCAACCATTGCACCAAGAGTTATTGCACCCAAACCGAACAAAAGGAATAAAAGAATCAGAGGGAATATGTCGAGTAACTGAAAAAAAACTAGTTTTATTAAAAGGAGTTAATTTTTCCGTCAAAACTCCATCTGATGAAAATATACCGTAATAATCATTGATAGTGGTATTGCAACTATGAAAATAATAGGAAGATATTTGGCAAACGACACGATTATATGAGTCAAATAAAACATCGGTGTTGACAATCCCATCGCTGATAAATATGGTTTAACTCCTTCATTTTCTGTTGAAATTTCTCGTGTGATATGAACCACGTTGATAAATATGATAAGAGCAAATGTTGAGGGGAATGAATCAATAAAAGTTACCATAAATTCATTTTTGATTGATGGTTCAGGTAATGCTTGCAATTCTATCCCAGGATTCCTGCTTCCATTTGAGGGTTTTGCAATTTCTAGAAAACTTGATTCAATAGCATGTTGAAATGTGAGAAATGCAGAAGAGTAATAAATTGGATTCGGATATAAAGGTTCTTCCCGTTTACCATAAGGATACATCCAATTTTTATCAAAATTCCAATTCTCATCATTCCGATCAGGAATATATAATCGATATTTCAAAATCTTATTGGTGAAATCGATTTCATCAAAAATAACAGCTCCAATAAACGTGTTCACTCTACATCCACTTCCATTTTTGACATCATTTTCCAATGCAAAGATTAAATCATTCTCTTTGCTTCCTTCTACTAATTCTACGTTCACTTTTGAATTTTTGATTCTTTTTCCGAAAGCGGAGATAATTGTTCGAGCATTGCTCAGATTACCATTCTTTGACGAATATCCAAATCTCAAATCTGTTTGACCACACCAATAATTATAATAAATTCCTGAATCATCGAAATCACTTTTTGTTCCATTTATGAAAATTGGATTGAACGATGTGGGTTGTGTTTCGGAGTTAAGTTCATCTCTCATCTGAAAATATATTTTATAAGGAGAGTTTAGCAGATATTAAGTTTTAGTATTCAGAACATTCAAAAGATATCCAAATGGAACTTTTTAGAAAATATTTAGAATCAAGTTTAGGAACTGAAAAGCTTGATGTTCAGACCGAAAATTCGAATTTAATATAGAATATGAATATGACGCCTGAATTTGTTTATCTGATTTTTAACAAAAAAAATGAAATTCTGACTTCACAATTTTTGAGAAAATTTTGAACTCGTGTTCAATCTAAAAGTTGCCCCTCTTAGCTTACCTTAAATAACCCAAACATGATTAGGCCCATAATAATAATTGGAACAAATATCTCGAAAAATGTCCATAATTTATTCCTTCGCATAAGAATGAAATCTTTTCGAATCAGCAATAAAAATTGCCGCATATCTTGCTTGTTATTTTTTCTTCTTCTACTCCGTTTTCTGATAATGATTCGTTAGGTTACAATTCTCATCTAAAATAGTTGTGGTTGTCTGAAAAGAAACTATTGATAAGGTATAAAAAGAATACAACTTTTTTGTTATTGGACAAAAAAAACAACAAATATTATTACATACAAAAATTTATTGGAAACGACGACAAAAAAAGCGAAACGACGGGAAAATGACTAATGTGCCAAAAAAATTGTACATGTTCTGAATTTCGTGAAATGTGGGGTACTTATGTATAAGTTTGACTCCGTTTACTTTTTTAATTTAGAACAAGAAAGATTAGGAAATATTGTGGATTACAAAAAAAGCAAATTTATTGGAAAATAAATAAGCGTGAGTTGACCAAAGTTACGAAACTTAATGAATATTTCATTTTTGACGAATTTCGAATCGTACATGAGAATCTGGCGAGGTCCGATTTGTGGAACCCTATTTTTAACATGTTTGAATCTGCCTTAAATTTGAATTTCGAAATCGAACCTTTTTTCTGAAATTCGGGAACAAAAACTATTTACAAACATGTGTTAACAATATAATCCGAATTTTTCCAATTTCGCAATTCCAGAAATACTGAGGCTGAAAATTGTAGAAACCAAAACTTACGAGAGCCAAAAAAACTTGTTGGATTTTGAGCATAATCATTTTTGAGATTATTTTGATGCTGAAAAACAAAAAATCTTTATCAAAAGCAGTTCTGAACATAAAATAAAAAATCATTTATTTCATAATTACAGCTTTAACATTTTTATTAACACAATATATCACAAGATCAGAAAACAATCTATAGATTTTTTCAAAATAAATCTGGGATTATTCCAAAATCTTTTTGTTAAAGCGCTGAAAATAAAATTTGTATGAGTCATATATTTTTTTGAAAATTTATTTTTTTTTAATTTCACAATCCAAAATTTCAAAAAAAAATAACGGGGATGAACGAATTTCAAAATTAGGATTATGAAAGCATATTTGTAAACAAAACTTAATATTTTCCGTTCAATCAAACAATCCAAAAGCCGATATAGAAACACATGTTTAGTTTTTTTTTCAAAAAAAAATGACGGCTGAAAATTGTGATATGATCTTTTGATTTTTTTTCTGATAAATCTCTTTTCATTTTTCCAGAAAATGTTCTCAAAATCCAGGAAACCCTACCACAAAATAAAACAAAACAAACAAAAGAGCGAAAGTGCAAAATGCGTTCTCTGTTTTTCCAAAAAAAAAAAAAACAAGCAAGGCGTTCGCTGAAGAGAAACAGAGAAATAGAGAAAATAGAAAAAAAAGAGTCTGAAAATGTTATTTCTTTCGACCAACAATCGATTTTTCTTCGACTTTTTTGAGAAAAAATTATCACAAAGACTCGGACGCATTTCGTTTCATTAAACTAATTGCCAAAAAAATTCCGGAAAAAAATAATTGAAAAATGTGAACAAAGAAAGATAAAATTGTGGTCACAGGAAATAAATTGTTTTTTTTTTTTTTTGATTGTCGGAAAAACAATTTGAACCAGAAAAAGGCATTCGCGTTGAAAGGGGCCACATTCGAATGTTCCGATTAAGCCCAAGTTTCTAAAATCTTGTGCTGAATAGTACCACAAAACAATTCATAACGAAATTTCAACACAGTACCATCCCATTCGGATTCATCATTTGCCAAACTTATAGTATCAATTCTCGGGGATTCATATAATTCTGAAACGCATTTTTCTGGGGAACATTTTACATTTCTTACACACGGATTAACTACTAGTCAAAAATTTAAAAGAACTGATATATTGATGATTCAAAAAAATTCTAGTTAATGATTGTTCGATTTTCTGGAAAGTCTTCAAACCATTGCACATTTTTTTTCTACGTTGATAAATAGTTTATGCCACGTCATAGCTCACTTGGAATTTATCGAAGATCATTTTATTCAAACTTTAAAATGTTTCCCAAGATCTTTGAATTTCAAAAATCCGAACAATTCCAGAAAACTTCAAGTTTGAAATACTGAATGAAATCCAAAAAAACCTCCATTCTTTCTTCAAATAGTCGCTTCCAAAACAAAAAAAAGGAAAAAAAATAAAAGTAAAGTAAAACAACGACACTCGACGGCTTGCCTGTTGTTTAATTTTCACAAACTGTTTGAGCGGAGTGTCGTTATTCTATTTTTACAAGATTGCGCGTAGGATTTGGTGTTTGCGGGCAGTCGGTGTTGGCACACACTCTTATTTTTTCGTTCTTTCTCTAGGTTTTGGATAACCTAAAGAACGTCGAAATTTGAGAGAATCCAGACAATTAGAGAAATATTTCGTCCCTGTGAATATTTTCAGCCATTTTTTGATTTTTTTTTGGAAAGCCTGATTGTTCCACAATTTTTACATCAAGATTTACCCGGGTTTCTGAAAATCTAAAAATCCAAATTTTTTCGAAAACTTTTGTATTTGAAATGTAAAAATTATCATTTATTTGAAATTTTGAGAAAACTGAGATAGTATATATTTTGAAGAGACACAAAAGAAATGGTCTTGAAAGGAATCCCTGTCATTCCGAGAAAAAAGGAATAAAAAATGAGTGGAGAAAGAGAGATAACGGAAAAATGAGAGATAGCAGACAACTAGAGAAACTTTAGGTCCCTGTGGTTTTTCGAGAATTACAATTAGAATTTTCGACATTTCAAAACCAAAATTTTGGCAGGAGAATCAAATTTTAAGATTCTATGAATCGCAGGGAATATTTGCATATGAAATTTATATTGGGTTTCAGTTTTTTTGGGAAAAAAGTTCAACTATTTTTAAACTATAAGTTCTATATCAAAATATTTCCCGCTATCTATAGAATCTGATAATCCACGTTTTCGGTCATGATTACAAATTTGAAATGTGGAAACTCCCGATTTTAAATCTCAAAAAACCACAGGGACCTTAAGTTTCTCTAGTTGTCTGCTATCTCTCATTTTTCCGTTATCTCTCTTTCTTCACTCATTTTTTATTCCTTTTTTCTCGGAATGACAGGGATTCCTTTCAAGACCATTTCTTTTGTGTCTCCTCAAAATATATGCTATCTCAGTTTTCTCAAAATTTTAAATTGATGATAATTTTTACATTTCAAATACAAAAGTTTTCGAAATAATTTGGATTTTTAGATTCTCAGAAACTCGGGAAAATCTTGATGTGAAAATTGTGGAACAATCAGGCTTTCCAAAAAAATTTTAAAAAAAAGCTGAAAATATTCACAGGGACGTAATATTTCTCTAATTGTCTGGAGTCTCTCAAATTTCGACGTTCTTTAGTAGATTATTTGAAAAAATGGGTTTTTTTTGGATTTCAGCACTTTAAGCTTGAAATTTTCTGATTAATAATAGATTTTCTGAATACAGATTTCTCGGGAAACATTTTCATACCATTATGATATATTCAAAATTTTTTGAGGTTCCAAAAACTTCGTGTGAGTTATGACGTGGAATATTTGATAGCCACGTCTGAGAATCCGTCTATAATTCGAAAAAGAAAAAATATTTATCAAAGAATGAAAAATTTTTACAAACGGTAAATAAATATTAGAAAGACCCGTAAACACCCAAAAAAAAATGAAAATCCCAAAAATATTATGAAAAAGTAGAGAAAAAAAAATCAAAATTACAAATTTTTTTTAGAAAATTTTTTAGAAAAAAATAGTTCTTACAGTGAATAATAATTTTGTGTTTGTGTGGAGGAATTATTGATTCCAGCCAAACGAAGGAAAGTCTCTTCCAGAGACGATTGTGATAAAATATAGTCTTTTACATTCAATTTTTTCGCCAAAATTTGGACCTGTTCGAATTTTTCCGACCATTGATCGCTGGGATTTTTTGGGATCTGAAAATAGAAAATATGGTTTTTTGGGCAAATATATTGCTAGATCCACAAAACAATTTTCAAAAACTTCAACCAAAAACATCAGAACAAAAAAACTACTTTGCTTGATTTCATATCCCTCAAAAAGCAATCACGAACCTGCCAAACAAGATTCACAGTTTTATTGGTTTCCGGCGTCTTCAATATCGAATTCGGGATTTCTTGTGCAACTTTATTCGTAACAAATTCTCGATCATTCACATCATTCAAAGTCAAAGTCATTGTATAACTATTTCCATATAATGATTTTAATTCTTGACTTGTTCCAATAGCAATTAATTTTCCTCGATTTAATACAGCAATTCTTGAACATAATGCCTCACATTCATCCATTGAATGTGATGTTAACATAAGTGCACTATTCGAATTTTGTCTTGTCCAAATTAATAATTCCCATATTTCTCTTCTTGCTTTTGGATCAATTCCAGCTGTTGGTTCATCTAATATTATCATTTGTGTTGGTGATAAAAGTGCTATTCCAACTGATATTTTTCGTTTTTGTCCTCCACTATAATATCTACACAATTTATCGGCATTTTGTCGCATTCCAACACATTCTAATACGAGTTCTGCTTTTTCTTGATATTTTTTGAATCCATGCATTTGTCCCAAGATTTCTAAAATTTCACGGCCTGTTAGATCGAGTAGAAGAGCATCGAATTGTGGACAATATCCAATAGCCTGCAAAAAAATTATGTTATAATTTTTTGAGTGCCAAAATAATTTTCGAGTTACAATTTGAAAGACCAATATTTTTCAACTGAACTCTGCAATTTCGAAATTTTTTTCGATGTCCACTTCAGAGCATAATTTTTCAAATTTTAAAATTTAGCGTGAATTCCCCCATCCCTCAAATCCACTCACAATCTGCTCTGTCACATCCTTTCCACCAATCATAGCTTCTCCATTTGTTGCAAATGATTGTCCGGTCAAAATATTAAAAGTTGTCGTTTTTCCGGCTCCATTAATTCCCAATAATCCGAAACATTCTTTTTGATCAACCGCCAAATTTAATTGATTTACAGCCGTAAATCGGCCAAATTGTTTGGATAAATCACGAACCAAAAGAGCGTATTCAGATGGATTCGCATTTTTCACTTTTTCTTTTTCAATTTCAACTCCATCACATCTTGGAAGCTCGTCGTACTGAAAAAATAGAAAATCATTTTTATTTCAAAAACCTCAAAAAAGATATATAATTTTTGAAACAGTGAAAAAATAAAGAAAATTTTTTAAAAAATGAATTTGAGATGTGAAATTTGACAGAGCAAAAGTTGTAACAAAAGTATATATTCGATTTTCGCTTCAATGGTATGTAGACTTGAATTCAAAACAAAGGGTCAAAAATTTTAAAAATAAAATTGTTTTACAGTGCGTGAAATATAACTTTTCAGGCCTTACGTCACTTTCCACCCTAAATTCAAAAAATTTCCCCAAAAATCACTCACAATCGGCTCAACATTATTACAATTCGCTTTTCGAATCGATAAAATCTGCGACAATGTTTTTCTGACAACTTTAAACTGCAAAATCACAAACAAAATCGAGGCGGAAATTCCAAAAAGTGCCATGAAAACTGCATTTTTTCCCAAAATATCCCAATCCAACAAATTGATTTGATCTAACAATCCGATCGAATTAATTGTAACAATTGCAGTTCCAAAAGCATAAGAAGGCAAGAAAAATAGGCATAAATTCTGGAAAAATTAAGGTTGAGATCAGTTTTTTCGGGCCAAAATTCAAACCTGTATAAAATCAACCAAACTCTCATCCAAATTTATCAAAAACTTCAAAACCAAAGTGAAAATCATAGCGGCTCCAGAAATAACAACTTGCCAAATAACTAATAAAACATTGGCTTTTGATGGAGATTCGAAAATTGATGAAACTGCATAAATAAAAGGAACACACGAGAAGAAATAAAGGAACCAGAACATTATTACGCTGCAAAAATTATATAAGTTTTAGAAAAACATTTTTTCAGGCAGAAAACAAAAAAAAAACTTACATGGCCAAATGTTGAATCATCCATTGCCAAATCACAAACATCACCAAAAATATCAAACAAATCACCGAAAACACAGCAAAATCGAACAAAAATGATGCTCCATAAAAAGTTCCAGGCGAAATTCCGGTCAAAAATTGTTGATGTCCAAATTTGGACACACGTTCCTCAATCAAAAACATTACAAAACTTGAGGTAACCAGGGCGAAAATTAATATGAGCAATGGTGAAAGCAGAATATTTATAGATGTTGGTGATAGAATTTTCGATGTTTCATTTGAGTACAAAAATATTCCAGTTTCAATTCGTGGTATATCTTCAGATCGAGATCCAGAACCTGTCCAAAGTCTAGCCTTATTATTTAGACTAACTAAAGCTGGAACAATATGATAATCTCGAATATTGAAAAGTGTAACATCTTCATAAAATCCAAATCCAGCGGCTGGCATTTCTCCAATCAAATTTTGAGTGATATTTAGGAGTTGTTGATTTTTCGGATAGTTTTGGATTATAAAACCGGGCGAAGTATTTTCGAGAATTTGTTTCATTTTGAGAGCAAACGGATTTTCAGCTTCACTGTCGTATTTCCAGATTACTCGAGTTGGGAGAAGTTGCTCCAATCCTGAACAAAATCAAAGTTTTTTCTCGGACAAAAAAGTTGTGTGGGAAATGTTAGAAAATTTCAGAAATAAGAAACAATCCTCTTTTTTTGAATTTTTTAAACTGTGAATCTGATTTTTAAAAAAATGTGAAATGCGAAAATTCCTCATTATTTTAGAATTTTCAAAAAATTACATTTTTGTGAAAATTCTGATTGTGAAAATGAATAAATTTTCAGAAAATTTATCCTATTTTTGGTTTACAAAATATTGAAAATCTTTTATAGAACGATTTTTCAAAATTTTAAAGAAAAGATATAAAAAATTTTGAAACAGTAATTTCCATGGAAAAGCTATGGAAAATTAATTTTTCCAACTCCCCCTCAAAATTCTCACCCAAAACACGGCCTCCTTCTTTCGCGGCTCCGGTATAATTCGAAAGCGATGCAACCAATCCCAAAAGCACAATTGGCACTGCAACTTGTCCAATAAAATTGCTCTTGTTTCTCCAAGAATACAGTGCTTTTTTGCGGAAAATCGCCAATATTTGCGGCAAAACCTTTGAAAATCCTTGTCTTTCTGGACCATTTTGTTGACTTTCCATTAATCTCATATAAGAATCTGAACTTTTGGTGCTACTTTGAGTATCATATCCAGGTGGTTTTAATGATACATTTACAGCATTTTCAGCCAAACTTCCAGCTCGACTTGCTTGACTATTTTGTCGACTAATTATAGCTTGCTCAACTTTGTCACCAATTGTAATAAAAACTTGTTCCAAAGTATTCATCTGAAGGCCGAAACTTGACAAGTCCAAATTTGCCAAATTTTGTTTGAGCGAATTTGGCATTTGGGAGAAGATCTCGTTTGTGAATCTACAGAAAGGCAGGATTTCTAAGTATTGATTTTTCTTGAATTGTTAGCTTAGAAACTTTGACTCGTGTCATAGTATTTTTCAGATATGCTCTCTCCAAAAAAACTCACTCTCTTCTCTGAATCGCTTCCAATGCTTTAAACAACGGTTTAAAATGTGTTTTCTGATTCACTGGCAAAATAATCTCAATTTGTTGTCCATGATGTTCTCCAATCGTCGAATTTGGAATATAAAATTGCGAAACTTCTTCCAAAATTTGTGAGATTTGAGATTTTTTGACATCTCTTTGATTTTGATTCAAAACAACAGTCAATAAATAACCAGTTCCATATTTTTGTTTCAAGAATTTAGTAGTTCCAGATGAAACAAGTTTACCATGTGACATAATAAGAATCCAATCACCAAGTCTTTCAGCTTCATCCATATAATGTGTTGTTAGCAAAATTGTTCTGCAAAATTTGAAATGAAGGGGATTGGTGGATTTTTAATTGTAAGTAAACATTTGAAAATTTTAAATTTTTGGCCTAAAACTCTCGAAAATCTCACCGATCTTTCTTTTCTCTTTCTAATAAATCTTGAATATCTTTTCTTGCTCCAGGATCCATTCCAGCTGTTGGTTCATCTAATAAAACAACTTCAGATGATCCAATCAATGCCATACAAACACATAATTTTCGTTTCATTCCTCCTGATAAATTCATAGCGAACTGAAATTCGATTATTTTCGTCTAAAAAACCTTATGTTAGCCTCAAATCCCTACCTCATTCTTTTTCTGCTCCAATTTCACATCATCCAATAATCGCTTCATTTCCATATTGAATTTTTCACCAGTTTCATTTCCTTTTAATCCATTCACCAACCAAAGATGTTCCTCTACTGTTAATCTTTCATAAAGTGGATTGTATTGTGGGCAAAGTCCGATATTTTGACGGTTGATTTCAATTTCTTCGTCGCAGATTAGAATTCGGCCTGGAAATTTGATATTTTTTATTTTAATGGGGGTAGTGGGGTTTTTTAAATCATTTTTGAAATAAAAACTTGAAATTCAAGTCGAGTTTCTGATCTCAGAAAGTGTCCTGACAGCCGTCGGCGAGAAAATCTCGCCAGCTAGCACGCGAGCCGGCAGACGGCCGTCCATTTCTCGCATTTTTCTGGCGAAACCTCGCCAGTTCTCGCTGCTAGCTAGCGTTTGCCTGTTGTTTTCGCAATTCATAGAGCTTATTTTAAAACAATTTATTGAATAAAAAACACATTAATTATCAGAATCCTGTGGGTGTGGAAGTGTGGAGGGTGTTTGTGCTGTTTTCCAGGCTGCGAAGATTTTGCCGATGATTGTAGAATCTGAAATTGTGAATCGTGTTGAAAACTTAGTTTTAAAAATATAGGACATTGGGAAATGGGAAAAAATCGAGTCATTTTTGAAGTGTTTCAAGTTACATATTCAGATATAGCCTATTATCTGCAAAATGAAAAACAGACTGCTGAGGCAGCGTTCATTGTTTAGAAAACACAACGAGCCAAAATTACAAGGTTTTCGTAGAAAGTGAGTCAGTGCTGACAAGCGATTTAGGAGCTTGACTTGACAATGACATGGTAATTACTTGGCAACTACTTATTCCTATCACTATCAATTTTCTAAAAGTAATGATTTTCTAATTTATCAAGTACTAATGGAAAAATACAATCAAATACATTTCTAGATGAATATGATTAACAGACATGAATATAGAATTTTCCATTCGAAGTTTATATAGAATGAGTTCTTTTCTCATGAAATCGATTTGTTCCTACACTAGAGCATGAATTTAAAACTACTGGGACTTAGGAACCAAAGCTTTCATTCAAACCACCTTACCTTACAAATTTTATCAAAAATATTGTTGTGCTGCTCGTCCATCCCGCCATTTCAGTCGAAAACATCGCTTCAAACATCGAGAGCCCTGTAAAATAGGTTTACACCAATTTACTGAATTAAAAATCATCTGCACTCACCAAAAACACATTTTCATGTCACGAAGGTGCCTGGAAATGTGCACCGTCTCCATTCCAACACTTTGCGACGTTGATTGCATGTTTTCTGTGAAAATTCTCGATGAAAAAGGCATAAAACGATTTTAGGCCAAAAAATTCGAAAAAAAATGAAAAAGGAAATAGACGAGCAAATCTGCTCCAGTCGCAATTTTTCTGTCCGCTAGCTAGCTGCTAGCTAGCGCTAGCTGGCGGCGAGGAAGATGCGCTCGCTCCTCCCCTTTTTTGAGAATGCGAGCTGGCGGACAGCCTCTGCTAGCTTTCGACGGCTCGCAACCTCGCGGACGGCTGTCAGGACACTTTCTGAGATTGTTGTTTGTAAATTTCGATTGTTAATTTCAGGTTGAAGTTCAAGTAAAAGCTCCAACGAATTCAATTATTCAATTTTTTCGGAAATTTCTCAGAATTTCAGATAGAACTTCTTTCCCAAAATCCATTCTCTTACCTTGTGTCGGTTTAATAATTCCCGCAATACTAGCAAAAGTCGTCGATTTTCCAGCTCCATTATGTCCCAACAGAATCGAAACTTGTCCTTGTTTCGCTTCAAAACTCAATCCATCAACAGCTCTTTCTCCAGTGCTCGACCAAACTTTCACCAATTTTTTGACTGAAATTCCAGCTTTCGCCGAATTTCTAGCTCCATCAATTTCATTTGATCCTTCTAAAAGTGCATCCGAATCGATGTTTGGTGGTTGAAGAGAAGAAGATTGACCGAGTTGACTCATCTGAATCTTATCAAGGGTTCTGATATTTTTCAATTTTCAAAATCTTTAATTACCTGCTCATTATTTCTTGTATTCTGAAGAGTAATTCCATCACATTCCGTATAATCTCCTTCATTTTTCTTCGAAAACAAGCTCGAAATCGAAAAATCGGCTGAATTTCTCACAAAATCAATGAGCAATGTCAACCCAAACATCCATAAAATATCAAAAATCATGAGCAAAATCGAAAATCCGAGGGAAAAATTGAAACTCGAATCATTGAACATATTAAAAATCGATAAATTTCGTTCCCTTTTCATATAATCCGAAATTGCTTCAATTGCCAATTTGAAAGCTCCGTTGATATTTAAACCATACAAAAAACATTGAGAAATATGTTCAGTTGGTGGTTTGAACATATATGATAATACTAGCATTATTCCCCAACTTATAATTGTTGTTTTAATTGCTGAATTTGTATTTGTGAAAAATGAAGCAATCAAGGCGCCGAATGTCAAAGCACCTAATCCATAGAAAAATATGGCGAAAAACAGGGTGAGTGGGTTGGCAAACTGGAAAAAATTAGACGGTTTTGGAGGATTTTTGAATTTTTCGTTACCTGCATAACAGAAGATAATGGAATTGCGGTGACAAGAAGAATAACAAAGAATTTTCCAAAAGCGACAAGAATATGAGTCAAATAGAACATGAATGATGAAAGGCCCATTGCAGTGAGGAAAGGCTGAAAAATAGGGGATGTTTGGAGGTCCAAATTCTAAGTTATCTAATTTTGGGTCCACTCTGAGATTAATTTAAAATCTTCTCAATTTATAAGTTCAACATTGAAACCAAAACTTGTGACATGTTCAAGGCATTTTCAAATTAGAATTTTTATTTTTTAGCCGAATTTCGAACCTCAAAATCGGTGCTCAAAATTAAACTTTTTGCCCAAAATAAAGATTTAAAAAATTACTATTGAGTTAGGAGAACTTTCAAGTTTTTTTTTCATTGAATTTGAATTCTATGAATTTTTCATTTTTCAAGATGAAAATTGTTTTGAAATGAGATCTAGCTATAGCCCTCCAGCTACTCAAAAGTAGCTGCTCGAGTAGCTCGAGCAGATTATCTGCTTATCTACTCGAGTAGCTAAGCACGCTCATCTGCTCGAGTAGATAATCTGCTCATCTGCTGAGTAGCTAAGCGTACTCATCTGCTCGAGCAGATTATCTGCTTGCCTGCTCGAGCAGTCTACTCGAAATCTGCTCACTTGTTTTTTGAAGATGAATTTGAAATTTTTTTAAATGACTGAAAAGTTGTAAGTGAAGTAGGAGAAGCTTGAATTTCAGCTTTTGGTGTCATTTTAGGCAGAAGCTGACTTTTTAAAGGAAGTATGCATGAAAAATCGATTTTTATGAAATTTGAAATTTAAGGGTATTTTGATATGGGGAACATCGTGGTGAGACCCATTCGGCCCAAAAATCACTTTTAAAGGACCCCATCACTCAAAAATTTTTTTTTTGAAAATGAGGTATTTGGGCACGGGGAACATTTTGGTGAGGTTTACGGTCGGGAACAGAATTTTAAAGGCGCATGACAGGCTATCACACATTTTCCGAGATATTTTTCAAACGATCATAACTTTTTTATTTTTCAGCTTTTTTGAAATTTTCGACAACCATTTTGACGGGCTCGACGTCGGCTAAATTTTTTGTGTTGACACCAACTCCCGTACTTCGCTCCTAAGAGGTGAAAAACACGGTTTTGTCTCTCACATCTCTCAAAAATGTCATTTTTTGATGTAAATTCGAACAAAACCGTGTTTTTCACCTCTTAGGAGCGAAGTACGGGAGTTGGTGTCAACACAAAAAATTTAGCCGACGTCGAGCCCGTCAAAATGGTTGTCGAAATTTCAAAAAAGCTGAAAAAATAAAAAAGTTATGATCGTTTGAAAAAAATATCTCGGAAAATGTGTGATAGCCTGTCATGCGCCTTTAAAATTCTGTTCCCGACCGTAAACCTCACCAAAATGTTCCCCGTGCCCAAATACCTCATTTTCAAAAAATTTTTTGAGTGATGGGGTCCTTTAAAAGTGATTTTTGGGCCGAATGGGTCTCACCACGATGTTCCCCATATCAAAATACCCTTAAATTTCAAATTTCATAAAAATCGATTTTTCATGCATACTTCCTTTAAAAGTCAGCTTCTGCCTAAAATGACACCAAAAGCTGAAATTCAAGCTTCTCCTACTTCACTTACAACTTTTCAGTCATTTAAAAAAATTTCAAATTCATCTTCAAAAAACAAGTGAGCAGATTTCGAGTAGACTGCTCGAGCAGGCAAGCAGATAATCTGCTCGAGCAGATGAGTACGCTTAGCTACTCAGCAGATGAGCAGATTATCTACTCGAGCAGATGAGCGTGCTTAGCTACTCGAGTAGATAAGCAGATAATCTGCTCGAGCTACTCAAGCAGCTACTTTTGAGTAGCTGGAGGGCTATAGATCTAGCCCAGACCGTTTTTATCCCAACTCTCTTACCTTAACACTTCCATTTTCAGCGGCAATCTCTCTCGAAACATGAACAACATTAATATAAGTGACAAACGCAAAAAGCGTGGGAAAAATTGAAATGAATGCGCTAATCGAACTCGATTGATAAACGGGTTCAGGTAAAGCCTGAAATACAATTCCCGATTTATCCGAACTTCCTCCCGAATTTTCCACAAAACTTGTTTCAATCGAATGTTGTAAACTTAAAAATCCGCTCGGCCAATAAGGCGGCGAAACTGGCACATTATAAACATTTGATTCTCCACCATACGGAAATTGCCACATTTCGTCTAATTTCCAATCTTTTCCAGTTCCTTCTGGTAAAAGTAATCTATATTTTAATGATTTTTGGGATATATCTAGATCTTCGAAAACAACGCCTCCGACATATTGATTGATTGAGCAACCGCGAGTTCCGTGTAATAAATCATTTTTCAAAACATTTAAAAGTTCAGGTTCGTCCTGGATTTTGTGAATTGTCATTGACATTCGAGAACTTTGGAATTTCTGGCGAACACTTTCCATTATTTGATCCACTGATTGATTTTGTAATGGGTTTCTTGCGCTGCAAAATTTGGGAAATTTTTAGATTTTTTTAGCCAAAGACTGAGTTTGAGTTTTTGAATTTTTTGATGAAAACTCACCTTGAGAGTCATATTTATTTTTCTGTCATTTCTATAATTCAAAATTCCAAAAATAAAGAATTTTTGAAAAATATTTTTTAAAAAACGTGGAATATTTCTTGCGTCTTGGTCACGTGAAAAAATTAATTTTTTCTAAAACTTTGGCTTTAAAATCGAAATTTTTGAAATATTTCAAAATCCAGCTCAAAAATCCCTTACACATATCCAAAATGAATATCCTGTCGATTACACCAATTTTTATAAATCGGGCTGATTTGAGGAATACTTGCAAATATATCCTCAATTGTTCCATTCAATTGAAATGGTCTGAATGATTTTTCCGGTGTTCGATTCGAAGATGCATTCTGGAAAATTTGAATTTTGGCTGGAATTTTGAGCATTTTTGAAACTGAACATGCCTAAGTTCTGGGACCAAAATTCCAAAATTTAAATGGAATTTTTCCAAATGTTTAGAGTCCAAACATGCTTACATTGTTATGTTTTCAAATTATGAACACTTGGCAATGTTCCAAAGCATTTCGACCTATTTTTAAAAACAGGAAGCTTTTTTTGATAAGATAAGGTTGTTTTTTTGTAGTTTATGCAAATTTTTTTATCTTTCAGCAAAAAATCTTTAATTTTTTTTTATAAAAAAATAAGTTTTTATGAACTTGCTATACACTTTTTATCAATTTTGACCTCCGAAGTTCGGAATTTTTTCATACTCTCTTATGCAAAAAAATGAAATCACCAATTTTTTCCTGATAAAAAATATGAAAAGTCGATGAAAAATTTCTTATCGAAAAGTTTCCCATCAATTTTTTTTACTAAATATTATATTAGTCTAGTTAAGTGCACGGGATCTTCTTATCTTAAAGAATCAGAAATTAGTACAAACTGAACAAATATGTAAACTGAGGAATTGCTTCAATATGAGTTAGATGCAGACATTATTAAGTAATAAAATGGCGCCAAAATTTAGAGTTCTGATTGTGAGTCAGCACCGGAAACTTTGATCAATCGATTTTTTTCTTACGCATTTTTAAAAGCTTTGGTTTCCAAAAATCGCAAAATTTCCACAAGCTACCGAGAATACGTCAGCAGAACATTATACTGACACGTTTATGGAACCCCTTCTGCGATGTCCAAAGTAACAAATATAGCAAAAAATGCGAGAATATATCGTCCAAAGCTCGCCTTATACTCGAAAAACAGAACAGAGAAATAGTGTGTATATTCGAGAGACGCAGACTTTAACCGATATATTTTAGCATTTTTGTTATATTTTTTACTTTGGACACCGCATTCGAGTTTTAATTTTTCAATTTTTTCCCCAAAAAATACTTACCTTCACCACCATATAAACAATGGGAAAAATGAGCAAACACGGTATGATAACCTCGAAAAATGTCCATAATTTATTCCTTCTCAATAATATTAAATCCTTCTGTACCAGCAGCCAAAATTGGCGAAGTATATGCATTTTTTTGTGATTTTTTGGGTGATTTTTGTTTGAGATCAAACTTTTATCTGTAAAATTTTGGAAATTTTGAAAACATTTGGAGATACTTTTTACCCGAATCCTGGGAATTTTGAATCTCGTCCGAATTTTTGCGCTTTGGAAGCTTGATTTTTAGAAAACAGCATATTCTTAGAACTATAGTGTATAGATTATTTTTGAATTTATTATAATTTTGCATCGGAAGCGATGAAAATATGAAATTTTGAACGGAATGATTTTTTTGTGTTTGTATATTTAAATTTATATTATTTTTTTTCGATTCATATTATTAGTTGTTCAATTTATTGATTGCAATATTTTTCTCCTCCCCTTTCAAAAAATTACTCTTGAGCTTATTTTTTTTATCAATTTCATTTTCCCGATAAAAACGTTCAGTTAGCAAGTAAACGTGTATTAAAATTGTAAGTAAACGTGTAAGTACATGTGTATTAAAAATGAGATTTCTATCTAGTTTTTCGCAAAAAAAATTTTTAAATAAAAAAACTCACAATTTTTCTCTGAACACTATCATCGGTTTTTCCAATCTGCAAAAAAATCTTTTTTCCTCCCAAATGATAACGAAAACATTAATGTTCAAATAAAAAAGGCACACAAAGTTCGCCTAACTAACACATGTCTGTGAGGCAAAAAATCAATAAGAATTGCGAAATACTTTGTGGTCAACCAAAAAATATCCAGTTACCCTATTTTCTGCGAAAAACGGACATAGCAACAGGAACAGAAGGATTAGCTATGGGGCGCAGTTGCTTGGCTACATGGGGGAGACTTGTTTGAGTTAGCATAAATCCCTTTTATGGCGTATTAGCGACCGCGCGGGGGATTCTGCAAAAAGCCGAAAAAAAAACTTGACAAAAATTGAACGAAAATACAGTAGTTTTTCAAAGGCGCACACGTATTGATAAGATATCTCGTCACGAACACACTTTTGTTATTTGAATTTTTTTTTCTTATGAATCATTCTTGTTTTGAAGCGAAAAAAACATTTTGGAATGCAGATAAACAAACAAATTTAGTGCAAATAAGGAAATGTTGGTTTGAAAAATAACCGGGGAAATGTTGAAAAAAAAAACAATTTTTCACGTGAAAATCCGAACAACCCAGAAAAATAAGCCATTTTGAGATTTTTGAAAAAATGAAAAGCCTTCTAATTTTTTGTGTTCTTTTAATAATAATCGATTTTGGAGCAAATCTAGATGGTAATCAACTTTTTGAGCTGAAAATGTCAGAATCTAACCTAAAATTAATTTTGCAGTCGCCACTTGCAGTATCAAAATAAAATTTCGAGCCTGTGATGGAAAAAATGAGAATTTGTGCCCAAAAAACTATGAATGTATAAATAATGTGACTTGTTGTCCGATTGGTGAGATGATATCAAAATCTGACTGAAATTTGGATCATTTTGAGACTAAATACATTTGGGTTTATGCTCAAAATGCTCCAAATTTCAAGTAGACTCGGAAAATTTCAAATATTTCCAGCAATCAAAAGATTAGGCAAATATATAACTCGCGCGACATATTTGACAACTCAAAAATGTGACAAACACGTGGCTTTGGACTATATTTCTGGAGGCGAATTTTGTAGTTTGGCTGGATTTGTGGGACATTTGGGAGAATATGATTTTTTCGGACAGCCTGTGATTATTAGTAATCAAAGATGTGCAGCGACTGAGTGAGTGCATAATCTGAAATTGAATTTTGAAAAGAGATATTTGAAATTTGGAGCATTTTGAGTCTAGAATTAGACTCAAAAATTGTAAATTGTTATTTTTTCTGAAATTCTAAAGAGCCTGAGCAAGAAGGTTTGCTTCATCTCAAAAAACTCCAAATTTCATGCCGATTCCAATATTCCAATCCACAAATCTCCTCCCACTTTTTTTGCAGAGATTGCGACAAAGATCATCTAAATCCAGGAGTCTGTGTAAACGAACACGAGAAAAATCGAACATGCTATCATGATCCATCAAGAAAAATTGTGAAATTACCCGAATCTTGGTCGATTCACATTTGGCTATTTTTTGGTGCTCTTTCAACTTTTTTTCGCTTTTTGCACTTTTTTGACGTTTTTGGTCGAGAAAATTTGGTTTAGAAATGAGAAACTCGATTGAAAAATGAAGATCTTTGAATTTTGTTGAAGTACAGTAATCAGACTGCAAATTCTCGTCATTTTGATATCAAACATGATAGGGTTACTGTAGAAACGTTGCAAATATATTATATTTGCAGTTTGGGGTACTGTAGATAATTTTGCAGTTTTTTGTTCTACACTTCTGAAATGTGAAATTGATTTCATTACATTCAAAAACAACCTTCTCAGAGAAACAGGCTGGAGAACCGGCGGAGAAAACGACATGTCGGCGAACTCTCGGACAACCGGCGGAGTGTCTGACCTACACTATTTCGCCGAAACTTTTGTCCGCCGGTTGTCCGAGAGTTCGCCGACATGTCGTTTTCTCCGCCGGTTCTCCAGCTTGTTTCTCTGAGCTTATATTTATTTTTGAAAACAAAAATAATTTCTTCCTGTTTTTCAAAAAAAGGTCAAAATTCTTTGCAATATTGCAAAAAAATAAATTTGAATTTGAACTTTTTATAAATTTCAAATAAAGAAAAAGTGTGAAATCTATATTTACTCTACAGTAACCTAAACTGCAAATCGAGAATATACAGTAACCCAAATTACAAGACAATTCTCTATGGTAACTCAAATTGTTAACTAAAATCCTACAGTAACCGAAACCCAAGCAGTCAGGATTTTCATGACATTTTCTAGTCAATACAGTAATCGAAACTGAAAAATCTACAGTATACTTGGTCTCAAAATAACCGCAAAATTTACAGTTCACCAAAATTTATTACAAAAAAAATCAAATTTTATTTTCCAGATTTTTTGTGAGACGAATGATGTTGATGTTGATGTTGAACTGAGGAATGCCTGTGAGAATGTTTATAACCGCCTGAAAAGAGACAAAATTAATTGTAAGACAAACAATTTTTTTTTAGAAATTTAAGAAAAATATGGATCTCAAATTCGAAACCTATCTGAAATTTGGAGAAAATTGAGTCAAAGCATGCCTGTGTTTAGGCTTAAAATATTCAGAAGCTCACAAAAATCTGAAAACTTTTGAAATTTTTTCAAATAACCTACTTTTTGGATGTGAGTTTGTGGGTTTTTTGGAGCCATCTGAAAAAAAAATTCGGATTGTGTTCAAAAATTGGACAAAAAAAACTGACTTCCAAAAATAGTGTGTACTAAATGTGCTCCAGCTCGGATTGCTGCCCCATATTTATTCCCACGATCTGAAAATTACTTTTTTGTTAAGAATTCTCTAGAAATCGGAGAATTCAAACATGTTAAAATTTGGGACTCAAAATTGTCAGAACTTCAAGAGAAATCTAAAAACTTGAAAAAAATTCGAGTAACTTACTTCTTCGATGTGAACCAGCAATTAGTCCTGAAATAAAAATATTTTTTGTTTCAAGTTTTGCTCTTCTGGGGAATTGAAGGCTTTGAAGGAGAGACTTTCCTAACTAATATTTGAACTGTCAAATTCTTCCACGTCATAACTACAATTTGGACAAGTAAGATCTTTGGAATAATTTTCCAGACATAATTTAGAGGGACCCTTCAGATCATTATTTTTCGATTGAAAATGCATTTACTTTTCGGAAAAAACCAAAAATAAAACAAAAGTTCTGAAAAACTTACGTAAAAGATTTCCAGTATTCGAAACATGATGTTTATGGTGACCATGAGATGCTCCAACTCCTGAATGCTCAATTCCTTCTGCTCCTCCCCTTTTTAATGCAGCCACAACGAAAACAACAAGAGAAACTAGAAAAATAAAAAGTGAAATCGCAAGCCTCGGTTGAATTATAAACATTCTCAACTGATATGAAGCAAAGTTTTTGGGGAAATAAACATTTTTCAAAAGTTTCAGATTTCAGTGAAATTAATACTTGTTATATTTCTGAAAATAGATTGATAAATATCAATTTTGAGCCACAAGGTGACTTTTACGGAACCATTCGGAGTTACTCCAAATTTCCGATTTCTTTAGCTAACCTATTTTAAAGGCAGAAAAAAGGAATTGGACTATCAAAAAATTCGATGGGTAACTTAATTGGTCTCAAAACGACCGCAAGCCCCTTCAAAAATCATAAAATCAGAGTTAGAAAAAGTGTTTATAGTTCCGACAAACATACAAACAATAGATCTATCTCAATCTAAGCAGTTGCCGACATTGGAATAGTGACAGTTCCGGCTGGTTGAACTGATGCAAAAGCAGCTTGAGCATCAGTGGCATCGGCTGGAGCTGGAGCAAAATGAACAACCAATTTGTCCTCTTTTGGTGCACCGGCGGTACGGGTGATGACAATGTCTTTTGAGCCAGATGGATCGACGAATCCGAAGACTGGAGTGATACGGTATTCAGCATTGTTCGACGATTTGATCTAGAAATTTTCAGTTTTTTGGGTTGAAAGTCCGGAATTTCAGCTCAAAAATTCACTGAAAAGTCCCCGAGCCCTCACCAACCTTGAAGATAAGTTTATCGGCTCCAGCATTGACCAACTTGTGAGTGGACGAGCCTCCGGCGGCTGGAACTGTGCATGCTGGTGGATCGGCAGTCAAAGACATGTTTTGTGTTGGATTTGTGTAGGATTTAGAATCTACAATGGATTTCAAGGCCTCTGTGAGCTTCTTTTATAGCATTTCTTATCTGATTTTGAGTGACGTGGCATGGTTGGAAAATTGTGACGTGGAATTGGAACACGTTTGATAAAAAGTGAGAAAAAATAAATGTTTTGACGCATTTCTAGATTTTTATTTTTAACTACAAGGAAGGCTGTTGATTTTTGGAGATGAAATTCAAGAGTGAGTTAAAAAAATGCAAATTCCGCTCAATTGAGAATACATCGAAGCTTTTCCACAAAAACCTTCAGAAATCCTAAATTTTCACTGAAAAAACCAATATCTTCGCTTTTTTCTAATTTTTTCATATTTTCGGGGAGAGAATAATTAAAACAAAATCAACAATGAATTTCGAGATTTTCAGGAAGCATTTGAAACAGAATAACATATAAATATACACACTAAACTCTAAAAAAATGAGGAAAACGAAAAAAAAACTAACTAAATATATGAAGGGGGAGTGAATTATTGTTTCTCTTCGAAAGCTTTAGCAGCCGGGTTGTCTTTTGGTGAGTTCGAGAAATCCGGTTTCAGACGTTTTTCAGCCAATTCTCCGTATGGATTGAAGCCCAAACGTTCCATTTCAGCTTTCATCAACTTCTTGCGAGATTTTGGATCCTGAAAAATGGAAAATTTGTAATTTATTCAGTTTTGAAAAGAGATTTCTCGCAAACGGCTGAAACATCCTTTAACTAAACTATAAAGCTCCAAAATCGATCAACTTTTTTCGAAAGTTTTGATAGATTTTATAGTTCTATAACTCGGATTATTCAGATTATTGCCGATTTCAAAATTCCAACAAGCTCCAACCTTTTCTTGATCGCTCAATGGCTTCAACAATTCGGTGAAAACTCCAGTTCCAATAGTTTTTGATCCTTTTCTAATCGTGAATCGTTGTTGTGGTTCGATGAACATTCTTTGATTCAATTGCAATTCAACTCTGAAAAAATTTCAAATTAAAATTTAGATTTATTTCTCAAAATAAATCCAACTAACTCAGCCGATTCTCCTGGCATAATGAAATCTTTTCCAACAATTTTAACAAGCGCTCCTGAATCCCAAGTCAAAGAGAATACATGTTCACTGAAATAGTTGGCAATTGGTGTTTTTCCACCCTCTTCGCTCTCTTTCAAAACATAAAGTTGAGCTTTAACAGCATCAGTCGCAACGTGTTTATGTCCTTTTGGCAATAAAACACATCCTCTTTTCACATCTTTTGGTCCAAGTCCTCTAAGCAAAACACCTAATTGATCTCCTGGTTCAGCTCGATCAACTGTTTTTCTGAAAGATTCCAATCCAGAAATTGTTGATTCAACTGGTTTTCCGTCTTTAGTAGCTCCAATAACTTCAATCTTATCTCCTCTCTTCAAAACTCCTCGTTCCAATTTTCCAGTGATAACTGTTCCTCTTCCAACTATCGAGTAAACATGCTCTGCGGCAAACATTGCTTCTTCATTAGTTTTTCTTTCTGGCAAAACGAATTTATTGTCCAAGACATCTAAAAGTTGTTTAATGGCTTCAACTCCAATTTCTGGTTGTTTATCTTCCAAGGCGCATAAAGCTGATCCGAAAATAACTGGACAAGTGTCTCCTGGATATCCGAAAGAATTCAAAAGTTCTCTAACATCCATCTCAAGCAATTCACGAGTTTCAACATCAGTCGCTTCATCAGCCTTGTTCATAAAAACAACAATATTATCTGGAGGAACACCGACTTGTTTAGCCAACAATAAATGTTCTTTAGTTTGTGGCATTGGTCCATCATTTGCAGCAACAACAAGAATTGCTCCTTCCATTTGCGCAGCTCCGGTGATCATATTTTTAATATAATCAGCGTGTCCTGGACAATCGATATGAGCATAATGTCTGGTAGCAGTTTCATATTCCAAGTGGAAAGCGTTAATTGTAATTCCTCTAGTTTTTTCTTCTGGTGCATTATCGATATCTTCGTATTTACGATATTTAGCTCCTTTTGTAGCTGAGAGGACTTTTGTGATAGCTGAAGTTAGGGTTGTTTTTCCGTGATCGACGTGCCCAATTGTTCCGACGTTCAAATGTGGTTTATCTCTTTTGAAAACTGCTTTTCCTCCTGGTACTGCGAGATGTCTCGATTGTTGCAAAGCAACTTGTTGCATTTGTCTCTCGCATAATGAAAGAGTTTCTGAAAAATGATGCAATTATTCGAAATACTGCTCGATAAAGACGGATTTTTCAGGAATTCCCAGATTATATCAGGAGATAAAAATCAACCTTGGTTCATGTCTTTCTATGTAGAAAACCACGAGCAATTATTATTTTGGGGTGACTTTTCCCGAATTATCGAATTTTACAAAAACTTTGTCAGAAAAACCTTTTCTAGATTCTGTGAAACAAAATTACTAGTAACCTTTACTTTCAATCTCCCGAAAATCTCCTCATAAAAATAATTAAAAAAACTTACTCAATGAGCCGGGAACATTTCTGCAAAGATAATTGAAAATCTGCATTTTTGCTCGGCAGAGTCCCAAATTCGAAGTTTCCTGCAAAATTTCAACATTTCACACGCAGTTTTCAATGTTTTCAATATTCTCAAACGATTCTACAACCTTGAAAACCCGAAAATCCCAAATTTAAGACCTTCAAAACTTGAAAACCCGCGAGAAAAAAAAAGTAAAAATGAGAGTCTGCATTTTTGAACGGTCAAAACACACAATTTGACGCACAAAGGAACGAAACGAAAATGACCGTACTCCTGTCACGTTTTTCAAAATTTTCGCTTTTGTTTTCTTGTTTTTCTGTTGTTTTGGTGACGAATTGTGAAGTGGATTAGAGATTTTCTTGTTTTTTAATGTGGATATCGAAATTCCCGTCAGTTTCAGCAAGAAAATTTCGAAAAATCATAGTTTTCAGTGAAAAATTTCACCAAAAACATCTGCTAAATTTTTCCCGCCAATTTTTATTTTCCTCTTCGAAAATGTAGATTTCCACGAAATCCCATGGCAATATCAACATTTTATGATAAAATAACGTACAAATATTCTTATCAGAGTTGTGCTATCAGCAAATTAATACAAAGTTTCTTTTTTTTCCACAACTTTTCATTTTCTTTCATCAATTTGTTCGTTTTCTTCTGGGAAAAGGCAATTTTCTTCACCATAAAAACAAATAACATTAAAAATGACTCATAAATTGTATCGATCTATATCCCAGAGAAAACTTATTGATTTTCTGGTTTGAAACTAAATATTTTTGCTTTGTTTATTGTAAATTTGAGTGTTTATAACTTTTGAAACGAAAAAGTGTTGCGTAATTTTTCGAGTTTTTGAGAGAAAAACTAATTTTTTTGCAGAAATGAGCTCGGAGGAGGTTGTTCCACTAATTAATGATTCGCCACAAGATAGGTAAGTTTTTTAATTGATAAAATCTAGAAAAAGTTGTATCCCTCCAAATCTCACTATTTTTCAGTAATCTCTCATATTACACTGACGATGCAGGTGAATCCGAATACATCACCGAATATGGCGATGGTTCACAAGCAGCTCAACGAGCCCACCGACCAACTGGTGCAACAGTAACATGCCGTGTTTGTGATGCTTCAGTTCAATTAGAAGGCCGAAATACACAACATGTTGTAAAATGTCATAATTGTGATGAAGCGACACCAATTCGACCAGCTCCACCTGGAAAAAAATATGTGAGATGTCCCTGCAATTGTTTATTGATTTGTAAAGCATCGTCGACGAGAATTGCGTGTCCCAGGAATAATTGCAGACGGGTTATCACTTTGGGTGAGTTTTGGGGTATTTAAATTTAGTATTTTTTGAATATTTTGAGCCTAAAACCCCATGTTTTCAGATACTGCCGGTCAACGTGATCCAGCTAGTGCAATTCGTGCTCCAACTGGAAGTTGTCGTGTTTCCTGCGCCCACTGTAATGAGATTTTTCTTTTCAACACTTTGACTAACTCTTTGGCAACTTGTCCGCATTGTAGAAAACAGTGAGTATTTTGAGAGGAGAGGGGAATTTGGAAAATTGGCGTAGAAAAATTTCAAGAACTTCAAAATGAGTCGAAAAAGTTTCAGATTTTTACCGAAAAAAAAACCATTTCGCATAAATCCCTTTTTTTGCAGTTCGGCAGTTGGTCCATTTGCTCGCCGTCGATCAATATTATTTTTTGTTCTAGCCGCAGTTTTGGCCATTTTCTCAGTTTTGTTCACACTTTTAACCAAACAATCGGTGAGTTTTTATCTGAAAATTTTTGAAGTTTTCATCAAAAATCACAATTTTCACATGAAACTCTCTTATTTTTGCAGGGCCTCTCACGTGTTTTGATCTATCCAGCCTGGGTTCTTCTGTACTTTGTTACAGTACTCGCCGGATATAAATCGTTTAATTATTGGATGACACCAGCAAGTCATGTTATTGGACCATTGTAAGTTATTTTTGGAGAAAATGTTGTTTTTATTTTTGAGAAGAAAAACTAAAATTCTGACTTATTGAATTTGAGATTTTTTGATAGAAAAAATTAAAAAAAAGATTTCTTACGTTTCAAAATTTTTTCATATTTTCAACAGAATTTCACAAAAATGATTCTTTAGTTACTTACTATTTTTAACATCCGAAAATTCAGCAAAAATGTTGATTTACTTTGAAAATTTTTGAAAGAAAACGGCCCAATTTTTAGGGCTGGAAGCCCTGTAAAAAACTCAAACACAATTCATTTGTTTCCAGAGAAAGCGTCTGAAAAATGCTCCTGGCTCATTTCTACATATCGTCTACTTCTCCTTTTTCATTTTTTTTTCAAAATTTAAATTTTGCACAAAACATTTTTTGTTTCATTCCCAAAAATTTGCACATAATTGTATTTCTAATTTATTCGCCCCCCTTATTTTACTGTGATAGACCTTAAACATACAGACCCAAATTATTTGAATTTTCCGGTTTTTTGTCCCCAGAATTTTGTCTCATAATATAATCTAGAAGAAGCCCGAAAATCGGGCCAAAAACGGCCCAAAAATTGAATTAGACTGGTAAAAATTGGGATTTTTTTAAAACAAAATTTTGAATTTTCCAAGTTGTCCTCCTCCCTTTAAAGTATTCATGTGTCTTATTTGATTACAGTAACATCCCTACGAAATCCGATAAATTATCGATTTTTTCATTGTTTTTTTCATGTCTTTGCCGGTTTTTTACCTGGAAAATTATTGATTTTCGTTGGAATTTTTCTCTAGAAAATTCCAGTTGTTTTAGGATTTATGAGCAGAAATTTGGAGGCTCTGAAACTCTACAGGAATTTGCTGAAATACTCCAAGAATCTGCAATTTTCAGACGCGTTTTTTGTGAGACGCAGAATTCGAGAGGAATTTGAGAAGAATTTGGAAGCTACTGAAAAAAGAGCGGAGATTTTGATCAAGGTAAGATTTTTTGGGCAATGGGGTGATTCGAAAATAAATTGATAAAAAACTATTTTTGACAAAAATTTTGATTCAGCTAAAAAATCTATTTTCTTTCTTATTTTTTTCCAACACAAAAAATGAAAAAAAAATACAATAAAAATCTATCAAGGCAAAAAATGTTACTATTTGAATCACCCCATGAAATTGAGATGGAAAATTAATACTTTTTTCAGTGGGGACAAAGTGTGATTGAAAAGAAGAAGATCATTTGAAAATGGTTTGTGTTTTGGGAATCGAAGGATCTGCGAATAAAATTGGCGTGAGTTTGAACATTAAAACAACGAAAAAAATGAGGAAATTTGAAATTTCTCATAAGAACTGGCCAAATTGTAGAGTTTTTGATAGATTCCGTTGAAAATCTGGGTTTTTCATGGGCTTTTAGGCATTTCTCAAACATTTGATAGTTCGTCCAATTTTCCTAAATCAAACAAGTTTTGTTTGAAATGCAGAAATCCCCATTTTCTTCAGGTTGGCATAATTCGAAATGGCGAAGTTCTTTCAAATCCTCGTTCCACATTTCATGCTCCACCTGGAGAAGGATTTCGTCCAACTGAAACTGCTCAACATCACAAACAACAAATATTGAGATTAGTTCAGGAAGCAATTATTCAAGCAAAAATCACGAATCCGGCAAAAGAAATTGATGGAATTGCATATACAAAAGGACCTGGAATGGGAGCACCATTACAAATTGGAGCTATTGTTGCGAGAACATTGTGTCAGGTATGGGAAAAGCTTTCAATTTCACCAAGTGTTTTGTTTCCAGGCTTGGTCAATTCCTCTAATTCCAGTCAATCATTGTGTTGGTCATATCGAAATGGGCCGCCTGATAACTGGCGCTGATAATCCCGTAGTTTTATATGTCAGTGGCGGAAATACTCAAGTAATCTCATATTCAAATCGAAAATATCGCATTTTTGGTGAAACAATTGATATTGCTGTTGGTAATTGTTTGGATCGATTCGCACGAGTTTTGAAATTGGATAATAATCCGAGTCCTGGATATAACATTGAACAATTGGCCAAAAATGGTGAGCGAGTTTTTGGGCAGCAAAATTCAAAGTTCCGAAAATTTAGCGATACTCAGAAATTATTCCAGAAAAAAATTTGCTACAAAAAACTTCCCGGATTTTTTACGTTTCGAAAAAATATGATATTTTCAACAAATTTTTTCAAAAATGTTATTTTTCCGTTAATTCCAAACCTAAAGATTCAATACTGTTTCACACAAAAAATTCGAAATTTTGTCTATAAAAACATATTCATTTCCCATTCTTCCCCAAAAAATGCTCAAAATCTAAGTGTAGTTTCAGTAGTTGCTTGTGCAATTTCCTTTCTAATAATAGCCGTTGGTTTGTGTGGTGACATTTTTTCAGCTTGAAGTTGAGAAATTCGAGCACGCTGAAAATATATTTCATTTTAAACTTTGCTGAAAATTGTCTGTAAATCACCTCTTTTCTCAATAGTCTCTTATTCTGTCGATAAAACATGTACAAAAGTTTGAGAATTGCGAAAAATCCAACAAATGACAACATTCCATCCGAAATTTGATTCAGATCTTGTGTTTCCAATTTTTTTGATCCTGAAAAAAGTATGAGCTCCAAAAAAAACTTCAAAATCTCACCTTCATTATCATTATTATAGCTATCAGTAACAAATTGCTGATCAACATGATAAAACGGAATCTCTTGAGTGTTATTATTAAAGGGAAATAGTGGAAAATTCAATTTTGCCTCGAGCAAATATTGTGTATCATTGTGTAGCTGGCAAGAATCTGAGTCCTGAAAATTGAGGGAAATAATTGGATTTTGGTGGAAAAATGGATGAAATTGAAACATTTCGTTTAAAATTGACTCGAAATTAATGAAAATTTATCGAATTCAAACCTAAAAATATTGAAAACCTTGTCAAAATTTACAATTTTCCAGAAATCTCCTGAAACTCAAACTCACCATAAAAATCTGGGTTTTTGCATTGCTTTCACATCTAACATGATTCGAATTCCAATCCTTCAAATTTTCCTTTTTCAATTTTTCACTTTCTCCACAATACTTTTTGACATGCGAACCACAACATCCAAATTTGATGACTGTTGTTCGATTTTCCGATCTTTTTAATTGATCATAAGCAACACAACAAATTGGTTTTTGAGTTGTGCATTTTTTGAGAAATAATTTGGACGATTTTTGGTTTTGGTGAATGTAATTAAAAATTTGAGGAGAAGGATAACTTGCTGAAAATAGGGGATTTTAAGCTACGAAAATTGATTTTCGACTAAAAATATTCATTTTTTGTTCAATTTTGGCTGAAATTCCAGGTTTTTCCTGAAAAAAAACTCACCTCCTGCCAATGATTCTTCTTCATACATCAAAATCTCAATATCACCTTGAATACATGTGTTTTGAAATTCTTGAGGAATTTTACATGTTTCTATAAGTCTATCCAAGTATACTGTAAAAAAAAACTACGGTAGATTTTTGGCATCAACAAGTATAACACACAAAGTTCCCCGAAAATTGGGACGAAAAGAAGAGAAATTTGGAAAAAAGATAGATACTTTGTCATGTTTTGTTTCGAATTTTAGAAAAATTAAAAATGGCCGAATTTTTCGTGGTATTTTTCACGGAATCTTTTTTTTGGGAAAAAAATGGGTCACGTTTTAATGAAATTAAAGAAAAATAAAATTTAATTTTCAGGTCAAAAACTGTTTGATCTACCGTATGCGGTAAAAGGAATGGATATTTCTCTTTCCGGAATTTTATCGCAAATCGAAAAAAATGCGCCAAAATTGATTGAAAATGGCGAATTTTCACGAGAGGATTTGTGTTTTTCACTTCAAGAAACCGTTTTTGCAATGTTGATTGAGATTACGGAAAGAGCAATGGCTCACACGGGAAGTCAGGAATTATTGATTGTTGGTGGAGTTGGATGTAATTTGAGATTACAGGTAAGGAATTTTGAATTTTAGGCGGGAAATTCGGAATTTTGGAGAAATTTTGAAACAGATATGGGTAAAATTGTGAATTTTGAATCCTGGAGCGAAAAATTAGATTTAAGACCAACATTTTAATTTTTCATGAATTTTCACCTTGGGAACTTTCCCTGAAAAATACAAATCAAAATATAATTTCAATTTTAATTTTCAGGAAATGGCAGCAGCAATGTGTTCTGAAAGAGGAGCACATCTTTTTGCAACTGATGAACGATTTTGTATTGATAATGGAGCAATGATTGCGAGAGCTGGAGAATTGATGTTAGGTAAGGTGATTTCGAGGGAACTTGAAAATCTGAATTTTTTGCAGCTTCTGGTCTGAAAACTGAAATTTCAAAATCGACTTTCACACAAAGATATCGAACTGATCAAGTCAATGTTATTTGGAGAGATTAGGCTAAGTTTCTCTTTTTTGTTTTGTTTTTGTTGGAAAATGCATAAATTGTTGAGTTTTTTAAATTTCCGCGTGACCCAATTTTTTTTTGATTTTTTTCTGTCAAAAATTTCGAAATTTTGTCAGTTTTAATTTCAAAATTCTTTAAAAATACAATGATTCTCGATTTCAAATCGCAATGTGAAGAGGTTTGTTTTCAGCTGAATTTTGGCTGAAAATCAGTGTTTTTCATAAAAAATCTTCAGGAATTCTCAAATGTAACGCTTATTTTAACAATGATCGGACTAATTCCGATAATTTTCGGAATTCTAACCACAATTTTTATCGGAATGACAATTTGGAAAGTTCGTCAAATGATGTCTGCTTGTGATGGAATAACATCAAGTGCACATTGGTTGTCAAGAACTTCGGTTAGAGTTGGAATTGGAGCATCGGCTAAACAAACACTTTTTGATTATGCTAAATCGAAACCGGAATTGGCTAGATTCATTAATTTAAAATAAATTTTTTGATGGAAAATGAAGATTTTTATGATTTTTTAGAGAATATTTGATGACTTTTGAACGGTTTTACAGCCGAGTTGATTATTTTCTGAATTCACAACGATGCTCCGCGTGATTTTTGATGAATTTTACATAGTTTTGAAACCTTGTCCGAGTATTCTGGAATTGTTCCGATACTCCGGGTTTAAACGTTTATTTTCTAGATGTCGTTGAAACAATACACTGCACAAGGTTATGAAGCATTTCAAGAAACTTTGAAATCGATTGGAGCTGGAAAACGAATTGTCGCGTTGTTTACCGGCTCGAAAAGTTTGATCACTGGACAAAGTTGGTGTCCAGATTGTGTTGTTGGTAAGTGATATTTTGCTGGAATCGACTGTAATTTATTCCTCATGTAATTTTTTTGCAGCTGATCCAATTATCGAAAAAGTGATAAATTCACAAGAAATTCAATCATTGGATGTTCATTTTATTATTGTTTTTGTCGGAAATCGCGAAGTTTGGAAAAGTCCAGATTCGCCATTCAGAACTGATCCAAAATTGAAATTGACTTGTATTCCAACACTTCTTGAAGTCAATCAAAAGGTGAGACAATTTTGGGAAAAACTGTGCCAGGATTGCAGAAAAGGGGCGTGGTTTCACTTCTTTGTTATTCCAGCCCTCGAAAATCCCTATTTTGTAGGCTAAACGTCTCTTGGATTCTCAAGTTGCCAACGCAAATTTGGTCCATGATTTTCTTGCCGACGAGGAATAATTTGAAATTTTCAGCCCAATTTTTTTGGCTGAAAATTTTTTATTTTATTATCTAGGGATCTTTTTTCTTCTGTGATACTTAATTTTTCGTATTTTTGGTGGCGGTTTTTATTTATATAAATTTTTATTTACCTGAAAAAAAGAAAATTTTGGAATTTTAGCCAAATTCAGACTAGAAACTCCAAAATTTTAGATTTTCAGCCGAAATTTGTTTTTTTGGTAAAGATGTTTCATATTTGGAGTTGTTCTATCTATAAAAATGTCCTTTTTTCATTTTTCAAAAAAAAATTTAAATCAAATTTATGCAAATCTTTTTTGACTTATAATTTTTGAAACCAAAAATTTTTGTGATCAAAAAAACTTCCATTTTTTCGCCTGCTTTTTTTTCTCGAAATGTATCAATTTGATTGTTTTGGTGGAGGAAAACTGAAAGTTAGTCTAACTTTCGATTTTTTTTATCCAAAAAATTTCAACCTATAAATTTGTTACAGCCACCTTATTGTTTGCTTTTTCGAGATTTGATAACTTCGCTGCCGCTTGCGATTTTTTGGCTGATAATTCCGATTTATATCAGGATTATACGGAAAAAGGAACCGAAATTGAGAACTCCAAAATGGTTTTGGGCACATTTGGTAGGTTTTTTAAATTTTGAGTTGAAAACTCAATTTTTAAATGTGAAAATATTCGGGGACTAGGATTTCCACCTTGAAAAAACTAGTCCCCCTCATTTTTAATGAATTCGCGGGACAAGTTTCAGCGAATTTTCAGCCGAAAACCTCGAATTTTCAGACATTCCAAGCTCTTCTTATCGTCGAAAATGCCACGTTTGGCGCTCTGGATTTCAACAAATTCGACCATTTTCTACCTTTTCTCCGGTTCGCCAAAGCAATTTCCTATGTAAGTTTTCAAAAATCCACCTTTTTTGATATTTGATAGGATTTTCTCTGCGTCTCTCAATTTTATATGTTATTTTTCGAGATTACAAGAAATGTATCAAATTTCGAAACACAAAATGAAATGTTATCTGGAAAACAAGTGTTTTTTTGAAAAACAACATTTAGGTGCAATTTTTGGGGGGCGGTGTTTGCACAGATTTATTTTTTAATTTAAAGGTGGAGTCCGAGCAAAAATTAAGTTGTGCTCATTTGAAAGAGCATGTTCTAATTAGTACAATCCTCGAAGGATTTTTTCTGGAAGCTTCTCAAACATTGGTTAAAAAATTACAAAGTTCGAAAAAACAGTGAAACACCGTGTAAAATGGCTTGAAAGTCCATATCTCCAACCGTTTGGAGCTGTGTTTCTCTAATGTTAGAGAAGCTCTCAGAAAAAATCCTTCGAGGATTGTACTAATTGCAACATGCTCTTTCAAATTAGCACAACTTATTTTTTGCTCGGACTCCACCTTTAAATTTTTATTTGCAAAAGGGATTTTTTCAAAATAAAAAGGTGTTAAGCTGTTAAATTGAACTTTATATTGGAAAATTTCCAAGTATTTCGAAAAAACCATTTTTTTTTTGACAAAAAATTTGAAAAACTCATAAAAACGGCTGCTCCAAGTGCTTATCAGTGAAAAATTGGCGAATTTCACATATTTTTTATTTGATTAGGCGTTTTTTTGCCGAAAATTTATGAACTTTTTCCCACGCATTTTGAAGCTCATTTTTTGGCTCAAACACTTGTTTTAGCGATGTTTTTTCAAATAAAATTTGGAGTTTTTGTGATTTCCGCTCTAAATTCATAGGTTTGACCAAAAATAATTGAAAAATGAAAAAAAACAGTAAATTCTAGTCAAAATCTTGCAAAATAAGAATTGGGGACTATGTTTCACACCATGCAAATTCTAGTCCTCCGTTCTATTGGTTCAAAAATTTTTCTGAACTTTTCCCACGCTTTTTTTGCAGCTGCTCATTTTTTGGCTGAAAAATATCAGCTATAGCTAGGTAGACCTATAATTTTCTGACTATTTTTAGCAGATCACAATTTAGAGCCCAAGAACTATAATTAAAAAATTATTGTTGAAAATTAGGGGGTTGGGATTAGAGAATTGAGAAAATCCTAGTGCCTCATGAGATTTCAGCGCTCGTTTCGCGCTCTCAAAAACAACCAAAGAATTGGGGGACTAGCTTTTGTATCTTGCAAATCTTAGTCCTCCGAGTTTTCAGTTCAATTTTTGCAGACATCTTGCTGTATCTGGTTTTGTTTGCTCTCGAAACGACTTCATGAAATTCACTCGTCTTTTTGTATTTCGTTTTTGGTGCTTACTATTTTGAAATTGGTTCAGATTTTGATTACGGTATGTTTTTCTGCTTTTTGAAGAAAAAATATAAAAAAATGAAGAAAATTATATAATTGGAAAAATTAATTAAAGAAATTTTGTTTTTTTTTTTTGTTGAAAAAAAGAACTGACATTGATTTTTGATTTAAAAAATTGGACTTTTCTTGCACTTTATTTTTTTCGCGAGGAATGAGATTTTGTAATAATGCTACGTCATAACTTTATTCATTTTAAAATAACTTTTGAATTCTTAGAAGCGTAAGCTTACATTATATTTTTCCAGTTCTTCGAATCGTCATTTGACCTTGGAGATCTAACCGAACTCACACTTCTAATGGCCGAATCAACACTTCTTGCAATTTCAAAACGCCGTGAAACCGAGAAATTCATCCTCGAGAGGCCGAAATCACCAGAAGAAAAAGCTTCATTTATATCGAGAGTATTTTTCTCATGGCTCACTTATTTGATTCGAATTGGTGCAAAAAGACCGCTTGAAAATGAAGATTTGTATCCGTTGAATCGAAAAGGAAATTCAGAATATTTGAAAAAACGTTGGGATGAGGAATGGAAAAATGAAAGAGAAGGTGAGAAGTACGCGGAAAATATCAAAATATTTCTGAAATACTTTTCAGAATGCTCGAAAACCCAAAAAGTTCCGTCAATAGTCTGGCCATTTGTTCGAATTCACAAAAAAGAGATTTTCTGTGCAACAATTGCTCGAGCCCTTGCTGACACTATTCATTATCTCAATCCAATTCTGCTCAAGTTAGTCTAACTCCAAAAACTTTGATTCAAAATTTGTCTGAATTTGTTTCCAGACAATTAATCGATTATGTTTCTTTTCACGATCAACCTTTATCTTTTGGAATCGCAATTGCTTCATTGATGTTTTTATCAGCCACAACAAGAAGTTTGCTGCAAAATTTTCAGGTATTTTTGCAGGGTTTTCAGACAGACGAATGGTTAGGCCCGATTCAAGCCCAAATAGTCTGAAATTTCAGATTGGTTGGATGTGTCGATTATCTCTATATTATCAAATGGTTTTAAATTCTGCCATAATGTCAAAAATCCTGCGACTTAGCCCAACTGCAAGAAATGGTCGAACTGCTGGAGAAATTTTGAATCATTCAGCTGTTGATACCGAAATCATTAGTCAAGCTGTTGTCTATTTGCAAAATATGTGGAGTGTTCCTTTTCAGGTTAGTTATGACGTGGCTATTTTTAAGCCTTGAAGTGTACATTTTCCAAATATTCGAAATCTTCTCCAATGTTTTTTGCAAAGCTACCGTCAAACTACTCAAAAAAACATCGATTTTTTTTCAAAAAAAATTTGAAACGTATGAAATTCAGGTGGCTTTTTCATGGAAAAATATTGGATTTTTATTGTTAAAATAGCTTGTAAAAAGCTATGACGTGACGAAATTTCCAGGTTTTTTTTTGAGTTTCAGAAAACTCTAAATTTAGAATTTGAAAAATGCAAATCCGATTCTGAAGATTCTGAAAGTTAATTTAATTTTCCAATTTAAATCCTAATTTCAACATTTTCAGGTAACCTTAGCAATGATAATGTTATCAATAACATTAGGATGGGCTGCATTGGCTGGAGTTGTTATTATGCTTTTATTTATTCCACTCAATTTTTTCACTTCAAGATTTATCAAAAAATCACAAATTGCTCAGATGAAAGTCAAAGATGAGAGAACCAAATTATCGAATGAGGTTTGAGATTCTTGTTTAAAAAATCCCAGATTTTCTAATTAAAATTTTCCCGCAGATGCTAAACGGAATAAAAGTTGTCAAACTTTACGCTTGGGAAGAATCCTTTGAGACGAAAATCAACGAATTGCGAGCAAAAGAAGTGAAAATGTTGCGAAACGTGTGCATTTTATCGCGAATCGTCGACGTCGCCAACGCGACTTCGCCATTTCTCGTCGCAATTGCCTCATTCACTTGTTACGTATTGTTCGCAAGCGATTCCACGACTTCTCTAACACCAAGTGTCGCATTTGTTGCGCTTACTATTTTTAATCAATTGCGACAACCAATGCGAATGGTCGCTATGTTGATTAATTCATTTGTTCAGGCAAAAGTTTCAAATATTCGATTAAAGGAATTTATGAATGCGGAAGAAATGCGGAAAAATACGCAAGTTGCGTTGGGAAATGCTGTGGTTTTTAAGAATGCGAGTTTGAATTGGAAAGGTGCGCAAGAGCCTGCAGTGATCAAAAATGTGAGTTAGAATAGAGCTACTGAGATTGTCAAAAGCTTCCGTGTGCGTCCCTAATTCAAATATTTTCCAGCTCTCTGCCACAATCAAATCAGGTCAATTAATAGCGATTGTTGGCGGCGTAGGCGGTGGCAAATCAAGTATTTTGTCAGCAATTCTCGATGAAATGTGTTTATTGGAGGGAAAAGTGAAAGTTGGCGGAAGTCTGGCATATGTTCCCCAACATTCGTGGATTTTCAATAAGTCGATTCGAAATAATATTACTTTTGGGGAATTGATGGGAAGTCAAGAGAATTATGAGCAAATTGTCGAGGCTTGTCAATTGAAATCTGATTTTTTGCAATTTCAACAAGGCGATGAGACGATTGTTGGCGAAAATGTGAGTTTTTTCGGGTACTTTAGAAAAACTACAGTACTCCATTGAGGACTACTATAGTTTTTGGCTCAGGATTTTTTTAATCTACCATTTTTGAAACTACAGTACTACTCCAGATTGACCAATTTCCCCAAAAAAGGTTTTAATTCTTCTAAATTCCACGCCGAAACTCACTTCAACAAAAAAAATCTTTTATCATTTTGATATTCTCGGTATCATTTCGGATTCTTTAAGCGGTTTTAGCGGTGTTTCAGCTTTCGGTTGAATATCAATTCTTGTAACATGAGCAATCTCTCTTCTCAATAATCTTCGATTTGATTTCCAAAACATATAACTGATTTTGAGAATTGCGATAACTCCTAGAATCATCAAGATTCCATCGTGATGAAATTGATCTTCTTCATCTTTTTTGATGGATGCTAAAGCTAGAAGAACATTTCATTTTAATTTTTTTTGGAAGAAAATTCAAAACTAACAATTCGCTCTGGTCCGATTTACCATAAATTGCATCAAAAGTCCGCTTTTCTTCGTTAATTTGAAACTAATATTGGTCGATTTCAAAAACTTGATTTCATCATGCAATTTACACTCATTTTCTCTCACATCCCATAATTGTTCATGCAAATCGCTCCCACACAGAATCCGATGTTCCTTTAATTCATTCCTACTTTGACAGTATTCCAAAATAATCGACGGAAAACAACCAAATGAGAATGTCTTTAGCTTTCTATCTTTGGAAAATGTGATGGTTTCGAATGAAATTGCGCAAATTGGATTTTTCCGAGTGCATTGGATTTTCTCGATTTTTTCGTGCGAATTTTCATGCTTTGTTTTGTCATTATTTGAAATTGAAATATGAATATCTCCGGAAATACAAGAATTCGTTTTGTTTACCGATATTTTACAATTTTCCCAGAGCTCATTTAATGCTGAAAAATGACTTGGGTTACTGTGCGCGAGAATTTCGGTCCATGATAATCTCAGCCCTTGGAATTACTGTAATTTTAGCGCTGAAAATTAATTAACTAGGAACTCTCTGAAATTTCTGTGTTCTCTATGCCACTCTAGATTTTTGCGTCTCTGTTGTCTGTGTCTCTTCGTATTTCTGGGTTCTCAAGCTCATTCTAGCTGTCTGACTCTCTCCTGCATCGCAATCTACTCTCTATCTGAATTCTGGGATACTGTACTCACTTTTCTGGGCTGCAATTATTGAAAGAATAGTATATAGAAATATAAGATGTTTTATCATTTTTTGAATTTTAGAAAATGAGAGGCTTACCAAGATCTAAACTCTGATTGTTTTTTTTTCTCGAAAAAGGTCACGCGGAAAACAAATTTATTTTCAAAAAAATTAAATATATTTATACATTAGTTCGAGTGGCATTTTTGATTTGAATTCTCTTTCGGATTTCACGATTTTTCGGGAAGCTGAAGCAATTGGATCCGAGCGCTGGAAATTTCGGATATTTTCAGACGGTTAGAGACAGACGGAGTTAGATTATAAGGGGCAGAGACACAGACAGCAAACCATACCTCGTATACAAAAACCTTTTTCACAGGCACTCCAACAATTTTTACATTCTCCATTTCCTCTTCGATTTGTGTCGGCGACATTTGGTCATCGCTTTCCGTATTTTTCTTCTTTTTTGTCGTTATCGCCTTTCCGGTTTCTTTGGCTGAAAAACATGGGCTTGAGGGCTTTGAGTCTTGTTTCAGGCTCACATCCAACATTAATCAAACTCCGAATAGTATTGCTGAAAACCAAAGGTGGTGTGAAAAACAAGTCGTCGCGTTTCGCCAAATATTTTCGTTGTTCCCATTGATCAAGTAAAAGTCTGAAAGAGAAACATTGAGAGATGGAATTTGTGATTTTTTGTGCCAAAAAAGATATGAAAAAAGTTAGATTCAGGTGGAAAACTAGGCTAACTTACTTGGTTTCGGGAGGACAATGTAGTTTGAACTTTTTGTCGTGATACATTTCGATTTGCTCTCCGCCAACAGTAAATGGAGGCTCTACGTCAGTCTGCAAAACTTTTGAAGATTTTCTCGGGGCAATTTTGGTGCAAACAAAATACAGTAATCTTTGTCTCCTTATTTATTCCATTTTTCACCCGATACTCACCATATCACCCTCAGTTGGTTCAATATATTCCATCCATTTTGTCTGTTGTCCTCCCTCAACCAAAAACACATTTTCCTCCGGCATTTTCACAACATCCTCAATTCTTGGCACATCATCATATCGATCCTCTTCAGCAATACTTTGAGCCCCAAAAAATGCTCCAAAATTTCCATCAACACAATCTTTTTCCTCCGATGGTTCATCAGTTGAATGTGAATTCACAATAGCTTTTTGATTATTAGTTGAGGCTGATGTTGTGCTTTGAACTTGGCTTGGTTTCTTGTTTCCACCCGGCGATGTTGATTTCTTATTATTACTTGGAAGTTTGGTGGTTTTTTTATTGACCATATCGAGTGTCAATAAATCGGTATTTGATAATTTTCGACGAGTTGGTGGATTATTTGCGTTCGGTTTTGTTTTGTTGAATTTTGCTATGAATGTTTTCACGGCATTTTCATCGACATCTGCATCTCTTTTTATATGAACCACTTGTTTTGGGTTTAGTTTTTCATCGGAGAGACTCGAGTTGTTTTGAGCAGTTCGTATGGTGCTTGGAACACTGTGTGCGCGAGCTGTTTTTCGATTTGTCTGGAATTTTTGAATATAGAGGAATAAGTTAAAGAATTTAGAGAATTTGAAGTTAGAGTTTCAAATTATACAGAACAATAAGTGAACTGTATCTCCAATCTCAAAATCCTCAAAATTCACAGAATTTTGGCTGAAAATGCTTCACTTTCAGCCAAATTTTCAGTCAAACTTTTCAATTTTCTCACCGGTTTTTGTGATCCTTTTTTTCTTCTCGCCGATTGTTGACTAATGGCTTGTGTTTTATTCGTTTTACGTCTTGAACTTTTCACATTTTTCGATAATTTTTCGTTTTTTCTTTGTGCATTATTCTGGAAATTTTTTCACTTTCATTTTTTTCTGAAATTTTCTCGAACTCACCATTTTTCAATTTTCACTCTGTAAAAAATGAGGCACTTTCGGAATTTCGTTTTTTTTTGTTTGAAAAAAATAAATATGTGGATTTGATGATGTGGAAAATAAAAAAAAGGTCACGTAATATTTTGAATTTCACGTGAAAATTGCATTTCTAATTTTTGAAAGATGAGTTTTGAGAATCTAATTTTTTCCAGGGTCTAACTCTCTCCGGTGGTCAAAAAGCCCGAATCTCGCTGGCCCGAGCCGTTTTCCAAGACAAAGAAATCTATCTATTAGATGATCCACTATCAGCTGTCGATATCCATGTCGGTCGAAAATTATTCGAAAAAGTTATCGGGCCGAATGGCCTTTTGGGCCGAAAAAACACAACTCGAATTCTGGTAACACATAATCTACAGTACACTAAACACGTGGATTTGATCTACGTGGTTGAGGATGGAAAAATTGTGGAAAGTGGGAAATTTGAGGATTTGGCATATTTACCGAATGGCGCGTTTGGAAAATTGTGGGCCGAAGCGGATAATTCGAGTTTGGAAGATGAAGAGGAGCCTGAAGAGCTTGAAGAGCCGGGAATCAGACCCGAAGCGAAGCCTGAAATCAGAAATGAATCTAAAATTCACATCGAAAAAAACGCAGAAATTGTGAAAAATACAGAGAAAGTTGAGCTGGGAAGAGTGAAGAAATCAGTTTATCTAACTTATTTTCGAATTATGGGATGGTTTCCGGCTTGTGGATTTTTGGCATTTTTTATTGCTCATTTTTTAGTTATGGTGAGTTTTTGGGGCTTAAATATGGTTTTCTCAAATCTTCAAGCCAAAGTCTAGATTTATTATTGCAGATTGGTCGTTCATTATGGTTATCCGATTGGTCAAACGAGAATTCGCGAATTCAAAAATCCCAACAAAATTTATCGATTTTTGCCGAAAATCCACCTTTGTCTGTTGAAACTCGACTCATTGTTTATGCAAGTTTCGGAGGATTTGAAAGTGAGTTTGAAAATGGAGGGACTAGATTTTGCTTTGTGAAAACCTAGTCCTCCAGTTGTTATGTTTCAAAGGGGATTTCTTAATTTCCAGTCCTTCTGCTGATTTTCACGTTCACATGCCTTACAATCGGAAGTCTTCGCGCATCTTACGGTCTTCATGCTCCACTTATTCATTCATTATTACGTGCACCAATCACATTTTTCGATTTGACACCAATTGGTCGAATAATCAATCGATTATCAAGAGATTTAGATGTTATTGATCGACTTCAGGATAGTTTAAGAATGATGACACAAAGTATTTTGAATGTGTTTATGATTTTATTCTTGATTTCTTATTCGACACCGATTTTTTTGATTGGTGCTGCGCCTTTAATTGGAATTTATTATGTGGTTATGGTGAGTTTTAGTTATATTGGGAAGATCATGATTATTAAAATCAACCAGTTTCACTCAAATCTTTATTTCAGACTCATTTCATTCCAACATCTCGTCAATTAAAACGTCTCGAATCAGTAAATCGTTCTCCAATATTATCAACAATATCTGAATCAATTCATGGTTCTTCTTCAATTCGAGCATTTAATAAAATCTCAACAACATCTGATCAATTATCAAAACAAATTGATAAATATGCACAATGTCGATATTTGTCATATTTATCAAATCGTTGGTTAGGAACTAGACTGGAGTTAGTTGGAAATACTGTTGTTTTATTTGCATCACTGTCTGCTACACTATCTACTAAATATTTTGGATTGTCACCGGGTTTGGCTGGATTGTCAGTTTCTTATGCATTGACGGTGAGGGTTTAAAGAACTTTGAAGATTTTTGAACAAAAAATTTGAATTTCGCAGTTTGAGAAGAAATCTGATGGTTTTGTCTCAATTAAAATTTCGAAAAAATTATCTCAAAATGAAATTACTTTTTTTGGAAAAATTCCGTGAATTAAAAATAATCACACAGCTTAAGGGCGTCCGGTCCGCGGCGGACCTGTGACAGACCCGTAAAACACTCGTGGGCAAAACACCTGTGACAGGTCTGAGACGTGTCGATTTTGACCTGTAGCCCCACCTGTGAATGACCCGTAAAAGACCTTTTTTCTACTTTTCGGTTGACCAACTACAATTTTTTGAACAATGTTATAATCAATAAAAATTTATTTAAAAATCAAACAAAAAATAAGAAAAACTTATTTTTCATGGTCTTTCCGATGCATCTCTTTGATTTGCGGGGAAGTTGGGTGCGGTGGCAGTTGGAGTAGGTTTTGTCATTTAATAGTAAAGGCGATATGGTGTAATTCCTTGAATCCACAATTCTTGGTGACACCAATCTGTCGCTCATTTCGTCGTGAGAGAAGACTGTGTCAGCTGGAAGTTGCTTCTCGATGTGCTCACAAGAAAAGTCCATCTTTTGGGCAAACTCTGTTGATTTGAATTCCGACTAAATCAGTCTTCTTTTGACGGTGGTTGAGGAACTCCATCTGAAAATAAAGAACCATTAGAATCCGACTTTCTTATTTAAGTTATCAAACCTGCGTGTGATCAGTGACATGGATAAACTATGCTTCTGAGCTTGTTGATGTCGGATTCGATGAGTTTCTTTCCATCTTGTTCTTGCCATTATAACACAGTTGGTGATATCCTTGTTTTTGAGGCAGTCTATAAATTTATATTACGATTACGTACATTAGTAAATTATAAGTTGTGACGAATTCAAGAATCAAGAAACGACATGTCATTAAAATTTTCAACTCTAACAGGGAACTTTCGAGAATAATTCATTAAAATAAGCTAGAATTGAGTGAAACTGCGAAATATATTCGTTCTACTATTTGAAAATTGAAAAATCAACGAAAATGAAAAATTATATTTCCAGGTCTAAATTCGTGTTTTATGAATAAATTTTCAAGTTCTAAAGAAATTTGCTGCTTGATCCTAGGTAGGCAACATGGTTTATACATGTTTCACAGCTTCAAACACTTAATTTCTCGATAAAACGTGGAAAACACAAAAAAAAAACGAAAAAAAAGAAAAAAAATCAGCGGTGTGCATTTCGTCCGAGAGAAGTTCACACACATATCGCTGCAGGACCTTTTCATTTAATTGTATGCGCCTTTAATTTTTTACCTTTTAAAACCATTTTGGTGGAAAATGGTTAACACCATTCGACGCAGAATTTCGAGCTGAACACAATGATTATAAATTCATCTTATGTTTTGACCGATTTTCAATTTTTAGGTTTTTGGTGAATTTTATTTTATTTTTTTGAATTTCACTCAGCCACATCATACAGAGTTTGCGACGCCGCTGAACATTTCTGATCAAAACGTCGACATCCTAAATAATGAGCCGGAAATCGGGAATTTTCGAAAGATAAATATTTTTGGAAGCCAACTTATCCTAGAAAAACTGCTTAGCAGCTCTGAGAATCGGTCAGCAAAAGTGGAAACGGGTTCTTTCTCAGAGTTGAAAACTATCAAACGATTAATCTCTCATTGAAAATGTCTCAGTGAACACACTCTTCCTTACTCAGAAAGTGTCCTGACAGCCGTCGGCGAGAAAATCTCGCCAGCTAGCACGCGAGCCGGCAGACGGCCGTCCATTTCTCGCATTTTTCTGGCGAAACCTCGCCAGTTCTCGCTGCTAGCTAGCGTTTGCCTGTTGTTTTCGCAATTCATAGAGCTTATTTTAAAACAATTTATTGAATAAAAAACACATTAATTATCAGAATCCTGTGGGTGTGGAAGTGTGGAGGGTGTTTGTGCTGTTTTCCAGGCTGCGAAGATTTTGCCGATGATTGTAGAATCTGAAATTGTGAATCGTGTTGAAAACTTAGTTTTAAAAATATAGGACATTGGGAAATGGGAAAAAATCGAGTCATTTTTGAAGTGTTTCAAGTTACATATTCAGATATAGCCTATTATCTGCAAAATGAAAAACAGACTGCTGAGGCAGCGTTCATTGTTTAGAAAACACAACGAGCCAAAATTACAAGGTTTTCGTAGAAAGTGAGTCAGTGCTGACAAGCGATTTAGGAGCTTGACTTGACAATGACATGGTAATTACTTGGCAACTACTTATTCCTATCACTATCAATTTTCTAAAAGTAATGATTTTCTAATTTATCAAGTACTAATGGAAAAATACAATCAAATACATTTCTAGATGAATATGATTAACAGACATGAATATAGAATTTTCCATTCGAAGTTTATATAGAATGAGTTCTTTTCTCATGAAATCGATTTGTTCCTACACTAGAGCATGAATTTAAAACTACTGGGACTTAGGAACCAAAGCTTTCATTCAAACCACCTTACCTTACAAATTTTATCAAAAATATTGTTGTGCTGCTCGTCCATCCCGCCATTTCAGTCGAAAACATCGCTTCAAACATCGAGAGCCCTGTAAAATAGGTTTACACCAATTTACTGAATTAAAAATCATCTGCACTCACCAAAAACACATTTTCATGTCACGAAGGTGCCTGGAAATGTGCACCGTCTCCATTCCAACACTTTGCGACGTTGATTGCATGTTTTCTGTGAAAATTCTCGATGAAAAAGGCATAAAACGATTTTAGGCCAAAAAATTCGAAAAAAAATGAAAAAGGAAATAGACGAGCAAATCTGCTCCAGTCGCAATTTTTCTGTCCGCTAGCTAGCTGCTAGCTAGCGCTAGCTGGCGGCGAGGAAGATGCGCTCGCTCCTCCCCTTTTTTGAGAATGCGAGCTGGCGGACAGCCTCTGCTAGCTTTCGACGGCTCGCAACCTCGCGGACGGCTGTCAGGACACTTTCTGAGTTGTCGCACTGGTCCACTATTCTTTTGATTTTTTCATTTTTTCAGTTATTGGTCAAAAATGAATCAACTTTCCTACGGGTCATTCACAGGTCATTCACGGGTCATTTCACAATTTATTCTCTCAACTTGAAAAACTACCCACAAAAGACCTGTAGAAGACTTTTCAAAATACTTGTAGAAGACCCGTGTACAAGGAAAAAACACAAAGCATCTGTAAACGACCTGTGAACCACCTGTGAAAGACCCACGGAAGACTCATAAAACACCTTTAAATCTTGTCGGTCGGTTACAGGTCTTTCGCGGATCGGACGCCCTTAAGCTGTGCAAGTGCAGTTTATTAAATAAAATTTTGAGCTATAGTAGTCCGAAATTCTCTATATTTATTTCGAGTTACAGTAACCCAACACAATATCAAATTTGTTTATTAGAAATTCCAGTGCCTTCCCAAAAATACGTTTCAATCATTTTTGAAATGGATTTTGTTTTGAACATATTATTAGAATTGTTTTAAATCCAGATTTTCATCAGGCGATGTACATTTTTAGAAGAAAATCACACAACTTGAAAAAAAATTCTGAATTGCTGTTTAAAAATGTTAATTGTAAAGCTTAAAATAGAAACGTTGAGAGAAACTTAGAAATTTATTCATAACAGCCTATGCCGGAAAATGTAAGCCTAGAAGACTGATCCCCTTTTTTCCAGATCACCGAAGTGTTAAACATCTGTGTCAGAACTGCTTCCGATCTCGAATCAAATGTTGTTTCTGTCGAAAGAATCGACGAATATCAAAAAATTGAACCAGAAGCCCCGTGGAAATCGGAAAATTCAGATTCGTTGAAAAATTGGCCTGAAACCGGCGCAATTTCCTTCAAAAATTATTCGATGAAATATAGGCCAACTCTGCCAAAAGTTCTTGATTCAATAAATCTCGATTTTAAAGGAGGCGAAAAGATTGGAATAATCGGAAGAACTGGTTCTGGAAAATCATCGTTGACTATGTCGATTTATCGATTGATTGAAAAATTCGAAGGATCGATTGAAATTGATGGAAAAAATATAGAAAATATTGGACTACACGATCTCCGAAAAAATATAATTATTATCCCACAGGAACCTGTTGTATTCTCAGGGACTCTTAGGTTTAACCTCGATCCTTTTAATGTTTTTTCGGATCAGAAAATTTGGGAATGTTTGGAGATTTGTCAATTGAGCGAATTTGCAACGGCTGATGAATTGAAATTAATGAGATTTATATCAGAAGGAGGAAAGAATATGAGTCAAGGAGAAAGACAACTTGTTTGTTTGGCGAGAGCAATTTTGAGAGGCGCCAAAATTGTGATTTTGGATGAGGCGACAGCGAGTGTTGATAGTTTGACTGATTCTATTGTTCAACAAGCAGTTAGAAATTATTTTCCGGATTCGACAAAGATTTCGATTGCACATAGATTGGATACAATTGCGGATTCGGATCGGTGAGAGAAGATTTTTTGAAACATGTTTTTTGGTATTCTCAAACTTCGCAAAGCTTTCAGTCACCAATTTTTATTCAAGAAAGAACACTCAAAATTCAAGTTTTTAGCTACTGAGTCCAATCCGAAACTCAAAAAAAAAGAAAAAAAAAGTGGAACTTTTTATTCCAAGTTTTAGAACTTGATTTTCATTTGAATTTCTTTTTCTTAAACCAAATTGCGGCTCCCATTTTCGAAATTTCCCCAAAAAACCTCTCAATATTTTTCAGAATCGTCGTTCTGGATCAAGGCCACGTGGCAGAATTCGACACTCCTCAAAATCTTCTCAAAAATCCTGCATCTTTATATTCTCAATTGATCAATGAGAAAAATAGAACATAATATTTTAGTAATTAATTAATTAGTCACTTAGAAAACAACTAATATGAGCAATGCTCAATTTTTCTTCAAATCAGAGAAATTTATGGGTGTTTTTCTAATAATTTTCATTTTTAATAAGTTTTTTTTTGATAATAAAAAAATAAAAAGTTTTGACCTCCAAAAAATTGAAGAAAAAAAGAAACTAGATTGTATTCTTGTCTGCGTCTCTCCTTTCTACAATCTCTCGTCGTTTTTCTCTTTTTGCACGTTTTGCGTCAGTTGGTTTGGGCAAAAGGACCTCTTTGCTACTTTTTCTTGAGGATTTGCATGTTTTGTTCGGATTTTTGTGTGTTTTTTTAGGTTGTCCGGGAGAACTACACGATACTGGGGTTTTTTCTTTTTAAGGATTTCTTGATCTCCTTAAGAATGCTGTGTAATTCTTTTGGAAAATATATTGTAGAACTTTTTTTGTCGGAAAGAAGTACACGGCTCATTTCCACATGCTTTACGGGCTTGTCCTTTTGGCCCTCATATCTGCAGTAATTCCAGCTATTTTCTTGCGTGTAAAACTACAGTAATCCAATCTAATTTTTCTGGAGAAATTACAGTAATCAGCTGATTCTTTGAGCCGAAAGCTACAGTACCTGTAGTTAGTTTTTGATGCAAAAATTCGAATTCCAAATTTTTGGCACTTGATCAAAGCACACTTTGTTTAGTTGTTGTCCAAAAGAACTACAACATTTCTCTTATTTATCTCTACTTCTCTGTACTCTCTCTTCTCTCGCATCTCGATTTTTTGTCAATTTTTTTCGCTGGACATTTCTTCTTTTTCTATTTTTTTATTCTGAAGAAAATCATGTCACAAACTACTTATTTTCCTTATTTTTTATAGTGAAAATTGCTGGAAATTCAGATTTTCGTTGAAAAAAAATTTTGGCACCAAAATTGTGTTTTTTTCCCAGTTTTTTCATAATGTATAGATTACATTCAGAATTTTTCTATGGTTTTTCCTCAATTTTTCCAATTCAATTTTTGATAGAAAAAAATTGTTCTTCATAGAAAGTCTAGTCTTACGAGCAAAACTAGACTTTTTCAAACAGTCCTCCGATATTTTTTTAAATTTTTTGTTTGTTATCTTTTTTTTCAAAATGATCACTGACCATTTTTTAGATTTGGGACATTGATCGAAAAAAACACTAACAGGAAAAATGTATTTGCAGAGATTGCAACCGGCTTTGTTGAGGGTGAGTTTTTGGTGGAAAATGATTTTTCGGAAAAAAATTAAATCTAATTTACGTCAAAAATTTTCTGACGTGAATTTTTCAATTTTTTTTTCATTTCAAAAAATCACCTTCATTTCTCTAGTGTTCGGCTCGCCAATCCTCTTCCGGAACCTACAATCGTCTTCCAATCGACGAAAAATGGGCAGCGATGGCAAAAAAAGCGATGAAAGGCCGTGAAGCCGACACATTAACCTGGAATACACCGGAAGGAATTCCAATCAAACCGCTTTATTTGCGACAAGATCGTGAATGCGATGAAAAACGAAATGTCGAATTACCCGGACAATTTCCATTCACTCGAGGACCTTATCCAACAATGTATACACAAAGACCGTGGACAATTCGACAATATGCTGGATTTTCGACTGTCGAAGAGTCAAATAAATTCTATAAGGAAAATATTAAGGCTGGACAACAAGGTTTATCAGTTGCTTTTGATTTGGCAACACATAGAGGGTGAGAGATGGCTGGAAATTTCATTTTTGGGGGGAGAATCCAACAATTTCCAAAAAAAAATCGAAATAAAAAACTAGAAAAATAGTGTGGGTTTTTGAGAGAGTGTGCATGCGGGGCATTGTCAATGGAGCGAACTTGCATTTTTACTTTTATTTTCCCGGTTTTTTTGAAAACCTAATTAGGTTTTTACGGGCTAAAAACGTGTTTTTTTGCAGTTATGATTCTGACAATCCGAGAGTATTTGGTGATGTTGGAATGGCTGGTGTTGCTGTTGATTCAGTCGAAGATATGCGACAACTTTTCGATGGAATCAATTTGGAGAAAATGTCTGTATCAATGACTATGAATGGAGCTGTTATTCCGGTTTTGGCTATGTATGTTGTAGCGGCGGAGGAATCGGTGAGGAGGATTTAGGGAAATTTTTTAATGAAACGCCGGTATTTTTAGGGAGTTGATCGGAAGCTTCTGTCCGGAACAATTCAAAATGATATTCTCAAAGAATTCATGGTTCGTAACACATACATCTATCCACCAGAACCCTCAATGCGTATTATTGGTGATATTTTCGCGTATACTTCAAAAGAAATGCCGAAATTCAATTCGATTTCAATTTCTGGTTATCATATGCAAGAAGCTGGAGCTGACGCAGTTTTGGAAATGGCATTTACAATTGCTGATGGTATTCAATATTGTCAAACTGGTTTGGATGCTGGATTAACTATTGATCAATTTGCACCAAGATTGTCATTCTTCTGGGGAATTTCAATGAATTTTTATATGGTATGCGATTTTTGGGGGGAAATTGTGAGATTTTGAAAAGCAACAATTTGCAATTTTTCTTGAAAATATGAATTATTCGAAGCTTGAAAATGTTAATTTTGTTCTGCAAAAAATCCACGTGGAAGCTCCAAAAAAATTCTCAGATTTATAAACATGCAGTTTCTGATCTGCTCTACCTGAAAACCCCATTTTTCTTGCAGGAGATCGCAAAAATGCGCGCCGCTCGTCGTCTCTGGGCAAATCTCATCAAAGAACGTTTCCAACCAAAAAGCAGCAAAAGTATGATGCTCCGAACTCATTCTCAAACATCTGGATGGTCCCTAACCGAACAAGATCCCTATAATAATATAATCAGAACCACAGTTGAAGCGATGGCCTCAGTTTTTGGAGGAACACAATCTCTTCACACAAATTCTTTTGATGAAGCCTTAGGTTTACCAACAAAGTTCTCCGCAAGAATTGCAAGAAATACTCAAATTATCATTCAAGAGGAAAGTGGAATTTGTAAAGTTGCTGATCCTTGGGGTGGATCTTATATGATGGAATCTTTGACTGATGAAATCTATGAAAAGGCTTTGGCTGTTATTAAGGAAATTGATGAACTTGGAGGAATGGCAAAAGCTGTTGCAAGTGGAATGACAAAATTGAAGATTGAAGAAGCGGCGGCGAAAAAACAAGCAAGAATTGATGCTGGAAAAGATATTATTGTTGGAGTCAATAAATATCGATTAGATCAAGAACAAAGAGTTGAAGTATTGAAAATTGATAATGCAAAGGTTAGAGAAGAACAAATCAATAAAATTAATCATATTCGAGCAACACGTGATGCTAAAAGAGCACAAAATGCATTGAATGCGTTGACTGAGGCATGCAAGGGACAAGGAAACTTATTGGAACTTGCGATTGAAGCATCGAGAGCTAGATGTACTGTTGGAGAAATTTCTGATGCGATGGAAAGTGTTTTTGCAAGACATGCTGCAGTTAATCGATTGGTTTCTGGAGCCTATAAATCTGAATTCGGAGAAACATCGGAAATCTCGCAAGTTCTTGAAAGAGTAAAGAGTTTCGCAGAAAAAGATGGACGGCAGCCAAGAATTATGGTAGCGAAAATGGGACAAGATGGACATGATCGTGGAGCAAAAGTGATTGCGACTGGATTCGCTGATCTTGGATTTGATGTTGATGTTGGACCATTATTCCAAACACCACTTGAAGCTGCTCAACAAGCGGTTGATGCTGATGTGCATTTGGTTGGAGCAAGTAGTTTGGCTGCTGGACATTTGACGTTGATTCCACAATTGATTCAGGAATTGAAGAAATTGGGAAGACCGTGAGTGAACGGGAGAAATGGCGAGTGATCGGTTTTAAAATCAGGAGTCGAAATTCCAAAAAATTCTAGAACTTCCTTTTTTCTGGAAGTTTTTTAGGATTGAAAAATGAGATTTTGACAATTTGAAAATTCAGTTTTTTTTGATAATTTTCAAGGCATGTTTGAAAATTCGAATTTCGGCGCGAGAAATTTTCATTAGAAATTGTAATGCAGAAAACTTAGAATTTTGGGTCCGGAAATATCTATCGAACTTCAAAATAATCCAATTTCTATTTCCAGTGACATTCTCGTCGTCGCCGGCGGTGTTATTCCACCACAAGATTATCAAGAATTATTCGACGCAGGAGTTGCTTTGGTTTTCGGACCGGGAACCCGTTTGCCAGCCTGTGCCAACAAAATTTTGGACAAATTGGAAGCCAAATTGCCACCAGCTTCTGGAAAAGCGGCTAAAAATTGAGAAATGAAATACAGTGTATAATATAAGTTACCCCTAAAGTATTAACTGGTTTTTTATTGGATTATTTTTTCATGTTGTAATTATTTTGTGCCATTTTTTAACTACCCCAGCAGTTTTTTGAGAATATAAATTTATTTGCACCCCGAAATTCTGAGTCATGAATTCTTAGCGAATCCAAATTTTTTTGGAAACATACATTTATTAGCATAGCATACAAATTATTACAAGTTATTTTTTAATTGAAAGATTTTTGAGAGTTTCCATAAGTTGAGCAGCTGTAACATTTGACGAATCGCGTTTTTGGAAAGCTTTTGAATATTGGAGAAGGTGAGCTCTTGTGTTTGATTCGGATTCATCGTCCGGATCCAAGTTTCTGACAAAAACAAAATGTTTTGATGCACAAAAAATTCTGAATTTTTACTTTTCTCTATTTACAATTTTTTTATTTTTTGTTAGCCAAATTCTTTACAATTAGCGAAAAAAGAACTTACTCGAATTTCTCCTTGATTGCTTCTCCCAATTTGTTCATTAATTGATTTTCACCAAAATCCTTAATTTTCTCATCAATTCCTTCCTTATTTTCCAAACCATCAGTAAATACTTGAATCGCACTTATAAATACATCATTCAAATCTGCATGATTTTTAAGTAAATCCGAAAAAGCAGATGCATTTTTCATTGGCTCGATTCGTCTTTTCACAAAACTTTTTCCATTTCTAATTTCCGAATCCAAATATTCAACAACCAATGTTGCATTTGAATGAATATCTTCTAATTTTGAAATTGCAATCAAATTTGTTGGAGCCAAATTTTTGCCCGCCAATTCTTCATCAATCCATTTATCAACAGTTTCTCGAGCAATAAATTTGTCATATGGGATTTTGGGCAAAATTGTCATGAATGCTTTTTTGTATTCCTCAGCATAATTTTTCAGATCTGGATTTGCTGGGGTAGATGAAGAAGAAGATGGAATCTGAAAATTCAGAAAATTCTTCTGATTTTATTTTGACGAAAAATTTGAATACAAAGAAAGCGTTATGATTTTTTGGAAATTAAATTTTGAAATTTGCAGATTTCAGACTGAAATAATTTTTTTGCAAGTGGATTTGTTTTCAAAAATTTTAAGGTAAAGGTGGCTTGGCCAGTTTTCTGCTAATAGTTTAAGAAATTCAAAAATACCTCATCTCCAGTTGAAATGTCAGAACAATAAGCAACTTTGACAATTCCCTGATTTGAAAGAAATTTCAACATTTTTGGGCTGTTTGTAAGAAAATAGTTCTTGATCGAACTCTCATAGACATCCAAAATATCCCGTGCATCAAAATACGATTGTTTTTCGTTTTGTAAAAATGCAGAATATGCGTTTCTTAAAGTCGGTTTACCCAAGAAATTCGGAGCATAATTCAAAAGTATTTTCATGACTTCTCCTCTCGGAATACCATGCTTCTTTTGCAAACAATACATTTTCTCTGTGGAATATTTCAAAAGTTCTTCATATGCTGAATCGATAATCTCCTCGATTTTCCAAGTTTCAATAAAATATCGATAATTTCTCGAATCGCTGAACACATCTTGATATTTTTCGAAAAAATCGAATACTTTTCTGGTATTCTGTTTGTTGCATTTTTGGAAAAATTGAACTCCATTTACGATTTGTTCGAAAACATCGCAAAATGCGTGTCTCGCAAGAATACAGTATTTTCCATATGGCGAATTTACAGGAACTGGATTTTGTCGAGTCGTATATTCGAATTCGTAAGGGATGATCTGAAAAAATCAATATCTTATAAAAAAATAATGGAAACAGAATTGTTTCAACTCTAACAATAATCAGATCAAAATTTCATAGAAAAATTTTCTCAAAAATTTCGAGTGAAACTTGAAAAATTGCTATTCCCAAAAATGTTCTCTCTCTTACAGGAAAATCATTGATCGATAATTTGACAATTTTCAAGACTTTCTCAACAGTTTCCCATTCAACGACTCGAATAATTCCCAATTTTCGATCCTCTTCATTTTCCGTCAAAAACAATCCTTTTGGGAATGGCTTTTGATATTTCTGTTTCATCACACGATCCAACGCATTTTCCAATTCTTTTGCAATACAAAACTTTTTGTTCGGATCAAGTTTCTCGTCGCAAAAAACTCGGACGAATGGCATTTTTTGATTGAACCAACTCTGGAAAATGGAATTTTTTGAGAAAAAATATTATAAATAATAATAACCTTATCCTCTCCGTGTCCATCCAACAAATCAAAAATTTCAATCAATTTCTGTTTCCAATAAAATTGCGAATTGAACATTTTTCGATATTTCTCCGGATTTTTCATAATTGGAAACTTTTTAACCTCCAATTCGAGTGCTTCTCTGAGTTCTTCTAAGAGTTTCAAGTCGTGATCTTTATCGTATAATTGAGAGAAAATACTGTACAAATCGTCTAAGCTTTTGACTTTAAAATTGATTTTTGGTGGAACAACCTGTAAACATAATGTGTTTATTTTTAAAAAAAAGCTGAAATTCACCTGATTTCCCATTTGCATAGTCATTGTTGCCATAGCTTGGAACATTAAAAAAGGTGTCAATTCAAAAGTTCCCTTAAGTGCTCGATTCAAACTATTTCCAATAGATCGTGCAATAAGATGAGGTTTCCAATGATTTTTATCATTTTTGTTTGGCAAAATATTATCATAAACTGCGAGAAATGTTTCATTTTTCGATAATAATTGTGTTCCTGTTTTATCTTTCATTCCAATAATCATCGCAAGAAAATTCATTGAATCATCAGGAAATCCGAGAAATTCCGAATTATTCGGAAAATGTTGAATAACTTCAAGATTGTGCATCAATTCTTCAGGTGTTCCGTAGATTTCTCCAGCTTGATTAGTTCCATCAAACAATACTTTCAGAATTTGTCGACCTTCGACTCGATTGAAAATGTGATTTTTGTCGATTTTTGCGATCTCATCGCGAAGTTTTTGTGTGATTACTGTTCGAATAATGAATTTATCGACGAGGTTTTGGAAGGTTTCTGGTGTCCAGAATGGGATATGATCTGCTCGATTCATCCTGAAAAATATTCCCTTACTCATTTTGAACTTTTTGAAAATGTTTCCGCTGAAAAAAAAATGTGGAAACCCCAAAAAATGAGCAATAACTTCCGGTCTGTAAACAACAAATTTTACGCGCAATCCGGATACTGTAGGTTTTATGGAACATTTTTGAAAAGGGCAAGGATTAACTGAAATTGAGGACTTTTATATCGAGCAGTATTACAACAGTAGCTTCAAATGATAAAAAAATGTTATTAAATTTTGCGGGTCAGTGAACTTTGATAAAAATGTTTTTGGATGGAAAGAATATTCTTCTAGAAGTTGAGATAAAAAATTCAAATATTTTCACCGCTGTGAGACCACACTCAACAATTGTGTGCGCCTATGATTACGGTATGTAATTTTTTGTTTTCTCTTTTTTTGGGTGTTTTCGTTTCCCACGTTTGTCAGCTATATTTGTGAGCTATTATAATATTGACTAATTTCAGAGCAAAAATTGAAGAAGAAATCACGTTGTCACGCTCATTCCATCATGGTGCGAGATTCCACCAAACCGAAAACCCTTCAAAACTCGGTAAGTTTGTTTAAATTCTTCATCCCGCCACAAAAAGTGATTTATTAGTATTATAAATAACACCAAAGCTTTTGCGCCGACAGTTTTTCACAACACATAAGAAACGAAAACAAAAGAAGTGCATGTTTTCGGGTTTCGGTCACATTTTTCTTCTTTTTTGTCTTTTTTTGCGCTACTACCTACTCAAATCACATCTGGTTTACTCGTATTTTATTTTTCCAATTTCTTTGTCTTTTTAGCAGCAAACAAAAAGCAATTGTCGAGGTGGTAAATTTTGGCGAACACGTGGTGCAAAAAGTATGCATTCTACTAATAATACAAGAAGAAGTCGGAAAATGGCAGCAACTGCAGAGCCTCGACGATTTCTGATAACTAATGAGGATTTTCCGGCATTGCCTGGAACTCAAATTCAAGAAGAAAAGCAGGAAGATTTCGAAGACTATGTTGATTGGGAAATATTGCAAAACACTCCGGAATCTTCGCAAAGACCTGATTCTGTGATTTCATTGGTGAGTTTTTGAGAAAATTTTGGTGATGAGCTTTGAGCCAAAAATTAACTTCATGCTCTTTTAGCAGTTTAAAGGAATTTCGGCTTTTGTGCAGAATGGTCTTGAAGCGATAATTCCAAGTTCAAAACAAAACGGTATTCCGCTTCAAGACCATCTATTCTGAATTCCGATGTTTCTTCATTTTTTTATTTCCATGAAATTTTGAAATACACAGACACATAAAATGATTTTTGCTCGTTGAGTTTTTTTTTGTAAAAAAAAACTTTTTGCTCCTGTTCCTTTTTTTGTTGTAAATCAATAGATTCATTAGAAATCTATTATTTTGTTTCATTAAATAAAACAAAAAGATTTATTTCATTTTCAAAGTTTAGTATTTGAATATTCTATTTAAAAGTGTCTTTTAAGGTTTAATATTATTCCTAAATATAGGCGTAGCTCTAAATTTCCGCATTTTCAGTTAGTTCTTAGTTCCCCTCAGCCTTAGCCCTGAATCTTGGCATCATTCCAATAATCAAATTGTTGTCGAGCTTCATTTCTTTATTTTTGGAACAATGCCAAAACATTTTCTCAAGGACAAATGTCAATTTTTCCACTTTTTCAAAAAATTGTTGTTTTTCCTAAATTTTATCTATTTTTCGGTGATTCATCAAAATTCGCTCATAAAAATTGGGATTTTATATTTTTTATGAGAAACATATTATTCATAGTTTTTCAGAAAAATCTAAAAGTTTCGATATGATTTATTAATTTATAAATATATTTTCACAAAATTTATTTCAGGAAGATTTTCTGCTAACTTTCGACAGTGGATTTTCAACAGAATATTCGCCATCTCAAAAAGACGTAGAAGAAAATTCTGAAATGTCAACAACTCCAAAAAAATCTCACAGCTCAAATCCCAACTCATTTTTGAGACGTGGCGCTCAAAAATCTTTTTCTGAAAATCAGAGAGAAGTTCCAAAAATCCAATTGGAAGATGATGGAAAAATGTCGAATATTTCATCGAGAATGTTGGATGATCAATTTGGAATTGCAGCAATGTTGCCGATTTTGAAAGTGTTTGGAAATGATGAAGCGCCGCCTAAAATTACGGATGAAAGAGCCAAGAAGCGAGCTTATCAGATGGAGAAGTCGGTGGGTTTGAGACGGCTGAAAATTGAATATTGTTTGGCTGAAAACTATTGATTTTTTTTTACAGATTCAAAAATTGAGTTGTGGCGTTGATTTGTGCTCTCTTGGAGTTCCAATTGAAGATATTGAGGCGTTAGTTTTTAGTTTGAAATTTAAAAATTAAATTTTCGGCGCTAATTATTCAAAACTTCAATTTTTCAGTCAATCATATCCATCATTTTCTGGTCCATTTGGTTTTCTTCCACTTCGAGCCACCGAAAAATCAATTCCAGAATTGGAACCACCAGAAGTCTACAAAATGTCGCAAGTTCCGCATATTCGCACATCTTTGAACAAAAATCTTCCTGAAATGTTAGATTTACATGCTATCTTTTTTCTTTTTTACAACTTTCCTGGAGAACTTTGGCAAGTTAATGCGGCAAGAGAATTGTGAGTTTTTTCTTGAAATTTGAATTTTTGAAAATCTGAAATTTCAGACAGGCTCGCGGTTGGAGATATCATATCCCGCAAAAAATTTGGATCCGGCGAAAATTTGAGGAAAATAGATGTGAGTTTCTGGGGAGGAAATTCGAAAAAATATTGATTTGGGATTTTTTAAAACTTGAATTTTCAAATTTTAGCCCGAATATCTAGAAATTTTTTCAGATCAAGAACCAATCTTCGGATTTCAACCGGAGCCCGAAATTCGAGGATTTTTCGAGTATTTTGACAGCGAAACGGATGAGATTGTGAGTTTTTTGCCAAGATTTTTAGGTTTCAAATTTTTGTGAAAGTTTTTTTTCTCGAACGATAACTTCTCGGCTTTCAATAAAAAATTCAATTTTCGAGAAAAAAAAACAATGAATTTTCCAATTGAAACCGTACAGATTTCTGTTCCAGATCATTTGATTTTTCATGAAAATTTGAAAACTTTGAGAAAACTTGTTCAAAATTTTCCAAAGAAAAATTACTTTTTGAGCTTATGACCTTATAAATTTATATTCAAAATAATCCAAAAAATGTACATTTTTCAGGTTTCCCGTGAAATGGACCTAAAATCAGCGGATATCGAAAAAGCGAGTTGGGATGATGGTAAAGAAGATGTACAATACAAAGAAATGTTGAAAATATTGCCGCCTGAAATGATTTGGGGACCGCAAGTCGGAAAACAAACAATGTTCTCGAAATTGAGAAAAGACTTCAATGAAATACCTCAGGTTTTTATGAGCAAAGATTTCAAGGATTCGATGAATCAATTTTTAACTATGGGATGTTTTGACAGAGCAATCAATTCGAGAAGTCCAGAATATCGCGCCGAGGTGAGAAAATCACAGCTTTTTTTGCCTAAATTCCAGATTTTTAGTGTTTTGTGATAATTTTGAATTTAAATTTGAATCTGGAAAATCATTACTCCAAAATTTGCTATAAAAATTGTTCTAAATTTTCTGTAAATCGCTGTTTTCGGATTTTTGAGCACACTTCTTCAAAGTCTAATCGAAACTGTCAATTTTTCCAGATCTACGCAACTATTATGAGCAATTTTCCGAATTCAGTTTTTCCACCAAATCCAAACGCACCCGGTTTGGATCGTTCTCTTCATGAGTCACAAAAATAATTTTTTTCAGTTTTTCACTTTTTATTACCCTTCCTTTTTTTTCAAATTTAAATATATTTGATCTTTTTGTCATCCTAATTACTTAATTAAAATCTAATTTTTCTCACTTTTTCTTCTTTTTTTCTTGTCGAATTCCGATTTTTTCTATTGTTATGACAGTTTTTCTTGTGCGAGTTTGTGAATTAAAAAAAATAATTTTTTTTCTAAATTTTTTATTGTTTTTTTTTTGGTTGAAGATTCCTTCCAGTTTATTTGAGAAAATAGATTTTCAGCATCAAATTTGACTGAAATTTTGAAGTCTGGTCTTTCAGCTCCAAATTTTATTGAAAATCTAAAATTTACGTATTTTTTACGTGTTCAAATGTTGCAAATTTTTTCATTTTCAAGAATTTATATATTTCTAAATTGTGAGCTGAAATGCTGAAATTTTTCAAATTTTATGTGAGTTTTTTCCATTTTGTTTTGGTTTTAATTGAAAAACCTTTGAAAAATGGGTTTTTCAGATTTTTCGGGAAAAATCCCAATTTGTAGCTCAAATTTTTCCTGAAAATTCGAAACTTCCAGTTTACTGTCACGTGGCGATTTCCAAAACAAAAACTTTGATCAAAAGACTTTTCTCTAGACTTTTCTGGTCTAAAAATCATCATTTTTTGTCAACAAAAGTTTTTCATCATTTTTGTTCGAGCCCAATTTTTTCAAATAAAAATCAATGTTTTTCTATTTTTCTATTCTTATATAACTTTTTGTTCGAAAAAAGTTTTGTTAAAAAATAAAATTCAAATCACGCGAGCCAAGTTGTTTTTTGAGCCGAAAATGGGCATTTTCGAGATCTTTTGAAAGTTAGGCTAAATTTTAGCCTAAAAACTTTACAAAAATGTTTTGATTGATCAAAATAACAATTCCCACAAAAACCAGCATGACTCATGACACAAAATTATCGATTTTTTGTTGTTCAGAAGCTTCTGCCAACTTTTTCTAACACTTTTTCAAAAAAATGCTTGGTTGGCGTGATGCCAAAAATTCATCCGAACCGCTTTTTTTCTTTATGACAAAAAAATAAGAGGCGATTCATGTTTGTAACGAAAAAAGCTTCATAAAAGTGCAAGTGTTCGCCACAAAAAATCGTTTTTTTTTTCTTTTCTTTTCTTTTTATTTGCTGCTTTTTGTGTGGTTTCTGACAGATAATTAAAGTGATCAAATTTTGGCACGAAACAATTAGATTTTCAATCTTGGTTTCTCAGAAATTTAGATCGTAGTCTTTCGGAGATATATAATATTCCAATTGATTCATCAGAAAGCGCTTTCAGTTCGTAAATTTGATTATAAATAGTTTCATCCATCTTCTGATAATTTTCAGATCTTTGAATTGGTTCGAATTTTAATTTTTGATTTTCTCAAACTCAGAGATTTATATACTATAGTTTTCCTTCGAAAAGTAAACTTGAAATCATGTGATTCTTCTTCTTTTTTTCCTTTTTATAAATACACCATTTTGTCATTCTCTTCATTCTTTTTCTTCATTGTTACTTACTCACACCAATATAATAAATAGTGTTAACCATGTGACTTTCTTTCCTAATTTTTGTTGTCAATATGTCTTCGAACAAAACTATTGCTCATCCATCGCATCCCATCAAAAATAATGTATATATCATTTTTTATTTCCTCTTTTACGATTAATATGATTCGATTATCAATTCATAATGGTTTTGTTTTTGTCATCGCCAAAAATCACAAGATTTTTTGGCCAATCTTTTTTTTGCACCATTCTCATTGCTCGTTTCTCTCTTGCCCCAGTGATTCATATACATTTTTTCCGATTGGCACCGCCCACAATTTTTTTGCCGTCTACTCGTCATCCGCCGGCTATTTTCATTCATTCCTTTTTCTTTGGTTCATTCGTTGGTGTGCACTATATTTTTGTGAGAAGAATCATAACTACTGTGTTTGATCGAGATGATGCCATTCAAAAAATGGGCTGCGGCCAATAGTTAGTTTTGGATCTAATGTGGGCTTCATTCAGACCTTATTCAAATTGATCAGGTCTACTTCATTGGGCTTTTGTTGTTAGTCTAGATTAGGCATTTTAGTCAGGCTGGTTTCATCAATTTTTGTAGGCTTTCATAAGGTTTTTTTTCTTGGTTACGCCGGATCAGATTTTTAGCAACGAGACTGAGAAAGTCTACTGTATTTTGGTTGTCTCTTCCATAATTCTGAATATCTCAAAACGTCAATTTCTTAGTCATGCTGGTTCAGGTTTCGTATTTATCTATCTTTCTTCTAAATTAGTCCCTCGAAAAGTTTTCGTCGTTCCAATTTTTGATAATTTTCCCATGCCAGACAGAGCACGAGACCTTGAGAAATACAAAACTCGTGGTCTCTTTTTTGAATAGAAATAAAGAAAACGTTTTGTTTTCAAAATTCCGACGACCTTCATAGTTTTTGTATTGAATTTTGGTTGCGAAAGAAGCAGACAGGAATAGGAAATTTTCAACAAACATCTGGACCACTGTGTATCCAATTTTTGTCGAAAAAACATGAGAAAAATATAGCTATTGCCAAGACTGTTTTTCAATAAGAAGAAAACATGTTGGACAGATGTGTAACAATTTTGAGGTTCTTCCGCTTTGAACAATTCTTATCATAGGGACACATTGGAAATTTTGAGACAGTTAAACTTTCCGGAAACTGAAAAAAGCCACTATGAAAGCAATTGAAACTAATAATTATAATTAGCTACCTTATCTACAAGATTAAAGATTTTTTGAAAAAATCTAAAACTATTAGTTTGAAATAATAATGAAATTCCCCACAAAAATGCAAGTTGTTTTCCAGAAATGGACTCGATTTTAACTCGACGAAGTTCGGCTCCAGCAATTCCTGCAATTTCAACTTCATCTCAAGAAGCTTCAAATTTGCCAAATTTGAAAGTTGGAAATTATACGTTGAAAAAAACACTTGGGAATGGTTCTTTTGGAAAAGTTAAATGTAAGTTTGGGTTTGAAAAATATTTTAATAAAAATTTAGAAGTTGCCTAACGTTTGAAATTTTAAGAAATATTTCCACACTTATTAGCTGTAAATGTTGATTTTTTAAATGTAAGATTTTTTTCAAAATGTTCGTTTTTTCATGGGAAAAATTGTCTGAAAAATGTAAATTTCAAATTTTATCATACAATTTTTGAAAAATTTTGAAATTATTCTACCGTATGACATGAAATAAATCTGAAAAAGCAAACATTTATATTTTCAGCTCTCTCAATTTAGCTGTAAATCTGAAAATTTATCTCGAACTTTTTTGCAGTGGCCGTAGATCGAAGCGGATTCGAAGTTGCTATCAAAATAGTGAATCGAAAAAAGATGCGATGCGAAAGTATGGCGACGAAAGCGAAACGAGAAATTCAGAATATGAGCAGCTTGCAACATCCACATATTTGTCGATTGTCAGTTTTCGGGATTTTTGAAAAAAAATTTAATAGGGTTTAGTGTGAAAAACTGATCAAGTTAGAATTTCTCGATCACAAAATCCTTTTTTTTTGTTTTGAAAAACTAAAAGTCTATTTTGATATAAAAAAACTGAATTTCTCCCGATAAAGTTTCAATATTTTTCCTTTCCAGATACGAAGTAATCAGTTCACCATCTGATATATTTTTGGTAATGGAATTGGTGACTGGTGGAGAATTATATAGTTATATTACAAAAAGTGGATGTTTGACAGTTCCCGAATCAAGAAAAATGTTTCAACAATTGATTGCTGGTGTCAAATATTGTCATGATCATATGATTGTTCACAGAGATTTGGTGGGTTTAATGTTTGGCCTAAAATCAATTTTTATTCCATTCTAGAAACCTGAAAACCTCCTTTTGGATGAACAAATGAATATCAAAATTGCTGATTTTGGACTTTCAAATTTAATGAGAGATGGAGATTTTCTCACAACTTCTTGTGGTTCACCCAATTATGCAGCACCTGAATTGATATTGTCCAGGTTTGTCTCCTTTTTTGGGCCTAGAAAATCTCACAAAAACCCTTTTCAGACTCTATGTCGGCCCAGAAGTTGATATTTGGTCATCTGGTGTTATTTTGTATGCAATGCTCTCTGGAACTCTTCCATTTGATGAATCTGATCCACCAACACTTTATCGAAAAATCAAAAAAGGATCGTATTCGATTCCGAGAAATATGGATTCGGCAGCAGCTGATTTGATAAAAACTATGTTGGTTGTGGATACAATGAAAAGAGCAAATATCAAAGAAATTATGTAAGAAGTTTTGAGCAAGAATTAAAAGCAAATAAAACGTGTTTTTTTCCAGCGGTCACAAATTCTTCAAAAAGAACCTTCCAGTCTATTTGTTCCCAGAAGAAGAAAGCGAAACAACAATTATTGATATTGATTCGGTTAATTGTGTGGTTCAGGTGAGATTTTCAGCAGAAAATTCATTATTTTCAGTCATTTTCCTCCTAATTTTCTGTGATTTCCAGACATTTTTGTTTTCAGAAATACGGTGTTCCTGAAGAAGAAGTAACCCAGGCTCTTTTATCTGGTGATCATCATAATCATATTGCAATGGCTTATCATTTGGTTTGTGAACACAAGAGGAAAGATAGTGAAAGTTAGTGAAGTTTTTGGGAGAATTGAACATTTCGCTCCAAAATTAATGAAACTAGCTCATTCTGATTTTTCAGAAACCAAAGAAGCGATCGAAAGTTTCTACAAAAATACTCGAAAATCGATCCAAAATCCAAATTCGCCCAAAAAATCAGTTGCCGCTGAAACCCAATCAATTCCTAAGACAACACAAGAAAAAACTTTCGAAGTTCTACAAAGTCGCCAACGAAAAAGACAATGGCATTTAGGAATTCGATCATCTTCGACACCACAAGAAACTATTTATTTGGTGTTCAAAAAATTGGAGGAAATTGACTTGGAATGGAAAACGTTGGATATATATCATTTGATTGTGCGGAGAAAACCGACTGCTTCGAATTCGGATCCAGTTCGTATAGGTAATTATTTTAGGCTAAATCCATGTAGAATTGAACTTCTGGCATCAAAATTACTATATTGTGATTTTCTTGAGTCCTAGATCCACATGAAAAAATAAGGAAAACAAAGTCCCATTTTTTAGCGTTACGACTTTATGAAACTGGCGAAAAATTGGCATATGTTTTGGATTTCAAATTGTGGCTCAAAGCCGAAGAATATTCGATTGAATCTGGAACAAATACACCTGTCAGATGTAGATCAAGACAATCTTCGATTTCGGTTTTGCCATTGCCTACTACGACACCGACAAAAGGCATTTTGACACCGAAATTGAACACGAAAAAAGTGACGCCTTGTAGGTTTTTTGAGGGAGGAAGTGCCTGGATTTTGAAACATTATTCTCTAGAAAAATTGTTTTTGACTCACAAAGCTGTAATTTTTGTCTGAAAATAGTTCAAAAATCTAAAAATATCAATAAATTTTGCAGCCATCGAAATTCCGAGAATCAATGTTGATGAAGCTTCACTTGGAGATATATCAATCAGCCCGACAAAATCTGTCTCATTTTTGGATACACCTGGAGTGAGTTTTTTGCGGGATTTTGCTTAAAATTGGCTTGAAAACTGAATTTTGATTGAACAATTCGATTATTTCAGCATATCTCCAACTCTTCCGAATCGCAAAGTTCTTCATTCGATCGACCTGAAATTCCACCTTCCACAACTATCCAATTTTTCGACCTTTGCCACGCAATTATGGCACAACTTTTGGCTTAAAATTTTCAGATTTTGGACTGACAATCTGAGTTTTCCTTTAAAGTTGTGTCTTTGAACTATTTTTTACATGTATTTTCGAATTTTCCGGTTTTCATTCACCTTTGTTTCTTTTATTTTCAAAATAAGGTGAGTTAAGGTTTCTTATATTTGTTAAATAACAAATTAAATTTAGGCTGAAATTCCTGATTTTTCCCATTAAATGATGTTTTAGAACTAATTTTTACATGTATTTTCAATCTTTTTCATTTATTTTTTTTTCAAATTTAAAGTGAATTAAGCTAAGTTAAGATGTGTTTTTTGTTGAATAAAAATTAAATTTATGTTATGAAATTGAAGAAACTGGACGAGTTTGAGACGACGGTGTCATTGTGAACAGAACTTGATCCAACCACTGCAAAAATTATTGATTTTTGGGATTTCAGAGCATTTTTTAGAAAATCAGAATAATCTCAAAGCATATTCAAAAATTAATTAATTAATCCCAAATTTTCCTCCATAAATTTTTTTCGCATTTTCTCACTTCGGGTCTACTAATTGATAAGCTTCATTTTTTCAAAAGAAAAAATACGATTTTTTATCAAAAAACTCCGAAACTCTCATTTTCCCTTTACAAAAATTTGTCCTCTTTTTTTCTTACAAAAAAAAAAAGAAAAAAATTAGGCTGTCTAGACAATTTTGTTTATGACTTTCTTTTTTGTGAATTTATTTATTTAAAAAATCATTTACAATGGGAAAATGTGAATTGAGAATTTTTGTGGGAAAAATATTCGATTTGAAAATTGAAATTATTGAATTTTCAGCTGAACATTGCGCTCCTCCGCGAGCGCGCTGAATCATTTACAAATCACCCGAATCGGAGAATTTTCAAATTTAAGTCCCTAACTTCATTCCCTCTCTTACATATTTTTCTCCTCCATAAGTCCCACCAAATTTGTGTATATAGTTTGATCAGACAAAAGTCAATAATAAGAGTAATAATTACCCGCTCTTCTATAATAAAAAGATGAAACCAAACAGATTCCTTCTTTTTTCTGTCTAGACAGAATCGAGACCTAACACCCTATTTTACACCATTTTTTTTTGGTTTTTGATGCAAAAAGTGAGTGAGAGAGTATTGGAGAGTGAGAGACGCAGATATAATTAATGAGCAAAAAAAGAGAGGTGGATAAATTTAGTCTCATTAATATTAATTAATTAGTGCAAAAAATTTTAATTGCAGGAAATGATGAATTTTTCATGTATAAAAATGAAGTTTTTTTCAAATGTTTGGTTCTCTGACGTGAGCTGCGATTTTTTTGAATTCAAAAATTGGTTTTTATCTCGAGGTTTACTGTAGTCTTAAGTTTCCCGAGCTTCAGGGATTACGGTAACTCTAAAAAGATGTGATTCAATGTATTTTCCGAGCTATGAAGAGTACTGTAGCTCAGAAACTGCAAGAGGTACTGTAATCTAGGGTTTTTCCGAACTGCAAGACTTGTTACTGTAGTTACTTTTTACCAAAACAATCATGTGATTTTTTTCGAACGCAACAAGTGTAGTCTAGACTACACTCTAGTTAGTTGTACCCTTGAACTTACCACCAATGGTGCATGCAAATGAATCTCAATCCAACACGGTGTCGAAGTCACATCCTGTCTCTGATATTCGGCTCCCCATCCTTTTACAAATGACATTCGAATGAATGACATTTTTTGAAGATCAAAAGAGGCGTCGAATCCACGTCGACTACAATCATCCAAAAGTTCGCGGAATTTTTCAGTGTCGAAAATTTTGAGCGAACATTTATTGGCGATTTTGACGACGGTTGTTGGATGGAATCTAGAATTTGAAAAATATAATTTTTGAAACATTTTCAATTTTTGATCTTCTTTATTTCTCATAACTTTTAGTCTACACTCTAGTTTCTGGTTTCATGTCATGCCCAAACTATACTTTAGTCATTCCACCTACCCATTAGCATAATTACAATTTCTTGATTGCACAAAAAGTGCCGAATCACTTTCGCATTGCGCAAAAAGTGCACCATTACTCCGACAATATGTCAATTTTACACCATTTCCAATGTGGCGGCGAGTGTTTTCAATTGTAGCATTTCGATTGACATTCGAGAATAAGCCTAGACTGATTTTTGAACCATTATCACAAGGATCAGTGAATCCATCGATAGTTATTGTTGAGGAAGATACCTGAAAATTCGGTCGGGTTTCCGGAGTCTAGGGAGATTTTTCACCGCGTAGTTCATAGTTCACACTAACCTTAACCTGCTCTCCAACCCTCGTATTCAATTCATAATAACTGATAGTCGCCCAAAATTTCTCATCTTTATATGGAACTGGAACTGTGGGAACATCTGGTGGAATTGTATAAGCAACCATTGATGTGTCCATTTCTTCGACACCATTTAGATTTGATTGTTGATGGAGAACTTGATTTGTGAAGTTGCCACTGTAAAAATAGAGGAAAAATACGCATGTCCCTTTAAATTGGTCTCGCGTGGAGAAAATTCATATTCCTTTGAGTCCACCGTTTTCTCTTATTAACATTTGTATTCCCATGTTCCTTTAAATTGGTCTTGCCTGGAAATCGTTTCTTAAAGACACATGACCCACTAATCTTTGATGACTGTCTCATTTTTCACCTACCAGACACCAACCAACAGACAAATGCACGGTGTATTTTTGGTAGATTATAATATTATTGTGGTGTTACAAACATGTCTGGCCCCGCCCACTGTCTACACTTTTTTTTCTTGTTTAGTAGTTTTTGCTGACTATCTAGATTTTTGATAACTCTGACTCTAACTCTAAAAATAATGGACATAAATTTTGGTTCAAACACAGTTTGGGAAGTTTTATCGGTTCGGGTTTTGAATGAGGAAAGGTTGGTTTTTCATTGAAAATTGAAAATGTGCTCTATTGCTGAACATTTATTTTTTGAAATATTTGAATATTCAGATTATTGTTTTTCTCAAAAACTCGAACATTTCGAATCGAATTTCCACGTGAAACTCAAAAATTCCACGTGGAATAACTAATTTTCAAAATTCAAGAAATTAAAAAAATCCCTCATTTCTCAATTCACTTTTTCAATAAATCAGTAAGTTCAAAAATTAACAAGTGCGCTCCAGTAATAAATGAATTTCGATTCAAAACCTCCAATTTCCCGCATTTTTTGCATCATTTAAAAATTATTTTCAAACGACACTCCGCATAATGACACTGCATTTTCAAAGGAAGTTTTTTCTTTTCTTTTCTTTTTTCGCGAAAAAACTCCGAAAATTGATAAGAAATTTGCGATTACCTCCTATTTTTGACTATTTTATTGAAATTTGATGAATATTTTCGAATTTTTCAGCGAAAATCGACCGGAAAATCCAGCAGAAAATATGGTTGGGGCGAATGGAAATGGATTGTCGGATGGAACTAGGCGATTATTAATGGGTGCTGCGGTGGCTGGTGTAACTGCAGGTTTAGGATATTTGGCATTTCAACGATTGACAAGAGAAGAGCGAATTAGTGTAAGTTTCTTTTGACGGTTTTGGAGAGAAAAGATAACAATTCCGATTTCAGCTCAAACAATGCTTGGAAAACATCAAAAACGAGGGAAATGATTATTTCAAGAATCGCAATTATCAAAATGCACTTTTGGTGAGTTTTTTTTCGGAAAATTTAGAAAAAGAATGAAAGTTCAGTTGAAATGAGCAATTTTTAAGCATTTTGCAGTAAGGTGTCAGCAAAGACTGATTCTAGCGGATTTATTGCATCTAAACATAACTAAAATTGATGTGTTGTCCAATTTTCACCCAAAAAATCCCAAATTTTTAGAAATTCACCGAAGGAATCACAATTGGCGAAGAAAATGAGGGTCAAGAAAACGGGCTCGTCGCAATGTTATATCAAAATCGCGCAGCATGCCGTGAAAAAATTGGCAACGAAACCGCTTATGATATTTTGAAAGATTGTTTGGCAGCAATTCGAAATGATAAAGGATATGCAAAAGCATATTTGAGAGCATCGAAACAATTGAATTTGATTGGAAAAAAGACGGATGCGTTGATTTGTGAGTTTTTTGAATGGGAAATTTGGGTTTGATGTGAAATTTTGACCCCTAAAAGTTCCTTTTGATATAAATTAATTTCAGATCTTCTGGGAGCATTTGCTCTTGATCCAAATCTCAACAAATTGAATTTTCAATTCTACGAAGAACTTTTGACAATAGATTTTAGACAAACAATTATGCCGCAAGTTCCACGCCTTTTTGAGCGAAAACCAGCACCGGTTGCACTTTATAGAGTGAATTTCAGGGATTTTCGGATCTGGGCGAGTTCCTAATTTCAATCGAATGTTTCAGATTCAACAATGGTTGGATACTTGGGATTATGTTGATTTGTTCAAAAAAGATATTCAATATTTTATTCCAAATGCTGAAAATGAAGAGGAATTGTGAGTCTTTGACTGAAAATTTAAAATCCTAAATTTAATTTCAGGCTCTACCGAAAAGCTTTGGATCAAATCAAAAATGGAGAATATGAGCAAGTTTTAGAAACTTTGGAATCTGAGGATTTGGTCTTTGCACCGGCTCAAATTTTGAGAGGAAAATTTTTGAATTATTCGATTCAACCGAGCAGAGTAAGTTTTTTAATATTGTAATTTATCGTAATTTTTCTATTTTTTTTAGGCCATCGAATATGCGGACAATTTTGGAACAATCACAACATTGGAAGAATATGAAAATGATCTTGAAAGACATGAATTGATTATGGAGGCTTTTCAAATTTTGAAAATGGAACTTTGTTTGACTTTTACAGAATTGGAAGAGTGAGTTTTTTTTTTGAGAAAATTCAGATATTTTAAATGTAAAGTTGAGAGAAGGTTTTTTGAGTTTAAAAATCATAGTTTTTGTAGTTCGCCTATATATTTTTATACCAAAAAATTTCAGATTCATGAATGACGTGGCACCGGAATCGAAAAGATTCCGAAGAAATCGATACGCAAGTTTTGCTGCCATAAATGTGGTAAGTTACGGTATCTATTTTCTCTAATCCTCTCTCAAAAACACTCTCTTTTTCAGTATAATGGATGTGTTTTGGATACGTCTGCCACGACACATGAAGAACAAATGATTGCGGATACGGTAAGTGCACTTGGATTCGAAAAAATCAAATTCAAATATTTTCTATTCTAGAAAAACGCGGCAAAAATGATGGAAATTGCAGCGGCTATGGGACCAATTACACCGCATGTTAAGTGAGTTTTTTCGGGTTACTGTAAGTGAAAGGATTTTAGAACTACAGTATCTTTCTAGAAAGTGTTGATCAATTTCGAAGATTTCTTAATTGACTGAATATTGGAACTACAGTAATTCTAATTCTAATAAAGTTAATTAATTAATTATCTCATTGTTATAGAATGATGAAAAATTTCGTGGAACTTTGCTCGACAAATGACTACAGTATAATTCATAATACAATTCGTGAAATGGAAGATATGGCACAAAATCGACCGACTCATTTCATTTTGATTATGATGGCCAAAGTTTATCTGATGACTGGAAATATTCAAAGTGCAAAACAATTAATGGATCAAGCTGAACAATGTTCGAATACACGATATTTGAAAGCTGGTGTTTATTTGCAATCAGCGTGAGTTTGAAACATGCAAATTCGCCCTATTGCAATCTCTCCGCTCATCTCAAATGTTGTCCTCAAAATCCCTATTTTTCAGCGATCTTCACTTGAACAAACCAAATGAAGAAAGAGCAATTGAAGTCAGTCGATGTGCTCAAAGTGCTTTGGAATTTGATGAATTCAATTGCTCAGCTCATATTTTGTTGTTATTAGGAACTAATGGACCAGATCCAGTTATGAAAAGGTGAGATATTTTGGGGAATCGGAACATTTTGAATTATTAGACTGAATAAGTCCGGAGACGAATTTTTCTATCGAATAATATTGCAAATACGCTCCAGTAACAACTCAATTTTTACAGAGATGTGTTCGAAAAATCACAACACCATATTTCACACGCCGCACTTTTTGCTCCACCCAGAGAATTGATGATGCTCAAAAGAATGTGGCCATTGATTGACGCGAAAAAACGAGCTGCCGAACTTGTTGGACAATATTAACATGTTCCTTTGAATTTTCTAGGTACCGTAGTTTACAGTAGTCATATTTAATCTGCGTGTTTTTCTGATATTTCGAGCCTAATTTTGATTTGTTGTATCCTTACATCGACAGTAATCTTGATCTGTTTTTATTTATTTATTTGAATTTTTGGGAACCAATGTGTTCCTTTAAATCTCTTGATACAGTAATCTACAGTAATCATTTTCTCCGTTTTTTATTATTCACCCTGAACTGTTTTTTCTTGTTTTCCCCTTATTTTTTTTATTGATGTTCCTTTAAATCTACAGTAATCCCGATCTTTTTTTTTCCATTTTTAGCCTGATTTTTCCCCGTGTTTTTGATTTTTTGCTCGTTTTTACACGGGTTTTTTCAAGTTTTTTTGTTTCACAAAACCCTCCTTTGATTTTTCATTCCTGATTTTTTTTCAGATAAAGTTTAGTTTTCTCAAATATTTTAACTTAAACATTGAAAATTTTGAAGAAACGTTGAATTTTCGTTTGGGAATATTTTTGATATAAAAAAGAATACCGTAGGAAATTCATGTGGTTTTTTCTCAAAATTTTGAGTTTAGCTCCAAAAATTGGTTTCTGTGGAGTTTATTGTTCATGTTTGATCTTAAAATGATCCAAATTTCATGAAAGCCAAGAATTTCATGCTTCTAAATCTACAGTACCCCAAAAACTCACGTAAACATTCCATTATTAACATTAATATTCTGTGGCATTTTCGATCCATCCGCTTCCATTTGTTGAAAACGTGCCAAACCCGGTGGAATATCTTGGGGTGGTTTTTCGGAATAACGTGGAACTAAAACCGGTGGAAGAACACCCGCTGCGAGAACACGATTATAGTGATACGGATTGATGCAGATCTCTTTTTGACCCGATTCGTAGCAGAATCTGCAAATTTTTGAGCATTTTGACACCCAAATTGCTCATATTTAAGCTCAAAATTCTCTAGATTCCTCGTGTTAATCTCAAAATTCAATTTCTTCTAAAATTTTTGAGCATTTTGAGCTTGAACCCCCCAATATTCTCTAGCATACCTGCAATCTTCAATTGCTTTCAATTCGTGATGAGATTGTAAATCGGGCCAACGATAGACTCGACAGTAGATAACATGGGGAAGAGCCTAAAAATCTGAATTTAGAAGCTGAAAGTTAGAAATTCACGTGGAATTTGGAGCATTTTGAAACTAAACTTGAGCGTGTTCTGGCTCAAAATGTGAGGAATTTTTCTAAATTCTCCCTTTTTTTTCTGATTGTGAGTTTCTAAAATCTATAGACCCAACCTTGACTATTTTTAGATTCTGAAAATTTTCGAAATTTCCCAACCTGATAAAAATCTATTTCTAGACTGAACATTTCAAGTTTCTGCCCAGAATTTAAAATGTTCTCGCAAAAATAAAAAAAAACAATTTCACAAAGTTTTATTGTTTTTTCGGGGCCGAAAAATCGAAACCAAAATTCCACGTTTTATTATTTTTTCTTGGAAACCAAATTTTTTTTGTTTTTTTTATATTTCACGAAAATTCCAGTATTTTCAGTCAAAAATCTGAAATAATTACCTTTCTATGTGAAATTTGAAGTCTTCCATCGAGAGATCTGGGGATTGTGACGCAGTCGGTTTTTTGTTGACCTTGATACTAGAAAAATTGAATATTTTTAAAAATGTTCAAATTTATTCGCTTATTTACCTGAAGTGATAATTCCAAACTTTCCAATGCTTGTTTGTTGTGTTTCAACAATTTTTTCATCAAATTATCGATCGCTTTTTTAGCCCAATCTTCGTCTTCGTCGCCTAGAAAATGAGAATTTCGCTTTTTAAATTAATTTTTTTTTGAGGCCTCAAATCTCACCCTGTTTCCACCTCAGTCGCTCCGTAATTTTTCGAATTCCATCAAAATTCAACTGAAAAAAATCGATAATTCTAGCGTCAAAACTCAAGATTAAATAAAACTCACCATTTTTTTTGTTCGTCAAAATCTTCCGAATCAAAAAATTTCACGATTTCTCCTAAAGAAAAACAGTTAATTTCAACAAATACTCATTTCTTTGTGCGCACCTTTTTTCATCTCTAAACTCTCTTCATTTAATATACTATTTCGTCGACACACACTGTTATCTTTGAGTTAGAGATAACGTGAGGATGAGAGAGTTCGGGTAGAGAAATAGAGAAAAATGGGAGATGGGGAAAGGTAAGTAATGAGAGGTGGATTTATGAGATGGCGACTTTGTGGCGCCAGAAAATTGGTGGATTTGAAAATATTGCCAATTTTTGAATTTTTGAAGAAAATTCGATTATCATTGATAATTTATCAAAAATTTCTTCAGGCAAATTTTTCTATTTCAAAATTTTTGATTTTATTTAAAAAAATTTCAACAGAAGTTCTCAAAAACATGATAAATATGTTGTTTGAACTTTTCGCGCCGAAAATGTAATTTTTAAAAAATTAGGAATTAAAATTTCAAATTTTTCTACCAAACAATCCTGAAACCTTCAGAAAATATCCAAAATCTCATATTTTCAGCTAAAAATTTCCAATTTTTCCTCTTGTCCTCATTTTTGTCTCTTTCTCTGCGTCTCCAATTCTATTTTTATCTCTAACTGGTCATTTTTCACTTTTTTTTCTTTTGGTTTTGTCCAGAAAGTGAAATTGTTTACATTTTTTATTTATTTATTCTTTTTCTGACTAATTTTTGCTTTGTGAACCGGAAATATTGATTTTTGTCACATTTTTCACTTTTCCGTAATCAGAAATAGATAAATTTTAATAAGGAAATGATTATTTTTGTACTATTTTTCAATGATTCTTGCAATTTTTGAATTTCAGATTTTAAAACCTGAAATTCCTTGAAAATTTTGAAATTTTCCGTATTCTTCTCGAAATTAGCAGCACTTTGAACCTTAAAAAACGTGAATTTTTTTGTAAAAAAAATTATTATAATTCACGTGAATTTTTCGACGTGGCTAAATTTTCAATATTTTCTCATTTTGAATTTTTTTTGAAAAGAAAAATATGTTTTTTCGATGACTTCTAGAACAACTTGTTGGTTATTGTTTGAATTTTCAGATTTTTCAGCAAAAATTGGAGCTGAAAGCTGAATTCTCAGATTTTGAAAATATAGAGGAATTTTAGCAAAATTCTAATGTTCAGACTGAATTTTTCAGGTTACTCTCAATTTTCTGCAAATAATTTTATTTCATCTCAAAATGATCCTAATTTTCTTCTTTTTTATGATTTTTCAACAATTTTCTAAAAATTTCAGATTCTTCCATGTCAAACATTCATAAATACAAAGATGATGAGGATAAACAAACTTTGCTTCTTCCAACAACAATTAAACCAGGTAAGTGATTGAAATTTTAATTTTCACTTAGAATTAGATTCTGAATTTCAGACTAGAGTTTTCAGAATTTCCTCAAAATTCTGAAACTTTTAAGTTTAAATCCGAGCATATTTGTGCTCCAAATGCTCCAAATTTCATTTAAAAAATCTGAAAGTTTCAGAGCCAAGCTCAAACTCCCCGAAAGTCTCCACATTTTTCAAATTATACGTGATTATAACAATGGTTTTTGTATGGAGTGGATATACGCTAACAATAAAATATACAAGGAGTACTGTAGATCAAGATCAAGTGGGTTACTGTAGAGAAAAAATAACGTGAAAAATGTTTTTTGCAGATGTATTCATCAACTTCTGTGGTTTTATGCGCTGAAATTCTCAAACTTCTAATAACATTTTTCATGATTTTCAAAGAATCCAGTTATCAAACTCGAAAATTTAGTCAATTAATTCAAAATTATTATTTGAATGCTCCAAAAGAGCTGGCAAAAATGAGTGTTCCATCGATTGCTTATGCATTACAGAATAATTTGGATTTTGTTGGACTTGAGAATTTGGATGCTGGAGTTTATCAGGTCGGTTTGGTATTCAAAGCATTTGGAATTTTAAAATGTTCAGAAAATCGAGAAAAATCTGAAATGTTCCGAATTTTTCAGGTCACAACCCAATTGAAAGTCGTCTCAACAGCTCTTTTTATGATGCTTTTTTTGGGCCGAAAATTTTCGTTGAGAAGATGGATTGCGATTACAATGTTGATGTTTGGAGTGGCTTTTGTTCAGGTAAAAAATTAATGTTGAAAAATTTTAGAATTTTCACCAGAAAATGTATGAAAAATTGATTAAAAATATTCATTTTTTTCCAAAAATCATCAAAATTTCACAGATGAACAACACTCCAGCTTCCGAAATGAATAAACGAAAAGAGTCGGCTGAGAATTACATTTTGGGACTTTCAGCAGTTTTGGCGACTTGTATAACTGCTGGATTTGCTGGAGTTTGGTTTGAGAAAATGTTAAAGGATGGTGGAAATACACCATTTTGGATTAGGAATTTGCAAATGTATAGTTGTGGAGTGGTAAGTTATCAGAAAGGCATTTTTAAAAGAATTTGGAAAAATACAAGTGCGCTCCAAGTATTAATCAGAATTATCAATAGAGCGTACTTTCCTTCATCTATAATTTGTTCCAGATCAGTGCCTCAATCGCTTGTCTAATGGATCATTCACAAATCTACGAAAAAGGCTTTTTCTTTGGTTATAATGAAAAAGTTTGGATAATTGTTGGATTTCTCGGAATTGGCGGGCTTTATATTTCTCTAGTCATGAAACATTTGGATAATCTTTATAAATCAATGGCCTCCGCAGTTTCTATTATTTTTGTTGCCATTTTATCGCTTTTCATTCTTCCTGATGTATTTATTGGAATGTATTTTGTATTGGGAGCAATTTTAGTGATTCTTGCGGTTTTGTTGTATAATTCGGTTAATGAGTAGAATTTTGTGCACTTTTTCTGCTCTGTTTTTTTGTGGTGCTTTTTAACGGGTTGCTTGAAATGTATTTTTTTGTTTAATAAGCTTTATGGAAAATGAAATTATTTATTATTCTGAAATGTTGAGTAGCACCGAATCTCAGTGTTTTCCTTCGAATTTCCATTTTGTATCACAGACTTTGTGATGTGAATTTAGAAAATTTTTAGATTTTTCAAAAGTTAATCATCGAATTTTAAACGCATCAAAGCGTATATTTTTGTTCATTTCATCATGAATTCTCTAACTTTTATAACTTGCACAATTATTTTTGTGGTAAGTTTTTATAACAAATTTATACAGTATTAGCTTTTCCTCAAATTGTTTTCAAAGATTTTCATATTCGCAATCTTCACAAACTTCAAAGTTATCCAATTCCTACTAATAAATCAGAAACGTGAAAAAACTTCCTTTAATATTTTATGTATTTCAAAAGCTTTCCTCAATGCTTGTATTGTTATTTCTGGTTTACCTTTGACATTTTTCAATATTTTACTGTAAGTATATTAAAAAGTGATTTGAGTACCTAATAATGATCTTCATTGTCAGCACCGAGCCTTTGATTTCGAAAAAATGTGATCTAATGTTTTTCATTTTGTGTTATAATTTAACAATTTCTAATAACTTCACAAATGTTTTAACAGCGTTAAATCGTTTTTGCGCGATTTATTTTCCGAGAAAATACGATTTTTATTTCAATCCTTATCGAACAATATATCTTGTTACTATAATACCATTGATTGCCCTTATTATAACAATTTATGAAATTATTCGTTTGCTCGGTGAGTAACATAGGAAGAACAAATCTAAAGTGAGTATCACTATTTTTCAGATATTCAGTGTTATTTTTTGTTCAACGTGGACCATTTTTATTGGTTTTTGAGTGAAACATGCGATCATAAATCAGAAACATCAAATATATATCAAATATATATCAATACGAAATTATGTATGCTATAATGATTGTTTCAAATTTCGCATGTTTTGTTGGACTCTGCAAATTTCAAGAAAAGCAACGATTCAAACATAATTCCTATCTTTTACTTCAAACATTTTTTCAAGATTCACTCGCGTTTTTGAATTTTATTATTGTTTTCAAAATTGCGTAAGGATTTATTTCCAATTCCTGGGTTTTTTCTCTTTAAAAATGATCTAAATTTAAGACTTAAGACATGTGACTATACCCCACCGTTTAAGAAATAATTATTGCTGCCTTTTTAAGGACTCTGAATGATTCATCGATTTGGAGATTTATTTGCGGAACTATTTGCTGGCCAATTATCTATGGTTTTGATGGTGTTATTATGATGATTTTCATTAAAAAATTGGCTAGAAGTTCGGAAGTTGCTGTTTTTCCTGGGTGAATTCTCGGAAATACTACAAAATCCCTTGAAAATGAATAAAAATTCTGTTTTAACTTTTTGTCAAAAAGCAAAACATCGCGTGAAACAAAAAAATAAGTTAAAAATATATAATAAAAGTAAAAAGGAAACGCGCTCCACGGCTAATTTTTGTTCGCTCCGCCGACTTTGTGTAGTTCTCGAGGACAAACCCGATTTTTTGTTTTTTCCGCATTTTTCAGTTTCTCCAAGGTTTTTACGATTTTATCGATTTCTGAACTTTTTATTTGAGAGAGAAAAACGAATTTTCAAGATGTATTCAAATAGTTTTACTGAAAATCAAAGGTTTTCCCAAAATTGCATCACTTTAGACCATTTAAAAACACTACGTTGTACCTATTTTTTGTTTGCCTATTGTAAATTAGAAAGATAAGAGGTGTTTGCCGATGATTTTATTGATTGATTTCGTTTTATAGAGAGGTTTTTTCACTATTTTTAGAATTTCAGGTTTTTAAATTAAAATGTCGGGAGAAGAGGCGAAAAAGAGTGAAGCTGATGAATTGAGCGAATTATTGGATTCAACGTTGAAAAATTTCGATGAGACAAAAGTGTGAGTTTTTTTCGGGGAAAATTTGAATATAATGGAAATTTTTATTTAAATTTCTATAATGGGGCTATTCAGCAAAAAAAATATGTTTTCTCAACGGGAGAAAAGCGAAGCACACCCGTTCAAGCAACGCAATGAGTGTTTTCTACTGTAAAACGAAACAAAAAACTGTGCAAACACTTTTGTCTAATTCTCTCTGTTCGCCGTTATATTTCGCACTACAGTATTAAAGGAGCATGATAAATTTCATGCGTTGGGTCTTGTCGCGATTGCTAACTTTCTTCGCAGGACCTTAAAAATTTTGAAATGCGTAGTCTCACACAGATCTCGATGCGCTGATTCTAATGGTATATTTAGTTTTGCCACTTGGTTAGCTAATTCCTTTGCAAATTGTGGCGCAGTGTGAATAAAAGAAATTTCTAATTTTTTCATTGTTTGAACGGGTGTGGAAGAAAACCTACTCAAGTCGGTTGAGAAAACATAAAAATCAAACACTTGAAACACACAAATTGCGACGAGACCCAACGAAAAACAACATGTTCCTTTAGGATACTGTAGAAAATCGCAACGGGACCAATTTACAGTAATGCAAAAGGTCAAAGGAACATGTTGTTTTTCGTTGGGTCTCGTCGCAATTTGTGTGTTTCAAGTGTTTGATTTTTATGTTTTCTCAACCGACTTGAATAGGTTTTCTTCGCTTTTCTCCCGTTGAGAAAACATATTTTTTTTTTTCGCTGGATAGCCCCATAAAAAACATGAAAAATCTCGAAATTTTATTAAATAATTCCTAAAAATGAACTATCCTCGGGTAGGATGCAAATGTTTGTGGGTTGTTTTTCTGTCAAGAATCTCATTTTTTTTAAATTCAAAATTTCCAGGGTCCCAAAATCAACAGATGATGAACTCGATGAATTAATGGATTTACAAGACCAAAAAGCGGCTCAAAAAGCAGCTGGAGATTTTCAAAAAATGCTCGAACAAATGGTGCAAGTTCAAGAAGAAGCCATGAAAAGAGCTGCTGAAAATCCAGGAGGAGAAGCTGGAAATTTGAATTTAGGAGAAGGATTAGAAGGTTTGGATCCAAATGATCCAGAATCGAAAGCAATGATGGATGCAATTAAACAATTAATGGAATGTTCATCGACTGTTGCAAATGCAAATTCAGCTGAAGAATTTATGGCTGGATTAGAAATGTTGAGATCTCCTGAATCACCAATGGAACCTTTTATGAGTATGATTATGCAGGTAAATATTTGAAGGGAAAATTGAGAGATTGAGGGTTTTGGGAGAGTGAAACTATGAATTTTATGGGAAAAATTGTTCATAGATTGAGTTTAAAAATTGAAAAAAAACTGTAACTTTGCAGACTCTGGCATCAAAAGAAGTAATGTATCCGCCACTCAAAGAAATTTTCGATAATTATCCAAAATATTTAGAAGAAAATAGTAAGGATTTGGATGAAGAAACATTGACAAGGTATAATAAACAATTTGAGGTAAGTCGATAATTGTTTTCGCTAATATTCAAATATTCAATTATTCTACAGGTCCTCGGTAAAATTTGCACAGAATTCGAAAATCAGCCCGAATTCCCAACACCCAGTGAACCCGAAAATGCAGCAATAACTCCAGATTCGGCTGAAAATTCTGAAAATCCGGGAAATGCTGTAGATTTGGCTGCTGGCGAACATTTTGAGAAATTGGGAAAATTATTGGTGGAATTACAAACTTATGGATATCCGCCAAAAGAATTGGTTGGAAATTTGCCGGATGGTAAGGGATTTTTGGGAGAATTTGATGAAATTGAGAATTGATGATAAGATTTGTGATTAAAAATTATTCCAGTTCTCATTTTTTTTCTCTTTCAGGTTGGGCAATTGATGAATCCGGTTTGCCAAAAGTGAATGATGCGGCAGCCGCAGCAGATGCATGCACAATTATGTGAACACAATAATAATTTTTGAAAATTTTAAGTCACGCCCCTTTTCTCAAGCCCCGCCCCTTTTTAAATATTTAATTTTAGGTCAGTTTTTTCAAATTCTAAGTCAGTTCCACATGTTTTTCTTTTTTCCGTTATAAAGAGCTTTTTTCATTGAGTTTTTTCGATTTTTTTCAGAAAACTTGGTTTTTTGCACCGTTTTTATATTTTAATAAATTTCAGCAAAATTTATCAGATTTTCAGCGAGAAATGACGTCATACGCTAGTGTTGTTGATCGAATTTATAAACGACATGCGTCGGAAAAATATTCGAATATCTCCTATTTACATCATCCCAGTGGAGTTACTGTAGTCGTGTTGAGAGAGGTTAGTGCCTTACATTTTTAAAAAGAATTTAGGCTCCACTCATAAAACTATGCCAGACTTGCAATTTCTTTTCAGATTCCTGAATCCGAAGTGATTTCAGTGGAATACGGTGCAACAAAAAAGCACGGAGTCGATAGATCAAATGTTGCAGTTGTGGGAAAAGGAAAAAAGGTAGGTACAGTAACCCCGATGTCCCTTTAAGAAAATTTCCTTTTTGAGGGTGGAGTTGTTCTTCAAACCGACACCAAACTCTGCACAATAAAATGCGCAGATGGTTCCGAAATTACAGTAAGATCAGGAGTCAAAGGAACATTGGTCGAAATGAACGATCGTTTGAAGACCCAACCGGATTTGATTCGAACGGCACCCGAAAATCAGGGATATATTGCAGTTGTGACGTATGGAGCTGGAATTCGGGAAACAGATGGATTTGGAGAGGTTTTGCCGCAAAAAAGGCTGAAATTACAGAAATTGTGAGCGGGGTTTTCGTTTTTGTTGCTGTTGATATTTATTTGTTATTTTGGTTGAACTGTTTTTTTTTGACAAAGAAAAACAAACAAAAGAAATTATATGAAAATTACCAAACATTTTTTTCAAAAAAAAAAAAACAATGCCATCAATCGCTATCCGAAGCCGAATATGAGCGCCTGAAATATTGAAAAGCAATTTTTGAAACTCGAATTTAAAAAAAAACTAACTCTCTCTTCCGTTTCATCGGTTGTTCTGAACTTTTGGTTGAAGTGCTGAAATTTTGAAAATTAATTTTTGAATTGGAAAATAATTCAAAATTCGAAATTGTGAACCCACCTCGCTCTATTTTCATCCTTATCATCCTCATTTCCATTTCTCCATTTTTGCCACGAATCTTTTTTCGACTCAATCTTAGAATTCGAATTTGAATTTGAATTAGTTCTAATCACACCTCTCGCAATATTTGTTGTTTTCGCTGTTCTCAATGAGAATCCAATACAAGGCATCTCCTCCGGTTTTTTTCTTTTCCTCAATTTGCTCACATCCGGTTTGTTTTCGATATGATTTGATTTCGAAATTTGTGATTCTGGTGGTGGAGGTGGAGATCGTAGCAAATTAAGTCGAAAGGTTGGCGAAAAAGCAGAAAAAGACGTGGATTGATTGAATAGATTTTCAGATCTTGGTAGAGATTTTGGAGATGAACTGAAAACTTCAGAAAAGGCTCATGTGGTGAAGGCAATTTGAAATTTAAAAAAAAACACATAGAGTCATCTCATCTTCTAATAACTTTCATTATTTCGAAATTTGAACTAATTTTCACAGAAGGTTCCGAGGAAAACCGAAATAAGTGTCTAACCGCCTCTTTTTATTTTTAGTTAGAATTACCAGCTTTTTTTCGAATCTTCCGGCTTTTTCATAACATCTATCAATTCATTTCTAGAAATTGGTTGAGTATTCGGCGAACTCGAATTATTTGAAGATACCAAACAATTTTGAGATTGGCAAACTTCTAAGGTGCTTTGGGATTCGATGCAAGTTTTCTCTAGATGTTCATCACAACTTGTTAATTGTTGTTTTTTCGCAAAAACCGAAAAGTTTTCGGAATCTGAAAAAAGTATTTTTTAGTAATGCTCGCTTGAAATTCCAGGTTGTTTCAGACTCAGGGTTTTCACCTTGTTGTTTTTGATTCGCAATCTGTTGATTCGATGTTTGTGCTGGTTCATTTCCGGGTGTACCACTATTCGATATTCCAGAAATTGTGCGAACAATCTCAGCTTCATCGGGTGTTCTATATGTAGATGGTGTATCGAATGAAATTGGCGTCCGGTTAAAGGTTTCAAAACTATTAAATGGACTTTTTGAAACATTGTCAGTCAAAATTGGTTGCTCCACCAGTTGTTTACCTTCTGTTGTCACTGCTTCAGTATTGTTATCAACAAATGTTCGAAATTTCAATGTACATCCTTTTTCAGTTTCTTCGAGGATTTGGAGAAGTTTTGAACTGGCATTTTTCGCGTGTTTTTCGTTTTCTTTATCTTTCTCAAGATGAGCATAAAAACACGAAGCTTCGGAAAATGAGATGTCACATGCCGTGCATTTGATTCGAAGTGGCCGACTGTGTGGGTATATGACAACACTGGAAAGAAAGATAAGGGTAAACCGTGGAAAGAACAGGAACCCTAGTTATATTATCATTTTTTTTGAATTCACATGTGTGAACCAGTAGAATATCAGGATTAACATCATCTAAAAAGGGAAATCGGACATATATCCAATGAGTTTAAGACAATTCTTTCGGTTCACCGAGATCACATACGAAGCCTTTAACTTGAACTTTACAAATCTAAATATTGAAAGAATATAAAAGTTCAAAAAGTGCATCGTAGTGTTCGAGTTTCGACTTTTGATTGAAAAACTTACAAATGCCCATACATATGCGTCAAAATATCAGAGACTCGAAAATCGTGGTCACATTTGAGGCATTTTATGAAGAATCTCATTTGGAAGATTTTTGGCGCTGAAAAACAGAAAATTTTTATAGAAAAAGAAATCGAGAAAATCACAGTGAATAATGAAAATAATGATAGAACCATGTTTATTTATACGGAAAAATTTTGTCAATGAGATGCCACAAAAACAGATCAATCACTCATTTTATAAAACAAAAGAAATATGGAACTTGATATCCAACTGTGAATCTATAAAAATAGGTGACTTTGATAACACTAAACAAATATATACAGTACCAAGGGGATAGGATAAACAAAGGAGAGAAAATATTGTGAAATCAGATTTCTTGTGATAATTTCAGGAATTTGGAAAGATTATCGATAACTACAGTAACCCACCGTACTCTAAAGAGAAACATTTATTTTCAAACATTTTCCACTACGTTAAACGTGAACTCAAAAGGCTTTTTTATTTTTCGATTCATTTCTTGTTAAGATCCTTTTCCAGATTTTTTTAAATTCTAAAGAAAAAATCAAAGATAATATTATGACGAAAACGACTGGCCATCAATAAATCAAGTGAGTTTTTACACTTAAAATTTTCTGAAAATTATAATGTTCCTTTCGAATTATTCCTTCTTTTTTTTTCAAAAATTGCTCATGTTAAATAAAAGAAGAGTAAGAGGTCATTCGAGCTGATCAAATTACTTTTTTTGCACTCTTTCTATTTTGCTCTGACCTATAATTATAATCAAGAAATTAATGAGGTCAACTGAATGTTTTTATATTTTTGTCCAAATTTTTCTAACCTGAAATTTGTGCTGAAAACCATTTGTAAAATATTAGTTTTTAGCATTTCCACGAATCTCAAATTTTATCTACACGTTTCCTCAATTTTTTTGCTCTGAAAATGAAAATCTGGTGTAGTCATAGTAGTCATTGTGAAATATTCATAAATCTCGTTTCCTCCTCCATTTTTTCTCCATTTATTTTTTTTATTTTGAGAAAAATGGAAAATGGCTAATGGGTTCACTCCATTTTGGCGCCATTTTTAGAATTTTTTGTATTTCATACATAACGTTTAGAAGTGCAAAATTTCTTTCAAAATCGTTTTTCAGATTGAAATTAAAAATATATAGGATTCAAATTTTCAGCACAAAGTTTCATCTCAAAGTCAGATTTTTAAAAGAAAATCCTCAAAAATTTCAGCACAAAATTCTAATCTAGAACTTCTTCCAACAAGTAGAATTTTTTCTAAAATTAGTTCCAGCACAATTTTGAAAACATTTCAGATTCCAAATTTCAGAAGACATTTTTCTAGATCAAAATTTTGTGCTGAATATTACTGAAAAATATTGATCGAATCAAAAATAAAACGTGTAAATTTGGGCGTTTTTCTCGTTTTTAGCACTTTTTTCGGAAAAAAAGACAAAATTCGATTTGTTTTCTCATTTTTTTGGCCGTGTTCGTTTTTTTTTCTTTTTGCGTGGTTAGGTTAGGTTTATATAAGTATAATAATATATCAAATGTTTGTTTTTCGACGAACGAAAATAAATTTTTCAATTTATTTTGTGTTTCATTTTTTGTTGGAAATTTCTAGGTTTTTATGGAAAAATCTGGTTTTTTACGGGAGAAAAGTTCAAGAGCGGAATTTTGTACTGAAAATCATTATTTTGTTGATTTCTAACGAATTTCAGCACAACAATTCGATCTATGTTTTGCAACTCAAATTAAATTTTTTGAAATGTTTTTGTTGACCTGCTCAGAGAAATGGGCTGGGGAACCGCCGGATAGACGACACGGCGGAGAATATTCGGGAAACCGATGGAGAAAAATGTTCTCCGCCAGTTCGCCGACAGTTCTCCGAATGATCTACAGTGTTTCTCCCTCGCGAAAGAATGTTCTCGAAGCAGAGAATGGAAAACCAGCGGACAACTGGCGGAGAAAATTTTCTAGTTTGGAGAGCGAAAAATGCAAAAAAGCGCCTAGCGGAGAACCAATGGAGAACTGTCGGAGAAACTATGGAAAAGTTTCGGACAACCGGCGGAGAACTCTCGGCGAACCGCCAGCCGTAGGCTGGATCTCCGAAAGTTTTCCGCCGGTTCCCCAGCCCATTTCTCTGAGTGAATTTTTGCTTGTAAAACGGTCAAGATCAGAATTTTAAGCTGAAAAATCACGGAACAATCCGGCTTTTGTTTAGAAAGTTTTTTAATCCAATTATTTTTGCCACAGAAAAAAAATTGGATAAAAACGAACCCCGATTTTTTGTGGACAAAAAAATCTGGTTCAATTTTTCGTGGTTGACAAAAAATTTAATCCGGATGATTGAATCGTTTTCTGCTCCAAAAAGTTCATTTTTCATTTTTTCTGGGTTTTTTTTTGTTTGAAAAATTGTCTTGTTTTGTTTTTTGAAAAAAAAAACAAAATTAGAAAGCGAGGAAAAAATTGACACCAGTTTTTTCATAGAATATCGTTCTAAATTTTCAAATTTTTTACTGAAAATTTAGAACATTTAACTTGAGCCTAATATAACTTTTTTTTCAAATTATAACCAATTGAAACTTATTTTTCCCGCCAAAAAAAGATCCCCAAAATATTTTTGCTGGTGGTCCATTCATTCTAGAGGGAACCCTATCTCTCTTCTTTTTTGTAACCCAATGCCATTCCGATTTTTCCCCCAAAACACCACAAACCTTTTCTTTTCATTTTCCTGCACAATTTGTGCTCTTCTTTCTCTATTTCTCTGCGTCTCTCACTCTCTCGTTCTATGTTCCCGCGCCCGCCAAATTGAAATAGTGTGAGATATTAAGAGAGTGCAGGTAGCGAGAGTCTAAAAAGTGGGCGGAGCTTAGAGACAGCCGGGAAAATGAAGAAAAAGAAAAGAAGAAGGGGCGCGGTCACTTGCTTTTTCCACCCCAATGCATTTTTTTGTGACTTGACTTACTTTTGTTATTGATACTCTTTTTTTGGCACCTAAAATTAACGGGTTCTGGCTTGGTGTTTTTTTAATTCAACTTTTTTTCCTGCCAAGGCAAATTTTTTTTTTAATTTTAAGTTTTCGCGCCAAAACTCCTTTCATCTCTCCGATTTTCCCTGTTGTCCTTGAATTTTCTTCGTTGTTTATTATCACATTAAACCAAAAGAACTTTATGAGAACCCGAACAAAATCTCCTGTTTATCTCTGCACTCTCTCATTTTCTCTTATTCTCTCTCTTGCTTCATTTTATTACCTTTTTTTCTAATTACAATAAAAAACAGGACTCTGAATAAGAAATTCTTTACTGATAAGTAAAAAAATTTTATTTTTTTCATTTGTATTTTTATATTTGAAATTTTCAGGCTGGCGCCTTTTTTGCTGCTCAAATGGGTGGATTTTCCAGCGATGCGCTGGAACAGTCCTATTTGAATTGGCGCCAAAATGCATCGGCCAGGTAAGTACGCTCCATTGAGAAGCAAGCTTTTCGTAAAAAATTCAAATGTTCTCAAAAAAAATATTGTTCATTAGAGCGCATTTGCATGCATCTCTCGATTTTTTCAAGTTTTTTATTCTCGAGAACTACATTAGGAAATTTGTATTCTCCAAGAGAACTTTGGATTTCTAAAAAAATAAATTGTAAGTGCGCTCCACTGATAAATATAAAACTTCGAAATCGTTCAATTTCCAAAAAAAATGAAAAAGTGCGTTCTAATGAAACAACTTTTTAAAAACTATTCAAACATGTAAACGCGCTCCAGTGAAATACCGCTAAAATTTTCATTTTTTCAAAATTTCAGTTATCCAAATGCGCTCCACAGATTAAATTCTCAATTTTCCAGACTAATTCGAATTTTATTGTTCATAACATCAGCTTCATCATTTCTCCGAACACTTGGCCATATTCCAGGTGCTTATGCACTTTGGACAGCAACAATCCTTCTCTGTTCCACTCTTACTATCATTTTTCAATTGGTGCGCCCCAAAAAATTAGTGACATTTCAAATATTCGCCCTAATTGTCTTGATTTGTGATGTCATTTTTTCTCTGCCAACTTATGAATCACTATTTCCCGCAATTTTGGCAACATTTGCATTTTACTCATTTTTTACGCTGCCATTTTATGTGATTTTGATATGTGCCACGTGTTGTTCAGTGGGTCAAACTTGCGCATTTTTGTTATTCGTGGAACCATTGCATACAAATGAGGTGAGTTCTTTTTTTGTAGATTTCCAACATTCTTGAGTCCTTGTACCACTAGACTATTCAAAAATCCAAATCTAGATTTGTTCTCCGATTTTTAGCTATAAATATAAATAAAAAAGATGAGTTCCTCATATTTTCTGGTTCATTAAATATTTTCTTGTTGTCCTCCTTTTCCATAGTAATAAGTAATAATAATAATAACAACAAATTTTTCCTTTTTTCTATTTTTTTGAACGAAAAAATGAGTTATTTTTTATTTCCAGCGGCGGCAAACTTGAAAGAACGGGGTGAACTTTTTTTGCTCGAAAATCCATAAAATATAAATTTCACGGGGTCTCGAGGGGATAAAATGTGTGAGTGAAAATTGGAGGAAAAATGAAGATGAGATGAGATAAATCGCCCAGATTTTTGTTCGTGGGGTCAAAGAAGAGTTTTTAAGATAAAAGCGGGATTTTTGAAATGTCGGGGAAAAAAGTTCAAATTAGAAATTAATTCTGGTGTTAATATATTTTTTTCAAAAAATCGAATATTCAAATTATTTTCTCCTCGCCTATCAAAAATCACATCAATCAAAAATAAAAATAATAATTATTTTTATAATCCAAAAAAATCCGGTATTTTTTATCTGATTTTCTTCTTCTTTTTTCTTTATATATTTTTTTTGGTAAAAAAAATAAAACCAAAAAAAAATCTTTTTTTTCTTTGAGGGACAGAATTTTGATTCAAAGAAAATGTAACATTTATCAAAAATATGTCACATTTTTGCATCTTTTTTACTTTTCTTTTTGAAATGAAATGAGAAAAAGATTTTTGATGGGTTTTTCGGATTATTTTTGAAAAAGGAAGGGACCATCGAAACATTTTGAATTTTTTTTAGAATATTAGAATCGCCAAAACTCATTTTTTTCAATAATCCACGTGCCAAACTTTCAAAAAAGTTTGGTGGATTTCACGGAACAAATTTTGAATCCGAAAACTTCACGCCAAAAATCCACGTTTCAAAAAATGATTTCGTAATCTCATTTTTCTCAACTCATCCATCATTTTTTGAGCTCAAAATTTTTTTCGCAGAAAAATTGAGCGGGTGTTAATGGGTTGTGTAAAAAGTTACACACCTCCCGGGGAAGGATTTCGAAATTTTCAAATATAAAATATTTCAGGGAACTTTGAAGTTGAGTTTTTCATAAGACTTTAGCCAGGCATAACATTCTATCTAAACTTTATCCTAACCTAAGCTCAAATATTTAGGTAATGTAAAACTGAAATTTTGAATTTTGATTTTCCCGCCAAAAGTTCCCATCACCACCACAAAACAACATATTTTTCAACAACTTACAACAAATAAAATGACACTTGTTTTTGTTTTACACACAACAACAAAAAAAGATGAAGATTTATTCGATTTTCTTCTTCTTTTTCTTCCACCAAGAAAATCCAGAGTTTAATTGTGTGTTGATGGATTTTTCTCATTAAATTTATTGACGAAGCGACGAAAAAAGTGAATTTGTGGATTTTTTGAGAGAAAAATGAATGAGAGGTCAACCAGAAGATTTTGTACTTTTTGAGCAGAAAAAAGTTTGCCAACATTGCAAAAAATAGCAGAACTTAATTGGTTTTGAAACTCTGGCACAATTTTTGAATCTGCATCTAAATTTGGAAACAGACCACAAAAACTATAATAAGCATTTATACTGTAGTTACAGTAATCCAGACTGCAAGAATCAAGATCTAACATGTTTATTCAATTACAATTATTGAGAGCTGAAAAATAGGATTAAAAAAGGGGCGGAGCCTATCTTGCAACCATGGCACATTTTTTTAAAGCAACACCCTCGTATAATAAGGCCATTGCGAAATGCTTTCAAACACCAAAATATATAAAATTAACCTATCCAGCTATGCTCACAAGAAATATGAAAAAGAAATACTCAAAAACGATCAAGTTTGACCACTTTTGAGAAAAAAATTATTTTTTTTGAAAATCGCCTGCAGATTGTGCAGATCCGCAATTTCGTGAAATTTGTGCAAACACTGTGACGACAATTGTGTGCTACAGTACCCCTTTCAACTTTTTTTCAACAAAAAGTGAATTGTTTCACTGAAAACAATGAAATAAATTATAACAATGATTTCTGAACATCCTTAACTATCTCTACTTTCTTTTTTGACAATGATATTTCAGTTTTATATTGCATATTCCGGTCAAAAACTGAAAAAACACAATTTCCCTCGAAAAAATTAGTTTTCGTCTGAAATATTGAATCTTAATGTTTATACTTCTTCAATTTATTTTTTTTCATACCCAAAAAACAGTTTTTTCCATGCAAATTGTCATTTTCCGAAAAAATGGAAAAAAAATTTGCAAAAAAAATAAAAAGAAAACAACGAGACTCCGCGTTGACGCTAGCCCGCGTTGTTTGAATTTGAGTTTTTTCAGTTTTTCAATGGGTTTCCATATTTCGGCTAATACTTATTGAAACTTTTTGAATTTTTTCTCCGCACTAGAAAACAGTAAAACTAAGCTAATTCTAAGATTTGAGAACATTTGGGCTTTTTTCAAGAAAGTGCCTATTATACGAGGGTGTTGCTTTAAACAAATTTGAAAAAACCGTCCACCGGAAATTGAATGGTTAATTGATCCTTTTCTATTTTTTGGTATCCGGTTGAATGCAAAATTTATTGGGATGCGAAAAAAATGGGAAGGGAGGAATTAGATTACGGATCACTTGATGTTATTATAAAATTTTTTATTCCGAAAATTTATTTGGAACTAGAAAAATGGGCCAAAAGGGATTGGAGGATGACTGAAAATCATGAGAAAAACTTGAAATTAATTTCAGATTTTGGCAATTATCGTTGTGCACATTTGGACGAATTTCACGGGAATTTATTTGTGCTCAACAGCTGATCGATTGGCCAGAAATGCATTTTTATCGGCCAGAAATTCGGCGGAAGCTGAAAATTGTGCTGATTTTCAGTCGACAAGATTGGTGAGTTACCCAAGTTATTTTTTCTGAGTGTGAAAGGTTCAGATAATTTTCTACTTATCTACAGTACTTCTTTTCCAATGAGATTAAGCTACAAACTTTTTTCCAAATTTTTTTGGTTTTTCAAAAACACAAGAAAATTGAACAAGTATCGAATTGCAAACAAATAAATAAACAAACAGAATTCGAATTCAAATTCTATACGACAGAAAATTATAATGAAAATGAAAACAAACAAAAAGCCGAGAAGGTGAGATGAACTAATATAATAAGGAGAAGACATGAATGCGTCAAATAGCAAACATGTCAAAAAAAATAAGAAATGAAATGAACCGATTTTTGAGGGATTTCGGGATATTGTACCTAGATACAGTACTCTAGAAGGGTAGTTTTGGATTAGAGAAGATATATTTTGATCTACCAGATGTTGTGCGTTACTGTATCGCTCCCAGTACACTGTAGATTTGATCTATCATAATTTAAAAATATTTGGAGGTTACTGTAAATTGGTACTGTACTCTGACGAATTTTTAATTTAGGTTTGATCTACCAAAAATCATCGGATTTTCAGAACCGCCTACTTTCTTCTTTCATCCCATATCATCTAATAACTCAAGCCCGACATCAAATCACCCTGTATAAACCACATTTATACAATGAAACATATTCTCAAGTATCAGTTGCTTATGGTCGATTAATTGGTTTCGAATCTGTTTTGACCCAATGTGCACCAATTGATGCGGCAAGAGTTTTTGAAAGAATTAGATTCGAGAATTGATAGATTGGCTGCACAAAATGGATGTACTCGAGTTGCTTCCGAAGGTATTACTGTTATATCATCGATGCCTGCAATTGATTCACAACATGCTGCAAGATTGTGCAGATTTTCTCTTGAACTTGAGACGTTGATTTGTTCGTTTAGAGATGCAACTGGAGCTGATGTTGGAATTTGTATTGGTGAGTTGAGAATTTGGGGATGAATGAGAGGAATTTAATTTATAAACCAGGAGTCCTCGCCCTGTCTCCCAACCCAAAAAACTCTTACTTCTTTGCAGGTATTGATACTGGAAGTATAACTGGTGGAATTGTTGGGACAACAAAATGGCATTATGATGTAATTGGGACAACTGTTGATAATGCATTATTGATGCAGAGTAATGCCACTGATTCGTAAGTATTTTTTTTTGAGAATCTGATCCTCACTGAAAATCAGAGAGCAATCGATAATCTAGAAATATTCCCCATTTGTTTGCAGCGGTATCTACGTGTCCAACGAAACTCGCCGCTTCCTCGCCGATGCCACTTTCGAACTCGAAAAATGCGAAATCGGTTGGCGAGTTTACGGAACTCTCCCGACTCCCGAACTCTTCCCAGTCAATAAACGATTTTCATTGGTCACAATCCCTCAAGCAATTAGTCGAGTTCTTCAAAGTCTAGTCACAATGAATCCGTCGACTTTGAAAAGTCAATATGGGACTTGTAATAAGAAAAGGAAAACTGATGGAGCTGGAGGAGGAAATGGTGTTGGCACAGGAACAGGTTCAAAAGACACAGGAAATTTTGACATGCAAAAAGAGAAATCTGAACATTCGTCAATAATTTCTACATTTTCACAACGATTTCGAAATCGTGGATTAGAAATCGAATATCATAAAGAGACTGATCATTGGTTTATTCCATCTCTAGCTATTTCCATATTTTTCCTGGTTGTTTATGGTATTTATCATATGTTGGTTATGCCGAGACTTATCACAAGTCTTGCTTTGATTGTAGTTGCTCTAACTCTCATGTTCTTCATATTGCTCATGTTATATATTGATTATTTTCATGTGAGTATTTTCAAAGGCCTTTCTTGAAAATTTTCTGATATTTTTCCAGAGTTTTTCGCAATTCATCACCAGAACTTCGGCTGGACATTCTGTCACCATTTTATTGATTATCACTATGTTATTTTTCTGTGGAATTGTTAACACGGTTAGTTTTGGGGAGATTTTTATCGAAAAAAAAAGGAATTCTAAATTCGAATGTTCAGATTAGTTATCTTTATATCTTCAAATTTTGAACTCATGCTTAAACTGGAGCCCTGCCATTTTCTAGAACCGAAAACCTCTCATTTTTTCCAGTTTTCTTGCCCTCAACCATCAGCCCTCGACGTCTGTCAAAAAGCACATTTCTCCACATTCTCCTTTGCTCTCTGGACTATCACAACAGCCGTATTCGTTCGATTTCCCTCAATTTATCTTGGACTTATTCTAACAATTGCTCTAATCACATATGCTCTTCAAATCTACGTAACTCGTCCCACCAATTTTGGTGCCAAAGAATTTATGCAAGAATTGGATTTATCGTGTTATTTGATTAGTTTGGCAGTGATGGTATTTATTCACGCGAGAAGATGTGAAAAACTGTTGAGACTTGATTTTTTGGCAGTTGTTAAAGGAATTGAAGAAAGTGCTACCAAGGATAAACTAGTCACTTTGAATAATCAAATGTTGCTGAATCTTGTACCCGCTCATGTTGCTTCTGGAGTTGTTCAAAAAGCTGGAGATGTTTGGCATCATTCACATCAAACTGTTGGAATTGCGTATATCGCTGTTAGTGGATTTGATTTGCAAGGTGATGCTGGTCTCAATGGACTCAACTATGTTTTCTCTCATTTTGATCAATCTATCTCTAACTTCAAAGGCGTGGAGAAAGTCAAAAGTGCAAACAGATTCTATATTGTTGCAGTTGGACTAATTCCTGATAGTGCACAAAATGTTGATGAAACACCGTGGACTATTGGAGAACTTTTATCAACTCTCGCCAAGTTTCTTATTTCGATCTCTGAGTTTAGCATTGAGAATGAGTTTCATGTTCAAATCGGAGTTGATTGTGGTAGCACCTTGGCTTATGTTAGCAATACCGATCAACCTAGATATGAGCTATTTGGGGAGACATTAGATCGTTCGAGGATTCTTATGCAAGCCGCTGGTCATGATACTACTCTAGTTTCGGAAGAGGTTTATCTCGCACTTCGACCCAGGCCACTTAGATTTGGAACACAGAAATATGATGTTACAAATAACCTAAGCGCGTACGAATTACTCACATATATTCCAAATGATAATGGTCTGGATGACATAACATTGCCAAGAGAATTACAAGAAAAACATACGCGTGGAATGGTTGATGCACAATTCGCCTCGAATCGAATCTATGAGAATACACAAACATCTGAAATGGCATCATCAATGGCTTCGAGTTTCTCAAGTATTGATGGAGATGCGGAGACCGACAGTGATTTAGAGTGGATTACACCGGATACACATTTGATGAATCGAAGTGTTCCTCCACCATCTTTAAGCTCGCGAGGCCCTCCGAGGAAATATGTGATGCGACAATCGGATTATGATCCTTATAGGGAGCCGATGGAATTCTATTCGGATACTGAAGGAAGTAGACCTAGCAGTCGAGCAAGGGGATGGAGATCTACCTCGAGGAATTCTCTTCGAAACGGGTTCGGGTTATTCAAAAGATCTTCTGCGCCGGTTTCAGACACAGAAGATGCGGTGATTGAAGCGGCTGCGAATCGAGTTGATCGAATGATTCAAGAACTCAACGCATATGGAGATTTTGCAGATGTTAAACCTCTCGAATATCAGCCATTCCCATCGAATTTCGGAGGATCTATGAGAAGTGTGCACCGCGCAATGTCTTCTGCTTGCCATACGGAATATGATAATGCGGAATCGGATGGTGATGCGATGATTTCGGATGTGGAATCGAATGCGAATCGATCACGTTCAAGAAGTTTGCGAAGAGGTTGGCGGCAAAAGAAGCGATGGCATAAAGATGGAGCGGATGGAGATACTGAATCGCAATGTAGTAGTATTGCGGCTAGTATTGATTTAGAACCTATACGGTAAGCTTTTGAAATGCATTCTCTACCTAGATGGGAAATTCGCGCACCTTTAACACTTCAAATAATGAAAACCGAGCTATGTTATGCTTTTACGTATTTTTATCAGTGGATCGCATTTGCACTATTTTTTAAAATAGAATTTGACTTGAAATTTAAATTTTTTTCTAGGAGTTAATGCGCTCTATTGAAAATTAGGATTTCAGTTTAAAATTTTGAATTTTTTAAGTTGCAATTTTTAATATCATCTAAATTAGGTAGAAAACGACAAATTCAAGTAATACATCCTAATTTCAAACTTGGCCTTAAAAATCACATTTTAAATGTATTTTATCATGTTTTCCTCGTCGAAAAATGCAAACTTCGCAATTTCTCCCGGAACATTTTTCACTTGCAAAAAATCGATGGTTTCCAACGGGTCCTGTAGTGTAGAGGTTATCACGTCTGCTTCACACGCAGAAGGTCGCCGGTTCGAACCCGGCCAGGACCTATTTTTTGTTTTTTTGTTCACTCTTTTTTTGAAATGAAAACAAAGAAAAGAACAAAAACTATCTGTTTTCACAATGACTCATAAAAAAAGAAAAAAGGTGATGAAATCACTGATCAGGGTTACAAATACAACATTTTATTAAAATCATGTTTTTTTCAGCTGGAAATCGGTTCATTCAATCGGCTATGAAAACGAATACGAAATGCCAAGCGATACCGAAGGTTTAGCGATTGAAGAGATGGTCGCATTGTCGCGCGACATTCGCAACAATTTCGGCGATTTTCAACTATCCACTTTTGACGACATCGATAAGGATTAATTAAATTTCTCTCACAAAAATGTCTCCTACGGGTTCCTCTTGCTCATTCATTCATTCTCAAAACAAAACCCTCTAAATATTTTGCATTTTAATTTTGTTACTGGTCTTGCCTGATTTCCGGTTCTTTCTTTGTTTTTCTGCCAAAAAATTTGCTTTCCAAAAAAAAATAATAAATATTTTCAAGGTACATGTAATTGTTTGCAGTTGGGGTCTCGTGGCGAAGACATGGCGCGCAGCAAATTGTGTTTGAACTTGTGTTTTTTTCTTTTTTTCACTCAAAAACTTTTTCCGGGACTAGGATCTCTAGGTTCGGCTACGAAGCATAGAAGCTCTCAAAGCGCGGTTCCTTGGAAGAGTGGATCTCCAGACGCAGGTCTTACCAGGAAAATGTGTGACAAGTCCCCGGAGATTTTCAATGAGACAAATATGTCCTCTTGATCAGTTTATCACGCTGAGAAAGATCCTGTTTTCCGTTTTTGCTAAACGAATCTCTGAAGAACCCAAAAATGAGCAAAAAGTCGAGAATTTCCTGAAAATCGCGTTTTTGAGAGTCCATAACTCATGTTAGAAATTATTTTTATGGAAAACTGAAGGCGTTGTTCAGGAGGGTCGATTTACCAAACTCATAAGTTTTGATTCATAGATTCCTAGATTCCGAGAATCCTAACGTCGCCGCGGAGCTACCGGCGACGTTGCCGAAAAATGGGTCGGCAACGTTTTTGTTATTCAAAAATTTGAAAAATCCAAATCTAGGCTCTTTTGTGATTTCTCTAGTTCAATTTTCAATACCCACCTTTATGAATAAAATCTCCAACTCGTTCAAAATCAGCTTATCCACGCGATGTCAATGCAGGTGTTCGCAATCGAATTCCTCCTGGGCTCAAAGTCGAAACATCTCCTGGACAAGTATTCTTATTACATGCAATATGTGCGAAATCCAAAATATGTTCCGCTCTGGCTCCTTCAATTACAATTGGCCGAAAATCAACCAAAAGTAAATGATTATCAGTTCCACCGGTCGCCAAAGTATATCCATGATTCTTCAAATTTTCCGTCAATCCTTTGGCGTTGTTCAAAATTTGTTGTCCATAAGTGACGAAATCTTAACTCAAACATTGTTTCAATGCAACTGCGATACCCGAAATTGTGTTCCACTTGTTTACCGAAGGAGAACTTTGGGGTTTCTTTTGGTGCCTCTGAAAATTGCAAATATAAATTTACAAAAAAAAACAAAATTATTTGTAATTCTTACCTGTTTGTTTTCCAAAACTGAAACTTGGTGTTGTTTTAGCAGTTTCGGCTGGTTTTACAGAATTTCCGAAACGAGAAGCTCCTCCGGTTGATGAATTTGTGGATGCTTGTTCTGCGGCTTTCATGAAACTGAATTTCGGTGTAGAATTTGCTGTCGATGAAGCTGCGGCAGTTTCAGCGGCGGGTGTGGATTTTCCAAACGAAAATGAAGGGGTTGTTGATGTTGATGTTGTTGACACAGGCATAAATTTCTGACTTTTTTTCCTGTCGGCTCCGCCCCCTGCCACGATTACACGTTTCACGTTTTTAAAATAATTTTTTCGTTTTCATCTTTTTTTCTTCACTAAATTTCGAAATTTAAAAAATCAGAAATAATTATTCATTGAAAAAAAAACGTGCCGCACCTTGCCAAATAAATCCCGCCTCCCGAATCACGCGAGAATTTGTTTTTTCTGCGACAGGCATTTCTGAATTAAAAAAGTCAAGAATTTATGCCTGTGGTTGATCCTACACCTCCTCCAAACAAACTTGCTTTTGATGTTCCAGCTCCTCCAAAAATGCCTGTATTGTTCACCGAACCATTAAGAGAGCTCCGCTGAACTGTGGTGTTTGTGATTGAGCGAGTTGTTCTGTGGCTGCTGCAGCGGCGCTCATTCCAAATGAGAACTTTGGTGGTCCAGCTGGTTGTTGAAGAATTGATGGCTTCGAGAAGATTGCTGCAGCTTTATCAGCTGGTTTTCCATCTTTTCCACTTCCACAGCAAGAACAAATATCAGTTACAGCATTATTACGAACATAACATTCAGTGCATTCCCAACTTCCAGCGGCAGGTTTGAATTTATCTCCGAATTCAACATTCTTTTTGTTTGATGGAATAACAACTTCTCTTGGTTCTTCCTTCACCTCTTCTTTTTTCACAACAGCTGCCTTGATTTCCGAATCGATTGTTTTTGCTTTTTGAGGAGTTGATTTATGCTCATTGACTGTTTTCTCGAACAAATTCTTGAATTCAACAGCAATTTCAACAGATGCAAATCTTGCTGATAATTTGACATGTTCTGGTTTGTATTCAGCAAAATCTTCACAGAACCAAGTGTATGCTTTATCATTCGATGTCATTTTTTGGATAGTCATCGATCCGATGAATGGGAAGTTGGCACATACTTTGAGGACTTGATCACGCGTTGTTGTGGCTGCTGGAACTTCTGGTTTTTTCCGAAAATGTTTGAGGATCCGCCGAATGAAAATGTTGATGTCGCTCCAGTTGCAGCAGGCGCAAATGGTTTGATTGTTGGTGCAACTGGTGTGACGGTGGGTGGGACAACAACAGCTTTCGGTTTCTCTTCGACAACTGGAGCAAGTCCACCAAAGACCTAAAAATTCAAAAACATGGGTTCAACTCAAAATTGCGAAATAAAACTAACGCTCTTCGGTGTTGTGGTTGTTATAGAAGCTGTTGATGGCGATTCTGTGGAATTTGAAGCTTTGACAAATGAGACTGGTTCCACTTGTTTACCGAAGGAGAACTTTGGGGTTTCTTTTGGTTCCTCTGAAAATTGAAAAATATGTATTTACATTTTTTTAACTAAAATATTTTGAAATCTTACCTGCTTGTTTACCAAAACTGAAACTTGGTGCTTCTGAAAATTGAAATATAGGTGTTTACGGTAAACGTGGGTATTTTAAACCCAAATTGCAATCAGATAATTAACTCGCTCACGGATTCAAAACAATTTCATATATAAACACAGAAAAGATGCGACAATAAATAAAAATGATTTAACCATTTAATGGGTTTTGGGTTCAGTAGTCGCATCGTGGTGTATTATCAATATTTTAATTCAATTATAAACCAGTAAAAAACGAAAACGACGGTAAATTTGGATAATTGTTTTATTGTTCCAACGTTTCGATGTATTCACATCATCATCAGGGTGTTAAATACCTGGAAATATACAACTGAGAAATATACACAAACATTGAGAAATCACATAAATAGATAAGATTGGAATTTTTTAAAAATGTGAGAAGTTATAGTACAACTAGTTAGTAGAAATTGTAATGGTAAAGTTATTTACAAATATGGAAACTTTTTAAGGTGTAAAGCTATGAAAAATTCGTTGAAAAATAAAGACAAAACAAAAAAAACCAGAAAATGATATTTATGCTAAACAACGGGCATGGCGGGGTGTCGTTGTAAGTTGTTTGTGATGTTGTTTTGTTTTGTTTTATTTTTGAAAATTATAAGGAATTTTATGGATTTTTTGAATGAAGTTAAACAGCCAATTCCAGAGTTCCAAGCTTTGCAATCATCTCACTAAGCTCCTCTTTTGTGTTTAAAGTAGGATTGGCATGTTTTATCGCAACTCCCTCCAGAATCTTACGCCTAGTCGTGTTTCTTTCAACCTCTAGTATTTTAAGATCTAAAGTCAGAGCTGTTCCACCATGTTTTTCCACAGCATGTTTTGACCACGTTGTATTGAGATATGACTTGGTCAAAGGATTTTTGGCTGCTCTCTGGTGTTCAGCAAACCTTTCAAATAAAGGTCTACCTGTTTCGCCGATGTAAATTTCACCACAGTCACAAGTAATTTTATATACAACGCCTTTCACGTTGCATTTACCAATACCCAATTTCCTACAAATGAAGCAATCACGGTGGTGGCAAACATTATCGAAACATCTGTTCTTCGTCAGAATATCACCCAGAGATCGACCTTTAAGTTCGATCACCTGGGCTTCCAAACTGAGCGAATTAAGAAGATTACGAATTTGTTTGGTGATCGCATCACCTAAGAATGGGATTGGCATTATGCAACGATCCATATTGGATGGAACAGTTATTCGTTTTTTGTGGAAAGATCTTTTTGTTTTTTCGTTTGAAAAATAATAACCATTCTTCTCCAACACTTTTTTCGCCATATTTGTTGAGTGGGATATATATTCCGGAGACGAACATAATTTCGCTGTACGAATGGTATTACAAACAATGTTTGATTTTTGTTTGATGGGATGGAATGAGTCCATTCGTACTAGCAAATTCATATTGCTCGGTTTTCGATACCAGCGGTTGACAATATTATTGTTATGCAGTTTGATCTCAAAGTTTAAAAATGGGAGCCAACCATTTGTTGGTGTTTCCCTTGTGAGATTTATAAATTTAGACTGTGAATTCAGACATTTAAAGATCTGATCCAAGTCCTCATTTGTTTCTGCAATAACAATTATATCATCAATATAGCGAAAGAAACAGATATTTGGAAGACTTCTGGCAGGAGTTTCAATTACATCCATGTAAATTACTGCCAACACCTTAAAAAGTTTCCATATTTGTAAATAACTTTACCATTACAATTTCTACTAACTAGTTGTACTATAACTTCTCACATTTTTAAAAAATTCCAATCTTATCTATTTATGTGATTTCTCAATGTTTGTGTATATTTCTCAGTTGTATATTTCCAGGTATTTAACACCCTGATGATGATGTGAATACATCGAAACGTTGGAACAATAAAACAATTATCCAAATTTACCGTCGTTTTCGTTTTTTACTGGTTTATAATTGAATTAAAATATTGATAAATAAAAATGAGATATGTAAAATGAGATAAATAGGATAAAGCAATAAAAAATGTTTTCTGATTCAATTTTCAACAAATATTCAACGAATCATAATTGTTTGAAACATGCTTCTCAATGCTCCTCTTGAAACTATCATACTGAATATCAAAAAATGATGAGACCAAATTACAAAAATGTGGTATGTGAACATCCGGAATGTCTAGCCAATATCTGAAAGATGGAAAACATTTTACTGGATAATTTGATCAAAACTCACGTCGAAACATGTCTATATACTGCGATTGGCACTCCCTTCCGACGCAATCTTTTTTCCTTTTCGAATAAGTTCACCGGAATTCCACCACCATCCACACCGCAGTCTCTCAAAAATTTCGAAATATTTAGGCTAAATTCTTGGAATTCAAATGAAGTGTTTGAACTTGTGGAAAGTGCAGAATGTTCCGGAGAATAGTTGAGATTTGAGATTTGTTGTTGAGATTTCTTGAGATTTCGAGATGAGCAATTGGTTAGAGGAGTCGAAGAGAAGATCGGGTTAGAGTCTTCTGTTTCATCATTAGATCTTGGAATTTCGATTTTATTTGAAGAACATGTTTCAACGGGTAGGGGGGCGGTAATATATTTCGTCAAGTTTTCGTATAGCATCGAAAAGTGTTCTCGAGATATTTCATCTTGACCAGTTGAATCATTTGATTTCAAATTGTCCAAAATTGTGTTGAGGGCCGAAGCTACATATTTGATTTGATCCATAAAATGTTGTGAATTTGACAATTGAACTTCGGCGGTTTGACTCTGCAAATAGTCAAATTGAAAAATTGTTGCGCTCTAAAAATGAAATAATTATTTGGTGAACTCACAATGCAATCAAATCCCTTCTCCAATCTCTCTTCCACTTGTTCTCTTTCATCAATCAATCCGAGTTCTTTTTTTGCATTATTTTCCCCAAGTTGTCGTCGATCTACAGAATTCATTGTCAGTTGTTCAATCTTCTTCTCAAGCTCTTCATTTTTCGCTTTTGCATCAAGCAACTCCTTTTTCAGCTTTTTGATATCATCCTCATTTTCGGAAATCCCATTTTCCAGCATTTTGAGTCTTGCATAATCTTCTAAAACCTCTTGAACATTTTTGCACGAACTTTCCTTTGCAATATTGAATCGCGTTTCGAAGGCGGAAACTTTAGATTGCAAGATCAATATGTCAGTTTTCAATTTTTTGTTCTCCTCGAACGTAGAAATAATCGGTAACTTTTGAACATTTTCATGCATTTCGGTTTTTGAATCCTTGAGATTAGAGATATCAATTGATAAATCCACTGACATTTTTCTGAAAAAAAATCGTTTACATGTCAACAATTAGTTTTTAGAGAAAAATAGATTAAGAACAATTATTTCAACGCAGAAGTATCTCCAGATTCTGAAAAAAATCTTCAGCTTCTGAAAGCTATCAAGAACATTTGAAATTCGATGAAGAGAAACTGAAACAGAAAACGCGTTTTTTTTGCGAACAAAAAAAATAAAATCAAAATCTCGTAAATCAATTACTAAGAGAAAGCCGGCGATGAAACATCCCCCGACAACCGGAAATGATGACACGCTGATTATTTCGCCCCTTCTGACCTAGGAAACCAAACAGCCAGCCACACGGCCACGCTCCGCCCACTTTTTCCCGATTTTTTTATTTTCACTAGCATTGGCCGAGAAGAAAAGCGAGTGAGAAATACATGTGAAGTTTATTGTGTAAGAATGAATATTTTTGAATTAAATAGCAGCAGAGAAGAACGGTTCGCCCCTTTACCCCCCCCCCCTTTTTTACCTTTTCCCCTTCTCGAAAGCAATCGACAATTCCACATCATTCGCCGTCTTTGTCACAATCTTCATATTGCTCATATTAATCTTCTCATCAAGTTTTGTCCCAAATTCCACCTCAAACTTCTCGTATCGCTTCTCAAGTCGCAAAAATTTTTAATCGGAAATTTGAACCAGATCGAACTCCTGAATATTTCGTGGCCGCTCTAATTTCACGTTTTAAACATTAAAACTTGTGCCATAAACATTTCGATTTGTTGAGAAATTCGGAATCAGATCCAAATCTACCAGTTTTTCCTCTTCTTCCGCCGAAAGTCCTTGAACTTCTTCACTAAACATCAAAACTGCATCTTCTTCTTTATCTTTCATTGTGTCAATCGCCGAATCTTCATCCTTTTTCCCATCAAAAGCCTTGTCCAACAGCGAATCCAACAAAAATCTAAAAAAAATCTCTTCTTCATCAATTTCAAATAATTCTTCCGTGCTTTCAATCTGAAATCATCCCAAATTCGTGAAATTTTGAAAATGTTCAACTCACGTAAAAGTCCTCTTCCTCAAAACTCATTGTTTTCCGCGGAACTTCTGGCATTTTCAAAAAAAGAAAAAAACAAAGTACCGTAGTGCAAACAAAAGAAACATTGTCCTGTCACGAGGTCTCGTCACGAAGTACAGTACATTTTCAAAGGCACACAACATTTTTCTGTTTTTTGAACATTTCTTTTTATTTTTTGTTGTTTTTTCTAAATCCTAAACTAGTATTCTCCAAGGGAAAAGCGACATTGGAGAGGTTCTCAGGGTTCCCATATTTTAACGTGTCCATTTCTAAAATCCGGGGGGGGGTTCCCAATTTTTAAAAATCCCCAGAAATTTCTTCGCGAAAACACACAGCGCGTATTTCGCGTCAAGGTTGCGCGTAGGATTTGGTGTTTGCGGGCAGTCGGTGTTGACATACACTCTTATTTTTTCCGTTCTTTCTTTAGGTTTGGGATTTTTTGTTGTTTTTTCTAAATCCTAAACTAGTATTCTCCAAGGGAAAAGCGACATTGGAGAGGTTCTCAGGGTTCCCATATTTTAACGTGTCCATTTCTAAAATCCGGGGGGGGGGTTCCCAATTTTTAAAAATCCCCAGAAATTTCTTCGCGAAAACACACAGCGCGTATTTCGCGTCAAGGTTGCGCGTAGGATTTGGTGTTTGCGGGCAGTCGGTGTTGACATACACTCTTATTTTTTCCGTTCTTTCTTTAGGTTTGGGATTTTTGATTGAAAACATATGTTTTCTAGTAGTTATTGACCAATCCTGTTGTCAGTTCCAATCAACATTGAATCCTGTAGCAAAGTTTGAAATTTTCAAAATGTCGTGACTTTCCACGTCATGCAGGCATGTTCATTTTGCCGGCAATGCCGGCCGTTTGCCGTTTCAAAAACGGCAACAGCAGCCGCTGCTGTTTTGAAAAAATAAAACAAAACAGCATGCCGTGGCTGCCGTGCCGAAATGCCGGCATTGCTGTCTACTTCGTGAAGAAAAATGTCGAAATCATCAAACAAATCCTCCAAAAACACCCCGAGAAAGAGAGCTAGAGACACGCGCGCGCGAGACTATTTAAATAAATTGTGTGTGCGACGGTTTTCGGGTTGCGCGCTGTTGTGTGTGTTGTGTGCAGGGGGCGGAGCGACGACCTTCTCCTTCCCATTTTGAAAAACGGCAGCCGGCCGGCAAGCCGCGGCTGCTGTTTTCTGCTATTTTCTTCTTTGCTGCTCGGCCAGCAAAACAGCGAAGCCACGCCCACACGGCAGCCGTGCCGTCCGGCCAGCAGGCAGAATGAACATGCCTGACGTCATGTTCAATTTCCAATCTTTAGTTTGTTTATTTGACTTGTTTATAATTTTTTTCACTCGAATCGCCTAAAACCTTGAGAAATTCAAAAAACCTTTCTCAAATAAGTTTAGTCTGATCATTCGACCTTTTCAAAAACATATATACATTTCCCCAACAGTTAGCCCAAGTCGACAAAAACGCGAAAGACAAACTTTACATCGATGTTTACCGCCATTTTTCTCTGAGTGTCTGTCGTCTCTCGAGGCGCAAAACTATTTCGTCGGTTGTTTGTGGGCCCTACGATTGGCTCCGCCCCTTCTCTTTTTTTTTGTTGTTTTCCAAAGTGTTCCTTTTTTCAGTCACTCTTACTTTGTCTACGAAGCGAAGCGAAAATGGTGAGTTTTTTTTAAATTAAATTTTAGAACATCGGGGGTAAATGTGCTCTACCGATAATTTAGGTGCAATGGAGCGCGCTTGAGTTTCGCGCGCTAGACGTTGATCAATCTTTAGTTTAGTTCCTTATCTTGAATAGTGCATTTTTCACTTTTGAAAAAAGAGAAGATATTTATGATGGATGAGTTGTCAAATTGATCAATGTTCCTTTAAAATTTAATAGATCAATAGAAAATTTCACATACTTTATATTTTAGAATAATTCCCTTTTTTATGATATGCATGGGAAAAACAAAAAAGCTATTCAAAATATTTTTTTCTAGAATAGATGAAAAACATGTTTTTTTTTTGCATTTTCTGACTCTTTTTCTCTGTCAAAAAGAAGGAAAGGAGAGAAAAATGTCACATATAAAAATAAAAATCGAAGGTTGGGAAAGAGACGCGTTCGTGGTGTAATGGTCAGCATGGATGCCTTCCAAGCATTCGACGGGGGTTCGATTCCCCCCGAACGCAGATATCTTTTTTTTTTAAAGGGAAACAAATTCTGGAACTTTTCATGATTTTTAGTTTTAGAGATGTTATCTCAATAATTTAGAAAATTGGTAAAATTTGCAATCAAATCCACAAAAATTAGTTTCTGAAAAACTTCTAATATTAAAAAAATATCTTCAGAGCCACACTGGTGATGCCAATCTCCCCGTTCCTTATTATTCCCGTTTGGGACAACCATTGGAAGCCGGTCAAACTTTGAACATTCACGGCAAGATCAATGATGGCGCTCAAGGTGCCGAAATCAATTTGTTGCGCGGTGGAAACGAGATCACTCCCGAAACATCGGTCATTCTTCATTTGAAATTCAATTTCAAGGACAAGAAAGTGGTTTTGAACAGCTACGAAAACTCAACTTGGGGAAAAGAAGTTCGCGAATCGATTCCATTCCACGCTGGAGAAGACTATGATTTGAGAATTCGTGTTCTTGACGAGGCTTTGGAGATTAGTGCAAATGGAAAGAAGATTGTCGATTTTGCTCATCGTATTCCATTCAATACTATCGAAAATTTGGCTGTCAAAGGTGCGCGAAATTTAAAAAAATGAGGAAAATCTAGAAAAATTCTAATTTTCACTTTTTCCCCTAAAAATCTCTAAATTTTTAGGAGATTTGTCGATTTCTGGTCTTCACTGGGGTGGTCGCTTCTACAAATTGCCATGGGAAACTGGATTCCCAGGTGGACATCTTCAAAATGGCCAAAAAATCAATATCTACGCAATTCCACGTGGCGATCGTTTCTCGTTTGATTTGATTGCCAGAAATCAAGATATTTTGTTCCATTTCAATCCAAGAATTAAGGAGAAAGTTGTGAGTTTTTTGTGAAAGAACTGTAACATTTTCACCAGCTTTCTTTTGGAAATTTCTAAAACTCACGGTAAACTTGAATATTCGTTCAAAATTTTCGTAAAATTTGAAAAATTCAGGAATTCTGTAAGAATTTGATTTTTTTTAATTTTGAAAAAAATTTCCGAACCTCAACATGATTTCTAAAATGAGTCACGTTTAAAACTTATTTTTGAATGTCTACAAAATCAAAACCCACCTCACATAATCATCTCTCAAATATATTTTCCATTCCTCAGATCGTTCGCAACTCTCACCGCAACGGTTTCTGGGACAAAGAAGAACGCGAAGGTGCTTCAAATCTCCAAAAAGATGTCGGTTTCGATCTTTCAATCATCAATGAAGAATATTCGATTCAAATCTTCATCAATGGCGAACGTTTCGGAACATTCCAACATCGCGCTCAAAATCCAATCGGCGATTATATTGGAATGAGAATTGATGGAGAGGTTGAGGTAACTTCAATCGATTATTCCGCATAATCAATTTTTAATTAATTAAATTCTCACCTAATATGTATAATCACCCTAATATCTATCGTATCCTTCTCAAATAAATTTCATACAAAAAAAAGAATTAAATTCTCACACAAGTAAAATTCAAAATTTCTCTTTGAAAAACAGAGAAAAAGCACACAAGTTTTGGGGATGCGTTATAGGAAACAAAAATCTTGAAAGTTAAGGTAAAGGTTGAAAATTTAAATGATATCCCTAATTACAAATTAATTAATTACATAGTTTTGTCTGGACTTTCCTCATCTTTTTTCTCACCATTTTTCTGATTATAATGATGTTTTTCGAATGCTTGAACTCGTTGAACAATCAGGGATTGAATTCCAAGTGCGAAAATAGAGCGAGAAAGACAATTTGATGCTGAAAATATGTATATTTTGCTAGAAATCTGGAACCTGTGGGAAATATTCTTACCATTATCTGAAATTTCAGACATTGTTAGAACTGATTGCTTCATATTAATTGCTGAAACAATTATATCATCACAGAATTCGGAAATCACACCAGTTGCATGCATTTGGCCCCAAAATTGCATAGGATCTGAAAAATGTTTTGAAGAAACATGGAACAAATTGAGAAATTATACATTTTCAAAACTAATTTCAGATTAAATTTTTTACAAAATTTTTTTCTGGCACAAATAGTAGAACCAAATCACAATATTTGACACCAAAAAGTATACATTTCAAAAAATTTTTACACCTGGCTTTTGGTTTTGTGACTTTAAAAATTGAATTTTGACACGTGGATTTGGCTTGTTTTTGGAAATATCATTGTAATATACAGAGAAAAATTGCAGTTCGGGAATTTTTCCAGAAAGAAAATAGGAATTTCCAGATTTTCTAACATTTCAAAATTTTTTCAAGCACAGAAATTGTGCAAAAATTCCATTTCAGAAGTCTCTCCCAAAACTGTGAGGGAGAGATCGTGACATTTGGAAAAAATTTTCGAGAGGGGGGCGAGGATCATTTTGGAAATTTTGAATTCACGCCCGAATCAAAATTTCGATTTGGGCGGGTAGCTAATAAAAATTCTCGCCCGATTAGTACTGAAGAATTTCTGAAAATCTCACCATTTTTCAAGCATTCCATAATGACATTATAAGGTGTGCAACCAGGCGTAACTGGTCCTGAACTATAGTTTGAACATGAAGTTTCGAATAAATCATCATCGATTGAATCATTTGGATCAATATCAATTGATTTATCAAGTCTGAAAATAAAAAAGATTTCAAGATGGAAATCCAGAAAAAAAACCAACTTCTTCGATTTGCTTCCTTTTGGTCTTCCTCGAGTTTTCTTCATAATCGATCTTTCAACATTTTTATAGTCAACATCTTCTAGATTTTCTTCCGGGTTCTGTTCGCCACCTAGATTTCTATCCATATTCACAGATTCAACTTCATTTTGTTTTTCAACATCTCCAGTTCCCTCAACAAATTCTTTCGTCAATTCACCCAATTCTTTTCTTAAAATCGCTGATTTTCGCTCTTTTTTCAATTGAAATTCATCAGTTCGATCTTCAAAACTATTCAGATAATTTCTACTTTGACATTTTCCACTACAATTATTCGCGTGATTATGAAAATCGATAGTTTTTGCGTCCATATGACATCTCAATGTGGTTTTTCCGATTCGAATTGAGCCTTTCCAATCTTTTTGTTTTTCTTTGTCGGCACGAATTGTGAATTGTTTTGGAGTCAGGAGTTCGCCTAAATTTAAGAATTTTGTGTAAGTTAGAGATAATTTCACAATCAGGTTATATATTTTTTCATAAATAAATACCGAACTTTTAAAAAAATAAGTAAAAAGTTATTTCCATGACTCATATTCGCAGTTCTTAAGAAGTTTTTGACAATTGTGACCAGCAAGTTGAAATTTATCAAAAACCCTAAACTTCAATTCAACAAACATCTATGAAATATCACTTTTTGAATTTAGCCAAAATCACAAGTTTAAAAAGGTACGCATTTGTGAGTTTCTGACTCCTAATATGTTTTGATCTACCTATAAAAAGCGTGCGGAACCTTGCCATTTTGGCCCAACCCTCCAACTTTGAGCAAGGGTTGAATTTTTCTGCAGCAGCGGTTTTGCATTGGAAAAGGTTCTGTGAAAATTCCCTTAATCTACTTCTCAAAATTCTCGGGATTCCATTATTTATCTTCTTTTTCAATTTTCAGTCCTCACCATCTAATTCAATACACGGCCTATGAATTCCGGGACAAATGAACAGCTCCAAGTGCATTTTCGCTGCCACATGTCCACACGAAACTGGAATTGTAATCGCGGCCGGATTGTCAGGAACTGGCACAGGAATATGTTGAACTGGTTCAGCAGGGTAAAAGGGCGGAGGTGCCATTTGAGGCATCTGAAATTATATTTTTATCAATAAATGTTTCCAGAGGAATTTTCATGCTTACCGGGTACATTAATTGATAAACTACACCAGTTCCAGGGTCCGCATAATATTCCGTCATTTCCTGTTGAAGTTTTCCCGAGAAATGGCTTCGAAATGGTTCGAAAAACACCTTGCAAATCCAGGCGGCCCAAAAAAAGAAAAGAAAAAAAGAAATACGTGTTGTCGTGACGTGACCCATTTTTTCGCACGTGGTCCTTTAAAGCACCGTATTTTTAAATTTATTTTCATTTTTCGTTTCCCCAATTTTTTTATTGTTTTGAACTAAACTAAAACAAATTTGATATCAATCATGCCTGTTTTGATACAAATTTCAACAATAAAAAAGAAGAGGAATTATCAAATGCACATGTTGTTTTTTTGAGTTTCAGTCTTGAAAAATCAAAAATTGAAAAGAATGTTTTGCCGATTGCCAATGTTGTCTGGAGCAATTTCGAAAGAGGAACTAAGGTTAGTTTATTTTATTGTTCCCCTATTTTTGGTTGTTTTATGATTATTAAATATTGTTTCTCATCTACCAAAAATATATTAGGGCAAGTTTTCCTGATAAGAAAATGGCGAAAAAGAGTTTTATCATATGTTGGCAATATTTACATTATTACTCCATTGCCCTATTTTGTCTTTTTTATTATTGTATTTTTTTTGTTATGGATCAAAAAAATAAAAGTAAAAAGTTTTTAATCATTGTGTGTTCCTTTAAGACTACCGTACTTCCTTGTTTGTTTCGAAATTATTTCTTAAATGAATCACATAAAAATGTTTCTTTAGGTTTTGTTATCAAATTTATGATAAAAAGCGCAAAATGAGAGTTATCTTTTCTTTTTCATTCATTTCATGCACTTTATATTTTGCTGTGCTCAAAATTTTTGTTTCAAAACTTCACAAACTACACTTCAATAATTTTAAAGCACATGTTTTTTCCAGAAGACAAATGGGAATAATGAATAATTCAACAACATCCACAATGAAAAGAAAAGGTTGCACAATTGATAATTTGCTTGAGACCAAAAAATCGCTCAATTTACAACAACTTCAAAAAGAGTTGGCGGATTTGGTGGAAAAGAAAACCGAGTTTTTGAAGGCGCAGAAACGAGCGTCTCTTTTTGTAGACACACGAATGGTTTCCGATGCAAGTGTGATGGATGAGTAAGTATTTTTTGCTTTAAAAAATACGGTACATTTGTTTGCAATTACCGTATAAGTCTGAAAAATCTAATCACCTTTCATTCCAGATTCGCAATCTTATACCAAAAGCTCAAAAATCTCTCCGATACAACAGAAATCTCAAATCTTCTCGAAGAAACAGTCAAACAATCAATAATAATCGAATGGCCTCGAACATTTCCAGCGTTGTCAAATGATTTTCAAGACGTTGAAATCGATTTTTCTCCGCTGATTCATCGTGCTCGAAATGTTGTGAAATGTCGAACAAGTCATCCAACTATGAGAATTAAAATATGTGCGATGAATAATGAAATTTGTAGAGGACAAAGTAATGTTGAAACTATGTTTAGAGCAACTTTGGTGAAATTGACTAATGAAGATTTAAAGTGAGTATTTGGGAAAATTAGGAGAAGTGGGATTTTTAAAGAAATATTTTAAATTTTTGTATGGAAGTAGAATTTTCAGATATTTAAATTTCCAGATTAAGTGAAAATCTGAAATTTTGTTTCAAATTTCAATGTGAAATTTAAGGCTGAAAATCAAACATGAACTTTTAAACTTTGATAATTCCAAATTGTTCGTTCAGATCCCGCCAAGTTGCCGGAAAAATGATCCTAACTCAACGCGAAGGTATTCCACTCTCAAAATCACAAGAACAATCCGGAGCCTCTGTGAATTCCGAGGGAAAACTTATCTCAAGTCAATCCACAAATGAAAACGCTTCGATTTTGGCCGAAAATTTGGATGAGCCAACATGTCGTGTAACACCGCTGAAATTTGAAAATGGAATTTTGTGCGCCACGTTTCCAGAGATGGTTTGTTGCCTAATTTTTGCGTTAAATCTCAGAAATACAAATTTTTCAGGGTGTCACTTTGAATTCCATGATTGATCGTCGTCAATTGGCCACAAGATATGCTATTCAAGTTGAAGTTTTCATTTGTCTCGATAATTCCCAAATTATTAGTCAGGTACAGTAACCTTCGACTATTCTACTTCTACAGTAATCTTTTTTGCAGACCGTACTCTCTCACCCATTTCTAATTGCTATAACTAACGATCAAACCGAACCTCTGCTTCAATCGATTTTCTGGAATCGATTGGTTGATTTGGATCATGTGGTGAGTGAGATTTGAAAACTTAGACTGGATAAAATTTTTTGACTAATTTATTATCATTTTCCGTGAAAATTTGAGTAAAAATCCAATTTTTAACCTGATTCTCTACCGAATTTCCCCATCGTTTTTTTGTTTCAGGAAGATTCTCTAACCGATTCAATTCCTATAAAATGGTCAATTCTTGGTCAATCAATTCGTTCATTTGTCAAATCTCAATTACCAGCTGCTCGTTTTTTATTCGATTTCGAAATGTTTCACATTCAAACAATGATTTTGTTGCCAAGAATTTGTCGATGCAAAAGTCCGGAAGAAATTCAAATTTTAGAAATTGGATTGTTTGGAAATTTGAAATGTCAAGTGAAAATTGAAGATTTGGGAAGTGAAGTGAAAAGATTGAGAGATCGATTATTGAATGAGCAAATTCGAGATGATTTTGAAATTTTGAAGAGCGAATTTATGAGTGTAAGTGAAAGGGGATATGGGGAATTTTTAGATGCTGAAAGTTCTCACAAAAAACGCAAATTTGATTTCAGGATCACACAATTTCAATCTTGGATATGAATACTGTATTAGAGCATTCAGTTTGGTTATGGCTTCACAGAGCAACTGAAATGATTCAGGTAAAATACCAGAAAATCTCAACAACACAAAAATCTCAATTTTCAGGACGTTGGTCACAAACTTTGCCCAAGTCCAAGTGTCGACAAAAAATCAACAAAAACCAAAAAACAAATGGCCGCTTCAGAAGATTATCAAACTGTTTTGAGTCTTTTCAACAAAGGGTACGGTAGTTGATACAGTTCTTTTTCAAAATAATTTTTCTCTTAGATTCATCACATTTTGCTCAATCGCCAAAACCGCGGAAAGTTTTGAAAATTTGGAAAAATGCATGATGATTCGATTTTGCGATGAGAACTTGGCACATTTTTCGTTTGCTTATGGAATTGCGTCAGGGTATGGTGACCTGGAATTAATTTTGAGACTGTTCGGAAATTGATTTTTCAGAGAAAAATTATCCTAATAGTAATTCAAGGTCTTTTCTTTCAGAAAACCACGAGTTGGCTCAATTTCCGCTGAACAAATCAAGGATTTCAAACAAGGTTTGCCCGAATTAATGATTGATGAACATTTTCCGGCGAGATTTCCGATGGTTTTGAGATTGAATAATGATTATATTGATGCGGTTGAGTGAGTGAAATTTGAGGGAACTAGATTTTTGACAATAAAAAATCGAGCTTGAAACGTTAATTTTTTCCCCGAAAAAATATGTTTCAAAAATTATATTTCAAAATGTTTTGATCTTTCGATTAATCTGATCTAAAATTTACTTTCTATCAAAAGAAAAATCAAATTTGCTCTAATGGACCTCTGAAATTAAGTTTCAAAAAATATTTATACTGATTAAAAACCGTAATTTCCCTTCCAGAAAACTCGAAATCTTCCACAACTACAAAACTCAACGTCGAAAAATGGAAAGTATCGCGATTTTAGATGACGAAACAACTCGCGTCGATGTTCTCAGTGGAGCACAATTGGCACGCCGTGAAACTCCGCCTCCAAATCTCGAAATTCCACCACTTTTTGCTAGTTTGCTTGAAAAAACTGATTTTGGAAGCTTTTTGGAGATCTTGAATAATGCTAGGTAATTTTTTTTAATTTTCAAAAAAAATATTGAGTAAAAATTTGAAGCAGTGCCAGTGAAAATTTGGATTCAAGTGCTCAAATCGCAAAACTTCTCATGGAACAAGAAGATCAGAAAAATACATAGATAATTTTTTTTATTAATTTTGGAAGTTTTAAAGATTCGCTAGATTTGCTTGTATATTTGCATTTTCTTGTCTTTCTTTCTTTGTTTTTTTTTCTTGCCTCACTATGTTAATTTGTAATAATCACTGTTTTGCTCACTTTTATCAAAAAATAAAATTCTTGTTTCTTAATATTAACGAAGTAAATATTCATCTAAAAAGTTATTTTAATTAATTAAAAATTTATTTGAAAAAAACCCATTTTCAAAAAAATATATAAAAATTTTTACAAAATTTCAACTAACGCTTTCAGAAACTTCAATTGCGTTGTTTTCTTCAAATTTTCAAATTCTGGAGTCTCGAAAAATTTTTTAAATTGCTCCTGGTTTTTGAATTTCTCCATGCAGTTTTTCAATAATTCATTTTCAGTTTTTGGCTCGATTTTATCGGCTCCTTTCAATTTTTCAATAAATGGAATATATTTCGATTCCAATCCTTCTTTCATGCATTTTTTGAATAAAACTTCGATTTCGAATCGGTTTGATAAATCGAGAAGAATTGAGAAGTTCTTGTCTGAAAATTCAGAATTTTTTCTAGAAAATAGAGGGAAAACAAAACAAAATTACCAGTTATTTCAATGGGATCCGGATGAATTGAAGCATAAAGTAAAGCAAATTCATGAGCTTCTACATCTTCAAGATTAAAGGATACTGATGAATTTTTAAATTCTTCGAGAAGTTGTTTCGAAAACATTGAGAGAAACTGAAAAAAATTAAATTTTGATTTAAAAAATTTCGAAAACAGAATTCAGATCCTCCCAATTATATTACCTGCTTATTAACGTATAAAATATCATCTGCCTTCAATTTCACTCGAAAATCCCTCAAATTTTCCAAATCCTTATCGAATTTATAAAACTTGTAATCGAATTTAACACAAATTTCCACCGAATCTTCCACGTTTTCAATAAATTCCTTTTCTTTTGGGGTTCTCAATTTTTTGTGTTCAATAAAATCCAAAAATCCCCAAGATTTCCATTTTTTCGTGTAAACAACTGGCGATCGGAATGTTGCTTTTTCCAAAATTCGATCATTCTTCCAAATTGCGAAATTTGCTCGAACTTCACAGACAAAATTTGAATTTGGAGGAATTTTGGACAATTCCAAATAGCATGCAAAATATTTGATATTTTCAATAATTGAACTTCGAATCGATAATTTCCTAAAAAAAAACAAAAATCTAATTTTTTTTAAACTTAATTCTACTTACCAGGTCAGGTTGTCTGTGACAAAATCATCTCCATGGGTTAGTTCATTGCTCAGATTAGTGATATTTGTGAAAGTGGATTTGTGCGAATTTCCTTGGCTGATTATTGGATTCATTTCACAATTCTTGAAGAAAAATGTGAAGAATGAGATAATTTCTAAAATCGATTTTTTGATAACATGTTTTTAATGTAAAAATTCCCGCGTGATCTACTTTAAAATATTCATTAGAAAAGGGATTATTTTTAGTAACAAAAACAAAATAATTAAATAAATAAGTAAAAATATTTACAGACAAAATAAGGTCAAAATAAGCTTATCCGCCTAATAATACAATTTATTATTCAAACTCAAAGAAATATATTGTCTCGTACTTTCTTTCAAATTTTTGTATTCTGGATTTCTCAAGAATTCTTTAGCAGTTTCGCTGGATTTTATAGAATCGAGGCACATTTTCTGCAAAAAATGATTATTTTATGATTGAAAACAAGAAAAAAATGCTCACCAAAAATCGATTTTCCTCATATTTTTCAGCGATTTTGAACTTCTCCATCACATTTACATTTTCCGAATTGAATCCCAAAATTATCCATTTTTCGAATAAACTTTCGAGTTCCAATATTTTCGCCATATCCAAAAGTGTGGCAAATGTGACGTCTGAAAATTCGTTATGCGAAAAATTTCACAATAAAAAAATTACAAAAAATTACCTGTGATACTTATAGGATCCGGATGAATTGCAGCATAAAAAATCGCAAATTGTTTACTTTCGATATTTTCGAGTTTTTCAAAGTTTGGAGATTCTAGAACATCCGCGAGAAGCTGAAAAAAGTATAGAACATTTTTTTTTCAGATAGTTGGCTTCCAGGATATTCTGCATTTTTGAGGCCATTTTTTGACCTCTGGAAAATCAAAAAAGCTTACCTTTTCATTTCCAAATATCTTTCCATTATTCAACATAATTTGAAAATCTCTCGAATTTTCCACATCCTCGTCAAAATTATACAATTTAAAATCGAAATCCACACCCATTTTCAATAAATCCGCATAAATATAATCTTCGAGTTTGGACCATTCAATAAATTTCTCAATTCCCCATTTAATTGTGTTTTTTTCTGTGTATAAAGCGAGTTTCTTAAATTTTCGGCGAAAATCTCGTAATTTTTTTTTACTTTCATCCATATTACAAGTTACGAATTCCACGTTTGAAACTTCGCACACAAATTTTGAAATTCGTGATGTTTCAAGGATCAAAGAGCATCCCAAATAATTGACACCGTCTATAATTTGAGATCGAATCCCCACTATCCTGAAATTATTTTCAAATTAACTGACAGCTTTTAAAGGACCCTAGACCTTCAATAACTAATTCTTTTTTTTTCAATAATTGAAATTTATTCAAAAAATACTCACCAATAAATATTTTCAATCAAACGTCCAGCTGATGTCATTCCTCTTCCAGCCATTTGTTGAAATCCGTGGAAGAGGCATCTGTACTGATTTCCTTGACCGATAATTGGATTCATATCTGAAAAAATTAATGAAATGATGTATGCGAGGATTGCACCGCCTAAAAAAATAACGAATTAAAAACATTTGGCGCCAAAATTTCGACAGAAAGCTTCTTTGAAAAAAAAATATGGGTGGTCGAAAAATGGGCGTTTTCTGCAAACACTACATTTTACGACAATTTTTAAAATTGTTTAGGCAAAAAAGGAGAAATTGCGATTTTTTTTCGTTGAAAGAAAAAAGAAAAAGCTCATATTTTCAGCTGAATCACCCGATTAAAATAATTTTTGCACTAATCTTTCTTTCGTGTTTCCAAGGAAACCGCTTTTGAGTCACGTTTTATACGTTATAAAATTAATTAGCCTGAAAATCATCAAAAAAAAATTTTTTTTTGAGAAAAAAGCTATAGAGCAGCTGCAAAAAGGAGATTTAAAAAAAAATTATATTTTTCGAAAAAATTGTTTCTAGATTGAAAAGGTTATTAATAATTGAAAGAAACACATAATAAATTAATTCTCTCAAAAATTCAGCAGAAAAATTTAAAAAAATAAAATAAAAAACCTGACGACTTTTATACTAAAAAGTAACATTCACTATTCTAATATGGGTGGCCTGAAAATAGGCGTGGCCAAAAACCACATCCGCAAACACCTTCTCATTTTACGACAACTTTTTAGCTAATTTTTTCTTGGGATTTCGCAATGCATAGAAAATGTATCTTTCGAGAAATCAAACTTGCGGAAAATAATTGTTTTTTTCCGATTTTTTTGAAAAATTGCTATTATCAGCGTTTTGGCCAGAATTTTTCCTAAATTTTTGCCTAAGCCATGATTCAAAAAAAATAGTGTAAAAAAGATTTACTACCAAAAGTATCAAATTTCAAGGAGATCTAACTTTTTATAAATAAACAAACCTGGGTCATAAAACTTCCAGATGTCGAAAATTGAACAAAGAAGCTTAGAAGTTTGACGAATTTATGCTCGAAAAATCCAGATGTGTACAGTGTTCTATATTGTTGAATTTTCAATACCACTCCACTCCTCTGTTTTCGTTGATATGAGTTTTAAAATTCTAGAAATATTTTTTCAGAAAAAAAAAATTTGTTGTCCGAAAGAAGTACACGACATCAAAGGAACACAAAAGTTTTAAAATGTTTCTCAAGACCCACTCATTTTTTACGTGTTCCTTTAAACTGTTATACGGTTCACCAGAGAACATTCAATTTTATTCTTTCCTAAAACGTGTGAAATGGAGGAGCTTAAGAATGTTATGGCAAATGCGAATTGGACGAGTGATTATTTTGCAGGAGTTATTCGAAAATATGTACCGAGAGATGTGAGTTTGTTGAATTTTTAGGAATTTTTAGGAGAAACAAAGAGAAAATCTAAAACTAATAAATTTCAGAAGATTCCTCATAGTTTCTTGGAAGAATTGAAGACAGTTACACCAGGATTAGATTTAGAAATTCGATATATGATGGATGTTTTGGCAAAATTCATCGACGAATCGCCAGAAATGCAAGCAATGTATGAATCACCTCAAAGTTTGTTATTCCATCTCCACAAATATCAATATTTCTCAAACAGCTCTTTATATTTCTCAAAAGGATTGAATTATCAAAATGGAATCGTGATTTTCTCCGAATTTCTGGAAAATGGATTAATCAGAACATTTATGTCAAAACAGGATGCGATTGCGACATTATTCAAAAAAGAAAGAAGAACGAATAATTTGGATATATTTGGAGATGGAATTAAGAAATCTGTATTGAATAAACTTGGAGAAGAATTAGATGGGAAATTCGAATTGATACCGAAATTAAAGATGGAGCAAAATTACACAAGAGATTTTAAAATGATCAAATGCCCGGATTATTCAATGATAAATCAAGTTGATAAAACATCGCATTGCTTTGAAAATGTTCCACGCGACAAAGTTGTACGATTTCTGAAAAATGTTTGTGATTATAATTACTCGCTGGAATTGTTTTTCCGAAATGCGGAATGGTTCAAAGAAAAATATCCAGTTTTGCGGATATTTGAAGATCAAGATAAATTTAGAATGATGTTTGCAAAAGAAGCCGAAGATATTTTGACAATTGTAATGCAGGATAAATATCGAAAACCATTTCCAACTGGATTACTGAAATTGGAAACTGAGGAAGAACGACAACTTGGGATTTTGAAGACTGTGGATGTGTTGAGGTTTGAAAATATTATGAAGATTCTCAAATTGGAATATAGTGATTTATATGTATGTTATTAACTACATAATGTGATTGTCTCAAAACAATATTTTCTTCCAGGTTGTCAATTGCAAAATCCACGTCATAGGCAAAGTTCACTCAGTTCCGATTCCAACTCCATATGGAACATTTTGCAAAATTGCATCTTGCGCTTTATTAGAATTTTTTGACGAACTTTCTTTTGGAATGGATTTATTCAAAGGTGTAAAACCAGAAAATATTCCAATAATTTCGAAATTTTTCGAAGATTTGATAACTGACACAGGAGTATTTTCAACAAAAAGGTCGAATCGTTATTTTATTGAAACTTCGAAATTGGATGAAATTTATGAAAAAGCTTATGCTGAGTTGAAGATTTTGATAACTGAACCGATTCCAAGATTCAATTTCAAAGAAGTTTTCAATCGAAAAGGAGCATTTGAAGAAGTTTGTAGATTTACTGTAAATTTGAGCGAAGAAGATAAAAAAGAGATTGATGCAATAATGAAAAAACGAATTTGGAAAGATATTGGAGATTCTTTGAGTGCTAAACAAGTTATTGAAATTTATCATGAAAGTACTTGGGATTATATGAATAAAAAATGCGCGAAATTGGCAGTTTTTCTGGAAATTCAGGGAATTATAGATGTTTATGGGCCAGAATTGTATGAGCAAAAGATTATTACGGTTGCACGGTATTCGGAGATTTTCAGAAATGCATTTATGTAAGGAGTTTTATATTTTGATAGTAGATTTTAACGATCTGATCATGAACTTCGATAACTTACAAAAATAACTCATATTCAAAGTTGAGAACATAATGTTTTAATGTCGGGATCGTTATCAGCTGGTAAAAATCTACCAGGAAGTACCTCATTCAGGCTTTTTCGAACTAAACGAGCCAAATTCATTTTGCAGGAAACTCCTTCCTAATATTCCACCTGAACCAACTATGACCGAAAGAGAGATGATAGCTTATGTTCGACGAGAAATGGGTGAAACTTTCCGTGTAGACGACGAACCAAAATTGCGCGAATTTATGAAATTTATCGAAAAATTCATTGAAAGAGTTCATAAAAATGGTGATGTTTATGTGAAAAGAAGACCAAATCCTGGTGGTTTACCAGTTGAATTATTCGCCAGAGATCCGGTTTTGAGTCAGTTATTTTTGTCGAGTGCAAATATGCCGACTGATGAAATGCCGAGATTGTATGGAGAAATGGAAGGAAGATTGGAAGAGTTATTAGTGTAAGTTGATGATTTTAATTTGGCGCTTTTCATAATATTTTTGCAGTGAATCTACTGATGAAGATGAACAGAAAAGCATCCTCGATTTAATCGATAACTTCAAAAATATTTTGAAATAATTTTTTTTGTTGCCATTTAAAATGTATTTATTCTAATGTATTTACTACTCAGCAGTTGCAGATGTAGCTAATTCATAGCTCAACCGATCGCAGCCCTTGACACTTGCGTTTTATTTACGAACAGTGTGCGGTTTAGCTACAAACACACACCGAAGTCTGTTTTAGCTACGAAACACACACGCATGTTTTAGCTACGAAAACTGTTTTCCTGTTTATTGCGAAATACTGCTTATGCGGGTTTCTTTCTGTATTTGGCGTAGTTAGAAAACTTGCAAATATAAAACATTTATTCGTATCGAAACATACAATAACATAAGAATATGAAATTACAGTCAGTTATTCACCAGAAACACTTAATTTTCTCGCAGTTGTTTGATAGCTTCTGGATCCTGGACCGGCCGAATATTAGATAGAAAAGTAGCAACTGAAGTCTCCGGTAGGCTTGCAAAAATAGGGCGGTAGGCTTGCAAAACATGTCGATGTGGTGTTTGTGCATTTTGCGACTCCATTTGGCGGTTTAACTTCCCAAAAACCTATTAGAAGCCAACTTGGTCGAGATCCATGACATCCGGCATTCTTCTTGTTATTGGCATCTGTAAATTGAGAAACACTGTGGAATATTGAAAAATGTGTTGGAATTACCTCATTTATTGAAGATTTCACCATCACTTTCCACTTTTTCGAGAAACGCAACAAACTGACTGTTTTTCTGCAAAGATTCAACGTAAAACGTAACTTTTAGATGAACTTACTCGTTCTCCATCGATAAAACACTGACGCGTAGACGATATAATATGTTACCAGCACTTTTCTAGGCTTTAAGTCACGAAAATCGTCGAAAAACAAAACAAAACGAAGAAAACATGTTTGCGCGCCAAAAAACCGTAGCTAAAACGTATGTGTGTTTTAGCTGAGAAATCGGTCAGAAACACTGAGCTAAATTTTTGCTTCGATTTAGCTGGAGATTCAAGTTCTTTCTACGGTTCAGCTACGAAAACCCTCAAAATATGATTTAGCTACATCTGCAAATGCTGAGTAATTTATTTATCTGAATATTTTGATATAAATTCTTGTGAAAACCCCTTTTTCTTCAATTTCGTTCAAAAAACAGTTAAAATCTCTGTAAGACCCATTTTCTAATCAATATTTATGTGTCATCGTGAAAAAATTTTATTTAAAAAAAATTCATCCAAGGCACGCAAACTTTCAAAAAGTCGCGTCGAAACCCACTCAACATTTTACGTGTTCCTTTGAATAAATAAGTACGGTGAGTTTAGTCAATAATTTTTTTTCATTTTCGTCACGCAAATCTCGGGAAATGGAAGAAGTGAAGTCGCTGTTCAAAGACCATCGATGGACTTCGGATTATTTTGCAGCGGTTATTGGAAAGTATGTGTCGAGAAGTGTAAGTTAGCCGAAATTATGACAAGAATCCGGGAAAATCGATTTTTTGCAGAAAATCCCGAAAGAATTTTTGAATGAGTTGGCAAAAGAGTCGCCTGGAGTTGATGTTGAATTACAATATATGGTGGGAAAATTGGCGCCATTTTTCAAAGAATCCGGAGAAATGCGAGCATATTATGAATCGCCTGAAAAATTGCTATGTTGCTTGCAAATTTATCAATATTTTCATCGATCTTCGAAATATTTTGGAGACGGAATGAATTATCAAAATGGATATATGCCTCTTGTTCAACAAAAACATGCAGTTATCAAACATTTTGTGTCGAAACATGATGTAATTTCGGGGTTTTTCACGAAATCTTCGATTCCTAATTGTTTTGTGGATAATTTTAAAAAACAATCATTGGATATTCTTGGAAAATGTTTGGATAATTCATTTGAAATGATAGCGAAAAAGGATTTCGAACGAAATTATGCACGAGATTTCAAAAAGCTTAAAGGTCCAAAAGAGTCAACAGATCGAATTCTTCAAGAACATTCCGAGATTTTCGAAGGAAATCCTGAAGTAGTTCGAGGAGTTTTGACGAATTTATGCGATTGGGATTATTCGCATGAACAATTTTTCTATAATTCTGAATGGTTTCATGAAAAATATCCAATTATTCGAGTCTTCCAAGATTTTGATGATCAATTAATGTTTTTGGCGAGAGATTTGGAGAATATTTTGGATATTTTGATGAAGAAAACACATAATAAACCATTCATAAAAGGATTGATTCGAGTCGAAAATGAGGAAGATCAGAAAAATGGGGTTATGAGAACTTATAGATATAGCGAATTGGAGAAACTCTTGAGGATATGTAGATTAAATTCAGAAAATATGGAAGTATGTGAAAAGTTTGCCATAACAGGGCAATCGCCTAAATGCAACTGCCAGACAGTTTTGAGTCATAGATCACAGAAACAAAACGTTTTTTTCAGAAAATCATTTGCGAAATAAACTTCTTCGCTCGTTTCCATCATTGTCCAATTCCAACTCCCCAAGGAACATTTTGCAAACTTGCCGCATGGTCTTTTTACGAGATTTTCGACGAAATTTGCTTCGGAATGGATTTGTTTAAGGCTATCGATTGGGATGATGTGGAAATAGTGGTGAAATGGTTCGAAAAATGGTTTGATTCGGGAGTTTTTGATACCAAAAGGAGCTATCGATATTTTATTGAGACGTGGAAATTGGAAGAAATTGTTGACAATGCTTATTTGGAATTGGAGAAATTGAAAACACAGGAGTTTTATAAGGTAAATACTATTGCATTCTAGAAGTTAATTTTTTTCCTGGAATTCAGACTATTTTGTTTCAGCTTCCTCTGAAAAAAACGAATTTTTCGAAAGAAGAAGCGCTGGAAATTATGGAGCGGTTAACGGAAAATGTGGACGAAGATGAGAAAATCGAGGAAAACTATGAGAATTTGATCGAAATTCATTTTTCGAGAAACGTGAAACATATAAGTGCCAGACAAATTGTCGAATTCTACAATGAGATAATTTATAATTTTTTGGTGCGAAGAATTCCGAGAATTCCGATATTTTTGGAAATTCAGGGAAGAATTGATATTTTTGGATCGGATTTGCGAAAGAGTTTGAGGATTTCGTTTGAAGAATATATCGAGATTTTTCAAGAGTCTTTTATGTGAGTTTTGACAAAGGAAGGTGGGATTTGTTGAGAAAATTCACCAGAAGTTTGTGAATTCTCAAGATCACAAAAAACTTTACCACGTCATCATAACCTTGTTCATTTTCACTTCGAAAACTTCCGATTCTTTGCAGAAACTGTTTGCCAAAAATGCCTCTCGAAGCCGAATTAACAGAACTTGAAATGATTGCATATACACGTCGAGGAATGGGTGAATATGGTGCAATGGGTTGTATGTTTGAAGAAGAGGAACCCGAAACTATTGAATTGTCCAAATTCATGCATTGTTTTGTTGAAAGAGTCCCAAAAAATTCGGATATTTATGTGAGACCAGTGGCCATTTTTAGAAAAGATCCTGTTTTGAGAGAATTGTTCGAGAATTCGGATAAAGTTGATGTTGCTGAAGTTCCGGGGATTATTAAAGCGAGATTGGAGAAGCTTTTAGAGTAAGTATTTTTGAATTCACGAAAATAACTAAAGTTATTGATTTTTTTCGAGTTTTCTTCAGGAATTATTGACTTTTCAATATTTTTTGCAGAGATTCCGAGGAAGGAGTTGTAATTCGAAAGTTAAGCGATATGATTGAGAATATTAAAAAGACTTTCAAAAAATTAGCTTGAACTAACCTTTTTTTAAATGGTATTTTGAAACTTATTTCTACTCACTTATGTTTATTTATTTTCCTATTTTTATGTATAAATTTTGGATTTTTCAAAAATTTGAATAATGATAAAAATGTCAATAATACCAACCAGGTCATAAAATTACTGTATTAATTTTGCGGGCGGTACGAAAAGAAAAGAACAACTAAAAAACATAAGAAAAAAGTTGTTATGTTATTATTGTCCTTGGACAAGGTTTCATGTTATTATTTATTTGAATTTCAAAAACAACATGGTTTTTCCCGATGTAGATTACGGTATATTTTGTAAGGTTTTTTAGGATGATTCTTGGGGTACTGTAGTTATTTCTTTGAAATTGTGAACTACAGCAGTCACGTTTTAAAGGTTCTCGATCATAGATTACGGTAGTTTTGGTTTTGCAAAGATTTTCACTGTATTTTTTTTTGCAATTCGAGGGAGACGCAGACTTTAACGTGTGCAGACAAATCTCTCGCCGAAAAAGGGAGAGAAATAGTGTGTGGCAGACACACGGCGTGTCGAGACCAGCCTCTTTCTTTCACTGTCTGCGTCTCCTCGGAATTGCATTTGTCTATTAGGAAAAAACACAGTGTTTTCAGTTACTGAAGATTTAAATTAGTTTTTTGTGTTTTCTAAAGGTAGTGCAGATTTCAATTTGAACTACAGTACATCAGGCCTACTACATTACTTTAGTGTATTTTGTGCATTTCCAAAAATACAGTAACCTGTGACCGATCTGAAATTCTCATTTTCTGAAAAATCTCAAAATTGATCTACAACTTACCATAATTTAATTAAAGCTCTGAGTATGAGATATGCGCTAAGTCCCGTTTCTCCTTGATTTTCATTCTTTTTTTCCTCTATAATTTGTTCATAGTTAGTCCATCTTCCACCTTTTTTCTACAAAAATAATTAGTAGGCGCGAAAAAAAGAAGAGGCAAAATAATAATGTGAGGACACAAGTGTCTTCTCCCTGTCTTCTTCTGTTTTCATCAATTTGTTGTAACTTATTATTTGTGTGTGTGTGTGAATAAAATAAATAAATAAATAGAAATATATATGACAAGTTTTCTTGTTGAATTTTCCGTAATTTGGCGGAAAAATCGACGGAGAAAAAGGCGATTTAGCGGAACGAAAATGGAAAAAGAGTGGTTGTTTGGTGAAATGTGACTAATATTTGTACTTGTTACCGGGGTTACAGTTAAAAGAGTACTGTAGACACTTTTGATCTAGAAGATGGGGAGCTTGAAAATTGGAATCAAAATCTGGTACAGTTAGTACTGTAGATAGTATCTTGAGTACTGTAAAATCATGATCTTGAGCATCATAGAAAATGAAGATTAGAAGGAGTACTGTAGAAAATGTGGATTTCAACAAAACTTTTAAACATCAACTGTACAGTAATCTTTCCAGAATGATGTTGTGTTTTCAGCTTCCTACAGTACTTCTCTACGAAATACAAAGAATCATTTTTTTCTAAAAAATATTTGAAATTGTATTACTACTGTATTTTCTAAATCGAATAGAATAAGAACTACAGTACCTATTCTACAGTATGCTCTGCGAAAAAAAAATCCTATCTACCTCTCGAAATCTCCACCGTTTTCAAACCCAAAAATCCATCATACCTTTTCTGTTGAGTAAAACAGGATTCATTTGTATTTGTATTTTATTCTACGTTTTTCTTCCTTCGATACGCTTCATAAATGTCTTCTTCTTCTTCTTCTTCTTCTTCTTCTATTTTTCCTCTTTTTCTACCTTCTACACAGTTTTGTCACCTTCTTCTCAGGGTTACTGTAGACATTCGGGTGTCGGTAATTGCCTCTTCCCCTGAGGGGTGGTCTTTCTTTCTCTCTTTCTTTATTTTTTTGTTGGTTCCGCTACGTTAGCGTATTTGTTGTGTTGGCTTTGTTTGAAAAGGAATACTGTAGATTTTAAATATGATTTTTTTAGGAATACTTGTTGTAACTTGAGGAATGAGATGATATATGTGTCTGTAATCGCTATGTTCCTTTAAATTTAAATTGATTACTGTAGTTGTAGGTGTTTGAACTCTCTTGATACAATGTTATGGAATTTTGAATTTTTGTTAGGTTACTGTATACTGTATCCCTTTCTATCCGGAAATTAAGCGTTTTTTTCACATTTTGATTTACTCAACGCGAAGAAATCTGGAACCTGAAACTTTTTCTCAAGATAAAACATTTAATTCAGGGTTCAAAAAAATTTCAGGAAAAAATTCTACAGTTTTTTCGAACCACTTGAAAGCAAGTTTTTCAATAATTTTCTGAAATTTGAAAATTTCCACAAATTCTCCGTTTTTTTCTGCCATCTTCTTCACCTTCAGATTTTTCGCGTCTCAAAAAAAACATAAAATAATCCTCTTTTTTTCTGCCTCAAACAGTTCTTTCTTCAAAAAATAATCGTCTCCATTTTTTGCTACAGTAATCCTTTCTTTTTTTTGAATTCTTACACAAAAATAAACATAGAAGAAATCCGATTTTAAAGCGTTCCGCCTTTTTTCTTTCTTTTTTTGAACATAGCGTAACTTGTTGCGCAATCTAAAAGTAAATAAGTTGTTTCACTTTTTGGTTTGGAAAATTTTTCAAAATCTTGCCATATTATTTTGAATAATCAATTTTTAACGTTTAAATGATGGAGTACTGAAATAGTTTTTAAAGGATCTACAGTAATATATTTATTATTCTAATTTGACACGTGGATTCACGTGTACTACATATTTTTTATTGATTTGATTTGTCCTCGGGATTTTTTTCAAAATTTTTTCCTGATTTTCTTTAAAACCTGAAAAGTTCTTAATTGCCACGTCATTAATTTTTACTGAAAATTTGAAAAGCTTTAAATTGAACACAGCATTTTTCTATTGATGATCTATATTTATTACAACAAAAATAACGTTGACATTTTTTTTTGAAAAAAAAACGTTTGCTAAAACCATTTTTTAAAATTACAAAGTGGGGTTTTTCCCTAAACTGTTTAGAATCAACTTTTTCCTGATATTTTTGTTCTACAATTCTTAAAAAGTGCACCTTTTTTCTCTGCGTCTTTCAATCTCTAATTCATTTATTTTTCACAGTTTCACATATCCTCTTGAACACAAAAAAATCTACAAAAATTGTTGTCCTAACTAGTCATCTTTTGAATATCTCATCTCAAGTATTTTTGTCTTTTTTTCGTTTTACCAAAAAAAATCTGCTGCTTCTCCTTCTTATTTGTTATTTTATTAGTTAGTTACAGTATCTTCCCTTTTATTTGAAAATGCAAAATAAAAAATGTTGAATGTGTCTGGGCTCAGGCGCCAAAAATTCCATTCTAGATTGGCGGGTATCTCGATTTTATTTTTGAGAATTTTTTTCGAATTGAAAAAAATTCCAAATATTTTATTTTTTTGTTATTTCAGATTCTGAATGGACTCGAGGGTATGGCTGCCGCTTCTTGGATCTTCATTGTTGGCTAATTCAACGACACAACAAAATGGATTGAATTTGTTTAGTCAGGTACAGTAATCCAAAATTTTTCTGAATTACAGTAACCCCTACCTAAATTGTGTGTGTTTAGATTACTCATCAATTTTTTTCTGAGTCATCCAACTTTTTTTATTTATTAGATAAACAATTTCAGTCAGATAAGTAAATATTTTGAATCTGAAGGTTACTGTAGATTTTTGAGGGTACTGTAGTTAGAGTGAACATTTTTCAGATTTTCACATCAAACAACAACAACAATGAACGAACAAGAAGTGAGGCAGAGAAAAACTCGAAAAAGGTGAGCAATTTTTCGAAGACTGGGGAACTATTTGGAAAATTGGGAAAATATAGTTTAGGCTCTGAAATTCAATAAAAATCAACTGTAAATTCTGAAACTGACAAAAAATTGTTTTAAAAAAATAGAACAATTTTGATTTTTTTGCAGTTTCTGATCGAAAGATTTTTGGATGACACATCATCTTCATCCTCAACATCTTCTACAACATCGACTTCTTCTTCGAGTTTAACCATACCCAAATCGGCAGCCATACCCATGGTAGACAAACTTTTTTTTCCAAAGTCAAAAAATATCCAGAATTGTTTTGCAGCCTCTCGCCCGTGCCGTTGAATTTGTCAACGGCGGTTACGGTGTCAAAAATCCGTTAGCACCATTGATTGATTTAGCTTCGGCTTCAGCTTCAGCATCAACATCAGTGGAATCGACAACAACAACATCGGAAGAGACACTGATTTGCCACATTTGTGGAAAAGTAGGTTATCTTTTTCATTTTTGAATAATAAAACTGATTTTAATTGCAGAAATTTGGACTTCAACGACTTTTGAATCGACACATCAAATGTCACAGTGATTTAAAACGATATTTGTGCACTTTTTGCGGGAAAGGATTCAATGATACTTTTGATTTGAAACGACATACTAGAACACATACAGGTTTAGAATAATAATTGCATTTTTCAAATTTTTGTTTGGAAAAAACTTACATTTTCCAGGAGTCCGACCTTATAAATGTGAGCAATGTGAAAAATCCTTCACTCAAAGATGCTCTTTAGAATCACATCTCCGAAAAGTACACGGTATTTCACATCAATATGCTTATAAGGAGAGGAGGAGTAAGGTAAATTAGCTGGAAATCTTGAATTTTTCGAAAGAATTACACAAAGTAACCGCGGAATATTCCAGGTATTTGTATGCGAAGAATGTGGCTACACATCAGAAAAATTCGAATCCTACATTGCTCATCTCAAACTCTCGCATCCATTTTCTGCGACTCTACTTCGTCTAACATCTCTCCCAAAATCAACCAAAAAATAATCTTTTTCTTTTCATTTTTTCTCGTATTTATCATTTTCAATAGTTTTTTCCCTAGATTCTCTCTACTTTTAAACCCGTGACTCTAAACATTCCCATCCACGACTAATTCTAGAACCCGAACCATGATTGATATTATTTTATTTTGAATTGCTCTGAACTTATAAATTTTTCATGACGACAAAATAATACGATTTGTTTTACAGAACACAAACACATTCAATGACTATTCCCATTTCTTCTCGGGATTTCTGTAGTGTATTTAGTTAACCATTCAGCAATAAATCCGATTGGATCAGCAGGTCTTCGTAATAATACTTCAGCCAAAGCCTTTGTCATGACTGGTGCAACAGTTCTAGCAAGATAGATTCCATTTTCTGAAGTTGGCAGATCAATTCGTCCACGGAACATCTTCTCAAATCGATGTCTTTCAATTCCTTCGTCTTCTTCATCGTTGAATCTTGCACTATCAACAAATGAACCTTCGGAACCGGAATCTGGTGTCGCTGGACTATCAATCAAGGGACCATCTTCGAGGAATTCTTCATTTATTGCTTCGAATTCTTCATCTCTATCTTTGATCATTTTCAGGTCAATCACGGCATTTCGACGATAATAATCAGGAGTTCGACCTTCCTAAAAACAGGGATTGTGAGATTTCAGACAAAGATCAAGCCATATCTAATCCTGTCTACCCACAAATTGTAAACTAGGCCCAGACTTCTCTAACTCACATTATCGACAGCCATCGGATCTCCTCCAGCTTTGCCCAAAATCTTCAAATAATGTCCACCATCTCTTGCAGCCGCTGCATAATGCATCGCAGTCCGTTTATTATAATCGGGCGCATTCAGAACTGATGCGAAATGTCCAGCAATATATCGAACAATTTCAGTGTGTTCGTGAACAACTGCCGAATGAAGCGGAGTGCAGCCAAAACGATCACGAGCTATTGCCAGCTTTTTGGATTTCATTAGCTCTTTCACTTTATCTAGATTTCCTTCTTTGATGGCTTTGTGAATTCCTTCAATTTTCTCCTGGAAAAGATGGGATTTCATAAAGTTTCTTTTTGAGTTAGTCACTAACCGTATAATCAGGTAAATTATCCAAAAAGCTTTGCGCATCCGGATGACTCGATGTCCGATTCTGCAACAAATCTCCACACCCAGATAATACTAGTTGTTCCAATTTCGCCACTTGTCCATCCCGCAACCATTGTTGAATTGATGATTCCAAATAACTTGGAGCAACTCGATTGTGCAACACTTGTTTGAGAGCTGCGCGAGTATCCAAACGCATTGCAGATAGATCGATTTCACCGGAGTGTTTTAGGTAGTATTTGGCGGGGCGGCCGTTCTGGAAAAATAACATAAAAACATGAGAATATGAAAATATCAATGAAATATTTATAATTTCATCTTTTCCAGATCAGTGTTGAGTCGAGACAGTGACGCTGACGCGGAAGCGTCGTTCGAGAAAACTCACACAATCATAAATATTTGGATCAGCTCCAGACTTCCTCATGACTTTATATAAATACCCGCCATCTTTCAATGCTGCAGCATAATGCAACGGTGTTCTTTTCTTCTGATCCATTGCATTCACTGATTGCGGATAATTTCGAATCAAATATTTTGCAATATCAGTTCTCTCAAATACAATTGCTTTATGCAATGGGGACAATCCTCTTGTATCTCTACACAATGATAGTTTCTTCCTATCAGTCAACAATTTTACAGCTCTCAGATTTCCAGTTTCCACAGCTTTGTGTATACTTTGAACCTTGGCTTGATATTGTGGAAGAACTTCGAGGAATCCAATACTATCAGCATCTTCAACTTCATGATTTCTTCCCAATAAAAGATCTGCATATCCAGTTAGCACAAGTTCTTCTAATTTTCCAACATTTCCAGTATGAATCCAATCATAAATATCTTCTTCAAGATCTTGTAACAAAGGTCGATTTATTTGACCAGATATTAATTGATTCATAACAGCATTGTCTTTCATTGATCTCACATTCAATCGTTGTCCATGAGTTCGATAATAAAATGGGGTGTGACCGTGTTTGTCTTCGATGAATGCATCACCGCCTGATTTTTGAAGAACTTTTATCATGTGTTCGCCGTTTGGATCAGCGGCTGCGTAGTGAAGAGGAGTTCGACCAGCCTGAAAATAATTTTATTTTGAAATTATTTTGAAAAACAAGACTATTTTCAGCGCAAAAATTCAGGCTATGTTTGTCCTCTATCAAAAGGGTTATAAATTTGGGGCAAAAAATAAAAGTATCCCTCAATTTGTGTTGCCAAATGTACAGTACTCACATGATCAGTAGCATTAACACAACTCGGATATCTTCCCAATAAAAATCGAACAGTATTAGTTTGTCCATGCAATAATGCCTTATGAATTGGTGTCATTCCATAATTATCTCTTGCAGTTGCTAAAAGTGGTCGATCAATTAATGATTTGACACGACGAACATCGCCTTCTTCAACAGCTTTGTGAATTGCATCGATTTTTGTCTGCAAAAATAAACATAAAGAGATTCTGAAATCACCTTGGCTAGGTTCTAGACTCACCAAATATTGAGTCAATCCACTCATAAATTCAGTGCTCGCCTCATTCACTGTCTTTTTCTCTTTCAACATATGTCCTCTTCCATCAAGCACAATTTGCTCGAGTTTTTGAACTTCGCCGGTCGCAAGCCAATCATCGACTTGTTGTTCTGATGGAGCATCTGAATATGGACCAGTTTATGAGATTTATTAGAATATTTTCCATAACTTCCAGTTCAGATTAGCATAAGCAATGCTTTAAGAATTTTGTGTTAGTTTTCTTAAAAATAAAATATTTATCGAAACATTTTTCAACCTTTCAATGAAATTTATTCTGGAAGCCTAAACTTATTCGATGCTTTGCATACCTGAAAACCCTTTCAATTTTTTTTAATTTTAAACGAACCATGTTGCTCAATATACAATTTTTCAAAATGATGTGCTGAAGACATGAAGTAGAAATGCTCAAATGGTAGACACTCATGCATCCATTGGCCCAACAAATTTTGAAAAATTAAATTCGAATTTGTACAAAGATCGGAAAATTATTCAGAAGAAAAAATACACCGAGATAAGAAAAAAGAAATTTTGGAAGAGGTGACTTAGCCAAACTTATTGAATAATTCAAAAACTCGGAACCACGCACGCAACAAGTTTAGAGAGTGTGGGAAATTGAGAGACGCAGAGAGATCACACGCAATCTAATTTTCATCCAAATTTTAGTAGTGATCTAGCTTTTTGACTTGGAAAAATAGATTTTTAAAAACTACAGAGGGACTTTTGCCACGTGGTATAACTTTAGTGTGATTCAAAAAAATAAGTTAGAAAAATTGCCACGTGGATTTTCCTAGAGATTTTTTTCTGAAAATTAAAATCCAAAATTTCGAACCACAAAAAAAGAAGTCGGAGCAAAATTTTTCTGAAGATAGAAATTTCAGATTTCAAACAAAAATAATGTCACGTGGATTTTCAGCTTTATTTTTATTCCCAAAAAATTCGAAATCTTGTTTTGAATTTTATTCAAAAAACTAGAAAAAAATTAAAAATTTTGAGCAAAAATCCAGAAAAATTAAAAAATTTCCTCGAAAGTGCGGAAGTTTGGATAAATGTATATAGGAAATGAATCATAAATAAATTAGAGGATGAAGAAATTTTCGGACAGAAATGGGAAGAAAAAAAGCGAAAGAAGAAAATTTTGATAAGGAGGAGGAACTTTTTTCTTAAGTAGCATTTTGCAAATCTGAACTCTTGATATGTTTTTTTTTTGACATTAAAAATCTCGATGCTCGATGCATAGCAAGATTTGAGATTTGAGCTTACAACGTGGATTTTCAGCATATTCAAATATCAGATATTGAATAGTTCATAACTCTGATATGCCACGTGGATGTTTGACCTCAAACTTTGAAAAAAAAAATTATTTTTCATATTTTTTCACGAGGATAATCCAGGTGTTTTTTTTCTTGTTTTCAAAATGTATAAATTTTCAGAATTTTCGAAAAAATCTGTTTTTGTCAGAGCCAAACCAAGACGAATTTGGTTGAAAAAATACTCCAAAATAAATATTGCCACGTAGCCCATCAAAAAACTAACCAGGATCAAAAAATTCGTCATCAGTCGACATCGATCTTAGCATAATCGACGAAACCGCCGAAGATGGTCTGATGAATTTTTCGGGCGATTGGCGATATTCTTCAGCGGTTATACCTTCCTGAAAAATTGAAATTGGGAAAGTTTTAAAACTTAGAGATTACAGTAAACTAAACTCAGAAGATTTTACTTTTCAAAATAAGGAAAAAAAGAACTGCTGTGAGAGCTCATTTGATTCTTTTTTTAAATTTCTTATTGTCAATTCAGAAATATTCAGAATTTTATGGAAAATAGGAAACTCTAGCTTAAAACATTTGAAAATCGACAATTTTCTGAAAATTTTGAGACTGAACATGATCAAAAAAAAGTTTTGAAATCTAGAATCCGATACTTTTATTTTTATTCACAATTATTAGTTAGGACTCTAAATTCTCAAAACTTCAACGAAAATTTTCAAACTTCAAATTCTGAAAAACTTTTTAAAAAAGATTACTTTTCAGAGTACTTTTCAGGTTCAACCTGCACCTATGGAACTTTTTAAAATTCCAAATTTTAAATCTTCCGAAGTTAAAAAAATATCTGTCTAAACCTTAAAAAATCATTCAAAATTGATCGGATAAAAATCGTACGAAACACATTCGAGAAAATTTTCAGCCACAAGATTTTCAGTTTTTCTCAAGAAAAAAGCCAATAGGAGGGAGATTAACTAAACGAGAATTAGAGATTATTTATCCGCTGTATAGTAGTAGAAAAAAAGGAAGAAGATGAAGAAAAATGGCATCATATTCCCATTTTTCTGATAATCATAAGCTGCCTATTCATACACGTCTTTTCCGGATAAAAATAGATTATCTTCATTTTTTTATGAGAGGGAAAAACATGAAAACATATTTGAGTGGGCTTAAAAATACTGTATTGAATTCTTAGAAACATTTCAAAAACACACAAAAACAACGACACTCCGTAATTACTTCACAACTCACATTATCAGGTAAGTCTTTCCTGGCGCCCAAATCGACCAAAGTATCATAAATTGCATTTTGCTGCACAGCTGCGTAATGCAAAGATGTTCGACCAAGCTGAAAAAATCGAGTAATTTCAGGCATAAATCGCAAACCCAAAGCACATACCGTATCCAATAACCCAATCTGCGCAGGAAAAGTCGATGCCAAATATTCAACAAGTTCATGTTTTTCCCTAAGCACAGCAATCTGCAACAATCTCATTCCCCGTTGATCTCGAGTTTGCATAACTTCTTCATCAACAGTTTGTGTCAACTTCTTCTTATCCTCTCGTTCGATTGCATCAATTGCCGCATTCAATCGATTTTGAAGTTGGCGGAACTCTTGAACATGTCTCACAATTTTCTCACCGCATTTTTTAGTGGCTCGAATAATTTGATCAGATTTTCCCTCGATTTGCAAGTTTTCCAACACGGTATAATCTCTTTTTCTCACATCAATTCCCTGAATTCGTTCCAAAACTTCTGGTTCAACACCATCCGGACTTTCAATATCTCGATGTCTCATATCTCCTGAAGCTTCGAGAATTTGTATATGATCAGCTGATAATCTTTTGACACTTGGTCCGTTGTCAGCGAATTGGAAGCGTTCTTTGTGCAGCAATGTTGTTCGAGAAGGCTGCAAAATATTATAGTTTTTTTTTCTAGAGAGCGTCTTCCGAGCAAAAAGTAAAAATTATTCATAATAATAATAATGAATATAAAAAATAACATGTTAAACCGGAAATTTGCAAATTCGGATTAGGGGCACAGATTTGAGCATGCGTCAGTTGTTTGGTGAAAGAAGGGAGGAGATGAGGGGGTTAGGATTTGGAGGGGAAAAAGGAGAGAGGAAGAGTAAAGTTAGATAGTGTAGGATATGAGAGAGATGTAGAGAAGTTAGAAATTGTTAGAGAACATAGAGGAGACCAAGATATCCAGAGAGCCGGGAAACGAAGAAAATATCATAGACTGATATGCTTTCAGTGACATAGAGAGAGAGCTACATCTAGACACACTACAAATACGAGAGCCCTAGAAAACACATAGTTAAGGCTACAGTAATCCTCAGAAATACCGTAATTCTATGAATTCTAGAAAATATAACTCACCCTTCTCTCCCTAACTTGCGGCACAGTCAAAGTCAATTGTCGTTCAAACTTTGGTCCCTCCTCTTTTTCCACAATCGCCTCTAGACTGCGTATTTCGGAAGTGTCGTAGTCAGCAGGCAATCTACCGTACTGCAAAAAACCAAATATTTTTCTCTTTCAAATGGGAAAATCCTGAGCTTACAATGTCTCGAACAGCCGCCGAATCCGGACAAATATACAACAAATATTCGATAAGCTCCTTATCTTTCTTGCTGTGTGAGAGAAAACGGGATTTGGTTTGGTTTAGTTGGGGGAAAATATATATTTGCTGCTTCATGTTCAGAGAAAAAAACTTACGTATATGCATAATGTAGAGGGGTGCGGCCTTCTTTATCCAAAACTAGACCCATTTTTCGCTCGCAAATCAATTGTTTTAGACTCCGATGATCTTCGGCAGCCACCGCATCCCAGATTCCAAGAACTTGCGACTAAAACAAATGAATAATATCATTTTGACTCGAAATTTTTTATGGGTCTCGACACGAACTACAGTACCTACCTGTAATAGCATAAGTCTCTTGATAATTTCCAAATATTCCGGAATAATCGGAATATTCGACACATCCAATAATCCAGTAATAACTCGATTTGTTAAATCTTCTTCCGAAATTGTGGCAAATATATCCTCCCATTCATTTTCTTTTTGAATTGGATCTGAAAAATAATTTTGATGTTTTCTTCCTACAGTAATCTACAGTACTTACAAACATTCATATATCTGGCTCGATCCAAATCAATTAATCCCGGATTTTTTCGAACATCCTGAGCAGTAAAACCTTCTGAATCAGCTATTGTATCTTTCGCGCCTTTTTCGAGCAAATAATAAAATACTGTGGGATCTTGACCGATTCCTAGTAAACTCGCAGCATAATGCAGAGCTGTTCGACCTTCCTAGAAAAACAATGTGTTACGGTATGCTCCTTCAAGAAAGCAAAGAGTTACATTATCTCTCATATCCAACGAATTTAGTGAATAATTGAGAATACTTTCAACGATTGGAAAATGACCGTTCAGAACAGCTAGGATTAAAGCAACACTTCCAGTTCGCGGGTGAGCAATCTGAAAAACAAAAAAACGTTCATTAGAAACAAACTTGGCATAAAATAGTACAAGACTCCGCAATTACTCATTTTCAGTTAAAAACAATATGACTTGCAATTTTTAAGCTCCGCCCGCTTTTTTGAAAATTAGACGTGAACTATAAAAACCCTCAAAAATTCAGGCATCATTTCTGGTTTTATTTTTTAATTAAAACCATTTTAAAACTACGACGCTACGCAATTACGGCCGACAAAAAAAGATTGATCAACCAAATTTTGAAATAAATTTATTCGCCATTGAGCCTCGATGTTTCGGAGCAAAAAATAATGTCCTGATCCATGCGCGAAAAACTCACTTTCAATGCTTGCGGCGATATTCTTCGCGCCACATCCGCCGCATTTCCGCTGACAACTGCTGTCAAAAATTGACGAGCACGAAGAGCTATACTTTCCCGCCGTTGAACTCGCTGAAAAACTTGCATTTTTGGCCTAGAATGGGCCTAAAATGAGTTATTATTCTGAGCAATGAGCATATTTTGACAAATGAATAATTGATATGATGATGATGATGATCTTCTGAACTGGCCTAGAAATTCAAAACCCCAAAACTCACTCTCTGCATTCCCTGCGATCCTGGCATATTTGGTGGAGTTCCAGTCATTTTTAGAGAAGTTTCAGCGAGATAAATCTCTCAAATAAGAAAAAAAAGAAATATGTTTTAATCTGATATGTGTGTTGAAAAAAAAGAAGATGGAAGAAAAAAAAAGAATTATGATTATTATAGAAAAAAATATATGTCTAAAAATGGGAAGATATTTACCATAGCAACAACTAGTACTAGGCTAATCTTCTCCCTTTGTGATGATAGAAGAGCTCGCAAGAATGAAATATGCAAATTAGATGTTTGGGGTAAGAAAAATATGGGGTTTCAAAGGGACATGGTGTCTTGCTGCAAAAACAAGGGAACGAACAGATTTTGTATTTTTTTTGAAGGAAAAATTATAATTTTTCTGGGTGTTTTGTTGTTTCGAAATGATTCCATTGTAAAAAAAGGAACAATTTTTATTTTCTGGAATATTAATGAAAGGCAAATTTGATGATAGATCATAATGGATCAGATTTAGATGGGCTTGAACCAATACCTCGAATCTCATCTGATGAATCATACCAGTTGGCATTTTTCGAATAAAATTCATAAAAGCAACATGAATTTACCAAATCTTCTTTTCTTATCAAACCTTGATGCATTTTCTGTGTATGCGCTTCGATCATAACCTTTTCGCATAATTCGATAACTTCTTTCGTGCTTTCCTCAATCAAATATTCTTTTGTCAAAATTTCTTCATGTTTTAATATTTCTTGAACAACTTTTAGATATTCACAACAAGACAATCCAATCAAAGATTTTTGAGCTAATTCTGAATAATAAGCTTCGGTATCCTTCAAAAATCTTGGTTCAAAATTGTTTTTGTAAAATTGTGTGCGTTCCATTGATTCGTTTTGTTGCGAAGCTTTATGTGGGAATTTTCTTATATCGTGTTCCATTTGAACAAAAGATTTGATAACACCGGCAATAACATCAAAATGGTCTGGAGTATTTCCACGTCGATCTTCATCAATAGCAATTAGAATTGATTGAACAAGGCGAGATTGAATTGAATTTACAAGATCTTCCCGCCAAATATCAAGAGCAAGCTGCAAAAAAATCATTAGGGTAATTTCAGAAAAGACTTTAAAACTTACAAATCCAATTTCTTTGATTTCATCGGCATTCGAATCATTTTCTTTTTGTTGTGGTCTCACAAGTTGCTTATTCATATAAGCAAATAATTTATTGATTAGAAAAGCGGCTTGGTGAAAACCCGTCCAGATTCGAAAATATTCTTGAAGAAGTTCTTTATCTTCGACATTTTCAATCAATTCTTTTCGCAATTTCACATGCTCTTTGATACAAATTTTGACCTTAAGTTTTTCATTTTTTTAATTATAAAATTTCCAGTTTTTCTTAAATTAAACTGCTTACCTCATTATATAATTGTTTGCTCGATGGTTCCGGAATCGACACACAAATCTGATAAACTTCGCTGTATTTATGATGCCATTCAGCACTTGGAATTGGTTTCGTATTTAGAATATTTACAACAAAAGGACGCAGAGATAGCCAACTCTTTTCAAAATCAACTGGTTTTGGAGAATGCATTTGAAACATGATGAAAATGTCGGGCTGAAAATCAATTTGGTGTTTTGAATTTCTCTGTGATTTCTCCGTATTTTTCTCTCTTTCTCTGCGTCTCTTTCAAATAGTAATTTTGTCATTTTTTAAAGGCGTGTAAAATAATGGAGAGAGAAGAATCGTCAAAATTTAAGCACAAAATCGCTGAAAATTTAATTACACAATTATCTATATTTCTAAACAAAAAAGAAACAAATAATATTTCGTCATCGAAAAACAAACAACATTATATACTCAGCATTTGCAGATGTAGCTAAATCATATTTTGAGGGTTTTCGTAGCTGAACCGTAGAAAGAACTTGAATCTCCAGCTAAATCGAAGCAAAAATTTAGCTCAGTGTTTCTGACCGATTTCTCAGCTAAAACACACATACGTTTTAGCTACGGTTTTTTGGCGCGCAAACATGTTTTCTTCGTTTTGTTTTGTTTTTCGACGATTTTCGTGACTTAAAGCCTAGAAAAGTGCTGGTAACATATTATATCGTCTACGCGTCAGTGTTTTATCGATGGAGAACGAGTAAGTTCATCTAAAAGTTACGTTTTACGTTGAATCTTTGCAGAAAAACAGTCAGTTTGTTGCGTTTCTCGAAAAAGTGGAAAGTGATGGTGAAATCTTCAATAAATGAGGTAATTCCAACACATTTTTCAATATTCCACAGTGTTTCTCAATTTACAGATGCCAATAACAAGAAGAATGCCGGATGTCATGGATCTCGACCAAGTTGGCTTCTAATAGGTTTTTGGGAAGTTAAACCGCCAAATGGAGTCGCAAAATGCACAAACACCACATCGACATGTTTTGCAAGCCTACCGCCCTATTTTTGCAAGCCTACCGGAGACTTCAGTTGCTACTTTTCTATCTAATATTCGGCCGGTCCAGGATCCAGAAGCTATCAAACAACTGCGAGAAAATTAAGTGTTTCTGGTGAATAACTGACTGTAATTTCATATTCTTATGTTATTGTATGTTTCGATACGAATAAATGTTTTATATTTGCAAGTTTTCTAACTACGCCAAATACAGAAAGAAACCCGCATAAGCAGTATTTCGCAATAAACAGGAAAACAGTTTTCGTAGCTAAAACATGCGTGTGTGTTTCGTAGCTAAAACAGACTTCGGTGTGTGTTTGTAGCTAAACCGCACACTGTTCGTAAATAAAACGCAAGTGTCAAGGGCTGCGATCGGTTGAGCTATGAATTAGCTACATCTGCAACTGCTGAGTATGTTATATTTGATGATATTCTCACCTAATCAAAAAGAAACCAATGAAACAAAGTGAGAAGATAAATCGAATAAAGAAAAAAGAGACGCGAGACAAAAAAGGGACCCTGACTCTGCCCATGTTTTTGTATTCTCGTAAATATTATCAAACTATTTTTTATTAACTAGACAATTGATGAAATCAGGAATCATTTTTTTTATTTGAGCAGTGTAAATTTTTCGAAGAAAAAACTATCCGGGAATATATGATAAAAATAACTCACCCTTTTGTCAAATATTTTCCGATAACTCCTCCAAAATATTCACTTACATTTTCTTCGATTTTTGCCATTTTTGCAAAATTTTGGAATTCAAATTTCACATGGCCATACGCGCATCGAAAAAATATTAAAAATTTGTCTGCGAAACCGTACACCTTTTTAAAGGAACATATAAAATCACAGGCGGGTCTCAAACATTTGTTTTAAATTTTTGTGTTCCTTTGACTCATCCAACGAATGTTCCTTTAATGTGATATACGGTTTAGTAGAAAATAATATTTTTATTCTTCGGAAGAAAAACGCATGAAATGGAGGAAATTCAGCGTGTGATGAAAAATACGAATTGGACGGGTGAATATTTTGCAGGAGTTATTCGAAAATATGTTCCGAGAGATGTAAGTTGCTTGAAATCTGAGAAAAATTAGAAAAAATCTATATTTTCAGAAAATTTCACATAGTTTTTTGGAAGAATTGAAGGAAGAAAACGCTGGAAAAATTTTAGAAATCATATATATGAAAGATGTAATTGCAAAATGTATGGAAAATTCGCCTGAAATGCAAGCAGTTTATGAATCGCCTCAAAAATTGCTATTTTATCTTTTCAAATATCAAGGGTTCTCAAATAGCTCATTTTACTTTGCAAGTGGATTAAATTTTCAAAATGAACCTGTTATATTAGCTGAAAAGGTATCAGATGGCCAATATCGAAAGTTTGTGTCAAAAGAGGATTCGCTTTCAACATTATATCAAAAATATGAAAATGAGAGTTCTTTAGATATTTATGCTGGAGAACTCAAGAAAAAGATATTAAATCAAATTGGAAGTCAATTAAGTGGAAGATATGAATTGATTCCCAAGTTTTTCATGATGTTAAAAATTGATAATCATTTCAAAATGATGAAATGTCCAGATTATTCGAATTTTACTTTTGTGGATCAAAATGCAGAAATATTCAAAAATAAAAAAAGAGAAGATATTGAACGATTTATGCATGAAGTTTATGATTGGGATTATTCATTGCAGACGTTTTTTAGAGATGCAAATTGGTTCCACGATAAATATCCAGTACTTCGATGTTTTCAAGATGAAGAAAAAGAAAATCATTTACTTATTGCAAAAGAGGTCGAAAATGTTTTGAATATTTCAATGAAATTAAGATATAAATCAAAATTTCCGATTGGATTGGTTCGAGTGGAAACTGAAGAAGAGAGAAAGCTTGGAATTGTGAGGACACTGGAATTCAAACAATTGGAGAAAATATTGAACGTTCTGAAATTGGAAAGATCTGATTTATTTGTAAGTGATAAAAATTGACAAGAAATAACAGTTTTATATAAATACATTGTTCAAATTTCTGGAAATAGGCACCTACAAATATGTTGCTATTTCCTTGTTTTATTGATTTAAGTCTTTTCAATTTCCTGGAAGAATTTCAATATTTTGCAGATAGTCCCTTGTCCAATCGAAATAGTCGGAAAAGTCCACCAAGTTCCGATTCCAACTCCATATGGAACATTTTGTAAACTCGCATGTTGGTCTTTTTTCGAACTTTTTGATGAACTTTCATTTGGAATGGATTTATTCAAAGGTGTTAAACCTGAAAATATTCGAATAATTCAAAAATGGTTTGAAGATTTGTTAACTGATACAGGAGTATTTTCGACAAAACGAGGATATCGATATTTTATTGAAACTTGGAAATTGGATGAAATTTATGAAAAAGCTTATACTGAATTGCGTATTTTGATAACTGAACCGATTCCAAGATTCAATTATAGAGAGGCTTTCAATAGAAAAGGAGCATTGACGGAACTTTCGAAATTTACTGAAAATTTAGAATTAAAAGATAAACAAGAAATTGATGAAAATATGAGAAAACGAATTTGGAAAGAAATTGGAGATTGTATAAAAGCTAATGAAGTTATTCAAATTTATAATGAAAGTATGTGGGATTATATGAGTAGAAGAGTCGCAAAAATGTCGGTTTTCATGGAAATTCAAGGATTTATAGATGTTTATGGGCCGGAATCATATGAGAAACAAAAAATTACGTTTACTCAACATTCGGAACTTTTTAAAAATGCGTTTATGTAAGTTTTTGACACAGAAGAAGCCTTTGCTTTTTCAGGTCCTGTTTGTTGCAGAAATTGCTAATCAAAAAATATTGAATTTTTCCAGGAAATTCCTGCCAAACATCCCATTTGAACCGATTTTGACCGAAAGAGAAATGATTGCTTATATTAGACGAGGGATGGGAAAAGATGGTGCAACTGAATATATTGTCGAAGACCAAAATGAATTTGATAAATTCAGCAAATTCATGCCATTATTTATTGAAAGATGCCCGAAAAATGGTGAAATTTATGTGAAAAGAAAAGCGAATCCTGGCGATTTGCCACCTGAATTATTTGAAAATTGTGAGAAATTGAGCGAGTCTGAAGTGTCTGAATTGATAGAACGATTAACAAGATTACTAACGTGGGTTTTTTTTGGGTCTTGTCTCGATTCCTTGGGGATCATTTTCTAATATATTTTTTTTCACAGAAACTTATCTGGGCCCTTGTGTTTCGGGGGTAAAGCAGTCGATATTTTATGAAAAATCTTTTCTTACTACCCTAAGCACTTTTTAGCAAATCTCCGAATGAAGCTGACCGACAAAAAAGCAATGATTTGATCGAGAATTTCAATCGGTTTTTGAAATAATTAAAACTTCATGTATCTACTATATTTTTATTTATGTATTATTTGTATATTATAAATATCTCCAGTTCGAATTTTGGAAAAAACGATGAATTTTTACCCGAATAGAAAGCCACAAGCTCGGGATTTTGCTCAGCTACCTTTCAAACCACTTGCTAGCTTCAAACTCGCATCAATTCGACAACCAGGTGAAGAATTCAAAAATTTTTATTCACAAGTTTCAAATTTATTCTCCTCCTCGAAATCCATTTACTCGATCTTATTCCAAATCGAAACAGCTGAATTTTTGTGATGCAAAATTGAAAATAACTTCTGATCGAAATCAATCAGTATGCCAAATTCTGGGTCTGAAAGTTTGGAACATTTAATCAATCAATAATCCTTGAAAACTTACATTTATTCTATAATTTTCATAATTCAAAATATCAGCAATCAATGTGGCATTCCATCAGTTCTTTCTATATTAAAAATAATAAATGTCCGATGTGGCCCCATATTTTTTTTTTTGAAAAATTATCACGTGAAAAAACTAGGTCAAATTATAAATTTTGAAAATAAATTATCAATTAAATAAATACGTGAACTTGACCTAGTTTAATCCACGTTTTTTTCACATAATCAAGAAAAAATTGGGAAGCCCATTTATTATTTTTTGGGATATGAGAACACCCCGTTAAATTTTTGTTCAAAAATTGGAAAATACCTCCCTGTTTTATATATTTTTTTTATCACACTAACCTAGCTTACAAGACCATCTTACCTGACCTAATCTTAAAAGGGAGAGGCGGTAACTACGGTTGTTAGCCCCCAATTTGCCAGTCTAGACAAAACGGGGTTACACCTTCTCGCCATCGGTGAGGCCAACCTTTTGAGAAGGCCCTCCCTTTCCCATGTGAAAGATCCTCGGAGGAGATTCGGGTCTTGTTGGCAAATCCCGAATCTTTCGATCTGTTCTGAAAATCTGAAACCCGTTCCCGGACCGAAGGCTTAATTCCTCCTCGATCGTCGACTTCCTCCATCATATGCCTCTAGGTCACCTAGCAACTGTACACAAACAATTACCCCAGATACCTACGAAATTTAGTAGAAGTTTTTGGGAATAAAATTTGAATATACACCGAGATATATATTCAAACTTCACCCCTGATGACAACCCTGCCACATCAGACGACATTACGCCCGGCAGCGCTATCGGTTTTTGATTTTTTCTATGGAGTTAAACTAAAAAAATATGTAAGTAAGATTTTTTTTTGAATTTATGATTATGATGATGATAAATAAAAAGTAGTGAAAATATAAATGTTAATTACGAGTGTTGAAAAAGTAACGCAATGTCGCCTGATATTTCGGATCGTGGTGGATAGAAATAAAAGGAATTGACAAGAGCATGTGTAAAAGTTGCTTCCCAGCAACTTTGTCTCAAGCAACCCTGAATTTAGCACAACCCCGAAGGATTGTGCGGTATCTGAGAAGTTTGTGTAGAGCGCCCCGTTTCCGGGCCTCACGTAAAACACGATCCTAGGCTGGTTTATCCCAGAGGTCCGATTTGTTTCGATTGCCATGCCAGCCAGAAGCCCCCGGTCCACCTGTAAAGAAATCTCCCAAAAATCAAACTGACCTCACCTTCTGCTCCTCCTCGTCGTCGTCGATGGTCGATGCATCCAGCAATATCTCCTGAGGTAACCTGGCAGATTGGATCCCCAGACACGAAGTTACTTATTTTTGAAATTGTTTTTTTTTTAAATTTAGTTACTTACTTACATACTTAACCTAACACCGGACATTAATACGCCCGATAGCGCTACCGTAATTTTTTTTGAGTTATGTTTAGTTATTTTTAGTTTAGTTATTTTTTTAATGATAATTTTTTTGAAAAGGTTAAATTCGAAAGAACGTATAATGCCGGTGATTGTTTCGTGCCTGAGAATTTTAAACCAATCGCCCCTTGCGCGGGCCTCCAGTAAAACTTATCCTCGGCTGGTTACCGGGAGTTCCCTTTCGTATTGTCATAACATTCCCGCATATTGATTATTTCCGCCACACGATTTGCCAAACGATTGTTGTCGAATACTGACAGTTTTCTGAGTAGAGCTTCTTTTTTTTGAGATTCACGTAAAAGATAACAATTGAAGGTCACGTTATTGTATAATTTCAGCCAAAGTTGATCATTTTTTGTTTTTGAAAAACTGAATGAATTGTATATCTCTTGAAATAATTAACAAATGAGCTGAAACTTACTTTTTTCAGAGCTTGGGCTTAACTAATTTCAGGTAGAATGAAGTGTGAAAAAGGTGTCGTTCGCTAACATTTATTTCACAAAAAAGTGTGCTCATAAAGAAGATTGTTAAGCAAAATATGCATATTTACAAATAAACAAAAAAAGTTGATCAGAAAAATAAAATCTTGAAAATCATGGCCAAAATTGAAAGAACAACAGTGAATGAGAACGAAAAAATGATGAATTTTGGGTGAATCGAAACATATCCTGAAACAAAAATGATTTTCTATATCTGAAACTCGTCAGAGAAAAAATATAAAAACTCACCAACTCTGATCTGCGAATCTTTTTGTTTCTCAATAATTTTTTTGGTTTCCTCAAGAGTTACTTGAGTTGTCCAAGAAATGCTCAACCAAATCAATTCAATGATATTTTTCAAGAGAACAAAAGGAGTTGGAATTATTTCTGGCACATGTTCCTGCTTAACTTCAACTTCTTCTTCTTCAGGTGGTGCTGAAGGGCCAAAAACTTTGAGAACTTCTTGAATATTTTGGATGTTCTCATCACACGCAGTTCCTTTCAAATTATCATTTTCATCTCGCAAAGTCAAACAATTCTTTTCGATATCGCCGTTAACTTTTATAAGTGAATCCTTGATACATTTCGCTACTCCAACAACTTTTTTCATTTCTTCTTCATAACGTTTTTCCATATATTTGAGTTGATGACTCGATTTTGCATATGACATCAATTCAATCATTCGAGAAGTTTCCTGAAATATTCACTTAAATATATAGATATTAATTCATAAAACTGCCTTACATCTTGAAATCTTGTCAACAAACGTGGCGTTTTATCCATAATTTCACGGGCCTCGCAGAAGAATTTATCATAACTTGCTTTCGCAACTTTGACATCTCGCAAAACATTTTTTAAATGCCAAAATCTTCGAATTGGATAAAAATCGATGTATATATGATCTTTGTGTTTTCTGAGAATGCAAGTAGAGCAAATGGCGAAGTTATCTGGGTCGGTGACCGACTGAAAATGCGGATTTAGAAAAATATTTGTGAAAATTTGAAAAACTTACATCTTCGTGATCGATTTTCACAATATCAAATTTGAAATTGTTTATAGTGCACATTCTACAGATTTGCATCATACATTCATTAGAATCAGCATGGCATTCGATACATTTCAAACTTCTTGTATCACTTGGCTGCAAAACTTCCATCAATTGAAAATTCGAAGGAAATCCATAATCCGATTTGTTTGTATCAAGTTCACTTTCTTTCTTACATGTGAAGCAGTTAAAATGTCGAAAAACATCGCCGTCTCCAGAATACGAAAACTTGCTGAAAATTGAAAATTTGAATGTATTTATAGAAAAAAACCTTAATTTTTTCTCACTCACTTTGATTCGACGCTTCTTTTGATGCAACTGGAGCAGAAAGTGTGACCACATTGAAGGAGTTTTGGAATATGATCTTTGTCATCTGAAAAATTCATATTTTTAGGAGGGATTTGGATTTTTTGAAAACTCACTGAAATCATTGGAGCATATTTTGCAGGAGGGTTTCAATGAAAATTTCACTTCGATTGGAACGTTGGATGTGTGAGAAACTGTTAATGGAATTGGAACAACACCCATTTCTTCTGAAAACTTTCTGAATTCAAAATTTCGAATTTGAAAATGAAAAAAAAATCCCAAAAAAACAGAGAGTACGGTTTACAAATGTACTGTAATATTGTGTGTGTGCAAACACCGCTTATTTAAAAATTAGATTTTTTTCATTCTCTCAGCAAATCGCTGCGTACATGAACGGTAAGGATTTGTGTAGCTTGTGTGCTGTCTAACTCATTTTACACGCATTCCACACACAAGCTACGCACGCGTCTACACACCAGCTACACAAAATCGTTTTTTTTTCGTTTCAGCGTTTTTTTTCGGATTTTGCGCGCTGAATGATGATTTTTGAACACGTTTTGAATGAAAACAACAATTTATTATCAGAAAAAGTAAAACATGGAAAAAAACAAAGTATTTCAAACAAAATTATAAATTAGGAGTTGAAAATTGGGTAGATGTTGCGGATTGTCTTGTTTCCCTCGCCATGAAGCAGTTTTTCCTGTTGTTTGTGTCGAGATTTCCATCGAGTGCTGGCGAGACTGAGCATCGGAGAGCATATTCTGAAAATTGAGATGAATTTTCATGATTTTCAGAGTAGAAAGAACTTTATATTTATCTTCAAAAATAGCTAAACTTGATCAAATTTCCCAAGACATATTTTGTTATCCCGTTTCTTTTTGGGTTATTGACGCACCTTTTGATTAGTGTGGATGATAACTGCTTGATTTTGACCTGATTTTTGTGGAGCGTAGTCGTTGTTGAACTTGTTGAAGTTTTCTGAAATTTTTTTTGTAGGAAAGATGGTCGTTTGTTTTTTTAGAGAATTCCCTCACCATTTAGCAGCCATTTTGAAACGATCACGCGATAGCTCGGAAACCTGAAATTAAAGATAGTTAGAACAATTCTGATTGAAAGAAAAATTTCCAGACTTGAGAAATAGGGATGTTCGAAAGAAATTTCAACATAATTTTCATGAAACACGAAGATTTGTTCAATGATAACCAATAAAAAATGTTATAGAGTATGTATATGTTCACTGCTGACCCGATTTTCACAAGAATTTAGGCCTGGAAAAACAAAAACAAAAATGAGAAAAGTAGCCGCGACGCCAACCGCGTTGCTTCTCCAATTTGTGTAGCTGGTGTGTAGCTGCGGTGTAGCTATTTTTCGCCGATAAAACCGTTCATGTACGCAGCGATTTGCTGAGCTCAGAGATTCGCTGGCCAGCTGGTCACTAGGTGGGGTCGACTGCCCATCTGAAATTGACACGGACAACCACATCGCCCGTATTTTTTGCCAGACGACCTGGTCGCGAGGTGGTTCAGTTCATGCAGACCACCTCGCCCAGGTTGTCCAGCTCAACCCGACCTCGCGTCCAGATCGTCTCGCTTAAGAGAAAAAATTCCAAAAAACTTGTGAATCCGAGCATTCTAGAAGAAATTGGCTCAATTTCTGTTTTTTCGGAGTACTAGAAACCTTAGGAAGTGAAAAAAACAGTAAAAAATGCACTATTTTGAGTACAAACCACCGTCTTGCTAGCTTTCCAGGATTTCAAACACACAGGCCACGTGGCCGGAAAACTCAAGGCGACCTGGTGGCCGAATCAAATTCAGCTCGTTTTGAACTTTCCGGCCACCTGGTCCTGATCTAGTGGCGAGCTGGCCAGCGAATCTCTGAGTTTTCTTTTTTTTCGTGGCCTAAAAAATTACTTCACGTTCATTCACGAACTAACTTCAGAATGTCAACGACTAGAGGAAGAAAGGTATGCTGATTTTGGCAAGGGTTCGAAAACCAATTGATCAAAGTTACATTAACTGAAGCGACTGAATGACATTTTGATATTTTTTTGAGCAATCGAGTTCAAATCTTTGGTTTTAATCGTATTCATAGGATAGACCGGATTCAGACAATTTGAATGGTATCGTTTTTCCATTCATAAGCTAGTGATTTAATGAAGTTTAGATAATTTTTTGCAAGTTGATCAACTAAACTTCATCAAATCACTAATGGATAGACCATTCTATCCTATTAATACGTTGAAAATCTAATATTTCAACTTACTTGCAATATTATTTAGTCGATGTCGATCATACTATACCACCAACCCAAAATGAAATTTACAGCCGAGTGTCAGAAAATCGAGTGGATCGGGAAAAGCCTATCAACAAAACCAAAAATATTCTTCACACTCAAAACAGGAAAATAGCTTCTATCCGTCACTTATGGATGAATCATCATTAGCCACCTATTTTTCGATGATGCAATTGAACTCGAGTTCTTCGCAGAAACTGAAAGATCAACCACAACCTTTGATGTATAATCAATCGTCGCCGTTTTCAGATCTTGGAAATATGCAAAATTTTGTAAGTTGGTACTTAAATAATAACCAACACTTTATTTGAACTGTTTTTAGTTGCAAATGTATATGCCAAGAAATCGCAGATCTTCACTATTTCCTTCTGAAACAAGCGATTCTTCTCGTCGTGGTTGGTCTGATGAATCAAGAATCCATCAACAAGCCACCAGATCATACAGTTCCGCAGCAATTGAACGTCCAATTTATCGAAACGAGAATTTCTCACCACCATCTTCGACTTATGATTGGGCATTTCGTTCGCATTCAGCAATGGCAAAACCATCGCGTTCAACAACTTCTCCAATATTGCCAAATTGGGCAATTGATTCAAATGGTGTTCTTCGTAATAATATTTCAATCAATCGCATTTTGGAATGTGGAGATTTGGTGAAATTTGCTATGGATAAAACGGGCTGTCAATTTGTGCAAGATGCATTGCGAACAAATCTACCCAGTCATTTGTTGGAAATGATTTTTGAGCAAGTTATTGGAAGACGTGAAGTGTTCATGGTAAAATTCCGTGCGAAAAGCATCAATAATTTTTTCGGTTGCAGAAATTGAGCACAAACATGTTTGGTAACTTCTTCATCCAACAAATCATCGAATTGTCCTCTTTAACTCACGATTTGAACTACAATTCACGACAAGAGAAAATCAAAGACTACATTGGTAGCAGAATGGCAGAGTTGTGTTTGGACAAATCAGCTTGTCGTGTTGTACAATACGCATTGGAGGTTGGTTTTACCCATTTTCTACACTGGAAACTGAAAATCCTAAAATTCAGACATTGGATCTATCGATAGCTTGCTATTTGGTTCAACGTCTTCCACGCGATGTTCGTCTCATATCAATATGCATCGATCAAAACGCGAATCACGTCATTCAAAAAGTTGTCAACGTGATTCCTCTTCAAAAATGGGAATTCATTGTTGATTTCATTGCGCAACCACACCATCTTCGTCAAATTTGTTCGGATAAATATGGATGTCGAGTTGTGCAGACGATTATTGAGAAATTGACAACTGACTCGATCAATTCGGATTTGACAGTAAGTTTTGAAAGAATTAATGAATTTTCAACCGAAAAAAGGCTTATTCATGCTCTGATCCTTTAAAATTTTCAGATCTCTGCTCAAAATCTCCGCGAACTTGCTCTTCAAAGAATCATGACTTCTGTGATATCAAAATGTTCGGAATTGGCAACAAATGAATATGCTAATTATATTATTCAACACATTGTATCAACAGATGAAATGGATGTTTATCGCGAACAAATCATTGAAAAATGTTTGATGTAAGTTGAAAAAAATCTTTAAACTCTTGAAGAAAAAATGATTTTCAGGAGAAACTTGTTGTCTCTATCACAAGAGAAATTCGCGTCACACGTTGTCGAAAAAGCGTTTCTTCATGCTCCGCTCACACTTTTGGCTGAAATGATGGATGAGATTTTCGATGGATATGTTCCACATCCGGAAACTGGAAAAGACGCATTAGACATTATGATGTTCCATCAATTTGGCAACTATGTTATTCAATGTATGTTGACAATTTGTTGCGAATCCGTTTCAAGACAACGAAAAACGAAAGAAGGTGGCTACGATTATATTCGATCGTTCGAAGTGTGGCTCAAAAAATTGCAGACTCGCGTTTTCAAAGAGAAAAATCGTTTGTTGCGATTCTCATCAGGCAAGAAAATGATTGACACACTTCAAAATCTTCGATTCTGCCCAACTTCATCATCTACTTCTGCACAATATTCATTGAACAAATATTATAGCACAGCTTCGGAAGATGAAGACGATGATTGTGATGATTCGAGAGAGGAAAAAATGAGTGTGTATTTGGAAAAAGTTTGTGATGAGAATGGACATTTGGGAAAGAAGAGAAAGAATTTGAGCATTGTATCGGTCAGTTTTCATTTTAAGAATTTTGAGTTTTTACAAAAAGTTTAAAAATTGGGAGAGACTAGTAATAAAATAACGCTCTCCGGAAAACAGGCTCATTTTGAATTAAAACAAATAAAGTTTCGCAAAAAATAAAATGGTGTTCATAAGTGTAAAAATATAAGTGTAAAATTGATGCGAGGCCCAAAGTTAATATTAGAAAGGTCAAAACATTTAGAATTAAAAGGCACAATATTTATTGTTGAATACGGTATTGTTGTAATAGAACTTTTTTATGATACGTTCAAAATAGTGGTGGAAAACAGAAAATGAATTTTTCAGTAGGACGACTTTGAATTTCCTTGTCCCCAAGCTAGTCTCTCAATTTTTTAATTCCAGATTTTTAAAAATAATTTTGCCCTACTGTAGCTTTAAGTTGTTTTTTTTTTCAGCTTTCCAATTGAACTCTTTTTTTTTCAAAATACTGTTAAATATTTCTAGATCCACGATCACGACGGCGATGATGACGAATCGGACAACAATCTTCCAATTCCTCCATCATCACAATTTCCATCAACATCCTCCTCTTCTCATTCACGACATCGTCTTTAATCAATCAATCAATTGTTTTTCTCCAATTCTAAATAATTGCTAATAATTTTTAAATTTTATAGTTTTTCTCTTTCTATCTATCTTTTTCCTTCTCATTCATTTTCTTGTTTTTTTTTGTACCATAGTTATCATTTTAGGTTTTTAAAATTTCTTTGTTATTTGTTTCAAACAGTAAATCTTTATTTGTTCTTGCATTTTTGGGGATATTTTCGTTGTTGTATTTTTTGATATTTCATTCAAGTTTGGAACTATCTTTAAAATCGATTTATTCAGGTAACTTCAAGAATATTGGGAAATGTGAGGTTAGTTTTTTTGATGTGAAAATATTTTCAAAAAAATTTACTGACAATAAATGGAAAATTTTCTCAAAAAATGTTTAACTACTCAAAAACTTCATCTCCCAAAGTATATTCCACAACATTTTCCTTGTTAACCGAATAAATCTTGACTGGATTATTAGTTCTCGAAGCCACAATATTTCCCTCTTCCAATTCAATTCCTTCCAATTTCACCCAATCCGCCGCAATTCCTTCCCCAGCCAACGCATTTTTCAAAACCCAAACAGTTCCAATGAAACTCAAAGGATTAGAACCATATCCACCAGCAGTCAACCAATTTTGATCGATTTTTGAGGTTGTAATTGGCTTTTTCTCGGTGATTTGGGGACATTCCTCATATTCGCCATTTGTATCGATATCTGAAAAATTTTAGAGATTTTCAAAAAAAAATAATTTTTTAAAGATTAATATAAAATGTAAAAACTGTAAATTCAAACCTCTAATCTCCTTCGATTCCAAATCAATAAACAAAAATCGTTGAACTTCCCATCTCGAAAGATATTTCATTCCATAACTTATCACAACTTGATTCCCTGATACAAATCCACCAATTGGTAAACCAAGACTTCCATTTTTATCCGCCGGAATCTCAGTGATATATCGAATTGAAGAAGAATTGATATCGACCCCGAAAATTTTGATATTATAATTTCCATCATTGGTGAAAATCACAATTTCATTCAAATCATTAAAACCATCAGCCGCAAAAAATTCGAGTTTCCCTTTTCCATTTTCATCTTCATTTTTAATTTCAATCGGATCCGGAAAAGCAAATTCAATGCTTTCAAATTGTTCGCCGTTCCATTTGAAAAGATTTTTGAATTCAATAATTCCATAATTTGTATATAAAAGGATATAAACATTTCCATGTGAATCTGTTAATACAAGTTCAGCAATATTTTCTTCTTCGGAAAGTGCTGGAAATTCGAATTGTTGCCAAGTTTGAGATTCGATTGAGAATTTGAGAACATTTGAACCGATGAAAGCAGCACGTTTATTTGGTGCGTAATTTGATTCATCGCTTGGATTGTTGTAGTTTGGTTGATTGTGGGCTGCAAATTGAAGATTTTTTTAAAATTAAATTTGCTGAAGTTTTTAGAAATTAGTAAATTTTGGTTCTGATTGAAATACATTTTGTTGATTTTTTCTAAATTCCGATTTTTTTCTTAAAAAAATTGACTTTCAGTTAAAACAATTCAAAAATTATAACATTTTTTGGAAAGCTTCCAAAATTTTGTATTCAATAATTTTCTACCGCATTTTTCAATGGGGCCGAGTTTCGGCCCGAGTTTTTCAAAAAAAAAAATCGGTCCGAGTTTTTTCAAAAAAAATCGGCCCGAGTTTTTTCAAAAAAAATCGACCCGAGTTTTTCAAAAAAAATCGGTCCAAGTTTTTCAAAAAAATCGGCCCGAGTTTTTCAAAACAAATCGGCCCGAGTTTTTCAAAAAAAAATCGGCCCGAGTTTTTCAAAAAAAAAATCGGTCCAAGTTTTTCAAAAAAAAAATCGGTCCAAGTTTTTCAAAAAAAAAAATCGGCTCGAGTTTTTCAAAAAAAATCGGCCCGAGTTTTTTCAAAAATAAAAAAAAATATTTCAGAATTGTTAAATTTTCCGAAAACAAATCTCACCTCTCTTCTCAATCACCAAAATATCGCCATTCGAATCGATAAATGTATAATTATCATTTCCAGAAAGTTCTCCAAATCCATCTCCAATTCTCGACATTTTCAAAATCAATAGAAAAAGAAACGAAATGAGAAGAGTGTTCTTTTTTCTGTTCGGCCAAAAAAGGAGTATGCGACCACTTTTTGTTCTTTTTTATGTTGTTTGATCGATGTGCCCTTTTTTCAGGGTTATTTCCTGGTTTGGAAAAACATGCGTAATCTTTGACTTTTTCAAATTTATCAACAAAAAATTTAAAAAAAAACTATACATTATAGAAATCTGTGCAGTAAAATAAAACAAAAGATTAATACAATTTATGATTTTCGACAACTTTTTCCATTTCTGCTCGATTCATCATTGACCAAGTTTGTTTCAAAAGACACGAAAAATTAGCGCATTCTTCAATTTGTTTTTCGGCCAAATTCGAACTGCAAGATTGACACGATTGACAAGTTCGACGAATTTTTGCGCGTGCTTTTTGATGACGTGATAATTGTACCATTGCTCCAACCAATTCATCTCCATTTTTATCACATTTTATACACCACGGTGTTTGGCCAATTCGGGTGCAATCAAGACTGCAAAATTGTGAATATTTATATTTCGGGGGGTATTTTTTCACACAAAACCCCAATTTTCAAATATTTAACATTTTATTTCTTCAGAGAAATGAGAAGTTCTCATCAATTATTTTCCAATCGCCACACATTTTCCAACTTGATCACTTTTTTGTTCAAAATAGCAAATATTAGATTGAGGACAATCGAAATCATCTGAACATTTTTGAATTGCCAAAATCTGGGCAACAATTGTGAAGAAAAAGAAGAAAACAAAAGAAAGTTTCGAGAACATTCTGTTGGAAAATTATGATGAAAATAATGTGATTTTTATGGAGAACCAAAAACAAAAAAATTGATTTATTGGGAATGTGAAAAATTCATTTGAAAATATAGAAGATGAATATTGAAAAAAAGATTCTGGAAGATTTCTGTATTTTGAATTTTATTTGCAATTTAATGAAAAAAGGAAAATCTTTAGGAAAATCTTTTGTATGAATTCCCAAATTTTCAGAAGAAAATTGATTTTTCAACCATAAACATATCCGAATATTCTCAAAAACTATTTTTGATCTTCTGAACGTTTGCTTGCAAACATTCCTGATTTTCTAATCTTTCAATTCAACAAATTCGAATCATGTACAAGCATCAACATATAACACACTATTTGCAATCACATTTCTCCCATCAAAATGTGGTTGTCGCTTTTCGTTTTTCTCTCGATTATTTCTCTCAGTTTCGGATGCAGTATGGATAGTGATTGTGGCGAAGGAGGAGGCTGTGCTTATGAAGTTCATCAATGTTTTTATTGGACAAAAAAGGCGACACCGCCAACTACAAGAGCTGGAAGACATTTCATTTTTAATTGAAAGTTATTTGAATCTTGATAATAAAATGATTATTTTCACTCCAGAATTTATTTTTCAGAAAAAGGAATCTGCAAATACGGAATCTGGAATTAATTTTGCACGACCCGAACTATTTTTTCGGAAACGGCTGAGAACTTTGATATGTTTTCAGAAACATAATATTAGAACCAGAAGACCTTAAGCTTTTAAAGTTCGGAAAATCTATAGATTTGGCCCTGAAAAGCTGCTAATTCCAAAAAATTCACTTCTTAAAAATGTTCCAAACATGTACAAAGTTTCTTTTCTGAAAATTTCTTTTGCAGACAAACTTTGAGAATTCGTGAAAAATTAATTTTCCGAACAGAAGTAATATTTCGAGGATGCGATGAAAACTTTATTATTTTGTCAACAAAAATTCAATATTTTGGCAAATCAACACATACTCCTAAACGATCATTTGGCTCATCTCGATGACAAACATTATTTGGTGGGCAATCCAAAACACTTGAACAATGTTGTGCCAGAATCGATGAAAAAGTAAGGAATAAAACAACAAGAAATTTCAACATTTTTTCTTTGAATATTTTTGGAGAGGAATTGATTTCTTATATGCTTTCATGATTTGATTATCGAAATATTTGCAATTTTATATACGTGGACTTGGAAATTTGCAGGAATTAGAGAAAAACCAAATTTTTCAAAACAAAAAAGCTATATTCAATTTTTATGCCATAATTTTGACTATGCCCAGACATTTAGACAAACATTTTTCAATTTTTCCCAAATGTTTTTCCGACTATTCTTCTTCATAACATTGCTTATCAAATTTTCCTCCACGTCATCAAATTTTTCCGAATTAATATATGGAGATATTAAAACACGGAACTTCGCGAAAATTGCGATTTTGAATACAAGAAACTTCAAAACTCAATGTGAACGAGTCAAAAATTGTTCACCAATTGATTTTTGTCAAAAATTTTCGGAAGATGTTCGAATTCTCAATGCATATTACAACAATAATCGTGATGCTTTATATGTTGAAGCAATAACATCAAATGGGTATCATAGTGGATCAATATTTGATTCAAGATTTGGAAATTCAGAAGTTCATCAGAGCATAATTGATTTGAATTGTACTGAAGATTCAACTGATTTATATACGAAAAATCAAGAAGCATTTGATCGAGCATATCAATATATTCGAAATGCTCAAATCTATTATCATTATTCCGAAAATGCATACGAAAAACAATTCATACATATTTACGGAGAATATTTCCAAACAAAATTTTGTGATCAAACAATTTCAAAGAGTGTTTATCACAAAAATAGTAGATCGAATTTCACAAAAGGTCCATTCAAAAAACCAATAATTCATGATGTTGTGACATTTGAAAGAGAAACAATTCTGAATTCATTTCATTTTCTTCATACTTATGAAATGGTCCAATTTTTACAAATGTATGTGACAATTGATGACAGAAAACTACAATTGGAAGTTGATGAAACTTATAAGGAATTGGCAAAAGCTAGAGAATATCCTTGTGAAAATAAATAAATTAATTATTTCGCCACGCCATAGTTTTTTAATGATAAAAGATTTCTGCAATGAAATTTTATTCACAAATCAATTAGTTATTTACTGAATTAAAAGAAATTGCTGAATAAACGTCTTCCAACTTTGACACAGAATCCAGTAACATCTTCTGGTTCTTTTACACAAGTTAATGGACTTGCGCAATCAGATTGAACGTGGCAAACTTGATTGGCAAAACAGAAAGCGAGAAGAGCGACAAAAACGAGGATAGAGAGGAATTTCGACATTTTCGGAACGAATTTCGATTTCGGAACAAGAGAGTGAAGTTTTATGGGAAAAAAGTTAATTGATTTGATTTGATTATCAAATGTGATGTGAAAATTGAGAATTTATGAAATTTTCATGGGAATTTTTGCATGCAAAAGTTCCTTGTTGAAAATTTATAGGAAAATCAGAATGTGAAATACCCGCAGAAATGTTTTCGTTCTTTTTTCTGGACTCTTACCTTGGGAGCTTCTTACAACTAGCCCCTAAATTCTTGAAAACAATTTTTAAAAAGTTACACCCCCTCCCTTCCAAAATGCAAACTAACTTGAAACATTGTTTCGATGCCAATGGCAACAATTTGATTTCCGTCGGTAACAAATCTGTAACTCTTCTCAATGCCGCCAAAATATGACTCTGCAGATAATATTGCAAATTGATTCGAAGTTTCGGATTTGTAGCAAATTCTCGCAAACTTCTAACACACGAATAAACAGTTGAACCGGGAGGACCATCAACAATTACATAAGGAATACGTTCGCCAGAAAGAACTGCGTTGAAACGACATTTTTCGACGCGTTTTCTAGAAGATAAAGAGGGATTTTTAGAGGAAGTTCTGATGGGGAACTCAAAGTTCTCCTTTTTTCAATTACAAAGATTTCCATTCAAAGTTCCGGTTAAATTTCAATGTTGTTCACAAAATACAAAATCTTTTTTTTCGAAAAATGAATTTCAGAAGTTGAACACTCAAATTTTTCTCCTAAACATTTCAAATTCATTTGAAACCTAAAATTCTCTGGAATTTTTTTTCGATTGAAATTTGAGAACAATTTGAAGATTTGTGAATCTGGAAAACTTTCCAGTTTTACAAATCCTCATTTTCCGAGCAAAAATTCATGATTTCAGATTTGGTTTTCTTCTTATTTTTTGAAAAAATCAGAATTACAAATTTTGCAGATAAATTTTTAAAAATTTGAAGCTTGAAAATCAGAAAATATTTCAATTTTAAAATACTTTTCTATTCCCCCTCCAAAACTTCAACTAACTCAGCAATTTTTTTCTGCGGAACCATCGCTTTATTCGAATATCCACCTCGATATTCTTTACAAAACACAAATTTTCCAATTCTCATATTTCCCGAATTCATCAAATCAACAATTCGATTCAAATATTTTCCAAATTCTTGCCATTTTTGTGCAAAAATCAATTCCAATGATTTTTCGAGAACATCAGCCACAATTGGACAAGTATCTCTTCGAACTGTTTCAATTCCTTTTGCATCCAATTTTCCTTGATCTTTTTCATGTTCAAACATCCAACCAGCATATCTTTTTTTCGTTTCTAAAACACATCCCAAATATACTTTTTCGAGTTTTAGAACAACTGGATCGGGATTCGAATTTGTCACATCTTCCGCAATTTTTCGACCAATTTCAAAGGCTTTTTCGAGATTCGCATTTTTGACCAAAACAAATAAACTATCAGTGTCTCCATAAATCACTTCAGCTCCAGAATAATCGCCTTTTTGGACCATTTCAATTGCTCTTTCGAGAGTTTCACGTCCTTTTCCAAGAATCGCATCAGCTACTGGAAAAAGGGAATTTTTGGGACTAGTGGAGCCTGTTCAGAACGTGTTATTTTTTGAATAAAAATTATTTGCTTTCCTCAATAAATCTCATTTGTGAAATAATTTTTTTTTGAAAAGTAATGTAATTTTTTGAACAACAGATTGGCGAATTTTTTAAAATTCTGAAAATCTTCCCAAAGAAACTCCCAAAACTCCTTTCCTTCAGCACACGGCATTCTACCACTCCAATTTGCCGCCGTATATCCATAACTAACATTTGCCACCAATTTCAACGCCAATTGTCTCGCATCCAAAATTCTCTTCCTTTTTTTACTCGTCGTTCTTTTCATCGCATTTTTCACCATTATTCGACAAGCCAAAATTTCTCGTAAAAGAAGTGGCAAAACACCTTCTCTAGTTGATTTTTTAACAAAAACTGAAGCCAACGGTGAAACGTGGATATTTTTATAAGCAACTTGATTAACAAGGTCGTCTTTCTAGAATAAATCGGGATTTTTGGATCAATTTTATTCTAGGAAATTTTTATTTGGCCAAATTGATCAAGTTAAACATTCTAAACTTACATTAACTTGATATTTCATAGCTCCTAAGACAATTTCTTCATAATTTTCGGGATTTTTCATATCATTTAAATATGCCAATTTTCCAAGAATTGTTGAATAACAATAATTATAAGCAATAACCATTGATGGATAAAGTGATTGAAAATCGAGAACTATTATTGGATCGAAATAGACTTTAGATTGAGGTTCGAGAATTAGTTGGAGTTGTTCGGGAGATGACATTCTGAAAAATACGGGAACGATTTTTGAAAAATTGAAAAGTTCTGAATTTTTTCAAAGATGTTTGTGAATTTTAACGAGATCAACACAATTTTTGTTCTGGATTCAGATTTTTTTTGAAACCACACTTTTTTATTTTTCAATAACTTTCATTCATTTTAATTAACCAAACCCCACAAAGTTAGCATTTCCCACAATGAGTTCTCTCTTCGCTAACAATTTTCCAAACTCCTTGAATAAATTTAGCTTCAAGTCGTTTTTCCGAGCATTTATTATTCCTAATATCAAATTCAATTTTGCCTTTTCCAATTTCGAAATTTCTCGATTCAAACCATATTTTCAAACTGTTCTTTCCATCAAACCAATTTCTCGAATCAGAAATAACATCTTTGAATAATTGATTTCGCCAGATTGTTTCTTGTGTTTCATTAAAATGAATAATACTGAATCGATTCTCAAAAAGTGAGTCAAAAAGTTTCTCATCTTTCATAACAATCGATTTATTATAATTCTCCATAAGTCTTTTCAAAATTCGATGTGATTCCTCTTCTTCATCAACCATAAAATATCTAATCTTTTCCAGATTTTTTGGACATTCAACAGGCCGTGCATGAGTCATCTGATATTTTCCAAGTGTTTTATTGAATTGTGTTGTATATTCAATTATCGATTCAAAATCATTTCTTTTGAAAGAGAATAATGAATCTAATCGATATTCATCCAAAAAATTATTTTCCACTTTAATCCAAGGTTCGAATTGGCTGATATATTTAAAAATCTTGTCAATATTCAAAGTCTGATTGAAACAATTTGTATAAGTGAAATATGGAACAACATGTTTCATCATAGTATTTCTGTCTTTATCTCGATATGCTCTATTAAAATCATATAGCATAACTCTTCTTACTTCATTCATTAATTCATATTCATTAACAGATAAACTAATCAATGGAGTAATTGAGCAATTTGTCTGATTTTCAGATAATAACATGAATTTTTGTTCGTTTTCAGCCCATTCTGCTTGAAAAAGAACTTCTCCTTCTATTTCTCTTGATTTTGAAGAATTAAATACCACTTTGAACTCCTTTTTTTCAATTGTAAAAATCAAATTTGTAATTTTTACAGCTTCAACTTTTTCATAACGAATTCCAAGTTTATCCATAATATCCGTATGATTCATTATTCTTCCACAATTATCAATGATAAAATCATCGGAAAGAACTTCGGACAAAATTGTTGAATTTTTTGCCATCAATCCTTCTTGATATTTTCTGATTGCTTCATTCGCTTTTTCTTCATAGATATTTTGAAAAGTTGGTGAAAATAATAGGAAAAACAAGGATAAGAGAAACATTTTTCCTGTGTTGAAAATAAATATGAAAAATGTCGAGGAAAAAGTTTCTCACTGTCTGTGGCATTTTTTCCAGATGTCTGGGGAAAATTTTATGTGAAAATCGATTTTTGTTCAAATTTTGATATATAATTTGTTAGGATACGGACCGGGTAAAATTTTTGGAATCTTGAAATTTTAATTTTTTGTTTAGAAACTCCTTTAAAATATTACTTTTATTCAAAAAAAAAAAGTCCAGAAAAAATTAGGACAAAATTTCAATCTACATAAAAGATTCGGCAAATTTTTGAAACCCTGCCCAAAAACCACTCACAAATTCCTCTGAATCGGCGTAATACTCGGTGCCACCATATTCATTTTCCTCGCCATTCTCAACAACATTGATTCAACTCTCAACTGTGATCCTCTTGTCCAAACTTCCTGGAACTGAATACCATAAACCCTCGCCATTTCAGCATTTTTGAAAAACCAATTGAGCTCTCGGAGAAGAGATATATTTATTCGAGCTAGTTTAAGAAGGTGAATCGCAACATCTTTGCAGTTTTTTGGATTTTTGATTCGTTTTGTGAGGGTCGAATTGTCTAAGATCGGAATTTTTCTTCGAAGAACTTGTGAACAAGCAGTTCCAATATCATAACTTCTCAATTTCAAATCAGATTGGATAACTCGCCAAACAGCTACAAGAATTCGACCATTCGGAGTTCTCACTTCTTTTTCCTGATTCAAATTCGAATATTTTCCCAAATGTCTTTCATCTTCCTGATGTTTTCCTTGTTCGAACATAATTCTATCCATCGCCAAATTCAGTCCCAAATATTTTCCGCGCATCCAAAAATATCCCCAAGAAAGTCGATTGATATCATAGCCAATCATTATATCAACGTCGAATTTGAGGGATAATTCTCGAATTTTTTCAAAGATTTCAATTTCGCTAGAGGCGACTTCACAAAACTCGACATTTTCCTAGAAGGAATAATTGTTTGTGAGAGAGTAAGAAATATGAAAAATGCATACAGTAGAACATCTTAAAATTTCAAAAATAGGCTTGGTTCATGGAATTTCAGATCCTAACAATAAATCTCACCAATTCTCTCAAACTCGTAATTATGACATGTTTTGTCGGTCCGTTTTGTCTACAAACATCTGGATAAATTGCGATGGATGCACAAATAATTGGATCGCACATTGGATTTGGCATTTCGGATTGGGTGTCGATGAGAAGTTCGAGACTGATTGTACACAGGCCGATGATGTCGGATTCTTCATTGTCAGACGGGGATTCTTCTGGAAAAACAGGAGAATTTGAATGGTTTGAAGGGTTTCTTCTGTTAAAAATGAAACTTCTGACAAATTTCAGATCTTTCGTCAAAATTTGGTTCGAGATCAAAAAATGTACTTTGAAATCACACATTTTCAGTTACTGAAACTCACATGAAAAGAATGTCAGCCAGTTTGTAAAATAGAAAAATCAAGAATGACAGAAAATCAATTTTTGGAAATAAAATGAAATACGTGGTTTTCCACGTCAAAGTTCACGTTCAAAAATTTATTTTTTTTTCTGAATGTTCTTCCCAAATCTCACCCATCGATGTTTGTTGTGTCAAAAATCGGCTACAAGTTTCCTCTTTCTCTCGACTCCCAGTTTGAACTTCAACTTCAATTTCATATCCAGCTTCAGTTTCGTCCATCAAAATCTCATCTTCATCCCAATTTTTCTGATTCTCCCGAATATTTTCCCGATGATTTTCTATGCCATGTTCAGCGGTTCGGAATTTCTGGCGGAATGCACTTGGAGCAGTAATCCATTCAAGTTTATCGATTTTTTCAGGCTGTTTAGGATGTTCCTCAATTTTTTCTAGATCTTCCTCTTGATCTTCTTCACCTTCAGATTCTTCAGAATCCTGATCTTGATCTCTTTCTTGAACTTTTCCCTGGTCTCGATTTTTCTGTGAATCCACCAACATTGTCATTTCCAATTCTAACTCCTTCTGATCTTCCAGATCTTCCTGATCCTCTCGAGTTCGATTCAACACATCCTCCTCCTCATCTATTCCTTCCTGATTTCCCTGACTCCCAAATTCTTGCGGACTTTCCCAAATTGTTTGATTCTGAATATCGATTTCTTCAGGACTTTGTTGAGAATCCATGAGTTGATCAAGTCGACTTGGAAGATTTCGTGAAAGTCGAAGTTTTCTGGCGATTTGTCGAGCAGATCTGATCATTTCGCGTTCTTGTGGATGAATTTGAGATGGGCGAGGGTCGTCTGGAAAATTTGAATTTTTTTCAGATGGAAATTCTAATTTTTAAAGTTGAGATTTATGTTCCGAAAATAAGGATCTGATTTTCACAAGTACATTAAAATTTTTGGAGTTCAGAGTACTGTAGTTAATCTAGGATTTTTTTTCCAAATTTTGTAGAAACAAAAAACATTTAATTTCTGAATATTCAAAGTTTTGGAGTAAAAGAAAATCCCCTGTTCATTTTAAAAACTAACAAGAATTGAAAACATCTTCGAGAACAATTCCAATTTTATCACATCTTTCTTTTTCATCTTTCCAAATATAATCCAATCCAGGATTCGATGAGAATTCATTATCTTTCTGCATTTCGCGATTCAAAATATCCTCAACATTCACATCACATTCAACTAAACATTGTGTCATTTTTCCCAAAGGCGATAATAATTCCGATTTCCTCTTTCGAATATCTCCAATTGTCAGATCCTTATAAATAATAGTCTGATCATCTAAATCAGCCAAATCTTCAGGAATTCTGAACTTTACATTTTTCACAAAAACATTATCCATTCCAAAAATTGAATTATCAACAAAAAACTGTAAATGAAATGGCAAATGGGCTTCGAATGGTTGAAAAACACTTTTTTGTAGAACTTCTTTTCCCAAACATTGTGTGGCTTTTTGAAGATACCAAGGCGATGAAAAATAAACACGGACGAATTCCTCTTCTTCTTCTTGGTAGCCGTAAATTGGTCTAGATAAATAAACATCGGATGAAAATGTTTTTTATAAAAAAAAATGGTTACCTGCTAGTAAATCCTTCCATTTTGTAAATATAATCTTTTGTATAAGAAGTTGAAGCAGAAACTGAATTTAGGTCAATTTCTTTTTGAATTCCACGATTTAATTTGTTTCGCATCGCATGGAATACACCTGAAACATTTGCATATTTCAGAATTTTAGAAATTTTAATAACTACTTTTATCTCAAGCTGCAAAAGACTTCCACCTTAAGCTCCAGCTCACGAGAAATTTTCAAGAACTCTAGAAATTCAAAAACATTTTCCACGTGACCTTCAACAATTCCACGTCATTTCGGGCTACTATAAAAACCCAGATTCCCCTGGACCCGCTCATTTTTAGATAGCTCAAAAATCATCGAAAAACGGGTTCAAAAAATCCTCACAAGTAAACAATAGTAAAATGGTGAGTTCTTCTACAGTACTTCGTCTAACTTGATAATAATTTGCAGAAATCAGTCTATAGCGATGCAGTTCAGACTCCAGAAGAGCCAAAATCGTTGGCAAAAACGCAATCAGTTCACGAGATTGAGGAGAATTGTGATATGTGGACGAGAAACTTTTTGAGCAAAGCTCGAATCACAAAAATCACTGCCGAATATCGAGATATCAAAGATTGGAAACCCGACAAATTCTCAGTGAAAACTTGCGAGAAAAATGCGGACAAAAATCGATATAAATCAACATTATGTGCCGATCAAAATCGAGTTGTTTTGAAAGATCGTGACGCATCAAATGATTATATTCATGCATCTTGGATGGATATGCCTGATTCGGTTCGATTTATCTCAACACAAGGACCAATTAAATCGACAATCGCTGATTTTTGGCACATGATTTTTACCGAAAAATGTCAAGTTATTGTGATGCTTTGTAATTATGTGGAAGACACTGAGAAATGCGCCAAATATTTTTCTGGTAAATTCTAGATTACACAAACCTTTTTCTTACAGTCTAACTCAACCAATTCTACAATTAACCCTATTTTCAGCTGATTCTGAAGTAACACATGGCGAATATCGAATCAAAGTTGTTGACAAACAAAGTGAACCATGGTCACCTGTTAGATGGACTGTTTTACGTGTAAAAAACAAAAAAGATGTGAAATTAACAGTTCATCATTTTTGGTATTATGATTGGCATGATCAAATAGCTCCACTTGATCCATCTCCAATGATTAAATTATACAAAATGGCATTACAAACTGCAAATGGTTCACCAATTGTTGTTCATTGTTCAGCTGGAGTTGGAAGAACTGCAACATTTGTTGGAATTCATCTTGGAGCCGAAATGATTAAAGTTGATCCAACTGTTGATTTTCAAAATGTGATGAAATCATTGAGACAAATGAGACTTGGTGCAATTCAAAGTCAACTTCAATATATTTTCTTGCAAGTTTGTGTAATCCAATTATTCATTGATAATAAATATACAAAACGGGATAATCAATTTGAACAGTTTTTGAAGAAATATTCGGGAATTACGGCCAAAGTTCATTCGAAAATTGTAGAGGAAGAAAAAAAGAAATCAAAGTTATCGAAAGTATCGAAAGAGACGAAAGAGACAAAAGAGGTGAAAGAAGTGAAGGAAGTGAAAGAACCCAAAAATCAAAGTGATCGAAAGAAAACTGTTTCGAGAGATTCTTCAGCTGTTGAAAAACATGATGTTCTTTCGACATATGCTGCATGGTTAGTTTTTGGGGATTCGGCTTAAAAAAATCCACCTACAGTATTTCTTTAAAGGAAAATATAATTTTTAGTGACTCAAATCGAAAAGAGAAGAAATTGCCATCAGCTGGAACTCCGAAACTAAGTCGAACTCCCAGTTTGGCACGAATAATCATAAACAAATTGGACAACAAAAAGAGATCGAAAAAGGCACCAAGTCCGGGAGCAGCAAGTCAATAAACTCGTCAATATTTATTTTTTATTATTTTCTGCTCATACTTCAGAGAATGTAAAATATTCTGCGAAAATTCCTACCTGGAGTTAATTTTCCGCCAACTCTCAAAACCAAATATGGCAAAACACCGTGAACATGAAGGCACGCTTTTTGACCTGAAACTTTTTTTCTCAAATCCGGCATTACTCATATTAGGTTACCATCATCAGTTGTTCCATGAATATGAAAAACTGGAATTTTGTTCTTCTTTCCCGCTACTGTTTTATCCAATGGTCCAGAAAATTGTTGAGAATATTCGCAGATGAAATTTCGAATGCAAAATTGGACCATGAATGCTGAAAATTAGAACCTGGAAATTTTTTACTACATAATAAATAAATTTGTGTCTGGTATATAAAATAATGAGTATAGAAAAACATAAAGAAAATTCACAAATTCTGGAAACGTATTCTTGCCGAGTTTTTTTTAGAAATATAAAAACTATCGATTTTTTAATATGAAGAGGGGAAAACTTGTGACAAATTTTTCTGACGAGAATTTCGAGATTTCTGAAAGGTTTCAAATTAAAAAAAAAACAGGTTTAATTGAAAAATTCATTTTTTTTCGAATCGATTCGATTTCTTACGAATTTAAAGTTGAAGCAATTATTTTTATCTTGAAAAATTTTCAGAAAATCTAGAAACGTATTTCCTAAAGGTTGAGTTTTTAATTGAAAAATATATATCAAATTAATCGTAAAAAACGATTTCTTTTTTTTCTCAACTTCAAATTAGTCAAATTCAAAAATTTATTGCTCATTTCATTTGTGCCCAATTCAACCCGGATTTAATTTTAACCCTCATCGGAACCCGTAAAAAATCGGACATTGAATTTTCCATTGCTTCTTGAATAATTTCAGCAACTCGCATTTTCGCTGAAATTTCCGATTCGACTAGAACTTCGTCATGAATTGTCAAAATAATATGAGCGTTGAGGTCTGAAAAATTGTTTTAAAAAATTATGGAATTAAAAATTTACAAACATTACCTTCCCGCTCAAATCGCTCGTTCATTTTCAAAATGGCAGATTTGAAAATCTCACTGGCTGATCCTTGAATACAAAAATTCACCAAAACCCGTTCTTCTCGCGATTTTTCCTCGCCAAATTGATTTTTTGCAGTTATCCGTTTTCGGCCCAAAATTGTCTCAACATATCCATTTTTGAATGCATCTTCTTTGGTTTGATTGATGAATGTACGAACTTCTGAAAAAACATTTGGTAGAGAAAATGATATGAAATTGAATTGAAAGTCTACATTTCAAAAATTAAACTAACTTGGAAACATATCAAAAAAGCTTTTGTATAAAATTTCAGCTTTTTCCAATGGCAACTTGATGAGTTCAGCTAAGCTTCGAGTTCCTGAAAAATTCCATAAAATGTCACATTTCCCTTTTCAAAAACCGTACCCATTCCATAAATCAGTCCATATATCATTTGTTTCACTTGATCTCTTTCAAAACCCCATTTTTCAGCCAAATCTCCAAATATATCAATTTCATCGTTTTTGATTATTTCAATCAATTTTTGATCGCCACTCAAATGTGCCAAAACTCGAAGTTCTAATTGTGAATAATCAGCGGAAATTAGGCAAAATCCATTGGGAGGTCGAATAAGACTTCGGATAAATATTCCAGGCATTGATTCTTTTTTCGGGATATTTTGAATGTTTGGAGAGGCTGTGATGATTCTTCCAGTTTGTGTTAGAATATCATATTTGCATCGGATTCGATAGGGAAGTTTTGAGGAAATTAGAGCAGTTTCGAGGGGAAGAAGACATTGCTGAAAAAAAACTTTTGGAAAATCATGAAAAAATGTTTTGAGTTGAAATAAAATGCATATCTTCTGGAGTTTTTATCCAAATCATTTCACCTTTTTTTTATTCTACATCAGAAACTGTTTTGGCAAATTCCAGAATCATATTTTCGAAAAAGTTATTCTCCAATAAACTTTTCAAAAAAAAAAAGAAACTCGGAATTGTTTTCCAAAATTCGTTGTACTTTATTTTGAAACATTTTTTTCTCAAAAATCCCTCTCTCTCTCCCCAAAAAACCCCACCATCAATGTATATTTTAAATGTCGATACTTCAAAATCCTCTCAACAATCACATGTTGTCCCAAAATCTCTTCCAACACATCTTTTCCAGTTCCATGTTTTTCACCTTCCGGATAAATCAAACCAAGTTTATTAAACAGAACACTGTGCACATTTTTCGTCGATTCAATATTAAATTTTCCAAATGCCAGTTTCCAGCATTTCTCTTCCAAATTCTCCAATTCTTTTTTCACCAATTTAATAAATCGTGTCAAATTTTCTTGATCAATTGGAATTCCTTTTAAATGCATTTTCCATATCAGATTTGCTGAAGAAAATTCCAAAATATTCTGGGGAAGATTTTCAAATATTTTTGGAATCGCGTATGCTTCTTGTGCCAATGTGCTAGCATTGGAAAGGGGTTTCAGATTCTCCGGAATACATTTTGATAAATCCTCGTCGATTAAATTATTATTGTAATGCATGAGAACATTAAGAATCTTCACATTTTTCAGGCGAATCTCAAATCTCTCCAAAATCTCATAACAAATTTCCAAGCGATATATATATTTTTGAATTTTCTCATCTTCCAGAAACCCTTTGATTTCAGAAATTGGTAGATCAAAAATTCCAGCCTCTGAATAAATGGCGACTTCAGATTGTTCAAAATTCACAGCCAGACTCATCCAATTTCCCTCAAATTTCCTCTCGATTTCAGTTTTTGCACATTTCTGAAGAGGGCTTGGAATATAACTCGGTGAATTTGTTAAATATTTAATTCTCCCATGCTTTTTCTCATTTTTCTTTTTTCTAGCCGACGGAGGAGTCGAAAACACATCAAAACTCTTTTCCTCGCTTAAAATCGATTCATTTTTTTCTTCTTCTTTCACAATAAGAACTGCCCCAGGAATTGGTAGATCAAAAGAATCTTCTTCGATTTTTCGAATATTTGGAGAGTATTGAAATACATGTGATAGCCTTTTTCGAAATTTCGGATCTTTTGGTGGCTCCAATTTTTGAAGTGATGAATCAAGAGATTCCAGGAATACTTCTTCATTATCAGAATCTTCTTCTTTATCCGAAAAAATCGACATTTCAGTCATACTTTGAGTGCATTGGTCCAAAATTGAATCCTCAACAATTTCAGATTCCTCCATTTTTTCTTCTTCCTCTTCAAATTTCACAATTTCTCCAACTCCACTATCACAACTTTCGACAATTTCCTCTTTTTTCGAAATTTCCTGATTTTGGGTGTCGACTTCAAACTTCAATTTAACATCCAAACCCAGACCCAATTCTTGAACTCGTGCCAAAATATGAGCTTTTGCACGGGATTTCAGAATTCTGGCGGCTTCTGAAAGTGAAATTCTGGGTTCACCGAATAACCATTCGCCTTTTCCATCATTTGAATCAGACCTGAAATTTTGCAAAATAATTAGAGGTTTTTTGAGAGGTTGCTTTTTAAATTTATTTTGTGGATTTTTTCACGGAAAAAATTCAAAGCACTTGAAAATCAGTTCCAAAAATTGAATAAATGTTTTTTATTCAGTTGAATTTTATCAGTCTTTTATCTTGCTAAACGTTTCGGCAAAATAGAACTAAAATTCACCAATCATCTTTTTATTTTATAAGAGTTACCAGGTTTTCAAATAACAAAAATTCAGCTTTAAAAATGGATATAAAAATTTATTGAAACCTAATTTTCCCTGGCCTTTTAGAATAAATTTTATCAGCCATTTATGTTCTAACCAGCCCCTAATTTTTGTCGAAAATTCCCCTTCTTCAAATTCCTCATGGGTCTAATCAAAAATAGAAAAAGAATAAGAACAAGTGACAAATTGAGTCAATTATCGAGTCCTTTTTCTACCGTATCCCATCTTCTCCTCCTCTTTTTTGTTAGTTGTTAGAATAAAAATAAACGAAGACTATATTTAATTGGGAAGAGAAGGGGAAAATGTACAAATATATATAAAAATGAAAATGAAAAAGTGAGAAAACATTTGATTGGAAATTTTAAAACTGTTTTAATAAATCTTACAATTAAATTCAAAATTCCAATCATAAATTATTTGAAACAGTAAAATCTTTCAAATTTTGAATTTCCCACTTGTCAGCTAATTCTCCCCCAATTCATAATCCCCAAAAATCCTGACTTGCAATAAGGCACAGCAAGTGTCAAGAAATGTGCCAACTTCGATTCCTCGCAAGCCACCAAATTCGACAAACTCGAAATTCCTTTTTCATGCAAAACTCGTGCTCGACTCGCATCAATTCCTTCGATTTTCACAAGTTCTGATAACTCGGATCGGATTCCGAAAAATAATCGCATCGCGAATCCATCTAGAAGAGATTTGAGATAATTCCAGCCAAGGCGAGAGCAAAAAGCAACAATCATTCCTGTGAAAAATACATATTTTAGGCGCTGTTCATTTTTTTCCGGTTCCAGATTTTCCTTTATGTTTCAGCTTTAGTTTTTTTTCCAAGATTTTCATAGGAACCCTCATATTAGTTCGGACCCTTTAGTGTTTTTTCTTATTTTTTTTGACATTTGATTGTTCAACAGTCTTCTTCTCAATCAATTATCTCATTTAGAAAAAACAATTAATTTGTCCTTCGACTCGAAAAATGCGCGAAATTCAAGAATTGTGCATTGTTTTGTTTTCTGTCAAATTGTTTTGGGTGGCACTAATTTGAGAACACAGATAGAGATAATAATTATAATTACAAGGAGAAAATATGAGAGAATGGGGAGAAAGGTGTCAAATAAACGGATGCATGGATAGATAACTACAACAATATTGCGCGACCAACAATTATGACGCATAAGATACTATGAATTATAGAGTAGCTTCTGGAGGAAGAAGCAGATGCACCGAATATTTGTAAGAAAATTCAGAACCGAAATAAAGCAAACGATAGGACATCTTTGGAACAGTTGCATTTTAACCCAAACCATTTTTTCCGTCTATTTGTTCTAAAAATTATACAACTCTGAAAAGTTCTTCATCTTTGATCGCATCAAAAACAAATCTAGGTTGCTACGTATAAAAAGCTTATTACTACGTATAAAAAAGCACAGTATCCTTGCTTGCCTCATGAAAAATACACCAATTCACATTTTTGAATTCAAAATGTTCTTGAAATTTTTACTTTTTGCTTATCTTCACAGGATTGTGGTGAGTTTTAGAGTTGGAAAAAAACGAAATGTCCAACAAAAATGAAGCTCACAAGAACAATTCTAGATAACTACAAATCTGATCATAGTTTGGGGAAGTTATGATACTGCCTTTACGGATGTTCTATATTCGAACAATAATCTCACTGTTGATGAGGAATGTTGGAAACTTCTAGAAGCATCTTCCGATTACGAAATTGCTTTTTGGATCAATTTAATATGTTATTTGAATACCTATGAATTTGTACAGTCTGTTAAACCGGATGTGGGAAAAACTAAAAAGATCGCATTCAAGGTTTCAAACAATATCACTTCGTGTCCAAAAAACTTCACATCTGCTCAATCAACTAACCACAAAATATCGTATGATGGAAAATATTGGCAAATTAATGGTGAGCTGGGTTCTAAAAACGAAATTCGGGGGACCTTGGCATAGTACTATTGATTTTCCCGAACACAAATTTCCAGCCAAAATTCCATGTGAAAATTTCTGGTCAATACGAGATGGAACTGTTGTTTGCGTTGAGGTAAGTACGAATCATGAAATCTGTTTTTTTTTTTGACAAATTAATTTTTAGATCGTACGTTATAAAAATATTTTCACTTTTTCTGAAGCAATTTCCAATTCCATAGCACGAAGTGAAACTCTTTCTTCCCCAACCAACATCAAAAAAACTATCGATGTTTACAATTATTATGGTAAAATTGAAAACCAAACGAGAATTCGAGTTGTCACAGATGCAAAACGAAGTGATTCATGCAATACACTAAACAAAATATCAACATCCGAATGTCAATATCCAAATGGTTTTGATTTCAAAGATCCAACGAATCCAAATCATTCTCGTTTTAAATTTGTCAAAAATCCAACAATTTCCACAGAATATCGATGCGTTGCTATGTACTTGGATCTTCAAGATTCAATACTGAATGGAAAATTCGATTTTATCAAATGCTACGAAGAATGTGATGATGCATATTGCTCATACTATACAGTTAATATCAATCCTCCCTAACAATTAATTTTGAGCATTGTTCATTTTGTTGATGAATAAATGTTTTTTCTGAAGTCGTCTTTAGAGAAGAGCACATAATGATAATTATTATTCTGATTTTTGTTGAGCAAAATACGAAAAAACATTACTTTCCGGTTGTTATGTATAAATCAAAAAGTACATTCCTGTATCCTAGTTGTGGAATCAAAAAAAGAACAATTTACATTTTGAGACAAAATGCTCGCAAAACTTTTGATTCTTCTAACTATTCAAAGTCTTACGGTAAGAGACAAAATAAAAGAAAAGAAGGCAAGAAGATTTTTTCAGATAGCCTCAAAAATGATAATAGTTTGGGGAAGTTACGATACATCCATTACCGATGTTCTTTATACCGCTGAAAAAGAAACTATTCAGAGCGATGAGGAATGCTGGAAGCTATTTGAACTAAAAACTGAATATGAAATCGCATTTTGGAGTGATGGAACTTGTTATTTGAATACTTATCCATATGTTGCATGGGTTGGAACAGATGATGAGAAAACAAACAAAATTGCATTTAAAATAACAACCGATCTAACTAAATGCCCAGATATGTTTAAATCTGCTAAATCTCAAAATCACAAAATTTCATATGACGAAGGATATTGGTATATTGAGTGTATGTTTACATTAAAATATAGAATGCAAAAACTGTATCAACGTCGTCGAAAAAACTATTACTTTGTTCACAAAACCCGAAATTTTGTGAACCTTGGAAGAGAACAGATATGAGCAAAAAACCTAACATTTCCTCTTTCAAAGTAAAAGATCAAAAGAGCCGCAAAGTCAACTGTATATTTGGCTTTCTCTTGCATGGCTCTTATATTTTCCGATTGACAATATTGAAAACAATCCAGAATTTGCATGAATTCAGAAAAGAAAAAATCACTAGTGAAGCGAACAAACGAACCAATGTTTTTTAAGGCACCAGTTGTGCTTTTGTCATTTTTTAGTAGATTACATTCAAAAACATAATAAATATTTCAGCAAAAGTCGACTGCGGAGAATTATATTGGACAACTCGCGGGGCCAAAACATTGTGTTACACAGTAAGTTCTCGCATCATAAAACATTCATTTCCAATGAGACTTAAATCAAATTTTTAGTACTGGGGGGATAGAGAACTTTTCACTTATTCAAGCGCTCTTTCTGTTGCCAAAGACAGCAACGAAATTTTTTCTTCTCCGATGAATATAAAAGAGACAATTGATATGTATTACACAGACGCAAAAAGGAATAAATATCTAAAATCACGGATTATCACAGATGCAAAAAGAAGTGATTCATGCAACACAGAAGAAAAAATATCAAAACCCGAATGTCAATATCCAAAAGGTTTTGATTTTAAAGATTCCACAAACCCAAGGGTTTCTCTTTATGAATTTGTCGAAAACCCAACAATTTCAACTAAAAATCGATGCGTTGCAATGCTAATAGATCTTAAAAATTCAGCAGTAAATGGCAAATTCAATTTTGTTCAATGCGAACAAACTTGTGAGAATGGTTATTGCTCACATTATTTCGTTACAATCAAATTTTTATAACTTCTAAATTCGTGCCCAATAATCTGTTAATAAATATTTATTGTTTGGGGAAGAAGAAAAAGTCATTTTGTCTAATTGTTCTTCTCTCTGCATTTTTGCCTAACTGGGCTAATTTACGAATCGAGAAATGTGTATACATCAAATAAACTGAGCCAATCAGCCATATGACCTAGTCATCATTGAAATTACACACAAAAATATATATAAATATGATTTTTGTAATAGTTTCAAGCTCATTTAATGCGTCATAATTGGCTGTCAAAATATTGTGGTGGTTTTTGCGCAATGTTGTAAGGATATACCACCACCTGACTTTAGTTGTCACCTTTTAATTATTATATAATAGTGAATAGTGACAAATTGATGGGATTTTGAAAAAAAAATATTTTGGAGAATGTTTTAAAATTTTGAAATCGATATGAAATTTTCAACAAAAAAACTTTTTTTAGTTTAAAAAAAAACATTTTTTGGAAGTTCAGAAATTGAAAGAAAACATATTTGAATCTGAATCTCTCCCCAAAACCCTTACCCGCATAAGTAGCACTTTGTGATTGCAATGTCTGAAGCGATCCTCTCGGAATTCGATATTTCTCCGAAACTTGATGAATATCAACCTCATTAATCAAATCAAATAAAGCGAGTGTCGAGAAAAATCGAATATGCATTTTGAATTTCCTCTCATTTTCAGCTCCTCCAATTCCAGCTCCTCTCATTCGATCCACCAAAAATCGCTCATTTATTCCAATAATTTTTGCGACTCGGCGATGTTCTTCTGGGAGACGGGTAAAAATTTCGAATAAATGATGCCAATCAGCCTCTTGCCAGACAGTTACATTAACTGGAGTTACCTGAAATTGGAAAATCGAGGTTCATCAAAATATAGTTTGAAAAAAATCTAAAAGTTGAATTTCAACAAAAAAATTCTGTTAGAAAATGAGCCTCACCAGATATAGCATATGTAATTCTGTATCCAACACAATTGCCCGTTTCGCAACACTCAAATCCTCAAAAATCGCCAACGCTGCTTCTGGTGGTAAAGCTGAAGCCATAGTTGCTTTTCCAAGTTGCGTAGCTTCTAGAATTCCAGAATCTTCCTCAATTGATATAAAAGAATCATCTCGTAATTTTTCGACAATTCTTTGCGAATTATTTTGTTCTTCTAAAGTCATGAGTAGATTTGCTGTCAAATCCTCTACATTTTCGAAATTCGTTGCAAGACCCGTCGATATTCCTTCAAGAATGAAACGTGGTGTATCGGCTGGTTTTTGGTGGACAATTTTATCGATTGGTGTGAAGATTGCTTGATGGATGTTGGGTTCGTCAGATGGGCGAACAATTAGAAAACTTTCACCTGAAAAATGCCCCTTGGGTTTATGCTTTGAATTTCCAGGAACATTTTTTAAATTAATGATTGTCTAGAAATTATTTATGCCTGACTCCAGAAAAATTAGAGCCTTCATTTTTGAAAAAAAAAACATTTTTTGGAGAGAAAAATATTGAAACAATTTCCAGCCAAAATCAATAATCCTCCCACATTTCTCCTAATATTTTCATACCTCTTCAAAACCTTTTTCCACTTGACACTTTTACAGTAATCCAAAAATGTTTTCCTCTTCTTCTTCTTCATCTTTTTACCTAATCGTCTAAACCGCTTCCTGTGTCCAATTAATAAAATAACACTTCCCCCTCCTTTTTTTGGTATACTGTAGTTAGATGGGCGGAGCTTAAAAATAAGAGAGGAGAGAGGGGCTCCTTCTTTTCCTCGTTTTCTCATCATTTTATCGAAAAACGAAGAAAAAGATGGCTGTCGAAGAAATGCAATTGAGCAATTCGCAACGAATGAGTTTTGCCATTCATGAAATCCTTGGAATACCCGTGAGTTAGCCTATCTTCATTGCATTATTATTTTCAATAATGTTTGTAGGGAAACGCCTATTTATCGCATGGATATTGTCCGCAAGGTCCGTTTTTTCCGCAACAGGGATTTATGGATATTGGTGGATGTGGAGTTTCGGGATTTGGTGGAGGGGCAAATGGCGGAATTCCGAATAGTATTGATACAATGAGCAATGGTGAGTTGGGAGAAGAAATGAAAAACAACATAAATATCTAAAGAAATTGGACTTTATGATATGATTTCAAAATCTAGAATCAGTCGGAGTATTGAATTAAAACATTCGGAGAAATTTTGAGATTATCATCTTCTAGGTAAACGATGAATGAAAACAATGTCCAAAAATTGAAATCTGATTTTTTGAATCGGGTTCTTTTTTATCACATAGATTCGCTTCAGTTCCCGAATAGAAGAATCATAAATTGATTCCAAGAATTTTATTAATCTAAATTTTGAAACGTAAATTTCCCAGGACCGATTGAGGAGCCATTCTAGATTGATTCAATTTTGTTCAACAAACACTTATAGAACATCATCGCTTTTTCGAAACCCAGATTGAAGAACACACTATTTTGAAACCTAATTTATCCGGGTTTGGGAAAAATAATAGAGATCGTAGAATATTCCATTATTCACCCAAAAAACTTGCAGGTCAAAACACTCTAATGTACAGTATGCCAACTACAACTACATCAACAACAACATCTTCCTCATCAACATCTCAACAAATCGAAGCAGCTTCTCCAGGAAGTGGAGGTGGAAAATCGAATGGCGGAGGGAAGCGAAAGAAACGAAGACATCGCACTATTTTCACACAATTTCAAATCGACGAGTTAGAAAAATCATTTCAAGAGGCGCATTATCCAGATGTTTATGCTAGAGAAGTTCTGAGTGGAAAAACCGAATTGGCTGAGGATCGAATTCAGGTGAACTTTTGAAAAAATGTAGAAAAGTTCACAATTTTGCTCTTGTATGAGAGAAGCAAGCCATTTCCAACGGAAATCCAATTGACACTTGTTCCCTTTTTTCTTCTTACACTTCAAAATTGCAATAAAAAGGCGGCGGCCGACATAAAACTTCCCACCCCTAATTGGATGTGTTTTTTCTCATTCTTCTTCTTCTTCCAGTTACCAAAAACATGAGGAAACCTGATACATATTTAGGAAAAGATTAGGAGGGTGACTCGAACAACGTAACCTAATATTTATTTTATGTAGGTTTGGTTCCAAAATCGACGAGCAAAATGGCGAAAAACCGAAAAGACTTGGGGAAAATCGACGATTATGGCTGAATATGGATTGTATGGGGCAATGGTGAGACATTCGTTGCCACTTCCAGAAACTATTACAAAAACAGCAGAGACTTCGGATCCACAACAAAGTGCTGCACCGTGGTTGTTAGGTAAGAGGAATTGGGGAATAGGAAGATGCGGTATTTGGGATATTTAGAGACAGATGGTCGGATTATATAAGTGGTTAACAAAAAAAATGAATGTGCAAAAATGTTCCCAGAAAGCATTGAAATTTCAGTTCTAAAAAAATCCGTTATCTAAAAAAAAACATTTACAAAATTCAAAATGAGCAATTTCCACGTGAGGACAAAAAGTACCAGATTTTTATGTCCTTATCAAATTTTTCAATTAAATTTTGGCAAGAGGTTTTCAGAATTGAGCTTCATTTAAAACTAAATTACTAAGATGTGAAATTTTCAGTTTCTGGTTGAACATTCCACGGAATTTTCTGAACAGACAAGTTTTTTTTATCAAAAAACTTTTCCAGGAATGCACAAGAAAAGCATGGAAGCAGCCGCACATTTAGAAAGCGTCGAAAAAATCTGCGATATGTCAGATAGCGAAGATGATGATGGTCAAATTCAGGACAAACCTGAGTATAAGGTGAGTTTTTTCCGGTTAAATTTTATGTCTAAACTAAAAATGTTCTCTAGATAATCCCAGCTCATCAATCAACACATTTCGACTCAAATTTAGTGGATCCTTCCACACTTGGCCAACTTCACTTTCAAAATTCAATGATGCCAAATAATAATTCTCTCAAACTATATCACGACTATACGAATTCTCTCTAGATTTGAATTTATTGATTGAAATTTAATTCTTTTTTTTTTTTGAAAATTTAATTGTATCCTATATTATCTATTCTAATAACTTTTTGAATTATGTAATAAATAAAATATGTGTAATCAAAAATTTTCATCCCAAAAAATCCTACCTTTTTTCGCATGTCCCATTCTTCCAGCTCTTCCAATCATTTGTTTATAAGTCATTGAATTCAAAGGAGATGGTCCTCGAGTTTGCGATTTTATGATAACTCTTTCCGCAGGAAGATTTACGCCTGAATGAAAATATGTTGTATGAAAATTATGTGTTAAAAATTGTAAATTTACCAGAAGCTAGTGTACTTGTGGCAACTAATATAAGAATATGACCATCTCGAAATCCTTGTTCGATACATTCACGTTCTTCTAGAGTTAAGCCTGGAAAACTTTAAAATTATTAGAATTCACTGCCGATTGTCTGGGGGGGCAAGGATTTTTGTTTAATTTTGAGATTCTCTTCACATTCCTGATTTTTTCCAGATAAAATCCCGTATTTTCTAGCGAAATTTGCTCACCTACCAGCATGATGAAAACCAATCGTTAATCCCAAAACACCAATTAATATTCTATCCTTACATCCATTTCTCTCCAATCCTTGTCTAACAAATAACAATCCTTCCATTCGATTTTTAATAACCTCCGATGATATTTTCTTGAGTTCACTGAATTTCCCCGCAATTTGTTTTGCCACATTTTCAACTTCAATTTTCGACGAACACATTATCAAAGTCTGTATCGATTTATGATAACTCTCTCGGCTTAATTCAACGATCGCATCTTCTTTTGAACCACAAAAATCTCGTAAAATCACATCTTCAAATTTTCCAAGAGATGTGTTGATTTTCCTCATTTTTTGCCCAATTATCACATTTTCAACAAGTTCGACGGGTCTAAATTTTGCCACGTGGATTTTTGCGTTTAGCCATTTTCCGATGTTATTTATTTGTGGGATTGTCGCGGACATTCCGATAATTCTAACAGGTGTTTCAGGGTTTTGCGAATTCCAAAAAAGGATTTTAGTGAGCATATGATCAATATGAGTTCCTCTTGATCCATCAAAAATCATATGAAGTTCATCAACAACAATCATTCCAATTTCATCAAACCATTCTTCAGATAAAGCCCGATTCACCAAACCTGCAGCCTAAAATTCATTATTTGTAGTGAAAATCAATTTGAATTTTCAAGACCAACCTTTTCAATAGTACAAACTGCACCAATCCATTCATTCGGATTCGAAGCGTGTGGTCCAATAAAACCGGCAACTGAAATATCATCGCGTCTCCAAGATTTTTGCAGAATGTGCAATTTTTCACGAGCCACAGAAATGTAGGGAAGAACGAACAGCACTTTTTTGCCTGATTTTGCGACTCGCCACGCTGCAAAAAAATTGAATGTTTGTTTTTTGTGGGGTTCAAAAAATCAAAGCTTGTAGTAGGTCAAAAATTACCTATTTGACCTACCTACAGATTGAAAAATCAATCAATCATTTTGTCATTTTCCTTACCAATCAATTCAGCGACCAAACTTTTTCCAGCACTTGTCGGAGCACTAAAAACCAAATTCCTCCTCTTATTTTCCTCATCCTCTTCCCCTTGTAGAACTTCATTTTGCCAATCAAAAATCCGCGAAATTCCACATTCCTCTTCATAAAATGCAGTGATTGTCCTCGAAATCCAAGATGGAAATGGGTGTTTTGCTGACATTTCACAACATGCTGAAATAAAGAAATGATCAGAAATTTAAAAAATGGAAATTAATAGAAAAACACGTGGCAACGTGGACAAAAAAACTGACGTGGAAAAAAAGAAGGAAAATCGTTATTTTTTACAAAAATACTCGATAGAAATGATGTGAGTTCGGGATAATTTTCTAATGGAATATCGATTTTTCAATAGATTTTGAGCCGGTGATTACGACCCCGTCGTTAAAAACTGCAAAGTTTAACTCATAACACAATATTTAAAAGTATTCGAACCTTTTAACACTATATCTCATGTTCGGAGATGAGCTCTTTGGATTTTGCCAACGCGATCGTACTCAGCGGCTCAAAATCTACTAGAAAATGTTTATTACATTCGAAAAAATCGAGTATTTCCTTTATGAAACTAATTTCAGACCTGCTGATTTATCCGGTCAACGTAAACAACATTTGGGTGCAAATCTTTCAACTCGAACCGCCGAATCAACATCATCTGATGATGTTCATTCTCTCTGCTCGCAATTATCTAATCTTCCAAAATCCCGAAATTTATCAGCGAAAACTGTGAATAGTTTGTCAAGTGAAACACAAGCATTTCTGCCAAAACAAATCGATCATCCATATTTTAGAAGATGTTATACAGAAATTGCACTTTTGCCAACAAAACAAGCAACTTTGAAAGAATGTTCTTTTGAGAAAACACAAATTGTGCAAGAATTTGAGATTTTGGGCGATAATTTTACGTTCAAAAAACACGCGGAAAGAGGAACTAATAATCCATGGAGAAGGTGAGGATGGTGTAGTATTTAGAAATAATATATTTCATAAACATCTCGTGTGAAAGTTCAAACAGTTTCCCCCGTAATAGAAAATTCACAGAGTTCGTTATTTTCATGATTTTTAAAACAAAAAATGACTGTGAAATTTCAACGTCAAAGGTCACGTCATATGTTTGTTTTGCAAAATTCACCTTTTCCATTTCTAAAATTCAAAATCCTATTCAATTTTCAGATACGGCGCCTTGGCAAAACTCCACGAAATTGGTGGATTTGCACCAAGCTCGAATAACAAAAAAGAGCGGAAGAATCGCGATCAACTACTAACTATCAAGGTATTTAACCCTATATAATTTTCTGAAAATCTGATGAAATCCTCAATTTTCAGAAAAACACCAAGCCACCAAATCCGCCAACAAACAATCAAATGACATTGAATCGTGTCAAAAAAGATGGGAAAAATTTGTGAGTTCTGTAGGATTTTTTAGAGCAAAATTCAAAAAAGCCTATGGTTTTCAGAGAGGCTCGTTTGCATTTGACGGTTCCGAAAAATATGATCAGTGAGCAGGCGGCACAAAAAATGGCGGAGCAGATTGCGGTATTTTTTTCAAGTTTCCAATTTTTTAAAAATCAAAGAACATTTTTTAAAGGCACATGTACTATTGAATGGACAATGCTTGGTGAAAGAGGAATAAATCGAAAATGTTGATTTTCAATGAATAAAACTTTTCAAAAATAAAATTCATATTTTCAAATCGCCGCCCAGCAAAGCGGTCATGCGACGCGGTTTTGTTTTCCACATAGCAGGTTTTCACACTACTTTATTTGTTTCTTGTTGCTATAATATATTATATTTTTCTATTAACTTTGTATTTTGTATATAATTTGTATTTATGGATTTATTAGATCTCTACCATGCACATGAATTCTCACAAATTCAAGATGAAAATGCTGTTGAAATTGTGAATTTTAAAAATTCAAAAGAAACTGATGAAGAATTGGAGGATCGAATTATCGATTCGGAAGAAACTGGTTCAAAAGTAACAACTTCTAGGAAAGCAAAATATGTACCTTGGGAACCCTATAAAGCAGCAGTTGCTCCAAAGAAAAACCTGGATACAAAATGTCCAGTGAATTTACCGCAACTTATTGCTTATTCAATGCAGCCTAGTAAAATTAAAGATATTGGAAGTAATAATAATGCGAATCCAACACCAGTTGATAATCCATTAACTGATACAAGACGCGAAAAATACTTTGAAAATAAGAAAAATACAAATGTTGTGAAAACTGATTCCGAGCTAAAAATGGAGGATGAATTGAAGAATTTGAAAAATCAATTGGAAATGGAGAAAAATGTGAATTCAGAGTTGAAAAGGCTTATGATTGCAACACTAAATGATGAGTTACAGGTGAGATTTCGCTTCCAAACTTTGAAAAAAACAGAAAAAAAACAAAAATTTTGAAAACCGAAAAATTGTCCGAGAGAACTCCAAAAAATTTGTGCGCCTTTGAAATCGCTTCAAGATATTTTTTTTTTAAACAAAATTCCTTCAAAAAACCGTAGTCTTTTTTTAAATTGAATTTTTTGAACTAGGAAAACAATAATTTCTCGAATGTTGTTAACAAATCAGTTTTCCACAACGTTTTGAGATATTCTCTTCACGGCGCGGCGAAGCGAACATGTGCGCCCCATCTAGATGCCACCGTAAATCGACACAGTTTGCTTTGCAGGAGCATTTTTCTATTTTTCACGCTATGCCAGCCGATACAAAAATTAAATTTCTGGGAGACGCAGACTTTTAACACAGGCAGAGACATCTCTCGCCTTTCCTTCCCCCTCGGGCGATACAGTGTGCTGTTGGCAGACATAGCAGACAAGCAGACACACACACAAAACATAGCGCATGGCCGCGCCGCTTTTTCGTCTGTCGCTGCGTTTATAGACCACATCGGCGTCGCCCTTTGATGTGTTGAGGTCTCGCGGCGACTTTCTAACCGAAAATGAATGTCTGCGTCTCCTCGAATTTGTGTGGTGGCACGACGTGTTTTACCTGTTTTTTACCTAATTTCAGATTGTTTTTCATTTTGTAAGTATGTATTCGGTAGAGAAATTTGCGGGGAATTTTTTCATGTATGATTTATCATGGGTAACTCTTGTCAGAGAGTTTTATTTTGACTTCTAAAAAAACACTTGATTTTTCTTCGTTTCGTCTGTTTTTAGTGTTTCATTCTTTTTTATTTCATATTTTCGATTGTCAACCAACTCATTAAACTATACAATACATATTTCAGAACAAATATTCGACTAGAAAACTAGAAATTGGCGTGAAATTTCGGAAGTCGCCAAAACAGAACTGAAGGAATTTCGCGAATCGAGCACTTTTATAAAACATGTAAGTATTTTATTGAAACTATGAAAATTTGAAAAACGAATACGCTCGGCTTAAAAAAGGCTCAATGAATCACGAAAAAAACTCGTCAACGCAAAAAATTGAATTACTGAATAAACTTTGAGAGTAATCAGGCTACGCTCAAATTTCAAAAATTAACCGAGAAGCTCACCAACTATTGATATTTTCATGAATTGTTGAAGACAACTTGATATTATAAACCTGATTTTTCGGAAAAAAACATTTGCGAGGTCCATATTCATGACACATGTCACCAAAAAAAATCATCTTAATTTTTAAAAAGACGAAATTGTAATTTCGAAAGATTTCGCTCTGAAAATTGGCTAGCGAAGAAACTTTCGCTCTGTATTTCAAGGTTCTGAAAATAGTATGGCTTTTCGTATGTAATTAGCTAATCTCAAAGTACTCCCAATCGAAAAGATTTTATTATAAATTAATCAAAATTTCACACTTCGGCCAAAATCGTGGTTTCCACAATAAAAAATTGTACGCTAAATTTTTACAGTACAAAAATTGTGAATTTTTCCGTTTTTGTCCTTTAAAAAATTGTGATTTTTCGATTTTTGACCTCTAAAAACTGAAATTCAGATTTTTCCGAAAATTGTACTCTGGCCAGCCACGGCTTGGCCGAGGTGTGCGAAATTTCTTCAAAAAGAATTTTTGTTCAACTTAAAATTGTGGAAAAAATCCGCCAAGAATTCTAAACATTCCATAATCAGAACCTGAAAGAGCTTGGCTCGGGCTTTTTCGAGAAAAACACGATTTTAATACGTTCAAAAAATGTAGAGAGTATAATTATGAAAGTAATATATATGAAAAGGAGAATTTACTTGAATTTTGAAATTTTTGCATTTCATTTTCTCATTTATGACTTATTTTTATGATCAAAATATCACATCCTAATTTGATGTTCTCACTTCGGGCAATCAAAAACATTGTTTGGGCCAGGCCACCCCGGCCGCTTCTGTCTATTTATATATTTTTATAAAAAAGTCTATTTTTTTGTAGTCTAGTCTAGGCCGGGCCAGTCGGGCCCGTGATAAGTTGAGCAGGCTGTAGGCCCCCGATTTCGGCAAAAACGACATGTCGGGTTTTCTTGAAAACTTTTAAAAGCGTATTTAAAACGTTTGAAATTCCAAAACAAATCTCTCTCTGTTGAAGGTGCCAGAGAGTGATCAACCATATATATAGAACAAATAGAACCAGTTTTCATAATTTTAACGAAAATTTTGCCCTAAAATAAATAAAATCTCTGCTGAAAAAACGAGATATTTGTTTTATTTCAAATTTAATACAATTTGTTTTCAGGATTACTTCTCAACAACACCAAAATGGTATGGTATCACCAACCAACGCCGCCTGGATATCACAAATTGATTTTTTATCAATAAAATATTTATATTCTTTGCGATTTTTTCTTCTGTTTTTTTTCCGGAATAGTCATCCAGGAGATGTTGCAACTATGAAAAATCGGAAAAAGAGTTTTTTCCGCGTTTACAACGACTCCTATTCAAAATTTTTTCTGACACACATGGTTTATGGCAGGCTGCCATTGGCAGCACCTATTTGGACTTTTGCAGCCCAAGTTGGGCTGATTTTATAAATTTTTTGAAAAAAATATATTTAAACAATAAATTTTATAGGTTTCATAACAAGATTTTGACATCAACAGTGTGTTCAGAAGCTGAAAATGAGCCGGAAATATTTTTGCCATGTCGAAAAAGCTCAAAATTCCCGTTTTTGTACTTTGGTGTCTGGCACCAATTATGATGGTCCCTAATATTTTCAGTCACTATGAAACTTATATTTTCTGAACCAGAATTCAATTCTCTACAAACTAGAACAATTTCATAAAAATCGATCAGAGAAATTCGGAATTCTGGGCCGGTTTTTCGATTTTGACCCCTATTTTGGGTGTCTGACACCCTTTAGGGCCTTTTTTGGTGGTCCCCAATATTTTCAATCACCATAAAAGTTATATTTTCTGAATCAGAATTTAATTCTCTACAAACTAGAACGATTTCGCAAAATTCGATCAACGAAATTTGGAGTTCTGGGCTGATTTTCCGATTTTGACCCCATTTTGGCGTTTGACACCCAAAATGGTGTCCACCAATATTTTCAATCACCATAAAAGTTATATTTTCTGAATCAGAATTTAATTCTCTACAAACTAGAACGATTTCGCAAAATTCGATCAACGAAATTTGGAGTTCTGGGCTGATTTTCCGATTTTGACCCCATTTTGGCGTTTGACACCCAAAATGGTGTCCACCAATATTTTCAATCACCATAAAAGTTATATTTTCTGAATCAGAATTTAATTCTCTACAAACTAGAACGATTTCGCAAAATTCGATCAACGAAATTTGGAGTTCTGGGCTGATTTTCAGATTTTGACCCTAATTTGGTGTTTGACACCCAAAATGGTGTCCACCAATATTTTCAATCACCATAAAAGTTATATTTTCTGAATCAGAATTTAATTCTCTACAAACTAGAACGATTTCGCAAAATTCGATCAACGAAATTTGGAGTTCTGGGCTGATTTTCCGATTTTGACCCCATTTTGGCGTTTGACACCCAAAATGGTGTCCACCAATATTTTCAATCACCATAAAAGTTATATTTTCTGAATCAGAATTTAATTCTCTACAAACTAGAACGATTTCGCAAAATTCGATCAACGAAATTTGGAGTTCTGGGCTGATTTTCAGATTTTGACCCTAATTTGGTGTTTGACACCCAAAATGGTGTCCACCAATATTTTCAATCACCATAAAAGTTATATTTTCTGAATCAGAATTTAATTCTCTACAAACTAGAACGATTTCGCAAAATTCGATCAGAGAAAATTCGAGTTCTGGGCGGGTTTTCAGATTTCGACCCCTAATTTGGTGTTTGACACCCAAAATGGTGGTCATCGGTGGTTATTTTTTGATGGGTGAGCGGATTTTAGGATTCTTCGCATGCTTAGGAATTTTTCAAAAAAAAAAAAAGTTTGAATTTTGAAGCAGTTTAAGCCGAATAAATCGGGCTGAAAGTAAGAGCGAGGTACGGTAGCTTCCACACACACACAACGCGGCAGAGTGCAGACAGCGAGAGTGGGGCGGCTCACTGTTTTTTTTTCAGTGTGTTCGTTTCGCCGCGCCGTGTCTTACCTGAGTGAAGAGTGAACTGCAATGAATTGTCGTGTAGATCTCATACCAAAACCATCCATCCAGCCATATTTGAATCGCCTGCGAGAAAAAACAAAAATGAAAATAGAAAAATCGTTATTTTCAAAACTTCATCTTTTTTTCCCATGTTTTGCCCCACTCTTCACCAGAAAAACATCATAAACGATGCGCAAAACCCAATGCAACTCCCGTCACTGTTTTCCGGCCGCAGCAAAGGGATTCAATGAAGAATCCTCACTCATTTGAAATGAATGGCTTTGGGTTTCAGAAGCTGGTAGGCGGTACTAACTCAGGAAGCGCGCGCAGACTTTCTCTAGTTTTTGAGGATCCGAGCGGGTATGATTTCGAAATTTATTAAAGCTTTTGAAAGCATAAAATTACCCCCTGAAAAACTTATCTTATCATCCTCGCACGGCCAAAAATACACAAAAAAATGAAAATGGCAAAAAATCGATGAGCGTTTTTTTAGTTAGCGAAAAATAGAAGACTATTAGCGGGGTAGATCAAAAAAAATTTTTTTCAATTTTTTCTGTAGGGTTTGCTCCACGGCGAGAGAAATAACACTTTTTGTTCTTCTTCCTTCTCCGGAGGGGGAAGAAGAACATATATCAGAAGAACATAATATCAGATGTTCCCGTTACACTTTTCCCGGGAGGTACTGTAGGGTTTCCGCGTTGTGTTTGGTGTTTGCAAATTTTTTAGCGGGTTTTTTCAAGGCTTATTTTTTCTTTGAAGGAAAGGATTTTTTCAGAATCAAGTTGAAGCGCTAACTGAAGACAAGGTTATTCTGGCACATCGAGTAAATGAGTTTATGGGAAAAGTGAGTTTTTTCAAAACAAATTTAATGATTTCCATGTTTCCTTTCAGTTACAAATCGAAGATGAAGAATCGGACAAATTGAAAATCGATCGAGACGTTTGGAAATGCAAATTTTTGGCGCAATCGATACGATGCGACGAATTATCGTCGAAAAATGAATTTTTGTTGAAAACTTTGGTCAAAGTGCAAGATGATGTGAAAAATCAGAGGTTAGTACCAACTTTGTAAGAACTTTTGAGTGGGGAAATTGAAAACATATCATTTTTCAAATTCAAAATATGATAGGCCTACGAAGATTAAGATTTTGCCCATTTGATTACAAAATATCAAAATTCCATTTTCAGCACCTCCTCATTTGCCAATCTAAATCTTCAAACACTTTTCAATCGTTCTCCGTGCGAAGAAAAAATTCAAAAACCATTGCCAAAATTCTCAAATCTCACGATAACTTGTTGCAAAAATTGTGCCGGTCGAGAAATTCACTTGTTATAGAAAAAATAATTCAAATATTTATGTTGGTGAGAAAAAAAACCTATCAAAATTATGTGCATTTTTTGTGACTACTGTATTTTTTTTAGTTATGGGTTACCTTCATGTTGTTGTGACAAATAAAAATTTTAAAAGAAGCTCCGCCTTTTTTTCATTTTTCAGTGCAAAAAAACAATAAAAATGCGCCAAGGACACACTATTGCGCCAATATGGCGCCATTCAAATGTGATTTTTTTTGTTTTGAATTTTCTAGATTTCCTTTGGACAGTTTCATTTGATCAATCAATATGAGCTCATTTCGAGTAAAAAGAGCCATTTTGTTGTGTCTGCGTCTCTTTGTGTTTTTTGATACTTGGGAGGTGCGCGGGACGATTTTTCCTCTCATTTTCTTTTTTCTCATTTTTTTTTTCGAAAAATGATGAGATGAAATGGTAGAAAAATGAAGAAATTTCACGCATCACTGGGTTTTTTTTGTGTTGTTTTGATGTTTTTCTGTATTTTAGAAGAAGTTCGAGTAAGTTGGATTTTATTTTGAAAACATTTTGAACATCATTTTGAGGTTTCATAATTTATTTATTTTTGTTGGAATTTCATAGATTCATTTTTTAAGCCTTATATACTTTGAGTAATCTTTTCTCGTGATCATGAATGAGTAAACATTTTTCGAAACTCAAAAAATCACCACTTCAAATTCTAACTTTCCTAACTGATCAATTTTTTATGCCAATTCACAATATTTTCTGGGAAACTTTTACCTGGAAAATTGAAATATCCGGAATCTCTGGGTTTTTCCGAGAATACTGTACATAGATTTCAAAACTCTTCTCATGTTTTCCCCGTGATTTTGAGTAAACATTCTTCGAAACTCACAAAATCCCCACCCAAAAAAAAGACGAATTTTTTGAAATCACTATGAATTTTTCTTCTCAAATTTTAAAAAACCTACAGTTTCTCACTTGTTTTTTTTTGCTTAAAATCCATCAGGTCTCTTGTTTTTCTGGATTACTGTATTTATACTTCAAATTCTCATTTTTCTCCCAAAACTTTCTCTCTAACAAATGTTGTTTTAAAAAATGTATACCAAAATAATAAATTGGTCAATAAAGCATGTGAGCCGTGTTTGACACACGTGGAACATCATAAAATATCTGAAAGGAAAATTCTGAAAAAAGGAAAAATCATTCATTCTTCACAAAAACTATTCTCTGAAACTCATTTTGAATAATGGAAAGCCAAGAAGAAGATGAGAAAAAGGATATATTTTTGCTGTAAGTGTTTTTTTTTGAAAAAAGTTAGGCCAATTTTCAGTCAAGAAAAATCCAGAAACGTTTCGAATTTTGAAGAACCGAAATTTTCAGAAACAAAATTCTACAGTATCTAGAATTTTCACAGTAATCTTGAAAAGTATACATTGGAGATAGAACTACAGTAATCTTTTTTGATCTACAGAAATCCGAAACTCTGAATTATTTTACCTACTACAGTACTCCAAACTACTAAATTTTTGAACTTTCTAAAAATCACGATTATTTTTTTCGAAAAAACCAGATAATTTCGTGTGTTATCTTCTTGTTTTTCCTCCTGATCTCAAATCGCCAAAAAAGCAATGGTCTCAGGAAAAACAGAATAAAAATACTCATCAATTATGTTCGTTTCAAATTAAAGTCAACACAACAAATCGCCGGCGTCTCTCATTTCCGCGTACTATTTCGTCAGGTGTCAAATTAAAAATTTGATCAATCATTTGATCATCAGCATTTCAGGCAAAAACACACACAAAAGACACTAATAAGATTGACTTTTTCTAGTGGTTGAAATGAATGAAGAACAAAAAATTGACATGAGATGAGAGGACGATGATTTTTGCTGTGATTATTATTATTCTGATTGATCTTTTTTCATTTCGTATTCAATTTTTAATTTTTCAAACATCAACTTTCTTTAGTTTCTCTTTCAACTAGTTGCTTCCAAACCAAAAAAGGAAAAAATAAAAGTAAAAAAACGACATTCGGCTTGCCTGTTGTTTAATTTTCACACACTGTCTGAGCGGAGTGTCGTTATTTTATTTTTACAAGATTGCGCGTAGGGTTTGGTGTTTGCGGGCAGTCGGTGTTGACACACACTCTTATTTTTTCGTTCTTTCGTAGGTTTTTGGATTTTTTTCGGTAAATTGTGTGCTATTTTCAAGGGTTAAAACTTTTTTTTTCCAATTTTTTAAATCGTTTTCGACTAGAAAACATTTATTTTGCTCCAGAAATTACTGTAGAGTTACATTTTTCATAAATAATATTTTTTCATTTATTTCTCTCTTCAAAATGCAATATTTTATTATTTACTTCTTAAGCACAACTCCAATTTTCTCCCAAATACAAAAAATCACAGGAAATCACATCATCTTCAAAAATTCCCCTTTTTCCCTTTTTTTGCTCATTGAGCATCGCATTCTTCTCTAACACTTATCATCAACAATAAAAAAAAAACCATCGTTTTCTAACTCTTCTCAAAATTTTTTAATGATAATATTATTGATATTTTTGTGTTGTTTGCAGTACTACAAGTAGTGAAAGAATAATGACTTCACAACCTTCGACATCAAATAATCCGGGTTATTATGATCATCATCTTCATCATCAACAACAACAATTTTGGAATACGACACCTGTTGCAGATCCGATGAATATGGTGAGAAAAGAGCAAAAAAAAAGAAAATAAGTGAAAGTTGTTGCGGGCATGTGGAATCGAACTCGAGTCGCTAGATTGCGAGGCAAAATAGTTCCCTAGCTACATTGCGCTCTAGAATTTTGCATTTGAAAGTTGAAGAAAAGATTGATGAGAAAAAATATTTCTGTGCATTTGTGCGTTGTCTTGTTTGCGGACTAGAAATATATTTTAGTTTCATTGTCAGCGCATTTTTAGAATTAAGGCTTTAAAAAATTATAAATATCTCATCAGATATGAAAAACATGAACTATTTATTTTTACCGGAGATTTATTTTGAAAAAAGTTAGAGGCAGAAAATAAAAAGTGCATGCACATATTTTTCTCCAATTTACAGTATCCTATGGACTACACAAACACATCAAATCTAATCTGTAGTATGCAATATTTCAACAATCAAAATCGCTATCAACTTCCACCAATAGGTCCGCCATCTCTTCCTCCTCCACCTCCACCTCAATCAATTCCTCAATCAGCCACTCATCATCTTCATCATCATCATCATTTACATCATCAATTTATGGCTCCACAACAACAAATGGTCGAACAATTCTGGATTCCACCTCCACCTGCTCCACAGCAACAACAACAACAACAACATATGATTATGGCCCCAACTACAGTACCTCCTCAAGGCGCACACTCGACACAAAATGCTACAGTAACCAGTGCAATGGATTCGTGCCAACAGATTTCGCACGTTTTGCAGTGCTATCAGCAGGTAGGTTATAGCGCCGACAAAATTTTTGAAACTGTTTTTTTTGTAGGGTGGAGAAGATGGTGATTTTGTGCGAAAAGCTATCGAGTCTTTGGTGAAAAAATTGAAGGATAAACGAATTGAATTGGATGCTTTAATTACAGCTGTCACTTCGGCTGGAAAACAACCAACTTGTTGTGTTACAATTCAGGTAGATTATTAGTTGGGTCTTGAAGCGAACGAGGGGTACTGTAAATCATCTGAAAAATTCGGCGCCAGAATGGTTGTTTTTGACTTTACTAACAGTTAGGATGTGGAACGGAAAAAAGGAAAAAGATAAGAAAGGTCAGAATTTTAGGCGCCAAAAAATTAGATAGTGGGCTACTGTATTTGTTTCTTTGATCTCTAGGGTACTGTAGTTTTATAGGATGATTACTGTAGCTAGGTATTTTTAGAATTTCAAAAATTCTTGGGAGCTCGTAAAATTTTATTGCTTTTTATTTTTAGAAAATTTTCGGAAACCAATTTTATTCTAGGGTTACTGTAATTCTAATTTCCAGATTTTTTTGATAAACTAAAATTTTAGGAGTACTGAAAAACAATCTACAGTACCCGACTGATCCTAAAATACCGTACTATTGTTGTTTTCAGCGTTCTCTGGATGGTCGTTTACAAGTCGCCGGTCGAAAAGGAGTTCCACACGTGGTTTATGCGAGAATCTGGAGATGGCCAAATGTCAACAAAAATGAACTTGTTGTAAGTCCTCAAGGATTACTGTAGGGTCTTTCAAAATTCCAAATTTCAGAAACTTGTTCAATGTCAAACTTCGCCCGAACATCCTGATTATATTTGTATAAATCCATATCATTACGAGCGAATTGTCTCAAATGGAATTGGTGCAACTTCGAATTTAGGCACACAAATCGATCAAATCCACGTGGAAATCAAGAAGGATTTTGATTTCATTCCAAATTCTTCTATTTCTGCACAAATTGAACCGGGAACTTCTTCGGGAAATTCGAATTCGCAAGATTTTTCAGCGTGGTCCCCGAATTTCTCAAATTTTTCGAATGCGAATCAAGTTCAACAACAACAATATCAATCGAATTTTGAGGACAGAAGTTGTAAGTTTTTGGAGAAAACAAATAATGAACTAATTAGCTAACAATGTTTCAGTTGACCTGAATCAAATAGTTGTTCCTCCACCAATTCAACCACTTCATTATTGGTGTTCAATTATGTATTATGAGTTAGATACGCAGATTGGAGAGGTTTTTAAGGTACAGTAATTTGGGAGGGGATACGATGCTCCGCAATTACACCTGAGAATCAAGAAAAATGCAAGGTGTAAACAGGGAGCATCGTTTGAAAATTTGTACGATGCTCTGCAATTACTTTTCACATTTCTGTGTCCTCACTAAACGTAAGCTTTCATTTAAAAATTATTTATTCGAAGCGAGTAATTTCTGAAGAATTGCTGAGATTCGGATTTCATAAATGCAAAAATTGATCCAAGTTGGCAAATCTAAATGAAACATTTTTATATTTTCTGAATGATCTGTCTAATCGCTGTAAACTCACAAAAACTAAAAATTGATCGCGGATGGTATATCTACATGACGATTTCGTAGCAGAGCTAGAATAGAAAACTGATTTTTGAGACAGGGAGACGCCTTTTTATAGCGCGTGTTTTTTTTTGAAGAAGGAGGAGAAAAAATTAGGGCGCGCGAAATTGTTTTTTGTAAAACGTGTAATTTTTAACTAACTAGAGTCTAGTTTTTAAAAAAAGGGTAACTAGAGTATACTTAACATTTTTCATTTTAGAAAAAAAAACAAAAAAACGGCATTGCTCATATTAATATTAACTAAATTCGCGGTTACAATTTCACAACAATCGTGTAACTTTCTAAAAATTCATATTTCTAACGTCATAGATTTTCTAGTTAGGCCTGAAATTTGAAAATTCCGGAATTTCAAAATGAAAAGTTCTTATTTATCAAAAATTTGAATCAAAAATTCAAATTTTCAAAACTTCACAATTAAAATGAAGAGCTGGTTTAGTTTTGCTCAAAAAACCTCATACAATTCAAGTATTTCTCTAATACATTAGAATTTTGATGTTATTCGAAAATTGATAAATTTTTTTCTATTATTCAAATGTGAAACAAGAATTTTAGAAATCTCAAATTTTCTCTGAAGAATTCTCAGAAATCCTACTAATTTTCCCTTTTCAAATTATTTTGAACCAGAAGGGCTCCGCCGGCTGTCGCCGGCTCCTCCTTCTGGGTTGTCGCGGCTTCGCGCTCAGTATTCTTTTGATGAACAGTTTGTTTCTCTGAAGTCCTGTTAGAACATCAAAATTAAACGTTTTTCATTGAGAATTTGAAAACTTTGTTGAGAAACTGGAAGCAATATGCAACATGATCACTTAGATGTCTCTTTATTATTTTTTAGCCAACATATCTAAGCTCTTAATCTTAACGAACAGTGGTATATGAGATACTTTTTCTGATCACACAGACGCCGCCCTAAACTTTTGCAAAGGGTGGCAAAAATCACTCAACAAACGCTAAACGCAAACCTATGCCATCTCTATCTCTCTCAGCTCATTTGATAATATTTGAGAACCCTATAGAATTTCAGTTTTCCAAGATTTAGCAACATCCGCCAAAAAAATTTGCATGAAAATTAAAAAAGATTTTTGTGTTTTTTTTTTGAAATTTGCAGTTTTCAGAACCTGCCGTTTTTTGATCATTCTAAAATTTATTAGGTTTCCAACAAACACTTGCCACGTACACCATACATCAGTATCCCCGGATTTTCGTCCGGAGGGGGTCTGGCTAACTTTGGAAAAAAGGGGTGGGGACCGGCTAACTTTTTGAAAAAATAACAATTTACCCCCCAAAAACCAATTTTTTTCTCTTTTTTTTGAGGGGGTCTGGCTAATTTTTGTATTTTCACATTCCGGGGGTGGCTAATTTTGAGACCCTGACCCGGAGAAACCGATGTATGACGTACACAAAATTTCGCTGTTTTTCACGTTTATATTTTGTAATTTTCATCTTTTCAGACAAAGTTTGACGTGAATTTGTTGAAAATTTCTGAAAACTAACAACAATTGTCAGTTTGTAAAGGTTTATCTAAATTTGTCTCTGATACAGGAAATCAAACCGCAAAGGATATGTGGTTTGCTATACACCATTTTGTAGAGCTCGATGAACTGAACAATTCATTGCGACCCGGTTTTCCTTTAAAAAAAATTTAAACTTTTTTCAATATTTCTGGAAATACACAGAGTTTTCCGCCTCAAAAACTCATGTTTAATTGTATACCATTTATATCACCTCGTAGAAAATTTCTCCCTTTACAAACTTAGTTTTCAGAAGTTTTCAAAAATTTTCAGAAGTTTTCAAAAAAAAAAAAAAATTCACGTCAAACTTTGTCTGAAAAAACATGAAAAATTACAAAATACAAACGTGAAAAACAACAAAATTTTACGTGGCTATTTTTTTCTGACCGCCGCCTGGAATGACACTATGCAATTTTCGTTTTTTTTTCAAAACAAATATCCAACAAATTTTTAAATTACTGCGAAATGGAGAATTCTCAAAACGATAGAAATTCTCAAAATGTCAACCGTTTCAGCAGATATTCCTGGGTCAGAAATCAAATAAATTGAAATTTCGTTCCGAAGTCGTCTAAAAATACAAAACATTGGGTTGCAGAAAATTTTTGCCCTACAACCAATTTTGAATCTTTGTGTGCCCAATTTTTTTGATTTAGCGGATCATTTTCCGCGATTTTTCGGACACATTTCGGTATCTATCTCATTTTGAAAACTGTATTTATGGATTTTAGGCACACCTCGGCCAAAATCGTGGTTTCCACAATAAAAAATTGTACGCTAACTTTTTACAGTACAAAAATTGTGAATTTTTCAGTTTTTGCCCTCTAAAAATTGAGATTTTTCAATTTTTGACCTCTAAAAACTGAAATTCTGATTTTTCCAAAAATTGTACTCTGGCCAGCCACGGCTTGGCCGAGGTATGATTTTAGGTTTCAAAAAAAGATTTGATTTCACTCAGAGATTCGCTGGCCAGCTCGCCACCAGGTGGGGAGGCTGGCTGACCTGGGAACCGCATGGAAACCACGTCGCCCGGTTTTTTTTCGCTGGCAAGGTGGCCAGGCTCTGGCTAGGTCACGGCCACATGGCTACCACGTGGTGGCCACTTCGCCTCGTCAAAATGAATTTTCATGAAAATGTCTGAAAAACTTGTGAATTGAGGCATTTTCGAAAAATTTGGCTCATTTTCTGTTTTTTCGCAGCACTTGAAACCTTAGGAAGTGAAAAAACAGTAGAAAATGCACTATTTTGAGTACAAACCACCGTCTTGCCAGCTTTCCAGAATTTCAAACACACAGGCCACGTCGCCGGAAAACTCGAGGCGACCTGGCGGCCATGCGGTTTCCAGGTGGCCGCAGCGATCTGGTGGCGAGCTGGCCAGCGAATCTCTGAGCATTTCATATTTGTTTTTATTTGTAAGATTCCCTTTCTCCTTAAAGGAGTAAAAAAAAGATAAAATATCGGATGAAGGATTTTTCTGAAAGGAATATTTCTTAAAAGAGGAGAAGAAGTAGATGAAAGAAAATGTTTCCTTTTATTTGTTTCCTTTTACATCTTATCTCTATCCGTTTGATAAAAAATCGGAAGAAAGTTGAGTACTCGAAAGACGTGGAATTTCAGAAACCTAAACAGATTTCTCGTATTTTAATGAAGAAAATCCAAATTTAGCTTTTTGGAATTACAAAATTTTTCAGATATGTTCTCCTCTTCTGATAATAGGAAAATTCGTCGAGGTTCATGAAATTTCATGTCTTTCGATTACTCATATTTCTTTCATTTTTTAGTAAACCTATTTAAAAAGATATATATGATGTAAAAGGAAAAAATTGATAAAAAGACATCTTCTTTCATTTAAAAGCAACATCATCTTTCCCTTATTCCACCTCCAAGAAAGAGTTCTCTCAGAAAATCCTTCATCCGATAATTTACCTCTTTCAACTTTCCCACTCGACCCCCTCTGAGTTTTTACGTTTTTTGTTTGGTTCGAAAGCGACCCATCAGCTTAACCTGGCCAAAAAACCTGGCACACCCAATATTTGAAGGAAGCGTGAAGCATGTTCTTTGTCTTCTATTGGAATCATCATGCTCAGCCCTACTTTACTGTACAGCGCTGGGGGTATAATTGTTTATTTTCTTTCTTCGATTTCATTTCGAAGAAGAAACTTATTTATTTCACAGCTTTCTGGACTAATATGAGCCTGAACTCACGATAAAATACGATTCAGTGCATCTTCTTCATTTCATTGGAAACCATTTTCATCTGAAGTTTCGAATAACTAATGAAAATCTCTACAGTAGTTCAACTCACTTTATTTATTTTCTATTAATTTACCCAACCGATTAGGAAGAAGCTATCATCGAGAAATGCCCAAAAATTGTTGGCTTCTTCAGAAATAAGAAAAATCAGATAAGAAACGTGTCCTTCAATTTTTTGTGGAATAAAAACGTGCTCATTCTTTTTATCATGAAAAAAGTTTAGATTTTTCACGTGAAAACTCGCGCACTTTTTGAAAAACAAAATATTAGCGCATCGATGGGAACGAATTTGGGATTTAATGGTGAAAGTATCATGAAAAACGGCCTTCTGGGAGTTGAGAAAAGTCGAGCGACACATTTTGAAACCCAAAAATACATTGAAAATTTTGGACTTTGCATTTTTTCGCGCACTTATCGAAAGAGTAGAAAATGATATGTGGCTTCCCCACCAAGTAGAAGTAATTTCCTAACTTCTAGTTCAGGAATTTTTCATTTTCATGCTCTGGGAATGAAATGCGGGCTCTGGACACACATTTTTTATTTTTGTCAATTAGTATATAGTAGATAGTTTTCGAGTTTCAATGTATCAAATATCAAAAGTCTGTGCTCCAACCAACAAAAAAAAACAAAATAAATTTCATAAAAAATTATTTATTTGAATCGAGTTAGACATAAAAGGAAGTATTGTTGATAACTAGGAATACACATCAATTGAGCCAAGTTATCAATCTGGAAAACAACATTCTGATTTGCTTTTTGAATGTTTTAAACTCACTCACAATAAATTTGATCTCTGACAAATTGCTATTAATTTGAGACCATTTTGAGGGGAAAATAGAATAAAAACTGATTTTTTGAGATGGGTTGCGCGCTTTTATAACGCGCATTTTTTTTTGAAAGAGGACGAGAAAAAAATTAGAGCGCGTGGAATTGTATTTTTGTTGGAAAACGTGTTATTTTTCAAACATTTTTTCAAATTTTTTCATTTCTTGAAATTTTGAAAACTCAAAATCAAACGAAATTTTTCGAAAGTTTTTCACAGAGCCAAAAACTGAGATCCAATTCAATTAGTCTCAGTGTGTAAGATTCTACCAGTTTTTAAAATTATTCCAACTCCTTTTTATTTTCCAGGGTTCCTCTCACGATAATGGAAAAGTTTTAATAGATGGTGGAATGGATCCACACGGTGAAAATGAGGGTCGGTTTTGTCTCGGCGCACTTTCAAATGTTCATCGAACAGAAGCAAGTGAAAAAGCTCGATTATATGTTGGAAATGGAGTTGAATTAGTTGCACATTCTGATGGAAATGTATCATTGACTTCGAAATGTAAAATATTTGTTAGAAGTGGATATTTGGATTATTCAAAGGGTTTTGAATATGGTGGAACTAAAGCGCATCGATTTACGGAAAATGATGGAAGTGTTACGGTATGTTGAGTAGCATATTCGCCCTATTGACAATTCAACAATTCAGGTTTTCGACATTCGTTGGGCTTTTATGCAAATGATGCGACGAAGTGAATCAAGTAATGAAGCGGTTCGAGCTCAAGCTGCAGCTGTAGCTGGATATGCACCGGTAAGAGTCTAAAGATTTTTTGTGCTCAATTTTTTCTATCCTAAAAATGTGGCTCAAATTAAGCTTGAATTTTAGAAATCAGCCTTTGAAAATAAACTTGATCCTTTCAAAATTTCGAATTTTATTTCAGCTTTCTGCAATTCCCCAAATAATGCCAGATTCTGGAGTGGATGGAATGCGACGAGATTTTTGTACAATTGCAATTTCGTTTGTCAAAGGATGGGGAGATTTGTATCATAGACAGAGTATTAAGGTGAGGGGAATTTAAAATCTAGAGATTTTTAAACAAAAATTCCAAAATTTAATTTCAGGAAACTCCATGTTGGATCGAAGTCCACCTTCATCGCCCTCTTCAACTTCTCGATCAACTTCTCAAAAATAATTCAAATAATTCTCCTTGATGATTTTTTCGGAAATTCATTTTCGGTTCTTCTATGTATTTTTCTCAAACTGTCGATTTATTTCTAATTTAATTTTTCAAATCAAACAATGAACTTTTCGCGGGTAAAACTGATGTTGAAAAATTCAGAGCATTTTTTTTACTCAGAGAAACAGGCTGGAGAACCGGCGGAAAACTTTCGGAGATCCAGCCTACGGCTGGCGGTTCGCCGAGAGTTCTCCGCCGGTTATCCGAAAGTTTTCCATAGTTTCTCCCACAGTTCTCCATTGGTTCTCCGCTAGGCGCTTTTTTGCATTTTTCGCTCTCCAAAACTAGAAAATTTTCTCCGCCAGTTGTCCGCTGGTTTTCCATTCTCTGTTTCGAGAACATTCTTTCGCGCAGCAGAAACATTGAAGATCATTCGGAGAACTGTCGGCGAACTGGCGGAGAACAATTTTCTCCATCGGTTTTCCGAATATTCTCCGCCGTGTCGTCTATCCGGCGGTTCTCCAGCCCATTTCTCTGAGTTAGATTGATTTTCAAAATAACACGTGGCAACAAAAAATTAAAAGTATTGTAAAAATTACATTATATAAAAAAATGAATTCTGAAATTTTAAAATTTGAACTTTTTCGAAATTCCTGTTTTTTTAAGCTCATTAAAACATTTCTGAAATGAGATCTGAGAGGATTTATTCAACAAACTAACGTTTCGCGGGTACTTTAAAATATATAATACAAAAAAAAATAATTTTTCAAATTCAAAGAACTTCAAAACAAAATTGTTCATCAGCCACTTTTTCCAGCTCAATCTTCTCGACCAATTTTAGCATTTCATCCGAATCTTCTCGAATTTTTTGCGTAACTTCCAAACTCAGCAATTTCGCTTGTTCCATTTCTGTTTCGATTTTTCGAATCACCTCATTTTGCATTTTTGTGCTTTTGCTTTTTCTCGCCAATTCGAGCATTTTCTCAAATTCTCCACTTATTCCACACATTGTTTCGTTGAAATTTTGCATTGTTTGATTACATTCTTGAACACTTGAATCAAAGCAACCACGAATTGCTTCCAATGTTGATAAATGATTCGAAAATTGATAAGCTGACTGAAAAATATGTGAATTTTTGAGTGAAAATTAGAAAGAAATAAAGGATTTTTGGTGACAGTCGAAGAATTTTTCAATGAAAATCAGAATTTTCTGATGGTCAGAGAAAATCGAGAGTTCGAAATCATCAGGAAATGAATCTTTAAAAATTCATGGGTTGAAAAATCAGAATTTTTGAATGAAAAAATTGATATTTTAGGTGAAAATTGAGATTTTTGAGTGAATTTTTTTCAAAAATATATTCCAAAAAAACCCACCAAAATCGGAAACATATCCACAATCTCATGTTTTTTCTTGATATGCATTTGATAGGCACAAGTTGAGCACATTGAGACTTCCAATACTTGCGTGGTGTTCTGAACAAAATAGAAAAGGTTTTGAAGAATTTCCAATAAATTTTCAAAAAAAATACCTCATTTCTAGAAACCGCTTGCAGGTCCAATATATTCGGGTCAATTACACAAGTTTTACAAATGACGAGGCTGCAAAAAAGGGGTTTTCGGGTTGAAAGTCGATTCTTAAATATTCAAATAGTTAAGCTTAAAAATCCAAGTGGCAAACAATAGCTTACTTTTCCTCAAGTTCCCATTTTTGACAAAGCGAACATTTATAATCGAGCTTCTTGTTCAACAATTCCTGATTTTTCAATTTCAAATTTTCGACCAATTTTAGAGTGTCTGAAAAATCGATAATTTTCAATTTGAAAAGGTGAGTGTGAAAACTGACCGATAAGTTGAAAATTTCGATTTCTAGCGCCAATTGGTTTCCGACAAACTGGGCATTGTTGCATTTGAGCAGCACGGCTGCAAAATGGGGAATTTTTGAAGTTTTGGTTGGAAATTTGCGGATTTTTCAGCTTTAACAATAAAAAATCACTTACTCACTGCACTGCTGACAAATATTATGGCCGCATGTGAAAATCATTGGAACAAAACGTTCAGAATCTGAAAAAATTCAGATGTTTTGGGAAAACTCATAGGAAATTCTTGAAACTCACCAAAATTTTCGAAACAAATTGGGCATTGTGCAACTTCCTCTTCATCGACCATCTTTTTGAAAGAAAACTGAAAACAATGAGAGTTGGCAATGAAAAATAGAAGAGAGTTCACGTGAAAAAATTCAAAAAACTTTTCTCGAATTTTCATTTTTAGGAAATTTTTAGCGGTTATTTTTGAATAGATCAATTATTTTAAAAGCAAAAATTCACGGTTTAAAAAAAGTTTCAAGTTTGAAAACCGTAATTTTTCCTAATAATTTTTAATTTCTAGAATAATTTTGGTGTTCCAGATTTTTTTCTCATCACTTTTCTCTTAATTCCACAATCCGCAGTTCTTCTCAAATTCCAACCTCTTAAAATAATAGGTTTCCTCTTTCTATTTTTTCTTTCCTCCCATAATTTATTCATTTCATTTTATTTCAATTCGTGATTTTTCCACCGCTTCTTCTTCTCCAATTTTTTACTCTTCCAAAACCATAAATTAAATCCTTCTTGTTGTTTTTGCTCTTTTTTTGGCTTGGCCTTTACCTCTAACATAAGAGTCGTAAAACGAAATGATGAGTTTCTTTTTTCTTCTCCTCGCCCTTTTTTTGTCATTTTTTGATTCGAGTTGTCCCTCCCGTTTTGGTTTGTTTTTCGAAATTCCTCGGGGGCAAAACTAAATGTGGCCGAAAAAAAACAACATGTTTTTTTTTGCAACAAAGGGACACATTATTATGAGAAAATGGTGTTTGGTGGTGGTGGCAGTGCATTTTTTAGCGACTTTTTTCTTCGTTGGTGACGCGAGTATAAGTCTGTTAATATTTGATGGTATCATGTTCGTCTGATGTTATTTTGGGATCTCTTCAAGAGTTTTGCAGCTGAAACTTGGTCGAAAACTGAATTCCAAGTTTTTTTCAGAAAATTTTCAGATGTTGTTTCTGAATCTTCTGAAATTTCGAAAATTCAGTATTTTTTATCTTGAAGAGTAAAACTTCGAATTATTCTGATTATTTTGATTTTTTCGTTCCAAAAATCAAATTCATTGATTAACGATAAATCGTATTTTTGTAGATTTTTCGAATCCACCGTTTTCCTGTAGATTCCACATCCAAGCTTATTCTGTTTTCGTCTAAAGTACTTGTTAACATCAATTCGTTGCACACACATGTTTTGGCCCAATAAAAATTATATATTCTTGTTGGGTTATAAAAGTTTGCACTTTTCTTTCCATTCCTTCAATTTTCTTTTATTCTTTTTCCTTCCTTCCATCAGCCACTAATAAATCATATAAGCCAATAAAAAATTCAAACTTAATTAATCACCGTGCCTCCCAACTCAAACTATAATTAAATTCGCTTCCTTTTTCTATTGCTCCAAACATTTTCCATTCTCCTGTCACTTTTCATATATTAAATATCCCAAAGCCTTTCAAAAAGTGGGCGTGGCTTATTTCCAAGCCCCGCCCCATTTTTCTCGATTATCGCTCTTTTCCTCTTCGTTTTTCGCATCCACATATTTTTTCGGGATTTTTTCAAGGATTCTTCTTCTTGTTCGTATATATGATTAGTTGATGCGTGGAATCTCATCGTATTTTTCAATTTTTTTCCTCGTCCTCTGTTTTTTGGTGTTTTGTTGTGAGCCAGCGGCTTTGGTGGGAGCAGAAGAAGGAAAAGAGGATTTTGGCAACGGAAGTGGTGGAATTGTTCGGAGGGCTGGTGGGGTTGTTGGTGTTGATTCGCAATGTTATCCGGATTTGTGAGTTTTATTTTTGGGCAGTTTGGGGAATGTGGGAAGGGAGGGTGTATATTAGAATACTGCTGAAAATCCTATAGATATTTGAGGTTTCACAGCGAATCTCTAACCAAAAACGTTTGTATGTGTCCCCCAGAGATCTTATTTTAGGAAAAATTCGAACTTTTTGCTTGGAATTTCAAAGATTCACGAATTTTCATAGAGCTCTGACATAGAGCGAAGACAAAATTAGCCTAATTACTGTTTTTCCGAGAAAAACATGAGACCACCGAAATTTTCTTGTGGGAAATTTCGAAACCCTACTTTTCGGACCACTTTTGAATTCTGAATAGAACCTTTTCCGAACAACTTCAAAAATAATTCTGCACCAATTTCGAAGCAACGAGAAAAAATTGATCGGAAAATACAAAAAACCGAATTTTTAGCTCTCACAAATATTTGAGAAAAAATTTCCACAAATATCGATTATTCGAAATTTTTGAAATGCTGATTTCTTTCAAAAATTTTGAAATCTATCGGGTCACGTCTGAATTTTCAAAAACTAAACTACAGTACCCAACATCTATCACCCAATTCTTCTCACTCAAAACAAAACAACAAATAATAATATTGTTGTTTTTGTGTGCTTCATCGCAAAAATTGTCGATTTCCTTCTATTTTTCGTTCATTCTAATGTGAGATGAATATCAATTCATCATTGCTTCTTTTTTCTTCTTTTTTTCATTCTCGCGCATCTGTAGTAGTAGTATCTTTTAATGAATAATAAATAAACATCTTCTCGTTTTCCAGTTTTTTGCTAGTCTTTAATTCGAGAAAAATAGGAAACATCGAGGAATTCTAGACTTATGTTTGGGAAAAATCAAACTATAACAAGATCCAAAAATATTACGATCTGTTCAGAAACATATGAGAACAATTAGAGAAGGAATGAAAGTTAATAGAACTTGAGAAAATTGTTATTTTCAAATTTCTATTTTCCTCAAATCTCGCCTTTAAATTCGACCAGCTGATAAGATCAGAAATCACTATGACGTGACAAATTTGTTTTCAACGAGCAATTTTTTGATTTTTAAAAGAACAAACTCGGAAAAATTGAGCACTTGAACTTTCTGCAAACTCAAGTTTATCCTATCAAAAAATCCAACATTTTCAAAAATTGTTTTTTGCTTCTTCCCACTTTTTTCTGCCATCACATTTTCTATGTAAATCGTCTGATTTCCTCCGGAATCCAGCCAAAAAATACACACATACATAAAGTAGGACCCGAATACATAAATAAATAAAATGAGGATCTTGTTCTCTTCTTCTTCTTTTTTGCTCTCACTCAATATGATAATTGATGTGAGCTCGAAAAATGAAAGGAGCATCAGATCTAGCATATATGCATATAATTAATGCGTTTCATTTTGAAACTAAAAAAAATAGTAGAATTATGGGTGATGGTGTAATTAGAAACATGTCAGTTGATTTGTCAGAATAACAAAAATTGACAAAAATATTTCCGGGAAACGGAATTCGGTGACCGAATGAATGAAACATCCGGGAACTTGTCACAAATCAGTTTTTTTTTTTGAAATTATGGTAAACTCAGCATAAAAGTTATTTAGGAATGCTATGATTTTTAAAGTCGTAAATAATTTGAAACGTACTTTTTCGAGAGAAAACAAAATAAATTTTGTTTAAATTTCGGAATAACTTCGAAAAATGAAAAAATTTCTGACGCCTTTGCCAACTTCTGATTTTCTTAAAAATTATCCATTGAAATGTTCTATGAACTCAAAACAAGTTACCTACATAAAATTAGTGACAAATGTTTTTTGTGCATTCGAGCATTTCATAAAACCAGGTTAACTTGGATATTTGCGAGACCACCCACGATTTTTGAACTTTGAACCGGAAAATCTCTCACAATAGAAAATACGTTTCGAATCATTCGGAATTTAAAAACCGATAGAATGTTAAATGTTCATACTGTAGCACTATTGCTCCTTTATTTCTAGTTTCTTCGTTTTATCTGAAACTGGGGATTTTTATGATCCTTTTGTTAAAATAAAAATCCATGCACCTTTAAATATTTCCCCAATCCAATTTTCGAACATAATAATATTTTCTTGGAGGTCGCCTAACATAAATTATTCCAAATCAAATCCAATCAAATTTCCCGCGGCGACCACAACAAAAATAATAATTTGTTGCGTCGACCTGATCGAATTTCTCGTCTTTTTGCTCAAAAATGTCCGCGCGAGGGATCCAATTTGTCGCTTATTCAAAAATTTTTCAAAAAAAATGAGAAGAATTGAATTTCGTCTCCGTTTTCACTGCAAGAAAAAATCGCGGGGCGAAACTTTTCGTTTAAAAATTCTGGCCGGGAAACGAGAAATAAATAAATATATAAATCAATTTTCAATTTTTGCTTCAAAATTAATTGAAAACGGCTTCTCCTCCTATTTTCCATTATTTTTTGTTCTAAACAAAATAGCCTTGTTATTTATTTTTCTGTGCTCCAAAGGGATGTATTTGACAAGTTTTCGTCCCCAACGATTATTACATATTTTCAAAAAAAGGGGGAAAACAGGAAACGTCTACAGTAATCCTTTGGGGATTTAAAGGCGCAGAAAAAAACCTTCTAATCTAATTTAATTTGAAAAGCAAAGCACTTTGGGTTGAAAAAAGAAAGGGATGTTTTCTACCGAATAGAAAAAATTGAACTTGGAGGGTTCCAAAAAAATTCAAAATCTATTTTTTGCAGATGTGCTGAAGAAGAGACCGATACATTTTTCTCTTACACGGCGTGTTGCGATAATGAGTGTTGTAATCGATTGAGATATTGGGTTTAGTGAGTTTGTTTTTAGAAATGGGCTAATTTGGAACTGGGAAATTTGAAGCAAAAATTGAATTTTCTGAGGTTAGACTGCAATGTGAGGTTTGAAAAATAAGTAGTTTAAATTGCAACTCTTTTCTAGGTACATTTTTCCGATTAATAATGAAAGAACAATACGAACATCAGTATTACTCATCAGACAAGTTAAGAAAACTTTGAAACGTATAAAATTTCGGAAATTTTTTTCTTGAGATATTTTATTAGTTTCTACCATTTTTCGCCAGATTTGAAAATTTGTTCGAAAATTCTATTTTTTTTTTGAATCTTGGTATACTAGAGATGACGCTGGTAAATTAAAGTAACTTGTAGAATTTCGTCATCTAGTGAACTTTGGTTTTTCAATTAAAAGCTGAGTACATCTAAATAGAGAACTAATTTCAAATTTAGGATTAATTTGCTAAAAGAAAACATCAAAGTTCACAGAAGCTTAGAAAATAGTTTACAATTTTCGAAATTCAGTTGTATCTGAATTCCACTTTCAATGTTTTTATTTAAATTGAAAATCCTAGAATCATTTTACAGCCCAGCTTCAATCGCAGCAGTTGGTTTCATCGCGGGCGCATTTTTTGCCCTCTGTTTCCAATGTCGTTAACAAAATGCACACATCAACAAAATCATATCAAAATACGTGTCCAATTATAAAACACACCAAATTCTACCAGAAATTGGATTTTTTCGCAAAAAAAGATTCAACAATCCGATTTTTATAGTAAAAATTTATTCTTCTTTTTTTCTTCTTGTTGTTTTTTTCTGTCATATACATTATATAATATCCAACACATAAAATATTAATATTTCCAAATAAAACTCTGTACAATTTTGTTTTGGGGGAGGGGATTTTTGAGAGAAAAAAGGGAAAACGGGGAGAAAAATCACAGAAGTCTCTTTTCAAAAAATCTAAAAACAATATAAAATAATTATAAAAATATAACTTGTTTTCCCTGAATTAAAAATCGAAAAAGGGTGAATTTCTAAAATCAAAAACTACAATTATAAAACTTTCTCAGGTTTTCTGAATTTGAAAAAAAAGATGAAGACTACACGAAAAAAACCGTATTTTTGGGGGGATTTCGGGGGAGGAAAAATGTGGGTAAGGTTAAAAATTCACAGTGAAAAAAAAAGAATAAAAAATAGTATAGGAGTATTGAGGAAAGGCAAGAAAACTGGCTGATTTTCGATAAATTTTGTACAATTTTTGGATAAAATCAGGTTGGAGGGACGGAATGGCAATTGTTTGATTTAATAGGAAAACGGAAAAAAATAAATAGAAATTTTTCCGAGAAAAACAAATGAAGAGGTATTATAGGGAAATTATTAGAAAGAATCAAATCGAATAACGTTTTTTGAGAAAAATTGAAGATGAATTTCGAGACGGAGCAATTTTCATTAGAAACCAGTTGATCTGAAAAAATTTAATTTAGGAACTTTTTGAATTTCGAAATATCTTTTTCATGATGTTTTTGAAACAGTTAATTTTGAGAGCAATTTTGAAAAAGTTGTTCGACCTAGAATTCGGAACTAAAAAACTATGAAAATTTTCCAAACGAAATTTTTGTAGATTGTTTCAATTATTTAGAAAACTCACAAATTATCATAGAAAAAATCGTTTCCAAATGCTGTGTCCAACATGCCGCCTGATTGACTTTGGTTCTGACAATATCGAGTCACTTGTTCTTCCTGAAATTACATTTTTATTGATAAGAATATAATTTTTCCGAGAGCGTTAGAATAAACAACCATTTTTAAATAGAAAAACATATCAAAAATCCATTTTTTCAATCCAAAATGAAAAAATACCGTACCCAAGCATTCAAATAATCAGTAATCGTTGTGAGACCCGGTTGAAGTAATCGCTCATGAACAACATTTTGCAAATCATCATACAAATACGAATCAATATCAATTGCAGCTCGATCAACAGAAACAGTTCCAGCTGGATAATTTGATGGAATAACAAGGCGAAGTGGTGGAAATGGTTGATTTCCTGGAAAAAAAAAGGGGAAATTGAAAATGAATATGTGGAAAAGAAAAGACTGATCCGAAATTTGAATCTATCTTTTTTCCACAAAAATTAGAGTTGAAAGGTTACTTTTTCAAATTTATTTTTCTCAAAAAATTCGGAATTTCAAATTTCAAGAGATCAATTTCCCACCAAAAACTCACTTTGTTTAACACTAACAATAACGTGATTAGCATCATGCCTTTCAGTATTCATATTAATATCAAATCTCGATTCCATAGTTTGCATTTCTTTTCTCGCTGCTTCATTCAACACAGGTCTTCCACCTCCAACATTCGAATTCTGATTATTTTGTGGGGTCATTTGCATTCCACCCATTCCATGTCCGCTATGAATTGATGAAGTTAGTGAATCGGGATTTGGCAAGAAATCATCGTAGGTAAAGTCTTCGAGTCCACCTGGAATAAAACAAACGATTTAATTTAAAATAATTGGAAATGTGGAATTATTATGATATCATTTGAGTATTTTATTTGGAAAAAAATCCAAATATTCTGGAACGTAAAAAATCGTGTATTGAATAAAATAAACCTAAATTATTTGAACGGCCTGAAATATAGTCTGGAAAATTTTGAGAGTCTAAAAACAAATCAAACTTGGAAAACTTGGGTAGCCCGAAAATAAGTCTAGAAATTTTTGAAGAGCTTTCGAAATATTCAGGATTGTTAATTTTTTCATATTTCAACAAATTCCAAAAATTTGGCGAAAATTCCAGTAAAACATTTATAATAAATCGAGGTTAGTCTCAGAGATCAAACCCATCCCCACAAATCCCACAAAAAAAACTAACTCAATCCACTTCCCAATCCACTACTATTACTAGTTCCTCCTCCACCATTACTCATTTTTCCGCCACCAACACCCATTTGATTCAAAGAACTCGACGATGAATTCGATGCCATTCCAATACTATTCCTATCTGATCTTCCAATTTGTCCAGCTCCAGATCCACTCATAGTTCTCATATTATTTCTCATTGCTGGATTTGGATATGGTGCATGTCTATGAGCTGGTCCACCAACACCCATTGGTGATGCCATTTCATGTGGCATTCCATACATATGCATAGGTCCAGGTCCACCCATCATCATTTCTTGTTGATTTCTTTGATATTGTTGTTGTTGATGATGCCACATTTGTTGTTGTGGATGCATTTGATGATGTGGCGGTTGTCCCATTCCACCTCCGCCATATCCATTTTGTTGTTGTTGTGCATATGGATTCGGTGGTCCGTTATGATACATTCCGTGATCAACAGGTCCTCCGCCATTCATCATATCTAATGGCATTCCTTGTCGATGTTGTTGTGGATGTTGTTGAGGATGCGGTGAAATATGGGATAATGGAGCAGCGCCGGCCAGAAATTCCGCCTTCTTTTGAATCCAACACTCAAGATGATTGAGGTATTCAAGAGAGACAAAACGTCGCCCGTCTAAAACTGCCATCATTACTTCCAATTTCTGAGCCGCGTCTCGATTTCCTTCAGCTTCGCATTGATTTGCGCGCATTCTGTAAGGATTTCATTTTAGACAATTTCAAAGTAATTAAAAATAGTTCTAAATTTTTTTATTTCAAGCTAAAAATTCACTTCTGAGAGTAAACAATTTTCTCAAAAAATATCGCTCACCTCAAATTATCAACATGCGGTCTTAATTTTCGTAATTTGTTCGAATAAATCATTTGTTCTTCAGGTGACATAGTTGATCCAACTCCTCCTGTTCCATTTCCTCCATTTCCATTTACTTGTCCATTTTGTGACGGTGGAAGTTGTCCAGGATTTTGTGAATTTGCATGATGACCTGGATATTGTGGTTGATTTATTAAATTTTCAAGAACTGAAGAAGATGCGGCAGCGGAAGCCGAAGATGAGGAAGAAGGAGCGGGATTTGCAGAAGAAGAGGCTCCTGAGGAACCTGCGACTGCGGAGGAATTGTGTTGCTGGTGTGCAAGAGGCCCGTTTCCTCCTTGACCATTATTCATTGGACCAGTTGGATAGCCTGGAAGCCAAATCATAAAATTCGAAATTTGGAAATTGAGACAAAAAATGTGTGAATTGAGAGAGCGTGCAGACATCAAATTGAACAATTTTTTATCGGACAAATATTTGGGATGCAACACAATTCCACCGCGAGCCACAAGAAATATAGAAGAGCTATGATAAAATTTCATAATTAAATTTGGGTTATCTAAAATTAAGATATTTCAAAACAGAAGCTCAGAATTCAGAAAATACGACTTTCTGGAAAATACGCAAATTCAAATAAAAATTCAAGGGTTTCCAAAAGTTTAGTCCTATTTTCAAAATTCAGACAAAAACTTCGAAAACTCGTAATTTTGATGTGATTACAAAAAAAATCGAAATTCAAAATTTCGGGCGAATTTTTGACTTTGAAAATTCGGGTTAAAAAATAGAGAATGCACATTGAAAATACAAGTTTAGTCACTAGAACTCGATGTTTTTCAGAGATTTTTTGATTTAAAGCTTCAGAAATCGAAATTTCCTGAAGTATTTTTGAAGAAAATATTCAAACAAAAAAAATTTGAGTTAAATTTCAGAAATTTTCTCATTTTTCCCGTTAAACCTCCTCTTCCCGCTCCCACATGCGTCTTCCATATTCCTCCCTTTCCCAAATTCCCTCCAAAAAATGCTTACCGTGCATTTGTGGATGCCCAGTTGGACCAGGTCCCCATTGTGGTGGTTGATATAAATGTCCTTGCGAATCCCATGGCGGGCGCCCAGCTGCTGCCGGTTCAACCATTTTGCCCGGTTTCCTATCTCTTGTTGGTGGTTCTTGATACATTGGTGGCATTCCACCATACCCAGCTCCTCCGTTATTCCCATATCCACCCATTTGTGGTGGGGGTTGTCCCATTGTTGGTGGAGCAATTGCACCATTTTGTGAAGGTGGACCAGCTGAAGAAGTTGTTGAAAATGGTCGCATTTCTGGCGACGGAAAAGATGGTGGCATTTGTGACATTGGAGTAGGAATCGAAGCTGGAGTTGTAGATGCTTGAGTTGTGGCAACTGAAGATGTTGCTGGATTTCGAGCCTGTGCAGATGTTGGTTGTGGATCTGGTGGAACTGCTGCTCGATAACTGCTTGGAGTTGAAGTTGGTGTAACTCCTCCTCCATTTCCATTTTGAGCTGTCGAACACGGAGGACTGTGAAATTGATTTGGTTGAAGAACTGATGGAACAGCCGCCGATTTACTGTTACAATTTATCGCATTTATGACTTTAGCTATAGTTCGCATATATTCGTCTTTTGACATACATTTTGCGAATACATATTCTTCAACTTGTCGAGCATCACCGGGAACTGGCAGGTTTGGAGCATTTTGACGGTTGCGAGCTAGTTCAGGTTCTCTGGAAAATGATTATTGGGATGGAGGGCAAGAAAAACAACATGTTAATGATTTGAAAAAAAATTAATTTTCAAATTTTAGCATAAAGTTTGGTCTCGGTTTGAAACTTCCAGCTCCCAATTTTTTTCCAGAAAAATTTCAAAATATGCTTCTCCGGCCTTAACTTTCATGAAAATCTCAAAAACCCAAGGGCCAAAACCTCCCAAAAAAAAATCTCAAACTCACAATCGATTAATGACATGTTCTCGAAACTTGGCCGACGGCCAATCGTCGTCAGTCATTTTCACTGGATTTTGAACACCGGCTACAGTTGTCGACGTCACTGTGGCTGCTGTTTATAGGAAGATACAAAAACAGAAGAAAAGGCAACAAATCGCGTTCCTACAAAAATAAGTTGTTTAGGGGAAAAATGGGAAGAGTTTCAGATATTCAAAAAACGTATCAAAACGTCTGATTTTTGGGAAGAAATATTGAACAAAAATATAGATAAATTCATAAATAAATTATATATAAAAGAAGATTGAAATTAAAATTCCGTTCCATATTCAATTGAAAATGAGTTATTTCAAGAATAAAGTTTCATCCTGTCGTTTTTTGGGCGCGAAGGCTCCAGGCTTGTTTTGTGCATCTGGATGATTTGCCAATTCAGGTGGACATATTGAAATCGGTGATTCAGATAGGACCTGAAAAAAAGTCAGAACATTTTGAGATATTTAAAATCTGGGTTAGGATAAATATGGCTTTCGGGATTTCATGGAATGCCAAGATTTTGATTAGAATTCTGAACTTATTGAAAAAATCGATAATTTTTGAACTTCTGGTTCAAAATTTTGAGTACTTGAGTAAATATGTCAAATATTTGGCTGAAACCAACTTTTTGGCCTAAGAATTTCCAGTAAATTTCTAAAATTTTCATGTGAGTTTTCCAGTCAGAATCTTGTGAATAAGTCTACCGTACTCTTGTCCATATTTCTCAACCCAACCCGTCCAAAAAGAAACCCCCAATTTCCAAAAATCTAATCTTATCAGCAGCAAAAATGAATCGTCGTTTCTTTTTTTTATCAATCACGTCTCCACTTTTTCAACCCCCCAAAAATATCGATCGAAAAATTGACTTACCTGTTTCAGGTCAAAATAAACTGACGAATCATCGGGTGTCAAAAATGTGATCGCTTTTCCTTGTTTTCCGGCGCGACCTGCAAAATTTCAAGATGAACATTTGAAGCATGGGAAAATTAGGAAATGTGAGATTTTTTCAAGATTAATTAATTGAGGGAAATTCGAAACATTTTCATTTTATTTTAATTTTGAGAAAAACGTGGAAAAGGGGGCTGTCAAATTCAGATGCGAAAAAAATAAACCAAAAATCGATTGACACGAAAATACACACACACATAGAAAAAATGCGCCTGTTAGTCTTCTTTTTTCAAAAAAAAAAAGAACTGACAACATATCAATATATTATATATTTTTCTCTTTCTCTCTCGAAAAGATAAGTACAACAAAAATCATTGACAGGTCAATGATTTTTTCTAAAATAATATTAATAACTGTTTTTAGACGAAAAAAGTTCGAGTAAAAAAAGCTACAGTATTTTGATAAAAAATACAATTAAAAATTGTTATCATCAAAAAAGAAAATAACAATCTCTGGTCGATGTGCAGCGGGCGAAACAAATAATAATAATAATAAACGCTGTTATATATTTTTGTAATTTTTTATTGAAAGCCTAAAAAGCGACACATATTAAAATTTTCGGTTTGAAAGAGAAAAATATCGATTGGAACTATTAAAGTATTGAGAATTCAACAATTTCAAAATATTTCAAAAATTTAGAAAAGAAGTTTTTTGGATAGAAAATCAAAAATTAAATGTTTTGCTTTAATCAAGAAATTTTCCAACTTCTGCTAAATCAAAATTTCGAATTTTCTAAAACATTTTTCTTCAATTTCTCATCCCCGTCTCGAAAATAACCAAAATTTGTACCCAATGTAACACTAAAAAAGACCGCGCCGTCGCGAAATAAAAAAGTCAAACAAAAACTGGTTCAACAATGGTCTTCTCTTTACATTCACGTGAACTTCGCCGATTTTGCCACGTGGCATCATAGGGCTTATAAAATATGTGCATTTTGACAGTTTTACAACTAACAATGGAGCCATATGGAAAATTTTGTCTTATCGAAAATAAACTCCAAAAAACAAATTTTCGTAAGGAAAAAAAAGTATAAACAGAGGAAAAGACACAGGTCGAATGTAAATAAATAAGAACAGAATAGAATAGAATAATAATGAAGAAGAAGAAAAAAAAGAGAAAAAGTAGAAGGAAAACACATTCTTTGACCTTTTTCGAACATAAAGTAAATGAGCGGGAGAAAAAGGAAAAACTTTCCATTATTTTTAGAGGGTGCAAAAATGAAGCCAATTCTGCTGGAAATAACTGAATGGATCATAAAAAGAGACTGTAAAAATGTGAATTGTGAACTTCGATAGTGGTCCCGTATTTTTTGTATGGTCCCGATCCATTCAGTATTTTCACAAATATGAAGCAAATTCATATTCATTCGAATAAAAAGGTCCAGGTCCGAATAATCACAAATTCAATCTTCGATTGTTGATCGAATAAAAAAGGGAGAAAAAGAGAGATTTATTATTATACTCCCCCATTTTTTATTATAAATATAAAAACGCGGCCGAATTATCAGATTTTGGTGTATCGAAAGGAAAGGAAAGGTTATCTCGCTCTATCTCTACATTTTTACAAGAGACTAAAAAATGGATGAGAAGAGAGAAAGAAGTAGAAACACGTGTTTTTGAGAGTAAAACATTTGAATAAAATTTATTCATGTGGGAAAAAACGCTGTTAGGCGGTGAAAGTTTTGAACCGCAATAGAAAAAAAAAAGTAATTTCGTTGGAAACGGGCCAAACTTTCCGTGGGAAAGATTGGGTCCTTTTTTAATTGTGGAAAACTGTACAAAATCATTCAAAAATGGCAAAATTCAAAAATTAGGCAGAAACTTCAAATTTTGAGTTGGAAAAATTAGAATCCGAAGGGTAAAATTCAAAATTCTCTGAATTTTCTCGCTGTCCCAAGTTTTCTTACAAAGCAGTTCAAATTTTGAATCTAACGAAAATTTCAGGGAAAATCGAATTTGCAATTAAAATGAGTTCATTCGATCAAAAATTATTGCAAATTTCCGAATAAAATTAAATTCGATCAGAAACTTGAAAATTATAATAAACTGTATGTGCAAAAACGTGACAATTTAGGTGTCCAAAAATCCGCCCATTTATGCAGAAAAAAAGTGTGTTTTCAAAACAAAAAGTTCAAAATCTCTCCTCGCCCCATCTACAAAACACTGTAACCAGGAACTTTTTCTAATTATATCTTATCAACAAAAAATGCACCCAATCATTTTCCAACCTAGGAAATACTGTGGGGCAGCCAGACGACAAAAAATCTCAATTTTTTGCTACAATGCAGGGCGCGCAGCGTTTTGTGTATCGTCGCAATTCAGCCAAAAAAAACTCGAGACAAGAGATCATATGAAACCGCGAGACGCAGACAATGTTTGCAACAATTCACGTGTCTTTTTCTGTCTGTTTTCTTTTTCCTCGCGTTTCAACCTCACTGTGTGTGTTTCTCTTTTCTTCTTCTTTTTTTTCTTCTTTTGATTGATGTACTTAGGCGAAATTGACAAAAAAAATAGTTCGGGAAATTGAGAGAGCGACGAGGTTGGCAAACAAATATACAGACAAAAAAAGAAGAAAAACTGTGTGTGTTTCAATCTTTTTTTCCTATTAATTGCCAAAAAAAATAGTGAGGGGTAATTAAATTTGGGTTCAAATGTTTTCCGGTCAAAAAAAGAGAAGAAGAAGATTATCAGTCAGATGATGATAACACCACGTTTTCTAGCAATTTCCATCGAAAAATGAGATTGGGGGATCAGAGAAACAGCCGATTTTGCGAAAATGCGATATTTCCGGATTTCTTGTACTTTTCCTAACTACGAGAAAAATTTCCGAATAATCTAATTTCTAATGAAATTTTAAAATACGGTTATTACTGAAAATTAAATTTCAGATATTGAGAAAAACTTTGGTAGAGGTCAGAACTGAACTTCAGCAGAAATTCTGAATCTGGCTAGCAAAACGGAATCAGGATAATTTAGACATAGAGAAAAACATGCTGTTGGATCAAATCACTTCGAGAAACAGTCAAATTCGAATTTCAGTTATAAATCCAGAAATCCTCAAAATGAGGTCCAACTTACATCCCTTCCTCAGATTCGACCTCAAAATCTATCATGCCAAAGCGATTCCCTAATTTCGAAAACCAACCATTCAATCTCACCTATGTTTACAAATCATAACACAAATAAACAAAATAACAAGCGAAACAACAAATTTGCCAAAAATGTTCAAGAAAACGAGCGAAGAAAAAGAAAAGATGATAGAAAAATACAGTGCGCGAGAATCAATCGATCGATTCTCGTTCAAAAATAAAAAGTACTTTTACGGTGGGAGGATAGGTGAATGAGAAAGAGGTCATTCGGAAGAAGAAGAAGAAGAAGAAGAACTAATTGTGATTTTCTTTTTCTTCTTCAAGTATCCCTCACTTATTCATTTCTGATCATTAAAGAGGAAAAAAAAGGACTTTGGGGCAACTAGCTGAATTAAATCAGCACCAACCAACAGAAGAAAAAATAAAAAAACTTGCGTCCGCAAAAAGTCACCTGTTTTATGATGAAAAATGACGAAGAATCAAATTTTTGCCTGGAAAAAAAGGAATATTGCTTTGGTGTGTCAAAATAAACTACCAAAAAAGAAAGATAGATAACAAACAAGAAAGAAATCGGGGCACGAATCAATAAAATAAACCACTAATTACAACATTTTCTGCTGTGTTGATGATAACAAGTGATTGGCAAAATGGACGAAGAAAAAGGAGAGAAAAACGAAGGGGAAAAACGAAGACGAAAAATGACGGAAATGAAATGAATGGAAAATTGAAAAACGAAAGAAGAAGAAGAAGATGGGGCGAAAAATAGTGCATTTCGTTCAAGAATCGAATCGGATTTTGGCCATGGATCAGGCGAGATTATCAAATAAGGATGGAAAAAAGCAAGGATGATGGGAAAAACAAGTGGGAGAACTAAAAAAAAACTAAAATTGGTAGAAGCTCAGATGAATGACGAATACTTCTCGGAAGAAGGTGGAGATTTTGAAAATAGCTCATTCAGAACCACAAAATACAGGCTGGACATTGACACACTTTCAATGTAATTTTTTGAATGTGCTGATTTGTTTTTGAATTATTTTACTTTTCAAAACTTGAAGACCACAAAAATTTCAGCACTAGAAGGACTATGAAAATTCCAGTGTAAACTGGCCAGACGAAAAATTTCAACATTTTGCATCTGTTGATTACCAGAATAAACCAAAAATTACAATTTTCGATTTACCCATAGAAAACTCGAAACCGGTTATGGTACCTAACTAATATCAATCCGTAAAATCAGAAAACCAATGTTACAACGAAATTTCAGAAAAAAACAGGGCGATTTTTCGTCGTAGGTCAAAAATTCGGAGGACCAAAATTTCAAAAACTTGTAGAAGTTAAAAACTTCTGGAACATTCGAGGTGGAAAAAATATCTCAAAAATGACCAAGAAGTTCTGTTTTTGAGACGACGCCTTTAAGTTGTTCAGATTCTCATTTACCCATATCAAAATCCAAACTTCAAAACCAAAATTTTGCTTTCTTTCGCTTGTCCACTCAAAAATTCTTCCTCTCCTCAAAAAAGAACTTTTCGCCCTGTTTAAAAATAAAGAGAGGCACTTGTCGTTTCGCTCTCTCTCTCATCTAAAACACGTGGTTCAAAAGTGAATTCGAAACAACCTGAGCTGTCGAAAAAGTGAACAGCTGTTGAAAAAGTTTGAGTGAAAAAGAAAAAAGCAAAAAGAGTCAAGAGTGAAATGTGAAAAGGTGAGAAAAATTGCATTCAGGTGTTTTGCGCTAATTTTCCGTAGGCAGGTGGGAAATATATACAAACTTTTCACAAATATCACGTTACCTCATTTGGAGCAAAATAAAAGTTTTGCTTCAAATGAATAAAGAACAACTCAACATTTTGGCCAAATGAGAGTTGGAAGCGAGAAAAAATGAGCAAAAATGGAATAGAAATGGGCTCGACAAGTACGAAAAAAGTGCATGCATTTCGAAAAAAATCTAGCTCATAAGGATTCGCATTTGCACTTATCAGATTTGTTTTGTTCGAAAAAAAACAGAATACCGTGGTGTGAGAGAAAGAAAATATATTCGCCCGGGAAACACATGAAGAATGATCTAATCTCAAAAAACGGGACAAAAGTTTAATTTCTATTGACCAGAGATGCTTATCGGGCAAAAAATTCGCATATATTTGAAGAAAGAAAACCGAACACATTCAAAAAGTTTTATTTTTTCTTTTGTTGGAAAAAGAAATGCGAAGAGAGCACAAATTCCAATTTCCAACATAAAAGGAAATAACTTTCTAATTGCTACAAAAAGAGAAATGTCTGGAAAATCGATATACAGGCAGAAGAAGGGAAAACGTGTTTTTTTCAAGTGACTGGAACACCGCAAAATTTCTAATATCTTATTATTTCATGTATATATTGATGCATATAAATTCATGAAGAAATGAAGGAAAAAACGACGAGGAGAGAAGGGAAAACGGCAAGAAAAAGTTCCTTGTTTGGGTTGGGAGAAAAGCAAATTATTATTATATCTAATTAATTGCATGTGGGTTGGCAGTGGGGAAAAAGTTATGAGATGGCACGGATGTAATTTGTAACAAGATCGAATAATATCGCAAATCGAGATCGATTAAGACAAAGGAGCGCCTAGGAGAATAGAATTCCCCGGTCAAACGATTCGGAGAGAAGTGGAGCTAGTTCACGTCATTTCATGACGATTTGAGTCAGTGTACCGGAGACGACTTGAACAACGTGTCCTCGAAATCCACAGATTCAGACATTCGTTGAATGTCTTCTATACAGGTGAAGATTTCCCCAAACATGCACTTTATATCATCGAGAACTGGATATTCATAACTGAAATTTTTGTCATAGTGCAACGATTTTCAACAACAAAAACTCTCATCACTATATGAGTCAACTTGTAAAAATCACAAGATCTTGTCAACTTCAAATTAGAAGAAGAAAAATAATAATAGGGCGATACCGCAAAACTTTGGGCGCTCTATAATTTCACAAATCTATACGTTTTTCGGTTGGCTTGCTCCTCCTTCCAACAAATTTCGAGAAGCCAATAGTGATGTTGCTATGGCGAAGCTTTTTGAAGGACAAAGAATGCATCATCATTTCTTATAACTAATATTGAGCTAATTCAGTTATTCATGCTGAAGGGATTTTGTTGAGGACGAAGAAAAAAGTTTAATCAAAATTAAGTGATGATGATGTGGATGAGGAAGATGACTAATACTGAAAATATCCTTCATTTCAAACAAATTCGACGTCGGATTAGGAAATGCTTTTCATTTTTTTTTCTCTTTTGCTAACACGACAAGAAGATTAGCAAGTGAATATGATGAGAGAATATAAGAAGATATATAAATTGAAAAATATACACGTCTTTCGAGCCAAATTAGTGAAGAAGAAGAAAAAAAAGGAAATTTTGTCGTCAAAAGAAGAAAACAACAAGATTTTCTGTATGATAAAAAGTGCGGAAAAACAACAAAGCGTGGGAACGACTCATAAAAATGCGCCAAAAATTTCATAAAAATCCAAAAACGATAAACAATACCGTATCGGTCGGAAACCTCGTGTTTGTCACTTTTGGAATGCGAAATCGACAAAAAACACGTGATGTGTTAAGAGAATACCGAAAATATAGAGAAAGAAAAAAGTAGTCACAAAAATTGTTGTCGGTTTTGATAACGCGAAAAAAATGACAAGAAAAAGAACATGCAAAAAGAGAAAAACCGTTTCCCGGGGTAACGATTTTCAGTCTTTTTGATTATATTTTTGAAAAGAACGTAATGCACTTTTTGGCCGAAAATCAACAATTTATGATAATTTTTTCAATATGTTGAGGGAGCAACAAGAAAAATGGGAAGAGACTTACGAGCAGAAGCTTGGACTTTAACTTTGGAACTTGTAGATTTTAAAGAGGAACGGAGAGAGAGATAAAAATAAACGTTTATTTTCAAAAATGGGACACCTGAAGCCTCTGGAGACTATTTATCTCCAAATTCAGAACTTGAATAAAAAATGATCGTAGGAAGTGCACAGAGCTTATTTAACAAGTTTTTCAGTAATTTTGAAGAGCTGACACAGGGTGGAACTAAAATCGACGAAATTCAACTCAAACGTGAGATTTAAAGGCAAATATTGATTACTTCTAAAAGCTTCAGAAAATTTGAGGTTTAGTGATTTCGAGTAGTAAAATACACACTGAAAAAGACAAAATAAGACATTCCAGCTGACAAAAAAAGGTGCTCGAAAATCTTGTCTCCCAAAAAAGGAGAATAAAGTCAACAGCTGAATACGGGCCCCGCCGAAAACGGAACAATAGAGATAGTCAGCCGGCCAAAAAGGTGCTCTCTTTCTCGTTGAAACATTTGAGAAAGTGAGTGAAAGACAAAACCACTAGTCAAACATGACTAGTGCAGCATCCATCCAAAAATATACATACACTCTCAAACACACACACACAAAATATATTTGGAGATAGAGAAAGATATAATATAATATGAATGAATGAATAGTTGGACTATTGGAAAAACGGAAAAAAGAGACATTTTCGATATTTCATCGAAAAAAAATGTTTGAAAAAACCAGTACAATATCAAGTTACTTTCAATGCAATTTTTTTGTGTCGAAAATCGAGCAAATATTAAACCTTTCAAAAAGTTATAGAGTACTGTTTTGTTACCACGTGGTTTTAGACTTATTCGTTCGAAATAGTAGCTCTCGGCTCGGAAATAAGTACTATCTTCGGTTTTATTTATTCACCGTGTGAGGTCTCGAAAAGAGCAAAACGGGGGGCAAAAATAGGAATAGAGGACGAAAAAGAAGAATGGCGAGAAACGCAAACTAAACAAATGTAGACAGACCGAAGAAGAAAAAAGAGAGAGCGACTGTTTTGTGACAAATTTTTGCTACTACCATTTCAAGGGGTTGGCGGGAAAAAAATTGAGCATTTTTTCGGGGAGAGGCGCATAAATAAATTTTTGATAAAGAATCAACTCTAGAGCTCCAGAAAAGTGCTCAAAGGGGATTCTGGCTATTTATGAAGTGAGCAGCGTAGTCTATTTGGTATATTTTACTATGTATTATCAAAATTTTAACCCGGGATTCTAAGCTCTTCCCTTTCGAATTAAATTACTACGTATCCCACTCAAAACAGTACGGTACGAAAAATTCCACACAAAAACATTTCGCGCTCAAAAATCATCACAATTTAGCATTTTCCACAAATTGATAAAAACATGTGTAGATTTGCATAAATTCAAAACTTTGTGTTGTTTTTTTTTCAACCAAAAACTCTTTCGACAGAAGAAAAATTGATCGTCTTCTTTTTGCTCCATTTTTTCTTCTTCGGGTAAACAAAAAGTGCAATGTTGCTCTTCTTCAGCCATTTTTCTCTAGATTGAGAAACAGGAAGAAACACTACAGTATAAAAGAGCTAAAAGAAGCATCTTTTGAAAAACGAGAAAAAACACAGGGGACCACCCATTATAATCATCCATATGGGCTCATTCCACCAAAAAAATAATGAAATGAATGAGTGAAAAAACCGAAGGAAATGAAAAGAAGAAAAATGATGTGGCTTAATTAACGAAATTGGTTCGAAAAAAGGAAGACATATGATTATTATGAACCCAATTTATTTCAATTTTATCGCGGGAAACTGCAAAAATATGTATTTTATAATACAGAATAATCCAATCCGCTTTGATTTATTTGGATGGTAGAAATCAAATGAAACAACGAAAAAGAAGAGAAAACGAAACAAAAACAGCGATTTTGCGGCCCTGATGTTTACACACCTTTAATAAGGAAAAACGAAAGAAAGAGGGAGACAAATGTAGGGGTTCCCTCCTAATTAAATACTACCTTTATTTATATTGGTTTTTATAAATAATACAAAGAGTATAAAGAGCAAAAGAACAAGAATAGGGGAAATTTGGCATGCTCAAAATTTCCAAGTTCTGGAATCTAATTTATTTACAGTACATCTGAATCGAGCCAGGTCATCGGAATTAAATCACAAAATGGATCCAAGCTAAAGTCTTATTAAATGTCGAACATAATATGACACCAAAAACATAATCTGACTCCAAAAATCTACCGATGAAAAAACTACCAGGACTTGCTGAAGCTTCAGAAAAATCATAGCTCCAAAAATAACCTATCCAACTTCCGAAACAAAAATCACCATTTTCATCCAAAAGCCATGATGATAATTACAAAACTCGCACTCTAATATCATCCAAAATTAACCAATTCCCCAGAGATACTGAAAAATTTCATTTTCGGGACCATCCATATTCTTCTAAACACCCATTCATCTGTCAAAATAAAAACCTATCCATAATTACACCACCTTTAATTACCCCGAAAAACCCGCTAATCCTTTCGTTCGCTCTTCAAAAGATCATCAAAACAAGACACGCGAAAAATACCCAATACTACTAAAAAAAGTATGAAAAAGGGCAAAAAACGGGAGAGAAGAGAGAAGTAGAAGGGAAAGAAAAAGAAGCACGAAGCAAGCAAAAAGTAGTCGACGAGAATCTGAAAACAAAATATATACGCAGAAGAGCAAAAGCATGCTCTCGGTTTTCCATCCTTCGTCATGTCTGCGTCTCTTTCAATAACGGCTGAGTCCCCACGTGTCTTTTTCATGAATATATTTCGTCTCTTTTCGCCCTCTTTTTTCCGTGTATATATTTTTTTATTTTTGCCAATGGAATGGGAAACTGACGAGAAAAAAAAAGAAAGAAAAAGATAGACAAAAAACCGAATGAAACAATTCAATTAAATCGGCGTCACTTTCAGATGCACAAAGAGCATTTTTCGCAAATTGTGAAAAAAGTTTGGGGAACGAACTTTCTCTCAATTTTTTCGGAAAAAAGAAAATTGTCACAGGAACATACTCGTATCCAAAAAAAAGTTTACAAGGGAAGATCCCGAGATTGAGTCTTATTCAAACCTACCGAAGCTTACTAATTCGCCCCGAGCTGAAAACAATTCTGAAGTCAAAATTTTTAATATCGGGCATTTTGAAAACTTTCAAGTTTTACGGTAAAATCAGAATTTAGTAGGACTTCGGATCTGATCAGATTTCAGAGGAAAAAGTGTACTTTGATTAGACAAAACCAAATACATTCTTAGGTTTGGTCTAATTCAACAGATCCACTTTTCAAAATCCCACAGGCTTCCCAACTTCTCAAAAAACAAAATCTGCCAAATATTCTTATGTGGTGGAAAATAAATGAATAAAAATCTAATAAATTAGATTGGATAGAAAGAAAACGGCAGTGGGAAAGGAAAACATATAAATATTTTAATGAAAAAACCCCATTTTCAGTAAGTAAAAGCTGAAAAATCTTTTGTTGGAGCGAAAAAGTACAAAGCTTTTGCCTACTACTTTTTTCTTTCTTTTCCTCCTTTTTCCTCAAAAAAAGTCAGTCAAACAAACTTTTTCTCCTCCTCATAAGGAACTTGGCAAGCAGCAAAAAAACGAAGAAAAATGCAGACATTGGGCAAAAAAAACGAGAAAACGAGGCAAAAAAAAAGAAGAAAAACCGAAGAATGTTGCCATTTTCAGCAGCTCGGCGGAGGAGAAAAAATCGAATTGAGAGAGGAAAAAACGGGGGAAAATGTAGAAAAAAAAAACGAAAAACGAGCAAAAAATTGGGGTTGGAATGGAGAAGAAACCGGAAAACGAATGGACGAAAAGGTGCATACAAATTATATAAAAAGGTGAAAATGTTGTGGAGGGAAACATTTTCTGGAGAGGAAATTTATCACTTTCGATATAACAAAAATGGATGACAATTTAGAAATATTCACTGGAACCGATGATGATTTTCAGATGTAAAAATGGGAAAAACTTCCATCAAATTAGTATATTTATCATTTTTTGATGACGAAAAAAACACTTTGAGAAATTCTAGAAAGTGCTGGAAATTTTTTCGGAGCTGAAAATTATGGAACTTCGAAAATAAAACATCAGATGTTTCCAAATTTCGAATTTTCAAAAGTATAAGTTTTTTGCCCCAAATCCAATCAACTTCAAACAAATATCTTTCATAAATTTTGAACAATTTTTCGGCCAACTAACATTTTCTTATCAAATTTTGCACCTATTTTTTCTTATTCTTCTTAATAAATCTTGTTCCGCGTTGTCAAGACGACTAAATACTATATACTTCTTCGATTAACTTATATTATTAAATAAGAAAATACGAAGCATAAGGAAAACATGAAAAAATAAAGGGGATTTGGAGAAATCCCTATTTTTCGAGAAAAAATCCCAAATGTTTTTTCAAAAAATTTGAAAAGTAAGCAAGCCTTTACTCTGAATCCAACGCCAAAAATTTGAAAAGAAAATGTTTCGAATCTCCCAATTTTCTGAAGAAAAATCTCAAAACCCCCCGCAAAAAAAAACTGACCAGTTCTTCCAATTCTATGAGTATAATCTTCGATTGTTTTTGCCATATCATAATTCAAAACCAATGAAACGTCCTTGATATCGATACCTGAATTGGAAAAATTAGATTGGAAAGAAATTCTGATTTATAATCTTCAAGAAGATGAGATTTCTTACAAACTAGCTTAAAGTGCAAATTCAAATTCGAATAAATTATGTAAGAGCATGAGAAAAATGATTTGCTCATCAAAAATGAGTAGAAAAAATGAATATTCGAAGAATTCAAATGTGATTCGATTGAACGAGTGAAAAATCAGAAAAATACCGATTTTTATTTTCTATAAAGTTCAAATTTGATCTATGAATTCTAAATGTGCTCAATAAAAATGCTCAAGCTTAATTTTAGAAATCAAAAATCGACATTCTTATTCAAAGGCTCAACATCTTTAAACTTTCAACTGTTTTTTTTTCTTTTTACTATGTTTCCTCAAAAAAAATCATAACTAACCTCTTCCAGCAACATCAGTAGCAACAAGAATATCACTAATTCCATCTTTCAATGCTTGCAAAGCATATTCTCTTGCATCTTGTCCTTTTCCACCATGAAGTACTGTTGGTTTATAGCTGAATTGTCCAAGTCCTTTTGCCAACATATCAGCTCCTTTTTTCTGATTAACAAAAATAATAATTGGTGCTTTGAAGCCTTGTTCGAGAATTTCGATGAGTTTCTTGCGTTTGCGCTCTTCAGGAAGCATGTAGACTATCTGCAAAAAAATAAATGAGAGTGAAAATTAAGATATTTTTATATTTGGAATACGAAAACTCACTTGAAACACTTGAAATCATCGAGAAAATACATTTTCCATGTTTTAAAAAAGCAAAAATGATTTTTTTCGACAAAAAAAATCGTGGAAAAGACAAATGTCACGTAGAAAATTTCACGTTTCGAAAAAATCTGACACTAATTTCTAATTGGAACAATTTTTCGAAAAATCTCCGAATGAATTAAACACAACCCTCTAATTCTCAAATTTCCAACAAAACTAACCTGTTCAACTCTTTCAGTCGGTTTTCCAACTGATCCAATGTGTACAACTGCAGGTCTTCTCAAATATTTCTTCGCTAATCTTTCAATAGCTGGCGACATTGTTGCTGTAAACATGACAGTTTGTCGATATTTTTCACGAGTTTCGAATCCTTTCATAAGCGCATCTTCATTTTCAAACTCATCAGTGTCTGGTTTCAAATTCGTAGCCGGGAGATATTCGAGAACCTGTTAAAAATATGAGGTATTAGGGGGGAACTTGGGAATATGTTGAGAGCCGCGGTACGAGGTCTCAGCTACAAAAATTGCTCAAAATTGGGTCTTATTCCTACTCAAAAATAGCGCCATAAATGTTTTTCAAAAATAATGTTTGGAGCAATTTTTCAGAATTCAAAAATATATGAAATTCCGGTTTCTAATTGTAAGCGGATTCATTGAATTCAATTTTTACAGCTAGAAATTCTGGAAATAATTTTTCGAATTAATTTTTTGTTTTTTCCTAAATCTTCTAAAATATTCAAAGTTCTATCGATCTTTCGGCCGACTCCAATATTTTTTTCACGCCTACCTTTTGCACATCTGGTTCGAAACCCATATCAAGCATTCGATCAGCTTCATCAAGAATAACATAAGTGCATTGACTCAACATCAAATATCGATTTTCCAAAACATCCAACAATCTTCCGGGTGTCGCAATCACAACTTCTACTCCCATTCTCAATTTCATTCCTTGTTCTTCTCGACTTGCACCTCCAATTACAGAAACTGTTTTGATTCCTAATAATTTTCCAAACTTGTTGGTTTCCTCTTCGATTTGTTGAGCCAATTCTCGAGTTGGGGCCATAATAATTGCATATGGTCCCATATCTCGATGTTCTTGTCGCTCCATTTTTGGTAGACTTGTGATCCAAACCTGGAAAAAAATGAGGGATTTTTGAAGATCAATGATTTTGACTTGGAAAAATCAGCATTTTTTTTGAAAATTTCGTAGAGAAAATCTAAATTTTGGGAAAATCTGAAGTCCTTCCGGCAAAATTGAAACCTTTTGTTTCGAAAATCGAAAATGTCATGAATTTATGTGGTTTCCATGTTTTATAATCAATTTTTCCACAATTTCTATGCTCCTTACGCAATTAAAAGATTATATGGTCAACTTGTAATAATCAAAATAATCGATATTGTCCGGTTTTTTATTGGAATTTATTGTGGATTCACAATTTTTGGTGATGATTGCTATTTTATTGTTCATTGTCTTTATATATTTTCAATTATTGGTCATCCATTTTATTTGAATTTATATTCATCTAGTAAATTTAAATTAGTTCAAAATATCCTCGATGAGTTCTGAATCACTCCCAGAACATTTTTCTGTTTATGATAAAAATTCATGTAATAAAAGTTTACATGTGTCTCCATTTCTTATATGATTAGTTTTTTTAATCATTGAATGTAACAAGAAGTCATCGATAAAATTATTCATTCTGTCAACATGGAGAATCAAAATGCAACCCCTCTTCAAAAAACATGTATGATTTACTTTTTGCTTTAAAATGTAATAATGTATATTTTTTAGTGCGCGCTATAATAATTGGACTATTCGCCATAGTTCTTCCAATAGTTTCATTTTTTGTTGGAATTTATGGATACGATAAATGTCCGAGTCAACCATATTTACCAATTTATTTGATTGGTATGTTATTCATTACAATCAGCGATTTTGTTTTATTCTTTTTATTGGAAGAAAAACAAAAAAAGTTGAATATGAAATATCCTCGTGCAAATTTCGAAACTCCAATTGAAGCAGAATATCGAAAAAAATTCATAAATTCAAAATGCCGAAATTTGTTAATACTAATTGTGATAATGAATATATCAGAGTTTATATGGTGTGTTCTTGGTATTTATTGGGGATTTACAAATTCTGGTAGTGATTGTTATTGGATGGTCAAATATCTTTATTTTATTTTTATTATTTGTCAGGCATATGGTTTTTATGTAAAATACAACAAATAAAGTATTTTTCCAATGCTATGTTGTTTTTTCTCAAAAAAAAAAACTCACCAAAAGTGGCAACAAAAATGCGGCAGTTTTACCGGATCCAGTTTCAGCAACACCAATAACATCTCGATTTTGTAGTCCAATTGGAATTGCTTGTCTTTGAATCGGCGTTGGTTCAGTATATCCAATTTCTTGAACAGCTCGATAAACTTCGGATGGAAATTCAGCTTCTTCCCAATTTCTCAACGGTTTTGGCACTCGGCCACCTTTTATTGTGATATTGAAGTCTTCGCGGAAAATTCGCCAATCTCTTTCGCTCATTTCTTCCAATTCTTTCATTCGCCAATGTCGATCGTCGTGTGCAACTTTTCTCTCTTTTTTCTTCTCTTTTTCGATTCTGAAATTTTTAACTTTGGCTGATATTGTATATTTAAAATTAAAAAATACCTAGACTTCTCCTGTTCTTTCTCATCTTCTGTCCTTCTTTTCTCCATCATTTCATAATAAAACGAGCTTTTCTCTTTTTTCTGCGCATTCACATCCATTCCAGCCACTGAACCCCGCCCGAAAAATTGGATTTCATGTTTATTCTGATATAATTTGTTGTAATCTTGTGAAGTATCCTCTCCGGCATCCCAATCAAACACAAATTTCCTTTCATGAAGTCTTCTACCACGTTTTCTCTTCTCCTAAAATTCAGAAATGTTATTTGCAGGGACAAAAAAGAACTAACTCTCTGTTTTCCTAAATATCGCGATTTCACAGCTTCTTGCATTTTATTCACATCAATTATATCATCTTCTGATTCTCCACCATCTTTTCTATCATCTCTACCTCGTCGATCACGACTTCGGTCTCGACTTCTATCCCGTCTTCTTTCGCGACTCCTACTTCTGCGGCGTTCTCTAGAGCGACTTCTATCCCTTCGATCTCGGCTCCTACTTCGCTCCCGGCGTCTATCTCTATCCCTTTCTCGGTCTCTATCACGATCCCTGTCTCGATCGCGGTCTCGCTCTCTACCATTTTCACGCCGACTCTCTTCTGTAAAAAACAATTTACCAATTTCAAACTTATCTGAACTCACCCTGCTTCACAGCTCCTCCACCGGACATGAATGCTTTCCGCGCCTCTTCCGCTTGCTTTTGCGCGTCTCGCATCTTTGCCACTTCTTCTTCTCGTCGTTTCAAAGCCAGCGCGGCTCTTTCAGCTTTGCTCAAAAATTTCGGTTTCTCCAACTCTTCCTCTTCTTTTTTCTTCTTTTCCAGAAGTTCTTCGAGAGACGGAGGTTCGGCCGCCATTCTGAAATGGAAATGAAACTATTAGAAAGAGTGAGAAAACGTGAAACAATGTGGAAAGCGTTGGAACAACGTGGAAAGCGCGCAAAAAAAGAAAATGAAAATTTCGAATATAGTGGACGAACAATCAAATTTTCTAGGCCACGTTTCGAAAAATCGGCCAAATTTCATTTTAAAAAATTCCCGGAAACTTTTGGATCGAATTTGCGAGTTTTTCATCGGAAAAAGGTGCGAAATTTCATATAAATTGGTCAATTTATGGAAATAAACGCCTTTATGTATGAAAAATTATTTTTCGCAGACTTCAAACATGTTTTTCTACTGTAGTTTCGTTGAAGACGCACAACGAAAATAGAAATCGTTGCAAGACCAAATAAATTACAGTACCCATTGCTCATGTTTCTCAGCAGTTGCAGATGTAGCTAATTCATAGCTCAACCGATCGCAGCCCTTGACACTTGCGTTTTATTTACGAACAGTGTGCGGTTTAGCTACAAACACACACCGAAGTCTGTTTTAGCTACGAAACACACACGCATGTTTTAGCTACGAAAACTGTTTTCCTGTTTATTGCGAAATACTGCTTATGCGGGTTTCTTTCTGTATTTGGCGTAGTTAGAAAACTTGCAAATATAAAACATTTATTCGTATCGAAACATACAATAACATAAGAATATGAAATTACAGTCAGTTATTCACCAGAAACACTTAATTTTCTCGCAGTTGTTTGATAGCTTCTGGATCCTGGACCGGCCGAATATTAGATAGAAAAGTAGCAACTGAAGTCTCCGGTAGGCTTGCAAAAATAGGGCGGTAGGCTTGCAAAACATGTCGATGTGGTGTTTGTGCATTTTGCGACTCCATTTGGCGGTTTAACTTCCCAAAAACCTATTAGAAGCCAACTTGGTCGAGATCCATGACATCCGGCATTCTTCTTGTTATTGGCATCTGTAAATTGAGAAACACTGTGGAATATTGAAAAATGTGTTGGAATTACCTCATTTATTGAAGATTTCACCATCACTTTCCACTTTTTCGAGAAACGCAACAAACTGACTGTTTTTCTGCAAAGATTCAACGTAAAACGTAACTTTTAGATGAACTTACTCGTTCTCCATCGATAAAACACTGACGCGTAGACGATATAATATGTTACCAGCACTTTTCTAGGCTTTAAGTCACGAAAATCGTCGAAAAACAAAACAAAACGAAGAAAACATGTTTGCGCGCCAAAAAACCGTAGCTAAAACGTATGTGTGTTTTAGCTGAGAAATCGGTCAGAAACACTGAGCTAAATTTTTGCTTCGATTTAGCTGGAGATTCAAGTTCTTTCTACGGTTCAGCTACGAAAACCCTCAAAATATGATTTAGCTACATCTGCAAATGCTGAGTTCACTTTTTGGGATTTTATTTTCGAATTTTTCTATACTTCATCCATCATATGAAAAAGTTTTGATTCAAAATGAGTTTCATACCATCGAAATTCACAGATGTTCACTCAACTGAAGTACCACTCGAAGCGAAGTTTTCATTGAAACCATCCTGTAAATTCTGTTCTAATGAATTCAGTGAGTTTATTTTGAAAATGTAATTCCAAATTCGAAATAATCCTATTTTTAGATGACAAAGATCGTATTCCAAAACTCCTTCAATGTGGTCATACCTTCTGTTCCAGCTGCATCAGAAAAAGTGTTGAATCAAAGTGAGTGAGAAATATCAGGAGAAAAGTCATAGAACTTGAGTTTTTCAGCAAGTTTTCGTATTCTGGAGACGGCGATGTTTTCCGACATTTCAATTGTTTTACACGTAAAAAACAAAGTGAAATTGATACAAACAAATCGGATTATGGATTTCCTTCGAATTTTCAATTGATGGAAGTTTTGCAGCCAAATGATACAAGAAGTTTGAAATGTATCGAATGTCTTGTTGATTGTAATGAATGTATGATGCAAATCTGTAGAATTTGCACTTTTGACAAGTTCAATTTCGACATTGTTGATATCGATAAACAAAATGTGAGTTAGATTTTCAAATTCGAAGCCAAGCTTTTCGTATTTTCAGTCCGTCACTGATCCAGATAACTTCGCCATTTGCTCCGCTTGCATTCTCAAAAATCATAACAATCATTGTTATATCGATTTTTATCCAATTCGAAGATATTGGCATTTCAAAAATGTTTTGCGAGATGTCAACGTTGCGAAGGCAAATTATGATAAATTCTTCTGCGAAGCACGTGAAGTTATGGATAAAACACCACGTTTGTTGTCAAGATTGCAAGATGTGAGACAGTTTTATGAATTAATATCTATACTTAAGTGAATATTTTCAGGAAACTTCTCGAATGGTCGAATTGATGTCATATGCAAAATCGAGTCATCAACTCAAATATATGGAAAAACGTTATGAAGAAGAAATGAAAAAAGTTGTTGGAGTATCGAAATGTATCAAGGATTCACTTATAAAACTCAACAGCGACCTCGAAAACAATTCTTTGGCTTTGCGAGATGAAAATGATAATTTGAAAGGAACTGCGTGTGATGAGAAAAAGATGGATATTGGTGATGTTTTCAAGGTTTTCGACCCACCAACTATTGTCTTCCAAGCTCCCATTCTTTTCGTTAAAAATGTCTTCGAATTAGTTTGGTTGAGCGTTTCTTGGGCAACCAAAGTAACACTTGATGAAGCACACAAGTTGATTCAAAAACAAAAAGCAAAATATATTTGAGCTGTTTTTATTCACCACTTGGAAAATCTCACAATTTTTGTAATAATTGTAAATATCTTATATTAAAAATTTACCTGTTGGAATTCCAAATAAACTTTATCCAAAAAAATCATGGATTATACAAGATCTTGATATTCTTTCTTCTCTTCGAATCGCAATTCTGAAACATTTTTATCGAAAATTGTTTATCTTTCACATTATCCGGCAAAATCACATAATCAATTGCAATTCGATCATTTTCAAAATCAGCACAATTCCATTCAAATTTCTGAACAGTTACTGCAATAATTTTAGTTTCTTTCAATTCAAATATTCCAGTTGGCGGTGAACACAAAACACGTGGAACTGCATTTCCTTTAATTGCATATGCAATTCGATGATGAGAATTATTTCGAATTTTTATATGATACGTTAGATTTTCGAAATCGAATGGAGCATTGAAAACGAGTGCATTTATTGGGAAGAAAACGAGATCATGAAGATTGTTTTCAGGTCCAACCACTGAAATTTAGAATGAGTTATGACGTGGCAAGCTGCTGAATTTTCAGATTTTAAAGAAACTCACATTTCGAATTGAAACCATCTGGTTCAGAATTCAAATTATAAAAACTTTCCGATGCCATTGGATTTTCTCCAGGTTTGAAATTAGTTCCGCTTTTTGGCTCAGATGAAGAAGGTGGGGCTGGAGTAACAAGTTGTTGTGGCTCAGATTGAGAAGCTGGAGCTGGTGCTTCTTTTCTCAAAGATCTTCTGCTTTTTGTAGTTTCCTTTTTCTTTTCTTTATTTTCTTCTTCATTATTATTCACAAGTTTCTTGATTTGTTCATCAACAATTTCAGCCAAATTGAATGGTGGAAGATAAAATAGAAGAAGAATAATCAATTTGATGACATAATAAAGTGGAATATGCTCGAAATTTCGATCGAAAACTGTGAGAAATCCGAATACGGTGAAATAAATGTAAAGTGATAAATCGGTTGGCTTTTCATTTGGATAGACGAAAATCAAAAGGAATGGGATGACGACCAAGATTGAATTGGTAATCAAGTAGCCCTGCAAACCAAATATTTTTTTTTCAGTTTGTATTACGGTATTTCAATTTGTGTGCATTTGTGCGTCGCGGTGTTTGTAGTTCAGAAATTTTTTCAGCGCGCGCTTGTGTTATATCGTTTAAAAAATGTTTTTCAGCGTGTTAGATATCGTTTCAGAAAATTTCGAATATACTACCTGATCCGTCTTGCCGAGATGAATAAAATGAGCTGTTTCAGCTTTTCCGGAACGCATTTTCAAGAAAGTTGCGCTAGATTTTTAATCAGAATTCTGATTATGTTTAAATAATTTATTCCTCAACAAACCTGTTTATCTGCCAACGCCAAAAGTAGAAATAAAACTCCGCCGATGACTTTTGCCAAAAGATCTGGCGATTTTCCAGTTGAATTTGAGAAATTTTCTAGCCATCTCGCAGTAAAATGTTTTTTATCATTGATTCTTTCATTTATCCAATTTATCGAAACTTCATCCATTTTGCTGATTTTACAAAGCGAGAACTGTTTTTTCGTGTTCGGTTTTGATTTTTCCGAGGTCAGATTTTTACTAGGTCAATTTTCGAGGGCATCTCGTTGATTTCACGCTGAAATCAACAGATTTCGAAAAAAAATTCAACAAAAATGTTATTTTCAACGTGACCCGTGAAAAATGCCAACTCAAAAATAACTCGATTGCTCAAAAAAAAATCAGTTCTTATTTTTTCAAGCATTTGAAATGCAATCAAGTAGTACTTCAAGTAGATTAAATCCTGTAAGTTTTGGAAAATGTTATTGTTAGTCTGATAATCCATGACACTTCTAGAACCAAATATTATTTTCAAAAAATTTTTTGAACTCTCCAATTTTGCAGGCTAAAATCAATGTGAAAAAAGATGAAATGTTCGTATTACCAACTCGAGTAATCGATTGGAAACAAATAAATGATGAAGAAGATTTGAGTGATGTTTCATCTTCGGATGAATTAATCAATGATATAAATATGGATAATGATCAATTTATCGAGAAATTAACGCGACAATGTTCAGTTTTTGATTATGATTTGGATGGCCGACAAAAACCACTCGATTTATTATTTGATAATCCAGCTGATGCTGCCAATTTTTCACCATATCATATAATTCGAGAACCGATGGAAGTTGAATCTATTGTTTTGTGGGATTATTTTGGTGGAAATACATTTAGTGATCTAAATGTTATTGCTGGTAAACATTATTTTTCTAAAGAGTTTTGAAAAGTTTTTAGTTTTTCATCTCTAACTTCTTTTGAATTGCGTTTTTCAGATTTCAGAATTTTTAGAAAATCTCTGAAAAGCGGGAAAAATTATTTTCTAACTACGATGCTCCGCGTTTACACAAAGTGTAATCCTGGAGCATCGTTGTTTCTTTGAGAAACCCAGGCATATCTTTTTTGTGCGTAGCGTTTGCTGTTTAGTGAATTTAATTTTTTCAAGGCATATTTTTTTCTTTGAGGGCTGGGATGATCCAAATTTTACCAATCGATAATTTTCCAGGTGATACCGTATATGTGGTAGCTGAAGAATATCAATATCGCTGTCTAAACTCCGAATCCTATGTCCGCCTACCATTTCAATATTCTTTAGCTCGTTGGATATCTGGTCGACAAGTTGATCCATATCTTGGAATTATCCCAGCACATTATGTGATACCCAAAAAATTCTATCATGAGAATCCGTTGCTCTTCAAATATCCTCTTTGGTTTCATGGAAATAATGATGTTGAAGAAGTTGTTCGAATTCTGTTTGCTGATCGATCAGCACTTTGTCCAGGTCTTTTTGCTATTTTTTCGCCGCCTTGGTTGAATCCAGATCCGAGAGATTTGAGATGTTATTTTTTGATTATGTTGGTAGAAAGATCGAAGGAACATAATCAAATGATTTTGGATTGTTTGGAAATGGAGAATAAAAGTGAGTTTGATTTTGAATTTTAAAAATAGTTATTTATTTACCACGTCGATTTCTCTGAATCTTTCAAAAAAAGAATAATTTTCCAGAAATCGGACATCTGACAGATTTTTTGAATCGAAAAATCTTGAATGCGATCAAGAAACCCGTTGAAAATGCTGAAAATAATGTTCGAAGTGCAATTGATTTTCTATGCGAACTTCATGCAACTCCATATTCACCGATGCTTTTGACAATAACACGATCTGAATTGGGACATTTTGAATTTATGTCGAGAAGATATTTGACCTTGTATGATTTGGGTGAGTTTTAAAGTTTCCGATCCAAAAAACCTTCCGTTATTTTCTGCAGTATATTATTTATCAACACATCGTTCTCCACTTCCAACTCGTCTAGTTTTCAATCGAATGTCACCAGATGTTGTTAATCTAAAATTCGTGCCACCTCCAACAAAAACCTTCAAAAAATCAATGAAAGCCCAAATAATGACAATCGAACAGTGGGCTGCACAGCACTTTGAAGAAATTTCGCACAATTTTGAAATTCGTGAAAAAATGGAATTTGTCACAAAATCTGTATTCGATTTGGGCAAAAAAACACATGAAAGATTTTTGAAGAAATTTGATGTGACAACTGATGAATATACAAAAATTGTGGAAAGTATGAGTGGATTTGAAAAAGCTGCTGAAAAACAAATTAAAAAAGGAGGCGGAGCAAAAAAGGAGAAAAGTCATAATGGTACGAGATAAGTGGATTATTCCGCGGCAAAATTTTAATTTTTGAAAATTTTCCACTTGGATTTTTGTGGCCATATTCTAAATTCCAATTTTTCAGACAAAAATCAACCAAAAAAAGATCTAAAACCATGGACAGAATTACCACAACACGAAACATCAATTTATATCAATTCACCATTTTATATAAATATGGATCGAATTCGATGTAATCGAATAGCATTAGGATCTGGAGCATTTGGAAGTGTTGAAGTGGGAAAATTCGAGATTGCTCCGAAAAAATGGCAAAATGTGGCAGTGAAAAAATTGAAAATGTTACCGAATTCAAAAGATGAAAGAGATGCTTGTTTTGGAGAAATTGAGATTTTGATTGCTTTATCACATCCGAATATTGTTCTATTTCATGTGAGTTTGAAAAATTGGGTTTTTTTCGAGAAAATTAAAAAAGTTTAGTGGATCAAAATGTTAACGTGGATTGTTTCCAAATTTTAAACATTTCAAATTCCAACATCATCCTTTTTTCTAGGGATTTTGTTTGGACAAAGATTCGCAATTAATGTATTTGGTATTCGAATTAATGGAAACCGCACTCGATAAATATGTTGAGAAAACATCGTGTAGAATGTCGGAAAATGAGCGATTGGATATTTTATCCCAAATTTGTCGAGGAATGTCATATCTTCATACGAGATCTCCTTCAATAATTCACGGTGATTTGGCAGCTCGAAATATCCTTTTGAAAAAACATCCGATCAACTCGAAAAAACAAATGATTGCAAAAATCACCGATTTCGGACTCGCCAAAATATGTCGAGATGAATTATACACAAATTATTCGGATCCCAATAAAATACCATTTAAATGGTTGCCACCCGAAGTTTTGGGACCACGTATTTTGTCGACGAAATCTGATATTTGGTCCTTTGGTATGATTTGTTTTGAAATTTATGGAATTGGTGAACCGTATGGTATTCTACCAGCTGCCAAAGTTTTGCAATTTTTGAATGATGGATATCGATTTGAAAAATTGCCTGGAATGTCACCGTGTATTTTCGAATTGGCTATGGAATGTTGGAGAAAACAACCAGCTGATAGACCGTCTTTCAGGTAAATTTTTGAATTTGGGGAAGGGGAGCAATCACTTTGTCTTTGTTAATATTTGTTAACTTTGTTAAAGACACAAGAGCACCTAGAAATGAGCAGAAAATGAGTTTGTTATTCATTCTCAACACCTTTCAAGTAATCGGAATTCATGAAAATCAAGAAAAAAATTTGAGTCTAGCAAAAGTGAAAAAATAAAATAATTGTTTTTGAAATCGCTCAGCCGACGGAAATTTCAAAAGTTTTTGCACACAGCGAAGCAATAGAGCGCACATGCTGTTTTTGTCGTTTGAAAATAAATGCGGGAAATCTGTTTTTTCCAGTGTTTCTTGTGTCTTTAATATGAGCAATCACTTTGTCATAAAAATAATTTTCAAATTTCAGTTTCAAAAGGTTGAAAAATTTTAATTATAAACTAGAACGAATATAATTTGAAATTTTGCCAGAAACCAGAATCAGCTCAAAAAACTGAAACTCAAAGAGTTTATTAAATTTTCGTTATATTTTCTCACAAAACATCAATCCAAGTAGGCCAATTAGCGTTTTCCCTAATTTAACCCAAGAGAATTTAATCTCACGATAGCAACTTATTTTAAGCGAACTTGAAGAGCGATTCATTGATTATATTATTGAAGAAGACGAAGAAGATGAATTAATTTCGGTAACTAGAGAAAAAGAACTTTTGGATCAATGGAAACAACAAACTAGAAAAGCAAAAGTTAATAAAATTATTGAAGCACATCCTGATTTATGAATAAATTTTGTTTTGAGTTTCATTTTTTGAGAAAAATTGCAAATTTCGAAGCATGAAGAATCGTTTGGAAAAAATCTGATATGAGAAGCTTCTTTCTTTAAAATTATTTAATCACACTAACTGTAAGTAGAATAATTCTTGATTTGTTTCAAAGAAAAATTCAATTTTTCATAAATGTTAATTTGCAAAAAGTTTTTAACTGGAAAAACTGGCACTATTTTCAATTCCGCTAATTTTGAAGAATATTTTGAGATATCAATAATTAATTATAAAAATTTTATGTTTCATAAATAGAACTGAATATTTTTCATATGAATTACAATAAATAACATCTTGATTATGCATTTTCAGAGCTCAAAAATTTGGCAGAAATGTGTTTTGTTACGAATTGCACAATGTTTGGTAGCACTTGGAGCCGCATAATTCATGACACCCGATGAGCAAACTACAAACAAATCTTCACCGAGACTCGATTTGAACGATTTAATCGAAGTCTTGCTGGTATCACGCATTTTCTGGAAGGATTATGGAATGAAACAAAGTTTGTAAGTGTTCGGGTTTTTAAATTACCACAAAAATTGTTATCACGCGTTAGGCTATATTTTAAATAGGGGAGATATCTGGGGATTCAGGGGTGCTCAAACTTTTGATAACTTATAAACGCACCTCTTTCAAAATTTCTCTGAGTTCTTCACTGTTACATTCAAGATTCTCCTCGATTCGCAAAAAATCAGTATTTCCATGGATTGCTTCACCTTCAACTTCACGTTTTTTTCTTCCACATCCACAACTTGGTGGGGGTGGGGGTGGACAAGGAGGCGGGCAAGGTGGAGGAGGTGGTGGTGGACATGGGGGAGGAGGTGGAGCACACATTGGAGGTGGAGGTGGTGGGGCACATCCACATCCGCCGCCTCCGCCACTTGGCATTGGGAATAGAAATGCGGAGATTGTTGAAATAGTTAGAGAAAATACAAGGAGTGATCTCATTCTTCTTCTTCTTTGTTTTTGAGTGTGAAATGAATGAGTGGATAAATCCTTTTATATCCAAAGTTTTTTATAGTAACTAGAAAAACTAGGGAGAAGAACACTAAAAAGTGACCGGTTCTTGTTTTTGGCACTCACTTAATTAGGTCAATTAAGTGGACTGGCTGGAATCATAAAAAAACACCAACCGATTCAAGTTGGCGGCCTATTCATTAAGCCATTTATGCATACTTGATATTGTACTGGATGAATATTTTTAGGATAAGAAAAATGTGAATTACGGTGTGCAAACAGTGTTTGCTTTTCTTTAAATTTCGAATTTTTCTGGTTTGATGAGTAGAAAAAAGGTTTTCTAAAGAAAAATCAAATTATCCGGACAAGAAAATATTTCATTAAAAAATTGGAAATATCAGGAAAAATATAGGTTTTTCGCAAAATTTTCAGAATTTTAAGCTTCTATTTACAATCTTACATTAGGATTTTTCGGGATTACTGTATTTGAAAGATTGCAAAGATTAATGTAGTTTTTGGGTTACTATAACTCCGAAACTTCAGATATTTTCTCTGGATTTGTCAACATTTGAGCTACAGTATCCCGTTTGATATACAAAATTTGGATTTTTGGCGCCAAGAAGATCATAAAGAAATACAAATTCCACTATGTTAGATCTTTGTTTTTCCGCGAAAAGTTAAATTTATTCCAAAACACAAACGATAGTTCCCACGCGCGCCGCCAAAAACCAACATGAGAAATATATTGATAATTTAGTCCATCGAAATTTGTCAGCAGCGTGGCGCAGTGGAAGCGTGCTGGGCCCATAACCCAGAGGTCGGTGGATCGAAACCACTCGCTGCTAATCTTTTTTTGCTTTTCCGAATTTCTCACTCGTGATTTATTAACACGAACGTCTTGTACTTTTCTACTTATCGAATACATATAACCGTATCAAATATGTCCTTGTTGATAGAAAACCTGACACACCTTTCATTCACTTCTACCAAAAAAAAAGAGAAGAAGAAGATTTAATGGTATTTCTTCCCTTTAATTGTATTACTAAAAATGAATTGATGAGATGAGAGATGATATTTCATTTTGTCACTCTTCACTCATTTAATTTGCTGTTTTTTTCTGTTTTCATGAAAAAGAGAATGAAAAGATAAAAAGAAAAAGGCGCGCAGCTGTGATTTGTTTTACACAGTATTTTAGATGTTTATTATTCGGGTTAATGGTTTTTGTTTTGTTTTGTTGTTGAAATCCCTTTGATTTGGCGCCAGAAAATATCCAACCTAGGTTTTTTTCTAACATCATTTTCAGTGTAATCCTTTTTTTTCTTCCCGGTTATCTATTCTGCCAACTAGTTTTTGTTTTTTTCAATCAAATCATAGGTATTACTCATTCTCATTGCCCGATTTTTAATCGAAAAAAAACATTCTATTAATAATATTATTTGGGCTAGGGTGTCAAAAGGTAGGTAAACATTAATCCATTTTGTCGCGCGCGGCGGCGGAAAAAAGTTCACAGACACTTTTGGGGTAAATATTGTGGGAAATTGAGATGTGTTTTGAAATTTTGAAATTTTGAACGTTTGTGATTTTTTTAATGTATACTTATTAAAGTTTTTTTTTGTAGATTAAGAATTCAGCAATTCCTGATTTTTGGTATTCTTTACTTGACTCAGATTTTCAAAATTTCTTATGAACTTTTAAAACTTTTTCTGAATTGGTTGAATTCCAGAAAATCCAAACTCCTAAATCGTTCGGCACTAGAAGTTCTGATTTTTTGAATCTCGATTTTTCTTCAGAATCTCAAACCCCTTTCCCCAATTTCAAGTTATCAAAAGTCCACCGATGTTGATCCATAATAATAATTTCGCAATATTCGGAACGTAGGCGGGTCTTCTTTCTCTTCTTGTGCTTCTTCTCAGTTTTTCTCGGTCACTTTGTTTTTGTTGTAAAGTAGGTGCACACACTTTTTATTTTTGCTCTGCTCTTCTGCTGCTCCTCAAGACAACAGCACAGAGGGAAACTGGGGAAAAAGACAGCTGTGGTGGCTTCTGGCGGGTGGGAAGAAGAAGAAGAAGAAGAAGTTCGCGAGAAGATTTTTAAACTCTTCTCTATGTAGAATATTATGTTTATCTTCTTCTTCGATGCTTTTTCGAGTTTTTGTTTGTCTATTGATTTTATTTTTTTGGGTTCGGTAGCTTCTGGAGATTTGGGAACTTGGGAAATTTTATTAGGGAGCTTTTAGCATTTTTTAAAATTTTTAATTCTCTGAAAATTATTTCAGTACTTCGGAATCCTTGAGAAAATAAACCGAGCTTCGAATTTTTCATTTCCATATTGTCTCAATTCTAAATAATTTTGAACTAAAATTGAACTTAAAAAAACTTATTTTATGAATAATTGCTGGTTTTTTGTTCAAAAATCCAGTTTCCCAAAAAATTTTCAATTTTTGCCAGACCTTCAAATTTTCAATCAAAAACCAATTTCAATAAAAAATAGATTTCAGATTAGAATTTTGAAAAATTGATATATTTTTTTTTGAAACATTTTCTAAACTTAATTTTTTTTTAATTTTTATCCGATCATCAAAATATACGTTATACTTCTGAGGGAAATCAGACTCTCTCCAATTTCTAAAACCTGTCAAAACCAACCGCAAAACCTCTCGATTTTTCTCGGGAAATAGATGCAGGTGCACTTTTCTAAGCAATCGCTAAAACATTTCATTCTATTTTCATAAATACATAAATCGGTCATTCATGCGCACAACAAAAATCGGCCAGGAAATTGTCTTTTCATGGTCAAAAATAATATTTCCTATTTTCATTTTCATTATTATTTTTGGGCCTATTATTATTATTGTATAAACACAACTGCTATAACAACAATTGGTTTTGTATTGTTTGGAACATGAATCAAAACTACTTTTTTTACAAAATTGTTGTACAAAACTTTTTCGGTGAAATAATGTTTTCAAATTTTGGATGAAAAACCCAAGGCCTGATCTTTTTCAGAATAAAATTTTTCCAAAAATCTGGTAAAAATTCAAAGCTCCCTTTTTTTAGTACAAAATTTTTCATATTTTGGGAGAAAAAACCTCTGCTCGAACACAATTCCCCCGGGGACCCAAAATTTTCGAGAAAAAATTTTGCCAACAAAAAACATATTAAATGAACATTATTATTGTTGCACTGGCTCTGCTAATTTGTAATTCAAGTGAAGAGCCCAGAAAATGAAGAAAAAATAATATAGTATGTATGGGAAAAAAGTATATGTTATGTATATTTTCCCGAACTTTCAAAATGTTTTCTCATTTTTCGTTTTGAAGTTAAAATTTTCTGGGAACACTTGTAGTTCCATCTAGAATTTTCTGAAATTAAAAAAAAAAGTTGTGAATCTTTCAATATCTCCAACGCTCAAAAAACCTGATTTTGACACGTCATAACGTTTTTGAAAAATTATGAAATCTCAAAGAATAACAATTTCATCAGTGATTTCACAAGCTTTTTTCTCAAGTCTCCAAAAAAATTCAAATCTGATTTTCTGAGCTTCATAAAAATTCGAAAAAATACATCTGGGATTCTCAGATTTTCAGCATTTGAAAACTTTCCATAAACCATTCTCGCACACATTTTCCTGACACCCCCTCTCGAAAATTCCAAAACCCACCCAAGAAAATTTGGGTGTGGTCAGTCATTCAGTCAGTCAAAAATGCAACAAAAGTTCCTTCTTCTCCTAGTTTTTCTCTCGTTTTCCAATCAAATTCAATCAAATCGACCTCCTTTTTCTTCTTCACCAATTACACCCTTCTCTTTCACCCTCCCATATTTTTTTCTCTGTCCCTCCTAACCCAACTCTCCTCATTTTACACACTCTCTCGCTTCAATTTTTTGGTGGCAGATGTTTGATAAGAAAAGGCGAAGGCGAAAAAAGAGGAGGAGGGTTGTGCTCATGGGGATATATGTATATGTTATTGACTCCACCCAGCTTTTCCCCTACCAAAAATATGAGCCATATTTTTTTTCGAAATTTGAAAATTCTTTATAGCAAAGTTTTGTGTGTTGGAGCGTACTTGAGTTTTTTAACTTAAAAGTTTAAAATTTGCTCATTTCACTCCATTTTTTCCATTCCAAAAAATAAGAATTCAAAATTTTGTATAGAAAAGTTTTGTGCGCCAGAGCGCACTTGAATTTTTTCATTCAAAAAGTTGAAATTTGCTCATTATTCTCCCAATTTTTTTGTTGGATACCACATGTGCGTGTCGGATAACATTTTTCACTTTTACTATTTCCGTTCGCCCTTTTTTCTTAGCTCTTTCCACTTTCCACTTTCTTTCATTTTATTTGATTTTTATTGTCCCTTTTCTCCCAAAGTCAATTCTAACAAACAAAAGTCACTAAATCTCTCAAAAAATCAATTTTTCTTATAGATTTTCAATTCAAAATGCTGGTAATTAGGCCTAGATTAATAGGCCTAACATTAGTAGCAATTTGTCTTTTCGTCCATCAAATCGACGCTTTCAATATTGACACCAAAAATGCGGTCGTTCACCATATGCCAAATAGTTATTTTGGGTATTCGCTCGATTTTTATCATGAACAAAAAGGACAGCCAATGTGAGTTTTTTTTTCAAAAATTTTAAAAAATATTCAAAAATTAAATTTAAAAATTTTACATAAACTTTTCACGAAATTTTTTCATATTTAAATTAGTGCTGAAAAATACGGCAAAAATTTCAAAAAGTTCAAAATTTTTCTGATCCAAATTGTTGGATTTTTTCTTCAGATGTCAAAAATCCAAATCCCCGCTCTCCTAATTGTTCCTATATTTTCAGCCTAGTAGTTGGTGCACCAAGTGGCGGTTCATCAAATCCAAAATTAGCAGGAATTCAAAAACCGGGAGCCGTTTATTCGTGTCCCGTGAATCGAGCGGGTTGTAGAGAAGTTATGGTAGATCAAAGTTTGTTTTTCTTTTATTTTCGAAGTTCAAAAATTATCTGAAATTGTTTGCAGAAGGAATTGATCGTCGTTTAAATGGCTCGGTTTCTGTGCCAATTGACGATAAATCTCATCAATTTTTTGGAGCAACGATTCGATCAAATGATAAACATGACAAACTTGTTGTAAGTTCAATTTCAAAGGGAGGGATAAGGTTAAACCAAGAGTTTTATCCAATCTGAAAGGTTAGAAAAATGTTCTGAACAATGAAACCTTTGAATCAAAAAGTATCCAATCATATAAAACTTTTTTCAGATGTGTGCTCCACAATACAAATATTTCTACAATAAATTCGAGTTGATTGAGCCGGTTGGAAATTGTTTCTACACTGAAAATGCAATCGATCGTGCTGAAGAATTTTCGTCGTGTAAACAAGAACGTAGGTTTTTTCAATACCAATTTGTAAAAATCTTTTTCATTTTTATTTTCTGTTTTTTTTTCTAGCTGCTCGTCACGGTCGCCATCGTCTTGGATATGGTCAATGCGGTTTCTCAGCCGCCATTCCCGGAAAGAAAAACATCGACAAAGTATTTGTGGCAGCTCCAGGAGTTTGGTATTGGCAAGGTGCCATTTTCAGTCAATCAACCAAAAACTACACACACGATCGACCAAATACCGAATACAGTAGTAAAGAATACGATCATGATATGTTGGGATATGCAACTGCTACTGGTGATTTTGACGGTGATGGTTTAGACGACGTTGTTGCCGGTGTGCCACGTGGAAATAAATTGCACGGGAAATTATCGATTTACACATCGAAACTACAATTGATTTTGAATTTGACGAGTAATGATCCACAACACGGAGAATATTGCGGTGGAAGTGTGGCTGTTGCTGATGTTAATAAGGATGGGTTAGTGATTCGGGAGATATCAGAGAGCTTTTTTAATACTGCATTATTTGGGATTATATTAATGGATGGATAGATCTCTTGAGAACTATATCACATTTTGAAACGTATTTTTTTCTAGTGGGATGTACAAAGTTAGAAACATATTTTTTTTCATTTTCGATTCACAAAATGTAAAAAAAATTCTCTTTATAATCTTTCGAAGTAAATTTTTCAAAAAAATATAGAAATTGCTGATGTTAATAAGGATGGGTTAGTGATTGGGTAGAAATTAAAGGGATTTTTTTAAATACTGCATTATTTTTGACTAATGGATAGGTTGATCTCTTTAAAATTATATCACACTTTTGAAACGTATTTTTTTTCGTTAGGTTATCAAAGTCTTTTTTTTGCAAAGATTTACACAGGTAAAATAAAAAATCAACGAAATTCAACGTAAAATTGAGAGATTCAGAGAAAATTTTTTCGAACATTCACAAAATTTCGGGATCAAATCAATTAGAGACTGTGTTTCCTAGACCTTCTTCTTAGCTATCCTAATATTTTCAGCCGCGATGATATTATCATGGGTTGTCCATTCTATACTGATTATGTGACTGTAAAAGACGCCAAAACACAAGAACGTAAACCACAATACGATGTTGGTCGAGTTATTGTTTTCATTCAAACTGCAGCTGGAGTTTTTGGAAAACAAATTAGTATTGTTGGAGATGATCAATGGGGAAGATTTGGATTCTCATTGGCTTCAGCTGGTGATTTGAATTTAGATGGATTCAATGGTAAGTTCTAGTACCCTCAAGAATATTTTAGAAATTTATTAAAAATCTTGCAGACATTGTTGTTGGTGCTCCTTACGCTGGAAAAGATAAACATGGTGCAGTTTACATAATTCATGGTTCAAAAGACGGTGTTCGCGAGAAACCGACTCAGAAAATCGAGGGAAGTGCAATTGGAAATGGAAAAACGAAAACATTTGGATTCTCTGTTGCTGGCGGTGTTGATGTTGATAAAAATGGAATGCCTGATATTGCAGTTGGAGCATGGAAATCTGGAGAAGCTATGGTTCTTGTTACAAAACCAGTTGTGACTGTAACAGGAACTACTGAAATCAAGCCAAGTTTGATGAATTTGGAGGAGAAAGATTGTGATGTTGATGCGAAATTGGGAAAACAGACTTGGTGAGGGATAATTTTGAGAATGAATTTAAAATTGAACATTGAAAATTTTTGGACCATTTTCTTGCTAAAAAGTTCTCGGAACTTCTAGGAACTTCTTTTTCAAATAAAAAATGATTTCAAATATTTCACTAATTCATGTAAGGTTACTGTAGATTTTCACGTTTTTCAATTTTTAGTTGCGCCTACGCGACACCCACAATAACATTTTGATCTCAAGTTTTTTTTAATTCAAAAAAAAAATTAAAAATCATATATTTCAGTCGTCACATCAAAACATGTTTACGATACGATGGAAAAGGAGACACTGCAAATGAGCTCGAATTTGATCTCCGAATCAATCTCGATGATCATTCTCCAGAACCCCGTGCATATTTTATTCGAAATGATGTTGAAAGAGACCGTGCAATCAAAGTAGCCACTGGCTCAAAAACTCGTGATCATCCTTCTTCAATTGAACATCGTGTAAAACTTCACAAAAACAAGCAAAACTGTTTTTCTCATCGATTCTTTGCTTCTTCAACAATGCGTGATAAATTATCACCAATTCATTATTCGATTAATTATACAATGGTTGAATCAAGAACTGGAAGAATTCGAGGAGATAAATTAGAACCAGCAATTGATACAACTGTTCCATTATCATTTGAAGGAAAAGTTAATATTGCAAATAATTGTGGAAAAGATGATTTGTGTGTTCCGGATTTGAAAGTTCAAGCTAATGCGTGAGTTTTTTTTTTGAGAATTTTAGCTAAGTTTCAAGATGCCACGTGGATGTCCTAATACAAAAAGTTTCTCTGTGTCTTCCAGAGTGTGAGAAAAATTTTTTGATATTTCGAAACTCTCACTCGAGGCTTCTCAATTTATTGATCCCCGGAAAAAAAATTCTATCAAAAAATTTTCAGTGACCGTGAAAAATTCTTGCTCGGCACCGGCGACAATACAATGCAAATCAATGTAACTGTCCAAAACGGCGGAGAAGATTCGTATGAAACCAAATTATATTTCGATGTTCCACAAGGTTTCGAATACAGTGGAATTGAGACAACAACATTGGCTGGAGCACAAAAAGCACAAGGAACAACTGCACCAAGTTGTTCACCAACCACAACAGAACCAGATGAAGATGGAAAATGGACATTTGGATGTGATTTGGGTAATCCATTACCAGCTAATCAGATTGTTAGTAGTGTTGTTCGAATTACGGCATCAACTGATAAACCACCATTGGAAGCTATTCAAATTAATGCATATGTTAATAGTAGTAATAGTGAAGAAGCTTCGACACTTTCTGATAATAAAATCAATTTCAAAGTTCCGGTTGAAATTCGGAATAGTTTGAATTTGAATGGAAATTCGAGACCTGATCAAATCGATTTTTTGACGAAAAGAAATCATAGCAAAACTGAATATTTTGATGACACTGAAATTGGACCTGTTGTATCACACATTTTTGAGGTGAGTTTGGAAAAAAAATGGGCTGCAATTTTTGAATTTTGTTTCTCCAAATTCATTTTTTTTCAAGATTGAAAAATCAATAATTCAGCTCTAATTAAAAAATTCTTAAAGTTTTCTTTGGAATTCCAAAAAAATCTTCCTAATTTGCAGCTCCGTAATGATGGTCCATCTGTCATCGACAGTGCAACTCTCGATATTTTCTGGCCTTCATTTTCCGTCGACAATCGTCCACTTCTTTATATTATCACTGAACCATACATCGACAAACCACAAAAGGCAAAATGCCGTGTGAAACAACCACAAAATGTGAATCCGGATAATCTAAGAATTTCAAACACACATATTCCAACTGAAGAACCACGTGCATCAGTTCCTTATGCAAAAGAATTCCCAGACGATGAGAGTTATGAGAATTCAGCTGAAAGAACTTCAACTGAACAAACATCGAATTTCGAATATGTTACAAATGCACCAATTCGACCAGAATATGAATATATTGAAGATCCAAAACAATATGATGATGAAGATGAAGAATTTGAAGATGATGAATATAAAAAGAAAGTAAAAAGAGCTACAGGAAAAAGTGGAGCTCGAAGAGAAGGAAAACAAAGAAAAGCAACATTTGATGATTTAAGAGATGCAGTTCAGCGATCAAAAGAATCTGGAGGTGTTACTGATTATATTGGAGCAGTTTCACGTGCAAATGTTGATTGTACACGACTTCGATGCACTCATATTGAATGCGATATTACAGATCTAAATGAAAGTGAAAATGTGATTGTTGAAATATTTTCGAGACTTTATGTTGATACAATGATTGATGAAATGAATACTGGAGGAGATATTTCATCATTGGCAGTTGCGAAAGTGACTTCGGTTAAATATGATTTGCCGAATAAACCGACAAAAATCACAGCTGTGACAACCAATGTGAATGCGATTAATGTTGATGGAGAAGGAAGAGATTTACCGTGGTGGTTGTATTTGATTGCTGTACTTATTGGATTGGCCATTTTGGTGCTTTTGATTTTGCTTCTTTGGAGGGTGAGTTCGAATTGCTTAAAGATTCCAGACTTTTCCGAAACAACCTCGGAAACCACGTTGATTTTTGACTTCTGATAAAAATTCCCAAAATTTTTAGAATTTCTGAACAATTCTTTATTTAGGCCCTTGGTGTGAGAAATTCAAAAATCAGTTTAATCTGAGCAACCCGAAAGTTCAAAATGATCTCTTTAATTTGAATAATGTCTGAGGATGATAGAAAAAAATCAAAGAAAATCTTCATAACCTCTAATTTTTCAGTGTGGTTTCTTCAAACGTGATCGTCCACCAACTGAACACGCTGAACTTCAATCTCAACATCAACCAGATGCAAAATATGCAGATAGTTCATCTCGTTATACTTCTCAAGATCAATATAATCAACGTAGTCACGGACAAATGCTCTAATTATCTAATTAGTTAATATAACTGCCAATATTTTCTGCGGGTTTACTGTTTTTCTGTAAAAAAAACATTTTTTGAATAGTCTCAAATTTCTATGTGCCTTTAATATTGCCAATCCCAAGTAATTCATCATTTTACGAAACAAAAATCTCAAATTTTGGTGCTTTAATTTTTTTGTATGAATTTTTTGATAATAAATAATAAATATGAATTTTTTTAAGACGTGAACTTTTCCCTAAAATTATAAAAAAAGTCAAAGTCATTTTTTAAAATTTCAATTTCCAAAAAAACATGGATTTAATGATACTTGGAAGACTTTTTGGGGTGAGTCAATTTTTCAATTCTTCCGAAATTTTCCTGGAATTTGTGTTAGGCTAACTCGAATATCAATGCGATGAAAAAAAATGATTCGAGTAGAAATCATTATGATCCTTGGTGGTTATATTTGATTGCAGGAGCTTGTGCACTGTGTATTTTGGGATTTTTGATGCGATTTTTGTGGAAGGCGAGTTATTTTTCATTTTGAAACAGTCAACAATCTGAGTTATTTGAGACATTTTTTCTGAAGTTTTTTGGAAATTTAATTTTTCAGAGATTTTTTTCTTGGAATTTTTACTGCAATCAGCTGATAAATACTATTGGAAACTGATTTTTTCAACAAAAATTTAATTTCAAAATTTCCATCCAACCTCAATATTTCAGCACGGTTTCTTCTCTCGCGATCCAATTCTCGATCTTCCCGAAACTTCTCCAAATGCAAATCAAAGTCAATCAACAAATTAATATAAACTATTTACCCGCCAAAACCAGAACCCAATTAATAAAATAAAATCTTCTATCTAATTATTAGTTTTTTTCGCTTTGACCAATTCAGCAAGATATTTGAATCGTTGCATTACTTGTTTCTTATTTTTCGTTCCAATTTGCTCGGATATTCGATCCCATCTAAAATTAATCTCAGATTTTCAGCAAAAAAGTGGTGGTTTTCTTACCTTTCATCAGTTCCTTTCGGATATTTTTGAAGTGCTTCCTCAAACTTTTTCTGCTCTTCTTGACTCCATTCTTCTTCATTTTTATTTTCATTTTGATTCTGATTTTGAGCTGAATTTCCCACAGTTCCCGGAACATTTTGTTGAATTGAAGTCATTAAAAGTTTCGTATAATCCTCTTGTTTCATTTGCTTCATTTTTCCGGCCATCGAAATGACATCTTCAGGTGTTCTATTCAAAACTCGTCCCATTTGTTCCCATCGATTTGGAGTTCCGGCTGGATATTTTTCGGTGCTCAATCTGACTAAATGAGCCAATTCATCTGGCGACCAAGCGGCTCCGGATTGTTCTGGAATTTGAGATTTTGGGGATAAAATTAGGTTTTTTAGATGACTTTTAAAACTAAAGAAGCTATGTTTAATCCAAAATATTTAGAACTTTACTTTGAAAAATCATGAAAACCGGATTTTTCATACAACATTCCTGAACCCTTTGGTGAAAAAATTAGTGTGAAAATAATTTTTTCTCTTTTCCTGTTCAAAAATCCCAAAAATTGCCTTACTTTGTGCCACAACTTCACTCTCCTTCGCATATTTTTTCTCCATTTCCGGATCATTTGTCGAAACAGCTTTCAAACCACTCGCAACTTCAAATTTATATTCAACCTGTTTTTCTCCTCGTTTTTCACGTCTTTCAATCACCGGATTCTCGTTATTTTCATCAGGATTTTCTTCGGATTTTCGATTTTCCATTGCAATTTTGATAACGATTCCAAGATCTTTTACAAGGCAAACAATTCCACGACAAAGAAGAATTGGTAAAAGTTCGAGAATTTGTGGGCGAAATTCGAGAAGAGCTTCATGCATTAATCGATCGGCTTCTGCTGGATCTTCTTTTTTCGCAGATTTTCGAGATTTTTTTACATTCTGGAATGATAATTGGAATAGAAAATAGTAAGGTTCATAGAAAAGAGCCATTAAAATTTGATGAAAATCTCAGATGTTTCGCTCATTTTCCCCCCAAAAGGTTACCTGTTTATAAACCAAAGTCTTCTCAAAATATGCAGCCCACATCATCAAATAATGAGCAATTGTTGCAATAAACAACAAAACCAACAATCCTTCGTACCATTCAAGTTTTCGCATTCGCCTTAAAAATATAACAAATTAAACATTTACTAATTAGTTAATTATCTCACCGATAATAATACAAAGGTTGTCTCCAAGAAGGTAATCCATTTTCCAAAACTTCATTATATTTCTCGCGCATCTCATTATTTTTCAAAACTTCATAAATTCCAGCAATTTTTCGAAATTCTTCAGTTGCTCCTGGTGCAGAATTTCGGTCGGGATGCCATTCCAAAGTCAATTTTCGATAGGCTTTTTTGATTTGTGAATTTGTCGCATCTTTTTCGATTTCAAAACGCTCGTAAAAGTTGACACCGATTTCTTCAACAAGATCATACAGTGCTAAATCATCGCTTGTCCATTGGCAAAACAATGAGGGAATTGTGAGGAAGAATAAAATTAGTATGGAATGAAAATGCATTATGGTTCTACCCGTGGATGAGAAAAATCTGAAAATGGAAAAAAATTGGCTTAAAAAATAAGTATGGAAGAATAGTGAAAAATATAATTTTTTGGGAATTAAAATTACATTTTGATGACGTGGAATTTTCAGGTCACGTTAAATATAATTATTATTCTCAACGTTTAGTTTATTGATTTTTTTGGTGTGAATTTTTGAAAAGGCTCACAAAATATAATTCAAATAAATACTGGTCCCAATCACCGAACTGTTTTTTCTCAAAAAAAAATCACCAAAAATACTAAATGTTTATTGCTATTGAAAAATTAAAAGCACCAATATTTGACAATGAAAAAACAGGCAGAAATTGATGAAAAACGAGTATAACATGAGATCAAAAATCAAGGAAATCGAATTTGGATTCAAATCATTTTCCAAATTTGAATTTAATCGGTGCTCGAGCAACTCCTCCTTTATTAATAATTGTTTGTTGCTCCGATTTTTTCAATTCTTCTTTTTCTCTCAACAATTCGGCTCTTTCACGTTCAAGTTGACTTTTTTGATCAAGCATTGCCAATCGATTTTCTTCCTGAAAAAAATTAATTTTAGGAAATTCTGGATGTTTTAAAAAACTCTATCCTATCCTAAATTTCTGGGTTCGAAATACCTCACATTTGTCCATCTCCAAAAAAATCGTCGTCGTCGAAATCCACGGATTTGTAAAACTTTTTAAATAATTAATTTTGAGTTTTGATTGTTTGGGAAAAATTAAAATTGAAAGAAAATAAATATAACACCTGTAAGCGAATTAAAGAAGATTTATTATTATTGATTTCGGAAGAAACAATATAAAAATTAAACATCGATAGAAATTTTAGATAACTTACATATTGTCTTCGACTTTCTTCAGCTTCGTTGATTTTTTTCTCGAGTTCCGATTCTAATTGTTTACATCGTTTTCTAGATTGCTCCTAAATTCAAGAATTTCATATTTGCTTCATAGTACTAACAAAACTTACATCTCGTTTTTTACACTCTTCTAATTCATTAGCCATTTCAGTTTCAATTTGTGCTCTCAACATTTTCTCCATTTCATTTCGCGCAGCTGTTGCTTTTTCAGCCATTAATGTTTCCAATTTATCAACTCGCGAAGTGACTTGTTCTGTTATTCGTTCTTCTAACCATTTTTTGGCTGAATCATTTAACGTGTTTATATCAAATGGAATACTTGCATCCGGTTCAAATGTTCTTGGTGTACTGTTTCTTTCTCTACTTCTTTCACGCCGTCTTCTTTCTTCTTTCAGAATACTTCCAAGTTGATGTGATTCAGCAATAGAACCTTCAGATGAATGACTGCGATGTCTGCAAAACACTTTTTTGTTCTCTAGGAAAAATCAATAATTTGTGGACAAACCTTCTCTTCTTCCTATCCTTTTTTCTATCTCGATCATCTCTTCGTCGACGATCTTCTCGATCTCGTGGTCTTGAAGGAGGTGAACGTGTTCGACTTCGACTACGTGAACGACGTGACATTCTGCAAAATACTCAAATTTTTAATCCAGAAATGCGCTGCAAAACAGATGAAAACAACAGATGGCGATTTTCGGGGACTAGAAAATGTTTGGATTAGTCGGCCAGGTCATGTGGTTTGGTGGAGAAAAGAGGGGAGAGCGTGAAACAAGCGGATTGAGAGCGAAAAGAAAATGTTCTGCAATTGTTTCTGCAACACACCCGTTTGAAAGTACTCAGCATCCGCTGGCGTAGTCTAAGCGTACAAGAAAGGGTTATTTAGATGAAATTTAGCTACGGCTTAGCTACGCTCGTTGTAATCTCGCGGGTGTAGACTGAGCGTAGCTACACTGAGCCGCGTTGCATTTCCTGTGCGTTGCGTACATGATTTTCACTTTTTCTTTTTGTTTTCTCTCTTGGCCTAAAATTTTTCTTTTTTGGGCGTGTTAAAATGTTTAAAGCATGGAGTTATACTTTTCAGTTGTGTTTTCCTGATTATAAATACTTTTCTACCTCAATCAACTCATCAAACGAGGTTTTCACTAGAAAACTGGCTCTCATTTGAAGATTTTCAGTGAGAAATTATTTCAACAGATCAAAAGTAGGACATATGAGACTTTACCTATAAATTCAACTCTAATATGCTTATTATTTTTTATTCTAATCGTTCTCTATTCAATTTTTCTATTTTTCAGTCTAGATTGGTGGTTTTGGGCGATGTCAATTTCCTTTTATTCATGTTCTGCAGATTTCGGTGAGTACTATAAATACGCATTCTATTAGTATTGAGAAAAGTCAATATGTTTTCAGATCTAAAACAAATCCACGTTATTGGGAGTTAGAATGGTTGACTGAAACGCGAGCTTGGAAGTTCAATTGATTTAACGCGAATACATGGTTTTGGTAGTCAGTCGCCTTCCGGCGTATTCGTTTTTGATTCAAAACTCGGAGTTCAGTCGGAATCAATTTCAAATTCGACATTCTTGTTACTACAATATTGATATTGGGATATGAAGCAAGTTGGATTAGGCAAAAAAAAGGTGAGAAAAATCGTTCACTAATCGAAAAATCCCAAAATATGAAAGAGTCGCGTAGTAACTTGAATTAGCTGCTAGCTGAGTGATCAATCGCCTGAATTACTTTAGATTAGGCGACTAATCCTTCAGCTCACTTTAAAGTTAGATGAAGAGCTGAAAATTTACTAAGTGATCAATCGCCCATCTTGTCTGAGAACCCCCAATATCCTAGTCATAAAGTATTGATGTTGGCCAATCTTAATCCAAATATCCACTCCAAAAAACTTCTAATAAGTCAGTTATTCTTTCAGGTTCGAACACTGGTATTCTCAATATTCTACAAGGATTGGAAATTCTCACGTGGAACTCAACACCATCATTCAACGTCATTAAAAATCAGCTCACCGTCTCAAAAACCCTGCAAAATTGTCAAGCAGCGCCGAAAATCCCATAATTCTTCGATTTTTCAGTGTTATTTTTAATTATTTTACTGTTTTTTTGTTATAATATACAATAAATCATGTTTCTATGCAGTTCCTTCAAAAAATTCAGAAATCGGCACATTCAACATGCAATATTGACAGTAAACCTAGAATTAAGACCAATTGTGACAGTAAACCTAGAATTAAGACCAAATCAAGCAAGCAAATGAGAAAAAAATTTGAATTGAAAATAAAAACGAGCGTAGCTAAAATTTACACCTCAGCGTAGACTAAAGCGTACAAACGAGCGTTTGGTGCGTCATACACCGCCTTAGCTACGCTCGTTTGTTCGCTTAGACTACGCCAGCGGATGCTGAGTAGAAATGTTTGGGTGAAGTACGGTTGGCGAACTGTGCACACACTGCACTGTCACAATGCACAACTTTTTCGCTGAAAAATGTTTTTTTTCGTTTTGTGCGTCTTTAACGCGCTCAATTGCTAAGAAAACTGAACACGCAAAACATAGTCGCATAGTTCACGAAAAGACGAATTTTTTGATGTATATAAGTTCTGCTATCGATACCGGGAAGTTCTCCAAAATGGGCGCACCGATTTTTTAATACATCAAAACCGTAACTGAAAATCTGCTTTTTTCAGAAGCCACTAGGAATCAAGTTACTTATATCTTAATATTCGTTATGAAACGAGGAATTCAATGGTGTATTCGCCTTATTTTTACTTGTCGAATTACCCTAGTTATTCCAGGAAAACACGTTAATTTTCATACGGTGTTTAAAGGAACATGACTTTTATTTTTTTATTTGGTCTCGCTTGGAAGCTAACTTTTTTCCTAGGTAGTTATACGAAGTGAGTAAAACATAGTCGCCTAGATCTCGATGAGCTGATTTTGATGCTATTTTCACGTTTTCATACGTTACCCTAGGGACCGTGTAAATGGGCGCACCAGTTTTTACGCAGCATTTCTACTCTCACAATGTATTTGAGCGGCTGTGGCAAAAAAATGAAAAAACGTCCAAAAGAAAAACACAAATGTCAAATTGTAGCAAGACCAAATTTGAAAAACAATGCACCTTGAATGAACTACGGTTTTCCTGTCGAGACCAATAACGAACAATTGTGCGTCTTTGGCGCGTCATACGGTGGCATAGCATTATTTTTTTTTTCGTTTTTTATTTACGCTCGAGCGCTAGGTGCTCCTGATGCTGTACTTTTGAAGACTATCAAAAAGTTCATTTCGGTTCATCCTTTTGCTCCACTTTCAATTCTTGCTCTTTATTCTCTTTCTCTGTTCCCTCTGATTTCTGACTCTCACTCGGTGATGGACTTTCCAATTCCTCAATCTGCACGGGTAGTCGTAAAACGCCATTCATCCTCTTCGCATCCCAAACTTGTTTTTCACCTATACTCATATCAGAAGCAGCAATATGATAAATTGCAAAATAGTGTCTGTTGGGCTCCGGAACATCTCTCGAGTTCAAAGTGATTTTGATCACCGCAGTTTCTTTGGCTTGAACAAATCCAAGAGGCGGGCGAACACAAAACACATCATTGTCTGTGCATTTTATCTGAAATTGCTATTTTCTAGTTCTCAAACTTATTTTCGCAAGTTAGACTAACCTTAAAACTGTTCCTTTCATTTGTCGTATTTATAATCTTCAAATCAACAGTTACACTTTCCCCCTTCTTATATACAATTGAAAGTTTATCACTTGGCTCCACTTTTAGCTTGAAATCTGGCTCTCCTGGTTTGTTCGGAATTGGCATTTTTTAAAACAAATTTAATACGAAATAATTTTGGGAAACCCGTCATTTTTTCCGAGGGTTTTGGGGAGGTCACGGTGACGTGTCTCAAGAACCGGTATTTTTCCGCCTAGAGACAATTTTTTGTTGTCTTTGTGTTTTCTGAACCTTGACATCGATTATTTTCTGCCGTTTCAATATGTTTTTTAAAGTGAAAATTCAGTTTAGTCTGAAAGTATCATTCGTTTAACAAGATACTTATTGTAATCGACACTCCCGAACAACGCTATTCTTTTCTGGTTTGAAAAAATTTGAGGTATTTAGTTAGAGTCTTATAGTGCTCTAATTTTTGGAAATTTTCCATTTAGGAGTTGAGTTCTGAATTTTTTTTATGATGAGATTTTTTTTTATTAGCGGGGTCGACAACTACTAAAAAAACATATATTTGTTTCATCAGAGAATCAGTGTGTGACAATCATAAGCTTTCAAAAATTCGTCATCAGCCCATACCAGATGAACAAAAAATATTATGTGTCATAAATCTTATCCCCCTCTCTCCCTTCTCTTTTTTCCCCCAATAAATATCTCCCAAAATCAATCGATAAATAATATATTTTTATTTATTTGTATGAATATAAATAAATAAATATTTTGGCTGCTGGCAGCTCCATGAATAATGTATTGTTCTTTTTTTCTTGATCCATATCAAATGTCAAATCAAAAACGCCATTGTTTGAGTTCGCCCCGTTTTTTCTTATGTTTACCCAAAGCAAAATGCCGTTTCGGTCATTTCAGAAATAAAATACGAGAAGAGGAAGGAACAGCATGAATTTGAAGATTTTTGTTGTTTTTGCCGCTATCGGATTTGGTGAGTTTTTTTTGGTTCTTTAATAAAATTGAGAGGGTATATACAGAAAGGTAGCTTTTTTTTCAAATTTTTTGTTCGGAAAACTGATTTCACTGTCTATACTCTCTCAAATTTACCTTGTTTCTAATTAAAATAATATTCTCTATATTTGTCAAAAAATTCAAAATGTGAATTTTCTTCATTTTTCTATTGAAAACTTCAGTTTGATCCTTGGATATTTGGGAAAATAGATTGAAGTTTAGGATCTAAAGTTACCCATTTAAAATTTTTCAAGTAAAAAAAATCGAATCCTGGAAATCACTGTTCAAAAATTCCTTAATTCTTCCACAATAATCGTGAATTTCGTAATTTTCCCATCCTAATTTCTAAAAAAGTTCAAATATTTGCCACTCGAAATATTTATTTATTTATCTACCGTATTAAAATGAGTAATTTGTGAGTGTGTCTAGGTTAGATAACTGCACTATTGTTTTTGACACACAATCTGTTCCGCTAGAAAAATCTGGAATTTTTATATGAAAAAAAACTTTGAAAACAATCTGATTCTTGATGGATTGAGGGCATGTTATAGAACAAGGTTTAAAAAAAAGAAAACCGAATATGGGGCCAATTTTCAAGTGGAACAAGCATAAAATTTGAAATTTAGAATACAACTTTTAATCGATATTTTCCAGCATCTTGTCGTACAATTCCATGTTTGGATGGTTGCCAATGTGAACAATCTGATCACGATCCTGTAATTCGATGTGATGGACTTGGCCTCAAAAAGTTCCCACTTCCATATTCAGATCCACTCAAAGACTATCACTTTTTAGGTGATTTTATCTTTTTCTTCCGCTTCCCAAAATATAAATTTTCAGCTTTAACCTGCAATGATATTCCATCGATTCCTTCGATTTCACTCATCAAAGCATCATTCCCAGATTTGCAAGGAATCGATGTTCAAGGAAATCCACGTCTAAATTGCACCGAATTGAAATATTTGAAAAGCGAAATTCCAGTTTTGAGTGATTGTGATAATCAAGAAGAACCACTTAAATGTGAATTATTGAATGAAAATGAATGTGATTGGAAATGTCGTGCATTGCAAAAATTGAAAGATATGTGGGTTAAATTCAAGGAATTGATTTCGAGAAAGGCTAAGGATTGGCAAGCTGAAGAAGTGAGTTTTTGAAGACAAGAACTGGGGGTTTTTTAGGTGTAAAATGAAAAATATATCTTAAAAATTGAAGATAATCTTTAAGATGATTTACTGTTTATTAGGAAACTAAAATGTGAAATGAAAACCCTTTTTGAACATTTTTTAAACTTATATAATCTTATGATCTCTGAAAAATCGGGAAAAATCAATTGTTTTTCCAAAAATACCCTTTTTCAGGCCTATGAAAAAGCGAAAGCCTGGTTCACTAAACAATTCAACGAACTTTCAGTCGCTTTTGGTGGAAACTAAATTTCCTCTTTTTCTATTTTTCTCCTTTTTCCAAATTCTGATTTTTACGGAGTTCCCGCATCTCACATTGTAAATACTTTTCTAAATTTCTAAATTTTACACCATTTTTTTTTCAAAAAATTTATTCACTGCAAAATAAAAATTATTTTCATAATTAATTAATTAGTAAAAAAGTACCCTTTTGTTTTGAAAATTGAGAATTTGGGGAAAAATGATCAAAATTACACCAAGGAAAAGAAAAGAAGGGCTGAAATTAGAGAAATGGCTGGAATATTGGCTGCTGAATTTGTTGATTCGTGGCTGTATTGAGCTGCTTCTTTGTGATGTTGGTGATGATGTTTATTGCTGTGATGATGGTGAGTTGTGCTAAAAAAAACGAAGAAATATGAAAAAAAATGATATTTGAAACCAAAAGGATTCTGGAAATTTCCGGGTAAATAATTGAAATTTGATAGTTTTCAGGTTACTGTGGTTTTTTCTCTGGATTTCAGAAAAATCTAGATAAAAAATAAAAATTGAATCACTCACTTTTTTTCGGGCCACAATGAATAATTACAAAAATCTTGATCATTGCATCCACAGATATTTACAAGAAGTCCACTTTTTGATTGCCTAAAATAATTGGGTTACTGTAGATTTCTCAGGGATACTGTAGTTACTTAGATTACCGTACCTTGTATGACAATGTCCATTTTCGATGCCACGTGTATGACACGTGTAATGTTGACCCATTGTAGGATGATCCAACATTAGACAAGCTGAAAAAAATAGCATTTGGATTTTTTTATATTGCTCATGTTTGAAGTGATCGGGAAATTAATTAAAAATACATTTTTTGACCGCTCCCCCGCTTTCAAAAAATATGTAATTTGTTCCTGGTTGCCTCGAAAATCGACAAAAATAATTATAACAAAAGGTTGTGGACATAAATAATTATTGTTTGTTATAATTTTGAACACAACAATGAAAAACGGAAAACAATTCGAAACACCTGAAGAACGAGAGAAACACAGAGGTTTTAGAGTTGTAATTATAGTTTAATTTTATTTTTATGGAGCTTATTAGAAATTTATGAGTTAGCCAAGGTTTATTGGGTTTACCGGGTTAAAGATTTGAAAATTCATTGGGTTCGTTTATCATTTCTTTTATTATTGTTTTTATTTTCAAAATACCGTGAAACGTAAAATTTTCGGAAAAAAGAGAAGCAGAAATTAATTTGAAAATTTTGAATTAATTTTGAAGTCTATATTTCCAGAATTTTGTGGGATCAATTTTCTAAGAAGCCCAAAAAGAACTTCCAATAATACTTATGACGTGGCAATGTTTATATTCTCCCCTCATTTTTTGGCCTGTTCCCTTTTTTTCCTTTCGATCATCCTCAAATTGTTTATAACTCCTCTAAGTAACTAAGTAAGTGTTGCACTTTCTAAGGTCACCAGACAGTCTCAAAAAAGTAATTAGACCCCCTTTCCTTGCCTATTACAAATTAGAAAAAACAAAAAATAAATCCAGTGTTTTTCTTCATGTCACTCACTCATTTTTCATCTCAATAATTTATAACTTTTCATTTTCAATTTTTTTAGCTTTTTCTTTTTTTTCTCAATATAGAAATGGGAAGAATTGAAAAGAAAATCAAAAGTAAGTAGTAGGATGTTTGGTTGACTGATTTCGGCTAACGTAAGAGGAGAAAGAAGGTTCAAGTTTTCCGAGAGAAATTCAAAATTTGCAGTCCGGCCTTCTCGTTGCGAGCACGGGTTTTTCAATTTCTCAAAAAGGTTTAAATTCAATTTTTGGCAAAAACTATAGCTCAATTTTTTGGATATAAAGATTAAAATTTCTCTGCGTCTGTGAAATACTGTGTATTCTTCCCGCACAAATTTAAAGACACACAATCCACTAGAAATGAACAGAAATTGAGTTTGTTATTCTTTCATAACATCTTTCAAGTAATCGGAATTCATAAAAATCAAGAAAAAATTTTGAGTCTGGCAAAAGTGAAAAAAACAAAATAATTGTTTTTGAAATCGCTCAGCCGACGGAAATTTCGAAAGTGTGTGCACACAACGAAGCAATAGAGCGCACATGCTGTTTTTGTCATTTGAAAATAAAAGCGGGAAATCTGTTTTTTCTAGTGGCTGATGTGTCTTTAAAAATAAACTCACATCCCAATTCCGTTTCACAAACTCCTTCATAACATTTAACAGTTTCCGATTCTTTTGTGCATTTACACCGTATTCCATCAACACTACCCAAAATGCATAAAATCGAGAGAAAAACAATGAAAAATGTGTCGGTATTTGATAGCATTTCTGAACGGGGGGAACTGGAATAAAAAACAATAGAATAGAATTATTTTTGGACACGCAGAATATCTATATGGTCAAAAATAAATGAAGCGGATAAAGATTTGATAATAAATAGAAAGAAAAGAATTGGAATAGGAATTGGAAGAACAAAAATAATTTGATAAATAAATACAGAAAATAGGCGGAAAAGGTTCCTGGAAAAATATGAATGGAGGGATTTTTGAAAAATTGGAGAAAAACTATGATTCTGTAATTCCTGAGCTACAAAATATTGAAATTTTCAAACCTCGAGGTTCCAGAAATTTAGAAGCTATAATTTTCTATCTAACAATAAAATTTCAAGTTCTAAACTTTCATGATCACATAAACTACCAAAAATTGAATATTTTTTGATCTACCAATATAATTTCCCTATTTAATCTGAATTCTCATGACCTATAAACTGGAAAATTCCCAGGCCTAAAAAATGACGTTTTGTGAAATCTCCTATTTCAAAACCACATCAAACTACATACAATTTGTGGGAACTTTTTGATCTACCAGAAATCATTTGCAATTTTTTTCATAAATATTTGATCTACCCAAAAATTTTCGCAGGTTGAAACAATTCAAAAAACCCTCGGCTAACCTTGAATTTCTCGGGTTTGGAATTTTCCGCTACTTGAAGAACAACAAAAAAACTACGAAATTCGATTCTTCTTTTTTTTCGTGTCTTCCTTTTTTTGGTTGCAGGAAAAATCGGGAAATTTCTTCCGGGGCTGACTAATAATATTTTACTAATCGGAAGAAAAATTTAAAATTCCTACGAAAAATGTTCGAAAAAGTGCGAATTTTGGGGGAAGGAAAAGAAAAAAAAAAGGAAATCGAGTCAAAAGCGAGACATTTTTTCGAAAAATCAGAAATCACAAGATTTCCGGCACAATTTTCATTTTTGAAAAAAAAATAAACAGGCTTCAAGACAACTTCTCAAGACTTCTGGCACAATTTACAAAAAATCTGAAACAGCAAACATTCTCAAAAAAAATAAATGAAAACTAACAAAAAGTGGGCGTGGCTTAGACCAATCTAAGCTCCTCCTACTATTTTTTTTTTTGGATTTTTCTATATCTTTTTCTATTTTTTTATGTGAAAAAGAGAACATCTGGCTCACAATTTTCATTTTCATTTTCATTCATAGTTTTTTTTTCAATATTTTTTGAAAAGCTCAGCTCATTGTTCCAACAAAAAAAAACAGGAAATAATTTTTGTGACAGACAACAAAAATAGGCAAAAACTTTTATGGAAGGGAAATTGGAGATTTTTAGCGCCGGAGATCCTTTGGAAATTAATTAGAGAAGGAAATGTGTCAGATGAGAAGAAGAAGGGAAAAAATAACGGAAATACGAAAATTTGATACTTTTTTTTTTGAAGTTTTAAGGAAAGAATTTGATGAGGAATCTGGTTTTGAAGTGAAGTAATGTTAAATTAGCATAATTGGGGAAAGTTGCGGAATTTTATTGAAAATTAATGTTAAACCTAGCTTTTATAGTTTAGTTTGATCAGAGGTGGTACCGTACGATATTAAATCGAGGCCACATGATTTTATATTAAAAAGTTCAAGATAGAAAAGAAACAATTTTGTTTGTTAAAAACCGGAAGAACATAGTTAAATGTGAAATAAAAGCGAAATTTTTTTGGAAAAATTGAAAATGATTTTGAAAACCTGAATTACAAAACAATCAAATTTTCAAATTGTTCAAAATCCTTCAAAAATATTTGAAACATACATTTTCCTGTATTATTTTCAAAAATGATATGAGAAATCTAAAACTTTTTCAGAAATTGAAATATTTCAGAGAATCAAAAAATCTGATCTCTTCTTCTTCCGAAATTTTCAGCCAACTCAATTCATCAAGAAAAATACGAAAAAATGTCTTTAAACAAAAAACATAGTATATGTTTGTCGGAACGCGTTAAACTATGTGAAAAAAAAGAAGAAGAAAAGTTGATCCTTTGTCGTCAATCATCAACACTAAAATTTCTTTTGGTGAACAAAAATGAAAAAAAAAGAGAAGATTTTGTTGAATTTGATTTTTCGCTGAAAAATTAGAGACGCAGAAAAATTTAATTGAACTATTTTTGGATTTTTTCAGAAAAAAATGAATTACTTGCCTCGATCAGAAAAATCTCAATTCTAATCTGATTTTTTCTTTCTTCAAGATCTAGACTGAGCCAACCAAAACCGAGAAAAAATCTAATTTAGAAGCAGAAGCTCTTGAGAAAAAGGCGGGTGGTCACACTTGAAAAACCGGAAAAAGGTGCCAAAATTGTATATTAAAGGGGGGAAAAGGGATTATCCCGAGTGACCCAAAACTCATACTTTCGTTACTCATATAATAAATAAATATTCAATGAGTGAGAGAAAAATACACTGTGTCGCACTTTGTCATTATTTATATTTATATTTTTAATAATAATAAAAGTAGCAGGAAAGAGGAGGAGGAAAAAGGAACACGAATAATAACAAAATGACCAAAATGTGGTGACCACAGAGGGAATGGATGGATATAATAAGTGTATAAACATAATTTGTTCAGCTGAAGAGGGAAAAAAAGAGAGCGAAGAGGGATATTTGGAAATTGAAATTGAGAAAGGTCAGAGGGATTTTCGAGGTGGAAATTCAGGAGAAGAGAAGATTTGGATTTACAAAGAATCAAGAACCATATTCCGGGTAGCGATAAACCCGGTTTCCTAAAGATTTGATTTGCGGTGTGATCTTCAGAGTATTAAAAAAAATTCAGAATCGCTGAAACTTTTTTTAAATATTAATTTTGAAATTTATTTGAAAAAAAATGAAAATAATTTAATAAAATTTCATTCTCAAAAACACACATATTTCCTTTTATCCAGAAATATGTGTTTTTCTCCTCTCTGGAATTTTCTAATCAATTCGGAAGTGCTTTCGAATTATAGCCAGAACTATAAACTCGAATGCTAAAAATAAAAATATTTCACAATTCCAGAATTCTGAATGATCACAAAGAATTCAGAAAAAATTGCGTCATAATTGAAAATTGCTGGCTTCATTTTAATCCAAAAAAGGAAAAAGTTTCGAAATTTTTTTGGATTTAATTATTTTGATGGGAAAACATTTGGTAAATAATTTATGACAAACATTCGTGTTCTCAATTTTGAAAATTGGATTAAAACATTTTTGTGAAATTAAATTATAAAGTTCCGAAAATTTTAAAGTGCCACGTTCACGTTTAAAATGAGAAACCCGAACATTTGATCTACATCCAACTCAAATGAAAATTGAAATTCGATATACTCAAAAATGTTTTTTTCTGAAACCGAAGTTTGATCAACTAACATAAAGAATGACGTGAAAAATTTTGAAGAGGAAATAATTTGTGAGAAAATCTTCTTATAAGTGTTCACAAAAATGAACTGATAAAGTTTTTCTGAAGGTCGAATTTGTTGCTATATTTTTTGTAAAATAAAAAATCGAAACCGAAGAAATCTCATACTCAGAAAATAAAAATGAATAAAATATGAATAGCTGGCTAATTCTCAATTCTCATTTCTCAACAAAACCTAAAATTACATGATTGAAAATTCGAAAATGTCAAGAAAAAATCTGAATAAGAGTGAGAATGAAAAAGGAAATATTTTATGTAGAAAAGTAGAAGAATGTGGGGATCAAATTCAATTCAAGTACAAATATTTGAACAATCAAAAAAGTGGTGCACTTTTGTTGTTTTTTTCTTGCATTACCTGCCCAAATATAGGTGTGTCTTTCCTAATCGACCGGATTTCTGGGTGTTTTTTTTTTTGAGAAAAAGAAATTAAAAAATAAATAGAATTTGAAATTTCGCAGAAAACATATGGAAATTGATTTTTCAAAAAGTTTTTTTTGATAAAAAATATTTTTCATTTTTAAATTACAGTAATAACAAGATAACAACAATGGCTCACAAATCCAAATTGGAATGTAATTTACAAAGTGTATGAAGATGAAAAGCATCAGGCTGAGATGATCTTTTCATAGAAACTCTCCCTCTAACCGCATTCATTCGAGTTGTTCGAACTCGTCGAATTCCAGACCAAGTTGCTTGAGGATTTGCACCATTCAACATTCGACAAGTCAATTCATATACAAAAAGTCGCCAACAATCACCTCGATTTCCATGAATTAGAGAATAATGATTATAAGCTTCTTGATAAAGTGTTGAAAATATTGAATGTCCTTTGAATGTTTGAATCCAATATGGTTTTGATGTGAAAAGATTTGTTCGCCATGCATCCAGAAGTGAACTCATTATCCATTCGTAGGCCATTCGACGGACTCCTTCCTGGAATTAAAAAAGTAGAATTTTGGTTGAAAATTGGAATTTTTCGATATGGAAATTGAGATTTTTCAGATTTTGTTCCAACTGAAATTTTTATTTTTTGTGGAGAATATCAAATGAAAATTTGTATCAGCCTTGTTCCAAACGAAAAATGACCCCGTCGTGGAGTATCGTTTGAAACCAAAAATCATGTTTTTTTAAATGAAAAATAATCTTACAAATTTTAAACGATGCTCCACGTTCACGTGGTCCCTTTTTCAAGCTGTGAACGCGGAGCATCGTAGTTTTCCGATTTATCACAATTTTCCACTAAAAAATCAATACCAACCTGAATAGCATTCACAATTCCAGGTGTTCTTGAAACCGAATACAATCTCAAAGATTCCAATGATTTTTTCGTGTGCATACAAACAAATTGGCTAACTTTCGAAGATTCACGATCTTCGATGCAGATTTTTCGAGCACAAAGAGCATGACCAACAGCGAGGCCAAGAGCACTGCAAAAAATTAATTAACTAATCAATAATGATAATTAATGCTTACTCTTTTAAAATAACATCTGGACATTTTCTGATTAATGAATAATGTTTTCTAGCCAAATCATTTTTTCCATTTCTCCAATAAATTCCACATGTTAAAACATGTGTCCACCAAGTACAACAAGCATCACCATTTCGATTTAGCCAATTTCCAAACTTTGTTGATTCATCTTTTCCATTTGTTGCAATTATACATTGTGTTGAAATTGATACTAAAAGTCGCGAAATATCAACAATATCAACTTCTTCTTCAGTTAAATTAATCATATCTGTTGTTGGAGGAGAATTTTGAAGAATTTCATCGCCGCCAACTAATTCGGTGACTAGTTTTGTGAGAAGATGGATTTTGAGAGTTGCGCGAAGTCGAGATAATGGAGAACCTGGAAAATAAAAAGTTTTAGGATTTGTCAAAATCTTTTTTGTGAATCCAATATGAAATTAAAAATTAAATTGTTTTGGAACTGGCTTGGCTTTTCAGAATTATTATTGAATTTCGGAACCAAAAAAAAAACTCACTGAGATCATCTTCAACCAGTGATCCAAACCTGAGTTTCTGTTTAGATTCCAAAATAAATTTCAATCGTTTTTCATCGGACATATATTTCCGTGTTGCCGGATGGAATAACCACAATAAATGTGAAACTGTTTGTTCTGGAGCTCTTCGAATATGCCTTCTTGCTCTTCTCAAAAAATATCCGGAAACAACTGGGGCCAACAATTTTGGCAAAGCCAATCGACATCGAATCGAAGCAGCAATATAAATCTGTGCCATAATACTTCGAGGTAAACCATCTAATGATGCTCCAGCAGATTCAGCTAAATTCACAGCTGATAATGCCAAATATAATCCAGATATATTATAAACTTCATCTGAATCATCAGAATATTCAGTAATTCCCATTAAATGAATTTGATTGATTTCATGGTAAAGAACAGCTGTTTGTGCATGACTTCGACAAACTACGGAAACTGGAGTTGATGTTGATCTTCTTCTTCGAGACATCCATCGACCAATCCAAAGCCAATTTAGAAGATGTCGAATACATTCCCAGATTACTGAAATTGTTGCTTCGATTCCTGGACTTGGAAGCGGTCGGTCAAGAATCTGAAGAAAAAAAACGTTTTTGGGAAAAATTGTAACTCAACTGTATTCAGGTTTACTGTAAAAAGAACTGGATTACGGTAGATCAAAACTATACTTTTCATACCAGATTTTGCACACTGTAACTGGAAAGTACTGTGGCTGTTAAAATTTATCCAATTTTTCTTGAAAATTAAATTTGTAAAGGTTATATTTATAAAATGTTGATGTGGAAAATTAAAAATTTGAAGATTTTTGATAAAATATTTGAAAAGCTGAATTTGGAAAACTACATAAAGGACTTTTGTTTAATTTCTAACTCACCACCAAACATTCACAAAACTGTCTCTGCGCCTCTCTCAAATTTCCCGCCACAATCTCTTCTCTCGCCTGCTCTCTTGTCTTCACAAAATTACTCCAAGATCCCGATTTAAAATCCTGCACCGGTTCTCCATAAACCAACAATCTCATCAAAACACAAACAACCACAAAAATATTGATGGTCCACACAAAAAGCGGTCGAATTATACTATTATGCCATTGTTCGGGTTCAATTATCTGTGAGTCATCCAAAATTCTTCCATGTTCAAAAGGCGACGCAACCGGGATTTTTCGATCAACCGTTGAAGCGCCAGTCGCCAAAACACCACTTGCTAGGAACCTGCAAATAAATAGAAATTATTATCAAAAAATTAAGAGAATAGGGTTAACCCTAACGGATTGAAGATGAGAACAGCCATCAACATGGCGAATAGGGTCACCCTCTCACTCCCACCATTCGCCATTTGATGGTGTTGTTGAATTCGTCGTTTTTTCTCGTTTCGTGGTGGCGAAGGTGAAGATTCGATTGGTGATTGCATTGAATAATCAGGAGATTGATATCGAACTGGTTCAGGTGGAGGGTACTGTAAAAATATTCATTTTTAAGGGAATTATTTTTCAAATCGCTAAAATTTTTCAAAGTTTTTTAAATGTGGAAATTAGCTACCAAAATTCTAATTTGTAACACTTGATTGCCACGTGGATTTCTAGTGCCAAAATATTAATTCAATTTTAATTTCTGACTGGAATTTGGTAAATCCCCATTGAAAAACTCACAGGCAATCCATGCGAACTCAAAACATTTCTCAATTTCTCCACCTCATTTTTCAGCGCATTATTTTCGGATTGTAGTTGACTGATATGTTCAATTGCTTTCCGAAGAGTTGCCGATTTTGATAGTTTAGCTTCATCTCCAGCCAATATTGTTTTCAGATGTTGTATTCGATCATTAATTGAGCACCGATATTTTTTCTCGATTAAATTGTGAGCTGTTCGACGTTCGGTTTTCGGTCCTAAAAATTTGAGAAATGATTACATTTTTGATTGAAATGAAGAGAAAACGTGAAAAAATACGTGGCTATTTCTTAATTTTCGTGGAAAATTTTCAAAATCATTTCTCGAAAAAAAAACTCCGGAAAACTTCCTGATTCGACTTTTTGCTCTGCCTTTTTTCTTCAAAAATAATCATAGTTTCTAGATAAGGTTTTCTCTTGATCATTGATGTTTTTGAAGAAATGAAATATCTAGATAATTTTTTTTTTTAAATTTTCAGCAAGTTCTAGACCAAGCTATGACGTGGCAGTTTTTAAGGTATTTCCAGTGAAAAATTGTACGAACCTCTTCTGACGGGTGTCAAATTCATTTCTCCCGAATCACTATCATCATCATCTTCTTCTTCATTATTTTCTACAATACGATGTCCATTCATTTTTCCGCTCGAATTATTTGGCGGTGGTCCAGTTGGTGTTGGCGATGCTATCATTCCTCCTCCTCCCCCAGAACTTGGTTCTTTTTTCTTTTTCAATTTTTCAACAGCACTTGGTGACATATTCACCAGTATTCTCAATAATTCCTCTTTTGTATTCGTTGGTTTTTCTTCAATATTCAGTTTTTTCTCTTTACTACTACTTGGTGTCATTCTAGATGTTTGTGGTGGACTATTATAAATTGCTGAATTATCATGATTATTTGAATTGAAATTATAATGTGGCGGAGATGAGAAGAAATCTTGTTGATGATATGGCGGAGATTGTAGATTTTGCATTTCAATTGATTGATGTGGCGGTGACAACATTTGTTGATTCATTAACATTGAATGAGTTGGTTTTTGTTCAACAACATTTATATATAAATTATTTTGTGTTGGTGTCATTGCGGGAGCTGCTAATTGTTGAGCTAATGACATTGGTCGATAAGCATCTGATGGAGAATATGCCTCATTTCCTGTTAATCCAGATAACATTCTTGCTGGCCCATTACTCATCAATGGTTGTTTTGAAGCTATGGAAGAAGACGGCTCATGTAGATCGAAATTTGGCGGCGAAAATCGTGAAAAATAATCATCGTGCGACCTGGTCAACAGTGACGAAATCGTGTTAACATCCCGCGGTCTGCAAAAATATGGAACTTTTGATTTCCTCTCGGTCTTTGATTTTTTTGAATATCAGTTTTTTTGATAGTTAAACGGCTCTTATCTAAATACTAATCACATATGTTTGATCATGACCCCAAAGCACGCAAAACTGGGAGTTGTTTGTGTTTATTATGAATATTCACATGATTTGCATGATGATTCATGTGACTTCTAGTTGAAAAAAGAAATTACGGAAGCGTTGTTTTTTAAAAGTAAACTCACACATTTTATTATTACAATAACCATCTATTCGCAAGAATGAAAACAAGGAAGACAATTTGAAAGTGTTTTTCGAAAAAAAAAAGAAACAAATATATTTTTGTACTTGTTTCAAGGCGCATAAGAACACACAACTGGGTCTCATCACGTTTGCTACCCGCTAAACACGGGCGAAAAAAACAAGAAAAAAAGCGCACAGCTGCAAAAACTGAATGATCGCGCGAAACGCGCCAGCACTTGACGCGTTTTCGGTTTTTGCACGAGAAAAAAATTTTCTTTTTTTTGTTTTTTTCCATCAGAAAATTAATTTTTTTCTTCTTTTTTATTTTTTTGTTAGTTTTTCAGGAAGTTTCACATATTCGGACAGACTATCGTTTGTAGAGAATTTAAAGGAGAATTTTATTATGTTTGGATCGAGTTATGAAAATGGGGCTGACGGATGCTAAAGTTGTTTTTATGAAGTCCATTTTTTTCGAAGAAAATTTTATTTATTCTGGAATTGATCGAGTTGGAATTTTTGTGAGTTGGAATGAATATACAATTGGTTGGAGATGAATTTCCGATGATTTTGAGTGAGATGCGATGCATTAGAGACGCATTTCTCGAGGTCGGCGAATCAATATTTTTCTTGTTGAAAAGTGAGTTATTCGTATCTAAATTTATCAAAAAATCATGATTTTATATTTAGATGAGCGTGATACGAGTTGACGGAAACATGAAGATGTCGGAGAGTGCTAAACAAAAATTATTTCGATGAACGAATCCAATTGATTGCCAACCTGACCAGAAATTCACAAAGGAATTCACGTGGAGAGCCTCACGAAAAGAGTTTTAGGATTCTATGGAAGATTTTATTGAAGGTAATTCCAATTTTTGATTGATTTTTATAAAATAGTAAAATCACTTGAAGAAATAATGAAAATTCAATGTTTCCGTCATTTTGACGTTATTTCACCATGATAGAGGCACGGGGGAGTATGAAGACTTAGTCTATCTTTCTCAGCAGCAAAAACTATATCAAGATACATGTTCTAATATTATTTCTACCGTTCATTTTCGAAAAGTAAAATTATATTTTCATTTTCATCGCATTTTATTTTAATAAGAACTAATATTTCATATGTCCATGATTCAAAACTGTTTAATTCAAACAAGCAATTTTGTTTTCAGGTATTGCGAACGTCAACCAAGTGGAATCAACGGTTTCGATCATGAACGAAGTGGAGTTAATAATACTATTCAAATAACAGATTTTTAATAAATTTTTGCTGCTTTCAACTTGAGCTTTGTTGATTTTCTTCAAATTTCGATCAAAAAGTGCCGCAAAATTAGGAGCTGTGGGATAGAACTTCAAATTTCGATGATTAATGTGGTATTCTGATTGTTAGAAGAGATCCTGCTTCTAAAGCTTCAGAAACATCTCAGCGAAAATAAAACATGATTTTATCATGAAATTGTAAGCCATATTTGTAATTATTCAAATCACTGTTGAAATTTTTCCCGAAAAACATCGGTTCTTTGAAATTTTTGAGACAAAGGCTGGTTATTCTCTCGTCTAACAGTACAAATTCATTGTCCGGTAAGAAGTTCTTCTTTCTTTTTGCAACATAAGTATATGAAACATCTTATTTCATACAAAAAATTTGAAAGTTTTGCTTCAATATTTCAAAAATATCTTTTTTGTGAGGGTACTTCAAAATCTCACGTTTTTCACGCCTAATAAATTTTTTCACTCAGCAAATTATATTTCTCTGTCTTCGTCTCATTCTCCTCTATCTTCTCATGTACGATTCATTTGTTGAAACTTCCGCTAACTTCAGCTTTTTTTAAAAAATTCGAGAAAAAATTTAAAAAAAAAATTTCGGCGAGAGAGTGTGTGCGCCAATAGAGACGCCGACAAACACACACGCCCGTGGAGGGCGAGAGAGAAGAGTGCAGGAGACATTGCTGGCGCACAATCGGTTTTTGCAGCTGTGAAAAGGCTCACTTTTTTCACTGCGGACTTTTAGGGGAAAAGGGGCGTGTCATGTACCCTACAGTGTACCTTATGGGAATCCCTCCAGAGTCAGCTCTAATCACTCCTCGATTCATATTATCTCTCGTTTGAGAATCGACAAAAAAGTGAAAATGAAAGGAAAATACAACAAAATGATTTTTTAGCGCCCTGATTTTTAGGTAGATCAAATTAAAATCTGAATAGTCCGCAATGAAGAAAAATGTTTGATTTTTTCGCCCGTGGCTAAATGTTTTTTTTTTAATTTTGGAAGTTTCTTTTTTGAAAAAAAAGAAATTTTCCGTTCCGATTTTTCTTTATTTTTGTAATTTAATGCTAGTCGTATTTTGAAAATATTCTGTTAAATTAATTACTTCAAACTGTTTACCCAAATTCTGAGAGGAAACTATAGTTATATTTTTCAAAATCCATTAGAAAATCTCTTTTATTTATAACTCACCCCTCTGGATCATAATATTCTTGCGGTGGACTATGTTGATTTACAGGCCTTTCATCTGAATTCTGTTGAACAGTCTGTTGATTCTGAAGCTGTTCGGGACGATTTTGATGCGATGGTCCAGGCTGCTGCCAGCTATGATCAAAATCCATTCGTTCGTTCACCAAAAAATCGGCTGGAAAGTACATTGTAAATTGTGAGTTTTCAGTTTATCATTTTACACCCTCTCTAAAGTTTTATATTTCCCTAATCGAAAAATAAAAACTAATTAATACTAAAATAAAAACCTACTGGCTAACTCATCCAAGTTTGTCTCCAATGACAAAAACGGATCGCTCATCGAAACATCATTACCAAAAAAATTCGAATCCATTTCTGGAAAACCCTCGGGTTATCAACAAAAAATTATCATCGTAGAGAAAAAATCAAAACTAAACATATATGTATGTATGTATAATAAAAAAAGCCGATTGGTTCAGTTATCAGAATTTTTCCGTGATAAGAAATAAAAAATGCTGACTGATTTTGATCGAAAAATTGCCCAGGGGGGATTGACAGGTCTACGATTTTCCCCCAAACTTTTTATGGCGATTTGACAGGGAGGTAGTTATTTTTTACGATTTTTATGGGCCTCCCCTCGGGGAGACGGGGGGGGGGGGTGAACTTTTTGATTATCAATTTATTTTTGAATAAAAAATCAAAAGAAAACCGGAGGGAGAATGACGTCAGATTTTTTTTGTTTTTAAGAAAAATATTTATTTACACGTGACATTTTGAAACAATAAGGGCAAATAAAATTGATTTTTTTTTCATTTCGAAAAAAATGAGAATTTTCCGCAAAAGATTAAACTAGAAATACTTAGAATTCTGGGAGAGATAAGAATTTTATGGAGTTTTTTTTTGAATATGGAACTGTGGATTACAGTTTGATGAAGAACAAGAGAAGAAATGAATGCTTTGAATTTTTTTTGAACTCGAGAAATGTACGTTTCAACAAATTTATTAATTTTTATAGGTTTAAAAAATTTTCAATTGAAGTTTTAATTGGAAAACTAAACAATTTCAGGTTTGAAAATATTAAAAATATATTCAATGTTCAAATTAATACTTTGTAAGAAAAAGCATTACCTGTTTTTTTTCTAGGCTACAAAAAATCAAAAATTTTCCAATATTCTTCAAATAAAAAAATCTTCTCAAAACTGAGTTTTTGTTGCAAAAATGATAAAAGTGCAAAACTATTAGCATTGTTTTTCAACAAAAAAAAAACAAAAATAATTGCAAATTTAGAAAAATCAAAAAATCTTGCAACAATCAATTATTGCTAAATTAATTTGAGACAAAAAACAATGCAAAAAATGGTCTCCCAGACGGGGAGAAGAAAAGAAACAAAGAAAACATAAGAAGAATAAGAGGACACCTTTTGCTATCTTTCTTTTTTTCCATTTCTCTCAACACAAATCTATAGGTTTTATCTCTATTTCTCCTGATTTCTCTTCAATATACCGTGCTCTTTCTCATTCTCTCGATCAGTTCTTTTTTTTTTGACATTGCATTGTACCTAACAAAAAAGAGAGTTAGTTATGATAAGTATTTAGGAATCTGAACTTTGTCTTGTCTTTATTTAGCTATGATAAAAAAGAGAGAAGATGATGAAAACTTGTAATTGACCTTCGAGGAATTTCATTTCTTCAATCAAATCGTTCAATTCGAGCCTTGGTGGATTTTGTTTGTAGTTTGGTCATTGGATTTGCGGCTCCATTTGCCACAAAAATTGTGAAATTTGTAGCAAAACTCATTTCTATCAAACCTTTGAGTTGAAAGAAATTCGAATTCGTGTAAAATCATTTGTTTTAATAAAATTTTCAAACGATTTTCATTTTCAAAAAAAAAACATTTTCCCAGATTTTATTATCTCCAGCCAAGTATCGAAATGTTCATTTTTGCTTCAAAGATGCGTTTCGTTCCGTTAATCTTGATATTGATTTTTATTTTCATCTCAGAAGTTATAGCAACCAGCTCAGAATTCGAAGAAATTCGATTGGGAAAATATGAGCCGCGAATAAGCGCTCAAGAATTGCTCGATCGGATTTTCGAGTGTATCAAAAAACAAATGTGCTATGATATTTTAGTCGAATGCGCTTGGAATTTATCATATTATGATTGTGAAGGAAATATGCTTGATTCTTATACTTTGGTGAATTATTACCTCAGCAAACATCCGATTTATAATGTGAAACCAAAGATTCTCGAATTTTCTATGAAAGAAGACGGATTCGATGATTATAAAGTTGAACTTGTTGTCAGATATTTCACCAAACTTTGGAGAATTAATTTGCGATATAAAATATTTACACTTCGTCGGAAAGTAACAATTTTAAGTTGGGAATGTTTGTCCAAATTTGTTCCGAAAACACCGAGTTATTCTAATGAATACGAAGCAATTGATAATTATTTCACTGGTTTTTGGGAGCCAACAAAAACCTTCAAATATCAAACATGTTATGGTGAACAATTATCGAATCTTGATGATATTTCATTGAGAATTTTTCGCCAAAATCTTCAGAAATCATACAAAATAATAAATGTGATTTCGGGTCTTCGAGAGAAAATTGGATTTTTTGGTTATTTTTTTGGTAGACGTGATTCATTTGTACAATGTGAGATAATTGCAAACTCACAGAAACATTATTTGGAATTTGATTCAGAATGGACATTGGCAAAAGGATTGGAAGGAGATTGTTTATGGGTTTATGAATATGACAGAGAAAGAAAACAAAGAATAAATGCTCTGGGTTTTAACATTACACGTGTTAATGCAACATTTTCAAGTTATTCATAAAGTTCTATTTTTGCACATGATTTTAAATTTAAAGAAAAATATTTTCTCGTGGTTTATTAGCTGAATTATTCTGATACCAAAAGATTTATCGATTTACAGTAAACCTGCAAAGAATAAAAAACATCAATAATTGAAATAATTAATATTATTATCATCGTAACTTCCAGCAACTCCATATCCATTATCATCCAACATTTCAAAATAGGCTGGATCCGATACTTCTTGAGGATAATCATAGTATTGTGAGTTTTGGAGAAAGTGAGTTTTGGAGAAAGATCAAGTTGTTCACAAATGTTTGATCAACAAAACTATTAGATGACTCAATATTGAAAGAAGATCTATGGAAAATTAAGTGAAATATAAAGTTTTTAGCTTGAACTATGACGTGGCAATTTGGATCAGTGTTTAATTTCTATTTTTTCTTTAAAAAATAGTTCAAAATTTTCGAATCAAATATTATATAAATTAGGAACCACTAAACTTTTTTCGCAGAATTCTGGCGTGGCATGTCGATTCCTAGAAAAATTTAAAAAAAATTTATTTTTTGACCCCAAAAATTGATCAAAGTTTTTCATTCAAAAAATATGTCTACGTTTCACCAACAAATTTATGATTCAGCCGAAAAATGTTATATTTTCACATTTTCCCTCTCAAAATCAAAACATTCTTCTTCTTTTTTCCTCTCTATCAATAAATATTTTTGTATTTTTCTTTGGCTCCTTTTTTATGACCCGAAAATTGTTTATTTTTTGAATGGAAATCAATTTGTCCTCTTCTTCAACTTCAACTTCAAATAACGATGAACAATTTTTGGCAACTAAAATTGTGAGTAACACATTATTTTTAGAATCAATCAATATTTCAAAAATATATATTTAGTTTGATCAAATAACATGTCATTTTCGTGAAAATATGATTCTGAAAACGAACCAGAAAAATCTTGTGCGAAAATCGATAAAGAATAGTTTCTACGGTCGAGATGCCATTGATTTTCTGATGATCGAAATTCGAAAACTTATTCCAAGTCGAAATATAACTCGAGAAAATGTGACGAATTTGATGAAAATGATGTATGAATGGGAAATTATTGATGATCCATATTCGAAAAAACATTCAGAGTTTCAAGAGAATAAAATATATATTTTTGCGAAAAGTTTGGAAGAGTTGAAGGAACCAAGAGCAAATTCGAGAAGAAGTATTTCATTTAGTGGATTACCTAAAACTGCAAGGTTAGCATTTTAGACATTGAGGTGATTCAGGAAGTATGGAAACTATTAGATAAAAAATTTCGATGTAAATTTTGAAAGTCGAAAACCCAAGTCTCTACCGAAAATTACTGTACACATAAATATTTTGTAGAAGTGCAAGTGTTGCTGAAGAGATTTTCAATAGTTCTCGTTGGCGAAGTCGAAGACTTTCAAGATCAAATATCAATTTGACAACTGTTAATTTTAATATTAATCGTAATTCTTTGTTATGAAATTTTTTTAAACTTTTTGCACTTTTTTCGAACATTTTTTTGTGTTCAAAAATTCATTTCATAGAAACGAGAATTGCCTTGGTTACTGTATTTTCCCATTTTCTAAAAAGACCAAAGTTTTTGGGGAGAAATATATTCAACTTGCGCTACTGTAGTTGTTGAAAATTCAGATGGAGTACTGTAGCCTTCGATAAACTCACTTCAGTAATCTTTTGGAAAAGTCAACGTCTGGGTTACGGTAGTTTAAGTGTGTCTACAGTAATCTAAGTTTTTAGTTTCAAGATTCAAAGTTCAGAGTACTGTAAATTCTATTTTTCTTGAAAATGTATTGGATATTAGGGTCACTGTATCTACAGTAATCCTTATCTATATTTTTCAGCTTTTCATTTCATTAGTTTCAAATGGGTTACTGTATCTCAACAGTAATCCATTCTTACTGTATTTCCAAATCTACAATTATTTGTAAGTGCAGGTTAATTGTTTCCAATAGTTGTTGTTTATTTAATTTTCTACAGTAATCCAAATCGATATTTTCCATTCTTCGATTATATTTAATTTTTCATTAATTTTAGGTTACCGTATATCCACAGTAATCCATATCTCTCCATTTTTTGTGCATTTTTTTCCCGAAAAATGCGGGTTTTTTCTCATTACTTATGCAGACTAGGATAATAGAAGGAAAAAAAGAAAAAGAAGGTGGAAAAATGAGAAAAAGAAATAGAAAAGAGAGAGAGCTTTTTCTTTTTCTGTCTGAAAATCAATAGAAAAAAGGGGGAAAAGCAAGAGAAAAGAGGCGAATAAGGAGAAAAAGAAAAAGTAGTAGTATTTTTAGTCGATATAGTCAGTCAGTTTGGCTGGCTGGCTGCTGCTTGGTTTTAGATGGATGGATGGATGGATGGATGGATGCTTGCTCTTGCTCCGTTTTTTCCTCACTCACACGCGCTTTTTTTGCCGTTTTTTTAGAAGAAGCAGAAATGAGAAGATGGAGAAGGAGGAGAAGAAGAAGCCTATCCAATTCAATCATTTTTTGTTTTATTCGTTTTTTTTATTTGATCTACCTGAATACCTATAATTTTTACGGAAAAAAGTAGATCAAATTCGGGTGTAATTACCATTCCATATCGCTAGACTCCAAATTTTTTGTGGAAGATCAAAAAGTTCTGACTACTAAAATAAACCTTGTCAGAAAGTGTGAGAAGTAACTCAAATTTTTCTAAATTAAGCAAGTAGAAGCTTATTGAATTCAAATTTTCGAATATGTAGATCAAAAGAAATCAGCGCAACAACTTTTAGTGGTTGATCACATAAGTTTTCTTCAAATGTCCTAATTTATGAGGATTTTTTTTTAAAATTAGATCAAATTTGTGAAATTCAAATTTTTTTTTTCAAAATTCTATTTCTGATCTATAAATTTCTTGAAAAACCTAGACAATTCTAAATTTAACTTGTTTTCAAATTAGAAAAAAATTCAATCTCACGGGACGAAGTACTGTACCCTTGTTGAGCCAAAAATAGAAAGTTTTTCTGTTTTTTAATTTCGAGCTCGTGACCTACCATTTCATCTTTTAATTAATTGAAATTCTTGCCACAGAGTTTTTTCAGCAACGAAAAATTCAGTCTCGATTTTTTTCTTATTTGATGATGTTGCACACACTTCTTTTTGGAAATTTTGTTAGAAAAAATAGGGTGAGCTCCCGGAAAAATATTCTAATAATTCCAAATTCATCTATTTTTTTGATACAACTACAAATTTCTCGATTTTCTTCATTTTTTGCACGCTTTTTTTCAGCGCTAAGCAAAAAATTCCAGAATATCAAATTTGTTTACTTCTTCTTCTTCTTCTTTTTTTCATCATTTTTTCACTAACTCGGATTTTTTTTCGATTAAAGATGAAAATAAAAAATTTCCCTCAAATTCAATAAACTTTTTGTAACCTAGAAATTAATTTTGCTGGGCTTTTGATTTTTCGAAACTTCAAATTAAATTTTGTATAGTCTAAAATAAAAATCTAATTTTTTTGAATCTCATTCAAATTTTTTTAGGTCCTCAGATTTTGTCAAAAAAATTTTCACACTTTCTTTTTCTCCCCGCATTTTTTGCTGTGCCTGAAATTTGATCTACTTTTTTGTTGTGTGTGGACAGGACACTACTTACTTTTCTCCGTCCGCGCCTTTTTTTGCTCTCGTTTTTTTTTTTGCTTTTTTTCCGCGCATGCAAAAATGTATCGATTTTCTTTGGGTTCAGCTTTTGGCGTTGTGGGGGGAGGAAAGGGAGCAAAGCAACACTAAAGGCAAGTTTTTTTTGCGTGGAAAAAAACTTTTTTCTGTTTTGTTTGGGTGAAACTTGATACCACTTTATTCGAATAATCCTACCCAGTCGCAGCCCAAAAAAAGAAAGTATATCCATTTTTTTTTTCTTCCCAGAAATTTTCCCAACAAATTTGTCTTCCTTCCTTTTTTTCGGCCCAATTTTCATTTTCATTTTCTCGTTTAGAAAATGAAAATGGAGAGAAAAAATTTCGAGTGCGAATAAATGCATGGAATATTTTTGTCGACCAAAATTTTGCGCCTCATTGTTTTTGAGTGGGTGGCTCTGATCCGACGGGTTCGTCGCGTTTTTTTTTTTGGAATTGAAATTTTTTGACATTTTTTGGAGATGTTTTTCAACCTAAGAAGGAAGGAACCTATCTTGAATTTTGAGAATCTTTGAAGATCTAGAACTTTCCGAGCTGAATTTTAGATTTAACCCCATTTTTTAACCAAAACCTGTTTTCTCAAAATTATTTGATTAGGAAATTTTCAAGAACAGCATTTTGCTTTAAAAACCTACCTACAAAAATCTTGAAAAAAAATTTTCAGAAATATTTTTCAAAAATTGTTTTTCTGAAAATGTTTGTTATTTCTGAATGTTGGGTTCCCTAATTTTCTACAGATTCTGAAAAAATTAGAATTCAGTTAAACTTTTGAGTACCATCTCTGACAACCCAGATTTTTTCTGATAATTTTGACATTTTTTAAATTGAAGTCATCCTTTCCTTCAAAAATGGCATTTGGAAAATTATTTGTCATTTATTGAAATGTACAAAAAGTGTTCAGAAGTATTTTCTCAAGTTCTTATATTCATTTCAGTGATTTTTGATTCACAATCATGATAAGGCTGGTTTCAGAAACACCCTTTTCGAATAAATAATCAGAATCTGATCTTCTCAAACTAGATTTTTGGGCCTAGATTTTGATGAGTTAGCCTAACTTTTTTCAAATTTTACAGATTTTTTTCATATATTTTTCGAATTTTACAGAATTATTTCAATTTTTCCGAAATCCCTCCTCAAAAAACTCACGAATTGCTTCTATTTTTCAAATCACCCAAAAATAATCGAAAATCGCAATCTAAATCCTCGAGATATCTGAAATCCTCCAAATTTTCCACGTTATTGACATTGAAATCCAATTGTCCATTAATATTTCATGCTGAAAATCAGAAATTCAAAAATTTCAATCGAAACAGTGTTTCTCTAGAAAAAAACCCACATTTCTTCGATAATCCTCGGATTTTCTTGGAAGCGATAATTTCAGCATTGTAGAACATCTAAAAGTTAAACTTTTGACTGAAATCCACTGATTTTCCCCGGAAACATGAAAACCCAGTGAAAAAAAACGAAAAATGAAAATATTCTCGTGTTGCGCTAAACAGCGGGCAAGCCGGAGTGTCGTTGTAAAAGTCAATTAATTTTCTATTTTTGTGCCAATATTTATTTGGAGAAAATCTTCCCAACTGTTATACTTTTTATGTGATCCTTTCTCTTGATTTTTTTTGAAAAAAACTAAGCGGTGTTTGCACACATCGAAACACTTGATGTCACGCCAAATTTTCAGTAATTTCGCTTTTATAAGTGAGAAATATCCATTTTTGACGTAGAAAGTTGACCTATATGTAGAATATTGTTCAAGTTTCAAAAAAGGTTCCCCCTAATTTTCCCTAATTCTCAAAATTTCCAGCTTGCCCCTTTCCCTCCATTTTTCCCCGCGCATTTTCCACCGCCCACACTCTCAGAAAAAAGTCATTTTATTTAGTTTGCTGACTGATTCTTCTTCTTCTCCCTATTCTATTCATTATCCAAATTCATTCAACCGTCCGTCCGTTTTTTTTTCATTTTTTCCTATTTTTTTACCCATTAAATGAGTCTCTCCTTTTCTTTTTTTGCTTCTTCTTCTTCTATGCACTTTTTCCGGTCTTTTCTTGATTTTTCCGTCCTTCCTTCCTTCCTTTTTCTTTTTTCCCCCGTCCTCCTATATTTCTATTTTCTATATATATATATATACATATACATACTTTTTGCTCTTTTTTCGGGAGCAAAAAAAAGAAGAGAGAAAAGAGAAAGGGAAGAGAGGGGTTATTATTAAAGAAGAAGGAGGCTCCGCTTTTCTAAACTAAACTAAACTAAAAAAAAAAAGAAGAGATGCTCTTTTTCCCGTTTTTTTAAAGGGAGGTTGCTCAAGTGTATTATAAATTGTATGGAGATGGAAAACGGCGAATTTTTTATATATTTTTTGCTTGATGTGTTTGGAGAGAAAACATCAAGAAAACCTTTTTGTGGCAATTAGCGAGATTTTTTGAGGAAGAAAATGAAAAAGTCCAGGAATTTTGGTTTGGGAAAATGCAGGAATTTGTGGGGACCTAGAAATGATGGGGAAATTTTGAGATTGACACAAAAAAGTGCAAAAAATAGAAACATTCTAAAAACTTATTTTTGAAAATCTGACCCAAATTTTAGAATGAAATCGAAAATTCAGGATTTTTATAGAATCTGGGAATTCCAAAACATCAGAAACCGAAATTCATGGTAAACCTTTTTTTCGAAAAAAATTGATAGAACCTGAAAAGCGAGAATTAAAGGGTTGGTGCTTTCCTGGTGAAAAAATCGTCTGCAAAAAGGCGTCACAGTGTTGTTTTCAAAGTTGTGTGCAAACACACACACGAAAATTCAAAAACAAGTTGTGCGCTAGAGCGCATTTACATGCTTTATTTCGTAGGTTTTAACTCGCTTGTGTTTTTGAGGAAAAACATGGGCTGAATTGATACTAGAATTTTTTCTAAAACTGGAACCTTCCAGGAGCACCTTATTCCTATCTAAACCAAGCAAAATTCCCTGGCGGAGCACCAACCCTTTAACAGAATTAGAAATTTAGGACACAAATATAATTTTTATTCAAATTTTTTTTAATACAAAAAATAATTTTTGAAAAGTTCATGGGAACAGTCTAAAAAAAATATCCTCTGAAAAATTCTGATCAGAATTTCTCCTAAAATAGTTCCCAGAAAACTCCGTTTTTATTTTTTTCTAACCTTTTCATGATATTTTCTTCTTGAAATGTTCTCAATAATCTCCTCTAAATTCTCAAATCTTCATATTCTTGCAGAACAAAAATAGGCACAAAATAATCAATTAATCAATTTGCACCCCTCTCGCCTCGCCTTGGGTCGCCGGTGTCAAAAATCCAGAATCCAAAATAAAACCCAAAATCAACAAACTGGCGATTTTTTCGATCAGAATTCCATTTTTCAAATATTATTTCGGATGAAGCGCACAACATTCAGTTCAGTTCATCATATTCTTCTAGTTTTTGTGTGTAGCGTTTAGGGCGTTGTTTTATTTTCGTTTTGTTTTTGGTTTGGTTCGAAAATAGATGCTGGGAATATCGGGACCTGGTCCACCAACATCATCTGCAGCAACAGGAACACATTATCATCAATTTCATCATTCAACACAAAATATGGTTCCGGGACCATCCAATATTTCACCGCTAATAGGTTAGTTTTTTTGGAGAAAAAATTAGTAGAAAATTTTTACAAGAAAAAATCATTTTTTTTATTTCGGGGGACTAGGCTGAACAAGTTAGGCTAAATCTGAATTTTTAAAATTTCATAATTTAGATTTTCGGTAGAAGTTTTTAATTTTGAATGATTAAACCACTTGCAAAAAAAATTAAATAAAACATTTTACGTGAAAAAAATTGGCGTGAAATGATCATTTTCTAATTTTCATTTCTTGATAAAACAATTCAGAAACTGTGAGTTAATTTTCACTTTTTGTAGGGAAAAATATCAGTTTCAAATTTGCAGGTAATAACCAGCAGTCAACATTACCATTAGCATCAACATCTTCTGGAATTGGACTTGGCGCTAATTCAACGTATGTTACAAACCATTTGGGTCCTGCACCAACAATATCTTCAAATGACACACTTCTATTACAACTTCGAACTAAACCGCATTCTCGCGTGTTTCGCGCATTATTTCAATATCTACCGATGCGCGATTCGCCGAATGATAATCCACAATTAGAATTGACACTTCAACCGGGTGATGTTGTATTAGTGAAAGGAGAAATGGATTCGGATGGATTTTATCGAGGTGAAACATTAGATGGAAGAAATGGATTGGTGCCTTCGAATTATGTTGAGAGGTGAGGAAATTCAAAAAATTATGTGGCAGTTTAACAACAATTGAAAAATAGTTTGGTAAATTTCATGTTATTTTCGAAACTTGTGGTTAATTTTCTGTATAACTTTTCAAGCCACTGAAGTTAAGAATAAGCTAAAGCTCTGTTGGAATCGGCCTTTTTTAACTGAAATTTTTAGTTAGTTTCGGTGTAGGGGAGATATGGTTTTCTAGTTGAAAGTTTGAAAATGTATGAAAACTGCAAATCGGGAGAGACGCAGAGAAAATTTCTAATAGATATGTTTGAAAAATCATGGGAATTTCAAACAAAAATCTGGAAATTAAAGTAAAACATTTAAAAAACTCGACAATATTACAGGGTTCCCGATTCAGTTCTTCTTGCAAATGCTCGTGCTCCATCTCCTTCATTTCCTCTACGAATTCCACAACATTTATCAACGATTCAACACGATTTTTCATCACCAGATCATTCGACACTGCCAGATTCAGTTAGTTTTTTTGGGTTGCAGGATTTTTTGAAAATAAACTTTATTAAAAAAACTTTAGGTTTGCCCGTATCCACCAGCTGATGTTACAAAAGTCACAGTGCAAGAGATCAAAAACAACGAGACACCAAGAGGTAGGATTTTTGAAATAAAAAATTTAAATTTGAAAATTTGAACCCCTCCCAGCCAAAAATCCTTTCTTCATCCAATAATGAAAAAATCTCTTGAGCGGCCTCCTCACATCTCATTAGCATTTTTGAAGAAGCGCGAGAGCAAAAAAGTATCAATTTTCGTGTGCCTTGAGGCACAAAAAAACGAGAGAGAAACGCGCGCGCAAACAAAGGTGTTTGATTGACGCATTTTGTGTGTAATTGGATACGTCATTTTGAGCGCGAATTTTGAGAAAACAACGGGAATTTGGAGGGAGGGATTTTTGGCTTAAAAATTGAATTCTGAACCTAAATATCAACAGTGTTACGCGAAAATTGAAACATTTCAAACGACACTACGCAATGACGCGTAGTTTTTAAATAAAATAAACATTTCCGAGTGTTGAATTAAAAAAAAAACTTTCAAACCACACTCCACAGAAACCCAACCGTATTTAAATACCGTATTCTTGCAGTTCCTTGTCCTCGCGAACTAATAGTCGAAAAGAAATTATCACGAAGTGCATTAGTTTCCTGGAGTCCACCCGAAGAATCATTTGTTGCTGTTTCACAATATCATGTTTGTGTCGATTCATCAGTTCGTGCAATTGTTCCTGGTTCATATAAATGCCGTGCATTAGTCGAAGATATTCCATTAGATGGTTCGGTCAATTTATCAGTTCGAGCTGTTACTGAAAATGGACATTCACCTGATGCTTGTTGTACAATTGCGATTGGAAATGGTATGTCTCAAACTAGAATCCACAAAATTCATATTTGAAAAAAAATGGTTTTTCATTTTCACACCTCAACAATAAACATTTTTCAGAAGCTGCTGTTGCTCCACAACAAGTTCGAATTTGGGCGGTTACACCTGTTTCGGCGTGTGTTCGATGGTATCCATCGAATAGTAATGCTGAACACGTTGTTTCGCTGAATGCTGTTAAGGTTGGAGTATGTCCGCCGACTGTGTTTCAGGTCAGATTGGGGGGGGGGGGGTTTCAAATTTATGGTATAAAATTTTTGAGAGGGTTTGATTTATGATTTTTTACTTGTTAACTCATTTTGTTGCTTTTATTTTAAATTTTTTTTCTGGACAAATCTTCCTGATACTCTGATTTTGATTTTTTTTCAATGAGAAATCTTATTTCATCAAATTTTTGATCTTTTGCCAAAATAAAATTCTCCGAAATCTTTAATGTTTCTGATGTAAATTCATGAATTTTTAACTTCTTCTCAGAAGTTATGCAAACTCACTTGTTCAAAGTCCAGACTGCAGATTTATTTTCTAGAAAAATTATTTTTCTGATTTCTCACGATTTTTCAAGAGTTGACAATATCGTATTAATTTTAATCCTGATGAATGAAAATTAATTCAAAAAATATTATTGATTCTGAACACTGAATTTCGAAATTCAACAAAACATTCGACAATAATATATTGTTCTCATAAACTTACCGTATTCTTTCTTATTTATTTTTTCTTGTTTTCAAGTTGCTAGGTGATCCGATTTCAATTCTACAATTTCTCTTCTAATGAGCACGATTTCTTCTCATATTCTATCTAGAATTCTAGAAAAAAAATGAAAAAAAAATTATCGTATTTTTATATGCATATGTTTTTTGCTTCTATTTTTCAGCCAATTCTTTCGCCTTCAGAGCTCATCTTTTTTTGCTTCGTCGTTTTTTTTCTCGTTTTTTCGCTACCTAAATTATAGACACATGCCTTCACACAACTAACCAACCATTTTATTTTTCTTCGCGTCTTTTTCTTCCTTTTTTCCCTGTCTTCTTTTTTTTTGCTTCGTTTTGTGCTACTGAAATTAGTTTCATCTTCTTCTTTTACACATCTACATAATATCCAAAATCCGTAGTAAAAAGGGATTTGTTTCAAAAAACCAAAACGAAGAGAACGAAAGAAAAGAAAAATAGAGAAACCCATAAATTCTGATTCTGAGACATGCATTTTAAATTTTCCGCGCAAAAATGAATAGAATATTTGCAGGTACAATTACAAGGCCTTCAACCTTCGACTATTTATCGAGTTTCTGTGCGAACAAAACATCCGAAAGCGGTTTTAGAACAACGACCTGTTGAGAGATGTATCGATTTTAAGACATTGCCTAAAAGTGAGTTTTTTTTTCGTGGGGCTCTCAAAAAGGTTGGGCCGGTATGAGAGAATGGGTACTGTAGGATTTTGACTACTAGAGTCAGATTTTTTGTTTCAAAAATTTACAGTAACCCAGATTCTTGATTTATATTATTTCAGAATCTCTATTCCAGATCCAATAATTCTGAAATGAAATTTTCAACAATTTTCAAAAAATCCTCTGAATTAGCTAATTGTTTTTCCCCCGAAAAAATTGTTTTTCATTTTCCAAAATCCCAAAAATGTTCAATTACGCTCCATTGATAATTTTCTCCTCCTTTTTTCTTTTTTTTTTGGTGGACCAATGTTGTTTGATTCTTACCGAATCTAATGAAGCAAAAAAAGAAATTCGAGGAGACTATTTTACAAATCCTTGAATTCCCATATTGTTTGATTTTTTGCACTTACAAGTGCAAGTAATTTTTTGGAGCCAGAATTTTGCTTTTGAAAATTTTTTTTTGCTCAAAATTTAGAAAAAAAATTCCAACTGAATTTTTTTAAATGTCTTGGCTCATAGATCCATAAAAAATTTCATCAATTTTTTTTCAGTTGAAAGTGCGTGACTCATTATTTTTTCTCGTTTTCCTAATGAATCACATGAGATTATAATCGTATTATAATTTTTTTTGCCTGACAAATCCAAGAAAACTTTTCTTATTTCATTTTATAAGCTTGAAAATGTTATTCTAGCACTTTTTTTCCGTAAATCATTATTTATTTCGAAATTCTTTCGCAACAAAATTTCCCAAAAAATAAAAATAATAATTTTACTCATATCCTTCTTTTTTCCTTCTTCTCTCATTTTTCAATATTCATTTCAAACCAATAAAATGAAATAAAAATAATAAATTCATATTTCTAATTTTCTTTTTTCCTGGCTCTGTCTTTCTTCTTTTCGTCATTTTCGAAAAGTCCATCTTCGTTTCTTCGTTTCCTCCAAAAAGCATTCTTTTTGCTCTTTTTTTTTTCAAAAAAAAAAGAACCCATCTTTTTTTCATTTTTTTTTCGCACCAAACAAAAAAGGACGCGACGGATCGATTTCGAACAAAAAACTTTTGTTCTTTTTTTGGTTAAATGTTCCGTGTGTGCTTTTTTTCGGAATATACATTTTGGTGCCAAAATATCCACGTGGCATTTTTTATTTCATAATTTAAAAATTTTTAACGCTAAAAAACCACGTGGCATTTTAATTTTTGAAATTAAAAAAATCCACGTGGTATTTTCGTTTTCAAAAAAATAAAAATTTTGTTGGTTTATCGAACTTTTTAAACTCCACCCCGTAGCTATAATTTCTCCGCTGAAAAAGTATTAAAAATATAAATTTCTCGCGATAAAAATGTATTCTAAATCTCAGCTTCTGCCCAGTTTTCAGAGCCAAAAGCTCTGCAAAAAAGCAAGCAAAAAATTAAATTATGGTTCGGTCGGCCGTCAGATATATAAATCTATCACTTTTTTGTGTTGAGCCTGCAACAAACGCTTTTCTCCCTGGGGACATTTTTCGCTAATTTTTTTTGCTGACTCACAGAGCTCAAATGTAGATCATGGAATTCAATAGAATTTGACTTTTTTCGGAAATTGAAATTCCAGACGCGTTTTTTTCGCGGCAAAGGAATTTTAATTTTTCTCATCTCTCTTCCTTTTTCCTTTTTCCCGGCTCCGTTCTCAAAAAAAAAGAGAAAAAAAAACAAATTAATTTTTTTCCTTTTTGGTCTCGAAACGAAATGTGTTTTTTTGGTTCTATTTTTCCGTGCAACACGAAAAAAAGAACACAAAAAATCTCTATGGAAACTTTGTGAATATTTCAACATTTTCACACACACAACCTGGTGCATTTGCACTTGTTCTACGTATTTATTAGTCAACTTTTTTCGGCCAAGCTTTTCCTTTCCCAAAAAATAGGATGAACATTTTTTGAACCAGAACTTGAAATTATATAGTAGATTATTGATCTCTGGTTCAAATTTTCAAATTTCAAATTAAAATACTACTTGAAGTTTTGGATCTCTAATATTTTTCTGGGTAGCTCGCACAAAATAGATCACCTCTAGAATTCTCAAGTCATCAATACCCTTCTTACAGTCGGTCTACCTGATCCGCCATCTTGTGTTCAAGTCGAAATCGGACCACAACCTGGAACTCTTCTCGTTTCTTGGCAGCCAATTTCGAATCAACCGAAACCTCCATCTCGAGCCGCCGTTCATTCGTATTTGATCTACGCCGACGGAAAAAATATTGCACAAGTTCCAAGTTCTTCGGCAGATCACGTCGTTTTGAGATTGGCTGATTTATCAGACGATCCACCTATTTTTATAACTGTTAGGACGAAGACGAAAGAAGGTGAGAGATTTGGGCAGAAAAAAACCGTGCGAGAAGCTCAAAACCTCCCTACTATCCTCGAAACGATTTCTCAAACCCCTTTATTTTTCAGGAGCTGTCTCATCAGATTCAAACGTTGCTCGAGTTCCCCGAACAACCGGTCTAGTTGCCACGTCATCACAACAATATCATCTACAACAAGATCCACAACTAACAACTCATCCAACAATTCATCAAGACATGACGTCATCATATCCTTCCTACAATCCTGTGACTGCTCCTAATTGTAAGTATTTGAATATTCTAAAACAACTCGTGTCCTTACTTACTTGCTCTAATTATAGCCTCAATGTATCCGACAACATTAACAAACGGTCATTCGACAGCAATTGCCGCGTCTTCCGCAACTCCTTACGGAACTCTTCCGCATTCGAATCGATTAATTGGTGCGACTGGATTGATGGCTTATCAACAACCGTCTTATTCAAATGTGGCGCATGCGACTGTTGGCGGCGGAATTGCACCGCAATTGGTCTCGCAACAAAGTGCACCAATACCAGCATCGAATTATGCGACGTTTGATAGATCTGCTTCGCTTGGCGCGCAGCCAACATCGAATGTTCCAATACATAATCCAGTTATGATTGGAGCACCGACTTCGAGGCCTTCGCCGAGTAATGTGAGTTTGGGTTTGAAAAAAATTGTTATCTCAAAAATGTTTAGAACAAATCTGATAAACAAGTCAAGAAATGTCCTCAAAAATAGAAAATTGTACTTTCTCAGAAAAGTATAATTTTATAGAAAAATATCAAAACTCAAAACTCAATCCAAATTTTTTTTATTCATTTCAGGCTTGGAAAACGAGTAGTCAATCAATGAGTCAATATTATACATTTCATCCGAATTTCTTGCACACCGAGCCAACTTCAAATGAAGATGTTCGTCCATCGGTTCTCGAAATGGAAAATAGGTAACTTTTTACTTCTTCTTCTTCTTCTTCCGTTTCTTTTTTTTGTCTTGTCACAAACAATTTTCTCACCCCACACAAATGAATATTTCATTTCGGAAAAGTACGAATTATCCATTTCTTTCCTTCTTCCCCCGTCCTTCTTTTTTTCTTTCTTCTGCCAGCCGAAAAATAGAAAATAAACAAAATAAAAGAGGGATTTGTGTGTTTGTTTTTTCAGTTATCTGATGAGACATCGACAATCTGATTGGGCAAATGCACCGGAATCGAGAGATGCGAGAGCAAGAATTGAAGCATATTCGAGAGGATTGGCGAGAGCTGGATCAGCTGATGAAAGGATACATCATGGAATATCAGCTGGACCTGGAATACAGTCTGGAACATTGACAAGGAGGTAAGGATTTGACACAAAAAATGGGTGATTTTGAATGGGGCATGAAGAATACATCGATGCGCGATAAAACGGATATACTTTTCGAGATTTGAAAAGTAAAATGGTCTAGAAACCGGGTGAAAACTTGATGAAGTCCCATTTTTCTTAAAGTGTCACGTTGTTTTTAGCACCACGTGTACTTTTTTAATTTTTCAGATTAATTGCTCCACGACTGGCTCGTGTGAAAAGTGAAAGTGGTTTCGGTACTCGATCTGAACCTGATCTTCGACCTCCAACTCTCGATCAAGATCAGGATTGTCGATGGTTTGTGGCACTATTCGATTATTCTCATCATATGTCACCAAATGCGAATGCCGAATTCGAAGAACTTCCATTCAGAAAACATCAGCTGATAAAAGTCTATGGCGATGCAGACGCTGATGGTTTCTATCAAGGTCAAATCGGAACTCGTGTCGGATTAATACCATCGAATATGGTTATTGAAATTGCGAAAGATGATGTGATACCTCGAAGAAGTGTTGTTCCAGCTGCTCAACCTCCACTTCCTTGTGAACCCGCGTTGAGACGAATGCGATGGGGAAGTTTGAAATCGAGAAGTTATGATTATGCGGGTGATCAGAGGACGAGATCAGGACATCATTATGCGAGTTTAGATAGAAGAGGAGACCGAGAAAGAGATCGAGAACGAGACAGAGATCGGGAAAGAGATCGAGACAGGGAGAGAGATCGAGAATATCGACGTGGTGAATCAAGGGATCGATATCGAGATGATTATCGAGAAGATCAGGCAAGATATGATACTGTTAGAAGATCGGGTGAACGACGAAGACATGATGATATTGAAGATGATGAATATCGAAGAAGATATGAACCAAGAAGAGAACGAGATCGAGGAGGAGAATATCGAGATGATCGAAGGTATCCTCCACCACCACAACAACAAGATCGAAGATATCCATCTGAACCATCTCAATCATCTCAACAACCAATGCAAGGTGGAATGGATAGAAGAAGTCAAGATTATTATGATTATCCACCTGGACAACAACAACAGCAACCTCAAAGTTCTCAACAACAACAGCAACTCAATCATCAAATGCAGCAAATGCAAATCTCGCAACAACCTCAACAAATGCCACAACAATCCCAACATCAATTAATCGGTATACCAAGTAGTTCAGGAATTGGTGGAATGGGTGGAGGTGGAACCGATTCAATGTATAATCCGCCAATGCAACAATCATCTCAACCTGGAATGAATGTGCCAACAAAGAAAATGGTCGCAAAATTCGATTATGATTCTCGTCAGCTTTCTCCGAATGTTGATGCTGAACAAGTTGAATTATCATTTAGACAAGGTGATATTATTATTGTTTATGGTGAAATGGATGAAGATGGATTCTATATGGGAGAATTGAATGGTGTTCGAGGATTAGTGCCATCTAATTTCCTACAATCTAGTCCCTTAAATACTTTGGGACCATCTCAACCGATGGAACCAATGGGAATGGGTTTAGGAGGAATGCCACAACAACAACAACAGCAACAACGAAAAGGAGTGGCATTCTCGGATACATCACAAGTTGTTAGAAAAAGCGCACCGGTTCGACAAACATCTCAAACATCGGCGAATATTTCGGGTGGAGCAAGTGTGTCGGCTGGAGCTTCGACAAAACCAGCAGCCAAAAAATCAACAGCTGGACAATCGGCCGCCGGAAAACCGTTGGCTAAGAAAACCAGCGATGTTGGAAAGGTAACTTATTTTTCTACGGCTTTTAGGCGCTAAAAGTTTACATAATTCTATTTATTTTTACAGTCTGCAACACCAAATGCACGAAAAACGAGTACAGCTGTGAAGAAAAGTGATTCTTCTGCAAAGGTATTTTTACTTTTATTGATTTGCAAAAATTACTTTTTTACAATTTATTTCTTTCAGAAAAAATAAGACAGCAGCAATATTGATTCAATGAACAACAATGTTATTCAAATTTCCAAAAAATCTCAAAATTTCACTTTTTCTCCCCTCTCCTCCCCTCTTTTTTTTTGAAAATACCAAATTTCTCACTTTTTTGAAATTCAAATTTAGGCACCCTAAATCCCCTCCCCAAACAACAAAAGCTCATTTTTTCAAATCTGACATTTTTTGCATTTCTCAACAAGTTTTTTTTCAAATTTTAATGATAATAATGATTTTCGAATTTTTTATTTATTGAATTTTTCTAATTACAAAATCAAATTTCTACAAATTATGTGATATATGCTTATTTATTGATTTTTTCTTTCTTTCTATGATTATTTAATTTATATGAACTGAATAAATTTTTATTGAGTAAGTTAATGATGAAAATGCGCTCTACTGTATACTAGACTCACCCTGTAAGATGTTTTGGTTCGGTTCAAAAATGAAAAAACTACACATAAATTAATTTAAAATAGTTTTATTCACTACCATTCTCTAGTTTTAGTCTTACTACTCGGATTTTTGAATGTCATATATTCATCCACCGAAGTCAATGGATTTGTTTCTGAAAAATGAAATTTGAAGTTTAACAAGCTTCGTTATAAAAATCTAGTTTTATAACACTGAATAATTCTGATTTCAAAAGGTTTCCCATAATTTAAGTAAACAAAAAGAATTGTTTTGAAACTTTCCCTCCCCTAAAAATAAAAGTTACGAAAAAAAAACCAACTTGGAGGCGGAGGTGGCTGTGTTCCTTTTCTGATATACGAAAAACTTTGAGCTTTTGCACGTCCTTTTGTTTCCGGATAACTTCCACCAATTTCACATAATTTCACCAATGCTCCATGTCTTCTCCACGGATCCATTTTCGATCGAGTTATTCGATTTTTCGCCATTCGCAAACCAACTGATTCCAATGGAATCTCATAAATTATTTGTTCATCAGCCATTCGATATTCACAATTATCCAAAAATATTCCGTCTTTTTGGATTTTTTCCGAAACGATATTTGTGATTGGAGTTGCATGAATAAATGTGGAATGAGGATTTTTGAAGGCTTCTTGAATGTCTCTTTCAGTTGTGCGGGTTTGGTATTTTCTTGAGGCTTCAAATGAATTATCGATTCTCAGTTTTGAAATGATGTCAGTGTCGGATTCGGTTTCAGGCGAGTCTTCATTTTCAGAATCGGGAGAATCTGGAAACAATGGAGATAGATTATCTTTCCAGAAGTATATTTACAGTTTCCCAAACTCACTCGATCCTTCCTCATTCATCATCCGCTCTTCCGATTTCTTTCGAACACTTTTCATACTCTGAATCTGGGCCTGCTCATTTTTAATTGGCAATCTATAATAAGCACTTCGATCAACTTCTTGGTTCATTGATGATATTTTCGAATCATTTATATTTACACGGTTATTATTTGAATTATTCCCATTTTCTTCAGTCGATGGTTGAGCTCCCATTTTTGATTAAAAATGATTGAAAATTTCAGATTGATTTCACGTTATTTTCGAAAAATATGAAAAGGTCACGTTTAAAAATAACAAAATAGTTCATTCGAAACTCATTTCGAACAATTTATATTCAATTTTCGTCCTCTAATAAAAACTGCGAAAAACCGCGACGCATCGGGTTTCGAACGATGCTCCACAATTACAAGCAGTTTCTGCGCAGGACCCACTAGTTTCGAAAAACTCCGCAGTTTTATACTCAGGGAAAAAGTAGCAAGTCTGGCGACAAAAAATAGACTTTTAGCCAGCTTGCGACCATTTTTTTTATAATGGGAAAAAATGTAGCAAGCTTGCTAAAAATAGTCGCAAGCTGGATAAAAGTCTATTTTTTGTCGCCAGATTTGCTACATTTTCTCCGAGATATTTACTTTTTTACACTAATCAAATCTTTCATTTCGAACTATTATCATTAATATCATTCTCTTCAATAGCTTCTTTAAAATCATCTTCCCAATCATAAGGATCATCCATTTTCTTATTTCCAATCAATATTTTCAATTCATCTTGTAATTTCGAATATGGTGGATCAATAGTTGGATCAAGTGAAAATACAAGTTTTGCAAAACCAATCAATTGACTATTTTCAAAATAATTCTTATTATTTCCAACTTTTTCTTCATTATTTTGCATTGCTTGTTTCAATTTCTTGATTTCATCTCCTCTTTCCAAACTTTTCCATGGTAATTCACCAATCATTAATTCATATCCAGTATATAAAAGTGAAATAATATCATCAGTTGATGATTGTTCAAGTTTTGAATGAACACGAACTGAAACATATCGATGAGTTCCACGAAATCCAGCTTTTGATCTCAAACTTCGAAATTCGCCATTTTCTTTTTTATATCGACGAATTAGGCCAAAATCAAGAAGAATCAAAGTGTGTCGATTTGTTTCGCCAATTCCAAAACACATATTTGCTGGTTTAACATCTCGATGAATATAACCAAATTGATGCATATCATGAAGTGCATCAATTGTTTGATGCAAAATTCGACCAGTTGTTGATTTTGATAATTTTCGACATGGACTTGATTTTCGAATTTCACCAATGTTTATACTCAATAATTGCATTACTGAAAAACAGTTATCTTTATTTTTATATTAGACTTTTTAGGTTCAAAAAACTCACTGATGAAATTCAAATTTTCAGTATAACCCGAAGCATACAATCTTGGAACATGCGGTTTTCCTTGCATTTTCATCAAAGCTTTCTGCTCCAAAATCATCCGTTTCGCCAATTTTCCTCGTCGAATTTTCGGCTCAACTTTAATCGCAACTTCTTCACCGCGTTTTGTATCACTTGCTAGATATATTTCACCATATCCACCTTTTCCAATCAAACCTTGAACTTGCCATCTTTTTTTGAAGACCTCATCAATTCCCAATAATGGCGATGCATCTGCATCCATTTTCTTCATTCTTGGCAAAACCAAATCCGGTATTTTCGAGACTTTTTCTATATTTGAACATGTTTTAGTATTTTGTTGTTGTTGCTGTTGTGCTGTTTCATCCTCTATTTTTGGGGAATCCATCGTTTTCGATCAGCAGATTACAAAAGAATGACTGGTTTTCGTGGATTTCTCTTTTTTTTTCCTTCGAAAAAAATTGGGTCACGTGTTTACGTTTTTAATTAATGAATTGTTCATTTATTACTTTAAGTAAATCTTTTAATATTTGATCTATCAATCAATATTTTTACCGATCATCCTCGCTTGAATCACTGCTGGAACTTTGCCAGGCGCGTCCGAAACGATTTGTTCTCACTAAACTTTCTTCTTCGTCTTCATTATTTTGCTTGTTTTGTACTTACTTTACTTTGATACTTTGATAGTCCATTATTCGAGCGTGTAGCTGTGGACTAGATGTTTCCAGGAACTTCTTGATCTCGCCAATCGTGACCAGGGCATTTTATTGGAGATTAGCCCGATCCTTCTTCTTCCGCCTCCCCCGAGGCCTTGTAAATTTATATTGTGTTGGTGCACTTTGACTTCACTTTGAATATCATCCGACCATCTTTTTCTCGGTCTCCCTCTTCTTCTTTTGACGCCGATTGGTGGTTCCCAGATGGTTATGATTCTGCATAATCTTCTTTGTGGCAGCCGGACTACGTGTCCTGCCCATCTCAACTTCGACTTCATTATGTGGGTTTCCATATTTGGTGGTTTACCAGCTTGAGCTTGATCCCAGATATAATTCACACTTCTCTGGATTCTCTTCACATCTTCCACCTTGGTATTCCATGTTTCACATCCATAGGTTATTGCTCCAATTACACTTGATTTGAGGAAGTGGTTCTTCTCTTTTTCTGGAAGTTCTGAGATGGCGGTCGCGATGTTGTGATATGACGCCCAACCCGATCTTATTCGGTTGTTCACTTCAGCATCCAGTAGTCCATCTTTTTTGAAGATTCTGCCAAGATATTTGATTTGATTCACATCTTCCAATGGGATTCCATTAACTCGAACCAGACTTGTGGATCCTAGATCGTTCTCGTCGAATTTTCGGCTCAACTTTAATCGCAACTTCTTCACCGCGTTTTGTATCACTTGCTAGATATATTTCACCATATCCACCTTTTCCAATCAAACCTTGAACTTGCCATCTTTTTTTGAAGACCTCATCAATTCCCAATAATGGCGATGCATCTGCATCCATTTTCTTCATTCTTGGCAAAACCAAATCCGGTATTTTCGAGACTTTTTCTATATTTGAACATGTTTTAGTATTTTGTTGTTGTTGCTGTTGTGCTGTTTCATCCTCTATTTTTGGGGAATCCATCGTTTTCGATCAGCAGATTACAAAAGAATGACTGGTTTTCGTGGATTTCTCTTTTTTTTTCCTTCGAAAAAAATTGGGTCACGTGTTTACGTTTTTAATTAATGAATTGTTCATTTATTACTTTAAGTAAATCTTTTAATATTTGATCTATCAATCAATATTTTTACCGATCATCCTCGCTTGAATCACTGCTGGAACTTTGCCAGGCGCGTCCGAAACGATTTGTTCTCACTAAACTTTCTTCTTCGTCTTCATTATTTTGCTTGTTTTGTATAGTTTCCAATTTATGGCTAAGCAAGTTTATCTGAAGATTCTTTCCATTCAATTCCAAACTTTTAAAGATCTAAACTTACCATGAAAACCAAGCCAGTCATATATTCTTTATCACATTTATCTTGAGGAATCGGGTTGATTTGGAACGTATGGTGAGCGAAATCGGAGAGTGCTTTCTGAAATCCTCGATTATTTCCAGATTTTTTTCAATTTCGATACCTCATAATCTTCTTTACATAACATATTTGCCCTTTCATATGCCAAAATCACTCTTCCAATTAATTTTGGACAACAAGTCCGGAAAATGTGAATGGAGAGATTATTTGACAATGGTTTAGCTGTGTTGATGTTTGGAGTTGTTTCATCTGCAAATCAAACTTTGTTGATATCTTATTCACACTAAAACTCACCATTATATTCATTTGCCGCTTCATTCATCTTGAAACTTCGGCGAACAAATGAGAATACATTTTGTGTTACAGTTCACCAAGGCGCACACACAATTTCATCTGGGTCTCGCAGCGAACAATATATTTTGGAGTTTACTTTTTATAAATTTTTATATAAAATTTTTATTTTTAAATCAAAGCTTTGATTTAAAAAAAAATAATTTTCTGACTTTACTTGGAAAATAATAAACTTCACCAAAAAAATTAAATATTTAAATTACTTTCTACGTGTTCCATATAATTTTCCAGGGCCATATAAAAACCGTCAAAATCCGGGTTTCGCTCATTTTTTCTTATAATTTTTTCGAAATACAAAACTTTACCTTCGTTCTATATCAAATCTTGAGGTTAGTACTTTTCATCAAAATTTTCAAATCACAAATTATTTTTTTACTTAGACTTCGTAAAAAATGGGAATCGAAGAATTGGCAGCAAAAAACTCAGCTCTTCCAAGTCCAGCAATTCGTAAAAAAGGCTACGATGATGTGAAATTCAGTGATTGTGATGATGAAAAAGATGAGAAAAAAGTCGAAAATGGGAAAATCGAAGAAAACTGAGGAAAAGTCGAAGAAGACTGAAATGGCAGCTGCACCAACACCAAAAGATCCACCAAAAAAAGAGAAAGAAAAGGAAAGAGATATTCAACCAACACAAGCACAAACTCCTGCATCAAAAACACCAGCTCCTATTTCACAAGCTTCCCAGCAACAACCAAAAGGTATTTTAATGGGACTAACAAAGGGACCCGATGTTAAAAAATGGGACAACATCTTGAATTTGACTGTTAGAATGGGTCACTTTTGGAAAATGGGGTCCGATTAAAAACCTCAAAACTCAAGCTATATTTATTTAACAAACAGGAATATCGAGAACTGCACCAACTCCAATGCCACCACCAATCAAATCTACCAAAGAATTTGCGCCAAAAGAATCGAATGCTTCGAATGTTGTTGATAATACAGGAACTTCGACAAAAGTTGGAGAATCTGAAGATGTTACAAGAACGCAGAGCAAAAAAACGAAAAAAGGAGGATCGTGTTGTACTATTTTATGAAAAAACAAAACTATTTATACAAGTTTTGAACACAAATTTATTTATTGTTGTTTTTTGTTGTCCGAATCCTCGATGCTTGTGGCCTGCAAAAAGTTGAGATTTTTTGGAATATCAACCAAAATTCCTCACCATTCTGACTCTATAATCAACATTAAAAATAGCATCTCTAGCTCCTCTCCAAATATTCGAACCTGTCAATCTGAAAATATAAGAAACGCATGGTCCGAAAAGCACATAATATGCTAATCTCGGATCTGTCAACCATAAATATAACATATTTGGATTTGCATTAATCATTGTCGCAAGTTCAGTCATATATGGGGCAAAATCTACTTGCACAGTATGTCTTCTTGATTCCACATATCTTTTTGACATCAATATTTGTTTGGTTTTTATATCGTTTATCATGGTTTCACGATTTGGAAGTTTCAAACTTCCAGCCCAATGTCCCAGGAAAACTCTCGCTTGCATTTCTGAAACTGGCATAATTGATCCCAGAGGTTGAACGAGTCCGATTAATCCCAAAGAATTATGATCTGATAATTGAATTGGATAAATATATTTATAAGCATCCAATCGATTTTCAATGACTGGAATCAGATTTCCATCTTCAACAATATTGAAATTGAATGAATATCCAGTTGCAAGAATAACTTCATCGATATTATCCACTTTTGATCCATTTTCAAATATTATTCCATTCTCTGTGAACTCTCTGATTCCACTTTTCTTGATTCGAACTGTCCCGTTCGCAATTCGATTTGGAAGTTCATCATTTGCCGTCGGATGAGCCCTGAAAATGTGTTACTTCGAGAGAAGATTGAAGTGTTCTCGCTTACGAAAATGGTGGATGCTTTGGCTTCAATCCATATTTTTCATGGTCAAATCGTTTGTTAAGCATATTTTCAGCACTTCTCTTGAATATCCACGCTGGTAAGATACTCATGAGAAAGAAGCGCCACTTTCTGGAATATTTTAAAAAATATATGATTTGCCTAAACTGACAGGAAAGCTTACGATTTAAGAGTTAAATCCGTTGGTTTCCCTTCATCAAATAATCGATTAAAAATCCAACTTCCTCTTCTTGTAACCAAATAAACTTGTTTTGCAATTCGACTTAATTCAACAGCACAATCTCCACCAGAATTTCCAATTCCAACAACAACTACATTTTTATCTTCATATCCTCGATGATCTTTATAATTATGTGCATGAATTATTCGACCTTTGAATTTATCTTGTCCTGGCCAACTTGGAATATGTGGAATTGCGTGATGACCACAACATAACAAAATTCCATCGAAAACTTCACTTTGATTTTTATTCTTACTAAAAAAAATCAACAAGTTACAGAATTCGAAAGATCTATGTCGAAGTATAGTACTTACTCATCCAAATAATCAACTTTCCATTGTCCAGTTTCATTATAATTATGATTTCTAGTAATCTTCTGAACACTATGATTGAATTTAATATATTTCAGCAGATCAAAATGTTTTGCATAGTCATTCAGATATCGATTGATTTCTCGATTATGCATATACGTGGCCATTCTTTCTTCCGGCGGAAAATCAGAATAAGCAGTCATTTCTTTTGATGTATTGATTACTGTAGATTTCATAACCGATGCCACTACAAAACAAAGCAAATTTAGATTTTATCTAGGGGTAAACCTACATTCTGTTTCATGTGGCTTGAAATTCCAAAGTCCTCCAATCGCATCAGTTTTCTCAAAGCAAGTAACTTCAACATTTTCATAAAATAAAGCATGTCGAATTGAAGGAAGTCCAGATGCACCAGCTCCAATCACAAGAAGTCGCTTTTTCTTGTTCTCACCAGACATTTTTGGTTGGATAGATAGAAAAAACCAAAACTAAAAATTTGGAAAGAAAAAAATCTTATCACTTCGCGAAACAATAACAAACTGAAGGAAACTGATTTGATTGTGAGAAAATGGTGTTAAGAACGTGTGTGTGTGTGTATAAAAACAGTACAAAAGTTCGAGAGACCCAGAAATTATGATATGATTCGATCATAACACAACAATATTTTCGAAACAATTTTTTTTTGAATGTTATGTAAAATAAAAATCATTCTGAACTTTTTTGCAAATTCCTCTGAGAATCTTGAATTTTTACGATAGCACAGCGTGTTATGCTTATATGAGACCAATAAATCTTATCAGTTTTTACAAAAAAATAATTGGTCAAAAAACAGGAACCTGAACTATGATAATCTGTGAAAATGCCCTCTGCATTTATATTGTAAGATTTTATGAAAATAGTACAGAAATATAAGAGACAATCATAAATAGACTATAGTTTGATGAAATTCCAATGTCAAGTGATTAGTAAATATAATTAATAGGTTGATTGTGAGTTAAAACTGTTCCTTTTTTGTTGATTGCGAGAATTTGATTATTTTTGTTTTTTGTTTTCATCTTCTTCAATGCTTGTGGCCTGAAATAAATTATGGAATTTGACATTTAAAAAATATGAGTGTCTCTGTTAGAATCCTACCATTTCCGAGCGATATTCCACTGACAAAATCGCATCTTTGGCACCGTTCCAGCTATTTGGACCAGTTAATCTGAAGACATATGGAACACATGGTCCGAAAAATACATTATAAGCTAATCGTGGATTTGTTAACCATAAATATAACATATTTGGATTTGCATTGATTATTGTTGCAAGTTCAGTCATATATCGAGTATAATCAACTTGAATTGTATGTCTTCTTGAATCAACATATCTTTTTGACATTTCATTTCTCTTTGATGTTATATCATTTAACATGACTTCCCGATTTGGTAGTTTAACATTTCCAGCCCAATGTTCTAAGAATACTCTTGCTTGCATTTCTGAAATTGGCATAATCGAACCAACTGGTTGAATAAGACCAATTAATCCCAAAGAATTATGATCTGATAATTGAATTGGATAAATATATTTATAAGCATCTAATCGATGTTCAGTGACTGGAATCAGATTTCCATCTTCAACAATATTGAAATTAAATGAATATCCAGTTGCAAGAATAACTTCATCAATATTATCCACCTTTGATCCATTTTCAAATATTATTCCATTTTCAGTAAACTCTTTTATTCCACTTTTCTTAACTCTAATTGTTCCATTTGCAATTCTATTTGGAAGTTCATCATTTGCCGTAGGATGAGCTCTTGAAAATTTTGAGGTAATTTTCGAGTTTATTCAATGAAGAAAGCAACTTACGATAATACTGAATGGTTCGGTTTGAGCCCGTATTTTTGATGATCAAACCGTTTGTTTACAATTCGCTCAAAGTTTCTAGCAACTAGCCAAAGTGGAATGAAATTCATGAGAGTGAGTTGCCATTTTCTGAAGGAAACTTGTTGAAGAATTTTCGAGCACTAGCTTTGATAACTTACGAATTGAAAACTAAATCAGTGGGTTTCCCCTCATCAAATAATCGATTAAAAATCCAACTTCCTCTTCTTGTAACCAAATAAACTTGTTTTGCAATTCGACTTAATTCAACAGCACAATCTCCACCAGAATTTCCAATTCCAACAACAACTACATTTTTATCTTCATATCCTCGATGATCTTTATAATTATGTGCATGAATTATTCGACCTTTGAATTTATCTTGTCCTGGCCAACTTGGAATATGTGGAATTGCATGATGACCACAACATAACAAAATTCCATCGAAAACTTCACTTTGATTTTGATTCTTACTAAAAAAATAACAAGTTACAGATTTCGCAACATCTATGTTGAAGTATAGTACTTACTCATCCAAATAATCAACTTTCCATTGTCCAGTTTCATTATAATTATGATTTCTAGTAATCTTCTGAACACTATGATTGAATTTGATATATTTCAGCAGATCAAAATTTTTGGCATAATTATTTAAATATCTATTCATTTCTCGATTGTGCATATAATTTGCCATTCGATCTTCCGGTGGAAAATCCGAGAATGCAGTCATTTCTTTTGATGTATTAATTACTGTCGATTTCATAACTGACGCCACTGAAAAATTTCGAGTTTGTGAAAAGTTCTATAGAAAAATTCAAAAAACTTACATTCGGTCTCATGTGGTTTGAAATTCCAAAGTCCTCCAGTTTCTCCAGATTTTTCAAAACATGTGACTTCGACATTTTCATAAAATAAAGTATGTCGAATTGAAGGAAGTCCAGATGCACCAGCTCCAATCACAAGAAGTCGCTTTTTTGCAGTCATCTCTAAAAAGAACTAAAATAAAAAACAACATACTTCAAAAAAAAACTATCGAACAAATAAATAACTCTACTCGAAACATGTCTGACCTCGCTTGGTCTATTTATATAATGCGATCATTTTGGGTAGAAATGGCTAGAGTTTGTGAGACGCAGGTATTTAATTTGATAACAGGTAGATGGCTAGATTGTAGTTTGGACAGGCAGGAATCAAAATGGCCAATTTTTGTTCGAAGCAGAAAAGTGAACATTGTTGTTTTACTTGTTAGCAAATAGAGTGGAGTGTTGAAAATTGATAACAAAAATTATGAATGATGAAATATACAGGGTGTAATTTACTACCCGATAAGTTTCCCGCATTTTTTGAGACCTGACACAATTTTAGGGGTGGAACTAAAAACGACGAAAGTCAACACAAAAGTGAGAGATTTAGAGAAATATATTTTTGTGATCTACCAGAAAATTCTCCGAATGGCGTGAAAAGAAGAAAAGGAAGACCGAAAAAGAGATGGGTTGATGACGTGCAAAATGAAGTCAAAGTGCATCAACACAACATCAACATGCAAGGCCTCGGGGGAGGCGGAAGAAGAAGGATCGGGCTAATATCCAGTAAAATGCCCTGGTCACGATTGGCTAGAAGCCGAAGTTCCTGGAAACATCTGGTCCACAGCTACTCGCTCGAATAATAGACTATCAAAGTATCAAAGTAAAGTAAATTTGAGGTCTAATAGTTTGAGGTAGTAAATAAAACAGAAAACTTATTTTCAAAATTATCGAGAAGCTTGAATTGTCGCTAAAACTTTCCTATCAAAACGTTTTCAAATTTGATGCATTTGAATCTAGGCTGTTTTTGTTTGAAATGTCCTTTCAGGTTCTCTCATTTTAATTTTTTAAATTCAAAAAACTTGAATAAAAACTTTAATTTTCTCAGATAATCAATTTTCCAGTGAAAAAAATTAATATTCAGTATTTCAATATATTCTGAATTTTCTAGTGTTCTAGAAAATGTTCATCTCTTTTTTTCGAAAATCTTTCAAACTTATCAATAATCTTCTCACTCTTACACAATTCAATCAAATTTCAAATTTTCAATTTCGAAAATCCAATAAAATAAATTCTCTCACTAACTCGTTTTCAATATTCAAACAACTGTTCTTTTTCCTTCATTTTATGCGCGCGAAAAAAGACGGGAAAACGAGGATTTGTAAAACTTATTACACTATTTGAAAAGCAGTTGAGTTGGGAGATTGGAGAATATTCGTAACTTGTCTAGATAATTTTGTTGATTGGATTTCCGATTTTTCAGATAAAAATGGCGATGTTTTTATCTCAAACAATGAAACATGCATCGCCTACAACTACAGTACTTGCTGATGGATATACAGATGATGCATTGAATTCGAAATATGATAATTATAGGTAGGCATTTTTTCAACTCGAATTTTTTTTCATCTGTTTAATTTTTCTAAAATTTGAATGCAAACATATTTTGTGAAAGTGGTGAATTTTCTTCACCAAAATCTTGTTTAAAGATATCTGAAGTTTAGAACCAAAAATTTGAATTACACTTGATTGATTTGTGAAGTTAAACCTTATTTTCTGAAAAATCATAAACTTGCCAAGTCATATCTCATTTTTTGATATTTCTAAAAAAAATTTCAGAAAACCCTATCTTTTCTAATTTTTCGCGAACTTTTGAACAACTCCATCCTCTTTTTCTTTTCATTTTCAATTTTCTCATTTTTTCTGTCGCTTCAACTTCAAAGATCTGTCAAATCTGTCTAGATCATCTTTCTTGGCTGAAACTTGATATTTTTGTCACATTTTCAAGTCTCAAAAGTTAACTTTTGTTGTTTTCTCCTGAAAACTTTTGATTTTTCAATTGTCACAGCTTTTCATTCAATATTATATTTGTATATGTTCCAAAACGTTCAGTTTAGATATCTTTTATTTTTGTCCAAAAATTTTGACAGCTGACAACTCTTTTCTGTCACTAAAAAAACAATAAAAAATAGTTACTCAATGATTTTTGAGAGCCTATCTTTAATTCCATTTTTCAAATAATCTCATTTCTAGTTTTCATTTAAAAAATCAAATCTCATATTTTTTTCTCAAAAAATCCCTAGGTAATTCGATATTTTTCGTCGACAAAAATAACTCAAAAGTTTAAAGTGGAGTGACAAAAGATGTTTTTCCAAGATTTTTTGAAACAAAAACACTATTAATTGAAGAAAAATGGTGTAACGTGATAAATCCCATTTTCTCATCATCAATTCTTTGATTTTCCTACTTCTGCAAAATTTCTCATTTTTTATTTCAAAAAAAAAAAAGATTAGCAGCGAGTGGTTTCGATCCACCGACCTCTGGGTTATGGGCCCAGCACGCTTCCACTGCGCCACGCTGCTGATATTTTTCCTTATCATAAAATGTCGATATATTTTTGATGATTTATTTTGCCTTAACTTCATTTTTTTTCATAGAAAATTGGAAAAAAAACAAAAAAAAAAATCCCAAAAGTTTGAAGACTACTTTCCGATTCTCTTGAAGACTTCCTGATAGAAAAAAATAATTTAGGTTTTTCTAGAACTATAAAAATTGTTTCCAGAGCCTCCCGGCCATATTCGCGGGAATCTCTCCTTTCGGGCACCTCTCTCGGCTCAAAAGTTCGTCTCTCGCAATTCTCACTTCTTTCTCGACCGGATGCAACAACAGCCGAAGAAGATAACGAAGAAGACGACGAAAATCACTATAATCAGAGGAAATTTCAAGAGCAGAAGAATTTACTGCAAAATCACGTGCTGAAAATGTTTGCGGGTCAATTTTCAAGAAATGGAAGTTTCGAGGTGGATGATTTGGATTTGGATAAATCATCGAGCACAAGTCTACCTTCAGCACCGCCGCCTAAAAGTTTTTTGGCAAAGGTAAAATATTTATAATTCTTATAATAATAGACTTTAATTTCAAAATGCTATGTTTTCAGTGCAAATACTACTATGATAAATATAAACTTCATCGAGTATCTGCTTGTATTTGTCTAATATTTTATTCATTTTTCGGAGCTTGGCTATTTTATTTGGTTGAACATGATTATGAAAAAACTGTGAAGCTAAAAGAAAAACAAGATTTATACGAGCTACGATCTAAAACTCTTCAAAAACTTATCAAAAACACCACAGCTTTCAATGCAATTTTTCAAGATTTCGAGTATAAACTTCATAAGATTCGACTCCCAGAATGCCTTGATTGGGATTATTGGGGTGCACTTTTTTATGTTGGAACATTATTCACAACAATTGGTTATGGAAATATTGCACCAAGGACTGGTTTAGGAAGAGCAATGTCAATTATTTATGCGATTATTGGAATTCCGCTGGTTTTGGCTATTCTATCGAAATGTGGAAAATGGTTGACAACAACTTTATCGATTCAATGGCAACAACATCGGAGAAGGATTAAGTTGAAAGCCAAGAAAACTACGAATAGATTAAGAGGAAGGAAAATGTGAGTTATCATAAGTTGGTGGGTTTATTAGGAATCAAAAAATTATTTATATTATGACATAAGTTTCACATAATTCCATAGAGAAAATACACACGTTTGTGATTATAATTTTTCAACAAATAATAATTGTTCAGTTCAAAACTCGAAGCCTTGGAAGCTGGAATATCTGATATGATGAATACTGACACCGATGAACCTGAATCCCGCACAATTCCAATCTGGCTAGCCTTATCAATTTGTATTCTCTTTGTTTGTGGATGCTCCTCACTTTTCCTAATTTGGGAAACAAAATGGACATTTTTCACATCTCTCTACTTTTTCTGTATTTCTTTATCTACAATTGGTTTGGGTGATATTGTTCCCGATCATCCGCATATGTTTATTATTATGTTTGTTCTGGTTATTCTTGGTTTATCAATTGTTTCAATGCTTTTGTCAGTTATACAAATCAAAATGGAAGAATGGCTGTATCATTTGATCAAGAAAATTCAGGTTAGTGCAAATTCCTTTGAAAAAGTCTTATCTTTTCACAAACACACCAATTGTTTTGTTATTTGTGTAATAATGAAATACACATGACATATGTGCAAAAGTACAAAAAACAAACTAATGAGACATTTGACTTCGTTTCAGCAAGAATATAATCGAGCTTTGGAAAATGGTGAAATTATTGATAAAGATGGATTGTTTAGAAATGTTATGTCAAATGAGCCAACGTGGATGCAATTAGTTGCACCAACAATGTTAACAGGTCAACAAACTGATAAATTGGAGCAAAAAGTAGAACAATTTGAAAGATTATTGAAGGAGAGTAAAGATGTTCAAACTGATTTGTCGGTTGCGTATGTTGGAACACAAGTGGAACGATTTGAACAGAGTATGGCTTGTGATCCGATGACTGATAAAATATTACCACAACATCGGGAAACACAATGGTCATGGTAAGATTATTTTTGAAAAATAGGATTGAGGGAGAGTTAGGCGAACCTTTAGAGAATTCCAATGGGAATGTTTTTAATTCATAACGCCTTCAGGCGTGATCATTTCCAAACTGAAACCATCTTGAAATTTCAGCCAACAAGAGCTACATTTACAAAACGATGATCGTGCCCCAATAACATCTCGATCATTCGATTACCGCGACTCAATTTCCGATGCAACCAGTCTTCCAATCGATTCAATGAGTTCTCCAAAAATGGCTCTCCGGAAACACGGCAATTCAGCAAGACCTGGAGAAGATCAATGCTGTCAAACGGATTTGGCACAATTTCAAATTGATGAAATTGCAATCAAATTGGCAAGTTTGCAGGTGAGAACACAAAAAACACGTGTTGTAAGCGGTATTGATAAAAGAGGGGAAATTCGATCTATCGCACTTTTTTGTCTGGAATTTTTTCATCTCTTATTTTGTTTCTGTTCCAAGAGAGAAGGGGGTGTTTGATTTATTTGTTTGCTTTGAGTTCAAAGTTATTCGGTCAATTGAGAGAGATAAGAAAAAACATCCGGGTACATTAACCGATGACATTACAAAAAATGGATCATGTAATTTTTGAACTTTTTAAGACTCAACGTGTTCGCCCACCAATTGTTGAACGTAGTATGGCAACATCTGCTTATTTGGATTCACCCGCAGAAGAACAAGTTTTATTGAAAAATGGACTATCGAATGCAGATATTAGTGCGCTGTGTGAAGTTATCTCAACTTCATATCATGGAAGTAATCCCGCTGAAGTTTTGAGTTGTTTAGTTGATCGAGCTGTTGGTGGAAGTGAGCAAGAAATTAATAGAGTTATGGTAAGAAAGCTTCATGTTTCTAGTTTTTTTTCGGAAAAACGCACCACTATTTCCAGGAAAAATCCCAATGCACATCAGATCCTGGAGTCGATGATAAATCTCAATGTACCAGTTTATCAATAGCAACTCTGGCTAAAAAATTATCGCACGATAAATCTCAATGCACAAGTCTTTCTGAATCATCTCCACAGAATGTCAAGAAAACAAGCACTTCAGATAAGTCACAGTGTACGAGCTTATGTCTATCGAGTGATAAACAAGATAAATCACAATGCACAAGTATTTCGAAAGATCCAACCAAGAAAAAACAATCATCAATTTCAACATCTATGGATAAACTTTTCAAATCGACATCCACGTCACCAATGAACTCGCAAGCTGAAAAACTGAAAAAACAACGAAGTTTTGCAACTTCTCCTGTCCCTATTCCACAAATTAGTATAGCTGAGGAAGAAACACAAACAAGCTTGTAAGTTTTTCCAAAATAAAAATAATCAAGGATGCAAGTATTCAGGCATCAAACCATCGATGCTTTCACTCAACCATCGACTTCGCATTCAACAGAAGTTGCAACTGAAATGAGTTTATCAGAAGATATTTCTCACAAAAAATCAAAGAGAGATCAAAGTTCGTCACCGATTAGTCAAAATAATGTAAGTCGCCATAGATGTATGAAATTTACCAAAACAAATAATTATTTAAGGACGATCGAAGCATTCAAACATCAATCTCCGAATGGTTCGGTAAAATATTCAAAGGAAAAGATCAATCACAACAAACATCACTGGCTGAAGATCTGAAGCGGAAGAAATCAACAACATCGACTTCAACATCAGATGATAGTATATCAGAGCCTCATAAGAGGAAAAATAATAGTATGATGATGATGGCTCCACCAACAATTATGTCATCAAGTTGCACAATGAGCACACAATACTCTCCACCGCCAGGATGTGAAAGAAATGATAATTCGAGATTATCAGAGCCAACGTGAGTTGATAATCTTTAATTGAGGATGGGGATAGGAAGGGTAGGGAGTCTGAACATTCATAGTTTCTCAATCCGAATTTTCTAGTCATCGTGCTCGATCATCTTCAACATCTGGAATTGGTACGAGTATATTCGAAGAGGAAACTCGACAAGAAGTCATTGTACAAACAGATGACTCATATTTGAAAATTGCTAGAAGACTAGATGAATATCGAAATAACAAAACACAATTCTTGCCAGTCTGCGCAGCTTCGCCGTTGAGTTCAAAAGAAGTCGAACCTTTCAAGTACTAAAAAATAAGGTCTATGGGAAAAATAATGATTTTTAATTCAGAACTGATCGTCCGAGTGAGAGAAGTCATTACTATTTCGGAAGTCGTAGATCGAGTTTAGGAAGATCGAGAAAGAAATCAAGGTTTGATCAGAATAGTGCGATGGGAAAATCAATGGATACCGAAATGTTGAATGATGTTTTGGTAAGTGAAAACATTTTTGAGTCTATTTTTAAAGACTGCGTATCCTTGTAATAAAATTTAGAATGAAAATGAAAATGAAGAAGAGAGTCCACCGCGTGGTGAGTTTAAACAACATAATTTAATTTAAGTTGATTAACGCTTTAGATAACTAGATCTAATCAACATTATTCAGTTCAAAGCTCTAACTACAGCTAAATCTAACAAGAACTTAACCCAAAATGCAATATAATAATTTCAGAGCAACGAAAAAAGTCGGTCAATTTCGCCGAAACGCCCATCTAGTCGATTACTGACACGAAATCCATCGCTGCCTATCGGAATCTCTCCAGGACGGGTATCTGATTATGTCAATCAACACGAGAAGGGTATTCATGATCCGGCGACAAAAAGAGCGCCGATTAAAATTATTCGTCAATATTCTTTAGATACTTGAACTTGAACTTTTTCGTGTTGATATGTGTTTTTCCAGGTTTCAAATATTTGATTACGTGTATTTTTAGTATTTTTTTTGAAGTTAGTAAAGAATTTTTTAAATTGAAAGTACATATTCTGATGTGTACTCGAAAGTGTGAGAAAATCGGGTAAGGTCGATCTAAGTTCTTGAGGTTGCGTTGATTTTCAAACTGTCGAAGCTTGGTAGATTGGTTCTCGTAACCTTGAGATTGTCATTAGTTACCGCTTTTATGAGAATGTAACTTCAACTCAGTTTAAAAATAATCGTTCATTTAAAATAAGTAATACTTAAGGGTTTCGTTGAGATATACAGACAAATTTAATGAATTGGATGTTGTGGCATCTCTGAAAATATACAAGTTGTACGAAAACTCGAATATCGCACGAAAACAATGAAATCAAACTCACTAAAGGCGTCTACGAACGCAAACTCCTTGAACTGGTTCGTAAGCTGGAGCACATTGGCAAAGTCCTGCTGAACAAACAGCTCCTCCGGCACAAGCTGGGGCAGCTGCGATAGGAACGGCGGCGGCGGCACATGGGGCTCCGAGAGCAACTGGAACAACTGGGGCAACTGGGATGACTGGTGGTGGAACAACTCCGTAGATTGTGCGGGCAACACAGACAGTTCCTTCTTGAACCAATTCTGGTGGGCACAAGCAAACTCCGACTGAACAGACTGATCCTCCGGTACATTCGACTCCTGGTTCACATGGAGATCCTGGGAGAGCTTGTGGGATGAGACGACCGGCAACAACTGGAGCTGGAGCAACTGGAATAGCTGGAGCAATAATTTGTGGGGCACATCCGACAGTTGGGGAATAGACAACAGCTGGGTTAGCACATGCACAGGCTCCTGAAACACATTGACCGGCTCCAACGCATGGAGTGGCACATGCGGCTGGTTGAGCAGCGATGACTGGAGCAGCAATTGGAGCTGGTGCATAAGCAACTGGAGCTGGAGCATAGACAGGTGCTGGAGCTGGAGCAAATGCTGGAGCTGCATAAATTGGAGCACGAGCTGGAATCACAGCTGGAGCTGGTGCAAAAGCTGGAGCATATGCTGGTGGAGCTGCAGCGACCGCCGGAACGCAAACAGATTGTTGACAAACTGCGGCAGCAGCGCAAGGAACTGCAGCACTACATGCCGAATAAAGAGGTGCGACTAAAATTAGGATAAAATGTTTATTTTTATTTTGGGTGGGTTTTTGAGGAAGGGGAAATGGGTAAATAGTGAATGGTAATCAAATAGTGGAGTAAAACATATCAAATGAAATCAAAAATATATCTCACCTGGGAATTGTGCTCCAACCAAAGCCAAAACAGATGCGTACACAACAAACTTCATCATTTTCAGACTACGATCGACGGAAAAATGTGTTGAAGTCGGCGCTTTTCGACACTTTTATACTGTTGCGGCATTCCGCGGCTGCGCAATAAGGTGGAGTCACTTTTCGCAAGAGATTGTTGACATAATAATATATGCAACTCTATTGTAGGAAAAAGAAGGAGAAAAGAAGAAGAAAAAAGAGCTGGAGTGAGTGCAATGGGAAAAGAGGGTTATTGTTATTGTTCGCGGCAGACAAGAAAAAATACATATAGGAAAAAAGAAACATTATGTTTAGCACATAATAATACTTATGTGAAAGGCAACATTCGTTTTTGGCATCGTTGGGATTAAAGTACAGTTCGACTGTCTGGGACAGGCTTCAGGGTATGTTCAATGTCAGCTTGTTGGCAGGCGATAGATCGGCACAGTTAGACCTTAACCACCTCTTCTTTCAGAAAAAAACATGTTAGAGTTACCACTCACACGTCTTTATCTGAAAAGCTGGAAGAGCATTTGGTACAACAAAAACATCACAAGAAACGTTTTGAAAAACATATGTGATCCATCAGCAGAGTACCTAGGAAGATATGCTATCTCCAATCGTTGCTGATTGTGTCATCTCACAAGATCTCCGAGGAAGATTAGTCTCATTGTCAGTCAGAGTCTGCTTCTAACCACAAGAAATGGCTCAAGTTGTCCCAGTTGCTCTCGAAGCTCACGTGCTTGTCCTGTAGAAGTTATCTGCCTATTCAGTGTTTGTAGTTTGAAACTTGCTGGCAACTTTTCCGTACATAGTTTGTAGTTCGAGTTTTACTCTCTCATTCCATCTTTTCACCCCCGCAACTTCTTCAATTTCATCTTTTTGCTGTTTTCCGCACCTATGCCGAACATTTATTTGTTTATTCATTCTGATTTTTGATCATGCCATTCACAATTCCTTTCAAACCTTCAACAACTACATTCTATTGTATCAAATTACTCATACTCATTCTCATACAACTTGTGTAACCAGTTCCAAATTTTCCGTGACCTCCGATCCTTCCGCAGCGTGAAAATGTGATAGCATTCGCAAAAAAAGCCAACGGAGAGCAAAAAGTTGAGTTTATTCAGCTCAACGCAAACAAAAAAAAAGAGAAGGATGCGGAGCAAAAAAAAGTATTATAATAGCAGTCATTCCGCGCGAATTTTATTTCATATTATATAAAATTCCAGTTTTTCGCACCTTGAAACAACGCAAGAGAGAGAAGAGAAAGAGGACCGACCGCATTTGCGTAAGACCCTCGGCTCCTTCCGCATTAGAAAGTATTATTAATGTGTATGTATTTATTTGAGGGGGTGAATTCGATTGTGTTGAACTTTTTGCTTCGTAAATGCTTCGTTTGTTGTTGAAAATAGATTTATTGAATAAAATAAATTCATTCAATCAATCAGTCAAATCTTTCTGATTGAAAAACAAACTAACAACCGCGATAAACATTGAAAACTCGTTGGATTCGTCTATTCGATCAGCTGACAGTGTAGATCGAACTTTTCTAGAAAATAAAACTCTTATCAAGTCGGACTATTGATTTGGAAAAAATATCACAAATGCCTAGGACTTCGATATTTCTGACGTAGACAGGAGAACTATTACATATGCCTGCTGTTTTGAATACTGTAACTTGTTTCATGGACAATATTTTCAAATTTTGAGTACATACTGTTTTTTTTTGAAGGTACAGAATTTTTTATACAATTTCTCTCAACTTTTTTGAATCAAAATTCGAATTTCCTTGATTTCCACGTCATACGTTTCTTGATTTAATTTCCATGCCATTTTTTTAAATCAATAGATTTAGAACTTTGCCAGAGCCTTCAATTTTCTCAAAAACTAAAAAAAACTAACTTGCAAATTTTGACAAGATCTCGAAGCGATGAAATAACATCAGGAAGTAGAGGTAATTGTACAACTAGAATCAAAGCAAAGATCCATTCTCGAATTGGTCGAGTAAGTCCTTCAGATTCGGACCATTCAACCAAATATGTGATGAGTTCGTTGACCTGAATTTGAAAGAGAAATTAGGTGAAACAAAACATCTTCAATTTCATGTTTCAGATGAAGCTGAATTTCATTCCAGAATTCAAACCTCCTCTCTCATTTGTAACAGAAAGAAATGATCCTCATGAAATTTGAAAAAGTAGAAGTCACTCCGAAAATTGAATTTTTTAGAAATAGATAACTTTTCAGGGATAAATAATTTTTCAGACGGAACAAATAAAAGAGCTAAATTTTTCTTTGTTTGCTTAGAAATGTTTAGGATAATTTATTTTCTCAAATTTGGCTTTTCCCAATTTCCAGTAAACCAACTCCCTGCCATTTCGCCCCCCCCCTTCCCCCAAACTCACAGTTCTCGGAGCAAATCCAAAAACCACAGACAACGCAGGCGGTGTTCCAACATGATTTTCGAATTTCGATTTCAAACTTTCCGCTTTTGGGGCGCATTTTTCCAATAAAAATTGATGCCATTCTTCTTCTTCCGACATTCTTGGTAACTTCAGCTGAATCGCTCGAATTTTTCCGGTTTTTCGAAATTCTTCAAGTTGATCGCGTTTTGAAGCGAAATCGTGGCTTTTCGCTTCTTGCCATTCTTTTGAGGGAACCAGGGAAGTCTGAAAAATTTGGGTTTGTTAAAGGATAAATGGAGTTCACATAGAACATTGTTATATTTTTATTTGGAAAACTTTATTGGGAAAAAAGAATTGAAGAGTTCACAACATTGAATTATTGTTTCAAAGGTAGAAACTCTAAATTTTTAAATTTAGCTGGGACAATGAAAATCAAATTTGAAAGATATTTTTTTTTTAATTTCTAATAATTTCAAATGTTTTAAAATTCCCAACCTGACACTCGACATTTTCCTCTTTCAAATTCAATCCCTTTGTTCCTTCCCACTTTTTTCCATTTTGTTTTATTTTCAAATTTCTTCCATCAATTCTCACAACATCTTCACAATATTTTCGAGTTTCTCTAACTTGTTTCAAATATTCTCCAGCCGACATTGCCACGTTTTCCATCGAATAAGATGAGCAACTTTCATCGTCTTCAATTGCAAGGCAAGCTTCTTGATCCATTCTTAAATTTTCTATGAAAAACTTGAAAAATTTTCAAAAAAAAATAGTCCGAGATCTTTTTTTAGAACTCTTTTTTCATCAGATTCTTTTCTACTTTTAAATTTAATTTTATGTTCTACAAACTATATACAATTAGATAATTAAATAAATTAAATACTAAAATAAAAATGAAAAAAATCTGAGATCAATCTAAAATTATCACCTATCCAATTAAAACGAACTCGGGAAAACCAATGGAATTATTGAAAATGGTAAAAGTGGAGTGGATCTATCTAAATCAGCAGCAGCTGTTAAACATTCGGTAGCCCTCTCAGCATCTCCATTTTTCATCAAAGTGCATCCCAATTGTTGCCACCATTCACAATTCAAAGGATCATCTCGCACCATTTCTCTGTAAAAATTTTGTGATAAAAAAGTTCCGAAGCGAATCAAGAAAATGTTTAAAACTATATTTTGAAACCAAAATTTTAAATTTTTTATTTCAAAACGGAAAACAGTAGATTTTTTAGACTTGAAAAATCTCTATTCAAAATTTCGAAATACGTTTTTTCTAATACCTAGTTTTAAAAAATATATTTTACCTTAACATATGTTCGGCCATTTTCAAATTTCCTTCTTCCGAATACAATTTTGCCAAAGCCGACATCGATGGCGAATGATTTGGTGCCAACGCCAACGCACTCAAATACGCCGCCTTCGCTTCTCCTCTTATTTTTGCCGCCGTCGCTTTTTCCTCAATTTTCTGTGCTCGATATCCCAACAATCTTCCTTTCAAATACATTGCTTGTGGCGAGTGTGGAAATAGAACAACAGCTTGTTCAACACATTTCGACACTTCTGATAATTTTCCTTCAGCCAGATATAATTCAGCAAGAGCCATCCAAATATCAGCTTGAGATCGGAATTTCGACCAAGCATCTGATATTCCATTTGTGATTGTTGCACTGTCAGATGTTGAGGATTGGCCACCTTCAGAAGGAGCGACACCACTATCACCAACTGGAACAAAAATGGATTTAGGAGGGATAAAGAATTCAAGTTTCAGAAACTTAAAAAAAGTTTCGTTCCAGCCTCAAAATATACCCGCAGCTTTTCCCCAAAACTTACTCGATAAATCAATATTCGACGCATTCGCAGGCATCGATAAATTCGTCGTAAAAGACGGTGTCGAAATCAATCCAATCGGTGTATTATTTGCGGACAAATCTCTTCCCAACGAAGGTGTTCCTAGCTTCATACTTCCCTCTCTTCCCAAAACACTTCCTCCATTTTCCAATGTTTTCTGCGATCTTTCTTCATCAATTCCAAGTCCACCAGAATAAGCAAATGTCGAATTTGTATTTGTATTATAATTACAAGCATCTCGTTTCTTCCAAAAAATCCAACAAATTCGTAGAAGTATCCAAAGATTCCTCAATTCTTCCGAATTTTGTTTCAATATGTAATCGAAGAACTAATAATCCATAATTATTTTCGAAATCATTCAATGCGTTTACAATTAATTCCAATGCGCCTTTAAGATCGCCATAAGAGGAGAAGATTAAGGAAAGAAGCATAATTGCACAAGGTTGATCACTATTTAAAGCAAGACTTCGACTACATCGATCTTTTGCTGATTCAAGATCTCGAGCTGCAAAAAATAAGTAGATTGGTTGATTTCGTATTTTGTGAGTTTTTTCTTTGAAACTAACAAATCGCATGGAAATACGCAGCATAATAAAGTGCTAAATAATCATGTGGATCTGCCGAAACACATTCTTCAATCAAATTCACAGCTTTGCTCAATTTCTCCCGTCTTTGCTCCCAAATTGTTTCTTCTTGTGCTCCCAATCTGGAAAAAATAGAAATTGAATATTTTCTGAGGAGATGAATTTTAAAATTTCGCGTAGTAAGTTCACGTTTTTTAATATTTTTATCGGTGCAAAAATAAGTTTTTTTTAAACAAAATCTAATTGTAACTTTCCAAAAAATTTGATCTACCAATTTCTAAAACAAAAATATTTTTGACCTCCCATTACCGTTCAATTTTCGATCGATATTGCAAATCTTTTTTGTCAGTTCCATTTTCAAACTTGTTTCCACGCATTCTAAAATTTCAGCTGATGTCGTTTTATGGATGGGATCAAGGATGGTCGGAAAAGTTTCCAAAAACTCCCTCAGACATTTCACGTAGGGATATTTCTTTTCCGAATTTTGGTGAAGATTTATTGACGAATTTGAAACAACCAGGAGTTTGTCGAGCATTTTTTGAAGAGAACAACCAAAAAGACAAAAGAATGGAGGCAGAAAGAGACGAAAGGTTGAAATTGAGGTAAACAGATGATTTTGGATAAGAGAAAATTGATACATTACTTAGATCAAAAACTCGACATTTGCATATTGTTTCACAACTCGAAAACCTAGAAATTGGTCAAAATCTCTACGGCCGCCGAAGTTTGTCAAGCACAATTTTGAATTCGGAACATCGAGAATATCGAATTGATCAAAGACTTATGACAGAATTGAATAGCGTTCCTTTGAAGATGAAAAATCGTAGAGTAGTCGTGAAATCAGCGGAAAAAATTATTTCTTACGATCAACCCGAAAATGACTTTGATCTTTCGTATGCGCAAGATCCGCTGAGAATTCTACAAGTTTTTCTGGTTGATTGCGAGCTGAATAATAAGACGGAAACAATTGCACTTGTTTTGCGACAACGTAACTTTTACGTGTACAATTTGAATAGTTCGGAGAATCCTATCAAGAAATTCATTTTGCCATACGTAATTCGAAATTGCCATTCTAAGTGAGTATTAAAGGGATTTCAAGAGAGATGCTTTACTATTCCAAAGTTACCCTAATTTTTTGTCTTCAGAAAAATGAATTGGAACAGAAAAAATGAATCACTTTGCATCAAAATCGCAGGAAATGAGGACACGTGTTTTCTACTTTTCGATATACTTTCACTAGAATTTGTGACAAGTTTTGTGGTGAAACATAATGTGAGATTTGTTCTTAAAAAAAACAAAAAATTAAATGTTTTGTTTCAGGCGATCAAATTTTTCTTTGGAGAGCTATCAAAATTAAAGTTGAAACAAGATATTTTACATATTCGATGGGCATCTACATTAATTCTATATTCGTTTCCAGAATATTGGGAGAAGTTTGGGAATTCAAGACGGATTTCAGATATTGCTGAGGATCTAGATTTAGAATCAGAACTACCAATAGTTTTTGAAATTACAGAATTCAGTCAATCACTTTTTTATATTGAGGAATCACATCAGGTGAATAAATCCGGATGATAACGACTTTCGAAAAATAAGAGATATTGTCTTATAAAGCTAAATAGGCTGACAGCAATGCTATAAAAATAAGCATTTGACTTTCTGAGCTCCGAGCTAAATTTCAGGGCTCATTTTCTTGGCTCCGCTTGGAGATCGAAATGTAATTTTTACATCATTGTGATCGGCGTATTCATTTCTATAAGACAATATTTCTTTTTTTTCAAGAGGTGTTATCACTCTCATGCAATTCCATTATAAATAACACGGAGATTATTTAGATTATGCATGTTTCTCCAAATCTTCCTTTCATTTTTGTATTTCCACGATTATCATATCCTTCATTTTCTGGAAATTTCTCACATCATCCATTTGTAATTATGGATCTCAAAAACCCTGAAACCCTGGTCGATTTCAATCAAAAATGCCCTTTTCCCCGAAATGGTCGCGGTGTCAACTTCAGCGATTTCGAGATGAACACCAAAAAACGATCGTCTTTTATTTTTGCTGACGATTCGAATTCGACATTTCTGGCATTCGAAAAATGCGATTTGGTCAAATATTATGTGAACAATAATGAAACAATTAGAGAAGTTTGGAGAACTACGATATTTCCGAATGTTGAAAATCGAAATTTTTATCTAAGAGAATTGTATGAAAGAGCAAAAGAGGAAAGATCTGGACTAGAAAATTATTATCGTGATAAAACATTGAGCAAACATATGGTAAATCCAAAATTCAAAGAATTTTCTCATTTTCAAATTAGAGCTAATTAGGAAAGTATTTTTTCCAGAAAATTCACAATGCTTATCAATCAAAAGATGGCGAAAATATAATAGTATATTTATCAATTGAAGATGGTCTACTTTTACCAAATGGTTATTTTGCTATGATGGCATTTACCAGAAACGATATTATGCGATTCGCTTATATTATCGATGATAAAAATGGAGAAATATTGAGAATTATTCCATTAACAAAGAAAAACGAAACAGATGGTAATCAACCTTGGGAATTCGAATTAGAGGAAGATATGCTAACTCTTCCAAAAAAGGCATCGTCACCAATTTCAGTTCTGGAAATATGGCAACTCATGGAGCCACAACAATATATTATTGATGATAACTGACAAATAATTTTGATTGTTTTTTGTAAATAAATTTGTGAATAAATATATTTTTGATTTTAAAAATCTAATTTTCCAAAAAAAATATTATATATTTTTCAACCCCTCCCTAAAATTCCTCACCCATTCGCAATCGCATTTATCAACTGACATCTTCCTTTCAAAAACATCAATTGTCCATCTTTCTGGCACAATTCCACCGCTTTTTTCGAATATTCTTGAGCGGCCGAAAAATTGGCAAATCTCTCGATATAAATTTGTGATAAAAGCATGTATTCAGAAATAACAGATAGTGCGCAAGATGGATTATTTGTCAAATGAAGTGAAGCAGTTTCAGCCGCATCAAAACTGTTGTTATGATGGTTTTTGTGATTATGTGAATTAGAGGAACTCGAATGAGAAGATGATGAAGCTTGAACAGAAGAATTCGAATTCGAAGCTGAAGCAGAAGATGAAGTGTCATTAGTTGTGATAATAGATTGTTCCAAAACTCTCGCAGCTCTTGAATATCTTCCTCGACAAATCGATGAAAGTGCAAATTGTTGCCATAAAAATGAATCATTATTCGCGAATTTCATAGCTCTTTCATAAATTGTAGCAAGAATATGATATTGTCGTAGTGTAGATAGAACCTGCAAAAAATAGTCAAAAATGATACAAAATATGGAAAATTATGCTAATTTTTTATTGTTGAAAAAGAGAGGAAATTTTCGAATTTGAGAAAAAATAGCGTCGGAAACCGTACTATAAGAAAAGTTTCGAATTTTTTCAATGAAAATTTTGACGCCAAAGAATCAACAAATAAATTCCCCATCCAAAACTTTGCAAAAAAGTCAAATTTTGGAAGAATTAAGAGAACCAAAAAAAAAAAACAAAAGACAAAGAAGAGTACAAACAAATGAAATCTTCTTCTCTTTTTCCCCATTTTTTGGTGGGTGCTACTAAAAACTTAATTAGATGCTCGCCAAAAAGCGAAAAAAAAAACTTTTTTCAACTCGATTATTTGACCAAAAAAACTACATAGTGTTAGTTTTAAAAATGAAAACAGCACATTGATTTTTGGCACAAAATTTTGAATTTTGTAGGAATATTGAAATTATACTTTTGAAAAAACCCCACGTGGAGGATTTAATTTGACCATACCAAAAAAAAGTTTTTTTGCTTGTAATGTGTGAAAAAGTATTGCAACCAGTTAGATTAAAAAGGGAAACAAAATTGTAGAATTTTTTGGTAGTGACAAGTTTGGAAATTGATTCTATCTTCTTGTTTTTGTTTTTTCTTCTTTTCACACTTCTATTTTTAGATTTATAACAAAAATATTTTTGTTCATAGGTCTCGATACAATTTACGCTCATTGAAAATACAAAAAAGTTTTCTAAAACTACATTTTTCTCTCTTTTCCTTTCTCACTTCTATCCAAAATTTAAAACTCACCAAAGTCAATAAATTGAAAACCGATTTAGCATTTTGCAATGAATGTGTTCGATTATTCGATAAATCATCAGATCGCGAAAGAACAACTTCGCGAGTTGACAAAACTTCGCTGATTAATAGAAGCAGAACAACTTCTTCGATTCGAGAAGAAGGAGCAAAATAGGCACGATTTGAGCCAGTGTAGAAACTAGAAAATGAATGGATAAATTGAAATGTTGCAGGAGAATACGTGGCATAAGTTCACGTGATTTTTTTTAAATTGAGGTGAGTTAGCAAAAATTTTGTGAAATTTTGTATTCATCCTGAACAGTAAAATCAGAACTTGTCACAAATTTTTCTATCTAGAATCTAAATCTTCCCTACAAACCTCAAATTCTGTGACTTCACAGCCAATGCTTCACTCATCATCGCTTTTTCTTCGGTTGGCACAGTTGCTCTAATCAACAATTCCGCTAATTGCCTCGATAATTTCTGTTGCAATCTTTCGCCTGTCGATTTATCTCCCAAACATGTTATAATCTTTCTATACCATTCAATTCCTTCGCTTCCATTTTTCCGTTGTGCAACTGTATCTTTTGCTCGAAGAACCGCAACTCTTTCTAAACATCTCTCCAAAATTTCTCCAATTTTCTCTTGTTGTTTAGTTCCTCCAGTCGTAGTCAATGCAGTTGGCACAATTTTCCCGTTATTATTATTCATCGCTTTTTCTAATTCATTAATATAAGATATTGCTAATTCGGCTGATTTTTCAAAACAATTCAAAGCCTTGATTTCATTTTGTGTACTTTTATTTGATATTCCACTTGATACACTCCAACTATGTTCTCGTGTATTTTCCATTGATTCTAAACACAATCCTTTGATTGCATATCCTTCAGCAACTAATCTAAGAGCTCGTAGAGTTCTAAACGGCGTATTTCCTTTTTCCATTCCAGAGTTTTCGATTGCGACCAGCGATTTTTTATATTCTAGACACGCGTATTCGAGTTTGGCCAATAATACATTTGCTTCGAGGTAGACACTTGAATTTGTCGATTTATCGCGTAATACTGATTCGAGAAGTTGTTCAGCGTTATGAAGTTTCTCGTGATGATCTTTGTGTGGTCGGAGCACTTCTGAAACGATCAATTTTTTTAGCCAAGAGATTAAAATTATTTTCAGTTGAATTATAGGCCAAAACTTGATTTTTTCATAGACGAACTTCTAAACTTATAAATCAAAGTAAAAATTCAAATTCTTACCCCCAAGTTGCTCTAGAAAAGTCTCCAAAATAATCTCGGCTTGAAAAAGATCATATGAATCTTCTAACCCGGAATTTTTCGATTTGACAGATGGCAACAATTCGGATAATCTCTTCCAATTTCCATCAGTTCTAACCCGATCAACTTCAGCTTCCAATCGACTTCCTTTCAGTTTGCTCATCTTTTCTCTAAAATGAAAATTATTTCAATCAATTTTGAAAAATCCCAGAGGAATTTCAGAGCTTTTCATACTCATTTTTCACGAGAAAAAAAATAGTTAAACTTAAAACATTCACTAAAATACGAAATTCAGCCTAAATATAACATAAAAAGGAAAACAGTTAAAAGGCAAAAGTTAACAGTTATATCGGGATTTGTTTATGGATGTCCGTGATTCATTTTTTGTAAATGTTCGACCATGAAATTGCTGGCGTCGATCATTCGATTCACGCAGTTTTGAAGGCAGGTTTGAGTTTTTCCGTCCATTTTGCTTGGTGGACGATAATCGGATAAACAAACATCCCAACATCTTCCAGTCAATGTGTGAACCTGAAATTCTTTCTTGATTTTTTCGCTTTTACTTTTAAAAATTACCTGCTCGGTAAACTTTTGTCGCTGAGTTTCAGCTTGAAGTTGTTGCAAGAATCGGGCAAGTTGTGGGTCAGCAGAGTCCATTTTCCCTGAATCAATAAGTTTATATAAAATAATAATCATGAAATTTCCGCATGATGAAATTTAAGCTTTTATATTCAACTTTATTATAGAAAACCTTTGATTCTTTTTGAGAACGAAACAAGGAAAAGTCTACTAGTTTTGCTAATTCTATGAAAACTCTTTAAAAATCAATCGGGAGGAAAACTGGAGGAAAACACAAGAAAGAATCATCAAAGAATCAAGAAACGAAAAAAAATGAAAAAATCGCAGAAAACGTGTCAACAACTTGGAAACACATCAATGTGCCGAACACTGACGCATTTCGCGTGCAATTTTTTACTTTCATTTCTTGGCAAAAAAATTTTCAAAAAAAAAATTAAAACAAAACAGAAGAAAAACGTGTCCTCAAAACGTAACGTGAAACCTGGATAAAAATGAATCAGCCATTTCAAAATTTCAAACCTCAAAAAAATGAAATTCTCTATTTTGATCTGTTTCTTATTCTTCAGCATTGCAAACGCCTGGACTTTCATATATGTAAATTTAGAGATTTTTTGAGAATTCTTGCCAATTAAAAAAATTTCAGTCAAGCCATGAACAATGTCGTAATCGTAATGTCTTTTTCTATTGGGAAGCCATTGAGGGACAAACAAATGAATGTAGAGCTCATATTCAGGTATAAATATTATTTTGATGTCTAAAATGAGATATGTAAATAGGATTTTTTATGGAAAAAAAAGATGAATAGTTTCTAATTTTATCAAAAGTTGATCTGAATCGCATTTTTTAGCCTTGCTGAAAATCATATTTATCAAATTTCCAAATTTCTTTCAGAGTTGGTTCTTCTGTGCTCTTTTGATTATAATCACAGTTTTGGCAAATATACTGATTCAGGCATTGACAAATTGCATCGAAGGAATCGATAGAAGAAAGTCTTCTGAATAACTTGTATAAGTAAATAAACTTTATTTGTCATGGCAATAGAAAAATCGGAAAAAATTGAAAAAATTCGGTTAGTATACAGAAAAACGACCTGTTTTCATTTTTTGTTTTGTTTTTTGGAAAACAATATTTATTTGCTATGCAAAGTCACGGTTTCCCCAAGTTTGTTGACAATTGTGAGCTGAAAATGAACAATTGAATTTTTGGAGGATCAAACACACTGAATTTCTGGTGAGAAAAAAACCTACTTTAGAACCATTAGTGGAATGAAGTGTGATGATTGGGTTTTCGTTTTTCGTCGAATTTGAGAAATTTCGAGCGTCTGACATCATTAATGTGCTTGAGGCGGCGATTCTTGACTGAAAATAGCGATTTTGGTTGGTTTTTAGGAAGTGGATTGAGAACATTTAGGTTCCCGTGAAAAAACATTTGGGCAAATTTTTTAATGGAAATTTTACGTAAAAAAATTAAACTTTCAGAAATTTTGTATTTAGATTTTTTATGGATTGCCAATATAATTTATTGGACACATTTTGAAATCAAATCTGAATTTATCGATAAATTCAAATTCTGGGTTCATTTTATCTTTGAATTACCCACATCCAAATTTCCTTTCGAAATCATCGGTAATCCATTTATATCAGCCACGCAAACACCATTCGCTCCAACATGAGTCATCCTGAAATTATTTTTTTAATAAATGAGAAAGTGTTTCTAATAAGGTTCAAGCAAAAAATATGCTTACAGGTGAAAAAGTAAACTAATTACTTATTTTCATTAATAAACTCAAAATATCTCATCACCAATTTTTAATAGAAAAATTCAAAAGTAGGGAAATACAGTAATTTGAACATTTTCTGATTTCGAATAGAATTTTTGGGTAATTTTTTTATTGTGAAAACTTTTCCCAAAAAAACTCACATCTTCTGTATATTTTGATTCAGCTTTGCTTCCATCTGAGTTTTTAAAAAATATGTTAATAATTTATTATTTTCCCGGAGTTAGATAAAAATGGACCACAACCAAAAAAACGTTCAAAAAAAAGAATGTAAAACCGGTAAAGTTTATTTATATAAAAAGAGTTACGAAAAATCATATTTTTCACATGAAAATCTTTGAACAGAGTGTGGTGGGGGAGGAAGCAATTTTTAGAAAAAAAATCATAAAAAATCAATCAATAAATAAATTATACAAGAATGGGAAAATTAATCACATATCTTCAAAAGGGGACCCAAAAGACTAATATTTTAGAAAAAACCTAACAAATGAGGAAAACTCGTATTAGCAAAGAATAAAAATCAATAAATAAATTAGAAAAGTTAAAAAGGGCGAAAAAATAAATATATATTTGATAAGAGAAGCAAAAAAGAGAAATATTCTAACCCAATCTTTTACTTGGTGGTTTTCTAACACCTGGGGGTGGAATTGCACTTAAAAGTGGCATTTCTGGTGGAGGACTTCGACCACCATTTGAACCACCTGACGAATAATGTAGATGACCACTTTTACTGTGTCGACCGGTTAATGGAGCAAATCTGGAAAAAAAATGGGGAAATGTTTTGTAGCTTGAGGGAACTAGAATCAAGGGTTTTAAAAAGTTTTGAAACGAATTTCGAATTTTCAGAAATTTCATAGAACTTTCAAATCAAATATTTGTATGTTCACCAAAAAAAAACATACCCAGGCGCTTGATGCGACATAAAACTCGAATCCGATGATCCATACGACATAACTGGTGCAAAAGGATCATTATAAACTTGCGATTGTCTTCCATGACTTCTTGATCTTCTTCGATGAGTCGATGAACTTCCAGCCGCTCCACCACTTCCAGCTACATTTCCACTATGCTCTTTTTTCGATTTCGTTCCACTCGATTTTTCGTTTGTTGTTTCCAATTGTTCACCCATTGCAGATCGACGACTTGTTCGTTTTTTCGTCGGAAGAGTCATACTTCCAGATGAGAAGTAATCTTCTTGTTGACCTAACATTTGTTGACTGCAAAAAAATCAGATTGTTTGGTGGGTTTTTTGGGGAGAAAAAGTAACATGGAGCCAATCTTTGAAACCAAAGCAACAAAATCTTCATATTTAGCTAATTTTCTCGAAAAATCTAGTCTTATGACTCATTTTTTTAATGTTCTCTAAAACTCGGCTCCAATTTCAGCATTATCCGAAAAAGTGCCATATAAAATTAAGAAAAAAACTAACCGTCCACCCTGTGGTGGATATACAGGTTCGTCCCAAATTGGATTATCCAACGGAGATCCTAATCTCTCTTGTCCTCCAATTCCTCCAATAATTCCTCCACCAAAATCAGCACCTCCGCCGGCAATAATTGCAGACGAGTTAGCCAATCCTCCCAATATTTGTGTTGTTTGTAAATCATCCAACTTCTTTTTCAATTGCATCACATCATGGAAGCTCTTCGTCTCCAATTTTGTATATTCTTTTTGCAATCGTTTCAATTCTGATTCAATTTCTCGAATCTTATCATCCTTTTTCCTTGTTGTCACATCATTTTCCAATAATTGTTTATCTTTTGCAAAACCTTCTTCTCTCAAAGTACTTATAATTTTATCAACTTCCGATGATTTATTCATACTTTGATTCAACATTTTCAACATTTCATTCATTCTTTCAGCCGATTCTTTCTTTTCCGCTTCTAATTCCTCAATCTTTTTCTCCGAATTCTTCGAGTTATTCTCTCTTTCAATTTTCAATCTTTCTTCTTTTTCATAAAGTGCTCGATATTTCACATATTCCTTCTCTAAATCCACAATCCTCTTATTTAATTCAACTATTTCAATATTACTCCGAACAATTTCAATTTGCGAACTTTCCGGTGTTTTCTCTTCTTTTTTATTTTCTTCAATCTCATCATCATTATCTCCAAAATCAGACCATCCAGATCCTCCAGATTCTGCTCCAGCAGATCCTCCTTCATTCTGATTTTTCTCATATTGTTGGATAACTTCCATGAGGCTAGAATTTTCAGTTTTTGCGTGTTTCAATTCGCTCTCAAGATCATTGTTGATTTGTTGAACTTCGTCAATTCTCAATTGAATTTTTCTCAAATTCTCCAATTCTTGCTCATATTTCTGTTGATATTCGTCTTTTTCATATTTCAAATCATTCAATTCTTGTTGACGAAGTAACACTATTTGTTGAGATTCTAGAAGAAATAGATGCTATTTTTAGATATTTTTAAGAATTTCAAAAAATTACCATTGAGTTGTGCTCGAATGGAATCCAATTCTCTCGCAGTTTCTTGTCCACCATACGAAGTTCTCTCCAATTTTTGCTCAAATTCAGCAACAACTCCCACCAATCTTTCAATTTCTTGTTGTTTTTCATCAGAAGATACTTTCCATTGATTCATATGATGTTCGAATTCAGCACGTTGAGATTGAACTAATTGAAGTTCGGAAGCAAGTTGGGAATGTCTAAAAAAATTTGAACAGTTAATTATTTTTCAAAATAAAACCTACTGATGTCTCAACGCAATCAATTCTTGATCATTTTGTGGAGCAGCAACTTGTTGAATTCCAGCTCCAACTTTCGCTTCAGCCGCTTTCAACTTCAATTCTAATTCTTTATGTTTTGTTGTCAAATTGAAATAAGCCAGCCGATCGAATTTGTCAGGTTCCGAAGATGAAGAAAGAGTATGGATAACGAGATAAATAACCAGGGAAGCCAAGACGAAAGTGATATTAACATAGAAAGCAATGCTTGCATCAGTAATGTTTCCGAGAGCAAAAGTAGAACGGATGAATTCGATAAGACCAGATGAAGTTGGAGGGACTGCAAATTTAATTAGATAGATTTTCAGTTGACAAGAAGACTTTGGGCTATTTTTACGTCAAAAAAAAATTAACATTTACTGAATCTTGAAATTACTGTGAACTCAGATTAAAAACCTTCAATCTCACCTCCAATATCTTGATGCGAATAATTGGTTCTCTCTTCAATTGGTTTCGATGCAGCTGCTCTTTCAGCTTCCCATTTCGCAAAATCAGCATCTTCTTGACTTTGTTGTTGTTGCGTTACCTGAACCACAGGTTCTTCTTGAATTGGTGCTGGCGGTGGAGGAGGCGGAGGTGGTTGAGTGTTCTGTAATCCTTCGCATTCATCCTTGTAGCAAGTACCCTTAACAAAAAAGGAACTCGACGAAAGACAAAAGGGTTAGGAAACAAAACAAAAAAATCCCAAAAAAAACTCACCAATTCCTCTTTTGGAGCAACAACTTCTTCAACTGGCAATGTAATTTCAGGCAAAACAATATCCAATGGTGGCTGTGGAGTTGTAACAACTTCTGGGACAACCTCGATTGGGGCTGGTGTTACTTCGACTGGTTGTTCAATTATAACTGGTGGTTGAGTTACAATATCTTGAACTGGTGGAGGTGGAATTTCAGCAACTGATTGTGGTGTGATAACTTCTTCTGGCGCTGGAGTTACTTCAACAATTGTTTCAATTGGAGCTGGTGTTACTTCTTGCACTGGAACTGGAACATCTTCAACAACTGGTGCTGGAGTAGTTATTGGAAGTTCGATAGTTTCAATTGGTGCTGGTGTTGTTGGAGCTGGGACAACTTCTGGAACTTCTGTAGCAGCCACATCTGGAGTTGCTTCAGCTACAGCAACGACTGGTTCAGTCTTCAATTCAGCTTGTCTTTTCTGTCTCTCCTCATCCTCTCGAATAAACTTTTCCATCGCATCTTCAATTGCTGCAGCTTCTCCTGTTGTTGGCGGTGTTCCAAGAACATTATTGAGGTTTATAACAGGTTGAGCTTCTTGAGCAGCGACTGGAGCAGGAGTGGTTGTAACAACAACTGGTTCAGCAATTACTTTAACAGGTTCAGCAGGTTTCACAGTTTCAGCTGGTTTATCGTGGCTATGCCCATGTCCCCCGTGGCTATGTCCGTGTCCCCCGTGGCTATGTCCGTGACCACTATCATCTTTTGGTTCAGGGATTTCGAAAAGCTCTGGAGGTGGTAAACCAAGTTCTCTTGCAACATCAACAGCTTTAGCGTTATAATCTCGAACCAAATCAGTTTCTGAATGAACTACTCCGATGATTTTCTTCTCTCCGATATCTGATGGATCTTGACTGATAATTTGCATTTCTTTCTTATCAACTATAGCGGTTCTCAAAAACTCGGCATATGGTGCAACATCAATAGCACCGGCGTAGAAAAACCCGCGTGAATCTCCAATTCTACCCTCCATAATATCATAACGATCACTAAATTTGACAGAAGTTACATCAATAATCGCTCCATCAAATAGTTTCAGGAAATTTGGATCATTGTTAATACCCATAACACGTTTGACCCGTGTTTTGAAAAGCACCTCATCGCAATTCACATTTCCACAAAGTTTCGATTTTTTCGATACAGTTGGTTGACGCGCATTGACAAATAATATGAGCAATAATAAGATACAACTCTGAAAATTGAAAACCAATGAAATTATGGATTTTTTGACAACACAAAAACCAGTTTTTCTCTGGTAAAATGAAAAAAACAATAAACTTACCGAAATTGCAAATAAACTCCTGTTTGATAGCATAATTTATGATATATACAACCGGGATCCGGCTATAAAACCGGCCACAGATAATTGGAAATCTGAAAATAGTATTGATTGATACTTTTCGACTGAAAAAACCCGGTTAAAAACGAGAAATGACAAGGACACGTGTAAATCGTTTCGCTCCGCCTCTTTTGGTTGTGTGCGGCAGGGATTAATTGCAATGTTGCGGCGTGGTTTTGGAAATTTCGGGAGAGAATTTGTTTGCGCTCTAAATTTTTTATGTGTTCTTTTTAGGTTTTCTGACTTTTCAGATTAAAGAAAAAAGTTAGACTTTTCATTTAGACGAGGCAAATCAGATATTGTATTCAGAATTTTCAAAAGTTGCTCTGAACATGCTGAGAAACACCTGAAAATCAACGCGAAAATACACACAGATTTCAAGAAAAACTTCAAATTTGGCCAATAATCTTCATTTCTTAAAAAAAAAGAACCATACAACTTTCAAAAAAAACAAATTATACTCCTCCTGGAGTTCTCAATTGAACATTATCAACATAAAGTGTATGAGTGACACCCATTTTCTTATTTCCACTCGAAGTTGCCACAATTTTACAAACATGTCGGCCGATTAGGAAGTGGGTTTCAGTACCAGATTCCACGAATTCGCCAGCCGTATCGATTTTCTTGCCGTTTACCCAAACTTCCATTGTTTCTTTGTCTAGAAAAATAAATTATTTGGAAAAAAATTAATTAAATCACAAAGATATTTCGAAACTTCAGATGCATTCAAACTCACCAAGAACAATTCTAACTTCTTCACCGCTCAACGAAGTTTCCCAACTTGTTAATTTTCGACTTTGGTCATCGCGAAACTTTTGAAAAGCCTTGCCATTCACCTTTAAAAAACGTTGATTGGGAATTGTTTAACATTATCATTCAAATTTTTGTAACTCACATCAAGTGAATATTCGTAGGCAAAAGTTCCCAATGCTTCAACATTGATTGTGCAATTCATATCACCGACTTTGAAATGTTCTTTTCCGACAAGTTTAAACATCCAATCGCGTCTCAAAATCTCTTTTCCATCCACTTTTACAACTCGTTTTCCAGTTGTTGTTCCATGTTCAAATTCGATTTTGTGAATTTTATCATGAAGAGGAACATTCCACGTGGCAACACTGTCTGGATCTTTGGTGTCAGGCATCTGAAATCGATCAATAATTCTTAGTATTTTAATAATCTTAGTATTTTCAAAAATGTTTAAGGTACAAACATTGAAAGAAACATTGGTTACTGTATCGTGAATCACTGTAATTCTCCAAAAATCTTTTTTTATCTACAAAATTACGGTATACCTTTTTGAAAGTTTCTGAATTTTTCTACACCTGAATTTTCCGAAAACTACAGTAATCCTGAAATAACAATTTCCAGAAAAAGTTATACAACTCAAAAAGGATAAGCTTCTGAAAATCCTATTTTTCTGAAAATTTGGGGTTCTCAAGATTATCAGCAAAACAAACTAAAACCTCTACATAATCACCAGAGTTAACCTAAATTTTTTAGAAAAGTTGGTTCGAAATGCAATCTGTGAGAAGTTGTTGTATAATTTGTCCGGCCCGTTTCCAAGGAAACTCGTCTATTGATTTTCTTCTTCTTCTCATTTTCATTTTTTTTTTGAAGAAAAATAAAGTGAGTGAATTACAGAGTGAGAAAAACTATTTATCACATGATGAAAATAATAAATACGGGTTGGGGTTTGGAAAAAAAATCGAGGAAAGAAAATTTGAGTTGAAAGAGGGAAAAATGACTCGATTCGGGAATATACGGTTTTCGAGAGAGAACAAATTTTGAATTTTCTTCAGAAATTGAAAATGTTCGCATTTTCTGAGAGCTACATCATTTTGCAAGAACTGTTAATATACCCCAATTTTTTTTTAATTGGCTTTCATAATTTATTTTCTCATAAACCTTATACTCCCGAACACAGCCAAAGAAAAATGAGATATGATTTTTCATGTTTTGGTCGAGGCTTCTTTGATGGCACGAAGTTGTTTTTTGGTTTGAATCAGGTCGTTTCCTTGAGCTTCTCTGAAAGAAAAAAACATTTTTATTTACATTGTTAGGATCTCAAAAAAAATCTAAATGTGAGGAAAACTAAAATTAAAACTGAAAAGCACTCTAAAAACTCACAAGGTCGACATAAAGCACAATCATTTCTGCAATATTTTATCAAGTAAATTTTAGTTTCAAACAAATTTATTTTTATAGTCAAAAGTAAAACTTACAGCTTGGCATTGAGTGAAATAATTGTGTGATGAGCTTCTCGACATTTCTCATCGAGTTGCTCATTTTCTATTGCAAATGCTTGAACTGTCGATTGGGTCTGCAAAAAAGTCTGAAATTTGTAAAGAAAAATGCGAGGTAGAGAATATAACCCCTAAAAAAAAGAACCTGCGCGAAAATGGCGTCCAATTCATGTAATTCCAAAGTCAACGCATCACATCTTGCTCTTTCCAATGCCAAATCAGTCGATGTTCTCGACAAATCCAATTCAGCTTGATTTTTCAATTCATCAGCTTTTCCTAATTTTGATTTCAGATCAAGAATGGTCTCGTCACGATCCAAAATCTACGAGAAAAATACCTTTTTTTGTTGAGATTTCAAATCAAAAAATTACCATAGTTCTAGTTTTCTCCAAATCATTGTGCAGAGATTCGCTAAGTTGTCTTTCCCTATCCAAATCAATCAATAGATTCTCATTGTCAGCCAACACTTTTTCCATCATTTCACGCTCTTTTGACTGGAAAAATAATTGTTTTAATTAGGAATCTCAATGAAATTAATGAATGAGAAGGACTTACCAAAATCTCATTTTTCTTTCTTTCTTCAGCTTGTTCGATGGCTCTTTCAGCTTTGGATTTCAGATCTTTTGCAGTCTTGTTGGCGGGATAATTGACGAGACCTGGACAAAAATGTTTTTGAACAAAACTTGGATTACTGTAGGGACTAAAGTTTTGATTCAATATTGAACATATCAAAAAGTTACTGTAGGTCCGTTTTGAGGCGGGATATATTGTTTCCAAAAGACATAAATACACGTGGAAAATTTATTTTACTAAAACTATTTATATTTTTGATACAAATTTTAAAAAATTTTAAGAACTCCTTTCGGAATTTTTCTATAAAAATTTTATTTCAAAGTTTTTCCCGAATTTCCAAAAATATCCAACCTATGAAATAATGAATTGCTCATATTAGTCTCATTCCCAAAATCCTCTTCATATTCTTCATTTTCGGAATCATTACAAATTCCCACAAATTTCGTCGAATCATTTTCTAAAATTCTCGCCAATTCTTTCGTCGCATATTTGGCTTTTCGATATTTTTTCTCCATTTCTTGTAAATTCGCCTGCATTTTCAGTTTTTCCCTCAATAAATTGTCCATTTCTCGAGACATTTCACTTAATAATTCCTGTTGTTCTAGAAATCGTTCTCGATTTCCACGCATTTCTTTTTCGAGTTCAAATATTTGACGTTTGAGCATTTTCGTGTCTTCTGAGTTGGGAAAATTACGGAGGCGATCGATTTCTACATTTTGAGCCGCGATTGTTCGATTCGCTTTTTCTGGAAATAAGATTTTTTTAATTTGGCATTTTTACAGTAACCCTGTGCCTACAGTAACCCTAAAAATCTCACCAATTTGAATAATAATCGAAGCCGGCACATTACTGTAATCCTCTTTTTTCTCTTCATTTTTTTCATAATTTTTTCTACCGTATTCTCCATTCAGATTATTACTGTAGTTTTTCGCATTTCTTTGGAGGATTACTGTATTTTGTTGTTCGGCGTTGGCCGTTGAAGTTGATGGAAAAGAAGACAGCTGCAAAAAAAAACAAATCGTTTCTTCAACAAAAAACCAATTTTGTCAGTGGGGCGTATTTGAATATTCAAATAAAAATTTTTTAAATTTTCGCACAAAATCAAAATTAATTTGTTGAAAAATATCAAAAACCACTAGAAAATCCCACGTTTCTCATAGTAACCATGCATTTTTTCTCATTGAATTTTTTAAAGCAAAAAAATAACACTTGTGACAAGTCAAAAAAGAGTATCATCAATAGTTTTCGTTTTTCAGCCAAGCTAGAAAAAAGGCATGTTTTTATCTCTGCGCCTCATGCATTTTCAAGTGACTCAACATTTTTGGCGCCAACAAACAAATTCGAAAAAAAAAACAAAAAAAGGCGAGAAGGGAGGAGAGAAATGAATGAAAAAAAATAAATTGAATTTTTTTCGCCAATTTTTTTGTTCGGGCGATGGATGGATAAAAAATAATTAAATAAATATTTTTTTAGATTTATTTTATTTTTTTGAAAAACTAAAAAAATGTGATAAACACCGAAAACTTAATTTTCTCATGTTCCTTTAAAGGCCACAGTAACCCAGGATTAATTTTAACGTCGAAATTTTCGGATTTTAAAAGAGCTTGGGGAAAGTTGAATAAGGACTTTTGGTGTCAAAATTTTCTGGTTTACTGTAGAAAATTTGAGATTTTAAAGGAACATGAGCAAAATTATATGAAGATTTTTGCATTAAAAATTGGACCTGGGTTACTGTAAACAAATGGTTCTCAAGGCGCAGCTCCTTGACAAAGTAAATCTCTAGGCGCTAGTCCTAGACAGATATGCTCTCAAGTCTCAATTACTTACAGTTAGGCTTTCTAGAAGCGGCAGATTTTTTTCCAAATCAAAAAAAAAAAGGAAAAGCTGAACATTTTTCATTTTTCAGGAGCAATCAATTTTTTTTGCCACGAAAAAAACGCAAATAAAAAGACACTCTAAAAGGGCGGTAAAACGAGAAGTTGGCACAACAAAAAAATGAAAAAAAAAGATTTGTCTTTTTTTTGAGTGTGGCAGAAATGCAGGAAATTTTATTTTATTTTTGGCGTGACCCATTTTTTTGTTTCTCAAAAATTCAAATTTGAAAACAATTATTTCTGAAATTTTCGAAATTAAAAAATGTTTGGATCAAAATTTATATTCATAATGATAATAATTGTAGGTTTGATGTGTCTAGGACCCGCGTCTAGAGATCAATTTTGGCAAAGAGCCACGCCTTGAGAGCTTATGTGACAAGTAACTGTTCAATTCAAAACAATTTTTCAGGTATATTCTTCGATATTACCTATGGTTACGAATCAAATTACAGATCTGAACCCACATAAAAAATACGAATTTAGTTATCGTGAGTATTGCAAAAAAATCCTTTTATTTTCAATATTCAAATTCAACAATTTTCAGCCAAGGCTATGCAAAATAATTGCAAATATCGATATAAAGCTAAGAAACGTTCTCCAATTGAATATCTTTTGGAAGACATTCAAAAAAATCGACCAGAACAGACGAAAATATTAGAAATTAAAGGATATCTGGTACAGTGTTGAAAAAAGTTAAAGACCAAAAATGATTTTTCATTTTTTCCAGAATGAAGCTGGAATCGATTCAGATAGAAAGAAGAAATTGGAAGAATATGTTGATTTGTTGGAGAAAAGACTTGAAAGAAAAAATAATGTGGAGGAATTGAATCAATATTTGACAGGATTCCCAAAAATATTAGAAAGGGGAGATCAGTAAGTTATATTTGGCGAATAAATATCAGGGTTTTCAATTGCCTTCATGTTCAGCGAATCGATGATTTTTCAGATTCTGCTTCTTACATCATATGAAAGGTGAATATATGGAAAATTTCATTTATGAAAATGGATATGATCCATTTATAAATGGTCATGCTGCAAATGGTCAAATGGGATATATTAGTAAAAAAGATGGAGAACAGAAATTATTATTTGGAGATAGAGATAAATCGAGACAAAAATGTCGAAAAGAAACTAGAGAACATACTGGAAATAGTGGATCATGTGTTAGTTATCCGGAATTGTATGATAAGAAAGAATATCAACAAACTACTGATGATATATTCAAAAATATGATTAAAAAATAGAATAGACATTTTTTTACTTTAATTTTTCGAATAAAGATTTTTTTTTTCTTGACGTGATCCAAAAAAAACAACTATTTTTGAGTCATTTTTAAATTTTTTCGAACTAAAAAATGTTTCAAATAAAAATCGGAATTCAAATTTTAATTGTAAGTATTCAGAATTTTCTCTGATGTGAATTCAGCAAACCAGGGCGTAGCTACATTGTTGGAATTCTGTAAAGAGAGCCTGACAACGATGTAGCTACGTGAATAGACTTTTGTAGCTACGAGACTGTCTGCCCCGCACTATTTCCACGTTTGTGAACTATGCGGAACTCCAGAAAACCAACAATGTAGTTACGAAAATTTCGAAAAAAGTGAAATTTTTTGTGTAGCTACACCGTTCTATGTAACTACAGAGTTGGATTTCTGGAGTTCCACATAGTCCACAAAAATGAAAATAGTGTGGAGCAGACAGTCATGCGTAGCTACTTTGTTCAAATTCTGGAAAGAGAGACTGACAACCATGTAGCTACGCACGTTCGCCAATGTAGCTACGCCCTGGTTTTCTGAGAATATGAAAACGGTGTTCAGAAAAGCCTAAATCGAATGTTTTCAGGTAGTTTCAATGATGGTATCTGATAGTGAGAATCAGGAAAATGTAAATTTGATGGGATCGCCGGAAAAACACTCATTTGATTATTGTGAGTGTTTTAAAACTGAAATAATATTTTTTCTTCAGCTCAATATTTTTCAAATATGTTTTGTTTCCAGTAAACGCTTACAAGTTTGCGTGTCGTTTCAAATACACAGTTCCAAAACGTGCTCCAATCGAATTTCTTCTAAAAGATATTCACGAAAATCGACCAGAACAGAAATATATACAACAACTCGAAAAAGAATTGGTGAGTTCAGTCAAATTCCATTTCAAAAAAAATCCCTTTTTTTCCAGTTGAAGCCAACAAAAATGAAAGATAAGAAACAGATGGTCACAGACGCTATAAAAGGGATGAAAGTTAGACTTGAAAGGAAGAATAATGTGAATGAGTTGAAAACATATTTGACTGGATTTCCAAGAATATTGAAAAAAGGAACTGAGTAAGTTTGTGCAAATATCTACTGCTTTAGCGCGCTCTAAACCTAAATTAAGCGATAACAAACTCGGCGGCTTCTTAAATTTCAACTTTTTTGCAGCCTTTGTTTCTCACACCATAAAAATGGCGAATATTTGGAACTTGCTCTATTTCAAAAAGGATTTGATCCATTCAATAAACAACATTCTCCAAATGGTGAAATGGGTTATTTTTGGAATATAAAACCGAAAAGTATTGAAGAAAGGAATTTAAGGAGAAGAAAATGTCAAGAAGAAACCGAAAAATATACGGGAGTTAATGGAACTTGTGTTAGTTATGCGCTATTTTATGAAAAGGAGATGTTTGAAGAAGAAACTGATGATATTCTTGAGAAAATGAGTAGAGAAGGTTAGATTTTTTGAGAGAAATGAATAAATTTTGAACGAAAAGAACAAACACATTTTTGAAATTTCTAGGAAAAATTTTCAAACAAATTTCAGAAATTATTTATCAATTATTTTTTCAATTCGAAAGAACAAAAAAAATTTTCTGAATTTTTTTCTCAGAGTTTGGAATGTAATTAGTTCCATTAGAAATTATTCTCTTCTACCCAAAAATAATTTCAGTTTTCCCTCCAAAAAACTCACTCTTTCATACGGCAAATTATAAATATTCCTATGACTATTTCCATTATAATGATAATAAGGCAAATGATTTCCATTTCCATACATTTCTAACCTTTTCTCTTCTTCTTCTTCTTCTTCTAATTTTTTATCTTGTGCTTCAGCTATTCTTTCTACAGTTTCATCCGATTTTTCCTGTAAAAAAAGTTTGTAACTCAACTTGGCGATGATTTTCAGCCGAAAATAAATATTTTTAAAATTTCTCAAACGTTTTCAAAAAAAACTTTTTTTCCAAAACATATGAAACAAAATGGCCAAATAAACACATAGAAAATTCCCAAAGGAGAAATATTTGGTCACTATTTAGAAAAAAATCTGGAAAAATACTAAAAAGACGAAAAAGTGTCTCGTTTCTGCGCAATTATTTTTTTTTTGTTTTTTTCTATTTTGAGAAAGAAAAAAATGTGTCTCACCTTCTCTTTTTCTTTGCAAATAATGTCCATTTCTGAAAAATAGGAAATTTTGAATTTTTCAGAAGAAAAGCATTTAGAGATAAGAAAACCAAAGCGGTTGCTGAGTTATGCAATTTTCGAAAACAAAAATACAATTTGAAAAAAAAAACAATTGAAAGTTTATTGACCTAAAACCTAAAACAAAATACCCGTAACAATAATTTTTCTGAGATTGGCTGAAAATTTTCTGTGAGCCAAGCATTGCTCAAAAACTTGTGCACCGTATTTTTCTAGTATTTTGACGCGAAAATACAATAATTTTTTAGAATTTTCGAAGCAATAGAAATTTGACACAAATTTCCAGGCACAATTATTTTCGAAATTTCGTACTCTTCAGCCAATCCCAAATAAAAACTTGTCTAGAAATCAATTCTATTTCCTAAATTTGTTAAACCACATAAGCATGGTAACCAATGTCAAAGTATACCAAGTTGTCAAATAATTCAAATGCTCATTTCGAATATTTATATTTGTTTGACCTCCGATTGGACCACCGGGTACTGTAGTTTCTGAAAAATAAGAACATTTTATCGATTGATTTTTTTTTTGTAAGAAAAAAAATGAAATACCGTATGCAGCATCTAGCCAAACTGGAAGACAATCATAAGCTTTTGCCATTTGTTCCAAATCTCGATAATACCAAACATTTTGTTCGGGCATATTTTGACCAACGAATTGAGGACGCTACAAAAATTGAGATTTTCAGGAAGAATTGAGAGCTGCAAGCTAATGCGTGGAAGAATTTCCCACGTCATAACATTCGACCCCAAAATCCACTCACACTTTCAGTTTTTCTAACAATCGCTTCCAATGTCAAAATTCCTTTTGGATTCGTTTTTTGCCTCGAATCCGCGCTAAACAAAAACGACGGAATCCATCCTCGATTTATCAATATAATCTGTCCAGTTTTCTGAATTCGAAAAGGAGTTATCAAATGTCCTCCATGACTCGATAATTCATTTTCAGATAGCAAAGATCCAGCAGATGAACTTTTCGGTTTTCCCGGGTCGAATCTGCCACGTGGTGAGATGACGAATTCTCTGGAGTGCAGAAATTCGCCAGTGATTTTGACGCGACAATATTCGAGGGGTTCCAGATTTTGGCTGAAAATGATTTTTGAGATGAACTTGGGCTCGAAAAAACGCAAGCTTCCGTGAGTCTCGCAAAAATTGCAAATATCTCAAATTCACCTCGATAAATCCTCAGGCAATTCCACGGCCTCTTGACTCAATCTCGATTTCAAATGTTCAATCAAATCCAACTTCCAAAATAATCGATAAAATTGCCAACAACCAAGAGAAAATGCAAAAACTGGGATTGCCTAAAAACTCGAGGATTTTATTATTTAAAAACTTTAAAGAAATATTCTTACAAGCATTGCAATTGATCCACTGCTCCATTCTATTGATTTTGACTTTTTCAAAGGTTTTTCATTGAATTTTAGGGATTTTCTGGAGGATGAAGAATCGAGATTTAGGATAAGTGATTCTTTTGAAGAAGATGGTTTCTGGAAATTTTTAAAATAATGCAACGTGGATGTTTTTCAACTTTTCAACTAGAAAAAACTGCATAAATTTCAAAATTTTATTCAAAAATTCTAATTTTTTTTTTTGAAAAATCAGAAAAAATTGTTTTTTGAAGAAATGTTTTCACAAAACACAATTAAAAAATTATTCAAAAATTACAAAGCAATTTTTTTTTAATGCAATTGAAATACGTGGCAAATTTAATTTCACAATTTTCCATCAATATTTCTAAAAAATACTCACCTTCGGTCCATTTAAACCTCTCGATTTATATAAATTTCTCACAAATAACAACCTCAATGTTCCTTTTCCAAAATTGGCAGATTTCCAAAACATCTGTCCTCCCTTTAAAATCCCCCGTCTCATCCACCTGTCATTTTCCAATTAACCAAACCAGGTATATAAATTTAGTGTCACGGAACATTTTTTGAATGAAATATTGGAGGAACAGTGATATTTTATTTGTCAACAATGAAATTTTCAAAAAAAAAATATGGAATAAGAATAACAGAAAACGAAATAACAACAAAAACTTGTAACAAAAAAAAACAATGTGATTTTTAAACGAAAAATTAAAAATGAAACCTCGTAAATTGAATAGTTTATCTTCGTCCGCCGGATCTTCCTCCAGCTTTTCCGCCAGCCTTTTTGCCGCCTCCTTTGCCGCCTCTTCCACCGCGTCCTTTTGTTTTTTCCTTGGCTTTTGCGGCGCGAAGATCCTTCTTCATACGACTGGAAAAATGGGGGATTTCTTGGGTACATTTCAAGTGACTATTTTGGTTGAATTTTTGGATTTTTGTTCAAAGTTGCTTTAACTGTTGTATAGAAATCTAATAGTTTGAAAAAAAAGTTCTGTGATTTTCATATTTAGGTTCAAAATGCTCTTGAACTCCAGATTCTGTTCAAATCTCAATTTCCATCAAAATGTTCTCCAAACCCCTCAAATCCTTACCTATCAACAAGCTTATATCTTCCATTCGGTCTTCCTGTAACTCCCTTCTTTCCTTTACTCATAACAACCAATTCAGTCTTCTTTCTTTCTTTTCGATTTGCTTGCGCATAAACCTTTTTCATTTCTCGAATCTTTTCAGAATGTTCCATCTGATCATTTTCAAGAATTCCTTCAGCCTTCTTCTTGGCTGATTCCATCTTTCTCTTGATCCTAAAAGAATTAAATTTAGAAGAAAAGGGGGAGAGGGTTTTCTTACTTTTTCTGTTTTCTGGCTCTAGCTTCAGCCACTTTTTTCGATGGTCGAGCATTGAATTCACGCATTCTTTCGCGGTAAAGTTGAACTTGTTCCTGAAAATATTCAAAATGTATTTTGGAGTCAGTTTATTTTCCGATTGAACAATCTTTGTCAGAGTGAAAGTAGCTTTCTCAAAAATTCAATCATTTCCTTGCAAAAAATCACGAACCTTTGTAACCGGAATCTGTTTTTTATAATGCTTCTTCTCATCCTCAACAAACCAATCAGGCAATTCTTCATCATTATTAGCATATCGATTCCAACCCAAATCTTCTAAATCTCTAGCTGATTTGCTCGAATAAATCAATTGTTCTCCAAGTGCCAATTGTTCTGGTGTCAATCTCTTTTTCTTTGCCACAACTTTCAAATCTTCACCAATTATCATTTTATCCGCTTTTCTTTTTGTTGCTCGATTATCTCCATCATCATATCTTTCTTCTTCTTCATCATCCATATCAATTTGTGCATCAAATCTGCTCATTCTTTCCTTCGCTAAATCATCTTCCATATCAGAATCTCCTTCTTCTTTCTCTTTTTCTTCCTCATCATCAGAATCTTTAGTATTGAAACCATCATCTTCCGAATCCTTCTTCTTTTTCTTATTTTTCTCATTCTCAAATGACACAGTATTTTGATATTTATCTTTTCCAGTTGTTTTCTTCATATGTTTTTCAATTGCATTCATTTCATCATCATCATCTTCATCCGAAAGAAGTCCACTAATTTCCTCTTTTTCAAACCAACTATCAGTTCTCACATGTCTTTTCTCTTCCTTATTCAAATTACTTCTCGTCGTCACAATCAAATCATTTTCTTCATCATCCGAATCTTCTCTCAAATTCTCATTTTCTTCTCCTTCCAATGTTTCCCATTCTCCATCTCCTAAACCTTCTTCATCGTCATCTTCCAAACTATAATCTGGGGCCTGTGTGTTGTCTTTTGTCAATTCGTAGAGTTCTCGAGCCTGAAACATTTTTGATAAGTTATATACTACAAGTTCTTTAAAACAACATCAGAATCTAACCAAGCAGTTTTTGAGAACATTACTATGTCAAAATCTACCAAAAAGTATATATTTCATTTTTTGTTCATCACTTACTCTTCTGATCTTTTTCAAATCAAAAACTTCTTGATCTTGCGCTTGTGGTCCTTCATCTCCATCAATAATCATTTTCAATTCTCGTCTTTTCAATACTCTTGCTTTAGCCTTCAACATCTTCTTTTTCTTCTTTTTCAACGCAGAAATCTCGTCTTCACCGGCTTTCGCAATCATTTCGTCGATTTCAGCCATTGCACGATCTTCAATTTGATCAGCATCAAGTTCCTCTTCAATTTCTTCTTCTTTATTTTCTCCTTCCGCTTCTTTCTTCTCTTTTTCAATCATTTCTAACATGTATTTTCTCCATCTTAAAAGAACTCGAAGTTCTCTTGGACCACAAACTTTCACATCATTCATATATTCGATAACTTCTTCAGTTGTTTTTTCGTGTGTTTTCCATTTTTCATTATCCAATTTGATAACACTGGCTGTTCCAAGAATATCCAAATATTGCGATGAATTAATGAAATCTGTAGCATTAATAGTTTCATGAATAGCCAAAGCATTTGTATCATATCCTTCTGCTTTAGTTTTCTTCTGTTTTCCAATCAATAAATTTTGCGGATTTGGCTTTGTTCCCTCCCATCCATCTGGATTCGCGAATACTTTTTTCGGGTCCAAATATTCTGGTCCAACTTTATCCGGTTTCGAATAAACTTCACAAACAACGAAAATCTCAGCAGATTCGAGACGAGAAGCGGCTGGTTTCCAGACGTGAACACGTTTGAAAAGTTTTTCGAAAACTCGAATAAGACACGAATAATCGTTGGAACGGAAAACTTTGGTGACAAAGGTACCGCCTTTGCGAAGAATTTGGGTGGCCATTTTGAGAGCGGAAAGTGTGAGGCAATTTTGTTGGAAAGCATCGTGAACCCAGTTAAGACCGACATTTGGAGCACCGTCATGAAGAACGCAATCAGCCTGGAAATATATATATATTGATTGATTTATTGATATTTGGTTTCATTGGACATTTCGAAATACTATTTTTAGCCTAACTGAAGGAAGCGGAGGTTTTTCGATGTGAAAATGCTCAGAGCAGGCTGGTGAATCATTTCCAGTATGCAAAACTTTTAAAAATGTCAAGAATCAGAAACCACCTAGTCTCCAAATGCAAGATTTTTAAAAACTAGAAATGTTCGAAGGAAAATTACTCAGAGATTCGCTGGCCAGATCGCCACCAGATCGCTAGGCCACCTGGAAACCGCATGGCCGCCAGGTCGCATTGAGTTTTCCGGCGACGTGGTCTGTGTGTTTGAAATCCTGGAAAGCTGGCAAGACGGTGGTTTGTACTCAAAACACTGCATTTTCTACTGTTTTTTCACTTCCTAAGGTTTCACGTGCTGCGAAAAAACAGAAAATGAGCCGAATTTTTCGAAAATGCCTCAATTCATAAGTTTTTCAGACATTTGCATGAAAATTCATTTTGACGAGGCGAAGTGGCCACCACGTGGTAACCATGTGGGCTTGACCTAGCCAGAGCCTGGCCACCTTGCCAACGAAAAAAACCGGGCGACATGGTTTCCATGTGGTTCCCAGGTCAGCCAGCCTCCCCACCTGGTGGCGAGCTGGCCAGCGAATCTCTGAGTAGAATCAAAATATGTTTATAACGTGAGCTATCACACAATTAGAAAATAAACTGCCAAATACATTTCATTTTGGAGATTTTTTATCGATCTTTGACCATTTTACCACCGGAAATCTATCATCTAATTATCAGCTCAAAATCTAAAACAGACTATCGAAATTTTCAATGAAAAGAGAAAATATTTCAGCTTTCCTCAAATTTCAGAATAACTACTCACACTCCATGTTTTGAGTTCTTTTTTGATTGCAGCACGAGTTTCATTTGTTGTAATATCTCCTTGAAGTGCAATACAATTTTTGATTGGTTTAATTGGTGCCAAATCGACACCAACAATCAAACTGGAAACTGGCATGAATTGGGATGCGACTTGCATCCATCCTCCTGGCGCAGCGCATAAATCGACAGTTGCTCGTGAGTTTTGCAAGAATTCGAAACGTTTGTTCAATTGGACCAATTTGAAAGCGGCACGTGATCGGTATCCAGCTTCTTTAGCGAGCTTGTAATACTTATCACGACGCTGTTTTCCGATTTTAACCTTCTTTCCCATTTTGAGTTTTGAAGGCTTTTTGTAACCCTGGAAATTTCCTGTATTTATTAACAATTTCTTTGGGTCTCCCTAATAAAATATTCCATGTCGATGTGAAACGTTGTGATTTTATTTAACACAGTACAAGATTTTCAATTAGTCAACAATTTATTGAGTAATAACAAGAACAATTTACTTCTTTCCCTTCTTTCCTCCCTTTTCTCCTGAGGCTCCGGCGCTGTTGTCGGCGACAAGGGTGTCGTGGCATCTACCGCAGTAGTGTCTGTTGTTGTGTTGGGCCATGAAGACTCCTCCACCGCAGGTTGGTTGTTGGCATTCCTTGCGGAGTCTGGTGACTTTTCCGTTCTCATCGATCTGAAATAATATGCATTTATACTTGTAAACAGAAGATAAATTAATAAATATGCTTCAAACCGGCTCAGGAACTCTAAACCTCAGTCACGGAACTCTCAGAGGTCCTGACACCATATCAAAATTTCATCATCATAGCCAGTTTGATTATAAAACCTAAAAATCTCCACCGCTACTAACCTTGTAGTATTTCAAGACGGCGAGCTTGACCTTCTTTGGCTTTCTCTTGTTCTTCTTTGGTGTGGTGTAAACCTTCTTCTTTCTCTTCTTGGCTCCTCCGAGCAAGCTGAGGGAAAGGTAGACAGTGGAGTCTTCCTCGACGGTTTCATCATCCTCGAGCTGATGACCTAAACGTTGAAGTTCAAGAACATGTTTAGCCGGGTCTGTCCTCAAGAATCAGCGGCAGAATTGCACATCTGATTCTCTCGAGATTCAGCGGATTTGCCACAAAACTAACCGTTGACAATGAGTCTTTGGTCTTCAGATGGAATTCCTTCCGACGATTCGATTTGTTGCTTGATGGTCAAGACATTGACGGCATCCAAGCACAAAGTGCGCCCAGTGAGCGATTTGACAAAGACCATATTGATCTTCTTTTACCAAAGTTCTCTGCAAAATATAAAACTTGGTTGAAAATTGAGGACATCGAGAAAACGGAAAACTTGAAGAAAAAAATAGAAAAATTTAGGCCCAAAGAGTGAGTGAAAAAAGAAATGAAAAATTGAGAGAAAACAACCTACCGTAATCGAGTCCGCCTGCGAATCAAACAAATTGACAATGGGGCGCACTTTCCTTCTTTTCTGTTGTTTGAAAAACTCTCGTACGAGAGTTTTTCAAACAACAGACTCAGAAAGTGTCCTGACAGCCGTCCGCGAGGTTGCGAGCTGTCGAAAGCTAGCAGAGGCTGTCCGCCAGCTCGCATTCTCATAAAAAGGGGAGGATCGAGCGCATCTTCTCGCCGCCAGCTAGCGGACAGAAAAAATTGCGACTGGAGCAGATTTGCTCGTCTATTTCCTTTTTCATTTTTTTTTTCGAATTTTTTGGCCTAAAATCTTTTTATGCCTTTTTCATCGAAAATTTTCACAGAAAACATGCAAGCAACGTCGCAAAGTGTTGGAATGGAGACGGTGCACATCGCCAGGCACCTTCGTGACATGAAAATGTGTTTTTGGTGAGTGCAGATGATTTTTGATTCAGTAAATTAGTGTAAACCTATTTTACAGGGCTCTCGATGTTTGAAGCGATGTTTTCGACTGAAATGGCGGGATGGACGAGCAGCACAACAATATTTTTGATAAAATTTGTAAGGTAAGGTGGTTTGAATGAAAGCTTTGTTTCCTAAGTCCCAGTAGTTTTAAAATCATGCTCTAGTGTAGGAACAAATCGATTTCATGAGAAAAGAACTCATTCTATATGAACTTCGAATGGAAAATTCTATATTCATGTTTGTTACTCTTATTCATCTAGAAATGTATTTGATTGTATTTTTCCATCAGTGCTTGATAAATTAGAAAATCATTACTTTTAGAAAATTGATAGTGATAGGAATAAGTAGTTGCCATGTCATTGTCAAGTCAAGCTCCTAAATCGCTTGTCAGCACTGACTCAATTTCTACGAAAACCTCGTAATTTTGGCTTGTTGTGTTTTCTATAGAAAGTCTATAGACATTGAACGCTCCCTCTGCAGTGTTTTTTTCATTTTGCAGATAATGAGATATACCTGAATATGAAACTTGAAAAACTTCAAAAATGATTAGATTATTTCTCATTTCCCAATGCCCTATATTTTTCAAACGAAGTTTTAAACATGATTGAACATTTCAGATTCTACAATCATCAACCAACTCTTCGCAGCCTGGAAAACAACACATCACCCTCCACACTTCGACATCCACAGGATTCCGATAAATGAAGTGTTTTTTGTTTAATAAATTCTTTCAAAACAAGCTCTATGAACTGCAAAAACAACAGACAAGCGCTAGCTAGCAGCGAGAACTGGCGAGGTCTCGCCAGAAAAATGCGAGAAATGGACGGCCGTCTGCCGGCTCGCGTGCTAGCTGGCGAGATTTTCTCGCCGACGGCTGTCAGGACACTTTCTGAGGAATCGTTCTTTTCGCGAATTCGTTTTAAATTTTCAACCTTATACAGTAATCCGGTATGGTTTACGGATTTGGAATTTTCAGAGGAGTAATTGAAGTATTCAGGAATTCTTCAGGACAATCAATTTTCCAAAAACAATAAAATTCGTGTGATTCATTTTTTCAGCAGCGCGTTTTATTATTTTCTAAATATCGGAAGAAAGAAGTTATAATAAGTAAATACCAACAATAGTCAGAGTTTCGAACCAAAATTGTTTTTCGAAACTTGAGTCTAATTCTGAGTCATTCCATTATTTCTGGAGCCCGCTTGACCAACGTTGCCGGTTAAAGAGAACCACATTTTTCTTTAAAAAAAATACAAAAAAGTACCCTCATGTTTTTATTTGATCCTTATATTTGTGAGAGGCCTTTTTATCGAATTAGAACCAAATTTGTTAATCGATGAGAAAACTTATTTTCCCCATAATCTGTGTTGATACCAATAAAAGTTTTAAAAAACAACCTTTATGACTGAAAAATACCACTTTTAGCGGAAAAACAAGCAAAAATTGGCTGTTTTTCAAGAAAATCTCAAATTGGCGAGATGAATTTCCGTAAATTTTTATTGCATATGCCTCACCCTGGGCGTGGTATGTTTCAAACATTCTGCAAATTCGCTTCCTTTTTTTGACCCATAATGCCTTTTGCGCTCTGATGACTTGTTTTCCGAAGTTGATTTTGCTAACATCGTTCGGATCGATGAAAACAGGTCTGTAATAATATTTAATTTTTTAAATTAAAACGTTTTTGTATTTAAAGATATAAACGTACGGCTTGGGATCGACGGATTTGGTAGGTGTTTGCGGTTGTAGTTTCGTTATGATAATTGGAATTTTCCCAAAATACACCAAGTTAGACTCAAAGAAATGAATTGCGGCTTCAACTGACTGATGATCACGGTATTCACATATTTGTGAGTCATGAATTTTCGCAACTGGCCCGATTTTTGTCATCAAAGCATAGATTTCTTCAAAGCTGCCTGATTCAACATTATGGATATGACAACAATTCATTGCGGGTAATTTTCTCCATTCCTTATTAAAATGCACAAACCTCTCGAAGTCAAACGTATATCTCTGTAAAATGAAAAAATAGTACAATTTTGTTTTCAACAATAGATAAAATTCTGATTCTGATCATTTAACTCAATTTTAGAAAACTTGAGACAAAAAACCGCATCAGTTTTCGGATTTAATCCAAAAAAAATGATCGATTTTCGAAATGATTTTACAAGGAAACTGCACAGGGTGTAATTTACTACCCGAAAAGTTTCCCGCATTTTTTGAGACCTGACACAATCTTAGGGGTGGGACTAAAAGCGACGAAATTCAACACAAAAATGAGAGAATTAGAGAAAAATATTTTGATCTACCAGAAAATTTTTCGAAAAATTTGAGGTCTAGTAGTTTGAGGTAGTAAATTACACACTGTGAAACATACGTTTCAAGATCCACAGATTTGGCAGGAGGTGTTTGCGGTTGTAGTTTCGTTATGATTATTGGAATTTTCCCAAAATACACCAAGTTAGACTCAAATAAATGAATTGCGGCTTCAACTGACTGATGATCACGGTATTCACATATTTGTGTTCCATGATACTCTTCAATTCTTACAACAGGACCGATTTTTGTCATGAGATCACACAGGAATACATTTCTGACTCTTCTTCCTTTTGGGCCCGTCCCCTGCCACGATTACACGTTTCACGTTTGTTTAAAATAATTTTTCCATTTCATCTTTTTTTATTCACTGAATTTTCGAGAGAAATAGAAAAGCCTGAAAAATTTGCCACACCTTGCCAAAGAAGTCCCGCCTTAAGGAAACCAAAACGGAAAGAATTTTAAAATTTTGCTAAAAAGACTCTGAACCTCCAGATTTTTTTGTTTTTCACCTGTCTTTTTTGAATGCGTTCTACTCAAAAATCAATATTTATTTTCATCAAAAAATTGAAATTGTGTAATTTCTGATTATTCTACTATCGAAACGAGACAAATATCATCATTAGAAAAGTCCTTTGGTATTCAAATGAAAATGTGTTGATTTCGACAATCTTCCGACAGAAACTTCTCTTTCTTTTCATTTCGAATTATTTTTGATAAATTCAACATTGTGTAGAGACCGCATAACCATATTTCAATCTGAAAAATTAGAAAATAACGATAGATTTGCAACAACTATTTCCCTACTCAGGAAATTAAAAAATGGGAAAAATAAATTAAAAAAGAGTTGGCCGGCCGCCAGCCACACTTTATCGATTTGGCCATTTGCCAAGAGCATAACAAATGCGAAACAAAAAAATTGTCGCCGTTTTCTCCTCTTCCTCTATTTTTTTCCCGCTTCTCCTCGTGTTAGTGAAAAATATTCCCCAAGTGATTTTTTCATTTTTTGTTCTTTCTCAAGTGATATCTCTATTTGCCTGGCTTCTCAAAGATAGAGTAACTTTATTGTTTTTTTTTGGGTTAGCTACGCATTGGAACAAAAATAAGTGTCTAATGTCTCTTATTTTTCAACAATATCTCTTCTAAATTTTCTGTTACACAGTGAGTTGAAAGACTTCTTCGTCGTCTTGTTTTTTTTTTCATGAGCTCCGCGAGCATCGATTTTTTCTTTTTCTATTAATCTGATGTATTTTCAGTCAGCCAGAGTCAGGTGTTTTTCTTATCAATCGGTCTCTCTTTAAAACATTGTCTTCAGACGAAATGAAATTTTCGCTGAATCACTTCCTTTCATTTTTTCTTTCTTAATAATAAACTTCCTGTTGTTTGATTTATTTTCTTTCAAAAGAAACATTTTGATTGTGAAATCATGTACTGTTTAAAATAAAATTCATTTTAGTTTCATTTATTTTTCAGATTTTCAGTGATGCGTCGCGAAAATAGCGGCGCTTTGCTAATTTGTCTAATTTTATTCTCACTTATTCCGGAATATGAGTTTAGACGAGGTGGAGGAGGTCAGTTGAATTTTTTCCTGAAAATCATAATGCCACTTGAACTTGAATTTTTCTTAAAATATTTTAGCTCGGTTACTGTAGTTCCCAAGCTAGTAAGAAGCAGTTTCTAGATTTTGTAGTTTGGTTACTGTAGTCCTTTGCAGTTCGATTACAGCAGTATTACAAAATCAGAACGAAAATATTTACTTGATCTACAGTACTCCGAACTGCAAAAATTCAAGAATTTCAGCTGAGCTTCTGAAAAAAATCGATAGTACATCAAATTACAAAATCCACAGTTTCCGAACTACAAAAATTTCTCGGAATTCCATTTAAATTCAAAAAAATACTACAGTATTTCAACTTGTGGCTTGGGTACTGTAGTAGCCGGAACTAACAACTACAATTTTTGTTAATGTTACACGAGAAGCTGGCTAGATAATTATCGGAAGCTAGTCTAGCTAGAAAAAAATACAAAACGTTTTTTTTTTGCAGGCGGACGAGTAGGCGGCGGCAGTCGATCAGGCGGAGGTTTTGGACGTGGTTCATCCGGTGCTCGAACTTCTTCTGGTGGCGGTGGAATTTTTGGAGGCGGAAGTTCATCGAGTGGGGCAGCCAGAAACAATCAATACTCGCGTCAAACGAATTTCGGTGGAAATGCGCCGCGTCAAAATCCCAGTTCATATCCGAAACAACCAAGTGGTGGAGGTGGTTATTATAATGGCGGAGGATCAGGAAGGTTTGTAGTTTGGTGTCAGTGGCCAGGGGAATTCTCATGGGATGCTATTTTTGCAGCAAGGGTGGCGGGTTGTTTGGCAATCTTTTTGGAAGAAAAACTGGAAATAGTGGAAGTTTTGGAAGAAATAGATATGGAGGGTAGAGATTTTTTCGTGTGTGACATTTTTAGGAGTGACTAACAATTAAAAAAAACTAATGATTTCTAAAAAAAATGCTAAACTTGTTTCTCACAATCAGATCAATTTTAAAAATTAATTCAGATTTTCATCAAGCGGAATCGGCTCTCACAAATCCGGTTCAAAATTCAAAAACTTTCTACTCGGTGCAGCTGCCGGTTATGTAACATATAAAGCGGGACAAGCATTGATTCGACATGCGGCGGGACCTATGTACTATAACAGCCGACCGTATTATTGGGGACAAAATTACTATCGAAGTTCACCAGGAAGAACAAAAATGTGTTCGATGCCTCTTGATTCTGATAGTCAATTCAGCAATATGTATTTCCAGGTTAGTTTTTGGATGAGGGAAATGGCATAGCTAAATTGAAGTTTTTCTAAAATTGTTAAATTTTTGGTTTTGTAATATTTCTGATCTTAAGTTTTATTTAGCAAAAATTCTTCATTCGACTTTTTCAAAATATTTGTATTGAATCAATTTTCAAAAACAAAACAATTTTCGTTAAAAATGCAAGCTTTCATCGATTTTGAACAGTAGAATGTTTTTTTCAAACACCCAGAATCCCAACTCCTTTTTTTTCTCCAGGACCAGACGCGACCACGCGAAATCACCTGGGGATGCTCCGACTACGAATATTGTTGCGGCTACGAATGTTGTCGCGGTGGAAGTGCTGATTCAATTGGTGGACACGGACGAGGAACATCTATCGGGTACGCGTTGGTCATCGCATTTTTGGCACGTCGAATTTTTATATGAGAGAAACTTGAAAAGAAGTGTGTAGTTTTTCTGCAGCCTGTGTGTTTTTTAATTGAAAATGTTTGTAAATTTTGAAGAAGAAGATGGGATAAAATTTTAATTTGAAATTCATTGAAAATTAATTTGAGGTTCTCCACACAAATCTTTAAAATCTGATCTTTGAAAAAAATTTCGAGACTATTTCTAAAAATTCAAAATATTTCATTAAAAATTGGGAAAATCTAAATTGCAAACTCCGGAAGCCTAAAACTTAACATGAAATTGAATTGAAAATTTTTGAACTTTTTTTTTCAAAATTCAAAAAATCTCTATTTATTTATTTGTCTGTCTGCATGTTTTTTATTGTTGTGAGCAAATATATTTCATGTTTCAAAACACACTTCTCTCAATTTTAGATATATCGGAATCCCATAAAATGAAATGCATGTTTGATGTTGTAAATCTATTTTTTTGGTGAGTTAAACTCCCTGAAAAATTTAGAAAATTATTTTCAAAATTATTTTTTCAGACTTCTCCTATTCTTGGTGATTATTTTGTTTTGCGCCTTTCCCTTTGTCACAAATTGGGTGAGAAGACGAAATCTTGGACAGTAACTGATTAATTTGTACCAAATTCTAATTTTTCACGGGTTGTTTTATTGCTTTATATACAAATATAGAAAATCTATACATATTTGAATAAAAAGTTTCTTCATTTTCTATTTATTTTTGTATTTTTGTAATCCGATATTCAATTCTATTCAGACACAGATGAGTGCTGTTCTTTTCATTCATTTCTTCTAAGTTGATACATTTCATATATTTTTTGACACATTTTCTATCCGGAATCAATATTTTCCTCCGTTTTTTTCCTGGCGAGAAAATCTCAAGTGCTCATTATTTTTTCGAGTGATCAACAGACTCTGATTATCACATTATCACACTATTGATTTGTTTTTTTCCCGTTTTATTTTGCGCAGAAAAAAAAAACAACTTTTGGAATTGAATTGATATGAGTATTTGGGTCAAACACTAGCCGATTTCGAAGACATTTTTCTTGCTTTTTTTGGGTTTTGATTATGGATTTTGGGTTTTGGAGAAAACTTTAAGCAACCTGATTTCAATTGAAAAAATCATAAAAATTTAACATCAATTTTTTTCCCAAAAATAACACTTTTTCGGTCAATTTTATTTAGAAATGTTTATTTTTGTAATCAGAAACTTTAACTTTTGAACTCAGTTTCCACATTTATTCAAACACATTCCAAATTGATTTTTGTGAAATAGATCAAGTTTTTTTTTAAATCTACGGTAATCAAAAAATCGGTAAATCAATTTAGAGTTACTGTAAAAAATATTCTTAAAATATAAAATTTTTTTTAAAAAGAAGTTGAGTTTTTTTTCAAAAATAAATTCATAACGTTGGTTATGCTACAGTATTTTTCCCTCAAAAACATTCCTCAAATTAATTTTCTCCGAAATTACCTTTTCTTCCCCCAAACAATACATTTCTAAAAAACCAACAAACCATGCAATTTAATTTTTTGTTCTATTCTCATCCAATTCAATTCCATACCATTTTTTTCTTCTTCATATATGAATTCCATTCCTGGAACAAACATTTTGTTGTTCTTCTTTTTCTCATTTCTCTGCGCACTCTCTCGATTTCCAGTGCTATTTCCGAACCCCGATCGGGCCAAGGTCATTTTTTCGATTTCCTATTTTTTTTTTTGATTTTCCCGACTCTCAGTTTTTGCTTGGTAGATCGAATGCAAAAAAAAAACAAATCTCTAAACAAGAAAAGTTTGAGGAGATCAGAAAGAGAGAGAACTTGTTTTTTTTTCACTTTCAGAATAATTATTTTATTTCATTTTTTATGTAGACTTCTTGAGTTTCAATTAGGTTTCTAGATTTTTTGGATATCGCTTGGAATTTTAATTTTTCAGAAAATAAAAAGTTGAAAAACGTTTTCTCTATTTCTTTCAAAAAAAATCTCGTTAGTTGAAGTGTTCCTGAAAATTTCAGGCTGAAATCAAAAAAATTTAGTAAATTATTTTTTTTTATTTTGATTGAAGAAAATTGTGAGTCTAGATAAACAATTTTTAAATCCAACTTTAATTATAGCTAGATTTGTTTTACCAAATTCAAATATAATTTTTACAAATATTGATAATTTGATTTTCGTAATTGTTGCCAATCCTTATTTTTATATTTCCTTCTGATCCCAAATTCTTGTGGTGTCCTTGAGGTATTATTATTACATCCCCATCCATGATAACCAAAATACTACTATCGTATATATACGGATTTCTCTGCGCTCTCCTCAAATCCCCTAATCTCTCGCAATCTCTCCCGATTTTCAATTATATTTCGTGTCTCTTTCCGAGATTTTATCCGATCCGATATAACTACTATTTTTACTACTACTACTACCACTAAATACCACCAAGATTACTATTCATAATTTTTGTTCTTTTTCTAGTAGTTCACAAAAATTTTTTTAACAGTTTGTTTCATTTCAAAATAACCCATTTTTAGGCAAAATGAAAAAAAAACCGGATTTCCATTTTTTTTGCCTTGCCACATTCTCATTTTTTCTCTAACCACATTCTTCTCACTTTCAGCCAATTCGAAAAATTGTTGTTTCTTTTTTTTAAACATTTTTTGGTTGCAGTAAGATGCCTCTTCCCTTATGTCGATGTCGTGTTTTGTACATTGGAAGTTCGGTGCCAACAATCACGAAAGATGGATTGCAGGGTATTCAGCAGCCATTGAGAGAGAGATATCCGATTGATGAGTCGCCAGATACAAGGGGAATTGACTCATGGTAGGGAATTTCAGACATATTTTCAAAAATTTTTTTACACGTTTCAAAATCATTCATTGTTTCTCACGTGACCTCATTCTTAAAAATCAAAATCATTTTCCAAATTTTTCAGGCTCTCTGTTTGGTCAAATGGAATCCTACTGGAATACATCGAGGGCGAAAAGAAATCTGAAACTGCATTTTTCCCAATCAACACTCTTCATTATTGTGCAGCAGTTAGATATGTTAATGTTAGCGGATATTCTGTTGAAGGTAAGGATTTTCAAAAAAACACATTTTAGAAATAAAAAACTATAAGGAATACTGTAGCCCTGTGAGAAAAATCTGAATTTTTTGCAGGCGGCGGTGAGCGTTTTCTTCCGCTCGACAGTCCATTTGCAAATATTCCCGATTCTCCACATCCACCAATTTTCGCTGCAATTCTTCGACGAACAACTGGTGTGAAAGTATTAGAATGTCATGGTTTCATTTGCACAAATAATAAGGCTGCAAATGCACTTGTTAGATGTTGTTTTCATGCGTATGCAGATTCAATTTATTTGAAAATGGAGGATAAAAATCCGGGATTGAAAGCGATAAAAGAGGGATCAATGGGTGAAAGATCACCAGATTCACCGAATTCTGAAGAGATTGAAGAAGATCCGACGAATGAATATGAGGATGAAGCTAGATTAGAGAAAGGTGTTAAGGTGAGAGAGAGAGAGAGAGGGAAGAGTAGGGGAGAAACAATTGACTGTTTCAATAAATTCAGAAATTATTTGTGACAGATCTGAATATTTGGTAAAGTTTTCATGTCACCTGTGACACTTATTTACAAAAATAGTTTTTTGAACACAAAATTTTGAATAAAAAAGTTTTCCGCGATCAGATTCGAGTCTAATTCAGAATTTCGTTTGGTTTTAAAAAATACTGGAAAAATCCAAAAACTGAATTTTTTTTTTCCAAAGACCATCCAAAAATGCTCAATTTATTTTGCAGAACTGGTCTGAACCAGCTCGCCGCCAACAAGATGGAGAATATGACAGTGTTTCAATTTCCTCTTCAATGATCAATAAAACAAATCCAAAAAAGGCGGCCAGTGAGAATGGAGCAAATCGTGGAGCTCTCGTGCCATTTGACGATTTCCCTCAACATCCATTTCATCAACAACCATTCCATCCTGGAACTCTTCGTCGTTCTGGATCAGATAATGATTTACAAGGACCTGGACCAGGCTTTTTCCCGCCTCCACCAATGGGTCATCATCCAATGATGATGCCACCTCCACATTTCTTCCCACCTCCACCAAGAGGTTATATGGGACCACCTCATCCAATGTTTATGGGTCCTCCACCTCCACATTTCCGTGGTCCAATGTTTCCGCCTCCACCAATGGGTAGAATGATGCCCCCTCCACCGCATTTTATGGGTGGCCCTCCACCGGGTATGTATGGACCTGGTCGAATGCCTCCTCCACCATTCTTCTTCCCTCCGCCGCCACGTGGACAAAGTCCACAAATGGATTCGGGTCCGATTATTACTGGACCCGAAAGTGTTTATGGAACAATGAGAAGGCCGGGAGCATATGAAGAGCCGGCTTATATGACAACACAAGGAGCTGGAGTGCCTGAGGCCAGTTATCAACCGGCTAATTATCCGCAAGATCAATATGAATCATATTATGACACTTTCAAAAAGCGAAATGGAACTATTGGCAAAAAAGTGAGTTAGCCTTTTTTAAATTCAGAAAAACCTTATCTTAATTTGTTTTTTTTTCCAAATTTTGAAATTTTTCTAAATTGCAACGTGGAATTTTAAAATTCATTTTTCCTATTTTTTTTGAGTTTCGATAAATTTTCCAAATTCTTTTGAATATGAGAAATCGGCTCATCAAAATCCCCCAAATTCAATATAAATTTTTTGAAACGTACATTTTTGCAGCCAACCGATGGTGGATCAATTTCTTCCTCTCAACCACGTCAAAATGGCGGCGGCGCAGATTCTTCGTTGTGGGACCAATATGAAGCTGGAATCTATCGTAAACCACATATTAACGAAAAAGCATTTTCTGGAACTTTGAGGTAACTTTTTTGAAATGGTGATTTTTCTTCAAAAAAAAAATTTTTTTATAGAAGTATGGCAGCCAAAGATACCAGCAATGCCACATTAAATCGATCTGAACACACTGAAGTTGCTTCTCAAACTGTTGAAGCAGAGATTTCTCGACCAGACTCACCTCCCGTAGATTATGAAGCATTTGAGCGAATGAAATTGGCTGGTGAAAAAAGAGCGCCGCCAGTTTACTAAAAATGACAAAAGCAGTATTAATAATCCTATTCTAATTAATTAAATAATTCTAAGTTACTGGTCTTTTTCTGTGAATTTTTTCAAAATACCTTAACAAAAATGTGCCTTTTCTGTTTTCCTGAATAATAAAGATTTCTATACGACAAATTGCGGCTCTTGGAAATTTTACTACTCAAACACAAGAATGTATAAATAGAAAAAAGAAATAAATAGTCGATTACAATAAATTAAAAGAATTTGAAATTAAAATTTAGGTAAGTGACGGGGGATCGAAAAAAGTTTTGTTGCGATGCAGAGAAAAAAGCCAAGTATTTTGAAAATGTGGAGCGAGCGCAATTATTTGTTCATAATTTGAATAACTTATTGTTCAGCCTCATATGATTCTCCTTCTCCATCAACATATCCTTCTCCGTCGTCTTCAGCTGTAGCTTCTTGATATTGTTGATATTCGGAGATCAAATCGTTCATGTTGGATTCGGCTTCAGTGAATTCCATCTCATCCATACCTTCACCAGTGTACCAATGCAAGAAAGCTTTACGGCGGAACATTGCTGCAAAAATTAAATATTTTGGGATGATTTGGGAGTGGATTGGAAGAAATTTTTCAGAAACAGCTTTAAAATGACTCTGTGAGTTTTATAGAAATGAGAAATAGATGATTGCAGTAGAAAATAATAAGCATTGCGTGTCGGCCTCATAATTTTCAATTCTATTTAATGATCTATTTATTTCTCATTTCTAAAAACGTGCCAACCAACTGCATTAAAACTGTGACATCAGTAACGGTAGGTGAAATTATATATCATTTCTAAAATTAAAACTAGACTTATTCTGATCTAATATCTAATAATGGATACTTAAAATTATAAGCAAAATACGATTCAAAAATATCTAATAATGATTTGGAAAAATGTTTCTAGAAAATAAAATTTTCACAAAAGTTCACATCAGATTTAAAAAAAAAGGAATTTTCAATGATAATTTTTTTTGAGCTTGGCTTTTAACCACGTAGTTGGACCGAACTTGCCGATTTCTAGAATTCTGGGCTTTCAGAGTAATTTTTGAAGCTGTTAAAGTATTTTCAAGTTTCTAGCCGGCTACCAAGTTTCTGAAAGTCAAAACGTACCGGTGAATTGTTCAGAGATACGTTTGAAGAGCTCTTGAATGGCGGTCGAGTTTCCGACGAAAGTGGCGGCCATTTTCAATCCTCTTGGTGGAATGTCACAGACGGCGGTCTTGACGTTGTTTGGAATCCATTCGACGAAGTATGATGAGTTCTTGTTTTGGACGTTCAACATTTGTTCGTCGACTTCCTGGAAGAGAAATCAAATTATTTTGTTTTTGCCCCCTAATTCTTAAACTTACTCTCATCGACATTCTTCCTCTGAACATGGCAGCAACAGTCAAATATCTTCCGTGTCTTGGATCGCAAGCGGCCATCATGTTCTTGGCGTCGAACATTTGTTGGGTCAATTCGGCGACAGTCAATGCGCGATAAGCTTGAGTTCCCTTGGCGGAAAGTGGGGCGAATCCTGGCATGAAGAAATGAAGACGTGGGAATGGAACCATGTTGACAGCCAATTTGCGAAGATCGGCATTCAATTGTCCTGGGAAACGGAGACATGTGGTGACTCCGGACATTGTCAATGAAACCAAATGGTTCAAATCACCATAGGTTGGGTTGGTCAATTTGAGGGTACGGTAGCAGATATCATAGAGGGCTTCGTTGTCAATACAATAGGTTTCATCGGTGTTTTCAACTAATTGATGAACAGACAATGTGGCGTTGTATGGTTCAACAACAGTGTCTGACACCTTTGGTGATGGGACAACAGAGAATGAACTCATGATTCTGTCTGGATATTCTTCACGGATTTTTGAGATCAAAAGGGTTCCCATTCCACTTCCGGTTCCACCTCCAAGCGAGTGAGTCAATTGGAAACCTTGCAAACAATCGCATCCTTCGGCCTCCTTTCTGATAACATCCAAGACATTATCAACTAATTCAGCTCCTTCTGTGTAGTGTCCTTTGGCCCAGTTGTTTCCGGCTCCGGATTGACCGAAAACAAAGTTGTCTGGACGGAAAAGTTGACCGAATGGTCCAGCGCGAACCGAATCCATAGTTCCTGGCTCTAAATCAACCAAAACTGCACGTGGAACATATTTGCCTTGATTGGCCTCATTGTAATAAACATCGATGCGTTCCAATTGGAGTTCGCTTTCTCCTTTGAATGTTCCGTCTGGTTGAATTCCGTGTTCGTCAGAGATGACTTCCCAGAATTTGGATCCGATTTGGTTTCCGCATTGTCCGGCTTGAACGTGGACGATTTCTCTCATTTTGACTGCTAAACTGCAAAAGAAACATTTGTCATATTAATGTAAGATACGAAACAATGAAGAAGAGATTTTTTTGAAAAGAGAGAAGAAAAAGCAATTGTTCAGGGTGGGGTTGTTCATAAATAATAAACGATAGGTAAAAAAAGACGAATGGAACAGGGTTATTGATTTCACAAATAAGAACCGGATCTTTTTCGACTATAGATAGTTCTGTCCTTTTTTTCGAAGCAACAGGGTAAATCAGTCAAGCCTATCCCACAAAACATAAGAAGTAATGTTTGATCTTCAAACAAAAACAAACTCTTGTCTGCGACCCAACCACAAATGTAATGAAACATTTTGAAAAAGGAAAGACGCGCTCTCGCTCCTCAACACACCCAACAAAAATGTGCACTTCTAACAAATGGATCAATATCATTCGAACGCGCGCGCGCTCTCTCTTTGACAGAGACCAGCAATTTCAAAAACGAAAAAAAAAACGCGAGTAGACGCTGCACAGCAACAACAAAAAAAAGATTGCGAAATTTGGGCTTGGGAAAAAAGTGGAGGATATTATATTGCGAAACGCAGATGGTGGTGAAAGGAGGATTAGAGACGAAATGAATGAAATTGAGATGGTAATTGGAAGAAGAACATGTATTAAGTGCTCTTTTATGACCTAGGAAATGGATATACAAGCTTATATTGATTTACAACATCATTTTTACTTCGTTATATGCGGGAATGGGGAACTAAAAAAAAGAGAAAGCTGAAAAAACCACCTGCAAAGTGAATGACAAAAAAAAGGAAAGCAAAAAAAAATAAATTTGAAAGTTGGCGGGATGAAGGACACCGCGCGCTGCGGGACCCAACGATGACTAATATCCATGTGCCTATGGCGTGTTTCTCGGCGTCTCTCACTTTTGCACACTCTCTAGTTTTATTTTTTTAGGAATTTTTTATTTTTTGATTTTCTTCAGGGAAAAATGTGGCAAGAACTGATAAGAATAAAGAAAATAACTTCGAGAAGAGATAAAAAATAAAACAAAATTGGACCTAAAACAATAAATAAACAAGATGAAACAATGAATTACTCATTTTCCACTAAAAGCTCGTTTTTTTTGAAAAAAAGCAAAAACCGGCGGGTTTTTGTGGCTGTCCACGACTAACACGACGCCTTTTCTTTCTCTGTGTCATTGGTTGGTCAGACAAAAAAACGCGAAAGACGCGGAGATGAAAAAAAAAGAGGGCGCTCCTCTTCACAGCGATGTGAAGTGATAGATTTGGAGAGTGCAGAGAAAACCAGTAGCTCGGCTTTGTTGTCCTTGACCATTGTAAGGCTATAGATACATAGATAGTGAAGAATACTGTGTGAGGTGCAAAGGGCGCGAAAAATATTTTTCTGTTTTTTTTGAAAACAATAAAAAAGTGAAAAGTGGAGAAGGGAGGGTAATTAAAAAAAATTGCGAAATAACCAATTACGGATTATAGAACAAAGTGTGAAATTCCCAAAACTGTTATTTGTTTTTGGGTTTTTTCCCTCACTATTTACCGCGAATGAAAAAAAAACGTAAAATAAGTTTTCAACAAGAAATTAAATATATGTAGAGTTAGCCTAAATTCCACGTCATTGTAAAAAGTAGCTGTACAAATAGTAAAAAACCAATACAGGATTATAGAGATGACCTTATTAGATAATTCCAAATAAGTTTTGTTCAAAAAGTTGCCGCGTAAACCATTTTGTTCATGGCTGATTGACTATAATATTTATATTTTTGAATACACCGAAATAGATTTATGATAAGTTATATTTGAATAGTAGGATTCATCATCACATTAAAAAAGTCTCATTTAAAAAATATTCACTGGAAAGACGACAAGATTGTTGGCAAGCGATTGTAGAATTTCTGAAAATTAGCTGTTTTTTCATTTTCCCAAATTCAAAAAATCTTACCGCGAAGAGTTTCACAGCATTGTAGATTGATGAAGTGTCAGCGAATTCACTGAAAAAATGGATTTTTGATGAATCAATGATTTTTTTTCAAAAAAAGAAGAAAATATTACCGAATAGAATGCATAGCAAGTTGTGGACAACCGACATCAATAGTTTGAAGACCAAGTCGAGTTGAGAGAATTGGACCAACTGTTGAACCACATGGAGAATCATTGCGAACAACGAAATCCTGTAAAAATAATGGTTTTTACAATTATTAGATTGGACGTTACAGTGTTTTCTGCAAACTAAATTCTAATTCAATAAGCACAAATCTCTACGAACATTTTTCTACAGAAGGAGAATTTCAAAATTTAAGAACATGGTTATTTCCTGGTTTCGGGACTATTTGAAAATAACCTTTATGTTCAATCAAAATACAACACCCATTTCAAAATATTCATTAGACATTATTAAAGCTTCATCCCAAATTTATCCCAATCCTCCAAAATTCATCAATTGCTTTGCAATGCTTTCGGAAGTCGTCGGAAGAAGTTCTGAAACAATCAATTTAAAATTCACATGATATTCAATAAAATCCTTCGCACCGAGTATAACTTGACAGCATTGTAAATCGCCGAAGTGTCAGCGAATTCTCTGCAAAAATGGATAAAATGATAAAATTCAATCAACAATGATAATTAATTTTTATAAATACCTAATTGAATGCATAGCGAGTTGAGGACATCCAACATCGATAGTTTGAAGACCAAGTCGAGTTGAGAGAATTGGACCGACTGTAGATCCAGTCGGTGAATCGTTTCGGACCACAACAGTCTTCAGAATTATTTTTAGAAAAAAAATAGAATAGAAAAACGGACAAAAAAGAAAAAAGAAGAAAAAAGAAACCGAAAAAATAACACTTTGAAAAAAGTGACAAACATCCTATAGGTACAAATAAATTTTACCTGCAATGGAACCTCGGCTTCAAAAGCAATTTGCTTCAAAGTTGCATGAGTTGAAGAAGTTGTCGCATATTTTTGATTAACATTAATCTTAACAACAACACCTCCGTGGAAAGCTGGTCGATGATTTTGTTCATGTTTATCAGAATAATTTGGATGTGCAGCATGTGCTTGATCAGCAGAGATCAAATAACTCTTCGCAATTGCTTCTTCGAAAGATGTTGTTGATCCACCAACAGCCAATCGACGAAGAACATATTCAGTGATTGATGAACCAGCTCCTTGTGCAGTTGCACTTCCAACTTCTTCATTATCGAAACATGCGGCGATTCTGATATTTGGTTCAGATTCGAAGGAAGCATCTTCGAGGGAAGTAAGAAGACCAGTTATTGCGGTGTATGTTCCAACTTGATTGTCAAGGCGAGCACCGGCGATAAACTCCTCTTCAACTCCAACAACTGCCTAAAAATAAAATTTGGTTCATTTTTCAAGTTAGCATATAACCTCTGAAGGAACGGATCTGATGATCTTTAAAATTTAGGGTACAATTCTTACTATTGGAAAATATTTCAAACGTACCGCTGGTTGAGTATCATAAAGATACAAATCCAAATCAACAATTTCTTCTGGTTTACATCCAGCTTCTTTAGCAATAACTTCCAAAAATTGAATATGATGATTGCTGACAATATTTCTTGGATCAGTCGATGGTTCATCATTAGTTTTTCCAACAATTCCAGCAGCCGCCAATGTCTCCAAAATTGGTCGAAGTTCCAATTCAGTATTTGGTTTAAAAGTTGTTCGATCAGTTTCAAGATGAATTGCCAAATTTGGAATGAAAAGAATTGGTTTTTTAACATCGATTGTTTTATGAACAAGTCCAGTTGATGTATTTACAATAACTTGTCCAGCAACAGTCAAATCTCTGTCAAACCATGTTCTCCAAATACCTCCACCATATGTTGAAACTCCAACTTGCAAAAATTTATCTTTGGTTTGTTTTGAGATTGGTTTAACACGAAGACATGGGCTGTCAGTATGTCCAACAACAATCGAGAATCCATTTCCTGGTTTATAAGCTCCTCCAACAGCAAAAGCCAAGATAGCCGATCGATTTTTGGTTACAAAATATTTGGTTTTTGGCTTGATATCCCATGTATTTTTCTCATCTAATTCTTGGAATCCCGCTTTGGTTAGACGAGTTTTGATCTCTTCAACTGCATGAAATGGAGTGACAGCTTTATTGAGATATGACACAAATTCTTGCGCGGCTTTTTTGATTTCCGGCGATGATGGTTTAAGGCTCATTTTTCTTTTATCTTTAGTTTGATCCTGAAAAAATAATTTTTTAACTAAGAAAAAAATGAAATTAAAATAAAAACGAATTAAGCACCTTTTTTTGATACGAGTCTTCTTTATCAGATTTAGTTTTGTTCGTTAACGAACAACCGCAAAGTTTGAGACTTTGAAGTTTTTTCGACAATCTATTGTTCTTCTTCATAAGGAAAGGAAAGGAAATAAGATAAAAAAGAAGTAGCTTGGAAATTACCCTAGTTTTAGATACCCGTGTTCTGGAGAAATTAAGGGGGAGGAGGAGAGAAGTAATAAAACATGAACGAAAGACTGATAACACAAGAAACATTATGAAAAATATAGGGTTTATCAAAATCAAATCGAGAAAAATGGTGTTATCAATGAGAATTGTGCAAGAAAAAATGTTGCGAGCAAGCTGGAGATGAAATGGGAGATCAGGAGTTCAGAAAAACTCTAAATTGGAAAGTTTTATGTGGATTTTGGTCCGAAAAATTTCTTCCGCATCTTATCATTTGACCCGGATGGAAAAGAGAAAAAGCTATTAAAATTTTTATCTGTTTCAAACTTTTGACCTAAAAAAAAACTACACAAATTCGAGTTTTTCAGAAGCTACTTATACTTGTCATAAGTCAATTTTGGAGGACGATTTTCTGAACAAATATTCTAATATATAGTTTTCCTGAAATTAAGCACATAAATTGTTTATGACCAATTATTATATTTTAGTGGCTGTAGAGATTTAATGACTTTTCATAAAGTAATAAAAAATCAAACACGAATTTCCTTTTTTCATCGGGAAATAACGAATTCTCAAAGTTTCCTCGCAGAAATTCGAAGAAAAACACAATAATCATCTGAACAACATCTTTATCTATCAAAAACGCCAAAAATTCCCCTAAAAGCATCTACACGTATTTTCAATCGAGGAAATTGCTGAAAAAACTACGGTGCGAACCCCTACGTGTGTGGTGCATTTGTGCGTCAGCGTGTTTGCACAAAAAATCTCTCTGCGCAACAGCGTCTCTCTTTTTCGCACGCTCTCTCTTAAAGGAAATTTTTTCGAAAAAGCAATCGGGTCCCGTAACGAATACCGCGAGAAAAAAAGTTACACTAAATCCGCCACTCGAACCTTATTTCGATGCAGTTTTTTACGTAGATTCGAATGGTGTACATAACTTTTTATATGGTTCAGCCATTCTGAGTTTTTCCATTACAAACGGTTCATGTCCCTTTAAACTGGCGTTGCCGTTTTTTCTTCAGAAAAAAAATGCGTGTCTAAAAACAACACTAAAAACCTTTGTCATCGCGCGAACGTCGAAAAAAAAGAAAAATGAGCAGATGGACGAGGAAACCAACACCTCGACCTTTTGCAAAACCTAGTCCCTGTCAATTTTATTTTTTTCGCCACGCGTTTCCGCTAAAAATTTCGTGAAAATGAGTGATTCGGAAGACCGGAAGAGTTGTGAAATGTGCCAGAATTATGAACTGAATCTAACGATTATGCAGGTGAGAAAATACGAATTTTTGGAGTCATACAATTTTGCAGGATAATGAACGGAAGATGAAAGAGGAATTAACGGCGGCTAATTCGTTAGCGGAACGATATGAAAATGATTTGACTACCGAAAGAGAATATAGAAAAGAAATGGAAAAACGTGTAACTGAGGTATTTAGTTTTATATTATTTATTTTCAAAAAAAAACAATTTTGATTGCAGGTCGCCGCTCAAACATCAGATAATGTAAAAGATTGTGAAAAAGTCAATAAACAATTAGAATTAAAACTTAATGAGCTTCGGGAAAAACACGAAAAATCGATAGAAGCATTCACCGAGCAGCTAAACAATGCTCACAAATTAATACAACAAGGAGAAAGCGAATTCGCCGAATTTGTTGGAAAATATCAAAAACTATTAGGAGAAAATCGCAAAACCGCGCAAGATTTGCGATCGGAAATGATCGATTTGCCAGCCGAAGTTGATCAATTACAATTTCTATGTTTACGAAATCGCGAAGAATTAATTGAGGCGCGCGCTGCAAAAGAACACATCGAACAAAATCTAAAAGATGAGGTAGCAATGGTCAGAGAACAATTAAAAGAAGAGAGATCAGCACGACAATCAATGGAACGAGATCTATTAGGACAAATTAATCAACTTCAGAAAAATCTAGGCATTGCTAATAGTAAAGTGAGTATTTTCAAATGGGGTGTTTTTTTCTAAAAAAAATTTGTACTTTGTAGCTCCATTCAACTTCAAATGCAATTGCTCAACAAGAGAATTCAAATCGTCAAATTCGAGATTTTCAAACAACAATTGCAGAATTAGAAGCGCAAGTTCAACAAGTTCAAAATGAAAGAGCCGCCGTTGAAATAACAGCAACAAACTATAAACAAAGATGTTCGAGTCTACAACAAGAATTGGACACGTCAGAAGCAGTTCAGAGGGATTTTGTCAAATTATCGCAAAGTTTACAAATTCAGCTTGAAAAAATTCGACAATCTGAGCAAGAAGTTCGATGGCAATTTGATGAAGATGTTGAAAAATGTTCGAATTGTGAAGTTTCTGTGATCAAGTTAAAACCAAAGCCACAGTATGTTTTTTTTACTTTTTTTTTACAAAATATTCTTCAAAGCATGTATTTCAGCTGTCTTCACTGTGGAAAAATCTTCTGCGCTCCCTGTGTCAAAAATACCGTACCAAGTGGACCTCATTTAAAACCCGCCAATGTTTGTCAAGTTTGTCACACACTTCTCAACCGGTAATTTTTTCTGAAACTTTTAATTATTTTTCCTCAAAAATCCGTTTTTCCAGAGATTCCAAACCATTTTTCGCCACCCAGGATTCATGATCGCTAGTTTTCTTGTAATCCAATATATATTTATAATTAGCTAATTTTTCACTTTGCTTATGTATTTTCAATTAGTCAGTCAGTCAAATTATCACCGGTATTTATATATCTTTTTGCTTCTGTGAATATTTTATTTCATCTACTATCATTTATTTAAGAACAAGTTTTGCATGTTTTTCTTCTGTCGATTCCTTCGATGAAATTTCGCAATGTAAATGTGAACAGAACACAAATATATGACATAAACATGATGATCAGCGCCAGAAACCAACTCTGGAAATCAAAAATATTTCATCGAAGACTTCGATTCGAAGTGAGTACGGTATTTTAGACGCACCTGGAAATTCGAGCCGCAAACATTTTGTTCAATTTCACGCCAATAGAAGAAAATATTGTGATCTCGACAATTTTTTCCACTCGCTTCGATAAAACTTCCACATTCAACAATTTTCAAGACAACGGAGAACAAAACAAATTTTATGATTGTCATTTTTTTCAGAAATGATTGATTTTCACGTAAAAAATTTATCACGTAATTAAAATTTATGTTCTCATTAAAATAATGGTTATTTAAAAATGAGAAGAAACTGATAGAAAATCAAGAAAATGTGTGGTGGTTCATTCGAAACTCCGTGTCCACCAAAACCACAAATGATTGGACTTGGAAATCTGAATCTGATGAATCAATCCATATTAGAAGCTTGTTCTGGAGTTGAAGCCGAGGATGGTGGACCATTTGGTGCAATTGTTGTTAGAACTGATGGAAATCAAGTTGTTGCAAAAGGACATAATATGGTTTTGCGAACTAATGATCCAACAGCTCATGCCGAAGTTACGGCAATTCGAAATGCTGCGGCTATTTTGGGAAAATTCGATTTGTCTGGTTATTCATTGTATACTTCGTGTTATCCTTGTCCAATGTGTATGGGAGCTTGTTTGTGGGCGAGATTTGATCATATTTATTATGCTGCCAGTGCCGAACAGGTAAGGAATCATGAAAAAATTTTCCCCGGAACTTTGAAACGATACTACTCAATTACGATAGCCAAAAAATTTAAGGAAAAAAATTTAATTTAAATTTATTGTTAATATCGCCAATCTTAGATCAAATCAAATTCTCCGTAACTTCCATTTTAGCACAATAAAACCCTACGCATTTCTCTTCAAAATGTATGTCCTCCCCATTCTAGAATATTGTAGCGAAGTTTACGACCCCTTCCTAACTAAAAATCTATCAAATAACCTAGAAAATCCATTACGTCAATTCACCCGTTAAGTCTTCAATCGTTGTAATATGCCATTTGAATCTTATGAGGATCGCCTCAAACAGATCAACATGGTTTCAACCCATACTCGTAGATCCAGAGCCAATATTATTCATCTTTTCAAAGCCCTTAATGGATTTTCTCACCAGCCAGAAACATTTGACTTCATCAGCTTCTCAACACTTCCACGTCACCCAGCCCGCCTAGTTTTAACTCAAAAATGCCACAAGTCTTTTTGCTCACATACAGTTCCCAAGTGGAACTCTTTATCGCACCTCATTGAAATGAATTCTTCAGTGCAATCGTTCAGAATATTGATTAATGGTTTGAACGCATCGCTTTTATCATGAACCCTTACGGCCAGATTCTCGCACACTCTTTCTTATCTCTTTGTCAAAACCTCCAAATGACCAGGTCTCTTGCGGGATTTAGGTCTTTTAAAAATTTGGGAAGTTATTTTATTCACCCTATTTATTTTTCGGTTTCATGTGAATTACCCCTTTTTTCTCTCTCCCTTTGATCTCACTATTTTTATGTGCCGGTGAATTTATAACATTCTAAATAAAAATTCAATTCAAGGCATGTTGTTTGTTTCAAGTTTTTAAAAAAAAAATTCTATAAAAATTAACTTTTCAAACGATACTACAGGTTTACGGCTGTAAAATTCTCTTTTCTGATTTTATCGATTTTTCAGGCCGCTGCTGCTGGTTTTGACGATAAAGCATTCCATGACTTCTTAAAGGACCCAAAATCTGATAATATCAGGTAAATTTAAAACTTGAGACGAGCCTCAGCATTTGCTCGAAATTTTTTCCAGAACTTTGGAGCATCTCGAAGTCGACAGCGTTCTTCTTCCATTCAAACTCTGGAATGCGAAACCCATCAAAACTCCATATTAATTCAATAAATTATCATATTATTCAAAAAAAAAGAATTTGTGAGCAATATAGTTAAGGATTATTATTGAGTGGTTCAGAAGCGGATCTGTCCATGGATTTTTTCGAAACTGGAGGTGATACTGGTTTGGCTTGAAATGTAGATGTTCGGAATCGATTTCCACCGCCAGGTCGTTCAGTTTCGGCGACTTTCATGAAGTTGTCCACCTGGAAAATTTCAGAATTTCTTTTTGGAATTTTGCCACAAACAAACACTTCACACATAATTTCAAAAGGGAAAATTGGGAGTCGAGATAGAGATAGTGACGCAGAGATATTCTCCGAGAGAAATACAAAAGTTCGCTGCAAGACCATGCGCGGGAACTTGTTATTCGAAAACATTTTGATTCAAATTGGTCTCCGCGCTTTTGCCTACGTCTCTCTCAATTTATTCGTGTTCAATCGTGCATTTTGTAGGCAGTGTGAATCTATAAGAGACTCAGAGAAACTAGAGAGCGTAAGAGATCAGACAGTGCATAAAATGAGAGACGTAAAGAAATTAAGAAAAATGACACGCGAAATCTTACGCTCTCGAGATTTCAATGAGAATGCAACTTGGGCCTGTATGAATACATCAATAGCCACAGTAAGAAAGACTACAGTAACCCAAGAACTTACGATAATTGTGATCGGAAGAGCGAGAACCAAAACACCGCAAGCGATTGCACCAGTCGCCACCAATTTACCCGCTGAAAAATATTTTCGAATTTTTTTCTGGTGGGTAAATTTTCGGGAATTACTTACGAACTGTGACTGGTGTTAAATCACCATAACCGACTGTTGTCATTGTAACTATGCACCTTTAAATTTTAATTGATCATTGATTAATTAATAAAATATTTAAATAGGAAAACTTACCACCAACAGGCAGCTGGAATTGAAGCGAATTTTGTGTTAGGTTCATCTTTTTCCAAAAAGTAAACCAGGGTTGAGAAAAATATGACACCGGTCATCACAACCATTGCCATCATTCCGAGTTGGCGAAATGAGGCCTAAAAATAGTATATTTATGACGTGGAATTTTGGGAATGAAATGAAATTTTGATTTCACATTTTGAAAATTTTCAATAAATTCTTGAAACCTTTGAACAGTTTCGTTGAGAAAAAAAATGCAAACCTTCAATGTTTTTCCAAACATTTGCAATCCACTCGAATATCTTCCCAACTTCAAAACCCGAATAACTCTCAAAACTCGCAAAATCCGAATCACCAAAAAAGCTCCCTTCAAATCTCTCAATTGTTCTGTCGAAATTCCAAAAATAAATAAGAGCATTTCAATAAGAAATGGCAAAATCGCAAGCAAATCAATAATATTCAAAAGTTGTCTTGCAGTTTTACTTCTTTCCGCCGAAACTAACATCTTCAATCCATATTCCATTGTAAACCAAATAATACAAACATATTCAATATATCCAAAAAATGGAAGAGGTTCTCTTTCGACTTTTCCATCTGGTAATAGTCTTTCGTATTGTAAATCTGGTAGAGATCCCAAAACTAAACCACTTATAGAAACTAGCACAAAAAATACTGAAAATAATGCAAATATTTGTGCTTTTCCACCAGATGTTGGTTCTTCAATCATATTCCAAATTGATCGACGAATTTCGCCAAATTTTAAACTTTTGAACAAGTTTGGTTTTTCTTCTTCATCTTCCATCTCATCCTCATCGACTTCCTAGAAAATACTTATTTTTGGATTTTATTTTTTAACGGAAAATTATTTTTTGAACAAGACTTTCATTAAATAAAAGAAGTTCAGAACTTTGAAACATCGAACATTATTCTGAAGATCCAATGTTTTCCAAAACACTTTTCTCAGTCATTGAAAATATTTTTTCTATTTTTCCCCCAAAGCTTACCTGTTGCTGTGCACAACAACACGAAGCTAAATATTGATCTGGCACAATTCTCCAATATTCCAATTCTTCAATAATATCCATTGGACAAAGATTTGTTGGTTGATGAATTATTCCGTTCAAATAAAATTGATAGACAATATGGAATAACATGGGAGGTCTTTCAAAATAATATTCATTTGACGGACAGAAATATGCATCAGCACATTCGGAAGATTTGTTGACAATGTCGAGAAGACGGCCTGAAGATATTATTAGTTCTAGTGCTACTGTAGTAGTCCCCTGTTCCAACTTACCAACACCTCTTTTCCTAATCGTCTCTTTTTTCAACATAAACCTCTGTCCACCCACATTCAACCTCACAAATTGTTGTGAAATTTCCGAATCGGCATTGAAAATCTCGAATTTTGAAGCAGCCGGGATTTCGGAAAGTTGCTCAGCATCAAGTTCCAGATTTTCTTCGGGTTTCAAATCAGATCTGAAATTTCTTATTTAACTTTGAAATAGAATTCTAGGTATTTTCAAAATTTCTACAAGTTATTATCCTCTTCTAGATATTTTTAAAATTCCCCCAAAATTATTTGCAAAACGCACTGACGTGCTTGCTGTCTGTAATTGATAAAATAATCGATTTGCAGTCGGAATATGAAATGTTTGTTGTTGAAGTCGTTGTTGATGGCGATTTAGACGCGCAATTCCGTGCGACGTCGCCATAGCCGCACCTTGCATTATTGCGCTATTCATTGTGAGGAATGCCTGCGGATTTTTCGAATATTTTTGGGAGAAATTTCAGAGAAACAGAGAAAATTAATGAAAATGCAAAAAATAATTTTTTCAAAACTTCAATGAAATAGTTTTCAGATTTTTCTTATTAAAAAAAAGAACGTCAGAAATAATCTCAAGGCTCGTCAGATTTAGGGCTTAAATAAAAATAAATACATCCAAATAGTCCGAAAAAATTAATATTTTATGTGTACGTCACAAAAAATGAAAACAAAAATCCTTAAAAAAAACTTAGCAATTCTTCGATTCGAATTTTTTTGAAAATGAATCTGGGATTTGAAGTTTCAAAAGAAAAATTATGGTTTAATATATGAAAAATTCGAATAAAATCAGATCAACTCCAAAATGTTTTTTTTTCTAAATCAAAAATGAATCTAGAAAATTCTCTTAGCTCCAGACATTCTCATTCTCGAAAAAAAAGATTGATGTGAACTGCACTACAAATTGACGTTTCCGAAAAATAAAAAATGAATTGAAAATGTTTTTTTCTCTGCAAAACAAATCTAAAAATTCGTGCACTTTTCTCTGACTCGAAATCAAATTTTTTAATTTGTCGTGTTCAATTTGATTCAAAACATTTTCGACGACCAAAATTTTTTTTAGAGCAGGAGAAAAAGAAAGAAAAAATTTTCAGCCAAAAAATGTCAACCCGGATTATTTTCTCATTACTTTTCCCATCTGAAAAGATGGATTTATTTTATTATCGAAAAAAAACTATTTTGGATTACAAAAAATATTTTTTCGAAATAAAAATGGAAAATTTTTATGAGGTGGAACTTAATGAGATCATAAAAATATTACAAAATTTTTTTGGATTTTTCTTTGCTGGAAATGAAAAGAACTTCTAAATAATCCTAATAAGGATATCCAGGATTAAGAAGGATAAGAAAATTTCTTTTCAAAAAAATATATCGCATAAAAAAAATTAATTTCCAGGTATTCATGTATTTTTTCTTTTGTTGAATAGAAGTATAATAAAACGAAAAATGAAAAAAAAATAAAAAAAAGGAAAATCTGATGAAAAAACTAATCGGTTGCTCTTGGTTACATATACTTTTGATATATATTATAATTTTATCAAAAAAAAAGAAGAAAAAGTGACTTTAACACAAACATTTGAAAAAAAACGAACATCTGGATTTTATAGGTATAATTGAGAAAATCTTCCAATTTTTTATAATTTTTTTTTGTTTTTCAGCTTGCTAAATAAACTTTGTGAAAATTTTTTGAGATGGGAAATTTTGAAAATCGATAGTTTTTTTTTTAATCTTTAAAAGTGTGGAAGTGCTCAAACTGGAAAAAAATAATAATAAATATTTGGAGCATTTCAAACTCAAAATGTTTAATTCCAGCTTAAAATTTCTAGAAAATTCAAATCAACTTCTTATCGATTTTCAGAAAAATGAAAGATTAATTCAGATTCATAAAAAAATCAAAAATTACGAAAAAAATATATAATCACAAAAATAATAATATTCATGTTCTTCTTCATTTTCTCTCCAATTTTTGCCTTCAAAAAATAAGAGATGAAAAGACGAATAATTGGGTGCTCACTCATTCATATTCATGATTTATAAAAAATTTTATTTTTTTGTTCGTCGAAAAAAAATTGACTCTTAATTTTCGAGCAGCGAAAAAGGGATAATCTACATAATTTTTCATACTCGAATTTTTCCGGAAGATTGTGCAAACGCGGAAAAAATGAGAAGAAGGAACTTTTGACACCCACTGAAAATCATCGAGTTGTCAAAACTCGAAAGATACTTATTGTGTGTGTTGCAAAATACCTATCTTCTTGGTTAAAACACAAAAAAATCGAAGGAAAAGAATGAATATATCACACGGAAAACAGAAAGGCAACTGGTGTCCGGACACAAAAAAAAAATAAATTGATGAGGGTTTCGAAAATGTGAGGAGGAGGAGGAGTTCTGATTTGACAGGTGCATGTTTTAAGGTAACAAGTCATAGAAATGTGAGCGGGGCTTATTTTGAACTAAATTTATTTTGGAAAACCTTCAGCGCACAATAATTTTGGAGCACAGAAAAATAGGCGGAGCTTATTTTTAGGTTTTTAATTGTCTTTTTATATTTTGAACTAGTCTTTCAAGAATTCGAATTTAAAAATTTTGTAGCAGCACAGAAAAAACGGCGGAGTCTAAATTCAAACTTCAAGTTTCAGTCGCAATTTTGTGCATAAAAACACAAAAATATGGGAAACTTGTTGAAAAAACCAAACCTAAGAAAAAAAACTAGATTTTTTCAAAAAAACATGTATTTTCCGAAGCGTAAAATTACAGGCTCTAAACTTCTTCTTCAGAAAAAAGTGTTCTGTTCGAGGCACGGAAAAATGGGCGTGGTTTTCTATTTTTCCTACCTTGTTGTCAAAATCAATTTCTGTTTGATAATAGTCTTCCATCGATCTTTCTCCTCGCGTTCTTTTTCCCGTCTCGCAGCCTCCAAAATTCGAGCTTTCCACATTCTCAATCACTCGATTTAGTGATATAAATAGGAATAATTAGTAAAGTGAAAAATAAGTGAGAAAATGAATTTGTAGAGTCAAAAATCCTTCTGCGGCCACAAAAAATAATCAAAAAACAATAATTTTCAGCCGAGCCGACGCCACTTTTTTCTTCGACGGCTGTGAGAAAAATTCGGGGAAAAAAAACCTTGGAAATTGGATTGGATTTTTTATATATTTGAGAGAATGTTGGAAACAAGAGCAGGTGATTGTATAATTACATTTGTTGCCTTGGACACATAGACAAAAAAAGAAGAAGAAGAAGCCACGCCCAAAATCTTGAGGACAGATTTAGGATAACTTAATTTAATTGTAAGATCAGGTTCAGATTCTGTTAGAGCTTTGATTCTTGAATTTTGGAGCTCAAAATTGTTTTGAAACCTCACTTGTTATTTTTCAAAAACTAGCAGTTCTACTGTAGTAAAGCTACTGTAGCAATTATGAAAATTTTCAATTATTTCTTTCAGAAAATATTTTTTCCCAGATAATTTTCTAACAACATTTTTTAATTCGAGAATCTATACTAAATCTATTATTTTCCAAAACTCAAATTTTTACCCGCGTATTTGAAATTAACTTCTCATCCCACTAAAAAACTAAACTTCCCCAAATTCACAAACCTCAAAGATTCCGAATTCTGAGAAATCATATCAATATAATCGAAACTCGAATCATCTTCTGCAAAAAAATCAATTTCAAAATCCAAATTTTCCATTTTTCTGAAAAAAAAACTCACGATTTCTAAAAGATCGTGCCAATTCCTGTTGTCTTTTATAAATAACATTTCCAATGCTCCAAATTCGATCAGCGGCTGGATCGATTTGAGGTTGAAAATCTGGAATTGTCAGAAAGTTTTTTTGTTGAAAAAAAAATTTAGAAGAACTCACGAAATCTGGTGCGTTTTTTGAGTCGAAAATGCGATGCTTGATGACTGAAAAATTGGCTGAAGATCTAATTTGTTCGGGTTACGGTAACTTGGTGAAACAATACTCTTCTGTTTCGAGAGTAACAATTTTCAAGTTTTTTTAAATTCAGAAATAATTTAGAAAATTTGAAATTTGTTTTCGAAAATTCCAGACAAGTTTTTTTCTCGGAAAATAGACATAAAATATTTCGAGAACCAAAATTTGACTTGGAAATTTCTTCACAGACTTTTTTTAATCTCAAAATGCTCTGGATCATATTTCAAGAAATTTTGATTTTTTTTTCTACTCGAAAACACTTTTATTGAACAATATAGATTAATCTCCTTTTTTTTAATTGATACAGTATCTCCGGAGATAAATTTAAAGGAACATAACTTTCTGAATTCAAACCAGGCCTGTGCCGGAAATTTTCCGAATTTTCCGGATTTTCCGGTTTTTTCACGGAAAAATCAATTTTCCGGTTTTCCGGAAAATGTGCTCGGAAAATCCGGAAATGATCTCTAGTAGTAATATTTTCAAAATTGCCTAAATTTTGGAAAATTTTCTCAGTTTATGATAGAAAAAATGAAATTTTCGGAAATTTTTTTTTCAATTTTTCAAATTGTACTATTTTTTGAACGTAAGACGTCCCAAATAGTTACTAAATTACCTGTGAATAGAAGAATTGTAGATAAAAATAAGTTTTAGTGCCAACTTAAGGCTGGAAATCGTAATTTCAGACTTTGAAACATTTTCCGAATTTTCCGGATTTCCGGTTCAAAAAATCCGGAAATTTTCCGACTTTCCGTTTTCCGGGTTTTGATTTTCCGGCACAGGCCTGATTCAAACTTCAACTGAAAAAAAAGGTTCAAAAATTCAAATTCTTTTCTTCGAAAATCTCAAATCCCCTACAGGAACCCACAAACCTCATCTCCGTGTTGTCTTCTTTTTTTATCTGAAAAAAGAAAATATTTACTCAAGCTTTATCTATCCCAAAAAAGTGAGCACTAGAAAACAGAGAAAAAAAACATTTTTGTATGCATTTCGAATCGCACCAAAAAATTCATTGCGATGGGCGGCAAAAAAGTTGTGTAGTTCTTCTAGGAATCAACAAAGAAGAAACAAAATAAAAATTTATAGAAGAAAAAAGAAAACACATTTAGAATGAGGAGGAATTACATATTTTGACATCATATTTTCGGAGATCTCTTCTGTTCTGAAACAAAAAGCAATTTTAAAAAGTTCCAAAAATTGTTTCCGGTAAGTACTAACTCATTATTTCGAAGAATCGGCCAACATCCAAGATTGCGGAACAATTGCCAATTTTCGTTTTTCTATTTTTCGAGTTCGAGCTGATCTGATGTGATTCCAGTCGACTTTCATCATTGGTTCACCATATGAGCCAACACAGAGAACCTGGAAACAATTAAATTATGACGTGGCAGTCACACCTCGGCCAATCCGTTGTGGTCAAGAGTACAATTTTAGAAAATATCTGAATTTTAGCATTTCAGAGGGACAAAAACTGAAAATTTACAGTTTTTACATTGAAAAAATATTAGCGTACAATTTTGACTTTTGAAAACCACGATTTTGGCCGAGGTGTGGTGGCAGTCACAAATAATAATTTTTCAAAAAACAACTCACAACTCCCAATTGATCTTCTGCAATACTCAAAACATATTTATCCTTGATACTTGGATCATCCACAACTTTTGCCAATATAAAATCTCCGGGTCGAGTGAAATTTTTGAACGGTTCTGCCTAATGTGGAAACTCAACATATTCCAATTAAAAGAAAGAAAAAAGCTTACTAATTCGGGTTCTTTGGGTTTCAGCTTATTTTTGGGTAACAATGCTGAAAATCGTTTTTTGAACGGTTTGTCGCCGATGCTGATGATGTCACATTTCGCGTATCTTAATCCCAATGCCATAACTTTTGCTGTGACAACAGCTCCAGTGAAAGGTAGAAGTTCGTTTTCGATTTGATCTTCGTGTCGGCGAACTTCGATTATTTGAACGAGTTGATCTGATTTCTGAAATTTTTTTTGGAATGTATTATTTTTAGTTTGAATTTGAGAAAAATTGATTCTGCATCTCAGCTAATTTCGAGCTGAAAATTGCAAATTGCACAGGTTCGTCGAAAATTAGTGAAATTTTCAGATCGAAAATGTCACGTCAAAAGTTGATCAAATTTTTATAAAAAGCTCGTAATTTCTGAAAATGACTTTTGACACGTGTAGGTCACGTTTTTGTACATTTAAATTTGTCTGACAGTCGTAAATTTCACCAATTAATCTAAAATTAGTGAAACGTACGATTTCCAGCCAAAGTTTCAATCTCTAACTTTTTGGATTTAAAAATCTAGTCTTTTCAATTCTTACATCTGTGTGCGAATAAATATTAACATATCCAGCCTGTGATGCATAAATAACATTATTTGATTCGAACAATCCATTTCCCATTTGATATTCTCCAAGTCGATCCAATATTCTATCGCCAGGCGCCACAATTTGATTGTTAATTGTCATAATTTTCTCTATAATTAATTCTAATTAACAACTAATTAATTTCAACAAAAAGGTATATTTTTCAAAGAAGAAACATGGTTGGATTATAATAAAACAAAAAACGATAAAGAAATTTAAAATCAACAATTTTAAGAGACCAACAGACAAAATAACAAAACAAGGGGTTTTAGAAAAAAAATCAATAAAAATGGAAGTTTAGTTGACTTCAACAGTTAAGTGAAGAAGTTGCTCAGCGAGTTCGTCATACAATTCTTGATAAGAGGCATCTGGTTTGATGAAAATGAGAATTGATGGACGACGATGGCCGACTGCCAAACCGAGTTGTTCGCGAGATGGAATATAAATGTATGGGATTTCTTTCTCTTCGCAAATTCCTGGGATGTGAGAGTAGACGTCGATTGGAGATACGTTGCCTGGAAAATATTGATTTTGAGAATTGAAATATCGAGATTTAGTTTTCGATTTCCATGGTAATTTTGATTGATTACTGCTTTCACAAGTAAGTTTATTGTTTGCATGCCACACTATATTGATTCGATTATAATTTGTCATACTTTTCTCTAGGGTTGTTCCTTCAAAAATTCCATAACTTAAAAACCTATTTTTCTAGATGATAATTATATATTTTTCAACTTTGGAAATAAGTCTTATCGGGGCGTTAACAGTTCCTCGCGTTTAATCGTTTTAAAAAGTACTTTAATGATGAATTTGATTTTTTGATTCGAACTTTTGTCATAGTTTTCTTTTACGAGAAACATCTAAGCCTTCATGCAAACGTTCATTTTTTTGTTGCTAAACTGTCATGAATGATTCACGAAAGTGTTGTTGATGTTTCGAATGTTTTTGATGTTTATAAATGTCGTAAAAGCCAACAAACCTGCCAAAATACAGATTCCTTTTTGATTTCTTCTCAATTCTTTTTGTACATCCTTGATTCCTTCTCTCAACAATTTGTTGTTTCCAGATGATTTTTTAATGAGCTACAAAAAAAGAAACATTTCCATGGATACGTAGTCTTTTTCTATTTACAATATATTTATGAGGTTATGCCTCAAAATTTTAACTTTTTTCCGCTTGTCTATTTTTGTGTTTTCTTTCTCACCTTATACAATTTCTTTGCCAATTTTCTGTTAGCCAATGGTTGAGCAATTGGGTTGACCAAATCGCAAAGTGTTTGATATTCGTCTTTTTCGGTTGTTGGTGCTTCCAATTCTCCGTTGGCTGAAACAGCCGATTCATTCATTTCTGACTCGCTGACGTTACGTTTGCCCATTTTTCCTGGAAATTGAATATTTGTACTGGTGCAAAAAGTGTTATCAGAGTACATAAATATTATTAATAGAGCGGACAACGCCTTTTGCAATTCACATGAAAAATTTAACATATTTAGTTAGAGATAAGGAAATATACTTTTGAATCTTGAAACATCAACGTTATCATAGAATTTTTTGATGTCATTGGGCATTTCGAATAATGTTCCTTATGCACTTTAATAATGCTCTATTTGATAATACGACTCAACTGAACAGTTTTTCGAGCTCAATTGAAATATTTTGATCTTTTCCATTTTATGATTATTAATAAAGCAGATAAATTCTTATCACAGCTGAAACAAGATTCCTGCGTTTTGAAAGTGCCAGAAATCAACTGATTTATGAAACTTAAAATTCACATTTTCCTTGAAACAATTTCCAGATAATTTTTTTTGTTGAGAAGAGGAAACTAAATTTCAGTCTAGTGCTGATAAGAAGTTTACTTTGAACTTCTGAAATTAGGCGGTCGAAAATTACAAAAACAGTCAAATAGCCAAGCTCCAATTTCTTTTTCTTTCGGAAAAATTCTAGATCTTAGTTTTTGAAAATCTTCTTCGTAATTCACGACTTTTCCTATGAAGATCTCATTTATACGTTTAATTTTGTCTAATTGAAAAAAGCGAAAACGAAAAATTTGAATTTTGCTTTGGGAACACTCGCCTAGAATGAAAATAGCTTTTCATAACTTTCAATCAGATTTTCCTATAAATAAGTTTATCTGAAGAAAACTTTCATTAATCCTAGGTAAAACCACTATTTTTCTTCACTCTCCATCAAAAAAATCCCCCAAAAAAATCATCAAAAACCCACAAAAACAGCCAAAAATAGGAAAAATGCGAGAAAGCGAAAAAAAAAGAAAATAATTTTGTTTGTGGCGATAGAGCGCACATGCCCCCACCGAGAGACGCAGAGATGAAAAGATGCAATGTTTGCGGCAATTCAAAAATGTGTGCATTTAAATTTTTATCATTCGAATAATTCCTGTATTTATTTTATTCGTATCGTATGCAAATAATACAATAAAAAAGAATTGAATATGGCGATACATTTTACAGTTTCATGTGGTTTTAAATGTACTTTAATCGATTTATTTTGCTTCTAACAACTTTAATAACAGGTAAGAAGCTTGTTTTTCTTGAAAATTTTGAGAAAATTAAGAAAGACAAATTTCAGCTTCATTAGTATTTGATAAAAAATACACGGAAAGAACAGATGTCAATGGACAAACCACAATTATTAGTTCGCTTGAAAATACGAAAATTGAGAAAAAAGTCGAGGAATCGGAAAAATTATACGATGAAAATAAATTTATAGCTTCAAAATTAGCAACCACTGCAAGATTAGGTAAGTTATTTACTTAGGAATTTTCGATAAAAAACTTCAAATATTTTCAGCAAATCATATTTTCGAGCTGGTTTCAATTTATGGAATTGCTCGAAAACTTCGAAGAGCTCCTCAAATTTATGTGCTCGATAAAAAATATGAAAAACTTATCGAAGGAATGCAAAAGGTTATGCCAGGACTAATAAACGAATTCGAAATTAAACACGAAAAAATTGTTCCGAAAACCGCCAAAAATATCGAATTCAATGTGAAATGCTGTGTTTTTGAAGATTTGGGAATTTTGAGAAAAAATGAAAATGCAAGTTTGATTTATTCAACTGGACATTTTTATCAAAGTTATAAATATTTTGATGAATTTCGAGAAGAAGTTTTGGAAATGGTGGCTGAGAAAAAAGATTTTGGAAAGTTGCCAGTTGATGGGACAAAGTGGGTTTGGGAAATTTTTGGGGAAAAAATTTCAAATTGTGTTATTTTATTTTTAATCACAGAACAATTTTTGTTTGAAAATTGGGGTAAAATTTTGCGAAGATCATGAAAAACGCGATTAGAGCTATTTTTTCAAAGTTTCCAGAAAGAAACAAATGTGTGAAAAGGCATTTTTGACAAATTTCAAGAATGCTCTTTGGAACAAAAAAATGAGCCAGAAACTCGAGTATTTTTTGTAGATCAAAAATTGGAATTTCAGCATTTTTGGAAACTTATTTTCAGAAGTTCTCAAAATACAATTCGGATTTCAGTTTAAAAAATCACCTCACTCATTTCATCCTCCATTTTTCCAGAATCTGTATTCACATTCGCCGTGGCGATTTTCTCGATGGCCAACACCATTCAACTCAAACCAACTTCACTCTTGCAGCTTATAACTTTATTTTAGAAACTGAAAAACCAACGGATCCAAAAATCATAATAATGGGAGATGACTTGAAATATGAGCAATCCCTGTTTCCGAAAAACTCTTCAAATGTTTTCATTTCAAATTTATCACCTTCAGATGATCTCATTTATGCAAAATATCACTGTGACATAACTCTAATTACTGGTGAGATAATTTTCTAGAATTTTTTAAAAATAGCATAAAATGAGCAAGGTTTTCAGCACCAAGTTCAACATTTGGCTGGTGGATTTCATATTTTTCAAAATCGCAAAAAGTCTATTATCAAGATATTCGGGTGACAAATGATGTGAATTTCAAAAAAGGCGAATTAGAGCCGCTCGATTTTTATCCGCCAAATTGGAATTCGCTAATTTTAACGAGGTCTGGGGGAATTCAGAAAACCTAAATAAAACGATTTTTTATTTTTCTCAAAAATCACACAAATATGTACAAAAACACAAAAAAACTCTTTTTGAAAGAACAATTTGGAATTTCCGATATAAAAAAAGACAATTATAAATAAAAAAAAAGAAAGGGTTGGGGGCAAAAATTGTTTGACTAGAGAGGGAAATTGGGTCCGGGGGCGGGTCTTCTCATTTAGCAGAGATGACGGTTGTTGTTTGTGGGGGACATGTTGGTGATGTTGGTGGTGTTGTAACTGTTCGACACTTTAATTCACCATCTTCGTGTACCTTTAAACAATTATTTGGAAATTCTTTTTTGAAAATTTTGAGCCAAAATTTAACATTTCTAGGAATTTGTTAAATTCTACAAATATGTCAGATATTCTTTCAATATACCATTTTTTTTCAAAAACTTCGAGCCCAATTCTAAAAAAAGCATACCTCAATAATATGTTCATCCTCATTTTCCACAGTTTTCGTCACAATTTTTTTGCCATCCACAACTTTGGTGCTCATTGATGTTTTTCTCACAGTCGCATTTTTACCCGGTTCGGTTGGACTCGAAAACCGAATTACGGTCGAAAACGAGTTGTTCTTGTCATCGCGGGCCTTTTTGTCGGCATCGTTGTAGAAAATGTGTACTCGGTTTGGCGAAAACCGGGGCGAGTCGCATTTGTGTGAATTATTGTTGTTGTTGTTGTTGTAGACATCGGATGATCGTTCTAGAACAATTATGATTTTTCGAGAAGTTTTCAATTTATAATTGTGAATTTTCCCTAACCCTATCTTTTTTTCAAACAAAAATTGTGTTTTCGAAAATTATACTTTCAGTTATCCTAAATTCCAATTTTCCCTAAATTTCAACAAAAATAGCTTACTTTTGAATGCATACGAGTCGACATCGGGAAATGTGAAAGCGTCGTCGAAAAAGACGTTCTCAAATGGGTCCCGATGTCCGAAGAATTCGCGAAAAATATCGAAAGGCGATCTGAACATATCATTGAAATGCGGTGAATGTGGATGATGCATTCGGAAACCAGGACTGCCGGCATGTGATGGAGCACTTCGGCGGCGATGTGGGTTTTCGGAACGATCCAACGAGGCACGTTTGGTTTCTGGAAAACAAGAGAATGAAATCTGGAGAGCTTGGAAATTTCTGTAAATTTTTGAAGCTTGTTTTTTTTTGTAAATTTTTGAAAGTTTTTTCAAACTAATAAACTCTTTGTTTTTTCAATTTTTTCTCGAAAAACATTTAAAAAAAGTTCTCAAACACACTTATCCTGTCAGACTCCGAAAAAAATTTCAAAACCGGAAATTTTCTAGACCACTACAATTTCATGGCGCCAAAAATGACGGAAGTTCAAAAAAATCAAGGATAAATATAATTAGGGGTGACTGGGACCGTTAAGAAACTTTTGAGAAATTATTTCAAAAATTAAAAATTCAGTAAGAATATTGGAAAATCTAAATTTCAGAAAACCAAAAGTAAAATACAAAATTTCTGCCCCCCCCCCCAATCGAATTTTTTTGTATTTCCTAAAAAAAAATTCCACGTGCGTAATCATTTGTTGTTGTCACAAAAGATCATCTCACCAAAAAAAGTGACGCGCGCTGTTCGATTTCTATTTGTCTTTCTTCTCTTCTGTGCTTTCCGAGTCAATTAGTCTACTCCCTTCCCAATTCTATGTATTTACTCTACTCACTATCAGTCAAAATCTCATAAGCGTGCGCAATTTGCTTGAACTTCTTTTCAGCTTCCTCTTTCGATTTTTCGTCCGTATGTTTGTCGGGATGCCATTTTAGAGCCAATTTTCGATAGGCTTTTTTGATTTCTTCCTCGTTGGATGTTGACGAAACGCCGAGAGTTGTATAGGGCGAATCGTCGCGTGGTGACATTTTTGGATTACCTGACAAAAAATATGGGATTTGTAAATTTATAGGGAAAATGAAGAAGAAGAATTATACGAGTGGTTTTTCAGAATTTATTTTTCGAAAAGAAAAAAACGGGGATACTGTTTTTGCCAACCAAAGAAGAATTGAAATCTAAAACTTGAAGCCCCAGAAGAGCATATTTAGAAACATCAGATGATCAAGTGATTGAGAATTCTGCTTTTTGAATAAAGAGGTCGCGAGTTCGATCCCCGGTTCTGCCTATTTTTTTTGATTATCAAAAACCTAACATTTCGGTTTTCAGAATGACTGCCACAAAAATAAGAAAATGAGAAGAAAAACTTGATAAGAAACTAAGAAAGACGAAAATTTCAATTTTTCTAATCACTTGAATCAATATTGGTCTCAAACCCAAAAGGCGTCAAAACCAATAATATTTTGAAAAATAAAAGATTCTCACGTAAAGGTAAAAGTTAAGTCAAGTCAAAAAAAAGATTGCAACTAGATTTTGTGTGTTGGCAGCGCTCCATGTAAATACACATCGAAAGTTATAATATGTATATATTCTTCGATGGGAAAACCGGTCGATTTGGCCGCTTATTGCACAAGTCTTTTTTGGAATTGAATACTACCGCAAAAAAAGATTTTTTTTTGATTCTTTGGCAAAAAACTTGTACTTTTTATATTTTGTATGTATTTACACAGACTTTTACCAAATTTTGATTTGTGACTAAGAAGTTTTGATAAGAAAAAGGAAAAAGACCTGAAAATAACCTTGGGAAAATAGAAATATTTATTTTCAGTTCAGTTTTTTGTTGGTTTAGTTAAAAATAAAATAAAAATTGAATGGGGTAATCAATTGTGTTTCTAATCTAATAATAAAAAAGAAGAAGAAACAAGCTAATATGTTTTCTCTGGTCTCGTCAAAAAAAAAACACGTCTGATAATCAGGGAGAGAGTAAAGAGAAGTTGGAGAGACGCAGATATGTTTGAGTTTACACTAAGAAAAGAGAAGAGGAGGAATATTGGAACTACGTAAAATTCAAAAGTTCATATTTTCACACCTGGGTTTTTCGGGCTCGAAATTTCAGATGTTTTGAAGAAAATGTGCGAAAAAGAATTCTAACAAAGGGGAAAACCTAGCAAAAAAAAACAAAAACTAAAGAAAATTCTCAGTTTTTCAGGGAAAATGTTACTGTATATCAGAATTTTTGAGAATATTCAAGATTGAATTTTGAAATTCCAGGTTTTCATATTGGTTGAGAAAATAAAGTACTAAAATTTTGTGTTTAAAAATTGGAACCTATGGTGTTCTGATTTTCAAATCTGCAAAAAACAACGAAAAATCTAGCAGCTACATGCATAAATAGTAAATGAGATTGATGAAAACCTAAAAATGGTCATCTGTCTCCTGTCATTGAGACCACAAAGGACGTGTTGAAGGTCATTTTTGAGAAGAAAAAGATTGAAATGAAAAAAAAGAAGAAGAGAAGAAAAAAGTGGGACACAATTGACTTATTATTTTTTTTCCTGCATGAAATCAATGTGCGGAGATTTGAAAATGAAAAGAAATAGATATTTATTGGGAGAAAGAAGATCATGGCAACAGATTGCAAATTTATGAACTGAACTCGGGAGCGAGAAATTGAATTCGGAATTTTTTTGAATGTTCTAAGTAAAATTAAATTCAAAATATCTGAAGATCTGGATTGAATTCCTTCGATTGAAGTTTTTGATTCAGAAAAATTGTGAAAAGTTCTGATTTCCATAGATCAAAAAGTATAGAAAATCAAAATTTTCCATTTTTTGAGTTAAGATAACTTCAACGGTTTTCAGAATGTCGAGAAATTCAAACTTTAATAGAATTAAAATTTTCAAGCTTTCTCAAATCCAAAAAATTCAATTTCCGTAAAAGTGCGCAAAGATCGCAATCCTCGAAATTCAAAACCGGAAGAAATTGAAAAATCTCGGAAAACTGAGATATCGTGTCGTGTATATTTCAAACACCTTCATATTATTATTATAATAATATTCAATAGACAAGTGTTTCTCTTTCACTCTCGAATAAAAAAAACAAAATATTCGTGACCTAATGAAAAACCTCATTTTCATTCTTTATACATAATAAATCAAACCAGTTTTCAAGTACGATAAACAATAAAAGTAGCAAAAAAGTGAACATCGAAAATACAAATCAAAAACAACAATATTTTTCAACAAAAAATAAATAAATATTATGAAAATGTATAGTTTTTTTTTCTTGCAGCAAAAAAGCGAAGAAAAAACACACAAAAATACAATTTTCTTGCGGGGCCACACAAAAAATGAGTCATTTTTATCAGATTTTATTATACAAAATATAATTGTCTGAGAAAATTATTATGAGAAATGAAAATAGGTCGAAATTTTTCTGGTACAACAATTATACAATTCATTTTTTGTATGTGTGTTGAATTTCATGAGAAAGAAATTCGAAGAGAAAACCGTAATCCGATTTGTTCTTTTACTTTACTTACGCCACAGGCCAGTGGAGAAAAAAAAACTGGATTTTTTGAATATGAAATTTTTTTAGTTCTGTCTCAAATCGTAAAGTTTTTCGGTGGGTCATTTTTGAGAAGAGGAAACATAACATAAAAAAAAAACATTTGACATGTGTTCAAACTTTGATGACCGGGTAGTTTTCAGAGTGTATAGTGAGTTTTTTTTCTGATCTAGAAAGAAGGGTCAGAAATTTCAAAAATCAATTTCAGAACATTGATTGTAGTCTGATTTTTTTGATCGTAAATCTTTGGGTAATTCTCAAATTTTTCCCGAAAGAAGCTTCAAAAAGCCCCTCAAATATGCCCTTTGTCTGTTCCAATCTTATTTCAAAAAAAAGTCGAGCAACAATCTACGTATAAGGAAGGAAGCCCTAAACCGCCGTGTAAACAAAAAGAAAAACAACAAACAAAAATCAGGTGTTTTTGTTTGGCAGTGGAAAAAAGAAGAAAAAGTCGAGGAAAAAGTGAATTGGAAGAAAATGGAAATTGGAAATGAACGAATGAATGTTTCAATGACCCAGTCAATATTTGGGAGGAGGAAGAAAAAAAACAAGAACAGTTCAGGAGAATAGAAAACTGGAAATAAATTCGGGAAGAAAAAATGGGAAAAGTGGCTGAAATTATGATTGAGGACTTGAAGAATTGAGGTCAAATGGTCAGAAGCTAAACTTCAAGATCGAAAATTTTTCGAGAAAAATTGAAATTTCAAGAACCTGAAAGTTTTCCGGAAATTTAAATCAGAATTTATGTTCGAAAAATTTGAAAAAAAATGTTCTGAAACTATTTTATAGGTAAAGGAGAATTTAGAATTGAATTCTACAGGATTTTTTCCCGATTTTTTTCAAAAATAAAACACCAGCAATTAGAAAAAAACCGCTGTCAAAAACGTTTTTCTCGTAAAACTTTGCAACATTCGTAAAACAAATTTCCAAAACACAAAAAAAAAACTTTCACCAGCAGCATCTCAAATAACCTTCTTCTTCTACTACTTTTCTAACAAAAGCATAAATACACACACAAAAGTACAACACAACACAAAATTCTGTTGAAGGGACAAGATGAAATAAAATAAAATAATATAAGACAGAGAGAAGGACAATACTACTTGCATTTTCCATGACGCGTTCCAACGCAAACCCAAAAAAAGTTTGTGTGCGCAAGAAAATGCTAGAGAATATTGCGAAGGATTGAGAGGCGCAGAGACCGGATACTTTATGAAGCATGAGAAAATTGAGAGAAAAAGTGGGCGCGTTCGCATTGCGCAGAAACATTTTGCACGTGCCAGGACAATTTCTGGAACTTTCCAAAAAAAAATGATCGCAAATTTTCAATCCTGTTTTTAGGGCGGGAATTTTTGATAAATTGATCATAATAATTTCAGGTCCAGCAAAAAAATAAATAAAATTCTTGTGAAACTCGAAAACGTCATATTTCCCATGCTTTTGAACCTGCCTAAATAAATAAATAAATAAAAATTAATCCCTGACTCATCATCCTTTTATCAGTTTTCTGCCTTTTCCGAACAAAAAACACTAAAAAAAAAGAACGTTTCCGGAGAAAAATGTACAAAGACAATCATCATAAAATAAAAAAAATGATGCATTTTTTTATGAACATCTCTCGAATTACGATTTCGTATAAATATCAAAAGACAGAGAAAAAAAAATGAATGCACTATACGAAATTTGATAGGTTGTACTATTTGGATTAAACAAAAAAACTACATTTTTTTGGGATCAAAAAGTTCAGAGTTCTGGGAAATTTAGGAAATGATTTTGAGTAAAATTCAGACTTTTCGCAAAATACAAAAAATATATTGAAATTCATAAGTTTCAGAGGGCAAAAATTTGAGTTCAACATTACCTAGCAGAATAACCGAATTTCTAGATTCCCAGAATTTCTCATGTTTTTTCAAATTTGGTCTAGAAATGTCATAAATATTCTCAGTTGAAAATTTTCATAACCAGTTTCAACTATAAAATCAAATCTCAATTTTCATGACAAAAATTTTAGAAATCAAGTGAAATAACCTCGAAAATCAAGAAAAATACATAAACATATGTATGTGTTCTTCGTCTCATCTCTTTTATTTCCATTTTCTTTTCCTATTCTCTCTGCTGGAGATTTTGCCTGCCTGTGGCAATTCTTCTATCATCATCATCATTTTTATCTCTTTCTCATTTGTGTTCCATTTTTCCTCTGATAGTTTCCGTTCCTTTTCTTCATCTTCTTCTTTTTTGCCTAATCACTTTTGTGTGATAAATATATTATCTGGGAAGAAATGAGAAGAAGACAGCAGTTGCAGAAGCAAGAAAAAAAGTGAAACTTGAAACTGGAAAATTTTCGACGCCTGATTTATTTTTGCCTAGTATCAGTGTCGTTTACGAGTAGATTTATTGGTATGTGTTGATTTTTCAAGGAGAGTGGAGGGTCAAGAAGAAACATTTCCAGGTTTCGTAACAGAAACGCGTAGTGATTGACCAGAGTTATGCCAACTTTTTTGGCGAAAAGGTGCTACAACTTGGAAAAAACGTTTTGCTCACAATCAGAAAAACATCAGATTTTTGATTTCAAAAATAAAAATTTGAATTTCTACTTGAAGAGGTACGTATCCCAAATTTTGAAAATAATTTTTCATTCTTTAAGAAATTCACATTTATTTGTTGAATTTGCCACGTCATAGTCAGAGTTGAGATAAGTAGAAATATACTGGAGTAAAAACCAGAATATTGAAATTCTGAAAATTTTCAGAGCTCAGTTAGAAACCCCGTGTTCTATTCCGAAAAATTAGTACCTCAAGAACACATAAACAAATAAAAACTAATAGTAGAACAATGAAAGTGTGTCATATCAACCAAAAAAATCGTAAAGTTGCATTTTTGGGACGAATATTATATGAGAGAATTTATATATATATATGAATACGAAAAAAAGAGAACAAATAAACGAAAAAGTGGAACATGCAACATTTTCCCGCCAACAAATTTTAAGCTCTAGAATAATATGAAATGCGGTGTAAAAATGAATGCAAATCTTCTTGCTTCATCCTCCACATTTTCTTGATTTTGTACTATTGCAACAGCTGATCTCAAGAAAAAGCAAAAAAGCAACAGAAAAAAAAAAATGATTTTTTGTCGTACTAACAAAAAACATGTATATCTTCTTTGCTTCCAAGTGTATGCGAGAAGTGAGTACTTGAAATAAACTAGGAAGTCAAAAAGGCAGATTGGAGGAAGGAAGAACCTAAGTTATACTAAGTGCATGTGCAGCACATCCCAGAGGGAAAATAAAAATAACTTTTAACTTCAAAATATGGGTGTTTTTGTTTTTCGGGATGTCATGTGATGTTCGAAGAACTTTTTTTGACAAAGATGGACACCAGCACACCCGCTCAAGCAACACAAAAATCAGCAAAACGCTGTAAAAACGGTGCACCCTGTAGCTCAAAACCTAGATAAGCTTCATGAAAAACTAAATATAGCATGATAATCAGCGCATCGAGTTCTACCTGACTTGCTACTTTTCTTATTTTTTGAGGTCCTGCGAAGAAAGTTAGCAATCGCGACAAGACCCAACGCATGAAATGTATCATGTTCCTTTAATACTGTAGTGCGAAATATAACGGCGAACAGAGAGAATTAGGCAAAAGTGTTTGCACAGTTTTTTTCAATCGCAGATTTTTCGTTTTACAGTAGAAAACACTCATTGCGTGGCTTGAACGGGTGTGCCAGAATTCAGATATATGTTTCTAATTTTTTAACAGCCCGCCCAAAATACTCACCATTATACAATCAGTTGTTGAGCATATGGAGTCGACACACAACATCTTGATTCTTTTGAAGTCAAAAAAATCGACGGACTTGTCTGACCTGAAAAATTTAAATTTAGAGATTATATGCGGCGAAAAGTTTCAGATGAACATTTCTGATTTTGATAGTTCACCGAATTTTAAGAGAAACAGGAAACGACTCACTCGTATTGTTTCTAAAAATATCGAAATGATGATTCCAATCAATTGTTGTCACGCTGCTTTTGTTTCCAATGTCACGTCAAATTTTTTTTTTGACAAATTGCGACGTTTTTAAAAAAAAACTACGGTACAAACAAGCGCGCTTTGAGACCTGTTGTCACTTCCCACTGTTCCTTTTCCCAACGTAGTAAGTATACGGTAGTTTTTAAAAACGCACGGTACCGCGGTAAATATTTTTCGTTTCGCTGCGAGATCCGTATCGCCCAAGTTTGTTTTGTTTTTCTTCATTTTTCCGCCTAAAAGTCGCCTTAAAATCATCATTTCAGTGCGAAATGTCGCAACAATATGACGAAGGTGTGAGGAGGAAGCTGAAATTGCTAGTTGTATCGCACTTAGCCTCAAAAAAGAGTGCAACTTCGCAAGAAATCCGGAAACTAATCATGTGAGTTATGTGACTAACAGATAGTAGTTTAATGATTTTTTTCAGCGATATGGAGGGTCGCGATATAACACCAGAAGAGTATAAGAAAGCCGGATATAGAGGAATCATTGATATTTGTCATGATCATGATGAAATTATGCAACTAGGACATGATTTATTCTGTTTGAGAAGTAATGATCCAGCAATCCGAGATATCACAAATCTTGTAAATGCACAAAAACAGAAAAAGAGAAAGACGAAACGGTCATCCTCAGCAATGCCATCATTCCGTTCTCACAGTGTAAATGCTCAACGGCTACGACATTCATCACTACTTCGCCCAACTGTTAGAGTGAGACTATCTATGAATTTTCTATTTCGATAACCTGCAATTTTACAGCCGCCACTTCACCAACCAGTGCATCATCCTCATCCTCAAAAATCGCTTTCCCGTCCAAAAACTGCACTTCCTGTCCCACCAGCCTGGACTCCATCTCCTACACCAATTCCACTACAACCAGCAAAATCTTTTGCACCAGCGCAGAAGAACATCACAGCTCGACTGAACACATCTCTTCAATCACGTCCCTGTGAAAACGAAGTACAACCAGCAAAATCTTTTGCTCCAGTGCAGAAGAACATCACAGATCGACTTAACACAGCTCTTCAATCACGTCCCTGTGAAAATGAAGTAACGCGGGTGGTATTTCCAGCGCCAGAACAAAAATTCGCCAAATTACCCACGATCAAAGAGTTTAGGGATAATGTGGCAAAATTGTTTGCGAATGGGGCAGAGCTTCATGTAAGGAGAGAATAATTACTGGGAAAATACTAAAAAAAAGTTTTGCAGATGGATGAATTGGGCGCGGAATACGAAAGGGCTTATGGTGTTGCAGTCGATCCTTATACGGCATTTTCGAAGAAATGGTCAATGGTTATCACAGGATTGTTAAAAGATGAATTGATCGTTGGAGAAAACCATGTAATTTTGCAAAAAAGGTCTCAATTAATTAATTATATCTAACTTTCAGGTGGTTCGATCTAAAAAAGTACAACCTCCATACTTTTCTCTACCAACTCCTACTCCATCACCAAGACCAGCATTTGGTGATCCTCCTACAACATCAAGAACTCAACCAAGCCGCAAAGTTTATATCGATTTGGACAGTCCGATCGAGGAAAGGCCTTCAACCAGTGCAAGCACTTCTCAAACAATCCGAAAACGTGAATTTGGAACGAAGCCAGCGTCGAAACCAGTTGAAGTTAAAGCGGAGATCATCCCACAACGAAAACCTATTGGACTTGCGCCATCTATTAGATTGTGTACAAAGGCGTTTGCTGATTTGAAAACGCAAGAGCAGGAGAATCCAGTTGTGCGAAAACCGGCTGAAAGTTATGGCAATAATCCGTTTAAATCTTCTTCTGCATCGAATACTCGAATCAATGAAGATGGATTTTTCAAAATTCCGGAATACACGAAGACTCCAAAACCGAAAAAGTCGACTGGCTTGAAATTGCCACCAGCAGGTAATTTACAACTTCGATGAAACAAATACTGAGGTTTCTCTGAAAACCTCTGAAAACGAGAACTAGTTCATATTAGACTTAAAAATTTATTTTCAGCCGTCGAAAAGCCACCAAGTGCATATTATTATGCTGATCTGCCCAAAAAAGAGGTACGTGAAGATCCTTTGGAAAGTATGCGATTTGAAATAAAGCAATTGTTTAAGCATGCAATTCCACGCTCGTTCACAGCAACACCGTCGGCAAGTTTCTTCAGAAACCACGATAATCGAAGCGAACTTCATTCATCAAATAGCAGCCTCCATCGACTTTTGATGCAAGAAGCAGATGCCGCTTTCGTTGATGTCAGCGATGATTTTTAAACAGAAATTGTAATTTTCTTGAAAAAATTTCGTCTGTCATAGATAATTTCGTATTTTTGCCCCCTTTTTACTTTTCTTTCTGTTTTATATATTTTTAACCCCTGCTAAATCCCGATTTTGTCCCGTTTCCTATTTAAATATTGTTCACCCATTTTTTTCCTTTCTAAATAAATTTTATATATGTCAGGTCAGTCTTGAGATGATTGGTGCAGGGTCCCATCATACATTCATGTCAATACCTTTCAATTTTGCCACCATTTCTGAAATCCGTCTTCAAAATAAAAATTTGGTTTCCAATGTCACGCCAAAAAATTTGAGAAATGTTTACTTTTTCTCTGAAATAAAAAGAAGTGATTATTAAGAGGCAGAAAAATGCATCGCGTCAAACGTGACACGTCACAAAATCCACGTCACCAATCGATGCTATAAAATGCGAGCTTGACGAAGAAGAGCTCATTTTTTTGAAGCTGGTATCAGAATAGAAGTCAAAGAAAAACACAATTTTCGCAAATTATGAACAAGAAATCTAACAACAAGCCGACAGCAAGCCAATCACAATTGAATCTTTGTCCAATTGTCGTAGCCGATCCTGCTCAACCCGCAACTCGATCAAAAATGGATGCTACTCAAACACCTCTACCTCCACCTCCTGTTCAACCTCCAACACAAGTTCAACAACCAGTGAAAATAAAGCTGACTGCTCGAATTGGACAATTACTTCGTGTTGGTAAGAAAGACAAAAATGGAAAACGGAAAGCAATATCAAAACAGGATAGACCATTGACAACACGCAAAAGTGACACAAAATTGGCACCAATCACTTTAGCCGAAGAGAAAACGTGTAAATCCTATCGAAAAACCAAACAACCCAACAAACGGTCGCCTTCAGCTTCGAGAACCCAAAAAACTGAGAATATTAAGCCAAAATCTTGCGGTTCTCAAACATCACTTCATATTCGTAAGTTCTCCTATTATTCTTATAAAAACCAGACATATTTCTTGAATTATTTACAGATCCTGTATCTCAACGTGAACTTCCTGATAAACCTGCTGAATTTCGTCCTGTTTCAGTAGAAAAACTGGAAAAATCTTGTCAAAATCTACTGGAACAACTTGGTTCGAAATCGACAAGTCTATTTGAAGATCAATGGGAATATATTGATGATGTGGATGTTGAGGTAACTTATTACTGAAACCACAGTTTTCTTCAACCAAAAATCGTTTTTTAGGATGCAAATATTCAAGCTTTTCTTTCTCACATCGAAGATTATAATCAAGCTGAAGATGTTGAAGTTTTAGATGGAAATCGTGTAAAATTGGATAAAACCGAAACAAAACGCGATGATTATATCCACGCAAGTTATGTTGAAATCAAGGATATTTCTCGTAAATTTGTTTTGGCTCAACTTCCACTTTTAAATTCAAAAAGACTCGAAGATTTTTGGACAATGATTTATCAGGAAAAACTTCACAATATTTATTTGATTTGTCATCCTGAAGATTCTGCAAAATCAATTGATTCTGATAAATTCAGCGAATATTTTCCATTGACAAGTGGACATCATGAACATTATGAACAAATTTGGGTTCATAATCGAAAAGTTGAATCAGGAAGTTTGGATGGTGATTTAAATGATCAATTTATAATTGAAGTTTTGCCAAATGGTTGTGCTGAATCAATTTTGGTTACAATTCATTTATTGAATTATTGGCCAACTGGAGATATTCCTTTGAAACCTAAACGTATTCTAAATAGTGCTACAAATGTTTTTGGTGCTGCTGATGCTTATGAAGGTGATCCAATTGGAATTATAAGTAAAAGAGGAGCTGGAAGACCTGGAACATTTTTGGCAATTGTTTGTGCAATTCAAATGATGAAAAATGGCCAAAATTTGGATTTGAAGGAACTTTGTCGATCAATTAGAAAGCAAAGACCTGGAGGAATTGATACTTATTTCCAGGTATGTAATTATTGATTGATTTGTTAATTCATAAAATATTCAATCGATAATTTTCAGTTTGTCTCAATTTACTCAACAATTCTTCAATTTGCTGCTCAATACGTCAACAAAGATATGAAAGCGGGAATTGAGAAAATTGAACGAGTTATTGATTTAATTATGAAACAAAAAGGAAAAGAGGATGATGATGGAAAATCGAAAGAAGAATTGAAGACTCAATCCATTGATAAAACTATCGATTAATAAAAGGTGGCATTTTTTAACTATTTTTTTAAGTTCAAATTGGAAAAAACATGGTGAAATTGAGAAATCGGATTTTCAGAGTCGCTCCAAATTTTCGAGTTTTTCTAGGCTATTTTTTATGGACGTCAGAAATAGTTTTCTTGTAAATTAAAACACTGTTAAAAGTAGAATCAGTTCCAAACCTCTTTATAAAATCCCCTAGGTATGCTAATTGTAGGGTGACGTACCACTTGACCATAAATGCCCACGTGAAATCTTGTTCATTTTTGAAATTTATAAATGATGAAATAAAACACGAGAGAAAATAGGGATTTCTTCGAAATTTGGGATGTTTCGAAAATTTATAACTGTTTCGCCTAGGGTCAATAGCTTCTAAATTTACAAATTTTTGACCGAAAAAAAAGTTGATCGAAAAAAGAGTATAATTTGAAGACAGTAAAGTGCTCAATATATAAAGTAATATCAATTTCAGATTTCTCAGAGTTGCTCCGAATTTTCGATTTTTTATCTTGAACCTTTCTGTGTTCGCGTTGCGTTGAGAATCTTGCAGTCTCAACTAACACATTAATCCACTAAAATCTTTATTTCTTCAAATTCAAATTCATGGTTTCTTCTCACTCTTTTCTTCTTTTTCACCACTTTTCTCACTACTCTTTTTATCTTTTTCAGCCGATGGTCCTTTTTGTTGATACGGTTTAATCGATTCTTTATCCGCTTTAGCCGCATCCTTATTCAAATCTGATGCAATTGCTGGTGTTGCTTTTGCATTGGTAACAGTTGGTGGCAATGGAGGTGGTAACATTTGTTGGAATGAAATCTCCAAATTCTCATTCAAACAAATAACCGCCGCAGCATTTGTGAATTGATTACAATAATTTGGCACTGAAAATACAGTAATCAATCTTCTTCCAGTCATCATTTCATAACCATCTTGAACAACTTGATGTGCTCGAATAATTAAATCCAATGACAACAATTTACAAGCCTGTTCAACAACACCTTTTCCAAACATATAACTGATTCCTCGAATTGAATGGAACCAGCCATCACCTTTATTTGTTGGATCAGACCATAATAAATCAATGAGAAGACCACGATCAAGAGGTTCACAAGGACGTGGAATTTGGCGAATAATATCCAAACTGGTTAATTCTGGTGATAAACCACCGTGCATACAAAGAACACGTTTTGAGATTAAACCAGCCATTGGAATACGATTGAAAAGAGCTTGGAAATCCCACCAAATACCAACACCATATTTATATTGACATTCAACATAAAATCCGTAGATCTTATTGACACTTGGTGTTTCATGATTTCCACGCAAAATGTAAATACGATCACGATAACGAACTTTCAAGCAAAAAAGAAGCATAAGAACTTCGATTCCTTGTGGTCCACGATCGACATAATCTCCAAGGAAGATTAATTTCTCTTCGGGAACTCGGCCGATTAAATCGAACAGTTTGTTGAGATCTTGAAATTGGGCGTGGATGTCACCGACGACTTTGATTGGTGCTTCGCATTCACACAAATTTGATTCTTCCATGAAAATTGTTTCGACCAAACGGAGAATTGCAATAATTTCGTGGCCAGACATTATGTTACAAATATTGATGTTTGTATTGTTGTACAGCGCTAGAAAATTGAGATTTGTTAGGGGAGTTTTGAATCGAGTCATGTCCGCTTTCAAAAAAGATCAAAAGAGCCGACAAAGTCAACTGTAGTGGTTTTCTCTTTCACCGATTCCCAATTATCTTTCACTCACTGTTGAGCCGTTTGATAGCATCATCCATCCATTCAGCGACTTTCGGATCCAGAGCAACAACCTTTTCAGCTGATTTATTGTTATTTCCTGCAAAAAATAAATCAACTACAGTAGTCCTCATCTACAGTACCCCCTGTTCCTACCTGAATTATTGTTATTCGTATCGGTAGACATTCTCGAGTTGTTTTGTTTCTCCCTCTGAAATAATAACAAAAGCTGTGTGAGCAAAATGAGCATTTTTGACGGGAGACGTGATTTTATAGGGCGAGTTTTCTGGATCACGTGATTTTCTAGGTTATCACGTGCGGATTTTTGAATTTAGAGAATTCACAGGTATTTTTTGATAAGCTTTTTCGCAAAATTTAAAGTTCCGGTAATTCTTCCTTTTGGAACTTTGAAAATTTTTTCATTCAATTCAATTTTGTTTTTTCTTGACCCGGAAATAAAAATCCGTGAGAAAAATTTAATCCGTTTTCGGAGTAAAGTTCTTCTTCTTTTTTCGGTCTTTTAAGTGTCCTCCTCTTCCTCTCGAAAAAACAAACATTGTGATATGATTTCGCCTTGTTAACCTCAAACTTCTTGTTTATCATTTTCATCAAAAAACACTGACCGCTCTCGTTGGTTCGTGATCAACTTACTTTTGAGCTTACGAACTTTTTTTGGGAGATGGAAATTTGATTTCGAATTTTTGAAATACTTTGATTTATTCACATGAATTTTAGACAATTATTGACAATCAGACATTTTTGGTAAAAGTTTAAAGAATTTCTCTTTTTTTTTAGTGTTTGTGCATTTTAGTCTGTAGTCAAATTTTTTACTCATAATCCTTCTTGAGAGTTGGGCTAACTTGAAAAACTTGATTGATTTTTTGTAAATATAATCGAAATGTTTTTTTTCAATTTTTAACATGAAAAATTTCAAATGTAACTTGTTAAATTCAAGTCTGATTGTGAGAGAAATTTCATACTCAATGGATATTTTTAATTCAATATTCTTTTCGATATCAAAAATATTTCCAGAAATGCGCCACCTCCTAATCCTTTCATTTTCCCTTCTTTTTGTTCTCACAAAAGCTTCCGATTTTTCATCGGATTCTGCTCCTTGGTATGCTCCAATTATTCAAATGATTCAAGCAAAATTGGTGGATTATACATGTACTCAAGGTGAACATTGAATTTGAAACTATAAAAATGTTTCTTTAATAAAAATAATATTACGAAATTAGCTTTTGAAGAAAAACTCACAATAATTAGTTTAATTTCCAGATTGCACAACAACATTAGATTGCTCAACCGGTTTATCATGTTTCCACGCGACAACTTATTCAAAAGGTTGCTGTTTAAAAGGTCTGATTTTATGTTGATGTTCCTTTAAAATTTCTGAAATTATTTTCAGCTCTAAAACCAAATGAGACTGGTTGTATAATCGAAGATCAATGTAAACAGGCTTGTGAATCAACAATTTGTGATAAATCTCAATTTCCATCGAGATGTTTGTGTGAAAAAGGACGACATTTTCTATTTAATAAGTGCTGTGAGTTATTCTTTAAGGGAAATCTCAGTTTTATCTGAAATATGCTGAAAATTAGACTAAATTCAAGCTCTGAAAAGCCGAAGTATTCTAAAAAACAAAAAAATACTTCATTTCTTGTGCGATTTATTATTGAGACTCTTTTTTCCTTCTTTTGGTTGCGATTTGTCGAATTCTGATGGAATTATATCAACATTGGAACCAATTTCAAACATTTCATTTCCTTTTGGATCATAAAAAACTTTGTCGAGCACAATATCCTTGGTTTGCTCTGATTCTTTCACATTGCTGCTTGACTAGAAAATTGGAATGATTTTTGAATTTTTTGTGGGAAAATTGAGGAAAAATTGTTTTTGAGAAGTTATGAAGTTTGAAAATCAGAATAATCGAAAATTTGGAAATTTAGAACAAACTGGATTTCTTCAGATTTTTCAAAAGATTCTCCGAAATTTTCCACTTCATAACCTCTCCCTCCTCTCACTTTTCAAAATCTCTCACCTCAACATCCAACAAATCAATTCGAATTGGTCCGCGTTTCTCAAACTTCTCTGATTTCGCATCCGATTTTTCTTGTGCCTCCATTTTTGCCACATGATCTCGAAGTCTTGAAAATTTAGTTCGAATCGATTGAACTGCACTATTCGATGGTCCTCGATCTTTCAGCGATCCCAAATTGTCATATCCATTCATATTATTTGATTCTTGCGGTGTAATCGGTTTCGATCGTTCTGCATTGTGTTTTGATATCAAAGTTTCTGCTGGAGTATCCGCGCCATTTTCCGGAGTTTGAGTTTTCCTTTGAGTTTTGGCGAAAATCGGCAAAAATGGATCACTTGTTGGAAGGACTTCATCTAAAAAACAATTTTATAAATAATTCGATATGAAAGTTGAAGCTCACTCTTTTTCTTCAAAATCTTGATCTTCGATTGTAACTTGAAAAGTACAAATCCAACAATAAAAAGAATAAAAATAGCAATTCCGACAGTAACATATTCCCAAAGTTCGGTGTTAACCCATTCTTCGGGTTTCATATGACTTGTGTCAAGTGAACTGCACATTTCGGGACAATTGTAATCACCGAGACTCTGTAAAAGGAATAATAGGATATTCGAAAGTTTTGGGAAAGTTTCAGAAGTTCTTAAAAAACTACTCCCAGATCAAACGTAAATAGTTTTCTACGTTTAACATGAGTCAGATATTCAGTAGAGTACAATCTAGCCCCCATCATAGTACATTCATTTTTTTGATAGATCACTAACATGATTTCTTTGATCACATAGTTCTAGGTACATTTTTCTTCTCCCTCCCTCTCAGATAATCACTACTTTTCCCTTTTTCCTCTTTTTTTCTCAAAAAGTTCATCTTATTCATCTCTTACCCCACAATTATGCACAAATACCACAACTCGATCTCTTTTCGTATTTACAATCACTTTTTCCGTTGTAGAAGTTGTTGGTTCTTCAGTTGTTGTCAGAATTTCTGTGGTTGATAGTTCGATTACTGTTTGTGTTGATGTGAAAGTTGAATTGAGATCATCGGTGAAATTATCGGGAATGAGTGTTGAATTATCCGCTGTTTGTTGAGATGATTTTTGAATGGAAACAATTATTATGCATAGTATAGATAGTGTTATTTTACATTGATCATATTGGATTTCTGAAAAAAAAACAATTCTTATATGTATTACTTGAGAAAAAATCATCAAGCGCGGTTCAAAAAATATTTTTTTTTATAAATTTGGGATGTCAAGTCCCTTTGAAAATTTTCCCCTTTTTTGAGCCAAATTCACCTTTCATTATATTCAACGTACGTTTTAAAAAATGAGCTCATAAGTTTTATTTTTTTCATTTTTTTATTCAGAAAAAAATTGGGTCACGTCTAAATTTCAAAAAAATTTTTGATTTTCAGGGAAAAAGTGTCCGGATTTCGCGTATCCAGATCCAATCATCGACGATCGCGGTTTCAGTCGATGCGAACTGAAAACCGATCTGGCCACAGCTCAAAAATACCTCCGCCGACAAAAACGACAACTTCGAAGCAACTTTTGCTAACTCCCCGTTTTCCCCTGAAAAGTATTCAATTTCCTTTCCAATTCAAAATTTCATATATTCTTCAAATAAATTATTAAATAAAAAATAAATTAATTAGGTAAAATTGATATCTAGAATTCGAAAAAAAACCAATCAAAATATAAATTTTCACAAAAAAATCCAAATTCAATTCAAATATACTGAGAAGTTGACAAAATATGGGGTACCTGTAGGGTCAAAATTTTTGAGGGAACTAAATAGAAGATAAAATAAGTTAGGATAATTATTAATTTCAAAAATAAAAGAGAAAAAAATCAAATCAAGCTCAAAATATATAGATATGTTTAGGGGAAAAATCATCAGTGGAGCTCTTCTTAAAAAAGGGCGGTGTTTTCTGGTTTAAAATGGACCAACATAGTTAGGAAAACTGATGGAATTGGCAGATTATTGGAGCGAAGCCAAGAGAGAATTGAGAATCCGAGTGCGTAGAATTTATCGAAATCATCAACCTGAAATTTTTTGAATAAATCTCAATTTTAATTCTGAAATTAGTCTAACTCACCATGGCCATAATATTTGCCAATTTATTCTGTGACGCACTACAATGATCTTTCAACGCATTCAAAATTGTGCTATGCACTCGATCACATTGTTCTTTATGATTCAATTGAATCTTTTCATCTAAATAACCATGAAGCATTTGAAGTGCAATAAATGCAGCCATTGATTGAGATTCCCATTCAACTTGTGAATTAAAGTTTGAAACTTTTGTTCGAACTGAGACAAAGAATCTTTGGAAACAATCAGGAATCAAATGAAATGGAATAACATCTCCAGATGAGAACATAACATCAGTTCTTGTAAGAGTTGGATCCATTCGATCACAAATTCGAGCAGCTAATAATGGGAAAAATGATCGAGCCAAAAGAACATTAAAATCATGATGATTGAGGTCACAAACTTGTGGAAGACTTCGACAGAAATTATCGATTGATACAAATTCAGTAGCCAAAAGATGCATAAAAGTATCAATATCACAAGATGTCTGCAAAATAACACTATATTTCAGAAGTTTTTGGGAAGAACACTTACATGAAAAGTTCCATTGACTGCTGAAGTAACTGCATTTGCATCTTTAGCTTTAGCATACAAAGCTAAAAGTGGAAGAGGTGGAGATGGTTGATCAGCTGATCTGTGAGTTTTGGTTTTTGATGATAGTCGACCACGTCTTCCAGACAAACTTCCATGGCGGACAACTGCAAAGATTCTGTTAAATTTTCAAATTGTAGAAAAATTCCAGAATTAAAAAAACGAATTCTGAAATCAATTTAGATTTTCTATCTATTTTTCTTGTCTTCCAAAAAACATGACTATTTTTGTTTACCCAACTTGTACAATGTTCCATTTTCTTTTGACTCACTTTGTTTAACCATGCCGACCTCCAAACATTTTTGAAATCGACAATATTGGCATCGACTACGGTAGCGTTTATCAATCGGACAATTCTTTTGTCCAGCACAAGTGTATTTCGAATTCTTTTGAACAGTTCGCTTGAAAAACCCTTTACATCCTTCACAAGTTCTTGCTCCATAATGCAAACAAATTGCTCGATCATTACAAACTGCACATCGTTTTTCAGCTGAATCATCATCAGATTGTTCTTGGTTAACATTTCCAACAGCTCCCGGGGAAAACATCAAAGAATGTTGAGCAGCAGATGAAAGTTCTCCATTATTTGTGAAGAATGATCGAAGGAATCCAGGAATTTGTGGAGGAGAAGTTGGAAAACTATTTGAATGTGGTGATGGTGTTCCACCAGTATTTGAAGAATTTGTTGTGCCATGAGAATTTCGACGACTGTCTCCAACTGGATAAGTATGTGGATAATATTGATTGAAGTTTGGCATAAAGTTTTGACCAGCCATGAAATCGTGTCTGGAAATTATAAGAAAATTGAAGTGAATGAGCAAAAAATAGAAAAAGGTTGATTTTTCGTCACAATGACATTTCAAAAACAGGTGATTAAATTCAGAAAAAAAGGTAATATTTTGGAAAGGTTCTTCTAGTCAAGAAAATAAAAGATTTTCTAGAGCAAGGAAATGAATGAATTTTGTTTCGGACCTGAAAATGTGGGGAAAAAATTAATTTCAGATTTTAGATTTTAAGGACTAGAAATTTATCAAAGAATTATGACCTAAAATGCAGAATCTGAAATGTTTATTTACCTTTTATCCATATATGGAAAAGCATAATTGGGATTCGATCCCAAGAAGAAATCATGATTAGCCATCGGAATAGCTCCTCCACCCAAACCTGCGGCAGGCAACAAATCGAATTCAGTTTTGATTTGAAGTGATTGTGACATTGACGAAGTTGGTTGCTCTAATTGTTTTTCAGAATTCTGGAAAAAAAACGAAGTTTTTACGCAGTTGTGGGATTGCTAATGAGATTAGAAAATGAAAAAAGTGCTGACACAAGAAAAAAAGGGGATTATGCTTTTTTGTAATATTTTCAGCTGCTGTTGGAAAACTTCCAGAAATATTTTTCACCTGGAATGAAAAACTTAAATAATTTTTTTCTCATAGACCCGGAGCCTAGAAACCATATTTAACAAGTAACCCGCGGCTAATAAGTACTAATCATAACAGGTTGTGAACTTACTTGATCTTTATTAGCTTCTTCTTCCTCTTCTTGATCGATTTCTTCCTTTTTTGGTGATTTATTTGCTGGCGGATCAGTTGTATCCTGAAATTTTTTGAATATATACAAAAACTAGTTGTGCTACTCAGAAAAAAAAGTAAAAATATGCGAGTTGATAAAACTTCGCGCATTTAAAATTATTGGGTTAACAACACCCTCTACCATAATTATAGACTTGATCTGGGCTGCGCTAAAATTCCCCAGTTTAAGCGGAATGAAAATCCTACTGTAGCTTTGAAGAAAATGCCAAAGAAATATTGGTTTTTTGGAATTTTATTTGATGGTTTTTAAAAATAATGTGTGGGAGGAAATAGGGAAATTAAAAATAATTAGAAAAATTTGGAAAACTGTTTGATTTTTTGATTTCTAAAAAAATGATCTTCAAAAACAGTAGCCAGAAAGTAAAATACCGTACTCACTTGAGACGCTAAAAAAAGAAGCAAATGCATCTGTTTACATTGGCATGACATATAAAAAATATATGTAGTAGTTGGTTTAGTAATGAGTGATTGAGGAACACAAAAAACGAAGGATTCAGGTGATGACTAACAGACACACCAGCACCTCGTTCAAAAAAAAGGAGAAAAAACGAGACAAGACAATTTTTTTTGTTTCTTGGCTTTTCAAGGTTATCTCTAACAATAGAGAGGGAAAAGAGTTATTTTACCCAGCGGAGAAGCTTTGAGTAAAAGGTTCAAAAGTTTAGGATTGCTTCATCATACAATCATCACTATTTTTCCTACCCTTTTTCTTTCCTAGTCCCAAACTCACCACCAAATGAGCAAATAGCGAATGAAGATCATCAATTTCCGAATCTTTTCTTGAACCAGGAGCAGTTGGTGGAAAATCTCCTGAAAAATATGCACTTTTGTATAGGATTAATCAGAAAATATGTAGTTTCTGTGTGCTTTTTCCTTGGAAAGGATTAGGATTTGAAACAAAAACAATGAAGCATTTTTGGAGTAGTAAATCTAGAATTCTGGAAAAACTAACCGAAATCAAAACTGGAGCTTCTAGTCGAACTCATATTTCCGAAAAAATCGCGGCTCAACGGACTTGTCACTCGTTCCAAATAGATTTCCAATTGAGAATCGACACTTGACGATGAAGAATAACTGCTATCAATTGAACACGTCGGCGACAAACACTTTAAACACATTAATTAGGGGAGAAAATCTGGGAGAATTGAGAATTTTCAGAGAGAAGTGAGCAAGAAGAATTTTCAGCTCGATGTGTAAAATGCTCAGCCAGGCTTCTCTTTTATAACAAAAAAGTTGTATTATTTTGACGTGAATCTCGTTTCAGAAATAGCTAGTTTTGCACGTCTATTGACGTGGATTCCAAGAAATTCTCCAAAAAAATACAAAAAGTTGTATCCAAGGTATTTTACTCGTAGGTTGAAAATGTTACGAAATTGAGACTGCTATACGATTTTTCTATTTTTGGAATTTTCTTCCTACGAGTCGTCTCAGAAGTGCCAAAAAATCTACCAACCTGATCACCGTTTTCTAAAACACTTCTAGGATACAATGATTCTTTCAATTGATTGGAGTCCATCAGAAGGCGAGGCCGATGAACATCGAATGAAATAGAACACAAACACAAAGCAACTTGGAATTTATCTGAAATTATTTTGAGTTAGGATAAATCCAAGTCAATTAATTAATACAAGAGGTATAAAGGGCACACGTTTATATATTTATCCCTCCCAGGGTCCGCCTTTTTTCGCGTCACAGGTTAAATCTATCAAAAATTCTGACACATCATCTGCTTTTATTTTTTGTCTGAAACATTATCGAAATCGTTACGTATCATATTATGAATCTAAAAAAAACTTGGCTACGTAACATTGATAGGTGAACATAATTACAGAACAGGTGAAACATTTTGACGTAGAATGGAAGGGTAAACATTATTTCCAGGAGGGAGAAGGAACTTTTTGTTAGATTGTGCAGAAATCATGAAAATAATTTTTGGGTTGGACAAAAAAAGCTATTGTTTTGAAAATTAAAAATTAAAAACAATTTATTGATTTTTAGGGCAAATAATCAAACCCCATAAGGTCCTGACTATTGTTTTGTTGAAAATTTAAGAATGATAAGAGAAAGGTTTGAAATAGTCCCATTTCAAAGGTCCCATTCATAAATTCTAAAAATTAGGTATAAATTATTTCTAGCTCAACTCTGAAGATTACTGTAGAACTCATAATTACAGTAAGTCATATTTTGCTTGAGAAACAACTCAGCCTAATTCCTAGGAGCTTTGAAACTTAGCCTAACTTCTGTTAAAAAATTTTAAAAAATTAGGCTCATAGTTACAATAAGTCATATTTGAAACTTGGGGTTCAAAAACCCAACTACCTTTTTTTTACAGTATCCAAAAATCTACTGAAATTGAACATCTTCAAAAATCAGTTATCGATTATTGATTTTTTCACCTACCGTAGAAGTCCCCTCCTCAAAAAATCTAATCCTAAACCTACAGTAATTAGTTAGTATGTTTATACAAAATGAACATCACCACAAAAATTTATCAGACAAACTGAACATTTGTTCCTCATCACACTTTTTATATGGCCTTTTCCGCCCAGAGGAAGAAACTTGAAAAAATTACGTGTTATCAGTTTTTTCGTGATAAAATCAAAACTGTTTTTTTTGCTTCTTTGCTCAGGAAATGGAAGATTTTATGAACTAAAAAAAGTGAAGAGATTTTTTTCAAGCAGAAGATATTGTAGAGATTGTTTTGTTCTTTTCAGAATAAATAAGTAGTGTATGTAGATAGATATTCTAATGAATACTAATCTTTATCCTCAAATATCAATTTCTTTTTCGCAACATATTAATTCGGTGGGCGTCATGAATAACTTCTGAAAGTATTCTTCACGAAACAACTAATAAAGATCAATTTGTTGTTTTTGATTTGGGTGTGGTGGTAATTTGTGAGGATTTGAGTCATTGCTAAAATATGTTGTTCTCTTATCAGTTGAATTTTTGTGTAGTTTTTTGGCTACAGCTGGTAATTTTCAAGAGTTTGTGTGTGTGTTGTCAGCATTTTAAATTTCCTGAACCTTGGAATTGAAAAAAAAACAGGTGCAAAAATTGTGACCTAATTTTTTCTTTATTTTGAGTTTCAGCTTAACCTTTTCAAGACATCAAAATACACACATTCGAAAGGTTTTCGAGTCAGAAAGTCAAGCTGGAAAAAAGCTCATAGTGAACTTTGGCTTTGGGGGACATTTTGGGAGTAATTTTGATCATAGATCGGAAAAAAAATTGGATGGAGGAGAATTCGGGAATTCTAGGAGGAAATTCCGAGGAAGTCATAGTTTTAATGCCAAAATATTTGTTTGGCACAGGAACTTTTAAGATTTTGTTAGAGCTTGAATTCAAACATTATTTAAGCCTAAATCTAAACTAAAACTTATAATTCTAATCTAGGGGCTATGTACAGTTTTCAGGTTCTAACCCACATTTTCTAGATTCGCTCGCAGATGTTTGGCTTATATCAGAATCAAAAGTATTTTTTAATACGAGTTCTATTCTAGAAATAAAATGAAATACCGAAAAATCCGAATTTTCAGACAAAAAACTCAAATTTCAGAAATCTGAATATCGAACGCTATTTATTCTTAGGCTTGCAACCTTTTAAACAAATTGAATAATAGTTTGATTCTTGAGTTCCAAACTATAGAAAGTCAAGCAATATCCGAAAATTATTAAAATTCAACAAACATGCAGAACTACAGTAGAATCTTCTGAAAAGTCAAAAAGAAGAGCAAAATGAAAAAGTCAGTAACTTTGACCATCTTATATAACAAGACCCGCCCCTCCCGAATAAATGTTCCTGTTGCCTCAAAAAAAAATTGACGTTTTCCACGAAGAGGATTAGATACTTTTTCTTCTACTAATCATAATCTTTTTTAGGCGAAATTGGCCAACCAATTCTTTCAACACTTTTGTCTTGATCCATTTACGTAGTCATTAAATAATGAATTACGTCTTGACAAACGTCTTCAGAAATAGATTTGAAACATTTTCGCGGTCAATGATTAGTAATCAGAGACATTGAAAATATTGGATTAACTTGACAGCTAAAATGATTCATTGTTCTGTGACTTGTTGAAAATAGATAGATATGTATAAAAAGGTCAGACTATTTTTGGCTCATCCTTGGATCAAGTGATATTCTGAGAAAATTGTGCTTTGAACTATTAAATATTGGAAGCATCAGACTTGAGTAGATCAGAGAGAGAGTTTCAAAATCTGATAAAAATTCTATTGGTTGACTTTTGCTGGTCAAAAATATATACAATGTGTTTTGAACTATCAAAATCTGGATAAGTAGATCAGGCACAAGATGATATAAAGTTCTAACAAGCTTGACAAAACTATCTGTCAAGTTTATATTGAGGGAATTTTGAATTCAAATTATTTGTCAGATTTTCAAATCAAAGTCGCTGGATCTCTTTACTAGTTCTGAATACTTAAAAATCATTAATGAAATTCAAAATTTTTAAAAATTAGGATTAACACTTGAGACCTAATAATTAATTTGAGATCCAGCATCTTGCTGATATTTTTATGAATCACATCATAATTAAATTCCACATGTGTTTTGCTTTCTCTCAAACTTGAAAATATGATCAGATTATTAGACAGTCAGTGTTAAGAGGATTTTCAGGGCTTATGAACAATCCCGGTGACTTTACGGACTTTGCAAAATGAAAAGAGATCAGAAAAATACTTTTTTACATCTAGAACAACATTTATGACAAAAACATTTGAAGCAGATGCCACGTGAGACATCCCTAGCCCAGAAATCTGAAATTCAAACGATCTACAGCGTAGCGGCAAAAAAATATTCAGGACACACAAAAATTTTAAATAAAAAATTCCGGTGCAAATTTAAAATAGTTCATTTTCTTTGAATGTTCTCTGAAAAATTGTAAACAAAATCTACAGTACTTTCTGAAAATAATGTTTTTCCCTAATCCGAATCCTATTCAAAACACAAAACAATAATTACAATTCGTGTTTTTTGTTTTCAAAAAAAGAAAAAATTCTAGTTTGCAAGAAGAGCGCAAAAATATGTGTTCGAAGAAAAATCAAGGCTCAATGAGAAAAGTCAAGCTGAAAAAATCAGTCTAACCAAATTATTAAATAGTTGAGTCGAACCCGCCAATTAAAGTGGGGGTGGGAGAAGAAGAAAAAAAAAGAGAATGGAAAATTATTTTCCTTTTCAAATTGTTTTTTCAAAACTTTAATAATGAGTCTGGGCTCAGCTTGGCTACGCTGTGACTAATTCCACCTTTTTTGTAGTTTGGACTTTTTTGGGTGTAGGAAAAGGTGAAAAATATGTGTATTGGTGAAGAAAAGGAAATGGTGGAAGGAAGAAAAAACGGGGAAAATTCTAGGGAACGGATTACTGTACCTCGTAGTGGATTTTTCTGGCATAGTATTCAGAAGTGAATAAAAATACCTCAACATTTTTTTTTGTTTTATTTTCAACTCAATTCCAGATCAGTTTCAGTTCAGCTCAATTCAAAAATAAGCACTTTTTCTTCTCCCAAAATGTATGAATTGTTTATTGGTTTTTTCTCGGACAATTTTTCTGATTTATCCTTTTCCTCAACCAAAAAACAAATCTAGATTATCCAGAAAGTCTAGAAAAATTCTGACATTTTTTGAAAGTGATGTATGTAAATGAAAAGTAGTTTGAAAAACGAAAAAAGCGTGGAAAATCTCAAATTTCATAAAGTTTAAAACTCAAAAGTCTTTCGATCAAACTTTTTAGTTTCGTGAAGTCAGAAAGTCTAGTTTCATGTTTCATTTTTGAAATTTTCATTGGAAAAAGTTCTCCACAACAAAAATTATAATTTATTTTTTTCTTCACAAAAACATAATGACGTGGGAGTTCCATCCTCCTCCAGAAAATGACCACATAATGCGTTTTTGAATTTTAAATTTTCTAGACTTTTTCCGCCTTTTTTTGTGTTGTTTTGTTTTTGTTCGAGTTTTTTGCGCGGGAAAAGGACAGATTTTTGTTTTTCGTGAATAAGTGTACTCGATAAAAAGAATAAAAATGAGGTAAGCTGAAAAAAACAGTGAGAGGTTACTGTAGATTATTGAAAATTGATTGATTTTGGTGGAAATTGCTACAATAACCTAACATTTTTTATCAAAATGAAATATGTGAATATTTAGATCTACTATAGAACTCAAAAAATTACAAGAGTTTCAAAAATTTACCCAATTTTGAGATAATCCGGAACCTTTCGACACTTCTCAAAGTAACAAACAAATTTAATTTTGATCACAAGACTCAAAATCAGAAAAATCGAAACAAAAATGTTGACCTACCAGAATAGTTTTTGGATCAAAAAATCAATAATCTACAGCACTATCAGTACAGTAATCCAAAATATTATCATATCATAAAAGTTTCAAAAATTATTTGATCTACAAAAGAAATTCTAATTTTAACCCTATTTTTGATCCACAGTAATACCATTAAACTACAGTAATCAAAGATCCTGATCATACTAGATAACTCCCAGA